AATAATTATTATCTTTTAAACTTATTCTAAGTTATTTAAAAATAATTCTTTTAACCTTTTACTTTTTAAATTTCTTAATAATGAAAAGCTTAAATCTTTTTTAAACAATTTAAATATTTAATTAATTTTTATAAATTATATTTAGATTTATACTCTATCTATTTAATTAAATAAATTTTTTTTTCTATTCTAACTTCTATTTTTTAATAAAGTTAATTTTAAATTTATTATTATTAACTTTATCTTTATTATTTTCTAAATTTTTTATAGATTTTAATATTAAAATATAAAATATTGAATATACTTTTATTTTTATTAATAATTAAAATTTATCATTATTATTAATAAGTTTTTTTTTAATTTTAAAAGATTTATATTTAATTATATTGAATTTATTACTTGATCTCTTACTTAAAATTTAAAAGATCTAAATCAATACGCACCGATGAAAACGCACCCCCTCAGGTAAAAAGTACTGCGGGAAAGAATCTTAATTATAATAGACCTCTTAACTATTCTTTATCTTAAATCTTTTCTCTTTAAACCCTATGATTAAACTATAAACATAAAGAAGAATAAAAAGAAACTTTTATAGTTTAAATTATAGTTTAAAAAAGATCTTAATATATATATATATATATAACCATTATTATTAAAGATTTTATAATAATTAAATAGTATACTGAAAAAATTAAATTAAATCTATTACTAAATCTTATTTATCAGATTTTAAATATCTTTATTAAATTCATATAGTAAGTCTATAAAATATTTATAATTAAGACTCTTATATATTATCTTATCTATATTAAATTATACTTAGAAAAGATATAAAGAGAAATATCTTAAACCTTCTATAAAATTTTAATAATTAAAAGTAATATTAATTATCTAATTAAAATTATCTATATTTTCTTATCTTTTAGATTTTATATTTTAAAAAATCTAATAAGTTTCAGTTATATAATTAAAAATAATAACTTTAAGTTTTATATCTATATTTAAAGATATAAGATGTCTTTATATCTTTTAATAATTCTAAATCTTAATTTATTAAATAATAATAATATTTTTTTAATTCTATATTTAATCTAAAAAAATCTTAAGATTTACTTTAAATATATTAATAATAAAATAATTAATTCTTTATATTAATATTTTAATAAAGTTATTAAGTATACTAATTAAATAATTTAATTATTTTAAAAATTAATTATCTTTTACTAATATTTTATTATAATTTATATTCTTTTTAATAAAGATATAACTTTACTCTATAATATTATTAATAATATAGATTAATTAATTTATAAATTAATCTAGATCTAAGCCTTTAATAATAAGGTCTAGATTTAGAAATATATCTAAAGAGTAATTATAAAAGATATAAACATCTCTATTAATTCTAAACTAGTTTAATTTAAGATTATACTCTATATAAAGAATATCTTTATATTTATTTAATTATCTGTACTAATCAATATTATTTATATTAGATGGTTATTAAGTAAATATAAATTTAAAAAATAAAATCTTTTTTAATTATAATTAATTATTATTTTTAATAATAAATATATTATTAATTTTGCTATTTTTTAAAATTTAATTATTAAAAAAAAATAATATTAATATATAATCTATAATAAAAATATTAATCTATAATAATATTTTAATTATTAAATATATAAATATATTATTAAATATTATTAATATTAGATCTACTATACTTACTATACTAATCATTATAATATTAAAGATTGCTTTATATTTTATAATAAATAATATACTAAGTGCGCTAACTATATTAAAAAAAATATTTATATTAAGAATTTAGTTAAGAAATAAGATAAATACTATTATATCTTTATAAAAGAATGTCTAATTTAGACATCTTATTTTTATAAGATGTATTAGTACTGTGTTTATAGATCTTAATTCTATATATTAATTATAAAATTAGATATAGTTTCACTAGATATAGTTAATTTAATTATTAATCTTATCTTAGTTAAAGTAGCTATAGAGTATAATCTTAAAACTTTTATTTAAAGTATTTTAATTTTATAGATTTAATCCATCTTATTATATAATAAAAGTATAGCTATCTATAAGTATATTATAGAATTTAATAATTCTAAAATCTTAATAAAGTTAATAATTCAATCTTTAAAGAAGACTATATGAGATTAAAAGAATTCTATAGATAAGAGATAAAATAATATTAATATAAATTTATTAATTATATATAAATTTTTATTTTAATTGTCTCTGTAGACTTCCTTTTTATTAAAATTAACTAATATTAATGTAATTAAGAAAATATAATATTATTAAAATATATATTCTACTATTAATAAATTATTTAATAATAAATTAAGCTTTATTTATAGAGACTTTAATTATAATTCTATTAATAAAATAATGATTACTAATCTTATAGATAGTTCATAAGCTTAATTAATCTATCTTAATATATAAAAATCTAAATTAGTTATATATTTTATAGATAAATTATTGAAAATTATATAATAAGATACAGATATATCTATTTAAAAAGAAAAAGCTTTAGAAATATGATATTTTAGTAATTTAAGAATCTTATATTAATAAATTTATAGATTTATTAATTATTTATTTATTTCTTCTATAGGACTGCTTCTATATAATATTATATTTTATATTAAAAATTAACTATAATAATCATTCCTAGATATGTCTCTATATTAATAAATATTTTAATGTTATAAAATAAGAGATATATCATTATAGTAAAGATCTAATAATATTAATATTCTATATTAATTTAGATATAATAAATGTGTATAATATCTATAATCTAAACACTAAAATAATTAATAAATTAAGTCTTAAGACCTTTATAGCTATAATATTAATATATCTTAATCTATATATTATTTTAAATAACTTTAATCTATATTATTTACTCTAAATAGCTTTTAATTATAAAACTATTAATAATGATGTTATTAAACTTATTAATATTATAGATATGTATAGCTTATAATAACTGCTATCTTAAGATACTATAATATATAAGAGAGCTAATGCTAAGATTATTATTGATTTTATCTAGATTTTATATATTCTAATAGATTATCTTATTTATTGTTAAGATTATTAGAAATAATAGTATAAGATAGATTATATATTAATTTATATTAAATTTAATCTCTTATTTATCTAAGCTATTTTAATTTATTATAGATAATAGAATACTATAGATTAAGAATTTTTTATTAAACTAATAGAGAGCTATAATTAATATTTATAAAATTTATCTAATAAAAAAATAATTAATAGTGCTATTTTAATTTTAATTAAAATTATTATTAATATAATTAAATAGATAATATTATAAAAGCAGCTTTTCATTATAAATTAAAATTTTATTTTTTAAATTAGAATTTTGTTTTGAATATTTTTATAAATATTATAATAAATTCTTAATATTCAGATTATAATCTAAAAATTAGTTAAATAATAATAATATCTTTTCTATTTTTTATTTATATTTTTTAGATTATATTATATAACTAATAATTAATTTATTTATTAAAGAAAATATATATATATATTTCTATATCTATTTTATAATATTTATTATTATTTTTTTATTTTTTAATATATTTTAATAATTAGATAGAAAATTATAATTTAAATAATTAATTCTAATTTTTATATTATTTATCTATCTAATTTATTAAAATTTAGAGAGATTTTAATATATTTTTAAGAATAAAATCTAATTATAGTTAAAAATTCTTTAATATAATTCAATTATCTGAATAAAAACTGGATCAGATTCAGATTAATTTAATTATAATTAGTAATTCTTTTTTAATATAATTTAGTTTTAATTTAAAGAGCTAGAACCATTTGATTTTTAGTTCTAGTTTTAATATAGGGACCAAACCAAACTGACCTACTTTTGGGTTTGGTTCAGAAACTCAGGACCAGAACCGAACCAAATGACAGCCTAATTAATATAGAAATTCTAAACTAATTCTAAGTAATTAATTTTGAAATATTAGATATATAAATAATATATAAAATAGCTTAAAATATATAATTTAAGATTTTTAATAAGAATACTAAGTATAATTCTATTTATAAAAATAAATAAAATAGATATTAATATATAAATTCTATTTAGAATTAATAAGAATTAATTATAGTATAAATACTTTATTTATAAATAAAAATTAAAAGAATAAAATAGAGAAATAAAATATTATAAAAATAACTTAGAGAATATATTAGTATATTAAATATTAAATTAAAGATAGTAAAGATCTAATTAAATAGATAGAAGAGAATAAGATAAATAATAATAGATTTATATATAATAAAAGAATAAGATAGATAATAGTAAATTAATAAATAATAAAATTATAAATAAATATAAAAATATATAATATAAAAAAAAGATAAAGAAAATAATAAAAAGTTAAAAATTATATTATTTATATTATTAATTTTTAATATATATTAGTTATTTATAGATTAACTTAATTCTCTTTTTATAATGCGCTCTTTAGGCTACACCATAGCACAGTATAGATATTACACTTAGACTCTGAGACTCTACAGGCTAAGACCCAACTCTGCATAGCAGCGATAGTAGGGAAGCTAGCTAGAACAGGTCAATGAGAACTACTACTACTACTACTATAATTAATAATAATTATAAAGAATTAAAATTAATTCTAAATTTATTAATATTATTAATAGAAATCTATTAATATTTAAATATTTAGATAAAATTAAATTCAAAATTCAAATTACACTAAATCTAAATAGATTTTAAAAAACGATATAATTCTAGATTTAATGAATTAAATCACTTCGGTTCACTGTATATAGAATCAGAACCGGACCATTTAGGTTTCAGTTCGGGTTTGGTTCGGTCCGAACCGAACCAAATGACAGCCTAGGCATAACCCTGCATAGTAGCAATAGTATAGAAGCCAGCTACATCAGGTCAATGAAATCTACTACTACTACTAATAGATTCATCAAATTGATTATCATTCTTGCTATGTGATCTATGTCAACCATCATGTCATCAACCTTCAGCCTCCCAAAGGCCCCTATACCTCTAACTCGTTACATTTTTCATTTCATTGTCATGCGCTATTTTTGCTTTCGACACTTCATCTATCAATGGCACGTTATTCAGTGCCTGTTTTGCTGCAGAATCACCTGCTATAGCTTTGCTCGATCCAAATCCAGAACCCAAGTACTGGTTTTCCCATCCCCAGCCTGTTAGATATACCCCGATGTAGAAAGTCTCCCTTCCCTTTGCTTGAGCAGGGGGGCGCTCATCGACATACTTCAACTTAATCCCTTTCCCCATGATCTTCTTTGCCAAAAGCTCCTTATACTTCAGTGATGCTTCCATGGGTTCGATATTCGTCAGCTTCGGTAGCCAGAGTTGCCAGAGCCACTTCTCAACAATTTCATAACCGTTTTCTGAATCTGACAATATAACAGCTGCAATATATGCTTCAAAAACATCAGCCTTGATTTTCAACCATCGTTTTGTCTGGCTCTTATGCTCTGGCACGACAGAGACTTTCTTATCCAGACCATATCTAGTAGCGTATTCGGCAAGTGTCTCGTTCTTGACTATTTCTTCACGAATCTGACAGATACGCCCAGCAGGTATGCCGGGAAATCGTTGCCAAATGCACTTGGTTGCAATCACCTCTATGTAAGCATCACCGAGAACCTCAAGCCTATCATAACTGGTTTCCGCAGGCTGTCCGACGCCATTGTTGACAAATACTCCTGGGTGTATGAATACAGCTTGTTCTAATGATGCATCTGAAATGCGAGGAAGCTCGGGAAAATATACATCTGTCGTTGTGGGATCAATAGATGCAGAGGGGCTGTTTGCTGTCAGATTTTCTTTCAAAGCGTCTTGAAGTTGAGCCGCAATAGATAAAATACTGGAATGCTCAGGACGGCCTTGCAGGACCCCTGGGTGTCTGATGAATTCACCAAGGGTCTTTTTCAACTGCTGGATAACTGTACTGCCGCCTTTTTTCGAGAAGGGTTCTTGATTTGGGACCAAATCAGACTTGTGAATACTATTACTCTAAGGTGAAGGATTAAGCCTCGAGCAATCTACTGTGATTTCTTTCAAACTCTGCTTACCTTGGCCCTCTTGCCAGATTTTGATGGTTCAGCACAGGAATCCGTGGGCTGGAATCTCCTTTTGTTAGACATCATAAAAAAATAATAGTAATGTATTTCATGGGAATTGCCGAAAGATAATTTATTACTTCCTCATCGGACCTATCACGTGATCTGCGGGTTTAGCTTCAACTTTCCAATGCTCCGCATCTTATACCTTCGCTTGCCCGTTCGTCATCATAGCTTCAATTCCAATTTCGACACGTTTTCATTGGCGAATAAATTTTCTGAATTACATTACAGAAACTTTGGCACGTCAATATGGTTCCACCGCCTAGCCGCATTCTAGATCTGGTCAAAGTAACAACATACACTATGCAATTGCAATTTCAAGTTTATCACTAAAAAATTGTTAGGTCAAATGTCGAATTTTCGCCACGACCTTTAACCCTCAACGACTGCGATTGGGAAACAAAATCTTACGGCAGCGTCTAAGAGGACCTGCTCTGGCTTCATGGTATCCACGCAAAAGTGTTTCATTTCGCGACCTGCAAGATATATACAAGCCATTGGACCTCACAACATTTGACGAAGGCCAAGACGACAGAGAAGAAGCCATTCAAATGTATTATCACTCAGAATAGCTGCTGCATGATGCGAAGCTAACAAGCGACAGTGCGAAGCTACGAGGTAAAGGGAGGCCCAAGAAGAAAAGAACCGCTGCAGGTAATATGCCCTAAAACTTCTCATTTGAAGGGGACCCTAGTTAACCTATGCTCTATTGGTAGAATCGCGCAACCAGAAGAAGAAGAAATAGTTGGCCTTGTCTCAGGTTCCTGCGTACTGAATTTCTTATTGTCAGCGAAAGTGTAACAAATTAAATTATTTGAATTGCATCAACGGCGCCTGTGGAATGTTCTGTTTAGCTACTTATGAATTTTACATATCGTTTCTGTACTTTTACTTTCCCCTACGATACAATGTATGTGATACTCGAGTGCCAGCATAAACTTTTGAGCCTTGGACATTTTCCTTTAAGTGCACGCCAATTCATTGTAGACATATTAGGCTCTATGTCTGTTTTACATGCTTCAGCCGCCGTTAGAATTGATAACCTGTTGCAGTAGTCGTTTATAAACTTCAGTCGCTCTTTGTAGCCTTTTTTGGAGGCATCATCACGTGACATAGTCTAATATTCGGCACGGCTGTCCATTTACTTCCTTCGCAATCAATAGCTCTGCAAAACATCGCATATCCTATCTTTTACTTTATCTCCATCCTATACTACCGACATTGTTTCTTATCCGTCGGTAATTAATAATTGATAATACCTGCTATGCCGACACAAGCAAATAAACCAAGTAAAAATCAGCTTCGAAGGGCTCGAAAAAAGGCAAAAAAAGATGCGGTAAGCTCTCCTATCGTCTTTTACAAAGATCATTCCGACTGACGTGTGCCTTTTGGTTCTGGTAGGTTCCACAGGCTGAACTGGAGCCACATAATATCTCGGATAAAAGCGATATCCAGGTGGTCAACCGCACCTCCAAGTCACTTGCTCTAAATGAAGATACTCCTCTCTTTACCAATATAAACCCGGAAGATCCATTATGGGGTATGTACAAGAACATTGTAGATCGATTCGAGGCTGGAAATGAAGAGGCTAGAACTGAGCCCGAAAAGCCTCAGATTTACTTCGACGATGATGACGAGATCCCGGATGAAGAAGAAGAAAGTGAGCCCAGGATGTCCAAAAAGAAACGAAAGGAGATGACAAAGCTTTCTGTCGCTGAATTGAAGGCACTTGTTCAAAAACCGGATCTTGTTGAATGGACAGATACTTCTGCCTCAGACCCTCGATTACTTGTTCATATCAAAGCACACCGGAATGTTGTTCCTGTACCAACTCATTGGTCTTTGAAAAGAGAATACCTGTCATCCAAGCGAGGTATCGAAAAGGCTGCTTTCTCATTGCCAAAGTTCATACAAGAGACTGGCATTTCTGAAATGCGTGATGCGGCCCTGGAAAAGCAAGAACAATCGACTTTGAAGCAAAAGCAGCGAGAACGTGTACAACCGAAAATGGGCCGCCTAGATATCGACTATCAAAAGCTCTACGAAGCATTTTTCCGGTTCCAAACTAAACCGGAATTGACAAGATACGGTGAAGTTTACTACGAGGGCAAAGAGTATGAAACAAACCTTCGCCACCTACGCCCAGGTGAGCTCAGTGACGAATTGAAGGAGGCTCTCAATATTCCGCCTGGAGCTCCTCCCCCGTGGCTGATCAATCAACAAAGATACGGACCGCCACCCTCTTATCCTGCGCTCAAAATCCCTGGTTTGAATGCCCCTCCTCCGCCAGGTGCAATGTGGGGATATCACCCTGGCGGCTACGGCAAGCCTCCTGTCGACGAGCATAATAGACCCTTGTATGGTGGCGACATATTTGGTGTTCTCCAAACTCAGCAAGCTGCTCAGCAAGGCGAACCCATTGAAAAAGACTTATGGGGCGAATTGCAACCGCCTGAAGAGGAAAGCGAGGAAGAAAGCGAAGAGGAAGAGGATGAGGAAGTTGAAGATGAGGAGATGGGTGAAGGGCTACAAACACCAAGCGGTTTAGAGACGCCCAGTGGAATAGTTTCAGCCGTACCGTCAGAGTTTGCAACATCTGAAAACGTGAGCGGTGAATTCGACGTTCGGAAACATCACAGGGGGACGGAAACGGAGGATTCCATACAACCGAAGGCTGCATATCGCGTCATTCCCGAGCAATCGTCCCGCGTCCACGGGTTCTTTGGTGGTGATAGGACGTACGATCTTAAAACGCCTGAAGCATCTATCCCGGTGCTCGGTAGAGAAGATGAAAATCGCAAAAGGAAAGCAGTAGGTGACGTTGATGTGTCTATGGACCCGGAGATGTTACGAAGCAAGGAACACCTGCAAAGTCTATACAATGAGGAGAAACAGCACGAACATTCCCATTGGAACTTCCAAGAAGACCTTAGCGATATGATTGCGGACGCAAGCCGTAAGCAACTACGCGACAGAGAGGAGAGGCGTGGAAAGCGTGGATAGGCCAGTCGAAATAAGCGGTTAGATCATTATGCCAAAATACGATACCTAAAATACGATGCCTCGTTGTAAAAACCATGAATTGTGAAACCCCTAGAAGAGCTTAGCTATTCTCATGCATAATGGAAAACACTACTCGTTAGATGAAGCGTGGTAGCGTGGTGGTCATAGATTAATGTAGAGAGAGATATTCTAGGTTTCGTTTTTTAGCATCTTCCAACGGCAGCGGACTAACCGAAATTATACTAGTGTGAAGTAGATTTATCTATCCGTATCACTCCCGTCCGCGATGTTACAAACTTGGCTCTAAGAAATATTGACTTAACGACATTTGACACAGCTAGCTTCCACAAGTCTGGTTGCCTCCTCTATACTTCCACGGGTTATACTGGTTTACATTGTCTGAAATACTGGTCAGTCCGGCAACTTTGAACATCTGGTATTTGTGGACTGGCCAAATGGACCGCGATCGCGGAAGAAGGTTAGACTCGGAATTTGAATTTATCCACCTATTTTCAATCACTAAGAAGTATCTAGTATGAGATTTGATGACCGAAGAGGTGGTGAGAGTTATCGCCCTTCAGGGAGAATCTCTCGTTCGCGCTCTCGGAGTCGAAGACGACGCCCTATTTCTCGCTCTCGCTCTCGAAATCGATCACCACCACGTTTAGCCGCTGACACATGGGTACCGCAGAGCAGCCGCCATTCAAATAGATTTCGCAGCCGATCCCCTGCCAATTTGCGCCGTTCTCGCAGCCCTCCATATCGCCCGCGTCAACGTCCACGTTCTCCTTTGGGACACAGGTCGCCACGGCATGAGCGCCCCAGATCACCCTTCGTATCATCATGGCGCTCGCGATCGCCTCCTGACTATCACTCTTCACGATTTGGTACTGATGCCTCCCGAACCTCTTACATACCAAGATCACCGAGACGAGATCAACCTTCACCACCTGGTAGATATCGCGATTTTCCATCGCCTTCCAGGTCGACAACAAACAGAGAAAGACATCCATATCGCCAATCTGGGGGTCGCTCCAGAAGCCCGTATCGCAGGGATAAATCCTCTAGAAATGACGATCAAAAGAGAAGAACACGTTCTCCAGCTAAATTAGGCTCATCCGACCATCTTTCTGCGCACAATTCTGCATCGACTTCAAGAAGATCATCCCCACCTGCTACTTTTGAGCGTCCGAGCGTAACACCTCTAGGACCAAGGAGTCGGTCTCCAGTGTCGTCATCGCAACTTGAATCTAAGCCAGTCGCAAAAGCTCAAGCGTCTTCTATCACCAGTGCATCTTCTCCACACCAAAGCCACGATAATGTGGTCCATTCATATTCCGACTACACCTCAAGTGATCGACAATTAGAAAGATCGGACAAAATTGCCTCCAACCCTGTCTATAGAGATCGCGCTGAGCCATCACCACGTCTCAGCACGTCTATTGCGACCCTAGATCGTCAAGATCGTGCCAAGGATTCCAATTTATCTGATTTCCAGGGCTCTCAACAAGAAGCAACCCCCCCTGCAGCTCCTGACATATCTACATCAGTACAAAATCGTGCATCTAATACATCTTTGCTTTCGGCCCCAACTAGACCTCGAGGAGCTGCAAGTTTTCATAATCGTGAACCCGCTTGGTCAGGACGACGCATTCCCCCTACACAACAGGCTCCGCCTACTGGACCTCGGAACAGATATCCCCCCAACCAGCCAAGTAATGATCTACCACGCGGTCCCAGCTATCGGTATAGCAATGGGCCACCTCCTACGCATCCACGTAGCTCAAGGACGAATTATTTGGCCGCATTACCACCGATTGTGCCTGGGGGTAAACTTCTCCCATCTGCCATCGATTTTATGATTGAAAAAAGACTCTTGCATCTTGAGTCTGACGAGGCTAAATTGGCAGACCAGGTAATGGAGAAACAGAGCTTGAAGAGACTAGGACTAAGGGACTGGGAACGACTGGAAGGAGAAAGTGCCCTCAACGCTCTCAAAAGTGAACTCGCGGAGACGCATCTTCAGCGCATGAGCGAAGGAGAAGGACTCGGAGGCACCACCGCGTTTTAAACAATAAGCTCTAAAGTGATTCGGTTGTATAGCATAGTCAAGTGATTCGAGTATTCGTTTCCTTCCCAAGTCCAGAGTACATTAGCAACCAGGAAATTGCATTTTGTATTGTGCTGTATATGCTGTATATGCTGTGTGGTGTCTACAGCGGTGGGGTTGGACAATACCATTGGCGGGCCCCCCGGTCCCACTAGTACCTTTACAGCAGGAGCGGGGACGATTAATATCCTGCGCGTTTGGACACATGTTCCTTCCGCTTATACTTAATCCCTTCTTCCCTGACGACGCCCAGTCCATTCTTTTCAACGACTTTTCAAGGCAGCCTTTAATCGATCGACGAAGCTCCTCTTTTCGTTGCCGGGCAATCCAGCCGCCTCGTATCTACTTTCTGAGAATTATACGCGCCAGAAACTGCTTCAATTGCTTACAAAATGAATATCTTCAGACTTTTAGGTACACAACAACTCCTAAAGCTGGCTGTATAAATTACTCGAGCTAACTGGCGCACGATTTAGCCGATTTTTCCCATTTGATATCCATCCTAATCCTCCTACAGAAAATGAAGTCATCGAACGTCAGTTTAATCCCAATGATGCTAATTGATATTTGACCCGTTTCTAATTCATCTAGAGCTGCGCTGGACTTTCTTTCAAGTCACAAGTTCTGTATTTGATTGTGTTTATAACGCGCTATCTGGGTGTGTTTATTTTCTCCCAACTCCCCCAAGGAATCGGAATGCTGATTTAAAAAAATAGATCTCTTGTGGACCTTCACGGATTCTTTGTATAATACGGTTTTTAAAATTCTCTTCCTCGCTTCCTCGGCCTATACGATTTACCTCATGCTCAACGACTACAAGCCGACGCACGACCCGAACACCGATACATTCAAGGTTCAGTATCTCCTCGGTTTTAGTGCCTTATTAGCAGTATTGTTCCCACATGACTATAGTGCTTCAGAAGTGAGCATGAATCCCGACCTTATCTTTACCGTTTTGGAACAATCTGTTGAAACTAATTATTGAAATATTAGATTCTATGGACATTTTCTATCTGGCTTGAGTCCGTTGCAATTCTGCCTCAGCTATTCATGTTACAGCGAACTGGTGAGGCAGACACTATTACGACACACTACCTCTTCGCTTTGGGTCTTTATCGAGCGCTATATATTCCAAACTGGATTTATCGCTATTTTGCTGAAGGTTTCTTCCGTGCTATTCCAGTTTTAGCCGGAATCATTCAGACCGTCCTCTATTCCGACTTCTTCTATATTTATTACACCAAGTAAGTATTATTTCCGATGAGCACACCCATTCACACCGCTTACATGTATACCCTAGGATTATGAAGGGGAAGCGCTTTTCTCTTCCCGTATGATTTTCCACCATTGTATCAATGACAAAAAGCCATCTCTTCATTCTAGATGTATTGCTAGAAAACTACCTTTATTTACGGAATTAGATTATCCTAGGGGGGCTCATATTTGAAATATGCTCTTCCAGTACACTTTTAATAATTAAATTACATTTGAATGTCTCTTCATGTATGATTTGTAGTTATATATTGCTGATGACAGCCACCATTGTGTACTCCGCGATATGTTGACCAAAGACAGATGGACTCTCGAAGGCCCAGCTAATGTTACGTATGAGTTCCCGGCCTTTGGCTATACTGAATATAAATCAAAATTTTGGTTTAAGAGATCAACACCAGAACTAAATTGATCTTTCTCTGGTGTCTAAAAATGCCCGGTTTCAGTGGAGTATACATCCACTTTCATAATACCAAAAAACCACGCATTTTATAGGCATTCATTCACCTTCGGAGGACAAAAGTAGCACAACCAATTCCACCATATTATCACTGTACACAAAATTTAATCATCAATACATTGAAAACAGTGTAATTGGCTGAAAGAGTTCAATATCCATGATATCGCGTATTCGCGTGAGGCGCTAAAAACCCTGATCCACCATACTGACTTAGACTAGTGTTATGAGAAGCCTCTACTAGCTGGCTAGGTGCATCACTTTGTAAGCTGGGTGGTTTGATGGAACTTGTCGATCTCCCACTGCCATCCATATGGAATTGTGAAGAAGAACTGTCAGGCCAGCCTACATTATGGTGGTAATCATGATTGGTCGGAGAAAAGTTCATTGGTGGATGAGAGCTATCCGAAAGGCTGTATGTTGATTTTCGTCGATATCCAGTGTACAAGGGATGTGGATGTACTCTTGTAAGCTCTAGATGGGGCGAGTTCCTTCTTGAGTCTGGAGGTGTAAAATGCGATGCTCCACGACGGCCAAGACATGTAGGGCATATCTTCACGAAGCGAGATATGAGTTCTTTGGGCACCCTTGTATCATATAATGCTATTAGGACCTGTTTATAGAAAGGGACAAAGAATAAACTAAAAAAAAGGGGCCTTTCAAATTCTCAGGCTGTTAAGAATCGATGTTTCTTACCAGGAATACTTCTCGCGCACACGAGCCGATGTTTTGTCACGACCTCCATGTTGACAATCTTGATGGGCGCGAGTTAGAATCTTGAATAGCTTTTCTCGAATAGCTACCGGCTTTCCCTCATGGCATATCAAATGGTTGCCCTAAAGAGGCAGTTATTAGGGATTCAGGAATTGTGCTTTACGCAGATACACGACTTACACTTGCTGCACTTCTATCCGGGACAAGTTTGAACATTTTCTTCACCCAAAATCTGTACCCAGGAATTAGTATCTTTAGCAAAGAAAATCTGCCCTATGACGGATACGGCAACTTGGTTTGGTTGTTTAGGGTTTATATCACACCTGAATTGGGCAGATTCTACAGCTGTGTCTTTTGGATCCGCCAGGACCGTTCGGATATTGCGAGCTCTCCGGGCATTGATCAACGCTTTGTCTTGCTTTTTTGAGGACAAATCATTCACGTAACTAGCTAGTGAGCTTGAAACTTGCATCAACTGGTGTATGGAGATTCATTACCTTTTCATTAGTCGGTCGAACTCGTCAACGTTCGGAAAACCATCTAGCGGGGGTTTAACAGGCTCTGACAACATAGTTGCTTCGTTTATCGACTCCTGGCTTTCAAGACCGCTCTCAGCCATGTCAGCCATGGAAATGAGACGATCTGTATTCAAATATCTGTGTCGGTAGGCTGGCGAATGTGACGGTTCATGCCGGGAAGAGGAAAGTCCATTTAGACCCGGATGCACTTCGGCACCTTGGAACCCAATGGGGGTGTGTGGACCATAGTAAGGTGGCAAAGGTGATGAATAGGAGCTGAAAGGCTGGAGAATGTTGTAGGAGCTGGTTGTATGGTAGGAAAGTTCAGCGTTTGCTGGGCTTTCACAATAAGCAGCCATTGGTGTGGGTTCGTTTGAGTAAGTATAGTTCTCCTCTGAAGATCTCCTATATGCACTCATTGCGAGAAATAACATATATAGGGTATAGAAGGATAAAAGTAAGCCTAATTCATTAAGTGATGATAATGATTGTGATAACAATTCGATACAGCTTGAGAAAGCAGTGAATATAATTCACCACCTTTGAAAGAATGAGGGTCAATTCAAGGTCTTCAGTGTTTGTAAGAACAGGATTTGGGATAACCAAGGGAGCAGTGGATAGTAAGACGAGGTTTCCCTTGTGATTATATACCCCTTTGGCAGAACGATGCAAGAGCGAGCGATACCATTTACAAAGGCTAATTAATGAAAGCCCGATGATACCACTTGCTCCGGGTTGCCAGTAAGGCTGGCTACATGCAGGTGGATCTGACGTTGACTCGGAGAAGAAAGATGGATGACATGTTAAATAAGTCGGTGAGAGCCAAAGATGATTGGCATGATGAGCCGCTGTTGGAGAACGAGTCGAGAGCACCGAGACAGGGGAGGACAGGGCAGGGTATGAGGCAGGGAAGGTGGGATGAAATAGGGTACAAACATGGGGGTGAAGTGACCCTGGTCAACGAAAGCAGCAAGCTTCTCATGCAAGTTCTAGAGGAGTGTTGCTGTCAGGTACAACACAAGTCGCTTGGCCGACCTTGTCCTGTCCTGTCACATCTCTCTTTGACGCTAGGCTTGCAAGCATGATGAGATGCAGACTGCAATCAACCTCAGATACGTACATCTCCCTGCTGGTGGACACCCGAGAAAGCGTGAAGAAGATGGATGGCATGGTATGTGTTGCAGTACAAATTGCTGTACAAATTGCTGCACAAATTGCTGCCTGGCATGTCGCAGGCATCTCTAAGGCGAAAATCGCCAGCAGCGAACATGGGGAGCAGGCCTGTCCCATTAGTCCACGACCATTCCACATCGCCAGCCAGACAGGCTGGCGGGTGCCGTGGCATCAGGGAGAGAGATGCATTTAGAATGGTGCTCGAGACGCCACGTTAGTTGTCTCGCCCCTCCTCATCACGGCGTCTTCATTCGCTGTGCAGCCCACGCGTCTTGCCAGGCTTGAGGCCCGAAGCTCTTGATCGGCAGGGCAGCTTTCGCCGCCATTGATTAATTAGTTTTTCGGGCGCCAAAAAGAGGCGTGAAGAAAGCATTGCTTTTTCGTGACATTGCATCGACAGACAGGCAGAGATTGCAGCGGCTATGCTGCGGGCCAGTCAGTTAGTTTGGCTGTCAGAGCAGGACGTGCCACCCGCCAGGCGCCGGATCGCAAGGAAATCGGAGCGCCGATAGGATAGGCTGTCTGCATCAAACGCGTATCGTGTATGGAGCATGGAGCATGGAGCATGAAGCATGGGGCAAGGAGAATGTAATGTATGGTGTCGGGAGTGATGTTTTCCCACGTCAGGAGCGCCTTCCCTCTGGGGAACTGCTGTTCCTCTTCGCTTTTCCCTTCCAGCGCAGCAACAGGGTTTGTCTACTGTCTACTGTCCACTGTCCAACTATCGTTCCACGGCTCCGACTCGTTCGTGCGACGAGGTCAGGCCAGCCCATTGATGCCGGCCATGCTTGTGCACTCCTGTGCCGGTTTCAACTTGCAAACCATCGTCGATGACTGACGGCTCGTTCTTGGGAAGGCCACGCCGGCAGAACTCGAAAACCGGCGATGCTATTGGCAGCAGGCATCGTTGTCCTATTATTCCTCGAGTCTCGTCGGACACTTCTCTTTCCTTCTTCTCCGCTACGTCATTTGTTTGCTTCCCTGAGGCACTACAGCCGCGATTAGGGCTAGAACCTATCCCCATATCTGTCTACCTGCCTTTTCTCGTCCAGATAGGCTCTCTCTCTCAACATGAAGTTAGGTGGACCTTTCTGTTGTCATACTTGTAAAATATAGGCTGTCATATTACATACGTGCTGTTGCAATATGCAGCGCAGATTAATGGTGAAACTGGCAACGCCAGCACTCCCATACCTCTCACTAATGTTTGTCTTACTCGAAACTCGACAGGCTCAGCCTTGTCTGCAAGACGGATAATGCGGTGGATGCTCGTAGTTCCCGTTGATCCGAATGGCCAGCGCTCATTAAATTCGAGGGGATTATTGCGCTCGACGGACCATCTCTGTTCATCCCCGGCTCAATATTGTTTAAGATCTATAGGTGATCGCTCGAGGGATATGCAATAATATAAGGAAAAGAAAAGAAAGTCCATATCACCTTGTGATATCCCGACCACCACTTCGTCTTGCATACATGTTTGACGCATTGTGGTCTTCTCAAGGGTCGACACCAAGGAGACTCCTGGACAACATCAATTGATCTATTAGGCCAGGCTCCTATCCAGCACCAGTACAATCGACCTAGAAAAAACGGCCAACGGCCTGCAAAGAGCGCACCGCATCAACATAGCTCAGCGTCATATGGCCAACGTTTGCGTAAAAAATGACACCTTATAAAAGCTAAATCGGTCATGTAATGGCTATACAATTCTTCTCAGGCATATGGGGGATTCCATTTTGGAATATGTGTCAATCAGAAGTCTCACGGGTGATAATCTATATATAGACAAATAAAGGACGAAAATGTCAGTATCAATATACTTCTTCCAGAGAAATCCGATCTTCGATCCATATAGAATAACATTACCATCTTCACCGACGGTTCGAGTAGAGATTGCACAAGCGAATCCACAGTGAAAGTCTCAAAGACCAATCTAGCCCTTCTTATCAAGGCAAACAGTGTATAGTAAACTTCGGCATTTCTTTTTCGGACGTGGAGGAATTAAGATGCATGGTCGGACACATCGGTTCCCCATCCTATTGGCTTGCTAGAGAATCCCTGCATTATTCTGTTTATAGTGATGCTGAAGAACAATGAAGATAGCTCTAGGCTTGTTGCTAGTATGGTGGGAAAAAAAGAAATCCACTAAAATATCGCTTTTACTAGGAGTTTGTCTCATACGAAAAACCACGCCAAAAAGGGACCCATATAGGTCAATTGCATTTCACAGTGCTAGAAGTCAAAAAATCACAAATGCCATTCAAAATGTATGTTACAAGGCGCGGACTCAAGAAGTCAAAACATTAAAAAGCAGTAATAACAAGGCTAGCAGGGTCAAATATTCCGCCCAAAACGTTCACTTTTACCCGTAATGCATGGCAGTTCATTAGTTCATGCAAGCATGAAGTCCCTAGAGGTTCCATTTCGTCATCAAGGTCATAACAGTCGTATACATGTCGGACTCGTCCCTCTTCAATTCTTCAATGCATCTGGTCCTATCCAAGGGGGTCAATTTTGGTAGGTGCTGTGGGAACTAAATCTCGAATAGCCCACCGCCACCCATCTCCGAAACGTTGTCGCTCCGAGCTGACCCATTTAGTAACTTTCCGTTTCCATCTATCTTCTTCCGCTCTCTGTCGTTTGACAAACTCAGGTCCAACATCGAATTCCTCCGTTATTGGCCATTCCTCTCCGGAATCGCCACCACTTTGCTCATCCGAGCCATCCATTTCAAAAGCATCACTAGATAAGACCCTCTTATGCTGTGTATCAGGCTTTTCTTGAAGGTCATCGAGACCCGCGAAGACATCTTCAGATTCATCGCTAACTACTGGCCCACCGTCTGGATCTGACAGTGTAGATGCAACTTTCTGCCAGCACATTCGCTGTGGATCAAATACCATGTTACCAACTACCTGTGCATCCTTGGTTGCGCCTATGCTGGTAATCAGGGCTGGTGCCGCCTTTGGAGTTTTAGGTCTGTTGATAATGTCAAACTCTGCCACTGTATTCTCGTTTCCTTCCCACCGATATGTAGCAGGATTGTATTGCATTCCATTAATTTCTATGGAGCGTTAGTATCTTTCATAACTCAGCAATTCGTTGATCAATAAGACACTTACGCCTACTCCCACTCACACCAGATCCCATTGGTCGAATCAACTGTGGCCTCGAGGTCGGTGTCCTGGATAATTTGCCCTTTTTGCTCCGCAAAGTTAACATGGTTTCGCCTTCTTGAAGGGTTGGTCCCTTCCAATTAGTACTAAGAGGTGTAAGAGCCATGCTTCCTCGGTCTCGAGATGGAACAGAAAGAGAGGCTATCCTCTGCTCACGCGCATTTCTGGAGGCGTTGGTGTCTCTGGCGAACCGAGGAGTAAATGAACTTGGTCGAGAAGAGTTGAGGATGTTGACGGGGGTTTCGGTTCGTGATAGTAGCGGGGAGGGTGTTTGGGCTAAACGGCTTCGTATAGATCTCGGTGCCCCATGGCCTACCGGAGACTTAACAAAACGACTCTCTGCAACAGCTGACGTGGGTAGATCATCAAATGATTCTAGTTCCGTGCCGTCTCCGTAATTTCGTCGATGTGCGGGTCGAGTTACCGTACGTTTGGCAGTGACATTGGTGTACTCGGTGATTGAATCCCTATGTTGAGCGTTGGGGGTCTCCGATCGCTGAAGATGACCAAATCGAGTTGCTGATTTCTGCCCAACTGTAGAGCCTGTATAATCATCCGAATCGGAACGGCGAAGATAGCGAGAATATTTGACGCTTGCGTGGTGTGACTGGCTTGTTGAAGCACCAGCAGGAAGGAACGGCACTTGCCCTCGACGATTTGGTAGCCTAGAATCGGTTGTAGATCGGTCCACTGGTGTTTTGGGACGAAGTGAGATTACACCGTCTTGACGAGACGATGGCCGTTGAAAAGGCGTTATTGGATTTGATTGCTCGTTTGGACGGATAGAGGATATCGATCGTTTGGCTTTTAAAAGCTGGGAACTGGTTGTCGTATCGTTCCGGGGTGCTTCTGTCGATATTCTGGAACCGAGGGATCTGCGAGGTCTGGAAGGGGTGGATGGCGGTGAGGTGTGAGAATTGTGGATGCTCGGTACAGATGATCGGGTTGCGTGGCCAGCAAGGCGAGATTGTGGTCTCCGAAACTTCGTAATTGGAGCTCCACTTTCAGATACTGGTTCAAGGTTTGAGTGGGATCGATCATGACCAGATAACCGTGGTATCCGGGTTACTGAAGACGGGGTCTTGTTCGTAAATGTGATTGTTTTTTCGGATCGACTAGGAGTTTCTGGCCGAGCAATTTTACGTTTCACATTCCGATTGACGCTCTGCTTCATAGATGCGAAAACATTGCCGTCACCGATATCCAAGTTATCAAAGAAACTTTTGTGATCATTGGATTCCTTTGAGACGGGTTGAGACTTTGGACTAATATCGGGTGTCGTCAAAACTTCTTGTCGTTTCTTCAAGGCCTCTCCAAAATCCAGGGGACCGTCGGGTAAGACTAGACCATCAAGACCATCGTCCTCACTTTCTGCGGTGAGACAGCTGGAAATACTTGGACTGAAGGCCGAAATAGAAGAGCTATGAGTGGAACGGCCATCTCGCCGTGTTCCACCGAAACGCACACCTATGCTCCCTTCTGCCCAGTCAATATCCCAGCCATCGTCATTCATTTCTGGTGTAGTTATGGCGATGTCCTTTGGTGCAGAAAGCTTCAAAATCGAGTTTTCAGCGGATAGTTCGAAGTCTTTTTCGAAATCTTCTGCGTCTTGATTTGTGTCCATTATATTGTTGTCGCCTGTACGTGTAGTAATTTGTACTTCATGTAGATGAGACTTTGCAATCTTGATTGTGGGTACATCTTGTACCTCGCCGTTTTGATCTGTCTCCTCATATGTCTTTCGAGTTTCGACCGACTCCTCTGTCCGGGAAACAATTTCAGGTTCGCGGAAAGAATCTGAATTGAGAGAGCGGTGGGGTTTAGCCGGACTAGTCATTGAAGGGGTGTTGTTTATATGTTGCAGAGTTTCTGGAAATAGCTCTTGCGCCTGTGATTTAAGTGACAGTTCTGCATTGGCCGGGAATTCCAAGTCTTCCGACCAGTCATCAATTGTGGTTTTTCTGATATGTTTAGATTGGAGTTTCTTGATGGCGCCACCCATGAGCGCAGATTTGGAAATACCGCCAGGAATAGGTATACCGGCATTGCGAGCCGAAGCAATAGCATCTTCAGTAGCAGTCTCGTCATTATCGCGGAGAAGCACCTGCCAGTCTTCATCCCCAACATTTGAATCAGCATCAGAGCGGACGGAGAGGCGTGATGAAACTGAATCGCGATGGCCCGAGCGGAGCACGGAGCCAGTAACAGAGGTCGTTGTAGAAACAGGTTGAAAATGAATATCATCGAGACATTGTAGGTCTCCATCTTCATCCCACGATTCAACAGGTGCTGCTTCGCTTTGCAACAGGTGAAGCGTGTCCGCCTGCATCCTGAAAGGTCGATGTAGAAGGTCACTTGTATTTGTGGTTGCCGCACTCCTGACTGGCAAATGCTGTGGAACAAATATCTCTCTAAGTGTTTAGGTCGGTGATGGCTAATTTCCTGGCGTGAGTGGATTCATGGGGACAAGTAGCCCATCTCTACCAGCGGGTAATAAGATAAAACGATCAAGACGGGGGCGTGTCAGGTTTAAAAGTGAGACGCAGGAGCCGAACGTTTAATGGGAGCAGTGTTGGCGAAGAATGCTCCAGTGTCGCCCTCGAATGCTAGACTTTGAAATAGCCAATTTTCGGGGAAGGCGTGTGGACTGAATGTGACTGCTTGCGCCGTTGGTAGGCGCATATCATGTCGTGTGCGTGTGCTGCGAGAAGGTTGTTGGGGTCCCCTCAGTGTCGTGAAGTGGCTGGGGAAGATAATGTTATCTGAAGGAAGGAATGCCAAGTCGCGGCAGCGTATGGCAGTTACGCGCCGTAATAAAACAGCCGGTATTCGTATTACCGGTCATGCAAATCGTTGCTGCTTTTTCTAAATAATATTTAGAAAAAAAATCAATATTATGTCCAAGTAACTATGAACTGGTTACTCGATAGATGCGCCATGCAACTGCTGGTCGATGGCCATGCCCATTCCTAGTCACTCCCCATGAACCGTCGTTTGGCAATAGATAGTGCACCACGCCGGTCCTGGTTATATCGACAAATAGGTCGATATTTACAATCATGGCCAGCAGAATGTGTAATTTGAAACAGAGTGGGATTGTTATTGTCACTCTATGTAGCGTCGTATGAGTATGCGTTGATGTATTTGTACACCCGAGGCTGAAATTGAATAGGCTGCCGTGTGTCTTAAATCAGGTTATGGTTCCACTCAAGAAAGTATACTCCTCACCTCGCCTTAGGCAGCCAGCCCTATGTCTCAATTCTCATACAAAGCCCGGGTTTTTAGAAATTTATGTTAAATCAACAAAGAACAACCATGGCAGCCGAAACAGATTGGGTAATCCGCATTCCAAGGTCCGATGAAGCGAATGCATTCGCACTCATATACGTAGCTTCTGCTGGGAAGGAACCTTTAGATCTGAAGCTTGTCGCAACAGAAGGCGAAAACCCTTATGTAGTCTCATGTAAGTGTCGTTCAAACAATTCCCTGTTTCTCTACGCTAACTTTATCTCCAGTGAAACAATCTCGCCTCAAGGATGTTCGCTCGAAGACCTTTCCAGGGAATGATGAGGAGCTAGAGAACATTCTCGCCTCTGTATTTAAACGTGGATTGCCATCGTCCGATACAAGAACTGGTGCTAGTAATGACTCTGAAATTGAATTAAGTGCTTCTATTCGGCAGTCGAATGATGAGGGAAGTCAGTTAGTGATTGCTATTCGCAAGCGAATCGACACTATTACAGTATCTAACCCCCATCTGAATTTCTTGACATATCACTCAATATGGTTTAGCAACGAGTTGCGTCCATTACTCTACAACAAGATGATGATCAGACAATTGAGCTCTTCGAATGGACTGGTCTCATGACTACGAAAGCGGACTCCCTGCTGCGACAAATATCAACTTTAACACATCGACTTCAGGAGGCTGAGGAGTCCATCAAAAGCTTGAATTCAACAATTAGTGATCTTGTCAGTAGCAAGAAAGACCATGAAACTATGTTGATAAGGAACTTTGTTCAAATTCTCAATGAGAAAAAGTTCAAGATCCGTAATCAGCAACGACTGCTGGCGGCTGCTAAGATTGACCCCGACAAAAGTATGTCTATTCAAGGTTGGTGCCTCTGGCGTCATCTATTCTAACTATACGGCTATAGTTTCTCATTTACAGTCGGCGGTCAAGCAACATGACGTTCAGATAAGTCGACGCGGAAAGAGGAAAGCCGTTGGCCGGGATGAATCATCAGATTCAGATGGATTTGAGCTCATGGATGTCGATCAGGCACAAGCTGTCAATGACGAAAGAAGCATTGATGAACTTTCAGACAGTGGAGAAACACCCCAGCCACTAGAGGAAGAGACTGAATCAGAGGCTGAAGCAGAGGCTGAAGAAACACTATCAACAACCTCTGAAGACAGGCCCTCTCTGCCACAAGGTAACAAAACGAGTCGCTCACATTTGGCAGAGTCAGCGGAACCTCCTCCTAGGAGAGACCTACCATTTTCTCGAAAGGCTACCAGTAAAGCGGTGGTATCATTCAAAGGTGATGATGACATGGACGAAGGAGCGACAGGGGGAGAAACAGATGACGACGAGTTGTGAAATTCAAGAAATATAAGCAATTTTAAGAATGATCATTTCGAATTATTACTCCAATCTAGCCCCTATTGGGATTTAATGTTTGTATTCGATTTATATACAAGTCTATCCCCCACTACTTTTGATGAGGTGCGATCGGCGACCTAGGAGTCCTTTTCGCTAGAGAAGGAGCAAGAATTGGCAGGGACAACGGTTTCGTAAGAGAGAAACTTGGAGTTAAGACAACATGAGGAACAACATAGTCAACTGTAAGTTTACAAAAGGGATAAAAACGCCAACCTCAAAAAAGACGAAAGTCAATGTTTCTAAGCCTATCAGGCGAAAGCTGCCTGTGGAGATAGTTCGCCAGCAGCCATGAAATTCGTCTCGGGGTTACCGGTAGCCTTGGCAGCAGAGCATCGCGCCATCGTAGAGGAACTGAGAAAGAGGGCGAGGTTAGCAACTGATAATGTATATCGATGTAAAAGAGAACGTCATACCTTCGCGATATGGAATCCGTGAAGTAGAAGTCTTCAATAGGCTTCTTGAAAGGCGCACCGGTGGGTTTGTTGCCCTTGTTCTGGTCTACCAACTGGATCTTGCTCAGGCCCTTAACAGAAGTAGACTCAATAACATCATATCTGCGAAGTGCAGGGCTGATCTCTTCCATGCGGTCGCGTAGAGCTTCGATGTCATCATATGGCAATGGCACGCTTAAAAATTCACTTGCAGCCCGAATAATCTTCCAGTCATCACGGGCAGCTCCTGGTATAGATGCAGCAGCGCGTGTCACCTGAACACGTCCCTCAGTGTTGACATAAGTTCCTGACTTTTCAGTGTAGGCAGCTCCGGGGAGGACGACATCCGCAAACTGTGCTCCTCGGTCTCCATGGTGGCCCTGGTAAACAACGAAGGCATCCTTTGGTATGTCACTTGCACTGATCTCATCAGCACCCAGGAGCCACACAAGTTTCGGCGTGGCATTCGAAACCTCCGGAGAAGGGCTTGCAAAGCCAACCTCGTACGCTCCGGCACGGGAGGCAGCCCTTTGGAGGACGTTGTAGCCTTGCCACTCTTCGGTGATGAAGTTAGAGGCATTTTTTTCAACAAATTGACCAACAGCTTCAAACACGGATTTGGCATCTGGATGTTCGGCAATGGCACTTCCAACGATGATCATAGGGCGCTTAGCGGATGCAAGCTTTTTGCCAAAGTCACCAGCTAAGACATTCTTGAGGCTATTGAAATCGTTTCCTAGATGTGCAAATTCGAAGGTGCTCTCGAAAGACTCTCCGACAAGACCAATCTCAAGGTCGGAGCGAAGCCACCGTTTCCTGATACGAGCATTCAACACTGCAGCCTCGTGACGAGGGTTTGTTCCAACGAGAAGTATGGCGTCAGCTTCCTCGACTCCTGCAATATTCGAGTTGAAGAGATAGTTTGACCGCACATCAACACCATGAGCGATTGGTGAGCCTCCCCCAGGTTGATCAAGGGTGAGGTTGTCAGAACCGAGCTTGTTGGCCAAGTCCTTCATTGCCACAAGGGATTCTGTTTCAATCAAATGACCAGCAACAGCCTTGAATTCATTAGCTTTGGGGCTTAGCTTGGCATGTGCAGAGGCAACTTCAGTTAGGGCCTGCTCCCAAGTTGCGGGTGTGAATTTCCCATCACGGCGGATCAGGGGGGTAGTCAGCCTCTGTGTCCTCAAACCATCACAGGCAAACCGAGTCTTATCATTGATCCACTCCTCATTGACGTCGTCGTTGAGTCTCGGGAGAATGCGCATGACTTCCATACCTCGAGCGTCCACACGAATATTTGAACCGAGAGCATCGAGAACATCAATGGATTCGGTGTGTTTCAATTCCCAAGGACGAGCCCGGAAAGCGTATGGTTTCGATGTAAGTGCACCGACAGGGCATAGATCGATGACATTGGCAGAAAGCTCAGAGCTGATATTCTGTTCCAAGTATGTACCAATCTGCATGTCATTACCTCTTCCGGTAGTACCTAATTCCGGGGCTCCAGCGATATCGTTCATGAAACGAACGCAACGAGTGCAGTGAATGCAACGGTTCATGGATGTCTTAATCAGTGGGCCAATGTTCTTGTCTTCGACGGCACGCTTTCCACCAGTCTCGTGGAATCGGCCACGATCAGCGCCATAACGCATCGATTGATCTTGCAAGTCACATTCACCACCTTGGTCGCAGATAGGACAATCGAGGGGATGGTTTGCGAGAAGAAATTCCATCACACCTTCTCTAGCTTTGTGTGTTAATGGCGAGTTCGTCTTGACGACCATGCCTGGCTGGACGGGCCACGCGCATGATGCAACTGGTTTAGGAGCCTTTTCTACTTCGACCAAGCACATACGGCCTATTCTCTCTCTATTAGCAAGTTTCTCCCCCGTTAGAGTTGATGGCATATGCTCACAATTTCCTGCAATTGAGAGTTTCCTGGGATAGCAAAGTTAGTACGCACATACCGGAGAATCTCAAGGCAGCTTACTCATGGTAGCAATATCTATAGCCATGTTAGCACATATTCAACTGTAGCCAGTGGATCGTTTTCTTACCTTGGAATGGTCACACCCGCCTTCTCGCAAGCTTGAATGAGAGCCGAACCAGCTATGTCATGTCAGCTACGGCAGCAAATACTGCTTAGTCAAGAGCTCGTTTACCTTCAATTGAGACCTTCTTGCCATCTAGAACATCGTGTTTAGCCATGAATCCTTATCATATTTGTGAGATAGCACGATGCTCACCAATCGTTAACTCGACTTCCGCACCACGCCGCGTTGTCGTCGAAAAGGCCCGGCAAGACCTAGCACTGGCGATGTGTTTCGATCGTGCGGCCGCACGAAGAAATTGCGGCCGCATTGTGTCTGGAAGCCGACCGAGTAAACGAAGGAGACAAACAGAGGATAGCTCTGCAGCCAATTGACGAATGCACAAGGAGACACCGAGGGCAGGAGTCGTGCTGCTGAGAAAGAGAGAGGGACGCTCTGAGGGTGACGGTTGACGGTTGACCTGGGAAGGGAAAGACCTCTGCCAAGCCTCGTCTCAAATCAGCGAGTCCCGATTGGCCACCTGCCCGGAACCGGGTTTCTCCGACCCGCGGGTAATTTTGTACTTTTTGTGCGGGCGTCAACTTGTGTTTTTTTCCTTCTTTTCCTAACTACTCATTACCATGGATATGATTATTGTAGGCGGTAGGAAGCGCTTTCGCAAGAAGGATCGACTCATGTCTGCCTCCTCTACTCCATTATCCAAGAGCAATCCATAAGCGCCGAGCTGGAGCGATTGAGGGCGTTCTACGTCTAATGACAATTCTGTTCCTTACCGACGGTAGCGACATTCTGCGTCCGTTGTTCTCGAATGACTAGAACGACGATAAACGAGGACGAAAGCTTTGAAAGCTGTTATTATCTGTAATCGCATAATGCCAATTCAATACCCTAATATCTACAATTGAAGATGTCTAAATCTAAGGCGGATTCGATAGCTTTAACTAGGCTGCAGTTGAGGCCGGTATATATATATCCGACTATGCTATATGGTATCAGCGGCATGGTTTTTGCTGATCTCATTCACCAGGAGATAAATCTTGACAGTAGTTGTAGTTGTCCTAAATTATAGAATCGGTGTATTTGTTGACGGACCAGCTCGAGAGTCCAGTTGAGCCCCAAAGTCTCCATGAACACAGCAAACACAAGCACGGCCTAATTGATAAATGTTAGCCGTTCTCCAAAAGCTCCTATATTTAATAAAATTTATGTATTATACGTCCATAATAAAAACCATCAAGTGATGTCATTGTCTTGGCAAGATGTGTCCAGACTCCAGCGAATCGGATAGCATTATTAATGGACTCGAGAGAACGATTTATCCAACCATCACTGAACCCATTTCCTTCATCCAACGGTAGATGACTGAATATCCAATTCTCAGGCCGGCGTGACTGATTCCTGCTGAGGTTTCCTATTTTACTTGATATGCTATGGTCTCCATCGCCCAAGTCGTATATGTTTCGTCCTAGTTCAATCCGTTGCCAGCGAATGATGCAAAGCCGCATCCATCAGATGGCATCACATATCACCAGTGAAGGCGCCAAGCCTGCGTCGGGGTTTACAATAGCTTCTATTCCAAAGCTAAGCACATTTACATCTAAACTTCCTCCTGATCCTGCATTTGAGACTCCCGCTTCATCACACAATGCGCCGCGAGAATCACTGGGACCGCGCCTTGTAAAGGGGGCTATGTACACTTATGTGCGTCCCGAACCTAGCGAAGAGCCAGAGCTTCTGAGTGTCAGTCCGAAAGCGATGGAAGATCTCGGACTTCAGACCGGAGAAGAGAAATCAGCCGATTTTCGCGGCCTGGTAGCAGGGAACAAGATATTCTGGAGCGAGGAAGAGGGAGGCGTTTATCCATGGGCACAATGCTATGGAGGTATGCTAGTTGTATTCAGCGATAATTCCTAAAAACTGATTTTATCAAGGGTGGCAGTTGTCAGTTCAACCGCAAGTGGTTTCAATGTGTTAGCTAATAATGTGTAGCGGTTCTTGGGCAGGACAGCTCGGAGATGGAGTGTGTCTTCCTCCCATAGCCTCTCGTCCAGATTGTTAACTTCATTCACAGCGCGCTATCAGTCTCTTTGAGTTGATAAATCCAGCCACAGGCATTCGCTATGAACTGCAACTTAAAGGCGCCGGACGAACTCCTTACTCTCGGTTTGCGGATGGCAAAGCTGTTCTACGATCAAGCATTCGTGAATATGTGGTGTCTGAAGGTGTGTTTGATAGATCGTTACTTCTTTTTCATTGATTCTGACTGCACATAGCTTTAAATGCTCTCGGAATACCAACCACAAGAGCACTCTCGCTCACGTTACTCCCCCATTCCAAGGTCCTTCGAGAAAGAACCGAACCTGGAGCTATAGTTGCAAGATTTGCCGAAAGTTGGCTTAGAATCGGATCGTTCGACATCTTACACTCCCGTAACGATCGAAACTTGATTAGAAAATTGGCAACTTTTGTTGCTGAAGACGTCTTTCCCGGATGGGAATCCCTCCCCTCGGTGGTCCGCTTGCCAAAGGATGGTGGCTCTACCGACGATGTCAACAACCCGGCGCGAGGAGTGAAGTTTTCTGAGATCCAAGGTGAAGCTGGACAAGAAGAAAATCGGTTCACCAGACTTTATAGAGAAATCGTTCGTAGGAATGCGAAGACGGTTGCTGCCTGGCAAGCCTACGGTTTTATGAATGGTGTTCTCAACACTGACAATACTTCTATATATGGCCTATCTTTGGATTACGGCCCGTTCGCCTTCATGGACAACTTCGATCCCTCGTACACCCCAAACCATGATGATCATTTTCTGAGATATTCGTATAAGAACCAGGCTTCCATTATCTGGTGGAATCTCGTACGATTGGGCGAATCATTTGGCGAGCTCATCGGTGCAGCGGACAAGGTAGACGACGAAACATTTATTGAGAAAGGGGTTACCGAAGAATTTGGAAAGGTACTCGTCGAGCGAGCGGAGACGCTCATCGGCCGTGTTGGCGAAGAGTACAAAGCTGTTTTTTTCAACGAATATAAGCGGCTAATGGGTCAAAGACTAGGCCTATTGACATCAAAAGAGTCTGACTTTGAAAAGCTGTTCTCCGATTTGCTCGACACAATGGAGAATCTGGAACTTGATTATAATCGCTTCTTCAGGAGACTGTCGGAAATCGAAATCGAAACAATTGAAACAGAAGAGCAAAGACTGGATGTTGCTCGTACTTTCTTCCACCACGAAGGAGTCAGCGGCATCGGCAATACAGAAGAAAGTGCTAAGAAACGTATTGCGGAATGGATCGTGGCCTGGAGATCTAGAATCCTTGAAGATTGGGAGGGTAAGAGTCATGAAAACCGGCAGAGCATGATGAAGGCAGTGAACCCAAAGGTAAGTGACACCACAGCCATCGCCTACCTTCTTAACAAGCAACCTGACTAAAAAACATCTAGTTCCTTCCACGATCGTGGATTCTAGACGAAATTATTGAACGGATGGAAAAAAAAGGGGATCGGGAGATCCTCGATCGAGTCATGACTATGGCCCTCGACCCGTTCAAGGACAACTGGGGCTTGGATAGAGAAGAAGAGGAACGATTTTGCGGAGATGTGCCGCGATATAAACGGGCAATGATGTGCAGCTGCAGTTCTTAATTTACGCGACTTTGCACTTGTTTAGACAGCGTTGATAATAAATGGGGTGTATATTTCGACCTGCGAGGACTTTTCGACTGAACTCTATTGAAAAGACATTTGTAGGTGAACATAATCAACGGCACACTTTTAGGTTAGATAGAATTTTGCGATTCTTGAAGACTACTTGCGCTCTCTTCATTTTGGTTTGGAAGAATTGCATGAAAAGGAGCTTCTTCATTAGGTATGGATATATCAAGTAGTTCTTTTCTTCAAACCGAAGAATTCGTATGATCACACAACCATCACCAATTTCGTTGCACCACGGACTCCATTATTTTTTTGAAAGGAAATTAAAAAAGAGGTAAGCCACCACAGTAACTGACCCGAACTGTATGCGTATCTCATGAATCGAGGAGAAATAACAAAAAGAAATATGAGCATTCAAGTCGTAAGAGGAAAAGTAAATATCAAAGCCTCATGAGCACGTGGCGTGGTCATCACAGTATCAGGAACCGTTATCTTTCTCTCCACCTTCTCTTCTTCTTTGCCCTACGACATGTCGATACGCCAGAGTGATTTTTGCCAGCATTTAGTTAGGGCAAGCGGACTGGACGTGACCAGGTTGCTTGCACTTATAGCAGACGCGCTCACCGTTGGCCTCGGTCGGGCAGTCGCGAGAAACGTGGCCGACTTCACCGCCTAAATCTACAGTTAGTATGCGATCCGTGATGTTGTGAGCTGGGGGCCAAGGTATTACAGTTGTAGCATTTTTGACCCTGTGTGCAGTCCCGAGCCATATGCCCGTATCCGCCGCAGGAGTAGCAAGTCTGCTGTCGTCCGCCGAAGCTGCCGCCTCCGTAACCAGAAGCACCGCCCTGGGAGCAGTTACGGGCTATGTGTCCGACCTGACCGCACTTGTAGCATTCTTGACCACCGCCGCCGGGACCTCTGGTAAAACCACCGCTGCCACCGAAGTTGCTGGCTCCGGCGGATTGCGGGCACTCGCGTGAAAGATGTCCAGTCTGACCGCATCGATAGCAAGACTTCTCCTTGGGGGCTTGGGTGCATTCGCGGCCTGTCGAACACGGAAAAAAATTAGTATCTGGTGGGGACAAATGGCTGGGGAAAATATTTTCACTTGTCACTCACTGACATGTCCTTGACCTAGAAAGCGATCAAGAGTTAGAAAAGTAATGTTGTCAAATTGAGCGTCATTGTAAGCATACCACCACAGTTGTAGCTACATAGACCGTGTCAGTAGATGTGGGATACGTATGCAGCAATGCAAAGATTTACCAAGTTGGAACGCCTTTTTTGGGGCAGTCACGAGCCTACTCCTAATATCAGTAGTGTTCCTTTTTGATCATTTCTGTATTTAAAGTACCTGATGAGAGGCATCGCCACCTGTTTGAAAATTTGGTCAGCTCAGGGTCATATTTGCTCATGTAGGTGGACGAGAAAGCCCTTCCACAATAACAAGCAAACAAGAGTAACATAAACCACTAAGTGGGAGACGAAGCGAAGTAACGCGCAGCCAGGTAACCGATGAATGGCATAATATTGACAAGAGGGCAGCCATTGCAGTGAGGCATTGGCGGGGGACTCAGATGTGAAAAACGAGTCGACTTGAATATTGAAGCAGCTTTGGAAGACTCACAGTTGAAACAACCACGACTTCCAGATTGATAATCCATTTTTTGTGAATTCGAAACAGCAAGAGATCGAAATTCGACGGTGCGACGAGCTAGCTGTCAAGAAAAGAGAGGTATTAGAAATTTCTGCGAGCCCCTGGAAAATGGATGCGGGGAAAGATGGGCATTGGGCGAAGTAGTGAGAGAGGAGCGTACTTAGCAGCTGAGTTCGAATTTATATATAACCGAAACTGAACCGACAATGGGCGAGGTGAGAGCTCAGCGAGGCGGGATCGAGTGAAATCTGGGAAGAGGAAGAGAATTTGCCTGGGTGTGGAGTACCGGTATTGCCTTAGCCTTTACCGCACTGTCCTGTCCTGTTCTGTCGTGTCCGGCCGCGGTGGAATGGCTCGATCGAGGTTGCAGAAAAACACAGTCTCTTCATGGCATGGCATGAAGTGCGTCGTCTTGCCTGGGGATCGCTCTCTTTGGCCGCAGAACATTGAGCCCTGGCGAACTTTTTATGATATTATCTGGTTCCAAACCCCACCCCTCAGTGCTTGCTGCGACGCCTGGCTGGCAGGATATATGATCAGATCGCACCAGATCATGTCTGCGACTTGCTTATCTAGATACAGACATGGCTGGCCTCGCTGCTTGGCCATCACCATCCCCTACAAGGGGGTTGGCATTCACAATGATGCTGTGGGGGCTGTCTTTCACAGTCTCATTGGTGTTGACGAATACCAGCGCATGGCGGGTGTGTAGGAAGGAGAGCAGAATCTTGTTTGCACGCGATGAGGGCCATCACCACAGGGAGGTATAAATCCAAACATGACTTGAGGAGGTTTAGATGAAGGCGAGGTATGAAAGATGAATTGCGAAAACAGCCGGCTTATTATTGCATGATTTCGGTTCAACAAATTCCCCGAAAACACCCCCCGCCCTACCTCACAAGGTACCTAAGACTCGACTTGGTCGTCGATACTAATCTTTAAAGGGGAGGGGGGGAAGGGGGGGGGGGGGGGGATCTAGCGTGTCATTGTCTAATGTTTCAACAGCACTGGTCACTACGATTTTTCTAATTCTATCCCCGTGTAGCCATATCTCTGGCCGACTTGGTGGTTATCTCATCTAGATCGCGATGATGACGAATCAGTTGGATATAGTAGTCTGCACCATCGCAAACTGAGAAAAACCAACTCGAGTGCTGAGACTAATATCTAACTATTTATAAACTAGTAAATTGAATAGATTTGAGTATCATGTAAATCGTCATGTAAAGTCATAGCACTCGAGAAGCTGCGCCCTGCAGCCTCTTTCGCGTAACACAACCACTTGCTCCTCGTCAAAGGTCACACAGCCCTCAGCCCTCGTTGATAACATTGCCTCGGGTTCTGTCTGAACGGTGTCACGACCCCAATGTATTGCCCCGGAAGTGGTTTCTACAGAAACGGCAGCCTCAGCAGTAGGCTTTTCGGAGCTGATCCGCACACTTGACTCCCCCTTCATGCTCGGGCAAGGATTGAACCGAGGAGAAACTGCCGTTTCGAGTTCCCAAATACGAATCTCGTTCCCACGGGGACTTATGGACACTGCCTTGCCCCGATCCCCCACCTGCACACTCGATACTGAAGATGTGTGGCCCCAAAGACGGCGACCAGCCCGAATTGACAGCTTTTCGGAAGAGGAAGCAACAAGATACATCGTTAATGTATTGTCATTGTGTGAAGTCAGCAGATAAGGATGTGAATAGGATAGGGATGTGGGAGCCTCTGGATATTGTATCGAATGACTGTGAGGGGAGGCAATTAGAGCGTTGCCGGTGTCCCTAGTATCGAAGGTCAGCGCATCAATAGGGCCGGTCCTGTTGTTTTCTTCTGGTTGAAAAGCCACTGTGCTGGCTAAACGAGACCCAATACGCTCACCGTCTTGGTTGAAACGGAGCTCTTGAATGCCAACAGTCCAACCACTGCTGATGTGGAAGAAACTGTATGCTATTGATGCTATCACTTCCGATGCCAAGCACCTTAAAGACAATGACATGGGCGAAAACATGTTGTTTGACTCTAAAGAAGCTAGGAGACTGGGTGTGACGATGGTGTTTTGTTTCTGTCGAATAGTCTGATGTTGAAGTTTGTACAGGGAGAAGACTCTGTGCTGTGATATTGTAAGTATATACGGGTGCGACGAGGCTATGGAAGTGATAGATGAGCCGGTAGTAGATGGAACTTGTGAAAACCTCAGTACGAATTTCGCAAGGGTGACATTTAGATCGTAAAGATCAAAATGGCCATCTTCAAACCCAACCGTAACCTCGATACTCGACTTGGAAGATCCCCGAGCCATGAATAGTGCGGTAGGCTTATCATCTGCGCTGAGAAAGGACAGGGCAGTCAGTTGCTTCTTGGAAGCTCTAGTGGACCAAGCGCGTAACCCGTGTTCCTTATCGGCAGTAACAACCACACCAGAATACAGTTTCATAAGTATTTGAGGCAGTGGTGGCCGCGATACTTCAAGTACCCCAAATGTACATGTTCCCTTTGACCAGTTATGTCTCAATCGATATTGGGTTTTCCAATGTGGCCGATTATCAGCTGTGGCAAGATGGTCGTGACCCGGCCATTTCGAGATCCTGGGCACATAAACATTCCCTGATGTCGATTTTGAATGTTTCAACTGAAGCGCACGAAGTGACCTTGGTAGCACCCATCTTGCATAGTACTTTTGCTTCCACAATTCCGAGTCGCCAGCAAGTCCATGGAATCGTTTTGAAAGTCTTCTATTTCGTTAGTATCGGTATAGCAATGCAGAGGGATGAACTCACCTTTGACAGACAACGAGGGAATTTATTGGTAAAAATGATAATATTTCGAGCAAGATCTCATCGCTCAATGTCGATAGGTAATCTCCTTGGGGGGTGGCATTCTGGCGCTGACGTTTGGACGGGCGGCTCGTTGGGTCATCACTGCCCCTTCGTTTTGACATCCCTAAGGGCTATAAACAGGCGCGCCGGGTGGGAAATTGGCAGACGACAGAAGCAAAATACAAGAAAGAAAGAAAGCAAAGCGATGAGGGGATCCGTCAACCGAGTTCCTGGTGTCCTGAGTATTCTGTGGGAGTACTAATTATTACTTACTGATGCAATCCGGCATTCGGCGGTCCGATAAGATCAGACACTGACCCGATAAGATAAGCGTCTTGATGTGGGACTCGCTGTTTCGACGCGTCTCGCAAGCCACCATGTCTTGTCTTGATCGAATTTCACGATGCACTCCATGAATTGGTGATAGTCATGGAGTTACGGCTTATTTTATATCCTGGGTAAACAAGCATGGATGTGCTCAAGCACCTTCAGCTATCTTTAGCTGATCACTACGAGCAGGCTTTCGACGAGGCTCAACGAAATCTCGCGGCGGAAATATGTACGCGTGATAGGAAAATCCGAGAGCTTGAGGCACAGAACAAGGCTTTGCAGAGCTCAAATACGAGTGAAAGACTGCGCGTTCAGGAACTAGAAGGTCAGGTGAAGCAGCTGGAAGACGACATTGGGTCCGAAAGTAGAGCAGCAAATGAGGAACAACAAACGGTGGAAAGGCTGTCAACTCTACGATCTACATATGACCCTAAAAGGTTGAGTCGGTCAATTCATGATTCATACCCCGAGAATACGGATAAGAAATTTGACAAGTCTCTTGAGCAGCTGGAAGGTTCCTATCAGGCTCTCTACGATGACGTTCGTACCTTGTTGAGCGTTACAGATTCCCTGCGAATCCAAGTCAAACGACACAAGGAACGAGCCGTGCAGTGGCAGCGTTGGCAATGCCACAATAACAAAACACAGTTGAATCACGAATTACCAAATTTGCCTCAGAGTTCGGCCGTCGTGAAATCTGCGGGTCATAATCAAGTGAAAACAAGTAGCACCAAATCACAGCCGGATATGCTGCAAGCAGAGAAGGCAAGCCTTGCTCAGTCGGATAATACACATTACCACGAGGTCGACAGAGAACTGCAACGTGTTAAAGAGCACTCTTCCGAAATAAATCACAGTCATACAGACCCAGTGCAATTCAAGGCGGAGCCCCTTTCATCCAGTCCTCTACCCGAAGTTCCACCGTGTCAAGAGATGAATGGTTCGGAAACCCAGGATCTTGATGACGTAGGTCATTTGGTGAATACTCCAAGGAGACAAACGTTGGATGAATACGAAGAAAATTCACCAGATTTCCAGAGAGTTGATAGCAATTACCAAAACCCGCAAGACAAAGAATCACATGCTCTTCAGCCAAGAGATGCCAATCAGGTAATTTCTGACGATAAAATACAAGATTTCCCGTCTAAACGAAGACGAACAAATGGCAGAGGAGTCAATACAATTTCAAGAGTTTCCGAGGACGGAAATGATTTCTTTTCCAAACCAAAATCTAGACGTGAAGAGAAGCCTTCGCCGCAAACTCGCACTAGGCAGCCTCAAACTTATCTTCGTCTTGATGCCCTACTCCAAGAACGTCCACAGGCGCATCGTCAATCACTTGATCAACGATCCTCAGATTCAACAGCACCATGTACATCAGATGCCTCAACGCGAGATCGAGGAACATCAAACAAGCCAGTAAATATTGGACAGCCGCTTAACAATGAGTTACGTAGTGAAAATGAAGTTGGGCTGGAAACAAATGGAACACGCTTAACTGCAGAAAACAAATTTGCTCGAGGATCGAAAATCGATAATGAAAGATGGAAGCTTGTGGCTCAGTCCGTCCCTTACAGAGAAAGACCAGTTGATTTTTTGGACCTTAACTGTTTCAGGCTCAACCCAGCGAGAAACGAAGGCTTCAACTTTGCGTTTAAGGAAGTGGTTCGTAATCGCGACCAACGGATATGTCTTCCTGGCTGTATGCGTCCAGACTGCTGTGGTAACAAATTTCGAGCTATGGTTCGAGCAGGCGGCATAAAGTTTGAAGAGAAGGATCAAGCTTCACTGGAGCATTTCCTTGGCGACAGGAAAGACACACTCGACGCGATGACTGATATCGAGCGACAGCAGCTCCTCATTGAGGTGAAAGCAAAGGCACTGGCTGATCAGTTTGGCAGGCATAGACCTGCCCACGATCGTCCTCGTTCGCCTCCTGGCTTCTGGCGTACAGACATGCCGAGCACCCAGGAGTTAGCTAATGACCACAGAGAAGCTGATCGGATCTCAAGGGATAAGATTATAGAACGAGTTCAAGAAGCTATGCGGCCTAATGGGCTGTGGAAATTTGCTGATGAGGTATGAATTTCGCAGTTTTACTTGATCTCAATGGGATTAGATATGTAAATATATTAGAACAATCCATTCTAAATGCTTGGTCTTTCTCGGATTCATTTTTCAGGTCTCTCGCAATTTGACATGATTTCAATCACAGTTGCTCAAGGATCTATATAAGGCTTGGCGATGACGGTAGACTGGCTGGGGAAGAATGAACCTCGGCCCGCGACCAGCGCGCACGGTTGTACTGTGTACAGCTCCAACCTCCTGCCAGCAATTCTACCACTGCAGCTGCTCGACAATACTCAACTAAATCGGTTAATATCTTCCTGGCTTGAGTTATCAGCGCCTCTACTATGCATATTTGGTGCATGCTAAACGACCTCTGTATCCCACGATGGACTCTCACGCCTCAACCTTGTCAGAAGTGACTTCCACGCTCTTGCGCCCGTCTAAATGGGTTTCGTCTTACGAAGACATCGTGACCAAAAACTCGAATACCGTTGGCCAGATTGAATCTGCCCTGAGGTCTCTCATTTATATAATTCCTGGTAAGCTTGAATATCTCTGATACCGCTGACCATCAACTGATGTCGCGTACGTAGGACGCTTCCGCGAGTCCGAATTACCTTCAGAATGTGGTAAGAAGTGCAGAAATCCCACTCTTATAGGAGATCCTAAGATACCGTATAGTTCATTCCGGAGTACAGCTATTATCGCTCTATCATGATAGTCTAGTCACCCGTGTTATTTCTCAACTCCCCTCTACCATTCCTCGACCACCCTTATCCCCGCATGCGAGATATACGAAATATTGGACCATCAAGTCGCCCCAGTATCGCAATATAGCGCTTGCATTACAGATGATTCAGTATACGGAGCTTCTGTGGGAAATGTTAGCGCGACGGCGAGGAGAAAAGGTCCGAAGACGCGTGATTATCATGATCGAGATTGCCAAAGCTTTGTGCCGCCTACTACTCTTGCGATTGACGAATTCGCGACCACTTGTCAGCCCTCCACTTCCAGAGAGAGAACAAGATCCCCGTGCGTTGGAAACAGAAAGAGATTCAGGAGATTGGAATGGTATGGATACACTCTCGAGTGATGGACTTTCTGAGTTGAGCTGGACAATGCCCCGAACTGGACTTTCGCTTCCAAGTCTCCCAGACACAAGCGATATCTCAAATTACCTCATTTCTAAGGTTCTCACGGCCGATGATGTTAAACCACCGAAATCTTTACTGCATCGCGTCTCAGGACAAGGCCAGCTTGCGGAAGTACTGTATATTTTACGTCCAGTCATCTACGCACTCGCACTACAAAGATGGTCTGGAAATAAGCGAAGCTGGAGTCCTTGGCTGATAGGTTTCGGCTTGGAATACGGGAGCCGTCAACTTGCTAAGAGGGATCTAAAAGAGCGTGTTGCTGGAGGTCTGAGAGGTCTCACAGGTTTGGAAAGAGACGAACTGCGCAAGAGAGGTTGGAATATGGGATGGTGGTTGATGCGTGGCGCCTTCTATGAGAACTTTACAAAGTATGCATTCCTCTTTCTATGTGTTTGGTATACCTCTAACATTGATAGACAATGGATAAAAAGTACGGCTGAGCGACTGAAGGGTAAACCACTGCTGGGCCTGCTTGGCGAATTGGTGGACGATTACGAATTCTTGTGGGAAAACTACTATTTCTCAACCGCGACGCTCTGATTGAAGTCTTTCTTAACATGACCATATCCTTTTAACCATCCTTTCATTACTCCAAGTGTTTTAATATATGTTTCTGGGGGCCTCCAGTTTCTCACTTATTCAACAATGAGCTACACTTTCTTTTGTTTGGAGTGTTTCAAAATAGGGGTATGAGGCGTTACTGGAAGATAACTAAAGTTACGTGACATTAGAGCAATACGTAGTTATATATTCAACACTATTATATTAAAACGAGACTCCAATCTTAGATCCATACCAGCTGCTAAGATCATTCTGTTTCCTGGAAGAAGTATTAGGCCCCGGGCCAAGAAGAAATTCAGATAGTCCAGCCTCCTCATTTTCTTCACTAGGCCAATCCACTTTGGCTGCATCCCGTCCTTCTATCATCTCCTTAGCTGTACCCCAGCTAAACCGGCACTCATTCCCCCAGCCGAATAAAGAATCCATATCTCTTCGCAGCCAGCCAACACACTTCGAATCAGAGGGGTATCCACTTCCCCAGCCCTCCACGGAACCCGCACTTTCTGGATCCCGCGCCTGAAGAACAGCCTCATAGCACACCTCGAGAGCGATATCTCTCGTAACCTTAGCGACTACACTAGCAGCGCTCACGCAGGGATATAACGAGTCTGCCTTCTTGGCAACTGTAATCTTTAAAGTGGGAAATATGCGTTCGAGTTTCTGCTGGTACGTGGCTGGGTTTCCAATCGTATCTATATAGACCTCCTTCACACTGATATGTTTTTGCTCAACGACGCCTCTGATGATTTCAATTGTGGCATCCATAGCTTGCGCGTTCAAATTATAGACTCCAAGACCAGGACGTAGCATCCCCGCTGATATGTCCTTGGCAGAAAGCACCTTGACTGCCCAACCGCAGGTATCATGGAGAGGGTGGTCGGGAGAGCAGATTGCTTGCATCAAGTTTTTTCGAACCTCGGGCGTAAGCACCTTGCTGTCGTCAAAGCTATGTTCCTCGGTCAAAAGGGATTTCTCCGAGTCTTTGGGGAGGTAGAATGCGCTATAGACCATGGGACCCAAAACCGGTCCGCGACCGGCTTCGTCGACGCCTAAAACGCATGGTGTCGATTCTGTCTCTTCGCTTAATGATGATGCCGTGACACTTGCTGGCGTTATTAATTTGGGACATGGCGAATAGCAGCTATATGATTCTCCATTGAGAAGGGGACTGTGGTTGATAGTAGCGGGGATGAAGCTGGACTCGGGGTCGCGACTGTCATGTGAAGTTTCCTCCATTGAGGTGTGGGTTGAGGTGTTGAAAATAGCAGAGAGGAATGACTGAGCTATTACAATAACAGAAGATCAATTCATAAGAGTTACCATTTAGCAATACTGAATATTTGATAAATCAATTGAATTAATTTGATCAAAATCATCACATGGTAAATTTACATGCTGGACGCGTCGGGACCCTTAAGGTTTAGCGCATACCCGCGCGTGTCTCCGCCAGCGGCGCATATCCTCAAGCATTATTGCGATATGCACTTTGGCAACACCCCCTCCTCGAGCCATCACCATTCAGGAGGCATTTGTTTCCTTTCTTCTGCTATTCTAGTTTTCGGAATAAAGACGCCTGACTAGGCAATCCGTATAAATTTTTTTGTCGTAACCCAAACCCCAATTCGCGCATCCACGCCTCAAAATCCAATTTTACAAAGCAACCTGACCATGGCTCCTCGCGGGGCTCCCAAAGCTCGTGACTACGATTACTCTAATGTCGGAAAACAGGGGAGGTAAAATTCTCACAATATTTGCTTTATTTTTTAAGCTGTCATCGCGTGTGTTGGGACCGGCGCGAAAACTGACACTGTTGCTTAGGCGAACGGGTATTACTCTCAAAGAGGGTAGATTGGATGAACATGGAATGGAAGAGCTGGACGGGGTGTTCTCATCGCCAGAGAAATCTCCGGTCAGAGTCAATGGGATGCATACTGGTAACGACACGATAATGGGCTCTGAAGGCATGTCAATGGATGAAGGTACGGCTACAACTTACGCAGGCTGGCTTTGCGCTGGTTTGCTCTTGTGAACTGCCGCTGATTCAGATATTTTCTACAGACGAAGCTCCTGATCCAGCTGATTTTCTTCGACCTGGCAACCGACGATCCCCATACTTACCACCACCTGTCTCTAGATCACCACGAAAAAGTGGGTTGAGTGGCTCGCCGCGCCGAACGCCGGGTTTGCGATCGTCGCCTTTTGTACAGAATGACCAAGATTCTTCCAGCCCTTCAGCTCTTCATCAAAGAGTTAACAACCCTAAGGCTACCTCAACTCTATCTGGCCGCCGACCTCTTAACGACAGACGACCCAACACGGCGCCAATCGCAAATGGTCTGCGACAAAAGAGTAAGGAATTCGATGCAAGTCGAGGCTTCTCTGACAACGAGAATGATCCAGTACAAGAAGATGATGCGCACAACGACAACGCATTTGACACAGGCGTCAATGACATTCACGTCATTGACGGTCCATACGAGGCCGGCTCGGATGACTTTATTGCGCCTGTCGATACTGGACATCAAGATATTTCTGAACAGGACTCGCCATCGATTCATGCGTCTATTTCTCGCGGCGTTAACCGAAGTATAGCCTCTACTAGGTTTAGAGACGCAGAAGATGATGATTATAGAACACCCAAAGAGTCACCTCGAAACCCACTCAAGAGATCACGACCAGGACGGCCTCCAAAGACACAAAGCACTGCTCAAGATAGTGAAGGTAGACCTGCGAAGAAAGCCAAGCCTTCAAGGAAAGAACCTAGTCCGCCGTTAGCACCATTAGATCCAGAGTTGGAGAAGGTTGTCGAGAACCATGTCTCCCGCACAGGTCCTCTCAAAGGCCGTAGTCTTTATATTTTGAAGCGTGAAACACCTTCAGAAGATCAGTCTACACATACTCGTTCAGGCAGAGTCTCAGTGCGACCCTTAGCATACTGGCGTAATGAACGTTGTGTCTACGGTGATGGGGAAGCTGGGATTGGGCAGAGGTACCCGTTATCGACTATCAAGGAGATCATTCGAACTGAGGAGCTGGAACCGGAGAACAATGGGAAAAAGAAGCGCAGGGCCAAGAATAAATCGAAAAATAAGAAGGAAAATGACGATGACTCGGAAGATGAGGACGACACAGCTATTGTTGATGAATGGGAAAGCCAAGATGGCGTTCTTCACGGGTATGTTAAGAAATGGGACGCGGCGAACCAAGCAGCTTCGCTTGATGAGGAACAAGAAGTGCTAGGTAAGTTTAGGTTTGTGGTTCTTGTTGAATTGACTGACGATGACGGATAGATATTGCCTATGCACCATCCGGAATCGAGACTCGGGTTGTTAAAGACTGCACGTTCCGGTTTGCAAAAGTGTTGAGTCACGCATTCATCGGCTCTGGTATGGTGGAAATTCCCCCGAAAGGTGTTAAGAAACCGAAGAATTCGAAAAGAATGCATATGGTGTTCTACGTCTGCCAAGGCAGAGTGCAAGTCGACGTGAATGGGATCCAATTCACTGCTGGGAAGGGATGTGTATTTCAGGTTCCGCGAGGTTAGTTGTGAACATCTTGCTTCATAACATTGCTGACACTACTTTCAATTCTCTAGGAAACCATTATAGCTTTGCAAACATATATCACAAAGACGCTCGATTGTTTTTCACGCAAGCATTCCTTCCTACCGAGGAAGAGAATACTACTGAGAATATCTCCAAGGAGGCAGTCGAACCAGACCTGGATAGTGAAGTGCCACTGCCGAGACCCAAGGGTCGAGGACGAGGACGACCCAAAGCGAAAGCAGCCAGCAAGGCTTGATTTACAGTTCTTTTTTCTACGCGTAAACCCACGTGTTTTACAGTGTTAGTTTGTTTGAGCAAGTGTATAAACGAGCGTTTTACTTCTCATCTGCATTATTTGTTCCTTCTGTTTAATGATCAATTCGTGTTTGAAGCGTCTGGGAAGCCAACCATGGCTCTATTTGGTGCAATGTTTATCGTCAAGCTTAAGATTTTCTCTGTACGTATTTGAATATTCCCGGTATCAATTGTCCATTGGGCTTTTCGAGTCCATTACTCTAAATGGCAAAAAAGAGGCAATCGATGGGTTTTTATTTGACCCTGACATGGTAAACGAAACGTAACTGTTGTAGACTTTATCACCAGCAGCAATGGAAGGGTTGTAGAATGTATATTATTAACCTTACACAAGTGACGCACTGCTTAGAGTTACACTAGCACGAAAATGTGCGACATACAACACCCTCTACATGGCAAAAGCAACCCCCAGATAATGCCTGGTGATTGTTGCTGGTTCCTTGCATCAAATCAAAACTACCTAGAGTTAATAATCGCCACTCCGAGGGTGCCGACGAGCTGGATGTCTATGATCTTTGGATCATCTCTCAATTGCAACGTTGACCTCATTGCTCAGTGCGAGCGAGGGCTGTGATGTCAAGCTTCGGATGTCGCTCTCAAATCAACAGATGCGTGCGTGTGCGTGTCTCAGCGATGATGAGCAGAGTGACGACATGTGTTGCCGATCTGCAGTTGGCCATTGCTCGCTGTAGGAGTCTGCTAGCGGCTAGTGTTACTTTAATGATGTGCCTATGACAGAAGGCCAATCAATTCGTTATCGATATTTAACGTGTAATCGATCTGCGCGAGGGTTGCTGGATTCATTGATTATTCAATTGTCTGTCGGCGTGTATTTCAGTGCGGCGTGGCCGTGGAGCGTGAGTGGCTGGTTGAGGCATTTGTCGATAAAGATAAAAATAAAATAATAGTGAAACAGTGAAACAGTGAAAAACAAAAAACACAAAGTGCAGCGAATGAACGATGAGGTAAGGAAGACTGAAGATGGCAGGATCGCCGGATTGCATCATGGTTTGGCGCGGCGGACGATCGGCCGGTATTGATTGGCGGTGACTCACAGCCGCGCCACTTCCGCGCAGAAGGCTGGGAGCAAGACAACATTGAACAGTTCAATTCACTCGTCGCAGGCCAATGACCGCGCTGACATCTAGAACAGCGAGGGTTGACAAGTAATAACAAAGTGAGAGTGCGTGCATCAAAGGACGCGAGGAGATGCCCGCTGAAAGAAACTCATTCGCTCGGCGGTGCCATGCGTCAGGCACCCTCAGCTGCAGCTTAAATACGGAGATCTCCCCTGTCTATCAAGACTCTCATCAACACATCTACTCAATAGCTCATCAACTCAACAATCTACTCGTCCCTCCTCTATACTTTGCACCTGCAGGCGGCGTAACTTGAACCGTCCAGCCGGAACACCTCTCGAGCCAATCGACACATCACATACACATCCATCAGAATGCAGTTCAATCTCGCTACTCTCAGCCTCTTGGCCTCTGTCGTCTCTGCTGGCCCTATCCTGCGCACCAGAGATGTCTCTACCAGCATCAACACCACCAGCTGGCCCGTGTCCAACTTTGACGTCGGCTGCTCACCCGAAGCCTGCGAGTATGCCTTCACTGTGACTCGTCCTGCTGGCCCCAACAACCCTGGCTTCAACACATCCTGCACAGGCAGCGACTACAAGATCGAATGGCAGGCCTGCGACGACAAGTCTGTCGTCGCCAAGCTGATCCCCAGGACCTATCCCTTGTGGGAGGTTAACGTGAAGCACTCCTTCGCCAGCGGGAGTAGTAATGTTGATGCCTTTGCCAATGGAACTACCAACTACCCGCAGAAGGACTTTATTCTGACCGTCTACAAGACGGATCAGTAGACTAATCGTTCCATACATATATCCACTATCTGTTCGACTTGTATGCATTAATACGGCGCCATTTCTTTCCTTATATTTTCTGGGCTTTCGACTCTTCGAATTATTTGCCTGTCTATGATATAATGATACCACTACGATAATGATATACATCCCTTAGCTAGCATATACATAGAAATTATTATTTTCCAATACTCTTGGTATAGAACTGTAATCATGACACAGCCACAAGCATATGAAAGTTTCGTCTCAGGCATTTAATTAACTGTAATACCTCTAGTCCCGTAATTCATATCTCCTCCATATCATCCTCCAAATCCAGCCCCAAAGGCGGAAAATCCCCGACCTGGATTTTCTCGGGCTTGACAAAGACGCCGGTATTCGCACCGCACACAAAGTACCTCTTCCCCGCTACACTTCCGTCATTTTTGCCTATGGGCTCGTCGAGCTCGATGCCCACCCATAGCGGTAATGGGTTGGTCGCCGCGTAGCTCTCATCGATGGGTTGGCCCTTGAGGGCTGCGAAGGGGATTTCGGGGACCGGGCCGACATAGCGGATTGTGCCGCGGCGGATGTGTGGAGGGGAAGAAGGAAGGATGATTGCTCGAGCTTGTAGATTTATACCTGCAAGGGAGGGAGAGGTGTATTAGTAATTACCTGAAAAGGTGAAAGATGGGAGATGAAGATGGGAGATACCTCGTTTCTCAACCTCAGCGGCATCTTTGACAGCTTGCTCGTTTAATAATTCTTCCGGGGCTTGTGCATTGGGATTGAAACGACCTAGTTTCTGATTCTTTTTCCACGCGAGAACGGAGTTTGATAACGACTCGTATGTCTCCGTGGGCAGTTCGTATTTTTCCACCGACGAGATATCTGTGAAATTAAGCCGCGCGGTTGGCGGGCGAGTATCGTGGACCTGCACTCATAGAATCAGCTATATATCAAAAAGAATAAAGAAATTTTATTCTAATAAAAAGGAGAAATGGTGAAGACAAACCTCAATCTCACAACCCCTAACCAATCCACATTCCCCAATCAGCCTCTCCTCACCTTGAATCCACTGATCCGGCTTTCCAGGTGCTTTGAAGAGTAATTTCTGACTTCCAGGTGGCACACCAGTCATCGTCTCAAGTTTACCTTTTAGCTGAGTTATCGTCCATGATGGGGTGACGCGACGCTCTGTTGCGAGTGAAGGTGTGTCTGCTGTGGTGGCAGCAGATGCGGTCGAGATTATCACGGAGACGTCTGCCGGGGTTGATTGGAAGGACATGTTGGATAATCTCCACCGTTTGGGGGCTTGGGGAAAGGTATAAATGAAGATGGTCAAAGTTCTATATCAGAGTTAGGCGTCTGTTCGTGCACTTGATGCGGGGAAGATGTGGAAAGGAGATGTTGGGATATAGGCCCAGACGCACTACTAGTCGTGCCCAATCAAAGATAGATTTCTATATCCCCAATCTCAAATCCAGAAAAGCGCTATTTATGAAATTGAATATCGATATGAACAAGGAGATAAGAAAGCTCGACGGAAAATGTGGGGTGGACAGTAGACTTTGCGGCAAAAAAAAGCTCCCCTCAGAGCTAGACAACACACCCCGCCCAAACACTTTCAACACCGGAATGAACAATTAACCAGCATTCTGTGGTCTTGAATTTTGATAAAAGAGGAATTCTAATTACTAAAAACAAGCCATTCTTTTCACAAATCAAATTCGATCCCGCAAATCATCATGTCGACCGACCTCGGCTCGGAGCAGCCTACGTCTTCAGGTTCAAATGATGAGGTATACGAGCAAGAGCACGTCCATAATGTGTACCAGAAAATAGCTAGTCATTTCTCATCTACCAGATACAAAGTGAGTTCCTCTTCTTATTGTCATGTCATGAACATTGACCAAGTTGACTTTCTTCACAGCCCTGGCCGATTGTCGAACGGTTTCTACAAAGCCAGAAACCAGGCTCAATTGGGCTGGATATTGGATGCGGCAATGGCAAATATCTTACTGTGAACCGGGATATATACATAATTGCGTCAGATAGGTAAGAAGTTCTCAGGATGAAGTGGTATTTAGACTAAGTAAGACAGGTCTGAGGCTCTTGCCAAAATCGCAGCACAACACCAACCACACTCAACAGTCGTGGCGGATATTCTTAGTCTACCGCATCCTGATTCCTATTTCGATTTTGCTATATCAATTGCCGTGGTACACCATCTCTCAACGGCGGAACGCAGAGTCCAGGCGATATCCGCGATACTGCAGACATTGAAACCATCTCCCGATGATACAGAAGCAGGCGGGGAAGCACTGGTATACGTGTGGGCACTGGAGCAAAATTCAAGCCGCAGAGGATGGGACAAAGGAGATCAACAGGACGTCATGGTTCCGTGGGTTCTACGCAGCAGTCCGGCTGCTGCCAATGCCCCAGAAACCGACAAAGTATTCCACCGATACTACCACCTTTACGAGGAAGGCGAGCTCGAAAGGGACATATACGCTGCAGGTGGCCGTGTTTTAAAATCGGGTTATGAAAAGGATAACTGGTGGGCCATAGCCACACGAAGTTTTCAGCGAAAGCAATAGCGCAGAAAAATCTAACAAAGAAAGGGGCCATATCGATCAATTCTATCGATTTTGCCTCATCATCTTTATCGAGCAAACTGCAAGAAATGGTATCTCAAATCGTGATAGACGTGACCAGAACCGTGATGACAAAAGCAACTCCCACCGGTGTTTGTTGCAAAAGACACGGATTTACAACCGTGTTCGACTGTCTACCTCCCACAACGCTATGCAAATAAATGACAAAAAATGAGTTAACGAACAGATAAAGTCCAACCAATCATGCTCTTGTATAAGGTATTGATGAGGGCTCTATGCCAGGCATTTCACCGGGCGGGTGGAGGCTCAACGGTGGCGGCGGTGGTGGGCGAGCCATGCGGTAGGGATCAATGATGGTCTGTGTGAGGGGCGATGTGTATGCTGGAACCCCCGCAGTAAGCTCTTCAACGGACGGTAGCTGAGTTTGGCCTTGACCAAGTCCTTGATGCGGTGCCGCAGGATGTCCCTGAGAGAGTACCTGTGGTAGCCCCTGAGGTGGCATGATTGGTGGTGGTATGGGTCGCTGCGAAACTGGTGCAACAGACATGGATTGTCTCCGGAGCCTGGGCATGACCGTGTTGCTTCGTCGAACTTTTGGAGGAGGCTCAATGGAGCCACTAGACAGAGAGAAAGGCACCACGCCAGCACGACGCGCCATCTCTTGCTCTCCAAGTTGCCAATGCATCGCCTCCGCCGCTCGCCATGGGATCGCCATCTCTTCCGCAACCTTTGCCCACATTTCCGCTTTGAACCTGCCAAATCAGATCTGTTAGTTCATCACCTTTGATACAAATAGACAACATGCTTGCCTTTCATAAAGTCTGGCTAGCTTGTTTTTCCGGTCCTCGTCCCATTCACTCCGCCTCTCAAGGTAATTCTGATAATGAAGTCGACAACTTATCGCGCTTCGACCAGGTAGCCTTTTGCTAATATCTTCCCATTTCATCCCTCTGCCACGTAACTCGATGATTAAGGCATCTTCTTCCGGCGACCATTTCGACTGTTTCTTTGCGGGCGGGTCATGACTGAGGGACGATGCGCTTCGCTTTGATCCTGCCACTGATGGGAGAGACGGAGCAGCCAGAGACATGGTGGCTGCCGGGCCCGGGCCTAGGCCTGGGCCTGGCATGGAGATTACCGAGGCGGCAATGGTGGTGGAAGCCATTGAAGATGGCCCGGATTGTCTCCGTGATGAAGTCGGGGGCGATTGATAGACTGAAGTCCGTGGCGCTTCTTCCTCGTCATCTGGCTTGAGAAGTAATGAGATATCCACTTTGGCGGAGGATATCGGGTTAACGGGTTGATGTATGAGGATCATATGCGCGTTTGCCCGGGGTGATTTATAGAGCAAATACGTACGAGTCTTGCGGTAGAAACTGACCCAAGACAGATGGAAACGAAGATCAGGTTTCGGCCGGGCTTTCTTCGAGGTCAGACCTGCTGTTCACCAAGACCCAATTGTAATGTGCACTGTTTGATCAGAGTTACCCAGTTTATAAGTAGGGCAGACAAGAGCCGTTTGGGTATACGTATTTGCCACCGTCTACTGGTATATACTGGCGGTTAGGCTAGACAATATGCCAGGATCCGTGTTCCCGGCGTTTGCTGTCTGATATGCGCCTGAAGTGATTGCTCTGCTTGGGAGTCACGAACTCAGCGTTGGGCCGATAGGCGATGTATGGAGATAGAAAGAAAAGAAATATGTTTAAATGGTAGCGAGTGCAAGTTAGAATGATTGACTAAATCCCCTAATTAGGACCGGCCACATCGGAGTGAGCTGTGAATGTAGTGTAGTGTAGTGAATGTAATAGTGATGGCAGGCACAGCCGAGTAGTAGCAGCATTCGTCGTCGTATCAAGAAGAGCGGGTGTTGCGTGACCAAGAGCGTCCAGCGACGAAATTGTATGTACCAGTACAAACAGAAGTAAAAAGTAGAAAAGAAGTTAGAAGGATGTAACAGTCGAAGTGAAAAAAAGGGAAGAGGAGAGGAGAGAAGAAAAGAGGGGATCGAGACTAAGAGGGTTGGCAGTAGTTTATTTTCTCTCCCGGTTTCAAATACCAACCAACTTACTAAACCAAGGTCAGCAAGGAAGGAAATGAGCAGCCCTAGAATTTAAATTTAAAACAAGAAACCGAAAATAGGAGTGCCGGGACAGTCTAATAACAATAACAATAATATTCCATAATATGAGGGCAGACGAGCAGAGAAACGGGACAAGGAAAACGGCCCAGGCCAGCCAACTCTGACAGTGGCAGCGTACAGACCACGACAGACCAGACTCGTCGCGAGCAGGCCGTTGGTTACCCAATGATACATACATGTAATCCGTCTCCACTGTGGGTGAGGATAGGAATCCAGATACAAGCTTGTTCGGCGTCGCTGTGACGGGCCGTTAAGACCAGGCATGAATATCTTATGATATTATTATCTTAACAGTAATTTAGCTGGTCCAATTTGTGAGTCTTTCTCCCTTAATTCCAGCCAGTTCGTTCTGTGATTAAGATACAAGCCCTGTATTACTATTATGATATTAGTTCATAATATTATTTCGGCCTTCTCTCGGCGTTTGCCTCTGATTTGCCCAAGCTCACGTACAGGCAGCTCGTAAACTTACAGACAGCTTGCAGACGCGCCTCCACCAAACAAACTCAAACTCAGGCTGGCGGTCAAACCCCTCTATCACGACTACTGCAGCTAGCAAGCTCTAGATCCTATCACTGCTATCATATGTGTCTAGCCTCACTGACGGGATCAGCATAACAGCGTATGGGATAGTAATTATTAGGGTGCATGGCGGTCAGCTGGATAATAAATAACAATAATAACGATAATAGTAATAATAGTAATAGTAGTAGTAATAATAATAACAATAATAGCATAAGGACTAATTTATATTAATCTTAATATGAATGTGTTTGACACCAGGAGCAGAGTGGTTACGTCAGCCAATTTCAGGATCCAAGATGAAGCAGGTATCCAGGAGGAGTACCAAGTACGGAGTACGAAGTAGTACGTAGTACCCGTAATAGATTACCGGGGAGTTTCAAGATTGTGGGCAAATGAGCGGGTTTGCCCAACCCACTGCTGGGCGCTGATACGGGACGGTGACAGTGACGGTTACAGGCTGCCTGTTACACCGTTGCACTTGGCTGCTTAACTCGTGTGTTATGGTTTATTAATAGCCGCTTCATTACAGGATACTTGTGTTTCCAGGTGATAGCTCACAAGCACATGCTGGACCAAACACTGGCGCGCAGCTCCTGGGAACTGGGAAATGAGGGTAATTTGGGCGTTAATAACAGCCAACGCCAAACGAATAACATCCCATAACTAGGCAAATAATGAATAAAGCGGCCATTATGATTCCCAGCTCGCAGTGCAGCCACCGCCCCTCTGTGGATCGCGTGCCGCTGGTCGCATAGAATTCATGATGCGTCGATATCAAGTCCATACTGATAGAGTGACAAGCAGAATGGCCCAACTATCGTTTGCGCAGAATTAGAACCGAGGATGGCCGATTGGTATTCATATTAGCAGATTAGCAGATTAGCATCTTATCATATTATCATATGGATTCATGGATCATCAACAAGAATTCGATCATGCGCAGCCAGGCGAGAACACTAAGGCGGCTAAAGTACTAGTACAACGGTCAAGAGCACTAAAGAAGGATATAGCACTAAGTAAAGGGCTAAGCAAAGGGCTAAGTAAAGGGCTAAAGGTTCGCGACCAGTTCGGAGCGGGCAATCCGACCCGCCGCCTCTGCGCCGGTCCCGGAGTGGCATAGCGCATATTACCACGTCCTCGCCTCGTCGTAGCTAGGAGTCGCTAGTAATGGCTGTGGCTGTTTCAACCCGGTCGCCGGCCCGTGCGCGAAAAGAGCCGTTGAGCTACTGTTTCACTTGCCGTTAGCAGTCTCCCTGACATTATCGTGAATCGCGGCTGATCGTTATTACATTATGTTATATCGTATATAACATGCGATTTGGTATTACTCTTTGCTTTTACACCTTTACTCCCCCGTGTCGAGTCCAAATATGAGCCAACTTGTCATGAGCACCCTATACCAGAGTTGATGGTGTGCTGTGGCAAGTGCGTGGCGCGGTTGCCACAATATGCTTAGCTAACGCCCAGCGCCACCCTCATTGGCCGGCTCGCTTCGCTAGGGCTGCAACCCACTGTAACTACTCTTGATTCATTCCTCCATCCACACTACACAGCGCTTCCTCGCCCATTGGCCTCTCGTTGCGACTCCGAACCAGGATAATCGCGGTTCGCTACCGGTCATTGTTGGCATTAACTTAGGCATTAGTCTATCAGCTTGATAAGGATCGTGGTTCTGAAACGCAAGTCCGACAGCGCTGACGGATCCCAGGATCAGATTAATATTACGTGTGATCCAACCACCCCAACATCAACATCAACATCAAAACACCCGGTTTCTGTGAAGAATTAGAGGGCTCGCTGATCCTGCATGCAGCTGGGCAGTAGACAGTGGACACAGCACGGAATACGGAATAGTAATACGGTGCTCAACGGCAGCTAACAAACGCACGGCCGTCTCCGATCGCATGCAGAGGCGAGTGCTGTTTGTCGATCGCTCAGCCACCTGGGTGTATGCATTGCACACATGTAAATCACAAAGTGGGCAACTTAAGCGAGCACGCAGCATGCAGACGGCCGAGCAGATGGATAGATCACGACAGATGCGATGCTTTTGAGCTACGGGCATGGAGGGAGGCGGTGACCTCACCGCCTGATCGATCCCTCTACCTAGTAGTAGGGTATGTATGCAAGGGTCCTTTATGTTTTTGGTTGAACATGGTTTTATGTCATCATCGGCTCAGCGCGTGAAGAAGAAGGCAGCACAGCCTAGTTGCGTCGTATACGGGGATTGATGAGCAAGAGGGGCATTTCATTTCCGGTGCGGGTCAGCCCTCTCGTATGCCCATCCACCAATTTAGGGCCAACGTTGCACCGCATCACTCCGCATCGTTCATGATAGTCTCGATCATGCGAGTATTCATGTCTCAACACGAAAACAGAGCTATCCCGTGTCTGAATGTTTCGGTTCATCCCTCATTTAACATTAATATACCCAGATTACACCGGACGCCACGCCTTCACTTTCCACCAGCGGACCGAATAATTTCCCAATAAGCGTGCTCGAGGGTAAAGTCTAGAACAACCCCCACATGATAAACAAATAAGCGGGACTTGAAGGACCAGCCGCGAACTCATCCACCCATCATCCAGCTCGCCACGATCCGGTGGAGACTTGAGGGGTCGTCGGGCTGCATGAAATTAGAGAGGTGCCATGCGGAGAGGAGAGGAATTGCGGTTTCTGGCAAATTCCTGCGTGGTCCTGACCTGGCGGGTTACTGTTAATCGTTTAGTTAGTTAGGATGGTACACTGTGCAGCATACACGTACGACAGTAAGTAAGTATCAAACAAGGACCAGGATGAAATCGGCAGTAACCTGCACCTGGCGCTTCACTCAGCACTGACGGCAGCCACGGTGGCCACGGTGGCCACGACAGGGAAGAGGAACTGAGGAACTGAGCTGTAGATAGCGGTGAGGCACGGCATAGATGTTGGCATAATGCCATTGACTGACTGACCCTGCAGGCATATGCCATACACTTACTCGGAGAGTCGATTAATGGTTGATTATTAGGGCTAGCGCGGCGAGCCAATCAGCGGCTGGCGGGGCTTGGCGGAACTTCGGAGATTTTACCAATAACATGGCCAATCACAGCCGTCTGTGGCGCCACCAGACCCTGGTTGTCCCACTTGGACCAACCTGCAACCCCGTTTTGCACAGTTTGCACATACCTCTATCTTTTTTCCCGCTATGCCTTGACTGCTATATACAGCATTCTGTTATTATTATTCTTCTGCTTCTTCTGTTGTGCTGCTATTATTTCCAGGATTCCCTGCCGGCCTTGGGCTGCCCTGCGACCGTGACCTGTACTCCGACTTTTCCCCTGCCTTTCGTTTTCGTTTTCTTTTTCGCCTTGCCGTGTTTACCCTGTGCTCGTGTTCTTTTCCTTTCTTATGCCCAAACCCCGGCCATCTTTGCAATGTCTAGGCTGTACTTTGTCCTGGCCCGTTGTTGCTACGGCGTCAGTGACACACGGTCTGTGCTGGACAAATAATGACACCCGACCACGATAACAACCATAATGCCATCGACATGAAATCTGAATAATGAGAAGGACAAAGGACGCTCCACCTCTCGTCAACTGAAACACTCGACCTGGCCGGTGGGGCGACGTTCTGGAACCTCTCAGAGTCTCTCATTGAAACAAACCTTCCTTTTCATATTTAATATTTAATTAACATTTGTTCCGATCCTCAGGCCTCTTATTGCGGGGTCTGCACCGCTGTCAACATGATGTGGATGAACCGCTGGATCAATGGGCGCTCTTATGGGATGAGTGGATTGCCGATGCGTCGAGACCTGACTGACTCATGGTAGCTCGAACCTTCTCGGACGGTGGCGTCGTCTACTACATACTTGCTGGTTACTGCATCCAGCCGTTCTGTTTCAAAGCTCCGATCGAATGAGTACTACTGTTCACATGTAACATGCAACGGTCGACGGTCTGTGAACTGTACGCACTTAAATAACCCTGACTCGGAGTTTTGTATCACAGTCCCCAGGTACATAATAGCCTCAGGCCCAGCTACATTTTCATGTAAATGCAGTCTTATCTGTACCTGTTCCATAGCATTTAATCTATTGTAGAAGACAACGTAATTTGTCTATTTAGTAAGAAAGGAGCAACACCAGTATTTGTTCGGTGCTTTGTCATATCGTCAGGTGCCTGCCTTCCTTCCACAGCCCCTAAAATATTATTAATAGTACCGTATATTCTCAGCATACTTACAACTACAAAGACCTTTCACAAAAGGCCATATGGGATCGATTCTTTGTGCCTGAAACCTATAAACGCCGTGTACGAGGACATACCATGGTGGCGCTGACCAGAATGGAGCTGATACTGACTACGACCCGCTATTGTAACTCGTCATAACAAGTAACACAGAACCGGTCTACATACTTATATCAAGCTCTATAGACATGAACCATAGCAAATGATACGTGACAAGGCCCTCGACTTCGGGCGGAGACATGCAGAGCTTCTAGAGCCGCATCCAGATCCCCTCGATAACTCGACTGTCGATGGTTTCCCTGGTGTCAAGTGCTACCGAAATTTAATCTACACTCTGCTCTTCCACACGCCTGTACTATCGAACTATATCGACGAGTATCACATAGCTGACTGTCCAGATAAAGCCAAAGGGTGCATGATTTGCAGGTTCCGGAATCTCGCAAAAAGGGTTTGGGCTCCGGGAAGGATACGTGATCATACGTTCAACTATGACACTGATAGGTTCTGGAGAGAGGCAATTGATCGTGTTTGGGATTGGGATATTCAGCAGGACACCCAGAAGTATATGCAAGCTTTACTTGACACTTTAAACAGAAACTGGTGGGCTGAATATAACCTCCAAAATGGGAATGAAATGGCTATGACCCTAGTACCGATGAATGGCTCAGGGGTCTTTTATCCCTAGAAGTGCATACATAAGGGCCTACCAGGAATGCTCACGTCGTTCACAATAGCCAGAGAATGTCTGGGTCTTGCGAGGAAACATGCCAAATAAAGACACTAACGATTTATCGCTAGGAGAAGCTCTCAAAATATACAAAGAAACAACTGCATCTGCTGAGAAATATGATTGTATGTTATGAAAAAAGTGACAGATCACGAGGTCTCCAAGCCGCTCAAAAGAGCGCCCCCGATTCTGCCCATTCAAATATCTCCAGGCTTGGATGAATCAAGGCGGCCCATTTCCAACGGCTCTTTCAGGTATCTAGAGGATCTCATGGCGGTTTCGAGCTGTGAAGACCCGATTTCGTCGCCACATAAGATTGAGCATACATTCTGTCGGCTACACGGAGTTATCATACGCCGCGGTAGTGGTGCAGATGCAGGCCATTTTTTTGGGAGCCTTTGAGCATCTTTGTGTGATTTGGGTGATGCATGATGACCAGCATATGTTTAATGGGGTAGCTGATAAGACTACCTTGCTCGATCAAAATGCAAATCATCAAGACGATGAAAGCAAGGTCTTCCTTCTAGCGTATCAAACACTGTTCAATCTCTCAGGCAATGTGGTTGAGCCGGGGCCTACGAAAATGGATCTATCGCAGAATAAGGGGGGTAAACGAGGACAAAATGCTACAGAAAATACTGCGAGCGAAACAGTGCCCCGGCGAATATGGGCGAATATGGGCGAATATGAACCAGCTGTCAAATAAACGAGGAAGGGAAGGTGCCGATCTGGATACATCAGAGCTGGTTGCTAAAATTCTCCAATATGAGTCTTTTATGTATACATAAGGATATAATCCTTGGCGATAACATATCGTAGGAAGGGAGTAACATATCATGGGAAAGCGAAAACATATAGTAAGGAGATGACAGAAAATATAACGGCGTCGGTAAGGAAGCCTAGGAGAAAGGTTCTCTCAGAGAGCCAGGCTGGATGGGATGCATCCATGAAATCTAGATCAGATAGAAAGAGGACGAGGTGTTGATAACTAGGAGTGATGTATCACTACGTCTGACTTTTTTTTTTTTTTTTTTTTTATACGCTGTTAGTTTGTAATTATTGTCGGCTCGTTCTAAGTATATTTGTATAGTTTTGGTTTATTCGATGCAAGCCGTTACTTACTAAGAAAGTTATCTCTTCTGTTTAACTCGGGTATATATAATCACATTTGACCTCGATTCAACACCAACAATATTTGAAGAACACTGAAATCTACAACCACATCGTCAGGCGACCATAACTCTACATAAACCAAACCACCTGCACCTAGAACACGCAATATAAAACTTCAATGACCAGTCCTAACAACATCACCTCTTCCCTAGACACAGCTCACCTCCTCTCACTTCTCACTACACAACTACGCTCTTTCACACCCCCCTCCAACAAAAATAATAATAACGACACAACCAACTTAATCCATCGACCCAACGCTACCAACTTAACCACCTTCCCCGACCCCGCCCACTTGCAGATCAAAAACCTACTGCTCACCCTCCACTGCCTATTTCCCAACGAACTCCTTCTCGCCCTCGACATTCTGGATCGAAGACTAATACGACGATACCAGCAATCCCGGAAAGACCCTGAAACAGACGAGCACAATGGAATAGAAGGGAGTAACGAGGTATTCTTCGTTCAGTCAAAAATCTCATCAACCTCTTCTAATACAACGAGGATGTACGAAGTTCGCCTTGATGCGTGGAATTGCTCGTGTTCTGCGTTTGCATTGAGTTGGGTTCAGAACCTATCCTTTTCTGATATTGATGCGGCCCATGATATAGAGGACGGTGCTGGACTGGAGGTGGATGGAAGCGGGCGGTTTGATGGGAAGTTGGTTCGAAGGGATGCCAAGGGAGCGCCGCCTGTGTGCAAGCATCTTCTAGCCTGTGTTTTAGGGACTGAGTGTCCTAATCTGTTTGGCGGTGGGATTGACACGAGTCAAGTTGGCGATGGGAATGGGTTGGCGGGTATGTGTGCTGGGTATGCGTCGTGATTTTAATATACCACCAGTGCTACGAGTTATGATTTGATATGCGAGATGTAATTATGTATGCGAGATATCTCTATGTAAGCTAGCTCGGCTGTGTAAACTACAGTAGAGTCGTGTCTTATGATCCCTTCTTCTTGTTCTTCTCCTTTGTCTCCTTTTCATCCTTCTGTTCCCCGTTGCTAGTGCCATTTTGTTTCCTGCTTTCTTCGTCTTTCTTTCCCTCCAGTTTCTCTTCTACTTCCTCTTGTTGCTGGCGGTTTTGAATCTTATTCTCAATCAAATCATGGAACGCCGTAATCGCGCGGATCAAGCTGCTGAGGTAGATAGACATGAGCTGGTCGTTTGTCTTAATGCTCATGGCGCGCGCGAGCTCGTTGTTCTCAAGTCCGACATCTCCCTTCTCACCGGCCTCGTTCGCGGATTTCGGCGTCGAGATGTTAGGAAGGAGGTTGAAGATATCCTGTAGATTGCCCAGGATAGCGTGGTTGACGGGGAGCTCATGATCAAGGACTTTTTGCAGGTACTGTCCGATATCACGCAGGCGGAGGTGCAGCCCCTGTAACGACTGGAGTTGGCCGGTGATTCTGTTGCTTAGCGTACCAATAGCTACATCACGAATCTATAGATTGTTTCATCAGTATCTGAGAATCTTCGTAGACAGTCGTGAACGTACATCGCGGAGTAAATGCTCAACACCGATTTCTTCTGCTTCCTCAGCCTCGATTATTGACGGAGTATGGACGAATGTCTTCGACGTGGTTGTGCCGTCCTGTAGACGCATTAGTCGGGCATTCTAGACACCGTTCAAGACCCAGTCTTACATCTTTGATCTCCTCCACTGCAAAATATGCGTCTGTCGGAACACCGACTTCCTTGGGCTGCACATCAATGATCACAAGTAGCGGGTTCGGGGTGTATCGCTTGAATAGCTCGTTGATCTCCAAGTCGGAGGCTCGCAGCTTCGGGCCTGAGTGGTACCACCCCACCAGTTTCTCTCGCGCATTGATTTTCTTGAACATGTCGTTCATCGACTCGACGAAATTGTGGTCCAAGAACCACACCGTGGGATCTTTCTCATCTTCCTCAAAGGGGACTGCAGCTTGAGTTAGCGGAATAGCGCCAACGCAGAAAGTCAACAAATGCATCATGTCCAGTCTGACGTACCAGCATAGCTATTCGACACCCTCACGTTTGAGCCATCATTTTGACCCAGGAGGACTCCCACCACCCGCTTTCGAGTGCCCTTGGCGGTTCGCCCATAGTGATCTGCGGCAGAAAGAAGGACGAGAGGAGCTACGGAGACGGTGCGTGTGACGAGGGACAGCGTCTCTGCCGTGGTGGCCGGCATTGCGAGGGAATGTCAAAGCAGAAGTATCGCAAGTATCGTACAGAGGAGACGAGAGCTCGAACAGGGAATGTAGTATATTATCGACGTGGGCGAGAATGGGTGGCAGCAGGTAGTAGTGAGTGATGTCCAGATGGAGCTTGAGCTGCTGCACTAATTAGTTAGTAGTAAGCTGCTTCATTGCGTTTCCACGGCCGCCTGCGCTAGCCACAGCCACAGCCACAGCAGGCCACGGCGCCTCAGGCACCTGTGGCGCAGTCCATGCCAGCCTTTTGTATAGGTTAGCAGTTACCATGCCCATGACTGTTGTTTTATTTACGCTTCTATACTGAGGATCGTATATGCAATAAAAAGTCTATCCCAAACAGTAAATAGGCTAGAATCGTTGTTGGCAGCTGTGGTAGGCTCTCTACTCAAGTATAGCACATTGACTCGGTTACATTAATTAATACAAAGGACGAATTGGATGATCGTGTTCGGTCTTTCGGACCAAATACCAAATAGTACTAGTAACCAAATCTGACAATATCGATTGCACATGCCAGCCCTACAGCAAGTAGCAATACTACAGAGTAAGTACTGGTCTGGTAGTAGTGCCGGCCCCCGAGGCTCGGGCATGCGGAGCCTGCCTCCCGCCCTGTTTTTCGCCGTTCTGCCGGCCGCTCGCCCAGAACGTCTTTCTGGTTTCTACTTGCTTCCTCTGACAGAGCTCGAGCAAGCCAGCTTTCTGCCTCGACCACTCCCACCGCCCGTCCATCTCCCCTTTGCGCCTTCTCTGAGAGTGCATTTGGCTTTGGTCGGCTCTCTTCCCCCTCCCCCAGTCGCAATGGCTCCCATCACCCAAGAGACCGTCGATGGTCTCAAGGACATCATCAACAAGCTCGAATCGCGCGTTGCCGATTTGGAGGGCCGCTTGCTCAATGACTCCAAGCCGAAATCAGTCTCCGAGCAGGTCCGCATCATTCTGATGGGACCTCCTGGTGCAGGTGCGTGCTGACGATGCTATTCGGCGCTTTTCACACTGTTAATCTCACATGCAATCTCTATAGGCAAGGGCACTCAGGCGCCGCGGATCAAGGATAAATACTGTGTGTGCCATTTGGTAAGAACGATATGGATATGCTGTGCCTTTTTGATAGATTGTGTCTGCTCTAACGGCTCTTTTATTCCAGGCTACCGGCGATATGCTTCGATCCCAGGTTGCAAAGAAGACGGCGTTGGGTAAGGAGGCAAAGAAGATTATGGATCAAGGCGGCTTAGTCAGTGATGAGATCATGGTTAATATGATCAAGAACGAGCTCGAAAGCAACCAGGAATGCAAGAATGGGTTAGTGTTAACATCTATCAAATATACCAAGTCAGATCAGCTAACAACCCGGCAGTTTCATTCTTGATGGCTTCCCACGCACTGTCGCCCAGGCTGAACGCTTGGACGAGATGCTTACTGACCGTCAACAGAAACTCCAACATGCCATTGAACTACAGATCGATGATGCATTGCTTGTTGCTCGTATCACTGGACGACTTGTCCACCCTGCTTCTGGACGATCATACCATAAAATCTTCAATCCACCAAAGGCTGACATGAAGGATGATGTAACTGGAGAGCCTCTTATTCAACGTTCTGATGACAACGCCGATACTCTCAAGAAGCGATTGGCCACATATCACGCCCAGACATCGCCGGTGGTCGACTACTATAAGAAGACTGGAATTTGGCAAGGAATCGATGCCAGCCAGGAACCTGGTCAAGTCTGGAAGAGCCTGCTTGGTGTTCTCCACGGTCAAAAGAGCTCAAGTATCCTGAGCAAAGTCGGCCTGTCTAAATAGACGCTATGAAAGCGACGTTTTTGTTGGTAGTACGTGGCCCAGTCTATTGTGGGCAGATTGCATAGATTCTGCGATTATACACCACTACGTTGTTACAAATATGCTCATGACTGTCTAATGCGGAGAAAAGTTCTATATCACTGCTTTTTTGGCCTGGCTTTGTTGGTCTGGTGTTGAATACTGGAAGGAGTATCGGCAGTGAATACTCTCACCTGGTTTCTACTTCAACCCGCTCCTAGTTGTATAGTAATGTACTGTACTTTCCTGCCATTCTAGATGAGTTCACATATTTTTTAGTCCCTTACCTTGACATCCCGCCAGTCCGTAACAGCACCCCTTTTATCGAAGGAATATAGATTTAGATTTAGATGTAATTTTCACTTTCAACTAGTACATCAATTACTTGTCTATCAGATAGACCCCTCAAATAACCTGAAAAGTTACAGTTTGATCGGATACTCGGTCGACTCAATCTTCTCTGGATAGACAAGACCATTCTGTTTACGCACTTCATCCATCACCTCCATAATGACAATACTCTCCTCCCACGACATCCCCTCACTCTCGAGCTTCCCATCACGCACGCATCGAGCAACCTCATCGGCTTCCCAGTACATACCGTGACCATTCGCCGGGAACGGGTTCTCAATCTCTCGGATTTTGACGGGAGTATCTCCTTGTTTCTTAGGGATCACCCGGTAGCGTGGTGGCCTGAATGCCGGTCCATCAACCTGGATCTCACCTTTGGTTCCTTGAATGCGAATCGCAGGTCGTGCGGAGTTCTCCTTGTCCGGATTGCTGTCGACAGTCAGGGATGTCATGGCAACTGCATGAGATGTTCGGTTGGGAAGATTGGATGGCGTTGTCGTTGGGAAGGTAATTAACATTGTCGTACTCTCATCTGCACCAGTGACGGCATGTTTGGCCATGGTAGACGCAATCGACGATGGGGCCTTACGCTGAGAGGGCGGTAAAGTGTGATAGAGAGTCTGGAAAACCCAAGTGAGAGAATAAATACCCACTAGACATACATCAGTATACCTGCCACAACAAAAATCGAACGAGTGCGTACAGTCAAGTAGAGCTCCACCAGCAAGATCCAAATTGACCATACGATGACTAGGATCCCAGTCAGGATCACCAGTGCTATTATCCGCCGTAACACGAAGCACTTCACCGATCTCACCTTTTTGAATGAGAGATCGAACCTCTACACTCAGCGGGAAGTATCGGGTCCAGACAGCCTCCATCAAGAAGAGGTTTTTCTTCCTAGCCAGGTCAACGAGGATCTTTGCCTGTGCGGCATTGACCGTAAACGCCTTTTCGCAGAGTACGTGCTTGCCGGCTTCTAATGCCAGTCTTGCGTTCTGGTAGTGATGGGAGTGCGGGGTAGCTACGTAGATTATATCAACATTGGGATCGTTGACGAGCTCGTGGTACGATCCATATGCAGCTGGGTTTCCGGGGATGTTGATTTCTGTAATGAACTGTTCAGCCCTCGCTTTTGACGATGATGAAGCGACGGCCGTCACGGTGTGAGTGACGTCCTCTGCGCCGCGGGCTTTGGAGTCTTTGAGCAGATCTTTGACAAAAGCTATCCACTAATATCAGCACAGACTATTATCATATACCGTAGAAATAAAACAAAAGAACTTACTTTTCGCAATTCCGCCAGTGGCTATGTTGGTGATTTACACGTTAGCACCACCGAGACTGCTCTGGATGGATGAGAGGTCTTACCAAGAATGCCCCATTTTGCGTTGTAGGCCATTGTATTTATGACGTTTTTCTTCAGCAATGTAAGACGAAAAAGATGAACAAAGGGAATGCTATTCTAATCATAATACAACCAACGGAAAGGATTTTCTGAATGGTAAAGATAAGGGGAATAGAATGGGGGTGTTATTATTAATGTTTTTTAAGAACTGAGATGTTTCCCCGCAGCAAAATAGGGTTGGGAGGGGATAGGGTTATGTCATACTTTATATTTAGGCTAATCTCTGAGTCTCTGAACAAAGAGATTATTCTCGAATTGTTTTAATTTGATTGAACTGATTAGAAACATGTTCATTGAACAAGCAAAGTGTCCTACCAGGCGATATGCATTGGGGAAATACAATGTAGACTTCGATGATGGTATCAAACACATCTGCCAGTCTGTTCACATGCTAAATCGCCTCACTATTCTATGGAGAATGACAACTGTGAATAATGCACTACATCATTCATAAACGGCATGATATCTGTGATATACGTCGAATCGCTATTTTGTGAAGTGCAACATCTAAACACGTGCTATGCAGGCTTGTAAAGATAAATAATACATCCAGAGTAGAATATATGTTAGAATATATTGAAAAATCGAATACATGATCATGATGGCTCTGTCTTGATCCGCACTTTTTGCTCAGGTGAATCCGTGTCCTGCACACCATGTCAGCATCTTCGTCACCATCGAAGCCTAATTGCAACCTACCTCAGCCTTTCGCTTCCCCAAAATAGAATCGGGGGTGCCGGTACGTCCTGAAGACGTCTCGGTACGGCTGGCAGGAGCTTCTTTAGTGACCTCAGCATAGCAACTGGCGTGGTACACGCGATTGTTCACTTTAATCGCATCTTGCCAAATCCAATCCTGTACATCTTCCGACCATGTTGACTCGAATTTCTCCTGGCAGATAGGACACGGAGCATTGCGTAGAGTCACATCATTCGGCGCGCGGAGCCACTGCTTCTGAGGCTGCTTCTTTGCAGCATCTTCCTCAGCTGTTGAGCTACTACCGCCAGGTCCATTGCCATCAAGGCCGCTGTCGTCATCGAACTCTCTCGATTTAATCCAGTCCTATTAGAACTGTTAGTGTATATATATATATTCATAACGGTTAACGGCTATCGACGTACCCTTTCATCCACATACCAACTCCTATTCTGTCCACGTCTTGTAGCCTCAGTCATTCGCTGATTTGTCTTAAAATGCCAATCTAAATGGCGGGCTTTCTGTGTCTTTCCTTCATCGGTGGTGGGGAAGCGGCGGCCACAAGTGCCGCATTTGTTACTCTTCGCATCGTAAAGACTGTTGATAAGAACTGGTCGAGGACTGGAATGTTTCATGAGATTTATGCTGATGATAAGCACTTACGGTGGTCTACTCACATTTTGATAGAAGCCGTACTTAAATGCACGTTTATATTGACATCGGTAGCGTTTTGTGGCGTGGGAACTGGAGGAGTATATGTAACCTGTCCGGGGACAATAAAAGGGAGATTGAAGGAAGTAGTTGAAGGTGGAGTCCCTGTTATTGGGACAGGGGGAAGAAGGCCACGAGCCCTCAAAGATGCAATAAGAGGGTTTTCTGATGGAGCATGTGTGGCGGATGCAGGTTGTGGGGTGCTGGCAGGTTGTGCTTGAGAAAGAAGACCAGAAACTACTGGTGGTGGGGTAGGCTGTTGGCGATTTGCTGTTGTTTTGAGCAAATTTGCAAGGGTTCCAGGGTTAAGTAATGCTGCTAAGTTTGGCTGAGGCATAGATTGTTGAATAGGTTGTGAAGGCGGAATTGAAACAGTTGGAGGTGGGACAGGAGAATTGGTATAAGGAGGGACGGTAGGAAGATTGGGTGCTGGTTGAAATATGGGCTTTGACGATGGTGCTAGAGTTGATACACGGTCTCGAACAAGCCTTAGCTGCTCTGGAGGAAGTTGCTGACGTTGTAAAATTCCTTGAAGGTCCAACAAAGCCTTGAGACGTTCCTGAATTGCAAAGTCAAGAGGATTGGTAGCGAAGTCAGACCGCGCACTTAGAATCAGATTTTCAATGTCCCGATGTAATGTGCCCAAGTCGACATCCTGAGATGGTTGGGGTGTGTGCGAATGTCTGCCTGGATACGCTTCTCCCTAATATTTTGTCAGACGGTTTTTGGCCTCATGAAAAAAATTGAGATACTGCTCGTACTTGCGTTTGAGCACTTACATTCGGTCCATAGGGAGATGGAGAACCTGTCCTAGCTGTAGGTGGATATCGAGGATTTGCAGCTTGCGGTGGAGTTGGAGTATGTGTCCAACTAGGCGGTGTTGTAGTACCGCGTCCGCGACCAAGGACATCTGGTGGCTGACTTCGCTGCTGTTGTTGGAGAGCAGCAGTTCGCGCCTTGATGAGCGCGTTCTCAATGCCTCTGGTGATCTCAGTTGGAAAAACAGGCCGAGGGTCTAAAGAACCAGGTACGGGCTCTTTCCAAGTCCTCAGCATCTCATCTAACTTCCGTCTCGTTTGCTGATCAACCAATGTATATGCATTCATGAAAGTCTGATAGAGATTTCGGCCCAAAAATAAAGTGTAGGGTGTTCCTACATTCTTCACAACACTGTCGACTACATAGAGGGCTGGAAGTTTCTGCGCAGGCGGGGTCTACCAAAGCAACAATTAGAGCTTCTTCCTCGAAATGTAAAACTACAAAAGCCGGCAGCGTAATGACAAAGACAAGCCATCTTGTGTAGATCAAAGAGACAAATATTTGAACAGGCAGAAGCCCACATCTATAATTGCAAAGCCACATGGTGGAGAAGGAAGACCTACCGTTCGGATATGATTCTCCAGGACTCGTGAGATAGCCATGGCATGTTCTGTATTCTCCTTAGCTATGACAGTTAAATTGCTGATCTGGAACCTGTCATTGGTTGTTAGATCTTCAAGGGAATTTTTGTAGTCCTCGGCGACTTCATCCGATGGAAGCCCTGAAGACATGATGCGAGGATAAGTGTGTATAATGAGGGATGTGAGACGGAAGGTATGAGGAAGAGGGGAAACAAAGCTCCCACTCAGATAGACTAAGGTTCCCCGGATAGGAAACGTAATCCACGTTTTTCAAACAATTCTTTTTATCTTCCTTTTTTTCTCTTTGTTTTCTTCAAAATGAGCTTTTTCTCCTTGAAAGGTAGGTCGTTACTCTTTTGTTTCTTGATGGCTTCCACTTCGGTCCTTTGTGCTCCTGTTAACCGATATTTTTTCTAAACCATGAGTCCAACTGGGAAAGAGAAATATTTGGTCACGATAGACCTCCAAAAGATAGAATTCTGATTGTTTTTGACGTGCCTTGGCTTCAGATAATCTTTCGGAAGTGCAGTATGTGGAATGAACAGGTTTTGTAAAATGCTTGCTAGCTACCTTCGCTAGAGTGAGAAACAGATTATGAACCCCCACCCAACTTGATTAACAAGAGAAACTGAAAGCCTCCAGACAATCGTCCTACCCCAAAGACCACCAAAATTATTGCCTTATCAACACTGCGTACTAGAACGATTCCTCAGGGAGCAGGACGTATAGGGAAAGGACACGCGAAAGTTTCAAGACTGGATGGAGTTAATTAGGTTGATGCACGCTGAAATGCACAGAAAACAGAAGAAAGGAAAAGAGGGGAGTGACGAAGAAGACAAGACAGCGACGGACGGGAATTAAAAAGAGAAAACTCTGTTGATCGTTGAGAGCCAGAAGAGAAGGTAATTAGAGAGGATCGTATCATGGTTGATCGCATCGACGGAAGTCGGGCCGCTGCTGAGTCATCTTCATGCCTCAGGCAGCCGCCGGAAGTTTGCGTCGACCAGTGACGTAGCAGCCGCCACTTCGGACTAGGTAGTAAGTACTTATCGTATCACGCAAGTTCCATCATTGTCGTGACCATCGAGCTCTGCGTTGTTTGCAGCATCCTTAGACACATCTCTTGTTATCCTGTGACCAGACGGTCTATTCAGACATAGCAATTATACTCCATCCTGCAACTATAACAGACATGAAGCTGTCTCACTATCTTTTCGTTTTCACCTTTGGGCTCTTGCAAGTAGCCCTTGCAGTCCAACCACAGAAGTCTGTTGTCATCACTTTCCCCGACAATACCCCAGACTCAGTCTTGAATGATGCAAAGAGGACGATTACTGATGCTGTGAGTATTATATAAACATTGCCCTCTTAACAAGACATGCTAATGGTTTGCTCAGGGCGGTTGGATCACTCACGAATATAGTAAGTCTTGCCACTACCTGTTCATACTCAACCTTGCTAACATATTCATCCAGACCTGATCAAGTATGCTACTAGAGGTCGGCGATATTCAGATTAATAAACACTAACGAAATCAACAGAGGTTTTGCCGCGAAAGCTACCACCAACGCACTTCAGACTATATCTACTTCGTCTACCGCTTTTCTCCCCGTCATCGAAGAAGATAAAGTCGTAAGCGCTAGTGGTGATTTTGTTGGGGAGTAGGAATTTTGGATCGTTCCGCAATTGCTGAAACGTTCGAGTGCCTGGCGCATTACGATGCTTTAGTGATGCTGGTATCAAGACTTTACCAGGCGCTGCTTTGGGAAAGGCAAACGTCTTTTGTATGGTTGCTGTAAATATGGATTATTGATTAGGGTATTGGTTTCTATGTGCATATCATTTTGGGACGGGGCGACTTCTTTGAGGTTGTGGCGCACGGTTTTTATTCTTTAATAATGTAATTCGTTTCAATGACTCACCTATGCAAAGCGCCTAGCAATGACAATGGACTTCAGTCATACCAAAAGTGACTACTACAAATATACAAACGTTGGTCATTTAAAAAAGCTAATATAACGCAGTTTTGAAGAGTAACTATAAATGCCTGTCATACTTTTGATATAGTATTCTATTCGTTCAATTTTGGGTTTCACTATATTCATTACATGATGCTTCTGTTAAGCCACATTGCACGTGTTGAAATCATTTCAATTACATCACTTGTTTTATTACATAGCATCATACATGAGATGAAGCTTATGAGCTTTGAGGGGCAGCGGCTTGCACTAACAGCTCCTAGGCTGCATTTTATCCGAACGCGGGCCCATGGGTGCCTCCGCGTTCTTAACGCGACTATAGCACACACGACCTCCTCGACGCAGTTCCTTGACAGCCCATTTTTGTTAGCCATATCCATCATGATACAATTGTTCCATTAATCAACGAGTGCTCAAGTTCCGATTTCCATGATATGCGGAGCTTTTGTGTTTACTTTAGTCGATCGTCAATATGACTTCTGAACACAGTGTCGCCAAGGTGCTACTCGAATGGATCAACAGCTTCTCGTTGGGTAAGACGATTCGGAATGCAGACGAATTGACGGACGGAATCATACTCTGGGAAATACTACAGGACATTGACCCTCAGCATTTCTTGGACGAATTACCGGACCGAAACCCGTCTGACCATTGGGTTACTAGATGGCAGAACCTCAAGCACCTCCATAAGCTCTTGACCAGTTATATTCGCAAGCAGAATGACGATGAAGTGCCTCCTGGACTCGACCCATCGCCCGATTTGAAAGCAATCGCCGAAGCGAACTCGCTGAAGGAAACAAACAAGCTCCTGAAATTGATCCTGATTGCAGCTATTAGTTCTGCGAACGCAGAAATGTACGTTACAACACTGCAGAGCTTGAGTACTCCGACGCAGGAGGGATTGAAGGATATTATCCAAGAAGCTCATAATACCCAGCATGAAGACTCTTCGGGGGAAGAGGAAGTGAAGGATGGCGCGGCTAAGCGTGACCACACAGTCGACCCAGAGCTGCGATTTGAAGAGCGAGTTGGAAAAGTTCTTGCAGAGAATGATAAGCTAGCGAGTGAGAAAAAAGAGATGGAAAAGGCCCTGGAGGATTTACATAATCGCCTGGCCCGTCTTCAAGAAAATAATGATACTCTACAAACACGCCTGACCTCAACGGAGGATAGACTGGTTACACTCAAATCAGGGAAAGGTGACGTGGGATTTAGTGCGAAGGCCCTGGAAAGCAAATCACGCCAGCAAGAGGAGCTCATTGCCAACCAGGAGGCCAAGCTTTCTACAGCCCAGGATGAGATTGATAGTCTGAAAATGTCACTGGAGACTATGCGAATCAAGACGCAACGCTTCCAGAAGTTACAGGATGATTACGATGAACTGAAGACTGAGAGAGATCAATTGACCCGGAAAGCAAATGCGGCAGAGAAATACCGACAAAAACTTCAGGCCAGCCAAGACTTTGAGAAAGAGAACCAGGCGCTCAAAACCCAAGTCACAGATCTTCAACAACAGCTTAAGGATGCGGACTCAAACCAACGCCGATCTTCTGAACGGGACGTTGAATTGGAGGAATATAGGCGCGTCTTGCCACGTATCGAGCAAGACCGTCACGAGATCCAGAGTCTTAAAAAGCAACTGGAGTTCAACAATCATGCTCTCACTGAACGCCTTCAAAGTGCAGAAGAACAAAGAGACCGAGATGAGGCATTGATCAGCGAACTGCGAGAACGGATCCGAGAATTAGAAGGTCCTCCTGGTAGTCCTTCACTTACGCCTGGAAATACAACTCCAAGGCCACAAGGCACACTACAAAAGGACTTGGAAGATATCGGAACGAGAGAAACACAGTTGTAAGTGGACTTATTGTTAATGCATACATGCCAGAATACTGACTCTTGCAGGAAATCGGAGAATGAAGAACTGAAGAAAGAGGTGGAAAAATTGAAGACAACCCCCAACTCAGTAAGCAGTGGCCTCCTCTCTACGAAATGCAGATTGCTAACAATATTATAGCTTGGATCGAACCTCGAGGCATACTCTGAAAACTTGGTGCTGACGGCACAGTTGGCGCAAGCCAAATCAACGCAAAGGTGAGCTAGAATTGCAATAATCTGGTTTGTGATAACGCTAAGCATTCAGTAGTGAGGAATATTGGAAATTATACGATCAATACGCAGAAGTGCGGCAGAAGCTTGCAGATTCTGAAGATGTTATCGATGCTACTAAAAGACTACTTGAGGATGCGAAATCAGAGCGTAGGTTGTGAACTTTTTTTGATTTGTAATGATGCTGACATATGTGATAGTGGGACTTGTTGGCAAAGAAAAGATCGATATGATCACTGAAGTCAAGGATTCTAATTCCTCAGAAATCTCCAAAGTTCGCGCAGACTGGGATGAGCTTTTACATAAGATTCACCATCTTGAGGCTGAAATAGATGCATCTCAGGCTCTTGTGAGAGACGTTTGCGCTGAACGTGAGGAGCTGCGCACATTGCTGGACGACAAGCAGGGCAAAATCCACAGCGAAGATGAGGCCTCTATCAAGGAAATGCAGGCACTTCTCGCAGAGTTTGGTGCTCAAACCAATACCGACGATCCTAACGCCGCTTCGAAGTCGGCTATTGAGCTTTTGAAACATTTCGCGGAAGTCACAGAAAAGAGTGCAGAGAGGCTTGCAAAGAGGGCTGAAGTAGGTGATTCAAATTGTGTTCAACTTTCCTGGCTAATTATGTGTTGTAGTACATTGAACAACAAAAGGAGTTTATTAAGACACTCCAAGACCGAATTAAAAACATGGAAGAATCAAATACAGAGGACAGTATATCTAAACAGCGTGAGGTAAGTGATTCTTCCAGAATTAGCAATATTCGCTCCGTTGACACCAGAATCAGAATGAACTCCAGGATATCATTCACCGACAATCTCGAGAAATCTCTCTTATTTGTTCTGCGTGGTACGACCTTCAAGGGCGCCTACAACACAGTAACGTCAGCGTTTCGCGTTACCGCCAACCTGCATCCATAGGCACTGGCGGTGGAGTGGATTCGCAAAGAGGATGGCTTGCAAAGCAAAGGAGCCTTGTTTCCAACGCAAGCACTCCTAGATAGAATGCGTTCATGCAGTTCGCAGGTAATGTTCATCTGTCATGCGCTCGAAATAGAAATGGTTTAGCATTTTACACCAGTTCACATATTGCCATTGATTGTTCATTGTGCTTTTCCCCTTGCATTGAAATAATTAGATTGTATGATGAGTATATACACCTGTTTCCAACAATCAATATTGATATTCTCAGGCAATTGCTTGTTGATGGATGAGTTTTGCTGTTTTTATGACTGACTTATACCCATGTATATTTGAGATTCTGGCTTTCTAACATTTGAGGAAGCAATGACATATACCCACTTGATATACTGTACATACCCTCATGTTTCTTACTGTTGAGCTTTGTATATTGCTTGTTTGTCCGTTGAATATATACATACGTGTAATTACCTCGTTAGATTGAAGAACATATCTAGGTGCCATTAATATACAATTTTTTAAGAGATACAAGAGTCCAACAGCAACACGGCTAAATGCGAAACCAAAAGAGGGCGTAATCATGCCCACTGCCGAGGATGCTTTAGAACATCTAATAATTCCCGTTCCCGAGCAGTCTCTTCGACATCAACTAGCCCCTCATCGGCAGCAGCTGCCTCAGTTCTTGTTCCTGAAACAGGATCCATATATACCCAGCTCGCTGTTCGAGGCAAGCTCATCAGAATACTCTCCACCCGAGCGTTGGGGGTTCGTAGACCGAAACTAGTACCACGGTCATAGACCAGGTTGAATTCAACGTATCGACCTCGTCGGAGCTGTTGCCACTCTTTCTGTTTTTCCGTGTAAGGCATGTCCTTTCGTCGCTCTAGAATAGGGACGTAAGAAGGGAGGAATGAACCTAAAGCATCGCTGACGAAGGAGAAGAGAGTCTCCTGCGGGTTTTGAGACGACGATGATGTTTGTAGGAAGTCGGCGTCGAGGTCATCGAAGAAAATACCACCGACTCCTCTCGCTTCGCCTCGATGTGGAATGTAGAAGTATTTATCGCACCAGGTCTTGAATTTCGGGTAGTAGGTGGAATCGTGGCGATCGCAGGCTTCTTTGATTGTCTGGTGGAAGTGCGTGCAATCTTCGGGGAAAAGATAAGATGGAGTTAAATCGGTACCTCCGCCGAACCACCAGTTTCTATCTCCATTGATTGGATCCTTTGGATCAGAGGTTTCAAAGTAGCGGTAATTCAAATGCACCGTTGGTGCGTTGGGATTATGAGGGTGCAACACGAGCGATAGACCGGCAGCGAAGAAGCTCAAAGATTCCACGTCTGAGCCAACAAATGATTTGTGATCGGCACGCATTTTCTCAATTGCTGGTCGAGGCAATTCACCATATACAACCGAAACGTTCACTCCGGCCTTTTCGAAAACATTTCCATCTTGAAGCACACACGAGATTCCTCCGCCACCATTGGGGCGTGTCCACGTGTCGGCGCGGAAATCCTTACCGTCAATTCTGCTCAGCTCTTCTGTGATCTTCTTCTGTTGGTCTTTGATCAATTTTTCCATTCGCAAGCGCATTGGAGACGCTTCGTTGATCTTAGACTGGCGTTTCAAGGCCTCGTCGATTTCTGCAATCGTTGGAGCTTCGGTCTCGGTCACATTCTCCGTTATCTATTGCATATTTCAGTCAGCGTCCTTCTTCAGTAGTCAACGGCCCTGTTCTGCTCTTTAACGCACCATAGAGTAAATCAATGCGCCGATAAATGGAACGCCGATCGCGAGGCGAAGATAGGGCCGCCAAATCACGTATTGCTGCTCGGATCCTTTCTTTGAGCTGTAGTACCGCAGATTCTGTCTCTTGAACAGATAGGAAGAGGTTTCCTTTCGTATGCTTGAACGAGCAATTGATCTCATCAGTGGCATCCAAGCCCGAGGGAGTGCCATGGTGTAGAAATGACCGCCGCCGAGGAGAAAGAAAAGAAGGGAGGCTTTATTGAAATTAAATCACATTAACGCATAAGGTGGAAATGGATTCAACAGCGCTCTCTATTCTCTAATAAGAAAAGCAAGCCACTGCCATTGGAGAACACTTGATCGCATCAGCTCACGCCGGGAACCGGGTTGCCGCATTGGAAATTGAACTGGTGATGCTTAAATCTAGTTAGTCATAGTAATTAATTAATTAGTTCCGAAGTCAAACTGCCAAACAAACAGCGCAAACTAGCTTGCATAGGCTCGGCCAATGATGACTCACCGCAGCGCAGGAGGGGCCGCTCGCCGCCGAGCTTAGGTTCTTTCTTTCTGCCGCAAAAAATCGTTGCCGACCCCCGCAGTATTCTCAATTTCAGACTTCCAGTAGCGGTGGCATCCTGACAGTCGCTGGCTCTTCTTTTTTGCTGTGGAGGCTAGTTGATCGCTGAGCGGATTATACGCAAAAGAGAGACTTCAACATCTTGTGCAACGCCTTACTATACGCCCAAAATTCCTCAGCGACTATCATGCTTATCACGGCTAACGTCGAACTGCGATGATGCAGAGTATGATGGAAGTAGACTTGGGCAAGGCCCAGGTCATAGATAACGTGCCAAAGGTTATCAAAGAGCTGAAGTTTGGTGCTCTGTGAGTTCTCTGCTTTTCCTGCTTTTTTGCTTTGCTAACGCAACTTCTCTCCAACGTATAGATCGAACGATGACATCCTCAGTCAAGCTGTTGTCGAAATTTCGGACCGCAGATTCTACGACCTAGAGCGCAATCGAGTAGTTCAAGACAATGGGCCTTTGGACCGACGGCTTGGTGTAAGCTCCAAGACGGATAAATGCCTCACTTGTGACTATGGACATAAAGAATGTAACGGCCATTTCGGACACGTGCGACTCGTGCTTCCCGCATTTCACATAGGATATTTTAAACGTGTTATTGGTATACTGCAGGTGATTTGCAAAGAATGTTCTGCGATACTGCTTCCTGAATCGGAGCGTCGTGCTTTCTTGAAAGAGATGCGACGGCCTCGAATGGACAACTTGAGACGTCTGCAGGTTGCAAAGCGAGTTGTGGAACGCTGCAAGAAGACCAAGGACTGCCTCGTGTGCGGTGCGATTAATGGCGTGGTAAAGAAAGCTGGCACGAGTGCGCTGAAAATCGTTCATGAAAAGTTTCGCCATTTTAACCAGTCGACAGCTACGAAGAAGGTTGAACCAATTAGCAAGACGGAGTTCGACAAATCGTTGGCCGAAGCCAGGGCGTCGAATCCTGAGGTCGAAAGATACTACAAGAAAGCTCAAGACGATATGAATGCACTTCGAGTCTTGAACTTGTTCAAGAAAGTAACCAATGCGGACTGTGAGCTTTTGGGTCTAGACCCGACAGAGGTTCGACCAGAAACGTTTCTCTGGCAGTTCATTCCCGCGCCACCGAATTGTATCCGTCCATCGGTGAGCCAGGATGGCGCATCGAATGAAGACGATTTAACTGCCAAATTGGGAGATATTGTTCAGAGCAATATCACTCTCAGAAACAACTTGAAGAAAGGAGCGCCAATCCATACCATCATTGAATGCTGGGACTACATGCAGCTGCAGATCGCTATATATATCAACGGTGATATCCCGGGCCTAAAAGCTGAGGTTGGAAAACCGGTGCGCTCATTGGTTTCTCGCTTGAAAGGAAAACAGGGAAGATTTCGAGGTAACCTGTCTGGAAAGCGTGTAGATTTTTCTGGACGAACAGTTATATCTCCGGATCCCAATCTGCGAATTGATGAAGTAGCAGTCCCAGAACTGGTGGCGAAGAATATGACATATCCAGAGGTAGTCACTCGCTATAACAGGGAAAGGCTACAAGAACATGTGCGCAATGGACCCAAAAAATGGCCAGGTGCAAATGCAGTTATCAAACCTGGTATAAGGCTTCTTCTGAAATTCGGCAACCGTCATAACCTGGCTTCGAATCTGCAGATAGGAGACGTTGTCGAACGTCATCTCGTTGACGGCGATATTGCACTATATAATCGACAACCGTCACTTCACAAACTCAGTATTCTCTCTCACTTTGTGAAAGTTCGTCCTTACAGGACATTCCGCATGAACGAGTGTGTTTGTAATCCATACAATGCCGATTTCGACGGAGATGAAATGAACCTGCACATTCCCCAAACTGAGGAAGCTCGCTCAGAGGCGATGGAACTGATGGGTGTGAAAAATAACTTGGTCACACCAAAGAATGGCGAGCCTATTATTGGTGCTATCCAAGATTTTATCAGTGCAGCCTATATCTTGAGTAGCAAGGACAACTTTTTCGATAGAAGGTCTTTTACCCAGATTTGCATGTACATGCTTGGGCCTGACACTCGATTTGACCTCCCACCACCCTCTGTAGTTAAACCACAAATGTTGTGGACCGGGAAACAAGTCTTCAATATTCTCATGCGGCCCAACAAAGACGATCCAGTCAAGGTCAACATTGATGCTGCTTGCCGAGAATTTAAACATCCGAAGGACGGGCGTCCAAAGGATCTAGACCCTAATGATGGCTGGCTCGTTATTCGCAACTCAGAAATCATGTGCGGTGTGATGGACAAGAGCACGATTGGCTCAGGAAAGAAAGATAATGTCTTTTACATCATGTTGAGAGACTTCGGTCCCGTAGCCGCAGCAGAAGGCATGAATCGACTTTCAAAATTATGTGCTAGATGGTTCACGAATGTTGGTTTTTCAATCGGTATCACAGATGTGTACCCTAGTGAGAGACTGGTTCAATCGAAAAATGATTTGGTTGAGAAGGCTTATGCTGCTTGTGACGATGTCATAGCTCAATACAAAGCCGGAAGGTTGGAAAAGCTGCCTGGCTGTGATGAACTACAAACCATGGAAAATAAAGTGACTGGTATTCTATCCAAAGTCCGTCAACAGGCAGGTGAAGAATGTATTGCGCAATTGAGCAAATACAACGCACCTCTTATCATGGCTACGTCTGGTTCTAAAGGTTCCAGTATCAACGTCTCTCAGATGGTGGCAGTCGTGGGCCAACAAGTCATTAGCAGTGAACGTGTCCAAGACGGATTCCAAGACCGAACATTACCTCACTTCCCCAAAAATGCTCGTCAACCCCCATCGAAAGGTTTCGTCCGCAACAGCTTTTTCTCTAGTTTGACACCTACCGAGTTCTTTTTCCACGCCATGTCCGGTCGTGAAGGTTTGATCGATACTGCTGTTAAAACTGCCGAAACTGGTTATATGTCTCGTCGTTTGATGAAGTCACTTGAAGATCTGTCCGCCAAGTATGATGGAACTATTCGCACCTCATCGGCCAGTCTTGTTCAATTCAGCTACGGAGGAGATGACTTGGATCCCGTTAACATGGAAGGCAATGCCAAGCCAGTTCACTTTGACCGCACCTATAATCACGCCGTGGCAATAACGCATGATAATCAGGATCGTGGCCTTCTTCCATCGGAGATCATGCAGATCACAGAGAAGGTGTTGTCTAAGGAACGAGCGAGATTTGAGCGCAAAGGTCTCTTTGGTGAAGCACTTGGCTACATGGAACGAACTGATTATGGTATCGATCAGTATGAGAGTGCTCGTGACTTCATTGAATCTGTCCATGCTTATATTGAATCGAAAGCAAATAATATCATTGCATTGGGAGGTAACCTCGAGTCCGTGTCAGATAATCAAGCACAGAAAGCTTTGAACCATGTTGGAAAATTATCAGAGAAATCACTTCGGTATTTCATCGAGTCTTGTCTGTCTAAATACGAAAAGGCGAAGATCGAGCCTGGTCATGCAGTAGGTGCGGTGGGTGCACAATCAATTGGGGAGCCGGGAACACAAATGACATTGAAAACGTATGTGCTACTTCATGTGAACTTTTATTTTCTGTTTCTTTATTTGGTGCATTTAATACTAACTACCTCCTTAGTTTCCATTTTGCTGGTGTTGGTAACTTGGCCCTCACTCAGGGTGTCCCACGTATCAAAGAAATCATCAATGCTTCGAAGGAGATTAGTACACCAGTCATTGCTTGTCACCTCGACTTCAGCAAGCAAAAACCTCTAGAAGAGCAAGCCTTCTTGGCGCGGGTTACCAAAGGAAGAATCGAGAAAACCTTCTTGCGTGATATTGTTCACTACGTGAAGGAAACATGGACGGGCAAAGATTCCTATATTACAGTTAAGATAAACACGGAAACCATCAAAAAACTTCAGCTTGAAATGCCTGTGAAACAAATCGCGGAGGCTATCAAAAACCACAAACGTTTCAAGGCGGACGACATCCGGGTGGATACATTTCACACACATATTCAGGTCCACGTGGACATGGATCCAAAAACCAAATCGACCCTGTCCAAGACAGATATCTCCCTAACAAGCGCAGACCCATTCCTTCGATTGAAGCATCTTAAGCGTATGCTGCCGGACATTCAAGTCCTTGGCCATCCTCAGGCCCGACGAGCTGTTATTCACACCGATGATGTCACGCATAAATTACTCGTGGAAGGGTATGGACTCAAGGAGTGTATGACAACGGACGGTGTCGATGGTCTCCACACAACTACCAACAATGTCATGGAGACCAAGACAATTCTCGGTATCGAAGCCGCGCGAGCTACCATCGTCAACGAGATGAGTGCAGTCATGAAGGATATGGACATTGATCCTAGACATGTAAGATAAGCCCTGATCTGAAGCTGCACATTTATTGACATTTTTTCCACAGATGCATCTCTTGGCGGACATCATGACTACTACTGGTGAGGTGCTCGGTATCACGCGTTTTGGCATGTCCAAGATGCGGGATTCTGTCCTTCAACTTGCTTCCTTTGAGAAGACAGCCGACCATCTTTTTGATGCCGGTGGTACTGGGCGAACAGATCGTGTGGAAGGAGTGTCCGAATGCATCATCATGGGCAAGACAGTGTCTCTTGGTACGGGCGCGATGGAGGTTGTTCGCAAGCTGAATTTCTACGAAGGACATACCGGACCGAAGAAGACTGTCTTTGAGGATTCTTGGTCTGAGCTATACGGTAATTCAGTTGTGCCGAAAAGACAAGTAAAGAAATCACGGGGATGACGCCGCTACGCACGGTGAATTGTACTAAAAAGCATGGTCTAGGGAGTTTGGGAATAGGTCTTTTATCGCATTCAGCCGGCGGTTACTATGGCTTTCTTTTTCTTTTTCTATTTTTTGGTGTATTTATCATTCATTGATGTTACGAGTACGACATCATGATTTGTGGCATTAGAGCAGCGTTGTTCAGGTTCTTGAGTATCCTCTTTTCAAACGTCCTCATGATTAGTTACGTATTTTCAAGCCTCGTTGAAATGGTACAGAGCCCGCACGTGCACGTGGTTAGCATGAACAATCGTGACTCACGAGTTTGATTCAGAGGCAGGTCACGGGATGCTTTGATAGATCTGAGATCTTCAGGGCCATGTCATGTCCTTTGTCAGATGGGGTTATCAGGTTGTCAGCCCCCGATCGATGGTATCGTCAACGAGGCTGTGACAGAACCATCTTGTGTGGATCGAATCCGGGCACCCCGCAGAGAAGCGTAGAGGAAGACGATCCATCAACAATAATACCGCCAAGAATCCCTAGATTGTCGAAGAAATGCAGCAGGAAAATAATAAGCTGTTTGCGTAAGCAGAATCAATCAGACCATAACAATAGCGGTACCTGGCGGGTTGGCTGGGCAGGTCAGGTGCTGCAGGCAACGTGAGCGTGACAATTGCCAATTACCAGTATACTCAGCGGGGCTCTGCTGTGGCTACTATCCGTTACTACTACTAAGCTGCCTGCTGCCCGGTCCCCACCCCCGACCGCCCTCTTCCTCGTCCATCAACTTCCATCCTCCTTCTATCTTCCATCATCATCCCTCTCTTCCGTCGACTACGTACATTTTCCGTCTTGCATCTGCCGGCTTTCAATACTGCTACATATCGTCGCTCTCGTGTCCACCCCACAGCAACCCATCGTCAGCCTGCCTCGTTATCCACACCAACCTTATCCGCTACCCCATAACCGCCCATTCAGCTCACCATGAGATCCAAGTTCAAGGACGAGCACCCCTTCGAGAAGCGCAAGGCTGAGGCCGAGCGTATTCGCCAGAAATATGCCGACCGTATCCCAGTATGTTTTGCCTGATCCTCCGCGCTGTGTCTGTCCTTCCAGCAAATCACACCGCCTTCACCGCTTCATTATGATGTGTTCATACTGACAGCCGTTTCCTTCGCTAGGTTATCTGCGAGAAGGTCGAGAAGTCCGACATCGCCACTATCGACAAGAAGAAGTATCTAGTTCCCGCAGATCTTACAGTTGGCCAGTTCGTATATGTCATCCGCAAGCGCATCAAGCTGTCGCCGGAGAAGGCCATCTTCATCTTCGTGGATGAGGTCCTTCCTCCTACAGCAGCTCTTATGAGCAGCATCTATGACGAGCACAAGGATGAGGACGGCTTCTTATATATCACGTAAGCTTTCCTGCTGGGTATATGAGATGTTAAATGTAAACGAGAGGCTTATCGTTATATAGGTATTCTGGAGAGAACACATTTGGTGACTGCTGACGGGCTTGGACCTGGAACCTGTCGACAGTTCGCAGAAATCAATTTGCTAGAATGACTTGTTTTAAACCGCGATCCCAGCCATCGCTCGACGATCATAATGAAATCAACGTGACGGGATAGCGTGTGTGTTTTTTTGTCGTGCCGGCGTTATATGGGTTGTCACTTTTGAGTTCTTCTACATGATTTCAACAGCGATACTAGCAGTTTTCCCCCGACAGTGAGTCCTGCATCGCAGATGCCATCTCGACTAGTCATTCCGTCTGCCGTCGCCCTCAAGAACAAAGACGATGCGGACGAGCTGCGGTGCATTCCTTTAGAAGATGCTAGGTATCTGCATGGTGCGGCTTTACTTGTGTGTATTTGCAGTTTGACACATCTATCTAGCTAAATCAATGAATTCTCGTCCAAATCGTTTACATAGTGTTTAAATGCTTGGTAATCATCTAGACCTTCCAAGCTGTAGGGTGGTCAAGCCAACCTTTTGAGAAGACACAACCTGGAGAAAATCTAGATTTACATGCTCCCCGTAATTAGTAACAATCACATACAACACAAACACAAACAATTATAACAGTAACACAGCATAAGTGTGTATGATCATCATATGTTTCACTGTTTTGTCTGCCCTTATCGGGACGATGTCGGAGCCCACTTAACCCGGCCGGGCCTAGCGCCACAGCAGGACGAGAATTCTCGACCCGAAAGATTAAGATTAATTCATTCTGGAAGTCCGCAAGCTTCGTTCTGTGCTGTCGGTGGTTTTGTATCGGTGTGTTGCTTATTTCCATTCCTTTCGTTTTCAGTTCTTCCTCAATAGATCTTTCCCCATCTTTTTCTTCCGCGGAAATACAAACATGTCGCCTGCAATGGCACAAGTCGGCGCCGGCTCGGCCGCAAAGGATGTCAAGAGGGAATCAGGCACTGCGCGATTACTCGGCTCTGGTATGGTCTTTGAATGCAAACAAAGAGTCGCCTCTAATCATAATCTAATTGCTTAGGGTCTGCTGGTATTGCGGAGTTGTTGGTTTTCCATCCCGTATGAGAATTCCATCCTCCGAGCAATAACATTTCTCTTACTGATAAATCGTCCACAGGTTGACACCATTGCGAAACGATTGATGAGCAATCAAGGCAAGGTATGCACTAAAATTCTGTCTAAATGTATCTGAATTTGAACCTCACATGCTCCTTGTCTAGGTCAACGGCGTTGCTGGTCTCAACCAAATCGTCTTCAAAGAATATGCCACGGCGTCTGCTGGCCGCAAATTCACTTCTCTGTTCCCCGGTCTTGGATATGCTGCTGGATACAAGGTATTATTATCTGAACCAGTCAATCTATGCACTTGTTGACAATACCGTTCAGGTGCTTCAACGAATCTACAAATATGGTGGTCAGCCATTCGTTCGGGATTATCTCGCCGAGAACCACGGTTCTGTTTTCGATAATACTTTTGGCAAAGGAACTGGAAAGGCTGTTATGCACGCTACTGCCGGCAGGTATGTTCTATCCCTGGCCCTTTCTATCTCGTGAGTAGGCGGCTAACCTGTTATAGTATTGTTGGTATCGGTGAAATCGTTCTCCTTCCCCTTGATGTCTTGAAAATCAAGCGTCAGACAAATCCCGAGGCATTCCGTGGTCGTGGTCTGTTCAAGATCATTTCTGATGAAGGAATGGGCTTGTATCGAGGTGCAGGCTGGACTGCTGCCCGTAATGCTCCTGGCTCATTTGCGGTATGTCAAATTTCCCGCTCTGGTTATCAATTCTTACTGATGATTTTAGCTATTCGGTGGTTCTGCTTTCGCCAAGGAATATATCTTTGCCCTCAAGGACTACAACGCTGCTAGCTGGTACCAGAACTTCATTGCCTCGATCTTCGGTGCCAGCGCCTCCCTGATCGTCTCTGCGCCTCTCGACGTTATCAAGACGCGTATCCAAAATCGCAACTTCGAGAACCCCGAATCCGGAACCCGAATCATCGCCAACATGATAAAGAACGAAGGCCCCACCGCCTTCTTCAAGGGCCTTATCCCCAAGCTGCTCATGACCGGGCCGAAGTTGGTGTTCAGTTTCTGGCTTGCACAGAATTTGATTCCTGCATTCGGAAAGGTTGTATAAGTTCTCTTTTGGAGATATTGATATTCTTTTTTATTTTTAATCTTCTCTTTGGAGCCTCAGATTCGGCGCGTCTGGCGATGGGTTTTATCATTATCTTTTAGTATTATTTAGAATCGGCACATAGTGTCTTGAGTACCGTCTGTATGTAATTTATGGGTCAAAATGAAACACACCTCCTTTCTCTGCATTATGCTACATACTCGCCTTGGCTATGAATCGGTATACAGGAAGGTGATGGGATTCCATACCTTATCTTTTCGTATAGCAAACCTCCGAATGAGAAGATAATTATTGGTCGAAGCTTCATGCTGCTGACAGCAGGAGAGCTTAGCTGGCCCGTGCACCCAACCTTAACCCGAGCTTATCCCTCCGCATATCAGTTTGATCCTTCAAGATCAAGCTTGCTATGAACTCGCTCGAGAACATCACGAATCAAAATGTCGCACCCCTTCCTCATATCCAAGTACACACCATCCCCGTTCTCTATACTTAATACCATGGCCAAACTAACAAACTACTGTTTTAGAATCGCCGACCCCATCTTCGCCCTGGCTATTGGCGCATCTTCCGCCGTAATTCGTATCCAGCGTGACCATCGTACGCAAGCAATCCAGAACGGCGAGGAAGATGCACAAAAGTTCGGGTTGAAGAAGGTTCTCGAAACGGGGTCGCGGCGGGCGAAGATGTGGTGGAATGGTGATTTTCGGGGGTTATGAGCATGCTCTTTTTCTGGTTGAAAAAGAAGGCTTGGAGTGGGATATGGATGATACGATGTCAGTGGAGTGGGAGCGGTGAGGGAGGTGAGTTGCGTGATTGATGGATACGTGGAATTTATATTCATCCATACCTTGATAGATTGGATCGGTTCAGATTGATATCAATCTCGGCGGTAAGCGCCACATACACCACACCAACAAGATCCATCGGTCTCAATGTCATTACGATAGCAAATGCACATCGCTGTGGATTTCGAGCAGAGCAGAAGGAGCAGACATCGTGAACTACAGCTTTACGAGTAGCAAGGATTATTGATTGCTAAGACACTAGTCTACCCTTAAAGACATACTTGCTGCACGTTCGTCCTGGTTGTATAGCCATCTGGCACTGCTGCTTGGTGTATATCCATGTCACGGCTAGATCGGTTCTAAATGAACAATAGCGGATGGTCTGTATACGCACTTTATATATGTTCACAAATATGAAAATGGGCATTGATGGATGATTGTAGCTACTGGTATTACGAAGTTTGAATACATATTAAGATTTTCTGCCTTTACACCGATTTACGTCAGATTCAATATAAACTTGGAGACAATGCAACAACAATGCGGTTGCCATTAAGCGCATCTACATTAACAAACACTAACATACAAATGCAGGGATCTGCTTGCCTGAGGTAACCCTAGCCCTAACTTGATTTTGGGTATAATCGTAAACGCTCAAATAATTAAATGTAATCATGATATTGGCCAAACAATGCCTCAACACCCCATCTTGTATATGTTCACGCCCGTTTAACTCCGTCATCTCCTACATTTCATGCACATCTTTGTATGTCATTTCCCTGAGCCTTCTTGGTTTTCTTTGTTAGCTTGGGATCCTTTCTTTAATCTTGAGAATATGTCGCCGTTTTATTCTCTTTCTTGCTCTAACATATTAGTCCTTTTTGAATAACCCATGCATCTGTAGCTCATAAACCTAATGGCTCTGTTCTCTGGTCGTCGCCTAGCTGATATAACCAATTACTGCCCCAAATGAGTATAGAGAATACCAGTCTGTTACACCATTCGAAAGCTGCTCTTTGTTATCCGAGTCATAGACCGCCCGTGAACATAGTAGCTTTTCTTCACTGCGTTGACTTGAGGCTTAGTTGATTGATATTACCACCAACTTTTGCATTCCACATCAAACTATTGAAACCCATACGATTCCCATCACCAGCTTCAGGTACGTCCAGAGCCTCTTCTGGACTAAAAATAGCCGCAGCACGAAAGGCTCCTCCGGGATGCGTCAGCAACAATTTAAACAGGCTCCCTTCGCCACTCGTGTGTCTTGCAATTGCTCGAAGTCTTTTGAGCAAGTACTGTACTTCCGTCCTCTCGTGGTATTCCAAACAAGCTAGCCAGTCTAGAACGCAAAATGTGACTGTCTTCTGTGGAAGCTGGAAGATGAGCTGGTCGAACACGTCACAGAGGACTTTGAGGTCATTTTCACGCATCAAAATTGCGGTACTGCGTTTGATAAAATAGAGATCGAACCCAGTACGGGCATGCAGAAGTTGGCCGATAAGATGTCTAATTATACCATGGACATTGGCGTCTGCATCTTTACGAGTATCGCGGTGCTGATGGGTGAACCAGTGTAGGCAAATCGGCCGGTTTTTCTGTGCTTGTCGGGTGGATTGGACAACGTGGGCGGCCAAGAAAGACATTGATGAAATGCCACTCCCAAAATCCTCGGAATGGCCACTGATAAGAAGCGTGGCCTTTGTTGGCTCTAAAAGCCAATTTCTCAGACTTTCGCTGTTAATGACATATACGATTCGATCTTGTTCTTCCAGGCTGAGTTCAGTTCCTCGATGCATGACAACAGTCAGATCCGTCAGAGGAATATCCCCATCGTATCTTAAGATAGATTCGCACAGAGACTGTCTTGATATAGCCTTTCCCCTTTGTACTTGTTTTGGAATAGGCTGTGGTTGCAGCATTTGACCGGTCTGGGGATTTATCCTTGGGTTGCTGAGCACCACACCATAAACGCAGTCAAGAATCTCCTGAAGACGTGCATCCATAACCTGGAAACGGTTCATACCACACAGAAGAGCTACAGTCTAGTTAGCCTTGTCTCTCTGTTTCATAAACAGTGGCTAGTAGCCGCTGAAATCATGTTTCTAAAGCGAGCACTTCCAATAGACATGCACAAGTTTGAGATTGTGATGTGAAAGCTATAGGTTGGAAAATAAGGCTGTTACATACCTTCACTCATCACAGAAGATACTACTTCCTTGAATTCTTTAATCTTGTCTTCCAACACCTTTTCGTAACTGCTCTGTTGAATTATAGCTTTAAAATACCGGGGTGCACATTTCTGTCCGTACCAAGTAATGATGTGTTCAAGGATTCCAAAAATAGTTGAGTAGAGAGACGAGACTCGATTGTACAGGCGCGAGAAGGCCTGCAGGTCCTGGTTGTAGTCAATCATCAACTGCGCCTTCTCCACCTCGTCAGGGATAGTTGCCAGTGCCTTGAAAATGAACTCTTTGACTTCGTCCATCCTCGTGGCCGCGCGCAAAATCATTTTGATACCGCCGCATATCAGACTCCCATATTGACTTTGAGTGGGTAGCAGATCGAGCCAGTTCTCTATAATAGCTGACCTCTTTTGCAGTGACCTAAAAAACCCGCGGACCTTGCCGAACGGAGATTCGCTGCTTTTCTTTTTGTACTTCATCTCAGCGATACTGGCCTCCTCGATGACTTCTGACCAGCTATGTTTGTCTTGCAACTTAAATCGCGTCTTATATTTGTCCGGCAGCGCATTTTCAAATGACTGCAGGACTTCTGCAAAATGTTTGCAGTGGATATCTTCGTGGGGGTCAACAATGTCAGCCTCGTCGACAGGGAGTTCCTTCCTGGCTTTGTCGATCGGGGAACTGCCATCTGCGACTGGTAAGTCGATTGCTCTACAACCGTTAATTTCTACTCTGTTGTCGACAAATTCTTTGGCAACATTCGATAACCGAACAGGTGGCAGGTCTCTATTGTTTCGGAGTGAGACCTTCATACGCCCAACCGCATCGTGAATAGTACTGGACATGATCACCTTAGAAAATCGCAATCAGCAAGCAATCGTGCATGGATGAGTTATTCAAATGATATACTGTGAAGAATTGCTCTACAGGTAGTAGCCAGGGCCTGGGGGACTTTCGAGTACGTTTATGCTAACCACATTCATACTAAATTATGCCAGGCTGAGATACAAGTCAAAGCTGACTCCACCTTCATAATACTAATCATCTTGCATAAAATGGCTTTTTCGAGATCCTTGCAGGAATAGTGTCGGGGCTTCGTTTTTATTTGTGGCCACTAGGCGTGGTCGTACGTGTTTCACGAGTCAGTAAGCTCTTTCAGCCTCACCGTGCACATATAGTGCCACGCAAGCTAACATGCCAGTGGAATCCTGCAGCCCTGCCTCCTCCAATGAGTGATAAAAGCTCAATGACTCGGCCCCGCTACTTACCCTCGTATATGTATATCAGGAGTATTTCGGCCTCCTAAACTGATTACCAAGCGTCGTTGCGCATGCACCGTGCGGTCGGGGCGGCTTGCTTAAAAACTTTTTGTGATTCGCGGGAAATAACAGACGGTGTGGAAGATAAAAATAACAGAAGCTACTAGAAATGTTGACTACTTTCAGGAGCACCTGAAAGCTATCGGCAGAGTGAATTAGGAGCGGAAGATACCTGGAGTATCAATCTATATATTGCCAGGACTCCATTCTGCAGTTTCTTCGAGAACGAAACAAGGTATATGGATCTAGAAAACTCCCCTGAGTAGTTGTTTAACACGACTACAGGGACATTAAGCGAAACCATCAGCCTTGCTAGTCATCTGCTCCGCAGCTAGCTCAACACCACACGAAACCTAGAAATTTACGAACACTATTATCTTCGTCAGGGTTGAAATAACGCTTGTATGATGGCGGTTGAGGAATGTGCCATTATCGAATCTTCTACGGTGATAGATGGAGAGATTTCTGAAGGGTCGACCTCACCGTTATCTATGAAATTGGTGGAAAATCTCAACCTTCTGGAGAGCCGCCTAGAGGGTATAGAGAAGAAGTACCAAGAGCTTTTAGCGAAACAAGGACACTCAGAGAGTGAGACGAAAGAAAAAAAGGAGGAAAAGGAGGATAAAGCAACGGAGGATGATAAAGGAAAGGAGAAAAACAAGGACAAAAAAGACACAACAGAATCCGAGCTAGATGAGAACGCCCCCCTAATTCCTAGTCTGAATCGTCTCTCCTGGCCGCAATGGGTCAAACTTCAACTTTCCGAAAGGGAATGGGAAAACAAGAGCGACGAGCAAAAGAAGAAAGATATCAAAAGACGAAAAACGAAACCTAAATCATTTGTTATCGATGTTGTCGCTGACATGGGTGACTTGGGACTGCCAACCAACACAGAGAAGAAGATCCCAGCTAAATACTCCGAAATCCCTTACCGCATCCGCATTAATTCTGAACACATATTAGATGTCCTCAATGAAACCGCCAATGTGGTTTTACCGCAGAAGTGTCAGTTACTGCACCCTTACAAAATCATTGTCGACAACTTGGAAGAAATAAAAGGATATGAAAAAACTTTAGAAGAAGAGTTGACAAACGCAAAGACGGCTCTTGCTTTTAAGGCCAATGATAGCGAGACCGAGGCCCTGGAGACAAAGCCAGAGCCACCTCTCAAGGAAAGCAATGGGACTCCTCCGACAGAGAAAGATCAAACCCCTCCCAGCAAAAGCAAGGCATCCAAGAGTAAAGAAGAGGAAGATGTCGAGCTTGTGCAAGAAAAGATAGCGCACTATCGGTGCTTTATCGAGCTCCTTGAGACGAACCTAGCACCAGAAATTGAAGTGGCCAATTCCATCAAGGACGGAACGGCAGAGAAGATTTTATTCTGTCATCTATGGCATCTTTTCCCACCAGGAGAAACCATTTACTATCAAAGTCAAAATCGAAATGAGCCGCCACAAGCAACTCAAGTTATGAAGGTTAGTGGAGGCCGGGCTAAACTCCCAAATTCAACCAAGGGTTTCCGTGTAAGTCATCCAGCCTGACCGGCGCAAAATTTAAGTCTAATTTAAGGACAGTGGTATAGACCTGAGGATGTGAACGCGCTTCACAAAGTGTCTCCATTCACAATTGACGCATTTCATCTTGATTTTGATGGAAAGAAGTTTCGTCTTATCCAAGTGAAGCACGAAATCCCGAGGTTTACTGGGGAAATACCAATCACCTCTTTGAAAGTGTTTCCTATTCGCTTTTTTTCGGAGCAAAAAAGAACCGCAGCAATGCAATTACTCTTGAATAGAGGGTTGAATTTCCGAAGCTTGACCACAGTAGGCGTAGCTCACCGTGAGTATCGGGGTATGAGCCTTGATCTTGAAAGAGAAGATATAGACAGTCGAGTCATCATCGACTTCAAGCTAGCCCCTGTTATTAATCAACCCTCTCAACAGATAGATGAAGATGACCATCAGAACGACGGTATGGGCCGAACCTTTGGACTCCGCCCCTTAAGCCAAACTAAAGAGACCGAAGTTACGGAGGTGTTCGGAATGTTTGAAGATCCTGACTTAACTCTCTATAATGATCATATTTACGACTGCGATAAAACAGATAAACTTTTCTCTAAACATAGATTTCTCAGCGCTCCGTCACAGGAGATGAATTCCGAAGATCTGACGGACGAAGAGCTGCGTCTTCTTCCGGGTGCGGTTTATGCATACATTCTTCGCAGCAGGAAGTATTGTAAGTATCATCTCCAAGGATTCGAACCAATTATTGATAGGTTGTTACAGGTAGATGCGACATTAACTTGATCAAAGAGATCACTTTGAATAAGGAGGCTTTCGACGATTTGGTCCTACCAGAGAGTTACAAGAATTTGATCAAGTCCTTGATTGGTCAGGTAAGTAGATCATCTTCCAAGAACAATTCCATACTCTCCTTGTCCTAACATGTAGGTAGCATTCTATGGGATCTAGACCGGTGGAACAGAAGACCGAGGAAGAGCGTCCAGTAATTAACCGGGCAGATTCACAGTTGATTAGCGAAATAAATAGCCAGCAGGATACTCTCAGCATTGTAAAGGGCAAGGGCGGAGGCCTTATAATCTTGCTGCATGGCGTTCCTGGGGTTGGTAAAACCTCGACTGCTGAGACAATCGCCGAAGCTACTGGAAGACCGCTTTTACTTGTGACATGTGGTGATGTTGGAGGTACTGCTGCTGAGGTAGAGAGGAATCTGGAGCAAATCTTCACAAATTCGCATCGTTGGGGTTGCGTGCTCTTGCTTGATGAAGCCGAGGTCTTCCTCGCTAAGAGGAATTTGCAAGACCTGACACGAAATGCCATGGTGTCAGTCTTTTTGCGCGTTCTAGAGTTTTACTCGGGCATTCTGTTCCTGACAACTAATCGTGTCGGTACTATCGATGAGGCATTTAAGTCCCGTATCCATATAAGCTTATATTGTAAGTGATTTTTTCTTGAAAGAGCTAACATTGTGAGCTGACTGTTCCGTCTAGACCCTCCACTTGACTGGAAAACGTCCAAGTTGATTTGGCAAGTTAACCTGAAACGCTCACAATCGAGAGTAGACGTTGATAAAGATGAAATTCTCGGATTTGCAAAAAAGCACTTCTTCCGCTCTGACGAGAACAGCCGATGGAATGGTCGCCAGATATACAACGCTTTCAAAACGGCAATCGCACTAGCCGAGTTTGAGGGGCAAAATAACGGTGGTAAAGAAGGCCAGAAGCCGACATTGACAGCATCCCACCTGCGCCAAGTCAGCCGTGTAGCTAAAAAGTTTGATGAATATCTTCTCGAAACCCAGGGCGGTGAGACATTAGCAGCCATGAACCAGCAGCAGCAAGTCCGAGCAGACAATTTTGGGCTGGACGACCAAATACAGAAGCTGAAGCGTCGCCCAACGAAGAATCGTACGCTGGATCTGGACGAGCTGCCGTCCACCTCTGAAGAGGACTCGGATGGTAGCATTAACTTCTCCGCACCTAGCGAGGAGGAAACTGACTCTGATAAGGACAAAAGGAAGTCAAAGAAGAAGACTGACTCTTCGAAAAAGAAGAAAAGTGAAAGCAAAAAGCGCAAGTCGAAAAAACGCTCCAAAAATCAAGAAGATACCACATCAGATGCTTCGTCATAAGACTTCATATTTGCGAATGAGTTTTGAAGCTAAGGGTGTGAAACTTGAGTTAAATCGCTTCTGTAGTGTTAATCGGAATGTATTTATCATATGTTTATTTTTTCATATAGAGCCTATAATAAGTATAGAACTACTACTAGAGCTGAGAATTATATCTATTCCTATACTACAGCCTTTGGTATGCTCAATTCGTCCGCAACACCTCTGTCAAAGATACACTCTGCTTCTCGTATTTCTCCAAGCTGGCCTGTGCCTTCTGCAACTTCTGCGAGACCCATTGTATCCTCGCGTATAGCTCCACAGGATACTTCTTCAAGTTTCCAAGCAACTGAAGCTCATCTTCATACTTACTAACATTCTTATTCTCGGTATCAATGAGCAACTTCAGAATCTCAAGGTCAAGACGACTGCGCAGTACTTGGTCTTCAGTGAGATGTTTGAATGCGGCGTGATATACTGGACGACCTGGTTTGATTACTGATGGGCGGCCGTTGGAGGATTTGACCGTGATGAGGTCCGCCTGCTCGAGTGCGGAGATGATAGCCTCGCCGTTCACCTTGAACAGGTCAGAAAGCAAGATGCGGCTGTACGAGGTGGCCCCGTCTTTGTTCTCGGCTATTTGCTTGATCATGTACCACGCTTGTTCGCGGGTCCAACGGCGGTCTTTGGGGCCATCTACGTCGAAAACATACATCTTCAAGATCTCTGTGGCGGCCTGTTCAATTATGTGCTCGACCGCTTCTGTCGGCGGGCATAGTTAGTATTCATTAGAAGGTTGGGTGTTGGAAGGAACTTGCTTTTAGGGCTTTCGCCGGCCTTGATTCTATGCGCCATAAACTCCAAGTCCGTCAAACGGCCACCAACGATGTTAATGCATTCGTCGAGATCTTCCAATCCTGGTGGCGCAGTTGGTTTAGTTTTCTCGTCCAACTTCTCCTCCTCGCCCTCGCTATCTCGCAGATAACGCAGTACAAAATTCCTACCGACATCGAGAGAGCAGTCGCCCAGAGAAATCGACCTAAGGACCTGGGTAGGCAGCGCCTTGCTCAGGGATTTGGAATATGAGACATCGGGCGTGAGGAAAATGACATGTGCAATGTTACTCGTAACTAATGCAGCAGCCCATTCCGCGATCTTATCGTAGACTATACTTCCTTCGTGAACTCCGTGTAAGAAATTATCAATAACAACGACAGGTCGTCGTTCTGGGTGTGCCTCTAAATACTCCTCCTCCGACAGCCCATTATCCCTGTCGTCGTTCTTCTTGTTCTCGAGCGCAATCTGCCTGAGAGCACTGGCAGTATTATTCCATATCTTGCTCAGTTGAGAGTCGAGTGTCTCAGAAAACCCAGCCTTGGTACCGATGACAGCTTGAGCGGCCAAATCTATGAAACTGCTGATGCTATTCATCCAGGAAAAGACGGGGCGATAGCCGACCTGCTGTGCAGCAACAGAAATGGTCTGAGTATCCCCCCTCGCATCATGGATCTGCTTACAGTCGATGAGAAGCTTATGCCTCCGGTCTTTCAAAGCCTGATCCACGACAATCTCCCTTTTCCCTGAACCATGAGGTCCTTGCACGACTATAAATGTGTTCCCATTCTCGCCAAGCCAAGATTGCAGCTGGGCAATGTCCTCCTTCCTATCATCCCAAATAGCTCTTAAAATATTTCTTTCCTTCTTGCGGCTTCCAAAGGAGAGTATATTAGCCTTGCGGACTTCCGCTCGAATCCACGTCCACAAAGCCTTGTCGTCCGCATTCAGTGAATACTTCACCTTCATTTTGATGAAAAAGGTGCGAATGGGGTCAAAAACAAGTACGGTGATGCCAGCAATCAATGCTGCGATGGCCGGAATCACGATACGTGGGTGACCAAAAATCCAGTCTTTTATGTAGTGTGCCCTGATCTTTCGTTCGTATGTAATCTTTAACAAAGTCACACCTTTGCCGCCATTTTCGCCGGCCTGAGGAATCGTTGTCCCATGAATACAGTTCCTCGCAAGAATAGCATATTTCACTCTCGCAAAATCCAACATGGCATATTTGGGCAAAACCTTTGAATCTGACGGCTGCCGCTCTATATCCTTGATTTTCCCATATCGACGGAAAATCGAATACAAAGCTTCTTGAGTTAATTCAGTTGGTGTCGAGTCAGACGCATTGTTGTTAGGGGCAAGAAACTCGATTTTGATTCTTGAACTTGGAAGCCGGTACATATCCTCAATCCACGGTTTCCCCAATACATGGCCGATACCGACACGGTCTAGGGGATTGAACCAGGGGCGGATAGGGTGTTTCTGTAGATGAGCCTCGACGGCAGTAGCTATATCTTGTCTGGTTTTGCCGGCGGGTAGTGAGTACTTCACGAACAACCCGCCTTCGTTTAGACGAGGCAGGACTTGTTTGACCGTGACGTGTAAATCAGACGGTAGGGCGCGCCGTACGACTGACCAGTTGTCCGCTGCGGCATACGACGGCTTGTCGACGCGTTTCAGGACATTGTCAATAGCCTGAGGCTCGCCAGCCCATAAAAGCCTGTAAAGCCATTGAAGCCTCAGCGGGGCAATATCTACTCTTGATCAATACACTAGCGTCCCAGTAGCTTCATAGTCAATCTTACTATTGATATATAAAAGCCCTTCGTTTTCAGAGATCGGAATATGGCCTTGTTCAAGGATATCATTCACAGACCCAACAGCCGTAGAGTTGGATCGCGCGCCTGTAGAAACAGCAGCATAACGTGAGCTCCACAGCGCTGGTCTGGATGAGTTGAAGGCGAAGCAGCGAGCTGATGGCCTCTGCCAGCCCCGGGTCGTAAAGGGTACCCGTATCATTCTGGAGCCGATATATGCACCTGCCCATTCGCTGTCAGTGTAAGGGAAGCCTTCCGGTTTATACGAATGAGGAGGAAGCTCTGGCCGTTTATGACGTCGACGCCGGGACAATACCGATTCTTACCGACCCTCCGCGACAGAAGCGCCAAGCATCCGTACGGTATTGTCACCCGGACATCTGTAGTAATATATTCCGGCAGAATAATTTCTTCCAGCATCAACTATCAACCAGCGACCTTCATCGACGCCCACACCCTTGGATATTTAATAATAACAAGATGGGCTGGTGGTGGAATTCCTCCTCCTCTCAAAAGGATTATACGCAACCTCCAACAAGCGACCCCACACCGTCAATTCCTCAACCTGAGTCCGAACCCTCAAAGCCCTCACTACCGTCAACCCGTGACGAACGAGCAGACGCAGAACTCCGCGAATTCCTCGCGAGTCTCGAATGGACCGATGAATCCAACAACTCAACTCCAGAATCCACACAAACCGCTTCATCTTCACACACCAATGCGAACAGTTCACCCAAATCCATATCCCCAGACTCACTATATGCCGACACCATGTCCTGCCGATCCGCCTTCGACTACGCATTCTTCTGTCAATCGTTTGGCGGACAATGGGTGAATGTGTATCGGTATGGCGAGCTACGGTCGTGTAGTGAGCACTGGGAGAATTTCTGGCTGTGTATGAAGACGCGCTCGTACCCGGATAATGTGCGCAAGGAGATTATCCGAAATCATAACCGCAAAAAGGCGGTTAAGTATAAGACCGGGCCGAGTAGTGAGGATGTCTGGGATTTGCGAACGGAGCCGTTGGTGGATGCATTTAAAGGGGATTTCGAGGTGTTTGAGAAGGAGTTGAAGGAGGAGCAGGCTATGGGGCAGCGATGATAGGAAAGAAAAGGTGCTGGGAGGTTTTATGAGGTCTTTTAACGATTTTTCTCAACTCTGTTTGTTATTTTGTACAAATAAGCCAGACATGTATCATAGATATACCCTTTGCAGTCCTACAAATATCAATGATATAACCATCTTTTATTCAAAACACTACACTGCTTAACTACATTGCTTACTGGTGAAGGAGTAAATCTAACTTAATGTATTGCACCAGAAACCAATATTCACAGATCGAAGTAAGGAAATGCAACAAGACATATCTTAGACATACAACAAAGCATAAGCATCCGTGATCTAGAAACAGCATGTAACAAAAAGAAAGAAACATATTGTGCATATCGCCTCCGTTCCATTTTCATAAAGCGCTGTCATGCATCATAGACTAAAGACATAGGAAAGACGCCTGTAACAGTAACTTGGGTATTTAAATGATCATAGACACCTATTTTTGATCATAAGAGCTGGTTCATCATTAGATGAGCTCATTTTTAATTTTTGCTGCTTAACTTTTGGGTTGGGTTTAAGCAGAAACAACCTGAACGGTCTGAGGAACAGCATCAGCAGCGGGCCGACGGACAATACCACCAGTGACGGGAAGGAGAGAGCCAGTTCCCATGAGGTATGTGTCAACTTCACGAGCGGCCTGACGACCTTCGTTGATACCCCTGCATGCACGTTAGTATGAACATCCTCATCGTGAAATTAACAACGGTGTAACTTACCAGACAATAAGAGACTGGCCACGGCGGCAATCACCGGCAGCAAAGACACCGGGGATGTTGGTGGAATACTGGCCAGGAGCAGTCTTTACGTTCTTACGGGCATCACGCTCAATTTCTTCACCAAGCAGACGATCCTCAGGACCTAGGAAACCCATGGACAACATGACCAGGTCGGCAGGGAAGAATTGCTCGCTGCCCTCAATGGTCTTCATATCCCAGCCGCCACTAGCGCTTTTGGTCCATTCAACACGGACAGTGTTGATGCCCTTGACATTTCCATTACCGTCGTCAACGAACTCCTTGGACATGATGCAGTATTCACGAGGATCCTTGCCCATGTGGGTCTTGACTTCGGAGTGACCGTAGTCAACACGGTAAATACGAGGCCATTGTGGCCATGGGTTGTCAAGGGCACGCTCTGGGGGAGGTTGGGGGAGCAATTCGAAGTTGACCACGCTCTTGGCGCCATGGCGGACGGAGGTACCAATGCAATCGTTACCAGTATCACCACCGCCGATAACAACAACGTGCTTATCCTTGGCGGAGATGTAGGCTCCATCAGCATGGGCAGAGTCGAGCAAAGACTTGGTGTTCTTGTGGAGGAATTGCATGGCAAAGTGAACGCCATCAAGTTCGCGGCCTGGGATCTTGAGATCACGAGCAACGGTGGCACCAGTGGCAATGATAACAGCATCATTGGAATCACGCAATGATTGCATGCTAATTTCGGAATCAGGGCCAACAGTAGTGCTTGTAACAAATTTGACTCCCTCAGCAGCCATAAGGTCAACGCGGCGCTGAACAACCTTCTTGTCAAGCTTCATGTTAGGAATACCATACATCAATAGACCGCCAATGCGATCAGCACGCTCGTAAACAGTGACTGAGTGGCCGGCGCGGTTGAGCTGATCAGCAGCAGCAAGACCAGCAGGGCCAGAACCGATGATGGCAATAGTCTTTCCAGTTCTGACCGGTGGAGGTCGCGGGATCATCCAGCCCATCTCGAAACCACGGTCAATAATAGCGCATTCAATAGATTTGATGCCGACTGGGTCCTCGTTGATGCCGAGAACGCAAGCTCCCTCACAAGGAGCAGGGCACACACGACCAGTGAACTCGGGGAAGTTATTTGTCATGAGCAGCCTGTTGAGAGCATCCTGCCATTGGTTCTGGAAGACAAGCTCATTCCACTTGGGAATAATGTTGGAGATAGGACAGCCAGTATCGGATTGACAGAAAGGAACACCGCAGTCCATGCAGCGTGCGGACTGATACTTGAGCTCGTCTTCCGTCAAGCGGCTGGAAAGCTCGGCCCAATCGCGGGTACGAGTCGCTGGGTTACGGTACTTCTCGCTGCGTCTATTATATTTCATGAACCCACGGGTCTTGTCGAGAATAAGAGCGGTGCGCTTCTTCTCGACCTTGGAGTCGCTCACGCTGTCCTCAATATCGAGAAGGTCGCTCTTCTTTGATTCGTCCTCGTGTTTGTGCTGCTTCTCTTCCACGGGAACAGGGGTGCTTGGTAGCTTAGGTAGGGTGAATTCTGCTTTCTTGGCTGCCTCTGCCTTGGCGGCTTCCTCCAAGAGGACGCGTTTGTAGTCAGTAGGAAGAACCTTGACAAATCGAGGAAGAGCGCGGTTGAAGTCCAAAAGAATGCGAGCGGCGAGTTCGGATCCAGTGTAATGGTGGTGGTCTTCGATAAGACCGCGGACGAAAGCAATTTCAGCAGGATCTTCCAAGCCGGACACTTCAACCATTTCCATGTTGATCTTGGAGTAGAAATCCTGGTTGACATCGAGAACATAGGCAATTCCACCGGACATACCAGCGGCAAAGTTACGGCCAGTTGATCCGAGAATGAGAACTCGACCGCCTAGAAACATGTTAATTAAAGGCCACTATTTACGGGCCGTAGAGGTAGAACTTACCAGTCATGTACTCGCAACCATGGTCACCGACACCTTCAACGACGGCAGTAACACCAGAGTTGCGAACAGCAAATCGTTCCGCAGCTACACCACGGAAGTAGCAAGTACCAGCAGTGGCACCGTAGAGACAAACGTTACCGATAAGAATGTTCTCCTCCGCTTTAAAGACTGCGCCTCGGGGAGGGTAGATAATCAGACGACCACCAGACAAGCCCTTACCGACATAGTCGTTGGAATCACCTTCGAGCTCCAATGTGACACCAGGAGCCAGGTAGGCACCGAATGATTGACCAGCGGATCCCTTAATATTGACATGGATGGTGTCTTGAGGCAAGCCAGCTTCTCCATGGCGGCGGCTGACCTGATAAGAAAGAGTAGCGCCAAGAGCTCGGTCGGTGTTGACAACATCACACTCAACTCTGCAGGGGAGACCCTTTTCCAGCGCCAATTCAGATTCAGCGATGAGCTTATTATCCAGTCGAACATGAAGACGGTGATCCTGCTTGCGCACATTGTAAGTAGCGACGCCTGGGCGCAGAGAGTGAGCGGGGGTTAGGATTAGAGACAAGTCAATGTTCTCCTGTTTAGGGGAGCGAATGTCATCTCGGACTTTGAGTAATTCTGCGCGACCAACCATCTCGTTGATGGTGCGAATACCAAGTTTGGCCATGATAGCACGAAGTTCGTTTGCAACATAGTAGAAGAAGTTGATGACGTGCTCGGGAGTACCCTGGAATTTCTTGCGCAACTCAGGGTCTTGGGTAGCGATACCAACAGGGCACGTGTTCAAGTGGCATTTTCTATAGGGTTGAGTTAGCAAGTGCTGCGATTTAATAAGTCAAGGTAGTCTTACCGCATCATGATGCAACCCATAGCAATTAGAGGAGTTGTAGCAAATCCCCATTCCTCAGCACCAAGCAAGCAAGCGATAGCGACATCGCGACCGGTTCTCAGCTGACCGTCGGTTTGAACAACGACACGACCACGAAGATCGTTGAGAACAAGAGTCTGGTGGGTCTCAGCGAGACCCAATTCCCAGGGCAGACCCGCTGCCTTGATACCTGTCCATCGAGAGGCACCAGTACCACCGTCGTGGCCAGAAATCAAGATATGATCGGCCTTAGCTTTGGCGACACCAGAAGCAACGATACCAACACCGACCTCAGATACAAGCTTAACAGACACGCGAGCACGAGGGTTGGAGCACTTCAGATCGTAGATGAGCTGCTTCAGATCTTCAATGGAATAGATATCGTGGTGAGGAGGTGGTGAAATAAGACCGACACCAGGGGTAGAATGACGAGTACGAGCGATAGGGCCCGACACCTTGTGGCCAGGAAGCTCACCACCCTCACCGGGCTTGGCACCCTGAGCCATCTTGATCTGTAGCTCATCAGCATCAGCGAGATAGTTGGATGTGACACCGAATCGTCCAGAAGCAATCTGCTTGATGGCGGAACGCATTGTATCACCGTTCTCCATTCTCTTGCTTCGCTCTGGGTCTTCACCACCTTCACCGGTATTAGATTTACCACCCAAACGATTCATAGCAATGGCCAAGGTCGAATGGGATTCCATAGAGATGGATCCGTACGACATGGCACCAGTGACAACACGGCGCACGATTTCAGTCCATGGCTCAACCTGGTCAATGGGAATGGGGGTACGTTGGTCATAGTCAAAGTCTAGCATGCCACGGAGAGTGCAGTTCTTGATAGCCTCGTGCTCTGAGCGAGCATACGCTTCGTAAGACTTGTCGTTCTTTGATCGTACGGCGTCCTGGATATTGGCAACACTCGTTGGGTCGTTGACATGAGGATCGCCACCATCACGCCAGTGGTATTCACCGGATTCGGGCAAGCCAGGAATTTCAATGATAGAACGAGAAGGATAGCCACGTTCGTGGAAAGCGAAGGCATCCTGAGCGATAAGCTCGAATGTGACACCTCGAATACGGCTAGCAGTGCCTGCGAAGCAGCGATCGATGACAGCATCATCGATACCGAGAGCTTCAAAAATCTGAGCACCCTTATAAGACTGCAAGGTGGAGATACCCATCTTGGACATGACTTTGAGAATACCGCCATCGACAGACGCCTTGTAGTTCAAAAGAACTTGCTCGTCAGTCAATGGCTTGCGAATGAGTTTCTCGCGGTTCATCTTGAGAATGCATTCCATGGCGAGGTATGGGCAAATTGCGTCGGCACCGTATCCAAGAAGAACACACATGTGGTGAACCTCACGAGCCTCTCCGGTGTCAACTACCAAGGCAGCCAAAGATCTCCATTTGTTGCGGACCAAGTGATGGTGAACTAAACCAGTAGCGAGAAGAGCAGAGACTGGTACGCGTTGGGCAGAAGTGGCTCTGTCAGAGAGAATGAGAATCTTGTCGCCGTTTTGGATACTCTCGGTGGCGGCTTCACAGATGGTGTCGAGAACATCCAAGTAACCCTGAATGCCCTTTGACTTCTCAAAGGTGATATCAATGACTCTTACAGGCCAGTCAGGGTGAACTTTGGTGGTGTTTTTGAGAGATTGGAACTCGTTCAGGGTGAGAATAGGAGATGGCAGCATCAAACGGTGGCATTGGGTGGAGTCAATCTCCAGCAAATTGCCCTGTGGACCGACATAGCACTCTAGTGACATGACAATGGCCTCTCGAATAGGATCAATGGGAGGGTTGGTGACCTGGGCAAAGAGCTGTCGGAAGTATTCATACAGCAAACGAGGTTGCTGGGCTAAACAGGCTAGAGGACCATCGTTACCCATAGAGCCCAGAGCTTCCTTAGAATCAGCAGCCATGGGAGCCAAGAGTAAGCTGACTTGCTCGTATGAATAGCCAAATGCCTTAAGCCTGACATCGGTTTGGAGGGTAGAAGGATCCAGCGAAGTAGACAGATCCTGGTTCTGTGAAATTAAAGACTTTTCAATTGCAGGAAGGGTAAGCAATTCCTTATCTAGCCAGGCACGGAAATCTTGGCGGTGGGCGACAGTTTGTTTCAGTTCAGCATCATCAATGATGCGGCCAGCAACAGTGTCGACTAGCAACATCTTACCAGGCTGCAGGCGGCCCTTTTGCACGATAGACTCGGGGTCCAAGCTAATGGTACCGACTTCGGAGGCACAGATGATACGATCGTCGTCAGTCACATAGAATCGGCAGGGACGAAGACCATTTCGGTCCAAGTTAGCACCGCAGTAACGACCGTCAGAGAATGTGAACAAGGCTGGGCCGTCCCAGGGTTCCATCTGGCAAGCAGCCCATTCGTAGAAAGCAGCTTTGGCTGGGTCCATGGCAGGGTTGTTTTGCCAGGCCTCGGGAACCATCAGCATGACTGCCTCTGGCAAGGAGAGGACACCGTTGATCATGAGCAGTTCGAGAACGTTGTCAAAGGCGGCAGAGTCGGAGCCACCATCCTCGACAATTGGGTATAGCAGATCGAGTTCCTCACCAAAGATGTCCGACTTGAGCACACCCTCTCGCGCCCTCATCCAGTTCTTGTTCCCTCGCAATGTGTTAATTTCACCGTTATGAGCGGCCCATCGTAAAGGCTGCGCACGATCCCAAGATGGAAATGTGTTGGTTGAGAAACGAGAATGTACAAGAGCGAAATGGCCCTCGTAGTCAACGTTGACCAAGTCATGGTAGTACTCATACACCTGAACGGGAGCCAATTGGCCCTTGTAGACGATGTTTCTGTTGCTGAGAGAGCAGAGGTAGAACCAGTTCGCGAGGCCCAGGACGTTTGTGGCACGCTTTCGTAAAACATACAACTGTCGCTCAAAGAGACGGCTGTCAAACTTTTCGGGGTCGATGATCTCGGGCTTGTTCCCACTTCCATAGGCAGCGCTGAGCACGACAAATGGCTGCATGATCACAGGCTCGCGAGACAAGGCGGCAGGTCCCAGTAGGGTCGAGTCGCGTGGCACCTCTCGCCAGCCCAGCACTCGCAGACCGAGCGACTCTGCGATTTCCTCGAAAGTCGTGATGGACTCCTTGAGGGTCTCATTATCTGGCTTGAAAAACAAGTTGCCAGCAGCATACTGGCCCAGGGGAGGTAGCTCCAGCCCCGCGTCGCGAGCAAAGTTCTTGACGAAGAATTTGTGCGGGATACTAGTCATCACGCCGGCACCATCACCGTCGCGTACATCCGAACCGACGGCACCACGATGGGTCATGTTGCAAAGCAGGTTGCGTGCTGGAATTGTTAGTGATGCTAAACTCGATCTCAATGAGTAAACATACCATCGCTGACAATTTTGTGGCTAGCTTTGCCCTTGATATGGCTGTGAAAGTTAGCATGATTATTAAGATTTTTTTTTTTTTAAAAAAAAAGATGTGGCAACTCACGCAGCAAAGCCTACACCGCAAGCATCCTTTTCCAGCTCAGGGTTGTAGAGACCCTGTTTGGACGGGAGGGCATCGGCCCAGCCATATCCATTTTGCGCCTTGTACTCGGAGTACTCCTGAGGAGCCTGCTCTTCGATTATTTCATTTCCGTAGACCTCCTCCAAGAGACCCATTCTTCCGCCGGGGACGGACAGAGAAGGTGAGCAATTGGGAGGTGGGCAAATTTTCAGCCTGATTGAAATTTTTTTGGCGGGCTCTTTTTATCACTGGTGATAAGGGAGAGCGGGGTGGCAGGCGATAGTGTCGTCACGACGACTGGGGGCGGGTCAACAGCTGTCTAGGAAGACAAGACAGGTGTGTACAGGCAAAGGGTGATTGAGGTGTCCCAGCGTCTGGTGATGTAGGGTATGAAGTGGTAGGAGAGAAGAGAAGAGAAGAAGAAGAGAGAGAAAGCGGGAAGAAAATAAGGCAGTGCAGGGAAAAAAGAGGAGAGGGGGGAGGGCAAGGCTAGGCCGGAGATCGATGGTCCTGTCTCCGAGAGAAGTTGCTGGATGAGCCAGAGAAACGACCAAAGCCTATGCTCTGTGGGGTTTTTGGCAGAGCTCGAGGACGAGGAGTGGCGAATGGGCCAGTGAGGTTCTGCCTCCAGGTCCAATGGGTTCCTAATCCCTTGAAGCTGGCTGGCTGGGAACTATTTTTTTCCCTTCTGGCAGTCAGTCAGTCCGTCCGTCCGCATCGGGAGGGGAGCTGTTTGTTGTCTATTTTATTACGGAGCCTGCCCTAAAATTTACTCCCGTTGCGTGTTCGGAGGCCGTTTTCGCTTGGATTTTACGCCCATTGTCGAACGATTCCATGCCCTGGCCAGTCGAAGCCTGTCAGCACAGCTCCCTCTACTATAAGCGCTGCAGCTACGGTGGTCTTCAAGATGCGCATACTCGTGCGCATCTCGATGCGATCGCAGGCGCAACAGCAATAATACGCAGCATGAAATTGGCAATGGCAGACAACAGGGCAAGAGATAAGCGTGCGCGGGCCAATCAGCGCGGCGGAGTTTGCGACAAGACTTTGCTGCTGGTCGACGTCAAGCCCCACCGGGTGGGGGAGGAGCCCGTATTATATCCCGTACGCGCTGGTACCGCGTATTTTAATCATTCTTCTTCACGTCGCGGACGCCGCCGACCGGAGTGGCTGACATTACCCAGAGTAAAATTCACACACAATTGTAATTGTCAGCGAATACCAGTAAGTTAGCAATAATACACTCGAAGTCCATCTGTGGAATGCATCGGCCGAGATTTACGGGCCGAAGTATGCTGCCGGGCTCTTCGGCATGCTAGCCTCGTACAATAGCAATCCTCGCGAGCTGCATGCTAGAGAATTAGAAGCATTTTTAATATTTACTTTTACTATTTACTTACCATCTGCCATTAGCATTTCGTTATTTAGCATCAAGTACGCTGAATAGTGAATACTAATACAAATACTACGACTCAGAGTGGTGCACTACCCGGAATGGCCGATTGCGGAAGAATCCTCTGCAAACGGAGGAGTGAAATCCGACGACTTTCTGCGCTTACTGATCACCAGCAGCCAAGCGAACTACGACTGCCCTGGGGGTTTTTTTGCGTAAGCAGAAATTTAAGAAATAGTTAACTAACGATGCAGTATTCGTATTACGCAGCAAGTCAGGACTCAGGGCCGCGTAGAAAGAAAGAAAGAACGAAAGAACGAACGAAAGAAAACAACATTGGATACATATGCATGCGCTAGAAACGTGCACGGAGCATGTAGAGGTCCCCGGCTGGTCCAAATGGATTATGGAGCACCCCGGCATGCGTACCCCACGCTGCATGTCTGCATCATCTCCTCAGTCCACTCATCCGCCAATGCTTGGAAATCTTCACACTGGTTGGCAATCTATACTACTGAACCATGGATTGTCTTGCTGTACTATATATCCAAGGCTATAGTTATATACTATATAGTTATATATATATAGTATATAGCATAGCATGTTCCTTATACTGTATACAGTGGAGCAGCCGATGTCGGTAGGCGGAGCCGCATCGTTGCCGACGTGCGTGGGCGCCCATTGGCCAGCGAGCTTTTTGGCTGTAAACCTTTCAGGTCATCTCATATTCTAATTGCTGTTAGCTTATCGCAGGTGGCCCCTGCTTGGCGCCTGCAAATACACGCACGATGACTGGCTCGCTGCCGTCCAAGGTTTTGCGGCTTCCGGGGTCAAGATCTTAGCTTGCTAGTCTATCTATACTATTATTACTACTCCGTATATAACTAAGTTAGTAGCTGCCTACGTAGCACATAGTGTATAGAATCTTGGGTCAATTTTTTGGCGTTATATGCGATCTTGAACCTCCATTCAATCCATCTCCAGATCATGATCATTGCACTATGCTAGTGTCTATCACATTGACTGCCCCCTGCAGACACCCCATACATATGCAAACTCCGTGTAATGTACGTATTTGAATTGAGTGGTATGCCACCATTCAGATACTACCTTTACAACACCGGCACACCTGCATATGCAACCCCGCTCATCTCGCCTAATCCACCCTGCCCAAGCCATATTCACAATTAATAATACATAACTGACAACAATATCAAATAATATATACGATCGGAACAGGCAACGCGGCCCTTTCCAGTCCGATCACATGATGCGCTGCATGCACATTCCGACTCTTCCCGCCCGCTGGTCTGTTTAAGTTCACCGACCAACCGGACTCGCTGCTCGGGGAAACCCGGGATCCTGACTCTCTACCAACAGCCTGGCACGGTAGCACTGGCTGTACTGCCAAGGCTGGACTATTAGTATTCTATAATTTCTATTATTCGATTGTTTTATTTTGCAATTGATTCATCTTATTTAATATTGTTTTTATTTGCTTGCTTTGTCCATTCCGAAAATCGGAGTGCTGTTGCTACCTCGACGCCCAGCTAAGTGCAACATGCCATAGTAAGAGGACGAAGTGCTCTAGCGGGGGCTTGACAATTCGAATGTTTAATTATCACTAGTAGATTCACTGTGGAAATTTGCCGGCCAAAATGTCTGTCAGGAGTAGAACGAGCCGTGTGGTGGCAACTGCTGTAATTACTTGTTCGCTTGAATTATGGGATTAGGGCTTGTCCAAACCCCCCAGACTACATACTAGTTGACATAAATTGTGCACTTACCGGAGTGGACCTGAATTATGGATTTTCAGTGTTACATAACAGTCTTGTCTATTATCAAATTCGATTCACATGAATATATCATACTCCAAGATCACATGCATGCAGTATGACAATAGTCATGATATTATATGCCTAGTCTACTATCATCACAACATGAAATTACGACGAGATTCCAAACAGCTAGGCAAATACTGGTAAAGCTCTTCTTATTAATAAAATCATATAAAAACACAAGATTCGTGCAAATCACGTGTCTAACGTATTAGATTCCTGAGGTTAGTTAGCAGTAAGCCAATCAAAGCTCATGTCAGACCCACCGCTTCTCTCAATGTTTATCGAGATTCGAGCTCAGATAACAACTCAATATCATCACAATGACGATGCTTTCAACCCAGTCATGACGGTTACTAGCTGTCAAGATCTTGACGCTCTATCGACAGTGAAATCACATTCTACACACATCGAAAGCTGAAAAGAGAGGATAACTGCTATGCTACCCCTCCCTCTCGTAGCTCCTCGCGATGTACGTGATATCCCATCAATTCTTGCCTCTTCTTCTCTGCTCACAATACCCCCAAGTCGCACGAGCTATGGCTAGGATCCCCCAACTCCTACCGCTCCTCCTTCGCCAACAGCAATAACCATCACCACAACCCCGACACCTCACGCCGCCAACCTCACCACCACCATGCTGCCCCCCCACTCGCACGTTACTCTTCTCCACCACCCCAACCGACAGCCTCTCCGTACTACTCCATGAAGAGCGCGCCTTGCGTCTCCGTAAAGAGAATATTGCATCCTTCGGCTGCGCTTGGATCAAACCCGCCGGTTGTCCCAAGACCATGCTGGGCATGCGCGAGGAAGAGGCAGAGAGGGAAGAGGGGCTTGCAGCGGTAGCACAAGAAATGAATGCTGCTGCTGCGGCAGCCGCCGCAGCCGCCGCAGCAGGTGGTATGGATGCGTTCGGCGATCCTTCTCAAGTAGCTATGGGCCAGATGGACGGTGGCGGTGATGGGATTGGTGCGGATGAGCTGGAGCGAGATTTGGATGATGATATCCCCGAGGCAGAGGGCGATGATGCGGAGGGCCTGGTGGAGGAGGGGGAGGAAGGGTATGAGGATGATGAGGATGTCGAGGGAGAGCTGATGGAGCGGAATCTCGACGATGATATACCCGATGGATTCTCAGATGGGGATGACGATGAGGAGGAGGACGAGGAAGATTTCGACAACCAGCCGGATCTAGATGACGATATCCCCGTAGCTCCGAGTGAGGTTGGCTATGGAAGTGTTATGGTTCGGAACCTGGACGATGATGTCCCGGAAGCTGAGGATGAGGAAATGGGGAATGAAGATGAAGGCGAATGGCAGCATACCGACTCGGAAGCGGAAGATGATGAGGAGGATGATAGTGACGATGATAACGCACATGATCTATATGCAGACCACTTCCGCGGAACAGCGTCGGGGCCGATTTCGTCAAACACCGTGACTCCAGGCAATAGTGCGCGTCGGGCGGTCCCTTCACAGCTTTCGCTGCCCCGGCCACCGACTAGGGCGCGAGAGACAGAGGCTCAGAGGCGGTTCTTGCAGCGGTGGAGCGGTGGTGGGACAGACGGGTTTGACTCGAGTATGGTTATGGATGAGGATGACCTGCGCGCTTCGATTACCAGTCAAGACAGTGTTCGGCGGCACAGCAGATTCGCCCGGTTTAGTAGGCGGGGTGGTCCAAGAGACAGTCTTGATTAGACAGTAACTTGATCAATATTTCATAGCGAGGCGTTTGGGTTGACGGTTAAATATCATAAATAGAAGCATCACCTGTTCCATTTCGTATTATTCTTCGTGCTTTGCTCTTAATTATAAGTAGTATTCATATTCTTGCACAAAGCAATATGTCTATAAATGCAGTGTAAAAATGTACAATATGTTCAGTTAAACAGCTGTAGCAAATATAAAACATATCTTTTTTGTACCAAACCAAACTCCATGTCCATGCAGATTACTGTATATAAAGATGACAATGAATGTGGGTGCAAAGGGAAATGCCTAGAAAAGCCATACATAGGCAAACAGCAAAAACACGGCCAGGAAGAAAAGCAACCACACACGCCAGCCGACGCCCGTTCGTTCGGCCATGCGCAGCATACGATTCATGGTTCCTCGAAGACGTACGCGGGTGTTATCGAATGCCTCGTTCATGGATTCTGCCTGTAGCATTGTTAGAGAGGTCTCGTCTAGATTCAGAGGCGTGCGCGCTCACTAGGCTGGAGGACGAGCGAATCTCGTCACCGATGGCCACCGTAAGCTACCAGAAACCTGTTAATAATAACCCATCATTAAATGACGACAAAGGAGAAATACTTCTTTCAATGCCCTGACCTTCGCTGTGATCCCCTCGACCTCATTATCGTTTTGTGATTCACTATACATCGAATTAGCCCAGGCAACATTAACTTCTCATTACTCAGACTTACAGTTCAGAAAGAACAGAATCCGAATAGTGGCCCCTGCCAAGCACAACATTCAGTATCCCAATCCAGAAATATAAGCTTATAATCCTTATTACTGACCTCGAGTTAGGGGTTGCCGCACGATACCCCGAACTTCCAGGGGTCAAATTCCCATTCGGATATCCATCACTGACAGCACCGGAATAGGCGCCGTAGCTGGGTGTGTGTCTACTCGAGGGTCGCGATCGATCGCCATTTCCGCTACTGCCGTAGGAATCGAAGAGTGACGATGCGGCGCGAGGGTCGCGTTGGTGAAGGTTGGAGTGCGGAAACCTAGAAACGTAACCGGATGTTAGTTTAGATACATGTAAGTAAATATCGGAGGATGGTGGTAGTCGTAGTAGATGCTTACCGCGACGCCATGGGGGATTTTTTGGCTGCACTCTCAGTTATCCAAATTGCAGTGAAGGTGAAATCTGGATGTGAGAATGCTGGACCGTTGATTGCGGATGTGATTGAAAGTTAAACGGATCGGCCGCTTGGCGGCTTCTTATTCGATGGTTCACAGGCCGCCATATTATACATCAATCATCGCTTGCCTCGCTCGATGCTGTCATGTTTGAATAAATGCGCAAATAGATAGGAGCAATTCAAGTTACTGATGAAATCGAAATTCTGGCTAGTGCATGTCCGCTGAATTATAATTACACAGGCGGTACGTCCTCGGTCGAGAGAAGGCATGGTTATGTCGGGTATATTATGGTAGTAAAAACAAGGTACACCACTGTACCTGACGAGGAATTCTCAAATTTGTTTATATATTTGGGCTAATTCTGCAAAAAACCACACATTTTGTTTTAAAACATAATATGACGCCAGCAATCAGTAGGCGGGTATTTCCATGCGACGGTAGTCACTAAAACATCCTGATCCATGCATAATCAATCGCCTATGCTGTGCCATTTAGGAGCGTTGCTGGGCAACTCGTTAATCGACCGTTGCTGTCGTCTCACCAATTGGAGTTGTCGCGCTTATTCTTGCATATGATCGTCGCCACCCTCTTCGCCTTGGAAATCCTCGTCGTCTTCGTCTTCATCATCCATGGGGTCCTCGCCTTCAGCCTTGGCTTTCTCGGCAGCCTCCGAAAAGTCGATGCGCTTGCCACGAGTGCGGCGGCCGCCGTCGATGATATTGTCGGCTGAAATGGGTTCAAGGTTACCCTGACCCTCCTCTTCGTCGTCTTCTAAATAGTTGGGTTAGTTGTGCGCATTCTAATTGTATGCTGAAAACAATGGCGACAAGTCACAAGTGGTTTGGGATGGATGGATACCTTCGCCCTGTCGAAGCTGTTAGTACATTGCTCTCATCATCATCGCTGTGGTGTTAGTTCATCAACGTACTGATTCTTCCTCCTCATCCTCCGAGCTTTCATTTTCTTCATCCTCGCCCATGCTCACATCTTCGTGGGCTTGCGCAGCCTTGCCCTTGCCCTTCGCATAGGCAGCGGCATCGGGGGCATTGGCAGCCGGGTCGTTGAAATCGGTAGCTTGGTTATCACCCATAGTGGCTTGCAACTGTGTGCGTGGCGAGATCGAGAATAGATTGAGTTGAAGTGCTAGCAAGGATAGGACGAGAGACCAGCGGAAGTAATTTTTTGCGCAGCGAGAGTGTTTGGGGGGGGGGAAGAGAGGATTTAAAGACGGCGCGTGAAGGTACTTTTGTTATTATTATTGTGATCGGTGATCGCAAGGGAGACTTCGCTGCAGCGGCTGATTGGCTGGAACGATCGACGCTCCGTGACCGCCTTCTGTCCAGCTCTGCTTTGCTTCTCCTACGTAGTACATGCTGCTATCATACTTGGTAACTTAGTGCTTCTGCTGCCAGAGCGTGCTGTAAGGAGAGCAACTAGTAGTCAGTTCGTCGTCACTTAGTACTGGTTAGCAGGTGCTAACGAGGAAGAGTATGCCACGCCCCAAGGGATGGCGCCCATGATTGACGTTATCCGGGCATTATCCATTAGCCATGCTGAGCACAGAAGCAATGCAGGCTTAGTTCATAGTAGTACTTCATACGCACATATGTACATCTTTGCCTCTGTTCGGAATTTATGGATCAATAATGGATCACAATCGAGCCTTGAATAAGTTATCCCTCGATCGAAGATTCTCCAGAATCTCCCTGCCCTACTAGGATAGTGCACCCTATTTTTACAGAGACCTCCAAGAGATCCATGACAGAATCTAGAACAATCAATAATAATCGTTACGCAACCGGCATCATGCAACCGTGTCGTAAGATGGCATCTACTTGCTCTAACATGAGTGGAAGGTGATGGTCTGCCTCAGGCCACGAATCGCGGGCGTCATGGTGACGGCAGCTGCCCCACCATAACAATGCTCTGCCTGAGGCCTCTGCTTAGCACTAAGAAAAAAAATCTTCGGATACGTCATGATTTCCCCCACTCCGCCATCACGCACGATAGCCGTGAGTTACAGAACAACAGCTCTCACGACCACCACAACCAGCCAGGCCTAGATCGAGGCAATGTATCGTAGACGAGCCCAATTCGCACGCTGTAGAAACCCCCCGTAGCGTCTGCGCGGCTCTGGCAGGCTCGGGCACGCAGTGGAAAGGCCCAGCCTGCCGTGGAATCGTAAGGAAGTCGCTAGAACCACTAAGCCCAGAAGCTTCCATTCACCGCCCACACCTATATGAATCCACGCCGCTGCCTCCCAGGCCTCTTCTTTTTTCTCTCCCACACTTCACAACACTCCATCTCTTCTATCATAATTGAGGATAGGGTTATCTGCTCTCTATCTAACCTCCTAACTCGATCATCCTCTCGAGTTCGCTGTACACTATTACCCCCCTCGTCCACGTTTCCTCGTTTCTTTTGATACCCCTTTCACAATGGCCCCCGCTATCGGTATCGATCTGGGCACGACCTACTCGTGCGTAGGCGTCTTCCGTGACGACCGCATTGAAATCATTGCCAATGACCAGGGTAACCGCACGACTCCCTCGTTCGTTGCTTTCACCGACACCGAGCGTCTCATCGGTGATGCCGCCAAGAACCAGGTCGCCATGAACCCTCACAACACAGTCTTCGACGCCAAGCGTCTCATTGGCCGCAAGTTCAACGATGCTGAGGTCCAATCTGATGCCAAGCACTTCCCCTTCAAGGTCGTCGACAAGGCTACGAAGCCCGTCATCGAGGTCGAGTTCAAGGGCGAGACCAAGCAGTTCACTCCCGAAGAAATCTCTTCTATGGTCTTGATTAAGATGCGTGAGACTGCTGAGGCGTACCTCGGTGGTACCGTCAACAACGCGGTCGTCACTGTCCCCGCTTACTTCAACGACTCTCAGCGTCAGGCTACCAAGGACGCCGGTCTCATCGCCGGTTTGAACGTCCTTCGTATCATCAACGAGCCCACTGCCGCCGCTATTGCCTACGGTTTGGACAAGAAGGCTGAGGGTGAGCGCAATGTCCTCATCTTCGACCTGGGTGGTGGTACCTTCGATGTCTCTCTCTTGACTATTGAGGAGGGTATCTTTGAGGTCAAGGCTACTGCCGGTGACACCCACTTGGGTGGTGAGGACTTCGATTCCAGACTCGTTAATCATTTTGCAAATGAATTCAAAAGAAAGTACAAGAAAGACCTCACTACCAATGCTCGTGCTCTACGCCGTCTCCGCACTGCTTGCGAACGCGCTAAGCGTACTCTCTCTTCCTCGGCACAGACCTCTATCGAGATTGACTCTCTCTTCGAGGGTATTGACTTCTACACTTCCATCACCCGTGCTCGATTCGAAGAGCTCTGCCAGGACCTCTTCCGCTCCACCATGGAGCCCGTCGAGCGTGTCCTCCGTGACGCCAAAGTTGACAAGTCCTCTGTCCACGAGATCGTCTTAGTCGGTGGTTCTACCCGTATCCCTAAGATTCAGAAGTTGGTTAGCGATTTCTTCAACAAGGAGCCCAACAAGTCCATCAACCCCGATGAGGCCGTCGCCTACGGTGCCGCAGTCCAGGCTGCCATTCTCTCCGGTGACACTTCCTCCAAGTCCACCAACGAGATCTTGCTTCTCGACGTTGCTCCTCTCTCCGTCGGTATCGAGACTGCTGGTGGTGTCATGACTCCTCTCATCAAGCGCAACACTACCATCCCTACCAAGAAATCCGAGACTTTCTCCACCTACAGCGACAACCAGCCCGGTGTGTTGATTCAGGTTTATGAGGGTGAGCGTGCTCGTACCAAGGACAACAACCTTCTTGGCAAGTTCGAGCTTACTGGTATCCCTCCTGCTCCTCGTGGTGTTCCTCAAATTGAGGTCACTTTCGACATGGATGCCAACGGTATCATGAATGTCTCTGCTGTTGAGAAGGGTACTGGCAAGAGCAACAAGATCGTCATCACCAACGACAAAGGCCGTCTTTCCAAGGAAGAGATCGAGCGCATGTTGTCCGAGGCCGAGAAGTACAAGGAAGAGGATGAGGCTGAGGCTTCTCGTATCCAAGCCAAGAACGGTCTTGAATCTTACGCCTACTCTCTTAAGAACACCCTTGGAGAGGGCAAGCTCAACATCGAAGCCTCCGACAAGGAAAAGCTCGAGGCCGAGATCGAGAAGACCATCAGCTGGCTCGACAGCAACCAAACCGCTACCAAGGACGAGTACGAGTCCCAGCAGAAGGAGCTCGAGACCGTCGCCAACCCGATCATCTCTGCCGCCTATGGTGGTGCTGGTGCAGCTCCTGGTGCCGCCGGTGCCTCTGCTACTCGCACTGCTGACGAGGTTGAGGAGCGCCCTGAGGAGCTCGACTAAATGCCTCACCATATCATAGATCTCAGAGCGGGGAGTGATGAGTAACACTCCTCTGTACTCTTAAATTTTTCCTTTGTTCCAAAAATTCTGGCTTGCTAGTTTGGCAAGTTTACTGGCGCTAATGTTTATGAACTGGGCATGTTTTCGTTACGATGCATAGATGATAGGTCCGGCTGTGTTTATGATATTACACCGCAACCTTAGTTACGAGTCTAATAATACGTCTCTTTCAATATTTTATTTATTCTTAACTGTAAATTTATTTAACGAATGGTATATTGGAACAGTTATCCAATATTAATACACTTATGATGACCAAAGTTTTCAATATAGCATTGCAAATGTAGAATGGGTTGGGGGTCCTCCCCATATCAACCATAACACTTGAACTCTTTCAAAGAACGCGGCCATAGCTTAGGGCGACGTTTGTTGCTTTATTAATACCAGAGAGTGTTTACACATGACATATCATCAATAGCTCGCTTGGTTTCACCTGAGAAATGGGCAAGGACAATAAGCGCCTTTTCAAACAAGGATTGACCAGTCTTTACCAACTGCCATGCTGAACTTAAAGAGCAACCTTCATCAATATCAGTTTCAGTGTCTGACTTGGAATCCTTAAGATCAGATCCGATTGCCTCTGATTCAAATATTACCGATGGTGCCTTGGAGTGGGTATGGTGTTAAGTTACATCCATCTAACCTACTTTGTGGATTCTGTGAAGATTGTATGCGGGACTAGTCATAAAGCGGATTTGTAGTGTCTCTTCGCTAGGAAAGTAAGCTTAGAGAAGAGAATCATGATAAAGAGAGAAATTAAAGCTATTTGTGTATATCTAAATAAGAAAGTTATCTAACTTTCCATGTTAGATAGCACAGTTTTCAGCTAAACTATTATATTGTTAATTTTTTAAAGAAATATCTATTCCTAGATGTTACGATTACCATTACCTGGACTTTAGATGGATTATTTCAAGAATAAATCTCTGATAAAGATTTCTTACTATTAGTAGCTTCCAATAAGATATACTTAATTTTGAAATTTATCTAATTATTGAATTTTACAAAGAGCAGCTTTCGAATGATTTAAGCTGACTGATATTCCCCATTCTGACATGGGGTAGGAATCAGTCATTTGCATGACTCCGTTAGGAAACGACTAGAGCGCGAAGCAATCTAAGTTTAAGGGCTATAGAGGCAAAGCTGGGTTAGCAGATGCATACTGATTTATCTAATGGAGCAAGAGGACAAAGCGGCGACATATTCTTAGGGTTGAAGGAGACCTGAAGTGGTCCTGGGCCAACAGAGAAACCAAGGCAATAGAAGGCTCGAGGAAATGGTATATAAAGTAATTCGCTTGGGATGTATGAGATAACAGAATTGAACGGGTACTGGCATTTACAAGATGGAGCATGGGAGGACTCCCGATTATATTTAATTATTTTAAAGTTTGGAGCCTCAGGCAAGGAAGTAACAGCAACCGCATTCGTATAAATTTGTCCCCTCAAGTTTTATTTCCGTCAACTACTGGTTTATCCCAAATAGGATTATGGTAGAATATTCGCAAGAGTTTATCACTTCTCATAGATTTTCGAGGGCTAACTTTGGTTTAGGAGGCTTGCCTTATTACTTGACGCAATCCTGAACTCGAAGAAATCGGAGCCTGCCAAAATTCACCGTTAAAATCTAACAATTGGTTGGCCTGAATTTAGATTATCGACCAGCCAATTAATTCTGGATTGTTAGTACACCTGCAGGGACGAAGCGTTTCAAGTGATTCAAATTCTCTTCTTCTACAGTTCATCGCAATATCGTCCATGAATCGAAACTCAATTAACCCGACAACTACGAAGAGATGGAGTTGGATGTCACAATAGAAGGTGAACAAGCGTTGGTCGAGATCTGCACTCGGAAAAAGGAAGAAGGCAGGCTCCTTAGCGGCCCTGAAGGTCCGAAAGTCATCAAGATTTGGACAATATCGTTGCCAAATGCGGATTTAGGGTGTCTTCCGAGGCAGCAACACAAGACTTGGCAATCTGAGAAAGTGAACTGTGAGATCGTTCGCGTCCCTCAAGTTTATCGCTTCTTCCAAGCGATTAGCTATGGGAAACGACTCAAATGATTTGAGGCTATACCCCCTTGTCCTATGTTATACCGATTTATGTCGCCGAAATATGAGACTTGGAGAAGATGGAAAGTTAATCTATCTGGTCGATTGGGGCCATGCTAGGTTTTATCCACACTTTTATGAAGTGGCGTCACCCTCATACATGAATCCTTATGATGCTACCTACCAGGGACCTCTTATAGAAGCTGTGGAGTTGTTGATACAGTTGACAGATGATGAGAAAAACATGATGAAACTGATCCTTTATGCCCTATACACCCTCTGCCGAGCGAGGAGATTTAGCTTTCTACATGTCAAATCGCTTTGGAAAATTATATCAGTAGACAGTGGACTCCAGTTGTTGAACTAGGATATGTATTACATATAAGAAAAGATGGTAATCAAATTTCAATCTCACTTAAATCACGCGAAAATAAACATCATGTGGTAAGTTTAAGTCCTTCGGTGATGTTCCCATACTTTGCAAAATACATATCAGAAAGATAATCTTCTTTCGGTACCCACGGTCGCTGAGAGGATGCTTTCGGCATATGCTCCCGTGCACGCGCAATATACGTAGACTTGAGGTTCATAAGCGAGCGCGTTTCTAACTTACTCGGGTCTTTCAGTGTAGGAACCGCAACGGAGGCGTGCTTGCTCTCCATTTGCTTGAGTATTCTGCAAATCATCGCTATACTCGCTTCGGCGCCAAGAGTCCATGAGGCATTGGTGTAGCCAATCACGAAGCCGGCATTGGGGACGTCCTGCAACATGAACCCATTCCAAATGTACTTTTGAGAGAAATCAATTCGCTCTCCATTCACTACTATGTCAATTCTTCCCGCTAGTTGCATTTTCAGGCCAGTTGCTGTTACGATAGTGTCTGTAGATAGTTTCTTGCCCGAGGTAAGCTGGATGCCGTCAGCATCCACTGTTTTAATGATTCCTGTCTCAATTTGGCCTTTCCCGGACCTGAGGGACTTGAAAAAGTCTCCATCGGGACAGAGACAGAGTCTTTGCTCCCATGGGCTATAGGAGGGCTTGAAATGAGGATCCACGGAAATTCCAACAGGGAGCTGGGACGCCATAAGTTTTGTCAGAAAGCCTCGAGAGGCAACGGGGTACCGTCGGCAAATGATAAACATGAACCGCGCGATGAGAAGGTATCGTATGCGATTGAAGCGGTATACCCACGACGTTGGTAGTAGTCGGCCTAGCCAGCTGTGGGAAGCAGGGTTGGGAATTGAGACGACATAGCTAGGGCTACGCTGTAACATTGTCACTTTGGCTGCCTTTTCTGACAGCTTCGGGAGAAGTGTCACCGCTGTAGCCCCACTGCCAATAATGACAATGTTTTTATCGGTGTAGTCGAATTTTTCGGGCCAGAACTGGGGATGAATAACATCACCCTGGAAGTTTTGGAGTCCTGGGATTTCCGCATCCAACGGCTCATGATAGTCGTAATAGCCCGTTCCAAAAATAATAAACCGCGCAGAGAACTGAGATTTTATGCCATTGCTTTCAACATTGACCATCCATCGCTGCTGATCCCACTCGGCTTTGAGAACGTGATGGTTAAAGTAAATATTAGGCTTGATTTTGTGCTCCGTTGCAGCATCATTGAGATACTGGAGGATATCCTTGCCCTCTGCAATTGGATTCGACCGATTCCATGGATACCACGGAAAGCCAAAGGTATAAAGATCAGAGTCTGATCGGATCCCTGGATAGCGAAATAGATCCCACGTGCCTCCGATGCGGTCTCGTGCTTCTAATATGGCATATCGATATTGAGGAAATGAACTTTGTAAACGATACGCTGAGTTGATGCCCGATATACCTGCACCAATGATAAGGACATCGAACGATTGTTCAACCTTTTCAAGAGGAAGACTGCCCATTGTGAACTGCTGTGCTAGATACTAGGGTTGAGTTGTTGGGGTGTACAAAATGTGATATTCTTTACAGCCACGTCTGGCCTATTTAAGTTTTGAGATATGGAATTCGCTCGGTAGCAATCACACGACATCGAGGGACTCTCGGGGCTCCTCTTGATTTTCTGTCTGATGATCTCCGAAATCCGAGCAAGTTGCCTCACTTACACTTCATGGCTGGATTGCGGAGATGCGGGAGATCGGATATTTATTACCAAAATAGGTAGTAACATTCCTCAATTTCCAAAAAAGGTATAATACTTCCGATCATTAATAGCGTGTTTACACTTTGAACCCCACGGGGTTGGTGAGGGGGCGAACGAGTTGGGCAATTTCTTCGGCTGTTTGAATAGGACTGAGTTCAATGGCAGCCGTCTTCACGTGTTGTTGTTTTTACTCTATAAAAGTCGTTGCCTTCGAATCCCGTTGACCAGAACCCAAATACAGGATTTATCACATGTCTGCATCATAAATAGCTGACCCTGATTAGCAAGAATCCGCCTTGACGTCAAAAATGTCAGTGAGCACACTCCTCCTAGAGTCATTCCAGGGCCTTTTCGACAAGTTGCCGCAGCAAGTGCAACGCACCTTGTTACTTCCCACGGTACAGAAAGGCCTTGCGTTGCTAGCCACGTTCCAGGCACTCAGAACTTTTAATGGCTACCTCTCCCGAGGTGCACAGAACAACTGGACTCGAGTTGCATCATGGGAACCTAGTAAGGAGTTGGTGTTGCTTACTGGTGGCGCGAGCGGGATTGGAAAGCAAATAATGAAGGATTTGGCGCAGTTGAAAGTCAAGATTATTATCATAGACGTGCAGGAGCCAGATTTTGCACTACGTGAGTTCAGCGCAATAATGTATTTGTCCCAAAACTAATACGGCAACATAGCTTCGAATGTCTTCTTCTACCGAGCCGACATCACGTCCTCTTCTGTAGTCAAAGAAGTTGCAGGGAGAATCCGGAAGGACCACGGAGATCCAACAATTCTCATCAACAATGCAGGTGTCGGGTTTGGTGGTACAATTTTGAGCGAACCAGAAGAACAGATACGCCTCACCGTTGAAGTTAATCTTCTCGCTCATTTCTGGACTGTGAGGGAGTTCCTACCTTCTATGATTCAAAAAGATCATGGTCACATAATCACTATTGCGAGTCTCGCTAGTTTTGTCACCCTTGGAGAAACCGTCGATTACGCTAGTTCCAAGGCTGCTGCTCTTGCTTTTCACGAAGGGCTTACCCAAGAGATCCGGCATTGGTACAAGTCAAAGAAAATCCGGACAAGGTCAGCATTCCCCATCTTCCGGGCATACTATTCTTCAAGCACGGAATGTTGAGTATATGTTGTTTTTTCAATGACCACGACACCAGCTAATATAGCCATACAGCATTATCCACCCTCTATGGGTTCGTACTCCCTTGATCGATACTCTTGTTCAAGCCCGCAAACATTTTAAACAGCCAGTCATGAGTCCGGAGAAAGTATCGTCCGCTGTTGTGAAGCAGATTGTTTCTCGCTCGGGTGGCCAAGTTATAATTCCAAGTTCATATAATGGCGCATCTCTCCTTCGCGGACTACCAAACTGGATCCAGGAAATGGTAAGGGATAAAGCCTCGATGACCCTTGTGACGCTTCGGGAACTTGAAAATCAGATCGACGCGGGAGAAAATATCGATTCTTGAAGCTACCCTTGCATGGTCGATCCTTCCAGAGATTCAACTTAAGATGCAAATTAAAATCGTTATATCACTGAAATAAATTGCCCTCCTTTGCCTAGTAATTCAAATAAAGACCCTTTGAACCCATTCCACCTTTGTTCCCAAACATATTTAAGTAATGAAATGATTTGATCGTTATTAGCTGGGCGAATTGGGAATCGTGTCATAGTTTTCCAAATTGATCTCGAACGAAGAGGGATTTCGAGTAATGCTAAGAAAATTGGGAAGGAAGTGTATTGTAATTTTGTATCCGGTTTGCAAAGAGCGAAAAAATCATCTCTTTGCTCGAAAATGTCGTTGGCATACGAAACTGCAATACCATCCTGGCTAGAAATCGGATGGACGAGACGGTGAATCAACAGCAAGGCTGCGGATCGATACATAGACGCTTGCGCTCGCATTGACAATATCTCTATTTCGGTGAATTCAACGGACTTCAAAGAATCCTCGTCAGGTTGCCACGCGCGAACTCGTCTTTCGATGTCTTCTAAATCGTTCGTCCCTGCTTGATAGGGCTTAGATGCCATTTGATTGCTCACAGTACACAGGTCATAAAGAACTGGTATTAACGAAGTACATAATCCAGCGATACGGTCGGCAACTTGGGGACGTATAATATGTGGTCGAATTATGGGAACTTCGCGGTTAATCAAGCACCAAACTATATCCCAGAAAAGGGGAGTAATTGTCACTGAATCTAGGAAATCAGCCTGAGCTAGTTGCGAATACCATGGCTTGACAAGGTAGAGAGAATGCCGTAAGATCAACATCGAGCCTGCTGACGCGAAGAAAGAGTCGAAAGCAGCTAATGTCTGACCTAATAGCATGACTGCCAAGCCGTCATTTTCATTGGTAATCTCAGTGGCTCGCAATTTTCGTAATGAGTTGGTGACCTCGGTGATATCCATTTGTCTCGCAGCGGCCGGATCACGCCGGGCGCAGTCCAAATAAGTCTCCATTGCACTGAACATATCTCGCAAAAGATCCGGAGCCATACCATATGTATATTCCAACGCATGGTAAAATTTAGGAGCAAAAGTTGGGCCGATCATGAAAATGTCATTGATAGCATAGAAGTCGGCAATTTTTGGCGGACGTGGACTTTTGTGTTCTCCCAATTCAGTTGTTGTGGATTTAGCAATTACCGCCTCTCGCATGGCGAGCGCGTCTGTGAAAGATGGCGATGATGGCACCGGGTCCAACTTTTGCTGTACTCTTGTTTTCTTTTTCTTGTTGTGTAGGCCATCTCCTGAGCGCCATACTTGTACGTATCCTCCTGGACCAAGAGCTTTCGGGCGAGCTGGCCGTCCGGGTCGCACTTGATCACGAACCATCGAGCAACTTATGGAATAACGTGTACATCGTCCACAGCTTGTCGATCCGTCCTGGAAACGACATTTCTTCTTGTGTGCGTAACACTGGTCGCAGGACCTTGAGTTCGGCATGTTGCCTATACAGTTCACAATACACCTCAAGTACGTGCATCCAAAGGATTCTCCCCGCACTTGAGATTACTACGATAACGGCTAAGCACCAATCACAGATTGCTAATCTAAACCTGGGGTAAATCCATCGACCTTGCTCCTACCCTCCTTCTACCATCCATTGATATTGGCGTAACTGTATATATTCATGGGTGGATGACGTTAAAAGTGATAATATTTCATTATTTCCGATGAAGTTTATACTGATGGCGGCACCAACACCTCCACCGTTGGAACGCTTAAGTTTTGCCGGTGAAACTGAAAAGGGCGACTCTCTTTTCCTAACTGATGTCTCGCGTGTATCGACTCGTGTTGTTTTTAAAAAAATGGAAAAGTCTGTTTCCTGCTCTCACATTCTGCAATCCTGTTAGTAAATTCCAAATAGATGTTTCAAAGATAGAGAAAAACAAGGGGCAATCTCCATGGTGAGCAGTCAAAGGAATGGGCTCCATCATATAGGGTAGAATATACCGATCAACAGGTGTTATCCCAAGGAGTCGCATCCCATTGTTTAGTACTTGGCGGGCAGCTTCGAATAGAGAAGCTCGAGCACGGGTAACGTCAGGGCCTTCAGGAGCATTTACGACCTTGACGATGTCGTAGCTCGAGGAAATCTGATGGGTGAGATTGAAAAGATAAGTCAGGATGGTCGATGGTTCATGATTTTTTAGTGCCGTAGCAACGACATCAGGCCATTGTGCGATCAGACGAAGTAAATACGTGACGTGTTGGTTGTCTTCCAAATAGCTGAAATCTGCATTGGCCAAGTCATCTCGACCAAGTTCGGTTTTTCTGATGATTGAAGAAAGGCGAGCGTGAGCATATTGTAAATACGGACCTGTATCCCCTTCAAAAGAAGTCATTCGCGTCATGTCAAATGGGTAATTGTGAACGCGTTTACCGGACATGTCTTGAACCATGACTGCGGTTATACCAATGATGTCTGAAATGTCTTTTGGGTTTTCGACTTGCGCATATTTTACTTCGTTGGCCTTCATTAATTCATGCATAGCTTTCCCGCTTTCGTTGAGAATATCACTCAGGAGTCTCACCGTTCCCATTCTTGACGACATGCCCTGAACCTTCCCAAAGTTGATGTGAAGGAGCTTAGACGCAAGTTCTGGAAATCCCATCAACTCCACCGTCTTGAAAAGTCGTTGGAAATAAAGATCCTGCTCAGCCGATACGACATATATCATTTTGTCGAAATCGTATTTCTCTGCTCTCTCCAAAACGGCCCCAACATCCCTGAGAAGATACGTGGTGGTCCCAGTCCGATTTCGAATGACTGTGGAGGCAAGTTTTGGTGCCCCATGTTTCTTGAAGTTGATGATCGAAGATCCATTGTCTTCTTCACAAATTCCGTTTTCCTGTAGAATTCGCTCGACTTTTTCCGTTGTAGAGGACTGTACTTGAGATTCACCAGAATATTCATCGAATGTGATGTTCAACCGGGCGTATGTTGAAATGTACCGCTCAATACTGACATCCCTGAAACGCCGCCATAAAGTTAAAGCTTCTTCGTCACCATTTTCCATTCTTTTGAAGAAATAATTTCGTTCGGCATATAACCCTTTTGACTCGATCTCTTCGGTATCGAGGCCCTTATCACGGGCGTCCCTACTCGCGTCTTGTTCTGGCTTAAACTCTCTGTTGATCCGGGCATAAATATCAAGCAGATGACCTAGAGGATCTTGTTTGAACAGCTCTTCAGATCCATATCGCTGCCATCCGACTGCTAAGAGACCGAACTGCTTTCCCCAGTCGCCAAGATAGTTGACTTTGACAACGTCCCAGCCCATGCTTTCATAAAGATTTGAAATGAACGCTCCAATGATGGTGCTTCGCAGATGGCCCGCATGGAACTCCTTCGCGATGTTGGGAGAGGAGAATTCCACAACAACTTTTTTTCGGGGCGTACTGATATTAGTTTCGTACTTGAGACCATATGATAGATTCCAGCCATAAGTTTTCTCTCGATCAAAGACATAAGGTAGGAGTAAAAGTGGCAAGGTCTTAGGCGAAAAACTGACAGGGACCCAGATGCCAGAGGGTGGTATCACAGTAAATAAAGGAGATTTCGGAAACTATCACTTACAATGTACTTGGTGAGCAATCATATAGAGGCATGCAGGTCGACAAATTCCCACGAGCGGATACCTCATACCTTTGAAGCAATTTCTACTGCAAATTCATCTGGTTTTTTCACTCGAATACCCAAACGAGGAACAACTAGAGTTAGATCGCATTTTGATGCGTTGGTAGGGCGTTGAAGACTGTCGTATATGTTTGCGGAGTCGCATTCAATAATTTGGTTTGTAGCGTGCGTCAGATAAAGTCTGTATATATCCATAGGATTTTCTAGTGGATAAGATGAGATGCTTGGAAAGACGGGAAGAGGACCGTCAACTTCGAGATTTTGAAGAAGGGTCTCAAGACCCTGATTATTCAGGGTATTAGAGCGACCCATGACCACAGTAAGGCGTGAGAAAGCAGTCAAGTTTCAGGATCGATGTGAGTTCTTCCAGAGGATTGGGGAATGTGAATGAGGGAGTTGTGAGTCACTCAGCTGTTCCTTCCATTTTGCTCAACGCGGCGCAGGGAAGGAAATAATTACCCCGCGACCAGCCAGGCTAGTTAATAGTTAGACATCAATCGATCAATCAGTCCGGCTGAGGAGGGCTAGGTGATAAATATATGGATCTAGGCAGCAGCAGCAGTATTTGAGTTAGCAGACAATGTCTGAGAGCAAAAATAATGAGAAGGAATCTAATACATTCGCATATTAAGATTGATGAAATCAGGGACACCGAAGAATGGTCTACGAGTATGCGTAATTCGAATACAAATAATTCAAGTACTCAGCCTCATCTAAATTAAAATGCGTCAATAATATTCTAGATCCCATTTTAATAATACTATTAGGCCCTCAAAACGTCGTTTATATATGTGATATATTACATACCGAGAGGTATGAGATAACGCGCCATATGATTGGCCTGCCCCGGAGATGCACGCTAAGCCTGTTATTGCCTAGTGGGCCCAGCTATTCTTGGAACGTGTGACAGCAGTGTGTCTCACAGCAGATCCTCTCTCATCTTATTCTTCTTTGCACACCCCGAGTTTTCGATTCAATCCGTGTCGGTTGGTCATTTATCTGTTTATGCCTTTCTATAACATTCAATTTGTTCATATACTGCATTTTGTATGGCCAGCACAGGCGGCTAGGCCCTGTTTCATGTTTGTTGACAGTCAGTGATTGACAATATTCCAATTCACCCCTGGAACCCAGTGCCGCCTGCCACTTGGTACATTTCTTCAAATGATCGGGTATTAATATGAGTTCTAAATCTGCAAATATGGAGCCTCACTTGGTGATACAGCTAGTGAAGGACACTGCAGCCCAGTATTCGTTATACGTTCTGCTTGCGGTGTTGTTGTTCTCATGCCTCGCAAATAGAGTCATCACTGGGCTTCAAAGTCAGCCATACGCATCGACTGAGGGCGAAGCGCATCGTGTCCGGAAACTCGCTTATTGGGTTCCTGGCCTCGGACATGCATTCTCGTTCGTCTGGAGTCATCGAGCCTTTTTGCTGAAAGCAGTGTATGAATGGCCTAGTCTATTGATGTGGCTTCAAAACTAACTTATTCTCTAGAAAAACCATAAATGAACCCGTTGTGGCTCTGCAAATGGGAACTAGAACCCAATACTTTATCTACTCACCCTCTATGGCGCAAAGGCTTTTCGACTACAGAGGGGCCCGCTCTGGAGTATTCTCCACGAGGATAATCGAGAATTTCGTTGGTGATAGAGGCCTGTTTCGTCGGATAACACCCGAAAATCTAGAAACGATTAGTCGTACCCTAACGCTAATTACGGAAGAACCTTATCTTGAACAGCTCTCATCGAAAATCGCCAAGTTTCTCGAGAGAGAGACAGCTAACTTGGTCTCTTTTAACCGTAGTCTTGTTGACCAGGCTATATGGGAACGTAATGCCGGGATTACCGTGGAGGAGGATAGTAACCCTCCGGTTTCCGAAGGAAGTCTCTTTGCCTTGACTAGAAGCTTCACAACTTATATTACCACCCAAATATTTATGGGCCAAGCTCTTCTCGACTTTCACCCTGGCCTTTTGGAGGATTTATGGCTATGGGACCGCGAATTTGTACGGTTGTCGGGCGGAACTCCAAGGTTGCTTCTACCCGGAGTATCAGCAGCACATGCAGCCCGGGAACGCACGACGAGGTTGATGTCAGTCCTGCAGGCGTCGTTCTTGGCAGTAGAAGATGGTCGAGATGCACCAATGGAGTTCCGTGACCTAGATGATGTGTCAGAATTGATGCAGCAACGGATACGCCTATTGAAAACACTCGGTTTAAATCCTACTCTCAGCGGTCGGTTGGACAGTTGGTTATTATGGAAGCTGACCAGCGATTCCTCCAAATTGACTTTTTGGACTCTTTTCCATGCATACTCTGATCCCACTTTACTGTCCAACATTCGAAAAGAAATTGCACCATTCGTCAAAACCTCCCGCCTTGGACCTAAGGAGACGGGTCTACCCTTCATGGAGCCACCCAGGCTTTCTATGGATATGAAACGGCTCCTCAAGTCTTGCCCACTACTGAAAGCAACGTACGCGGAATCTGTACGATTAGAAACGAACCCGATTTCATATCGGGAATTGACAACGGATTTGGTCTTGACTGAATCTCCCAAAGAAGCAGCTATTTCTGATTTGAAAGAACCACGTTTTTATGAATTTCACCGGGGGGATGTTTTGGCTGTTCCCTGCGGTGCGCATCACATTGACCCTACTTTTTACCCGGAACCTCAAACATTCGATCCCACAAGATTTATCTCCGTAAAATCAGGGAAGAAAACCTTCGATTGGCAGGGCGTTCTGCCGTTTGGTGGAGATGATACCTTTGCTTCCCTGGCTGAGCGCGAAGTATTGGCGGTTTCTGCTGCTATTATCTCTCTCTGGGATATTGATCCAGTGAGCGCTGGAGGCTGGAAACATCCAGGTCATAGATTGTCAGCAAACGCCTACAATATTTCTCACGATGTGCGCGTGCGATTGAAACACCGTATATGATCGAATGCGTTTTCTTAGTTTGAGTGTATGATAGAATAGCATAGACCATGTCTTTTCGAAACAGCTCTCGTAAAAATCAATTTTCTCCTAGATGCATCTTAGATCAAAGACGGATGTCTGCCGATTATTCCCTCAGTTGACCTTCCTGAAGTGGAAACAAACCACGGACTAAAATCCGAGGACGCGGAGGTAATCCGCTCTCCGCATTGCAACATCTAAAAGCGGGCCGACACCAATAGCCATAAACCTATCATCAATTGTGTTTTTGTAATACTCGTCCATGAAAATCATAAAAAAACACAAACAAAGAGAACTAGCCACGGACAAGCAAAACAAAAATGTCCTTACCCAGTGATGATCAAACATCCCATGCCGCAGACGATTATGACCTCAGTAAAGCAATTACATCCCGATCAGGTCTTCGCCAAGGTCTAACCTCGTACGGCGATGCTCACTTCTCTCTCTTCTTACGCAAAGTCTTCATAAAGGCTCTTGGATACACAGATGATGCGCTGTCACGACCTATCATTGGCATTATCAACACTTATTCAAGCTATAACCCCTGTCACGCCAACGTTCCCCAGCTTATCGAGGCTGCTAAGCGTGGCGTGCAGTTGCATGGTGGCCTCGCAATTGATTTCCCCACAATCACATTGCACGAATCGTTTGCTCATCCGACGAGCATGTTTTTGAGGAATCTCATGAGTATGGATACAGAGGAGATGATCCGTGCTCAACCAATGGATGCGTGTATAATGGTTGGGGGTATACTTACCTAACTCCCACAGAGATAATGAATTAATAACTCACCATTTGTTACGTCTAGGTTGTGATAAGACAGTTCCGGCACAGCTCATGGGTGGAATTTCAGCGAATAAGCCCGTTCTTCCCCTCATTACCGGGCCGATGATGCCTGGTAGTCACCGAGGGAAAAGACTAGGTGCTTGTACTGACTGTAGAAATAATTGGGCTGAGTATAGAGCTGGGCAGCTTGATGTCGAGGAAATCAGTGCTATAAATGAAGAACTGGCACCAACAGTAAGTTTTTGATTGCAGCATGAATTAATATTGACAAAGGAAACAGTCTGGAACTTGCGGCGTGATGGGAACAGCTAGTACGATGGCTTGCATCACTGCTGCTTTAGGCATGATGCCTTTTAAAGGAGCTTCGGCCCCTGCTGTCTCTTCCGGGCGTCTACGCGTTGCTGAAGAGACTGGTGCAAATGCCGTCTCGGTCGCCCAAGCCAAGCGCACCCCGCAGGATATTCTTTCCAAAGAATCATTCTTGAATGCAATAACGGTACTTCAAGCTATAGGAGGATCGACAAATGCGGTGGTTCATCTACTGGCTATCGCGAACCGACATCCCAACATCCAAGGAGAAATTACGCTTCAGACAATTGATGACATTGGCAGAAAGACACCATTGCTCATAGATTTGAAGCCTAGCGGAGAAAATTACATGACTGATTTCCATAATGCTGGTGGTATGCTTGCGCTGTTACATACCCTTCGGCCACTTCTTCACCTGAATGCTATGACAATATCGGGGAAAACACTTGGTCAAGTCCTGGATGAGTCTCCATTCAAGTCATTCCCATTTTCTGAGGAAGTCGTCAGACCTCTTTCAAACCCGCTTTATGAATCATCATCACTGGTGGTTCTTAAAGGAAATATTGCCCCTCATGGAGCAGTGATGAAAGCTTCGGCGTCGAAGGACCGGTCTCTGTTAAAACACTCAGGGCCGGCTGTTGTTTTCGAAGACAGCGCCGACCTCGCAAAGCGAATCGATGACCCTGATCTTCCAGTATCAAAAGACTCGGTTTTGGTTCTGAAGAGCATTGGGCCGATAGGGAATCCCGGGATGCCCGAAGCAGGGTTGATCCCATTGCCGCGCAAACTGGGTGCGCTCGGGGTCACAGATATGTTGCGCATCTCTGACGGAAGGATGTCAGGAACAGCGGGGGGTACCATAGTGCTTCATATCTCACCGGAATCAGCTATTCCAGAATCACCGTATGGAATTGTGCGGACAGGTGACATAATTACGTGTGATGTGGAAAATAGGAAACTGCAACTAGAAGTGTCTGACGAGGAGATTCAGCAAAGGATTGCCGAACGGAAGGCAAAAATCAACATAAAGGGACCCGGGGCGACTGTATCGCGAGGATATCGAGCTCTCTACACACGATCTGTCAACCAGGCGCAGGAAGGCGCCGATTTTGATTTTCTAACCGCGAAAGGGGCGGAGTGGACTAGGCCATAGTGAATAGAAAGGCGTTTTCATAGCATGCCTCGCAAAATATGCATGAATATTCATAAAAGTAGAATCTTTTAATATCCTTTTATACAAAGACATGTATTCAAGTATCATAAGACTTCAGTTTCTATCTACAAATGCGCATTGAGGCATAGTTCTGTTGTTACCCTGGCCCTAAGCCCTAAGCCCGCTAGGAACGGTTAGTGCGACGCGTTCTTGCAATTAACGCCTCGACGCGTTCCGGCCGGCGATTGCATACAGCGGGTCTGATGCTTGGAAGTAAAATCACGACCGCATTCTATTACAATTGTCCCAAAGATACCCCTTCATAAATTGCTTACATTACTATTTCCTAATTACAATATCCCACTCGAAACAAAATACATGTCCTTGGAAGGAATCCGGCCTAGGCCGAGGCCAGCTCGTGCGTGCTGATTCTATTCCCGTTTATGATTTGGAAGCTATCAAGATACTGACCAGTTTGCTTGTGACTAGACCCCCCTGGGACAACGGTCTTGACGTATACATCCGATGGACGATATCTTATAACTGCCGGCTCCAATGCTCTGATTCGTATCTTCAATGATGGAGATGATGGCGAGCCAAGGACACTTGAGGATGGTGCTGCGGAGAATTATCTTGGAGTTGCGGCAACGGTAAACATCTCTACTGGCTTGGATATGTTTTCGCATATACCGATATACTGATACGTTTGGACAGAAAGATGCATTCATTCTGGGCGCAGAAGATGGTACGGTTTGGCGCTACGATGTTGAAACTGGTAAAACGGATAAGCTTCTCGTACGCTGTCTACTTCCAGTTCGCGACCTTGCTATTTCAAGCGACGGAGAATGGCTTGCTGTTGCCAGCGAGTGAGTTCTGATATGCACCTGACGCATTTCTGGGTGTTAATAAACCGTACAGTGAACTTACTGTGAAGATTGTCAACACCGACGACATGACCAATGTGAAATATTTGAGAGAGCAGACGAAAGGATCGAAACATGTGACTTTTGATCAAACTGGCCGATTTATTGCCGTCTCGTGTACAGATGGATTTTTATACATTTATTCAGTGGAATCCGACGAGCCGCAGCTGGTACGAAAACTGGATGGAGCTATAAGGCGACTTGAAGCAACAGATGACGCAACATCGCGAGCAGCATGGCATCCGGGAGGCACAGCCATAGCGTTGGCTCAAGCCAACCGAGACATTGCTATCTTCTCAACCTCCGACTGGACCCCGCAGAAGCCGTTTACTGGTGGACACAATGGCGAGATCACTGCCATAGCATGGTCCCCAAATGGTGAACTTCTAGCAACTGCTGGGTTTGACGGACAGATTCTGCTTTGGGAAACGAATACCCAAAAAATCCTGAAACGATACAAATTTGCGAATGTGACTAATCTTTCATGGCATCCCACTAGAAACGTGTTTTCGTTCTCGACATCATTTGGCGAGGTTTATATTCACGAGTACTTTGTGTCCAGAGAGCACGTGTCCATCTTGGAGAAGAGCGGAGAGTCTGCTCTGCGCGGAGGACCGCTGGGAGAAACCTCAGGAAATGCCAGAAAGCCTATGGTTGATCGATCTAAATCGGGAGAAGAAAATGGACGCAGAAGAGCAGGCTCTCTTGACTCACTGGATGATCTTTTGGGATCTGCAGGGGACGAAGACGGTTTCGTGGATGATGATGACGGTGCTGGTTACGCAGAGGATGTCAATGCTTTCGGTAAACGAACAAATGGCCACTTGGATGGACCTGAAGGACGTCAGCAAAAGCGCTTTGCGTCTTACTGGGAGCCCACCGTTCATGCTCCATTTCAACCAGGAAGCACTCCTTGGCGGGGAAACCGATGTTATCTTTGTACGTGGCTGCCCACAAAATACTTCGAAATATGTTAGTGTTACTGACTCCTTTAGGCTTGAATCTTACTGGAGCCGTGTGGACTGTTGATCAGGAATCTCACAACACGGTTACTGTCGAGTTCTATGATAGTGAACTACATAGGAACTTTCACTTTACTGACCCTTACCGCTATGACAAAGCGTGCCTCAGTGAGTTGGTTACTAGATCTTGTTTTCAATGATACTGACCTGAATATCGTAGATGACAATGGCACATTGTTTGCTTCATCTCCAGTGGATTCTCCGGCAACAATTTACTATCGTCCCCATGAAACTTGGACGACTCGGGGAGATTGGCGAACCCAATTGCCTGCAGGCGAGACCGTCAAAGGTATGTGTCGAGAGATGATGATATTCTATTTGGCTAACTTTTGCATAAGCTATTGCACTGAGTGATTCTTATATCGTCGCTTTGACTTCGGCAAATTACATACGTATCTACACGCTGTATGGAACGCCATTCCGCATATATAGGCAAAAGAGCCAGGCTATTACCTGTGCAGCATGGCGAGATTATGTATTGACTATTGGGAATGGGCCGGTTAGTCACAATGGGGGCTCGTCCATGACCTACTCTATTGAGAATGTCAAACGTGATGAGATTTGTCAAAACGAGGATATTGTGGCTATATCGGAGGGAGAAGAACTGAAAAGCGTCTTTTTCTCTGATGCTGGAGTAAGTATAATCTACGGAAATTAACCTAATCAGAGCTAACCTGCATTCAGGATCCCTGTATTTATGATTCGGAAGGAGTTCTGCTGGTGCTACAGCATTGGAGAACACCCGGACAAGCTCGATGGGTTCCTCTCCTCGATACCAAGCTTCTTGAACGATTGTCCAAGGGCCGTAAAGAGGAGACATACTGGCCCGTGGCTGTGGCACAAGATAAATTCCATTGCATCATTCTCAAGGGCGGGGAAACTCACCCATACTTCCCAAGGCCTCTTTTGAGCGAGTTTGACTTCAAGATGCCAGTCTCTACAGCACCTCCCAAAGCAAACGAGGACGAGGCTGAATCAGATACACGCAACGATATTATGCGATTTGAGGAGTCTTTCGTGCGGGAGAACCTATTCCTTAGTCTTTTCCAAGACGTTATATCCACAACCAACGCTACTCGTAACCAGCGTGCTGAGCTAGCACGGAAAGAGGTTGAATTAGACAAGATCTTGTTACAAATGCTTGCAATCGAGTGTCGTGAAGGCGAAGATCGTGGTATGAAGGCTCTCGAGCTGGTGGAAATGATGCGGGATCGTTCTGGTAAAATGCTGGAAGCCGCAGCGAAGATTGCTCAGAGATACAATCGTTCCATCCTCGAAGACAAGATCCGAGAGCTGGGTGAGCGACGACTCATGGGCATGGATGAGGACGACGAACTTGCTTGAACGCAGAAACTAATTACATGATGTGAATGAACGGGCTTTGCTTTTATTGGGATACGATGATCTTAATGTAGTGCTGTCATGTGTCAAATACGACCAACCTGATTGGCTGCCTGGCTATTGTAGATACTGTGCATAAACAATTGCTAATCAAATAACTGTAAAAGTTAAAGTGGGAGTGCAAATCCATGCTTATCCCCTCAATTGCAATTGTATCAATCAATATTGTATTTATTATTCTAATCATGCGGAAAGGTTCCTGCCAGACTATATGGCCGGTGGACTAGTGCGGGCCTCCCAAAAACAAACGTCATTTTCAGAGCCTCGACTGTAAACCTCCTCCACGCTGCTGTTACCCATGCATACGGCACCTCGAGATTACTGCTTCGCCCTACACATGCCTCCGGACAAGAGGCGTTCGTAATGCCGCCGAAACTTGTTCGCTATAATCCCTCATCGCTTTCGTTTTCAACATCTGCATCCAGCGTCGTTTGCACTTTTCACCGGGTTTCCGCCTATAGCCATAACCATTATCATCGCGCGCAATGTCGTCGGTCGTTTACACAGGCCACTAAGAAACCGCTCGCCCGAGCACGCGATAATATCCTCGATGATATCTTCTTTTCGCGAGCGAGTGCGACTTTGTACTCTGCTACCAGGCCAAGACATGGCGCTGGGCAAATCCCCGAATTGGACGGCGGCGGTTCACACGGAGACCGCAAGCCACCGGATGAGCGAGTGCTGAAGCTTGGAAAAAGTACGTGAACCTAACTAGTAAATATCGAAATTACTGACAGAATTTTTTTTTCTTTACAAAGCCCTGCGAAAGTTATCGCCGTTGCTCCCGACGATTCTCATCAACCCGCTTCCAAGTGAACTCCTCTCTCCGCAAATCACGTTACATCTTTTCCCCTCAACGCACCCGCATCTACCAAATGTCAAAGGTCGGATTCTTTACCGTGCGGCACTGTGGACGGTGCCTGTTGCATGGAGCACGCTTCCGCTACTCGGCAATGTTAGGTTGCAGGTTACAAGCGAGCGGATGGTTCGCGCAAACTCCGTTCTTGGATGCGAGCATGCGAACGACTGTGGCGACGAAAGGCTAGTTGTTCGGTGGAAGACGGAGCTGCGAGGTGACAGAACAAATAAAGGCGCGCCAGGATTGGAATCAGCATCGAAACCCATGTCAGTCTCGAGCCACGTCTCCCAACCCAAGACTGGAGTGAACAAGGGCTTGAGCGCGCTGCTCGGTGGGGATGCGCCTATATTCTCGCTGGGAAAGGAAGGGCAGTTTGATGGCCTGTTTATCTTCGCCTTTGACGAAGAGGGCCGGATTGCAGGGCACACCATCGAGCATGCTGATCAGGCGAATGGCTGGGATCGCACGGCAAAGTTTGTGACATTGACAGATTGGCTATTAGGCAAGGCTCGGGGGACGATGGAGCCGCCAGAGCCCTCGTTGGCTGCCCAGGCATGTCGTGAATATAACAACGATGTCTTGGACCGCAGGCAGACGTTGCGAAGGAATACTCTCCTACGATATCGAAAAAGTAACCCTTGACATACGACGAACGAGTCACTTGAAGTATAATTCTCTTGTATCATATTGATATATCTGCGGTTGGCGTTTCATTTCAGGGAATTCAGCTGTTTCACAGGCTTATTCGACCCATTTCCACTCCTTTCATCTATGCAATGTCCTCGAATGCGTGGTCAGTTGCCATGGCTAATGCGTTTCTCCACTCTATTACATATTTATACCCTAGATGAATCTTATTATTTTGAAAATAGCCTTAGAATAGTCCTGAAAAGAAAGTCCGCAAATGCCAGCAAAGAACTTTTATAATCCTCTCATTTCCCCTTCGACTCTTTACCAACAGGAGTCTTCAGAGCCAAGAAAACAAGTCCACAAACACCTAGCATCGCAACACCGCCCGCTGTAAATGCAACTTCTCTCCCTACCCACCAAAAGAAAGAGCAGAACACAACCGGACCAAAAGCGCGGCCAAACTGGCCCCAGCTACGAAGACGGCCGAGGATTACCCCTCGCTCGTCATCGCCAGCTTCAAGACTACCCAAACTGTTCAGACCGGTCACAACAGTCGCACTGGTGACAGCCAGAAAGCATGCTGCGATTTGCAAGCCGCCGATAGTCTTGATATTCGCCAACAAGAAGAACGCGATGGCGCATGCGACAACACCGATGCGAACTGTCTGCAGCGGCGGCAGCCGACGCACCATTGTGCCTTGGAGTAAGGATGCAATCAGGCCGACAATCCCGAGTATGCGTCCATTCAATGCCGACGGGTTGACGCTCGTGTCTTCGCCAAGCAGCGCGGTTGTGAGAAATGGTAGCGAGAACTCCATGCCGGAGAATGGGAGGAGGAAGAGCAGATGCACCAGGTTGAGAACCGTGAGGTTATTTGTATACGCTTTCCTTCCGCTAACCGTAGCTGTCGTTCCATCTGCTGTATTCCCAGCTTTCGTTTTAGATGCAGTCTTTGTGGACTTGGACTCGGACGCCAGGGTGAATTTGGGATGCGTCTCGGGCAGACTGAGATACAGATAAATCGTTTCGACAACAATCAAGAACAGCGAGACACCAGCGGCCGTCGCAAACGGGTTTGCAGCGATAAACGTAACCTTGGACAGCGCCGCACCCAGCGCCGGGCCAAACGTGAAGGCGATGCTGAAGCACGCGCCAACCATGGCCATGGTCGACCCGCGCTGACTCTCGTCGCTGATATCAGTCGCAATGGCATTGGCCATCTGCACATTCCCTTCGCTAAGCCCGCCGACGATGCGACTGGCAAGGAACGTGCGGAAATCCGTGGCTACAACCCATAGTGCCACGCTGATTATGTTTCCAGTCATGGACCAGAGAAGCGCTGACCGGCGGCCATACTTGTCTGAGAGACTCCCGATTACGGGCGCGGCGAAAGCCTGGAGGAGGGAGAAGAGAGAGCCGAGGGCGCCGCCGAGTAGGACAATGTCGTAGCGCGACTCGATCGGTTTCGCAAATGAGTTCTTGTATGCATTGAGGTAGTGGAATATCCGGTTCAGAAGAGAGTTCGGGGAGGGGTCGCGCTTGAGGTAGAAATCCAGGAGTGAGGGGAACAGAGGGAGGATAAAGGTGAATGAAATCTAGGCGAAATAAGATGATAATTAACAATGGATTAATAAGATACAACCTCGTACTTCGAGTCAGACAACCTACCAGGTCCAAAAGGAGAGAGATGAATATGACACGCAACACTTTCTTCCGATAAGAGTTTGCTGGTGACGGTGTCACACGAGCTGCAGCCATGATTGTTCTTTTCCGTTTTGTTGTTGTTATTTTCAGCCAAAATCAATTGATGCTCGCAACTGCCACGGTGCACCTAATAAATAGCATGGCGATTCAGCATGGGTCTGCTATTCGCATATTAATTATAGTAGCTGTTGTGTTGTTGTGTTGACTGCGGATCAACAAACGATCTCCCGGTCAATGACGCAATGCCAAAGGCCTTCTCGTCGGACTTCTACTAAGAATGTCGGAGCACGAGCTTTACGTGCGCAACTCAGGAACGTCTTATTGGGATAAGCAGAGAATGAATAAATGAGATGTGGCAAGTTATCCCAGGTCGGCTGTGAGTAAGGAGCAAGTTAGTCACCCAGAACGCTCGAAAGAGGCGAAACGCAAGTGAGACAACACAGTCAGACATCCCGGCCCCTCTTCAAGCTAGCGCTAAAACCGCGTATAGAATACGCATATAGTTATTTGGAATAATATATAGTCATGGTAACATGGTCTAATCGTTCCATTCATTCTTGATAGATGCCCACTTGCACAACATGCAAGGTTCCAGCCATTCCCTAATCCTTCCAGTATGATTCCTAGTCCAGCCTGCGCCATGATGCCCCAAAGTAAAAGATAGATAGATGTACAAAGTTTTGCTATGATCGATGAACGCAACTTTTGAAAATCGGAAGAATGAAATCCGTCAAGCATAGTCGTTCACAAGTATTTAAGATAAAGGGGAATCATGTCATGAGTTAAAACACGGAAAAGAAAAGAAACGAGATATCTCCAACCCAAACAGATCATTATGCAACGCTTAAAGACTAGAAGAACACGTGAACTTTTGCCGCACAAAAGCGGAAAATTGTACGGTAGAGACCATATATTTCGATCAACAGCTCCAAGCTGCTTCTTCTCTTAAATGATTTGTACCGACGCCGATCAACCTGGTAGTCAATAAGGAAAGGAAAGTGCTGGAAGGCGAGAATGTGGAGTTAGAAAGAGTGGTGTTTGCAGTGAAGCGGTTGCACAAGACTCAAACGGAACATTGACGATTTCACTGTGTGGTAGGAACTAGTTGGCGTTCAGAATGAGGGTCAATCTGCGCCTTTGAGGACAGCACATACGTCACCCTGGAAAGTTACTGATCCGCAACAGCTTCTCCACGGTTACCGTTCTGACCATGCCCACCACGACCGCGTCCGCCCTTGTGTTCACCACGTCCACGGCCCCGGCCTCTGAATTCGCCTCGTCCACCACGACCACGAGATCCATCACCGCGACCCCGACCGCCACGGCCTCGTCCACGGACGCTGCTTTGGCGTTGGTGATGCTTGACTTGTTCGAAGCCGTCCCCTTCGATCGGTGCAGCACCAGTTGGTATATCCTCCGCCCAGCTACCAGATGGTTCGACAGCGGTGGCAGTGCCAGTCTCAGTCTCGGCAGGTTGAGGAGACACTTCAACCCATTCATCAGCAGATGCGGTAGTTTGCGGTTCCCAACTAGACTCAGCGGCTTGGTTTGCTGCATTTCCTACAAATGTTTTGGTGGGTGCAGTGACTGGTTCTTCAGATTGAACTGCAGCGCCTGAGGTTCCAAAGCTGCTTCCGTCTACCGTAGCCGAGATTGTAGTATCTTGAAGTTCTGTGAGACCAGCGTTGGCAACAGTGGGGTCAGTTGCAGGCTCAGCGCTTCTAGCAGCAACTTCATCGGTCCAGGTTGCTTCCGGGACCGGGGGTGATTGTTCTTGCGCCACCTGTTTTACTCGGGCATCTATCAATATTATGTTAACAATTATTTATCATGACTTGACAGAGTGCGAAAAACTCACAGGTCACATCCAAAAGCTGTTCATCGACGCCCACAATTTTCTCATCGGAGCCCTCGATTAGTTTCAGCATGGAATCGACAGCGTCATTAGTGCCGCCGTAAATCTGGAGCAATACCCCCTCAAAAGCTGGACCATCAGCTACAGACTCTTCACCTGCGCGCCTGAAAGAAGCCGCAGTGCGCAGGAACTGGCTCAAGGTCAACAATTGCGAGCGCAGTGTGCTTTCCTGAGACTCTTTGGCCTCTGCAACAGCCTTTTCTCGCACAGCCTCTAGGGCCTCCTTGTGTGCATTCTCCAGGGCCGTTTTCTGACTAACGAGACGTTCTTCGTAATGCAAGGCAAACTGCTTGTACTGAGCAATCTGTTCTTCGATCTGAGCAACCTGAGCTTGCAATGCTGGCTTCTTCAAAGCCTGCGCCTTTTGGTCGGCATTGATCTTTTTCTCGGCAATGAGCTCATCGAGGGATTTGTCTGGGTTTTCGGCAATGATACTGTCGACCTTGGCAGTTGCATTCTGTAGGAGTGTGAGGTTAGTCAATGCATATCTAATGCGTCAGAATGTTAGGTAGGCAATAACTTACCAGTTTCTTCAAGGCGTTGCGCAGGTTCCTGCAAATATTAGACACAATTCTTATAATACCGAAACATGGAATGAAATATCATGATTTGTTGGTACAACGGCAGTACTCACTTCTGCAGATCTCTGAACACACCCTCCGCATCATCACTCACGCCGTTGACAGGAGCCTCGAGCCTCGCATCGGAATCTGGATTTGAAGGGGTTGGGGTTGAAACTAAGGCATTGACGGGGGTTTCTGCCTTTGCACGCTTCTTCTTGGATGACTTGGCTTCGTTTTGCGCCGGAGGGTTGGAGTTGACAGTAACGGTGGACATGGTGTGGATACCTCTGTCGCTGTGTGGAGAAGCTGTGTGCTGATTGAGAGGAACAGAGAGACGGAGTGGCAATGGGGAAGCAAGCTTTAAGAAGCTTGTGATGCGTGGGCTATTTGACAGGAATGCGAATGGAAGCTGCGAACAGTGGGAGAGGAGGCGAGATGTGTGGAGGTTGTGAGGTTGTGGTGTGAGGAGCATGAGGGAAGTTGATGGAATCGGGCTTCCGTAGTCGGCCAGCCGCACCGCTCTCCGCCTGGCCTTGCTGCTCTGTCGCGTGCGCCGCCTTCTCCAACTGATTTTTTCTCGAATACTTGCACACAAAGAGCATGTCTACGGGGAATTTTCATTGCACTTATTAGTTTCAGGCTACCAAAATGCGTTTAAATTCAGTTGAGGCCCGGAAATGTATTAAAATATCACAAAAGACGCGCAGAGGGTATCGCAATTTGCTTAACATGATCCCAGGAGCAGATTCCAATCAAACCATCCATTCTGTAACGCCGTAACCCGTATACCTCATGACCATGTTTCCTTGGCTCCATAAACCGAACAATAGAGAAAAGTGGCCAAATAACTCTTATCCTCTCATCCTCCGCAGCGTAGACTATTCGACGTAATTAACATCGAGGAGGCTCCCAGCAGCTTCCAAAAAGCGAAACATACCTCGGTGACTTTGCGAATACTTCTTGCCGAAATAGACTTCTCGCCCGACCTTCTCGCACGAATCGATGCTTCTCGCATGAGTCTGTTGGGGTGCTGGTTAGTACTCTGTTGAGGGGTTGCGCCGCGTGCGAGGCTCACTCTTGCATGAATAGAATGTAATCTAGAAACACCTTTGAGCAATAAATTAGTCAAGGTTCGACGTCTCGACCAACTACAGCTCTTCGTAGCAGGTCTCACCATCTATACTCACTAAGACGTCTGTGTTTTTGCTGATGTTGCGGCCAGCATGAGCTTTGACGATGCGCTTCACGGTTGCGCGAGGGTATAATTTTTGCGTTGCGACCATTTCGATATTTCAGTGTGGCAAGAAACTTGAAAACTGTGTCTTTTCGAGAGTATAACTGGATGAGAAAATAGTAATTGGACCGGAACGTGACAGAAGATCGAGGTGAGATTGCGTTGTTTGTTGTTGATTATTGTTGACGGATGAACTTCGTAGGTGGGGAAAACAGAAGTGCAACTAGCTCGGTTTATACTCCTAGTAGGCTCTTACTATATACTAGATAACACTGGCATTTCTAGACCCTCACCATTTCACCACCTTTATATTTTGCCGTTCACCTATGAAATACTTACTTAGTAAGGATTATAGTGGTAATTTGTACATCATATTTTAACATAGGGTGTAGATCACGTGCAAAAGGCTGTCCGGTCGTGGTAGCCTAGATAGGCACCTTGACACAACTAGATTATATTGTTGAAACCAATTGAATGAAGGGAAGATGAATATTCATCTTTTAAAAGCCCAGCCCTACCTTACCTTTCGACGTCGTCGGCCAACTTCACTCTCCAAGATCCCACGAAAGATTGTGGTGATACTCCTCCTATACCTCTCAACTCCAGTTCAGATATGCCTCGCGCTTACTTGTAAATTCTGTTACAATTACTTCCAACTTTTCATGAGTGCGCAAGGAATCCATCAACTATCTCAACTTCTCCCAGCCCAACGGCGAGAAAGATTGATGAAGATTGTCACTGTGGTGAGGTAAAGAATCAGGTTAGGTCATATGATGGTCTCTGTATCTGCGTTGAACGAGATATCGGAGGAATTAACTGGCATGGCAAGGCTTGGAGAAGGGACTTGGCAGTATGCCTCTATAACCTTTCAAAACTGGGGACCCTCATTGAACTCGCACCATTGGCCGTCATGATTGTTTAATTATTGGAATCAGCAATGTAGTTTACGTGATAGGAAATTGGCCATTATCGCTTTTAAAAACTGTTTATAATGGTCCTCCGTCTGCTTTCGTGGCAGGTTTTAACAATATAGTTGTAGCCTCTATTCACGCTTCTATTCACGAGGCAATGAATATCTTGGACATGGTTGCAAGATAGGAGTGTCATTGCTCTAGGGGCTTAGTCTCTACCATAGTCACGTACGACTCCAACACCAGCATCATGATATCTTATAGCTAAGACACTCTTTCTGAATATGCACCTTCTCAGCATCCTCCGGCTCCTCCAGATCCTTCCCATAGTGATCGTTGACAACAGAAGATTTCCCCTTCCCCTTTCCCATTCCTATTCTTCCTTTCTTCCTCTCTCTTCTACCCCTGGGCTAGTACTCGATGCCCCCTACCGAATAACAAGTGCTTTGAAGCTAGGTACATAATTGAGTACCTACTCCTTATGACGGATATACTTTTTCTTTCTAATGGTAAAAGGAGCGACGATATTTCGGTTCCAGCCATCATTACCATTGATCCCATTTTTAGCATCTGCCAGACTAGACCAATTATGCTTCTGTAGACAATGGTTTCCGCCCGAACATCTCGATATTTCTAGTTAAAGTATTATTTACGAGTATAACTGGGAAATTTTCCAAAGAAAGACGTATATATGTCTACTGTGTCTATAAAATTACTATCAAGTGGTTTAAATAACGCCTCGTTTTGGTCACCAACTGGCGGTACAACCAAGGAATTAGCGGCGCCGCAGCCACCTGAATATAAGATATGACCCAGCCGAGCCTGCAAGCAGTCTCCAGGCACTAAAAACTACAATTGCCAGTCTAAGACGATCATAGTATCCTTGCAACAGTATCCCCGTGGCGTGCTGATCTGCCAATGCCGACTCATCACTCTTTGCACCGCTAGACTTCGCATCCACAGGTTCATCGACATGAAGAGCAATAGTTGAGTCGTCAGCAGCGGTTTCACTAGGCTGTCTCAAACTCTTGACCTTTTCTGCGTTTCTTTTTCGTATCGAGTATGTCATGATAGACACGAGGATCCGTAAATCAGGAGCAGTGAATGTCGGATGGGTCCATAATTCCACAGCATTGTGCGGCGGTAGCATTTCCAGAAAATCGGCCAGGATACCTAAGGTCAAGCCCCATAGCAATAGAGTCCGACCTTTCTCGGGTAAGATAGGCTGTGTGCCTGAAATCCATTGTTTCCATTTTTGAAAGACTGAAGTTGGCCGCCGGGAGGATTCCGGGAGAAAGCCAGGTATTGAGCTGCAATACAAGCTCTCGGTTGGGAGCAGCCTGAGAGCAGCAAATTCCATCATCCCAGTCATCCACCGCGAGGCCACGCGACTTATTATTCCACCCTGCTTTGCATAGCGGTCTGAGACATCGACGCGTTCAACGGACCGAAATGATGGTGCAAGAAGAGCTCTTAACGAAACCCAATGCGTTGAGGCTACTTCGGTTGGCTGAAGCTTGAGTGGTGGGGAATTTCTCGATGTTAACAAGAAAATAAAAGGACATAATACCATCAGTCTAGAAACCAGCGTTAGCCTACCGCACTTTCTCTCAGGCTTTCTAGTCCACTAACGGGAGTCTTCCGAAAGAGGTTTTCACCACACGCTCGGGGAGATTGCCAACAGGAATAGCTTCTTCTACATCCAAATCTAACCCGATTTCCTCCCACGCCTCCCTGATCGCCGTCCCTTTATCATCTGCATCCTCTGGATCCCGCTTGCCTCCGGGAAGTGCGACGTGCCCGGTCCAGCGATCCCCTATTCTTGATGCCCTTTTAATAAATAACACTTCCGGGTCACCATGTTTCACCCAGTCTTGCGCAAAGAAATTATCAAGTTGTTGTGATACCGGCACAGAGTTATTAGCTTCGACAGGAGTCGCCGGAGGCCAGTGGTGGTAATCTGGGCGAACTCGAAGGATCAAAGCGACCGCAGCACGTTTTTTACAATCTGGAGGATTTGGAACATGAGGGTGGGGGTATTTGTGCAGACTGAGTAGAGCTTCATGCAATGTCTTGGTCAATATTGGAATTGCTTCCGTACCGCTGTTCTCCGAAGCCGAAGCCATGACCACGAGCTTCCGGTTCGGCGGTGATAGTAAAAATGGAGTCTGGATACCCTATCCAAGATTCAACCCTCCGGCAATTCAAATGAACGTGGTCATAACGAGGAGTAATAACAATAACCCCAAAGTCAGCCCTACAAGATGGGATATTAGGATTGGTGCCTCGGACGATAAGCGTTTGCGACTTGCCAATCGGGCCATTCACGAATGTTTGCTTTGTTTGCTCGCGTGACCCAGTCAGCTCGGAATTGGCCAATGGGAAGCACGGAAGCTTCCCTGCCTCCCAATGCGGCACGTGGGGTGTCAGTGTCGAGAGTCCAGATGATTGCAGACCTCCAAACCTCAAAACTTCACGCTCAGCCGCCACTCGAAGAAAGGCGACACTTTCGCTCATTCGCACTTTTCAATTGCTATCCAGGCGATAAAGACTCCTAGGCGACTAGCGGAACCCCCTTCTCATACCTTTCCCCAGCACCCTGCTAGCTTCTCGCAGAGCTAGGGCGGGGCTTCGGTCACCATGCGTTTCGGCAAAACCTTGAAGAACTCGATTTATCCTCCCTGGGAGGATAAGTATATCGATTACTCCAAGGTTAAGAAACTTCTACGGGAAGGAGACGTTGATGTAGATGACAGTGACAACGAGGTGCAGCCATGGACGGAAAAGGACGAAGAAGCCTTCGTGCAAGAGTTGGTCAATGTCCAGTTGGATAAAGTTAACAACTTCCAGGCTGAGATGTCACAAAAGCTGCGCGAAAGGACTGCGGCCTGTGAAGCTAAGCTGGGCTCGCTTGTCAAGAAGACGGACGGGGAGACGGATAACCAAGAGGAGCGAAGAAAAATTGCGAGCGAAGCTCTACAGGAGCTCGACCAAATAACCAAGGAGGTCAGCGAATTGGAGAAGTATAGCCGGATCAACTTCACTGGCTTTCTCAAAGCTGCGAAGAAGCATGATCGCAAGCGTGGTGCCCGATATCAGATTCGAGCGCTCGTGCAAGTTCGGCTTTCTCATCTGCCTTTCAATTCAGAGGATTACTCCCCTCTTCTGAATAGATTGTCGGCCATGTATACTTTTGCGCGCCAAACGCTTAACCAGGGTCCGGAAACTTCTCAGGGTCCAGCTAATGAAGGCGGCATCACCCACGAAACTTATGACTCTTATAAATTTTGGGTGCACGAGGACAATGTTATCGAGGTCAAGACATATATTCTACGCCAGCTACCGGTTTTGCTCTACAATCCCACGACGTCGAAAGAACTTGATGTCTCTCAAAAGGACCCAACTATCACATCATTGTACTTTGACAACCCCCAGTTCGATTTGTATAATGGTAAGGTTACTCGAGCTCCAGAAGCAGGCTCACTCCGTCTTCGTTGGTCGGGTGACCTGAAAGATAAACCAAATATCTTTTTGGAGAAGAAAGTTGTTACGGAAGATAACCACAGCAGTGAAGTTCGAGTACAGCTTAAGGAGAAACACGTCATGGAGTTCTTGAAAGGGGAATATGGGTTCGAAAAGAAGATCACTCGACTGGAAGATGTAGCTCACGGAGAATCACAGCAAGCAGAAGCACTCAAAAAAGATGTGGAGGATATTCAATCATTTATCAAAGAGTACGGGCTACAACCGATGGTGCGAGCAAACTATACCAGGACCGCTTTCCAAATACCTGGAGACAGTCGTATCCGGATTTCACTGGATACGAACCTTGCATTGATTCGGGAAGACTCACTAGATCCTGAACGACCATGCCGTGACCCAGAGGACTGGCACCGGCACGATATTGACGATGTGGCGATGCAATATCCATTTAGCTCTATAAACAAGGGGGAAATCTCACGATTTCCCCACGCATTGTTGGAAATCAAACTAAGACACGGTGCACGCCACGCCGAATGGCTTGATGATCTTATGGTTTCTCACCTCGTCAAGGAGGCTCCTAGATTTTCGAAGTTTGCTCACGGAGTGGCTCAATTATTTGAGGATAATATCAATACATTTCCGTTCTGGTTGGGAGAGCTTGAAAATGACATTCGCCGCGACCCCGAGACTGCATTCCATGAGGAACAAGAGCGACTGGCTAAGCGGGCTGAGGAGGAAATGGTCGTTGGTAGCTTCCTAGGGTCGAAAGCGAGCCCGCTACCGCTGATGGTAGGATCGCCAATCACACGGATGCAGGCTGGAAGAGGCATCTCCCCTGCACGTTCTTCTGTCACAGCAGGTGTGGCGGCTGGACCCTCGTCGGTGCCAACTGCAGCCAGAGAAATTCTACCTGAGACCGAAAGCAACAGACTGGCTCGGGTGGCTGATGAAGCAGATGCCCAACAAGCGAACAGGGAAGTGGGAGAGACGTCGTATCTTAGCAGTCTTTTTCCTTCATTCTCAACGTCTCGCTATGCGCAGGCTCATCGCCAACGTCGAAGTCTTCCTCCAGGTGTAGAGGCTCCGGCGGTGTGGATCAAAGATGCCGGACCGGTTCGTGTGGAGTCAAAAGTGTGGCTAGCGAACCAACGTACCTTTATAAAATGGCAGCATGTTAGTGTCTTGCTGGCATCATTGTCATTGGCTCTCTACAATGCGGCTGGCATCGACAATACCGTTGCGCAGGTCCTAGCCATTGTGTACACATCCTTTGCAGTCTTTGCTTCGGCATGGGGATGGTATATGCATGAGACTCGTGCTCGATTGATCAGGGAGCGCAGCGGAAAGGATCTCGACAACCTGTTTGGACCGATTGTCGTCTGTGTCGGACTTGCCGCAGCTCTTGTTTTGAACTTTGGCTTCAAGGTGAGAGGTCGTTTACACAATCCATATATGATAATTACTAACAAACAATAGTATCAAGCTGCACTCCGCGCCGCACGCGATAGCCAGAACAATGTTTTGGCTGCCTCCACGTTTTACAACACAACTGGAGAGCCTGGATTACCGGGACTGGTCAAGCAGGAGAACTATTGAAAGCAGAATGCACTTGAGATGGAATTACGTCGCGATCCAGGATCGTGGTGTTTTTGCTCATCGGTGCTGAAAAGTATGACAGGAATTTTGCTATATAGCTTACGTGATTCCACCGGGCTTGGATGGAATAGGAAACAGGGAGATGAGTAGTAGTGGATACTAGCACCTGTGCAATTGTACAACTAGGATGTATATCGAATGTATTGGCTATTCGAGGACATTGGCGGCAATTAATCGGCTAAAATGACATCAATTGATACCGTAGAATGGCAATATTTACACTTCTGTCAGTGCAAATGCCGGTTGCCCCTTGTCAATAATCCTGCAGGCCACATATTAGCTTTCGCCGAGTCATGACTGGCCACCACCAACAGAGTTGAGTATATAATTACTCCGAGGTGCCAACGAGCTGTCAGGGGCAGGAATCCACTAGCCTAAAGGGGCTAGCACCAACGTGTACAGTTTGCTGGGACGGATCGGCGTCCCGCGCACGGGGCGCCACGGCAGGAGCTTCTTTCCCTAGTAAGGTCGCTGGACTTCCATTTCCACTTCCCATCGTACGTACGGATACACGCTTGCCAGTATCAGATTGGCAACGATGATCTCGAGTAAGACGGCCGCGGACAAAGAGTCTGGTTTTATGGGCTGCGGCCCAATGACTCGTATGTCCATGATTATAGCTTAGGTACCGTCTGCATCCAACGAACCAGTGCTCCATCTGACAAGCGATAACAGCAATATTCATCTGCTCCTGCGAGCCCTCCAGACTCCAGACCCAGAGCAACTCAGGCCTGGCAAGCAATTTAACAGCCATACCCGCTTGTTGACGGAGAAGCTCCGTGCCTCCACGGCCTGCCTGCTGGTCCTGACCGCAATCTCAGTCGTCGTTGAGTCTCCGACTCTTGACCGTTAAAAGTGGAGCGCGGCTAGGGGTATTAAATCAAGAATGGGAAATTGCAGACGGCTGGGGGCGATGGAAGTGCTGTGTATGGCTTGGTGCGCAGGTCTGAAAATTGAAACTTGGGGCAACACGGCTGTCTTTGCACGCGCTAAGCAATTTAGGCTCGGACCAGCCTCTGCCCAAGTGGACTGGCACATGCATCTATGGCCGTTCCCCTCCTCCTGTTCCCAACAGACTAACAGCCAATGCCTGGTGTCGATCTCGGAGACAAAGGATCTTGCGTTTATCTCCTCCAGACGATTTAATGTATAGGATTGATGGAGATGGGATGGGGTTGGCGGTGTTGTTCCTGGCTCACGTCACGCCACGCCGATGTCGAGAAGTCCAGTTTACACCGGCCTCCGTGGTCAACACCCATTGATCGATTCAATGCAGTTCATGCGCGCGGCCAGTCGAAGTCAAGCCAGGTACGCCGTACGTGTATCACGCTGGTGGCCCAGTGGGCCGCGGCGTGGGTCTACGTCCCCGCTCAAAGCCTCGATTCTGCGACTAAGTCGCTAAAATGATTGTAAAATCACTAAACTCGAGATTCTTCGCCTGACCCGAGGATAGACGGCTTTTCTGACGCGCTAATTGCATAATCTAGGCGAACCCAACTACTTGTAGTTAGTAAAACGTCCATGGATGGGTCTTCGGGCTAGTAATTAATCGCATATACAAACATTAAGCATCCAACATGCACATTCAAAACTTTTCCTCCGGCCGCCAACGCTTACTCGTGTCCACGGGCCATTCATATGATCAGGTGGAGGGGAAGGTCTAGGTTGATTGACCATTATACTGCTTATATAGAAGATGAGATGATATAAGATCACTCATATCCTGATTGATTACCGCGACTGCAGTATCCCCTGCTGATCCTGCGTACCCCGGATTAGAGATCCGAGCCCTGCAGTCATCAATTGGCACCTCTGCGTGCAGGGGTCTCTAAGACTCATGCCTTGTTAGAACCTGACGTGAAGCTGGGCCTGCAAAATGGGTCAGGCAAGTGGTCCAGCCATTGTAGCAGTCATCTGGACTTTCGTGTCCATCAGCAGCATCTTGGTTGCTGCTAGACTGTATACACGATTGAGAATTGTAAATAAGATAGGGCTTGATGATTATATCATGGCCTTTTCATTGGTGAGAACTATCTATCATTCTTGTCGATCTATACACAAAGCTGACCTGCTCTAGATATGCTGTCATGTCTTTGCCGGTCTTGTTACTGCATCGATATCCTGGGGCATGGCCTCACATATGGATGACCTATCAACCCAGCAAAAGGCAAACGCATTCTTCTACAGCTCCGCCTCATTTACTCCCGGTATCCTTTCCTTTACCATACCCAAGCTTGGAGTCGCCGCGCTTCTCATTCGCATTTTGAACCCGACGCGACGGTTTACATGGTTTCTATGGACATTCGTCGGCGTGAGCGATCTATTGATCTTTGGCTGTGTCATTATCCTATATGCCCAGTGCAATCCATCCAGAGCCACATGGACCCCATCCATGACTGATGCTGTGTGTTGGAGCCCTGCCGTGCTGGAGAACTACTCGATCGCCAGTGGAGGTACGAATCTGAAGCCTTTTACATGGCACAAGACTAATAAATACAGCCCTTTCCGCTTTCCTCGATTTGTTTCTTGCCATGTACCCAGCAACCGTGCTTTGGAGACTACAAATGAACCGAAGGAAAAAGATCGGTCTCTCGGCTACCTTGGGCTTGGGCATTTTGTAAGTAGTAAATGCAGCGTGTACTACAACCTACTTACAAGCTTAGTGCATGTGCGGTATCCATTTACAAGGCTACACGGTTGCCTGAATTGGGAAATAAGGCGGACTATACCTGTATGTTCTGCTGTATTTGGGTTGGTCAAGTACCTTTACTCACAATCTACTCAGATGCTACATCCGAAGTATTTTTATGGACAAGGTAAGCTTATTGATAGCTAAAGAGAAAGTATAAGGCGCTGACATGTGATAGTATCGAAGCAAACACTATTATCCAAGCCGCTTGTATCCCGACCATCGCACCTCTCCTCGAATCGCTCCTCGGCAGAAAAGTATTCTCCAGTCGGTCCGCAGAGCATACTTCCTCATACTTTGGAGCCAGTGGCGACGTTAGGAAAAACAGTAAGAACAATTGGCGGGCCCCGAGGAAGCAAAGCCTTCCAGGTTCACAAAATTGGCCTTCGGCGGCGCGATCAGGCGACCACAGCCGTCTATCGGATGTCGAAAGTCAAAAGAGCATTCTTGGCGAGGATGGCATACCTCTTTCGCATATTACACGGAAAGATGAATTCAGCATCCAATTCGAGGCTGCCACTCAGCACGGTCTAGAGCGTGTCCGGGATGGACGGCCGCCATCTGTATGGCGAAGAAGTCTGTTGAAATATGGAACCCCTCCCTGAACAACACCCCATCGACATTTAACGCGTAACGATCATAAATAATGTACTATATAATTCACTCGACGCAGCCTAGGCGACACGAAGCATGCACCCATCCTTGAGCTACTAATCATACCTTTTGACAGTCTGGAAAACCTCCAGAAACTGAGCCGGATCCTCAGCGCCTTCCACGACATACTTCCCCTGGATGGTGAAATTCGGTACACCCGTCACAAACTTCGATGTGGCCCCATACGCCTCTTGATCAACCTCCTTCCCACCCAGATCCGAATCCAGCCACGCCTGCACCTCATCTCTCGGCAACCGTGCCTCGGACTCCGTCGCGGCATGTAACAGGACCGCCTTATCGGTAATATTCTTCTCCTCCTCGAAATAAGCCCTAAACAGGGCCTCCACCACCTGCGTTTGTTTCTCAGCACCATACTTCTGGCCTGCCAGATACACCAGCCGATGGGAGTCACGCGTCCGCCCGGTATTCCCGCCATACGAGAACGCAATACCCTCCGCGGCCCCCGTGGCCGTGAGCCGCGCTGCCATGGCCTTCGCGCGCTCAGGTCCGCCCAGTCTGGCCTCATACATCGCCATCTTGTTGATACCGGGGTACGCGGCCCCGTCCGGGTTAAGGTAGAACGCGTGCCAGGATATGGAGAATGTGTCGGTTGGATAGGCCTGGGTGTGTTGAGCGATAGCTTTAGAGAGCCGTCGATGGCCAATATAGCACCACTAATAATAATATAAAAAATTAGCAAAAAAATTAAATTCACAATTTCAAAAATCACTTGGAAAGGGAGAGAAGAGCGTACCGGACAAATAGTATCCGAGACAATATCGATCTTGTAGTTTGTCATTTTGGACAAGCGTGCCGTCGTTCTGAGAGCCAGTTTGATTATTTCGATCAAATATTACGTTACTACACGTGAAAAAAAAACCCGAGGCGATGAATAGTTATATATATATATATTAAGTGCAATTGGTAAATGCTGAGCAGGTTACCCATTTAAGAAAGCCCGTAGCGGAAACACACCGAACCCCGCTCGGATGATTATTAATTCATAAATATTTAAACTTAATAATTCAGGTATTATTGTTCCACGTGCTAGGATCTACGTATGCATTAAGAGGATTAGCAATTCGGGCATATTATCGCGACAGGGCTGGCCAGTGTATACTTTATCTGAATGTTAGTGTCATTGTACATGTCATTGGTCAGTGTTTTAAGTATTATCCATTCTCAGTTAGTATACAGTATACAGATAAGTGAGAGCTTGTGAATCTCAATAGAATATCAAACCAGACAATTGATAGTATTCATTGAATGTTGTATGTTGTCACCATCATGTACGCCGAATACCATACCATACCATACCATATCATGCAACAGCAAGTAAACAAAACGCCGAGATGCTCCGGAAAGGAAAAAAAAAAAATTAAAAAAACTAAGTGCAAGCCCACTTCACTCCGGAAATGCATCATGAATCTATCATGACATAACAAAAGAATGAAGAAAAGTATGTAGCGAAACGAAATGAGCCCCGAAACTAGATCGTATGTGTCTGGCGGAGTTTGAAATCAGGTATGTAATCAAACCAATTTGTCTGCGGGTTATATCGGTAGGCTTTAAAGTCCACTCCATATGGCTTCGGCTCGAGCATGTACAACACGCCGAGTGGGACATCCAGACCAGCCACCTCGTCGCGGCTAAGGCCGAGGAAGTACGCGAGCAGGACGCGAGCGACCGAGCGATGCGTGACTAGGAGGACGTGGTCGGTGGTGCGTTCGACTTCGACAATGACGGCGCGGAGACGGTTGATGACGTCGAGATAACCCTCGCCTCCCGGTCCGGGGTATCGGTATTGTAGTTTCTCTTTTCTCCGGTTTTCGTACTCCTCGGGATATTTGGCTTTGATTTCTTCGTATGTCATGCCTTCCATTTTGCCTGCGTAGAGTTCATCCAGCATGCGCATTTGTTTGATGTCGTAGTCGTCGTCGTTGAAATAGGAGGTTGTTTGGATGGCTCGTTTCATCATGGAGGACCACACGCAGAAGTTGCGGGGCCTGTCGCGCGTGCCGTAGGATGGGTTGGGGGGTGTGCTGTCACCAGGGTGAGGCGGGAAATGGCTAGTCATTGCCTTTTGAGCCTGGTATTCCTCCCATACGCCCTTCTGGTGGTCTATAAACCTGGCCAGTGCCTCGCCGTACTTGTGTCCGTTTTCACTGAGTTCCGAGTCACCGCCGATACGGCCGAGTTGGTTGTCGATACTTTCACCGTGTCGTGTAATCCAGATTTGGCGCGGGGACAGGTTGAAATTCATCAGATAGTAGACGACTTGCGAGGACAAGAAGCCGTTTGTTTGGTGCGCCACGACTTTTCGTCCGACATCTATCATTTGCACGTACGCCATGTCGTTCTTTTCCTCGTATTCACCGAGAGGGACGTAGGATTCGTCGTACATTGCGACTCGCTTTTTGAAGTCTTCTAGCGCTTCCACAGGGTCTTGATCATGGTAGTCAGGACCAGAAAGTTTCAGCCGCATGTTTGATTCCAAAAGCACGGGGTCAACGCAGCGACTTTCTAGAAACAAGACTCCTAGTTCCGGGCCGGCACGTTCGCGGATGCGATCCATGATCGTCTTGCGGCGCTCTAGAGTGCTGTTTGTAGCATCTAGAATACCGACACTCCCACCTTGATCCAAGATATAATCTAGCAGCTCGTCCAAAGTGGCTAGTGCAACCTGCTCTCTGAGCTGGACTGCCTGCTGGTTATGGGGGTCGAAGAAACTCGCCGACTGGTCAATGGATTCGCGCTTCACTGGATGAACGTTCACTTCAGGCTTGTGTTCAACATCTGGCGTGCTATGTTCTGAACCAGGATGAGCAACGCGCTCGCCGTTTACGAGAATTTCTGTTGGAATAGCCGGCGGCGGAAGCGAGTCGCCCATCTCGGCGGGAGGCGAGGGAATAGAAGGCATAGGATTTCCGACACTAACGCTCATCTTGCGCACCGAGTCGACGAGCTCTTGGGTAATAGAGCTTTCGCTGCGATCCTTGGAGCGAAGCATAGAAGGCGACGGAGAATTCCCGGCCGCCAAACGCCGGCGCTCGCCAACATTGAATATGCGCGTGTCATGCTGTAACCAATTCAGATACCGTGCTAGCTTCTTTGTAACGTAACTTTTGCCTCGTGCTGGCAAGCCGACCATGACGATGACCAGCTTGGAGCCAACATCGCGCTCTGGAATGCGTCCATCGGGCGATACTTTGGACCGGGTGAGGCCGGGGATGTCAAGAGTGGTTGCTCGCGGCTTTGGAGTCTGCGCAGTGGAGGACGGGACAGATGTAGGAGTGTGTAATTGTGCGCGTCTGGGGTCGCTAGTTAGAGATATACACAGCAAATGGAAACGCAATCAGAGGCGGAAGAATTATGAGGCGCAAGGCCCTGGGTAAAAGGGACGCTCGTGGCACTAACAAGCGTCGATCTGCCGGAGACATGCATAATCTCGCAGACCACGCGCAAATCACAGGTAGTGTGCTAAACTTGGCAGGCAGGGTGGAATGCACGTCGATAGGAAGATGTCGGGCAGCAAAGGGTAGACTTACATCTGCGGAGAGCTGGGAGCGGTGGAAAGCGGGGTGTCTGACAGGGCCATTCCGACTCCGTCCTTGGATGGGCGGCGCTGAGAGGTCGATGGCGACGCCGGCTTGTGGGCATCGGGATGCAATTCGTTCCCTAGCGCTCGCCCGATCACGGTCTTCGGGGAATATAAGAAGGGCGCGAGGAGCCCGTGCCGCTCAGAGACCGAGTGCTAATGCTGGTGCTGCTGCCAGCACTACTGACGGCGGGTGAGGGCGAGAGACGAGGGTCGCGAGAAGCGTGCGGTGACGACGAAGCGACGCTCATCGTGGCGGACTAAGGAATATTATATATGCGATGCAATGTGCCCCAGCAGCACAACGCTGCTAGGCGTGAGGCGATCCCAGTGTGGAGTGGGTCTTGACGCCCGCGAGAAGGTGAAAACTTGAAAAGCAAGGCCGAGAGTGGATTTGATGCAGCGCGACGATGATGAGGATGATGATGATGGTGGAGTATGATGAGAGAGTGCGAAAATCCAGACGTGCGGCACACTGCGTCGACTGTCGAGCAAGAGAGGGCTGGTCCCGCGTATAAATGGTGATGTCGGACTGGGCTGGTCCGGCAGGGCTGCTAAGAATAATAAGAATCAGTCATGAAATAGGATCATAACAACCACACCTATTTCAATCTCTTTCACAGCGTCTTCTGGCCGATGAGTCAAGCACGCGGCGGGAGGCGCCAAATCCACTCGAGCCAATCGAGCCAATCGAGCCAATCGAGCCAAGAATGCAGAGGCCCGTCTTGCCGCTGACCTAATTCCTAGCACGGCTCGCTCGGGGTGGCCACGCTGTCTGTGGTTTATTAACAGTCAAGTCCGGCGTATCGGATGATCGGGCTCGTGGTGGTCGATGCGAGTGGGATGATGATTGCTGAGGGCTGAGGCTGACTGAGATGAGGATCCTGGGTTGTATACAGTAACACCTATTGAGTGCCGGGAGTCGATGTGATCACCGCCAAGCAAGCAGCGTGTTGGCAGTGGCAGCACTACTACCGCAGGGCTCGTTGAATTGTGGGCGTGTGGACCGGCCCAGAAAAGACTTTAATAATTTGAATTTTCAATAATTTGTCGCTGACGGGCCTGCACCTGCGCAGTGCTGAGTCTGAAAGCGGACTGTGTTGGTCCGTTGGGGAAGGACGGCCGTCGGATGCGCGGGCAGATTCCGCGATCCACGTTGGATAGTATAGATGGAGAATATAGCTAGAATGTATAGATACAGAGCTATGTATGATTTTGCGGCTGAAAATTATATACAAAATGAATGGAGGATCATGACCAGCATCGCGAGGCATTGGGGTTTAATCTGAATATAGTACGCAGCCTAGTTCGTCTTTTCTCTGGGCTGTTTCCTTCTATAGAGATTGTCCCACGAAGATCATATCATATTCCTTTCATTTGGAGCCCATCCTGCACTCATCTTACTCAGCCAGCTATGCACTTATCCGGCGTTGCAGGGCACCAATCCCTTGCAGCAGCGTACTCTGGCAGGGAGTATCTATCTCGCCAGCTTGGGATCAACAAACAAAGATTACTGCTGACTCCAGGAATGTCTTGGAAAATGGGGCCAGATGTTCTCGGAGACCGAGACCTCTTTATGTTGATGGCCTCGTTGTTCAGGGTGCCAAGGCCTGTACGACGCTCTGCAATCGAAAGGAGTAAAAAGAAACCATTGGGGCAGGCTTGGCTCATTTCCACCTCCTTTTTGCTGGTTCATATACTTTCTATTTGATGCCTCGTTTCCGCCCGGCTTGGCACTGTTGAGGATCGATTCAAAATTGGGTCATTGTTGTACGCGCAAACACATGATCTGCAGGCGACGGAGGGTGTGGTTTTCTCTTCTCCGCCCATGCCAAGCAGGCTCCCAAATACGTATTTTATCTCGAGCAGAGCTGGACTGTCGCAACTCTCATCGCGAAGCGACTATCTATCCGGCCAGATTGAGAGTAAGTCCAATCAGACAAGCGTACGCAGCAACACTGAGCGCAGTCAACGTCACCACTGCGTTACCACTGGTCCGGAATCTGCGGCGGTGCAGCCCATCTTCCCCGATCTCAGAGAAGAACTGGCGATTGCCTTGTTGGCGGCGGAACAAGCTGATGAGCAAGACACCGGTCCCGTAGACAGCGAATAACGCACCGATGCCGTAGAACTCTGCGGTGAAGACCTTCAAGACGATGAGCGCGAACGAGAACTGTGAGAGGGCTGTCCGAACGTATGCGCCCTCGAATGTACGTTGTGCCGCGCGAACTTCGACTATTTCATCGGGAGTCAGGACTGCGGAGCGTGCGCGGTGCAACCGCAGTCGGTAGCGGTCTGCTGCATGCCACTGGACAATCAGACCGTGAGCCATGTGCATATAAATAGCATGAATACTAATACATACCTCGAACATAGCGAGCGTGGGTTGCCTCACTGTCTGGAGCTGGTGTGGGGGTTTAAGGGTGGGAGGGAGAAGGAGTGCGCGGGGTGGAAGACGCCATCCCATCTTGTTAGCAGGAAATATCAGGTGCTCCGCATGCTCCGTGACAGTATCGGCATAGTCTTTTCTTTAGTGCCTCTTTTTTTCTCTCCAGCGAATCCAACTTGCTTAGGCCCTGCTCATTACATTATTACATATATTATGAGTTGCTGAGTTGCATCAAGAAAAAAGAGAAAGCTCAAATAGTCGGCTATTGACCCGGAATTCACGTCAATTGCCGACGTCGGGAATTTATCCACCAACAGCCTGCAGTTGGGGTAATCGGCATGGTTTCCGACCTGCGTGCTATAAGCTATAATTTATTACTCTGATGCTTTTTCTGGTCGTCGCAACTTTTCTCGCCTCTGTTTCTGGTTGATTGCGTCTTGTTTATATCAATTCGGCTGCATATACCAGCATGAGCAAAGTATTCGATGCGGCAGAAGGTATGTCTCTGGGGATGGCTCTCGCTGTGTTCCCCGCACAGACTAGTCAGTTTCTAACGCATCAGACCAGTCGCTAAACACAATACGGCCGACAGTTGCTGGGTGATTCTGTACGGCAAAGTCTACGATGTAAGCGCTGATACCTGGTATATCTTCAATTCCTGCTTCTGACTCACTAGGTCACCGACTTCATGGACAGCCACCCCGGCGGCGTCAAGGTCATTCTGAAACTGGCTGGCACAGATGCCACCGAAGAGTACGATCCAATTCACCCGCCAGGCATTCTAGAAGAAAACCTCAAGCCCGAAGCTCTCCTGGGTACCATAGATCCAGACACCTTGCCCAAGCCCAGCACCGACAACCAACCCGAAGAAGAAGAAGCAGAAGGGCCACCGCCTATGGAATCACTATATAACATGGATGAAATCGAACAGGTTGCCACCAAACAAGTCAGTCGGAAAGCATGGGCCTACTACTATTCTGCTTCAGATGACCTTACGACGAAACGCTTCAATAACGAAGTATACCGCTCCATCCTCCTTCGACCCCGAGTTTTCATTGATGTCACCAAATGCGATTTATCAACTTCAGTTATCGGGCATAAAGTCAGTTTGCCGATCTTTGTGGCCCCGGCTGCCATGGCCCGTCTTGCTCATCCAGCAGGCGAGGCAGGCATTGCCGCGGCTTGTCGTAGTTTTGGTGCTATGCAAGTCATTTCAAACAACGCATCCATGTCCCCCGAGCAGATTGTGGAGAATGCAGCTCCTGATCAGGTCTTTGGGTGGCAGCTCTATGTTCAGGTGGACAGAAAGAAGAGTGAGGCAATGCTGGCTCGTATCAATAAATTGAAAGCAATCAAATTTCTTGTTCTTACTCTCGACGCGCCCGTTCCTGGGAAACGGGAAGACGACTTACGCGGTGATAGCACAGCGAGCAAGTTGCCGGTCAGTTCGAGCTTAGTCGCTAAGAAGGAGGCAAAGAAGGGAGAAAGTCTTCCAAATGGAGCGCCAGTACCAAAGGCGGGCGGTGGCGGTATAGGTGCGCAACTATTTTGGGGAACAGAAGCCTCACTCACGTGGAAGGAAACTCTTCTTTGGCTTTCTAAACACACCGCTCTACCAATTATCCTAAAAGGATTACAGACCCACGAGGATGCCTATATTGCTTCCCTGTATGCGCCTCAGGTCAAGGGTATCATCTTGTCGAATCACGGTGGGCGAGCACTCGACACCGCGCCGCCGGCTATTCATACCTTACTTGAGATCCGCAAATATTGTCCCGAAGTGCTTGAAAAGTTAGAAGTCTGGGTTGACGGCGGCATCCGACGAGGCACAGACATCGTCAAGGCGTTATGTCTGGGAGCGAGAGCAGTCGGTATTGGCCGAGCTGCATTATGGGGATTAGGCGCTGGAGGTGTGGAAGGTGTCCACCGAACTCTTGAAAGTAAGATCCAAGTACACGATTTCATTAAAAACATTATGCTGACAAGTGTGTAGTTCTCGCCGACGAGACGAAAACCTGCATGCAATTATTAGGTGTTGGAAAAGTAGAGGATCTTGGCCTTCAGCATGTGAGTTGCATCAATTTCACTCCATCCAACTGTATGAATATATGCTAACGAACTCAGATCAACACCCGAATTGTCGAACAGCAAATATACGATGGACCTTCAGGATTGGGCGGCCTAACATCTCAAGTGCGGGCTAAGCTCTAGATGACGACTTGAAAAGGTCACTTCTGCATGTTTCTCTATTTCTCTTGCTCTCCATGTGCACTTCTAGCGTTAGCTGCGGGCAGGTTTAATGTTGAAGTATATTATATGTCTGTAAATATATTTTTTTCAAGGTTTATATCCAACAGCCGGGGCCTCTTGTCATATATCGGATTCAGTGTATAAAATTCCTATCATGTAGGCAATACTAAACTAAACAGAAGACAGGCCGAAAAATGAAAATGAGCTTGTAATTGGCTGAGCGGTGCTTGAATAAATTGGTAATCAAATAATTAGGCAATCATTATTTGTCATCATATCCCCAGTACATGTATCTCGCATTCAAAATTCCATATGACAGATTTTTGCTCTGGCGCCAAGTATATAGTAGATGCTATTCAAAACAGTCTTGCTACGGCGGAAACACTATTGCGTAATATCTGCTCTTCTTTCCCCCGAGCCCGTTATGAAGTCTCTGATGGTATTACGGCCGGTAGAGCACAACCCCAGCCTTGCTTATCAATATTACCTTTCGTAAAATTACCAGAACTAATAAGTAAAACAGGACAATAGTTTTACTCTTACCGATACGAGTCTGTGAGCCTTCTATATCAGGAAAGTCCTCAAAATTAGTTGATTAAATGTTTATGAGCTATAGCGTAACTATCCACGGGTCAATCACGATGCCTGTGCTATAACCATGCAACCTAAATACCAATTGCAATTGGCAATTGAATGCCGGCGACGAAGCTACATGTATTAAGGAGTTGTTTAGGTTGCTACACATAGTTTCGAAACTAATAGAGTTCACTTTTCGTGTTGTCAAATCTGTTACTACAACGATAAGTAAGTAAAGATCAGGAGATAAGAAAGGTAGATTGGAACGTTCAGGAGTCAATAGAACTGCGCAATAAAAAGTTATATTATCAGTTTGTAAAATTACGGGCATATTTCCGCATGAAACAGAAAAATACTGATCATGTTGGACTACGGCCGTATACAATGCCCCCCTCGTTGCAGTCGTTTCTATAAACAGTCAATATATAGTTGTTTCCCAGACGTTTCCTTCTTTATATTCAACATCCAAAATCAAAAACATCGTCAATTATCCCACTATGTTAAGTGTAGCGATTCTCGTGTTCGACGGCGTTGACATCCTTGATTTTGCGGGTCCTCTAGAAATATGCTCACATGCTTCACATTCCTTGGATTACAGGAAGCCGGACCCGGTTTTTGAAATTGACATTGTTGGGGCACACGAGCTTATTAAATCCAGTGCAGGAGTCCATATATCCCCCAGGACCTCTATTGAAACCGCTATCTCTCGGCTGGATACCCTTGACGTTCTCATTGTCCCAGGTGGACCCCCGCCGATTCTCGAATCTCTAATAAAAAGCAATTCTCAAGAACTCCAGTTAGTCCAGGCTTTCGGGCGCCTAGAAACAAAAGAGCGACCCCGGATTATTCTTTCCATATGCACGGGTGCTATGTTCCTCGCCGCGAGCGGTTTACTCAAAGACACGAAGGCGACAACACATCATCTGTTTCTTGACGATCTACGTGCGATTTGTGGGACCAAGGGAGAAACTAATATTGTTGCTGCACGCTATGTCGATGGCGGTGTCAGACCTAATGGATTGAGAGTGATTACTAGTGGAGGCGTCTCTTCTGGATTGGATGCCGCATGTTATTTTGTTGAGCAAGCTGCCTCCCCTCAAGTTGCGGCATATGCAGCGAAGATGGTCGAATACGAATGGAAAGCATCGAGTTAAGATGTATGCCCTCTGTTGACTATTTCAGCTTTGTATTATGATAAAAGGAATTGAATGACATCACTTAAAATAAAAATATCTAAGATCGTTGCACAATCACAAGACTGGGAGTCTTCCCACTTGAAGAAAGACTTTCTACACCTTTTTACTAGATATAGAAGGTTGTACTAGAACAAAGGAGTTAATGACAGTGTCGGACTGGGTATCACAATCAGCCAGACTTAAATTTACAGAATTACTTGATAGTGTGTTCTTGTGTTTCGAGGGCAAACCTTGCTTTTCGCCCAGATCTACGCTTATCACATCTGATTTACTGTATTCTGTATCCGTAATAGTAAATTATATAATTTCATTCATAATATAAAGAAACTTACATAAATGTATGAAGCCTTCAGGCAATGGTTGAAGGCGGTGAGAAATGCGGTCGAACCATTAGCTGGGGGGTTGGATATTATAAATCAATTAATAACAAAAGCTAAAGCGTAGATTTCGTGGCAAACCACCTTGGGTGCAATTATCCTGGTTTTTGTATTTTTAACGGCTTTCACCTATGTCATAAGGGCTTTGATCTATCGATTCTAATTTCAATGCAGACATAGCTTCTTCAAAACAAAGCAAGCCATGGTGGAAGGAACTACGAGTCGGGATCGATCCAACCAACAGGATGTTGCCAGAAATGCACGCCCAACGTACGTTGACCAATGTTAATACTAATCAATTGATTAGTTTCACCTGAGCCATGAACTCAAACTATCATTTATAGGAAAGGAAGACGGAATCCTTATACCCAGATTGCATGGTGAGCCGATCCATTTGAAAATCAAGACCTATCCCTACTAAGCACATTTCAGTGAGGAATGCCGAAGACGAAAAATCAAATGTAACGGCGACAAGCCGTGCCGTCGATGTGGGAATTTGAAACTGAACTGTATGTCATATTTCCCTTTTCTATGCCCTTGTCTTCTAAACGCTAAGACTGGATACGGGCCACTACTTCGCAAATATCAAAGCGCCTGAACAAATAGTCTTGAGTCATAGTGAGGATAGGTATGCTTCTACAATGTTTTTAAGACTTTTATTAATCAATGCCATAGGGATGTGGCGGCGTTGAAGCTACAAATTTCTTCACTTCAAGTGGAACTACAGTCTGTTTTAGCACAAGTGCGACTGTCCAAACATGGTCGAAGCCCTGGGAGTGACGACGCAAATAGTCCTCCAGAATCAGCTCTAAAACAGTCATCTTCGATCAGCATCTCCAACACAGATGCCAACGATACCCTACGCCACCGAGACTGCCTCTATCATGGTCCTGCCAGTGCGGTTTTTCCGTACGATATCGTTCGGAATAACCTACAATCGATGGGCATCATGGACTCACCCGCCAGCGCTAGCAATGCCCTGGAGTTTTATTCTGCCAATGAATTAAAAACAACGCAAAAAGAGCAGGACCCTCTTAGGCTTTTGTCAAGAGGAGAAGCCCTACATTTATGCGAGTTGTTTGCAGAAGAAGCCAATATTATGTACCCTTTTTTAGATATGGACAAGCTGAAGAGTCAAATTGAGATCATCTTCTCAAATACACACTCAAAGGTAACAATCCCAACCCAGAAATATGAGGGTTTATCAGTGGATGAACTGGACGTTGTAATCTTGATGCTAGCGGTGTCCCTCGTGATAGAGAGCGGAGGGGAAAGTGAAGTTGGCAGATCTCTGTTTCTCTTTACAAAGGACCGATTGAAAAATAAAATTTGGTCTCCGATAACTCTGACAGGTATCAAGTCTCTTGTTCTGGCAGTAAGAATTTGTATCTTGAATGGATTCAAAAGTACGAAGTATTCTAATATTCTTGAAGGGCCGGTATTACTTTTATTCATACGAAGACGAGAGACAGGCGTGGAGGACAATTGGTATCGCAGCGCGACAATGCCTTGAATTGGGGTTGCATCGTACAGAGGCGTACTCAACAATGAGTCCAGAGGACGCAGACTCTGCACGAATCCTGTTTTGGTCTATTTTTACTTTGGATCGTCGTTGGAGTTTTGGAACCGGACTTCCTTTTGCAATTCAAGAAGAAGACATCGATTCATCTCTTCCAGAGCCAGTATGTTTGCCACACCTTGTATTCTAACACTCTTCCTTTTGTCTGATTACTTTGTTTCTTGCGTAGGACGCGACTTGTTTCTATCTGAAGACCATGATTCCTTACTGTCGCATTGGTTCAAGGGTATGGTTCTCTGGTCTCGGTACCGGTAACCTCTCCAAGCTGCGAGCCGACTCCATGAAGCAACTCGACCTACAGGTTCTAGAGTGGCAAAAACATATTCCAGAAATACTGCAATGCCCGAACCCATACAGTACTGACAGTGACAAAAGACCGGGCCTGAGAAATCTCCAGGTTCAGATCTACGTCCGTACTAACATCATGCGGGTTCTGGTTTATCGTCCAGTGTTATATAGTGCTCAGAACATCGCGGAAAACAAAAAGCTTGCCGATCTATGCTTATACTTGGCCAAAGACACTATACGCGTATTATATCAAATGAACAAGATAAATGGTATATACGACACTCGACAAGCCTTGTTTAGCTTTTTTATTTTGTCGTCGTTTGCCGTCATCTTATTAGCATGTTTTCATGCACCAGCCGACTTCTGTGCCTGTGTTCAAGAGGAGGTATCCATGGCTCTTGAACTTATTCGAGGTCTTGACGCGAAATCCCGGGTAGCCAAACGGTTGTGGAAAGTTATTGAAGATCTTCGAGACGTTGGTGAAGGACTAGGGATTTTCTTTCCTCCCAAAACCTCTGGACAGCAAGGCAAAGATCATGCGGCTCCTGAAGTTCACGAATCCCTTGGTAGTCATCAACCTCCAGCTCTGGTCTTCCGCGGAGATGAAATGCCAGCGACAGGATTGCAAATGAGTGATGAATTGACTGGCCTTCTTGAAGCGACTGGAGTATACAATTTCCCGCCTGCCGGCTCGGTAGAAGAGGACCATAGTAGTCTTTCCAGCCATTCCAATAAGCAATCAGATATAAACCAAGCTTCGGTACGTGGGTGGGGTAATGTTGATGAACTATTTGAAATCATGGACCCTCTGTTTCAGAACTCATAGGTAAAGTCTATAGTGATATCGTACATTAATTTTATTCACCTCAATTCAACTCTCCAGAATTCCCTTTAAAGAAGCACGAAAAAGACATCAAAGAAAGTAACCCTAAGAGGGAAGCGTGTCTTGGCTTAGCGCATTGCAAGCTTGAATTCATCATGGAGCAACAATGTATGCAACCATTCTATGCTGCAACACCCTTTTTGGGGGAAACCCTACCTTGAAGCCGGATCTGCGAAGCGGCTGTTTTTTCGTATACGTTCCCCATATTTAAAGAAAATGTATCTATTCACATAATGGCTATTAGCTCCGGAACACTTTCAATTAACGATAAAACGAACAAATGAAAACACGTACGGAAATGGTAGCATAGGAACCGTCAAAAATGCGAGTAACGAAGTTGCCCATCGATATCCCAGTGCCTCGTACACTACAGTAAGAACCGTTAATGAATCTCCGAACAGGAATTTGACCCAGTTGTGGAGACTTACTCTGTACGCCAAAAAGGGGGAACACAGCTGCAAAACTGCTTCGGAGAAAAGCATTCGCCGCCAATGCACTCGCAGCATATAAAGGATATGCATCAACAAGAAACGTAATAATTCCCTGAAAAGCGAGAAAAACTCTGCACCGTCATGTCAGTCAAAGTTGACTTCTTAACCTCTCGAACAGACAACGTTGAACTCACCCTAGGCCGAAGAAAGAACTTCCAATCATAGGCATTATCCAGTGGACCTTCACCAGACGTATTAGGCACCATGTTTCACAATTAAATGATATCTTACCGATGCTGTACTGCTCCATGCAAACCAAAACAAGCTAATTGTAATAAGTGGTGCCCCAATGATTGCTGGAGGAAGCCGGAACTCAGGAGGAAAGCTATCTCCGTCATATTCGTGTTTATTAATTAGCCTCTGTAAATTCCGTTTGAAGAAAGGGTCGAGAAAGACTCCAATGATTGTTCCAACAAGTTGTCCTAGAAAAGTCAAGCCAACCTGCCACAGATTAAAGCCCCACGTGTTTGAAAACACCAAAGGGAAAGCACCGAAGAAAAGGTATAAGGTGCCAATCAACAGAGCCGTATAGATACACAGACAAAGGCACATTGGCTCGCATAGCAATAGCAAAAAGGGACGATACATTGATGTCACCAAATCTCGTTGTATAGACGCTGTTGGCTGCTGAAAGTTTTCGTTTTCCTTGTTTTTCGACCCTGCCAACAATGCCCTTTTGTGTAGTATGACTGGTGCGTACGTTTCTTTCATGAAAATGATTGTTGCGACAAATAATGAAGAACTCCAGATTATAATTGTGTAGAATGACCAGCGCCTAAAGTAAAGAAGTCAAAAAATTATGATAATAAACAATTGGCCGAATGCCACCTCGGATTCCTTGGATTATCTTACCAAGATGCAAATGAATTGATGAATCCTCCAACAAGTGGCCCTAGAACAGGTCCAGCAAATGGCGTCGCCGTGTATATCATCATAGGTAACTGCAATGTTTCGCGTGTATACAAGTCGCGGATTGTTCCTCCGGCCACACTTTGGAAAGCAGCACTTGTTAGACCACCAAGCATACGACCAGCAAGCATAGTTGCAAGATTTTGTGCCGTGGCACATGGGATAAGCCATATTGTAAACAGGGCTAATGAAACTAGGTATATAGGTCGCCGGCCATAGTACTATCGAACAATATCATTAGACTTTGGTTTTGTAGTATACAACAAAAGGGGTGAGTATCAACATGCCTCAGAAATAGGAGCCACGAACATTGGGCCAACACCCATGCCGAAGATAAAAAGCGACAAACCTACAGTAGCGGCAAGCTCTGATATATGAAACTGAACTGTGATTTGATCGTAGGTAGAGGAGTAGAGCGCCGAGGTGCATGTTCTATGGTCACAATCAGTAAGCATACAAATCTCCAATCCGAAGTCTTAACTCACACGCAGAGCGAACTGAAAGAAACAATCAAGACCATAAGCCATTTTCGCCAGGGTGCAAAATTTTGAGGGTTTTCTGGATCATCTGGACCGTTCCAATCCAGTTTTATCGGGCTTTCTGTCATCATGTTCCTGATATATATGCAGTAGAGTAATTTGTTCTGTATCATTGCCTAAGATCCAAGGACGCCGCCATGGCGTTATGAATATATATGTTTTCATATTTGCCATCAGAATTTACAATCTACTGTCTTCAATACCACAATAGTCAATCATCACTACTGATTTTGTATGAAAATTAGTAAACAGCAACCCAAGAGTAATTGTCATCTCAGACTATTCCGTTTCCGCTTCCGCTTCCGCTGATCACCAAGCAAAAGCCCTAACCTTAACCCTAACCCTAGGTAGTACGAAACACAGCAACTTATCAGTATTTGTCATCGCATCACAACCATCCTAAATCAAGCATCACCGTCAAAGTGATCATCTTGGGAGAGAAAAGATCTCAACTTGATCATTGATATTGCTTCGATAACTACGCGCGAGATTGTGGATGCCATCCAGTTCTAGTTCGTGGGGCCTGGCATCTCTTTATAGAACAAATCGATTGTCACGAATATGAAAGCGATTAAAAAAAAAACCTGAATTGACAATAATGGGAATGAGAAAGGATGAGTTTGAGGTTGACGATGAAAAATGTAATAATGTGGAATAAACGTGGATGATTGAGGTGGATTGAGGCAGTATGCGAGTATCGAAAGTGATTGCATCATGACGAGAGCCGTGCGCGCTAACTCGGAAACTTAAACAGCTGCATATGTAGTACCTCCACATTGTAAAACCCTCCCTCTATAACAACATCAAGTAGCACAGCGGATTCCCCTGGCAATCTCCTAGCTAATGCTACTGTGACAAAAGACCGGTCAATCTCGTTCCAGTATTTTCGCCATGCCGCGGCGAGACTATATGAGTCGCCCCTTCCAGAGCTTCACTCACAACGCTCGAGGGCAGATCAAACATGCCTGGGATAATTTCTGGGACTTTATGATGAGAGACAACATTCTCGAGGTAGCTATAGGTTTAATGTGCCATATATCCTTCTATCCTGATTGTAGTCGCATCGTATTTTCTGACTGTCGTCTAGAATTGCATCAGCTTTCACAAAACTTGTCAATTCATTTGTCTCGGATCTGCTCCTGCCAATAATATCTTTGCTGCCTTTTCTGCACCGCAATCTAGACCAGAAATTCGCCGTTTTACGGAAAGGACCTCATTACCATAGAGGGTATGGGTACAATACTCTTAAACAGGCACGCGATGATGGCGCACTTGTCATGGCCTATGGGTACGTTAATGCCGGTGACATAGACTCGTTTCTTGACCTATATTGATGCTTGTCGAAAGGGCATTCTTGAATAACCTGGTAAGCTTTCTGGCAGTAGGCCTGGCATTGTACTCCATAGGGCAGATATACACATGGATATCCCACGATGTGGTTATCAAGCGGACTGTCAAGTGCAGGTATTGCAGGAAGTGGATAAGTTCCAAGGTGAGCAACCTGTTTAGATTACTATGATTGTACAAACTTAGGGTAACGGATAATCAGGCATTGCGCTGTGTGAATTGTACAAGCTGGCAAGATGGGAGAGAAGATCAGCTTCGTGCGTAAAATGACATGTGTTTCTACGGGGAAAAATTCCTATTGGCAATCATCACAGTAACACAGCTCGCCAAGAACTATGATATGACGAATGCTGGATAACAAAAGGTATCAATACAAGTCAAATCATGCTTCTGGGACACGAATAAGCGCCTATTTCCAACCGTAGTACGATAAATTGTCATCCGCCACCCATTCATCTATCGGGGCTCTCCTGGGCTCGACTAAGGATCGCACAACGTGAACTTACCGTCAGGTACTATGGGGGAAATGTACAAATAAACATCTATAGGGGTATCTATCTATACAATCGACAATTTTCAGTCCAGGTATGAAGGCTAGCTAATTCGCGTCCTTAGCCAGGAGCGTCAACATTCGACCTAATCCAGCCAGGTTGAAACCAACAGTCGGGATATTCCCATTGACAAATCTCTGAGAGTGGACCTACAGGAAAGGATCAAGACAATCCGATCTGTCAAATCGGAAGAAAATACGTTTTGCTCGTTTAGAAATATATTATATTCGCACTAATCACGTTTAAAGGAAACGTATGGCCATTTCTGTTATATATGACATCATCATCAGATCTACCTATGCAGTTCTCAACACGCGGATTTTCACGGAAAATCCAAAATTTTATGCATCATTCCCGTCTTAATTATCAAATTTACGTTATGCCGGCGTTAATGGTCACACGGTGGCTGGTGCTTTCTTTGGGTACGTACCTTAGGAATGCGGAGCTTGCGTTGATCTTTGATTGATTCGGCCAGTCAAGGGGCCTATACTGTGAAGTAACTGATATCACAACCAATCAAGCATCTGGAACCCATACGGACAAGAAAACTGTTATGACCGAGTTGACGCCGCACAAATACTTGGTGTAGCCTTGTGCTTGAGTAATAGAACCCTGGCTCGTGAGATCTTTACGAATTACATGAAACGTCAGACCATGTCTCTTTCCGCCTGTGAATTTGGAACTTTTATTTTACCTGCCATTGTCTTTAAACTACACAGAAATTTCAGTTAAATGTCCTGAAATTACAAATCTACTAAGGGCTGTCGGAACGCCCTTCTCTGCCCATTCCAAACCCCCCACTCTTCCAATTTCTGTGGAACGCTCTCTAAATCCACTACGCTTGGCTTCTACGAGCCTCTCTATACGCAAAATCATTCGCTCTGGATTGCCCGTCCTTGTTTGAAATGAAGGTACTACATTACGGCCTAGCGGTGACCCGTTCCCGTGCGCGTATACCCGCAAATTTTTGGAGCTCCTCATCACAACCGCAGAAATGGATGTGCCATTACGCCTGAATCTTTGAGGAATGCTATTCAAACTAATAGCTTAATATAATCCTGTCTGACTCGTCGGAATGTGTGGTAGACCGGACGTGATTCCCGACATGGAGCTTACCGTGCCAGTGTAACACTGTCCAACTAGGGCAAAGCGAAGAAGGACGCGATAATGTCATAGCATATTATCCCGCCGGGAATAAATGCTCCTGATTGGGGTTGATGGTGTCCTGCTTGACTTGATTCCAGATTTCCTAGTATGAAATACACGGTGGTCCGCAAAGCACACGCGACCCCTTCAGAAACTCAATATGCTTGACAGCACTCTGGTGTTCCTACACTATTTCTAAAAATATCAGGATTACTAGCCCTCTTCCAAACAAGGAGTTAGCTAAAGTCCTGATTGACCTTCCCCCTTCTATGACGTCGCATTCTCCATAGCTTTCACAGCTAGTTGTTATTACACTGCTAGCGCAGCCTCCTATCTCATCTCATCTCATTTGAAGAGAAAACCGAGACAGCCTTTTGCTCATTACCAGAGTAAGAGGTACCCTAGGGGAATTTCACTAGGGCAGAATGTCAGTCGACGACGGCAAAGCAAGAGATGAAGTTCACCAGGGAAAGAAAAGGACAAAATTCGTCGGCTACTTATGGGATACTTTCGATAAACCACCTGCTGAGCGGCGATTACTGACTAAGCTTGACGCTGCTATTCTTTCATTTGGGGCTGTAGGTGAGTATTTAAGGAATCTGTATTATTCATTGACTCAGCTTACAAATTACCCCCAGGCTATTTCGTCAAGAGCGTGGACCAGTATAACATCAACAATGCGTTTGTTTCGGGGATGTAAGATATATATCTTAAATCCTTAACCGTGGGGAACCTTTCTAACTTGGATTCGAATAAAGGAAAGAAGACCTAGGGTTATACCAGAATCAACTTAACTATATACAGACAGCGTGGTCTCTAGGATACATGTTGGGGCAGATCCCCAGTAACATTATACTCAGTCGAGTGCGACCCAGATACTGGATACCCAGTTTAGAAGTACCCTATCCCTCTGAAAATCTTTCTCATCCAACAAACTCACAAATTTATTTTCTCAGGTCTGCTGGTCCGTTCTTACCCTGTCATTATCAAGGTGTAACCGAGCCTATCAATTCTACATCATTCGGTTCCTTGTTGGTGAGTGATTTTATTTCCGAGAATAAGCGCTGTCTATAAGCTGATGTACACAGGCCTCTGTGAAAGCGGTTATTATCCCGGGATCCAACATTCACTTGGTTCGTGGTACAGACGAGACGAACTCGGAAAGAGAGCTTGTATTCTGCAAATGTGTAGCGCGGTCGGACAAATGGTATCGGGTTATATGATGGGAGGAGTATACCACCTGGGAGGCGTTGGGGGTCACAAAGGCTGGCAATGGTATTTGAAAAAGTAAAACTTCTAGATCGAAGCTCTAACTCCATTTCAGGGCATATATTATTGATGGTTCACTTTCCTTGCCTATGGCTATAGCAGGATACTTCTTACTTCCAGACGTGCCCGAAATTACCAAATCATGGTATCTCAGCGAGGAGGTATGTCAAGCTTTCATTTCTCTTATTGATAGTGGATTGGCTAACGTATTTAGGAAATAAAACTGTCTCAGCTTCGTATGCAACTAGAGGGACGGAAGCCTCGCTCGAATTACACAAAACAAAAAATGAAGAGGATTTTTTCATCCTGGCATATTTATTTGCTGTCTCTTCTCTATGTGTTAGTAAATCACTATCCTGTATGATTTGATCAGCATTTATTGACGGGAATTCCAGAGCATTCAACAATGGATCCACGAACACACAACCAGTATTTCAACAGTACGTCAATTTTCCTAACCAGTGTTATGAAGTATAAACGGATTTTGCTCACGGCCTTAGATATCTGGGGCATTCAGAACATCCCAAGTACACAGTATCACAAATAAATAATTATTCGACAACCACTTCTGCTCTTCAGGTTTTAATGACATTGATATATGCTTGTAGGTTTGAATTAAATCAAATCTCGGAACCATTATCCTAACTATCTCATTAGGGTTATCGGATACCATTCTCAGAGGCAGACGCTGGCCACCTCTTGTATTTGGAGGGGTAAGTGTGGCTGAACTTTTCTTCAACAAAATAAGCCTAAAATTGAATTACAGGTTGTGAACATCATATGCTATGTATCTCTGGCGGTGTGGGATATTCCCAAATGGTGGAAATGGACTTGCTTCATTGCAAGCGGCGCCTCTTATGGTTTGGGTGGACTGTGCATGGCGTGAGTCTGCTTTCTCAATCGCCATGAATCTTGCTCACAATAAATGTTCAGCTGGGCCAACGAAGTCTGCGAAGACGACAGCGAGGAGCGCGCCATAACCATTGCGGCGATGAACGAAGTCGCATACATCTTGCAGATATGGCTACCACTCATTGTCTGGCAGCAAGTTGAGGCTCCGCGGTACTTCAAGGGATACGTTACTGTCTCCTTCATGTCTGTACTCCTTATTATTATGTGCTTTATAGTGCGCCGTCTCCATAATAGAGAAATCTCGACCCGAAAATCTCATGCTGCTGGTACCAGCCCGCAGGACGATGAAATCATCGAAAATACCAACGGGGCGGCAATCAAAACCAACCATCTGACAACGGACTCGAGCATCGATCTCATTAAGTCCGAGACCTTGATATCATCCGACTCATCATCGTCGTCGCCGGTGTCGCGTGCTGCATCTTCAAAGTGTTCTGGAGAGTATTCGTATCCGGATCGTATCATGATGACTCATTTTCCAGCGGATTCTGTTGTTAATATTGAGATGGAGACTCGTCCATCGAAAATGATTTGATTGGGGACAAGTCTCGCTGCTCACTGAAAAGCTTCAATTGCTTCATATTTCTGCGATGAATTGTACGAGCAAACAATATCTTTTATTTCTTAGGGCTACAAGGTACCTAGTTTATGTTGTGTATCTGGTGGCAAGAGTCTAGGTGAGCACATATAACTTACTTATTCATACGCATTTCTTAATGTCAATTTCAATGTTACTTTGTTATGTCAAGTCACCAAACTGGGTGTACTTGTTGAATCTAAGTCTGTATTTCGTTTATGTGATTTGGCATAGATATTGATATTAGACATTTAATGATGACCTTTATTTCTCTGTATATGTACTGCCAGCTAATATCCAATTTACTACATTGCTCCGTACAGCCCCTAGCTCTATTGCTCATATATCTGTTTCCATGTAGCGAAAAGCTGCACAAACACGCCCCCTTACGCATGCACAGTCCAAACAACCGCCATGAATGTTTACTCTAAATTGGCATTCAGCGTCTCCACCCTACCATCGTCCCCTATCAGTCTTATAGGCCGAATAGGTTCATGCACAGCAACCTGCGTCGGAACCGCGGGCATGCTTGAATGCTTAGCCACACCACCCTCCTCCTCACCATGCTGCTGCTGTCTCTGACTCCCTCCCGGATGAAGCCCCGCAGCACTATCTGTAGGTGACGCGACATGCGCCTCTTGCTGGCTCGGGCTGCCTCCAATCCGAAATACAGTGGAAGGAGGCGTGTTTCGGCGGCCGCGCTCACGGTTCCGGTTCCGATTGTAGCGCAGATTGCCCGTAGTTGGCATTGCGGTGCTGTGCGTACTCCGGCTATTGGGGAGGCGGATCGGGTCGGGTTCTGCGCTGGAGACGCTCAGTGCCGTGGATATTGTGCGTGGGATATGGTATCCAGCTTTTCCAACGGGGATACTGAGACCGTGGATAATCTGTCTCGACGGGTCAGTTTGAATGAAATTTCATTGAGGCGAGGCGAGACTTTGAATGATTACTTACGATACTGCACATGACGAGAAACCATACCACGATATAAGTTGCATCAGCCGTCTTTTGCGCATCGTCGCGAACCTTTCCGTCTACGATCATCTCTTCAAGAAGGAACTGTCTGCAGACTGACAGGTAGAAAATAGCGCCAACGCCGATAGGTCCAAAGAATCCAACAAAAGCGGCCTGGGAGAGTTGTTCGATTTGATGGATGTATTTGTGCATGGCGAAGACAATAGGGAGCCGACGGAACAGAAGGATCATGATACCGAGCGCAATCAGACGGTAGATGGGGATAATGTCATTGTGAGCGAAAAGAACCCATGGACAGACGGCACCAAACCACATGAATATGGCAAGATTGAGAAGCATGTCAACAGTCGGTTGGAGGGAGTCGTCCATGGTTTCTAGACGGAACCAGTCACTGGGTTTCTCGGTCAGTCGGGGGATAGATATAGCTTGGGCGGTGGGAAGATTCTTGGCTTACTCTTGAGTGAAGACATTTCCGGCTATGAAACAGGCTAACAAATCGTCCGTCCCAAAAAGACCGCAAGTACCCATTATGAATAGCTAATTCGTAGCCAGGTAATTAGTACGTGGTATTGCTTGTTGATGGCGTAGAAACTCACTCCCAGAGAAATTGCAAAGACAAGGAAACTTTCTCGATCTACATATCGCTTTTCCTCAGCCCAATGCAGCAGCTTCATAGACAACCAACCGACTGCGATTCCATAAACAATACTTAACAAGATCTCATAGACTAATGTCTCGTAGATCCATAAAGCAATCGCCTTCCCTCCTCCACCACTGAAGCCGGGACCTTGGGTATATTTCATGAGGTACAAAGCAATAAAAAGAAACGGATAGCCCAGGCCGTCATTGGCGCCAGACTCGGCGACAATGATCCTTTGCAGAGGCCGTGGCACGTTCTTGTCGGCAAATTTTCCCTTGACGATGGAATTTGACAAAACGGGATCTGTAGGCGTTACACAAGCGCCGATAGCCAATGCTTGGACGAATGAAATGTTGGGCACCATTGCCCAGATAAGAAGGCCGCTAACAAGCCACATAAAAGCCATCCCGGGCCCGAGAAGCAAGGATAGGCTTTTCCATTCCTGTTGCAGATAGCGGCCTGGAAGTTGAACGCCGGCGAGAACCAACTGGACGCCGAGAACAAGACGAGTGAAGTACATCGTGATCGTGTCCAGATTGGCCTGGGAGCCCAGGGCATAGTCCATGGGCCTGATAAAATTAGCGGCGTGAGGCGAAAATGCGATGCCTGCAAGCATGGAAATCACTGCCGGTTAGGTTAGTCCTGCATAAAGCCAAGCGTCACTGCATCACACGTGGGACACTCACATGCTTCTGACAGGTAGAACCGTTCCTTGAATAGATAGGACACCAGTCCGAAGAGTGTAATGAAACCTCCAAGGACGGAGCATACGATGTTAAAGTCGTTGATCTCGAGGGTCGGCATTTTGTCAAGCCGTCTCGTTTATTTTTTCCTTGCTCGAGACAGACAAATCACAGTCGAAGATCGGTTGAACTTTCACGCAGAGCCGGTTTGGTGAGAAAATAAAATAAAGAGAAGAGCAATGCTACGACTTTCGCTGTTTTCAAAATCGTCAGCGTAAAGTCGTCGGGCAGCTAATGTTATTGAACCATAGTATTGAAAACTGTGCACATCAAGCAGAGCCAGATTCCGGACATGGAAAAGGAGGATAATGCAGGAGTTGAGCACGCCAGTTTGTAAATTCTAGCCTGGAAACAAGTCTTGCTGTCTAATAGCAATCAGTTACTCGTGGTATCTCCAAGGAAGAAATGAATAGCCATGTAATTTAGCATTAAGTTGGGTGAAGGTGATAGTCGATCACTAGCGGGGTTTGCGAAAACTTCAAAGTAAAGCGCCCCACGTGCTTATCTCCGCATGTGCCGTGGAATGGATATCTAGATATGGAGATAAGGTGGGTGGATATTTAGGAAATTAACAATAACAGTAAAGGAAGTGCATATAGGCACGAGGATTATTTGGGTGTATGTAATTAAGGGATGTACTGTTTGGAAAGGGCCTGAAGGAGAGCTGTTGACAGCCGGATGCGGTATCGAAAACTATGCCATCACATACCCTTACAATGTACAAGCTAAAGGTCGAAAATGGCCCGGTTTCCTTTTTGCTTCAATGCCATTGCAGATAGACCACTCTTACATACATGGTGCTCTTGGGAACAGTTGTGTGGCGATAGAATGCATTAAACAGGATAAGTGACTATTGTGAAAAACGAATTAAATAAGGGGCAAAGTCATTAATCATTCAGGTCATCAGCAAGTTCGTCAGGGAGATTATCAGCGATTGAGGCGCTATCAGCACTTTTCCTTGCACCGTCAACAGCCAGTCTGTCCGCCTCTACATTTCCGGGGTCGCTACCGTGGCCTTTGACCCATTCGAAATTAGTCTCAACTTGCAAAGACTCACGCTCGTTTATTTTGACAAGGACCGATTGAATCAAGTCTTTGTTTTCAACTGGCTTGTTGTTTGCCGTTTGCCAATTGTTGCGAACCCACTTGGGAAACCAGGTAGTCACACAATCGATGGCATACCGACTGTCGGTGACAATCGTCACGGGACGGTGCCGTGGAGCAATCTCGAGACCACGCAGGATTGCTGTCAGCTCGGCGCGTTGATTTGTTTGGCGTTCGCCCTTCAGTGGCTCAGAGACGTTTCTACTAGGAACGACAGATCAATCGTCAAAAGACATGCCCATATCCGAGAAAATTGATCCAAATATTGTCAGTTCTTACCTGTTATCACCAGGGCCAAAGTACACACCCACACCGGCCCGAGCACCATCGAATCCATTATTTAGAGAGCTTCCATCGGTATATATTCGGAGCATTCCCGGAGGTGCGGTTGGCTGCGCTTTTGTTGCCAACTTCTGACCGGGAGTTTTGTACACGACTTTGCCCGTAGCAGGATCAAGAAGAATGTTCGGGTCAAACCCATCTTCGGCATTCGGTGGAAGAGGCGCGATTCCCGCCGGCACTTCTTCACCATTGACATCAGAAGGATTCGTTGCCATCGTGCCAGGGACTGGCCTTGTCGGGTTATTTTTTGGTAGTCCTCGTTGAACAAATTCCTCTGCCTCCTTCCGCGTATTGAATTTCTTGAATAGAGGTCTATTCTGAAACCCTTTGATCTGTTTCTGAGCTTCATCCCATTCTGTATAGACTCCCGGCGTATGCCCGCGCTGTATAGCGTAAAACCGGGTTGGCTCTTTCTTAGATCTCAAAGCGACTGCCGGCGTTCCGCCATTGACATATAGCTCAGCGTCGGCCTTGGTTTCGAACGTCTTATCTAACCAACAATGCAGTGTTAGTTAAACCGAGTCTGGACCTTGCATTGAAGAAAAAAGTTCTTATCACTTACAGAGTGCTCCCTTAAATTTCGTGATTTGTTTAAAACACTCAGGCCAGTTATAGTATACGCCTGGCTTAAAACCTTGCCTGACAGCATAATACTTTGGCGGCATCGTTGCTTTTCGCTTGACCCCAGCGGTTGAGCTGCGTTTTGGCTTCGGGCTGGGTGGGCCCGGGCTTGGGGAAGGCGTAGTTGTGGAATTGTTCATGCTTAAAGGGGGAAAACAAAGTCGGCTGTACACTGTGTATGGTATTCGTACGTCTTGGTGGCAAGGGAGAGGACGAGTTTGCTGCTTCTCATGAATCGGTTTCGAAAGTCGCTTGTCTTGAGAAGAGGACTTGAATTGTTGGCAGTGCCGCAGGAATGGTCCGGTCGTTTGCTGTTTGGGCAAACAATAGACAGACAGTACTCGCGCGAGGACTCCTGAGGCTGGTGAGTGAAGAGAGCCCCTCATAGAAGACTGACATCACAAACGGGAGGGGGAGGTAGGAGGTTGGCATGCAGGTAGCTTGCCGCGCGCTAATTGGCCACTCAACCCCCCTGTCCAGCGGCGTGGGAGGTCGAGACTGCAGCTTTCTCTTATTATCTAATTCAAAAGTCCTGTTGTTTATTTAATATTGGATATTGGATATTGGATAAAATTCTTTTGAATGGCACATATTAAATTGATAGTAAAACTTTTGACTCTTCGAAAATATGAGGGCACAGCTCACACGACTTGGGATGTACAAGGTCTTGTAGTCGTTCTTCAGGGTTACAAGAGGAACCAAATAGACATGTCGAACAACAACATGTCGAACAACGACGAGTACAAGAAGCTGAACCATCTTGAGAGAGAAAATATAGCCTCGTCTGTCCGGGAGCTGGCAATCCAGCCCCAAAGCAAACATGAATAGAAGAGGAAAAATCCAATCCTACATCGTCCCTCACTCCAAGGACGTCAAAACCTACGACTTGCCATCGCCTTTGCAAGCCCTCTCAACTTCCCCGACCGTTGCATCCTGAAGACGAGTCTCGCTCTTTGTTGGACCAGTCTCAAACCACCCAGCCTCGTTCTCTGTATCTTCCTGGCCGTTTGTGTTGAAAAGCCATCTATCCATGGACATATGGGGAGATATTGCACTAGCATCCACCCACTCCGCCTTTGAAAAGTGAAATGATGGGCGCCAAATTTCAAGGAACTTGATTCCAAGTTCAAGTAAAAGGGACATAAAAAGGGATATATGGGCATAGAAAGTAGAAATAATAAGGGTATAGCTTGGCTCAAGTATGACCAGACCCAGACGCTAGCTTGGCTCATGGACAGCACATGATGAAGAAGGAAAATGAAACATACATCCAGACCAATGTCAAGTGTTGAATAAAGTCTGTAATAATCACAACGCAGGCAAGCGCAATGACTGATGCTAAGACAAGAGCATTTCCCCAATTCCTCAAAGCCGCAGCGAAATATAATAAACAGAAAGTCATGACCTCGTGACAAAATCTGAAAGAGATAGAACAGAAATGCCCACCTTATGTACATCCGCCAAACTCTGTGAAAATTGGTGAAACCCCGAAATATGTCACGTGCATATATATTAGTCTTGTGTGTACAGCTGGCAGAGGATGGTGAGGTCATAAAACAATAGATACGAAAACCCTCCACAATCGGGAAGACGCTCACGATGCAAATGTGTTAGAAGAGGAGGGCCAGAAGCGGTTGAAAAGCAAGGCAATAATCGCAATCAAGCCGAAGAAATACGCTGATAGAACAGAAGATATGCAACCTTGTTATCGCGGGATCCATATCGACCAAGGGGTGTTCTAGTGCCAGGCGAGTTTGCCGACGTTGCCGGGGACGAGACACCATTCGGCACGGGATTGATGGATTTTTTGCTTGAATGCCCACTGGACCCCGGTGCATTGACTTGACTCCATCCCTTTTCATCATCTGTCTGCTCATCCTGATCAATCTGTTCGTAGATATTTGGGTTACGGTCCCGTTTGTGTTGTTCCAATGCAGCAGCAAGGACTTTAGGATCTTCTTCGCTTCCTGCTTCAGCGACATCTTCACTGCGTACGCGGCGAATAACAGTATCGTCCATGCGAATCCACTCGCGGCCATCCTGACGCCGCACGTCTACTGTATAATGACCGCCACTGGCATTTTTTCCGTGATGGTAGATGACTCCGATAAGCCGGTACTTAGGAAGCGCGCTGTGGATGGCCATGGCATTGCGTCGGTGAGAAGGGAAAACTTCGCGAGGAATCTCCAACTCTAGAGGATATCCAATTTTTTTCCAGATCTTTTGTGTGCCTTTTGTGACACTGTCATATTGGAATCGCTTGAGATGAAGGATCAGTACGGGGGGTAAGGTTTCGATAAATATTTGCTTGGTAGCCGACACCTTGGAGCCTCTTGGAGAATTGAAATCGCCATGGATTGTCTCAGGCTTGGTCAAGCCTCTCAAGGCATCGACGATATTGTTGACTTCTGGGGACCCAATATCAAGCTGCAGAGGTTGATAAGGCTCTAAAGTGACAGAGTTTTTATTTCCGGGCACTTTGAATTCCGATCGAATTTTTCCACCAAAAATCTTGGTAATAGGTGACTCGAAGTTAATGTCGCCAGACGACCGGGTAACAGCCGCTTTTTGCTTATGTCCAACCTCGAGCCACCCATCAACTCCAGAATCAGATATAGCAGTCTCGGTTCCTGGGGTAGTAGACTTGTCTGTGGCTACTTGGGTAGCGCCTTGTAAGGCTTGTGCGCATTCTTCATGCAGTTCTTCCAAGAAGAAACCGAGGAATTCTTGAGCATCTTGTTGATGACCACGCTAATCGACGTTAGTTAAGTTGACCAGAACGTGAAAAATTTATCAGATCTTACCCTCATATCTCGAAAGCGTGGAAGCTGGCGGATGACTTCATAAACAAATTCAGGTGTGAATGCACTTCCGTACTCTTCTAGTTCCCCATGTTTCAGTCGCATGCGCAACTGGTCTTCTGATCGAGCTGCATCGATCACTCGAAACTCTCTCATGAACATGATTCTGAAAAAGATACAGAACTTGTCAGACACTGTCATCTTCATCAGCTTATTAAGATTACTTACGTTGAATCAATCAGTGGTACGTCGCTCTTGAAGCTGTGGGCGGCACGACGCCCTACATAATCTAGAAATTGGTAGAAGGGCACGCAAAATGTCAATATTTGCAGGACCTGGAATTATGTTAGCCTGGACACGAATTCTGTATTATAAGACTTACTGAGTTCATATAGCACATGTTACCAGTGTTGACAAGGCCCCTTGGTTCAAGAAAAGCAATCTTCTCTCCATATTGTTCAACATTAGGACCAAGGCTGTTCAGCACGTCTACTAGTGATTCGCTTCGAGAGGACTGTACATTTCCCACCTCGGTTGAAGCACTGGCAGCGACTTCGGAAACATGAGACTGAGCTTTAGAGCGAACTAGATCGGCCCACGACTTCGGGGTTGCCCTAGGCGGTGTTGAGGGTTTGTCGGACGCCACACTTGTGTTTTCGATCTCATCCTTGACATGAGTTGGTGTATTCTCATTATTAGTCTGAGTGTCATCTAATTGATCTTGAGGAGTTGGAATTTGTTTCGTGGTCTGGGAGGCTTGTGGGAAAATAGGGACCACTGGAAGCAACGGTGCAGTCTGCTTTGAAGATATTGTCTGAGTCTGAGGTTGGGCCCGAGAGCGAGTAGAGGATTGTTGAACCACAGAAGACGGAGTGGTAGGGTGGGTTGAGTTTGACTCTGATGGGGCCTGGGAAGTAGTCGGAGTCTGTGGCTCAGAAGGGCCAGGGCCTGTAGTATATGCATGTTTGGTTTGCACGGGAATTTGTCGCTCCTCAAGCCTATTGACATGTTGCCAGGATATATTTCTCGTTGGAAATTCGACAGCCGTTTTCAACGAGCGACCACTGCGCCGTCTATGGGGGGCGCGGGGAGGAAATGGTTTGTCTGGCACGGAGAGCCACGGTAGCTGACAGAAAATTAGCATATTATTTGTGAGATATGAATATAATATAACTTACAGGTGCGACGAATAGTTCTGGGGCATATGGCGATGATTTAGGGACATCTGGAACCGGGGGGGACGGTACTGCCGCACTGGGGGTCGACACGACGGATTGTACCGAAGATGAGGGCCGTTCTTGACCTTGCATAGGAATCTGGGCAATGGGCGGGGGAGAGATGGTGTGTTGTATAGGCGTCGAAGTCGATGAGCTCGGTAGAGGAGGAAATGTATTTGGCGGTGCGTGGATAGGAGCGATGACTGGCTGAGAGTGCGGGTAAGACGAGACTATCAACGGGGGATGGGCCGTGTATGGAGGCTGATATGGACGTGGAAGAGAACCAGGGGGTAGAGTCGCGCCCGGGGGAGGAGGATGCATTTGTGGGTATCCATTGAACCATGGCGGTGGATAATGTTGGGCATACCCAGGAGGAATATGGCCGTTGACTGGGGGAGGGTGGTAGTTCATGTACACGGGAGGCGAGCGAATATTTGGTGGCCCTGGCGAGTAATGCATATCATGCTGTCTTCGAGGAGGGGGCGGCGGCAATGCCGCCTGCCCATGGGGCATCGCGGGCAGATGATGGTTTATCATGACCAGACAGTTGGTGTAGTTTGCCTTGCCTGAATGGAAGCCATGCGATAGGATGACCAGGAGGGGATTCGACAAGTTTGAACCTTTCTGCCCGGTCGCCTAAATAGCCATACTGTGCGCCGGGAAATCACTGACTCAAGGATTGTTGATGACGGCACTCTGGGCTTGAGGATGGGTTGTTGTCAGCTGGCGATCGCGGAGATGAGGTTAGTTTTGCGGGACGACGCCTTTCTTTTTGGCACGGGGCCGCAGTGGGCGGTTGGGGAGTAGAGCAGGGACTCACCAGGAGGGGAAGAGAAAAGTAGGACAGCGGAAGCCTCCTGCGAACAAGCCTGGGTGCTGTGCTGTAGGGACAGAGGTTGCAAGTGCCCTGTCGAGTGGAGGTGAGGTGAGGTCCCGATGGCGGCCAGGAAAAACCAAGGTCGATAGATGTTTTTGGCGCCGCTCTGGATGCCTCAGGCAACAACAGGCCGATGCCAGCCTTGAGTTTTCCTCTAGCCTGGCCAGTGACCACAAGGGAGAAAACGAATAGTGAATGGGAAATGAAAAGCACTGAGAGCTATCTGAATGCCGAGGAATTGTGCAGGAAAATAGTAAAGTTGAAGCTTTGCTTTTAGATATGATAGTATGCAAGCTACCGGACTTAACAAAAGCTTTCCTATGCAATGTTTGACTTGTCAGGACACTAGAAGTAATTTGTTGCCAAAATAAAAAGAAAAGGGGAAGAAAGATGCTAAGCCTCGATTATATTAATTCTAAAAACCCAGCTTTTGTACAGAAATATGAAACTATCTCTAATAAGCTTCAGGAGGCAGTCGCAGTATGGCAAGAAAAGCTGTGAAGGGGAGATGACATAACGGCGGCCCCGACTTACATCCCGATTGCTCCATCCCGACGAGGGGCAATCTCGTCAACAACATCTCACGGGCAGCACGCATGTGGCCCTCGGGCTCCTCCGACATCGTGTAGCTCGTACTTTGTCTTTCGTGCTCTGGGTCTGTATTTTGAATGCGCTATCTAGCTTGATGGAACCTCCAGATTCTGGATACTCGAGGGATCAGTCTTTAGAAACCCGCAATTTCTAGCCACGAGGTACCAGTACCCCAGCAAAGACATCACGCGTGAGCTCGCGACCCGCATTGAGCTCTTCCATGCGAAGCTAGCGGCCATTCCATCTTCAGAAACACAAGTTATGTCGTCCGCGAACGGACAGATTGTTGGCTCCTCCAAAGCAATTGTCAGCAATTCCAGCGTTTCCTCGTCTTCCGCGTCCTTCCAAGGCCCCTCCAATTCTGCCGACGGAGGTGCCCAGAGACGCCCCGGAGGGACTGGTAGTTTTGGAGCTGGCTCTACATCGCGAACCTCTCCAGTTGCGAGAAACAGCCAGAGTCGAAAGAACAATCATAAACAACACCATCGCCCCTCGTTAGTGGACGAGGATGCGGAGGCTGTGAGTCACCCTGCTAGCTTATGATCCTATATTTCAGCCAAAGCTCACAAACAATTTATTCAAGGCCGTCATGAGGTCGACCACGAACCGCAGAGGGCAGACGTCCATAACCCATTTAATGAATTTCTCCTTACCTCCTCGACCTCACCGTCAAACCGCCCCGCATCGCACGCGAAGGAACCCAACTTGGGGAATGGGCTCAGGCTACCATTCAGTCGACAAAGCTAGATATGTACACGCAAATTACCGGTTCATCGTGAATCCCCAAAACAGCTACCATGCTCAAGCGGAGAACGCTGATGTGCATCTGGATTGGAACTCGGTCCTCCAGGTCCTAGCGTCGGAACAAACCCAAGTTACAAGCTGTCCGATCTGTCTTTCAATGCCGGTGGCGCCTCGAATGGCGAAATGTGGTCATATTTTCTGTTACTCTTGTCTTATCCGCTTCATGCACTCAACCGATGACGAGATGCCAATGCCAGAGAAGAAGCCTCGGTGGCAGAAATGCCCAATTTGCTGGGATACTATTTACGTTTCTGACTGCCGTCCAGTGCGGTGGTTCATCGGCCAGGAAAATGATATTCCAGTTGAAGGTGCTGATGTTGTACTCCGTCTCTTGAAGCGAAATCCTGGGAGTACTTTAGCCCTCCCTCGTGATGGCGCGGAGGATCTTGGCCCTGAAGATGATATTCCATGGTATCACGCTGCAGAGGTTGCAGATTATGCACGTATAATGAAGGGTGGCGAAGACTACATGATTGCTCAGTACGAGGCTGAAATAGAAGATTTGAAGAGACAGCAACAAGAAGATGAGCTTCTCTTTGGAGATGACACCACCTGGTCGCGGAAGGCAATCGATAGCATTAATGAAGCCAAAGAGAAGGTTCGGGGGATAGGCAATCCTCCCGATATTATTCGCACCGAAAAGAAGCCAGTACATGCTCCAGTTCATTTTGAGCAACCCCAAGAAGGTGTTCCTGACATGTATGCATACCAACAGGCTATTAAATCTGCCAAAACGCATTCCTCTTCAGAACCTCTAAATTACTTTGGTGACCATGGATATGGCAGTCCTTTGGCTGCCGTCCAATCCGATCAACTGGCCCATGAGATGGACGCCTTGAAGCTGGATACCGATGACCCAGTCAATTCTCGAAAGAAAGACAAGCAACCGAAGTCTCCTGCTAAGAAATCAACTTACCGCGAGAACGCGGGATCCTCAAATGACCAGCCGTACTACTTCTATCAATGCCTGCCGCACTATTATCTGTCGCCCCTTGACATACGTATTCTGAAAACGGCATTTGGCGATTACTCGTTGTTTCCAGCAACTATTCTTCCACGAGTCGAACACATATCGACTGGGCATATTGTCGACGACGAGCTGCGGAAACGTGCCAAATACTTTGGACATCTTCCTTATGGATGCGAAGTTAGCTTTCTTGAATGTGATTGGACTGACATCGTCGTTCCGGAAGTCTTAGAGCAATTTCATACCGAAATAAATAAAAGGAGACAGCGGAACCGCGATAAAGAAACGAGGGACGAGAAAAATCGACTTCGCGCAGAAAAGGAAGAGGACGAAAAGCGTTGGGCAGCTGCTCGCCGCAAGCAGTCTACCTATGACAGCAGCGAACGACCTTTCTCCGAGCAAGACTTTTTGCCTCTAAGCGGATTCACGGCCGATGCGGAAGATCCTGCTAGCTCACCCCCTATGACTAGTCAGATGCAGTCTCGGTTTGAAGCCCTGGCTTCACCTTCAACGAGTCCTCCAACGGCTCGTACTGTATGGGGCACTGCCGCAGTCAATTCCAACTCGCCAGTTGCCACCCAGCAGCCTGTTAATGACGGCTGGCTTCGAGGCTGGGAGGACGACCTCGTGGAGCAGCAGGAGGCCGAGCTTATTGCACAGACTATGAATGATACTCCAATCGCATCGGGTGGTCGTAAAAAGAAGAATAAGAAGATCACCCTGATGTCAACTAACATTCAGCGAGGTGCTTGACGCTTTGTTATGGCACAAGTTTGACAGCATTGAATTAATGAGTACCGGTTCATGAGGTCTGGGCGTTGAGTCTATTTTGTTTCTTTTTGTTTCTTTTTGTTTCATTTGCTAGGCGAGAGCATATGGAGTACAGTGACCCTTTTGGATTTATGCTATTACTTGCATATACACCACCTTGATACGCAGACAACCTACTTATACAAATGAAGAATATTCAGTCCACTAGAAATATTGGAATGGAAATGAAATGTATATAAAACCAAGCCTTTTCAGTGTTTTGTTCAAGGGTACAAATGCGTTTCACGGATGACACTCATTCCCTTTCATCATTCTCCACAGATAAAATAGACGGATGCACTGTTTCTACCTTTAAGGAGCAACATGCCAATTTCTGGTGGCCAGAGTGCAATTCAAGGAAAGGATCTTGCTGTAAGAACTGCGATAAGAGCTACATAATTCATCCAGGTTTCTGCTTTTTATAATTTGGCCTTTTCTCGCACATGGCTGTCTGTTTTTTCTTGGGAGTGCTTCTCCAACAACTCCATCAACGGGCCCAACAGCCTTCCTTCACGAAGAGCTTCATAGATAATTGAAATCCAGGAGCCAATCGTCTTTTTGGGTCGACCATCAATGGTAGGGTTCTGTTCAGTTGGATGCTCCACCAGACCTAAGTGGAACGGGACCCCAAGTTTCTCTCGGACTGTTTTATACAATATCCGAGAGCCCTCGCCAAGCAGCTCAGCAGTATGCTGTCGACGAGAAAACTTGTCAAAATTATTTTGATATATGCGCTTAGAGATGGCTATTGCTTGCGTTTTCCAGGCATCGAAGTCAGCAAGACTGGGTCTGTTAAACGACTCCGCCTCTGCAAAGGAATCTAGTAACACCACAAGGGTTTCTTTCATCGTGACTTCACATCTTGCAGGGATGCTGAGACGGGATCTAGCAAGCCATACTTTTGATACGTGTCTGTCTATCACCGAATTCAGCCGTTGTATTTCCGGTTCCGCGACGTACGAGGAAAAGATGCGAGAGTTGAGAACATGCAGTGATGAAGGCAACTCCTTCAGGAACGCGAGATGCAAAGCTCGTAGATCTAGAGCCTGGCAGCTGATGTATAGACTGCAAGAGCACATCAATGAGACCAGTTCGACCGCCTGCATTGTGTATCGGCTGGATATCAAGGCCAGGGAGTTGATTGCCTGATTGTGCATCTCCGCTGTCTGCACATGGGAGGAGACAGGGTTAGCTAGATATGCCAACTCGGCCATGTATGCCGCCATGCTGATATCCACACCTTTCATCGTAAATGAGACGCTAGAGTCATCGACAGTCAGGTTTATTGGTAGGCCATTATTGTAATTTGGATCAATAAGCTCGGTTGATTGCGAAAAGAGCAGTTTGCCAAACATCTGGAGGCAAACTCGGGTTTTCTCCATGGCCGATGTGACAGAAGCTGCCTGGAAATTGGCTCCGGTATAAATTTCTTTGTTCACTGAGTCTACAAGAGGGTTGTCGCAAGCTGAATTGAGTTCAGTTGCGATCTGCTGATCGGCTAAAAGAAGATCTTCTAATTGCGGACCAATCCATTGAGGAACACTGCGCCAGGCGTAGCGGTCCTGAACCAAGCCAGTGCGTGCTCGATCAGCGTTTTGAAGAATGCCTGCTGCCAGATGAGAGCCACTCAAAAGAACTAGTAAATTCTGAGCACATTCAATCTGTCCCGGGTGCGGTCGGACAGAGGAGATAAAGGGATGATAGCTCTCAGAATTGCCCATCAGCGCTTCAAGTCCCATAGCAGATAGTGCCTGGGTGAGAAGAGCTAAGCGGTGCGATTCAAACATTACTACACTCGCGACCCCAGCTGAGCATGCGGTTCCATTTATCAGACCAAGCGCTTCCTTGGGCCCCATAGTCCGACTCTGCATGCCAACAGCACGGAGCGCATCTGGGGCAGACATGATTTTCGACTCAGAGGTAACTTTGTCCTTGAGCTGGACATAAATATTTGGGTTTCCTTCAATCGTGCCAGCGATGTAAGAGAGCGGCATGAGATCGCCAGATGCAGATATCGAGCCACGCAGTGGCACGATGGGGGTAATCCGGTGCTCTAGAAGCTGAAACATGGACTGCAGAACTGGCAAGGTCAAACCGGAAACCCCATTTGCATTGGAATTGCATCGCACGACAATAGCAGCGCGCACCCAAGCAGGCGGCATGGAGTGGGCTCGAAGAAGGGTACCTAAATCGGCTTCACCTCTGTCAATTGCGGTGGTGACACCGGCCTGGGTTAGTTGAAGAAGTCCCGTCTGTAGGGTGGTTGCTCTTTCTGTGCGAGAATCTGCACTATCACCGAAACCAGTGTTGACTCCTACATTTATGATGCTTGTTAGTAATGAATTTAGCCTCCTGGGCATGAAAATGCGGGTAACATACCATATATACTGTAACCCTTCGATAGTTGATCCTTAAGGACCTCGATACTCGATTCGATTCTTTTCAGAACTTCCGGATCTTTTGTGAGTTTTGGAACACAGCCAAAGCTGTTTTTTTAGGCTGTTAGCGAGCTTGGAATCGACAATTTAAGAGTCTCTAAAGGGACGAACTCACTATGAAACCGCCACTACGGTAGAGATATCCAGCCCATTCCCTTTGATCTCAATCTCTTCGCCTGCCAAACGTTGTTCCAAGCGCCTCCAGTGCTTAACTGCCGTATTCAGCTGCGACAATTTTTCTGCCATGATGTTTTATTGTTCTTGAAGTTTAGTTGAGATGTGTGAAATGATGGGAACGACTGTAAGTATGCAAATTGCATTATTCACGGGGGATCCTTATACTTATCTCAATATCTTCATTTACAGGCATCTTAGGACGGACATACCCTTGACCTTATCACTAGAGAACTTTAAAAGCGGGGTAAAGTGTCTTGTCATCAATTCCCTGTTGCAGTTGCATTCGTTAATGTCTCTTTTTCATTTGAAATGGAACCAGTCTCCATTGACCAATTGACCACATGACCTCTGCATACAATCTTCCACACTAGACAATATCTCCCTACCTGTCTTGACACACATGATTTTCATCTCAAAATTGGGCTATATGAGAGTTTAAATTTTACTTGAGAGTTCTATATGGCAAATCAGACGTAATGAAGTGGGCTGGATTTTACAGTTCGGATGCATGCTACGTACTAGTTAGAATTTCCGCGACTAAAAGTTGATGATCACCTCTAGCTACGTCAAAACAATGTCCGAGATACACCCCATCCTACTATACTAATGTCACTAAACTGCAGAATACTTTCAAATAGATTCCTCACAAGGACTAAGATGTTTAGTGTGAAAATCAAAATTAAGACCACAACGCTCTATCTGAAGTATTGAGATTGCCCAAAGTCCATGAAATCGAAGAGAGACGTTTTCTTTTATGGGCTAGCAATATGCAACTTTATGCTCTAGTCTTTTCCTCATTTTTGGTCAATACACTTCTATTGCTCTTGGAGCCGAGAAAGAGAGTTTTGCTACCTGTAGCCCGTACTCTCACTAGACACGCCAGAAGACACTTGCTACAATCTCGTTGAAACTTTTTCCAGCTGATAATCTGCAATGCGGGTAAATCCTTTAGATCTTATATAACTCAAAGGGCTTGGTGTAGACCTGAAATTAATGGGAGACTTATCCACACAGTTAAAATTAAAAGGAATATAAGATCTTTTTTTCAGTGGAGTGGACTGACCAGTTATCAAGATGGCAACAGAAACCGAAGGCCATTATATTCTTAATCGTGATGCAACTGAGTCAACTCGGTATTCAATTTTTTTAATTTCTACTGCAGACAAAGCCTTCTCTGACGCATAAATTCATTCATAGGTTAGATGAACAACATACGCTTCTGACCGAACTAGCCGGAGGCAGTCCTATTCATTCACGAATAGCTATTGACAATATCCACGCCATTGCAGATATCGCTACAGGAACTGGGTAATATTCTTACCGAATGAACATTTCCACTCATAAAAGCAGAGGGCTAAGATAAAACAGTGTATGGTTGAAACACATCTGCACATTGTTGAAGGACATTCCTACAGATCGACCTCGGTACTTTCACGGATTTGATATCTCAGACTCTCAGTTTCCAAGAGAACATGCGGGAATACATTTTTCAGTGCAGGATATTACCAAACCTTTCTCTGATGCGCATCTAAACCGGTATGACCTTGTCCATGTTCGACTACTATTCTGTGGCTTGAAGAAGAGCGAATATGAGATTGCGGTTGCAAATTTGATGACTTTGTTGAGTAAGACTCTCTCTCTCCAACTCCGTCATTTTGTTAACTAAGTCCATTATCTCGAATTTTAGAGCCCGGTGGCTTTTTACAATGGGATGAGATTGATTACCATGCACTTACACAATTAAACCAAGAAAATCCACGATTTTTTGAGATCATGAAAATCGTCAACGATGGACTGAACAGTGCCCAGTATAGCGATTCCGCTCCCAAGCTACTGAAGCAAACGTTTAAACGTAAAGGGCTTGTGAAGATTACTAGCCACGACTACGTTTCCAGCGAGCAGCCACGGAGCGCCGAAATCATGCAGAAGTGGTTGCATAATGCCCTGCGAATGCTTATTCCGTGGGCTTTGGAGACATCTGAAAAAGAGAAAGGTGTGGATTCAACTAATCAAAAATCGGCAAACGAGATCATCAAAGAGATGGGAACAATTTTTGCTGCAAAATTGGTCCCACGGGGAGAAGTAAGTGTCGTAGTAGGGCAGAAAAAAGGCCAAACTTTCTGCAGCATTCTCTAGTAGCTAAAGTATATTTTACAGCAATGAATGGATTTACTTAATGCCACTGAATTTTTTTCCCTCGTGACCAGACAGTTTTTTTCTTCTTTCCTGCTCGAAATTATGACATTTAAGCGTCTTTCAATTCACGGCTTTAAACCCTGGGCATAGAAATAGCAACGTCAAAATTTTGGTATCCCGCTAATTCCTTTTTCCCGAGAAAAATTAATTATGAATGTATCTCACTCGATGCAGTTATTTGAAAGACTCGAAACTTTTGACAAGCATGTTCTAACCCTAAGATTTCGCCAGAGATGATATATCCCACGATCTAAGGGTTTCGAAACTCTTTGGCCTAACAGAACTTCAATAAATAGTTACTTTGCATTTTAATCGTGATCTCTCCATTGCAATGCTATGATAGGTTCAAGCACATAGGAAATCCACTTCTTAGCTTTCTCGGCACGCATAAGCAGATATCCCAAAATGGTGTTGAATCTAAGAATCGGAGTACGACATCTGGACTTGGCGAAACCTAATCTTCGATTGACGATGCAATATGACTGTCTAACATCAAAAGCATCATTGCACCTATAGTTGCGAAGCACGTATCATTAACACCATGAAAGGGTTCCACATCGGTGCATATCACTTTCTTTCTCTGACTAGCCACATAATTCACTTCCTCCAATAAGGCAATGTTGTAACTTCACCACTACAGATAAAAAGCCCAAAAATGATCCAAGTAACATGGTTCAATCTGCGGCCTGCTTTGAGACGTGGAACCAACCACACCTTTCATCTACTAATAATCCGATCTACAACCATGGTACATCTCGGTGAAGCGCTGTTTCCAACAGAATAAGGGATATACTTTTTTACAGGTTATTCTACACCTGGATTCTTACGTTAGGAATATTAGGGACTGCAAAATATGCAAACTACCGTCGAATAAATGAATTAACTCTGTTCACCAACTTGAACACGTGCAACATCGGAAGAAGCGACAAAAAGTAAGAGCGCCAACAGGAATAACACAGCGAATGGCAACTTTTGGATTTATCAATGGGTTTATCAAAATACAGATTTCTATCAAAGGTCATGGAAGAGAAGACCATTTGACGGAGAATACAGGAGACAAAAGATTAACTCCGGCAATTTCTCAAGTTTTGCATTAACCCCGGAACAATATTAATTAGAACACAAACATGGAGAGCTGTTTCATGGAGGTGTAGGGATATTAACGCTAATTAAGAAGCAATCACGAGTTTTACAACTGAAATACACAACGAAGCAAGGTAGCAACCATATGTCTTCGAAAATGTAAAACTAATAAAAGACTCCTCAATCAGTCATTATTTCATCGTATCTAGTCATCATCAATTATTTGTCTATGGGTGAATAATTGGTGACTTTAAATCTGTAGTCTACTATGTCTGTTACCGGCGTAAGTTCAAATGTGATATGCAATAGAGAGTGTACTCAAGAAGTAGAAGTCTCTGAAGTATAAATTGTTGCGAAGACTGGCTGCGTATATACATAAATAAGAATTATCCAGGGCGGTATTTTCATATCTCCCTTGTCACATTAATATGGAGACAACGCGGATCCCGCGGCCCCCGAGGCCTCCGCAATGCATTCATGACTTTGCGTATTACTATCGAATGTATTTATGGAAATACGATTAATCCTTGTGAGAGAATTGCATGAAAATACGAAGAACGGTTATCTACTCTCTAGACATGGCAACAAGCACAATAGACTAAAAACCTACAACAGTCATAAATCATAAACACGATATAATAAGTAGGCAGGTAAGGACTACTGCTGCACCCCGGCCCGCTAAGCCAGCCTGGCGCATTCCACGGCGCCCAATACAGACTAGCCCCACGGTCCACAAAAAATAAACAAGTAGTTAATTCGTATTGTTACATTTTCGCCTCACAATTATTGATCAATCATTGACAATTGGCAATTCCTAATATTATTCGACCTGCCACTTCCAGGTCGCTTCATATGCTGAATCGCCACCATCTTTCCACCCGCCGCTCCACACGGAATCCGAGCAGGTGACTCTACCCGTCATGACGTTGACGCGCTCGCAAACGGGGAGGACCCCCAGGTCAGTACTTGAAGGCAGCTGCGGTCCCCTTTTCGGCTGACGACGTTGTTTCTTCTCAATTCACTCTCTAACTCTTGCCTTTGACACTATTGCCAGGAAAATCGAGCGTCCCAACTTTGTTGAGACTCCTGGACGCCGTGTGACTCGCAGCCGTGCTTCCATTACCCCTGACCCAACAACGACCAAGATGAACCCGACATCCCTGGACGGCGAAAATAAGGGCTCGCCCAGGAAGCGCAAGTCTACTAAGGCTACCGTGGAAGATGAAAAGCCCAACGGACATGCCAATGGCCATACCAATGGCCATGCTAACGGCTCCCCGAAAGTCATTGACGGCTGGATCGAGGGCAAGGATCCCAAGATCGACTACAGCGGGGAGTTCGAGTTCGGAGGATCATGGGGTACCGCTGCATTGATGGTTGGGTTCCCAACGCTAATGTACTACATGTGGATTGGAGCAACCTATTACAATGGCAAACCACCTCTTCCAGCCGAAGGTCAGAGCCTGTCCGAGTTTGTCGCACATCTTGGTCGTCTCGCCTACGACGGCGCCTTCCCCTCGCTAAAGGCATGGACAATTTATTGGGTGTTCTTTATCTTTGAGGGCATTTGCTACCTCGTTCTCCCGGGTATCACCTTAATGGGCCGGCCTTTGCCTCACGAAGGAGGAAAGAAACTCCCTTACTACTGCTCTGCTGTCTCTGCTTTCTATGTGACATTGGTAGTCGCTTTGGGACTACATTTTAGTGGACTGTTCAAACTATACACTATCATTGATGAGTTTGGACCTTTGATGAGCGTGGCTATCCTTTCAGGATTTTTGGTTTCTATTGTCGCCTACGTCTCCGCTCTTGCCCGTGGAGCCCAACACCGCATGACTGGCTATCCCATCTATGACTTTTTCATGGGTGCGGAGTTGAATCCCCGCATGTTTGGCATTCTAGACTTCAAAATGTTCTTTGAGGTGCGACTCCCGTGGTATATCCTTCTGCTAGTCACCATGGGTGCCGCTGCTCGTCAATACGAGTTGTACGGCTACGTTTCTGGCGAAGTCGGCTTTCTTCTCATGGCACACTTTCTGTATGCCAATGCCTGCTCCAAAGGAGAGGAGTGCATTATTTCAACCTGGTAAGTTTTGGATCGTACGGCGAATTTCTCCTTCTAAGAAAATATAGGGATATGTACTACGAAAAATGGGGCTTTATGCTTATCTTCTGGAACCTGGCTGGAGTTCCTCTCAGTTATTGCCATTGCACAATCTACCTTGCCAATCATCATCCTGACACTTACCGTTGGAACCGTTATGTGCTGGCCTTCCTATACGTCGCTTATCTCTTCGTTTACTGGGTCTGGGATACAGCCAACAGCCAAAAGAATCGTTACCGTCAAATGGAGCGTGGAACCACCGTCTTCCGCAAAGCTTTCCCTCAACTGCCCTGGCAGACTGTGGAAAACCCCGATGTCATTAAGACTCCTAATGGAGGCACCATTCTCGTGTCTGGGTGGTATGGTTTGGCACGTAAAGTTCATTACACTTGCGATCTGTACTTTGCCTTGAACTGGGGTCTTATTACCGGCTTTTCAAGCCCGTTCCCCTGGTTCTATCCACTGTTCTTTGCCGCCATGATCACTCATCGCGCTAGCCGTGACATCCAACGCTGCCGTGGCAAGTATGGTGAGGCATGGTTGGAATATGAGAGACGTGTTCCATATCTATTCATTCCCGTAAGTATTGCAACCGATTACTTTAATCTAACACAACAATTTACTAACCACGACAATTAGTACGTGATCTAAACACTAGGACTTAGACCGCAACACCATAATTTCAGCCTGGTCACACTTCATTTCGACGCTTCATATGTATAATCCATAACATCCATTCAGTCTAATCAGTCGCCTCACAAAGCGTTTTTCCCTTTCATTCTCTAATTGTTTTCATCCTATGCTTATCTTGATATCGTTCACAAAATGTGTTATAATTGTACATATACCCCCTTTTCCCTCTATATTAGCAGGATTCGTTCTAGGGAGGCCTAGGCCATTTTTAAATTCAAGCTCAAACACGGGCTGAATGGGTGGATGGATTTAAGATTTTACCTTATTGCGGTTTTTAATCCATGCATGACAAGAATAAAATTATGCTACGCTTTTACTGGTCTTTTACATATCATATTGGTAAGCTAGGGCTGAATAATAATAGTGTTGCAGAAGATTAAGCTCAGGTGTAATTGTTGCAGACATGTATTGTTCTCACTCCACAATAAATATCAACTACATGTGCACCTCATACTTATCCAACAGGTCAATTGATCTTCAGAGTTGGAAATACATATCAAAGTCCATAGAACCTCAATGAAGGAATTCTAGTCATATTTTTGAATGCGGCTGTATTTTTGTCCTTTTTCCTCCTACTGCGTGAGTCACTGCCGCCTCCTAGAAACAGGAGGGGTCAGCAATATCGTAACTGAAATGAGCAGTCTCTTATTGGAAAGGTTGTACATGAAAATAAATAGATATTCCTTTATAGTTTGTTCATTCTACACAAAAAAACTTTAAAAAAATGAACAGTTGGATTCATCAATTGATGTGATATGCAGGCTGCTAAATTTACCCAGTCTCTCATATTATTTTCCAAAAAGCTACTAATAACATATCGATCCTTGACTACCGGTATAAAAATACATTGCTTAATACTTCACCGACTTTTTTTTTTAAAGAATGCATTGCTTCTCATAAACTGTCATGAAATATTGAAGTTGTATTGGGACAATTAGCGCACGCCATTAAAATGACAAACATGTTCCGAAATGTCATGGTGAGCAACTGATGGCCCTTTTCGTCCGATTCATACAAATTTGTTCACCATCGTGATTTTGAAGGTTATCGGAAATATCCACATATAAACATGTCATAAGCTGCAAAACTGCCTTCTTGCTCCGTGGGAGACAATGAGGGCTTCATCTCTTCTACTAGATTGGCCCGCAAGACCTCTGCTTGTAATTTGCACTCTGCGGCCTGTATCTGACGCTCCTTGGTGTTGTTCATATCACCTTTCAGAATCAATGCTTTGGCCCATAGTATGCGGGCCTTATCTCCTCGGGACTTGCAATGCTCAGCGGCAAGGTATGCCTTGTCCAGATACTTTCTAGTGATATAGTTAGAACGAGGCGTCGAGAAGGAGGGAAAACGGGGGTCGTAGGGCATCCTCGTCGTTTATTTTAAGAAAGAATTCATAAGGCAACCTACAATGCTGTTTCTGCATTTCCAAGCTGCGCCTCACACACCCCAAGCTTGTATTGAAGAACGCCAGTGAATAGGTGGGTTGGGTTATTCGAATGGCAAAGTTCCCAAGCCTCGTGAAAATTTTCTCGGGCCTTCTCTACCATGTTCTTCGCAAGATGCAGGTTTCCTATGGCCAGCAAGACGCTGAAATTCTCATGTTAACGAGTCGTTATGAAGAACAAATTTAATTGGAAACGTTTGGGTGATGGTTAAAAATCTCACTTTGCAACTCCCCATTCTCCTGACTTTCCCGAACTCCTCAAAAGCCTTTCTGCTTTGGAATAGTAATCCATGGCCTTCGTAAACTCTTTTTGGAGGTAGTAAACCCGACCCAGACCTAGAAAGCCTAATGCAAGATATTCGGGTGGGTCATTGGACCGTTTAGTCTTGATTTCAAGATTGCGCTGGTACATTTTGATGGCATCATCTAGCAATCCTTCGGCCATATACATACCTCCAAGGTTATTGCATATGTTGGATATCTCTATATCATCAGGAGCCATTGTTTGAGCGCGAATTTCTAGACACTTCGGCCAATATTCACGACATTTTTCCAAGTAGTTTCGCTCATAATACACACAGCCAATATTGTTGTAAAGCTGGGAGAAAAACGGACTGAATTTGTCTTCGCAAAATTCGCACGCTAGTTCTGAAAGCCGGAGACTCTCATCGAACTCACCTATCTCATACTGGTACCAAGCGCAATTTTTGAGAAGTTCAACAAAGTCGTCATTCGCACGGAACACCTTCTTGACTTCAGGATCTGACTCGTAATAGTCAACTATAGATAAAACATGGGGAGAAACCTCCGCGCATTCGTGCCAACGGCCAAAAAAAGAATGCGGGCCGCCCATCTTGGGGAACTGTGCATTGACGAGTACCACGGCGGCGGTGAAGATATCATGTAATTTTTGCTGCCCAAAGCCACTTGGACTGTAGATGAATGATTTCTGGACTAGTCTGTGGATAGATAAGTAGTCTCCATCTCTCTTCACGAGGCTGACCCGCGTAAGCAGATCCACTGCGTCCTCGACTCTGCATTTCTCAAATTAGTGAGTGAATTAATCGGCTGCCAAAGTACACTCGAGACTGCGTGACATCCGCAGCCCTTTTTTTGATGCCACGCTTAAATGATATTTACGAATATGAAGAACTAGAAGCAAAGGAAGCCACATACAGGTCTTCATCCTCCACAATAGCTTGATAAATAGGCGGAAGCTTGACGTGTACGGCTTTATCCACGAGGAAAAGTTGAATTGGTATCAACTTCGGGTTCAAAATTGCTATAATACTGAGGATGAGAGAGGCATCGATATTCTGTATGCTCTTAAAATTCATCTCCCAAATAGCATCCAGGCCGCGCGAGGAAGATAATCCTTCTGTATGGCGATGGATTCGTTTTGTCGACTTCTTGTACGTTTCGAGAAATTTAGGTATAGTAAGCCTACGATATTCCACATAAGCTGCCATCTGCTCTACTCCAAGGGGCAGACCTCCAAGTTCATTGATCAAGAAGGTACCAATCTCATCTTCAGTAGATGGGCTCGCGCCTGGGTTGTGTTTTTGTCGTATCCGATTGAAGGCTGCAACCGCTTCTTTTTTATTAAAAGATTGAAGTTCAAATTTCTTCGAAATCCCAGGTGCTTTGAATGCTTCGTCTCGATATCGTGTAGTGATGATTATCGGTCCAAAAGGAGGCAAAAACTCTTCGATTGTTTTCATGTCATCCACGTTGTCGTATATTAGTAGCCAGGTCCGGTCTGAATCCATAGAACAAGATGAAAAATTAGGACACATGGACTTCAAGCAGAGGCCACAACATGAGGCCCGTTGGAAGCTTACCGGTTTTTGCAAGCCAATTTCGCAAGATGAAAATATTCTTGTCGTCACCAGAAGCCGCAGTCGACCCCAACAATTCTAGCCTGATGGAAATTCGGGTAAATGAATCTCTAAGGTCCGCTCTGGTTTGGGCATTTATGTAAAAAATAGCGTCATAAAGTTGTTCGTCCATGCACATGCTAACAAAAGCAAGCGCGGCGGAAGATTTTCCAACTCCCCCTAGTCCATGTAGAACAAAAACTCTGAGCTCTCTTGAGGCCTGTTCACAACACAGAAACTTTTTTGTTGTCTCAATTTCATCAGAACGTCCATAAAAATGGTCATGTTTCGGAGGAACCTCATAGCATGGAAACTTCGTATTGGCATCCTCGTTAAAATTTAAGGTTGACAGGTAATCTGCGTCGCGTCTTTGTGTTTCGTCATCCATATTCTTGATAGACAAGTCTGCCATTTTTTCGACTATGGAAACCGATTTCTCCAAACTACCTCTAGTTTCTTTGAATTTTGATTGCACTCGACCAATAGCACTATCTGCTGGCGATATCGAAATAAATTAGTTGAAACAGAAAACACTGATCAGGACCCAAATACAATGCTGTTAGGGTAGAGCAAGAAGTCAACTATGAAGCAGACTTACATATTGGCGGTCGAAAAATCCTTGCTGCTTCAGCCCAGAATTTGATGAGAATAATAAACATATCCACCACATCGTGTCGTATATCACTGCGCAGGTTTCCGTGTTCCGCTAATTTAGTAAACAGTCGAAGCTCTCGGTAGATATTATCAATGATATCAATGGTCTCTTTTAGAATTTGAATATTCTCCAATGCTCTCTGTCACACCACTGGTTAACATTTCCTAAAAAATTCTTTGTGTGTGTGTTTCACTTGCCTCTAGAGCAAGATGGAGAATCCCCCACACAGCTGCTATTTCAACAGCATGTGGCGACATGACTGTCATGAAGATAAGGGACACAGACTTGAGAAGTTGTAGGAAAGGTTTAATTCGGGTTACGCATTTGGTTATTGCGTGATCCTCATATTGTCTCGTCTGTCGCTTCAAGTCTTCGAAAAGCCGCTCAGGTGTCTGAAATTTTTTTATTGCTTTGCGTTCTTTATCTCGTAGGACATCAAGACTAGTTGCCTGCGCTTCCTCCCAGCGAGCCTTGAGCGCATTTATCTCAATTCTAGAGCATACCGATGAGTAATAAGATCCAAAATACCCAGAAAGCCGTGTTACTCAATACTCACTCATCATGGTTAATGTCTACTGCGGACAAGGTGTCGTCGGTTCCTGAGGTGGGAGTTTGTGTGCCGGACGCTGTTGACAGAGTCGCGTCTGTTGTAAGAGTCGCGTCTGTTGCCACTCGGGAGAGTAAACGAACTTCACCAGGTTCTTGAGCCATCCGGTGAGTAAACGGAACGTTGGGGCTACTTGTGGGAAGGAGATTTTTTTTCGTTTTTACACTGTTGCGGGATTGTATTGTCTCCTGCTTTTGAAACGATTGAAGAAGCCTATCCTCAGATTCAGCTTCAACTTGTTTGAGAAGATGGGGAGAGGAAGAATAATAACATAAGATCACAGTACGCTTAATATATATTTGAAGTGGGGTTGAGTAACATAAAAGAGGTGGGCGAAAACCCCTCAGAGAGGGACGAAGCAGTCACTAGCAAGTAAATGAATACATACGTAGTCATATAGGAAAAGAAAATGCGGTTATACATGTGTCATCGAAGTAGAAGATGGTCATGAAACTACAGTAATCATTATTTGAGTATTAATGGCAAAAGAATAAGAGATATTTCGAAGGTTAGAACTAATCGCTTTGATCCAGATGATGTTATTAAATCATTAACCAATTTACAATTTCACTTTCAAATTAAGAATATTCGGGTTCCCCATGTGGCAGCTCACGCAGCCTAAAAACGACACATTTCCTGCAGTACATAAACATAATCTGAGAAGGTGGGCTTCTGTTTGTAATATGCCAGTTTAGTAACTACCAAATGGAGCTTTCGCCGTATCAATTGATATACTTAGATGTTTCGTGACGTACTATGTATTGGTTGTTCCAAGATCCATGACCAGATCGACTGTTACTTTAACCTGCTTCCAGGCTCGTCCGAAAATATTCCATCTTGCCGGCTCCCAATCTTCGACTATTTCGACACCATTTTCTTTCCATTGCTGGGCCTTGTCGCTCGGAGCTGGAAAGCCTCTTCGGTCGACATCATCCAACACGGATGCAGTAGAACTTTGCTGAGACGTTTCCATGTCCTGTGTGAGAGACGAGCAGTCTTGGGGATAGGTGTTTGACGGAATACCGCTGGTTTCTTTCATGATTGGGATTTTCGATAGTTGAGTGGAGAAGATGCCGTCTAAGGCAATATCAATATCCACTAAATATGCTAGGACAATGTGAAGAAGGCTAACACGAAATTGTCTGGAAACAATGTCAAAATTTCATGATCTTTATAGTACAGTTATTTCATGGAGTCTTGGAGTTTAGAAACTGGGAGACGTGGAGGTATTGGAACTCGTCCCAACTTCAGACCTCAACCAATCGGTATGTACTAACATATGTACTGGATTTGGTTGGAGGGTCATAAAACTGAAATACCTGTGTTTAAACGATAAATAGGCTGAATTTGCCAATAATATTTCTAACTTAATTAGTTCGACTTTCAATTGTTTGGGTAGCATGCACTCCTGTAATCACGACACTGACAAGAGGATGCAAGTTTTTTTGCGTGAGAGATACAAAAGCACGATCAATTGGGCAATATGTGACTCGGATTACCTCCTTGCAAATGTTGTACACTGTGATTGGATGGAACCCCTCAACCACTGCTACCACGAGGCTGAGATATGTTTAAATGAACGAAGTGGTGCGTCTTTAGGGTGATAAGGCCTATCTAGTCAGTCATAGGAGCATTGCAAATGAGGCATCTTAGTGCTTGGGGCTACACAAAATTATTGGTAGTGGGAGGAATGATCGATTGACTGCAGCAATTCTAGCGAAGTCGCCGCCGTTCCATAGCCTTGCACATTACCCTCAAAAACCGGCTGTATAAACCCCCGCACGAGATTAGCAAATTATCATATAGTCCGCACTAGATTGAAAACATCAGCTGATATCCCTGCTTCTAGCCATAGAAATGACTTCAAACTTGAGTCTGATGACCCATTTGCTAATGGCCCTCTGCAGGCTTTTCCAATCTGCTTCCGGGTTATACTTCAGCCTTTCGCGCACAATGTATTTGCGCTTCAACTAGCCTGACAGACACATTACATTCTGCATGGGAGGGGTGTGAAGAATTCGTGTCTTGCGATAGTGGTGATGATATGACGCATTTGAGTCACATTATCTAGTATAATGGACCTCTCCTATTCACTAGATTTTGAGAGAGTGACCAATTATTCAGAACTATTGTGTAAAGTTTTAGGAGCACTCTAGTCAATAGGTTCTCTTAATATCTGCTAACGGTTTAGATGAATTCATCTTTGGGCATTCGTGTCTTCTTTATTAAGTTGAATACGCTTGCTGGCGTGGAGCCTCTATGACGACCCTAGAACATAAGTGAGGCTGCAGGATCACGGTATCAACTGGTCTTATGCAGTTGCTTGGTGGCCAGTAAGCCAATAAGACGCCTGGGAGAATATTTCACATTTCTTATGCACAGAATTTCCCTTTCACAATCCAGGATACCTACCGCCAATGAAAACACATTTCCTACCTCGTCCGGTGATGCTTCGACGTAGATGAATTGTTCTACGGATCTTTGGAACTAGACCAGATATACATATTTGAATATAAAAAATATTGTGACGCCCTGGGCATGGCAGGGTAGTAAGAATAGCAGATATTGTTACTCTAGGTGCATCAAGATGTATAAATAACAACCGACCTTGTTTCGATACTCTCCCTTGGAGGGGATGTTGGAGGTGCATGGGGGTTGTTGAACGATGCGTGTGGGCAGTCTAAACACAAATCAGCATAAACAAGATGGTTTCTGACTAAGATACCCATACAACGCGCGTGGCCATCGGCGCTTGTGTCGAACTGAACCATAAGGAGCAGGTCATCTGGTGTCTGTTCAGAAAGATAGTAGAACTGTTGACTTGGGTTTTGGTGTAAATAATAGTTCTCTTGTTTTCGATGAGGAAAGACCCTGTCTGCAGCTACAAGGTCTTGAGGGTCTATGGTTCGATAATCACAGAATGCCAGTGGCCTGTCATGGACTTGTGGGACTAGAGGTCGCCAAGTACTTTTGCGATGTGAGTCGGTGTCAAAACAAAGAAAGGCAGTTACACTTACTTGACTATCTGGACTCTTTTTGCCTTCTGAAGCAGAACTTGTTCGTCCTCATTCAAAATCTTTGTTATTAGAGAGATCGAATATTCGAACGTGTTATCTCGAGCTTGTCAGCCGCCGCAACCAAAAGAATACGGTTGTCGCGTCATGGCTTACCAACTGTTATAATCAGTTCAGACTTAGAAAGTAACAAATAACTTGAAGCCCTTACCATGCACCCCATGGGGCAAAGTTTGAATTAGCATCGGATTGTTGATGTCAAGAGTTGCCGAAGGATATGTGGCATTTTTTCGTCTCTACAGATGGGATAAATTAGTTTAGTCTGCTTAAACACTGGTGCTAACATCTAGCATAGGTAGAGATAGTTCATCATACTCTGCAATCGTGGCAAACAACATAGTCCGCCTTGAGAAACTCTTTCAAAAACGCCTCGGTATCCTTCTGGTACTGAGCAATGGCATTCTCGTCAAGTTGCGATACGGCGAAAGGTTGGCCAACCACCTGAAACCCACAGACGTCCAATTTGAAGGTGTCTGTTATATCCCTCAAATCTTTGATAGTGACATCCCCATTATGCCATTGAATGTTGCTGAGTCCCTCTGGATTTGTCTCGTTTTCGTCTTCTTTCGGTACTCGACAGAATGGCTTCTTCGTTTGATATAGAGGTAGCTTAGCGAGAAACTCAAGCGTTGTCTGAACGGAAGGCATATTAAACAATATATTTTCGTGCGTATTCCAAGAATTCTTTTTGTAGTTGACTTGGAGAATGACAACTATATAGAGTATTATTTATTACTACGGAGAATACATACATACATGTACGACTTACATCAGCAGAGGTGTAACATTTAGTCCGAAACAAATAAAGAACGCAATTGGTTGAATAAATTGCAGTCAGCAAATACGGCGTAATGCAGACAGTGTAGACAACTGAGAAAAAACCATAGTGTGAGGGTCTAAGAATCTCAGGGATGGGTGCGATAACGAGTCCCCGATGGCGCGTGCTCAGGGCGTCGCAACGCCTTTTTAACATAACTGAGGCTGGTACATATTCTACCTAACTGTCAACCCCGCTCTAGCTTGAAAAGGCCATAGGTTATTAATGGTTGTTTATTTCCCCCGCCCTTACCCATCTCTTAATAATTGATTGATTAAGGGTGGGTAGAGAGAACAATGAGGAAGATTCACCCACTTGCAGCCTTGTGGGCGCTTCCTGCCACCTCGCTTGCTACACATTACAAAATTAGTGCACCAGATCCCTACTCTGCTAGTCAGCTTGTTTTTAATCCTTCATTTCCCTTCAGAATGGTGCAGGAGGTTCTTCAGATGGACTCTATGAAAATTGATCCTCTAGTCGCCACAGCCTCAGATCTTCAAGGTCTACTCGGTGACAACCGAACCACGAGTGTCGAACTGGTGGAATTATATCTTGACCAAATCGAAAAGCACAATCAAAATGGGGCAAAAATAGGTGCTATTATATCTACACTAGCCAAGGAAGAAGCCTTGAAAATCGCACATCAGCTTGACGATGAGCGAGCTGAGAAAGGTTCACGGGGCCCAATGCATGGAATTCCAGTGATCGTTAAGGTAGGGTGTGGTGTACTACAAGGTGTAATAACATATTCTACACAACCAGAGCTGATGGTAGGAATAGGACGTCTTTCTCACCCCAAGCTTGGGTCTAAAAACGAGCTGCGGGTCTTATGCCTTGAAGGACCTCCAAGCTACCAAAGACGCACGCGTAATAGATGCTCTTGTTGCGGCAGGCATGATCGTGATAGGAAAGGCAAATCTTTCGGTAATTTCTCGTTACCTCTCGATGCGGGGATCGGCGATAGGGCTAATCCGTTAGGAATTGGGAAATTATAAAGGGTACAAAATACCCGCAGGATGGTCAGCAGTGGGAGGTCAGGTACGTCCGGATCCTGGGCACCCATATGAGCTTTTAACTCGAACTTAATTATATTGGACAGGTGCAATCCCCATATGTCCGAGGTGGTATTCTACCAGATGCCCTTCCACTTGGTCATAGCGTACGCTTTCCCTATGCTGACTTCCACCTTCCATCGATATTTAGTTAACAGCTTCTTAAGACCCCAGCTGGCTCCTCTTCCGGGTCGGCGGCTGGAGTAGCGTCAGGATTCTCTCCTATCTCTATCGGAACCGAGACAGACGGCTCCCTCGTACAGCCAGCAACGCGTGCTGCACTCTACGGTATGAAAGGGACACTTGGATCAGTCGATACATTCGGCGTTCAGCCAATCTCTCCAGTTCTGGATTGTATCGGCGGCATGGCAAAATCGCCCAAGGATCTGGCTAGCCTCTTCAATGTTCTACAGCCAACAAGGAACTACGAAAAGTTTCTGACTGGATCATGGGAGAATCTCAAAATTGGAGTCGTTGACCCCTTGCAGTGGCAGCCTGCGGATTTTATAGTCGAGCCAAGAGAGGACTTCCTCAATCAATCGGTTAGTAGCCAGTACCATTCCTCTGGAATTCTTTTCGATCCGGCTAACCGTCACAACAACAGCTCACTGCTTTCCATAACGCAATCTCTGAGCTTACCTCTTCGGGGGGTCACATAGTCGAGCCCGTTTCTCTAATTCAATTCCCCGAGATTTTTGAAGGGGCGCCGGATGGTATCACAGATACTTCGGACTTTATGGGTACGTACCTATGTCTTTTTTCTGTCCTCATATCATCTTTGAGAATGAACAACTAAAATCGACATGTAGCCCATGACTTCCGGGAGGCATTTGGAGCATTTTTAAAACTCTACAACAGTCCCAGTATGCAGACACTTCAGGATCTCGTCCGATATAACGAACAACACCCAGACCTTGAGTTCCCTCCTGGTATGTTAAGTGATCAACTGATGATCTCAAACATGAGTCACAATGGCTTACAAATTCTCAGAATCTCCTGGCCAAGAAGTGTTATTGAATGCGCTGGACAATGCAATGTCAGATGAGACATATTCCTCGGGTTTGAAATATGTGCGGCAAAAGGCAGTTGATTCGATTTCCCAACTATTTGAGGAGCACAGCATCGATATAGTTATCGGACCTTCAGATGGTCGCATGGCTAGTGTCGCTGCTGTGGCCGGGTTCCCCGTAGCTACGGTGCCGCTGGGGTTGGCGGACTTCAATGGCCGCGCTTTCGGAGCCAACATCATTTCCACGGCAAATAATGAGGGCAAAATCCTTCAGTTCATGAGTATCTGGGAGAAAACTTTCCCTAATGTGAGGATACCCCCTCCACTCCTCTCAAACTGGAATAATGCCTCGCACATTTGACTATTTCGTGTTTTTATGGGACCCTTTCCCCGCATTTTCTGCTTTCCAACTTGATCTTATGGAAGACTTTGATTAGTTTGATTTAGTTTAGCCGTTGCTATGTTGATATCTACAAGAAATAATGCTCTACATTATTTACTAATTCAGTATGGTAATGTTGCGTATGGTGAGATGGCCAATTAGCTCTGAATCACTGTCTAGGCGTAAGGGTGGGGTGTGGCAATACCCCCATAAAATATCAATCTGGACCAGATGACGTGGAACTCACCAATTGGTCCAACTTCTGAGGAATAATATGAGCTTCCAATATCTTCCAACCTAACAAAATCCAATCAATCCGGATGAGGCTAATGTGTAGCCTTGAGCTTGAGGGTAGAGGCCCTACGCCATCATGCATGTGTCTTGCGTAACCATCCACAGATTCTGGAAAGAAGGAAAGAGGGGAAAGGAGGGCGGGAATGAATTCACCAAAGAAAAAAGAAAAGAACGGGCGCAGCCTAACTTTGAGTTGAGGAGCAGACAAGAGTCAGCTTCATGCCGCAAGTGACTAACAAGGTTAGCTGCTGGCTAACTAATGTAATGAGCAGAGCCAATCCCTGCTTTGCATATCGGCCTTTACCAAACAACCCATTGACATACTTATAACGGGCTTGCTATTGGCTATGGCGAGGATGAAGCCTTGTTCAAACAATGGAGAGCACATACAACCATTCAGCATCAGATAAAACCGGTCCTTAAGCCTTTCACCGGTTGTTAAGAAGATTCAGAAGACTTCAAGTAAGCAAACCTAGTCATCATGTACATTGTAATTTAACATTAGTCGGAAGGAAGACTTTAGCACTACATGATAGGCAAGCATGACAACCGACAAAAATGGAGGTTCTCAGGTGCTCCATGGCGAGCTAACGAATATCAACCTCGGCGCTCCCAAGGAAAAAATGAGTGAGAAAAAATGGACGTCATAGATTTCAAGTTGGTGCTAATAATGAGCAGAGCTTTCAAATTGGCGCTGCCCGATTGACTTCCAATCCATATATCCACGTGGAGATATAGATGGCGACAGGACGGAGCTGGAAGATTCATATCAGTGGTATTCTTCGTGGATTGAATCCAGAATCCGCAAAATTTCGCCAAATATAATACAACCTCGGCTACTTGGATTTGAAAATCAAGTCTCGTTCCAGGTAATAGTCCATCATGTGTGCACTATGATCCAGTATATTGTGCATAGGCTCTATGAGGAGGATCATATCAGCTTTGGTCGCTTGGTTTCAGCTCTCTCCGAAGAGCGACTTCTAAGACCGGGCCAAGCTTCAGAAAATGTCGCGTATCAATTAGTGTTCATCCTGGTTGGGCTTGCGACTTTTTTCTATACTCCATCTTTGACCCCCAAAGACGGCGAATTCGAGATAACACCATCGAGCGAGGAGAAAACGCAGTATGTGTCAAGAGGCTTATGGGCCGTAAAACAGATACAAATAGATGCAGAGTCTGAGCAATCAATTGGAGATGTCATCAAGCAGTTTAGTGGCGGAAAGCACCTGCTTCTTTATTCTCGATGGGTGGAAGACGACTCACAGCGTCCTCAAAATAGAGAGGACGTTCTGGTCAAAGTGACAAATGTTAATTATTGGACGCTAAGGAAGTTTATTGGCATAAAGGTGATATTTGTTGACTCTGTGTGGGAGCATTTAGCCTTTGAGCAAAGGACCAAGACGCTCAAGCTCTTTCAGTATCCCTCATTTTGTTTAATGTTATGCGTGAGGAACAGCAAAGGCACATTTCTTGGTCGGTAAGCGATCTATCCATAGCCAAGCTAATACATCTACCTAAAATTCAGGAATTCTTACTAACTTAGGTTTGACAGATTCTTTGATAACTATTTCGAGGATATTATTAGAGAGCGCGGTTTCAGTCCAGTCAATTCGCACGATTTCTTTCGCGAGCTTGTCTTCACGTATAGATTGATATTTGGTCAAAGCCGCGATGCCTACAAAGCATTCCGCAGTGATTATGAGAATAAACTGGATGAAAAGGATATAGACCGAGACCCTCTCCTCTACAGACTTTGTGGTTCAGACTGGTCCAATGAATGCTTATACGATGAGCTGGATGCCCCTCATATTCGTACGGTGTACTCGACAATGTCTGACTTCCCATTCTTTGGGCAGAGACTTATTGAACTACAGGAGTATGTTTTAAGCCAGAGTCCTGATAACTTCACAACCCTATGGAGAGATCGTCGTGATATAACCACTTTCTACACTTTATGGGCTGCCTTGATTTTTGGTATCACGACGACTCTTCTTGGTATTATACAAGTGGGCCTTCAAATGGCACAACTGGGAGCTACTGCGTAGAGGATTCATAACCATACTGTATACTGTGAGAAAAATCTTCGTCGTGTTAAGCTAGTATAGATTTTCTTTTCGCAATACATTAAAACGTCCCCAGCACACCAAATAAAAATCCCGTGCCTCTCCAACAGCTGCAATCAGCTGTACTTCCATGCACTCATGTCAGGAAAATGCGTGTTGATAAACATCCGAATATTACTCCAGGGGTAAACATAAATATTGTGACCGTCTTTATCAAGATAGTAGCTATCACAGCTATTCCAGACTCTCCCATGCCGTAAAACCGCCTGCATCTCTTTGTAGTGTTGCAGCTCGTAGCTATATTTGACTGCGACAGAGCTCTTATTTCCTAGAATAACTGGCTTGGCAACCCTTAGAATTAGATTAATCACATTCTCGATAGACAGGAGAGAGGAGTTGTGAGCAGGGGCAGAATTGGGGCCATAAATCATGAAGAAATTTGGAAATCCTGAACAAGACGTCGTTAAATAAGCAGATATGCTTCCAATGGCGTTCCAGTGCCCACGTAAGGTACGTCCATCGAGTCCCACGATGTTGAAGTTATACCAGGGTGGATCAAGTCCGGTTGCCAGTATCTACAAGAACAAACAGATATAAAAATTAGCCGGCTTATGAGGGATAAGAAATAACCACAACTTTTTGCTAAAATTCCCGCTGCGCTGCATAAATCATTATTGGAACACTCACAATAACATCCACGGGGAAATGTTTGCCAGATCTGGAAATGACACCTTCACCATCGCATTTAATCACAGGGTCTTCAATCAAGTGAACATTATCACGATATAATGAGGCGAAATATCCCTTGTCTTGAATAACTCGCTTACATCCGACTTCGTGCTCTGGTAACAACAGTTTCCAATATTCCATAGGAGCATTCTTCTTGACGTGGAGGAGCATTCGTGCTCTGACCTGTTCTCGTGATCGAGCGCCTCTAGGAGTGGTAGTATATTGAATCAAGGTATTCTCGCCGAGACACAAGATTAAAAAGCGACATATCATGAGAAGAAATGGAATATGAGCGAAGTACCATTTCCAGGTTACTGGAATTTTTGGATTTGAGCGTGGGAAGAAGCTTCTGGGAGAGTTTATAAATTGGTATACACATCTTGGAAGACTTGCAATTGCTGGTATGAGTTGGCAGGCGGAACCTTTTTTTCTTCTTCTCAGTTTCATTTCGAATGCTAACATTGGCAAATAGGAATTGTGTGGAGAGAGATAAAATATGATGAAGCAAGGATATAGAGATGAGGAAGACAAGAAGAAAGTCCGAAAGGTATAAATACTCACTTCCGTTACCGATAACAGCGACTTTTTTGTTCGTCAGATCCACGGGGCTTTCCCACCTCGCAGTTTGTAAGACATCGCCTTGAAACTTTGACAAATTCTCGAGACCGCCAGTTTTTGGATCGGCAAGATTCCCCATGGCGGATATCAGTAATTTGCAGTTTTGCAGAAGAGGCCGGCCGCTGTCTAGTTCACGTAGCCTTACGTTCCAAGTCATCGAGCCCTCATCCCAAGACGCACTTTCGAAGCTTGTGCGCAACTTAATATGATGATTGAGACCATACATGAATGCAATCTCCTTCAGGTAGTTGAGCAACTCTGGCTGCGTAGGATAGTATGTTGCAAAGTCCGCTTTTGGGCCGAAGGAGAGGCTATAGCAAAGAAAAGGTGTATCAACGGCACTTCCAGGGTCTAGTAAGATAGAAAAGAAATGTTAGTAGACGGTTAAAAAGCATCATGAAGTGAAATGAGGTAGTAGATCACTACAACAGCGGATTAAGGCTTACAAGAATTCCAAAACCAGGTCCCTCCCAGAGAGCTAGATCGCTCATAGATACTAAAGTTGGAGAAGTTAAGTTTGCGTTTAAGCTGAGCTGCCATCGCTATCCCTGAGAACCCTGCACCAATTATGATACATGCAACGGGATCCAGTGTTTCCATGGCTCATTTGTATCGATTGAATGCCCCGATCAAAGAATGTAAGAGGGGAGCCTTTCTAGCTCGCACAGCCTTGCGATTACATATTACAAGGGACTGGCAGCCTTATTTCTTTGGCCTGCTAATGTGGGCTTACCGCCTGCGGCTTAACTTGTCACCCCTCATGCAGCAAATCCTCATTGAAGGTCCCAAAAAAAGACAGACAGAAAGATAAAGAAATATTCATACTTATATTTATATTTTCATTTATAAGGCCAAAATTAATCTGACGGTTAACTGCGCCACACAGGGCCGGATTCATATAATCAGGATTTACCGTAATTCAGTCTCGTCAGGTGGCACATGTATTTGGTCACGTATCGATATATATTGGCTGGATACGAAAAGAGTAAGAACAAAAAGGAAATAAATGTACCAACCTCAATCGCAGCACTGGATATATTATATCATAAAAATAGATTCTAGCATCAATTTGATTGATGTGGTACTATGCATAAAAGTTCAAGCAAATTCTGTTTCCTATATAATTGAATTTTGATAATGGTACGACTGAAGGTTGTTCGAATGTAAACTTAGGAAGCTATGTAACTGTTTTCTAGCGAGCATCAATATCTTGAATAATACTCGTTTTAATATGATAAAAAAGGCCGCGAAATCATACAATTTTGCATTTAACACAACCACAACATAATCACCACCAAATCTTTCTACAACGATAAACAATTGAAAATATCACATCCAACCAAAAATACCATTACAAAGAACTACAGAACCCCATATCAATACCAACCGATTCAGTATGGCAGCATTCTTCTGCGAAGCACCTCCAGTATACTGGGTTATGGAAGATCCCGGAGAAGGCTCAGGGGTTGAAAAGGGGTCGGCGCCGCTTGGGTGTGAAGTCGCAGCTGTGGGACATGTCGATGAGGATGCATCAGAGCCGTTTATGCATATGGTTTTAGTGACTAGGGACTCGCTTGTTGAGCTGGCGCTTCTAGAGGTAAAATCTCCTAAAGCTGAAGCTGAAGTTGCAGCTGTAGCTGTAGCCGTGTTTGTGGCTGTGGCTTTGTGAGTTGCAGAGTCTCCAATACCGGTCATATCGCTCGATGCAGTGCTGAAAGTTGATGGTTCTCCCGAGGAAGGGCCAAGGGTGAAAGAATATGTAGGACCATCACTATCACTCGTCGCTGTAGATTCAGGACCCGTAGATAAGTCTGCTGTTGACGCCACATTCAAGTGTGAGCCGGCCGCCGAGTCAGACACAGAAATGGGGTCAGCACCCGAGGGCGATGTATTTGGTGGCTCTATTGTCGATACAAAGTCTAGATCAGTGCCGGAAGGAACAGATGTTGTCTGTGTAGAGTCACTGGATGCAGTTTGCGAAGGTTGGACTGGATTTAATATTTGGGAAGGCAAAGAAGGCGACGTAGAAGGAGATGTAGAAGGAGATGTAGAAGGAGTGGAAGAGGATCCAGACCCAGACGATGGATCACCGGGGTCAATAGTATCACAATACGATAGGAACTGCTGGAATTGAGGGATAGTATCATTAGAAGGGTTGCTTGTTGAGTGCAAGTCGATACAAGAGTTACAATAGCCGAGAAGAGTTTCAAATGCAGAGTTAGGCGCGCAGAGAGCAGGGACTTTGCCCTTGGACTCAGCCTCAAGCATGCAGTCATTGCATTCATCATAGCACACCCCTGGTATGGAGACCTGACCAGAATTGGATGACTGTCTCTTCTGAGGATTAAATATAGGCAAACTGTCCAGAAGCCCATCAAATAAGCGCTTCGCTCTCCGTGTTGTGTTGAGTTGGGCCCCCAAGGGAAAGTCAAATAAGCCATATGTTAAATTGAATTCGGAAGGATGGAGATTGAAATAACCGGGCGAGGAATTAAACCTGCCAATTTGATCTGATGTGGCATTGTTCCCCCAAAATTGATATGGTAAAAGCTCGGGTGATAGAATACATTCATCCGGATTGCAGTAGTACGAGTCTGCTGGAGGACCAGCTTCGAAATTGCAGTCAACCTGCTCTGGATGGCAAATGTAACCTGGTGGGCAGCCCCATGTGTAATTTTTTGGTAGGAGTGCAGTAGGTGTGAATGTTGGGTTAACAACCCTCGTTGGGCATACCGTTAGACTGGTTGTGACAGTGGTGGTCTGGACTTTAATTTGGGTTTCACCTATAATATTCATGTAAGCACTGCTTCATTCAAAAAGGAGATACAAAAATTCATACTTATATCTGTGGTTGCCGTTGAGATTACTGTGTTTCCTGGAATTGTGAAAGTAGAGGCGTCTTGAGTGACAGTTTGGGCAGGTTGTGTGATGACAATGGTGGTAAATCCCGATCCGGCGTTTATAGTCGAAACAATTTGAACCGTAGTAAGGCTGATTTGATCCCGAGTTACCGTATCTATATCTGTAACTGTCATGACTGATGTGTGATCGAAGGTCTGTGTCCTGGTAATGTCCACTGTGTCATTCGGTGCCGTCGAGATGATGGGGTCTGTTTTAGTTATGGTTTCCGTCTGGTCCTCTGTGACGGTGTCGGTGACAGCAGGTTTAGAAGTAACGATGGTATCGGTAGTTATATAAGTTTTGCTAAGTATTTGGGTGGCTGTAGCCGTATCTACCACCGTGCTGAGCTCGATACTTGTAGGCCCAGCAAGGGTCTCCGTAACGACTGGGCCAGTCATCGATTTTGTTTCGGTTTCTACAATAGTACTTGGAGAATCAGTGACTATGCTGATCAATGTATCGGTCACAGTCATTGTTGGTCCAGCTTCTGTAGAGAAAACAGTGGATATTGCGGTAAGAATCCTTGTCGATGTTATGACTCGCTCAGTAACAGTTTCAGTAATTGTTTTTGTTGCTGTATTAATTGAAGGGGCCGCTGTGACTGTGCGAGTTTCGGTGATTGTACTTGTCGCTTCAGATGCTGTAGAAATGCTAGTGAATATTGAGGTAGAAACACTGGTTGATGTTGTAGTGAAGACGCTTGTCGTCGTTATTATATATCCAGGGCCGGTCACGGTAAGAGTGGCCGTGGCTGTACTCTCCACTGGGGTTATGATTGTCGTGATGGTTTTAATAGGAGGAGAGGCTGTGAGGGTGATAGTGTTGGTGGTGGTCATTGTTGCAGAGCAAGAAGTGAAGGTTTTCTTTTCAATGTCTGTAATCACCACCGTCAAGTTGTCCCAAATAGTTTGTGTGGATGCGAGTCTGACGGTGACGACTGGCTCTGTCAAGGTGTCAGTCTCAGTGATCGTGGAATCGTCTACAACAGTAGTAGTTGAAGTCATTTTCTTTGTTACAACTGGCTCCGTTAAGGTAACAGTTTTAATGACCGTATCCGAGGAAATCAATGTCGTGAGTGCTGTAACGGTAATGGTGGAAGGAGCTTCTGACAACGTTCTCGTGACTGCCGGCAGGGTGGTTGAAGACCATACCACTGTAGTGCTTATTCCAGAACATGCTCCTTCTGGTGTTGAGGAAGGTGTTGAAAAGGGGGTGGAGGTTGCCCTCGTTTTAGAAGGTAATGATGTTTCAGTTATTGTGGTAATTACACCAGGGGGCGAAGGATAGAATGAGTGAGTACTCAGCGGAGCAGACACTGCTGCGCTGGTTGTAGTAGTAACAATAGTTGTTCTAGATGACGCCTTGTCTGATGTAGTCCTCGTAGTATGAGGTCGGGTGCATCCACAATCAGAAGTTATCGTGATGATAACAGTGACTGAGAGGGTGATGGTGTTTTCATACTGCAGTTGCATGTCTTCTGCCGGTGGTGAGGGAGATACAGTTTTTGGCTATTTTCAAGGGATTCAGTACTATATAGAGAACTGAAGTCCTGAGATAGACTTACTGGTTGAGTGGTGGAAGGGGTCGTAGTCGGTCCATTCTGATCGCCTAGATAGCCGATAGTTGATATACTAGATGTAACAGTCTCCCAGACCGTAAGAGTCCCAGGAATGATAGATACCTCACTAGTACCTTGACTGCTGACTATGTTTTCCTGCGCTCCTGCTACGAATATGGTTTGAGAAATGGCGATGAGGAAAGCGAAGGAAAGCCACATAACGATTGTAAGAGACGTATATGTCTCCGAAATAGATTCAAGACTGTAAAATCGACACAGGAATTCTAATAAATAAAAAAAAGAGCGATGTTCTTGTGGATAAAAGGCAATTGATGTTTTCCCAGCCTGAACGCGGTCACAACAGTTCTCTTTTGTGGGCCATATGTACATGTACAGGCAAGACAAAGAAAAGTAAGTGGTCTCTGATAGGATTAGTTTTGCCTATGGAGGCCACAGGAAGCAAAGCGCGCACTTCCGGGAGCCTTGAAGATAGATTCCGGCCTAGGCGCGTCGATCCAGCTGTTGGAAGACCCATATGGCCCATGTGTCCAGTGCATCCAGAACATTTATGCATATATATACCATGTGGGCGGAGGCAACCAGGATCAATAGTCCAAACAAGAGTTCGTGAAGACGCTATGCCACACTAAGGCGCTGCTTGTTTGGTCTTTTTGGGAGTGACTGCACTGCAGGACGTTGTATCGTGCCCCCTTTCGCATGGGCCAAGTCTCTAGCTGATCTGTATATGACCTGTGTTTCCCTGCATCTCAGCTCGGGCGTGTCGAAGAGGGACAGGGAGGTCGAAGAGACGCAAAAATGGGCCTGCGAGCTGCAAACTCTACACAGAAGAAGGGGCGATCTAGACGCGGCGCAGGGAAGGCATGAGCCGGGGAGGGCGCCTTCCCGGACAAAGAGGAGCGCCGTCTCCTGCCGGTCTGTCTGCTCTGCGCCGCCTCACAAACAAGCCCGATCAACACTCCAGTTCTAACACCTGCTTTATTGCTTCTGGCTTTTGCAGATGCCTGCTTGATCGAGCGCTCTCTCTTTGTTGGCCGTTGAAATACCCTGGCGACTCAGTCCACTTGCGTCTGCCCTCAACGCATTTGATGACGCTTCTTTGTCCAGCTAGCATTGCAAGTCGAGCCTATATTACAGTATATATACCGAAAATGGCATGGGGATGCGCTTTTTAGTGCCACTTCTGAGTCTCGCGGGTCGAACTTTACGTGTTTTGATTCTGCTCGACTCCACACGTAGGAACAGTCTACAGGCAAACTTCCAGCCTTTCTAATAACACAATCCCAATACGCACGCAAGAGACCATTTAAAATTAACCTGGATCTATTCCAGCGGCGTCACGGAGTTGAAAAGTCCAATATTAATCTGGTGACAAATGGAAAACAAATGATGGGATCGACTTGATGGCACAAATTGAGCGGCTGCATACTGAAAGAGAAATATTTTACAACTTGTGCAGAAGTTTCTTTGCCATGCCGCGATACAATTCGATAGGATTCATCATATTGGCAGGTACACGCTCTGTCGTGGGCATCGGCTGGCAGAATGAAGCCAATGTGTCGATTTGCAACTGGGCTCAACTTCGCGGTGGGTGCTGATGACATTCCCGTTCATTCACATTACTTACGACAGAACAAGCAAACATCATTCGGGACACAATATACCTCGATGGAGGAGATATATGGTGGCAAATGTGAGAAAACACATCCTATTGTTGACACAAGCCGGCTCATCTAGCTAGGGGACTGTCTGATGGAAGTTATGGGAGTCCTGAAAGGGATGGTAAGATAAAAATTCCCTACAAAGCCTTTTCTTACTAATATTTCTAGATGAAGATGGCGGGTTGATGTACAACCTTAGCCTTAGCCAAGCTTTTAACCAGCAAACAAACTTGACAAGCCTGGTCCAGGCGATGGCTAAAAATGGAGGCACCTCAACGGCCAATGTTAACCCGAATTACGAAGATGGGGTTATGTTTGCGAATGACAATGAGTTTATTCTCTATGGGTATGGACAGTGAAAACGTCTATATATCTGACTTTTCATTTAGCTGACATCAGTATAGAGGTTTGCCTCGATTGACCAATAGCGAGAATCCTCCCCCCACAGATGTGGTATTGGGATACGAAGAATTCGAGTATTCAACGATAATTCCGAATTGGGGCACGGGATTTATACAAAAGAGTACTGATAATGGCGTTACCCGATATATTACAAATGGTGCCGGTGTCTCAGCCCCGAGCGAAAACCTAGGGTTCTATTTCAGTGGAATGCGTGGGCCACGCTGGGGGGCAATTGAAGGAGGCGATGGCTCGGCTAATACAACCTCCAATAGCTTTATTACCGTAAATATGACTACGATGAGGCTTGAAACATGGCAAAACCTTACATTGCCTTCGACTGTCACCGGGAGAGCAAACGCGGAACTGGTGTGGCTTCCGGTTTCCGATTCTGGGGTTTTGGTTGCGATCGGGGGAGTGATTAACCCTGAAATATTAAAGGCAGATCGAAATTTGACAGTTGATGACGCCAGAGCAAGCGTAAAACTGGCCTGTCAACTTTAGTAATCAACAACTGACAGTATTAGAACAACACGAGCCCCACGTTCATGACGGAAATTCCGGTTTATGATGTTGCTTCTCAAACTTGGTAAGTGTTGATATGAATTAGGTAGAATGTGGCTTATAATAAACAATCCAGGTATCTTCAGAATGCTACTGGTAACATCCCACCTCAGTTGACGATGTTCTGCTCCGTTGTCGCGCCTTCAGCAGATAGAAGCTCGTTCAACATTTACATCTACGGAGGTTATGATGGTGTCGACCCTGATAGTCCACCATCAGATGACGTATATATCCTTTCGATTCCATCATTCACATGGATTAAAGCCTATTCAGGTAGTTACTCTCATGGTCGCAGCGGACACAAGTGTTTGAGGGTTTATCCGAATCAGATGTTTGTTCTCGGCGGCATATATAAGAACGATCCAACAATTTGTCTGGACGGAGGATTCATACAAGTATTCAATCTGAATACTCTTCAGTTTCAAGATGCATATAGTCCGCAAAACTGGAGTAATTATTCGGTACCACTAGCCGTTACTTCTCAAATTGGTGGAAGGTAAGTCCTTTGGATGTTTTACAATTGATTACACGACTCACGTACCAACAGCGCAAATGGCGGTGCCACGAGGATGTGGCCTGCTTCATGGAATAACAGAAGTTTGTCACAAGTATTTTCAAGCCCTTATTCACGACCTCTAAGCACCCATTACCCTTATCCTTTGAAAACAACGAATTTGACGGTACCACCAGGAGCCTCAAGCTCGATCGAAAATAGTACAATGCCATCTTGGGTCAAAGGAATTATCGGGGCATTGACTGGACTTGGCAGTATTCTCGTTGGAATTACTATCTGGTTCCTTTGGCGACGATATTTCCCACACAGGAAATTGGATACAACGACTGCATCGAGTTCTTCCAGAGTTGGAAAAAGCAACCCAGATGTCTCAACGACCACTGAGGAAATCAAGACAAACTATTCCTCTTCGGCAATTTCACCGATGACCGACATATCCTCCATTAGCCGAGACAAAGAACTTGAAACAGCCAATACGCCAATAAGCCCCGAGACTACCATGAGCCAAGCCGATAGTTCGCCAATATTTGAACTGGACTGTGAGTGTGGGTTGCCATGACGAAGTTAATCGCTAATTGTGTAAACAGCAAATACTAAAAAATGGGTCGAGTTGCCTTCAGAAGACCGCGAGATCCGTGAAAGGCCTACTTCGACAGGCCGTAACTATCGAGATCTCAAAATATGCCCGCCGCCCGGGAATATGCCGGCCCTTCTCGAATCAGTACAAAATACGCCAAATGAAATGCAAGAGCAGTCACATCGGGATAGCGTGTCAACTTTAATTTCTCGGCCAACATATTCGCGTCAAGATACCATGGCGAGCGTTACCATCTCGGATATCGACCATCAAGCACAACTATCCACGACAGGGGGGGAGTCCTTCGCCGAGGATTATGACGCACCGGTACAAGACCGGCCTAGTGAGAAGCAAGAAGATGCTTGATATGCATAGGCTTAGAATGGGTCCAAAACTTTGATTCTTCTAATGTTTAGTTAATTTTTGTCCAAGGTTTATGGTGCATGGGTCGATGCATCGTATTTCATAACGCAGAGGATATGCCTTCATCTCTACTGACCTAATACTTGACCAAAACATTTAGCATAAAAAGGCATAGTGATAATAGTGATTTCAATACCGAGCAACCGCAAATGTAAAAGCGCAAACTTTCCTAAACCGTATCCATGGAACATGGAGTTCGTGCCCGCAAGAGGTGGGGCTGCTGCGGGACAATCGATGAGTTTGGGATGCAGATGCTAAATGCTTATTTTAACGGAACATTTTACCGTATTACAGAGGTGCTTCGAAAAAACTTGAATTGTGTCCGTATTTGGTCGTCATAGCACCCTGTTTTACTCACGTCATCATGCTCATCCAAGAATCCCATGTCGATGTGCCGACCAAGGCGTCTGGGAAGGACGGATCAATGCGTGAGTGTACCCTGTAGCCACTAACCACTTCATTACATGTGATATTAGCGATTGACTAAACATCATGCTGAGTTTAAAACAGGGATCTACGTCTTTCACCCTACCATACCCGGATATCCGAATGCCAGGTTCCCCGGTGTGGTGGTATTCAGTGAAATCTATCAAGGCATGAACCCTCAGTTTGAATGTGAGAACCTCTTGTTCTAACTTACAACATAGTCACCGGCCCTGTCGCGAGATTTGCACGTCAGATAGCCGGCCAAGGTTACATCTGCGCGGCTCCTTCGAGCTACCACGAATTCACTGGCCCCGAGGCTCTCAAGTATGACGCCGAAGACACCGCCAAGGGTAATCTCTGGAAGATCTCAAAGGTACGAGTACAACCCTTTCTCCGGCAAGTAGTTAGAGAATGTTCATTCTAGTACTAGAAAGTTGCGGCCTATGACGAGGATGCTTCCTTGTCAGTAGACTATCTCCTTTCGCTTCCAACATGCAATGGCCGCGTTGGCGCCACAGGAATGTGTCTCGGTGGCCACCTTGCTTATCGTTGTGCACTTGATAACCGAATCAAGGCTGCTGTATGCTACTTTGCGACTGATATTCACAGTGCGAGCCTGGGTGAGGGGAAAAAGGATGATAGTCTGGCGCGGGCTGGTGATATCAAAGGAGAGCTTATCATGGTAATCAACACCCTCAGAATCGGAACTATTTCGCCTTGGCTGATTTCAAATGCAGATATTCGGCAAAAATGACAATCACGTCCCACCCGAAGGTCGTGACTTGATTCGCAAGACGTTGCATGAGAAGGGCGTTTTGTTCAGTTTTTATGAAGTGGCATGGGCTCAGCGTGAGTATTATACTAGAAAAGCGACCAGCTAGTTGTGGAATGACTGATGGCTAACTTGTTATAGACGCTTTTATTCGTGACGAACTCAGCAAGGGACGCTATGATCCGGCTATTTCGAAGAGTTGTTTCGAAATGCTACTTGAGCTCTTTGGGCGGACTTTGAAGCTGGATTTGGGAGAGCATGATGGCAAGGAGGTCAAGATAGAGAATGTTTGCTAGAATTAGAATCTTCCACGGCTATTATAATCACTGTTATATTGCTCCTCTTATAGGCTAGACAAATTGTAATTTCGTCATTATTGTGATTTGTAGTATCGGGTTTGTTTGGTCATATCGAATATTGTCGCCTTGTCAATATCAATGTCATAAAGCTTCATATGTCTCATTACTCACAGTCAATGTAGTCATAAAATCACATATCATATCTACAAATTAGTGATTCACAAATACTACGTATCAATTCCTACAAAGTGTTGCAGTTATTAGTACCTTTAATTGATATTGCATTGTCCGAAGATTCTCGAGTCACAGCAGCTTTATTACTCACATTGATAGTCATAATTGATATCATAGTCATGATCTCATTTCCTTGACTATAATAACTTTACAAGGGATCACGGACGCATCGATCTCAATTTGAATCGCGATGTTTCAGCTATCAAAGTCTTAAGAAGATAACTAACAGTGTTTGACTTGTAGATACCGGAGACATTGGTGATCATCCTTTGATCATGAAAATTGCGCCTTCTCCGGATCAAATCGATTCGACACGTGCTAGCAGTTTACTGGGATCTGCGTCAAAGGCAAAAAGGTGATATGATACCATATTTGTGAGGTTTGGTCCACGAAGGTAACCAAAACCACATTCTCGGGTTCTTTGTGCGAGAGGTTAAAGCATGAGAAGCTGGCGAAGGTGATGTGTACATTTGTGAACCAATTATGTCGGCTCTACACGACGCGAATATCCTCCACAGGAACCCATCAGAGAAACACTTCATTATTCCTGATGATCCAAATAATACGCCGCGCATCATTAATTTCTCCATGGCCAGAACCTGTAATAGGTCGGATGAGGGAGATCCCGCTTTGATTGAGCATTGGAGGAAGATGGGCTTGGAGCTTCAAGGGCCTCCGTCCACCATTATAGACAAACCACCGGAATGGCCTTATCAGCGAGATTGACGAGATAGTGATCCGGAAAAAATCCGCCCGGGATAGTATCGACCAAGCCAGTCAGGGTTCGGATGTCAATGGCGGGTGATATCCAATTTTGATCTTTCACAAGGCGTGACGGCATCTGCCTCCATGCACATATATATACGCAGATGAAATTGCTAGACTAGGGATAGTACCATGCATATGTATACATTATTACCAAATTTGAAACGATAGTCTCGAGCTTGAACGGATATAAAGGGCACATAGGTAGTGCAAATGTATCAACTAAACGTCCTACATATGCAGCAAGCATATGCGAAGCCCCTACAGCACGCTCGTTGACGTTGACGAGGTTTCGAACCTTGTTTTAGCGCGTAGGCGCATGTTAACAACTGATGCTGTCGAAGGAGGACAGCAAGGAGTTTAGACGTGAACTTAGTTATCGATTATCGATGATAATTTTCGATAGATAGCATCCCAGCCGACTGACAACATCTTCCCTTCCCAGCCACTCTTTCCTCGAATACCTGGATAAGCCCAGCTATTGATATCGTGCATTCTAGTGATATCTGAATTGCCGTCGATTTAGTTTTTATAGAAAGCAAGGAGAAGAGTGGCTGGACACAATCTCGGTTGAGCTTAGGGCTGCAGCTCGAGCGGTGCGGGAGGCGGCTCTCATTGGCTGCAAGGGAAGAAGTCTAATTTCCTGCAGGTGCGATCTCTGGCCAATCAGGGCTTTCTCGTGAACTCAATTGCTCTCTACTGCAAGTATGGAGTACATAAATCAACACGAACTACATATGGATAGGAGAACTACTTCCAGTTTTCTACAGTTTAAGAATGTTTCATCGAAAGTACCAAGACACCATGTTGTTGCGACTGCCAGTCTTTGAAGGGCCAGGTGAAACACTGATCGGTCTATGATGTGAAACATGCCCACCCCCGCCCGAACAAAAGAAGAATATCAACAATAATGGAGACTTAACTAGAGTAATAGAAATACTCCGGCCAGTCCGACCAGTGGCAGCACTAACGTGATAATCATAATATTGTCACTCAGTTGTTACGAATGCGAATCCTGCCGGGCTAAAAATACAATTTTCATGTGTACTCAGTCAGTTCTGCCGCTTTGTGCTACCGACGAGCCAGGACTGCGTGATCAGCCCGGTCTGAAGCATACGACGGGAAGAGAAAGCAGGAACCGAGCGACACTTTTGCGTTATAGATCAACCGACTAGCCTCGATCGCCTTCACCATTTAGCATTAGGACGCACTCGTGCAAGGAGGGCAAATGTGATCGGTATGGCGAGGCGGGCAGATTTACGTAGTCTTACGCGGTCGTGTACGTTGCGATACGGCGCTAGCCCCCCATATCCTGCTAGTGCCTTGCGCTAGACCCAAAGAAGCAGGGTCCGGCCGGGGCTTCCTGGGATTCGCAGTGGCCGTCGTGTGGCTGAGCCGAGAGCGGCCTCAGGGCTTAGCATTAATAGGACTGTTGCTATTTATTACTCCTAGCACCTCGGCTCCAATTCGCACTACGATAGCATCACCATTAATTACACTAATACCAAGGCAAGTAATCAGCGATACAACAGGCTCCACTTCCAACTTGCAACTGACTGGCGCCCCAGAACGCCGCCGGTCCTGCTTTGCTCACCTCGATTATCTCAACTCTTCAAAAGCGTGACTTTGCCTCCTCAACCACCCCAACCGCTTCGACACCCCAGCTCTCCTCGTCAGTTGAGCCTCGGATGCTATTCGCTACTGTCGAAACTCCGCCTCGGAATCGTCAATTGCTCTTCACGTTCTAGACCGCGACCGCGTGGTCGGTCGGTGTTGTCAACTACGAGCGTTCGCTTGGATTCCTCCTCTCGCCCGTCAGCTTTGTGTATCAATCGTTAAATAATAATACGACATTCGCCATGGGTTCGACACAGTTTGGGAACTTTCATGTGAGTTCGAGTATTTTTTGGAGGGTTATGTACAAGTCATGACGTGGTGAAAATGATCGTGTTTGGTGGCTTGGGCACGAGGGGAGTCGGAGGCTAACGCTCCCTGATGTCAAACAGAACTTTTGTCGCGACACCACCCTACCAGTATGCAATGTGAGTTGTCTCCCCTAGCCAGCATTTTTGCTGTATCATTTTCAGCGTCAAAATTGTCACTAAACGTTCGTCTAGCTGTTCGTTCCTAGTAATCAGCCGCCGAATGGTGCTTTCGGGGGTTGCGCACTCAAAGGTATTTCCCTTGACAACGGCAGATATCTGGGTAATCTTGGTATGTCTCCCTCCATCGCTACTATATTGGGCGCATAACTAATTGGGTTTAGGCTCGATTCTCCTCGCCTTCTTTGCCATTATCACCTGTCTCGCTTTGATCCTGCTCTCGGAGAAAAAACGTGCTGCTGTCGGACGGAGGTTGGTCCACTACGCTCTGAAAGTGGCTTTGAGTTTCTGACAGGTCTAGGGAAATCCAATTGTTCTTACTCGGCTATATTATTATCTCCATTTGCGAAATATTTACTGTTGGCGCATTTCCCTTGGCGGATAATGTTCGCAAGGTTGGTCTCACGCAACAACCTAGTTATCTTTGACCTAACAAATCTGTAGGGCTTTTCTGCCGTTCATGTCGCTGCTATTACTGCTACAACGTGGATTTTGTTCCTCAATGCACTCGTTGGATTTCAGATTCTGGACGACGGAACTCCTCTTTCCCTAGGCCTATTCGCCGGGTCAGGCGCTGCTCTATTTATCGGAACTGGATATATCGCCTTGGACACTGGCTTCAGCTGGACCGGCCACTTTGACTCCAGTCTATCTGGAAATAATCGTAATATCGGCCTCTACGTGCTGTACCTACTGTTCCCACTGGTCTGTCTCTTCTTTTTCTACGTCTTAGAAGCGCTTCTTGTCATCCGTGTGTTGGGCGAGAAGAGACCATTGAGTAAGCCATTCCCTTTTGAACCAGACAGCCATGAAATTGGTTAGATTAACCTGATTTTCAGTCTACCTTACTGCTGCGACCCTACTCTTCGCCATTGGCCAGATCTTTAATTTCGTGGTGAGCCCGCACATATGCAACCCGCTCAATGGCAAAATCAATGGTGCGCTCTTTGAAACACTATTCTCTTGGTTGTCCGTTGTAGGTGTGTGGCTATTCTGGAGCAGCATCACAGAAGACGACTGGCCATCGGTAGCAGGCGGCTACAACTAATTTATTCAATAATTACTCGACATACAAAGCGAACTGGATGAGCAGGAAGAAAGGAACAACATTTTTCGTTTTCCTGGCTCAACATATCGGCGTCGAGAGATGACAAAATTTCGATTCTACCCATCTCCTCCAGGGAGAATAATTTGCCGTGATTTATTTAGCGATGTGGTTTCGTGCTTTAATGATACCTCCGTATATATGCGATTTGGATGGTTTGGTACGATCAAGGATGCGAGTGTGGGAAAGGAAGGCTATAAACCGTTTTCGTTAGAACACATCTGAACCTGATATGACCCGATTCCTGTGCCTGTTGCTTACGATATATAATTATTATGGATTTGATTGATGTGTATGTGCAATATGGACGATATCTATTTATGTATCTATAATTATTTCTTTGTGCGCTGTCTAGTTTAGCCTTTCATCCACGAATTAATTGACACCGCTGTCTATTACTGTCATGTAGGCTGTCCACTGCTCCCTCGCCTCGCTGCTTATCCCCTTGATCGCTGTGGAAACAAGCACACGTCGATTATGATAAATTATACGTCTCATAGGAAATGATATGGTTGTGGGTATCAACAATATGTTCTATTGCACCTAGTTCCAGAAGGAGAAAGCACCAAGATCATCCAGATTATCCCGTCATCATCCATATACAGAAGAAAAGAAATAGAAAGAAGCTTTTTACAGTCGAATCTTCACATCAATACAGGGTATAGTCCACTCTCGTCGCCCAAGCAAACTACGTAACCACTCCAAGCCGATACCCGTCCATTCTTCCTGACGAACCTCGACAGCGGTGCCATTCCCGTATTGCAAAAACCTCCTTTTGGCTTCCTCAACTGCGGCGCCGGCGAGCGCGGTCGTTGTTGTATTCATCGCCTCCATGATATATTTCGCCAACGATCCGTCGTCGTTGACCACATTCATGCTGCCTATCGTCTGATTGTCGACTAAAGGTAGGGACGACGAAGCATTTGCCGGAACGGTATATGTGAATGGAACAGACGTGAAGCGTGGCGAGTACCAGTCACCACGCAAGTCGAAGAAGCAGCGATCTGCCCAGTGGCAGGATGATGCGAAAAGGATCAAAAGTAGCGCCGAACAATAGATGCATGGTCGGTGGAGGACATAGGTCAAGATGACGAAAGAGAGGATAAAGAGTGGGGACGCGTTTGTAGGAATGAAGAGGAGAGGAAGCCAGCTTTATAGTCATTAGAGAATACATTAATGGGATATTCAAAATGCGATAATAGAGATAGGATTGTTTTTGGATGCTGGTGGAGAAGGGAGCTCACCTTCGGAGGCAGAACATGGTTAGTGTAGAGACTCTGTACCCGAGGAACAGACGTCTGCAAGCCGTTGACTCGTCTGATAATCGGAGGGAAGAGAAATGAATCGTTCCCTGTCAACGCATCTGTTTGTGGTGTGCGGTTCTGCGTGGTGCAGTGCAGTGACAAAAGGTTATGCTGAGAAAGCCTTACGGTCTGACGAACACGGCAGCCGACCTAACGCCACACCAGCCACTCCTTCCGCCTTTTCTTTTCCGCTCGCTTACCTCGCCTTGCCTACCGACCTTCCTTCACCTTCACCTTCTTCACCTTACCTCACCTCACCTTTACCCTCTCCTTCTACTCTATCCCACCTTTCTTCTACCTTTTCTCCATCAGCGAAAACAAAAGTTCTTCCATTCTTTACTCTCTCATTTACGGCAATTTCAATTGCCTTTTAGTGCTTCGCACTTCGTTCTACCTAGCTGTTTTGGAGCTTGCTGCGACTGGTGGTCTCTTGAAACAGAGCTCCCCAGTAGCCCGACTCCCAAGCAGGTTGTTCTTGACATTTGAAAGCTTGGTTATTGTCGCATAAAGGGCGCCTTCCTTCACGGCAAGGCGAGTTTGACAGAAATGTCCACCCCAAACGACCTTCAGGCTCTCTTTGCGAGCATCAAGCCGCGTCCGTCGCAATCTCACGACGGTCGGCCATCACCGCAGGGGTTTCCCGCCTCTGGTATGCGGTCAGGTAGCCAGCAATATGACGGGCAAAGGGGAGCAGGCGGTCAACACTCGCAAACGCCCTTTTTCTCGCAGCTTGGCTATCACAATCCTTCTGTCTCGTCACCGCTCTACAGCCCTGGTCCTGCTAATACTCCTCCACACCACTCCTCCGACATCATCAGTCCCAACGTTCCAACACCACGGGGTGACCAACAACGGACCACGAGCTCGGATCAGACTATCAATTTGCTCAATCTTTTAAAGTTTAGTCAAAATAAACCCTCCTCTCAGACTGCCATGGGGTCATCGCCGTCTCTGCCGGTAGATCAGCAAGAGACCGGTGTGTCTGAGCCCCAGAAGTCTCATTCGAGAGGTATCTCAGCGTCAGACCTCGTTGCTTCGTTCATGTCAAAACCCACCGCCACTGCTTCTGAGTCGCCTGCTGCGAAGCCGCCAGCCCCGTCTACCACGGATCACGGCAATGCTGCTGAAGGTTCTGCAACGGCTGCAGAGACACAGGACATGCTCTTGCGTCTTTTGGGTCGAACTCAATCCAAGGCGGAAGAAGTCAATCGCGTGTTCCAGGACTCTTCTGAATCTCAACCAACATCGCCTGAAGTCTCGGCTCAAACTGCAGCCGCCGCGGGCCAGTCAATGATGCATGTTTTTGGTTCTCCCAAGACCAAGGATTCCATAAATTTTGAAGCACCACAGCCAGATCCATCCAAGGGCAGTCTATTCACCTACGTTAATCCTTTCGAACAGCTAGCTGCTGCCTCACCTCGTCGCACTCCTCAGCCAAAATCTCGCAGTGGCAGTCCTGCCGTTGAGCCCTCTCGTCACAAGGAAACGAAGAGTGTTCTAGACTCTAAGCCTAAAGCCGCACGTTCAGAATCCCCCGTTAAGCCAACTCCGGCGGAGGGAAAACAACCAGAACAGAAAAAAGAAACCGTGTCTAAAGCTGTGGGTGAACTTGCTGAAAAGTTAGACCGCGAAGTTGAGGATGCTCTGAGTAGATTGGCACGTACAAAGGTGGACGAAAATGTTCCCAAGAACGTCCTTTCTGCTGTTGCGAACGAGCTTCCCACGACCGCAGAAGAGGTGATGAAAGAAATAGATGAGCAAGAGGAGAAGGGCACGTTGAATGAAATCATTCCTGAACCTTATGTCGAAACTGTCAAGGAAGTGGTTGAGGAAGTAGCCAAAGGAAAGGCTACTGATGAAAATATAGCTGATAGTTGGGAAAGCGCTGAAGACAGTGCTGAGAAGGGCGAGTCTCGCACCGTGCCCGTTTATAACTTTCCTCTCAGGCCATTTATTTCCATTGTCTTGAAGCCGGACACGAACAAGTTACCGTCATTCCGAGTTGATGGCATCATGGATGTTGCTCGTTTGAAGAAAGAATTCGATCAGCTTGACCGCTGCTTGACTTCTGCAACTGCCGAATACATCATCTATGCCTTGGCGAAGAACGGTGGCTTACGAATCATCCGTCAGGACGATGGACACGACAAGCAGATTTTCCGTTTCGCCCGTGACCGTCTTTTCAACGTTGCTTTGAGCCGTACTGCGCCCTCTAGCCCATCGAAAGACCAAGCTGTCCTTGCCATTGGTGTCAGCGGTTCCGTATATTGGGCTCCAATCTACCGAGCTGATAACGACTTATTTGAGATGGATACCGTCGAAAGTGAATGCCTTATTTTCCCACCTTATCCTTCGTCTGACGAGAACACATCTGGTGGCCAGCTGAAAACGCGCGCTAAACCAAGTTCTCGCCATACGGAATTCTTCGGCATTGGTCGTGGTAAAAATATCTATATTGTGTCCCCCCAGTATGCCGCCCATCCAAATTACGGAGTATCTGGGTCGAAGCGAGTTGTCGATACTGAAAAGTTCTTCAAGGAGCATGCGCTTAAGATCTCCACTGGCAAGGCTGGGAAGGACTTCACCTTTAGTGAAGATGATTCAGTCGTGGCATCTCTTGATAAGACCGGGAGGTTGAGGTTCTGGGATATTCGCGAGGTTGATCTTATATTAGCTGGATCTCCTCCACCTGAGGTTCGCATTCCTCTTGCAACGTTTGTCACAGGCTCTCCGAATGAGAAATCATGGCCCACGTCGGTATTGTTCATAGATAAAATGCGTCCTTTTGTCAAAGCCGTTGCTCTTCGTTATGTTCTCGTTGGTTTGAAGCAGAACCATACGCTTCAATTGTGGGACATCGGCCTTGGTAAGGCTGTCCAAGAAATCAACTTCCCACATGAAAAAGAGTCCGATGCAATTTGTAGCGTTGCTTACAACCCTGCTTCGGGTTTCATTGTCGTGGGCCATCCTACGAGGAACTCAATCTACTTGCTACATCTGTCTGCACCTAAATATAATCTGCAGCCTATGTCTCAAGCAGTCTATATTAAGCGTGTCACTGAAAAGGATGCTACACTTCCAAAACCAGACTCCACGGCTTGCTTGAGTGGCATTCGCGAAGTGTCTTTCGCATCCAAGGGGCAATTTAGAAGTCTCGATCTTCTCCCTATCAACAAGTCTACGGGCGCACAGCGCAATGTTGAAGAAGAAGTGGGGCTGTTTGAAATATACGCAATGTATTCGCGTGGTGTGACTTGCTTGAATGTTAAAAAAGAAGATGTGGGCTTGACTTTTGAGAATAAGACCATCAAGCCTATTGATGCTCTTCAGGAGGGATACATTGAAGTCAATGATCTTCAGACTTTCCCCAGCTACGCCATTGACGAACCTTCTATCAATGGCGACTCTGTTGGTACTACTCCGCAGAAAAACACTCCTAAGGATGCCGGGAAGAAGCCGGTAGACCTTACTGTCGATTCTGCATCCAATGTCACAGCCTCTCGCGCTGTATCGCCTGTGAAGCCGTTGGCCAAATTGTCCGCCGATGAGCAGTCGGAAGTGGCCAGCGGTGCTGATAAGGGGAAGAAGAAAAAGAAGGACAAGTCAAAGGATGCTAAGCCGGTGGCTTCTCCGGCCCACGATCTTAACAAGTATTTCACACCTGCCAAGTCGACTGTTCCGGTTAAAGAGGAAGCGACATCAAGTGCTGATCAAGCTCGTACTCCGGCCGTCAGTGGTGGAGAATCTCTCAATGTGGGAATTACTCATGAATTGATCAAACAACTTGAGAAAGAAATCGCGGATGAAGTTTCGAAGAAGATTGGTCGCCAACTTGAGGACCTTCACAAACGTTTTGATGAAGAATGTCGCGCATGGGATGCCGCATCCACTGCAAGGACTGACCAGGTTCTTCGACTTGTATCTAGTACTTTGTCTGAAAATGTTGAGAAGAATCTATCTCGCATCATCAAAGATAGCATTCAAGCTGATGTGTTGCCTGCGGTTGTCAGCTCAACTTCTACGGCTATCAATAAGCAAATAAGTGAAGCTGTTTCGAAACAGCTCAGCCACATTTTCCCCCGTGAGCTACGCCAAATTTTACCGGATTCTATTTGCAGAGCAGTCAAACAACAGGAGGTATTGCGATCGCTTTCAGATGCTGTTGGCAGCAAAATCGCCTATCAGGTCGAGGCCGAGTTTGCCAAATCTGCGCAAAATGTTGTTACCCCTTCAATCAAGACTGCGATAGCTCGTCACTCTGAGACAGTTGTGAAAGATATTGAACAGCAGTTCCAAGCACAGTCGAAACAAAATGAGTTGCAGCGCAAGCAAGACGTGGCTAAGATTGACCAGCTGACCAGTCTTGTTCAAAATTTGAATGAGTCTATCACAGTGATGGCTGCCTCTCATACTGCATTACAGAACGACTTTGCAGCACTCCAGCGTCAGGTAGAATCTCAACCACAAGCCAGTGCTCAGCCAGCACGTACTCCGGTATCCCCTCAGGGCACTCCTGAGGAGATCGAATTAGCAGAGGTTATTCAATTGGCGGAAGCAGGAAACCTCGAGGAGGCATCAGTTAGGGTAGGTAAAGCTCGAAAATTGGATCATACGAGACGTTAACAAGCTTTATTTAGTGGTTGCAATCATCCCAGCAGGCCGACCTCTTCGACAACTTCTTCGTTCGTTTGAACCCAGCATATTTAAGCACTTTGTCGCCGATTGTTGCATTATCTGTCGGAGTGGCAGTAACTACGTCTCTCAATACAAATGTTCAAGAGCGACTGGTCTGGCTTGAATATGTGCTACAGACTGTAAACCTTAGTGTACGTCAACCGCATTCTATTTAGATTTTTCAAAACTGACCCTTTTCACAGGATCCTGATATCCGCGACGTCTCACCAAAGATCATGGATATTCTCATTCAACGTCTGGATGGCCTGTATATGGCCGCGGCTGAAAAGAATCCACATGACGTTGTTCTTCGCAAGATTCCCCCACTGTCTCGCCGTGCTCGGGAACTTCGAGGATTTTGAGTATTACGACCAGATGTTGCATTTTGGTGGTAATATTGACATGTCTATGAATTATCGCTTGAAATGACATCGCTGGGGTATCTTGTATTCAATTTTAGCATCATTCATATCAATGGAGAATTCTAGTACTTATGCTCGGCATGACGGGTAGAAAGGGCTATAAGCTGTATGGTAGATAGTTCTAGCAAAGCTCGCTTCATTCAAGATAATACCAAAATCTGATATTCTCCATATTATATTAATCATGACCAATTATATACACTCTAATATTAAAATATCCAATATATCAAGCATGATATTCCCCAACCGCCTCAACCCCATCATCCTGAAGAAACCCCGGCCGACCGTCGTCCATGTCCTCAACGAACTCAAAACAAACAGCCCTCCAATTCAACTCCTTTCTCCAATGCAAACCGTAATAATTCTCCCTCTCTCCTGTTTCTAGACCTGGCACCGGCTCGGACGCTAAACCGCCCGTGACAAGCCTTCCTCGACGTGGAAACGTTATTGCCCGGAACCGCGACAGCAGCATGGCCATTGAACATGTCAGACAGGGTTCGTGGGTAATGTACATATCGAGGTCTGTGCAGAGATATCCACCAGCGGAGCGGGGGAGGATGCCGGCTGCAGCCTCAGCTAGCGGTGTTGACTCCACGGGAGCAGGAGGTGAGGTTACCTCCCTCATCTTCTTTAAATAGTGCGATTCGAGCGGTGTCAAGGCCGGAGTAGTATGCGTGATTGTACGTCCAGAGTCTATGGAATCCGTAGACACCTCTCCATCACCCCTCCGCTGCCCAGCTATCATCTCGACGGCTCTCATGATAGCATGGAACTCGGGCCCGCCCTCGCACTCTGCCTGGTAGCTTCCATCCCCTTTCAGCGCGTTCTTGTCAATCCCCCGAGCGCAGTACCGCGCGTCACCGGCAACAGCGACAACCCCATGCCTTGCATTCGCATTCCTTATATTCATATCCCCAGTCGCACTAGTCATGGCATGGTCGACGACAACAACACCAATCCCCCTCCCTCTCCCCAGCGCTTTCGCTTCCCGTGCAACACTGCGTGCCAGTCCCAGGTATAGCCCTGCATTCGGCGCGATGTCAGCTTGTATGTCGGTGAGGGTTTTCGGTGGCGGCGCGATGATTGCTCGTGCCGCTGCGGCATTGTAGCTTGTTGGCCAGTTGGTTCTCGACCATGTTTCGGCTTGCTGAATGCTGAGTGCGGGGTGGATGGGGATTGAGGTGTGGAGGATAGGGAATGTTGATGGTGTTTCAATAGCAGTATTCTCATTTGCGTCGTGTGGTATCGTCGGTTCTTTTTCTTCGCCTGTACCAGTCGCGTTTATACTCCGCGTTAACCTTCTCGCTGGCACAAATGGCGTGATTAGGGCTCTTAGTTGGTCTATATCTGACACTGGCGGCGGGATTAGGACGAATATCGTCGGCACATCTATCAGACGGTCACTTGTGTCCTGCCTTCCCACCAAGGTCTTTAAATGGTCTGGTAAAAAGTCTGCTTTCACGAAGCGACGGATGTGGGTGAGTGGTTGATTCGGGTCTTTTGGGTATGCGGTATCTAGGACTCTAGTTTCATTCCGTTAGTAAACCCAAAAGAGCAGAGAAGGGTAGGTGGAGACTTGCTTTATCACTTGCGACGCGTATTTCTGGATAATCTCGACCACATATGCCTTAGCTGCGAGAGTGTAAGCTTTATGTATAGTTTGTGATAGAGGTAGAGAGGTAAGTGACCGAATTCAAAGTTGGGGTTTGTCTCTTGAACCGTTCGGACAGGGATAATATGGCCTTGGAGGGGAAGTGTGTCATCGGCCATGATGATTAAGCTCGGCCGGGGGCTTGATGGTTAACTCATCGATGATGCAAAGAAACATATATACTATGCAAATTCTATGGAAGGCGCGGATATTTTCTGGCCCCGCATACCCTGTGCCCTGAGACCTAAGCCCTACTATGGACGTAATTGATTAGTCTAGTCTTGGCGGCTGGGTTCCCCAGAATCAGCGGGTCACGCAGCCAGCTAGTAGTTTCTAACTACATCATAATATTAACGCTGGATTATTCTAGAACGTCTAATTAGGAGAATAATCAACTTTGGCGCAGCACATGTCAAGTTCCCTCTAATTAGCCATCGCGTGAGCAGTTGAGTAGGACAGCCGGCGTCGTTCTATCTGCACAATTGTAACAATTACGAAATGACATACGGGCTGTCCTACATATACTTAGCATGTACAGGTACACGTTGGAGATAAGGTTCACAGCTATTAATTGATAATGCTCAACCCTAGCTCTAATCGACCGTATACTGTTAGAGTAGTAAGTAGTTACACAAGAAGACGCCACCCGGGGATATGCATTTTCGGAACAACGAAAAAATCAAGTGGGTAAAAAGTAAACCACAGTCATGGCTAGCCACGGTAGGTAAGAAGAGGAGAAGACGTAATCGTTGCTGGTGAATCGGTGATAAAAAGTAGTGTATCAAGAGGGGTTAGAATGAAAAGTAAACCCTCGAAGCGGTGTATGGGGTATGGTTAATTGGCGACAGAAACCTCCCCTAATACTATAAACAGTGACGCCAAGGTAGTATGACGATGAAATCTTTTATGATCTGGTCTGTCAAAGAAAATCATGGTGCGTTTTCAACACAAGGCGGCTGAGAAGGTTCCGTCTCCGGCTGTAATGCATACAAGTCAGACCGCTTGACCAGGTTTTCATAGTAGATCACAAGATCTTCGGGTTGCGGCACGATCTGCCACTTTAACCGCCATAGGAAGTCAAGCTCTAGCATAGCTAACTCGCTAACGCTGATACCACCGACTCGGGCATAGGTCTTGTTAGTCCAAAAGCTGTCGCTCAGACCCTTGCTAGCAACGGTGGCGCTGACAATGAGGAATCGATGGACTGTCAGACTTGAAATGGTAAAGGCCGGGTAGAGAGCGCACAGGCGATCGATATAAAATACCATACTCAAAAGAATTGGCGGAGAGAGTGTGGCGTGAGTTGTTATTCGTTGCAAGTAGTCGCCCACGGAAATGCGGGGAGGTGTTCGCGAGTGGAATCGAGTCAGCTTGCCGCCTTGTAAAGGAATATTGTCATTATAATGGATCAGCTCCATGATCATGCCCGAGATCAAGACGACCATGTCAACCGGATCAGCCAGCTCATAGCGGCGTGGTAATAGCTTGACAGCAGGGGCTGGTGGCCGCACTCGCTTGGAACGACTCTTTTCTGCATCATCGGACTTGGCAGCGCCCTGGGCAGAGGCTTCGGGATCGACGTCCGCGGTCTCCGGCAGCTGACGTTTAACACTTGCAGGAGAGATGGTCTGTCCACTAGTACTAGTCACAGGAGGCTCTGCGGAGTCGTCGCTGGTGGACAAGGCGACAGGAGCAGTAGCAGCACCTGCTGCTGCTGTGTCGGACGAGAGCTTGCGGGATTCGCCCCCCAGGGTCTCGGGTCCAGAGGACATGGAGCCGCGAGAATTGTCCCCTGAGGGCTCCGCGGGGGATGATGATGCGGGTTGGCGGTGACGGTGTGTTTTCGCAAGGCGGCGCGGATTTCCTCGACACCAGGGGAAAGGAGCAACGACGAGTGAGAGGAGCGATGCTGGGAGGTTGGCGCGACGTCGTTGTTGGCGACGGCGGTAGACGCGGCAGTCGCAGCAGCAGGACTAATACTAGTAGAGACTGGAGAAGCAGCAGAGTAGGGCTGCGAGGAGCGGCGAATCGAAGGAAAACGAGGAGAGCAAGAAGCCGCCCCGGACTGGAGGGCGGCCGAAGAAGGGGACGACACCAGCATGGTTGGCATGTCTAGCCCTTCAAGTGAGCGGCGGCAGATCGGCCACGTGCTCGAAGAGGCTCACGTTGGTGGAAAAGGGCAAGGGCAGTCACGGTCACGTTCACGTTCGCGCACAGGCCAGGAGACGCACACGCCGCAGGACGCATTTTCTGCTGACCCAAGACCGTCGTCGTAGTCGTGGGAGGAGTAGTCGTGGTCGTAGCACGGACTGGCGCTGCGAGGACGACAATATAATAAAGGATCGAGAAGAAGAATCTGCGTACGTGCGGGACGAAGGCCGAGAAAAGGGAGGTCAGATGGCCACAGCCAGGGTTCTCCGGCAATGATTCAGGCTTCCACGCTGATTCGACTGGCTGACCCCAGCCAATAATAGCAGTTATCCGGCAGTCACGGCAGCCCGTGATTGGCCCAGGATCTTCGCCCCTTTTCGTGCCACGACCGTCGCTTCTTATTTTTCTCCTCTTCTCTTCTTCTGCCGAGTACCGTTTGATGTGCTCTTTCAGGAGTATGCCTGCGCTCGCACCTAAGCACTGAATATAGGCAATTGCTGCAACTTTTCCTATTCGAGCCAGCTTTCCCTGCTGCACGGCAGTGGAAGGAAAAAGAAATACCTCATACGTCATTGGCGGGTCTTCCAGTCTCGGATCGATCGCCGCCAGCCACCAAGATCAATGTGGAATAGCTTTCCCATACATATTGCTGTGAGTGACCGCATTCCATTGTTTAGCAATTGGTCGTAGCAATATTAATATGAACTTTGCAGTGATTCGTGAATAGTAAGTACTAAATACCAAATGCCGAGCAGGCTTGGCCTTGAGCCTGATAATTGATGTCCTAGTTCGTCTTTCACCGAACCGCTAAGCGTCTAAATTGAGCTTCATGTGCGCAGTTTTTCGACCAATGACCCTAAGCATAAGACCATACATGCGAGCGCATGCAGCATACCATGGATCAAAACAAACCCTGCTCTAACAAGGTCCTTACGAGTCGTATAAACTGCCAATAAAGAGCCTGCATACAATGATATTAAACCAATGAGTAATATGTATGAAAGGGCAAATACTAAGAAATAAATTATATCTGCCTATCACAGAGATGTCATTCCTATCATTGAGAGAAGCATTACTACCTGGCACACCACCAATATCTAAATGCTACATGGTTTCAAGCATGAAAAGCCACATAGCGGCCATTGGGATTTGATCGATGGTTCGATTGTCGTCTCTGTTCAGCCTTCCAGCTATCTCCCTCCAAAGTTAGACAAAGTAATCGATCGCCAATACTCTCATATAATTCCAAACATCTGAAAAAGCGAAGAAAAAAAAACCAATGAGGAAATTGGGCGCCACTCGATGATCGTGGACACTAGCCCTAATCAGTACATTAAAATCACGTGATAGGACCACCAAGACATTGACAAGATCGTACTGGTAATACCGGTCACCAAACAGAATCCCACCCGATATTCGTAATTTACAGTAACGCGCCGAACACCCTAGCCTTGGCTAGATCTCCACCGACACTCATCTCCAGCGACTACGTCGTTAGATAACATGATCCACGATCACTGAACCCGTGTGGAGCGGCCATATGTCTCGACATTGAACGCAAGTCGTGCATCCATGCGCACCATCGACCTTGCCCCAGTCGACGTCACTCCGTTGTTCTCGGAACCCATCGTGCTCTTCGCCATCGTCCTCGCTGTCCGCACGACGGGTACGCTTTGACCAGGGCTATCTGTTTGTTGGGGAAAGTAGATTTTGAGGTCTGACAAAGCCTCTTGACTCTTTTTTTTGCGCAACATTCTTGTTCCCCCAGTATAAGACAACACAATGACTCGAGAAGAGACGTCGCCACTGTTGGCTCGATTGCTGAATGCTGAATCCGCCTCGGAACAAGTCGCGACCTTACGACTGCTCAAGCATGAGCTTATCGGCCATGACCAGCGAAAGGAAACGTGGATCCATTGGGGGATTATACCGTTGCTGTCGAGGATATTGTTATCAAGAAGAGGCGGTGGGAAAAAGGCCGCCACATCGAGTGAGCAGAATGGATTGAGGAGACGGACCGATCTCACGAGGGCCCGAACAGAAGATGAGGAGGTTTGTTTACAGGCCGTCATTATCGTGGGAAGCTTAGCTCAAGGTGATTCAATACCCGATGAATTCATAGCATAGCTAACGGTATGTTTACAGGAGGGCCCGCTTTCATCCCACCTCTTCTAGCAAGCGACATCTTCCCTTCCATGCTCTATATCCTGTCGTCCCCTGGCTGCCCGCAATGGCTTGCTCTTCCCATTCTCAAAACATTCAACGCTGTTGCAGACCGATATATTCTCCAAAACGTGAACTGGCCACAAGACAATCACCTCGCCGATGTCTTGTTTACTCCAGATTACATCAGATGCTTTGCCCATATCATCGCTCAATCGTCTCCTTCGCAAGCAACAGAATCATGCGTCTCCCTTACCTCGAATCTGATAGCCAAGCTATGTACGGATGAATCGCACAAAACAGCTTTGGCTGAATATGGTGTCTTGGACGCATTAGCACTAAAAGTTGCTTCGTTTGTCGTTGCTCAAGGATTTGTTTTGCCAGGCGCAGAGAGCCATTTGACTGAGGATGGATCGCTCGTCTCATTTCCACCAGCAGCATCTTCATCAGCCAAATTAGCTCCGATTCTACGCGCGACGGCCGCTATTGTTGAAAGCTCCAAGTCACGAGCGGAACATTTCTTAACCTCTCCTTCAATTGTTGCTGTCTTCCCAGGACGAGTGCCTGAATTCTCACCAACAGATATTAGAAAAAATCCCTGGGGCATGCCGTATCTGTCAGGAGCAGCAGTTCCTCGTCAGAATCATGCAAGCCCAATCGATGCCATCCTACCATCTGTCCCCCAAGCCCAGACCAACGCTCTCACCAACTTTCCGCCGCTTCTTCCCATGGGCTCATTTCATAAACGTTCCTTGTCGTTTTTAGAAACTTCGTCATCCGACGAGGAAGAAAACGCAATTGTACCTTGGCTGCTTCATCTCGTTCGAACAGAATCTGGTATGTCGCGAGTTATGGCCGCTCGTCTTGTGACGGCCCTGTTTCGCCTGGGCTTTGCGAAGAAACGCAGAATCCCCATGTTTAGCTATTTAGTTATTCCTATACTGCTCCGCATGCTAGAGAAGGATTATGACTTCAAAACCGAATCAGATCCTGAATATGACGGCCTAATTCCGACAGCGCTTCGCTTGAGGGAAGAAGTGACTTTTATCCTTGCCGCATCAGTCATGGATACCCAAGAATTGCAAAAGTATGCAGTTGAAGGAAAGGCTATCAAAGTGCTCTCTCAATTGTTGAAAGAAACATATAACGCCCACCAAGCCAATTCCAAAGTCACGTGGTATGCCGAGACAAAACAAAAAGATATGCATTCAGAAATATCACCAGAACTCCAACTAGGGCCGGTGGGATACAGCCCAATGACTTGCCATATAATGCGGTATCGAGAAGGTATTCTGAGAGCTTTATCTGCGCTCGCGCTCTTCAGTGATGAGTACCGCAAGGCAATCTGTCAGAATGGAGTTGTTCCATATGTTATAAACTCTCTGAAACCACGGCCTCCTCACCCCAGTCAGGACTCTGCAGAAATTAAAAATAGTGCCACAGATGGAAACCCACTCCCTACATTACTTGCTGCTTGCGGCACTGCCAGGGCATTAAGTCGATCTGTCAGCGTACTTAGAACAAGCCTTATTGATGCTGGGGTAGCTGCCCCTCTCCTAGAATTGATCAAGCATCACGATATCCAGGTGCAAATTGCTGCGACTTCGGCGCTATGCAACCTTGCGCTTGACTTTAGCCCAATGAAAGAGGTAAGAAATTCAATTTTTGTTGTTAATTATTGATTTTTAACCAAGTATTTAGGCTATGATCTCCTCTGACATCCTGGCTATTCTTTGTGAGCATGCGCACTCTACCAATATGAAACTTCGTCTAGAGTCGCTGTGGGCTCTCAAGCATGTTGCATACAATTCTGCCAATGATATCAGAATGAAGATTCTAACTGGCCTAGACCCGTCGTGGCTTGGGCAAATAATGTCCATGGACCCAACTATCAAAAGAGAGAACGTGCCAACCTTGGATATTGACTCACCAATGGGCATGGGAACGTCCAATTCGGCTGGTGAGAAGGTTGATCTGCTGAATCCTGTGAATGCTGAAAGCAGAGATGAGGTGATGGACTCTGCGCCATCACTCGATACAGTGTCCCAAACCATCTTCTTCCCTAACCCAGTGCGAAGAAGGAAATTGGCATTGAGTGGAGAACTCACTCAGAAGAGGCAGGCGAGGCAAGATGATATCGCGGTCCAAGAGCAAGTGCTCGAACTAGTCCAAAATTTTATGATCGGGACCGGGTCATCTGAAATAGTCGATCTCCTCCTCCAAGAAATCGGCGAACAGGGTTTCCTAGGCATCATTGCCGACAAAATCCGACCAAGACCGATGCCTACCCGACGCGACACAGTAGCTTCTGCCAATCCACCGGTGCCGACAGAGATTCTGAAGGCTGTCACTTTCATGCTCATCAACTTCGCAGCCGGGCCACCAAAGTATCGCGATATGTTATTCACGCACCAAAACCTACTCAAGGATTTAATGTGGCTCTACGACCATCCCAACCACAAAATCCGCACAAACTGTGTCTGGATTGCCATCAACCTGACTATTTCGGACAATCAGAGCGACCAACAAGGCTGCCGCGAACGGGCCTTAAAACTCAAAGCCCTGGGTATCGTAGAGCGACTACGCAATACCGAAAAGGATCCTGATTTAGACCTCAAAGAGCGGACGAAAACGGCACTCAACCAGCTTCGCCAATTAGTAGACTTGTAAAGGTCTTCTTCTCGTGTAGTTGTTATGAACGTGAGATGATATATTAATGTACGTTCAAGGAGTTCACCCACCTGCGAGGATCGTTGTGAAAATATATTTAGTCTGGTATTACATGTATTAGACATTTCCTCGAACATTCGCATTCGCAGGCGGATCGACATTTGAAGGATTGTATAACTCTTAATGGACGATAGTATGAATTGTATTCTACATGAACTATCCGATGGCTGCTGCAGAAAGAAATAATCAATAGCTTATTAAGTTCATACTAACATCAATTCAAATACCCTAATAGCATTATTCGATCATTCAATCAATTCCAGATTTGAGTGGGGGGATAGGCCTGGCGAAGAGTACGTAGGCCAAATGCATCTAAGTATACAGACGGCAATTTTTGACATTAATCAGATAGAGCTAGCCCCCTTCATCACGACTCAGTCAACCTAATTCAACCAGAGGTCGGAATTTCTTTTACCCCCGGTATGGATTACTCAATGCAAAAACATGTATTGTGCATGTATACGTATTGTTCACGCACGGAAGGTAATCGAAGCAACGAATCGTGAAACAACGGCCCAGCCCTAAACGCCCTAAAAACCAAACGCCAAGGTCAAAACTCCCCGACCCATCTCCAATCATGAGAAGAAGACTTGCACGTAACAGCCAAAATCGGAAAACCGATCTAAGACTAGTACAAACTCGGTAGTCAGTGAAGTAGATGTAACGGCTCATATTGGGGGCCGGGGGGGTTAGTGATCCAGATAGCCAATTAGCTAGGTCGAAGCTAGTTATCGAGATCTGTAATCACGGCGGTAATAGCCTAAAAAGTACAGTAATGGAACACAGTAGATCTTGAATGATGTACGTTCTTTTCCTGCTACTCCGTACTTTTAAACGAGGGCTTTGAGGGTTAATAAAGTGAGTAGATGGTCACCCGATCTACCCGATAGATTGCCTATTTGGGACGTTTGGATCGAGGCGTGGAGGTCAGAGAGATCGCGTGGATAAAGGATGCCTATTACTGATATTCCAGTCTAATACTATTAAGTGAAGCTGTTGATTGATAGTGGCTATGCTAGAAACTAGTGTTTTGTGGGCATCCTTGAAAAATGGGAGACTTCGTGGGGCTTTTAACAGAGGTAGTTCATCCTTATACCGTGCAAGAAGCTTTTTCATCTTGATATTCTATCAATATATCCTCCTCTCTACTATCTTGTTCAAGCATCGAATCTAAAAACAAGCTATATGATTGCTCAATTTACTACTCCCACAATACACATTGTCCGCCCCATTTCTCTTTCAGTTTGACTTTGCCCCGCAAACCACGACGGTTAAATAGGATCCTAAAGCAAGCCACAATTCGCCGTAATCACTGCTACCTATTGGATTGATCGTGTCGATCGGTGGCTTAGCGGAGGGCCACATGGTAGGATCGGCTGCAGTCTACGCCTTAAAGTGAACTAAGGTTCGTCATATTTAATTTCCGTATGCACGCTACTTGCCCTCATAAAAACGGATCGAGAGATATCATTGGAAGGACTCGTGACCGTTGCAGACCAGGCGTCCTGCCGCTACATGCATCAAGATTTTCAGCTATGACTAGCGGCGAAGAACTGATATTAGTGACATGTACTATACAATCGGATGCATTTCATGTCCGGCACCGACTTTATGCCGGACGTAGTGCAGAAATGGAAGGTTCAGTGTTGTATCTTAGGTCTCTGCTATTATAAATAGTCATGAAGCTCTCGGGTTCTTGACGAGGAATACAGGCCAAAAATTAACTCATCTTTCGTCTTCTTGGTTTTTCTGGTCTCAAAATGTTGCGCATTCTGAGTGTTTCGTCTCTTCTCCTGGCTACCACTTCCCTGGTTTCTGCTGATGATGCGACCTACAATGTAAACGCCATCTGCACCTGGTTTGTTCCACCGAGGTCCACGAAAGTAGCGAGATTACTGACTATTTGATAGTGACCAGATGATGCGTTACTACGGCACCTCCCACGACGGACTATGGGGTGGTTCCTGGTGGCAATCCGCCATCCTGATGGCCTCTCTGGCGGACATCTCGTCTTTGGATTCCAGCTACAATGGGACGTATTTCAACACATACTCCAACACATACAGCAACGCACCGAGCTTCAATGGCTATACAGGCTTTCTGGATGACTTTTACGATGATGAGGGCTGGTGGGGAAATGCTTGGCTCACAGTGTATGACCTGACCAAGAACTCGGACTATTTGAATCTGGCGATTAGTATCTACAACGACATCTCTGGAGGAGTGGATACCCCGTGCGGCGGTGGACTGTATTGGGAGAAAGGTCAACCCTACATTGCTTCGATTGCCAACGGTAAGCTTTCCATTCTCAAAAGAAAGAGAAATAAAGCGATGATCCTTGGGCATGATATACTGATAGAGTAAACAGAGCTATACATAGCCCTAGCCGCCGGCCTCGCCAACCGTGTTCCCTCGGACCAAGCACAACCCTACCTCGACGCCGCAACCTCCGGCTGGGACTGGTTCGTCAACATCGGCGTTATCGACACCGACTGGCTAGTTGTAGACGGCGTAGACAACACTACATGCCAACCAACTGGCAGCAAATACTCATACAACCAAGGCGTGATTCTCAGCGCAGCCGTCGAACTCGCCACAGCCACAGGCCATTCCTTCTATCTCGAAACTGCAGGCAGAATCGCCAACGCGACAACCGCCACAAACGGTACCTTTACTGACGAAAACGGGGTGTTGAAGGACTGCGCCACCGGCTGTGATGTCCAAGGCGCCATGTTCAAGGGTCCCTTCTTCCGGGGTTTGCGACAGCTCCAACTCGCTGATCCGCATGATAACTGGAAGGATTTCATTACGACTAATGCTCAGTCGCTATGGAATCATGCGTTGAATGATACGAATGGCGATTGTAATACGGGTGCGTCGTTTGCGGGGCCGATGTCTGATGTTAATGAGGTTACGCAGGGTGCAGCCCTTGACTGCCTTGTTGCGGCGTGGGCTGTTACTTCTTAGAGATGAATGGAGATGCTCTACGGGTGTTGGATTTGGGGGGAATGCTTAGCATGCTGATTTATTGTGTGCTGGTTCAAAACATACTTCATATGTCGACGCTCTATTGAAGCCTAAATATTCATGGTGGTCTCATTGCGTTAACATATCAAAGGTGCTGCATGTGGCAACATTAAATTTCTTTTCTTGGATTATTACATACTCATATTGAGCTCTTAGAATATTCACAACATATCTAATGACCATAATCAATACCTCAGGTCATACTATCACGAAACGTTGGAATCCCTCTTTCACTGAATAAGAACTTTATTAGAATTTTCAGTCATTCAATATGAATATGTTTGTATCAGCATACTACGCATACAGTTCAACTGCTCATGCAAAGAAAATTCCAAGAAAATAACTATAAGCCAATAAGTAAATAATCTGTTTAAGCAGAATACATGTAGATGTGGGAAAAGGAAATTCAATAAACATCCTTTCCCATTTAGGGAAATGAAAACTGCACAAGTTAGATATACCGGTTATAGAAAAATTCCTCGCATTTCCCTAGTGCTAGTTCTGTCAAATAGGGTCATCACTGGAGGGTAACTGAAATAGGACTTGCTGTTATGAATGTGTATTTGTAGCTTAGACTCGGCCTCAATAAAGTGGCGTGAAATCCGACAAGTTATTAAATATCTGGTTGGACGACACTCACTCGTAGCTTTGGCTATGTCATAATATTATTTAAATATAGATCAGTGATTTCTATATAAACATCGACTACAGAATTGAATCATCGAGGTAAATCAAAATACCGCCTTTGGCAAGGTTAGTAAGCTAACCACGTTTGCATCTTATCAGCAGCGAGATAATTCATTTGAAGAAAGATGCTATTAATTAATTATTCATTTTATCCAAATTCTGATCTTGTTATTAAATCTTTCTATCTCAGCCGTCACCGATACAGAACATCAAGTCGTCTAGACAAATATCGTTGTTAGTAGACAACGGAAGGTTCTATTTCCTCTTTTGCGCCATAATGCATTATTGGTTTAGTATTGCGGCTGAGAACCAATGTATAATGTGTATATTAGGGCCCAGGCACAACACCTTTGCACAAGTTAGACCATTAGCCTCGACCTTGGTCTAAGCAGCCTCTACAGAAGCGAGCGATTAGTCCGTCCTTTTCCTAATTCAGCCAGAACCAAAAGAAATGGCAGATATAGTATCTAGCGATAAAGTACCTGGAGAATCTTCTTATTCTGGTTTCTTTGATATCGTGCACAACTAGTCTACGGAGTAATTATTAGTATGGTATTACTTCATATGTACCTATATACCAAAGGTGACAGAATGAGTCGGCGCTTTGTGCGACTTTTCCAACCACTCCATTTAGATGATTCTGCTTTGACTTGGTTTGAATACTCAGAAAATAATATCGTAACAACTACTCAGGCTTCAGCAATGACGAATTTCAAGCTCTGGCGGAGACAGCCAAACGCTATGGACGATCAAAATATACTACATCTAATGATAGCTATGGTTAAGATGGGGCTTGGAGCTTGGATCCACAAAAGCGGAACTAGGCGTACTTTTTGACAAATGAAAAATGCGAGCCAAGCAAAGGATGCCACTCGTTTAGATGTTTAAATGTCACTGTTTTGTCTAAGTGGCCAGCCAGTCTTCCAGGGGCCCACTGGCTTTGTTCCGTCGGCAGCTTCAGCCTTCAGGCTTCTGTTATGCCGAACTATAATTAGAATCGGCAGGCCGATCACAGAAAGCATATCACTCTTTGAGTCCTCACTTAAGAGTTCTGTTAATATAATAGCAGGCCCCATGAGAGGTATGGATGTTAGGTTGGACACCGCTGTCAGTGCCTTAGTGCTCTGAACAGTGCAAATGATAGCAGGTCGCCGTATGCTTTTAAACCAAGGGTGGCTTCGAATACTGTGCACCGCCGTAAATCCAATGACTCCCATTAAAAAAGTACTTCTCAGAAATTACTTACCTGGTGGGTATCTATGCCATAATTAAAAAATTAAGCTGCATAGTTTTCCCCACACCATCTGTTCTCATCTGCTTAACTCCTTGCTATTTGCCTTTCAGTGCTGCAGCCCCCAACAGACCCTGTCAGCATACCATTCATTTGAGAACTTGCCGTCCTTCCCAGAGTAATATTAGTGAGCAATGTTGGTTAGCAATGGATTTTGAATCAATCAGGGTTCACTGTTCTGGCGATCGTTGGTTTGTTGGCTAGAGAGACCCAAACATTGATAATAAACAGGCTCGCCTCCTATTCATCATGTACCCCCAATACTCGAACATATTACTTCTTCGACTTTCTGTACTTGATGTTTGTGAGCAAAATATACAAGTACCATGAAGGTTGCCGACGCTTTGGCTATGCTCGCCTTACCAGCTGCGGCAACTGCCCTAACCTTCTCTCCAGTGAGACCTCCTGCTATCCCATTAGCAGTTAAGTCGCCATATGTGAGCACCCATTTGACGGTCGCCTCTGACGGTGGAGATGGAGGTTATCTGGCCGAAGATTTTCCACGCTTCTGGCAGTAGGTTCTCCTGGTGATTTGCTCGAGAATCGGCGTCACTAACACGTGCTTACTCTCTCCTTTCAGGTATTCTATCAGCGGTTGGGCAGGCCTTATTCGTGTTGATGGAAACACCTACAGCTGGATGGGGAACTCAACTGGAATGGGATTTACCCCCGTCACCCAAGAAGCTTTTACCTATACCGCCACACGAAGTATCTTCACCATGAGCACCCCTGAAGGGTTAGGCATTAATGTAACATTCCTATCACCCGTTTATCCCAACGACTATAAACGCCAATCACAGACTGCGTCCTACTTGGATGTAACTGTCTGGTCCAACGATAGCAACACGCATGAAGTCGAGGTTTACTCTGATATTTCAGCCGAATGGATCTCTACCGATACCAGCGCTATTGCGCAGTGGGACTTTGCTCAGTCAGATGATGGTCAGGTGCTTACGCACAACGTCTATCGTCAAACACAGCTTTTATTCACAGAGGACCTTTCCTCAAATGGTGCTATTGCTAACTGGGGCAACTGGCTTTGGTCCACTGGAAGCAATGCCTCCTACCAATCTGGAGCTGACGCCGACGTTCGCAGCCAGTTCAAGAGCAACGGCTCCTTGATCGACCAGGGAGATCCTGACTTCCGTGCCATCAGCGACCGTTGGCCAGTTTTTGCCTTTGCCCACAGTCTTGGAAATGTCAGCAGTACTCCCGCCTCCGCCGTTTTCACGATCGGCCTGTACCAGGAGCAAGCTATGCAGTTTGAAAGCAAGAATGGCAATGTATCCTTACCAGGCTACTGGACCAACTTCTGGCAGACACCTGAAGACGCAGCTGCCGCGTTCTACGAGGACTACAGCTATGCCACTGATGCTATGACCAAGACAGATGCCCGCATTCACAACGCTGCGGTGTCTGCTGGCGGTGATGATTACGCCACTATTGTCGAGCTCTCCTACCGCCAGGCCTATGGCGGTATCCAGCTAGCCGGTACGACGAACAACTCCTATGTTTTCTTGAAGGAAATTTCGTCAGACGGTAACGTCGGCACCGTGGATGTAATCTATCCAGCCTTCCCCGTATGACAACCCTGAGCTTGTTCGGGGTATGCTCGACCCGCTCTTCGAAAACCAGGAAGCTGGCTGGTACCCTCTTAAATACGCTGAGCATGACATCGGTGCAAGCTATCCCAATGCCACCGGTCATAACGGCGGCAATGACGAGCATATGGCTGTTGAAGAGCCTGGCAACATGTTGATCATGACATTGGCGTACGTGCAACGTAGCAACAACACCGCCTACCTCAAGCAACACTATGATATCTTGAAACAGTGGAACAACTACCTAGTTGAGGCAGCATTGATTCCTGAAGCTGATCCCAATGACCTCTCGACCGATGATTTTGCGGGCAAGGCCGCCAACCAAACCAATTTGGCACTGAAGGGCATTATTGGCATTGCTGCCATGGCGGAGATTGCCAACCTTACTGGCAACACTGATGATGCTAAAAACTTCACTTCAATTGCAAATGATTATATTAAACAATGGCAAGGCTTTGGTATCAATTCGGATGCGAACCCGCCTCATACTCTCTTCGCCTACAACCAGCCAGACTCCCATGGCCTCTTGTACAACTTGTACGCAGACAAGCTGTTGAGCTTGAACCTGGTACCACAATCAGTATACGATATGCAGTCTGCCTTCTACCCGACCGTCGCTGGTACCTACGGTGTCCCACTAGACACTCGTTGGAACTGGACTAAGCTGGACTGGGAGCTGTGGTGCGCCTCCATCGCCTCAACTGACACTCGTGACGACTTCCACTCGCGCATTGTCAAGTGGATCAACGAGACCCCAAGCAACGCCCCTCTGACAGATCTGTATGAGGTTGAGGGTGGTGATTTCGCCGATGAGACAAACTCGGGTGGCGACCATCGCAGCTTTACCTTTGCGTATCGTCCTGTCGTGGGTGGTGTTTTTGCTCTCTTGGCCCTTCCCTAATCTTTCACTATTTTCTTAACTCAAATTCTTCATCCATGTCTTTACTAGATACAGATTTAGTCTTCAAATAGACAATATAGACACTAAATTGCAATGCTGTCTGATCAGGTTTTACGAACCGATTAATGGTGAACACATTTTGCAGTACTCAACGATAAATATGACCGTGTAGCATTTGATTCTTGTCGATAATTATTCCAGTCAAGTAGTATTTTCATTTGTTTTTGCATATGATATTTTGGAGTGTTTGGTGTTTTTATGACCATTCTCCAATGATGTCAACGGTGAAATCTGGAAAGCTGGTCTGGCTGGAGAAAGTGGCGTGACGTAAACCGATCAGCGTGACTGCATCTTTCCATAGGCGCTTGTCAACACCCTTCTATGAATATACATCCTATCAATTCCTTTGTTTTCAATTTTAACTATTTGCATTTAATAAGTTTTCTGGAAACAAGAAAGAAAAAGGCTAAACATGGCCCCAGTCCCTCAATCAATCCTGCGCGCCCTTTCACTCTCCATCGACCCTTCAAAATCTAACCTCTCAACATCCGGTCTCGGAGGTTTCTCAACTACAGGCCGTATTTCTGCACATGTACCATCATCAGGTAGTACTAATAAAGATGGCGAGAAGGAAGAAGAACGGCAATTTTTCGTCAAGACATCCCCCAACGGCGAAGAAATGTTTCAAGGCGAATATGCCTCTCTGAATGCGATCGCCGATAGCGTCCCTGGATTTTGCCCTAGAGCGCTAGCATGGGGTCCATTAGATGAAAAGAAGGGGTTTTTCCTTGTGACTGAGTTTCTAGATCTGGGTGGTGGCCGTAGTAGTAGCGGTCGATCTGGAACAAAATCATCTCTGGCGCAAAGATTAGGTAGATTACATAGTACGCCTGCACCTCCGCCACCAGATACTGATAAACCGATGTTTGGGTTCCCGGTGCCCACGTACTGCGGAGATTCAAGACAGTCGAATAACTTCCATCAGTCATGGGCGAACTTTTATGCGAATGAGCGACTGCTCATGATCCTGAGGGAATCCGAGAGACGAAATGGTCTGGACAAGAGTCTTCGAGATCTTGTCGAAAGGACGACATCGGCGGTTGTGCCAAGACTCTTGGGGGATAAGCATTTGGGGTACGACAAGAATGGCAAGGGCCAAGGGATCATTCCTGTCGTCGTCCATGGGGATCTATGGAGTGGTAATGCAAGTAAAGGACGGATTATAGGATCGGGAGGCAAGTATGATGAAAAGAATGGTGGCGGGGATGTGGTTTACGATCCATCGGCATGCTATGCACATAATGAATATGAGTTAGGAATTATGCATATGTTTGGTGGATTTGGGCGTGATTTCTTTGATGAGTACCATAAAATCGTTCCAAAGACGGAGCCGGTGGAGGAATATGATGATCGAGTCAGGCTTTATGAGCTGTAAGTTGGCTTTTGTGTAAATGGATACGGCATTTCAACTAATGAGAAAGGTACCATCATCTGAATCACCATGCTATCTTTGGGGGAGGATATAAATCTGGCGCTGTCTCTATTATGACAAGATTGATTAACAAGTATGGGAAAGAGTAGATAGGGAGGTAGTTCATGACCATTTCATTATTGGGTCCATTTTCGCATTTGTGTCAAAATATATGAGGACAACGAAAGTTTATAGTCAAACAACACTGGTTCATGTTCAAAGTCATAATTAACACAGAAACCACTAAGCCAGCTCAAGGTACGCCCCGTCCAGCTCGAGTCGCCTTAGCCAGTTCACTCTGTGCAACGTTATCCACATATCGTTTATAAATCGGCAGATAATGCTGTTTCTCACTAGTCGTCTGCTGAACACTCTTCCGCGATTCCACGGCTTTCAGCCACTTTCTCCAACGCTGCCAGACCAGCTCATCGACACCCCCAGACCCTTCGGCAGGCAGCCCCAATCCCCCTTTATATTCTTCAAACACCCATAGCCGAACAGCCCACGGTGCTAATACAAGATCTGGTAGAGAAAGATCTTTCCCCAAAAAGTAAGGTCCTTCTGGATCTGCTTCTTTAATCCATGTCTTCAAATGGTCACGAAACTCGGCGCGAAGCTTATCGAGTCCTGTGACGGCGTCCCCCTTCGAGTCATTTGGACCCGGCTGGTACTGGAGGAAGCGATGAAAGGCGGGAATCACACGCGACGTGACATAGTCGATCCAAATCCGGGCGCGAGCCTTTTCGTAGGGGTCCTTGGGTAAGAAGTGCGGCTTGTTGTCGGGGAAGGCTTCTTCAAGGTATTCGAGGACAATGTTGGATTCATATAGTGGCTTAGGACTAGATGAGTCCTTTGGGTCGGGAACCTGCAGAGTAGGCACCAGTCCTCGCGGATTGAGCTTGAGAAGAGAATCTGGTTTATCGTAGGGGTTAACCTCGATATATTGATATGGAATCTGCTTTTCCTCGAGGGCTAGCCAGACGCGTTGGACTGTTGACTGTATTAGTTTTCTTGAGCGACCACATGAGCATGATTAATCATTTGACTTTGTGATAGCATACCGAAACTGTGTTATCTAAGTAAGTCAATGGCCAGGATGAGAGAAAAGGGGACACTCACGGGCAAAACCATCCTGCGTAGAGCTTCACTGACTGCTCAGTCTGGTGCTGGTCAACTAGATCCTTAGCTGGTCCAGTCGCCGTGGGATACAAATCGGCATCTGGGTGAGCGGGCATCTTGGAAATGGCGGCTTGGTTGCTTTCCTATTCTGCGGATTGATTTCTCCAATAAGGTCAAGACTCATCTAGCATGTAAACGGTAGATGTCAAATTGTATATGAAAGCCAAAATATTCAAAACCTTGATATGTATTCATGTATATTTATTACAAATCATTAGCGAGAGTACTCCATTAGTAATATATTCATGTCAACTCTTGACGTGATTGGCTCACTAGCAGGCATTGGCTGATGATGTCGTGATGATGATCGGGTGCATTGTATGCACCTGGATGTCGCCATATATCGCGTGAACCACTGGTGAAATGCATAATTGATGAACTTGGCAGCTTGCATCTTCCTTTTCTTATCATCAAGAGCCAGTGTGGATCGGACAGTAGGAGTCATGTATATGAATGTCGTTTCGACGAGGACAAACTTCACAGCCATCCATAGAACATCAAAAGAAATAACAGGAGGACATAAATACGATCATCATGATAATGGTAACTTAACTCATGAAAAAGGGAAATTGATGCCTCAAGCAGATGGCGCAAACCAATGTATGATCACGTGACCTTCCGATTTGTTTCGCCGGCGTCTCGCCTCCAATCAACAGCGATCAAGAAACAGCAAAATCTCAATTGCACACAGGCTGACAATGGTGGGAAACCCACAGCGACCTAGACGGGGTCATCATAATGGCCCTCCAGCCCGCAATGGTCCTCCACAGCGATATGAACAGGACTCCAAAGTCTTCGAGCCTCCCAAAGGACCCCGGGCGATGCGGCCGATTCTGCCACATCCATCCTTCATTCAGGTTGCCAAGCCTTATGTCTTCGAACATACAATTCAGGACTGCCTGACTGCGCTGGTTATTGACCCCCAAAGAGAAGACAACAATCGAGTTTTGGGTGTGGGCTGGATTGACAATGTCCGCAAATCTCTTCGCCTGTAGGTCATGCTTTGCATTCAACCGGAAATCATCGTTATCAAGTACCGATATCTGATTATCTATACCAGGCCCGTTCGTACATACAACACTGCTTGTGTGTACTATCACAAATTCAGACTGGTTCATCCAGATAGCCAGTACAACTACATGGTAGGCTGTTTGCGGTTCTGTAATTATCCGTGGCTGACTGGTTTTGTGAAGGATGCCGCCGCAGCAGCCTTGTTCACAGCATGCAAAATCGAGGACACTCTCAAGAAATCCCGAGACATTGTGTGTGCTGCGTACAATTTGAAGCTGTCGCCGTCGGAGCAGGTATCACCTGATGACGCAGTAAGCAGCTATCTTTTCTTTATGTTTTTCCGTCCGAAATCGATTTTGACCGGTATATTCTAGATATTCGACCAGCAATACAGAGGTATCATTATCTTGGAAAGACTAATGCTGGAAGCCTCCGGGTTTGATTTCAGAAACCGACATCCCCAAAAATTGCTTGTCAAATTGGCAAAGCAGCACGGGATCAAGAATGAAGACGAGGTTGGAGTTGTCGCGTACTCCATCTCTCTGGATCTTTACCGAACATTTGCGCCGTTGAAACAGACGACGGGTGCGATGGCTTTTGCTTGTCTTGAGCTGGCCTCTCGTCTCATCGATGCTGGCTTGGTGGACATCGAGACTGGCAGAGACTATGATAAATTTAAAATCGACCGCGCAGAGGTCATGGGTAAGCAGCTTCATTTCTGGATTATTAGGAGTGTGAACTTACAGGTAGAAACAGAGACATTGCTTGACCTACTCGATTTATATATCCAAAATCGTCCCAACACTGTCGTCGGGCCGGAATTTCCTGTGGAGGCCTTTCTGACTATTCGCATCCCACTCAACAAGGAAGCAGAGGATAGGAATCTACCGCGATTCACCAATTGGAAGAGCAGCAGTAAAGATTCCGATCCCGACCAGAACACAGTCAACGGAAATGGTAAACATGGCAAATATCCTGGGCCCAGCAACAAAGGTAACAGGGGTAAAGAAGCAGACTCTAATATAGCCAACCCACAAAACCCACTCACCCCGACTTCTGCAAATGGCGAAAGACCCGGGCTTAGTGATCGTGGCCGGGATGGCACTGTTCGTTTTATGTTAGACCCTGAGCGTGCCGATGCCGAGAAAAAGGTGGTCTCGTCCTATTTCAATGACCAAATACACGAGGTCGCTGAAGGCTGAGAGTGTCATATAATTGATATATCCACTTCTCTTTTTTTTTTTGTCCTTTTTTGTCTCCGTGGATGGGACTAAGCTTAGATGATTTGTGAGATACCCTCTTGTTGTATAATGGCGTTGACCAGATAGAAACTCTTCTACGGCCGCGGAATGATTATCAATTTTCCTGTTTTCAAACCTTTCTTTCTGAATCTTTTTCTGGCCGGGTTAAAAAACCAACATACATGTAAGCGTAAGCGGCACATCTAGGAACGTACGGTCATACAGACACACGGCCACATCATAATTGATGAAATTTAATTCCCAAATCTTCCATTGCGTCGGAAGGGCAAGATGAATGATATCAATATTAACATATATCATTAATCGGTATTCAAAAACGCAACATAAACACTAAGAGCTCCCTGTTGTCATGTCATAAAACACAAACCCGATTCCCCCTCCCAAAAACAACAAAAAAATCCATATACCCCCACACCAAAGAAACCGTGGTTACAACTCGATCAAGCGCTGGGTGTTATTCTCGTGCAGAAATTTTGAATCCTTAAATGAATATTAAAAACATGAAAAGAAAGAACAATATGATTTGGTAGCAGCATTAAAATGTAAAAATTTGGAAATCGTTACGTAGGTTTTTGAGGAACCAAACACACATGTGAATCATGTCCTTTGCCCGACAAGACCTTCCAGATGTGTCTATATAGATGATGACTCCGGTGAGTGTTGAATGAGAAACGCCAGTGATGCACTTTGACTAGGAACTTTTGCTTCTCTGTCCCGGAATTGGTGAGAGATCGACGAGTTTTCGTTGAGACTATGCAGCTCCACGATAGTCGATTGCAAGAGCGGTGGCTGGGGAGTAGTTGAATAGCGCGGAGTTGTAGGAATCGTGAGCTTGAGGGTGGTATCGTTCAGCAATGTTGTAGTTGATGGTAATTTGGACACATAATATGAGTCACATGTCGATACATAGAGAAAAATAAAAGAATATTTTTAGGCACGAAAAAAAAAGAGACGCATTCTCATGAATCATCTATCGTTTCAAGAGCTCGCCATTCAGACATTCGAGAACCTGCAACTTAAATTAGAATCGGACTTGAAACATAGAATGAAAGGGCAACTTACACTTGCCGAGACTTTCCCTTGGTTGTACAGATACTTGCCGAGACCACGGACAACCTCGAGCTGTTCTTCTACAGTCAACCCATTGATTGCGGTCTCGATGACATCGCCAACGCTGGCCGTATACACAGCGATGAAGCTATGATAATACATGAATGCGAAGAATCCCATAATGAATTGACAGTCCATGCGATCAGTGATACCACCGTGTCCTGGGATGGACTCTCCAAAGTCCTTGACCTTGAAGGTACGTTTCAAGCCAGATGCAAAGAATCCGCCAAAGGGTGCGATCAAAGATGCAAAAGACGCGAAGACGAGAATGTGAAATTGCATCGGTGCAACATAGATGGATTTTGGTAGAAGAGGCCAGTTAGGGAGATAGTAGTTTTTGGGGATAAACACCGGGTTAGGTGTGCATTCCAACCCCGTCAAAACGCTAGAGCCGAGGTCGGTCACGGGGCAAGTGAAATATTTGTACCGCATCAGGATGTTCGTCATAAAATAGCCGAAGATAATGGTGCAAATCCATGCACCAATGAAGCCCTCGACTGTCTTCTTTGGGGAAAGCTTAATCAGCTGTGTCCGTCCAAACGTAATGCCGCAAACGTATGCAAAGATGTCATTTGTGATGACCAGAGAAGCCGGTAAGAAGAACCAAATCATGCCCTCGAAGATATTGTTCATAATGAAATGCGCCTGTACGACGATGAGGTAAAGTGCCATATGAGTCCATGCGAATTGGGTGAATTGAAAGCGGTAGTGTCCTTTTTGCAGAGTAGCCACGAAAAATACAAAGCCTGGCATATATATGTTTTAGCTATCAATCCAAGAATCCTGCGTTGTTTAGTCTGTCACTTACCCATGACATACAGCATGAAGCTAAGGAATCGATGATGAGTTGCGAATGGCAGAAGCACTTTGTCTACCAATAAGATATGCTTGAAATAGTAGATCACGCTCTCTCCGTATAAGAAGTACATCGTAGTTGCCAGGAAATACCAGTTAAGAGACTTGGTGAAGCGCAGATTTCTATCTCGGCTGGGGACGTTTGCGATGGCGATGACCTCCTTGAAAGAGATGATTTGAACAGCGGTCACAATAGCAACGAGGTATATGTGACCGGAGAACATGGCGCTGAAAAACCCTGCAATCATGACAAATGTCCATATTGTTCGAGTGATGAAGGTTTGTTTCTTCTTTTCGTAGTCCGAGAGAGCCGGGGCATCCGATTTCTACTTTGCATTTAGTATGTACGAGTGTGTTGCCTAGAGGTGCTACAGCTTACCTCCTCCTGAATCACGTCTCCTTGCAAATGGTTTGCGGCTTGAGTTGGACTCCCGGGATCAGACTGGCCATCGCTCATTTCTGAGATACTTGGCCGTCGTGCCAGGTCGCCGTTTGACCGGTGCGGAAATCTGACATTCCTTCGACCCATTGTGAAGGATGTAAAAAAAGCTGGCCCTGCAACCGCGGCAAAAATGGCTTTTCTTCTGAATTGTAAGACGGGGAAACCTTGAGATAGCGAGCGCTGACTGTGGGTGAGAAAAGAAGGGGGGATGGGGATATTTGGTATAAGGAGATTGTGGTATTGGTAGTATGAATGAGTAGCGGAGACTCGAGAGCGAACAAATGCTGCTGGTGAACCCGACGTCAGACGCACATGAACGGCCGGGCTTGGCGAGCTCGGCAGTGCTGCCCTGCGGGGAGAAACATTATTATTGTTATGAATATTCCTCCGCGCTTCGGACGAACGCCACAGCAACAACAGCTAAACGATGCAATCCAATTTCCGCCGCAGCTAGCCATTGCCAATACCTGCTGATTCCTATTTATCCCTTCGATCTCGGGAGGTTTTGCCCCATGGCAGCAGGCAATTCGTGGCATGGACAGTAGTGACGGTGGTTTCTCTGACGATGGCCTCGATTCTCTCCCCGCAGGGACTCTGTTTCAGCTGGAGCAAAGTGCCTGGCAGGCTACCCAAGCACCTCAGAGCCAGCCGAGAGAATCTGTTCCTACCAATTTCCTGCAACAGCCCGTGAATGCCTCCAACGGGCCATCGCTTTTAAAGCCTCTGTCTTCGCTGCGGCAAGGATCGAGCTTATACGAAAATATCGATATCGGTGATTTAGATGCAAATATACTGGAAGACAATGAGCCCGTGGAAGGTGTGGCAAACTTGAACCCTGAGATTAGTTATGTCGCGCGACCTGCAACAAATCGAGGTCTCGACCATGACACCAGAGTCGAGGCACAACGTTACGGTCAATCTACCACGGTGTCGAATATGTTCACCACGGAGCAGCAACTAAGGGCAAAGATTGAGGAGGTGAGGCTCACTAGTGTCTTTCTATGGTCAGCTTTGCTGAATTTACGAACAGATTACACGAAATCACGATACAACAGTGCAAGAAATTACTTCGGTAAAGGAAGATGCAACCAAGAAATCTGGCGAAGTCGCGATCTTGAGAGCAAAACTTGCCAAACAAGAACTGGAATACGAGAGAACTGTTTCTGCACTCAGAGCTCAACTAGCAGAGCAGACCGCAAAAAATCAAGGGGTACAGCAAGCTGCAATCGATGACAAGCAAAGGCTGGAGACAGAAAACCTGTTCTTGAGAGATGAACTGCGGGGAGAAGCCTTGAGAGTTAACAGTCTGCGAGGAAGAAAACAAGCCGATGAGAAGTCCGCACCTTTGACCCCTCGAAAGCAGCGAACTCTACCCTTTCGAGATGGGTTCGATGATGATGAAGTCGGGGTGGCATCGCCGACTAAATCATCCGGTGGGCGATCAAAAAGAGGGACACCAAGCGGCCATGGAAAACGCAAAAGGAAAGCTAGCGATGCGCCAATACCGATGGCTTCTCTTCAACTGAGTCCGGCGCATGACGTACCCCTGGAATCGCATAGATCAACGTTAAGCAGTAATGAGACCATAAGCAAAGTTGACTTCGTGGGAAAAGACGATGGCTCGAACATACGCTATATGACGCGGATCTTAAATCACAAAACACCCCCCAACACAGAATGCGACCTAGAAGTAATGGCCCGATTAGCTTTTCCCTCCAACCCAGAACAAAAACTATCCTCCATTGTGCTAGAAAATATGCGGACAAATCCGTCCAACTACGCAGTGAACTACGCCCTTTCTCTAATTGTCCTCTGGAAGCGTGCTCTGAGCGAGAAGTTCTACGAACCAGTGCCATTGTTTGTGTCGTCCATTGAATTCATTTTATTACTGGACCTATATTCGATTGGTCCCCAGCTCGTCAGCGACCTTACTCCAGCACTTCAAAATTCGGTATTGGTCAATGCTGTTCCTCGATTTGAACATTCACCTGTGTCATCGAAAACAAAGGGGGAAAGCAGAAGAACACCACGTGATTTACTTGAAACCAAGGTGGATTCCACGAAGGCTTTGGAGATAATGTACCTGCTAGCTCTAGCGTGTCGGCAGAATGATGAGTCGTTCGAAGAACTCTGGGGCAATGCACATTTCGACATATTGCTTATGTCGTTGAACGCACACCAACCTTTGCAGGACATTGTTCTCATTTTAAGAATACTATCGACAAGCCTTCGTCCAGGTGCGTTTGGCACTATCCAGCCTTCGGAAGCAGAACAAAGACAAATTGAACAACACTTTATCGAGCGAGTAACATCATTACTCACCGAGCGCATTAACCCAGACGAAGGGGCAAAAGACTATCTTTCCTCGGAGATCTGTCAGATGCATCTAGAATTAATATCATTTTTGGAGACCCTAACCTTCTATAACCCGGACATTGAGCTGGGTCCTGGGCGCAACGTGATTCTCTCTCATGAATTGGTGCTTCCGCGGCTTTTTCGAAGAATGTACGAGGATATGGACTATTTATACACATTACGACCTGAACACGATCTACGAACGGCACTTGTCAACAGGACGATGCATTTGATCTACGAACTCATTCGAAAAGGTGGAGGGCAAAATTTACAACGAGGATTATCACGCCTTAGTGGTGCGAGGCAGAAACATCGACTTGTTCTGTCGCGGTTAGCGTTCAGTGAGGGCCAGTTCTTGGAGTCTGGTATATCGGAAGAAACAATGGAAATGGCTCGTCAGTTGCTCGAGGAGGAAGATATGAGCCCAGAGGAGGCTGAGGCACTGTTCGAAGCGTTCCCTCACACGCAAAGAGGGATCACTGATTGAGTGAATTGCAGGACACAAACACCACCATCTAGACGCTAAAGCTGTAACAACAAAAATGTAGAATATCCACTTTCTTAATAGGAAAAGTAGGGGATGAAGTAAATGAGACAGCAATATTGCATGTTATGAGAACCAAGTATATGAATGAAATTATTTAAATAGTTGAAGGTCAAGACAATCCTGCCTTCTGGAAACAAAGTCAGTGTCAAAACTACGCTAAATTCCCTTCTCCAAACCCTCGCGCATGGCGAGGAGGTTGATGAAAAGAACCACAACAGTGGAGGTGCCAAAGAATGCGCCTGCCAAAGACCCGTAGGCCGTTGGACAAACCGGTCCTCCGCGCTGTGCAATGCAGGGACCAATCTGTGGTGAACCGCCTTCATGATCGCAGTCACCCAAACAAGGTAAGTATGAAGAAAAGAAAGAAGAAAAAAGAGTAAAAAAAAGGGAGGCAGTGGCTGTATTTATGTGTTTTCAATCTGCGCTAGTCTCTTAGCGCCAGGCCAGTTTACATTGTTTGCATTGTTTGCATGGCTTGCCTGCAGTTGCAAACAAGCCAACATCCAGTGGCGCACGTGACATGCCAGGAGTCTATTATTTTCGCAGATTTGGAAGGTCCGCGGAACAAGGCAAGAGAGCGCCATTCGCCAATTGCTGCTGCCACCATGAGAAACAGGGCTACAACGCCTTTGAGCAAGGCTGTAAGTACAGAGCAGGCTCCCTCGCATGATCTTGATCCCCCCTCCCCCAAAAATATTGCCGTTACTAAGTTCCGCTTCATAGAAAATCCGACAATCATGGAGCAAGTACAACTTGTATAACCTGTCCCGATTTCGCGCGCCACCCACTGCAAACAAAACATTTTTCCAGCAAAAATGGGCCGCCAAGTCGATAGCTCGCGCATATCATGGTGAGCAAGTACGGGAGAGTCAATGGACTCGCATGTTCTCTCGCCGTCTCCGCAGCGTGGTCCCGATTGATCCCCGTACACTCGCAGAAGACGATGGATCTCAAATTTCTGCCGGCCGTGGCTCTGGTGTTGAGCCTAAATCTGGCACGCCTGTCGCTATTCCTGAACGGACGCCATTCACCCAGATGACATTTGCGCCGCTGGAGCGCCGGTTAGATGTTGCTATCTTCAGGGCTATGCTTGCAAGCAGTACCAGACAGGCCCGGCAATTTGTTGTACATGGTGCGGTGACCGTAAACGGAAAAAAGGTACGTATAAGGCTCTTCAGCCTACATGGAATTATCATTAATTGATTTGATTATCTAGATGCGACTTCCGGGTTATCTTCTGAACCCTGGTGACCTCTTCCAAGTCGAACCTGAACGTGTCATGTACGCCACTGGAGCACCAAAGAACAAGGCTGAGCGTCGAGAAGGACGTATTGCCAAGAAAGATGCAGCTCAAACCGAGCAGACCGAGAGCGAAGAGCCAGAAAAGGCCGAGGAGCCAGAAAAGACCGAAGAGCCAGAAGCAAAATCAGATGAGACGAAGGAAGCGGAAGCCAAGGAAGCACCCAAAGATACCCTTAAGCAACTTCTCACCAATGCGAAAACAATCATGTCTCGAGAGAAAAGTGTTCTTCCTGCAAAGAAGAAACAGGAGCTGCGCGCATTCCAGAGATCTGTCCGCAGTGTGCTTTCTAAATCTGCTACCAGCACCATCCTGACCGACAGTCTAGAATCTCAATTTCGAGAACTTCTCATCCAGCTAAAAGGAAAGACGGCCGACTCTACAGTCAAGAGCCGACCAAAGCAGCCCACCGAAACGCAGGCTTCCGATCCCTCAGAAAAGGAATCTCCACAGACGGAAGACAGCAGTGTTGTGAGTGCGGAATTGAAAGAGGCCTTTGATAAAGCCACAGAGGATCCCGAATCCGTCGACGTTTCAGAACTTACTGTAGACGAGATCAAGATTCTCAGGCAAGCTCTAGCACAAATGCGGGATAACCCGATTGATAGTAGCAAGCCTTACGCTACACCCTGGCGGCCTCGTGACTATATGAGCGCCTTTGCCTTCATTCCTCGCTACCTCGAGGTAAACCACAAGATCTGTGCTGCCGTCTACTTGCGCCATCCAGTTGCGCGACCAGGCTATTCAGAAGTTCCTAGCCCGTTTGGGGACAGTGTGCAAACCCCAGCTTTTGCGTGGTATCTGCGCAGAAGGTGAAAGGCTTTTGGCGCCATCATCACTTTTATCTCTTTTTTAAGCCATTCTTGACTTCACCTATGTATTATTGGGCCTTTTTCCCCCTTTCCCTCTCTGCTCGTGCATGGATTTTCGTCTGAGATATCTGCATATTGCTGAGCGCTTTCAAGTCTTGTCGCCTTTCCGGAGTTTGGATCATAATTTACGAGGCTCAACTACAGTGTATAAAAATGGACAAGGTTAATGTAAATGACATGCAGAGTTAGAAATCGAGCTTGAATCACAGCGTGGCCGAAGAGGAGAGTCATACCAGAGCAGAGAGCAGCACTTGTATTGCTGTAATTTTGCGTAGTTTCCACCGTTCCGCCAAGGCTAGTCAAATTTGCAGGGGCGGCCAGAGCCTGCCATAGGCCACAAGTATCCAATTATCGGCGGTTTCGGCGGGTTTCGGTAGATAGTGGACCCACTCTTCCGTAGTCTCGTAAATTTCACAATTTTGCCGCGAATTTTTCATTCCTGCGCATCTTTTGCATCTTTCCTACTTCGCAAATTACAGGGAAACGACGCTCTGAACAATAGAAAATATACCGCAAATTGAGAAGATCAGAAACGCAGAAAAGAAGTCAAGTATATCTGATATTAGGAAATTGAAAAGAAAAAGAAAAAGCAAAATTACAAGCGGAGCTGGAAAGTATGTTTCCGTGGCAAGGGGAAGGAAAGTCAAGTGTCATGAGCTCGAATTCTACGTCTGCTTCTCAACAGCAGCAGCAGAAAAGTAAAGGAGCTCATCTACGGTGGCGGTCAGCGACTTTTTGGCGCAATCAAACAACTGACTCGCAAGACTCCGAGCAGCGGTCATCAAACAAGGCATCAGATAAATCTTCTGCCGAGCCCACTAGAGCCCGTGGTACTTCCAAGCCAGACTCTCCAGGTGAAGAGATAGCTAGCTCGGAAAGTCGGGCTAGTCCTATTGATGTTGACGAGGATGAGGATGAAGATGGCATTTCGGAAGGCGGTGATATCGAGCCATCAGCGCAGGATACACAACATACTGCTACCCATTCAGCCAGTAATACAAAGCCAAATCCGGATTCATCTACATCCACTGGCCCTCCACCTACCGCTCATAGCGTTCCGGCTGCAAATAAAGCCGCGATCCTTCAACGGCTGAGTGAAGGGACGATGCCGCCAAACCGTCACTATGGTAGGCGGCTCAATGCCAAAGAAGAGGTCAAGCTTTTCGAAATATGCAATAGACACTCAAAGTCTTTTGGAGAGCGTAGCAAAATATGTGAATGGTGGAAGACTATCGCTAACGACTTCTGCAACGAGCATGGCGGGCCATATTCATGGCATTCTGTTCGGCGCAAGGTCGAGCTTGTGACGAAGCAGCGCATCCAGACTATCTCTGATCAGGAGGAAGGCAGAGACGATAGGAGAGCAAAGGATGATAGGTTCAGTGAAGAACTATGCAGGGTTCTAGATGAATGGATCCCCGTTTGGAAACGCTTCGAGGAATCAGAAAAGAGGCGCATCGAGGTCCGCGACTATCGGTCGACGGCGAAAAAGAGAAAAGAGCCTCCTACTACCCCACAGGGACATGTCCCCTGGCATGCAAGTGCGCAAAGATGGAGGAACTATACGCCGTCCGATCCCCGATACCCAGCCTCTCCAGCAGCATACCCGCATCCGCAAATGGGGTCTTCACCTGCAACCCCAGTGCAGCCAGGGTTTCACGCATCAGGAGGAGTCAAATTGCCGGAAGGGTACGATACGATGTTCAGGGGTCCTCAACAGCCTACACCGCCATCACAGGCACCGCCAATGCCAATTCCTTATCCTCCGCCTCCGCCTCATTTTTCCACATCACTCGGTCCTCCTCCACCACTTCCTCCCCAACACCCATCTCAACAACACCCTCAGCCTCCAAACGGTCCAGTATTAGCCGGCATTCAAAACGCTGCTGTCAACAACTCGTCGGAGACATCTGTGACAACAGCAGTTCTAGAAACACTCAGCAAGCTGAATAAACACCTAGAACAGGCTGCTTCTTCAGGGACCGATAAATCGAACGCAACGACAACATCACCAATTGTCACCGCTCTCGCAAATGCTGTTGGGGTAACCATTGCCGGGAACAAGACGTCCGAAACCACAGCAACAGAGACAGAAAAATCGCCTGCACCACCCGAAACCGACACATCTCCTTCGCCCAATAACCTGGCCACTGCCTCCAACAGCACGCCATATCCTTCATCTCTAACAGGGTCGGATCTTTCAAAACTCAAGGAAGCACTCAAAGAAGAGATCCGCAAAGAGTTCCAGACTGAACTTCGAAAGCTCAACGAAGCGTTTCAGGAAAGGCTTAGTGCTATGGAGCAAACCCAGGAGATGATCGTTGAAATGTTGCGGCAAGAACCTGGAAGAGAATCATCATGATTGTAAAAACTATATACTATCACTCCCCTTTGCGTTTCTTTCAACTGGTGCGAATAACCTGCATCTTGAGCGGATAGCCACACACCGAGCGCGGGTTTCCTCGTCTACTTTGGCGCTTGCTTGGTTACTATTTTGTAATTATCGATACCCATATTCATTTGCTTATTTTCAATGCCTAGGACATGTTATGAAACTGCAGGTTCAATGCGAAGCGAAATCTAAAAATTATATGAAAATTCTAATCGTGTGGAAGGGTTCATAATCTTCAGAAATTTGTATGAGTGTATGCGTTGGGCTAAATTACACGTATCGGATATTCAAAAGAACAAGATAGACAGAAAAGAGAAGAGGAAAAAAAAAAGGCGGTCGTAGGAGCTTCAGTCTAATAATACGCTCCATCCCGATGAAAGTTTGTTCTTACACGGTTTTGCTTTTTCGCGTCATTCTCCAACTGAATTAACGGAGGAAAAGGAAGAGGTCTAGTAGTAAAAGGTCTCGTCAACGGTGCGGCCTCTCATCCAGGCAGGTTCGCTGCCACGGACGAAGATGTCCTCGTAGAGAATGCGGCTGTTGGGCTCTGGGGCGTCCATCTTTTCGGCCACAGCGACTTCCTCGTCAACGAAAGAACGAGCCTCCTTGTCAATGGCCTTGAGCTCCTCCTCGGAAACGACGGACCAGTCAAGAAGTTTCTGCTTGAGACCGGCAATAGCGTCATGAGTGCTGCGCATGCGCTGGATTTCCTCACGGCTACGGTATGTGGTACCCGGGTCGGACATGGAGTGGCCACCATATCGGTAGGTGACATATTCATAAACGAGAGGACCCTTGCCGGAAGTAGCGTATTCACGGCCGTACTGGACAGCAGCCTTGATGGCCAGGACGTCCATACCGTTGACCTTAATACCGGGGATGTACTGTCCACGCTTGTAGTAATCGGTGAGAGCAGAGGAACGGGCAGCAGAGGTACCCATACCGTACTTGTTGTCTAAGTAATGTTAGATTAATCTCTTCTTTAACCGGTCGAACAGTTGCTTACTCTCGCAGCCGAAAAGGACTGGCAAGTTCCAAAGCTTGGCCATGTTGTAGGCTTCGAAAACCTGACCCTGGTTGGAGGCGCCATCACCGTAGAGGGCGATAGAGCATGTCTTCTCCCCCGTGTACTGCTGAGCGAATGCAAGACCAGCACCGACAGGAACTTGGGCACCAACAATACCGTTTCCACCGTAGAAGTTAGGAGCAAACATATGCATGGAACCTCCCTTGCCGTAAGCGATACCTTCACGGCGACCCAAGAGCTCTCCAATGATAGACTTAACGGTACCACCACGCATCAATGCGAAACCGTGGCAACGGTACGCCGTAATGAGCTTATCCTGAGGGGTAATGGCGTGTTCGATACCGACAGCAACGGCTTCTTGGCCAGTCGACAAGTGGCAGAAACCGCGGATCTTCTTCTCTTTGTACAAACGGTCGGCGGCCATCTCCATCCGTCTATTGATGCACAGTGTAAGTAAGTCAATTCGAGACCAGATTGAACAGTTGGTTCGCACCTAATCGCAACCATATCATAGTACATCTGCTTCAGCTCCTTCTTGGTCGTCTGCAGGGTGTATGGGGGTGGGTCGAGCTCGTATGTCTCGAAACTCTCATCGGAGAGTCTGACTGTGAATGGCTTGTCATCCTCCTATAGATGGCGAAAGGAAAAAAGCATGTTGTATCAGTAAATGTGGTTCCGGCATTCAAGACAGGCTTGTCGGAGCCCGGAAAAATCCTAGCTCACCTGGGGAATATTTTCAGCATGCGCTGAGGCAGCGTCAGTGGTGACTGAACGGCGAGCAGCGAAGGGAGTGACAGCCTGACGCCTGAGCGACGCGGCATTGCGCGCCCACAAGGATCGTGAAAGCATGGCTGTAGAGAGGGAGCAATTGCGGAGGGGACGAAGATGAGGACGAAGATTGCTCTGTTCAATGTTCAATAATAATACTCAATTGTTGGGGACAATCTTTCGCCGGCACCCGGGACGGAGGTACTTAGCTAAGCTGCGCTAGCTGTTTTCGGGATGGTGGGCTCCCGTTCTAGGATCCGGTGTGCTTAATACTTATCTCTGCCTTTTGCTGCTTTCGATTCTTTTGATTCGTTGATATGAATGTCTATCCCCGTGTGCGGATTACCGCCTCTTCATCTATATTTCTGCCGGGCAATATCATCATTTGAATGCCGACGCTTGTTTCAATTTGCATATCAGGCGGCCTTATACTTTCAAAAAAAAAAAAAAAAAAAACACCAAGAAACATTTAATGTTAGCCTTATCCACGTTTAGTCTGCTGGCTACGAGATAGATTGGCATGTCAATTGATGTGGGCAACAAACGGCGGGGAGTGAAGGAGGATAAGAGAGAATACACATAGTAATTGTTGCAAGGACTTCTTATCATTAATGGATTCTCCTCCTTAATCTCTATAATGTTGATTAGTGTCTCCATATGCATGCTTATATGTAATCAACCCTTCATTGATTAGTAAATTAATCCCTCCATTCATTCATAACTGTTATAAACCTTTACAATACAACCTTATACTTTGTTTAAAATTTACCAGACCGATTTAAATAATTTCGGTGTCAAAATTCTACTATAAATTTGCCTAGTACCTGTGACAAAATGTCAGAGTCTTGTTAGCTTTAGTTGACCAACCGTCCTAGCCGATATAGTTCATCTATTCAAACTTGGGATAAACTATATCAACTGATAGAACTAGCACAAGCTGTGGTTTAAGATAGAATTATCAATTGATGCCGTCTCGACAGATATACAGAAACTGTGGATTGCAAACATAGCAATAACAGACTTATGTATTTTTTTAAAATACATATATCAAACACAGCAAAGTATGGCTAGTGGATCAAATTGAAGAATGAAAAATAAGCTAGCAAAATGCACAAGAAATTAGAGTGCAAAGTATTATACTCATTAAACCAATTAGATGGGGTGTCCACTTAATTCTAGACCTTAGAAGTGAAAATGATGACTTTGAAAATCAGCTCGCTTTAAATATTAGCTATGCGGTTTCGCAATTTGCTAAATTTATTATTGTGGGTTGGTATGAACTAAAGCACTTTTTGTATAGGAAACAGATATTTTCAATCTCTAAGACTCTAAAGACAAGAGAAGCCATAATTTGGTCAAACCATTATAACCTCTATAAAAATGCAAGCCACACTCTAGGACTGAAATGAGATATATTTGAATATGCCTCTCTTTTTCTGGAACGTGATATAAACTGATACCGTGCTGCTATTTGCATGTCTAGCTATTTTAAAAACCTTTGCGGCTCTTACAGCAGTTGATAGGTAAACATTTGAAAGATGAAGATGATACAATCATTCATAGCCTAGAATGAATTCCAATTATTTTAAAAGAAAAGTATACTCTTATATGTACTTATTAATGAAAGTACTTGACTGACAAAGTATCATGCGAGTGCATTAATGGTGTTCAGGAAATAAATCTCAATATCAATGTTATCGGTGAACTAAATACTGTCGCTATACAGCCATAAGACCAAACGAACGCCTTTTCATTAATTTACCAGCTCATATACCTCAGCGACATTTGAATGATAGCGTACTGGTATATAAAAAGTTACAATGAATGATGTCTGTAAACAATAATATCTAATCATATGTATGTACACCAAATTGTGTAGAAATCTCTAGATGTCTCTAAAAACGCCATTATCGATGACCTATGTAATGTCATTAGCGTAATCTTTCAATTCTATACCGTTATCAATTGGTAACCATTTATGGCGTTTCTTTCTCGCAACCCTATCAGCAGCATGAGTTCAGGCGAACACAACCTGTGCAAATGTCGTCATTGGAAAGCATAAAAGCCGCCCTTGCATATAGATAAGAGCTTTAGAGGATACATTATTACAAACACGTGGGCACTGGCATTTGCCACATCACAAATTGGTATCGACCGATGCCCACGCCATGTTCTCGTACCCTATTCCATCCACTAAGACTTGATAATACTCTCATAGCTATACAGTGGCATACCTCTCTGCATGTAGCGCATACATACATAATGCAGGGATGCAGGCTGCAGCAAACCATGTCGATCAGGGTTGCAGGGTAGTATTGGCCAGCCGTGTCGACCTAAAGTAGTAGGTGGAGTTGGTGGTGAACTCAGCCAAGCGACTCGATGGAGTTGATAAGTTTCTCTGATGCATTATTCTTCACTTCTTAGTTCTTATCGAGACTTAGAGATAGACATCGTCGGAGAACGCCGTATGCGTGGGTTGAGTACCCTGTATGCAGGTTGTAGCCGGCAGTGCTGGGTTGTTAGGGTGCAATGTATATTGTATACTACATAGTATTTCAGCCACGGACTAATTAACAGTCTATCCACACTGAAATGGCATAACTATATCCATCGAAGTTAGTGAAAGTTTGTACAGACTTGTGTACCAGACTCGACGTCTTAGGGCTAGTATAGAACCCGCCAATCTACCGAGTACATGTGTGGTAATAAGAAAACCCACCCAGCAGCAAATAATTCCAATAATGATGGTTCCAACCCCACGAGTATGAAAATCACAGCATGACAATCATTACAATTAGTGCCGAATCAGTGAACCCGCAACCTTTTTTGGATGTTAATTCAGATAAAGTAATTTTGCCAAGAATTCTTGATCAAAGGAAAAAGAGATCCACTCTTATTTTTCCCAACTATGACGGAATGCCTCACCTATCTTGTTTTGATTCCTCTTCATGTGTGAATATTTAGCTTCTGCTGAAACAAGCATGATTGCAACGAGAATAATGATGATGAGTGATATCCATGCGATATACATCATCGTGGAGTAGATAGGAAAATCGAAATTGGAAAAGCCCCTCGACGCTAGTCTCGACTATTGAATCCGTGAAGAAAAAGCACGTGTGTTCCTGCATGAAAATTAATTAATCTATACTCCGTATTGGGGCCAAAAACGGTCAAAGCCAAAAAGTCAATATGTGTTCGCACCCAGCAATTCGTTACGGAGGATTACTGATTGACATGGTGGTTAACGTTAGGGGGCAAGTTGTGTACTTAGAACTATACTCGGCCATCTCGTCATGGATGATCATTCTAATGGAGATAAATTAATGAATGCGGGATTTACCGCTTTTCCTTCTTCGGGGCAAGCATGATGATCACTTTATCGAAATGTCCTTATATATGCCCATCTGAGTGATCTCACTACCAAGACAGCGCGCATAGATAGATAGACATATCGATCGTTCTACATGGTCTTCTTTCGTTTATCTCCTCTTTCTTAACAGGGAATGGCCGGTGAGAATCGCTCGTGCACTATTACTTGTAGCATATAATAGTCGATAAGTACATACCGGCTCTTTTCTCTACTGGTGGGCCTTAAAGCGTCATTAATTGGCCGTGTCGTACGAAGTAATTAATTATTGTTATTTCCCAGACACTCAGTCGGTAAGAAAGCACTAGGACAGCGAATTGAGGGGCGGAAAACCGAGATTCCGATCGAGATCAGCCGTGTTAAAAACAACTGTGCCCGTACTAAGCAAACAAATACGGGCCGTATGCAACCTGGCTGGGTCGGATTCGCCGCAGAGAGGGAATCGTAATCGTCAGAGGGTTGCGGTTGTAACATGCTTGTCGTGATGATGTTATGTTCCAGCTGAAGATTATTCTTGTGGCTGAGCCTACAGCCCTGAAGAATAGTAACAAATTATGCTTAGCAGTAACAACAATATTTTAGGCCATCCCAAAGTGGTTAATCATGTTGGTGAGCCTAATCGGTCGCCTGACTTGATGAGTTGACATCTAAGAGCGCCAAAATCAAACACCGAAAACGTGGCCGACAGACTTCACAAAGCAGTCTTCGTAATTGCGATCGTTCATACCGTAAAGTAGACATTGACACAATCACTTGCATCTGGTTTAGCCGGGTTGCGAATCCTTTGATCGTCGCCTCCTTGCTTGGATGGAGGTGGGGGCTAGAACTTTGGTGTACATTGTCTGTCCGACATGTGAGAGCGGAGAATACGTATAGTTGTAGGCTTCTTGACGGGTTGGATAATGTACTTAAACTTGTCGATCAATGCGAACACCATGATTATCTAGCATACCACCATGGCACGACTCCTCGAGGATTTCTTAGTGTAGAATCCTTCCTCGTTATCCCATATTCAACTTTTCAAATAGCGGTAGGGCCAAAAAAGAAACATCCAATTGTATGCTGTACTTCTCCCATGACTTCTGTCATGTATTCGTCTATCGATTCGTTTCGATACAGTCATATTTGAAAGTCGGCAGTTCTGGATGCTCAGACCGATATCTGGCCCCCTGCGTGGCGGATGCTCCCGCTGGATCAATTGTTGGGATGGCCATGGCTTCACAGTTTGTTCCGACGTCAATACATGTAATTAACACTCGGTATGGTGCCGATGATGAGGGTTTGAAGCCAGACGTCATCTATGAAGGAGGTTTCGAGATAGTCGCCGCTTCATACCCGAGATGATAACTCAGATTGAAAGATGTGCTTTTAAGCGCCCCTAAGCAAAATGTATATGCGAGCGTCAGATGTTGGTATTATGCTGTGCAACGGTACTAAGCTGTACTTTAAGATGCATGTCGATATAGGCGAACAAGCGGATGGGGTCCGAATGACGATATATACGATCAGGCCTCTCATAGACTCATCTATGTTATCAAATGAGGCTGCAGAGTGTAGACTGGTTACACCTGCATATTACTGCAGGTCTCGTCATGACAAAACACGGCGACTCGCAGACTTGCATGTAGGTTGAAAAAGGAATTGTAGGTGGGGGCCAGTGTAGCCATATGGCTGGCAGATGACAAGATTAATTATGATTGGCCACATGTCCTGTTCTCATAATCGAGTCAAGAAGATTATTCTACGATGTATAGTAGACGCGATGATCCGTGTCAATTGACAGCGAACTTGGAATTTGGTAGAACTGTTAATTTGTTCATTTTTTGATAAATTGATCTGATACATGACTAAGAAGCTGGAGGGCTGCCACGAGTCATGAACCCTATACCAAAGCCTAAACTCCGTATTTCATTCGGACTCTACATGGAAAACCGTTGAGAGAGGCGCACGGAGAGGATTAGGCTGGTCCCTAAAATGGACCTTGATGGGTATCGGGCCTCTGGAGAAGCTCCTTAGGACCTTAGTAGACTCTTAAGTCTAGGGTTGAATTGGGCTCTTAGCGAGCTGTCAGCGCGGGATCGTCGTGCTGATCATGACCACTGTGGGCTGCTCAATGGAACTACAGTATGTTTTCAAGTTCAAGGACAAGCGGGGTATGTAATCTGGCTATTGTTAATGTTGACATGTACGGAATATTAATATTAAGACCTACTCCAAACGATGGTTGCCCCTGCGCACAGACAACAATCAGGGATCTCCGTACTTCCATAATCTAGACCGCACTTGCAGGGGAAACAGTATTAATTGCTATGGCGTATAATACGCTGAATAAGTCTGCGGAGTAGACCCGGCATTGTGATCTCCATGAGCCGTCAGATATCGAGTTAACGGTAGGGCTCCATCTGAAGACTAGTTTTTGAGAGCCGTTGTTAGTCTGTTCCAGATCTTCAGACCAATAAATCAGTCTCGAGCCGTCAGTTGTGTACGGAGAATTGCGATATGAAAAAGTCGTGTAGTTAGAAACCAATGGCATAATAGTACCCCGTACGAAAGCATGAATGACCACTAACAACCAACGTTCGTTCACTAAGAATGTTGGTAGCCAACGGCGCTACGGTTCGGACGAGGCCCATGGTACTGGGGACAACCAAGTTCGGTAACCTGGACGACTAAGCCTTGGATATATTATATCGGCCCATGCTTTCACAGGAGGTGGAGCCGGATGGCTTCAATCCGTACCGTGGATGGATGAGCAATTGGCTTTGACCAAACATCCTTGCCAAAATGTCTGGCCTGGAACGCGACGCGCAACAGTATCGTCGATGACAATTAGGACTCGTCAGTTACTGCCTCGGAACATAGCTAGCAATAGCCAACAGCCAACACGCCCACGGGCAATTTTTTCAACGGCGCTGGGATCGCAGCCGGGCCTAGGCTTCAGGTAGGCTCCATCAAACCCCTGCCCTGCAGCACCTGCAGATAAGTCACAACTCGCTGGTTCAGTTAGCCACCACACTGCTGTGAACAATAGTACTTCGTAATAATGTCTTAAACTGTGAAAGTAAATATCCGTGCAGGAAAAGGGAGAAACCGCAGAAGGCAACCCGTAGCTAGCGCGCAACTAGCGGGCCGCTAGTTGCAGCCGGCGCCTGAGGCTGCCTTCTTCTGGTTCGTATTTTATCCCTCTAGCATTACTAAACAGTAATTCTCCTAGCTCTGCAAGTTTGAGGAGTCGAGGACTGACTAGCGAATAACCTACCATGGAAGCTTATTGCATCGCCTCCCATCAATCAGGGGACAAAAGTCAGGAGTGCTGCCACATCCTGAACTCTGGAGACTCGAAGGCGCCTTACTATGGATAACTATGGATAACCATGGAATACAGACGGGAAGGCATTGGATCCGAGCCAGAGGTAGAACCCACCTCTGCCTCCTGAGTCCTGAGCTTGTTGCCGCGTGGTGGCGGTGGACTACACAGTACGTACACCGTGATACAGTGATACACCAATGGAGGACCGTACTACGATTCGTCTAACTTCAACCAAGACCGGCAGTCTCGTACTCTACTCTACTGTGCTGAAGGCTGAAGGCTGAAGCAGCCTCGCATGAGGGTTGACAAGGATGGCATACTAATACCATGACATAGTATGGATACGGATCCTCGACTAGTAGTAGACTCCTAAGTCAATAGTCTAGCAATCTACAGTACCATCGATACTAGTGATTGGACATGAAATTAAAAATACAGAGTAATACTAATACTATGAAACAGGGGCTGCCCCGCCCATTGGCCGGTTATACCCTGTACCGGCGCAGCACGTGACCTGTGCGTAACAGCGGGGCCGTATGTGCACGTATTGCGAAAAGCCCCAGGTCCGCTTTGGTTTTTGGCTCTTTCACGACAATAACCCATTATTATTCTAGTACTACCGACTAAGGCATGCTTTCTGATTCCAAAGTAGTTTGTACACTACTTCTCTCTCCCCTACTCTCTCCCAGATAGAGTTCCTCCCTCAGGGCTCATGTGGAAACATCGCTTTTCCGCCAGAGAAGATCAAGCGTCTCGAAACGAATCGGGTCTCCATCTCTCTGATCTTGGTCTCTTCGGGCGCTCCAAGAAAAAGCCTCCCTCTGGTAAGTCCAGCCAGTTCAGTCCATGAGAGTCAAAGAATATTCAGGCTCGAACTTGCGATTCCTTCGCCCCTCCTCTTCTCGCCCGGTTGCGGGTCGTTGTTCTCTGTTTCTGCTCCGTACTGCCCGCAATCGCATCTGTCCTACATACACATCTGAATTCTGGATCTGCTCTTTGTTGATTTGTGTTTCTGCCCGCCACCTCGTTCGCCCCATTGAATGACCGAGTGACTGAATGAATCCACCACTTCGGAGAATTTACCTGACTCTTTCTTCCTCTCTTTCTTGATCATCGTCACCACCATCACCACCACCACCACCAAAAATCCCCGTTGTTGACCAGTCTTTGTTCGAATGATAGATTACGCTCCGCAGTCAAACCCTCTTCGCAGTGGTTCGCGGACTGATTCTCTTGCTACAGCACGGTCTTTTCGTTCGTCCTTTCGAATTCCTCAGCATAATCAGCGTCCGGAGAGTGCCTTGTCGCGCCAGTCATACATTTCGAGTCATCGTGCTCCATCCAATACTAGTCATCGCTCACAATCCGAAACGGCGGGACCCTGGGCCGCTTCGACTCACTCCAGCCGTTCTCAGACCTCCTTCAACTCTCGCTCAGGACGTACTAGTACTGGAATGATGGATGTTGATCGTACACGCACCCGCCGAGAGCGAACTTTTGTAGGTTCTGCTTGCGCCGTCTGTGAAGAGCCCTTGGAGCATACCCTCCGTGGCGAACGGGTTTTACAATTCTCCTGTACCCATGTTTCCCACGAAGCATGCTTTTATGAATACATCAAGGAATTTGAGTCCCAATACTGCCCTACTTGCAATGCGCCATTGGGCTTGGACACCAGCAGAGGCGGAAATGTCTTGGATCTGGGTAAGTATTCAATGCTTGACATTAAGATACTCCGGCTGGTTAACATATCTGTCTTTTCGCAGAAAAGTTAAGTAGTATTGTTCGCTCCGCCTCGGTCAGCGATGGCGCAACATTACGAAGTAATCTCACGACCCCTACCCCGTGGGATAACCGTAGTCAACCTTCCGCCACCGGACACGATCCGCACAGATCAGTGCATCAAGACAGCTTATATAATAATCGGCGAGATAGCCATAACACCACTGCAAGCCAACGGGATAGAATTGAACGGCTGACAACCGGGCCTCGACAGCCTCAGCACACTCGTCAAGATAGCGGAGCCACCGGAGTGACTGGAGTGACTGGAGCTACCGGGGTTGCGTCATCTGGTGAATACAACGAGGGACAGCACCACAGTACGGGCAGGAGGCACGACTACGACGTGCAAGCTATGGAATCTGATCTCAGTCCTCGAACTGGCGCCATCAAGAACCCTATTCCTGCTCCCATCGTAACCGTCCGTTCCGAGTTCCCGACTCTTAATCGTTCTCGGCAGCAACAGCCATTGACTTGTCTAGTCACCGTTGAGGTTCCAGACGGACATTGGCGTCCGGACATGGAAGACTTACGCTTTACGCCCTTGAATGCCCAGCTTCCCGCAGAAGATATATATAATCCGGTTCGGTCTCCTACAATGCCACCAACACGGCCTCCTGCTGAGCCTCGGGAGAACATGGATGAGATTGCGGAGGAGCTTCGACAAAGAGTTGACAATTGGCATGGCTTGGAGTTTTCTCGGTAAGGAATCACAAATATCCATAGATCGTTCCAATAAGTAAATTGTGCCCTAACATTTGTTTTTTTAGGTTCGGAAAATTGCGTTTGTACGGAACAATGCATGTGGGCAAAGACCGAGAGTCTTGGCAGGAGCTAGAATGCTATTTGTTTGGCGAGATGCTTATTTGTGTGAAAGAGAAGAAGAATGCTCCGGAGCCTGTCCAGTTGGAATCGAAACGCAAGAATACTCGATGCGCATTGAAGGGTTCCATTCTCATTAAAAAACATCTACGGGAGGTTGATGCAGTCACGGGTAAGGTCGACCTTGTAAGAGATCCATGTTCACAACCGCTGATTCCATTTACAGACGAACCAATTCTCACACTGAACTTATCCGTTAATGAGCTACCTTGCTTCCACCTACGTTTTCAGAACAGAGGCCAGCTAGATCTTTGGCGTCGTGCTCTGCTAGACCTTCACAATCCCGACCCTATAATTCGCAACGGTGATCTTGATTCAGATAACGCGGTTAATGAAGAGGATGATTACCGTACGACTAAGACAACTAAGCGACAGTCCTCAACTACATCGTCTTATGGTGCCGGCAAGTCGAATAACACAGCTTTGACGGAATACACCAACACGGCCAGTGTCGCTCCCACTACTTTCCACGTTCCACTTGACTTGGTTGTCGTGATTCCTGTGTCGTCATCTATGCAAGGCCTGAAGATCACACTCCTGCGTGACAGCTTGAAATTTCTCGTCCAGAATCTAGGGCCACGCGACAGGATGGGCTTGGTAACATTCGGCTCTAGCGGCGGTGGAGTGCCTCTTGTCGGGATGACTACGAAGTCATGGAGTGGCTGGGGGAAAATATTGAACTCTTTACGTCCCGTCGGCCAGAAGAGTCTGCGGGCGGATGTTGTCGAGGGTGCCAATGTTGCAATGGATCTGCTCATGCAACGCAAATCAAACAATCCCATTTCTACCATCCTTCTGATAAGCGACTCGTCAACTTCAGACCCAGACAGTGTTGATTTTGTTATTTCTAGGGCGGAGGCAGCAAAGTATGTTCTTTCTGGATATTAATTTTTGTTTTAATACTGACCGTTCTTTTCACGCAGGGTTGGTATCCACTCTTTCGGTTTGGGGCTCACACACAAGCCAGATACTTTGATCGAGTTATCGACCCGTACCAAGGCTTGCTACACTTATGTCAAGGATTGGATGATGCTGCGGGAATGCGTTGCTGGATGTCTTGGTTCATTACAGTCGACGTCGCATCAGAACGTCAAACTCAAGTTAAGATTACCAGAAGGGTCACCCGCAAAATTCTTGAAGATCAGCGGAGCTCTACATACGACTAAACGTGCTACTGGGAAAGATGCCGAGGCAGTGCTTGGTGATTTGCGGTTCGGTGATAAACGAGGTATGACTTTTGCGATCATTTTGTCGACGGTCTTGACTAATGAATTGGGTAGATATTTTGGTCCAGCTTGTCATTCAACCAGACAATGCGACTCAAGAACATGTTCCTCAGGACCCTTGGCAAAGCATTGTGTCTGGCTTGGAGGCACTAGGCGGTGGTTCAGACGGCGACGAACAACGTGTGGTTAGTGTGGAAGAGGTCCCATTGATTCAGGCAGACCTCAGCTATGGCGATATCCTTCGCGACGGCCATTTGACCCATTCTCCAAGACCGTCCCTGCTTGCCATCACCATGCTTCCAGCTAGCTCGAAACCCAAACACGGCCGGCCTACTACGCCGCCTATCCCTCCTCATCCATCAATTGTACAACGAAGGATGGAATTATTGGCTTCAGACATGTTGACGAGAGCTCTTACCCTCGTCTCCCGAGGCCAGCACGATCGTGCACAACACCTTCTTACCGAAACCCGCAGTATCTTGAAAGGCCTCGGGAAAGGTGGGCTACCACCTCTTCCACCTGGTGCTAACAAGCCTACTGGTTCGACGGAATTGAACAGCCCGACCGACACCCCCAATTCGTCTTCTCCGCGCTCATCACACTTCCAGGAAGGTTCGTCCGCGGCATCCGAGACTACGACAATCACCCCTGTTGCTGCTGTTGACCAGCACGTCATGGCGGCTCTGGATGCTGATTTGGAGTCGGCCTTGGAGTGGATCGGTCACCCCGCCGTGTTTGGTCGCGATTCCCGCAAAGCCGTTCTACAAGGCATTGGTGTTATTTCCTCACAAAGAGCATTCACATACCGCACTACCTCGGAATCTCTCTGGTCCGAACGCGTGGCTGGTATCAGACGACTCACCGACCGGTCAAAAGACTGGCGTGAGATGGGTGATGACGCATTGACTGAAGAATGAAAGCTCTTCCCTATTCCTCATACTTTTTTTTATAACCCTTTTTCAGGTCATTGAATGTTTTCATTTTCTTCCCCCCAATTTTCTTTCCCTTTCATGATACCATTTTGTTTGAACGCGCATTTGATTATGTGTCATTAGTTGAGGTGTTGATATCCATCCCTATATGCTGGCCTGTCGATATGTATATTGTTGCTTAAAAAATAGCAATTGTGACTGTACTTATGCTGGACGGATTCCGGTTCTCTCATCATCTTGCCTGTATCTTGGACTCTTTGTTCACTTCGACCTTTTCTGCTTTCTCGGTTTCGAGTTTCGTCGAGTCTTTCATATGTTCATACCTTTGCCGTTGATATTAATGTTTTGAAGCTGGGTGCGATGTGAATGTGCTAGGTATGCTTATCGAGGCGTATGCTGCTTGATTGGTTCATGTGTGAGATATTATTTGATGATTTATGTATGTATGGTACATATTGGTTCTCGAGGATCTGTGAAATATCGATTTTTTCACGTCACTATTACCAGCTGACATCTATTACATTGTATCAAAAGAGATGTGCAGTCCTAATCGTATCGGAGCACAAAGTAATAAAGGGTGGACACCTTATTCAATACTAACGCAGTTTGCAAGCCGCTATAGTATCATGTGATTCATATCTATCGTGGTTGCACTATTCTGGCTCCGAATTCTTCGTCGTCTAACTTGCAGACACCTTTGTCTTCTCCTTCCTGACTCTTTTCCACGTTTTCCACCCTCTCAAAAGCCAAACTGGAGGTGGCTATCAGCAACTACCATTCTGAATTCATGGTAAACAGGTTTCCAGCCAGCAAGCGGAAAGCTCGGTCTAATTATTCACTATAATAGATCAACGCAACTGCCATACACATAGGATGTGCTGGGAGACCTCAACCTCAACCTGACAATCGCGTCCGAGACTCGCCTTCAATTTTCCTTTATAAAGCTTACTCACGACTTTGATTCTCTTACCTCATACCACACTTTACACGATACTCCAAGAATTCTCGGTTATTATGTCTAGCTAGTCCTCGACAGCACCTTCCACGGAGCAACTTGGAGGTCCATATCCGCAGTACGTAGTCACACTGTATGACTGAGACGCGAAAGAGGACTTGAATGCTGATACCCAAAAGCATTTTTAATCACATCGCGGGTCTTTCGAAGCACACTTTTCAACCCCCCCCCCCCCCCGGGCGATCCGCCGTTCCAGTACACGGTTAGTGGTAGCGAGAGCTATTACAGTGCCATTCGTGGAAATGAAGACCGAGATAAGAAATCAGAAGCATTGTTTAAGCACTATGCGCAGGTGATCGCATAAAACGTTGTTGTTGGGGGGGGAAGTATTCGAATGATTGCAGGTATATGAAGTGACCTCACCGTCATTATATCCAAAGCTGGGCAAGAATCAACTAGGACCCAACAAAGTTGCTCTGATGAAGACACTCGGCCCTCTTGATTGTGTTCCAACTCTCAATAAACTTTGGATTTCCTTCACAACAGAAGATGGATTGTACGTGCTAAAAAAAAGAAATGCAACGAAGGATATTTGCTGTGCTGGAGCTTTTGCCACTGCGAAACTAAACGGTTCTCGTTATTCCAGAGCTCTCAACAACATTACCCAACTTGACCGAGGCTTTAGCTACTTTTTTGCTGTAGGGTCAATATAGGAAGGATGGCCGAGTTGGTTAAGGCGCCAGATTCGAGTGCGAGAATCCTGGTGACGAGAGTCGCGCGATCTTCCATCGCTACTTTTTTTTTTATCTGTCTGGTAGACAGATACAATCTGTGCTCGTTTCTCGTTTCTTACGCTGGATTAGAAACGTGGTATATATTGAAGACTCAAATGCTCCACCTCTTGTGGAGGATAGATACCTGGAGATATTTCGGGAACTACCCCATATATTGTCGCATATTAATTACTGACACATCGTCTTTCATAGATATATGTCACAATCAAAGAGACATCGATTTTTCCTGCTGGCCTAAATACTTTATATTTGCCTCTAGCCAGAATGAATTTTAGCAAAAACCCGCTTGCCTAGAATTGTAGCAATCATCGCTGAGACGAGCCTGCTGCCCAAGATGCGTGGCGTCGTCCGGACGACTTGAGTGCAAGCCTCGTTAACTGGTGGACTTTGACCATTAAACTCGCTATTTCTTTCATTCCCATCACATCTATGATCCTCTTTTTCCCTCTGCTCTGGATACACGGACGTCTTCGAAGACATCTTGATGCATAAGGGAGGAAGCAAACCCAAATGCATGTTTAATTGACCCTGATCGTCCACTATGGCTGTCAGCATGAAAATGCGCTATATACTACCACTAACACAAGTGTGAACGCTTCAAATGTTTTTGGGGTAGTGGTATTTTGTAGCTAATAGGCATACTCAGAGTCTATATATGCATATCTGTATGGAGTAGGCTGTGTAAACGGCTCGGCAATCTTCTGCGAGCTTACTGCTATGGCTACTCCCAACCCGACTCTCGTCATCATCCACGGCGGCTGGCACATTTTAAAAAGCTACGAAAAGCTCATCGTAGCACTCAAGGATGTCGGCTATGAAGTCCATTGCCCACGACTGCCAACCACAAACCAGGTGGCTTTTTTGTCGTTACCAGTTATTTTAAAATATTTGGCTAACTCTCTCCCAGAGCCGACCCCCCAACGCCGACTTTTATACTGATTCGGATCTCGTGCACACCTACGTCTCGAGCCTCGTCCAGGCCGGGCGCTCTGTGGTTACCATCATGCACTCGTAGGGCGGGCAGGTAGGCAGTGATGCGCTCGTTGGCCTTGGGCAAGAGACCCGAGCGAAAGATGGTCTCTCAGGGGGACTCCCACAACTAGTCTACCCTGGCTGCCTTCGCAATGCCCGAGGGCACAGGCATGATGGACAAAGTGCGGGAATTTGGCCATATGGACCTAGTTCCGATAGCATTTGATTTCGCTGACGACGATACTTGCCTGAACAATGACCCGCGTTCGCTGCTGATCGGCCCTAGTGACCTTGCTGCCGAGGAGGTGGACCAGTATTTGGCGACGCTCGTCCGCTGGAATGGGAAGTTCATGTATTTGCCTATCCGCCACGCTGCCTGGCGCGAGATCCCCGTCGCCTACATTTACAGCACCGCCGATATGACGGTGCCAATCGACTATCAGAGGAGCTTCGTTGAGGGCATGGAGAAGGCCAGCCGCCCTGTGCGAACCTTTAACCTCGCCATAGACCACTGCCCTCATCTGACGGCCACTGCTGGCGTGGTCGACGCCATTGAGCAGATTGTAAAGAGCTAGGTGCGTTGAGAGTCCCTATCGGAGCATATTATGATACATTCCATGCCCATTGATAAACAGAATTAAAATTGTTGATATTATTTACCGCTGGGTCATTGGGTGAAGTCTGGTCAATTGTTTCCTTTTTTTTATCTCACCACTTTTTTTCTTAGTTTGGTCTTATTGAATAGGTGGTTATGTACTGAAAAAATATATAATTCAGCACTTCAGGCCAACTCGTTGCACTAGTTTGTAATTATAAAAGTACATAAATATCTTGGATGGTACAGTAGGAGTATTCCCAAACGACCACATATATTATCCTCTAGACACAATTGCCTTATATGAATATGTGATACATGTCGGCGGATTTGTTTGCCTGAGGCAGTTAGTCATATGTAGAGCAAACACTCTTTCAACATTGTCCTGTATTAATAAACAAGTGTTGTCTAGATGCGAGAATCTTGATTATAATGTCCACAGGTTCCGCAAAAAACCTTAACTACTGACCCGTCAAATCTGCTATGCCAGAATTGTTGATGCGATAATTTGACTTCGCCGAGTTGGGCCTCCTGATGAATCATAGTCTGCTTGAGAATCTCCTTAGTAGAATCAGCGTCAATAGAAAGCACTCTCGGCAGAATTGACAGCAGGGTATTTGCAACATCCTCAAGGCTTGAAATCGGTGTCTTAGAGAACAATATATGCTTTTGCCCTTTGAGCCAATATAGAACTGGATCAGGGAGGTCGGTAGGCAAGCTCCAGTTTGCTGAGGATAGACCAGCTGTTTCAAGAGCAGCCAATGCTGGAGGGATGAGCTCCCTCAACTCCTGGTTGCTCCATGGTTTTTCCGAGAAAAACCGAGCATCACAGCTCCCACGGTCGTATTGCTGCTCCGGAGTTAGTTCAATGTCATCATCGACTTTTAAAATTGTCGGCTTCGGTATCCGCTGGCCTTGTGAGATTTGGTGGCCGATGGCCCGGCACTCGAGCGTACTCCGAGCAGCAAATGGGATATGCCCTAGCCAGAGCTTATTTGAGTAATACCCTTCTTCCCAAGGGATGCTAGTATACCAGTCATCCGAATCGCGGCGGTCATTGTTTTCTCCTGTCGCAAACTAGAAGGAGTGTTTTTGCCTTGGTAAAACAAAAACTGAGGATGGTATGCTGCTAGCATAATCCGTCTCAGCTTATACCGATGGTCAAAGTTACTATAGCTCTCCTCAAGAGCAAGCAGAAGGACTACCCCCTCAAATTCCCCCAAAGGGGTAGAACCTCAAAAGCTTGGCGAGCCAGGAGACGTTTTTGGACCTTAACCCCGAAGAGAACCTCAACTTTAGCCGTCATTGAGTTTGCAATATCATCAGTAAACTGTTCATGACATTGTAAGACATCTGCTGGAAATTCTTGCTCGTCAATAGCTTCAGAGCTATTACTTCTACGGTGGACGTGATCAAAGAGTAAGTTGTCTGCGTGATATCCAGAGCCCATAACCATAGCCATACAACCATTACTAGGATCGGCTGTTTCGCCGTTGTCGATATTATCTGAGGTGAATGATGGCTGGTTCAGACGCAGAGCAAGGGGTGATTCCAAGCATCCCGACGGTTTCACCAGATGTGTTGGTGACCTCTCCTCTTGATGAGCTTTCCAAGTCGATACTTCTCGATCCTGGAACCTCGTGAATGCCTCGTTGAGGTCATTTATAGGACGATCTCGCAGTTCTGTTCACCATGAGGTCAGCCGCTGGACTAGGCTGTAATACATTGAAATAACGCTAGAGCTACCTTTCATGTCCCGTTTATTGAGCTTTTGCAGCTCTCCTTCCCATCGCTCTGCCAGCTCTTTGTGCTCTCCAGTTGGACGTGGCAGCACAAGGTTTCCTAATACCGTGTATCCATCTGGAAAGCATTCCTGATTAAACGTCTCCTCCCGAAAAGGTGTATTATCTTGATGCTCAGTCTTATAGCCTTTATAATCTACCTCTGACCTTGTTGCTAACCTCAAAGGGTATTGGTTCTTTCCGATAGGATTTTGGGTTGCTGTAGTTCTAGTCAATATTGAATAATTATGAAGAATTAAGATTGCTTCCACTAACGAATTCCCTTGCTGCACGTTTGTCTGTTAAAGATGCAACTCGCGCACTTTCCATACTGTTCTCCAGCAATTCGAACACAATCTCCAAATGCAACAGCGGCTTCTCCTTTCCGGCAAAAGTCGCATGGGTCCTGTTCCACTTCCCCATGTTGTTGAACAGCTGCTGCGAGCTTACCTGTTACAGATTTCATTTCGAATCCGCTAGCATCGCGAATGTCCAAGTCACATTGCTTCTTATGTTTGGTAAGTATGTCTCTCACGGCCTGTGACGCGCAAGATTGAAGAATTTTGTCGATGTATGCTGGAACTTTGCCCTTATCTAAGGGTAACTTCTCCCATATTGCTCGCCCCATGGCTCTTGTAGATCTCGCGAATCAGGGTTATGGAGTAGAAAAGCTTTCGTGAAGCAGAGATAGGCTAGGAGTTTCCCACAAAAGGATTAGAATATAAGTCAAGCCTGTGATCTCCAAAGGTAAGGAAGCTACAAAGCTCCACGAAGTTGTTGGAGTTGAGAAGAAGTGAAGTGGCTGCATTGAATAAAGCTATCAATACATAGGTGGTAGTTTGTGGCCTACTAACAGGCGGTGTTGATGCTACTGATCCTACCGATGCTGGCGGCGGTATAGTTGCCAACGCAGCGGTAGAAAGGGTAGAAATATGATGCGACAAAGAAAGCTTTTGTAGGCACAATGTCGATGATAGCTCACCGAATCTCTATATTAGAGGCTGCCGGTACATGCTTTGTGGCCTTAGAGGCTGAAATTCCTCCCCACTCATGCTTTTATCCATCGGTGAGCTGATTTATCAAATCTATGCTTTTTGCCTTATTTCATCCTCACTCATCCACATTTGCCTCATTTCATTCTCACTCATCCACAAGTAGTTCAGTCAGATCCAAGACGAGGAACACTTTCATCGGCTGAGCTGCCGCCTATGCCAAGTCTTTTAGTGTCTTAATATTTATAAAAGATGTCTTCCTCTTCCATACAAACCTCAACGGTCAAATTTTCGAGGTTATCTTTTATCCCTCTACACACATTTTCTTATATTTACTACAATCTTAAATGATTCCTGAATTATAACTTTATCTATTTACTTGTGCGCAATTCACACCCTGACGCAGGCACTCTGACGAAGGCGCTCGATATTGGCCCACGCACCCCTGATGCAGAGCGCTAGGTCATTGAATGCCGCAGTAATGGTCTTGCAGCAGTTGAACACCGCAGGCGCCAGAGTTTCTCCGGGAACCCGCATCTCGTGAAGCGCTAATATGTGTTTCTTCTGGCTAGTATCCATAGTCAAGTCAATGCCAACGCTGAATGCTTTCCAATTCCTGTTAAGATAATGGCCCTGACGCGCTCATCCACTTCAGCAGCTGAAAAATATGCAATAAGATCAAAAACCATATCATCTGTGATCGCATTGCGCTTGTTAGGTCGGTTGAGTGTGACAACCTGTATCGGAGTCACTCCAGAGGCTGACTCTGGGCAGTTGGTGATTCGTACATTGCTCTCTACAGAGTTAACATGGGACTCCGGGATAGGAATAACAGGAGTATCGTCTGACATCTTGTAAGCCGAAATAAAAGGAGCTGCTAATATTTCCCTGAATATAGAACAATGGGAAAGAAACAACAGGATGAGCAAGAGTTGATAAACTCTTCCCATATACCAGCTACTGGCAGTGGTAGGTCTTTAGCTAATAAAGCTAGTAAAAGTATAAGAAGTATACATTGATTGGTCTGTTTTGCAATGGATGCCGCGGTGAAAGGAGTGTTTTATCTGAACGGACTTGGTAATAGGTCATCTTGGGCGTGGAGTAACGAAGTACTCCAGAATAAGGTCTAGAACTCCCATGACGTTGAGGATCATCAGAAGTTTGAGTGAGACAGAGGCTGGCCTGCTGTGAGAAGCTTCTAAGATAAATAATGTTAAATAGAGCCCGAGGATGTTTAGAAACATGGCTAGATTGAAGAAAGCGTTTGCAGGCTCCTTGGATGCGGAGAACTCAATCAAGGGTTCGGATTTTCGCGGTGTTAGTCGGCGTCTAAAATAAGAGGAGACTACAGTGAGAGCAGGGCAGAAGATAAGTCCATCCATTGCCAATCACCATACAAACGCCTTGTGCCAGGAAAGTTTGGTAATTATGTACTTTATTGTATATCAATAGGGTTGAGAATATTAAATGGGCAGTTATGTAGTAGTAGTAGTTCTGTCGACTGGCGGGTAAAGATAAGCAGGGCCATGACATCAGCCGGCGCTATCTCAGACCAAAGTAAACGACCTGGGGTAATGTCCTGCTTCCCCCATAGAGACTGCAAACTTTCCTTCTCTCCTTGCCAGGGCAGCTCGAATCTTTTAAGCGACCGCGATGGCCGCTTCCTTTCGAAGGAGCCCTTGTGCAGGTTCCGTTTTCCCAAGTAATGGAAGTGTCGCATTCCGAACTCTTCGACCTCGCACGTCGATAAGATTTCAAAGATTTCAATATGCCACGAGTCCACCCTCCTCCTCCTTCTCATCGCCAAAATGCCCGCATTCTTCGCGCAGAGTATCTGCTTCTCCTATCCCCAAAATAAAACCATCGGATATCTTCGTGTCGCAAAGGTTCGGAGGACAAAACTCGGGTAGTGGTCTGCGGTACTTTACCAGGACGGCGCACCATGGAAACTCCTACAGACGTTTTGGCAACGGTCCTTCGCGAATACCGCAAAGCCCTCAAGAAAGAGTGCAGCACCTGTTGTCAAACAGATATGTGTGGGTAATTATCGGTGCAGGAGTCACAATTTACGTGTGGAATTTGGAGACAGTCGAGGTGGGCAGATAATCAGAAAGAGATAGAAAAATGATCAGTCTAACGAAGTAGCAGGCCACCGGTCGGCGCCGCTTCAATATTATCTCTGTAGAAACAGAAGTCAGCGTCGGAGATGAGGCTTATCGGTCGGTTCTCAACCAATATCGAAATCGTATTCTCCCGAGCAACCACCCGCAGACACTGATGGTGGAGAATGTTATGAATCGTCTGATTCCGAATGTAAAAATCGATAAAGCTGATTGGAAGGTCCATGTCATCAAAGACGATTCTATGATGAATGCCTTTGTGTTGCCTTCGTAAGTTTAGCCACTTAAGGCAACAAAGAGATCGGGAACGACTGGTCTAATAGCTTGATAGTGGCAAAGTCTTTGTTTTCACAGGCCTCATGCGCGTTACCAAAGACGAAGATGGTCTGGCGGCTGTTCTCGGCCACGAAATTGGACATGTTATTGCCCATCATTCTGCAGAGCGTTTGAGCTCTTCTTACCTTGTATTTGCAGCAGTTGTGGCTATCTCGAGCATCTTCGATATTTCCGGCCAGATTCCGAATCTCGCTATGAATTTGCTTTATAGTTTGCCCAATTCGAGAGTGCAGGAGGTACGTGAGAACACTATACATATCATTCAAGTCATTAACAGCTTGTTAGGCGGAAGCAGATAGGATAGGGCTGAGTATGTTCTGATCCCCAGTCGGAATCTTTTGGACAGACTAACAATTTATTCAAGCAATCATGTCCGAATGTTGTTTTGATCCCAAAGCAGCTGTTGGGATGTAAGCTTCATGTCCCTTTGGAATCTTGATTGAGAGACCTAAGCTAATACATTTGCGCTATAGATGGGATCGATTTCACCAGCTAGAAAAGAACGCTCCTCCCCAATTCCTCTCAACTCACCCTTCGGTATGAATGGCTCTGGTGTTTTAAAAACGGGCCCAGCTAACATAAGCAGAACTACAACCGATCCCAAGCTCTTCGAGAGCTGTAAGTTGATGTCCCTAATATAAAACAAAAATTGCCATTGACTATTCTCAAAGATTACCAGACGCTGAAAGGCGCTATGAGGAAAGCGGATGTGCCTTTTCCAGTCGCTACGGTAGGTCACACGAAAGCCCACTAGCGTTGATAAAGTGCTGATCAATGAATAAAGTGCAAGGATTCCAGAACATGCTCTTCAAGACGGAATATGATCAATGAAAGCGTATCGCTGAACGCGAGAACATTTTTGTTGAGCGTTGCGAGGATTGTAAATACTCCTCGATGTGATATACACCCTGCTCTTTACCATAATTCACCAGATATAAGCTCTTCCTTCAAAAATTGACAATCAGTAGATAAGAGAAAATAGAAAATATAAAGTAGAAAGTTTGATAGATACGGCTAAAGTTGTTAATATTGACCGTGTTTGCACTGTTTGTCAGCGCACCGCAGCTTCCAAAAATTAACAGCATCAATCGATCCCCGCCGAGCGCTATCACCCGACCTGGAAAACGAAGCTTCACTCTGAGGAAAAAGGAGTTCTACTCTAGGGAAGCTTTCATTTCACACGCCACCTGTTTGCTTTCATTTTTTCTGTTTCTCTTTCCTTCAGACTCCCTGCTCTCAGGAGCGCTGTGTAAAATATGTCGTTAAACATCCCCGGCCCCTCTCAGGCCGGACTCTTCAAGGCGGGATATCAAAGGTGCGATTCCTACAATACTAACCACTTTTTTCTTTTTTGGCCATAAAAAATTAAATTACTGACGATTCTCTCTCTCAGCCATGATGCCGAAGATGGCGCCGTCATTCGCAACATCGAAGCCTGCCGAGCTATCTCTCAGACCGTTCAGTCATCGCTGGGTCCATATGGCCGGAATAAGATTGTTATAAATCATCTTCAGAAAATGTTCCTCACATCAGACGCTGCGACAATTCTACGGGAATTGGACGTTGTGCACCCCGCCGCAAAACTGCTTGTCATGGCCAGTCAACAGCAAGACTCGGAGATGGGCGACGCCACTAACTTCGTGATTGTGTTTGCCGGAGAATTACTAAAGAAGGCGGAGGAGCTATTGCGAATGGGCCTCAAGACGAGCGATATCGTGCAAGGTTACGAAAAGGCACAGACCTTTGCATTGAATGCATTGGAGGGTAGGTCTGGCGCGGAGTTTATGCTGAGAATGTTTGCTAAATGCTAAATTTATATTTGTATAGATCTCGAAGTCGACCGTCTCAAGGAAATGCGCTCACAAACAGAGCTTGTAAAGGCTCTCCGCACTGTCATTGCCAGCAAGCAATCCGGATCTGAAGATACTCTTGCCGACCTTGTCGCCGAAGCCGTTCTCGCCGTCCTCCCCAAGAACCCTATCAACTTCAACGTTGACAACGTTCGCGTGGTCAAGATCATGGGTGGTAGCTTGGAACAATCACGAGTCGTGAAGGGTATGGTTTTCGGTCGCGAGCCTGATGGAGATGTCAAGAAAGCGCGCAAGGCCAAGGTTGGCGTGTTTAGCTGCCCAATCGACATTTCTCAGACCGAAACCAAGGGTACAGTGCTTTTGAAAAATGCCCAGGAAATGCTCGATTTCACTAAAGGTGAAGAAGAGCGCTTGGAAGCTGCTATCAAGGAGTTGTACGATTCTGGCGTCCGTGTGGTTGTTGCTGGGTCTACCGTGGGCGAGCTGGCTCTTCACTATCTCAACCGTTTCAACATTCTCGTTGTCAAGATCCTCTCTAAATTCGAACTACGCCGACTTTGCCGTGTTGTGGGCGCTACTCCGCTCGCTCGTCTTGGTGCTCCCATGCCGGATGAAATGGGAAGCGTTGATGTAGTCGAGACCACAGAGATTGGAGGTGACCGCGTCACAGTGTTCCGCCAAGAAGACGCCAACACCGTCACTCGTACTGCTACTATCATCCTCCGAGGCGCAACGCAGAATCACCTGGATGATATCGAACGGGCCATTGACGATGGCGTCAACGTTGTCAAGGCAGTCACAAAAGACCCTCGTCTGACTCCCGGTGCTGGAGCCACGGAGCTTCAATTGGCTGAGCGAATCTCCGCGTTCGCCGACAAAACCCCTGGCCTGTCCCAATACGCCATCAAGAAATACGCAGAGGCCTTCGAGGTTGTCCCTCGCACGCTAGCCGAATCCGCGGGCCTCGACGCAACCGAGGTTCTGTCCCGTCTGTACACAGCACACCAACGCACACGCAAGTACGAGGAGTCCGAAGACGACGACGAGGGCTCGGAAGAAAACTCGGAAGAGTCGGAGGATGAAGAGCCGTACTGGACAACAGGCGTTGATCTATTCTCGGTCTCCAACACCGGCACAATCGACGCCGTAGAAGAGGGTATTCTGGACTTGATGGCTTCGAAGAGCTGGGCTATCCGTCTCGCCACCGAGTCCGCTCGTACTGTCTTGAGCGTGGATCAGATCATTGTTGCCCGTCAAGCCGGTGGGCCGAAACCACCTGGTCAGAATCCTAACTGGGATGAGGATTAGAGGGGGAGAAAAGAAGAGAAAAGTGCATGTTAAAATTCCTATAAGAATAATATTCCTTTTTTTGTTCCAAAACGGATGTGAATAGATAATATGATCAATTGATGAGATTATTTATGTGAAGTACCATTACATATCAGAGGGAGGAGGATGGTATAAAATCTATTAAAAATTGAAATGATAGGGCTGGCTATGGGAATGCACAATGCGATCGGATCTAATTACCAGCTATCTGATCGGGCAGCAGGGTAGTCCTAGTCCAGCTTTCAATGTCGTGACAGTACATATATGAACCCATTTTGGGACTAATCTTCTATGCTGACCAGCACACACCTTGTGGGGGGTCTTTGAAGTGCAATTATGTATGCTTTCTATCCCTTGGAATCAGGTAGAAGGGATTCAGGTGGTTTCCAGCCATCACTACATGTGCTTCTAGACGCCAATTTTTAATACGCGCGGACTTGCATTGAATTTTTATTGTGGCCTGGACTGTAAACTTTATACCCGAAAAGAATATAATATTAACTATCAAGATTCTTCTCATCTTTTGACTTATTATTGATAAAGCAAATTTGGCTACTCTTTATATGAAAATTGAACGCATTGAACATACAAGACCCCAACCTGACGCCATAACCAACTCGTCCATTTCGCCTTGTATATTGAATGCTAAGAAAGATTCATCTGAATAATTAGTTTATAGTTGTGCTAGAAAGTTATGGTAAGGGAGAGGCGAAGCAGTCGGAGCAAGGTAAACACAACAAACTGAAAAGGCCTCGATCCGAAAAACGACAAGAACAATAATGCCTCGTATAACGCGCGAAGACAAACCCAAAACATTCTGCACAGCTTCGGTATTGCTAGAAACGGTCTTATCTAGGCGCATAAAAGTTGGTCTCGAGAAGATCTTCTTTCTATTTTTATCCAGCATTATCTTGGGTTTAACATTTTCGCCAGGCTCAAATGTCCCACCAGTATGGAGCTCGGTTTCCAGCTGCATCGGTAAGCATATCTATAAGAAACATGCCGTAGCTTATGGTATGACTACAGGTGACCTTGTCCTGAGTCTATTTTGTGTAGCTCGCCATCCTATCATGGGGTAGTTTCCTCCCTTTCGAAACACGTACAGAAACGAGTCATACAATACAATGTAACATCTTCCACCCTCTACTTTCTTGAGTGGCTCAAAGTGTTGAGCACTGCTGGTGTCAACTAAAATTTTAGCATGGCCGGGGGTGCCCAGAAATGGCTAAAAATTAGTAATATAGGTCATTTTTTCCCAGGCCACTTCTGACAGGCCACTAAATTTGGCTTAACACCAGCTGAGCGTTGCGAGACACCGGTTTGAGCTGTGCCCCCCTCTAAGGATCAGTAAGAAAATCCATTGCAAAGTAACCAAAAAAAGAACATGCGGAAACGATTTTCGTCATGTTCTCTTTTTGTGCTATTTTGTTATTGGTTTTCTAATGTATGGTGATTGCGATTAGCGACACATGGTAAATGCCTCTATATGTCGTTATAATCGATTTTCATTGCGAACCCTGTGTAGGCGTTCCTTTCGGGCGGCAGCCGATGCACAGTGCTGTTTTATACTCCATCTCAGATAGCTCGAGAATAGTGTATGAGATTTTAAAGAGATCCAGATGAGAATCAGACAGCTGGCGAAATACTTCTCCTCCGGGGAGAAGAATAGATCCATGGCTGGCGGGAATAATTTCGGTTTGTATCTTGTATGGTGAGGGAAGTCGTCGGAAGGGATAGAGACGAGAAGTTAGGAAATAACAATTGTAAAGACTTAGAATAATGTCTGTCAGCGAAAGACACGACGGAGGATCGCGATAAAGGAGAGACTTTAGGTGGGTGATGCCAATTGTTGGAGGTTCGATCGAGGAGATATTGACTGGCCAGACAGAGGCACGCTTTAAGTTCAGGTCAATGATAATCGCCATGCATCTGGCATGAAAGATGCGGAACGGAGGAGTAGTTGCAGCGCTGTATGTATTGTGTATCGTGTATGTAATCCGGGAGGAAAATTACATGGCTCTGGACAGGGACGAGCATCACGTGACCAGAAGAAAATTAGTCCCAGCAAAGAAGCTCGACATCAACAGCCTGAGCTTTCAAGTCGTGCTGCATTCAATTGGGCCCTGCCTTCTCGCCATCCCGGTTCAAACTTCTTACTTGGTATATCTTTACTTCCGGAGGTACTGAAGACAATATGTCGATTACTTCCCACGCCGCAGCGCGATGCTGCAGACAGGCTGTCCGTCCTTCGTCTTTCTTGCGCATCTCTACTCCATCCTCTACATATCTTTCCCAGCAACAAAGGATAACGCCCGCTCGTCGATGGGAATCTACCGAAGCAGCTGCTACTCCTACGAATCCGAAGATTACACAGATTGTTGATCAGATCAGCCAATTGACCTTGTTGGAGACGGCAGATCTTGTCTCTAGCTTAAAGGTTGGTGGTTTTACCCTTCTGAAACAAAAAGAACAGAAGAGAGGCCTCTATTGGCTATTCCGGGGGTTTTAATGAAAATTCATTAACACGTTATTCTTTAGACTCGCCTTAACATTCCCGACCTCCCAGTTGGCGGCTTCGCAGTACAAGCTGGCCCGGCTGGTGGCGCTGGCCCAGCCGCTGCTGAGGAAGAAGAGGCAGCACCTGCTGCCGCCGAGAAGACTTTATTCAACCTGAAACTCGAATCCTTCGAAGCCACGTCGAAACCCAAGATCATCAAGGAGATCAAATCTATGCTCGGCCTGTCATTAGTCGACAGCAAGAAGTTCGTCGAGGCAGTTCCCAAGCTCATGAAAGAAAACGTGCCGAAGGAGGAAGCCGAGAAGATTATCGAGACTCTCAAGGGCCTTGGAGCCAAGGCTGTTATGGAGTAAAGCTGCTGTTAAAAGACAATCTTTTCGACGTTCGTGAGAAAGGCTTCCTGTGCGAAACGACTACATAATGTGGCCAGCTTTGCAAGAATTCTTTTCTCGCGGGTTGACAAATGCGTGAGCTCATGGCGCCTACGGTGGGAGTATACCTGTACATTATCATGAAAGGGAGCAAGAATTCTGTTTGGGCATTGTTTCCGACTCGATCAAGCGATTCGAATATTCAAGCTCGGTGCAATGGCATATAGTATCATTCTGGTGGACTATGTCTTACTACAATCTGTTTATTACTTGCTGGTATTTCATTCTTTCAATTGCATGGTTCAATCTCTGCTACGGTATAGAGTATTAAAAACGTGTGGGTGGAATTCCTGGCACGGTGCATCAAGGTTATAAAAACAAGTTCATTCAAGTCTATCGCTTATACTGTTGGATTGGAGATCCTAGATTATTTAATTAGTCCACGCCCCCGAAAAGGATATGACATGACAACTTACTCTATCAAATTCCCATCTGGATCTCTCACATACACACTCCTCAACGGGCTTCTTGCGCCAGTCCTGTTCACTATTCCGCCACCTTCCAGTACTTCAATGCCTCTCTCGACCAACTTACTCAACACGGCACTTACATCCTCATTCGTCAAGAAGCATAGATCCGCAGTACCAGGTAGCGCTGTCAGCGCCTTTGGTTCAAACTCCTTGCCCGCTTGATGTAGATTAATCTTTTGACTTCCGAATAGTAAGGCGTGCCGTGTTGTGTCGGGGTCCTTTGGTGATGTAAAGGACTGGTGAGCCATGCCTAGGACTTCAGTGTAGAATTTGATGGTTTCGGGAAGCGAGCGAACGGTTAAAACAAGGTGGTCGAGAGAGACCAGTGTGCAGACGGGTGATTTGGAGGGAAGGCTTATATTGGACGACATCTTCCGGTATAGCTCTCGAGAATGAGGAATATATCTTTTGGGCTGGCTTGAGAGAATAGGTCTGTGGAGTGACGAGGCGATGTGGGATCTCGTCAATTTTAATGAGCGCGGCAACGATGACATTTCAGACGTGCTCTCGGCTTAGATATTCGCAATTATAATTGCACATATAAGAATGGCAGACAGTGGTTGTGTATACTTGAAGGCGATGTCGGCGGGCCGGGAGTGGGCACTTTTCCGTCCAATCGGTACGGTTCTACTCCGCATCAAACTAAACAAACGCTCTGCCTTTATGGATGCCGATTTTGGCTTCTCCATTCTGCTTCTACCGCTATTGACTACACACTTTTGCTTGCTCTTATCCACCACCATCCAGGGCACATGATGTCCCCTGGGCGTGGTGCCGTGGCGATTCTACGATGGCCGCTCAATTCGTGCCAGCGCAGGAATTCACGCGACCCTACGACGAACCTTTCCTCCCTCCTCGTCCCTACCGTCACCGCAGCTAGATCATTCTCTTCAGCAATGCCACGGCGTTCTACAGTCTACAGAGTGTCTAGAGCTAAAGTGAATAAGGCGCGTGCTCCTGATATTCTGCCCGCACATAATAACCAGGGTGAGCGAGAGACGGCACTCGAACAATTGTATACGCACAGTCGATGGATTTACAAAGACGCTCAAAAGATGGGCATCATCGACAGTAAAATGACACATAAGGATTTCCACATAATTGCAAGCGTGATCCTCCATGTAATGGACTTGAGAATTAGAAGTGGTGATAGTACTCAGAAGGGGGTGAAGACTATACACGATGATCCTAACAAGGTCTACGAGGTCGCTGTAGCCTTGTCTATGGCGATGCCGTGGGATAAACGGATTAATAGCTGGGCGGTCACAGCCACAGCAAAAGCCGGTGCCGTGTATCCAATCGCCCTCATGGTGTACAGCCAGATATCTCGCGTTGGGTATCCTGAGCAGACACCAGAATTAAATCGGATCGAATACTTGGTCAAAGAGCATGAGCACCCCTTGGCAATGCGTGTGTATGCTGAAGTCCTATGGAGCAAGGAAATGCCAGCGGAGGCGATCGAAATGCTGGAGCGAGTTTACAAACGCACGCATCCTTCTCATGCGCGAGTTCGATTTCGCGAAGACATAACGATTTCAGACAGCATTTCTCCGCCATGGAAACGTCTGATTGAGTTTTACAATCTATGTGGATTTTATGAGAAGGCGGACGAAATGACCAAGGTTGGAGCTCTTGAGTACCGAGATCCTGATGCCTTGTTAGCCTATGCACTCTTGATGAAGGAGCAAGAGAACTGGCATGCATATTCGCAATGTGTCATTATGGCTGCTACAGCCGGCCACGCAGATGCCTGTTATCGATTAGGAAATTACTACTATCGTATATTCAAGGGGAGTATTCCATCGCCGGACCAAGTAGACAAGGATGCCGGTCTGATTGGTTCTTTCTTTTACACGCTGCTTGGACAGGCGCGCAGAAAGTCCGAGTTCCGAAAATTGGCCATGGACTGGTACGAGCTGGCCTTCTTGCACGGCAATACACACGCATTAAGGAACTATGCTGTTCTTTTACGCGAGGACGGTAATCGTGAGACTGCTGCTAATGTTTTGTCTAATCTCGAACACAGAAAGGAGGAATGGGGCAGTCCGAACATTAAAAAGCTACGACAGCGATTCTATGATGACACTTTCAAGCCTAAAATACCTGATTCCTGGCTCGAATTGTAAATTTGCCGATCCGCTTTCATGCATAATGTCTCGGTGATTCAGGCATAAGCCCTTTTTTGACTTGTCTTAGCGTTCTGTTGTCCTATATATACCCATCTACGAAAAGCCGGAGGTGCTTGTAACCTTCATATGTATCATATGTGCAAATAACATTGAATTAAACAAGCAAACAAGAATGATAATTATAGAAAGAAGTTCATAAATATTCAAACCCAGGCAATTAGCAGCAAAACATAATCTTCCATGCGCCATCCGGTAAATATCCCCAATGATTCGCCCCTTGTCTTTTTGTATTATTATAGATCTGTGTCGAGGCTTAGAGCGCTACAGTGACCAAGGACGGTTGCATGTTCAGTAGCGTACCTACTCATAACCAATCATTTGATCCTCAGCTTTGCGTTTAGCTTTCCCCTTCCCCTTCCCCTTTCCTTCACGAGGCTTTAGCTCTAATACACCCATTTGCCTAAGATTCCATGTCAAAGCAGAGGACTCTCTCATCCCAGGAAAGTCTTTCGATGAGTAAACCCGAAACGGATCCGAGAAGATCTCCGATAAAATGGGCTGTGCTTTTCCAGATTCAAAAGTCATGCCCCAGTCCATGAGCCGGAATTTCAATCTGTAGACACCTGCCGTGCGTACGGAAAGGTCTGCAAATATGAAGAATGTTGCTGGCATATGGCTAATTTCTGCCATTGATCTAACTGTTCTCGCATTATGACTGACAGGATGTCCTGGTGCGGTTTCTGGATCTGGTTCTATAGGTGCGTAGAAGGGCGATACGAATGTTTTCCCGGACAACACTTGAACAGACCGCGGGGGTTCCCCCGCTATATTATCTGAAGTCATATTCCGACTTTCGTAGTTTTCTCTGTGCTTTCTGTTCTCAGGCATGTGCGAGCTGTGGATAAGATTCTCCTCTCCATTTGGTCCAGGTTTGTCAACAGCGTACAATAGGCATGCCACCGTGTATCTCGAATTCTGTATCAACTCTCGGTCATCCTCAGACTCCGGGTTGAAATCTACTAGGAGCATTTGTAGGATTGGAGGAGGGTCAATCGGACGACGATCCTTTTCACCAGCCGCACACGCCCTTGTCGCTATGGGCTGCTGCCGAATGTGAAGTCTGAATCTGGAGGATTGTCCTGATGAGTCTCTAGGAAACTGGTTTGACGTGGATTGCGGAGCCTCTGTCTCCACATTTTGTGGGTGAAGTAGACGTTCAAATCCAAGAGGAATCCTAGTACCGCGGCTTGATTGCCTTGATTGAGATGATGGAGTCATGGTATTTGTTCTCGGTCCGTTTAGGACAAGGAAAAATCTAGACGGTAAAAACCAATGACGGAGAACAATATGTGATTCCTTAGGAGTTGATGTTCCTTGACAGCGTACAGATGATACGGATTAATGCGACGAGACAATAGAGACCTTATTGGCTCATCCTTTTGTAAGGAGGACGCTCGCAAGTTTTATATGTGTGAATCAGGATGAGACGAGCGAAATTTGAATTTTGACCGAAGAATCTAGGAAGCTTGCGTTAGCATATGATACCACTAGTTCTTCCCTAATATGTAGTAATGGAAGAGGCGATCCATGTGTCGGTGAATAAACGTACAAGTGGCTTGTAGGGGCACGGGGTCGCGTTGACGATGGCGATATTGACTGATTAGCAAGGGATAAAATTCTTGTTGTCGCTCGAGATCTAGGCTGTCTGTTGGTCTGAGATAGAGCGTGTTGGATCGGTGATCGTTGGAGACCCTGGCAAAACAGCGCACGTATTGGGATTGGCACAGAATAGGCATTTCCAAATGGGGAAGTGTATCTATAAATGTTCACAAAGGACATGCGGCTATGTCTTCAAGATCTCTAGCCACTAGATCATGAAAGGATGACCATCTTTCGCGGTTGTAAACGAATATATCGATGTTGGTGCCTTGTCATATCTTGAAAGAACATTGGTAATAGATACTGTCATCCAGGTACGTTTCCTGTCATTGCGATCGATCTGCAAGTAATAATGAAATTTTGATAGAAGCTGACTTTGCTGGGTTAGGGGGTTCTTTCAACGACAAGAGGCAACGTTCGTTGGATACGATGCAAAGAAGTCAGTATACAGCTCCTAACACGCAAGAATTGTTGCAGCGGTTTTTCATCTCCTAAAAGCTCGCTACTTGAAAGACGTTCTTCCGCTGCCCAATAGTCGATTTTCGTGTGGCCGAATGGCAATTGCCTCTTAATAAATGGGTTATGGTCGGGGTGTTCGGAGGTACGCAGTTTGCAGCCAAGATGATAGTAACAAGACAGAAGTGTGTGATCTTGTGCGTCTAACCATGTCATGAAGCCAGAGAGACACTTGGTCGCATACCAGTGGATACCGACAATATGGATCGAAAAAGCAAAGTTGATAGCTACGTGCTCGTTTGACTAGATCTCGGGCAGCGAGAAAAGTGGCAATCAAAAGAATTGGATAGTATTTGTCAGTGAAAGGGGGTCCAGCGACGAATCGATGCTTTGTTGGTGGAGATAATTAGGATAAGCGTAGATAATCACAAGCCTACATGCAATATGCAACGGTCACCAAACAAAACAAACATGTTTTCTATTAGCATGAAAACCACAAGTCGTTCTCCAAAATCGTAAGGAGAATAGTTGCTTGCGGCAGAGAACAGTGGCTTTCTATAATAGGTCACACAAGTCTCCCTCGCTCGTGGACGGCTGGGGTGACATTCGTTCTCTGCAGTGTCGTAGACAGAACCTTTTGCTAATAGGTGCGACTTGTGACGCATTGACCAACAGGAAGGACTGATGTGGTGCCCGAAATGAAATAGACAGCTGGCCAATACGTGATGCAGCAGCGGTGACCTCCTGGAAGTTAGTTGCAGACGAGTCTGTGCTTCAATCACGATCCTGATCTTCGGCTGCGGGCCGCACCTTGTCAGTAGACATAACTGGGCCGAACCGAATTCTCCCAAGAACTGTCATGAGTCATAAGCAAGCATTACTTGGACAGCATTAAGGTCGCTAAACGACGCGTGACTGTGCTTGCGACTACCGAAAGTCTACTCAATCCTCAGGTATTCTAGCGACTAGCGGTCACAGCACGCAAACACCGAGAGTAGAAAGCTGAAAGTTTCGTATACTAAGGTAGACAGTTCTGTCCACCAGCGAATCGGGGGCTCATGTAGAGCGATGCCGCTCCACTTGTACGCAGCTCATGTATAATTCAATGTCATAGAGCAAATTTTCGAAAGCTGCCGGGTCATGCTTGAGCCCATTATACCAATATTGAGGTGTTCATGGCCTAAGTGGAGTGAGGATCCTCTGTTGGTTCAAACGTAGATAGCAGCCAAAGCTTAGGTTTCATATTGAAGCCACAGCTGAATGATCTATCGGTTTCTTTACCGAAAGACAGCTTGTAATTTACTTCTTTTCAACCGAGACTTCGAGTTATTCTAGTGCCTGAAAGACGACGAACCGAAGTGAGTGGCTGGCCTCTTAGTGAAGGAAGGTGACAAAAGTCGGTGGCGCCGCTGAACAGACGAGTCCATGCATTATTGCACAACCATGCAGTGCTAGACGGCGCCGGCAGACCAATAACCATCCCAATCACGCATCTCGCACATCCTTCGAGCTTCAGGATCGTGTGATTCTCCATAAGGCCCCGAAAGACCCATGATAACGTGACAGTTGACGTGCACATCAAAGTTATTATCCGATAACCAATGTGGCAGTGCTTTCAAAATATCACACCACACAACGCTGGAAACTTCTGAACGGCGGGTGCTGGCAGAACCATCTACAGCAAATCAGGAAGAAATAGAAGCAACAGCATCGCCGATCTTGGTTCATTGCTCGAAGCATGGACTCATGGAAGTGTGTCTTCAGTTTATGTTGATCACATTGGTGGGGATCAACCTAACCTTTTTTTGGGAAAGGAAATGACCTAACAGTGGGAAGATCTCCAAGATTCAGCGACAGAAAACGGCGTTTCCACCTTTCACGCCTCACCCACGCTGATCGCTGCCACTTGGTCCGTGATACTGACTCACTGAGTACATATCCGTAAACCATCTCCCCCACCGTCACACAATTGAGGCTGGATTGGTGGATCTCGGGCCCGCTAGAGAATGGGTTTCGTTTAGCGTCCCTCTTGACACCTGAAGGCTGAGATGAAAAGTTCGGCTTCTGTCCGTGTAGGATGGTCGATCGTCTAAGCTATCTTGCTAGCGCACAACCTACGCAAGCTTTGGATGCTAGATACTTCTTGGTCCCAGAATAGGTAGAGCTTGGAAGCGCCATTGTTGTTGGTTCCCCATCTATGCCCTACGATTTAGGTACCAATTTCAATTGACATATACTAAATCTCAATTTGCGCTTTGAATCGTGGCTAGTGTGTGAGATGTATCACATCCACTAGCCAACGTTTACTAACAGCATCGATTTTCGGTTTCTTTATCGACTCGAAAGCGGTCTGGACTTGGAGAGTCACGACTAAGCGAATTAAGGTGATAGTAACCGATGAATTTGTCATACTCATGCGCACACGAGGTAGAGGAATAATTGGTAGTTGGTGATTTACCGATCGCCACATGTTGACGCCGATAAATGGAAGAAGAGCAAGATGATCTGTCTGCATAAGGTTCAAGGCTATTGAAAATATCGTGGGGGTTGATTGAGAGTTCACCGATGCTGATCAAGCATTCAAGGATATTCGCGCAACCCAATCTACAAGGCCTGTAGATGATGTGGTCCTCCGCCAGCTGGTCTGGACGAGGACCAAACTCGTGGCAGAACCAAAAAATGAGTGAAGCACCCAAGTATGTAGATGATGTGCTGTTCAAGTTTGTTGGGGAGTCGATTTGCCCAGGAGCGCAGATACGGGACGGTGGCCTCTGGAATGTAATCAGGGTGATTCAGAGGAGATGGGAAAGAAGAGAGAAACCGTTCTCTTTCTTTCTTTTTTTTTTGTAAAGCTCTACCAACAAGAACCTTTTTCGAGTTCGTAAATTGCATCGCATAAAGGAGATTGATGTTTTTTCGAAGAAATTGTGGTAGCGGCGTCAAGGCTCACGGAAGCTTACAAGGAAGGCGCGAACGTGTCGATGCCCAATGATGCTACGGCAACTGAATGTGCTACGCTAAACTTGGTTTTTTCTACTGTGTAAAACTTGATGATAGATTCTAATTTTGGACGACGTGATCGTCCCATGATACTGTTACAACAAAATACAAGGCCGACGTCAATAATCAAGGTCGAAGACCTCTCCCAGGATCAATGTCAAACACATATCGGGGTGCCGCATTCTGCGCAGGAAAAGTAGCATCTTCGATGTCTCTGTCGAAGTCCTGTGAACTGTTGGGCATTATCAAATTGGACAAAGAGCCTAAAAGTGGATTTTGTTTAAAATGCCATGTCTGGACGTGATCTGGGGAGCCGACGAGAGAAGGATTGTCTCCCACGAAGACGAGCAGGAAGTCGGATGAAACACGATCAAAAGCAACTAGATATCCCGTCTTTTCCCATTCTCCAGCATCAATTTGCTCGGAAGACCCGTTCGTACTTGATGAGGGGAGCGTTTGCTGAGCAAGATGTCCGAGTTGGAAAAGGTTTCGACACCGCTCAGGACTGGCAAGTATGTTGCGGAACTCAACTCGAGCTTGAAGGAGCCCTAAGGTAAAGGAATCGGAAGTGGCTGGATCTGACTCCAGCTGAGTCGCCACCGGGTTCCATTGCGGAAACCAAGCAAATCTTATGATCCCATCATCTAGGGGCTGGGTAAACAAAGGGATGGGAGAGCCTTCAGAATCATTGAGCGCATCGATCACAAGTCCAATATCTGAGACAGAGCGAGAGTTTCCATATTCTTGGACCTGCGTTATCAAACTTTCAACGGAAGAGAAATTGATTGTCTCCTCATCCATCTGTAGGTTTTCAGCCCATCCTGTATTGCCACCTTCATTCGATAACTGATCTCCTGCCCGGCGAATTCTGTTTCTCATACCGCGAGGCACATTTAGCCCATAGTTTTCTAGTATTGTCACAAGCTGCGAGGAAACTCTCAAGGAAGGGTGAAAATCGCGCTTGACATTCATAATTTCCGTCAGCTCCTCCAAGCAGACTTTAGCGTGGTCGACTAAATCTGCCTTGAGAAACAGCATAACACATGTATAAGCGTCATCTATGAGCGGTTGATGGGAACTTGTTAATAATCGTTTTATCAGAGAGTCCCACACTGGCTCGAGGGATGTGCTTGATCCTAATTCCAGCAAAAGCTCAATCATAGTCGAGAAGGAGCCATCCCTGAGTTGTAAGACGTCGGCCAATTTTCTTCTAAATTTCATTTTATGGGGACCTTCACCTGCTACCATAGCTAGCATCGGTCCACTGTCGTATTTCGAGTCGGCAAACCGAAAAGTACGCGATGCAACGAGAAGGGACGTGATAATCGCGTCTGTATCATCTTCCTGTAACGGAGCAGACAAATGTTCGAGGTGGTAGTTCAAAGCAGAAGGTAAAAAGCACTGCGAGGCATAATAGATCCCTGCAATATGGATGACTTCAGGCACCCTCATATCTCGAAACTTGTGCCTCAGTATGAAAGCGTATAGCACCGATAAAATTTCTTGAGAAGAATGAAGCCGCTCGCAATTTCCAAGAGCTATTTTGAATGAATCTAGATCAGAAGATGTCGTGTAGCCAGCCACTGCATATTGCTCAAACCATAATTGGAGAGCTTCTAGATTCGATATTTTGTGTAAATTTGTAGGTGGCGTTGTTTTGAGGAGTGTGCCGTCTGGAGCCAGTAGCCTTCTTGTATACAAGTCTTCGATGGAATGATATTTCAGTAAAGTCTCTGGATTTTTGTCCGGGTCCATTCTTTCTGTGCTTTTGGGATTGCTCTTTACAAGATATCGCATCAACCTGGCCGGGATCAATGTGGAGCCAACGTCGTCGGCATTGGCATTGCCAGCGCCATGAGCATGGTCAGAGTATACACGTCTATGGCAGTTCTGTTGCCTTCTCAGAACCTGGGCGGCAGATGCCCGAAATTTCGACATTTGCCGCAATATTCTGTTTGTGTGATATTCCGCCAGATATGTGTTCTTGGTGTTGACAACATTGAATCCGGGGAAATTGAGGATTGTTACCATACCGTACTTTACCAACCTTACTAGCGGCTAGGCAACCCGCTAGTCTTTCACACCTCGACATCTTCGTTCAGCGCCTCCGAGACAAATATTCACCAATATCCGTTGCGGTTGACGCACGCACAGAGGAAATCTGTGATATTTTATCATTGCAATGTTGTCATCTAAGGCCGCAAAGGCCCGCACAGATGATGCCGTGGAAGCGACGCTGCAAGAAAGTGAAGTCTCGAAGATCAATGACGGAAGCGACGACACCAAGGACACCACAGAAACGGCCACGAATGGCGCTGACGACGTTGCAAGCAAGGCCCAGGAGAGACTAGCAAAATTCAAGGCCCTGAAAGCCCGTGCTGTGAGTTTACATCTAATCGAGTTTCAGTTTTGTTAAGATGACTGACGTGCAGCCAGAAAAACGCCACAGACAGCAATCTTAAAGAGACAGCAGCAGAGTCTCAACGCCTCTCTACCGACCCTGCCCTGCTGTCAAGCCTGTCGCGCAAGCATGCGTTTGCCTCTCACAACCTTCTTAAAGCGGATACCGAGGCTGCTGGTGAAGACTTTGAGCGTAAACGAGCCTGGGATTGGACCGTTGAAGAATCTGAGCGGTGGGATAAACGCATGGATAAGAAGCAACGCCATCGTGATGATGTCGCCTTCCAAGACTATCGCCAGGATGCACGAAAGATTTACAAGAGACAAATGAGGGAGTTGCAGCCTGATCTAGACGCATATGAACGAGAAAAAATGGCAGCCGTCGAGCGCGCTGCAGCAAGTGGCGGACTGGAAATCGTGGAAACCAACGATGGTGAACTGGTTGCGGTAGATAAGAATGGAAGTTTCTATACTACTGCTGATTCCACCGATTTCGTCGAGAACAAACCTGATCGAGCAGCAGTGGATAAACTAGTCTCTGACATTCGAAAGGCAGAAGAAGTTCGTTTGAAGAAACGCCGAGAGCGTCGCGGCGATGATGACCCAGATGTCACCTACATCAACGAAAAGAATAAACAATTCAACCAGAAGCTTGCTCGATTTTACGATAAGGTAAGCTCGCCAGTCACGGAGTGCCTTCTATTTTATAATAGTTTGCTAATAATGCTATAGTACACGAGAGAAATTAGAGATAGTTTCGAGCGGGGTACTGCACTTTGAAGTAGCAGTTTTACTTCTCATAGACTACGACCATATTGTCGACTTGTCTTGACGTTACTTGTTAGAAAGCCGACGTGGCCGACTCAAAGCATGGTCTTCCGCCATGCCTTTGTCGCCAAACTCTCGATTTTCTTTGTTCCAACCACGCCACTTGTTGATTCATCGTCAATTGCCTCCACTACTGCCTGTGCCACAATATCAGCCTTAAGAGGCTTTTCCGTCATGGAACCAGTGAAGCGCTGGAGGCGTCCGCCAAGAACAGCGTTGATTTCTGAACCGATCATACCGCCCACGGCGATCGGCAACGTGAATTTTCTGCTGGAGTCGTATAGGAAACCTGGTCGAATGAAGATGCTTCGCAAGCTGGGAAATGTCGCTGATATCCTTGCTTCGGCTTCCCTTTTTGTTGTGATGTATCTACCCGGAAGAAGCGGCGCTCCCGCAGCAGCTGATATATAGACAAACGTTGGAACGTGTTCTTGGGAGCTCTCCTGTGCTAATGCGATGGCTAGCATAATTCAACGCGTAAGCCGAGAAGCTCCTAGACTAGTTGTATAGTCAATTGGGTTAGGGAGAAAAAAAATACCTGTGTCTCTATTCATTACTTCATACGTCAATTGACCGTCTCTTTCTTGAGGTCGTAGCTCGTCACCCAATCCTCGCTTCAAAGGGTCCTGAGTTCCCAGTTTTGTCGAACTAAACGCTCTTTGTAAGCCGCTAACAATCGACTCCTTGCCTTGCACAACGCCCTTGTAGTCCGCCTCCAGGATGATTCCCATTGTATGCACGACCGCTGTCGCATCTTTCAAAAACGGCTTGTATGTCGTAGGCTTCAAAATATCGGCCTTTGCCCATTCCACCGAGTCCGCCCAGCCTGGCTTCTCCTTCGAAGCTGTTACTGTATCCCATCGGGGCTCCCCTGAACGGCTGCTGAGGTCAGATTGATGCGCGAAGAGGCAAGTGTTGTATATGGCATACCTCAGAGATGTAACGGCCCACCCTCGAACGGAAGCATGTTTGCATATTCTAGATCCTAGTGAATGCGTATTGAAGATTAGATATTCATCTCATGCTATTCAATTGCAGCTCTAGCGACTCACCCAAAAACCCGCTTCCGCCTGCAACAACAATACGTTTCGACGCCATCCTAGCGACGAGTGCTAGAAGGTAGTAGAAATGAGGAGTCAAATAGAAATTTCAAACGACGCTAGATATACATGTTCTAGGTCTCCTTCACGGCGCTAGTTACTGAAGCTCTCTGTCTCGGAAATGCTCCAAGCCGAATGACGACACTTTCTCGGCATCCCGGGTTTTGTCACGTGCCGCAGATACGATAGCTTATCGAGCACTGCTTTCCGCCCTTGGTTCTTTCTGCCATCGTTGATGCGTAATTTAATTACTGGCCCTACCAACCTAGTGATTTGCAGGGATTTGCGATTGCCGCTTTTATCTGGAGATATTCTTTGAACAACGAAAGCTATGCCTGCTGCTACTGGCACGAAACGCGTTAGGGTAGGAACAAACCCCTCTACCTCTGACGGTTCAGAAACTAGCTAATTCTCAACAACAGGGTGTGTCTGTCTTCAGGCCATTTGGTTAGTACATCTGGGTGAAGTTTAATATCTTCCGAGATGCTAACACGCAGGAAGTCTACGGTAGTGAAGCAACCCCATTCGACCCCGAGAACCGCCCCGCGAACGCCCCAGCAGATCACACGCATCAATGGCGAGTATTCGTGAAAGGCGTGAACGACGAAGACGTCACATACTGGCTGAAGAAAGTACAATTCAAACTACACGAGACATATGCGCAATCGGTCCGAACAGTCGAGCAGCCACCATTTGAGGTGACCGAAACCGGGTGGGGAGAATTCGAGATTCAAGTCAAACTGTACTTTGTGCCTGAGTCGACTGAGAAGCCCCAGACCGTTTGGCACAGTCTCAAGCTGCACCCATACGGGGATGATATTGAAGGAAAACGCGAGCGGAGAGAGAAAGTTGTTAGTCAGAATTACGAGGAGGTTATTTTCAACGAGCCCGTGGAACAGTTTTATGATATGCTTACGGGCGGCTCCAATAACAGCCAACCGGCCAAGGGGAAGAGTGGTAAGGCGAAGCAATTGCAGCAAAGTGCGGGGAGGACAGCGGAAATCCCAGATAACGATAGCCCTGGAAACCCATACAGCAGGGCGACGGAACATGCTGAGCTGGGAAGGCTCGATGAAGCGCTGAAGACCGTCGATCAGATGATCAAGGAAGAGAAAGTGAAGCTTGTGGAGCGAGAAAAGAAGTTGGCAGAACTGAAGGAGAGCGAGGGCATCCCGGTAGTTACGAAAAAGAAATGATCGGGGTTGGTGAAATGATGCCGGATTAGCAGATTATAATACGACCACGAACTTCCCGTCGACTACATCGTCGTCACGCCGTCTCTTGGGACAGAGGAACCATGCTGTACCGTGATTAGGTCACTTTGAAGACTTGGTTTGCAACTTCGGACAGAAGACCAAAACGCAGTGTCGATTTAGTCAATGTTGAGTTGGTTTACTATACTCACCCGACTATGTTATACACCCCCAGACATGTATAGCGACGGATGTCTTTTTAATACCAAATTAGGTAGAAAAAGAAATGCATTAATATTCAAATGACGCACTTCGTTGCAAGGGCATTATAGATGACATGGAATCTGGAAAGGAAGAAAGAGAAAGAACAAACACCCAAATCCTCAAGCTATAATCGTAATTGGTTCAGGCAAGAATGAAAAATAAAGGGATTAAAAATGCCAATATAGTCGTGAAGTCAGTGGAGTCATCACCTGTCAGTAAATAGAGCCAGCACTAGCGACAAGGCGCAGCTGGCGGCTTGTGGGGAGGCTGCGCGTTTACCTACTACTTTGACAAGCCAGCTTACGACGCCACCAGCCCTATTCTTAGCATTTTTCTGTCAACCAGAGTCTAGAATGGGGACCATATTGGTCCTGGCTGAAATTATTGCATTGAAAACGGACGCAGACCCGGCCGTATCAGAATGTGAGACACGGGGCCGTGCACAGTGATCGACCATTCGGCGGGCATGTTTGATTATCGTCACAACAACAACTGTCACACTCTTTGACATCGTATTCTTCTTTTATTTATTTACCTGACACTCCATTCCCTCTCACCGCCATCAAGCGCCGCTCGTTTTGCTGTCCACCTTCTACGCACTCAACATACGGCTGACTTGCGATTCTATCGTTGTCGCTGTGTTTGTTTTTGATATTCACTCGATAAGAGAAGGTCTGGCGATTGTATCAGATGCCAACTTAGCTGTGAGGCACAATAACCATTTCAGACCTGATCTCTAGTTTCCCGTCTGTCTTTCAACATGCATGTATTAAAATTTCTTCCGTTTCTACTGCCTACCGCGCTAGCTTCATTAGAGGTTGCGCAGCGAAGTACAACCGCCTGCAACAACTCTCCTAGCCTGTGCAGTAAAACATATGGCCAGATTACTCACCTAGGAGCTCACGACAGCCCCTTCGTGAGAGACTCAACCACGGATTATTCAACATTTGGAAACCAGTGAGTGCCACTAGTCTGCCGCCTAATCTACCCTTGCAGTTCGCTGACTTGACAAGATACTACAATACCACAGTCCAGCTATCCGCAGGCGTACGGTTGGTGACGGGTCAAGTACACAAGAATAATAATGAGTGGCACCTCTGCCATTCAGGTTGCGATTACCTTGACGCTGGGACATTGGAATCTTGGCTGTCCGAGATCAAAACCTGGCTTGATAATAATCCTAATGAGGGTAATATGCCAGACCTTTCACAGCTATGACAAAGAAGTCTAACTAATATGCGTCTCAGTGGTGACTGTTCTGCTGGTGAACTCGGATGATGCATCCGCCTCGGACCTCAACACTGTTTTCAAAGCTGCAAACATCACCTCTTATGCTTATACGCCCTCATCGACAGGTGCTGTTGCCACATGGCCCACGCTACAGGAACTGATCAGTTCCGGTACCAGGCTTATGACTTTTATCGCTTCCTTGTCGGACAACACCGGGGCTACGTATCTTATGGATGAGTTTACATATATTTGGGAGAACCCCTACGACGTCACATCGGCCTCGAACTTCTCATGCAAGCCCGATCGCCCGAGCGATGTACAAGGGAACACTGCGGCTGCACTTTCTTCCCACCGACTACCCTTCATGAATCATTTTCTTGACCAGGAGATCGGAATTGGAGGAATTGAGATCCCAGACGTGGGTGCCATTTCAACGACCAACGGACAGAACGGGACTGGCAATCTACTGACTGCAGCCGATACCTGCAAGAGCGCATACTCCAACCGACAACCAACTTTTATCCTGGTTGATTTCTTCGATAAGGGCCCTGCTATCGATGTTGTGGATAAGTTGAACAATGTCACCGATGCAACTGGCCGCACAGCTGTCCCCAATACCAATTCGGCGGACACCTCAGGAACTACCACCAGCGGTGGAACCTTCGTGGGCTTGACCGATCTCGTAAACGAGGCAAAGACCGGCGCTAACCCGAGCTTAGGCAACTGGATCTGGGTCGGCGGCGACTGGGTCACCATCTTCGGCGGCGGCATCTCCATCTAGCACTTCCACTGGTTCATCAACTGATTCATCAACTGGTTCATCAACTGGTTCATCGACCGGTTCCTCTCCGTCTAACACGTCCGAAGCGTTTGTGTTCTTTGCTTCTTCGTTCTGCATTGCGTTGGCGTTTGTCGGATTTGCGTGGAATTTTTGATAAAGGTCGGCAATTTAATGATTGGTAACGACTTATTTAAATAGATGGGCTGCAAATCATACAGAATTTTTGAATGCCTCCGTAATTCATCCAGTCAGCCCTCACCACTACTCCTTACCCAATAACTTATTGACCGCAGCTACTTTATCCTCGAAAGATTGGATCTTGTCAGTCCTATAAACCGGAAGTGCATCAGTATCGTGCAACAAATTGACATGAATTGAAACCCACCTCGACCCACTACGGATATCAGACTGAATGCGCACAACGCCTTGCTGGTGTAGAATCGTATGAGCCTGCCCGATGACTTTGTGCACCTTTTCCCACGGTCCTTCTACAGTACGACGACTAATTAGCAAAGCCCGATCAATGTACAACCTCAAGAGGCCTCAGCATACCTAATGTTGTCCCGGCCGAATGCATCACGTATTTCAGACCCGACCTCTCAACCAATCTCTGCACATCGGCGATTTGCGCGGAGACAGACGCTGAGCCTGTTCCAATCTGTGTAGCGGCTAGCGTTAACAGAAGCTGGTTTCAGTATGATGGGATTACGGCGGCGTACAGGAATTAAGCAGAAGTCTGCAGTGCAATGCTCCGGAGTGGGGATGTTGGAGAGGGAGATGTCGCTTGTTGAGGATGACATGGTCTTGGCTAGATTTGTGTTAATAGCAGTCAGGACGAGAATCTGTGCATGGTCTTTCCCGCTTAACAATGAGGTGTGTGAGAGGTTGTGGATAGCAATGTGAATATGCGAAGTGGTTGTCTGTCTATATTCCGCGATGATGCAAGCGGGGCAGTACGTAGTTACTAGGGACTGACTGTATCTCCGCTGTCCAACCTTGGAACCGCTTACCGTTTACTCCATCCCCGTACGACTTTCTAAGTTTCTTCAACAATATTTATTATTTAATCATACAGCAGCGCGTCCATAGTCTTTGCTTTGTGGTCTCTGATTTACGGCACGCCCTGCTCGTACACATACACAACAACTAATCAGTCCTCTTTGCTTGCCTGGCCTTACTTAGATCAGCTGATTGGTGCTTCTGACCTCTCTCGCCATCGCTCCATTGGTCTGTCTGACCGTGCAGTCTCGCCTGGTTCCGCAAAGTCTTCTCTATAAATTGCCTGCTGAGGCTGGCTGTCTTCCTGTCCTGCACATCCCGCCTTGTCTTTTCTGACCAGTCAGATCAGCCCCGCATAGATCTGCTGTACTAGCAGGCCAGGGGTTGCGATTTCGAAAGCACTTTGACAGCATCGCTCTGTCCTGGTTGGCTGCATGTGCGGTTAGTTGCATGGTCGACGTTGACCAAGACCGGCATTAGGCGATGTGACTGGTCACAGACATTTGATCCGCCTCGAGTTGGTGATTGATCAAAGGATTCGTCTACGCCCGAAGTTGATGGTTCTGCATTAACCAGTTACAAGCCCTTCTTTTTTGCCCTCGTTTCCTTCTTCTCTGTGATCTGTTGGGAGGTTTTTGTGCTGTTTACTTTTGTATTTGATGTATTTGATGCTGTGGTGTCTCAGTGCTACTAACTATCCGCAATCACCTTGACCTGCATCCGCTCTATTTGTTGGGGAAAAGCGCTTATCAAGTTATTCAACCTGTCGAATCGGTGCATTGAATTTCTTCTTTTTAATTCAAAGATAAAGTTTTGGGAGATTCTTTGTGCAGGTGCAGATGGTGGGTTGTTTTACCTCCATCGACTTTTGTAGCCCACCTCACTGTCATGGTTTTACCAATGACCTCAGGCTACGGTCTCGATCTGCCGAATGACATTCAGTTGCAGTATCTTGCTGAAGGCGGTGCAAATATTGTCTACCGCATTGCCCTCCCACCAATATTCAACGTGCCACCATCAGAGATCGAATACTACGGTGATATAACGCCACCGCCAACAGAAATCGAAGATTCGTTAGAAGCTCGACTCTTTCGTAGGAATCTTGTGCGATTGAGGAAGGACGTTCAATTTGGCTTCCCCTACCGGGACACAGCCAACAACTTCAATACCAAAATCCGACATTTGTTCCGGCCTGAAGAGTTGGTTGACCAGATTCTTGTCAGGCTACCACCAGACCTGACTGCGCGCTGTAATGAGCAGCTACGAGCTAGCGAAAGAACTGGGAAACGCCCAACGAAACGCCATGGTGTTTACCTCGCCCCAAATGAGCCCTTCGGCATGCTCATCACCGATATGACCAACTTCGCCGACCCAGCGGCCACAGTCGTTGCCGAATTGAAACCAAAATGGCTTGTCCAATCCCCTTCAGCACCAGCCGGTGCGAGGAGATGTCGTACATGCGCATTACGTGATATGAAAAACTCAAACACTGATGGTGGAAAACCAGCACAACCACCACAGCTATTAGAACTGTCCAGATCATTCTGTCCGTTAGACTTGATATCAGAAAAGATAGAAGACATCCAGCGCGTAACGCGAATATTTAAAGGTCGCTCAGACCAGATCCGCATTGCAAAGGCACTTTGCCGTCATCCGACGCTGCTGAACCTTGTCTCGTTGCAGCAGGCACACAATGATGTGGGCCTTCGCGGTCCACCGGTACATTCAAGAGAGATGTCACTCGGTATGACACTACGAGATTGCACGGTTTATATCAAAGTAACCTCCCTACTCCTAATTTAATGCATGAACTAACCGAGACGTAGATCCCCCCGAAGACGGCCCAATTGAACTCCGTCTCGGCGACCTTGATCTCAAAACAGCAGCGAGTGGTAAAGCGAGCTACTGGCGGAGCATCGAGAATCGGCTTATTCTAGAAGGATGGTATATGGGAGAGAACCCGAGCCAGGTTCAAACAAGCGGCGAATGTGCATTGAGTCGAATACGGATGTGAGCCACGGCATTACACAAGTCGATAGCTTTCTTTTTGTGTTGAAGTTATTTATATCCTGTCCGGCGTTGGATTGTGGGAAACGACGTATTATTAATGGATAATATGTGCGTACAGATTCTATCTGATCCGTAATGATAATGCTCTTCGTTGGACCATTTCGGAAATATGAAGCTAGTGTTTAATACAGACTTATCCTCCTTTTGATTACATAGTATCAAGACATATTCCTCGAAAGAAAGCACCGAAACCCCCCCAAACTCGTACGGTTAGAAATTTAAAAAGTAAAGCACTGAAAGGAAGGAGAGAAAAAGTCTAACCCCGTCGAGTACTCTTCTTCAACATTTTCCGCTGCTCCTTCTCCTTCTCCCTCTCCAGGTACTTCCTCTGCTCTTCGGCAGTCATGCCGCGCAACACGCGTTCGCGTTCTTCTTTCTTGATCTTCTCAGCCGTAATCTTCCGCTCTTCGGCTTTTTCCTCTTCGTCGATTTTGCGCAGTTTGCGGGTTTCTTCTTCGCGAGCGTTGCGGAGTTTGCGGCTGATCTCCGGCCGCCAGTGGGCCAATGCCACGAGGGTGTCTGGGAGACGGAGGAAAAGGTTGTAGAGGGGAAGAGTGGAATCGTATCCGTTGGACGGCAGGCGTAGGGAAAGCTGGATGCGCTTTTTAGGGGCGGTATCCTCGATTCTGATGCTCTTGTTAGTTTTCGATAGTATGTGTCTTGTAGTTGGAGATGCTTACTTCAATGGCCTGTCAATGGGCTGGTCCGAAATTATCAGATACTCAAGCGCATCTCCAGCTTCCTCAATAGCCTTGATTAGGGCTGGCGTCAGGAGGAGATCGGTGATCTCGGCGCTCTCGGTCATCACAGTAGCCCAATCGGGGAGCTTGGCATTGTCCTTGGTAAAGGTCATGGAGACGTCATATCGGTCCACGCGAAGTCGGCGCATGGCATTCTTGTGAACAACAGCCCAGATGAATCCGTCGTAAGTGGAATTGGGGACCTTGATCGAAGAAGCGTCGCCAGCGGGTGCGGGAACAAGATCTTTCTCCTTGCCATCGAAGGTGTACAGAGTAGACTCGACTCGCTCGACCGGCGGTGGGAAACTTTCGAAAAAGAGTCCCAAGACGTAGTCCATAATGAAAATGATTGGGTTATAGCGCTTGATGAGCTTGATGGTGACGTCCAGGAAAGCGACATTCTGGCGACCAGTAGCATAGGACTGGAAGTCCTGCGCAGTCTTCTCCTTGAGTAACTTCTCGGGTTCGACAAGCTCCGATGATTCACTCTGAGCGATACCCCCGAAACCAACAACCGCAAATTCGCTCTGGAGCAGGGGGGCGTGTGCGACTGCCCATGCCTTGGCCTTGCTCCTGTTCTTGCGCGTGCCCCAAAAGTGGTATGTGAAGATGAAAAGGAGGAATGGCAGGATAAATGCCTCCTGCCAAAAATCACTCGGACTTGTTCTCTCCCACACGCGATACCACTTGGTAAAAGGGACATTCGAGGCGTCGGTGACAGAAGCAGCCGGAGCAGATCCAGCAGCAGTCAAGGGGGCAGGAGACGGATCAGGAGCGCCGGCAAAATCAGCGAAATCTGTAATACATGATTGGCAAGTTAGTCAATTGATCCCCCATTCGCTTGCTCGGTCAATGGGCTCTTTGTTGGTTGTTGCGGATGGAAAACCCGACTTACCATCATCGCCTGGGGCGGCGCCAGAGGGGGCAGCGCCGCCAAACAAGTTATTGAAAACACCAGCCATTGCGAATACAAAGGGAAGTTTGCTACCAACAATGGCAGGTTGTCGCAACGTGGTGTTCGGCTGGGGAGAAGGAGAAGAGGCCAAGCGAGAGAGAGACTGCACGGAGGAGACCACGGCAGGCCCGTGCACGAAGCTTGCTCTTTGCTTCCGTTATTGGTTAAGTCATTACGCGTTGGTCTTTCTAGAAGGCCGCTAGAACCGTGAGGAACATCCCTTCATTATCATCAATGTCCGACATGATAGTTATGCGGTTACTTTATATTAACTGATCACTATCTTCAATACTCCTGCTAATCAATCTACAAATCGAGCTGCAGCCTTGGTCTCATCTCTCGTCGCCTTCAGGAAGGGTATCAATGCAGTGCCTCCGGTCCCGTAAAAGACCTGCGCTTCTTTCTTCTCTGTGGACTCGGGCTTAAAAGCTGCAGAAGCTGTCTTTGGAGACGAATTCGGACTGCTATCCATGCAAGCCGATGTAGCAGAAGCCAGGTTGAGTCGCTGTGTACCGGACACACTCCTGTCGCTCGGCGACGACTGAGATTTCCTTGCCTGCATGATGATATACCTGGTGACTATTTGAATGTGTTTATCGCGGAACCCACCGAGTTTCATCACGGCCGTATTGTACGTCTGTCTCACATCGGACGATGCGGGGAGGCTCATCGCATATTGCCGTATATTGGCAACAGTGCCAATATATTCGAGGAACCGGCGGTGTGGGCCGGGCATATAATTTCTCATTTCCTGCACAGCACCGGCATTAACGTCAAATCAATATACGAATTTCGGGAGGCAGGTTCCGACATACCTGCATGAATGCTCTATGCCCAGCTTCTTTATGTCCTACCTCCCCACTAGCAAGATGCTCGATACCGAACGCAATATCAAACAACTGAATCAGTGAGCTCTGCGCATTGCTTCCTCCACTATATTGATGCCAGTCCCCCTTTCCGTCCCCGATATCATAAAAGACACCGTTTGGCAGACCCGCGGCTGTCATATTTTTCGATCCCGCCAGCAATGGGCGGATCTGATGGTAAAACACTGCCGGTCTATTCCTTTCATACATCCGTTCCAATATACAACCCAGCTCTTCTATACAAGCTGTCATTTCGTTGAGAACACGTACGAGCAAATCATTATCACCAATTTCCACCGCATTAATGCCGTTTAAGACCAGAGGAATCGTCTTTGCGCCGCACGCTTCCATTGCCACGGATATCACGAGGAACCATCGTTCATCGTCCGTGCCGGTAAGTGAGTTGATGAGAGCGAGGTTGTCCGGATTTGTGAGATCGGCATCTGTCTCGGAAACAGTGGCGAAATTCCACAGGTTCAAAGCCGCATATGTGGCACAGGGCGGTAATTCCAGATGAGTGGAGACCTCGAGAATGGGGCATGCGATAGATGGCGGGAGCCTCTATTATCGAGTCGACAGTTAGTATGAGTTACAAGGGCCTTGATATAGGGCTGGGTTTGTTTTGATACTAACATCCTCGGGTCGTTTCCCGCCCCAAATGTATGCATGCGTCAGGAACGCAAGGATGAGATATGCTCGTTGCCATTCGGCCTCGCGGTAGAGTTTATCCGTGGAGAGAACTGGCAGGCGCAACACTTCACGTCGAATGTAGCCCGTGCTTATGAGATCTGGGAGATCAGCCATAACTGATTCCCATGGGGCATAGTAAGGATCTGGAAGGTGTTGTAACGGTGGTTCTGTAGGTAGGAATCCATTATGAAGGGAGACACTAAACTGGTCGAGAGGGATGGTTGGCGACTCCAGCATCTTGTCTTATAATGAAGAATAAACAAATAAAGAAAAGAATACAAAATATGGCTCCAACTGCCTTTTGATTTGGTAGATCGTGAAAATTAATGATTTACAGCTTGTTTGGTCCAAGTCAAGAAATGATTGACGATAGAATATGAAGTCTATATAAGTGCAATCGTACACATCCGGTAATATGAAACTTACCAGGCCACTTCCGTATCCTTGACCCAACAAACAAAGTTATACAAACCATCTTATTCGTCATACATAAGTTCTTTCGAAATGGAATGAGGGTTTGAAGCGGCAAAACACGGATATACACGCGGTTGATAAGACACGGGAGCGGAAGCGGAAGCGGATACGGGAATGTCATGGTGGGGAGAGGACTGTCAGACATTGATAAAGGTGTGAGCTAGTCCATTGACATGCTTTAGATTCTTCTGTGAATATACGTTCAGTGCACCTGTGCAGTTCTAGTAATAACGTGCAGAAATATACATCATATCGAACATGGCGCCGGCATTGACAGTACCTCTATTCGAAGAACAAAAGGAGATTTCAAAGTTCCCTAGTAATGCATTAAGTCGAGAATATGCAGAGTCGCTTGATAGCGCCGATCCACTGCGCTCTTTTCGAGATAAGTTCATTATTCCATCGAAGTCGAACCTGAAAACTACGAAACTAGCGAAGCCGGGTATGTTCAAACAAGAATACGTAGAATGATACATGTATCTGTTAATAACCATCGAAACAGGCCTTTCGCAAGACCAGTGTATTTATTTCTGCGGAAACTCACTTGGTCTACAGCCCCGCGCTACAGCAAAGTATCTCGAGGCCCATCTCGATACCTGGTCATCAATCGGTGTTTGCGGACATTTCAGGGACTTGGAAGACTCGCCATTGAAGCAATGGCAGTTACTGGCCGAGCAGGCTGCTGAAGACATGTCCAAGATTGTCGGCGCAGCCCCGGAAGAGGTTGCTGCTATGGGAACCTTGACCTCGAATCTGCATCTTTTGCTGGCCAGTTTTTATACTCCTACCCAGACCAAACACAAGATTCTGCTAGATTGGAAGGCCTTTCCGAGTGATCATGTACGGGGATTGTAGTCCATTGCGAGCCGGTTAAATCAACGCTGACAGTTTGTATAGTATGCTATTGAATCCCAGATTAAATGGCATGGTGGGAACCCGGACGAGTCGATGGTTCTGATCAGTCCGGACGAGGGCGAATATGTCATTTCGACGGAAAAGATTCTATCGATTATTGACGAGCACGCTTCCGAGGCTGCAATGCTTTTGCTTCCCGGGATTCAGTATTACAGTGGCCAGTTCTTTGACATTCCGACAATCACAGCCTACGCCCAGTCCCGTGGTCTAGTGGTAGGCTGGGATCTCGCTCATGCTTATGGAAATGTTGAAGTGAAGCTGCACGACTGGAATGTCGATTTTGCTGTCTGGTGCACGTATAAGTATGGAAATGCAGGGCCGGGAGCAATTGGTGGCTTGTTCGTTCATGACCGTCACGGTGCTGTCGACTACAGTCAAGGAGAAGATAAGCCAGTGTATCGAAACCGTCTGAGTGGTTGGTATGGCGGAGATCGATCAGTGAGGTTCAAGATGGATAACAGTGAGTTGATTTTAAGTATCTAAAGAGAATTATGGGTTAATATAAATCCAGAGTTTAAACCTATTCCCGGCGCCGGAGGATTTCAGGTGTCAAATCCGTCAGCTGTGGATTTGGCTTCGTTATGCTCTGCATTGTCGGTCTTCAATGACACTTCGATTCAGCAAATAAGAGCCAAGTCGCTCCGCATCACAGCATATCTCGAGCATTTATTGCTGGCCGGGACTACCGAAGAATCGCGGCAATATCGCATCATCACACCATCAGATCCTAATTCCCGAGGGGCACAGCTAAGTCTGCTTCTCAAACCTGGGCTTCTTGACCGGGTTTCTCAACGGTTGGAAGATGCCGGTATCATCTGTGATAAGAGACAACCGGACGTCGTCCGTGCAGCGCCTGCACCGTTATATAATACTTTTACTGAAGTTTGGGAATTTGTGAACGAGCTGAAAGCGGCGGTCCAGGATTAGTAAAATTATGGATAGTCTGAGTATGAAGAAATTAAAAACAATTATAAATTTCCAGTAGAAAACCAGTCTTCTGGGTTACGAATAAAGTCTTGCCCTTGCGTAAAGAAGTTTTCTGCAAGCATAGAAAATTGATCGTCGTAAGGATCCACTGGGGTTGTTAATAACCCTGTATCCATGTTCTGGCTGACATTCTGGGCCATGAAGTTGGAATTGCGAGGTGTTTGACGTGGTGTACTATGAGATGAACCAATCCTCGTGGGTTGAGGAAGAGGGGATGTGTTGGATACTTCAGGAACTCTTGTAGTACTCCCCAGGTAAAGCGAGGGTCCGAAAAGGCTGTTTGTTGTATCTGAGACGCTTGAAGAATAATCAAGTATTTCCCAAAATCGAGATAAATCAATCAGAAGGGTCTTATTTTGCGCCTGGGCATAGGGAACGTATGATGCTTCTACTGCCCCGTTAAGAGCTTCTAGCTTTTCTGCCTACAATCTTATTAGCAGTAGAAACAATTGAGAGAAAGGAATAAATGTACCATCTTCGCCATATGAGGCCACTCCTTCCCCAAGTCACGCACAAAATTTGTACAGGTTTTGAAACGCTCCTGCTTGTTTTTCCGAATAGCAGCGTCTTCTGTGAAACTGAGCTGAAGTTCAATAGTTGCAACAACGGCCACACAATACCCCAAAAACGGATCGGACACTTTAAACCCCTTCTCCGCGAAATACCGCACAAAGTGGAGGATCCAGGTAGTGTGAGAGGCTAGCATGTCAGATGAGTGTTGAAGGAAAATTTCTGGAATCACACTTTTATGATTCCGCAGAACCAGTGATAGCAAAAGAGGATGATTAAGGAGACAGAGAATCGTGTGGTACATGAATTGATTAAGAAACCATGGTCCCCAGTAATCCCGGTTCGATTGGAGATCCTCGAGGGTCCGTTCATCAAGATTAGCATACTTAAAGCGATGTGTGTAAGGCATACGGGTCTCTCCGTCCATTTGAAGAGCTATTATTTTCGAGTACTCTGATTCCGGAGACCAAGGCGGGAAGTTATTTGGCTTCCCACGACGCTTGACGTATGCAGCTGTCCTAGAAAATGTCTCACTAAGTAAAAGTACATACGAGACAATTCCTTCATCCTTCATTCTGCGTACTATTCGAGCTTCAATACCAGACGGGTCAAGGCCGTCGATGTTAGGCGCTTCCCCTGTGCTCTTGGGATACCTAGGAAGGCAGTCTTGACTGGTGAAATCGAGAATGTGAACCTCTTCACCGTGAAGTCGACGTAACAGACAAATGCTCCAAAAGCAACGTCGGCGTTCTTCTTTGGCGACATCATCTTGTATTGATACAGGGTCTAGCGCCAGGTTGGCACATCTAGCAAGGTCTAAAGCGAGACCACTGTGTATTGTTGCTTGATGAATATTTCCATCTAAATTTGTTAGAAATACTTTGTGCGGAAATGGATTAGGTTCAATCATACTGGTAAACTCGATAATGCTCAGCAAGCAAAGGCTCTGAAGCGTCGAGATCTCCACTGGACCTCCCAGCACCCGTCTAGTGACAAGCCCTCTGGCGGCTTCCGTATACGAAGCAGCTGCGGTTGGGATATCATCGAAGTCGTTTAATGGAGGATTCGAAAAGTATCTTAGGGCCAAAGCTAAGATAGAATAAATAATTTCAGGATCCCGTTCGTCAAGCGTCCTGAGAAATGTTTGGCGGTGGAATAATGGTAGAGGTTGGCAGTCGCAATAGACCAAGTAACTACGCGCAATGTCAAGCACCCTATCCCAAGAAGGGATAAGAGTCTGATCGTAGGAGATCTTACGTGTAGCCGTAGAAGTGAGTCCGCTTTGCCGTAATGGCGAGTTCACATGGTTGGTTTGACGCGGTTCATGTTGTCTGCAGGTTAATTAGAACTATAAAGACTAGGCCGTTTGGACGATCCGAATACCTACCCAATACTTCGCAGGACCTCAGTCATTTGGGCTTCTAAATTTCCTAGCCGATGCTCCTACACCATGAAATTAGCCACACCCTCCTAATGGTGACAAGGTGGACGATACGCACTACACCCGGCCTATGGCTGTCAGATGAGATCTCGGATCGTGCGTCCACAGCAGGAGAGCCCGATTCTCTCCACGAGCGGCGCCGATCTGATAAATAGGTGCAGGTTTGGCGGAGTCGGGCACAGTAGGAGCATACTGGCTGCTCACCAGGACATCTTGTCTTCTTACGTCTAGTTTCGGTTTAGATTGTAGACGATTGGGTCCGCGGAAGAGTAGCATTACCTGCATGGCTCGCAAGCCAATTGAACACGCTTCCGGCGTCCGCTAGATGACATTTTAGCTAGCCCATAGCTACCAAATTCGGGGTATATCAATGTGGCCTGTCATTCATCAATTGATGTGGTGGTGTGAAGAAGGAAAGTTCAACCCGGCCCAGCACGGAACGAGCCGGGTGGGGCGTCGTCCCTTGTAACAACGTCAGTTTTCATAATAATTGTTCTTTTTATTTAATAAACAGGCCTGTTAGAACACTAGGAGGATTTGGGATAATTGATATTAGACACTGACGAGAAAATCTTAAGCTTGAGAGAAGAAGAGGAAAAATATTGTAATCTACATGTCCAAGTCGATATCTCATCGACTTGTTAGGATTAGTGTCCTACAATCTGCAATCGCGAAAAGTGCGAGAATAAAGTAAAGGGAAAGTGGTAATGATTCTTAAGCTGCAACAAATAGTATGTATATCAATCTAGATAGACATCAATATAGCCATAGTGACCACGCTGGCAAAAGTCCACCTTGGCTTTACAATCCCAGCACTCGTCGTAGTCCCGTTGCTACTGAGAGCGCTGCTATACCTTTTCCAGCTCCACGCCAAAAGCCAGGGGCTTATAATACCTTCACAGGAATCTAGGAATATAAATTCGTATAATAATGAAATTCAGCTCAGAAAATCGAAACCTGTTAAATGCCGTCAATCTAAATCTGGCAAATTGTTGACTTGTTAATAAAATTAACTCGTTCATCAAATACATACACGAAATGACATCAGTCATGATATATGACTATCTTTCACTTTTCTATCCCCTTCTATATCTTATCGTCTCCAATCTTACAAGAAGATCTGTTCACCATTAACATACAAGCTAATAAAAGCGAAATATACTCAAATCAATAACAATACTACTCCAATGCGGTCACGCTCTTTCCTTACAATGGGGTAGATGTCGTCCAGTTGTTGGGGAAGCCATGTCTAATGTAGTGTGTGGGTTTCATGAACCATCCTCCACCACCGCCATCACCGCCAACTACCACAAACACATCAACTACCACCACTACTTTGACCTCAACATCCACCTGAGTCCCTCAACGACTTTACCAACAACACAGTTATCGATCGCTACAGAATAGCCTAGTATAACAGATAATGCAGCTTTCTCCACCGCTCGGGCTCAACAGAGAAGATAGCACGGCCTCCAATTACGGAGACACCAGTATTAATTTCTACATGTGCGATCACCGTCACAGAGTTAACAGTAATTTTAATAACAACAAAGTTGAATTTGGCAAATCAGCTTCTCTCCGGCTAGGATGGCCTAGGCAATTGTCATCACGGTCAATTCAACAATTAAAGCTTTTCACTCGTTATCAATCTCGCTGCATTGGAGAGCTTCGAATACTAATAGCTACCGCTTCACGGATCTTGGGCATGACACTGAATCTGGGCTCGTGTAGTAGTCAGCTTCGGTGAGTATATTAGGACGCATCTGCTTCGGAGATTTGGGCCCACGCCTGAGCACCAAACTCGACTAGTTGGTTTAATGGGCTGCGAAAAGAGTTCTAGTTGAAATGTAACCTTTATTAGATGGGATATTGTTTCAATACATCTGTTTAGTGCTCCGAGTAATGCGCATAGAATCATATTTGTGTGAATCCCTAGTGAATACTGTGAGGGCAGCTCGGTAGCTTACTTCTTGGTCCTAAATGCAATTGAAAATGAGTCACTCGAGATCGCATTTTCAGTTGCTCGTAAACTTCGGGCTCGGAGTGAACTCGGACTCTGGCCTACATCCAAGATGGAAGTACTAACTAACAAATCAATGAGTCTTATTAAAGCAGATCAAAAGTTGCGTATAGATCCTAGTTCATTTTAGCTGCACGGGATATATTATAGGAAGAGGCTGCCCAATACAAAGGCCTGGAATGAACACCGAGAAAATAATAGCATAACATATTAGGGCCAACATATCAGGAAATACTATAAATAATTCTTCCAATCTATGAGATACCTCACCCACCATTTCATACGAAAAGAATCTGTCCGTCTCGAATAGGAAAGGTTGCAAGTTCATTTCCCAAATAGGAAGAATCTCGCGTCCAATGACACACCTCGCACCCAATCCCGACCAATCAATGCGCGCTCAACGTGGCGAAACAGCGTCTAAGATGAATCCCGATATTCCGTGCTTTTAACTGTGGAAGCCGAGAAAAATCCGTTTTTGCACGTCATTTAGCATCAAACTCATACGGGTGGTGTTTATCAAACCAAATTTACTCGTCGCTATAAATAAAGCCATATGGACCATTTTTGTTGTAAGCCACCAAGCCAAATAAATTTTTAATAACCTCTATCAATTCTGACCCCAACACGGCGTTTTAACTTTGAGATCAATTGATATTTGATATTTGATATTTTTGACAATTCCGTCAACTGGTATCTCGACATCTGAAAAAAGAATTCGACGTCTCAGACGCATCCAATTCTAATGGCAACAAATACACCATCGACTGGACGGGTCTCTTCAACAAGCTCGGAACTATCTCTACACAAGCCTTCATCATCGAGCTCATTCTTAAGCAAGATCAGAAACCGCTTCAACAACAAATGTGCAGAATGGGCTCCACTCATGAAAGCTAAAAGCAACCTTGACTCGGAATATAACTTTGCGCCGGGGAGATATGCCGGGCAGGGGATATCGGCTAGAAGGGAGAGGGATTAGAAATACTTCGTTTTTGAATTAGAGGTTAGTAATGTGCTTGATATACGCCGGTGCACGATTACTAACTGACTTAGATGCATCTGGACGTCTTTTACAAGTCTCTACGCGGGGTGGCGATACTTTTTTCATTGTTATTTATAATTTCACATTGGGCCGAATGGATGTCGATAATGGCGAATATGGGAACATTTCTTTGATAGCGACCGGTTGATCTTTTTATTATTTCAATGAGTATCCGAGAAACCGAAGAAATTGAATTCGTATCAGTATTTAACATCATGATCTTTTTTAGTACCCTCAATCCAGATCATGAGATGAAATGATATATCAATTGATACTGGTGCAACTACTCGAAATCATAGCATGTACCTTCAGCTTGGATGCTAGGGTAGTTTTAGGGATTATGCATCTAGATGTCATATAGATGAATTAATAACATTCAACATGATTGAATTTTTGAGTAGGGAAAAAGAGGGGTTGACCGAGTGCCTCGGACATAAAATATCTTTGTCCAATACTATGTACTAGGAATATTCGGGTTAATAAATAGTTCATTCGATGATGACTTAAAGGACCGACACACGAGCCGATTTACTCCCTGAAGCTTCGTGCCACTCCCCTTTTGATACGTTACGTACAGTAACCGGTCTAACAAATGAAAGATTAACTCATATCATATAAATTGGGATCTAATCTAAACTGAAAGCTACATATGTATGATATCGCAATGCATAAAAACATCAAGACCAACTCCACAAAACGATTTGTCACTTACTTGGCGCCAAAAATCTTGACGCGTTCGTCAACAGGTTTGAACTGCTTCTCAGCTGCAGGAGATTCAATGGAGCCAAAAACAAGCTGGGCCTTCAATTCCCACTCGCTGGGAACAGCGAAGGTCTTGGAGAGCTCGGCGTCGATGAGGGGGTTGTAATGCTGCAGGTTGGCTCCAAAACCTAGGGTTTCCAGGCCAGCCCAGACTGTGCATATCGTGAGCTGCAGACCTTTCTGGGGTTAGGGAACATGTTAACTTACGGAACCATTGGTGCATGGCGTTGGAATGCTCAGCCCACGGAGCAAACTTGTCTCCAAAGGCAGGAAACTTCTCCGCAAATGGCTTGACGTGAGCAGGGTCTTCGTAAAAGAGGATCTGCGAAACTGTCAGGCATTTGCTCTAAAATTAACTTACTTCATAACAAGACTTTTAGACATACAGTTCCATATGCAGCCTTGAAAGCATCAAGCTTGGGCTTGGTTTGAGTGTCGAAAACATCCTGAGGAACCGCGCCGGTAGCAACGAGACCCTTCAAAGCATCGACGGCGATATCCCAGACCTTGTCGTGGTCACCATGCAGGGCAACGACAATACGGGTAGATTGAGTGTTGAAAGAGCTAGGAATGTTCAGAATAGCTTGCTTCACAAGATCCACGACCTCGGAATCCGGCACGGGGGCATTCTTGCCCAGATGATAAAAGCTGCGGCGAGCCTTAGCTATCTCAATAAGAGTCTGTGTAGAAGGAGACATATTGACGGATGAAGAAGAGAATGGTCTGCTGAAAGATCTCGAATATGGTTGACGAGAAGCCTTGGTGGGATGTACAAGTCTTGCAGAGGCAGCGGGGAGGACAGAAGTAGATATAGTCCCGCTTCTTGAAAAGTGGGAGACAGACCTCGTCCCACTTTGTAAGCGTTGAGCAGGGTTTACTATGGATGAAAGGGTTTTAGAAGAGGATCGAAAAGCGCCGAGAGTGGAGCTCAAAGACATCTTGGATGGTGTCGCGCAAAATTAGAATCGATATCAATGCAGAGCGGGGCGGTCAACAACGAATTGAAGTGCTTTTAAAGCGAGCAGATATTGCAGATTATGCAAGCTGGATGACGAAAGCCAGTAAAATAGCCTGAAAGCACGGGAAATGTAGGATTGTTACAAGAGACAACGGGCAGGCACAGATGGGATGCGGAACTGTTCCTGGATTTATTAGAAATCAAAGGTGCGTAATGAGTGGTCAAACGTGGATCGATAAGCATTAGTTAATCTTCGGCCTTCCGATTCGAAGATAATTCCGTCGTACCTTATTTTATTTTTAATTTTTTCTTAACTAATCGCGTCTCGGCCGCCGGATATAGCCGTGGCATTATTTCCGTGATTTTTCATTCCGCATCCATAGTTAGTTAACATTCAATCACGTTATCAACTACAGTTTTATGAGATTATTATTCGGTAATACCTGTCTCAAGAAGCGTAGCGTATAAATTTATATATAGTAATATGACGTAATATACATAGAAACTGTGCGAATCACGAATAGGGCTGCTGAAGCCAGTCCAGCTGCTCTTCCATTCTCCGAACCGTCCGCCCAAGAAGAGGGCGATCGATGAAATTATTATACACATCGGCCTTTTCCTCCTCTGTAAGTAGAGATGGCCACACTTTGAGCATGTCTTCAAGCACATGAGAGAGCGTGAACGGATTGCGTTGTCGAATAGATCGATTCCATGGTCGGTTTGAGAGTCCGGCTGCACCAAACAGAACTTGAAGACGTTCGCGACACCCTCGCCGTACAAAGCTTGGATATATCGTAATCCCCATTTGCTCGAGCTCTCGCAGCAGGAGTAGTCCTCGCATCCAGCGAATCACCTGCCCGCCTTGATTATCGGGCATCTCGTGTTCCAGGTGCCACAGTTCCAACTTGAAGCCCCATGCGATGAGGGCCATTTGTAGACGCGGATTGAATATCAGCCGTGATTCAGTCCGGTGCTTAGCTAGAAGAGTCTCGGCATCAACCCCCTTTGATCTTGACAGGCTTTGAAGAAATGGCGAATCTTGCACCGCATAATGCCGCGCGAGCCATACGCACAGATGATGGATTTTGTCCCATTGATCGTGTCTGTTCTTACCTAGACGCAAGAGCAGTTCGACCCAGTAAGAAGGATTGAAATCAGATTGCAGTTTCAAAGCCATTTTCAATATTCGTATCGCAAAAGCCATTTCGTCGACCTGGGGATCTATCTTATATGCTGGATGTTTGCCGCTACGTCGAGGGCTGAGTAGATTGTTGAACATGTAGTTTATACTCTCCTCCGAGAGTGCATTTCCGTCAAGCAATATTTTGCCTGCAATATCTGCAGCTGCTGACCACTCACTGGCTGTTATAGAGACGCGGAATTGGATGTTGTCCAAGTTGTCCTTGGCTACATCGTTGAGAATCGCTTTGGTCAGGTTGTATAGTCGCCAATCTCGGGCCATCAGATATGAGCACAAAAAGTGTTCTTGTAGAGCCACGTCTTCAAAAACATCCGGGTGTTGATCGCTGCGAAGAAGGTCTTCCAGGACAATGTCTTTATTATCCATTGCGAGTTTCTCAAGAACTCTTGTAAATGCGCAATCGCGTATAGTAACACCTGCATCACGCAGCGCCTTCATCTTTTCCAAAATGTCTTTCGGTCCTTTTGCTCTAAGAGCCATCTCCTTGAGTGAAAGCGGCCCAATTGCTTGGACACCAAACATTTGTAGACCATTTGTTATGGTGTCAACGGTCAAAGCTTTGGTTGCGAAGAGACGCGCCCCAAACTCGTCTTTGAATGCCCTCTCTTTGATCCAGGAGTTCCCATCATCCTGCTCTGAGTTCCTTTCGTGGCCTGTTGTAAGATTTAAATCGACGGCCTTCTTAGACATAGCAAATTCATCTTGCAGAGTATCGAGGTTAGTCTTGATTTTCCGGATTCTATGCCTCACTTTTCTAGAGAACGTGTCCCTTTCTTTCTTAGCAAAAACTGATAGCGTTCTCATTAAAGTAGCATCAGAAGGCAGATCCTTTCTCTCCACTAGGAATTCATGCATGTACAAGGCGTCCAAAGGGTAACCTTGCTCCAACAAAAAAGAAATCACAACATCATAGATCCTATGGTCTGTTGTCGCAAGGCAAATCTCTCCAAATGCTCTCAATCCCGGGCGAAATCCCAATTTGATGGCATCTGCCGAGAAAAGATCCCAATCCGGTGGTTCCACAGGATTGCATGTCATAGCTTGATCTATGACCAGTGCGATGTCATTTGCGGAACGCAAATGAAAGGCTTGCAGCTTGCGGTGCCAGGCAACAGCTTGAACTGGCATTCCCTGTTCTAAAAAACCACCAACAATGGCCTGATAGAACCTGCTCCAGGGTTGTCCAGTTCGAGACCAGACCTTCTCGGCATAGTCTACTAATTCGTCCAAGAATTGGTTGTTTTTCAGACCCACGTTGACAAAGTTCTGCCAAATATAATCTGCTATTCGCCCCTCAACAGGCAACTGTACTTTGTCGGCCCGGTAAGAAATACCTTTCCATATATCGATAACACCTGAATCTCCGTAGTGACGCTTCCGATAACGAAGAAGTTCTTTCCATAGGTCATAGTCTAGACGTCGATTTGAATCATCCACAAGCCGAGTCCCAATGTTTCCCGGATGGCCGACGTCTGACTCGTATTCCAATTTACTCGCGTCAAGCAATAACGACGATTCTCTTTGCAGTTCTGTTGAGGAAATCCGCGAGAGTGTTTTAGTATCAATGCTGGTGATTTCATGAATATGGAGCCTTTGTGACGTCGACGTTCGATTCGTAGGAGAGCTGTAAGATCGTAGCTGTCGTGCATTTTTTTGAGGAAGCTGGCATCTAGCGCATTCCCCGATGCAATTAAGCTGTTCAAGTTTCGCCGACGATGAGCTCAGCTCGCTCAGGAGTGCAAGAGCTGACGGCCGCTTTAGGAGCCGCAGCAAAGCTGGGCGCATCAGATGCAAGTTGAGGCGAACAAGCGATTTATGCAATAGCTGAACATTCTCACAGGTCACGGCCACGCATAGCGCTGAAAGCAAAGCAGCAGCTCAAGCTCCGTTGAATAATTATCTGCCAATCACGGCGTTTGCACAGTTTGCAGTCTTACACGTGACGGCATGGACAAACCCGGCGGAAGACGGCTGCAGCCTCAGGCAGGAAGGAGCGTGACTGGCGGGCCGAGACATTGCCGGCCGTCGAACCTCAGCAGACACCGGCGTCACCACCACTGCTCTCTTGCTTTCTGCCATTGCCCTCTCATCTCCCCTCCACAACTCCAGTGTTTCTTGCTGAAGCTCGCCAAAATGGTTTCTCGCACCATCCCACGCCTCGCTGGGTGAGTTTTATGGCCATTGCATTTCACCATTCCCCCACAATGCGTCGCGACCTTTTTCTGAGTGCGAACCGTCGACATGGCGGAGACCTGTGACATGGATACACATCGAGAAAATGGCAACCCCAGGCTGACATTTACTTCCCTCCGACTAGTTTCGTTTACCGCGAAAACCGCGTCCCGTATTACCAGCGTCTGTTCCAGCAGCACGACGGCCAGCGTCAGTGGTGGAAGGTGAGTTCGACAACGGTTGGAGCGAGCAAGTGGAATTTGGTATTCTGACGAGAATCTCTCTATAGACTAGCCGCTCTGGCGCCCTTCTGTACCCCTACTACATCTCTCTCTGGGGTACTACTTTCAGTACGTCGCAGCTGATGGAAACGACTACTTCAAAAGCACGTTCGCTGACCATGCATAGTTACCACATACGCCATGATCCGCCTAGTTCTTGTAAGCTTCCTCTAAATTCAGCATTCCCAACGGCGTCATAATCAAATGCTAATTTTTTTTAAATAGGGAAAGAAGACTTTCTTCGGAAGCGAGTAGATTGATCGCCATGTCTTCATGATATCTACTTTGGTCTGAGATGCTCCGTCAACAATACATACATTAGTGTACTATTATCGACAGGATAAGGAAAACCAAGAAAAAAAGAAATGTGGTTGTCGACGGTGTATATAAAATAGAACTTCAAGTCATCAATCGTTTCCTTTGTTCATATAAACTCCAACCTTCAACTATCTCTCTTAGAGTCATACTCTACGCTAAATAAGGACCTTACTTTCGACAAATTATCTCCCCATGAGTGATGGTAAACCAGCCATCTTTATCTTCCCCCCATGCCTTCCATGTGCTAGCTATCCTCGACAGATCCTCTCTCGTACAATAACCACCTTGCTCCGCCTTCTCAACATAGCTCGCCGCCAGAACCCTCTCAGCCCAGATATCACTCCACCACTTCCTTTCATCGGGCGCACTAAAACACCACGTGCCCGCAGAACAAGTGATGTCCTCCCTCCCAAACCCAGCCTCCTGTGCCCATACATGAATGTACGACCCTGGATCCGGGTTCCCGCCGAGCCCCTTGCCCACCTTTCGATAAATATCATACCACTGATCCAACCCTTTGAGCCTAGGGTACCAACCCATCGTCGCCGATTCCCGCAATGCAAGAAGTCCACCAGGCCTCACCACCCTCCTCATCTCCCTCAACGCCCTGACCGGATCCGGCACATGTTGCAGCACCTGGTGCGCATGCACAACATCGAACGTGTTATCGGCATACTCCTTGAGATCCAGGGCATCTGCGACGGCGAACTGGACATTGGTAACTTGCTTTTTCTCAGCGAGAAGGCGCGCCGCGGTGAGCGGTTTGCTGGCGTATTCCACTCCGATCACGTAGCCGTCTGGTACGTAGCGGGCGAGGTCGATGGTGATACTGCCAGGCCCGCAGCCCACGTCGAGTATCTTCATGTCGGGCTTCAGGTAGGGAATTAGATAGGCCGCGGAGTTGGCCACGGTGCGCCATTCGTGTGTGCGGAGTGTGGCGGCGTCATGGTTAGAGGCGTAGACGGAGCTGCTGCTGGTGGATGCCGCCTTGGAATTGGGAATGACAGTTGACATTTTGCTTGTCTTTTGTATCAATTGATGTAAGGGTGGTCGATCCTATGTAACTGGCTTATTCTTCAATGTGGCACCTAGAATCTAAGACGAGTGGATGTTAAACAATATGGACGATCTTAGATAATCGGATACGTAGAAAGACGGTTTCAGGACAGAAAACACCCGTGACGGGTAGAAATGGTGTTTATGGAAAGATATAACTAGATTCCGATTGTTTGACGATTGAATTGGATGTAAATGCATTGTTACTGTTATAGTCAAAGTGATATGATTGGTGTAGCTTCCCCGCCGCTGGGCCGTCGGAACTCCACAGCCGCAGGTGACGACATTGATTGAGGCTCGCAATTAATTCCGGGATAGAGATGTCACATCGATGATACATATGTCATTTCTTTAACTGGTTGCAACGGAGTCGCGTTCAGAATGAAATGCCGAATGTATTGGTCAATCGCTGTCAAAATAGATGCTTTATATACACCACAAAGGAAAGATGAGTCTGATAAGACGATATGATAGCTCAAATCCAACCAGGTTAGAGGGGAGTGTTGGTAGAAAAACCAAACTAAACCAGAAACGCAACGAATGCAGACCGCAGATTGATTGAAACGACAAAAAGACAGCTTCTCCAAGTCTAGAAAACACAAACAAAAATCAAAACAAAATGCCGGTGTAACAGAATTCCCAGGACCGCCAATGGTATCATTCAAAGAGTAAAAGACAACGAAGAAAAAGTTAACACCAAATCCCTCGATAAACCGCTTTTCGTAGTAATACAACAATGTGCTAAATAATCAAATTTAAATGTCAATTAAAAATGTAAAGTCGCTTTCCAGAAAACGAAAATGTGGTCGTGACGGTCGTGATTCTGCAACCCGGCGCAGCGTGACTAGGAGAAATTAATGCATGACAAGGTGTGAGAAGAAATATTTATACGGTGACAAATGAAATAATTAATGGCCATAAGCTGGAGGAGGAAGTTCTTCGCGACCATGGTTTTCCCAGTAATCGGGAAACTGGTCAGGTTTCAAAGAACCAATCTTCTCGTCGTGCATTCTGCGTGCCAATTCACCAGCCATTTTGTTGACCCAGGCTTGCTCTATAATACCTCTAGGAGGTATCTCGGTATATTGAATTGCAGAGCTGGGTAGGCGTCGTTCAGGAGATTTGTTATTGGTCCGGCCTGCATTAGAAGGAAGTCGGACAGTGTTTCGAGGTGTTGCATCTGGATCCGGAAAAGCATCGACAAATGGGTGAAGATCCATGCTTGAGGATGTTTCTCCAGTTTCTGGTGCAGATGCAAGGGGTCTTGAGCGTTGAGTTAAGGTCCGTTCACCTTGCCCCATTCTTTGACGTTCATAGACCGTGGGGAGGTGGAGGTCGCTCTGAGGAGAGAGTGGTGGGGTTACTGGATCGTCGTTCTTTTCTTCAGAGAAATGCGCTGGAGATGAGAATACCGTCGGAGCACTGGTCGTGGTCTCAAAGCAAGAACTACTATCTCCGCTGACACTTTCAACGTCGTCTGTAGTCTTCGGACGGCGTAGGTCTACCACGCGCTTCTTACGCTTCTTTGTTTGAGACTTTGAATGTCGACCGGATCTCAAATGTAGGCCATAGCTGCTAAAGTTGCTTGACCCACCGCTTTGCAATGAGACTGTACTGGCATTATCAACAAACGAGTGCAAGGAACCGATATGTGATTGAGTTCTCGACAGTGCCGGGCTCATCGGAGATGTTAGGGTGTTGCTCTCTCCTAAATCCGATGATGCGGTCCAGGCTCTATAAACGACGTCCCGAATAGAGGGAGTGAACAGGGACAACGTGCGCTGCGAGTCTGTCAACGCAGCTAGACGAAGTAGATTCTTTTGCGAGAATAAGGAATGGATCTCAACGCCAGAGTCCAGCGATAGCGAGGCAATCTCCGATGGGTTAAGAGCGTTTCCTAAAGCGTCGACTGGATCTTGGGGCGGGCTGGCTAGAGGATCCTGGCCAGGACCAGGTTCTGCTGGGTTTTCCAAAGTGTTGGCTGGCGCTTCCTCTTTGTCACGATATTCCGGTACCCACAAGCGTAAGGATAAGCGGTGAATGATTGCTGGTAGCTCGTCCATAAACAATATCCTCAACTGGCCCTCGATGGCTTTTTGTAAGTAGTCGCGAACGAAGGGTATCGAATCGAATGTAGAAGACACTTTTAACGACTCAAGGGGATCGTTACGAAAGACAACAGTGATGCCTTTTTGTTTCGAGAAAACGAGAACGACGAAGCCGGATAGTCGGAATTCAGAGAGCGTGATCTGAAGTGGTATCGTCAAACCGGCAGCAGCAGCCAGCGGCTTTGGAGATGCGAAAGAAGGGCGTGTCATGAGGAGAGTGTTCATGGGGTTGGCTTGAACCCTCGTTTTCAAGGTCAAGAAAGCATCGCCCACATATGACATCTTAAAGATGCCGCGAAACCGGTCCTCTGCAAGATCCCCGACCTCCAAAATTTCCAAATCCGGCGGTATCGATCCCAGGTTCAACTCAGTGACCTTGATGTCATCCACAATGATCGGAGGCTTTGGCGACTTATTCAGAGCGGCCGTCAACAAATCCTGAGCGCGGGTGTAAAAGCCCGCGTCGGCCATCAACGGCGACCAGTTGAAATTGAACGCCATCTCGAGGCATCGACTGTTGGCAGGAGGCTGTTGAAAAGGGCCCCTCCAACCCGGTGCAATTTGATGTAAATGCGATACCAGAGGCTTCCAAGGCGGTTGTTGATGGGGGAGGAGCAAGAAAAAGAAGGCCTCGGCTGGGAGGCTTGAGGGCTGACGGCGGACGCGTGCGAAAAACGGCGATCCGTGAGCTTTTTTCCTATCTTTCCCGTGACAGCGGCGAATGAGCGGATGAGATCATGCGACCGGGGTCACCCCACAGTAAATTCTGATCTGATTGCCCCGCAAGAAAAGGGGAGCAGGGTGGTAAAGAAGGAGTACAATAATGGGGTACTAAAGAAAATTTGTTAAAAATTCTAAGGAGTCGTCGAAGAATGAGAAAGTGAGCTGTGAGCTGTGAGCTGTGAGCAGCATTTGGAAAGGGGTAGGAAAATTGCACGTGCGGGGCGGAAAGGAAGGAGCTTGCCGGCCTTTCCCAATACGTCATGCCATAGTTTCAGTTTTTGTGTATACACTATACACCATTAATATTAATATTAATATTAATATCACAATAATAATCATATTCATCTTGAGTGTTTGATCCACTCCTGAGCCGTATTCTGCTATTGTTGTATTAGAGAGCCTGTGTAGATTTCCAACCAAGTCAGGATTTTCTACGAGTACAAAACCCGTATTGATGCCATGGATGGGCAGTCAGTGTTGGTGATGAAATCGCTTTTCGTCCTGCGACATCGAAATCTAACAACAGCTATTTGCTGGGAAGTCCTTAACCTATAAAAAGTTCTGTAATGTACTGTCTGACCATAACCATAGTTGATTGGCATCGGCAGAGTCAGGATCGAGTGTTGAATATAAGCCCCCGTCCCAAGAAAATGTTGGAGGTCCCAGCATTAGATATTCCTCATAGGAACCGGAAAAATTCTGAGGAGTTTGATCATTCATTATTTCATTCGTCGATTCGATCCCAAGAGCCCCGCCTTGCAGGTGTTGAGCAAATACTGAGATGACAATCAGTAGCAAGTTCATAGTTTCAGCAACTAGTTGCATATATAGACCTACCTTCCTGTAAAGGGGTCAAAAAGGCTTCGTTATCTGCAGCTGGTAAAGTGCCATGACCACTATCCTGGCTAGCGGACGCGACCACATCGGCTTCGATCAAGTTTCTGGGTCTAGTGTTAGGCGATCTAGGCCGAAGACCGCCAAGAATAAGCTGCTGTTCGAATTGCATGACCGCAGCTACTGAGTCCTCAAGAATCTTCATACTTTGAGCTGAAAGAAGTTGTCGATCCGGAAAGCTATTCTGATGCAGACGAATAATAGCCATAATACCTAGTTTTGCTTTTTGGCTGGAAAGCGACAATGGCTCCGAAAGGATCACTGCGCAGAGAACTATACCTGCCGTGAAAAGGCATATACCAACATGCATGACTGCGTGTGTTCTGCGACAAGCCTGGAGGATGTGATTATACTGAACCAGCTCTGACGTTCGCAGCGCAGACAGAAGCAGTTGCTCTCTGTGAAGAGATGAGTCATGTCCACCGTCAGTGGTACCACCACATGTCATGTTGTGACGGCTGTCCCCAAAAGCCACGCTTCTATGAAGGATAATCTGGAGATTGTCGTAAGTTAATTGAAGCGCCAAGGCTTGCAACTGACAGAGTGATGGCTTCTCCGAAGGAGCATCGTCCTTGTACGTCTGTAGTCGTAGACTTGCCGGCAGTTGCATTTGCCAAAGAAGGAGCTGACCATGGAGGTTGTTTACGGTTTCCAACCGATCTGTCTGGCTCCTGCGACCCAGGAAAGGGCCCATCAGTCGATAAAGCTTGAACTTTTGTCGATGGTATTCCAGCAGTGCACTTTGATCTGAAATTAGTTGACCTTCAAGGCGTACGTCGGCTGGAGGCTCAACACTGCAATCAGACTCATCTATGGTACAGGGTCTTCCGAAGGCGATGGCGGCATATCTTGTGCATCATTAGAATTTTGTCTGAGCTTCGCAGAAGAGGAGTCAGGAAAGAATAACATGGATTATCAGTGATACGTACTTATCAAAAACTTCAAGCGCCCACCATGACCGTCGCCTCACCTCTCTGTTGATATCTGAAATCCCCTTCCACATAGACTCCCGATGTAATCCAATGATCTGAGCGATCTTGACGCCGCTTCCAAGAATACCAATGCCAGATGTGGGATGGCCGTTGAACAAATGGAAGCTACCTAAAAGTATACAAACTTGAACGGCCTCGACATTTGGTGAGCCAATGATACGACAAAATTTATTTTCAACTCGTGTGAAAATGGTCTCGGAAAATCGACGCAGTGAAAATTCGTCTTGATCAGAGGATCTACCCAATGAGGAATAGTGGGCACCTAGCCCAAGAGCCAACAACGCAAGCCAAAGGAAGTTGTTATCAATTGGGTTTACACCTTGAGTGGATGTTAAGAAGTTCTCGTAGCGTTGTCGAAAATGCTCCTCGTGAAAGATCTAGAATGAAATTAGGACACGCAATAACCGTCTCGATTCTAGGAATGCTACCATCATAAACCAATTGACTGAGTTGAAAAACTGGTCAAGCAGTGTATCAAGTACTTCTCTGGGAGGAAGTAGTAACCCGATAGTATCTTGCCATGATTGCGCGCTGGCTGAAACCGATCCTTCCATTTCTTTTCCTCCCGGCAACGCTGAAGTGTCGTAGGCCGGATAACCATGAGGTACAATCTTTCAATTTTAATTATCATTGGACGAGAAATGAAGCCAAGCAGAAACCCTACCTTCGTGGTCAGCTCCACGATGCTCTGTTCCGGTAAAACGGCCCTTTCTTCATCTTCGGAGCGAGTCTGGTCCAGGCTAGGGCTAGCCTGCGTATTTACCGCAACAGACTGTTCTGATGATGGACTAGCACCAGTGTTCCTACTAGGTACGCATGGCACCCCAGCTCGGACACATAGTTGGCATGGCCGATGTCGATCGCACTGATCCTTAGTCAGATTCGAATGGAGTCTATGACGAACAACATACTCCTGATTTTCGCGAACGGCATCTCTGACAAGCTGACGAAGTCTTCTGCCGTCGTCGTCTGGTGGGATTCATGATTCGTGGTTGTCCAATTCGGCGCGCAAGGTCCGACGGAGTTTTCTGAATGATGAATACTGCTGGGTTGATAGCTAGCCAATAAGGACGGCATCTGGGCTGACAAGCTCCGTCGGAGCCACAACTTTATTACGCATATACATATAGTCAATGTCGTCATAGGCAGGACCTATTTAGTAGCCTCAACAGAAGGATATATAGTTATAAACCCTACTCCCGTCTAGATTTAATGATGCATCGTCAGAATCAAATCCATTGGGTTAATTGGAACATTACTTAGCTTAAAAATCTCGACAAAGAAAAAAGAATGGTGCCCCCTCGCAAAGCTCTGATCGCCGTCACTTCGGCTCATGCTCCTCTATACCCCGAGGGCAAAGAGACTGGTGAGTCCCCAGATTGAAAGGCAGTTCAAGAGTCGAGGGAAATATAACCATCACTAGGGTTATTCATTACTGAAGCTTTGCATCCTTTCCTCGTATTCAAGAATGCAAGCTTCGATGTTGATCTGGTGTCGGAGACCGGATCTTACCAGGCCGACTGGCTCTCGCAGCAAAAGGACTGGCTTAATGATAAAGATAAGGCTATCTGGGAGGACCACTCCAGTGAATTTCGTTCGAAGCTTGACCATCTTTTGAAGCCGAGCGACATCGACCCCAACAACGTACGTCTTCTTTATGATATAAGCGACGCGAGCTAACAAGCTATTGAACTGATTCAGTATGGCATTTTCTTCACGTCGGCTGGTCATGCTTCTTTGATCGACTATCCCAATGCTAAGGGTCTACAGAGCATTGCATCTAAGATGAACACTCATGGTGGTATCATCTCTGCTGTGTATGGACACTTTCACGTTCCAAGCTAAAGATTGCTAATCCAAGTAGGTGCCATGGCGGTGCTATCTTCCCGGGAATAATTGATCCTAGTACAAGAAAGTCGATCATCGCTAATCGAAGAGTGACTGGCTTCACTACCAAGGGTGAGGAGGAAGAAGGTGTTCTTGACACCATCAAAAGCTGGAACCGCCCTACCATTGAGGCGTCGGCGGCAAGCTCGGGAGCCACATGTGAGTAAAACGGTCTATAAATTGCTACGTTGAAAATACGATTTGCCATTCGTGTCTGACACGACTTTAGATGTCTCTCCTCCTGGACCCTGGGACGCGTTCACCATCACTGATGGGCGCATCGTGACTGGTGCCAATCCTGCAAGCGCGCATGTGACGGCTGAAGCGGCAGTGAAGGCATTTAACACTCTGTAAAATTAGGCTACTCATAGGAAATTGGATGCCTTTGAACACCTAGGTAAAAATGAGAGCATCCTCATTGTTGTTACATTAATTATTCCATTATCCCAAGTAATCGAAAACATATCAACTGCCTATAGCTGGCGCGTCTCTCTAGCAGGTGTACTGCTAAAACTCGTCATAGCAGTCGACGTCGTAAGATATTTTGCAACAACCAAACGGTGTAATAAATGATGATATCAGTTTCGAGGAGTATTTTAAATATAACTCTCACTTGCTCATCAGAAGTAGCAGTCTCTTCTGATTGGCTCGACACAAAGAGCTATCCGGATCGGGAATGGCACTTCTGCCCTTCGTTGCGACGCAGCTCTGGCAACAAGCACGCTAAGCTTCATTAGGAAATGTGTCAACACAGTCCCAGCTGCGGTATCCAACTCCTACCACTCTCTGTAATTACAGCCTACGTGAATCAGGAGCGAATTGAGCATTCAAGTAAAGCGACCAGAGAACATGCCAACAACACGAACGGTTCAGACAAAACGGGTCTACGGCAAGCGCAAAGCGAACGCCCCCAGAGCGGTTTTGGAAAATGGCAGTCCTCTCAAGGTTGCGGACAGCAGCGATAGTTCTCTCGACAGATCTGCGAAGTCTGGTATTGATGAGGAAACAACCAAGGAAATAGAAGCTGGCCTTTCAGCATTGAATATTGAAGAACCAAGTACAACGGAGCTGGAGGAGAAGGAACAACTACCACCCGCAACGCCAGCACTTCAAAAACACCGTCGAAAATCTATCAAAACACCACTGAACCGACTTCAAGAGAACTCATTGAGACTGTTTTCATCGCCAAAATTCGATGCGCTAGCAACCATAAAGCCGAAGACTCCTCTCGATCAGGAAAGGCAAAGGAGACTTTCCTTCACTCCGAGACAGCCACGGGCCAAACCACTGCAATCAAGAAGACCGATAACGCGACTATCCTCAGGCTGCGTGGAAGATGAGAAGTTAAACATATACGTCAGCCAGATCCTCAACGAAGCATTGTCCCCCTTCGCAGCGCAGGGCGTACAGAAGTTCAGCTCGTGGGCGGCGAGGTCCGAGAGTGCATTTGATCCCATAAAAATCGCCGAGGGTTCATATGGAGAGGTCTATAAACTACGCTTGCGAGATGATCTATGCAAAAATGAGATGTCAAAGTCGAAAGTTGGAAAATTACGTGCTTACGGAGAAGGGGTCTTCAAAATAGTGCCATTGCGGGCACAGAAAGGACCCGGGTCCAAAAAATTCACGAGCATCGACGAAATTACGGCTGAAATCAAGCTGCTCAAACTATTAGATCCCATCCCTGGGTTTGCAAGATTCCGAGAAATCCATGTCGTTCAAGGCCGGTTTCCGGAGTCGTTTCAAAAGGCATGGGATATATATAAGGATACAAAAGATGATTGTATGAATCCAAATCCCGCCAACAAAAGAGCATACGCCAATAGCCAGCTCTGGGCCGTTTTGGAGATGGACGATGCTGGAGTTGAGCTGGAAAAATTCTCTTGGTCCTCCGTGTTTCAGATCTATGATATTTTCTGGGGAGTAGCGATGGGCCTGGCAAGGGCCGAGGAATTTGCTCTTTTCGAGCACAGAGACCTTCATCTCGGAAATATCTGCCTTCAGTCGACGAGGTCGGACGGGGATATGCAGTCGCTAGCTGAGTTGGATGCAGCCGCGTGGAAATCATCAAGCGGTTTTGGTATCAGTTCCCTAGAGACTACAATCATCGATTACTCGCTTTCCCGTGCCGAGCTACGGTTTACAGATGACCCAGAAGAAAAAGTGGGAATTGCTTCGTCTGATCTGGATAGTAAGCAACTTTTCGACGCCATTGGTCGGGACGAGGACGAGATTCTTCTACGAAACACATATAGATAGTGAGTATCTGGGTGTCTATTTCACCGGGAATACGACTAACACTACAATTTAGCATGCGCGCACAACTCTATACCGGAAATTCCCTGACCGTCGAAAAACCGCCAAAGATATCGGGAATATGGGCCGAGTACGCCCCAAAGACAAATTTACTCTGGCTACTTTTCATCCTCAAAAACCTAATGAAACGTATGGAACTCAAAGACTACATTGAACAAGCAGAACAGAAATCACGAGAACCTCTAAAGCCATCCCACCAAAAAGCCAACCAGCAAATCGAGCATTCTACAGAGCCAACAAACGCCAAATCAAGGCCGAAGAACCGTAACCCTGCTGTCGGTAACGTCCTGATGTCTCTCCAGAACACTCTAAGTGGTCGGTTGAAAGATATTCTTGAAGTACTCGATATCGAGCATGGAAGGGAGGATATGTGCTGTGCGGCGGATTTGGTTGCGTATGCGATTGATCAGCAATGGTTGGATGAAAGAGATTTCTTTCTTTCGTAGGGGTTATGATATTATTTATGAGTCGTACGAAGCATATATATATATACACATTTGTGTTTTTTACAAGAATAGGATTGTCTAGCATAAATGGAGCGAGCATGTTTTTAATCCTGGACGAAGCTGAGTAGTAGTTAATGCTGCTTTTCTATAACACCAGGGTAACATTTCCTTTAGATACCATTTGAATTAGAGAGGTCGTTTTCAATTGATTAAGAATGGACTCCAGTTCCGCATATGATACGAAAAAAGCTGTGCGGATACCCCAGAAAAGACACACTGTGAACGAAGTTATATTTAATTCATGATTGACGGAGGAACTGGGGATTCTATGGTAAGCAAAAGGAATCTCTAAAGCCGTTTTCTCACAAAAAGCAGCAAAAAAAAAACATTGAGTATATATGCAAAACAACAACCCGAAATATCCATGACAATACATAGATCGAACCCAACGCCGAGAATAGTCTTATGCACTGCTAACAAAAAAGCTCAATAGACTCCCCGTCGCCAAACCAGCTACGAGCATCATAGTCATAAACCCGCCCGCCGCCTCACGCTCGTCAACAGTGACATACTGGCCCGCGCCCATCATGCAAACACTTCCCAAGAAGCCGTTCGTCAAGCCGAAGCCCAACTGGACAATAAAGAGGTACAAGAAATCATTATTCGCAAAAATCGACGAGCCGCCAAGGCCGCGAACATTGCAAGACATGTACAACGGGATGAAGAGGAGGCGCAAAAGAGCGAAGATGAGGAGGGCGCGTGGGTGTTTGGTTGAGTTTGCGAATAGTGGGACTAATGGAGATAAGCGGCCGAGTAAGTCTCCCAAATTCCACAATAAGAAAGCTAAAGGAACGAAGACCTCTGAGTCGAAGAGGCGAGATCTGGTCACAGGGTCGTGAGAAGACTGGATTTGGGCCGTGAAAACTGGGAACACCATAGTCACAGCAAAGCATGTGAATACGGCTAGAGCAAGCCATTTTAGCTGTAGGAATAACTTCCAAAGGCTAATGCTTTTATTTGGCCCGTCAAAACTTGGCTGATGTGTACTCTCAGTTCGTAACTCCCTCTGAAACCATTCCGATCCAGCGGTGTGGTTCATAAGGTTCACGAATGCTAGGAATGCCAGAACGGAGATGAAAACCGCGACTAAGAAATAGCCGAGTGCCGACTTTGTATATCCATTGCTGTCGTCAGTTCCATCCGTTTTCGGGACAGGCAAATTGGATATTATTTGCACAATCGAAGGAAGGACCCCGGCGATACCCTGGCCAACCATGATTGCCTGCGTATACTCTGGTCGACCAAATCCAGCAACATAGGCGAACACACCGTTCTGATTCATACCTGTTGCGAAACTTGCGCCTAGCACCATCGTCATCACAAAGATGTAATATAACCCCACAGAAATAGCGCGGAAGAAGACAGTTGAAAAGGCGAGGAATAAGAATACGACTGCGAGCACGAGGAGCGACAGCGCGATACGAATAGGGTAGGATGCATTTTTTTGTAGTTTTGCGAGTGCCAGAACACACAACAAGTTAGTCACCGTCGATACTGAGAGGACAGACGGTTCATAGTGTTCTGCAGCCCACGGGCTGCTCTGAAATCGATGGCGGAAATACGGCTCTGCGGCGAGGAACATGTTCCTGGGACTTGTTAAGATCGGGTTTCGATACAGTGGTAAACCATGGGTATTCATACCACGCCCATAGCATTGTTACTCCTAGTAGCAGGAATACTGCATAAATCCTCCATGAGAACGGATTTCTCGGCGGATCATCGCTGTCTGGTATGTCCCGTACATCCTGTCCTTCCGTGTCTGCCAGTGACTCGTCATCTTCGACAGCCTCGTAGGCCGGACGAGAAGCGAGAAGCCTCGATAAAAGACTACTAATCATGACGACACTTGTTAAACACTGTAATTAATTCTTTAACGTGAATCTATGTCATGATTGCTTCTTCGTGAGACTCTCGAGTTGAGAGATCAGATAATACTCCGCATGACGTCCCGAAAGCCTAGTCACATGCGGCTACCAGACCGCCTTCCTGGCCATCCGGGATTCTGCCAGTCCAGTAATTATTGAAATATTAATTTTAAGATTTGTTATTGGGCGCATAATAATTCTCGTAATGTGAGTGAAGATGATATGTATATTCATCGCAAGAATTGAAACTTATGTAGAGAGGAAAAAGGAACAGGGGTCGGTTTGTATTCTACAGGTATACAAAACAATCCAATCAAACAATCAACGAACAAAGGCCTTTTCGGAGCATGGGTATCGGATAGAAATGCCATAAAATTGTTGTGCAAGATTGCTGTGACAGTGTGGTGTGGTTGATGGTAGGTCTATAAGGTATGGTTCTATTGTAGCATCGGAGAGTGTTTCGAAAAAGACAATGATGCGCCGCCTAAATCACTCCGACTTTGGGTCCCGATCCATGGTCGTCTTGTCCAGCCTCGGTGTCACCCTCACGTTCTGTCCTTTCTAGCTCTTCCATTTGTTCTTCGAAAGAGGGCGGCTTCTTGAACGGGGCTTGAGGTACAGTCTCTCCCCCAGTCATCTGCCATTCCATTAACTTGGTAAAGGCACCGTCTGGCCGAGAGCTGAGATCCTGATAAGAGCCAATCTCTGCTACCCTGCCATCATTGCCCAATACAATAATCGTGTCAGAACGTTTGATAGTAGATAGCCGATGGGCAATACTGATGGTAGTGTTGTTCCCCCGCAGAAGTGATGCAAGCGCACTATTCACCAGTGTTTCAGATTCAGCATCCAGGGCTGATGTGGCTTCGTCGAGAATGAGAATGTCTGGGTTCTTGATCAGGGCTCTGGCAATGGCAATACGCTGTTTCTGTCCACCAGACAGCTGAGCTCCACGTGGTCCAACATGTGTATCTAATCCAGAAGGGAAGTCACTGATGAACTGACAATTCGCTTTCCGAGCTGCAGCTATGATTTCGGACCTCGGAGCATCTGGCACGCCATAGGCAATATTCTCCGCTATAGTACCTGAAAACAGCACGGGCTCCTGAGACACAATGCCAATTTTTCGACGCAGCGACTTGGCATTCATTTTCGCGATATCCTTGCCATTAATGAGTACACGGCCGTTATTGGGGTTATAGAAGCGTAATAAGAGTGAAGTGATTGTGGATTTTCCTCCACCGGAAGGACCGACGATTGCCACATTCGAGCCTTGTGGAATTTCAAAATCGAGATCTTTGAAGATGGTGACCGCAGGTCTAGTAGGATAGCTGAAACTGACATTCTCAAACCGAATTGGGCCCCGAGCAGTTTCAATTTTCTCGCCGATGGTAGGTGATATGTTAGGCTGTCTATCCTGAAGTTCAAATAAACGGCTAGCAGCACCGACACCCTTCATCAACTCGGAGTAAAAACTGGACATTCCAAAAAGACTTGATCCAGCGTAGGCGGCATACATAAGGAAAGATGTAAGTTCTCCAACCGTGATCCCCCCAGACTGAACGAGACCTCCTCCAACATATAAGAGGATAAGAATAGTCATATTCCCCATAAGGCCGGTCTGTCATATTGATTGTTAGTAGTTGCATCGAAATATATGGGATTTGCACCATACCGAACTGAAAAATGTTGCACTAATGAACGATTCCCTTTTTCCCAACTCGAAAATGGTTTTCACTTGATTATTGTAACGATGGACTTCTGACATTTCTGCGGCAAAGGCCTGACTTGTCTTCACATTTCCGAGACGCTCTTCGGCGATTTTAGTCAACGTACCCAAATTCTTCTGAATTTTGCGACTCAAGTTTCGGATTGCGCGGCCGTAGAAGAAAGCAGACAATCCGATAACAGGGAAAAGGAGAGCCAAAACGCTGGAAAGCTGTACACTGACATAAGTCATAGCGGCAAATCCAGCAGTACCGCTCACGACGGCTCGAAGACCATCGGAAAGGTTCTGGGTAATGGCTTTTCCAACAATGAGGGTGTCAGAGCTAAGCCTGGAAATCAAGTCACCCACCCTGTTTGCATCGAAAAATTCTGCATCTTGAATGAAAGTACGTCTGAACAATTTTGATCGCTGTCTGGCGACAACTCTTTCACCAACAATACGCAGAATTATGATTCTTCCGTAGTTCGCAGCTGCTCCGATGCACATAATCCCCGCAAGGGTACCAAAAAACATCGGCATTGTCAAACCAAAAAGGTCATTGGCGGTTTCCCCTTTGGTAACTATATCCATGATTTTTCCAATTGAGAACGGAATGGACATTGTGATTCCAGAGGAAATCAACAAGAAGAAAAAGGCAAGCCCGAGGTGTTTTGCTTCTGGCCGAGCAATTTTTAAGAGCCGCCATACTTCACTAAAGCCAGGTTTGTTCCCATTTTCTTTCGCATCGCGTCCTAGCTTTGCACTCAGATTAATCTGAGCTGCTTGCGCTCCCTTTTCCGAGAGTTGGAAGCCTTGTTCAGCATCTTCATCTCTGCCTTGGCTATCAGTATCCTGGACTTTGACCTTCACGGGATCCGTCGCTCGTTGCTGCGAATCGCTCAGTTTTCGCGAGACAGAGAAATATCGAAGCTGCGATGCTATCGTCGAGCGGGTTTGGAGTTGCTGTTTTGGGGAGAAGGATAATCTGGGTGCCAAGTCGGAACGAAACGCGTTCAGACCCAACGTCGAAGAGGTAGAGCTAAATCTTGACGGGCTCCAAGTTGTTAGAAGGGGCTGACCGGTACAAGGGTGAGCAGTGCGAGACGACTGTGCGCATATGGTACGGACAAGCCCAGTCCCAGCCCTGGGATCTAGGGCAGCCAGCAGCTTGGAGCTGCGCATGGCTGAGATGTGGTGAAATTCGTTCAAGGAACCGATTGCGGACAATTAGATTTCCATATCATGCAAATTGGGCGGCTCCAGCAGAAAAATCCATGACCATTTGCAGCCGTGGTATACTTCTGAGCAAAGGCGAATGCATACACTGACAATTCCTGCAGAACTGTGAAATAGTAAAAGGTGCAGGATGCTGACGGCGAGCTAGCCCGACTGCTCCGACCCATTACTTAATCAGTTACTGCCGATCCCGAAAGCGCAACCGCCAGAATGGTTCTGCCACCGCCCGCCGCCTGCCTTAGAGAAGATTCTAGCTCGAGCCTTGCAATAATAGACAGTAGACAGTGCAGGCATATTTACTTCCAGGCATATTGCTCTTGTCTAGGCACACATTTTGGCTCTAGAAAGTCCACGGTGAATTCTGAAGCCGTGTCGCCTCCGCCATAACAACAACCAATATCTTGAAGCGTCTCTTGCCGCGGGGCCCAACCCCACTACTGAAAGCGCCTCTGGTCGTTTGTTTACTCACGCAGAAAAATATCTCGAACCTCACATTCGCCATGGTGCTCGACTACAGTAAATGGGATGCGCTGGAGCTGTCGGACGACTCGGACATCGAGGTGCATCCAAATGTTGACAAGCGATCCTTCATCCGAGCAAAGCAGAATCAGATCCATCAACAACGGCTCCAGCGTCGCCACGAGATCGAGACGCTGAAGTACGAGCGAATAATCAACGACGGGCTCCTAGAACGCATTGACAAGCTACTTGGGGCACTTCGCCAACATGAGGGTTCTACTCGCGAACCAGAAGAACTGGTGTTCCAGTCTCTGATCGAGTCTGCAGGGGATCCTGCGGCTGACCAACCCCCAGCTCCGCCTGAGGGAGTTCATGTACACATCAAGGAGCAGCCTAAGTATTCTCAAATGATGGGCTCGCTGGTGGACCAGGTCAAGAAAGAGGTTGAAGACGATAAATCAGGAAACCGATTGCAAGCGTACATCACAGGGGTTCATGGCCACAAGGACAAGGTGTTGGGGCTACAACAAGAACTGCTGAAGAAATTGGCGGAGCTGGAGAAAGAGGAAACTAGTAAAATCACCAGCAACGATATACACACTGGCTTTGACAGCTCATTTGTGACAAAACCGGCAACTTCGGAGAAGGCAAAGGCTTCCACCGCCGGTCAAGCGAAGGTTGAGCTTTTAAATCCATCATCCGCAGCAAAGGATACGTCAATCGCTCAGTCCTCCGGGACAGATGCTGACGTTGAAGATGAAGATGAGGAAGCTGATATCAAAGTCAGTGATCTCGCTAAACAGTTTGCCAAAATACCAATAGCGGACTATAAATCCAGTCTTCAGTTTATCTCAACGCACCCCGAAGTGGTGGCCGAGAGTGAGACGGATGGTCTGTTGGTTGAAGCATTTAACAGCCAGATGGATGGAAATGCAGAATATGCTCGTCAATGCGTACACCATGGTCTTTTACTTCAGTACTGTCGCTCCCTAGGTCGCGATGGCGTTGCTCTTTTCTTCAAGCGGTAAGTCATACCTGTCTATAGCTATACAGAAGTATGGAGCTGATTTCCTGGGTAGAATTACGACCAAGGACCACCAAGCTGGTACACTTTTCAGAAACGACGTGAATGAAACATATAACAAGATCAAGACCCGCGCTGCGGAACTAGCGAAGAATAGAAGCCCAGAGAACGACCCTGCTGGTGTCGAGCAAATTCAATTGCATGCCGTTGACCCAAACACTAAAATTAACATCTCAATACCCCCGGCAGACAGCACCAATCCAGAAGAAATCGAAGCACGCAATATTTTCGATTCCTTCCCCCCAGGTCTGCAACGAGCACTGCAGTCGGAATCTTTGGACGAAGTGAATAAAGTCCTTGGCAAAATGAGTGTCGACGAGGCAGAAGTCATCGTGGATAAACTTGGTCAGGGGGGCATGCTCAGTCTCGAGGAAGGTATTGTTGATGCTACGACTGAGGAAGGTAGGAAGAAGCTCGAGGAGATTGAGCGTGAAGGAAAGAGGCAAGAAGTCATCGAGGAGATTGGCGAACCAGCTGAAGATCAATTGGACTGATTGACATCTTTCCCTGTATGTGAATGGAAAAAAGCAATTAATATTCTTCAATGTCATTCGCCTCATGTAGTATCAAAATACAATATTATTCTCTTGCTCTGTAGAGGCAGTACTGTCAATGAAGCTGTAGGTACTCCTCAAGGGTTGACAATTTACTATCCAGACCCCTTCAACTAAAGCGAGAATCTTTAATACTGTAAAACTCCATTGCATTGCTATCGATATATGGAACAGAAAGTAGAATGGGTAAAAAAGTAACAAATCATAAATTCAACCGATGCCCCCAATAATGAAATAAGACTACAAGGTGATTATTATTTCCAGGGCTCGCACTTCAAATCCGCCAAAGAGAAATAATAATCATTGATCTTTTCAAGATCAAAATGATGACGAGACTGGCAGGGATAAAAGGGTTGATAAAAGGCAGAGACATCGTCGGTTTGGCTAGCTCCAAAGACAGAGGCTTCCAGATGCCCTTATTTTGCATCATAATCATGTTTGTTTTGAAGTTCATATCCGTAAACTCAGCCCTCTATTGCAATATTCACATAGTGTCCACGCCCGCCATGACATAACTTGAATCAAGTTTGAAGTTAGACGCCCGAGGCACCAGGCGCATTCGAGTCCTTTCGCAAGTCGACAAGCAGTTCACGGAAACGTTCTTTTCCAGATCCACTAGCACCGCCTTTCACACCTTTACCAGAGACATCGACCAATTTAGCAATACGTTCCCAGCTAGTGCCGCCAGCAGAGGTGTCTTCTCGGTTGGCAAGGAATTGTTCAGCTTCGGTACGGGTTTGGGTGCGAGCCTTGTCGGCACGGTTACCGTAAGATACGTAAAAGTCATCGATGTCTTCTTGGGCTTTCTTTATCGTTGCGGCTTTCTTCTCTGCTGCAGCCTCAGCTCGCCGGGCAAGATCGGCATCTCTGCGGCTTCGCCACTCTCTGCGAAAGGTATATATATATTAGCATAGTCTATTTAACAGTGGCCCCAAAAAACGCATTAGTCTTACTTCACAACTTCGGGCTCTTCCTCTGGTGGTGCGTAGCTCGAATATCCCGTAGCAGGAAAAGGGGAACCAGTCCCAGTTATGGTTCCGCCAGGAGCAACTGCCTGTTGGTGCCACCAATGTCAACCTCCTATACTCATCAAACAGCTATCACTCATACCTCATTGCCGGTTTCAATTGCAGGAAATGACGATTCAAAACCTGAGATCTCTTCCGCTCCAGTCTGTTGAGGCGCGGGTTCACCGCCCAAGAGGTCATCGTCCTCTTCTACAGTTGCAGTGCGATCGTTAGGCGTAGCGAATTGGTCGGCGTCATCGCCGAGAGCAGCTCGTTCACGGGCCAAAAAATCGTCGTTATCAGCAGCGCCGTTGGTGTCGACGACCTCAGTTTGGCCTGGGAAGCTTGTTAGTTGGTCTCATTGCGAGCGTGGTTACCTAGGCGGGATGCGCACCTTCGTTGAAATCGTCTAGAGAAGGGAAACGGTCGGCCATTTTGTCAGGTGTTATGCGATCGGAATTTAGGTTGCACACAGAGTAATGAAAAGGCACCAGTGAGGATATTGTTATTAGTTGAGATTATTACTGGCAGTGTTGTAAACGGTGTCTGCCAACAATCACTATGATCGGGCGGCCGCTTTCTGCCACCGCCTTTGCGGAGCTTCCTTTATGGATCTCACTGGACGGAGCTCATCTACCTTAAGCATTGCTGGGAATATCACTTGGAGATATTGAGTCTGGACACATATATCGCATCCTTCTGCTCCTTCTGATTCTAACGGTTTGACTCCTTATATGCAACTCAAAACCCTGTCAACGACACCCAAACCTGAGTTCTTCCTCGTCGAAGAACTGCTCTGAGCATATTCTAGAGCTGTGTTATGAGCCATGGCCTACACCGATGATGCCGTACGCGCAAAACTGTCCGCGCTGAATGAAACGCAAGAAGGAATTGTCACAGTTGCACAATGGGTCATGTTTCATAGGCAAGCCCAGCTCCAGTCTCTAATGGCATATTTGACGCTAATTTCTTTTTTGCGACTATAGACGCCATGCAGACCGTACTGCTCAGCTGTGGCTGCAGAAACTTAAAGATTCCCCGGCTAACAAGCGGTTGAACCTGATTTACCTGGCAAATGGTAAATGTCTTTGTTATCTTTGAGTTGTCAGAACTGACGGATTCGCAGAGGTTGCGCAACAATCCAAAGCTAGACGCAAGGCGGACTTCTTGATCGCATTTTCTCCCGTTCGTCGATACTTTCAGTACATGAACAAAAAATTACAGCTAACGATAGCAGATCATTGCTGAGGCTATGTCAGTAGCTTACAAAGGCTCGTCCAACGACATACAACAAAAGTTGCGGCGCGTTGTCGAGGTCTGGAGACAGCGTGCCATCTTCGAGCAGCCTATCCAAGAAGCTGTTGAATCTCGTGTTGATGGTAAGTCTTTCATCTTGACCTTGCATTTCCAGGCATACTGAAAAACGAGCAGAGTTAGATAAAAACCGATCGTCCACCAAAAAGCCTTTGTTGGGAGGCTCTTTCTTCGGCTCTGGATCGGGGTCCATTCCGGCCGAGTTCCAGCCACTGGTGCCACTTCAAGTCGATGTCTCAAAACTCTCCGTGACATCTGGCTCGGCAGTAAATGCAGCCAATGCCGAATTTGACAAGTCAAATGATCCTTCAAAGCCAGATCCATCGCCGCCTGTACATGCGGCACGTCTCAGCCAGCTTCTCAAAGCACTGGCGAATGCAGAAAGCTCTGTTTCCGAAATCATCAAGTCCCGGCAGTCCTTAATAGACGGCCTTGAGAAACTGCTCGACAGCAACCGTGCTTCTCTTGCCAAGGAGAATTCTCTTTTGACCCAACTGTCGGAGAAGAAGGCAGACACGGAGTCACGAAAGCGGGATGTCGAAGATGCTATCATGCGTGGGCTCTCTGCCGAGAACTCACCAGCAATCCATAATGGCGGCGACGAAGATTCTCGCCCAGAGATTGAGACCCTCACACCACCACCAGTAGAATCCCTAACACCTGTTGATTCGCCCGGCCAATTTGGATCTGCCGCAGAAACATCACAACCGCATCCCTTCACCCTCTCTGACCACCAAATGGACGGACCTGCTGACCTTCACGACTTTTCTATGCCAGATATGGGTCATGAAGAAGCTGCAAGGCTGAATTCAAAACGACGCAAGGTTACACATGAAGAAGAGTACGGGGGCTAATCTTGCCTTTTTCAAATCTTCCCTTTAGTTATGTGGAATCTCTTGGCTTGTACAACATGACTAGGAATCAGACAATATTGATGTTAATGGATATCAATATATTGAGGGGAAGTAAATAATCATGCATTCTCTGTAATCGAGAAAAAAACGTAAACGTCTCGCTAAAGTAGCTATCATTTCATAATGTACAATATAACGATCGAATCTATTAGCTGTATGATCATGTCAGATCGATATCGATGTTGCTCGGTAACCAATTTGACAATGAAGAATAAGATGGCTCGTATTGACGCCAGTGGTGATGGTGGATGGATTCATCAGCCAGAGAAGAACCGAGATTGACTATTCTCCTTCGCATGAATTGCGGTGTATCTTGTTGTTGCTCCTGCTGTTCTGGAGGTGGTGGTGTGGTAGGGGGAGAATCGTGGCGCTTGGGTTTGACTATGAGAAGAATTATCATTCCTACAATAATCAACAGCAGGAGCAAGATGATCTTGCGCTTGGTGGTTTTCTTTTGGTAATTGGTAGCCTATTGTATGTGACTTAGTATGTGTTGGATCCCAGTAAGAAAATGAACATACCACTTTGAGCTCGGTATCTGCATGCTTGACATCCGTGACCATTCGCTCTACGTTGTAGTCTATACGGTCCAACATAGTGCCTTGATCGATAACCATTGACTGTAAACTGCGGAATATGTCGGATAACTCAATAATTCCTTTTGCAATGTCATTGATCTCTCTTTCGCGTTGTGCAATAGCCTCGTCGTTCGTGCCAATCAATTTCTGCGAGGTTTGCAGTAGGGTGGTTTGTGAAAATGACTTGTCGGCATCAGATTCCATGAGGGAATGGTCTGCATATGTACTTTGCACAGGCGTCGAAACTCGCTCGAATGGCAAGGCCATGCCCTCGAGTTCCCGTAGTTCTGCATGTGCTAATATCAGCGTGTGAAGCATTCAACTCGTTTGTAGACCTTACTCTTCAAGTATGTGCTTTGCTTTTTCCTGAAGAGAGCACTCGAATCTTGAACTCGCGATGCAAGCGAAATTTGAAGATTCTTAGCCAACGTCTCATCCCCCTGAGTCACGCCTCCCAACTGCTTTTGCTCCCTTACCATAACCTCGATCCGTTGAATGGCATTCTGGCAAGTGTGAAACCCGCGAGTAATCTCTTGAGTAAGCTGCTCAATAAAATCCTCCTCTTTCTTACGCGCTGTCTCATCGCCGAATCCGGGAAGTATGTGCTTTTGATGTAGCTGGTCTAGTCGCGCAGCCTTCTGCGCGATATCGGCGAGCAATTCATTCACTTCGTCCTGCACATCCATCCACCGCGGGGGTAGCAGGTCCATTTCAATCACCACATCGCCATCATCTTCGAAAGAGTCCGCGCCGGCGATCAGGCCGCGCCTTTCTTCTGATATCGACGGCGAGTCGGTGAAGCCCTGCGATGGTCCAAAGTAACGTGGCTTCTTGGTCGGATGGTGGGCGAAGGATTGGCGGTATGAGATATAGCTAATGGAGTTAGTTGGGTATGAATGAGAGGACAAAGGATGTATCTATCCATACAGGTTGGTCCGATCACGCCACATTGTGGCATACCAGGAAGAGAAGGCTTAGCTGCGCCGTCCACGTTGCATGTGCTTTATCGTTCGTTATCCGAGCATGCATCGACCGATCGATGATGAGAAGCTCTGGCAAATCACCTCGGGGTTGTGGCCAGCAAGTTGCAGCCTACGGGCTCCTCATGACAGTGACTGGACGTGGTGTTTAGAAGTTGAGCTAATATGTCATATCGCTTGGCTTGGAGGTCTGCGGGCCTTTGCGTCGCCGCGGAGCTTCTCAGCCCGTTTTGGGACTAGTGTAGCTCTTGGCTTAGCATGAGATGGAGGACGAAGAAGGGGAGCATTGATGCGATGCTTCAGTTGATAATATACACTAATTAGACATTATTGCATATGAATAGGAAATGTTTCGTTCTCCTGTAGGATACTCACAGTGTATCAATTGATGAGGTTCCTTGGAAAGTATAAGCGTAGAAGGAACACGGTAATTTGAGGCAAATCGCCTGTTCCCAAGGGATTCTCATATAATAGTAGTACAATATTATAAGTATGCGGGTCGAGTACGTGACTACCAAGCAATATTACTACACATGTATTGCGGTGAAGTTTTACAGCAGCCCTACAACAGGGCGGAAAATAGTTGTGAGCTGCGCCACGATCGCTCCCTTAGCCACATATACCGGTGCTGCACGCTGCAAGGGCCCTTAAAGTTTGCAGAGAAAACCCAGGGCAGTCTCATTTCCCATGGGGCTGTGCAAATAATGGGACCTCAGGCGATCCAGGCTTGAAGATGATCGATCTGCAAGGCGATGACTGCGAGGAAATCCCACTACCTGCCGCCACTCGCGCGGGTCACGTTTTTCTGCCCTGCACGCGCCACACGAGCGGCAGCCAACCGTCTTGGGCCATTCAGCTACTCCTGCCCCGAGAATCAGAAGAGGAACAATAATAATCTCCTCTCCCCCTAAGCCCATTTTCCTCTTCCCCAGTCTGACCACCCCCCTCAACTCCATTCCAGCCGACCAACCTCTGACTGCACATTGCTACCCCGAATTCGCGTTTCTTTCTCTAAAAATGGTACGGCCGTCGCTCGCTTTGTCTGCCTGTCGCTGCTGCAGCCCGTCCTGTACTCCCCACTCTGCGGGGCAGCCCAAGGCTTCGATTGAGGAAACGCTTGCTGACCCTATCGCCATTTTTCCAGGCCGATTCTTTGACCGAAGACCAGGTCTCCGAGTACAAGGAGGCCTTCTCTCTTTTCGTAAGTCGCTGCCCAATGCTTTCGCCTCCCCGCAATTGAGATAAGACGACAACTGATGGGTTATCGGTAACAGGATAAGGATGGTGATGGTGAGTAGACAAGTCCAACACAGCGATGATTCTACCAGTCACTATGGCCCAGTTGACTAACGAGTGCTTGCTAGGACAAATCACAACCAAGGAGCTGGGCACAGTCATGCGTTCTCTCGGCCAAAACCCTTCCGAATCTGAGTTACAGGACATGATCAACGAGGTCGATGCCGACAACAACGGCACGATTGATTTCCCTGGTACGCTCTTATATTCTCTTATAGTGGAGGCGGGGCTAGTGGGCTTTCTCTAACTGTCGCAGAGTTCTTGACCATGATGGCCCGCAAGATGAAAGACACCGACTCGGAGGAGGAAATCCGTGAAGCCTTCAAGGTCTTTGACCGCGATAATAATGGTTTCATCTCCGCTGCCGAACTGCGCCACGTCATGACCTCTATCGGTGAGAAATTGACCGACGATGAAGTCGACGAGATGATCCGCGAGGCCGACCAAGACGGCGATGGAAGAATCGACTGTGAGATCCGTCCGAGTGCTGTCCGGTATTGGAAGCTAACCTTATAACAGACAACGAATTCGTCCAGCTCATGATGCAGAAATAGGTGTTCATTTCGGACTTGTTTGCTGTGATTTGTTTTCTTCATCGTGGACGTATATAACGGGCTATGATTTTGTTGTGTGCCATAATCTATTAGGCAGGTGTTAGTTTAGGCCGTTGCCGTTGGGTTGGAGTCGTCCATTCTGTCTTGAATGTTTGAGCCAAGTCAAATGTGCGATAACGAGCATAGGTTAATATTCTCATTTCTCATTGAGACAGGTTTCGAATATTGAACTTAACATTTCAACTCTTTTTCTTTGTCCCTTCACTGATATTACTTATCTACGAGCTTGACTTGTGCCCCTTTCGTACCCCCGTATCATACAACATGCAAAGCCACCGTGTTTGTATTACGTTTTACTCCCATAGAAGAGCGCTGGTGAATCTAATCATCGGTTAAAGCGGAAAAGCTCCATGTACTGTCTTGCCAGGTCAACGCCAGTATCCATATCATCCTCCTTTTCTGGTAGACTCGAAACCCCTCCCCAGCTTCGATCCAGTAACAATGCCTCCAATCTCTTCTGCCGCCGTTGAGCTTCCCTTTCATACCACCCTGGCTGCCGCCGCTGGTTAAACCTTTCTTTTACTTCTTTGCCGAGATCCGGTACTAGAATAGACTCTCGAGCAGTCTTGTCCTGAATCGCAAGCCGTGCCCAGAATTCCCGTATTAATTGTGCAATGTCGGCATACTCTGCATTGACTTCTTCTTCCGTCGGTACATAGGAAATGTCAACGCTAGGCTCGATATCAGCAAGACCATCCTCTACCGCCATCAAAGCTCCAGCCGACGCGATAACCGATGGTCCCTTCCATTCGACCTCCATAATCGTCCCTCTCGGCCTTGCCTGCGGCTGCGTCTGCCGCACTTCTCCCAGCCTAACCCGAAAATCACCAACATCATAGATGGCCCCTGTGACAGTGACCGTGTGCCGATGACACCAGAGCGGTTCACAAGCCCGCACGAAGTGCCTGAAGAGTTCCGCCGACGACGTGATGGGGACCGGCGACATGACCATCTCTGAACCCACACGCGGCGTGTCTGATGACGCATATATGAAGCCGACTTTGGGATAGTTGGTTGTCGATAGGAAGTGCATGTAACGCGGTCTTGGCGCGGGATTGGGCGCGTGCGCAGATGCTGGGAGGCACGAGGGTGTGTCTTTCATTAACTTGTGCTCTAGGCCCCAGCGGCCGAAGGGAACGACTTCATCGCCGTATATTGAGCGCAGGCGCTCGGTTAGAGGGCCTAGGATGTTTGGCGCGTTGGGGCTTGAGGGGATGAAGTAGACCCTTAAATCATTAGACCAGACTCTGAGGAATGAGGATAAGAATGTGGGAGGAGTGTTTACCCTGTATGTGGCATTGTGAGGAGCAGGTGTGGCAACGAATATTGTCTCGATGCTGGTGTTGCTTGCGCTCATGAGAGATGCAAGTCCCCCCGCAGTACCCTCTTCAGGTTCTCAGCACATAAGGATTTACATGCAATGCTTATCGCCCCGCTTGCATCAGATCAGTCGATCGAATAGAAAAGGATTGGAATGTGCCTTTGCATCGACGACGTGTGTCGTCGGTTTGCAAACAAGATCTTAAGCTTAAGCCTCAAGCCTTAATGAAGATGAATGCACGGTGGGGCTGCGGGGGCGCCAGGCCGATTGGTTGGAGGAATATCAATAACGAGCAATAGCTTGTTACCAGAAATAGGGATGTTGATAGCTTCGCTTAATTTATATAGTACTTGCCTGAGGGCATATCGAAAGCATTTCTCGCATAAATCATGCTGGGTGTGAATGGCCTGTTCTGAGGCTGTGGGGCGCTTGCACGACGCATTGATGAATTTGTGGTGCAATCGTATGCTAGGACTAAGGACTAGGATTTTCAGAGAACACACAATTCACTTGCTCATTAGTGGTATAAAAATGAATAAATAATGGCAATAATACTATACACGTACTTTGTAGTAATGTATGAGGCTGCTACGTGCCAGGGGCTCGGCCGATGTTAATCTGACTACAGTGGCCACTCGCAGCGGCTTTGGTTGGCCGTCGCCGGCAGAGCCAGCCTGCAATAGGTTGGTTTAGGTACTCGTGTGCCCACTGCGGCGCCCGCCCGCCATACTTTAATCACCGTCGCTGCCACTGCCACTGCCACTGCTGACAACTTGCACCTCGCAACCAAACATTGGAAGCTGAACTGCTGCTGGCCATCCTTCTCTTACGGCCAGTGCGAGAAATGACACCTCCATCTCCAATGCTTCATGATCTCTGTTTCTTCTTGTGATACTTGATACCCATTCTGTTGACTTACTATCTACTTCCTGCCTGCAGGATTTCCAGCCTCAATACCCGTGCCATTCTCTATCGCAAGAGCCGTATTTTGACGCATCAATTCGCACACAATTAGGTTAAGCGACATCGGTACCATGCCCCTTGTGCGGCCCTTTGTACGCAAGAGCCTGGTAGTTCCTGCGTTCATTTTAACTGTCATTATCTACATCACTTTTGACAGCATCGGGCCGGGCGAATTTCCCCAATATCCCTCTCCTCCTCCTCCAGACTTTCCCAACCATGGCGTAGGATCATCATTTGGAGAAAGCCAACCTCATTGGCAGAATAAGGCCGAGAAATACCCCGTGGAATCATACATCCAGTTGCCGACCAATAAGCCGGGGAAAATCCCCAAAATCCAATATGACTTCCCCGCCAAAGAGGCGCCGATCGACCGGAAAAGACGACTTGAAAGACAAGCCGCCGTGCAAGAAGCGTTCACGCATGCATGGGGAGGATACAAATCACATGCGTGGTTAAAGGACGAAGTCTCGCCGATTTCCGGTGGCTTTTCCAACGGTTTTGCTGGTTGGGCTGCGTCGCTTGTTGACACGCTCGATACTTTGTTAATCATGGGGATGAAGGATGAGTTTGAGGAGGCTCTCAATGCGCTTGAGAAGATCGATTTTAGCACGACTAGCGATCAATACATTAACGTCTTCGAGACTACGATTCGCTATATGGGTGGATTTATGGCGGCGTACGATTTGTCGGATGGGAAATACCCGATTCTTTTGAAGAAAGCGCAGGAGGTGGGAGATCTTGTATATGGTGCTTTTGACACCCCGAACAGAATGCAGATCTCTCGGTGGGACTGGAAGAAGTCTTTGCGAGGAGATACAATTCTTCCCGCTAGGAATACCTTGCTTGCAGAAGTTGGGTCTTTGTGCCTGGAATTCACCCGGCTGACTCAGCTAACTGGCGATCCCAAATACTTCGACGCTATTCAACGCGTCACTGATGAATTAGAAAAGGCCCAGAGTAATACCGCGGTCCCGGGTCTGTGGCCAATGCTTGTTGATCTGGAAAACCTCATATTTAGCAACAAGCAATTCACACTAGGTGGCATGGCTGACTCTACATACGAGTATCTTCCGAAAGAGCACCTTCTTCTCGGAGATCGGACCAAGCAGTATCAGCGTATGTATGAGGACACGGTTGACCCTATCAAGAAGCATCTGTTATTCCGCCCCATGACCAAGAATGGAGAGGACATTTTGTTTAGCGGTTCCTATCATGGAACCACCTTGGATGCCGAAGCTCAGCATCTTACTTGCTTTGTCGGAGGAATGTTTGGTCTAGGCGGAAAGGCCTTCGACCGTCCAGCAGACCTCGCCATTGCCCGCAAACTGGTTGATGGGTGCATTTGGGCCTATGATTCAATGGCGACCGGATTAATGCCTGAAATCTTTTTTACGAGCGTTTGCGATGATCTTGACTACTGTCCCTGGGATGAGAAGAAGTGGTTGTCGGGTGTCCGGATGCACAACCACGTTTCAGAAACAGATGATGAATCGGTCCTGGAGCAGGCCGAGAAGATGGGTCTTCCTCCCGGAATTATACGGGTGTCGGACCCAAAGTACATTCTACGGTAAGTTTTCATTATTGGGTGCAGGTAAGACATGCTAATCTCTCGCAGACCCGAAGCTATCGAGTCCGTATTCATCATGTATCGCATCACCGGCGACAAAAAGCTCCAGGACGCCGCGTGGCGCATGTTCACCAGCATCGAAAAGATGACGCGCACAGAGATTGCGCACGCCAGCATTGAAGACGTGCGCTTTACCGATACGCACAAAACCGACAAGATGGAGAGTTTTTGGATGGCGGAAACGCTCAAGTATTTCTATCTCATCTTTTCTGAACCGGGTCTAGTTAGTTTGGATGATTACGTGCTGTAAGTCGTTCCGTTTATTATTATTTTTTGGGGAGCCAATTGACATTTTATAGCAATACCGAAGCACATCCCTTTAGGCGCCCGGTCGCCTAAGCTATCTCTAAGATATTTATCTATCTAATTGTTTGTATGACAAGCTGGTAGACATAGAATCACCAAATCATCACATGCAGTGGACATGTGACACCGTGCTGACTACTGACTATGCAATCTACCTATAAGTTAACTAGTTATACGTATAAGAGCACGTGCATTTAGAAATTACCAGTTGAAATGCACATATGTAGTATGGCAGATTTACTACAAAGTCTGAACAGTATGAATTTTATGTAGTTCAATCCCAAAAAAAAATCCATCTTTCTAGATGTCTAGGTAGCGAGCAAGTTGCTAGTACAAAGAAGTGATTACCTGTAGTATTCAGGAACAAGCCGACTAGAGTCTAGCCCTTGACAAACAATAGCCGGATCGGGATCGGCCTGTGAGACCTCAGGGGTCCAGAGATCAGAACTTCCCCTGTGATCCCCCCTTTCAGGTATTATTATTTGCGTGGCCCCAACTCTGTAATTACTCCGAACTGACGGTTCTTCACAGCTGATGAATTTCATGGCGTCCCGTTAAGCTTGCACTGATAAAGCGCCCGGTGGAGTCGAGACGCAGTTTTGGGGCGGCTGACCGCTCTTTCGGGTTCAATCTATCAATACTAATAAAATCTGTAGAATGCAGGTCCAGTGTTGTTTCCCCTTGGCATGTTGGTTGGCCTGCGTGATTGGCCTTAGATGGATCAGATTAGACTGATTAGATTAGCATCTCAGTCAGCCCCGAAATCGGCGTCCTACATATTCTTATTAGGTGTTGGTGTTAAGTACCAGATGTTACATATTATGTATTATGTGTAACATAATACAATAAAGAATAGTTGAACTCAATTTCACATAGTAAATTAGTACATATTATATAATACTAGTATAGTATATCCGTTTCCGAACATACCGTACACCACGCCACCGCACCCGGTCCGGCACGCACGAGAACTAGTGGTTATCAGCCGTGCGGAAGAATTTAGGAATTTGTTTTATCAGATTCGGACCCGGCCACCTCAATCAATTCCTTTCACATTCTGTTCCACCACCACGCTCCTCCTCTATTAATATTCTCCCCCATGCGGCTCGATGTTTTGTTGTGACTACCCAGTTCCCTAATTGCTCAAATGCCAGCTTAAATGCTCGCTGGTTCGCCTACCTGACGGCTGCTCCGTATTTGATCGCATCAGCCTCGGCAACTCGTCCGTTCTATCGTTCTGTCGTTCTGTCCTCCTGCGGCAACGGCAACGTCGCTCATTTCTATTCGCATAATCCATTTGCCCTTTGGAGGACTACTATATTCCCAATGGGTATGTACTGCAACTCTCATGTCCAACCTCACCTCCATGTCCAACTACACCCCTCCTACGGAAAAACGTCAATTGCCCCACCATCTTGCCCGGGTGGCGATGTCGCTATGGCCACGCCGCCCCGATGTACGACAAAAACTACTCTCGAAATCGATGCTAATTAAATTGCAATCAAGTTCACGCTGTGGCAGCGCCGTCTACCATGCCATCTGCCGCGCGCTCTATCCATAGCGGTAGGGGGAAAATTCCCCTGTCGTCTACGTCACATCCTGACAACCCGATCCCTGAAGAACCTCGCACCATCCCGTCTCTCGCAGAATCCGTCCAAGCCCTGGATATCAACCAGGAATCGCAATCAGCTCTCTCAAACCAATCAGTCGCCGGCCTGTCGGAAAGCGATTCGGACACTGCCGAAACACCGATTACGGAGCACTCCGATGATGAAAATGGGCAGTTTGACCGACAGAAGCCAGAGGCTGCTCGCAGGCGCCGTGCTTCTACTGCCTTGATTGCCGAGAGTTCAGAAGATGTGCAGAGGATACTAGGCAATGTTGGCGTTGGTGGGACAACTCAATTGGTGGAAAAAGTCTGCTGCGGTGGTGGTTGCTGCTTGTTACAGCCATTACCTAGCGCGACGAAGGAAATTTTGAACCCAATCCAGACACCCGACAACAAAGCTTATCAAAGCTTGAACTTAAAGATTCGGGGACTAGCTGTGGATAGCGAATTGACGAATGTCGTTCCTCTGCCGGAAAAGACGGTCTCGTTCTCGCCAGTCTCTGCAGACAAGATTGACACCAAATTGGGACCGGCCGATCATCCTCCCAAGTTTGTCCAGCCTCATCCGCCATATGATGTCTTCCGCGCACCATTACATCACGCTCGCGAACTTACGAAGTCTGGTGCCGAGAAAAAGACATACCATTTCGACATTGACGTGACAGACTACCCTGTCGAAGGAGGAGATGTTGACTTTGTAGTTGGTGGCGCCATCGGTATATGTCCGATGAACAGCGATGAAGCCGTTGACAGTGTTTTCAATTGTCTAGGAATCCCCAAGCCCATCAGAGACAAAAAGATTACTGTGCACACCACCTCCGGGCGCTGGCCGACGATCTGGGGCGAGGAGAAGGCTCGGGATCTCATAACCACTCGGCGAGAATTGCTAAGGTGGTGCTCAGATATTCAAAGCTACCCCCCAACCAAGCAGCTCTTCCGTGTTCTTGCAGAATTCGCCTCCGATCCTAATGAAAAGAAAATTCTCATATACCTTTGCTCTGCCCAGGGACAGGGTGCTTTCTGTGATTTGCGAACCGGGGTGCATGTTTCGGTTGAACAGCTCTTGCAAGCCTTCCCATCTACCCATCCGCCTCTTGACTATCTTCTTTCCGTCTTAAGTACTCTCATGCCACGCTTCTACTCCCTCTCCCAAGATCCAACTATCTCCTGTACCACTCGTGGAGAAGACTGTCGGCGGACCATCGAGATCGCCGTAACTGTCCACGAGAGCGATGACTGGCAGCATGGAACAAGAACCGGAGTAGGCTCCGGTTTTCTACAACGTCTAGCCCAGAAAATGGCCGCTGCTGAAAGCCAAGGCATTGATCCGAAGACACTTGACCTTCACGTACCCATGTTCCGAGGCCTAATGGCCAACCCTCTCGCCCGAGAATTCGTCCTTGATGGACCAATGCTCTTAATCGGAGCGGGCGTTGGAATCGCCCCCTTCCGCGGCTTTGTCCAGCGGCGACTAAAATCGGCTAACTGTGTCAATAAAGTCTGGGTCCTTCAGGGAATCCGCGACTCATTACTCGATGAATTGTACAGCGGTGAATGGGGCGTTGACGAAGAAAAAGTCAAAAAGGTCGTCCAAAGCCGTCGCGGCGAGAGTCGCTACGTACAAGAGGAAGTCCGTCACCAGGCTGATCTTGTCTGGTTCGTCATCAATGCCCTTGATGGCCGTGTTTTCGTTTGCGGGAGCAGTAAAGGCATGGGCGAGGGCGTGGAAGCGGCTCTGGTTGATGTTGCCATGGCGAAAGGCAACCTGAACTTTTCCGAAGCAAAGGAATTCTGGGATAGGAAGAAAGATGCCGGGCAGTATATTGCAGTAAGTCTCATTCATGCATTAACCATGGTTAATGACTATAGTTCAGTGCTAATTATAACTAGGAAACATGGTAAACTAAATCCTAAGCCACTACTAGTATACAGCCACTCTAGTAGTGGGATGTTTTAATTGTCAATTCGTCACGCAATTCAGCCTGTTTTCATCTCGGTACTTTGCACAATTTCTGCGGCATATCCCTTTTTTTTTGTTGGCGTTGGAGGCTGCATATGTTTATGTCTCGAATTAGTACATAGGGGGCTTTCGTGTGTTCAGTCTAGATTTGTTTATCGAGGTAACTCAAGCCAGCAGTATACAGATTTAAGTATATGTAGTATACATGGATTTAATTCAATCATAAATGATACATATGTATTGGCCAGCCGGTCTTGTATATGATGAGAAAGATTCAAGATTTCAAAAGACCAGAGTATTCGGTTCAATGTTCAACCTAGCGTCACTTCCTAGAGACCTCAAACTTCCAATCCTCAGGGAAGTGACCGTACTGTACATCGTCCCTTCCCCGGAAGATGTCATCATAATGCTCAATACGAGTTTCCGGGTCCTGTGCTTGCTGAAAGTACCGCTGGCCCAAGCCACGGAACACGGGGTCATTCCACATCGTTCCCATCCACGCCAGCGCATCATCGCTTGCAGTTTCTAGAGGAAGATTATACGTACGAAACCGCTAAACCTCAGCATCAGCAACTCGCGTTAAACCAAGTCATGTACATATGTATCATGGGGGTGTAATGGTGTATACCCAAAGAACCGGCCAGAAAAAAGCATCGGCAATACTAAATCCCCCAAACAAGAACCCATCATCGACCTGCCCAAGAGCCGCAAGACGTTCCTTGGTCTGTTTCCGGGCCTCGTCCCAGATAGCCAGGATACGCTCAACCTCGCGTTTTGCGTTATCGGGGATTGGGATGTTGCCAGTGTACCGCGCGAGAAAGTTTGTGCCGAACGTGCCTCGCACGGCGGAGAAGCCAGAATGCATCTGCGCGGCAGCGCTCCGCGCAAGAGCTCTGAGCTGACGATCCGCGGGCCAGAGACGTAGCTCCGGGTGGGATTCGGCGAGGAATTCACAGATGGCGAGGGAGTCACCAATGGAGATGGACATGGAGCGGCATTCTAGAATGGGGACGAAGCCTGTTGGGGAGACATGTTTCACCTATTGATCAATGTATTGGTGAGTGTGCATGTATACTCCCGACATTGCATGCCCTGTTGGGTGTAATTACATCGGAGAGCTTCACAAACTGGCTCGTATGCGGAATGTGGAAGTATTCCAGGACAGCCTCGACTCGGGCCGTCCAGCCTGGGCTTGTTAGCGACGGATTAAAGATCCAGACAGTCAATTGGTAATCTTACTGGAGTAGCGGGTGTAGGTGCCGATGAGTCGATAGTCAGGTTCCTGAGCTGCCATGATGATGATACCGGAGATCTTCAATTGGAATTATAAGAACATTGAAGGGATGTAGATATTGAAATTATAGGTGGGGTAAATAAAAATATACTCAGAACATGACTCATAACGGGTCTAGCCCTTCCCGAATTAAGCACTTACAGTACCAGTATCTTAGAACAAATCAAGCAGACTCAACAACAACAATAATAATATTACAATCAAAATCTCACCCGTGTATTAAAGGGTATCTCTCCAGTATTGACGCGGAGAATTTGTATCTCAAGACGATCACTTTTGGTACTGTATTTCCACATTCTACTATAGAAATCACTACCCTTCAGGGTTGGATATATATATACTATATATAATATTAAGGGTTAGGGCAAGCTGTTGGTGGGATCATCAATTGATTCAATCAGTTCGTAATGCTGATATGTTTGAATAACAGGTGGGTCTTTTTCTTTCTAGCTGAATCCTTGCGCATGTATTGTTTATGTTACTTAAGAAGAATGTTGAATACATGTAATACCTACCAGGGAAGAATAGCCCCGTCCCAAAGATAGAACTTAGCCGAGTCCTCAAGCGTCACCTTCTCAAGCACATGCAAAATCCCCTCCACAGATTTTGGAATCGGCATAGCGCCTGAACCGGCCTCATTCCCCATATCGGTTGCAACCCAGCCCGGATGTAGCGGCACCACAGTAAACCCTTCTTCATGAAGTTCATTATGCAGCTGCACCGCAATCATATTCAATGCCGCCTTAGACACAGCATACGGCCCGCGGAAGCCGCCCGTTGCATTTATCTGCCGTGCCATTGACCCCGACTGGGAACTGATTAGTAGGATTTTCCTCGTCTTGCGAGCCTTCAGTGCTGGAAGAAAGGCTTGCACGATCCTCAATGCCCCGATTGCGTTGACGTCAAAGTACTCGGCGAGCCGGGTATCAGTCGTATCTAGAAGTTTCTCGTCCTTGCCAATGGCAGCGTTGATGATGAGTGTGTCGAGTTCGGGGATTTGGGATGCGGCGGCGGCGATGGATGTGTTGGAGCGTTGGTCGAGGGTTATTGATTTAACGTTCGAGGAGGGGAAGGGGATGGGTTGTCGGACCGTGGCGTATACCTTGTTCTGCGGGTTCTGACTGAGCTGGTGAACGAGTTCGTGGCCGATTCCACGTGAGGCGCCGACGACCAGGGTGATTTTGTCAGACATCTTGTATATCTCAATTGATGTAGTTAGGGTGATGTTTTCACAATTATCACTGGAAAGACCTGGGAAGAGTCAATATACATATCTAGACAATATCGGACTACTCACAACAAAATTGTTGAATCTTAAGTGTGTCATTGTTCCGAAAGCTCCAAGAGGGCTATTAAGAGTTTACCACCCCCTCGGTACACGGCCCGACGACACGACTCTTGGTTGCCCTAGACTTATACCCATTACTAATCTAACAAGCTGCATGCTGAGCTCCAACTAGTCCGAAAGAAGAAAGTCTCCTCTTTTCCTCTTTGCAGAATGTCCCTCGTCTCTTAGAGATTTAAAAGGATATGATTGACGAGCTGAATCCCTTTTGGCAATTTTAACATCTTGGATGATGTTTTATGTTTTTAATCTAGAAGCTAATATGGTCGCTTTTTAACCTGATATCTTTTGCATATTAGAATCATTTACTGGAATTTCATAGACCAGTCAAGTGGTCTTGAATACATGAGAAACGCGAACATTGCAATATTCCAAAAGCCCTGTACTACCCCATTCACCACCAAGCCCGCTTTCCTTGTGCCCAGAAAACAGCGCCTTGGCGGTGAGTCGATGGCCAGAGTTGATGAATATATTTCCAGCTTCAAGACGCTTCCCTATTCTCTCCGCGCGCGACTCATCAGAACTCCAAACACTCGCTCCGAGGCCGGTTTTTGTGTCGTTGGCGTAGCGAACGACTTCGTCTTCTGTTGACCACTTCAAAGTCGCGATGATGGGGCCTAGTTTGATATTAGTAATTAGACGTTTACAGGGAGAAGAAAGAAAGAAAGATAAGTTAGTTGATGTTTTCTTACCAAACTGCTCCTCGGTAACAATCCTAGAATCATGCTGTGGCTCGCTCACGATGTGTGGCCCAATGAAGTACCCGCCGCGATCGTCAAACGAATGCCTCGTACCGATCACACTGTGACCCTGTTGACGAGAGTCAGCGAGAAGATCTTGTATGTGGTCAAATTGCAATTTGTTTTGAATCGGCCCCAACAAGCTGTCCTTCTCGCCAATACTCAGGATTTTCATGGTCTCTATCATTGCCGCTATGAAGTCGTCGTAGATATCTTGATGGATGTAAACCCTCTTGATGGCAAGACAAACCTGTCCTGAGTGGAATAGAGCTGCTATGGTGACTTGTGGCGCAACTTTGGCGATGTCGACGTCCGGCAGCACAATTGTGGCGTCATTACCACCCCTATAAAAATGAGTTGGCTATATTTCCTTCAAATCTGTAAAAGAAGGTAATTTGACATACATCTCCAAAGTAACCCGCTTAACAGTTTCTGCAGCTACAGCCATGATTTTCTTCCCTGTCGCAGTCGAACCAGTAAAAGAAATCTTGTGAACATCTGGATGTGCCACCAGCGAAGGACCGAGCAAGTTATCTCCAGACAGAGCCTGTAGAACTCCGCGAGGGAAAATACCCTGGGCAATTTCAGCCAATTTTAGGGCTGAGTAAGGGGTGAATGGTGATGGCTTCACGATCACCGTGCATCCAGTAAGCAGACCTGTCAGAACTTTTCCCATTGCCAAGACAATGGGGAAGTTCCATGGGCAGATGGCAACAACGACTCCGACGGGGACGTAGCTTGATGTTGTTACCCTATCTTCGAGATTTAAAACCTCAGTTGGTAAATTCAGGCTGAGATGGTGATCAAACATAGAAATCGTGTCAGTCAGCTCCGAGTCTGCCATAGCGCTTGTTTTTCCGGCCTCTTTATAAAGAAGAGTTTTGAAATCCTGTAGATGAGAGAAAAAAATGTCCTTGTATTGGGCAATGAGCCTGCGCCGATAGTCGATGGTCGTCTCAGACCAGGTTTCCAAAGCTTTGTTTGCGGCGGTCACGGCATCTTGCATATCGGATTTTGAGGCCAGTGGCACATCCCATAATGATTTACCGTCGAATGGGTCAATTCCACGGGCTGTTTCAGCTGAGTTTCTGGATTCTCCATTTATGATATTGGTAAAGGAGGAGAAATCAACTGTAGACATGATGATTTGCGATGCTGGTATACTTCTATACTTCCAGAAGGTTGTCGATAGAACAGAGAAGATTTGGGGATGATGTTGAAATGGTTACCGACTGGGTTGATGAATGAGTGAGTTTCGAGGGGAATGAACCTCGACATATACATGTAACATTGAAGACAAAGAGAGTGCCCTGCATGTGACGGCGCCCAGCCACATTTGAATGCCGACAAAAGTTGAGAACAAAGAAATGAGAACAAAGAAGGAAGGCGCACAGGCTGTAACGATGGCGATTCATTTGCCTAAGATTTACCCCACAAAGAAGCAATTGGACCAGATCCTTACTGAATTGAATATCTGGAACGGCAACATGATGTTTACTCGGCATGGGGAGGCTAAGGATGGAAAACGGCTACAAATGGCTTTCCAAAGCAGCAACTAATGGAGAAAATATCAGTTGGCGCTCTCAATTGTGGGACAAGCCCAATAATTAAGAGATTAATCAATCAGAGATCCTATGTCCAGGCATTTTTGGCTTCGAAAGGAACTTGGAAAGAATCATCAAAGCTTACACAAACAGTCGATAATGGTGCGATTTGATATCCTGCGACAACGTGGAGAAATTTCCACTCAAACGATGCAAGTCAAAACTCCAGGGTCTGGGGCTGGAGAAGTGTAAGAGCCTAATTAAAATGTGAAATACAACTGAAGCTAAACTATATCTTAGAACACATTTAAGTGTCTGTCATTCTGACTTGAGTTTGGCGTTGATCCAGGTATACTCCAGGCATAATCTCAACGCGGTTGAATTGAAGAAGAGTAGAGCGAATCTTGGTGCTTCCCACGAGGGCCAACAGCTGAGCCACTATATAGTGAGGCATCGTGCCATTGAACCTGAGGAAATTCGGCCCCTGAGCATATGCTGCGTTATTTCCGCTACACACGACAACGGCCGATGCGCCTACACCCCCCGTATGCTTTTCATTTCTGCAGCAAGAGTCTCTCCTTCGTTGTCTTGCGGAAACGTTAGTATATTAAGGAGTACCTCCACCCTAAGGCCCTTCGCGAGGTCCTCCTTCGTTTTGATGTCGACACGATATCCCATTCCCCTACTTGATCACTGCACAGCCACATGACTAAGATCTCCACCACTACCTGCTATTACCGTCGGGAACCGTAAGGATGCCATCGCACAGTTGGATATGGCTAGTCTTGGCGCTGTAACTACGCATGTCTAGACGACGGCAATTGACGACCTTCCCCACGTTTTTGACCAGTTGAAGGCTTGCACGCTACGTGGGCGTGGTGTAATTGAAATGAAATAGGACGAGAAATTGATGTTAAGAAGCAATGACAAGCCCTGATTGCATCGCTACCATAGTCTTCTCCATATTTTCCTACTCTCTTAACCTAGCTCCGGACGTTTAGCAAGAGTGGAGACGGGGATATAGATGGAATTAGAATGAGAGGCATAGACCAAACCACCAGCTGGAAAATAATAAAAGATAAAAAGACAAAAGCCGATGTTGAATTCGTTGCCTCGTTGATGTCTTGATATCATCGGATTTCTTTTCGCAGCCCGTACGCATCATCACATTTAAACGTAGGTAAGTCAAACAATGTCTGCCGAATGATATTTAAGCCTGAACGAGAAGTTGGATGAAATTTCTTTTCTTTTAATTAAAAACAAGTCGACAAATAATAAATAATCAAGACTCATTCTTATTTTATGGTCTTATTCAAGAAAGTATGTTACTGAAGCAAAAGATTCACAGTTCAAACTCATCATAGTCAAGCCTATCCATCCCACCTTCGCAGCAGCAACCAGCGGTGTTGACTCTTCAAAGCCACTGTCCAATGAGTGACCGAGTAATCCATAATAGCCCATCACACTGTAGATAATTCCCCAATTCTCATCTATTTGCCCTAATGTACGACGTAGTTGTCTTCGGAGCCACTTCTCTCACCGACAAAAGCTATATCGCATCTACCTAACGCTTCGGTGAACCCGACTACATCGCTCCATACATTGCCCCCTGCAGCAAGCATCGATTGAAGTAAGACCTGTTGTTCGATGTTAGCAACGTCGATATTGACGGGAATGTGCTTGGTCCAAACTCACCTCGAGGACAAGCGAATAAGGTACACCTCCATGAACTCACTTCTCCAGCAAATTTTACACACGCTCTTTATACAGGGAAATGAGCTCTTCCATGTAGATTCCAGTTTCAACCCTCGCCGCGCCGGATACCGCATGCTTCTAGCCAACAAACTCCCTTCGGTGGGCTACGGCGGACAGCATAGGCGAGCTGGCTGGGGCTTTGAAGCAGGCGCTGTGAGAACAGAACTACATAGCGGCGCACTCGATGCATCATTCACGCAAGCTCACCACACCGGTGTACTTCGCTGACCTGTAGCCGACAGACTATCAGCTGATGGGAGCGGTATCTGCTGTTACAGGTGCACGAATCGTCTGGGTCACGAGAATCTGTACATCGCAGCGCACGTACATCATACCGAGGGGTTAGGCGAAGACGAGTCGCGGGCGTTACGGGGCGGGCTGTTTGCACATGCCACATAGGAGAAGTATACGGTGGAGAATACACCGAGAGCAGCCAGGGGGTTTGGTGGTTGGGGTAATACGTGTACGATGCATCGGGCTGTCGGTGGGCCGTTATTACCAAGTACATGTCCAAGCGGGATATGCGTGTCGGCCATCAGTGCATGATGATAATTCTCAGGTGTGGGGATTGAATAAGCATACGGATAAGAGGGTTGGCTTTCCATAGATACGTTTGACTGAGATGAGTCGTTTACATATGTATGTTTGAAGTATATAGGTAACTTGTTACAATATTGTACGTATTTTCAATTTTATATATTGATATATTGATATGTACATATGTAATTCGGATTGAACATAATTTCCACGACATCATTCGTCTAATTTAGGGTCTAAGTGATCAACACCACTACCAATCAAGCTTAATACTAACACTACCGGTGAAACCACTAGTAGAACTAATCCGACTAAAGATTTTTTATTGCTATAATATTATTATTATTACTATTGTATCACGAAAGAAAAGATCGATCGACATCAATAATTATATTCATAGATTGTGACTATTGTTCAAAAGGAGGCAAAATTTCCTATCGAATCAAAGTAGTATCTTTTGTAGAATAGTTTGCCTCACTTTGTAGATCCCTTTTTGTTTTTTTCCCTACATATGTAAAAGTGCATGGAGAGAAAATATGATGTATCATAAAAATAAACATACAGCTCATGAGTATACTAGTCTGAATGGAAATGGGCTTGCATCTTGCATACTATGATTACTATGCAGATCGTGATCAATAGATGAATAGAATCATCACTCTGACACATATTCGAGTTCGAATGTTTTATTACGTCGTAGTTTCAACCACTGCAGGCATGCACACCAGGACGATGCATGGTTTAATGATATCATTGTACAGAATAGACTGAAAAAAAAAGCGAAGTGATCGATTAACTGGAATTATCACCTGTCACTTTGCAGCATGGATATTTCCTGGGTTAGTGTAACCGTAACAGCGGCTTCGTACTACGTACCACATAACTAGTCAGTAGTAGTAGTTAATAAAGTAGATACCTGATCAGCTAAGCTACACTTGGGCAGATATGCCCATCAGGTTAGATTGGGCGGCAGTGGAATTTAGTATTTGAGTTCTTATGGAATGCTTATGCACGAGAGCACAGGCGGTGATCGTATCGTGGACTGATATCCGTTTGTCCTTGCATACGGCAGGGGCGTGTGATCTCTGCCTTGCTTCGCCACAGTGGCTCAACTGCTGCCATGCCAGTACGTTGCAAAATCCCTCAATGAGATCCGATACATGCGCCACAGCAAGCAAGGGCAAGATATGTGACATGTTCGCCGTTTGATCAGAGCACGAGATGGGATCTTAGTCACGTGGAGTACTCATTCACTGATGACACCGACGGTGGTTGGCGAGAAGAGGAAAAAGTGTTGAGTATGGCCGCAGGACTGACATGACTGAGACTAATTGCGGAGTCGTTAAATGAACTAGATACTTGTCATAGTGTCTGTGAGACTTGGCTACTGACGTGCGCCTCTATGCAAGCCCGGTAGACGTAAATGTGCTTTTGATGCGGCATGGGCCCCTGGCGTAAACAAATCAACACGACACAAATCTCGGCGGCACACACTCGCTGAAAGAAAAGTCACTATAATAGGGTCGTCGTTATTATTGATATTAAAATTTTTTAGAAAAAAGAGGGGCGCATCTGCCATCACCGATCTTGCAGAATCCTAGACAGATCTATAGATCGTCCCCACTGTTCCCGTCCCCGTACGGAGGATGAATAATGTTGAACGAACTAGGTATGTACTCATAACCCGTGAGCGTTCACTGGTGATAGCATGCTGGTGGTAGGTATGGTTGGCATTTATTCAACACTGTGTGAGGAACCCTACTCGATCGGCATGCGTAGTCTGTGCCTATACTCGGTCACCATGAAGTGTACAGATATCTGTGTAGTAGAGTGCCACATGGTCGACTTGACTGACGACTCAAGGAGGACGCGGACAATTGACGGTTACTAGTTAGTCTATGACGAGGCTTTAGTTTCTCCCAATGACCCTGCACGGAGCAAAAGTTAATTCGCACTGGCCGTGATCGATCGCGATAGAGTATGTTCTTCGAGTTCATCATTCAGCTAAGGCTGCTAAGCGGTTAGTGTTTGGTAGTAACTGAGTTAGCGCGGACTAGCAGCATACTAATTTGCAGCAGCTAGTGAGGACATGCATGCACGAACTCCATACTTGGGTCGTCCTGTACAGCCTAGCGCGGAGTGGCCATTTAAATGGCCTAAATGGATGATGGGTGTCATTGTTCGAAGCTGATTGACTTTTGAGTCTTAAACTTGAGTGTGCGATCTGCACGGACGCCAATCCGACGCACTGAGAGGCGCGAGAGGTGACGTGTTCTGCGCAGACTGCTCCGGGTAATCGTATTAGTAGGAAGAAGACGAAGAAGAATAAAAACCAGAAACGGAGAGATAACTGAGTGAATGATTGTCAGTGTCTGTACGTCGTACAGATGAGTGTAGACACTGTAGAGTCATTTGTGACACCCGCAGCGGGCCCCGCGCAGCGGTGGAGGCAGCAACTGCCCAGGGAAAATCTCCGCGCCGGCCACCGATAAGGAAGGCGCCACTGTTTAGTACTTTCCTCTTTCTCTCTCTTCGTGACAGTTCGTGTTCTTTCGCACGACGATCGATCCCCTAGCACCTTCCCTGTGTAACATGCACGATCCCGGAAGGGGAAAAGGCACAGACCACCGGCCCATTCATCCATTATTGTTATTATTACTACGGCTTATGATTATTATAATAAATTATAGCTGGCAAAAAATTAAGCCTTGTCTCTCGAGCCTCTGACAGTCTGCCCCACCGCCCGCCCTAATCCACTAACCCAGCCCGGTGGGATCCCATCATCCATGGTACGCCCCCCCCCCAAATTCCAAATATTCCTCATTTAATATTTTCAACAAACCCTATAGTGTGATCGAATCCACTCTCGTCTGAGTGCAGGAGCAGCCGCTTATATGCCGGTATCAAATTAATGACGGTATTATCAATAGTCGGCATCCGCATCGGCGCGCAACCACATCTGGAGATGCGTATGAGCGCCGATTCAGTGGGCGGCGTCAATGCATTCAATAATATGGATAATATTGCGGGCAGTCGTGACGTCGCCGCTCGGCCAAACAGAGCGCATTCCATCAAGCCGGACCAGCATGCCCAATTTCTGGGCTGTCCAACCGCGTGCCTGATCGGCTGCTAGCAGTTTTAAGTTTAAAGGCGACTGATTTTCAAGCCAATCGCTCCTGACGGAGTAATTTACCCTAGTTCTGCCAACGGAGTATCCGATCGCAGCACAAGCGTTGTCTGCACCAAACGTCATGTGCGCTCTATCGTCCATGTGAGGCTTGAGTATTGGCACTGTGGTGGAGTGTGTGATAGATCGCCTGCCCACACCGAACTTCGCGTGAAGAACCTAGCACCAAGGAACAACTGTAGACGACTCTGCAGTAATAATCCTTTCGCATGGTTCATCAGGCGCTCTCAGCGATGAATTTCGGTCGAGATCGAGTTTGAACTTGGAGCTGCTCGTTCGTACTAGACGCATTCGGAAGATGGGCCGAGTAGACCGCTTTTGCTTATTCTTTTATTTTTCAGTGGCTATTTTATCACTTTTCCTCCGCTTTGACTCAAAGATCAACATGCATATACGAATCGAATCGAATCGCCAGAATGGACCATCAGAGTACACGCAGAGGCGACCCCTAGCATACTTCATTGCATCATGGCCATGTCGGCTACAAGTGGTGAAGATCCAAGAAGGCGCATGGAACATTGGAATTTTCGGTAGGCCAAGACCAAGCGGGGGCGGCTGACAGCCAATGACCAACCGCCATCGGAAAAACCGTAGGGTGACCCCTGCCTGAACGCGGCTCGGGTGGAATGTGGCTGCGCAGGCGTGTGGCTGAGCACGCCTAACCAGTGGCATGCAATGTTTTATCAGACTATCCGTATCATTATCATCATTATTATTGTTGCGATCACGATCTGCTAAGTCTGCAGCAAGGACTGCTAGGGCCCGGAATTTCTCCGACGGCGATCAGGGATCACACTGCATCATAAGCCCATACCTGGATAATAAGTTAGATAGTGCTCAGACACCGACCAAGCAATTGCTTAGTCGCCATTCAGAGTGCCGTGATATGCGGCCAGAGCCAGCATACGACTGCGTTGGCGAACACGCGGGCTACCTTGCCGCCGCGTACCTGTGTTGTCGCGGCAGCTGAAGGCCGGGGCTCAGTAGTAGTAGGGCCGGGCGAGAGTCTAAATATGAGGAGAATCAGCTCTTGGGTCCAACCTTGGCCATTCCACGGCGGGGCTCTAGGCGGGCGAGTAAAAGGGCCAGTTCTGTGACTTCTGTCAAATCGGTAGTTGCCGACTGCCATGCTTGCCGATCTGATCAAATGCCAGATGGACTCCTAGGTAACCTGCAAGTATGTATTAACTAACTTCTAAGTAGCCAATAGTGCCCAGGAACTAATTAGATAGTACGGAGTACGACACAGACTAAGTTAGAGAGCAAGAGTCAGTAATACGCACGTCGTAATGCTACGCCAGGAAGATAGTGGTAAAGCGCTGTGGCGCTGATCGTCGTTGGGGCAAGGGGCGGGCAATGATTGGCGCAGCAACCGCAGCGATCGATCGACGACCCACTCGCACCTACGAACGGGTGTTCTGTGTGGCCGCTAATCACAGCAGCGCCCCAACTAATCCATGCTTGGTAATACTAGGGTGCTACCCACTAACCAAGCCACACAGCACCAGCTGGCAGGGGTTTTGGTTCAGAAGGACTCTCGCACCTCGGCACTTGCTGCCACTGCTGCCCTTTTTAACTTTGCCCCCATGCCGCATCCGGTACCGGCTGCTTTGATTGCGTCGCTCCATGTGCGGCCTGATTGGACCAGGCGCCCGCGGGTGGGCCGATTGACTGCCGGAGATCCTCCTCTCGTGCGACTCAGCTGTCGCCTTAGCAGGAGGCTGCCCATTAATCAATATTATGCGCATCCGTTGTCGCCGAAAATTCATCCACACAGCCAATCATGTGCGGCTGCCACTGTTATTTGGAGTTAATTATAAATTGGAATCGAGCAATGGAAATCTGAAATTGCGATGCCAAACTCCTGAACTCTGCTTCGGATTCTTTCTTGTCTCGTTATCAAAGGCCATCCGCCTCTTGCATCTGGCTGCTGCAGCCTGCATGCCGGCATATTACACCTCGTATGCGAGTATACTGTGCCTCGTATTCTCCTGAGAATGGCCATACCCTCACCGTGGCGCTGTCAACTGTCAGGCTCCAGCTGTCACCAAAACCTTATACTAGTATAGACTAACACGACGGACAACGCGATCGCCCTTTCTTTTAGTTTGGGACAGCTCAGTGCAGGAACGGTGCTAAGGGAACACTACGAGCGCCTAGGAGGACTAGTAGACGAGCTCCACCGTGACTAACGAGACTAAAGAGTACAGGGCAATCTGAATGAATCCTTCCCCCCCCCGCCCCATCCCCCTCGCACCTTCCCATTAGTCCACACCCGCCCAAACCCGTGGGTATCGTCAACCCATGGAAAATGCAAAATGTAACTCTTCCGCCGCCTCACGATCACTCATGTCCTCGCACACTCGCGCACTCCCGCGCAAATGCTCCGCGCACTCGCCTTGCATACCCTGGATGGGCGATGGCCGACTCCTCGCTCCACTGCACGCCCGCTCTGACTGGCTGCGTACTAGCCTGATTACATGCTTGCCTGCGTACGATGATGATTCTTCTTGTTCCCCATTAGTATTTTAGCATGAACCTGCTCTGTCAACCCACAGACTAGCCTAGCTGCTGCCAAGTTGCCAGAATTTTGGGTCGCGGTGCTCTGCAGTGACCACTCCCTCCTCTGCCGGCGGTGGCTTGCCTGCTCTTCCGATCCAACCTACAGGCTAAACCTATTTATCGCGCCCTGATCCTGATTCCTGGTGCCCTAGCTCTCTGCTGGTCGCTGTCCCTCCTTCTTTCTTTCCTTTTTTCCTTCCTTCTTCGTCGCTGCTTATCGTTATCGTCTCACCTTCCCTCCCTCCGCGCTCAGGAAATACAAAGCCTCACTCAACCACTGCAACACGTCGTACCGGGTCGCCAGCGTGATTGTTACATCGATTTCTATAAAAACAGGCTTGCTAGTTGCAGAAAGACCCAGACACAGACATCTCTGCCCGTGCCGATCAGCTGCTGTCAGCCGGTGTGGCATGACAACCGCTCCTTCTCGCTGAATCGATTACCTTATATTGCCACGGGCTGGTCGGTTCCCGCATGTCTCAACAACACAGCCAAGGGGCAGAACACAATCGCAAGAAAATGGCTGTTACATATTCCAGCAATCTCCCTCCCTCCCGCAACCAGACCCTCCCATCCTTTCGCGAAGTAAGGCTACCACCAACCGTCTTGCATCCGTTCATCACTAATCCTGTCTGTGTAGCTTCTCCCCCCGCATCTGCACGAAGAAATCGAACGTAGCTCAGATGCCTCATTCAAGACCAGTTCCGCCCGCAGTTCGGGTCACCGGGGCCAACCACTGCCGTTGCCATCCGGAGAGATGCGCCAGATGCACCCTTCAGGCACCTCGACTCCCACCCCCGCCTTTTCTTCTCGAGGTCCCAGTCCGATTTTACCACCGCTGAGAGACTTACAATCAGCCTCGGGTCGGCACCTTGACCGTCCGATGAGTGCTTATGATAATGCCCCTCGATCTGGGAGGCCGGGACAGGAGGCAGCTTATGGCGCTCGCGTCAGCATGGAAGATGACCGATTTCGTTCGGCTCCCTACGGGGGTGGCAGCGGCACGACACCCGCCATGTATAGTCAAACTGCGTATGACGGTGCCCGACATGGCCATTATCCGGCTTCCTATAGCAGCGAGTCTGAGTACTCGCCCATGACCCACAACCACACATTACCAGCGTCCACGTTTGGTGTTATTGGCGATTCTCTAGACTCACGGGGGAAGAGGAGAAGAGGCAACTTGCCCAAGCCGGTGACAGACATTCTGCGCGCTTGGTTCCACGAGCATCTCGATCATCCGTATCCGACCGAAGAGGACAAGCAGATTTTCATGTCCCGAACTGGTCTTTCCATCAGCCAGGTAGGTTGATTCGGTTCTTTACCGTTGCGAAGCTAACCAGGCGGACAGATTAGCAACTGGTTTATCAATGCGAGACGGCGACAACTGCCGGCTCTACGCAATCAGATTCGCAACAGCGACGACCAGCACCGAGGTGGGTCGCCGATGAGCGACGCCGACGTGGGTATGTCTTCCCCGGGCTCGACCGCTTCTCCAACACATCCGAGACACGGTTGACGGCGTTATGTGCTATATAAAGGTGCGAGACTACACTAGACTGCGACGACCACTATCGATCTTCTTTGCGACATGTTCATTATTCGACGCATTATTCCATAACGGATATACTTGCTTACTCGATTGCATTGGCATACCGACTCGGCCGAGATCGGACTAATATTCATTTCTAATCTACTTTAATGGCGACTTGCATTGCAGGACGGCTGCAGGTTGGCTTCTGGGTTTATCTCTTCATGACGAGTGATGTACTTTTGATGTTGATTTTATTTCAATTTTGGTTGGAGCACCATCGATTCCCTTCTATACAGATGTATGCTTACTAGGCATTGAGTGTACGGCGCACGGGGCTGAGGATCGCAATGATACCCTTGTTTGTACTTGTGGAGGATAGAGGATCATAAATTGACTTATTATCACCAATACAAATACCTACAGAGTACAATTGTCCCCAAAAGGAGTGTGGTGACGTAGCAGCTAGCCCAATGCGGGTAACGGCCAAACCCTAATGCTTGAGTCCGTGCTCCCACAGGCCATCGCCCATAGGTTCTCCAACAACCACATGGCCAGAAAATTCGGCCGCCCTAACCCGTTCCTGACAGCACTTCACTAGTGCTCGTTATTCTTATCCCAGCATGTCCACTACTCAATGTTGGGCTTGGACTCTTACGCCGGGGTGCTCAAGCTGACAAGCTCCGTACCTATTAGCGATAGCTCCGATCTGCGGGTGAGTGTCGATCGGCAATAATAATAATAATACTATGTCAGAAATAATATGCGACTAGAATCCTTACTAAATAAGGGTTGCGCCCTTTTTGGTATAGTGATTTAAAGTTCGACATAATACTAATATTTACCGCCGACGCCTAATAGCCTAATAGTCTCCCAACCCCGCAGACTAGAGTCTGGCAGTGCTGATGAGTCTTGACTCCTGACTACTAGCTGCTCACGTTACCGTTGCTAATAGTTGGCCACGTGGATGGATCCTGTCACGCGATTCTCATTGCCACATCGTGACCATGAGGATTATTTCCTTCGACCTGTATGTCTTGACTTAGTCGAGAGTAGTTAGCTATTCATGTGTTTCAATAGCTGTCATATTACCCATATTCACCTCCTCCGTATCAGCCCCAGAGCAGATTTGTCTCCGGCCGCGCATGATTCCTGGTCATGATTCCTGGTCATGGATCATGGATCATGGATTGGTCACGTCGAGTCAGACGCAGGAATCAAGGATTAGGCTGAGGGAGAATCAGATATCGATGCAGACTAACAAATAATTTGACAGGGAAAGATAAAGTCCGCTAAAACATGTACATGTACTCTGTCCTAGTAATAGTAGTAGTAGTAGCTATTGAGTCGGATTAGCAACGGCATTACTATAGCTTTAGTCTCTGGGTGTATGCCCTACTCCATACGTACTAACAACGCCAGGTGTTGTTACATGGCCTATTCTAACTTTCAGTTGGGGTATGAGTATGCAGTTAGACAATATGCCGGCGACTGGAGGGGCCATTGATCTGATTTGGCTCGAACGATTGCTCCAGTGAACATGTTAACATGTCTATGCAGATGATGGTGTGTGTGGTAAAACGACACACGAGATTAAAATATCATAATTGCTTAGCAATACATGTAGCTAATGTGCCAAGCAAAGTCTAAACCTGTATCCCTGTCATGACTCTAAGTGATCCACCGAGTCAGTCGTGGAATTGATCCATCGTGCCTCATAGGCAGGGATATCTGATCTACACGGCCGCCGGCATATCGCCAGACACATGGTGCGGAAGTTACATGATTTATAGTCTCGCAAGTCGGTATCCGTGTACTATTCAATATGCAGGACGAGAATTGTAGATGGGTGCATTTCTCAGACTAATATCGGACTAGGGGTCGGATCTGTCAATATTAAACGCAACAGGGGTTAGACATGTTAACGTATGTCGCTAGTTGATTGGTTATAATATGTCGACTGCATGTGGTTTGTGTAGTGATACAGACAGGTGTTGCAATGTGCACATGCACATATATATATGTTAATGTTTATTGAAAATGTACCAGACATAGGCCGAGTACATGTACATATGTACTGTTGCGCGAAGAATGCGTCGTGTTATTTGTAGCAATCACTAATGTGCATTTCAACATTCCTGCATGTGTCCGTGTGGAATATGTGCTGGATATCTCGAGTGTCGCACGTAGAAGTAATATTTGATATAGTATTGTTAAACGACGTTGGGCTAGATATGAATTAACCTTTCAGAGCTTCGTGCCTTAAAATACGACTAAAATAAAACAGCATTTATAAATCTATCACGTTATCATCATATTCAGAAACGCTAGAAGTCTCATCAAGACGGGAGGGACGCTAGTCTTTGTAAGATGCTAACGAAGTTTCGTCGGGTTCAGCAGTGTGTGAACCAATTCCGAGTTGAGAAATGTGAAACAGATTGTAACACACCTGGTTTGACATGGTCATTCGTATCCACGCTAGTTTCTAATTGGCGGGGGATATAACACTGATACTGGGAATAAACGTTATAGGGCCAAATAGACATGACACAAAACAATATCCCTGCCCTGTTACAACGTCAATAAACGGCAATGCACCTTCCTAACGAAGTGACAGCTCATCGGCAATGCGGTACAGAGCCTTGTGGTAAGACTGTAATCAAAGATTGCGTAGTAGTCTAGGCGAAGAATTGGAATTTGGTGGATTTTGGTACAAGGCTTAGTGTTACAAAGGTCACACAGTTGGCTCAAAAGAATGATACGTCGATTGATACATTTGGAATAAAACATCGGCAGAGGGCTTGGGAGTATCACATGTGTTAGATCGTAGAAGGACTGATGTTGACTGATTAATTTGTGTTGTGTAGTCTGGTTTGAGAATGTGAGCTGCCGGCTCAAATATTTGTGTTACGTGGGACGTGTAGAGTAATAAATTGGGTTGGCTGCTTTGATAATAAGTTCTCGTGCTTAATGTCCAGCTGGTACTGGGATAACAGATGGCAGGTTCCGATGTTGTCAGAGGAACATCTGTCATTTCGATTATACCCTTGAGTACCTGTGCCAACACCCGTACTTGTCACTCCGTATCTGTACGACCAACTAGACAAACCCTATTTCTCACTAATTTGTAAATACCAAATGATCATTGATATCTAAGGTGCATATAACCGAAAATACAGTACTGCTAATCATTACCCCCTCGCAAGGTGCCATTTTTCTCTATGTTTTTAGAATATCTTAATATAAATATAAAATATATTCTCAGCCGACTAACCAATACAGCACGTCAGATTATCAATCGGCCTGGATGGTTTTACGACATGCACTATGCCGGTAGTTGAGCTGCTTGTGCAACCACTAGAATGTTAAAATGTTTATGCGCGCACCCGGTATGACCACGCGGGTGTCTCAGTACATATGTAATATTTGGACTGCCAGATACCATCTTTTAAATCAAACTCCTTAGGGTTAGGACGATTTGCAGGTGGTTGCATGCTTCACATGCTGGATGTTAGGGTTGATGGTGTTGGTTTTGGGTGGTCATATGACGACGGAAACCCTACTTGCATCCCCATACTTGCATCCAAGGACAAGTTAGGCACCAAGGCTATACGTGTATCTGTAGACAGTGACACATAGTCTGTCTAGAATTTATTATCCAAAAAATCATATTGTATGTCAACGGATACGATAGAAATGATACCAAGAGAATAATTCGTTCCAAATTCACATATTGTTTTCAAGATAGGAATGTACATTGTTTACGATATACTAAGTCATATACCTATTCAAATGTTATATATCAAGTTCAAAATGCCGATGGATTGGTAGACAGTACATACCACATGAAGGGATTACTGGTTGTCTCTAACTCGCCGCGGAAGGGTTGCTGCACCAGAGACACAGTATTCTAGAGAGGAATGCAAATTAGTAGGTCTCCATATCCGCTGAAATTTAGCTGGAAGAAGTAAATTAATTTTCTCCTTACAACTTAAACATGGTGTAATGTTGTTTAGGTTCTATCTTGTATTTTACATTTCGAAGATTCTATGACATGGGTGTTTTTGACATGTATTCAAATCCTCGGGATTATTCTACCCGTTCAATATTGAGTAACAAACTTAACTTGGCTGGATATCAAGCCCATCGTTGCAGTCCTTCCAGATATCCCAATAAAAAAAGCCTTATTTCTAAGAATCATGGTACATCTGCATGGTTACGATCGTTTGGAATAAATTTTGCTCGAAATGGCTCAATCACTAAAGGATCTGTTAGCATTTATTTGCGTCTTTCTGGGATAACTCGACAGCAGCTAATACTAGGAAACTGAGACCAGTTACTATCCTATTTTCTCATAGCTGATTAATTACATTGATGATCTGCTAAGCAATTTAGTTAACCCCACGACCAAGATCATTTCTTCCCATTGCCTCGGAATAGAAGGCTGATCGGTTATCTTCACTATAAAGAAATGAGTACCAGTTCTGGTAGATTCTAGAAAAACACACAACGTAAAGGGTTTAAGACCAAGCTGGGTTCGGGTTTCTTGATTAACATTGATACATATAAGCACATCTAATATAACAGTTTATGGCATGGGTAAGTCACATCAAGTTTGTTGGACGCTCGTTGATCAACATATACCACATATAAAATACGGCGAACCCTCTTTTAAAGGCAGATGGCTTAATTTAAGCGATCTAATATTGCTAGGTCTCTGATGTTAGTTTCTTGAAATCGAATGAGGTAATGCAAGTTGGATAGAATACTACGAGTACTAATGTGTTCTTGAATAGACGCGAACGTCCCAGAGCACCCCAAGTTGACGACACTTCTATTTACTAGGACAAGTCGAATATCGATTGATTGATTATTTCCTTCTCAGATCTAAACCCAGAGGGCCGGCAGCGTGTTTAATGGATAGAAAAGGCTCACCTTACCAATATGCTTCTCGCTATTATGATCTATATATATACTCCTATACTTTATATATAATATAAGTAAGACTGCTCTTTGCTGTATAAGTGGTTTTCTTTAGTAATTCTAACTTAGTATAACTATAAAGATGAAGTTATACTTTCTTACTTTAATTGGATAATTGGTTCTATATTTATTTCTATTTTTAATTATCCTTCTAGTATATAATACCATAATTAAATGGGCTTAAATCGTCTTTTATAATTAATAGAAGTCTCTAAATCAGCCTTCGGCAATAAATAGGTCAACTCTCTCGTTTCTCTGTCTCAAAAAGGAAGATTCGACTCGCATCTATAAATAACTTTCTGATACCAAGGAATACCATAGCTTTTATTAGATTGTTTAGGATAAAAGTGTTAGTAAACAAGAATTTTATTCCCCACATAATTCAAGTCTATAAACTATTTACATATTATATTCCACTAGCGAATTAGGCAACCATAAGGTCTAATTCTGTTCGGCAGGTGCTTACGCTGCTTCAGGGGCGTTGACCACCACGCTACCCTGGGGACTATATTATTATCAACAATCAGATTACACAAGGGAAGCTGAAGAAAAAAGGTAAAAAGGTGAACGAAATTGCACCCAGAGAGTCTCGCGGTCCCATAATTAAGTTAATATAGTATTTACTAGTAATGTATCATACCACCGGGCCATGGGTGCATACCAAAGCAAACGCTTATTTTGACTTATTAATAATTTCGATCGTATATTCATCAATTGCGAATTCCCCGAGGGCTCTTCTAACCCCGACGAAAATCCCCAACGAAAACCCCCAACCCCAACATTCAATCATGATCCACGTTGAAATGATAGAAATAATTATAGCGAACCATCCAGCTCCTGTTTACTTTCACTGGATTAAGAATAGCGAAGTCATTTTTTCCAATATGGTAAGACGTTCAATCGTATGCGGGAACTGCACAAGAAAGTGCTCACGAATTCGAGGTTGAATGGGATGTTGCTATAATCACATTGATCTCGTGTTCTTAATCCTCAGGTGGCTTTCGACCCCAAACAACGGTACTTCATTGTTCAGTATTATGCCTAATGCGACATCAGAAATGTGTACTCACTGTTCTTGATAAGCATGGATATTCGGATTGCGCAATCCTTGTCTCATCTTCATCAGATATAGCTCGACCTCTGCCCGATTCCACTATAAGATTCATCAGCTCAGCTCCAGCATTTTTCAGCTGGCCAGTTAACACATACTCCGAGAACATTTGTCAATAGCATCATTGTCCACCCCTCAATTCCTTCCTCCCACTGCAGCCTGTTATATCGACCCAGCTCTTTCAAATGACGATCCTTGGCCCATGGCCCGACAGGAACTTTGAAACGACGTTCAACGACATCTGTGAACCCAGCAGCGATCATCCTGTCTTTTGCTTCATCGACAATTTTCAGTGTTTTCCCGAACGCTTCACCCGCTTCGAGGGATACCTTTCCCCATTCTTCGAATATAGTACCGTCCGTACTGCCATCCTCAGATTTGGGAACAACGGACTGCTCTACTTGTTCGATATAACCACCTGGTTTTAAATGTCTACCAAAAAACCCCCATTCTCAGTCCGCGATATCTTGATAGTGTCACATTGGGTATAGCTCACACCTACCTAAGTGCTTGTTCGTAGAACTTCCCCCAATCTGCAACGCATCCATATAGACCACGCACGTGGATAAAATCAAAACTATCGACCGAATAAAGCCAATCATCACAGCAGTCATCAATTTCGAATTGAACATTCGGCGGCACCAAATTCGGTTGAATTGGGGAGAGGTCGGTGCCGATTACTTTTGCAGAGGGATGTTTATCGGCAAAGTCACTATGCAACAAAGTCAGCGACAGACAAACGACACAAAACAAGATCGTTGGAGTTGAACATTGCCCATATACCCGTTCCTGTTCCGACATCTAACACCTTCTACTTCGGGTGTGAGCTCTGAGCTAGAAATGAATAAATTGGCTACATGGTACTCACCTGAGGATTCTTCGAGATCGGGGCTAGATATAATTCCCCGTGGAGCATGAGAGTATATAAATGATGCCTGAGGTTTCGGTGTTACTAGTTTTACCCAGATATATGTAGATGTAGCTTACCCTAAATCAGTGTGATCCATGGCGCGCTCATCATTTGGGCCCCTGTTAAAATCTCAGTTGCTGCAATTTTGAACTGCTCTTAGTCGTACTGCGTACCAATACGCGCCAGAGTGATATGCATGGTATCGGCGTCCATTATCGTAGTGATAATTCATGATACTACTGCGAAGTGACGTCATTTCACTAGCCGAAAAGGAAATATGCGTTAGTAATTTAGCTCAGATTCAAATATCGAGCCTTGAGCACACACGATTCGACGTTTTCGCTGTACGCTGAATCTGATTCCGAATCCTGGTGATTGTTTCAACACAGTCCTCGGGAATGTTAGAACCATTGCCGGGTATACTTACCACCGATATATTATTAGAATTAACCATTGTTGCTGGCTGCAATATTTTGGGGACTCATGATGAGCATTTGTAAAAAAAGTAAAATTTTCGGCATGCGGCGCTAAGATACTTATAAGATGGCCTGATTTGCGATCATGTGGTAACGCTAACAATCCATGACTCGTACCGGTGCGGAACCTACGAAAGGCTTTCCCCCTGCAAATCATAGTATCAGCTTCCTAAGTCCATCCACAGCCCGACAGCTTCCGGCTAGCTGGTGAGCTGGTCCCGCGCAACGGCGCGAACCTAATTACGCCCGCTGGGTGGCGACAGGCTGGCATTCGCGAATGATAATCCTGAAGAAATTCATGCTAAATATGCCTTCCCTGTTGGGCCTAATGCCTGGGTGGCCCTCACTCCTAGGACACTCTGCGCATTGCTTAGATAGTCGGATGGAACCTTTCCCACTCCCTTCGGTTGCTGGCTTTCCTAACGGCTATTTTCGCGTCCAACCGATACATCAACGGCAGGGACACCCTGGATCAGTGGCTAGCGAATAATCTACACATTCTCTCATACACGCACACACTATGTCTCACAGCGACGAGCTCCACACTGGTAGCCTTTTATGGCTGGCTGCAGCTGGATATGCTAGTTACATCATTTATCACCTGCTTTATAATCTCTTTTGGCATCCACTGGCTACTTTTCCTGGCCCTTCTATTGCAGCAGTTACTCCTCTTTACAAGGCCTATATCGACCTTGTCGCCAAATCGTCTTTCGTGCATACGCTTGAGAAGTTACATTCACAATACGGTAAGAACCGGCAATTTCCTCCCGAAAACTTTTCTTCCGACGCATAGTTCTCTGATTCTGCTAGGTGACATCGTCCGTGTTGGTCCCGACGAGGTATTGTGTGCTTCCCGAGGGGGCTTGGATAATAGACAGCATACGGACTAAAATGGCTGCAACAGATCCACTTTAGTTCTCCTTCAGCGTACTTGGAAATCTATAATGCCTTGAACAAATGGGACAAAGAAAAGAGCTTATACCACAGTTTCGGCGAGGATCGGTCATCCTTTGGCTTTCTGACATATAATGAAGCTAAGGAAAGAAAAGATGTATTATCCAAGTTGTTTTCAAAAAAAGCAATCGCAGATGTTCAGGGACTTGTTTTAGAAAAGGTAATTTGTCTTCTTGAAGCATCCATGCCTGACTATCTTTCTCGTCGTTAGCTAACATAATACAAGGTGGCAAAGTTGTGTGATTCGTTCGAAAAACTCGGCTCGAAACCTGCAGATCTTTTTTACGCGTATCGATGCATGTCTGTCGATGTTATTACTTGTGAGATCTTAGTATTTTTCATTGTTCACAGATTCACAAAGATATACTTCGCTAACAAAGCAGTTGGAGTGAAGATCTGTGTTTTGGGAACGACATCAACGCTATTGGTGCGCCTGACTACGAGGCACCAATAATAAAGGCCATGGATTCGTCTCTCCCAGTCTTCGTTGGCTTCAAACACTCGTCACTTTTGAAAGGGTCAATTATGAACTGTCCTCCGAACTTATCCAAGATCGTTAGCCCGGCTACTTCGGGACTTGTGGACTTACAACAGGTTTGTCTTACTCATCACAATTGCTTTGTGAATCGATGGATCATTTTGTAACGGTTGATTAAAACCCTCACCAGCTCCTTAAAGGTCAAATAAACGATTTGACCAAAGATCCTAAAAATTTACAGAATCTACCACACTCAACGACTGTATACCACCAATTGCTTCGTCAGGAAGCATACCGTAGCGGCACTGTTCCTAGTGCTGGAAGCCTCTATGAGGAATCTCAAGCTCTACTGTTCGGGGGTGCTGATACAACCGGAACAACGCTTATGCATGGCTCTTTCTATGTATTAACATTACCGACGGTCTATTCAAAGTTGAAAGCAGAGCTACTGTCTGCTTGGCCCGTTTTAGATGATGTGCCCAGCCTATCTGACTTGGAAAAACTTCCGTATTTGGTATAACTCTCTTTTCAACCAGACTTCATTAAATTCAAATATGCTAACCTCTCTTCACTTATAGAGCGCTGTTCTCAAAGAATCTCTTAGAATGAGCCCTGGTGTGGCATCACCACTTCCACGTGTGGTACCACCTTCAGGTGCAACTATACACAAGACGTTTATTCCTGGCAACGTAAGAGAAAACAAGAAAGTCCCCGAGTGCTTCGAATAGCTAATTCTCTACAATTTTTAGACCGTGGTTGAAATGAGTAGCCACTTTGTGCACCGCAACGAAACTATATTCCCCAACCCAGATGAATTCATTCCCGACAGATGGCTCGAATTCAAGGGAAAGGATCTCGACAAATGGCTTGTGGCATTCTCGAAAGGTCCGCGAAGCTGCCTTGGTTCAAAGTAAGTTATGCAATATCGCGAATTAAACATGGCTTGGTTGGGGCGATTAGGTTAATTAATTGTTTATCTACCTTTTTGCAGCCTTGCCTGGGCAGAGCTCTATCTCTGCTTTGCGCATGTTTTTCGGAAGTTTGAGGTTAAGATTGATTCCTCTAGGTATGTCTTTTCATGTAAAGGTCGGTTTACATGTGTGATCTAATATTTAGTGACATAGTCCTAGAAAGCTTGAGTGGCGCGATTGTTTCTTGCCAGAGTACCGTGGGCCGCATTTGAAAGCAATTTTGACCAAGGTAGCGGCATGATTTATTTCTTACAGCATGCAGAAAGGGGATCAGAGTACAGGTATAGCTTTTTCAAGAAGCAGCTCTGGCCAAATTTTCTGATGCAAGTGACATAAATGATCGATTAGGACTTAACTTGATGAGTGAAAGTGGCATTATACAGAATAATAATTAACTATTTCAAGCCAATTTTAGCGGTTTATGAGCCCGAGTGGGCATAAACAGTATACATGTCTCAAGGACTCGACAAATGCTGAGTCGTGCTTAAGTTAAATCGATATAAACATCGAATGGAATAACATTTAAAGAGAATCGATGAAATCTAATAATGAATCCGGTAGTATACAGTGGTTAGGACATGGTGCTCATTATAGGATCAATATTGCATGGGTGAGACCAGTGAGGCTGTGGCTCAAGACTGCCGAGACTTGCAGCACAAATTAGGCTTGAATCATGTTCTTGTCGGCCCACCGTTAAGTAGGGTGACATAATACCCGCTCTAAATCACTCCGACGGCGGGCTTTGGTAGGGACGGTGAGGATGCTGGACAGTTACAGGACTTATAAGGCCACAATTGCTTAGAGGTATAGTTGATATCGGTTCGTAAACCGGCGTGGCGACAGTTGAGTCAACCCCTACGGACATAAACCTTGTAAGAAGTTGGTCCACAGGACCAGATCTGTCAAACATAGGGTCGACAATCGACGATTGTAGCAGAAGGCTAGCTATAGGAGGGTTCAATGCCACCGGTGCATCCATTGGGTGGTACGGCGGTGTTGGATGCGAGTGATTCATCTTTGTCGACCGCTGCTTCAGTTCGCTCATAACATAGGCGAAGCGATAAGCCATATGCTTTTCATTGTGGGCTATATGGATGAACTGGAATTGGACTTGGTCGATGATTGGGTTGGCGATATCGTACTCGCACAATGTCAAAGAGGCATACCCTACAATAAAGAGTACCTGGTCGATAAAACTGACCACCGCGCGAGGTTGCAGCTGGATGAATGTGGATACAATGTGACGGGCGCTCTTGACGATTTCAGTGATAAATCCATCGGATCCGGGCTTTTCGCGCAGTGACATTCGATAGAGCAGAAGATGACAGAACCAGAATGCCAAATTCAGGGGTGCTGTGTTCTCTTCGTTCACTATCATTGGTTAGTGTAAAGCCCTGTGGTAATACGTCATTAAAGCGGCTTACTGAGAATGTGCGCCCAATTCTGTCTCCACCGAGCTAACTCTTCATATCCGATATCAATGCTCTGGGTGCGGTAGTGCTTGTTTTGTAAACTAAGCGTCAGGTAGTACAGCTCGATCTCAGCAACAATTCGTCCGTCGTCTAGCTTGGCATGCGGGCTCTCTAGTATGCGATAGCAGTAGTGAAGATGCTTTCGCTTGAGATTCAATGGTCTTCCGTTGCTAATGACACATCTGTGGATGTTAGTTCTTGAAGCTCTACCTATAAGCCGGCGTATAAACATACTGTAAATGTGCTAGACAAAGAGAATTCCAAACCCGGTACTGACCGAGATGGTTATCGTTTACGATAGGCTCGGAAAGAGGCTGGTTGAGAAAGCTAAAAGATAGGATAGCATGGTTGATAGAAAGGCTACTCAGTAGCCAGCTATCCATTACGACATCGGTCTGAACGGTTGCTGAGTATAAGCAAAGCAAGCCTAGTGCCTGCAGGGAGCTGAATTTTAGAGATGGTGAGCCCCATAGGATGCTGGTTGACTGTCGTCGCATATGATGATAAATGGCATTCACAACAGGCAGGGGGATATCAGGAAGAGAGCGCGAAGCAAGTAGACAAGCTGTGGTAAACAGAAAGGGGTCACTTTGACGGATATTAGTGGGTAGATCAGACATGCTATATACAGACACCGAGGGTCCGAAATTCTCGACAAAACTAAATTGAGAGTGAGATGACACAGCTCAAGGATTCAGGGGGAGATACACGTACAGCTGTAGCAAGCGATTTGCTTGGTTAGGATTGATGAGACCTTGAGCGACGATGTCGTCGCCCGTCTGATTATCTGACTCTGGAGCAAAATCGCTCTTCTCGCCAAAAAGCTCGTGCTGTAGCCCCGATATCATTGACATTGGTTTTAAAGACCGAACACTGTCGTGTGGGGTCAAGTAGTCTATCTCATCATTCCCGATGATGGCGCTGCGAGGACTGTGAGGGCGACTGGATGAGGCCTCCATAACCTGTCTCACGGTCTTGGTCAATTCGCTCATACTGTTCTCGAGGGATGTCAAGCGCTCCTCAATTGACGAGGAAACTACGCCTGCATCAGGCCACCTGGAGCGACTATCACGCAGCTGCTCTGGTGTTTCGGGTAGCTCGCATTCAATCCTAGTTTGTATGAGTTCGAATGCTCGGTCATGTAACTGCAAATATGCAATATATACCTCAAGGAAAGACAACGCCGGCATGCGTGACTGCACCTATCAAGGTCGCATCGAGTTTTCAACTTGCGGCAGGTGTTACAAGCTGTCATGGAGCGTCGAATACGACTCTTAGTAGGGCGGTCGCTGTCACCAGAATCCGACCCGCGCTTCAATCGGCGTTGAGGGCCATGTATGGTATCCGCCTTCCATGGACGGACATCCATTCTTGAGTGTGAACAAGAATCAGATGGAGCGGGGGCCATTCAGGTGGGAGCAAGCAGATTGTTTGGTGTGTTTGTGTGTAAAAAACAAGTGGAAAGCAAGAGATTATGTAGCTTGAGGTTATGCTGTTGAAAAATGAAGGGATACGGGGATGGGCAGATTGATGTAGACATAATTTAAATAGCAGGTCGCGGTAGGAGGATTTGTGTAAGCTTCAATGGCTCCCCAGAATGAAGAGAGCATCTGAGAACAGATTTACCGTTCAAGTTCAGCCCACCGACGACCCAATCGAACGAGAAATTTGATTGACGTGATGAAAAGTGTAAATGCACGCTGTAGTATTGACAAGAGGTGCACGTACTGTCCAGACACATCATACGAAGCGGCGGGCCCCACTAGGATCAAAAACCCAAAACTCAACAGTCAATTTCGAGAGGGGGGGCGGGCACAGACACATGCCTAGCTTAGATAGACCGAGTTAGTACTAAATAGTTGAGTCTTCATTATGGGTGGGACTCGAAAGACGACAAATGGGCAATAATATTGAAGAAACTGGGAAAAAGGATCGGGTGGATCGACGGCGTTAGAACCAAAAGGTTCAAACCATGATTCGCGAAATACTGCAAGTTTACGACTGGTGCTTAAATTACTAGTACATCTGCGGCAGCATCAAAATGTATGTATTTCTGATATTTGCTGTGCGCGTAACAACGAGAACGAGGCGAATTCGACCAATTTTTATTCTAGAGCGCTCAAGCTTTCCTGCCGCGTGTCTACCACACATTCTACAGGTATTCCAAAATGGCCCTGAAAAGGAGAAGACAACGTAGAGTTACATGTACTACTGCCTATCCTCTTGTTAAAATATATGGACAGGAGGACAGCTTCCGCACCATGACAACTGCCGGCCAGTTCCTAACAAGCTCTAGGGTACATTAGCTGTAATAATTACGTGGAAGCCTCCGTTCCTGGTCGAATACGAACACCTAGACAACGATCGATCGACATAGCGTATTTCAGGTTGAGAAGCTGGCGCCTAATGAATAAGGTGCTTACCACGTGGAACAGTGCGCGACTCCAGAATGGGCGAAAAAGTGCGATAATTGACAGCTGTTGTCTGCGTACGGCATCGTGCTGCGCCTGGTTCAGTATCCCAGCCTCCGTAGCCGGTAGTACGGCTACGATTACTGACTTGGCCAGTAATATTCCGTGACATCTCATAGCGGGCGAGGATTTGGAATAACCGCAATAATGGGACAGGGTGGGGTCGTTGATTTGAAATGTCCAAACCCTAACTTAAAAACAGCAATTTTTATTGGGCTGGGTGAACTTTCGAGCAGCCTTCGAGAAGTTCAGCGTTTGCCTAACCTGGCTAGCGTGCTCCATGAAGTTAGTATCGAGTCGGGAAGCATTCTGCGCAGTGCGAAGTATGGTGCGATCGGAGCCAAGGTGGTGGGAATCAACATTGACAATAATAACGAAGATGATGAAGAAATAAGAAAGCGTAGCATTTGAAGACCTTTGTATAAATAGGGAATAATGTGATGTGACCACTGTAAAAATACGAGATTGAAACAGCCCCCAAGCTCGAGTGTATGAATATGAGTATGGCGCATTTACTCTTCTCCGCCCAGAACAAGCTAGCCCTGGCGTGTAAATCAATAGCACCCCTTCAACACTCCATGCTAGTGCTGCTGATTAGCTGGCTTCTTTTTCTGACAGCTGAACTGTAGTAGATCGCCCTGTTGACAGCGGGACCTGTCTAATATCGTTCCCCGTTGTGCACTCCATATCGGAAAAGCAGCACCTGTACTATTGCTAGATCTTAGCTTCTATGGAGATCTATACAGCAGCAACAGGGCTGCAGCTTCTCGTCGTTTCGATCTTCAAATACCCAAAAAAGCCGCATCGCACCCAGTCCCGATTTCCTGAAACTAGGTGGAGCAAGCTCGTTGCCGCAAGGGTATAACTGCCGAAGGACACCAATAATATCCAAAAAAGGTTACACGCTCTCCCTCACACTGTGGTGCTACGATTGTCGCCTGCTCAGTTACAGATACTGGCCTTGCAGCAGAACGATGAAGCGTTGTAGTTTCGTGTCCTTGGCATTTGATAAGTTCTTTTCTGCACGGACCGGATCGTCTTGAAACTAAAACTCTAAATGTTAAAACATGGGCAAAAAAGCGACATCAAACCGGATTCCAACCAATCACGGGCATCGGCCTGTAGACAAGAAACGATCTCCTTGGGACCCGATTTTCAGATTCAGCCACTAGCGCAGCCAACAGTATACAGCATATACTAAATACGCCTCCCAATAGTTCTGTGGACTAAATAGACTGTAATTAGACCCATTTCCCGAGAAAGCCAATTAATGCGTACCAAACAACCCAGCGGAGGGCAGGTTCCGGTTTCATGGGTCGCTACAAATAAAGATAACTAGATATTTCCGGCGCTTCTGAAAAGTGTAATCACGAATCAAGTGACCCGATAAACCAACATGTGATAATAATTATTAAATACGGCGAGGCGTTTTATCACGCATGGGGCATTTGTACCGTAGTTGATGGTTCTTGGCAAAAGCCTCGACATCGTGTGCCAACATCCACGTCGTGTTTCTTTTCTTTTTCTGACACATATCCCTCAACAGAATGAGCAATAAGAACATAGATATACTTGGGCGTCGTAGTTCTATTTCATGCGATCAAAAATGATGATGACCGAACCGAGGAACGTTGTGCGAGGGAATCTATTGTTACCCTGTTTCATGTTGACCAAAACCTCAACCTCGAACGAATCTTTTGGATACGGCATTTCTCTAACCATACCATGTGCTATCATCGATGATATTTGCTCCACCCTTAAGTGCTGGCGAGAAATTACTTTCTACCCTGGAGATTGTCCCAGACTACGTAGGTCTAGGCTACTATATATTATATCATCATTCTGAACCTCTGCAAGTCCCGCATCAAGTCTATGCCATTCTAGATGTCATGTGGGTCCTTCATCGTAACCAGCATGTTAATTGATAACGCAAAATATTCCGCATCGTTATCAGAGAAACCGAATGGCAATGGACCACAATTAGTAGCAGGTGAAAAAAAAACATTGTAACTAATACTGCCCACTTAGTTACCTGATCAACGTATCATTAACGAATAGCTCTTGCTCATAAAGTCATAAACGGTTGACAGGATTGGATTGATGAAGCTAGTCTCTATTGAACGTCGATCAGGATGTATCCTTCCGCATAATCGTACAGCGCTTTACGGATACGGAGGCCCCACTTTTGATTTGTGTAAATCCATGGGTAATTTATCCGGTCAATTTGCCTTAAAGCCGTCCAGTTGAATTACCTTGAACAGACAAGTTCCAAGGCCAACTTGCATTTTTCATTATCCAGTCAAGATTCAAGCTGCCACACAGACTTTGTAGTAGTTGCTTTGTGCAACCTTAATTAACGCCATAGCCGTGGGAATAATAATAACAAACCCCAACTACCCTGTTTCTTGGTGAAACAAAAATTTCTTCCTTCCTGACCCTCGGCTTCTGTAGTTCTTGGCAACCTGAATGCAGAATGTCACGGAATGCGGTACCTCTCTTATATTTGGCTATCACATATGGCTGCTCCTGTGTGGCTTTACAGAATACCCGGGATGTTCTAAACCCCACTTGAGATGCACTCTGGGTAGAAAATAAATTGGCTCTGGATGATCATTGGCCAGAATTTAGAGTCTTGCACTGGATTGTATCTTCACCTTGTCTTTCAGGTCATTAACATTTGGCTTGACTCGCACAGTAAATCCCTTGGTCGACTTGGCTCATGCTCATTCAAAGCCTGAAAGCTAACTAGTAAATGCCACGAAATCAAAAACACTATTTCAAATCCCCTTTCCACCCCGCTATTCAACAAAAACAAAGCATAATAAACCAGAAAAAATTAAAATTGTAGAAAAATAGCTATGCCTCAATAAGGATGATGGTGCGAGCAATTCTCGGGTTGGAATTTAGCTAAGTCAAAAAGAGTCGTCGATCTTGACGCGCTAGCCGAATCAGGGATACAGAAAATTGACCCTGAATCTAATGATAATACTTTCAACGCTGATATTTTCTCGGTAAGATAAGTCAGTATGTTGCGCATTGTGTGTTACAGGCTGAAATAATGTGATTCGAATCTCTGACTATTGGATATGAATAATCGTACAGTGATCCCTCCACCAAAATACAAATCCTGGCGCCTCTCAAGGTATAAATATATCACACACGCCATCAGATAAGTAGTTTGAACATTTTAGATGAAAATCTCCGTTTGTCCCCCTTTCCCCCTGTTTCAAATAAAGTCCTTCAACTTCTACATATGTACTTCTAACAAGACAATGAGGTCTAACTAGTTCCACAAATGGGATTGTCTGACACTGATCCTCCACGAAGGCATCTGGAGTTAGAATCTGGCAGACTTTACAATGAGGCATGATTTGATGCAGCATTAAAGTAGCTACAAGTTTACGAGCCTAGTAGGTAATATTTTAAATGTTGACTTCGACATGTCATGGTATTGCAGTTTGCCACGCCGTAAGTCTCCCCATAACTGAAGCCATATTGGCAAACAAGCCATCTTTAACAACGGTCTCTAAAATAGTGTTTCTACCTAGCTTTCAAATGCTCTTGTAGTATATAAATCTCTATCCTTGTATTGATATTCCAGAATGTACTTTTGCAGCTCTTTGACTTTCCCGTTGTACGTGGCTCCTAAGTGACATTTTCAAACTCATCAATATAGTAATTGTCAATATTGACATATCAATAATCCCTTAAGCAACTGTGCCAATATATACGTAGAAGAGCATAACTCTCGAAGTTTATCCAAGTATAGCCCTACCTATATATAATGAACGTGAAAGAAGCTAGAAAATATCAATTATAAGAGTTAATGGATTAATTTAATTTGTTTGATATACTGAAGAGGAAATTAGTCTATATTATTATAATAATAAGCGCTCAGATTCTCTTATAAAAATCAATATATATAGAACTATGCTTTAAGATATAATTCTTTTATAATACATTAAAAATATCTCGCCAAAGAGATTAACATCTTTTTTGTTCGTATATATGTGTGTATTTTCACAAAGTACTAGCAGACGAGGCCGGTGTTTTGGCTAATTGGTTTGCTGGCTGAGCTGAAGGTCTGACCTCCAGTTGCCCATGGAAATCAGGGTGGTCGATGGGTTGGGAGTGGGTCAGACCAGCTGGGTTGCAAACAGGGCTCTGCATAGAGTGAGGCAGTGATTGTTAGCCTCGTAGTGAATTGCTGTGAATTGGTCTGTGCGCAAAGAAAGAATAATTAATGTTCCCACATCTTAGGATTGGTTGGAGCTTTGAAGCTGAAATATTCTTCAGCTGGTACATTGGATCATGCGCCGCTTTGGTCGATGCAAAGTGTGTTGGCCATCCCCATGGCGGCCACCAAGGGTAGATTCATCGTCGAGTTCCCAACGAACAGCATCATGGGAGCCGGGTAAATCTCGAATACTGTACGTAGGGAGTCCCATGGTGCTTCTTGTACGGGGTACTGATCTCAAGTTTGTGGCTTCTTCGAGAAGGGAAAACACCGGTATAGATCCCACCTGGCATCCTTTTCTTTTGGAGCGCCACAATCGGAGCAAAAATAAGTCATATATAGAAAGGGGAAACCAAAGACGGAGGGCAAATCTCACTCAATGGCAGGGACTTGTAACTGGAAAATATTTGCGAGGGCGATTGGGTAGAACGTATACGGGGACTTTGAGAAATCGAGAAGGAGAGTTGTTGCCCAAGGAATTCATAAAATGGTCCACATCTACTTGTAGATGGTGAAGCCGATACGCTGGAGTTAAAGACTAAATGACTCAACATAGTGTCCCAGCAACCTGAACGTAATAACGCAGAGTTGCATCGATCTAACCAAAGAAGTGAACTCTAAGCGCTAGACCTGTTGCACCCAAATTTCATGAAAGGCCCCCATTCATACACAGTCTCAGAAGATATGTCGAAACTGCTTTCAATAATCGAAGCGTTATTTTCATGTATCCAAGAATGATGACGTTATTGGCTCCAAAATCGATACTAATATGCCCACAGAGCTCTCAGAGTCGTCAGAAATAGCTTATACTGACACCCAATTAGGCAAGATTTGGTGGCATAAATTTGGCCATGCCATAAAAGCGCTCCGGACCACATCAACAAAATATTATGTACTTTCACAAATGTGTCTATCGACGATGGTAATGATCCGAAGCTTTGGCGGATCTTCTCATACATATAAACTGCCTAGTAAGCCAACCAACCAAGGCTACATGCTATTTGAAATTGCCGATCATGGTTTTATATATCACTTTTACCAGGCCAGCCAGACTCAGGGTATCATCAAGATATTCTTCAACGGCATTTGACTTCCACCAAACGAACTAGTGTTTGAGCTTATTGAAACACGCCCTAGAGATGACCACAGATATATCGTGTATTTTGACAACTATTTTACTAGTGTGGATCTATTTAGAAGGCTTCGACATATACAAATCGGTGTCTGACGACTCGGCCTATTTCTGCAGGTAAAGGCTTCCCGATACTATTCAAAAGTCTCAAAGACTTGAGCCACTATATGCCTTATCATTTTCTCTGTGCAAAGACAATTCGAGATGTCTTATGATTTCATGGCAAGATAATAAAGTTGTCCTCAGTCTCACTACAGTTCACACTGTAAACTAGACACAATCGGGCCCTTGCAACGTCAACTAATGGCCCCTAATACGCCGTGCGTTCGGGGATATGGCTGTCAAATTCATGTAAATCGCACGCTCTATTGACGACTATAACTTCAATACAGGGAGCTTCAATATGGCCAATCAACAACACGCTTCATATGAAACTAATATAAGGGCAATATCGCCCAAGGCAGCCCTTACGGAATTAGTGTCTTGATGTGGCAGTTATTAACGCGTGGAAGCTGCACCGCGTGAGTCTCCGAACGAGGCAGGCGACCCTCGATCTTATATCGCTTTCCGAACGGCTTTATATGAGAAGTTATTTAGTAATGCGCAGCCGATACAGTCACTAAAAAGGAAGACGCATGAGCTATGCTTGCCTGAACGCTGATTGGATAAATCCTTACTACATATAGTTGCCGAGGCCTAATGGGGCTTTATAAACGCTGCAGCTGGTTTTAATGGCGAAGCGTCAAAAAGGAGAAAAATCGGCACCTCTGGCCTCCGTGCAGTGGGTATGTGCAGACTGCAATATGCTGCTATGGCGGCTAGATTCTGGGCGAGCCTGCTTTCGGGCGTTCCGTACGCTATTACCCGTTAATATAGAGCAATAATTTCCTATTTAGGAAATAAATTAGCTTCAAATTATCATATATTTCATTGAATTTAGTATTATTTATTGTTTGATCGATATCCATAGTAATGGGTTCAATATCAAGCTTCAAGTTTTGTATGAAAGGGGTGAGTCCGAATCTACCACCCAGAGAGCGTGATGACGCTGAATCTTACGAGTATGACAGCGAAGGGGATAGAGCCTATAAAATGTAGAGATCAGGCCAAGGGAGAAGCGATTCCTAAATAATACTGTGATTGGTTGATTAACAGTATGAGGACCGCTGCGAAGCAGGTATCCAAGCTAAGGGCCAGTATTAACTTGCTTCAGTAAACGTTAACTTTTAATATGCAATAATATATAAATCACAGGATTTTCAATGTATTTGGCCATGATGCTGCTGAATAATGAGTTATCGAATAACTCTCGATTATTCGGGGGTGACTGTGCGGTTAGCATATTAATATGGGTTACCGATCGCCATGGCTTGCCTACTACGTTCTTCGTACACAAGATTCCCCAATGAATAGATGATATCGAATGGTGGCATTTCCGTATCCGATCGAGCAGACCGGATTTACGGTAAAGTCTTGTCACTCTCATTCTTTACGACGACTACACGTAACGAATTATTCCGGTCCATCGTCATTACATCAGATGGAGCTGGATTAGTTAATATTGTGTCTTATATCATATTGAAATAATAAACTTATTATTATACTAATCATCCAATATATTCTTCCTTTCTTGGACTAGCATTGACTACTGCATTTTCATAACACCAACCCCTAGTAATTACCTCGGCTCGGATGGAGCGTAATCTCGCCTATGGTCAAGGATCCCAAGGGCCAGCCGCTCGGCGTCCGCTCAGTAGCTCTGGTTCCCCTTCCTCCCGAACCAGATAGATATCCTCATGACGAACCCCGAACATGTCAACGAGGTAGATGCCCGGCTCTGAGGTAAATGCCATTCCGGCTTTGAGCAGGGTCTGCTGGTTCCCTTTGTTCAGGTAAGGACTTTCGTGTGCTGCTCGACCAATACCAGATATCAGTTAAAGTCGTACAAACTCTTCCAACTTATGCGAAAGTATATCCGGATGATAGAATTCACCTTTGATGCCAATTCCATGTCCAACACGATGAGTAAAAGCATCCCCGTATCCGGCGTCGGAAATAACCTTACGAGCTGCAATGTCTACGCCCGCCGCAGTAGAGTTCACGAGAAACTGATGGCTGGATTGTGTCTGGGCTTCAAAAACGATGTCCCAGATCTTCAACTTCTCCTGGATGCTGGCTGGTGGGAGTGTCCCGTTTGCCGGTTTTTCAAGAAATGGCGGAAAGAAGGTGCGGCAAATGTCAGAAGAGTAGCCAAATAGGTGGGCACTTTGGAAATATGTCAGCCTAAGTTTGTTGAGTCACTACATTCGGTAGTAGTATGAACTCACCCAACGTCGATTAAGACGAAGGTCTCCGGTTCCAGAACCTTTGAGCCATTTGTTCCTCCATGGGGATTCGCTGCGTTTTCGTCTTTATGGTTGTCATTAACCGGGTTCAAACATCATGTTCCATCTACATACCGAAAAGGACAATATCAAAGAATGGATCTAACCCAGCACTCCGAAGGGTATTATCCAATGCTTCTGCAACCTCGTTCTCCATCAACCCGGGGTAAAGGCCTGATAAGCTTAACTCAGCATAATTGTGGCTGGAAACACAATGCCAGAGGCATTGGTGTTTTGAGTATGCCTTACATTTCCTCATCTGTCGCACAGCTTCTACTGTCCCAGTATTGACAGCACGGAGAATACCTACCTCCTTGGCGGTTTTAATCTGGCGCACTCTTTCCGCTTCTCCCCCAAGGCCGGTGATATCGAAACCAGCAGATCCCAAGCCACGTTGAATGAAATCGCGCATTTCCTCGTCGACCATTAATCGCGGTGTGTGATTCAGTGCCGAAAAAATGTCAGAGTGTTTCAACGTTATATAGGGATTCCAGTGTTCTTCCCACGGAATGATTTCCGCAGGCTCTGAGAATGGCATATTTAACAGACGAGCGCGCTCGGCTTCAAACGACGGGCAGAGAAAGGATGTCTTGGCAATGATCTCGCCAGATGCAAGACGATCGGGCTGAATGACCATCAAGAAAGGTCGCTCCTCTGGCTGTGATAGTCAAATTAGAATTAATGCTTGAGGTTGAGGTTGAGGCTGCTAAAGCAGTACGGGCATTTTACCTCCCACACTTCCCATTCGCGCTGGCTCACATTCGCATAGTATTTGAATGTGTAGCCTGGCTCTATAACAAATGCATCCACCGCGTCGGCGATAAGTGCCTGGGCGAGGCGGTTACGGCGCTCTTCATAGTCGTCCAAAGCAATTGGAATTGCACTGTCGAGGAAGTACAGCCCTGTATCCTGAAAATTCTGAATGGAGCATTCTTGAAACTGCTCAAAAGCCGAGGTCAGTTGCAAAGGCGAATGCTCTGCATCATTGGTCAAGTACTATATCTATTCTCAGTTTCGTAACTTCTGCATCCTTTTTAGTTTCTGTGAGCGAGACTTACGTAGGAAAAATGGTGGTAAGAAAAAAAGCCCAACAGCAGAAGGGCTGCTTGTTCAATCTTCTTCAAAAAATACTTACCTGACCCTTGAGATCTCCTCGGGGACTGTAGCTCCAGGGAGCCATATTTCTCCAGCATTGTCAAGTAGGATGCGTGCGAAGTCAACCACATATGCAATCCACCAGCCAGAGATGGTTCTAGTTCTTATCTCTTGAATGAATAACGCCTGTCATACAGAGTATAACTATCCAGACGCCCCCGAAGTTTTCTGTTTGTTTCCTATGCTCTCTCCCAATTCTTTTTGAGGTTGCAGGATGCCACCGATTTTGTGCAGGATAGGAGTTTCTAGGGGTGGAGACGGTGGAGCGTCAACAGTGTAGTCCGTGTCAACATGCTGGAACGAAATACCCGAGTAGGTATCTGGTCCCCGCAACCTTAACTGAACCCACCAATGATGTGAGTTAGCGTACATTTTCGGCGACACTTGCAGTCAGTCGCTGAGACACCAGTTCCTTAGGAAGGTCATAGCGAAGTCACTGCTGTGTTTTCTCCAGTCGGGGTACATTATTGAGATTATCACGGGATAACATTTCCATTAGCCTCGGCCTTGATCCGACATGGTGGAGTGATAGTGAAAAGCTAACTCAGATAATGAATATATGATAAATGCTACTTAGAGTGCGCTATAAAAGCTTGCTTAGAGTAGACTCTAATGACCGCCTTGACTGTCTGAATTCCTTTTCGAAATCCCCAAAATGGCCATCGAAACTATAGTCACTGACGGTGGTAGCAACACCCCCGGACTTAAGACCTACAATGAACCCAAAGGTGATGTCAAAGAATCCAAAATCACATCCGATGATACATGTCATGGCGCCAACGACCAGAATGTTGCTGCGGGAGCTTTCAGTAAACCTAAACAATACTCTAAGCTGTCCGTCTTCCTCATGATTGTGTTTTCCGGTCTAGCGATTGGCTCTGATGGTTTCAACGCTTCCATAATCGGTAACCTGGAACTTATCATGGAGGTAATCTATCCAGAATCTCTCACGACCGCTGTGTCGTCTCGTCTGTCAAATGCTTTCATGGTGGGCATGATTATCGGCATGCTATCCTTTGGTTATGTGGCCGACAGGCTTGGCCGCAAGACAGGTGCTATCCTCACCACCACCATTCTAGTTGTGGGAATCGCGCTCAGTGCCGGCGCAAGTGGGGTAACGCAGAATGGGATGTTCTGGATGTTGATTGTCGCGAGAGGAATGGCAGGCGTAGGTGCTGGTGGGTAAGTGCTTTGAAGTCGTTTCCGCATCGATCAACTTTCTGTCTCCCACCAGAGCAATATCTGAAAACTTTCGAACAGGGAGTACCCTGTTGCAGGCGCAGGTGCTGTAGAAGCAACGGATGAAGAGACTACTGTACGTAGTAATAGAGGTTTTATATTCGCAATGATTGCTGACCTCTCCGCCTCCCTCGGATTCGTCTTCGGAGCACTTGTTCCGTTGTTGCTTCTTCTCTGTATCCATCAGCAGGAAAGACGTTACAACGTTGTTTGGCGGGTTGCTCTCGCTCTAGGGGCTATTCCACCCCTATCAATTTTCTGGTTTCGATACCGCATGGCTATTAGCTCCGCTTACCGTAAGAGTTCGATGAAGAAGCACCGAGTGCCATACTGGTTAGCATTGAAAAAATATTGGCGACCATTGATCGGGGTTTGTAGTTCATGGTTCATGTGAGTGATGTACTAATATTCTGTTGAGAAAGACGGCACACCGACTAAAACATCTCAGTTACAACTACATTGCTTATCCCTTTGGCCTCTTCTCTTCCACCATTGTCAACCGAGTGAATCCAACCTCATCTCTCGTTGTAACGATGGGCTGGGGAACTCTGATCAACTGCTTCTACATTCCTGGCGCATTCATCGGTGGCTTCCTTTCGGACAGGATCGGGAGACGCCGCACAATGGCCCTAGGGTTCTTTCTCCAGGCTGTCTTGGGTTTTATTCTCGGAGGTGCCTTAGGACCCATAGAGAACCACCTCCCTCTCTTCATTGTACTGTACGGTATCTTCTTGACTCTTGGCGAGGTTGGCCCCGGCTCGACGATTGTACTTACTGCCAGCGAAAATTTCCCGACGGCGATCCGCGGTCATTGTGTCGGGTTTGCAGCTGCCTGGAGCAAAGCCGGTGCAGCTATTGGTACGCAGGTGTTCAAACCAATCCTTGCCAGTTGGGGAGCTGATGAGTTCCGTGGTACCCAGGCGGTGTTTCTGATTGGATCTGGGTTTGCGCTACTGGGAGCGTTGTTGGCCTGGTTCGTGCTTGTTGATTCCGATCAGGAACTGGATCGGGGAGATCAAGAATGGAAGGACTATTTGGCAGCAAATGGTTATAGTCATGTCCAATGGGGTACAGGTATTACGGATGGGACAGACTCTGTACCAGACTCAAAGGCTGCGGTGTAGCGAATAGTTGGTAGCATTCCTATCACAAGTTTACCTGGTACCTGTGCTGGTTTGCTCGTAGATTACCTTGGAGCCTTACACATGGTTTCGCCAATAATAGGCCTGGACAATTCCCTAGTCCCATGGGAATTGTCCAGGCCTACTAAGGGCTCACCGAGCCCCCTTAATCCTCCATCCCACTCAGGCCTTGCTCAGTGATCGCTCGGTGAGCACTCTGTGAGTTAGGCCGAGCATAAAGCGGCAACATGCTGTGGGATTTAGCGTCGCACATATTTGTTATATAAGCAGGAACCGGACTATAGAAGCGTACGCTGGTGCATGAAAAGACGTGACTCGTATATCTTTCTATGCTTTTTATGTCTGTAAACTAGTTCCATGTACTATTGTATATGTTGGCATTGGTATATCGATTCATAGCGTATATCTCAATCTCAATGGAGGACTATACAACCAGAGTTGAAATCAACTCCTGCCTGTATCAGATGAATTTTCCCGGAATAGAAAGAATCACACTTGAAAATACATTTACATGAATTAAACATTGCCCTATAATTCAATTTAGCCACACAATATTGAAAATAAGCGTTAATTTCGAAGTGTTACAGGAAAAACATATCTCTCTCCTGCCGCATAATGTAACCCTTTCATATATTAAACTCAACAAGGAGCTCCAGTTTTACCCAACTTTGATGTAGGATACAGAACGCTTGGCAATCCACCACTTGCCATTGGCACGGAAACATCTCCACTAGCTCCAACAGTTACATTCGTGCAACTAATCAGTTCGGTGAGCACTTGACCGGAAGAGTATCCGGTGCCGGACACGGTTATTGAGGAGGAACCGCCAGATGACCCGAGATTGGTTAGTACAGTGAGTAATTGAGTTCCATTAGAGCCTTTGCTCATAGCAAGGTTGTTGTTGTCTTGATAGATTGGGGTGTTCTGTTGACTATGTTAGCATGGATTTGTTGCATGGCTGAGGCGTACAGCAAAGATCGGAAACGACATGCCTTATTAGTTGTGAATCCACTGTCCACCTTGATTATGTAGTTTCGGATTTGATTGACTTTAGAAATCCATTGGTAGAGCTCTGCGGTGGTGTTATATCCGCTGAGCCATGTTGCCTCTCGGTTTTCGGGGTCAGAACCACCATTGTAATGCTGCTCTTGACCGGCGTAAATGATGGGGATACCATCCGACAAGATGGTAAAAGCAATTGCGTTCTTCGCAAGGGAATAGTCTTCCGTATAAGATGCAAATCGGGGATTGTCGTGATTTTCAACGAAAGTGCCCAAAAGAGTCGAATCGGCACAGTCCGACTTGACCGAGTTGATCATGTCGTACAGATCCGAGATGCTGCCACTGGAGTTCTGGAATGCGCGTTGCAGGGGGAAGTACATTGGATAGTTGAGAACTCCGTTTAGATAGTTCTGGTATGGGCAAGTGAAGGTCGGATCACCATCGAATACCTCGCCAACACAGTAAACACCCGACGCGTTGTTGTAGCCCGGCCAGAAGTCTGGTTGTATCTCCATTACGGAATCGAGACGAAGACCATCGACTAGAATCATCCACATCGTTAGTGGCTTTTTACTTAATGTATAGTGTGCATATATAATCAATATCCTACTAGAGTAATTCGACACCAATTCCCCAACCCAGCTATACCACATATTCTGAACATCCGTGCTTTGTGTGTCAAGATCCGGTAGAGATACAGTGGTATCGCCCATCCAACAATTCTGGACCATGGTGAGATTGTTGTAGTCGGTAATCTCGCAATAAGAATGGAAGTAGCTCTGGGAGTTAAAGGGATTGAAAGCAGAGTAGCTAACATCGGTCCCGGCGCCATCGTAACCCTGTTGTTGTTAACTATCAAATGGTCCTCTGAGTTTGAGAGAATATAAGAAGAGAATATGTTCACCATGTGGTTTGCTACAACGTCAACCATGAGATACATTCCTCGGTCATGCACCGCTTTGGAGAGGGCTTTCAAGTCGTCCGCCGTGCCGAGATTAGGATTAACAGCGTAACTACCAGGCACCGCCAGCCATTAATTAATGCTTAACGATAGCTATAGAGATACTCACGCATCCTGCTGCCAGTATCCATGATATGCCGTTCCATCACCTGTGGTTTGATTCAATTGCTCAGTAACTGGGGTAATCCAAATGGCTGTAAAGCCCATATTTTGGATATAATCCAACTATGTCCACATTAGAAATTTATCATTTCTGTAAACAAAGTCCGCTAATGCATACGTGATTGATGACTCCCTGCCATGATCCGCCGCAGTAGTTCTATGTCCGCTATTAGTAGCTGTACGCCGTTTGTTGATGATATGAACGTAGTTAAGACAACTTACACGTTGAGTAACGTCACATTCGGCTGTTGTCGAGTTGTCGGCACGACCAAATCGATCAGTCAGAAGAAAATAAATCGACTGTGAACGCCAGTCCGCAGGGCCGGCGGCAATGGCGATCCCAGATACTAGGGCTGCGCCAGCAAGTAGTGTGAGCTTCATTTAGTCGGATTATCCAAACTTAGAAGACTGGCAATGCAATGGAGCAATTGCTGTCTCCTTGAATCTTTGAGTATTCAGATATTGGGAACTGCGTGCTTCGCAGGCTATTTCGTAATTTTAATACAAACCCGAGGTCATTGGAAGGTTTTAAATAAGACTACGTACCCAATAATTTTTATAATGATGCTGATTTGTAGTGAAACAAACGAGTCCGACGGGTTGATCCCTGGGCCTAGTGACTTGGTGTTGGCGATTTCCCCGAGCCATATTTTTCTTCTTAAGGGTGACGGAGAATCATCATTGTTTCAAAGGTTAAGATTTAACAGACTACGCTGTCAGCAAGGGTTAACTGCTCGGTCACTTGCATATCAACTATGCTTATAACTTAGCAAGGAATACCTCCCCGCAGATCCCCAGACATTGACGTAGCCGCCCGCGAACTCGGCAGCTATACGAATCATAACCAAGCTATTGTTACAATTGCGGTGAATCGGTGATATTCATAATTCATATTACAGACTACTCTTTACCTGTACCTTCCAACTGCTAACTTCCTAGTTTTTGCAGGGGATAAGCCATTTTGCCGTTTAACTGCCGATATTATCAATAAGACTGTTATTATTCACTGTACCATCATGCTACTGGCTGTCTGCAAGAAATCGCTAATTGCCAGGGGTACAGTTTTTACGGGCGGATTAATATCGCAAATCAGACAGGTTCGGATGCAAAGCGACGATCGCAAGTTTTAGTGACCCCTCTAGGCGGATAGTGCGTAGTGAATAGCCCCAACCCCCCCTGCGTCCTCCGATTAATATTATTGATTCATTTTCCTTTTCAACCCGGGAGGGCTGATGATTGCATGACTAGCAAGATAAATAGGCTTTCCTTTCTCTTTTTCAATTCGCTTCTAGTTATATTTGGACTCAGTCCTGAATCTGAACATGACCGATTTAAGCAAAATTTGTCGAAACCCTAGCCCATTCTCAATGCCGAGATTGATGGCAGTGGCGTCTGGAGCAGCAAATGAATACAACCTCACGCGGCCCTGACTCCACCCCACTAACCTTCGCTTTGGTTGAAAGCCATATAACTCGCCAGCCAGTGCAGCTACTGACATTTTCCGTTAGATTAGGACCACCAGGTCCGGCTCTATGGGAGGTCAAGTGCAAAGAGCCGCCCTGGTGATTTGATAGGTGAAGCTTGAAGTCCAATCTATCTTCAGAGAGCAAGCCAGTGGGCACGATTGGAGAGTTGCAGTAGGAATCGGGATCGGTTATGGCGAAAATCATCTCCAGTATTGGCATGTGTAAAATATAGTCATGTGTCAAGCTTTGATCCCTATCGTGCCATTGTGACATTGTCTATTACTACGTTTCGACTGGTTTTGAAGATATAACTGCGTGTTTTGCCATGTGAAATATTATCTACAATAAATACCTTGTTTATATCCTTTGTTAGTTTCATAGCCATAACCGGCACGATGGCCAAGACCGCTCTTTTGGCCGCGTTTAGTATTCTGTGCATCGCCCATTCATCGTCCGATTTCGTTCCACGAGCTACAGGCTCATTGGACTCGTTTATTTCTAACGAAACACCCATCGCCTTACAAGGAGTATTGAATAATATTGGATCAAGTGGTTCATTCTCGGAGGAAGTGAGTGAAGGAGTTGTGATCGCTAGCCCTAGTAAACAAGATCCCAACTGTACGGGTTCCGACTAGAATTAAAGTCACATTTTTTCAGCCAAAATTGACCTATTTCTAGATTTTTACTCCTGGACTCGGGACTCCGCTCTTACTCTAAAATGCCTTGTGGATGAATTCATCGCGGGAAACTCAGATCTGGAATCTGTTATAAAAGAGTACATCAGCACATCAGCTTCAATCCAGGGGATCTCGAATCCTTCCGGTGATTTGTCCGATGGTAAAGGCCTTGGTGAGCCCAAATTTATGGTCAATGCGACCGCCTTCACGGGCTCCTGGGGCCGTCCGCAACGTGACGGACCGGCGCTGAGAGCAACGGCTATGATTGCATATGCCAACTATTTGATTGTAAGTGATTGATCGAGAAAGGAGGGTGGTGGGCTAATATTAATATTCTTTTAGAGTAATGGGGAAAACTCTACAGTAGACTCCATCATTTGGCCAATCGTGCAAAACGATTTGGCATACGTCGCGCAGTATTGGAATGAAACAACGTTCGGTAGGAAACACCAGCTGACTATGATAGTACTATTAAATGCAATGTTAACATTATCATAGACCTCTGGGAAGAAGTGCAAGGATCATCCTTCTTCACCACCGCAGTACAACATCGTGCACTCGTCCAAGGAAACGCCTTGGCTACCACACTGGGCCATTCTTGCGCGAATTGCGTCTCTCAGGCTCCCCAGATTCTGTGCTTCCTGCAGTCATATTGGACCGGCTCGTCCATCCTCGCAAACTTTGCCGATAATGGTCGCTCAGGTGTTGATGTCAACTCGGCCATTGGAGTTATAGCCACATTTGATCCCGAGGCAGGCTGCGATGATACGACTTTCCAACCCTGCTCTGCGAGAGCTCTTGCCAATCACAAGGTCCTTACTGATTCTTTCCGTGACGTGTTCTCGCTCAACGCAAATATCAGTGCTGGTACTGCCGTCGCTGTTGGCCGTTACCCAGAAGATGTTTTCCAGGGCGGAAATCCTTGGTACTTAGCCACTTCAGCCGCCGCTGAACAACTATACGATGCAATCTATCAATGGAAAAAACAGGGCTCGATCAACATCACTTCCATCAGCTTGCCATTCTTCAAAGATGTATATTCTTCAGCTGCCACAGGAAGCTACAGCAGTTCTGATTCGGCCTTCAACGATATCATCTCGGCCGTGACGACCTATGCAGATGGCTACCTGAGCATTGTCGCACAATACACCCCTAGTGACGGCACACTGACAGAACAGTTCCAGCGTGACGAGGGGTTTCCGATCTCCGCATCTGGTCTTACATGGTCGTATGCCGCTTTTCTTACTGCAGCTGCCCGCCGAGCCTCGACTGTCCCGGCGTCGTGGGGTGGAAGCAATGCCAATACCGTCCCATCTACCTGCTCTGCTTCACCACCTACTGGTAGTTACACATCAGCCACAGAGACATCCTGGCCGACTGCACCTGCAACGAGCACACGCCCCGCATGCTCTGCACCTAGCGATGTCTCGGTAACATTCCAGGAAATCATCTCCACCAACGAAGGTGATGAAATCTACCTAGCAGGCAACATTGAGGCACTCAAAAATTGGTCCACCACGAATGCTATCTTATTGAGCGCGAAGGATTATCGGTCTGCCGATAACTTGTGGTACACTGAGCTCTCGTTGCCGGCGGGTACCAGTTTCGAGTACAAATTCTTCAAGAATACCAGTGGAACCATCACATGGGAGGATGATCCAAACAGGTCGTACACTGTTTCTCAGGATTGTGGTGTCAGCACAGCCTGCGTAAATGATGAGTGGCAATGAATTTTAGACTGCTATAGGTTGATGTATAGGTAAAGCAGACGATTAGATATGATTGAAAGTAATTGAGATAAGAATACTTGTCTATTAGTTGAACTCTGTATATTTTAGACAATGGAGGTTATAATTATCAGTTAATGATCAAAGGTAGGATATCCCAACAAAACCTTCCCGACTTTCGGTATGCAGCGCACGGGTATGGTGCTAAAAAAACAAGACAAGTCAAAACAAGTGTACTGTAAGCCTGTATAAGCGCGTAATTTAGTGCGCAGAACTGTCGTTTGTATACAAGATAGCAAAAGCAAGAGTGAAAGATATAAGTAAAAACAGATGAAGTAAAACTCTATACCGCATGCAGTATAAGTTAAGTCATGACCGTCATAAGCCTTTGAGAATAAGGGGTGGGGGAAAGGACATGACTGCATGGGTAAACCTTGGTATCGTGTTTTTTCTTTTGTGGAAAGGAGACCTTTCCAAATAAACATAAGCAAAATAATAATAACATTAGATCAAGTAACATATGGCGAGTCAGAGAAAGGCGGGATATTGATATTGATACTGTGATGCGATGCACGAGATGCCATCGAAACCCGTCGATAACAATCGTCGTGGCCAGTATTGTTCTGCTGATGATGATGTTGTTGTTGCTGCCGCCCGTCATTAGGCAATCTATTGCAAGCTGTGCTGGTACCAAGTGGCCCTTGAAAGGAATTTAAACCTGCATCACCAACAGGCCAGGTTGATGCAGCAGCAGCAGCAGTGGTAGGGGACATCTCTTCTGGAGTGTAGCGCATTGTATTTGTCATGGTCGCCGGCGACTCTAAGCCAAATACACAGCTTGTTCGTTCGAGTAGAGAAGGGAAAAGATAAGACCGTGAGCCGCGGATACGACTAAGGGTGTTCAGGATCCCCCAAAGGAGTTCTTTGGGATCGGCTACTGTGCTTGTGAGGTGGGTTGAGGCGTTAGGGCGGAGATTGCGCGTCACATCGGCAATGGAAATACCCATGTCGTATAGTTTTTGCTCCTAGATCACAAATGGTAGAGTTAGCGGTCCTGTCAAACACATGTTCGAGTTCATTGTCAAAGCTTACCATGCCAATACCATGAGCATCAATGGCGCTTTGAGACACAGACCCAACAACATCCATAAGTGCCTTTCCGATCATTACAGGTAAGTGGAATGGTAGCGATGTGTCTGTGTTTGATGGGCGTGGAGAGCTACCCATAGATAGCTTCCACATCATGGCCTGAAGCCATTGTTGCGTCACAAGGATATCTACTTGTTGAATCTGCATCATTCCTTCAAACGGAACTGACTCGCATAGGCTCTGTTGGATGTCATTTGCCACGGAGCCTGATGAAAAGGCTTCATCACATCCGATTGCCACCCAGTCATATAGATCTGGCGTCAGCTTTTCGAATATGTTGATGAGGTTAAGAAAACCATATTCCAGAACTGGGTCATCGGAGTAAAGAACTTTGGGTTTGTTTATAGAGTTTCGGAGCATGACTGGCTTGGCTTGCTGCAGAGCGTACGCTCTACATGTCTAAAGTTTAGCAGATACAACCAATCTTTGGACTAGAAATGGCTAACCTCTCAGTGATAAACAGTAACCAGAACACTCTCCGGTGCTCTTCGGCTTTATTCGCCTCGAGCTCTGAGTATGTGGCTTCTCGATGCAGACCAAGGGTATGGGCTATAGATGTCGTTTGACTGAGGTAGAACCATGCCTGGTCCTGACGGTCAAGGTTGCCAAATGCAGCGAAAAGAAAGAAAGAAGTAAGTAGTGACTCAAGACTCATGTTTTCGGGTATGTCACAATGTCTTCTGGCACTTATGGCTTCTAAAAGTAGTTCTTCTCCCGACATGGAGGAGCCTGGCTCGAGTAATGAAAGTTCTGTTCCATCGTCGACACCATCTAACTTGAGCTGCACATGAGTGGCCGCGCAAAGGGCGGCCATGAAGGCGTATCGCTGAGGAGTGAGCATTTCAGGCTCGCGGCTATCATTGAGCACCTGTTCCGCACGCACTACTGGCATGATTGGATACAGGTACTTCAAGTATATGTTTACATGGGCCAGCAACACTGTTGATGACAGTCTTCGTGGCTGTGGCAGGGGCATCTGATAATTATGAAGCTCATATTGCGAGTCCATGGACTCGGGAGACGAGTACCCTTCACCAGCCGGATAATTCCATGATAAAGATGAAACAGACCCGTCCACTATCAATTCTAGAATTAGCATTAGAAATAATCATATCCCCGGTCACACAGTATTGAAAATGCTTCCATCTTTATGACCAGGAAATGATAGGGTCCGTGAGGGACTTACGCGGAAACTGAGATTTAGATTTGTACACCTGCTCAACACTCTGAGGAGTTGGATACTGTGAAGCCAGCGGATGAAGTGGTGCCAGAGGATACAAGGTGCGAAACTTAGGCCCCTTCCGCTGCAAGATATCGCTATATGAGCATGATAGCAGCAGCCGCTGACATTTGTCACACGGCCGAGCTCGATTGCATTTAATTTTCCGTCGGCGACAATTATCACAAGCCTGTTTAACGGACTTCTTTATCGAGGACGGCGATGACGCTGGGGCGGCTGGCTCGGAATCCATGTTGTGAGGTTATGGAGCTTGGTGGCACAAAAATAAGATATAATAGGAAAGGGAGAACAACATGTACGCATAAATTATAATTCAAACGAGGGACAAGAAGAGTGGCGATGGTAGAGTATCAACCCTGCATCGACATGATTGTGTAACTCATCGCACGGCAGTATGATCGTTTTTTCTGCGGTTGTGGATACATCGGCTCATTTAACGGCAATCACCTAGTACTTGGATGTGGATACCCCCATTAACCCTTATACATCGAAAGCCTTTTCTATCTGCAGAAGAATGGTGACGTTCGTCCTTCGATCTACTGCGTTAATATTCGGGTTAAGATGGGAAGAGTGCTAAACTGGGGAAGATGGAGGCAAGAAGAGCGGGGGGTGGAGGGACACTTGCACCAATTCGGGGGTCTCGGTGTGAGATCAAGGCCCCTGGCCATTTCATAAAAACTACTAATTACATTTCACGGTAACAATCTGATGGCTATGACTCGTCGCCGAATCCACTTCAACCCCTGGGGCCGGCATGGTAAACAATCGTGGAGCCATCCGGGAGATCGATGCACGGTGGAGCGACATAATCTATATGCGTTCTTCATCCCAGGCGATCGCCCATCCAGTCCGCCTTCTTGAAAGGAGGCTTATGACATTGTCTCCCCCCCTTTGACCTGGTTTGAATATTGTATACACAAGGTGGCACCAGCCAGTTATGCGCGTGCGTCGCATCGGCTTATCATTGATCTGGTCTGTATCCGATCTTCGGAACGGCAGGGTGAGCCGTTTTCTGCTCCCCGCTCCATCCCCACCAATGCATGTCCTTCTCAAGAATGGTCTTATCATAATAATCATCTAGCCGCTAACTGATCGCCGGCTACACCGGTTCTACTGTATTTGAGTCCTATCACTGCTTCACCTTAATCTTGGTAGGATGGCATCGAATCCCGGCGGAATAATCGGGAAGGAGATATTCGGTAGCATAGTGTATGTCTATGATCGTCTTGTGGTCACTTATCTGCAGGAACATATGCCGCTAACCCACAAAGCCTGCCCATAATTGATCCTGAAGTGCTGGCTTCTGTCTTTGGGTCAGGCTGGCGGCGAGTGGCAGGTATCCAAGGGAAAAAGACAGCCATACTGTTAGCGTGATAACACCCGAGGTAGCCACCAATAATATAAATGCAAGTAATGAAGCCCGAGCTCAGGTAGCCAGACGACGCCTCAACCTGGGGTACATGCATCAAAGAGGGGTCAAACCCGTCCAATGGCCCTGAATCTCGAAAATTCCACAGTTGTATTAGCACGATGGGGACAAACTCAAGTTTAGACACTAATGTCCTGATGTTCATAAAAGCGAAAGCTTCCTGGCCGCTAAGTAATTCGGTGAGGTCAGCAGAGATTGCATGCTGCGTAATCGTATGCAGGTCAACTACAAATTGTGATTGCTACCTGAAATTTCGCCCAAGATACCGCTACGGCCCGTCAGCTGTCAAAAATATTACTAGGCCTGAGCCACCGCTGCACCCAGTGACATTTTGTCATACACACATGAGCGATTTTCAGGTCCTGGGTGCCGAGACTGTGGTCGTTGGCTGCATAAAAAAACAACCCTTAGTCAGCGTTTTCCGGCTTTTTCTGCTTTGCACATGTCACTGTTGCTGGGGAATTACGAGCAGTAATATTAGCGCCACGGAAAAAGGCGCAAAGTAATCTATCCCAAGGCACAGCACAGTGTGGCCACCAGGCTACAGCTTTTAGCGTTGCTCGCAAATTTTGAAAGGGAGGCTGCAAAACTTTACTTGTCAAGAACACGGCATTAGCACATGATTTAGTGCCTTCACTCCATGAGAATGAATGGTTTGAGCACTTGCTGACACGTGAAAGCCGATCCATTTATCAACAATTCCTATTGCCAACTGTCAACGTTTTGCCGCCAAAAGGGAAGCGGTATAACAGCACACCATCAGTCATTATATTGAATGGGTTGTTACGTTATTATTAGCTCTGATCAACATATGATGGGCTACGCTCTTCTCTAACCCCTCCAAATCACGTTCCTGGAAATTTGTCTCGTTTCAAGTTGAACAGCCATGTCTTCGTCGAATGAACCGAACGGATATGAGCGCTAAATGAATCACGAGAGACGACTTAGCTGAGTATAGGGTAGATCGACGCAAATGACGAGTTTGGCAAATAATAACAGCAGACACTAAGATAGACCAAGGTAATTCGGTAAGATTCCCGCTTCGTTCGTGGATTGCATAATCGTTAAACTTGGGGAGAAATCATAACTATGAGGGGAAGAGAGCAGTTTCTGTTTTGATCTAGCCACAGACAGCTCCAGCGTCGATATCGATGGCCGCTCTTTCAGGTAAGGCGCCGGAGGGTCGTTACCGTAAGCGGAAGAGGTCAACGATCAGTGGTCAACGGTGCTACGCCAGGACCACTGTGGTCCGCCCACACGAACATGTACCGTGGCATATCAAATTCTGTGCGAAGGTACATAGATTTCATCCACGTGTTTGACACCAAATTCAACGCAGTGTGGCCTTTCTTACATACAATTTACGTACGACACTGGCATTAATCACGTATAAAGAATCTTTTTATGATTATATAATAATTGCATCATTTTATTGGCACTGCGGTCTTTATATCAACGTATCTGAATAGGAATATATGTAGGAGATTTTTTCCAGGCTCACTGGAGACACCTTTTGAGTCCTGCCAGCACTGGCCACTGACCTGTATCAATTGCTAGGGCTTATTCTCAGCACTTATATCTATACATGTACTATTTCTTTGTTGTAGAGGGTAAAAGCTGTCTGCTGTCTGGGAGTCGGAGCTCGCATTATTTAGTTGCGAATATTCATATTATTAGTAGTTCATAATCTAGCGTAGAACGCGCCGTTGCAGGATGGTGGTGCGCTTGCATTTCTGCCAACTACGAATGTACCTACCATTACCTCTGTTTGGCAAACGTCCGTGCCACTTTTACTCCAACTCTTCTTTACTATTTAGTAGTCTTGCTTCGGCTGTGCATTACCTGAAACTTGAAACTTGAAATGGCCAAAGTTAGTCGTATTGTTAGGTGGGCCTGGCGGACTAATCTGTTTCCAACGTTGCATCCTTTCTTTTATAACTCCTGCCTAAGGGCTGTAAGCTCAGTCTGGAGACGGGCATCGGAGGTCGGAAATAATAGCTCACCGTTCTTTGCTGCTGCACAGTTAGCCTGTTATTTCCTTACAGAACGATCTGTGGCCAGCATTAAGACGCCTTTGAGTCTCGCGGCTCTGTCATCGCGAACCCTCGCACGAGCCTCCTGTTGTGCATGATGCCATGACGGGCATTGGCGGGGTTTGCCACATGCTGAAGCGAGTTGAAAAGGGAGATTTAGTTCGTATCGGACAGTCCTCGGGCCACACAACCAACCAGGCCCGCATCTCCCCTGTCTCGTCTGCGTTTCCGAAACTTAGGGCAAAGGCTCTTCCCTCTCGTATTCGGTTTCGGTCTGCCGTCCCAACACAAGATCGAAGCCGGTTTCCAGTCCGAAAGCGACTACAACATGGCAAGTTTTGCAGGACGCAGAGCATTGAGGAAGTTGGACGGCGAGCCGACGCTTCCGAGTGTTATGATCACGTGACCAAACCAACCCCAATAGTATTTGTATAGCCATGTTTGAATAATTACAGTAAAACACAGTGGAGCACACTTGTCATATGATGATGCTGTGGTAGACAGTGGATAAGGATTGAACAATGATTGAACAGGGATTGAAAAGCCTATCACCCCGCTTTCGGGAGTTGTGATTGTTGCATCTGCTCACCCCGCTTGCCTTGCTGCTGTGCGACCTGTTTGCTCTGTTTGGCTGTGGAGGAGAGATGGGGTAGGACCAATTTAGGGTTAGCATGATTGATCTGTATTGTTGGAATGGTGGTGTGTGCCAGGTCTGAGAAGCCATCGAAACGCCCACTCTCGTGCGCTCCAGGACAGCAATAATTGTGAAATTGCGGCTTCATGGCTCAGGGTCTGTGTGTCTATGGGAAGCCGGGTGTAACAGCATGAAAACCTGGATATTTCACCGGGAAACAAAAGAAGTTACCCCAGGGCCTCATATGTATTAGAACTTGTTATATCTTAACACGCTGGATAATTACTACCCGAGAAAATGACCCATACTACAACTACATATATGCCCTCTCAGATAAAATGGTGCCGCGCGTTTCTATCGCTGCTGTCCCTGTGTCAAGCTAGCTTATAGCATCAAGTAGGGAGGTAGGTAGGATTTCTATTATAGTCTATTGAAGGTACCTAATTTCCTTAGCGGCGCTATGGAGACTTTCACATTGTTTAGATACATTGACTGTGTTAGCTCATAGCACCGCTGTCCTTATTGGGCCGTCACGACGTCATTAGCCTCATCGACTCTGCTCACTGTGTCAGCGATTCTGAATCGGTGCAACTAAACTGCCAATTTTGACAATCCCAATCCTGCTAATACATAGCATTGACTATCTGCACCGGTGCTTTTAAGATGACTGCTACCTTGTGGCCTATTGGAAAGTCATAGTACGTTTCAATCTAACCACCAACCAAAGAGCCATCTAGTAGATTTTCTAGTCCTTATATCTAATAGAAAGATATAGATTGTTTACAGTGCCAATATCGACTTGCTCAATCTAACTATCAAGAATCACTTAGAGGACTGCTAGTAGGTATGGTTCACTATACCAAATTTTAATTTCAGTATTTGTAATGCGAGTTGATATGTTCTTCCAAAGATATCAATTGATCTGGAGCCTCAGTCCCAAACCCCAACCGGAGATACAACTATTATTTAAAAGTGATCTCATATTTCCCCAAGCGGTAAATCATCATTCAATGTTCACTCTATTGGCTAATGTAATGTCGCCGCCCTAGGCTCCCCTCTGCAGGCAATGTAACCTTCAATGGGGTAGCGGTGGTTAGGGGGGTGTTCAGTTACAATGACACGAGCAAGGTTCTTGTTGTCGATAGATTGGCTCGATTGGCCAAGAAGAATGGTTCTTGGGGTGGTAAATCATACCCTACCTCTCGCTCTATTTGCTGTTTACTGTTTCAAGTAGTCTATAAAGTAATTAGTTCAATGTTAATTTACTCATAATATATAATAGAGGAAGGTGATATGTATATTGTTATTTGCTGGATTAGTTAAAAAGAATAGCTCCTAAAATGATAAATAGATTTAAAGCGATAAACTGTATTCTACCCTTGCTCTATTTACTATTTACTAATTCAGATGCTCTATGGAGTAATTAGTTGGTTTTACATCTAGTATATAATAGCCCTAGGGACACGATGTGTGTATTATTATTGACTGGATTAGACAAGAAGAGGGGCTCCTGTGGGGTTGGCTGATTTACTGAATTCAAGGCCATAAAATCATATTCTTCCTCGCTCTATTTTCTATTTACTATTTTAATATTCTATGGAGTAATCAGCTGATTTCGCATATAGTAATATAATAGAAGGAGACGATGCGTATATTATTATTGGATGGTTTGAATATCATTATTGTTGAATGTGTTTGTAGACGAATTCCATTTTATTGGTCAATTCATGATACTCAATCAGTTCAATTTTTGAGGTCCATTCCATTGTAAATGTGAGGGATGATAAAGATGGTAAACAGCAGTAATGATTCCTTGGATGTTTCAAGTATATACAATAACAAATCATACTAGTGACAGCCTGTTCTTAGTATGTAAAAGATATGAAGAGGAAGTAAAGTAGAAACGAGAGCTGTCACAAGGGTCAGGGGAAAGAAAGGCCATGACGATCATGCATAGAAAATAGCCATGCGTTTCAGATGAATAATCATGAGTTTCAGATGAATAATATGGGACAGAATGATGGTAATCAAGAGAAGAAATGACAATGATTTTGTTATATCGCCTAACACCCTCGAACAAACAAGCAAGTGACAATGGCTACTACCAGTCTATTGAGGAATATTTCCCCACTCAAACGCGCAGTCGTGATAATGATACAGAAATAAATATAAATTAGATGGCCTTTTCAAGCCAGGCGCCAGACGAGCTCCAAGAGCTCGTCGCCTTGTTGTTCATTACGGCGGATATAGATTTGTCGGACTTGACCACCCTCGATAATGACGTCTTCCAGACGATAGGAGATCTTGTCTTCTTCCTTAGGTCGCAGAGGGCCAAGGGTTCGGACAAAGGATTCATCGGTTGACCCGTTCAGATCATCCCATGTCCTTTCCATTGCGAATGCACCTTCCTCCTCGGAGACGCTAGCGCCGTGGTGAATAACAGAGTATCCGTTTGTGAGAATCCAGCCGTCGGCGAATTTCCACTGCCGAAGCACGCAGTCTGTGCCACATATCTCGCGGACAGCTGACAACTTGACCATGTCGGCCTGGAACCAGGACTTCCAGTGGTGAAGCGACACGGGTACCATGCGAGCAGCTTCGAACCATCCAGAAGCGTCATTCATGAGATCCAGCTGATGCAAGCCTTCGGCCATTTCCATTTTGGTTCGTGTATACTGGTAAACGCAGTGGGCGATCTTCCCGTCTCCGTGATCCGTTCCGGCATCGCACTCGTCCCAAATCGCACCGAGTTCGTTCAATAGAGGCCGCGAGAAAAACATACCAGCGCCGCCGTAAGCAAAGATACCGAACATGGACAGTTGGGCATCACTTTCGGTAACGGTGCCGATGTAGTGGGGTTTGGTTTCATCGTACTGGCTCAACATGTTGGCCAGTCGTGCCATAGAAAGGTAGAAGGTATCATCGTCCATGATGCAAGACCACTTGGTCTCAGGACGGGCATTGTCGGCAAGAAGTTTGACAAGCAACGAGTAGCGATTCTCGTAGTCAACATCCGATTCAAACAACTCAATATTGAGACCCAAAGACTGTGCTTTGCGCTGGGCTTGTCGCTGGTCAACCCCCGGTTCAATGAAGGTCAAGAAACGGGTGTTGGTATTGCTAGCCCAGACCGAGAAGGCATCCATGGAGTCCATCAATCGCTCCATCGTCGTGGAAATGGCGAAATCGATATGCGAGGCGTCGACGGATGGTAAAGGTTGGGGGACCTCGACGGTGATCACTGGGGGACAAGTAGTGGAGGGTGCAATCTCGGCCCTGAAACTGCGAGGTTGAGCATCGAATAAATTCACGTCCATCGGGATGGAAATTGGCACATCTCTCCTGGTGAATTTGGCATGGATTTCGCGTCGGATATATTTAGCATCACCGCGCAGCTCATAGTTGCTCACAAAAGCAGGGTCCACGCCACACGGCTGCGGTGTTGACGCAGCCAACGACCCTACCGGTGACCCAGGAGTTGACCCTGTGTAGCTGGAAATGGACGGAATGAACTGCCCTCCTCGGTTGCTGAAGTTGTAGGAAAATAGAAAGAATCCAGCGACGACGACAAACAAGACTATGAGGCGGAATCTTTTCCTCTGCCGCGTGGCAGGCCGTGCGAAAATACCGTCTTTCGAGATCGACATCGTGGGAGTCAAGAGGAGCGTCTGGTGGCGGTTCACCGGTCGGAGAATCGAGAGAAAGGGAGGGCAATCGGTGGCAGCGAGTATTATTGGGCTTCTAAATATTCAATATCGATAAACTGTGTGCCTTTCGCTTGTATGGCGACTCCTATACTCAGGTCAACTAGAGACTAACTGTTGGTCGGGTCGGCAGTCCGAAGGTGATGCCGACAGAGAGAGGTGATTAGAACATGCGTAACATGAAACGAATGTAGTTATTCCCAAGACAGAGGCGCAGGCACACGCAGTCGAGATTGTGCAAGCGTAGAAAATGTCCAGATCAGCCCCGTATTAGTTTTGTCAGGGACACGCAAGGACGAGAAATGGACGGGCTGGAGGGGCTGAAATCGGCCGGTGCCACACAAGCCTCCAGGGGGCACTAGTAGGGGACACCGCCGCGCCAATCAGCCGAGCTCTCCAGGCGCGATCTTCATTCTGCATGCCACTTTACGTACACCCAACGTGCAATCATTGCCTACTTGGCCTGTCGCAGTTAGACCTTGTGGAGCCCGATGGAGCCGCATCTGGAGTGGGCTCGTTTTCCACGAGGGAATGCTGACAGTCTGCGTTGCAAATGGCGCGTCGATCTGGGTCTGTCTGCACAAGCTTTACTCTCCTTATTTAAGACTGCAATAATGCCATGGTAGCCATCAATATTCTTGATAGTTTAATACTGATCGTCTGTTAGTCACAGGTCCGTGCTAGCGGTCTTCCGTTATCCGGGTAAACATTATACAAACAGCAGACCCTTACCATGAAACGCTGTTCTGATACCATTGGTTTTCGCTTCAAGATCATCGAGCTTATGGGAATCCAGAGTATATCCAATCACACTGCCGCGAGTTGGCGGAAAGTCGTCACATCAGCTTCAAAATGTTATTCCAATACAATTACGTACAGCTGTGTGGTACATCAAGGAACACTAGTTCGAAGTAACCGACATCAGTCAGCTACAAATCAGCTAAAGTAATACTATTATAATGTCAATTCGACAGAGATTAGAGGTTACAGAGGACAGCTACGACCCTCCCATTTTCTCTTCCATATCTCAAGATCATTCTTTCACAACCATGCTTCAAATCCGTAATATTTCAGCTACGACTGTCTTGCCAGCGGTGGGGGTCTGGTTTGCACTCCACACCCCCGTACAGAGAAACACGGCGGTATGGGCTGTTAGTTGTTTATTTACATATCTTTTATAGGTTACCATAGACTGTGGTCCTATCGGTCGTATAACGCTGGAGCCCTACTTTAGATCTACCTCTCTCTCCCCGACGTAGCTTGCTTCTAGGGCTCAATTCGAACCTGGTCGAGAGATCACCGGGCACATCATAGATATGTAGATACCGACCGAGACCCGTATTCTATCTAGAAGGAATTCTGATACGCTCATGGGATGGTTGATTATGGAATGCAAGTCGAAGAAAAGCCGAGTGGACGTGACAGATCTCGACGCCAACTGGGTTGTGGTATGGCAGCATAACAGCTTTCCAGTCATCTCCATTACTACAGCGCTGATCTGTCCGTGGCGGTGGTAGAGACGTTCTGGAATGACTGGAAAGGCGGCTTAATATATGCTGGCATACTTCGCGTATTTTTCTTTCAACAAGCAACACTCTGTGTCAACTCGCTGACCTATTGGCTGGGCGATAAACCCTACGATGACAAAATTCGCCTCGAGACCATTTTCTCACCGCGCTGGTGACATTTGGCGAAGGATATCATAATTTCCACCACAAATTTCCCTCCAATTACCGCAATGGGATTAAATGGTACCAATATGATCCAAGCAAATGGTTCATCTGAATATGTAAGAATCTCGGGCTTGCAAGCGACCTCCAGCGGTTCTCACAGAATACAATTGATAAAGATGAGTATCAACAACAGCAAAAACGCCTCGATAAAGTGCGGGCACGACTGGACTGGGGTACGTCACCTTAGCAGCGTCCATGCATGACTTGGGTTGATTTTCAGCACGCCGTTCAAACCCGTCGTCAGCTGATTTCTATCGCTTGGTTTATCTACGATGTTAAGAATTCATTAAAGCACACCCCAGAGGCGAAGTTCTGGTTCGGGCATATGTTGGTAAGGATGCCACGGCGGTATTTAATGGAGGAATACATGAGCGTATGTTAATACTTGTGCATTTCAGTGTTTCGTCAATGTATTAATTACTGAAGCAGATTCAAGGGCGGCTCATAGTTTACTGGGCGAGTTTCGCGCTAGGATCCTGCTGGGTGGGCAAGAACTGGAGAAAACTAGGGCTAACAATCATGCCGATTCTTTAAAGTTATGTTAAAAGCTCATTAGAAGCACAAAATCTTAGCCTTTACGAACCTAGTTGATAATTTTCGTAGAAGTGCATTTCTATATGAAGCCAAATACATCGCTATAAAGCATGTAGATGATTCTTGTAGAAAATATTTGAAACCTCTCGTCATGGGCCAGAATAATGATATGTAGAGCATTCAACATGTACGAAACGCCTTAGATGAAACAGATCCATCCCATAAAACGCCGCCATCTCACAGATGCTTAGCAAAGAAGTCTCCAATCTCCTTGTATCTATATCGCATATAGTCAGTAAAAGGCCGCTCAGGATATTCGAATACCCAAAAATGGTCTAAAACTCACCCTCGCTCAAACTCCTTCTTGTTCTCGGCATCGTCGAGATCGGCACGTGCGCCCATCCAGCCGTGGTGTTGGGTGGAATAGGTATCGACGTACGAGTCCAAGCCGGCACGTTCTTCAAGAGCAACCTTGTAGGCAGCTGTTGTAGAGGCGTCTTCATCCTTAGAGGCGAGGACAATGTGAGGGATTACGATAGCTTTGGCATCTTTGGCATCAAACAGACTGGTTTTCAAGAACAGTGATTAGATATATGCTACTCAGGCATCATCATAAAATTGCCGTTGACATACCCTGGATGAACCTGACCGGAGACAGCAAACTCTGTTCCTTGAGTACTGACTAGAGCAGAAAGCTTCAAACGTAGAACGAAATTGTCAGTATCTATCTCTCTATCAGACCCAAAGAAGGAAATTGCTTACCTTTCCACCCCAGCACAGTCCCACGACACCCCACTTCTCAACGCTAGGAAATTTAGACTTGGCCTCTGTAATGACGGCATTGACCTTGGGGATGTTCAGCGGGGGAGCGGCGGTGTTGGCAAAGAAGCTTGAAAAAGCTGCCTTTTTCTCCTCAGTGTCTGGAGGAGTCCAGGAGTGTTCGGCGTAAACACCTTCCAAGAAGTCGGGGACAAGAGCTACGGCACCGAGCTGCTCAGCGAGACGGTCAGCACCTTGGAGAGTCTGCGAATAGAAGCCGAAGATGTCATAGATGATGATAACACCACGCTTGGAGGAGGTGTTGCCCGCAACATCTGAACTGTTCATTAGAAGAACATTAAGTGGTAGAAAGGAAATTATTAGATACTCACAAGTATCCAAGCCGCCGATTTGCTGGACGGGGACGGCCTCACTGGCTCCAATTGGGGTGCGAGAGCAGCAAGCAGCCGACATGATTGTTCCAAGTTCAATATAAACAGCAATAGACAAGAAATTCAAGTTGTTAGGGAAGGCAAGTGTAGGAGACCGAAGGGCAAGCGGAGAATTTATAGAGGTCCCTCCTCGACAATTAAAAATGCACCCCCGCTGTGTTCCGCGCTGTCCCACCATTGACGACGTATATCTGATATCCTCCAACAATAGCCTAATCTATAAAACAAATCCATGCCGGCCCCGGCCGCACCAATTGGGTCTTCTTGTGCTATTAATCGTCTCGCCGATTCTGAGGTTCCTCCTGTACCGGGCCGGCAGCGGGTAGGACAGCAGTCTTATTGGCTCATTGATCTTTTGTCCTACAAAGATTGTGCAGTGCGCGGCCCGAAGTTGCCGGCTTAATCTTAAACCATTTAACATATATTATCAAGATATTATTAATTATTAACATTACTCGAGAGTCGCGATTGTCTATCTTGTTATAAACTGAATGATGTTGTTTTTGTCGCTGGCTGGAGCACTCAGAACTTACAAGAGTGGCATCACACGTGATCTTCCATACCCTTATTTAGACGATGCATATTCGCGGTCGACTATGCTCCTCTGTAGACGATTGGTTGAAGCAGAGTCAGGAACCGGTATGATATTGGAAAGGAAACGAGTGGAATATCAAACTCGACAATTTCCAGAGAATACGAAATGACTTGGAGTAGATCCTTTCCGAGTGAGCGTTCGGTGAAGGCACGACTGAGAACACGAATACGTAATATTTACTGTAGTACCCATATGACACTAAACAGTCGAATCGAGACACTACGTAAAACAGCGAGTCAAGTGTGAAGTCGAGCCTACGCGAAGGAGTTTGCTCTAGAGTATACAGTGTAATAATGTATGTGGAGGGGAAGCCACTAGTACCAAAAAAACGTGGTTTCCGCACAAGCGGGCGCTTCTCCGTCAAACATCGAACTGTCCCTCGCCCAAAGCTCAACCGCCACGCTAATTGCAGCATTGTCGAAAATCCATTCCAAGCAGGGAGTACGTGAATATACCGACAGCTGGAGAATGGCATAACCTGCACTCAACACATTGAAACACGCTACCCCGCTCTCGCAGTCCCGCAGTCCCTCAGTCCCTCTCGATCGGATTCCTCGTCCCGCTTAGCGAGCCGCTGCTCAACACCACAAAATGGCCGCCGTCCAATCGCTGAGCCAGCTGCTGCAAAAGTCCTCTATCGAAGAACACGAGAATGTTCTGAAGGCGTGCAATGCGGCACTGAAAAAATCCAAAACAGACCTCCAGGCTCAGCATGCCAAGGTGGTGGCGCTGTTGAAACTCGACCGGTACGAAGATGCGTTGCGGGTGTTGGAAGAGAGCGGAGATGCGCTCAAAGGCAAAGCGCCTGTCGAGTATGCCTATGCGCTGTATAAGTGCGGGCAGCTAAGTGAGGCGGCCAAGGTTGCGGAGAGCCAGGCAACTGGGCGAGGGGCGAGGCATGTTGAGGCCCAAGCAGTATGGTTCCTGGAGATAGCATAGATGTGATGAGGTTTTCTAACTGGTGTTTGTCTAGAACTACCGTTCCGAGAACTTTGCTACTGCTGCACGGGTATATGAGAGTTTGGCTGGCGACGAAGCAGAGCTAGGCAACGAATATAACGACTTACGCATCAATACATGGGCTGTGTATGCGCAAAGGCTATGGCAGAGGCAGGGGGATATGCCACAAATTCGGAAGCCTACACGGGACGATCTCGAGGCATTTGAAACAGCATACAATGCAGCATGTGCCAGTATTGCTCGGGGTGATCTAAAACAAGGCGAGATTTTGTTAAAGCGAGCGAAAGGTATGGAAGGAGAAGAAGAGAAGAAGAAACACGGGACTGGAGGCTGACTGGATTATAAGAGTTATGTAAAACCTCCGAGTATTTGTCACCGGAAGAAAAAGCTAGCGAATTACTGCCTATCACGATTCAGCAACTTTACACGCAGCTCAGGCAAGGAAATCTCAAAAACGCGGAGGAACTTGCCCAGGAAATTTCTGTTAGCGAGTGAGTGCCCTAAAGATCAACAGGTTTCTATGTTTATACTGACGCAATACAGAAACACGGAGCTCTCGACGAAAAAGATCGCCCAAAACAATATTCTATTATCACAGAAACAAAACACCAACCCTTACAAATTATACAAACTCTTCCATGATGCCCCAGAACCCCGCGACAGTGACAAACTCTTCAAGTTCCAGTCGAGTGCCATTGAAGCAAACTCCCACGCTCTTGATCTCGATGTGCAAAAGTCCGACGGAGTCATTCGGTCAACTACAAAAGCGCTGGCACAGCGTCCGTACCCCTCCGTCGATCCCGATGACAGTATTTTGTCAATATACAATGCTGCAGCCCAAGTGCAGGGCAAGACTACCCAACAAGCTATTCAAGAACTTCGTACCTTGCTAGCTCGTCGTCCGAAGGATATTGGCTTGGTCTTGATTATCGTCCAACTTTATGTTGGGGAAGGAAACACTACATCAGCTATAAACGTTCTGGAAAGTGCAGTGCGTCTACTCGAAGAATCAATCTCAGAGGCAGATCAGGAAGTACGATTCAACCCAGGATTGATCAGTGTGTTGATATCCCTATACCGACAGGAAGGAAGGAAAGCACATGTGAAGGCAGAACTTGCAAAGGCAGCATCATACTGGCGTCAACAATCGAAACAACCTACATCCCTTCTCCGCGCTGCCGCATCTTCGCTACTTCATTCGTCCAACCCGACAGATTTGGCTATTTCGCAAGACCTCTTCACCACGATCCATACCAAAAACCCCGGAGATAAATTCGCGATAGCTGGTTATGTGGCATCTTACGCAACCATGGACTTGGCAAAAGTGAAGAAGGAATTGGACATCTTACCGAAGGTTTCGGACCTGGTGCCTGATGTTGACGTGACCGCTCTCGAGAATGCTGGTGTTCCTCAGTCACAAGCCAGTCTTGCACACAATGCGGCCGTGTTAGCTGGTGCCCGGAAACGAGCCGCAAAGGACCAAAATGCTCGAGCTAAGAAGCGAATTCGGAAATCCCGCCTGCCCAAAGACTACGACCCCAGTAAGACGGCTGACGCAGAACGGTGGCTGCCCTTGCGGGATCGATCTACATACAGACCCAAAGGCAAGAAGGGCAAGCAACGAGCAGCCGAGAGAACGCAGGGGTTTGTGGTCAACGAGAAGAGTGAGGATAGTGCTGCTGCATCTGTCGGACAGCAGCAAAAGACAGCAGGAGGTGGTAATGCCTCAAAGAAGAAGAAGAAAGGCAAGCGGTAGACTTGACGATAGACCTTGTGGTGACTACGACGTATAAATGAAAACATGCACCTGAACCATGGTAGCGCTTCCAATCTCTCCAGTTTTGTGGTTTGCCGTAGACTGAACCGTGGGCCTGGCCTATAAACAAACTATAAGCTTGCAATTGTTCTAACTACCTCACTGTCACCTTGATAAACGGTGTTACTAGATGTAATTATAAGGACATAGCGGGCGTGGCTGAGCACTCGGCGGGGACTGCCCCTCCTCCCCCACCAGCCACAGATGACCGTATTCACGGCCGGCCATGTCATGTCGTCGTCCCAAGTCTGTTCAGCTGCGGCGCTTATTACTGCAATGGTCTATTAGCAGTGCTGCGGTCCGTTAACCAAGTCACTACCGTCTCTCCTGTATACTCCCACTCGAGAGCATTGCATCGCATTGTCTTCCCAGCGCAAGTCGATTACATCATGGGGGTAAGACCTCGCCTGTCTGTATGCAAGCAAATCCCTGCTCCAGAAAGCTGATCTTGCGTGTGTCAGTTCGCATCGAAAATCGCCGGCAGCCAGCCCGCAGGAGGAGGTCAAGGTGTCTATTCGGGCGCGCCTCCCTCTGGGTACACGGGGGGTCCTCCGCCCGCTCAGCCTGTAAGTCGAGTGTAGTTTGTTTGTTTGCTTGTTTCGAATAAACAGAAGCTGTAAACAAAGCGCTGAACAGCTAGTAGCAGCAGCAGTACCAGGCGTACCGCCCGTCGCCGCCACAGGCACCAGGGCAGCAGCAGCAGCAGCAGCAGCAGCCTCAGGCATACCCACCGTCTGGTCAAGCAAGCGCCCCGGTAGGTCCAACACTTTTTCGTAGTGTCGATTACGCACGAGGCAGCAAGCCCAACCTGCTTCCACTCTGCTTTTCTTGTTCGGTCTCGTGTTATCATTCTCTTCCCCCACTTCGCGTCCCCTTCTTTTTATTCTTGACTGTTGTTATTTCTATCTCTTGCGTATTATTCTCTCCCGTGCTTCTCTTCTGCCGCCATCATGTCGCGCCCCTACGGACAGGCGCAATACCCAGGCCAGCAGCCTCCGTATTCGACGTCATCGCCACAACCACCATACCCCCCATACAGCGGCGCGTCTCCTCAACCACCAGGCAGCGCGCATGGCTCCCAGTATCACGGTTCGCCGCAGCCTCTGCCGGGCCAAGGATATCAGCAGCCGCCCTATAACCAACAGCAGCAGTCCTACGCAAGGGCGCCTCCCCCGCCGCCGCAACAATATGGTGCCCCGCAGCAGCCCTACGGCCAGCCCCCTCCACAACAAGGCTACCCCAATGCCCTCGTTCGTCGCGTCTTTTTCATTATAGTCATTCGCATATTGCCATATTGCATATATTTCTTGTCGATTCTGCGTTCAGAAGTGATACTAATATTTGTGCAATCTAGGGACCAGGCTACAATCAGTACCCCCCTCAAGGCCCTCCACAAGGAAACTATGGACCGCCACCACCAGGAGGGCCAGGAGGACCAGCCCCTTATGGCGGAGCATACGGCGGTGCACCCCCGGGTCGAGGCCGTCGGGCAACGCCGCAGGAGCTTTCGACGTATAAGCAGCTCTTAAGCGGTTCTATCCAGGATAACCAGATCCAGTCGTTTTACCCTCCCCAGAAACTTGACCAAGTCGTCCAGAATCTTGAGACCGCGCCGGATAAGCTTCAACAGCTCATAAAGGAGTGGAATGTTCCCCAGGAGGTGGCCTTTGACGTTCTGAAGCTGTCTTTGTTTGACACCATCATCTATGTCGACGATAGTGGCTCCATTCAGTTCGAAGAGGACGGAACCCGGTTGACCCAACTGAGACAAATCTTGGGTCTCATTGCTGCTGCCGCTTCCAAATTCGACCAGGACGGTGTTAGCGTTCGGTTCATGAACTCGGATGAGAAAGGCGACAATATCCGTAGTAAAGAGGATGTTGAAGCTTTGGTGTCACGTGTGCGGTTCTCCGGTCTGACACCAATGGGAACGAGTCTGAAACAGAAAGTGCTGGATCCAATGGTGATTGGCCCGGCAAGAGCTGGCCGTCTTGATAAGCCGGTTCTTGTTATCACAATTACAGATGGTCAGCCTGCTGGTGAACCACACAATGCCGTCACGGAGGCAATCCGCTCAGCCGTTGATGAGTTGTCCCGCAGCGGCCGCTACCGTGGTGGTGTCAGTTTCCAATTCGCACAAGTTGGAACTGATTTGCATGCTCGTCAGTTCTTGTCTAAACTAGACGAGGATCCTAGCATTGGTCAGTTGATTGATTGTACCTCGAGTGAGTATTTTAATCGGATTTCTTATACTCTTTCGCTGATCAATATGATTTAGGCTTCGAGGTGGAGCAGGATGAGATGTCTCGAGCAGTTCCACCAGTTAATCTGACTCGAGAGCTTTGGGTAAGATTACCAAGTTATGTTCCTCTTCAATGCTAAATAGCCTACAGATTGCCAAAGTCATGCTTGGTGCTATCGACCCCTCCTACGATACAAAAGATGAAAAGGCAGCCGGAGCTGGACAACCTCCTCCTCCATCTGGTCAATATGGCGGCTACAGCCAGCCTCCCTATAACCAGGGTGGTTATCCTCCAGCTCCTCAGGGCTACGGACAGCAAAACTACGGACAGCCTCCTCAGTCCGGTTACGGTCAACAGCCACAAGGATATGGTCAACAGCCACAAGGATATGGTCAACAAGCCCCCCCTCCTCAGTATGGCGGCTATGGCCAGGCACCTCCAGGACAGGCTCAGTATGGTCAACAGCCACAAGGCAACTATCCTCCTCAACAGGGCCACGGACAAGCTCCTCCCCCACCACGTCGGTATTGATTAGGTGAAGCGTTGCTGAGCAAGGTTGCAAGCTGAGACACAATAAATAGTGCTGGGAGAGGAAACAGTCCTTAAAATGGTGGAGAAGAATGGGTTGATTCAGATAAGGTATAAAGACTGCTCTAGGAAATAATTTACTTTGTACAAGCGCTTTCACTCAAAGATGACTCGTTTACTGTACCACAACATACAAGACATGTCACTAGCACGTCCAAGTCCTCATATTCAGTTTGTCCGCTGGAAATTGGTTAGCTTACCTCCAATGCAACGTCACCTCCCCGTCGGCAATTGAACGTCCAAAACACGCTGGTCTATCAACCCTCAAATAAACCCCATCCCATCTAATCAAAATCACCATCATTGACGAAAAAGGATCTAAATAGCGCTCCCAGACCCAATTCATCACTAGCCCCAAATAACAGCAGCCGAAAACCCAGTATTTCAATTACCGATGCAACAATAGCCCCGCATTTTGAGTTAGCACCGTGTCGATCTTGAAAATGCTGCGGGGAAATAATGCATTTCCTGCGCTTTGAAGTACTGGGGTCGGCTCGTTGCGACATCGTCATAGCTTTTTTGAATGATCGTATATGTGTGTCCTGATAGTATATAGGGAATGAGGTATAAATAAAACTGTAGCCCTCTTTCTCAAAGAGAAATAAGATGGATAGCTGAATGAGCAGTAATTATAATCATAATTGACCCAACATGCGGATTCCGGCTTTCTTATCCCTCCTTCTCGCATCACGGGTGTATAGCTATGTCGTCAATGACGGCACAACCTGTGAGATTTACCCGGAAGCACTCACCTACAACGGCCAGGCCGTTGACGACGCTCCCTCAATCCACCAAGCCTTCGACCTCTGCGGCACAAACGGGACTGTGGTGTTCACCAACCACACATTCCACATTAACTCGGTTCTCAACACCACGAATCTCGTCAACTGCGACGTCTCTCTGCGCGGCGAGCTCCGCTTCTCTACAAACATCCCTTACTGGCGCTCCCACGTCTTCTCCGTCATCTACCAGAACCAATCCACCGCCTGGCTCTTTGGCGGCACGAACGTGACTCTGCGCGGTGAAGGCGGGTGGATCAATGGCAACGGGCAAACATGGTATACTGAAAACAAAAACCAGGCGAACCAGCCCGGCCGGCCGATTAGCATTACATTTTTCAACTCGACGAATTTGCTAGCTGATGGATTAACGATCATCCAGCCGCAGTTCTGGGCGACGTTTGTCTGGGAGAGTAAGAACGTCTCGTTGACGAATTTCTTCGTCAATGCTACTAGCGATGATCAGTGGGATACGACGAACACGGATGGATACGATTCCTGGCGCAGCGATACATTACTCGTTGAAAACGCAACTATCACCAACGGCGACGACTGTATTGCTGCAAAGGGGAATACCACCAACCTGCTCGTCCGCAACGTAACCTGCTATGGGTCAGCTGGCATGACGATTGGATCGATCGGGCAATACCCCGACTGGCCAGACTACGTGCAGAACGTGACCTTCGACAACATCCACTGCGTGAACAGCGGCGAGGGTGCATACATCAAGACCTGGCAGGGAGTACCCGTAACCGATGACTCCAATGGCGATGTTGGCGGCGGCGGCGGCGGACTCGTTAAGAACGTGACATTCAGCAACATCCACATGGAGAACGTCGCTCTCCCGATCCAGATCTCGCAGTGTATCTACTCCGAGGCCGACGGGAAGTACTGCAACACGTCGAAGCTGCAGATTGAGGATGTGGCGTGGGTGAATGTGACGGGCACGTCGCGGTACAATATCGCGGCGAGCTTGTATTGCTCGAGTGCGGTGCCGTGTCCGGGCGTGACGTTTGACAATGTCAGTTTTGAGTCGGTCAATCATACGCTGGGTTTGCCCATGTGGAATACTACCTTGCAGGATGAGGTGTATCAGTGTGGGAATATTGTTGGCCAGAATAGCTCCGGCATCCCGTGTAATCGTGTCGCGCCGGATAATTTCTCGCAGGGGGTGACGCATAATGTGCAGTGATGGTGTTCCTTTAATATGGGTGGTAGAGTCTAAACCTAGGAATTTGGAGTGTTCTTCTGGCAGGTTCGTCAACAGCGTATTCATTTTGATATAATTATCCCTTTTTTCAAGATTAATTAAAATCTTGTTTGGCAACCCTACATTCCGTATGAAGATAGTCCAGACCTGTCAAAGGGTCCAAGAAAACACACCATTAGACTAATCGCCCGCTAATACGAATCCGAAAATTTACTGACTTACAATGGACTATAGGGAGATGACAGCTTTTTCAGCCTCAGTCCCTTTACTACCTACCTGAACCTTCACCACTCTAAATTAGATAAGCAAGTAAACTTAATTAACTGGTTAATTAACTTTAAAGCCTCTAAAATCTTAATATTATTATATTCTTATTTTATTATCTATTAATGTGAGATGGTTGTTTGAAAAACAGACAAGCGTTGGAGTTACTAGCTGAACATAAGGTTCAGATAGATACAGACTAAATGCTGACCTATATTATACATAGCCACAGGTGTGGAATATATAGGTATCTTTACTAATTAGAGCCTTGGTAGGCCTTCTGTAAGGCCTTTTAAAAATACTATATATGCGCTAAAGGGTTATGGACCTCTCTTAATATATAGAACCTTATAATTATGTATATTACATTTACTCTGAAACAGTAAGCGTCCTTAAGAGCTTTCTCTTAAAAAGTGGTATCTTATATATATTTTAATATTATAATGTTATAATCTAATATAAACTTGTTGCTACCTCCCTATAGTCCACCGTACTAACTACTGTCTACTAGCTAAGTTGGGCCACTATGTATGTACAAGTTGTTTCGCAGCTCATATAACTAATCCTCAAGAGCAACTGGTGCTATTGCCATTCAATCTATATACTTCAAGATACAAACTACCACGTTCCAAGCTGTTCCAAGTTAGCAACACATTAAACCGTAAACCTATATATGTAGACAGAGAAATCTCACGTTTGTAGCCACAAGTGCCACCGTCTTGTTTTCCCACTTGTCCCATCCCTTAATACAGGAACCGATGCCATCACTGTCTGCGATCAAGCTATGACCCTTGCAGTCAGGGTCCCCGTAAGCAATGGGGATGATTGGGTATTCTGCATAATTGCTAATCGAGAGAATGGGTGCAGATATATTCACATTGAAAGGTACACAAGTTTCGTCGTTGGGGACATCCAAACTAATATCTTGGAGCTTGTTTCCGCAGTCAAGGTCGCTGTATAGGGTGATCTTATAAGCGAAGGCGTTGGTACCGAGGATGAGGGCGGCAATGGCGGTGAAAAGATGCATGTTGGATGGTTTAAAACAAGAAATAAATGATATATTGTTTGTTGAATTTATTACTTGGCTCCAAGAATTAAGTCTTTCCTGGCCCAGTGTTGAATATTTATCCTACCCCCTCCGCGTAAATGCACGGGTAAGCGAAATTAAGTGATCTGCAGTTGGTCAGTCGGAGAATAGCTGACACTGCATAATGTGACATTGCGATAAGACACGTTAGAAACAGCTCGAATCAGCTTCTGCCATGGCAAATAGTAGTTAGGTGAGAAGCTTAAAGTATTCATTATGTAATTAAGGGAATTGATGCGAACACCCCCCCTCTATCCTAATCCGGTCACAGACCCGAAATCAGATTTCCTAGGATATACTATTCCAGCTTTCTCGTTTTAGTTTTAGAGATTTTAATGTTTTGTGTCCCACATTTTCCGAATTCGGGCCCTATGTTGTCATTTTCCACGGTCGGAATCGATGACGAACACGAAACCGATAGGCAAAACTTCGAGATGTTATTACAAGGTGATACTGGTCAAGACAGAGAGATGCCGGGGAACCAGACCGAGGTTGAGGAAGTTGTGACGTGTCACAATCAATCGCAAATCTATAATTCCGAATTGTTGATAAACATATACGCATCTCCACTTGATTAAACTGTGTCCGATGAGGACTTGACAGACTCACATGCCAACGAAATCGTCAGAAATGTCCTTATAGGGGCTGCTGAAGACATTCTATCTAGTGAAGGTAGATTTTCCCACCTTTTTGCAAATCATCTACGTAGCGGAGAAGGACAATTGCAAATAAAACATGAAAAATCAAATGGATATATGGATTAAGGCGATGGGGGGGTCTAAAAGCTTTGAACAAGGAACTTATCGCTTTAATCTGGATGTCCTCAGAGTTTGGCTCTGAAGACGTATTCAAAGACTGCACGGCCATCTCTCAAAAAACAACAAAGGGGCATATCTCAACGGAAAACGCATATAAAGTTCCGTTGTCAAGTCATATTTTGGATAAGAAATGAATTCCTACGTCGGATAAGGTAATGCGGACTAATCAATCTTGCTGTTTCAGGTAAAATTCAAAACATAAGGATGAAAGCGTTGTCAGATATGAAAATTTCCTACGAGCGACTATGGATGATGAGTGTCAACGTCGGAACGGAGCATTCAACAGATATTGTGTTGATAAGCAAGTATATGAACTTTACACCTTAGCCAAAATTCCATTGTTAGAAGGCCTAATAGAGGCCTTTATCTATGGGTTTTAGCTCAAAGAGAGCCAAAGATGGGGCATAATTTGTGATATGAGCCAATTTTGAGAAGTAGACTACATTTGGCTTAGTTTCAGTGATGTTTGCTCGAGTAGGAAAACATGATCGATATTGGGAAGTGGGGAGTCTGCACTGCCTTTCTATTGGGGAGTTTGCCACACGCTGTGTAAGGTATTCTCAACCTATTATCAGACATTTCTACCGTCTATGGCTCGGCTAGATATTATACTTCTGCTACAGGTTTCCGTATTGGTCCCACTACTATAAAAGGCCATGTTAACGATGTTATCTAACAGTTTCAGGCAGAAAAGTAGGGTTTGAATCTTTCACCTTTCTAATGTTGATAACAGTCTAATAATGAGACGGCCTAGTTACATTGATATTTTGGAGCGTGGAGCACGTGGCCTCGCCAATATATTTACACTGTTGATAATTTGATATATACTGTTCTGTAGTTTTCCCTTCTCTTCCTGTCCTAGCAATTCTTGCGTCTTGCTATCTACATGTAGATAAATGAACTCATATTGATATATCGAATCCTTACTTGATTGAACAAATCCTCACAAATAAGCGCACGAAAGAGACTTGAAGAATTACTGGTTTACATTTATTGCTATATTGGACTGTTTTCCTCATTATTTCAGACTAAAGTACACTTAACTAGGTGATAATAGTTAGGTCTATCTCCTATAGAAATCCCTATCTGGAAATCACTCACAACGAAATGTAACCGAATTGATGGCATAGCTTATATCTGAATCACTCCCTGACTCTTTCTCAAGATCGTAGACTGCTAACTGTCGAGGGATATCACGAGCCGTGGTAGGATTGGCTAGAACTACATTTCTATTCAATAGGTGGCCATATACCGTGTCTTTGATAGGTTGTGAACCGCTGTTGAGGCCGGATGAGATTGAAGTCCGCATCTGTTCCTACCAATGTTTATTTCGAAGAAACATCCAGCTCCATTGCACTTTACTATCCCATATAAGAAATTCTTCTGTCTTGACACCCCCATCAACTGCTTTTCTTAAACAAAGCAGGCCTCACAGTAAACACTTATAACTTCAATCCTAACTAGGCATCCGCTTCCTTATTCTGGGGGTGGACCTCAATATGCCTGAGTTCAGGAATAGGATACCCGTTACTAGTTTGAATGTAGGCCAGATTGACACAATAGCTTCTTTAAGTTCCTCACCATTCACAGGGGAAGTTTCAACTCTACATCAAATTACTCAGCCTCAGTCTCGAAATGATTTTGATACTGATAAACATACATAGCCATAACAAATGATGTAGTTACTCGTGAAGCAGCCTCAATCTGACCTTTAGTGAAAGAGCCACCGAGGTTTTCCATTGCTGCTTTGATCACATCAAACAGGAGGCTCCTGCTATTGAAGTGTGAGTATATCTGGGTATAATCTTGACAATACTTACTCATCGCCAGAATGTCCAAATTCAGGACCAGCAGCGTCGGGACGGATCAGAATAAACAAATCAAGAGAGATTAAATTCTATTCTATTATGGTGGGAAGGACCTACAAATTTAGACTATTGTATGTTAGCATTAGGATGTAATATTGTGCTTCTCAGTGGAACTTACCATTTGGAGTAAGTTATGATAAACCAATGAATTCAATAGGCAATGGAAAATAGAGATATAAAAGATTAGAGAATGATGAAAAGCTTGTTCAAACTTGGATGAAGTTATCAGATTTTATATATGTGCTGTTCAAGTTCAGCTGACCTGCGTGAGGTTTTCGGCCTAGTTTCAGCTGAGAATGATGTTGATCAGAAACACAGTCTACCGACTTCTATCCTTGCAAAATAGATTTTTAAATATGATTATTTTATAGCCCATCAATTCAAGAAGGATTATATGAAATCAGAATCATTTCTTTAAAAATGCAATAATTCCTCGATACCACAACACCTACTAAGCTGAACACAAATTACTAGGTATGAGTACTTTCATTGATCGAGGGGTAGTCGACAATATCTGAGTGGTGCGGGGCTCCTCAGCGCTAGGAAGCACGGCTGTTCCCGGCGCTAATGCGGGGTCCTGGGCCGAGATTGACATTTCCGTTGCCGTCCGTCAGGCGTAAGGGTCGTTCTGTCCAATACCGTTAAGGGTGCTAGCAGCATTGTCTCACTGTGGGTGGGTAGTAAGGTAGGTAGGTTCGAAATTACTGGCAGAAAAAGGATGCATCGGTCAAGCTGGCCCTCACCTATGGCGTCGGTGGCAATCAATTCAATCATTTCATTTGCCCGCTGGGTTGAGAAAAGGTCATTGTGTGAATGCCTGATAATAGTGAAATACGGCTATAGAGTCCTCGTACCTTTTACGTTTTACATACAGGACGCGGAAAATAGGACGACAAACGACGAGCTACAGAAAAATAAACTCAAAGTTAAATGGTGGTTGTGTTACCAAGAGGAAACGGTAGTGCCTGTCAGATTAAGATCGAATAATTATTATCAAATAGCGTGACGAACCACGTACATTTCCATGTGATAATCCGAGTTCGTTTATGCACATTGGTATTAGGAGCTAAGATTTGCCAGGGAAAATGTTGATCCGCAAATCGACTGCTACTGATAAGGTTGTCAAAGTCGAGGGAGGACATTGGCACCAATAGTTTGATGATTACCCCACAGTTGTGATAGGGACTTGCGAGAGGGGCTGTTCCCCTGTCAGGGAGAGCAATATCTCTAGTGATTTAAATATCTTGTATCTTGCAAATATCGGAAATCTTGATTGATAGTTCCTTAACAACTGTTCCTAAAAAGAGAATTTGAGACTCAGGACTTTGCCTAACTTCAAAACATGAACACAATACTACAAATCATCGCTACTCTTTTATTGATTCCCCTCTACTACTATTACTTTAGTAAGAAGAATGCTCCTAGCCTCCCGCCTGGACCGAAACCACTTCCCATTATTGGTAATATTGCGGACCTCCCTCCAAAGGGGGTTCCGGAATACCAGCACTGGCTCCGTTTCAAAGATAAATACGGTCCCATCAGCTCTGTCACTGTGCTTGGCACACGACTCATCATAATCCATGACAATAAGATAGCACATGATCTTTTAGAGAAGACATCGACAAAAACCTCGGGGCGGCCAATATTTCACTTTGCGGGTGCCTTATGCAAGTTTGACGAGTTAGTATCCTTCATGCAATATAATGCTACCTTCCGTCAACATCGTAAGTTGATACACCAGCACTTGGGTACAAAGTCGGGTGTCGCGCGATTTCGAGGCGTTCAAGACGTGGAGTCACGCCAGTTTCTCCTCCGAGTTCTGGATGATCCCGACAGCTTAATACAACATATTAAGACGTCAGTCCACCCCACAATGTAGTGGCGGAATGTATTCTTTACTAAATAGTTGGCTATAGTGAGGCGAGCGCGATCATCCTACAGATAGTATACGGTTACTCCATTGAACCGCGAGCACCCGATCCTTTGGTTCTCTTAATTGAGCGCATGATGCATAATGTCTCGCTTGCGTTCATTCCTCTACGGTGGCCCGTCGACTTTCTTCCCATTCTCAAATATCTTCCAGAAAGGTTACCGGGTATGTCATTCAAATCTACTGCCCGAAAATGGAAGAAGATTAATCGCATGGTAATCGATATCCCATATGCGTTTGTTCGACAGCAAATGGCCAAGGGAATCAATCGGCCATCATATGTTGCTTCAAACCTCGAACCAGGTAACAATGCCCTCGATGAGAATAGCACCATGAATGAAGACCACGAAAATGCCATCAAGACAACAGCCGCAATCATGTACGCAGGAGGTGCCGACACCACTGTGTCAGCCATTTGTAGTCTTGTTCTAGCTATGATGTTATTCCCAGAAGTCCAACGGAAGGCACAGCAGGAAATTGACGCCGTGGTCGGTATGAATAGACTGCCTCGGTTTGAAGATCGGGAAAATTTGACTTATGTCAATGCCTTGGTGAAGGAAACACTCCGGTGGCTCCCCGTAACTCCAACCGGGGTAGCTCACGTGGCTGACGAAGAAATAATCTGTGCCGGGTTTCGAATTCCAAAGGGAGCCAATTTGCTTCCTGCAGTCTGGTGGTTCTTGCATGATCCATCGACCTATTCAGATCCATACACTTTTGATCCTGATAGGTACTTGGAGCCGCGCAATGAGCCCAACCCAGCAAACGAGGCTTTTGGATATGGCCGTAGAATTTGCCCCGGGCGGCATTTGGCTGATGAAAGCCTTTTCCTAACCGTCTCCCGTCTGTTAGCATCTTTCAACATCACCAAGGCCGTCGACGAGCAGGGCAAGGAGATTGAACCGGAGGTGAAGCCAACACCTGGCTTGATTTCCCGCCCACTCGAATTTCCCTACGACATCAAGCCCCGGAGTGCCAAGCATATAGATCTCATAAGATCCGTTGGGGTAGAGAACCCTTTGAAAGGAGGCGACGCCGGACTTCTCACGGAGGACTTTACTAATGAATGCACTAGAATTCTGAAAGAGTCTGGATGGTGAAATGCCATAAATGGTCCGCCCGCCCAATTTAGTTCGTCTATTTTCAAAACCTTCTTTGTCACAACACCACTTATGCAAATTTAGTGACATTTATTTAATTTAATGCCCATAGAAGACTAGGTCTATCTATAATAAGGCTCAAATCTGACAATTCGCGTGATTTAAAGTGGCATTGCAATGCTCTGAGGCCTCTCAGCACCTTAATCTTAACAAACAAATATTGTATATTATAAACTTAATTATCTAATCAATAGCCTTATATAAGTTGATGTAGCTATTGATCAAGCGTACAGAGAGATGCAAAACCTCCTCACATCGAATACTCTCTTGATTATTTTGTCCCACAGCCAAGACGCCCTACTTCCCTACTTGGTCTCAGTAATTTTCAGTTTTTCACTAAAATCGGTTTGTATTGTTTATGACATATTTCATTAAAAGTTTAAATTTTAAATGGGTTCATTGCTTCTCTACTTTAGATATCTCTTAACGGATGAAAACAGAAACAGCAGCTATGAGATCGATGTTGGCGAACGCTGCTAAAAAAGGTATATGAAATGAGTTGTCTGAGTAATATTGATAACTTTATGGAAATTAAATATCGACATACCGGATAGATTAATACTATGTCGAAATATCAGGCATCTAGTCTCTGCGTATCACGTATCTTGTAAGGAATCTTCGCCTTTCTACAGATTAATAAAGGCAGAATATGCTTTCCCGTTCCTGATTGCAAAACATCTGATGGTTTTATCGAAGAGAATACAAGTTCGAATCCGTTTGTTAAAATCAATGATTGAACGGATTCAGGGTTGCGATTTAAAAAAGAAGTAATTGTCGATAATAATGGAGTAAAGTCGACTTGCTAGTGTATCTCACCTATTCAAAAATGTATTTTATCATCTTCTTATAATAAACTCATTAATAAACTGACGAGGCTGTTAATTTTTAAAATCACAGTTATACATCATTACTGTTCTATACGTTTTAGACTCATACTCCCAATAAAAACGCAAATTATCCTTAGGATGATTTTACCCAACTAATTTGAGAATCTGTTTAATTGTATGAATTTAGTTCAAAAACTTAAGAGTTTGAAGTAACCCTAGACAAAGACTACTCATAACTTAAGTTGTTAGCCTACAAAATGCTTGATGTACCGAGTTATGGTGAAGGCCAGCTATCGACCCAGTAATCTAGAGTGATTGATAAACTATTGGGATTTGTGATCGATTAAACAAAATACAGAATCAATGTCAACATCCAGTAGCTATTTAAGAATCACCATCAAAAATCCATCATATCCCTTTTCTCCTTCTGTCTGTATCACAACGGCATCATCAACTCTCTCGTTGTATTTCATAGCCTCTATCAACTCTCTAGTGCCAATAACTTTACCATCGTTTTGACAGGCGGATTCATCGACAACCAGACCTCCTCGGACCACGTTGTCTACAATGACTAAAGCCCCTGGTTTTGCCATTCTGGCGGCGTAGTTGAAATAAGCCAGATTGTTCTGTTTATCGGCGTCGATAAAGATAAAATCAAAATGTGGGCGAGAGGAAGATTGGATCTCGGATAATAGTCCAGGAAGAACTTCTATCGCATTACCAAGGATAAGATTAATCCTGCTGGAAACGCTCGACTCTGTGAGCGAGACATTCTCCTGTGCGATCGAGTACGTATGAGGGTCGATCTCAATACTCGTGATCTTGGTGTCCGGGGATGCTGCTGTAAACCAGACAGTTGAGTAAGCCCCTAAAGTACCAACTTCGAGGATATTTTCAGCTTGCGCTAGTCGGGCCTGCAATGCGAGGAACTTCCCTTGTGCAGGGGAGACGGAGATGTCATCAAGACCTCTTTCAAGGGAGTTGTCGTGTATCCGCTGGAGAATATCGTATGGTGCTGTTCCTTTCAGCATGAGGTGAGAGTTCATATAAGTGTCGACTTTAGCTGGCAGTGTTACACCCATGATGCTTATATATTGAGGCTATCGGGTCTTGCGTCTCAAGGGCTAAATATAGCAGACAGGGGGGTTTTAATACTATGTCAACTAGAAATTAAGTCTGCTTTATATCCTGGTGTTTCTCGTATTAAAGCACGAAGGGAGGGTTTCACCGGCACACCGGAATGTGGATTATGACCCGAAAGAGATATAGTCAATTGATATAAATGAGTCATATTTGGGTTATCTCGGACCAGCCACTCTTGTAACGAGAAGTTACGAAACACGCCCTAGCAATAGGTAAAATGCAAGAACTACTATAATTATACCAAGCTTATAGCTAAGTGCCCTCGCAGTGGGGGAGAAATAATAAGAGCAAGTTTCGAATCTCTCTGTACCTTTTCAACAGAAGAAAGCGAGGGTCATCAAGAAGTGATTCAATGTTGTCCATTTCAAGTGCTGGCTTGACGACTTGTAATTATCAATAGATGTATAGATAGACTATTAATAGGTTGATCACTATACTCCCATGGAACAATCCCATGCCTTCCAACCAACTTCCTGGCCTGTTCATCCTTCTCCCCTTTGACTACCGATACAACCAGCTGTCCGCCCATCTCTGGCTATACGGCACCAATTTTCCTCAACGCATCTCGATCTCCGACAACGTTCGTATCACAAAACCCTGGATCCGTGCCGATAACTTTGATCCCCAGTGGGTTATTATTGTACCGAACTAGTAACATGTTCACCACAGCCTTAGTAACGCGATACTCCACTGCCAACTCGCCGTCAAAAGGAAACGTTGGATCGGCATTTAGACTAAGAGAGTCGTCTCTGGTCGAGGGAGGGCAGTTCTTTGTCCATACCAGCTCTTTGGCTAACAGCAACAAACCTTGACATCACTGCTCCTGCAAATCGGAGATCTTCGGCGGCTCAATGTTCTTCGATATTAGTCGGAATGCTAAAAAACAGTGGATATTCCAGACTCTCTTTTTCCAAACATCATAATATCGATCGATCACATACATTTTCGAGCAACTGTCATTTTCAGAAATCAAGAAAATAATTACAGCAGAAGAGTTTCTATTTCATCAGCGACCATCTTAGAAGAGTCCATGCACACATCAACATTGAATGTTCACAATCTTCAATGTTGTTATGGTTAAGATAAAGTGAGAATTGAAAATCATCAATTATGCATATGCGGTTACTATTTATGCATTCGCCACTGAGCAGGCTGTTCCTGCTAATTAATGACCCTACCAGGCAGCTGTTCAATGCTATCATTGTAGAATATAGATCTCGGAGAAAGCAGGGAGCTGAGCATATAACAAAGCCACTTTTGTCATATAGACTGAGACGAACACAGAACACATTAATTATTCTTTACTGGTCCTATAAGTTACACCTTTACCACTAGGCAAAGTTTCTAATAACACATATGTATCATTACATAACATGCATTGATATGCAACGGTATCTAGTTACCTAGGTTGTAGAGTTTCTAAGGCTTTGTCTACAAGAACTTCGAGAAACGTAAGCTTCTTTTAAGCGAGTTTATTAGATTTGGTGGAGTTTCACTTACGGTTTATGGTAGCGAGGCAGTGGCACGATGGCTAATTCAAGGCTAGGACGTGCCAACTATGCAAAGATTTCTTGAGTCACCTGTAAATCACCCGCTAATAGTAATTGGTGAGCTAGTCAAATCCGGCCAACCGCTTTTCAAGTGATGTCAGCGGAGCTTCAGCATGAACAAAGAAAACAAAGAATGTGTTTATGAGTTTGGAATGAAAGTGAAGATGAAAGCCGCAACAGGGTAACATGTGCCAGCTTCCCTACAAGTGGTTCATACAGTATCAACTACTTATCAGGTTTCTTGTCAGCTCGCGAAACAGCCCTAGGCGGGAGCATTTCCATCGCCGACACTCTAGGTCTGGTTGTTTATGCTTTCAATTTCAATCGCCATGCATTCAGCAACATACGTAACCATTGTCGGACTGCTAATAGGCGTGTATATTGTCACGCGGCGCAAATTAGCTTCTTCTTTACCCCTGCCGCCGGGCCCCAAGCCGATGCCGATAATTGGCAATATCCACCAAGCTCCCAAGTCCCATGGCTGGAGGACGTATCGCGAATGGAGCAAGAAGTATGGGCCCATCGTTCACGTCAACATGCTTGGACAGCCCATCATCATTTTGTCTACATCTGAAGTAGCCCACGACCTCCTGGCGAAGCGTGGAGCCATATTTTCAGACCGACCTCATCTTTTTGTAAGACTCTACTCTCCTCGTCTTGTACGTGCAACATGAGCTAATCCTAACTGCAGTTGGCGACGGAGTTGGCCTTGAAAGGACTCAGCATCATCATGATGAATTATACCGTGCAATTCAGACAACATCAGAGGCTACAGTTCTCAGTGTTAAACGCGACGCCGGCGGCCGCTTATCTCCCCTTGCAGACTCTGGAATCGCAGCAATTGATGAACGATCTCCTGAAAAGTGCAGGCGGCGCTGGCGTTGATGTTCGAGGACATTTTCAGCGCGCAGTCGCTAGCATCATCCATACGTTGCTGTATGGCTTCCGTGTCAAAAACTATAACGACCCGATGCTTCGCGCCGTTGTTAAACTCAACGATGAGTTCTCCGAGTTTGTCCAGGTTGGCGCGCACATTGTTGACCAGTTCCCTGTGCTTAATAATCTGCCCAGCTTCTTGGCCCCATGGCAGGCAAAGGCTGAAAATCACTACACCACCAAATATGATCTGCGCGACGAAAACTTTCGGCGGGGCCTGGAGTCGGACGCCTGGAATATATCAAAGCATCTCAGGAAGACTGTCAAAAAGGATGGCCTCGATATGCCCTTGGGCGAACTAGCGTTTGAGCTTGGTACTATGATCGACGCCGCGCTGGATGGCGTTACAGACACCTTGATCTGGTTTGTGATGGCTTGCATCACAGAAGGCCGGGGCTTCGTCGCCAAGGCGCGTGAGGAGCTGGATGCCGTTGTCGGGCGCGATCGACTCCCAGTCCCAGATGACAAGCCCAACCTGCCGTACGTCACCGCCGTTGTCGAAGAGATATTCCGTTGGCGGCCTGTTGGCCCCGAGGGCGTCCCTCACTTAAACAAGGAGGAGACTACCTACAATGGATATATCATTCCAAAGGGATCTGTTATTGTGGCCAACGTTTGGACAATCTCTCGGGAAGAGGCCCTGTTCGGGCCGGACCCTGACGATTTTATACCAGATCGCTGGCTCGAGGAGGACGGCAAGACGTTCAAAGCCCTCCCCCCTGCCGTCTTCGGCTATGGAAGGCGGATCTGCCCTGGTCGGTATTTCGCCCGCAATGTTATCTGGATCGTCGTCGCCCATCTGTTATGGTCATTCGACATCAATGCTGGCTTGTGTGAGGAGACAGGCGAGCCTATTCTCGTTAACCCCATTGCATGCACCTACGGTCTGGTTATGCGGGCCCTGCCTTTCAAGGCTTCATTTAACCCTCGTGGGCCTTGGGTAAGTGAAGTGATAGCCAGAGATGGTGACACTTATAGCAAGGATCATAGGGCCATGCTCAACCAAATTGGGACAGAGTTCGCTAAGCTGTAGCCAGTCCTCTTACCTTTATCTCTCTCTCATTATACACACATGTGCAATTACCTACAAAGGGGTAGACTACTAGCAATGAGCTTCGTGACGATGCGAATATGGCGAAATCTAATGTAGTTTCATGAACGTCTCGGCTAATGCACAAATATTCTACCTTGAACTCTCTATTACATGATAAGATAATGGCTAAATCGCATCTTCTCAGTGATGAGAAAGACCATCGAGTGGAGATCTCCCCGGTTCAAGTGGAATAAAACCTTGTGAGTTGCAATTGCCAACAATATACTCACTAGATATCTTAGGCAGAAGGGTGTGGGCTAAGTAAGAGGATTTTGATCTAAACATAGATTCTACGTAATCTACCGTTATTCACCTAATGTTTGTAACACTGGCATTAGCATTAGTAGTAAATATAAATACCACGTACCTACCGTGAAGCCCAGGAATGTGCCTGGTTTCGCCTCGGCCAAAGTATGAATCGCGCATGTCGAGACGATTAATTATGAACTTAACGAGATTCCCAATATGTTGTACAACAACTCATGGACATGTTTCCTATCAGCGTATTATCCAGTATACTTACTATACGGCAACTCTAGTACAATATTCAAGGACTCTCAAGATGGTTCCTTGTCGTCCTACAGCGATAACAGACCTCTACTGTGTTGATATTGCTAGAAGTCATGTTCCTAAGATCGACTGGTGGAAGCACGTTTCTTCTGGGCATAACTTATCTCATCTCGATCTGCTGAAACACTGCGGTGGCCTGGCTCAATTCTAGCTCGAGTGCGGGTATTGGCTGGTGAAAGGGTAGATGATAGATCTGATGGTGCTTAAAGGATGCGATATGGCCTTTACATCTGACCTTTCGCCGATATACAAACGCTGTTTATTACATTAAATATACTCAATGCTGATAGGTTAAGATAAGGTGAGAATTGACATTACGCGTATGCGGTTACTATTTATATCCGTTCAGCCACGAGGCAAGTATGCACTCCCCACTGAGCAGGCAACCACTTAATTGATGACTCCGCCCAGGCAGTAACATTAAATTCAACGTTATGATTATAAGTAGGGTAATACCTTTAATACCAGACCCAATCAGTCGATGTTATTTAATGTTGCGGTGTGTTTGTTCCCATGACGTCAGCAGAAGGGAGAAAATTATATAGAACATACCACCCTACTTTAATTTCAGCGATTGAATAACTTTATAATAATATAATATTACGGGATATTACCTTAAAAGGCTTAAATATATAATATAATATTATTATTAATAGTACAGGGCAGTGGTGAATAGAATAGAGGAATACCAGTGGGGGCCCATGTGACGCGCACGGCTGATTGGCTCGGTGCGCCCACCGAAAACGTCACTGGCGTCTTCTCACAGGCTGACCGATTCCCACAGCCTCAACGCCTCAGTCTAGCTGGCCCGCCACTACCACGCAACCGTCCCCAGCCCTGGACCAGAGTCTGAGAGCGAGGGTCTAAGAGGCCAGAGTCTGAAACCCCAGACCCTAAGGAAAGCCTAAGGAAAGTATCGACATTGCGCTCGGTGGCTCTGCTTTGGCCACGCATTCGACCATATCTTGCATCCAGGTGGCAGCACCCGCCTCTTTCTTCAATTCTCGTCTAATCACTCTGCTTGCGTCTGTCGTTCCCACGCTTGCTTTGCTATTGCTCTCGTTTATATCGATACCCCTGTTTTCCTTGTAAATATTCTTTTGATTTATCTGTGTATATTGTCTTTCTGCCAGCGACGTCCCCAGGCTTCGCAAAAATTCACCGTTAGCGACGACGAAACGAACCTACTCCCGACGTTGGTCCATGAATATCGCCTGACTCGACGGCATTCGAAGATTGTGTACTATGAATGAGCGATAGATATTGTAGTCAACGGACAGATATTTGGGCCGGGCAAGAATAGCGTGCACGAAATGACAGGAGGAGATCAGCCTGCGAAACCAGCCGGCCAAGAGACGAGCGATTCTCGTCGACCGTCGACAAATGACGACGAAATAATCCCAGTCGGCCACCAGGCAGGTGCGCCGAGGCGAGTGTTAAGCTTACCATCAGAGGGTGCTGCCGATGCAGCAGCCATCGACCGATCAACTCATGCTCGAGTGCGGTTTTCATCCGATCTAGATCACGTTTACGACAGCAGATATGCGCCCAGCCAAACCCCAGCCGTCCCAGTCATCCCAGCAACTACGGAAAAGCGACATGGCACGCCGGGGCTCACAATCAATACAGCCGTTGCCGCCTCCCATAACCCCGTCTCGTCAGGTAATCCGAGTAGTGATGCGAAATCAATATCGCCAATCTCGCCTCCTTCGCCGCAATCGCGAACCCGGAATCGCGGCTACTCGCTTCGACGAAGTCTCTTCACAAAGACCATCCAGACTCAAACCACCCCGGACACGGAACAAAGTATCGAGCTCGAAGTGCGGCCAGACATAAAGTCGTCGGCCACGCAGGAGAAGATTGCGGTTACACAGCATGAATTACAGCCTTCCATGCAGCGGATCCGAACGCTGGACTCGGATTCGCAGGATGATTGGATGTCCGTGGCGTATTCAGATTCAACACCCCTGAAATATACTGCGTCGTTGATCGCTGGTCAGAATTGGCTGCTTTCAACAGCTACAAACTCTAAAGCCTGTGTACGTTTTATGCAGTGGAAAGAAACGATACGAAAGACCGTATTCCGGATTAAAGAAATCCCTCCAACAAAAGATGGCCGTCATATAGAGCTCAATGTGAGCTGTGTTGATGCGCTCATCGACGAGAGGACTGGTAAACCGTATGTCGACAATTCTATTCGCTCGAGTCGATATAGCCTCTGGAGTTTCTTCCCCAAACAGCTGGTTGCGCAGTTTTCCAAGGTGGCCAACTTTTACTTTCTTGTTGTGTCAATCCTTCAAATGATTCCTGGACTGAGCACGACGGGAACTTTCACGACTTTAATTCCTCTTATGATTTTTGTTGGTATTTCTATGGGTAAAGAAGGTTTTGATGATTTACGTCGATATCGATTAGATAAAGAAGAAAACAACCGATATGTGCATGTGTTACGACCGGATGGGAGACAAGAACAGGACCCAAAAGCAGGTTCAAAGGACGGTGCTTCTGTCATGGCCAATGATGAGAATTGGGTGGCAGTCAAATGGCAGGGTATTCGAGTTGGTGATGTGATCCGACTCAAGCGCAACGAACCAGTCCCCGCCGATGTTGTTTTACTGCACGCACATGGACAGGATGGGATTGCTCATATCGAAACTATGGCTCTCGATGGCGAGACGAACCTCAAAACGAAGCAGGCTTGTCGGACCGTAGCCGCGGTTAGCTCGACCCCTGAAGAAATTATTGCACGACAGCATCCGGTCCGTTTCACGGTCGAGGACCCTAATATCGATCTATACAAATTCGATGGCAATGCAACAGTTGGGGAGGACATGTTACCATTAACTAATAACGAAATCGTCTACAGAGGTAGCATATTACGAAACACTAAGCAAGTATATGCAATGGTCATTTACACGGGCGAAGAGTGCAAAATCCGCATGAATGCGAACAAGAACCCTCGCATCAAAAAGCCTGCCCTGCAGACCGTGGTGAACTATGTAGTCATCATCATTGTCAGCATGGTGATCCTCATTGCGATGATTTGCACAATTGCTTACAGATTCTGGAGCAAACATTACGAGCCTGGCGCATGGTATTTGAAGCATGCGCATGTACCAATTGGTCCGGTTTTCACATCATTCTTAATCATGTTCAACACCTTGATTCCTATCTCTCTTTATGTCAGTATGGAAATTGTCAAGGTGGCTCAGATGCTGTTATTGAATGATATTGATATGTACGACGAGGAGTCTGATACTCCTCTGGAAGCGCGGACATCCACCATTAATGAAGAACTTGGTCAGATCAGCTACATTTTCTCAGACAAGACAGGAACATTGACCAACAATACTATGAAATTTCGAATGATGAGCGTTGCTGGCACAGCCTGGTTGCACGATATCGACCTTCGCGAAGAGGCTGCCCGTGAAGGCGATAAGCATCGATTGATCCACAAGAAACGCAGTATTAAAGGCAAGAAGGCAATGCACCGCAAATCAGGCGTGGAAAGCGTCCGGGCTTCATCTGTACGAATGTCAATGGCATCTGCTCTTCACGATCAACCTACTCGCTCAAAGTCATTTAAGCAAGGAAGGGCGTTTCACGGAGGCAACACTGAGCAAATGCTGGAATACATTCAACGAAAACCTTACACTGTATTTGCCCGAAAAGCCAAGTTTTTCATTTTATCACTAGCTCTTTGCCACGCCTGTATCCCGGAACGCGATGAATCGGGCGAGGTCTCTTTTCAAGCTGCATCGCCGGATGAATTGGCGTTGGTGACGGCAGCCCAACAGCTAGGGTATTTGGTCATGGACCGACAGCCCAATACCTTGACTGTGCGGACATACCCGTCCGGACTGGATGATGATCCACTGGATGAGGTCTACGAGATTCTGGACGTCATTGAATTCACTAGCTCGCGGAAGAGAATGTCTGTGGTTGTCAGGATGCCTGATCAACGCATTTGCCTCTTCTGCAAGGGAGCGGATACAACAATAATGAAGCTTCTTCGTCAAGCTGGGATCGCTCAGGAAAAAGCCACTGAGATTGAGAGACGCGCAAGCAAACGAAAGACGGAAGAAGCCTTTGAAGCTATCAGACGAAATAGCGAGCACCATAGTCCTATATCTGTGCGACGCCCAAGTCTTGTGCAGAGACGGTCTAGTGTTAGGTCTGTGAACCGAAATTCGTTGCGTCGAAGCGTCGACATTTGGCTCAAAGACCGCGAAACAGACGGCGGAAGACTGAACAGAGATAATGACAGCGACCATTATAGTCCTCGTCCATCTACTCACTTCAATCGCAACTCGATGGCTTTCTCCGACGGTCGACCGTCTTTCCAGGAAGATGACGACGCGTATTTGGTTGACGAAAGTCTCGTCGTTGACGACCATGCCATTTTTGAGAGATGTTTCCAGCATTTGAATGACTTTGCCACGGAAGGGTTACGTACGCTGATGTATGCGTCGCGGTTTATTGAGGAGTCGACTTACCAGGAATGGAAGCAAGCGTATCAGGAAGCAACGACTAGCTTGGTCGATAGACAGGAGAAGACTGAAAAGATTGGAGAAGAGATTGAGACGCAGCTTGACCTGATCGGAGCCACTGCTATTGAAGACAAACTCCAGAAAGGAGTGCCAGAGGCGATTGACAAATTAAGGCGTGCCAACATCAAGCTGTGGATGCTCACGGGCGACAAACGCGAGACTGCGATCAACATCGGTCATTCATGTCGTCTAGTCAAAGATTACTCTGAAGTCGTTATTCTAGACCAGGAAGCTGGAAATGTGGGGAGGACGATTGTCAACTTGATTGCAAGCATCCGAAAAGGCAAGATTGCCCATTCGGTGCTGGTAGTCGATGGCCAGACGTTGTCGATGATTGAAACGGACGAGATCTTGATGGCTCGTTTCTTCAAATTAGCAATCATGGTCGATTCGGTGATTTGCTGTCGAGCCAGCCCGAAACAAAAGGCATTCCTCGTGCGATCTGTGCGAAAGCAGGTCATGGACGCAATCACACTTGCTATTGGTGACGGTGCCAATGATATTGCGATGATCCAAGAAGCACACGTTGGTATTGGTATCACGGGCAAGGAAGGGTTGCAAGCTGCAAGAATATCTGACTACTCTATCGCCCAATTCCGATTTTTGCTCAAGTTACTTCTTGTTCACGGCCGTTGGAACTACATCCGAATCTGCAAGTATACCCTTGGAACATTTTGGAAGGAGACCTTGTTCTACCTCACCCAAGCTCTTTATCAGCGGTACAATGGGTATACTGGGACTAGTTTGTACGAGAATTGGTCGCTGAGTATGTTCAATACACTGTTTACATCTTTGGCGGTGATTTTCTTGGGTATTTTTGAGAAGGATCTTGCAGCGTCGACATTGCTGGCTGTTCCTGAGCTTTATACTAAAGGTCAACGCAATGGGGCATTTAGTATACGAATCTATCTAGGATGGGTATCAATGGCTGTCATCGAATCGCTCGTCATCTTCTTCACCATGTACAGCCTCTTCGGACAATCGCTGATGGGGGTAGACAACACCATCTTCCCGATGGGTCTACTAACATTCACCGCATGCGTCACAGTGATCAATCTCAAACTCCAATTCCTCGAAATCCACAACAAAACCATTCTCTCCGGCATCGTACTATTCCTTTCCATCGGCGGGTGGTTCCTCTGGAACATGATCCTATCCACACGCTACAACGACGCGAAATCTGGCAAGAGCATCTACGACGTCCAGGGAAATTTCCTCACCCGCATCGGCCGCAGCCTCGACTTCTGGGCTGTTCTGTTCCTCATCGTCGCCTCTGTGCTTCTCTTCGAAACCATGGTGAGCACGATCCGCGCGATCCTGTTCCCAAACGACGTCGACATTTTCCAAGAACTCGAAAAGGACCCGGCCATCAAACGCCGCTTTGAGGAAGCTGCCGCATCCGAGCTACAGCAAGGCTGGGATCGCGGGAAGAAGCAATCCAGCTTTGAGCTTGAGCGCGAAGAAGCGGAGGAGTCCGCGCGCGAGAAGGAGGTTCATGACTACTTGAACCGGCGACGAGATCAGAAGCCGGATGTGACAGGGGAAGAGGATGGAACCGATATACAAGATACCATGGTTATGAGAACAAACAATGACGACGCGACTGATGAGGAGATGGGCATGATCAGTCCTGGTGGCTCGCGGCGCAAGTCTCACGATATTCACGAATTATTTAGCAAGGGGTTTGGGTCGATTAAGAAGGGGCATTTGTAGTATATACCATGATATCCTTTACGTATATAGAGCATAATTAGATTTTCTTACTCTCTTACCAATTCCGAGTCAGTTGGCTCGACTATCTGGTATGTAGTTTGATGCTAAAACCCAGCAGAACATGAACCATACAATCACAGCGATAGTGAAATGGTTGGCCAGCCCGGCTATCGCCACATGCTTGACTCCTCCGTCGAAGTGAGGGGTGGTCTAGACTCCGATTCCCCCTCACAACAACACGGTTTCACCGACATTTACCGTACGACAGATTGGTCGAGAATCGAGACTATGGAAATAATCACACGAGGAGCGTACGGTACTAGCATGAGGGCGGAGTATTGTAGTATGCTGGACATACCGGGAATAACACCACTACCACTTCCTCCTCCTCCTCCTCCTCCTCTCTCAGTCTGACAGTAACTGCAGTGCCATCGTTCGTTCGCACGTCACACAACACCAGACACACGCACAACGCGATAAGGCCAGCGCCGAAGCCGCGCGAGAGAGCGGCGGCAACACTCCGTGGTCAGCCTCCTGAAACAGCGCCATGGCAGCATCCGGTTAGCCCACGTCGGCAGAACACGCCTCCCGCCCAATCACGGCGCGTTGCACGGTCATCCCCTTTTGACATGCAGCGGTGGTGCCTGGCGCTAGCCGTTCTGGGATGGTTGCTGCAGGGGCTGTTGGTTGCTTGTAGATGGTAGCGTGCTGCATGTAGTTGCATGTAGTCTGGACTGTAGTCTGTGCTCTAGTCACGGTACTATACTTGGCACTGGTTGTCTGGTTGTCTGGTAGTCTGGCTGAGTCTAACGAGATAATTGTGGAAAATGAGAATGAACAAGTCTGGGTCTGAGGTCAGTGGCATGAGCCTGGAGGCGCCACACGCCACACCAACACGATCTCCTTCATCCAGATACTCCTATTTACCGCTAAGTCGGTCTTAGTGGAACTGTCTGAACTCTGAGTGGAAACAGAGCCAGGGGTTCCGGTTCCTGACTTCCTGGCACCCCTGCGCCGCTTGTGCCAATTGCGGTTAAGATTTGCTGCCTCAGTTCGTTGACCAAGTATTAGCCTTGACGTCCTTGACAAATACTGTCATGAGTGTACTTCGTAGTGTGTAGCATGTATTGTGTTAGGTATAGTATGGCACCTACTACTTCGTGATATTCTACTGCTCGCTTAGGTAATGGTATGGTGAGTCCAAGTGTGCATGCCGTGACATGCACGAGCACCAACTATCGAACCCGGAGGTTACCAAATGCCGACGGGCCACTCCGCAGTTTCGAGAACGAGGACACGACAATTCATGTTCAACAGCGTGCATCGTCTTACATGTGATGTGTAGCGTACCGAGCGTCAATAATAGCATTCACTAGACTCCAGTCTCACTCTCCATTCTCCAGTGATGTGCGGTCTCCTGAGAGGGATCCTCGCAGGACGGAGCGCAATGACCAGGTCAAAACGTGGATACTACGTACTTTCGTACTAAGGGCACCGTATTCCAGAAGAATCCCCGTCTCTCGCAGGAACGCGCCTCGATCGAGATGCCGACGAAAAGCGTTAGCCAGGAACACAACGACTAGTTCCAGCGACTAGTCGCCCAGGCTAGGATGCCACTGGCCTAGGCAACGGTCGACGGCAAAGTAATAGGTTCCGCCGTCCGCCACAAGCTTTGTGGATGACATAGCTGCCTTCCTACATTGAAAGAACTATCAGAGGATATTTTGCATAGAGAACATTGGTAGGACCGGCTCCATACTAGGGAGCAAGTAGTCAGTCGTAAGGAGGCAAAATCGTGAGAGGCCTACCGGCTAGACCTGCTCTCTGCGTCAGTGGCGGCCTGATTGGCCGATCGGATCGCGGTGGGCCAGGTACCAGACAGACAGAAACAAGGTACAAGCAGTCTCGTGACCCTCCAAGTATAGCAGTTCTTTAAAAAGTATGGAGTACTCCGTACTTATTCATTATATAGAAGATACTATTGCTGACTAGTGACAGGATGTTCTGCCAGATCGTGACAAATTAATAGTCAGACTATGGCTTTGACGTGGCTCTGGCTCCGGCTCCCCGTGAGCGAACCTTCTGTCTCCACCAGCCGGGATCTCCAGACTCAGCCTCGACCGTGCTGCACACTACACACTCCGGGCCAGGGGCACGGCATCAATGAAGAGTACATTTATCGAGAGGGTATATACAAGTTAATGTATATACTATATATGTGTGAAATATAGCATACGGTACATTGTATGTGCTGTATCCAGGATGTAGACGCAGATAGGGGCCACTCGTCGGGGTGGGCCGCCTACCACGAGACGCCCAGCTGCCTTCCCTGTTTAGGACTAACGCCTACTGTTCTTGCCGCTGCCTGCGCCTGGCTGCACTTGCCCTCGCACCTTGCACGCACCTGCATCTGCGGCACCTGCCTGACCAGCACGGCACCAGCAGCAGCAGCACCTGCCGCAGCCAGCGCCTGCCCTGGCTGCCGCCCAACGGAACGCTCCACGCTCCACCCTCCCCTTCCCAGTCCGCCGGCAGTTCCTGTTTTCTCTCTATCCCTCTCTGTCCGCTGCGTCTCGTTTCTACCACATCGTTACCTTTCTTTCCTTTCGTTTTTTATTCCCCTTATTTTCATGCCCACTGGCCTCCCCGTTCACTCTTTCACGGCGGCCGTACCACTCTTTTCCCCCCCCGACTACCTCGTTTCCCCGGCGCTGCGCCGTCAGCCTCCATACCAGCCGCTGTTTGTTTGTCTGCCACTGACGGCGTCCTCTGCGTCGACCGCGAACCATCCCCGTCATTCCCTATACATACACAGTCTTTTCCCAGTTCAGTCTCGTGAGACTCAATTCGCCTCCCCGGCCTTCCTATTTATCGTGCCCTGTTGAGCTGCCTGGATCAGCTCCTATTTTCCACTTCGTCCCAATACTCTCCAACCCGACTCTTTTTCATCAACAGATCAATTCTATCGATTCTTCTGTCACCACCGAAGTCGGATGCAGCGCCGAGCGCTTTGATTGGAATTTCGAGACACTGGCTACGCATAGTCTGACACGACCGGATTGGATCAACGCAGGAACAGCGTTCGCGCTCCTATTCACTCGACCAACGGGTCTTCATCGTGTCAACCATCAATTTTCACTCCCAGTCTCTCATCAACGGTAACAATTGTAGATTATTTTCGCTATAATGTCTTCGACAGACACTCCCGCCGCCCCGGCGGCCTCTACCTCTGCAACGGCCTCTGCAACTTCAGCTAATTCAACTCCCTCTCCATCCACCACCAGCCCGACTACCTCTGCTCAGAACTCTCGCCGTCCGCAACGCAAGAGCACTCTAACCCAGCAGCAGAAGAACCAAAAACGCCAGCGTGCAACACAGGATCAGTTAGTGACGCTGGAATTGGAATTCAACAAAAACCCGACCCCCACTGCCGCAGTTCGTGAGAGGATTGCCCACGAGATCAACATGACTGAACGATCCGTACAGATCTGGTTCCAAAACAGACGCGCCAAAATCAAGATGATTGCGAAGAAAAGCATCGAAACCGGCGAGGATTGCGACTCGATTCCAGACTCCATGCGCCAGTACCTGGCTATGCAATTCGACCTGAACAAGCCCGGTGCTCGAGATTTGTTTGGACGTGCCAGCGGATTAAGTGGCTATCCCAACAACGGTTTTGTAGGCGATGCTGGCCCCTCTGGAAAGGTTATGATTCATCACTTTACCTGTCGCTCGCTCAGTGTCGGTAGCTGGCGACGAATCGGCCAGAATGCCATGGATCTCGTCATATTCTATTCCCCGGATAAGGCCACCATGACATACTATATCAACAACGATTCGGCTGGATACAAGATCGAATACCCCTTTTCATACATCAAGAACATAACTCTTGAATCTGGCGACTCGCCTCAGAATGCAAACGGTGCTCCCTCGCGACCCGGTGGATTACTAGTCGAACTCATGCGCCCTCCTATGTTTTACATGGATTCTTCTAATTCGGGCGGCTTCTATCAATGCGGTGATTTCACAGAAGATCAGCAAGCTAGTCGGGTTATGGTTCACCATCTCGGCGGTCACCCCAAGGTCCTCAGCGTCCAGCTGGCAAAGCTCGTCTCTCTTGAATCATTCCAGAACCGCCTGAATTTTAACTACGCCGTATCTGCCCCGGTCACGCCACCTCAAGATATTCATCGCCCTGCATCCCAACCGAACCAATTTCCTCTAGCCCAGCTCGGCATGTTCGCTGAACCGCATCTTAGCGTCAACCATATGCCTCGTGGCCACAAGCGTCAGCGCAGTCGCTCTGTTCCACCGCAGGTGGATTTGTCTTACCTGCATACTCCTATGCCTGCATACCAAATCCAGCAGTCAGTATCGCATTTGACACCTAACTCGACTATCTTCGCGCCTATGCCTCAACACAATTCAATTCAGGGATTAAGTAACAATCTTCGCATCGATACGGCGGCTACATACAGTGTTGATCCACGACCATATCCAATGTCTGCCACTGCCTCAGACTACGCCAGTCCCCCATTCTTCTCGACAGCGCCTCCTTCTGAAGCAATTTCCATGGGTGCTAGTGCTGGCAACCAGTTCAGTCTGCCTTATGTTTCACCATCGCCGATGGTTGATCAGTCAAAACTGATGGACCAGCAGCCTTCATCCATGCCTAATGTGACTCATGCTGATCCATACATTGCGGATCATTCCCCTCCCCTTTCTATGCACACCACGGGATCGGGAGAGATGTTCAGTTTTGGTGGTAACCAACAGCAAGGTGTCTCGGAAGATGGGCTGCTACTGAGTGAGATGTATGCGAAACACAACCTTAACAACTTCGCGATGGATAGCTCAAAATTTGATTTTTCCATGCATGGAATGTCGGAACCCCAGACTCACAACATAGCTGGAGACCTAGCTGGTATCCAGCCTTACGAAATGATCGATCCTACTTCGTCATAAGGTCCAAGTTGACCACCCAATGACCAATGAATTTGGGTTCTGGTCGAATAACGTTTGGCGTTTACTTTGGACTGCGTGGCGTTCCGGATGGGCTGTGGTTGGACTTTGTGATATCCTTTATTTATCTTTGACTTTGTTCTTTTCTTCCCCGTCGACTGTTCTCAGTTGATCGAGCTTATCCTGGCACTGGGCGCCTGGATTATTGGGATTTTTATTCGTCATTTATTCTATTCGTGACTGTATACGTTCTGCTACTGCCAGCTCTGTAGTTTTACATCCGTTGTCTCCATATCATTTTGATTGCTTCATATCATTGTGGTTGTTTGTATGGACTTGACTGCGATATTCTATTTATTCTTTTATTCTTTTATTGTTTTTATTTTCTTACTATGGATTTGGATATCTGATAAGCATGTGGGAGCTTTTGTTATTTTGGCATTTCTTATCGGATAGTGTCTTGAACACTTTGTTGGCAGAGTGTTGGTGCAGTTGTGGAGCTACTTTCAAAATAGTATATGATGTTTGCTATAAGCATTGACTAGTGCTTGTAAGTATACGTGTAAACATCACACGATTTCTGATTATTCCTCCTTGCATATCTAATCTTAAGTCTCTATATATGTACTGTAGGGTGATAGTAGTTTGAAAATAGCACCACAACATCAATTGATTTGGAAAGTAGATTGAGTATAGGAACCCTCCCAGTATTCATATTAATAATATTTGAATGTTTTGTATTATCTATGGGCAGGATCCTGAGAAGTATTTTAATCTAATATTAATTAATATAAATATAAATGAAACGTAGAAGTGTTTATACTATATTCAAGATTTTGTCATCCTTCTATTGTTGACAGTGTGGACATACTAGTACATATGGGATTGCCGATACCACCAGTAGACGTGCAGTTTCTACCGAGAGTTTGCTACGTACTCATAATCTCTCACTTGATTACTGTGGATAAAACGAGTGGGTTCGGGGATAAAATAGCGTGTAGATATCTTTAATTTATATAAAGTAGAAAACAGACTGAGCTAACAAAGTATAGAGTTGAGTGTTAGGAGGGGGTCAGTTGGTATAACCTTTGAAACAACCCGTCGACAATTACAGGATCTTCTTACATTCATGATGACTCCAAGTTTGAAGCCGTACGTACACATTAGATTACCGCCAACACGTTCCCTGCCCCCGTCCTATCAATTGTTTCTAATCAGCAGAGCAAACCGAAATTAACATCGAAGCAGTTGATCTGATATAAAATTGCTGAAGGACGCGGCAATATCGATAATACGAGTAAGTTCTCTTCCTTCAAATGCTGAACATCTAATAGACCTCAAGCAATCGTTGTTTGGATGGAATCAGCGAGCCCACCGAACATTGAACATTAAACCTCGAACCCAATTCCGTGCTTGTATATATACTAAAACAGGAATCGTCATACGAAGAAAAAGAGTCATGATCTTCAAAATAGTTCGTAAAATCAAAGAAAGCGGAAAAGCCCAACCATGAGGGGCCCAGGGCAATGTTTGTAGTGAGTTCTGTAACTCGCTTCTGCAAAAGCTTGGCTTTCCCAACGACCTAGTCCGTCATCGTAGATTCAGCTGGAAATGACCAGCACCGAAAGTAGCCATATAAAACGTTCATATTCGGCCGGAATACTCGACGTGAGACGTTCAATTAATACTCAATCTTCTCTGCGACGACCGACATACTTCGAGAAGACAATACTATTGATACACCCGTACCTCACTATGAAGAGAGGATAATAGAGCGTCCTTTGCTCGGGAAAAGACTTCTCAAGTGAATTTTCGCCTTCTTTGCCTCAGGTTGTAGCGATTTTCTGGATGAAGACAGGGAACATCTTGGTGAGGTTGGTTCGATGGTGCGTTTGGCATGGAGATACTGCTTCGCTCGGACCGAGGTTCTGAGTCATCTGAGGTAGCTGGCGAGTTTGCAGGTTCGTCGTGTTGAGGGTTATGCTTAGCTTTCCATTCGGCGAGAGTTCCCACCAGGTAAACAGTGAGTGGATGATCAGGGTCTAATTCTTCGGTGCGAAGTTGAACGCAGTCCTCCATTAAGCGGATGGCCTTGTTGGTTTTGCCAAGTTCTTTCCAGATACACGCAAGATTGATCATGGATATCAAAGTGTTAGGATGCGTAGTTCCAAGTACCTGTTTTCCAGTGTCCAATACTTGCAGTCCTAACTCTTCTGCTTTTTTAGCCGTCCTTGTCCGCGGTATACTGATGCAAGACTGATCATGGAAATCAAAGTGTTAGGATGCGTAGTTCCAAGTACCTGTTTTCTAGCGTCCAATACTTGTAGTTGTAGCTCTTCTGCTTCCTTTAGCCGTCCTTGTTCGTGGTATACTAATGCAAGATCGCTCATGGATATCAAAGTATGAAGATGTGTTATTCCAAATGTCTGTTTTTTGATTCCCAATACTTGCAGTCCTAACTCTTCTGCTTCCTTTAGCCGTCCTTGTCTTAATGCAAGATCGCTCATGGATATCAAAGTGTCAGGATGCGTCATTTCAAATGTCTGTTTTTTGATTCCCAATACCTGCAGTCCTAACTCTTCTGCTTCCTTTAGCCGTCCTTGCCTATGATATACTAATGCAAGATCGCCCATGGATATCAAAGTGTCAGGATGCCTGATTCCAAGTGTCTGTTTTTTGATTTCCAATACTTGCAGTTCTAACTCTTCTGCTTCTTTTAGCCGTCCTTGTCCGAGGTATACTAATGCAAGATCGCTCATGGATATCAAAGTGTCAGGATGCATGATTCCAAGTGTCTGTTTTTTGATTCCTAATACCTGCAGTCGTAACTCTTCTGCTTCCTTTAGCCGTCCTTGTCCGAGGTATTCTGATGCAAGATCGCCCATGGATATCAAAGTGTCAGGATGCGTTATTCCAAATGTCTGTTTTTTGATTTCCAATACCTGCAGTCCTAACTCTTCTGCTTCTTTTAATCGGCCTTGATGTTGATATGTTGATGCAAGAACAGACATGATATTCAAAGTAGTAGAATGATCAATTCCAAGCACTCGCTTGGAAATATTTAATGTTTGTTCATTCAGTTGTTCTGATTTTGTCAACTGCCCTTGGTGTAAATATGTCATTGCGAGCGGAGCCATGACAAGTATAGTCTCCTCAGCTTCGACTCCAAACACTTGCTGGTAAATCTCGCTCATGTCAGCAAATATAACCATTGCTTTACTATCCATCCCATCTCTAAAAAGATAGATACCGACTCTCATGATTAACTTCCGATATTCGCATTTCTCATGTTGGGTTTCCATCCTTTCGATCATGTATAAGGCGTGAGGTAAATATTCACGCCACAAATTTCGATTCGTATTATCAAAATTTGGACAAATTTCATCAAATCGATTGGCCGTATTAGAAGTCCATCGTTTCAGGAGATCGTTCTGTTTTAGCCAGCTCCGTGTGGCCAAATGTACTAGTCGGTGAAGATTGAACGATCTGTCTTCCTGGGCGCTGATAAAGGAATAAGCTTTCAGAAGACCCAGTGCTTCTGTCATTTCCTTGTCCGAGGTTGCAGGCGGTAGAAGTGATTTTGAGATACCGCGGTGGCTAATACAAGCCATGAACGACAAATAATCTATCGCTAATGAATTGAGTTGTTGGATTTGGTTAAATGATATTAACCAGGTCGTAGCCACGGGATTCTGGACGTCCTCGTAGCGATGGTCATCTTCAAAATCTTCACTCAGGAGCTGTATGACGTCCTGTTCTTGTCCCTTTTCCTGTAATAGAGCTAGGTATTCGGATAGATTGATACTATTCTCATTGACGTATGCTGCCGCCTGTGTGATTGCTAGGGGGAGAAAGGTGAGTTTCTCGAGAAGAGAAGTCGTTGTGGTATGATCGTCCACAAGGTCTTTTCGGATGAGATATTCCTGAAGAATACTCCGAGCCGTGTTATGGTCCATCTCTGAAACGGAGATCACATTTGAAGATACAAGTTTCACTGCGAGCTTTTGATTGCGGGTTGTAAAGAGAATATGGCCATTGTCGCTACGTGGCAAGAAACTTTTCAATGCCGTACCTTTCTTGCTGATCCACATGTCTATATCATCTGCGTTGTCATAAATAAGAAGCCATTTGTCTTCAGTCTCGCTCAAATGGGTCTTGACTCGCGTTTTGACATTGGTCGGGTTGGTGTCTGGCAGTGCAAATTTTTGGGCAATACTCATATATGCCTGTTCCACACTTTCTAGACTCATACATGGGATCCAGAATACGAAGTATTCCTTTTTTTGCATGAGATATGCAAATTCAAGTGCAATTTGCGTCTTCCCAGCGCCTCCCAGTCCTGCAAGGGCTATCCTTTTCGGCCCATTTTCCTTTAAAATGGACTCTTGTAACTCCTTAAGCTCATTCTGGCGACCCTGAAACTTTTCATTTCGTGAAAACGGAATCAGACATGGTTTTTTCGCAGGTTTCTTTTCGTTTTCGGCACCTGGTTGACTATTTTCAGGCAATGGACGGTCTATCTTCGCAGTCAGATTACTTCCATCAACATAGCAACGACGGGATCACGAACTATTAGATCGATGATAAATATTAGTAACACCATGATAATTATGGTGGACACTAGAATCATTAGTAGTATGGACATCTCCCAAATGATTCCGGTTATTTTCCCCATGAATCTCAATGTTACTGAATCGCTTCCCACCATGCGGGCGATCGTTAGGCTGGTCGATGTTATTATCCATAACCAGCGACAATATTCGCCGTCGAATGACGGACTATTCTTTCGTGTTGCCAGAGAGTAGATGCGGCTGGGTCTATCGCTTCATGAGCGGACCAAGGAGAGAGCGCACTCAGCGCCGGGAGCATGAGAAGCAGTACTTCAGAGCTGCTGGTGCCCAGCCTCATTTGTTATGTATGCTGTCTCGCTACTGAACGGCTGCCTACCCTGTTGCTGTGAGCGAAGCTAGACAAGGGGCGGCAAATCGATGTTGGTGATAGGTTGGCGGTTGATGTAACTTCATTTTTCCAGCCAACCAGAACATTTTGTGTGCTAGAGAAGTGTGGCTGTGCGAGAGTGTCGATACTTATGAAGAGTCGGTAAGAAGAAATACGCCTTATGGGTGACACATAATCCACAAGTAAATGATTTACAGTAAAAATGTTGTATAGACATCAAGGTCTCCGGGGATATCTGGAAGGAGGACCACGTAGCCAGGCTTTATATTGATCAGCCTTTCGATCAATGCTCAGTTTCTATATCGTCGCGGTATATTACAATTACAATTTACAAAATGGGTATCAGTGTCTGTATCTAGTATATAAATTACAAAGTCAAGCCTCCCACCCTCGAGGCACTCTCGGCTTCAGCCCCCGACTTTCTCGAAGATATCTTTCCATGACAATTTCCACCTTTGCCAGAAACCCACGATAATCCATATTCACTTTCTCGGCATCCTTGCCAACCCCATGTGTCACTCCATTCTTGCACCACACACTCCACGCCCCCATCTGCGCCGCCATCAAAACATCCGTCCCCAACCGATCCCCAACAACTGCAACTTGATCGGCACTATCCACGACACCTTTCTCCCTAAACCACGCCAATACCTCCGGTCCACAGAAAGGTTTCCTGCCCTTCCCCGGTTGGACTCGGAATACGGGGATTTTGAGATGTTTCAACGTTTCCTGTTCTAGTCGTCGAGCTTCGTTTTCGTAGGCGGCAGATTCGGGGCGGCTGCCGGCTGTGTTGGATACGATTAGGATGCCATGTGGATTGGTGGTTTGGTTGAAGGGGGACGTAGGTGAGGTTCGTAGAGATTCGAGTTTGTGGAGATAGGCCGGTGGGAAGGTGATGGTGTTTGGTGGACAGAGGGTGTTGTCTTTGTCGAGAACGAGGGCGCGGATTGTGACTTTTTCTTTAGATGAGGATTCAGATGTAGCCTTAGATGTGGGTGTAGATGTAGATGTAGGTGTCAAGTGTAAGCCGAGTTGTTCAGGTAGGTCGAGAAAGGTTGAGATTGTAAGGTTAGGAAGAAGATGACTTGGGTTTTTGAGCAGGGTTGAGACTGTAAGGTTGAAGGCTTGGAGGTTTGAGTTCGGCATTGTTAGCTTATCATTATCGCACAATAATAAGCTCTCGTATAATATTTTATAATTATTGAAAGGAGGGTTGAATGGCAGGTATCTTCGAGAGGGGATATCGGAGCTAAAGCGGAAGTCGATCAAGGCCGCAGATTGGCAGAACTCAAGCCGCAAAACTCTCCCCACACGACTCAATTTCCGCTTGACATTTTCTACCTTCACCTTGCGCCGCGACAAACCTAGCATACGACTGGTTCAACGATCTACCGATTCATCGAGCCATTACGGATCTTCGCGCATTTATTTTTTAAGCTACAACTTGCTGCCCACGGTCGGCGCTATCCTCGACTCTCGTCTTATCCTTGACTCGCCTTCACGCGACAGTACTATTAATCATGGGCAAATTGACAAGCACGATCGGCATTCCGATCAAATTGCTGAATGAAGCACAGGTACTGCTTCTACCTACCCATTTTGTCTTGACATTATTATGGTTTCGAGCTTGTTCTAGCTCGTAGCTGCTTTGATGGTTGATCGTGCTAACAGCTCCATTCGCACAGGGTCATGTCGTTACACTAGAGATTACGTCGGGGCAGGTATATCGAGGGAAACTACTTGAAGGTTCGTTCCTTCTCTTCTTTGCTTGGTGAAGTCGTGGTTGCCCTGCTCATTCACGACTTCTCACGCATACGCACCCTACCTGATGCGGGATAATGCTGACCTCTCACAGCCGAAGACAACATGAACGTCCAACTCAAAGACATCACAGTGACCGCGCGCGACGGCCGAGTGTCGCATCTCGATCAAGTCTACATCCGCGGTAGCCACGTGCGATTCTTCATTGTTCCTGATATGTTGCGGTGAGTCGACTCAATTTCTAAACCTACCCCTACCCCTACCATTCCAACAATGCGGTCACTTGCTCTATATATTTAATGATGCTAATATTTATATTTTACTCTAGAAACGCCCCTATGTTCCGTTCCCGCAGCCAACGTGGTAAAGGTGTCGGTCTTGCTCGCGGTAAAGCTACAGTTAACAGAGCTCGTGGACAACGACGGGGATAGGAATTTGCTCTCTACGTTGCATGCTGTTTTTCGTGTTATGGAATATGTAATTTCTTTCTGCAAATCGAATTCTGTCGGAGACTTTTTCTCTTCCTCGTCCGCTTCTCTGGGCTGGTGATTGTTCAGCTATGAGGGTGATTCCACGCGTCCATATATTTCGGCTACGAAATGGTATCGGCCATGAAATGGCGTTTTCGAATATAGATCAGTCTTGTCGGTATGGATTGTTGTCTTTCTTTCTTGTCTATTAAGGAATAAAAAGCTGCTGAATTCGTTCTTCAAATACACAAAGACTACGTAAAAGAATATAAGGACTCAAACTAGTTAATAAGATATTGAAAACCACACTGTCACTAAATATATAATTGTCAATTCAGGATATTTCAATTGCTTTAATTTATCAATATAAAATAAAGCACTGCTACTAGTCCATAGAATTTGATGACGCATGACGCGGCGCGGAGATACCCCACCAGCTCTATCAATCATCGGTACCATCTATCTACGTCGATTTTAACAAAACCAACAACCATTCGCAACACGATATAGCGAGGATTTACAAACTATACCAATGAGCATACCTGTCGCCCGCATACTATACCACCGCCAAAGAACCCTTTCTTCCCTCCTTCCCTAACCGGGCGTGGCGTCGTCAACATGTCGACGACCCTCAATCCTAATCCCTCCCAGAAAAAAGTCTCTAATCCCCGCCGTCTCCTCATTCTCACTCCAACAACAGAGTCTTCACGCACGATCCCGCCGTTGCTAACAGCGTTAACTGGCGTTGACGTGAACGAGAGCAGTCTTCCGCAAATCGCCACCAACGACAGTCAACATACTACTATAGAATTAGAACCACAATTAGCAGAACCCACGACGAGGATATCCTTTGCCGGATATACCACCCATGCACCGTTACATATCGAGACAAAGTACTATACCGCCGACATACCGATATGGGTCGACGAGATCCCTGTACAAACAGAGCCCGAAGACGACGTTGTAGCCCCGGCAGCGGGAACTGAATCCGCAACTGCAACTGCAACTGCAAATCAATGGAAAGCAGACTTCCTCTCCGACGAAGCGCAGATCGTGCGCGACGCGATTGGCGCGCTGATGATATGCGTACGGAATCCGGTGGGCGTGAGCAGCGCCGTGCCGAAGGAGGCGTACGACACGACCAACCCTGAAACTAGGTCAGAAGAAGATAAAGATGGGGAGAGGGAGAGGGAGGATGTGCGAGTAATCAAGAATATAGTACAGATTATCAGCGATGTGAAGAGTAAGACGGAGGAAGAGCGGGATGGAGGGATGGGCGAGGTTCCGGGATTGTTGGTGCTAATGGGAGATAAGTCTGCGAGGGAAGAAAAGAGAACGAGGGAGGAGGAAGAGGAAGGGGATGAGGTCCAGCGGGTTGAGAAGTTTGGGGCTGTGTGGTGGGAGGATGTGTTGTATGAAATGGGGGTGTTGGGGATGGAAGTAATTATCTGGGATCCGACGACGGGATTAGCAGAGACTACGGCAAGGGACAAGAAGAGGAATCAGTTTGGGGAGTTGGAGGGATTGCCACGGGTTAAAGAGGTGTTGTCGGCGTTGGAATGGGAGGACACGAGCCATGGAGATGGGTTGGGGTTTCTTGATGACGACGATGAGTCTGGGGGGTTGGATGGGTTTGGATTGGAAGTTGGGCAATTAGAGCGGGAAATGATGGGGTTAAGATTCGCCATTAATAATCCAAACGAGGATGACGATGATATAGGAGAGGGGGATAGAGAGGGGGATACCGAGGTTCAAGTCGAAGAGCTCGAGGGATTGATGCTGCGGATGAAAGCGATCAAAGGTAAGTTACCTCTTGACCATGGCTTACAGATGTACTGACGGACTAGACATGTCGGTAGATCTGCCTGAAGCCCAGCGAAAAGCATTCGCCGCGAAAGCCGTGAGAGATATCATGCGGGAATTGTAATGTATTAACTATACAGAGTTATTACTTTTAATAATATACATGACTCATGTGTCGTTCGTTTTGGACCCAGTTGATGGGAGAAATCATTCAAGCGGCTGATATCTTCCTTTTACTATCAGATATCATTTGTTGTTGATGTCCATCTGACATTGGCTAATCAACACGGCTCTTTCCTCTCATCACCTTCCTTCTCTGGGTCATCATATGCGTGTAGAGAATATAACTCCCTACATCGAGTTAATAACCGATCAACAAGTTATTGCTATCGACTTACCAGGAACATAAACCCCCAACATCGCAATCAAGAAGTACTTGTAGTACTCGCTAACAAACTGACCAGCCGGCTCGAGACCCAGGTATATCAGGACGCACTCTGATGAGATCCCAATCGGGTAGAGGACGAAGAAAGTATTATATCTAGACAAATCAGTCCCGCCAAATCACAAAAGAAATCAAGGGAACGTACCTCAACCACAGCCAAAACCCCGGAACACCCACACCAGCCAACTGCATGGCAAAGAACCCGTAGCGGATACATTCTGTAATTCCCCATGCAAACATACACCCCAGAAACGCATAATCGCCGTACTGAGTAACGCCCTCGTTTCCTAGGATCCCTGCCCCAGAAGGCACGGAGGCAACGTACTCCGCGCCCTCATGGAACGTGAACATGACGCCCCAAACAACCAGGAACCGGGATGCGACTTGCATCGCAGTGGTCACGACAGGGGCGCGAACGAGGCCGATTAAGGAGTGCAGAATTTCGAGGGCGGCGAGGGATTGGGTGAGTGCGAGGAGCGGGAAGACCTGTGCGAAGATGGCGGAGATGGTGTTGGTGTTGAAGCCATTTTGCAGTTGTTCTGGGAGTAGTAATGCGGTGCGCAAGGTACAGGATGCCCAAAGGCCGAAGCTGATCAAGTTGTACAGGAACAGGTAGATGCGAGTCAGGCCCGAGACGGGCTTTTTGGCGGGTGTAGTGGACTTTTTGGGAGGCATTTTGGATGAGGAGAGCGAAAGGAAGCTGGGAGGTGGTTAGGGAATTAAAAAAACAAGAGAGGAGACGTCTTCACAGGGACAGTGTCAAGATAATATTGTTGTCCGAAAGCCGAGCGGCCCCGCGAGCTTAACGCAAGGGTCGCCCCAACAATTATTGCCGCTAGTCATTCTCGCCGAGATTATCGATAGTCGTTTCCTTTACTTCACTCTACGCCGAGGACACCAGGCTTACGAAGCGAATTGTACTTGTTAATATGAAAACGATCGTTTGTTATTACGAATTATATTTCAACAAAGCCAAGAACAAGGCCCCATATCATACATGCATTATTACTCAACCATTCGATCGCGTTGCAGGGATATTAAACGAATACTTCAATGACAAGAAACCAAAGAACGACAGCTAGACAAGTATGAAAAAAGGAATAGTGCGCTGGTATCAGCTTAGACGTTGAGGCTGGACACAGGAGGGTTGGTGTCGAAAGCGCGGTCAACTTCCGTCTTGAAGTTGCCGTTGGTAGCTCCGTTCGTGGCATGTCGGGAGGTTCCGTTGGTCTCGCGGAGAGTGGACTCGCGGAGAGTAGCCTCGGCGGTGGTGTGAGGTTTGCGAGTGATGTCGGCCGTCTTTGGCAGGTTCTTGGATGGCGCGGCGTTGCCCCAGTCGAAGATGGGGGATTGCCAGCGCTCGCCCTTGGTCGATTGTTCCTTGTACTCGGTGGCCTTGTTGGTGATGTCGCCAGGCAGCTTGATTTCCTTGAAGAGGGCATCTTGGTGAGTCATGGACATCTGGACGGCAGTATCGCGCTGAGCGATGGCTTCAGCCTGCTTCTTCTTCTCGGTTATGATTTGGCGAGCAGCGTCGGCGTAGCGAGAGAAGATGTTAGCAGCCTGCTCAGGGTCCTCGCGGGCGGCTTCCCGGGCACGCCGAGCTTCATTCTGCACCTCGTAAGCGAAGGCATCGGCCTTTTCGAATGCCGAGCGGATCTGCTTCTCTAGAATCTTCTCAAGGGCAGGGCGGACGACACTGTAGAGCATTGGCTTGAAGATGTTAAAGAGAATTTTGTGCTTGGACTTCTTCAATTTGATGTCCAGATTCTTGATGTTGACATTAACCTTGTCCACCTTGAAGACGTAGGAATTGTCAGACTTCTGGGACTTGGAAGCAGCAATCTTGAAGGCAACTCCCTCGCCGCCGAGGAAGAGATCCATGACACCAGTGTCACTGATGGATGGGAAGCCCTGCTTCTTTTTCACGTAGTAACTAACATCTCTGATATCAGCTTGGATGCCAGACGCGGCGATCATGATCTAGCTAAAGTTAGTTTAATCATAAACAGTACTATCATTGACCCCACCTTGTGATCATCCTTGTTGCTGATCTTTTTGCGGCCCCAGCGCCAGTAGTTGTCGGTGCCAAGTTCAACGACATTGGGCATCAAGTTGTCACTCTCGATGACCAGGTTTTCAATAACCTATATGTTGTTAATTGTATTCTATTACGAATTTGGCCAACTTACCATATCTACTGCAGGGTCTGAGACTTCGATTCTAGGAATTGGAACGTAGCGGACGTTTTGGAAAATCTCGGGAATGATGACATTGGTGATATCCTTGACCAGGTGAGGCTTAAACACTGGCTTGCCGTACTGATCCTGGCCGAGATCCTTAAACAGCTTCTCCAACGATTGACGGAATGCTCTGTTCTGGGGATCCTCGTCGAACTGGTTGGCCAGGAACTTGATCTCATCACCGATCCGGTCGGTATGGTTTCGGTAACGATCGCGCAACAAGAAGCGGCCTTCGTCGTAGAGTCGGTTCCACTCAGTGGTAGCAGCATCCTGCAGAACGAAACCTTGCTCGCGCAAGCATTTGCTTTTCTATATCAATTACAAGTCTTAAATTTATATAGGTCTATCAGGCTTACCGAATGTAGGTGTCGGCGTGCTTGAACCAGTCTTTCAGACGTGGGTCCCGGTCTGCATCGCGGTAAATGTTGTTCAGCGAGTCAAAGAAGTCATCGGTTGATGTGCTGTTAGCAAATCGCTCAATTAAAGTCTTGAAACGCGTCAGCATGTCTTTCTGGACACTGAAAAAACCTAGCGTACCCTCAAGTTAGTCCCGGCCTGTTGCAAATTCGTATCCCGTGTGGCACCTTTTGCGCTCGTTGACCCTTGTTGGGTAATGGTCTTTCCATGACCACCATAGGTCTCGGCGAGAGTAAGGAGGGTCTCGATAGCCTGCTGGTCTGTGGTCAAGTTAGAATGGTGATCACTGCTAGTAAAAGGCAGACATACAATCAGAGTGTCCCTGGATTTCAACAATCATCTTCTTAAGACGCCACACGACCTGGTCGCGACGTTCCTTCGGCATCTTCTTGCCAAGGAACTCTCTGGTTCGGCGAGCATATTCTGAGGTAGCATTCTGGGCTTCATCGGCCTTTTCCTTGGCCTTTTCCTTGTCCTCTGGAGCGACATTCCTATCAGTGGCTTGCTGGAGGCTTGCAGTGACGGCAGCTGCGCCGGCCTGCGCATCGGCTTCGGAAATCGGGGCACCATCACGACCACTGGTCGCTGCCTGGGTACCGGCCTCAACAGCGGCATCAACGTCCTTCTTGTCCTATTAAATGTCAACAACACGATACTCCCTGTTTTACCAGTTCATTAGACTTACAGCAGGCTTGAATTTCTGGGCCTGCTCTCGGAATTGGGCCTTGAGCTGCTCCTTCGAGATGTTGGGCTTCTCATGCCATACGTTTTCCTGGGCCGGGGTATCAATTTGGGCAAGCTCTTCTTCACCCGGCTTGAGCTTAGCAGCGGCATTGGACGCAGCATCGCCGGCAATATCGCGGAACAGGATGACAGCATCACTCACTTCATCGTCTCATCAGCACGTCTCCAATTGGAAAGAAGAGAGGAACATACACAGTTTGCGGAATTCACCGTTGGTAATCAACAATGTGCCGAGCGTCTTGAATCCCTCGGCAGCCTTAGTGGCATCCTGCTGTGCAGCGTCTCTCTGCACGGGGCTGGTGAGCTTATGGGTGTCGTCGGCGGTGATGTGCTGAGCGTCCCAGATGAACTCTTGGAGTAGCTCGCCCTGGTTTTTGGTCAGGAAGAGCAGTTTGGTCTGCTCAATGACCGCGCGCAGGTCGTTCACGAGTGTTCGGCCATCTTCTGACAGCTCGGTAGACGGGGACGTCAGCCACTTGGAGTTGGCGGCACTGTTCAGGGCAACGTCGCATTGCTTGTTCTGTCGGGTGGTTAGCTCCTGCGTTGTATTCTTATCACTATTCGTTGGCAACCTACGGAAGGTAGCTTGCCAGCGGCAAATGCTGTAGCGCAGCGTTAGCTTGTGTCTCGTTCCTGCCGCTTCTGCGTGAAACTCACCACTGTAAATGCCATAAAGTTGCAGTTTATTATTAATGTCCTGGCCTCGGTCAGCTGATCGTTCGTGCTCAACGCAGACAATGCCGGGCACATACGGCATCCCGCTTCTTGCGGTCCATGGGGTGATTGACTGCCTTGCTCGACATGATGAGTTGCAACGGACGCGAATTTGCAAAACGAGACAAGCAGAAACAGACGCGGAATTAGGATTAGAAGTTCAATGGATCGGGTCAATACAAGCTAATGGAAGCTTTTTCTTTCTTTCTTTTTCAGTCGCGAAGCGTCGTAACTGGGGTATCACACGAGGAATGAATGGGGAGAGGAATGTTTACAGGCCGGGGCAAGGGAGGAGAAAGTATTAGAAAGGATTAGATGGTATCTGGGCCTTGCAGGGCGGAAAGGGGGGCTTCTTAAACACAGCGACGCTACGTCAAAGAGCTCCATAATTATTTTGGCAGCATTTGCTCTACTCGACCACAGCCATGTTCATACAGGCTCAGGCAACTCCCCGGCCAGCATCATTGTTATTGCTAGATGATGGGTCGCTCCTGCCGGTTAGGGTTTTGCGTGACGTCACGCTGATGTTTGCCAGCGCGATGGTTGCAGGCAGGGAAGGAGCTGCGCGGCCAGCCCAATGGGGTGCGCCTGCCTGCAGCCGGACCTGAGCTCCTTCCTTCTTTTCAATTGTGCCGCTGTTCTGGCCATGCCTGTGCTCATTGCTGCTGTTCTCCCCTAGTTATTGCGTTGTAGTGCTGCTGTTGTGGTTTAATGCTGTGGAGAGAATGCAGATCTAGCTAAATAGGGACTAGTGCGGAATGCCTAGCTCCGATCGAGACCAACTTCTTCCATCGTCCAACTTCCAACTTGCTTGCACTATGAGACTGATGCGCTCATCAGTTTGCAGCCTCATCTTGACGTCAGCGCGCCAGGCACGTCAACCACGCAGCCAGCTTTATCTAGGAATTGTGCTCCCCAAATCACTCTCTATCATTGACCATGTGCAGTATACCGCCGGAATTTCTCCCGGCGACCCTCGCCGCTTGCTAGGAAATTAGCCACTGGATGCAGTGAATAGTGCTATCGGGTGTATTTGAGGCGCAGCACCGATCGACAGCAGCCGAGGAACTAATAAATGGGGCTGATGCTCATTTACAGTGGTATACTGGGGGGATCAACAGGAAGGACAACTCATCGCATACAATGCGTTCGTTATGTTATTAGTCGATGGGTTGAATGCAATTGGCTCTTTGTCAAGCATTGGATATACTTTTACTACAACTTATTACTCTATTAAAAACGCTATTGGCCAGTATAACATGTCCATGTGACCTTGTTAACGTCGGCATATGTTTGCCTAAGGCATTCGATCACGTGTCGCCTTTATGCGTTAAACTCAGTCAACCACTTCTCGATACATATATACCAGACATTCAAATGTTATTCAAGCATTTGCATGCACTTTTACTCTTAATTTACCTCGTTTATTCACGCAGAGCAGCTTGAAACGAAGCAGGCGGTGTTCTCTTCTTCAACTAGACATGTTTAGATAGCATTGTAATGATCTATATGCTATTTATTCGGATTCTTAAAAGGTCTGGTGAGTTTAGAGCCGGAAAAGGTAAATGCGTACCGTGATTTATTCCTATATAAATACGAACATTTTATTCGGTTTGAACTGAAAGTCAATTTCATTTACCTTTCCACGTTTTCACCTCTCCTCCACCATCGACCACGGCTATTTTCAGCGTGTCCAGCTTATTATCTGCATGGGCAGAATGGTTATAAACGCCCCCATGAAACTCACTAGTGGCATCCTTCCCAATTACCCCCTGAAGAAGTCCCTTCCCTCCCGGATGTTCAGCCATGAAGTCACGCACATCATAGATCATCCCCGCGATAACCACCAGACAGCGGCCCTTGCGTGTCTCATCCACATACTTATTCCATTTCCATACTGGAAGTTCATTATCCTGCTCGCTGCTCTTCTTTTCAAGGCCATTCTTCTTCAAGACCTGCATCGTCCGACATCTCTCTATGTCCTCGGGACTAGTTCGGTTGAGATGCGACGCCCAACCAAGCTTCTCCCAGAGCGCTATTAACCATTTAGACATATCAATATCATACCAAACCGGCCCGTTGCGATAGTCTGAGGGAAACGTATGGTGAAAGTTGTGATAACCTTCTCCCATACTATATAATCCAATCCAGATGGCTTGTCGTGAGGTATTCTTGTCCGAGTAGGGCTGATCACCGACCCAATGCGCTAGAGAGTTGATCGTCCAAACCAAGTGCCAGTTAATCACACACCTAAGACACCCTGCGTACCCAAACCCGCCTTTCCAGTCGTCCCATCCGAAGTGGGCCACCATGGTTGGTACGACAAAGCACATGATGGTGGCAATTATAGGGAAATATTTCCTTTGCCACAAAACAACACGGTCATGCCTAACATCTTCCATGTCCACTTTGCCCCAGTTGTGACGGTCTTTTACAAACAGCCAGCCAATATGTGCCCAAAACATTCCTTTGCGGGCGCTATATGGATCCTGGTTAGTATCAACGTAGCGATGATGAGCTCGGTGGTGACGGATCCAGAAAGTGATAGGTCCTTGCATGGCGCCAGCTCCAAAGAGAGCTAGAGCATACTGCAATGGAATGGATGCTTTGTAGGCTCGGTGACACCAGAGGCGATGATGACCTGTAGAACTAGAGTAAGCAACGACAGGAGTTCCTCTGGCATAGACACCTCAAAAGAGTGCTCACCCGCCGTCAAACCGAATCCACCGGTGAGTATAGCATAAATTGTTCCCAATAGGATCGTCTTATATTGGATAGGAACATATAGAAACTGCCCTATGGCGAAGATATGTAATCCAGAAATGCGAATAAGGTTTAACCAGTCAATATACTTGAACCAATACGCTACATCCAGATACAATTGTTTCGAAGCCATTAGAACCGCTATGACTTTTGTCGCGATGAGAAATATATTTTGGGGGGGGGGGGGGGGCTGCTAAAAATGGGAAATTTTAACAGCAGACTTATAATGTTTATATAATGATTGCTCGCCCATATAAGCCCCTCTCGCTATATATAACTTTTATAACATGATTTACTGACTAATTGACATTGAGCTTAGTAGATGTAGGTAAGGAGATAATAGATATTTCTGTGTACGAATCATCTTCTAGAGAGTGAAGTCTATGTGTGATTGAAACCTTCGGAGTGCGTTTTGGAATTACGTTATCTTCTAGCCTGCATCACGGCGATCTTTGATTGGTATGCAGGTTGTATAAGCTCGGTAAAAATATCTAGATCCTGGATGTGATATAAAAATATTCGGGCCTAATCGATAAAGTCAACGGACTTCGGACTTACTATTGGTACCCCTCATCCTACATTATATGCCTTTCTAAAGTAATTGGTACCTCCGAAGTCTTTCAGAGCGTCTCAGGCTAATATGCCTGATCTTCTGAATGAGAGTTGGGTAGATTAAGCAGTTCCTTTTGTATTATGGTACTTGTTATTTTGCAATCTAATTGGATATTGACACGAAGTCTAATCGGCATCGAGCCAAGCCCTAATATTCTTCTATCTCTTTTATAGAAATTTCATATCATGCTACGCTACAGCCAGCTTCGTGTGGTCCTCCAATTGAAGCGTAGTAGACTTCACACCAGTTGACCTCTCTGGAGGGGGTCAATACCGTAATTGGGTCATATAACACAATACCAATTTTTCTTAGCATGTTGCGATCTAACCACATGCCAAACAAAAAACCAGGAAGAATGGTAATACTTATATCCACTCAACAGTCCTTGTTCTACTAGCCCTCAAGTGGCAACTGCAGGGAGTTGGGTCAGCGCTGTTGAAATGGGGCATAGAGAAGGCGGATACAACTGGAGTTTTCATGTGGGTTCATTTCTCCGAGAACGCAGTGCAAATGTATGCGAAACATGGATTTCAAAGCATTAGAAAACTCAATCTTGACTTGGACCAATATGCGCCGGCGCCAGCGCCTGATAATAATGGGAAATGGGGCCAGTATCAATTTCATTACATGAAACGTCTTCCCCGTAGTACAAAGGAGTAGATATATGGCCGTGGAATAATGCATTTTAGAATGGAGTTATGAGAAATCAGGTGACATGAATGCATTTTCGAAAGAAGTGAATCCCGTGCGTCTCGCGTTCAACTCGATAGATGATAACTGATTGAATAAAGCTATTCTCTGAGTAATGGCAGTTACGTATGTAATATTCCCCGTCAAGCACAATATGCCTCCAAGGAAGACTGCACGCCGGAAAACAGATCCAACTCGCCCTCAAACGTCCTATAGCCGGAGATTAGTAGCGAGACCACCCTACACCGATTATGAGCCATGAATAAAGTGTATACGTACATTCTTCTCCCTCGCCGCTTTCAAATTATGATGGAAATCTCTCCAAAGACGTTGAATCTCTCCATCAGTGTCCATCGCATCCACAACCTTATTTGCGTATTTAGCCCTTTTCTTCATTGAAAGCTTGTCACGTTCGACTGAGCGCTGGGGGTCGGAGAGTCCTTCCTTGGCATCGAGGTAATCAACGACCCATTCGTACAAATGGAAACGCCAGTGAAGTAGTGTATGAGTTAGAACAGCATTCGCTTTGCAGTGTCTATTGTGGAGGTGTTAGGAGTTCCTGTATGTTTGATCTCGTGCGGTGAGAAGATAATTTACTTACCTGCCTAAATAGAAATGTCTGTCTTCTGGAGGCAAAACATTGCCCTCTCGATCAATGTTGCGATCACGTGCTCTTTTGTCACTTACTTGGCCTCCTTCTTCTTCCTCATCGTCATCTTCACTATCATCATCGCTGTCATATAACGGCTCTAGGGTATCTTCGGAATATGGCAGGCCGAAGAACTTGACATCTGAAGATGCCGGATGCTTCGTGCGATTACAAGCAGCACACTTGACATCCTCAGAAGTAGGGAAGCCGCTAACATCGATGTACGGCCTTGCGCACAGTACATTTACAAATTCAGGGGTCCAGACGGAGGAAATCAGCTGCGAGCCAGTTCTGCCGACAACCTCGTCACTGAGTTTCTTGAAGGCAAATTGGTAGATATCGTCATGGCGTGCAAAGGCTGGATTCAGCTTGTTGTGGACCATCCATTCAACGACATCACGGAAACATTCTCGCGGCTGCTTGACGCGGTGGCGGCTGAATTCAAAGGGCATGTCGACTGGGACACCCATGGTGTCATCCTCTTCAACGAAAGATGCATCATCCTTGTCTAAATCCTCGATAGAGCTGACTTCCGAATTAGCATCGCTATCGTCAGTTTCATCATCATTGTTGACACCGAAAACGGCAATTTCTGAGCCGTTATCTGAGTGCTGACTACTATCGTCTGAGGCTCCCTCAGAATCGTCATCGTCTTCTTCACTTGCCGAATTTGTTGCATCTGTCAAATTTTTCTCTCCTGCTCGACGACGACGTAGGAGGTCCAGATGCATCTGACGCTTGCTTCTCGCAGAATTAACCACTGCACCACGCGTGCGATTTCTCTTTACAGCTATAGCGTAGTTCAGTTAGTACAGAATTGAGTCTTTGGTATCAATTAACTTTACCAGTATCCATAAGATCTTCCAAGTCTTCTTGGATGTCGAGCTCGTCCTGTCGCGCACGTGAGCTAGTTGGTGTTTCATAAATTTCCTTGTGACGATTGCTAGGGGTATGTGGCGATTTCCTCAGACCACGGCGTGCAGGAGTGGAAGTGACAACGTCGTCTGAAGAGTCGTCAAGGTCAATAATTTGAGTAGGACTTTCCTCATGTATTAGTTTCGTTTTGGAGGTCTTGCGCTTGCGACTGCTAGGAATTACATCAGATTCGCTATCGCCGTCGTTGTCATCGAATATAAATGGGTCCTGCTGTTGCTTTGTGGCCATTTTGCGTTTGCGACTGGAAGATGGAATAATGACCAGGTCTTCCGAGTCACTTGTCTCTGCTTCTCCTAAGCCTGTCAGATCGACAGCTAATGACTTCTTGCGCGGTGGGGAAGTAGGATTGCTGAGTCGTCGCTTCTCGTTCAAGACTGAGCGAGTCTTGGGAGCATAGTATGAAGCACTGTCGGTGGAACCCTCAGCCTCATTCTGTCCACGCTGAAGCAGCGATTTGCTGGATTTGGCTTTCTTGGATTTTTTCATGGCGACTTCCCTATAGGATGAATCTTGTAGTTCTTGGCTCTGAGATGTAGAGTTAGAAGATTGGTTCTGTTTGTCGCTTTCGCTGTCAACTACGGTGAGTTTAGATTTGCGTCTCCGCTTTGATGGGTGAAAGATTCCTTCATCTGGAATCAAGGCGGTAGCCTCGGTGTGGATTTCTGACTCAGGGTGAGGGGAAGGTGAAGTAGAGACCTTCTTTCTCTTCCCTTCCTTCTTCTTCTTCTTCTTCTCTCTTATTGAGGTTTCTAGTAAAGTTAGTTGGGCTTTATTACCGCTTCTAGAATACATGATCCCGCTCGTAATGTTGGAGACTGACCATCATTCTCACTAACTTCATTACCCGGAGTGCGTTGAAAATTGCCCCACGGCCGCTCAGTATAATCTTCTAGCTGCAGTTGGCCCCTAGCAAATATCCTCCTTGAAGCAGATGATGGATCAGAGTACCGGAGTTTTGCCGGCCGGGGAGAGCTGGAGCTATTAGCAGCATTGGGGACAGAGTCCTCAGGGACCGGTGCAAAAGCGAGACGTGTCTGTTGCTTCCTTTTTCCATATGTGCGCGGCATTATGTATATACTAGCTGATGCATTACTTCTGCTAGACCAGAGAAATATCGAGATATAACGTCATGTCTGGAAATGGCATGAATGAATTCTTGGATGTTTATCAAGAGGATCCACATGTCAGGCGGCAATCGCTGCCTCAGGCTGCAACTGAGCACGTGATATCGAAATGTTTAGCACTAAACTTTTTTGGGTTTAAGGTTCGAGATGCCCAGATGCCCAATTCACAGCCTAGGATCACTCCTGAAAATGGAAATGCAGTACTTGGTGACTGGACACCAGGGAATGGAAGTAGAATCCATCCCATAAAACTAATAAGCCCATAGTAGCGCGAGGAGTGGATCGACTGACAACTGCTTGCACTAGACTGTATTGGGAATTCCACATCGAGCCATGTACTTGGACGAACGGAATATTAAGCGAGCAAAGGAACTAATTCCAGAATGAGGGATAGCCAGTGAGAGAGCCAAAGAATTTGAAAATGATCGTCGAGATGGCTTCTTTCCTTTTTGTTACGGTCCGCGCAACTGTATTGGAATGAAGTAGGGCATGCTCCAAGCATCAAAAGATCTAACAGAGCTGATTTTTTGTCCAGTCTTGCATATGCTGAATTAAGGTGGCAAAGATTGTATGAACTTTATAAGTCTTTCAAATAAATCTCTTTAGCTGTCAAAAACGTTATGGAGTAGTTTCATATATCAATTGATATATTGAACGATCTCTGGAAAGTCTATAATTCTGCTATAGTACATCTCTAGTCTGCTATCTGCCTATGGATTGAAAAATATCAGTTAATATATATGGAATATATAGGTTACATCGGCGTCAAATCATTAATGGTCTATCAGGGTCTGCACTCGGCGTTACCGGCGGAGATAGTGGAGCCTTATGAATGTGGCCCCAAACGCTTTGCAGCTGTCAAAAGCTTAGTTTCGGCGGAGATATGGAAATAGTTGGCTTCGTACACTTATGGCCTCGTGCCATGAGATGTTACTTCGTTCTTGAGCTTACATAAAAACTGGTCTATCCCTCGACTTTGCATTTGGACTTGTGCATTCTCAAAGTTGTAACACCTTCGCAGCCATCCTTGCTGCGCTTGATAGTAGCCCTGTTTAGACTGCAGCTATGGCAGCAGAAGTTGCACGCCCCCCAAAGCCGCCTTTCAGCAGCTTGTTCACTCAGATGTTCCCTCCCCGTCCCATGTTTACCGAGAAAAATATCGCGGACCAAAGCGGCAAGGTATGTTGTTTCTCAATCTCACTTGCAACCTCTAAGCCCTCCTTAGTCAAAGAAGAAACGCAAGTAGTGACATCGTCCCCATCAGCTCACGCTCCTAACATGTGACAGGTCTTTATTGTGACGGGCTCTAACACCGGCGTTGGCAAAGAGGTTGCCCAGATTCTCTATTCTAAGAACGCTAAGGTCTACATTGCTGCGCGCTCAGAAGAAAAGGCCAATAAGGCAATTGAGGACATCAAGAACGCCTGGCCGAAGTCGACAGGTTCACTTATCTACCAGCATCTTGACTTGGCAGATCTAACAACCATCAAGGCGTCTGTGGATAACTTCAAGCAAAATGATAGCAAGCTCTATGGACTTATTAACAATGCCGGGGTACAGGCATTGACCGCGGAACCTCCCAACAACGTCACGGCCCAAGGCCACGAGATTCACTTGGGAGTCAATGTACTTGGTTCATTCCTCTTGACCAAGCTTCTGACCCCAACCCTAGTTGCTACGGCAAAGACAGAACCCCCGAACACCGTCCGTGTGGTTTGGGTCTCCTCTCTCGGGTTAGAAGTGGCTGGAGAGGAGCACTATGGTATAACTACAAATTACCTCAAGTACTGGCCGAAGATTCCGCCATTGAGGAGATATGGTGTTAGTAAGGCCGGTAATTGGTTATACGGTGTTGAGTTTGCCAATCGATACAAGGCGGACGGCGTTGTCAGTGTACCATGTAATCCTGGACACCTGAGATCAGACCTCTACCGCGATGGCAGTTTTCTGTTCAGGGCTATTATCAATACATTCATTGCGTATCCGTCGATTTACGGCGCATACACAGAGCTCTATTGCGCATTGTCCCCTGACATAACTATTCATGAAACAGGGAGTTGGAGTAAGTAAATAATGTTCGCTTACTAGTCAAGCCGTGGTTCCTCGCTTTGATACCAAAGCTGACGCTTTCATTTTGCAGTTGTTCCATGGGGGCGAAAGTACAGCCTACGAAGTGATCTCGAGGCCGCTAAGAAAACAGAAGCGGAGGGAGGGAACGGGCATGCCAAATCATTCTGGAACTGGTCGGAGGAACAGGTGAAGAAATATGCGTAGTCAGACTGTCTCAAAGTAATCAACGGGTCGTCACCAAGGCCAAGGACCATGCCGGATATTCTCTTGACATTGGACAGTTTTGTCATATCATCTGAATTTGTGAGAAAATCAACTCGATAATAACTTTCTCCCTTGTTTTGTAATTTTTGCAGAGAGTTCGACAGGTGCGGATAAGTAAGAAGAGGCCATTAAAGCTTATTAAATTTAAGAATATCATTTCTTGGAGCTCAGAAAGCAACCATATGATATTACAGACATCTAATTGTGTAATAAACTTTGATTTTCAGATATTATAATTTCTCATTCAGTTGATGGCAGGACTTGATGAAATACTCGCCAGAGATGACCAGAACACAAAGTCGAACAAAGAACAATATAAAGAGCAAGGGAACTGTGAGGTGCTTGAGTATATTAGTGCTTCCACATAACCATACTATAACTAACCAATCATGTTCAAGTATATCACATGTTGTAGTCATAGGGCAGGCTATACCACACTACAAAAATAACCGCAGGGCAAATCTCATTATATAACTTGGAGTTCTTTAGTCTCGCACTATCTGTATGTACGCAAATGAACTTGTATATTTGATCCATTCACCTAGCTAATCCACAATATATATTCCATAAACACGCGTCTGATACTAATCATAGTGCTGGATACCAGTTAATTCACTGGTTTCTAGACCTTTACATGACAGACAGAGCAAGTATGGATCGATGGTCATAAAATTTGGAAAGAGCAAAAAAAAATAAAAATAGATTAGCCATACCTTTTCAGAATATAGTAGGGACAATGTACAGTAAAGTATAAAATTTCTTGTTAAAAACAAAATACAATAAAAATAAAAATGAAGAGAAAAAAACACTAATTCTACATGCTATATAGATAAACAGGGTAATAGCATATATAATAAAATCTCCTAGCTCAGCAGGAAGGAGGCGAACAAAGCCTACGGTTCTATGGTGGTGTATACCACAAGAGAGAGCAACGCCAAACGTCTGCTGGAAGGTAAGTATTTCGAAATTGCTGGAGAATCAGTGTATGCACGAATCTTTGAACCGCGAACAGGACCGACTCAATCTTACAATTGTCAAGAGCTGGGGCACAAAGCCTTCTCCGGCAAAATGACTCAGACCTGCGCCAAGTGTGCAAAAGGGGGACATCACCACGATAGCTGCCAAGCTGCAGTCCCGAATTACATGCCCTGTGGAGGTCACACACGAATCATTTAGCAAGAATTGTCGAATCCACCACACACAATCCTATCGCCTTCATGCATAGATCGCTACGCATCCTCCAACTCAACGTGAAGAAAAGGGATATGGGACTGCAAAGCTTGATGAATGATGATAAACCTAAGACTATGGGAGGTGGCAGTCTCAGAGCCACATGCATGGGTTATTGGTGACATGGTGGTGAGAACGCCGATGGGACATTCATCCTGGACTAAAATGATCCCACAGTGAGACAGGACAGCAGATGGCCTTTCCGGAGCATGCTTTGGGTAAGAAGTGCTATGGATTCTGAACAGGTTCCCATCCCATCTTCAGACTTGACAATAACAATACTGCATCTTCTAAATCGTGCGGTCCTGGTAGTCTCGGTGTATGTGGAAGGGAACAGCGAAGAAGCATTGTCATCGGCGATCATTTTGTTGCGTAGCTTGATAACAAGTATCCGTCGCAGGGGAGGACTAACTCCCATGATTTTTGATGTGAAGTATCGATTTCCATGCTATTAGACAGGGAAACATATAAATTAGTTCAAATCTTCAGATATCTTGACACTAATTGACGCTTCTCGAGTTGTAAAGATTCAAACCTCAAATAATTATACATCGGCGCTCGCTCAACTGCAGGATAGGAACAACCACAGTGATTATATAATTATTGACATCGTATATATATATATATACAATCTAGACTTTTCGAATCATACTCAACCTTGAATTGAGATTTTACTATCACATCCGGTAGTGATTGTTGAAATCCATACATGAACTTCAAAAGGGTGGAGTGTATCGGTGCATACACCTGTACATAAATCCATAACCAAGAGAATAAAGAGAAGGAACAATTCCAGAAGATCACTACATTAATAGATAAAATTTGGCAAATTACAGATAAAGAAAATAGTTGCGAAAAGACAACATCCCCCAAGAAAAAAATAATAATAAACAAAAATAACACTCATATAAATACACTCGGAAGAGGAGAACCAAATAGGATACAAGGAAACCAACCCAACCTATGCGATATGTTGGTAGTACGCCTGAACTCATGATAATAATGTAAAGACGCCATTTTATTGGAATGCATCGATATCGTTCCCTAACAGATTGACATGATGTTCAATAACCCGGGCGGTTGACCTATAAATATTGATTGTTGTTTTGTATCCAATAATTCATCACTGCACTTCCTGAGAAAAATAACCATTATATTGGTTGTTCCGTGGTTGGGTCGATCGTTTACAGAGCAGGTTGCGACTGCTGCTCTTGAGCACCGCCGAGAGCAGCAGCAGCATTGGCACCAGGGGTGAGCATCTACATCCAGAAAAAAATTAGACTCAACAATTTCCACAGTAAAAAAGGTGTAAAACTAACCTCATTGGCACCCTTCATCATCCCCTGCTCCTTCTCCATCTGCACATACTGCTCCTCCTCAGCAAATGCCAGCGCCCAGGGCACACCGAGCAAGAAAGCGCTCGTGCTGATTACCCAGAGAGCCTTGCCACTGAATGAGAGAGTGGACTTTGTGAAGTTTGAAAGGCCGGAAACAGTGTCCGTAATGCGGCGGCGGGATTGCGGAGGGATGATATCTTTGAGAGCGATGACACGTTCGTAAAGGGTTTCGGTTTCTAATTCCAAAACGGATTCTGTGGAGATTTCGGATTCTGTATTGCAAAGAGGGAATGGGTTAGTGAGGTTGATATGCAGTGAATTGGACAGATGTTGTTAGGATCCTGGGTTGTAGCCTGGGTGAAGTGAAGGGAAACGCACCAGTATCCGTGAAGTCATCTTCTTCTTCGTTATCAGATGCCAGAAGCACATCCTTTTGAGTTGGGGCAGGCTTCTCGGATGTAAAGTGTTCATCCTCGACTTCGATGAGATTAACCATTGTGAAAGATTTTTTCCTGTTGATCTGACGAGGAGTTCACGGGATAGCTCAACGACGGGAGTTGATTTAACAGTACGATGTTATATACCACTTCGACCAAGATTCTGGAATTAGATAGGTGGTTAGCGAATTGATGCTGGCGATGTGACGGTTGTTCAAATGTTTGCGCTGTCTGGGAGAAGCCGAACCAACTTTTACCCGATGCTCTTCCGGCTCGCTCTAGCGTCGCCGGGAGCTTGAGCCACCGCCGAGCTTGGCGTCATTGCTCTTAGTATTATTATCAAGAATACTATTGATCACCAGCGGCTTACACCTTGCAATTATCACAGACTTATGTGGTGTTAGAGAATATCTTAGCGTATCTGGTAATATTAACAGTTTTCTATCTTTACAATCGCTGCAATTATCCCATATCTAATGCAGTATATAGTACACATGCCACAATGTCCAACCTGATACATGTACGAAGAGGAATCTTTTTTTAGCGAATACTTCCACCCGAGCTTTCTAGGTGGAGTTTATTAGAGAAGAGATTATGGCACTGGGTTTCGATCGCCTGCTTTACAGCCTGCCCAGCTTCCATCGAGCAATACGCTGTTGAATGTCCTCCCAAGGGAATGGTCGCAGCTTGTAGCCCTCCAATTCGCCTTCCTGGATAACAACAGTTGGCTTTCCAGTGCCCTCGCCTTTGTTGCGCACCAAGCCGCCGAAAACTTGCCTGGCGACACGGCGCAAGTCTTCGACAGTAAGTTCCTCGATCCGCTCGCACATCTCCTTAACCCCGACTTTGCGACCGTGCACTTGAACTTGTCGGCCCAGGTCTTCCAGCTCCACCATACGGGACTCCAAGTTCATCAGGAGCGAGGATCGTAGCTGGTTCTTTGCACGGTTGACCTCCTGCATTTGAAGCGCGGAGAAACCGGTGTCGAGTGTCAAGGCTTGGAGTTCCCGACACATCACCTCGAGCATCTGCGGCGTGCGAGTAGGACTGCACGAGGCTGAAATGCCGAAAATACCGCTATCGGTGTAGCTGTGGTTGAACGCAATGCAGCTCTCGACCCAGCCGTGCTGGTTCAACACATTCGTGTACAGCCGAGAGTACATGCCCTTCCCTGGACCACCGGCCGAAAACGAGCCGCCGCCGCCGAGCAACGTTTGGAGTGTCGCGAGAGCATAGATGTCAGGGGACGATATTGGGAGGGCTTCAAAAGCGAGATGGATATAGCTCAAACGAGGGTGGTTAGGGTTCGCGGGAGGCGGAATTGGGGGGAGAGAAAGATATCCGCCGGTATAATGGGAAGGGCGGTTTAAATCGAGGGTGGAGAGTTCGAGAGACGACGGGTCCAGAACCTTTGCTGTTTCTTTGCGCGGGGCCGGAGTCGTTAGGTTTTTGAGGAACGGCAGTTTTGACAAAATGTTCGTCTGAGAAGCATTCGTGTGTACGTTGGTGGTGACATTAGCGGACGGCGTGGACAATGGGATGGTAGGGAATTCCCCTTCCTTCTGGGCGGCCGGATCACCAGAAAGTGTCGTCTCAATGCCCTTGCCATGCAGGCCGGGGCCTTCACGGTGCGTGCTCATGTCGCCGAAATACTGCTCTGTTAATCGAACAGCCTCATCATGCGGCACACCTGCAAATGCAACCACCATTCTCTCCGGGTTAAAAAACGCAGACCGATACTTTTCAACTACCGCCTTGTTGATCTCTGTAAGTCGCTCTTGCGGACACAGCAGAGGGTTTCCCAGCGTGTTATTCTTGAATGCAGCCATATGAACAAGCTCAGGAAGGATAAGCTCGGGTTTATTCCATATTTCGTTGATCTCGTATTCCGCCGTGATCAATTGTTGCTCCACCTCTTCTTCTGTGATTAGAGGTTCGCGGATCGTCTCAGCGAGCAATCCGAGTGTTGTAGGCACGGTCGAGTTGAAGCTAGCAGACTGATACATTAACGATTCTCGAGACGATGCGCATTGTATGTTTCCGCCCAACGACTCCAGAGCCTCAAGCATTTGATCCCCCGTTCGGGCTTTTGTGGACTTGAACGCTAATCGATCCATAATGTGACTGACTCCACGGATACTTTCGTCTTCGTATCGCGAGCCGGCGTCGACGTAAACTCCGACTCCGGAAAAAGGTCCTTGTAAGGATTCGCTGGCGACGCGGATGCCATTTTTGAGTGTTGTTATTTGGTCGAACTCGGCGGGGTCCTATTTGAAGAGTATGATGAGCAAATGCTACCGTTAGAAAAGCTTTGCGATTGTCATCGTACCTTGACTATTGAATCTGAAGCACTTGAGAGTCCTCTCGCTGGCGTTCTACGAACAAGCGGTCCCACGGACTGGACAGTCCGCAAAGCTGACCGACGCATGTTGTAGAGAGTCTTTAATCAATAAAGACACGGTTCAGCGTGAAAAAGAACAGAAGCGCAAGATTCTAGCTGTGACTAGAGTCAGGAGTGTGATTGCCGGAATAGTTTTCCCTTGCCGCGTCCGCCGCAAGTCCGCTCCGACTTTTGGCCGCAGATGGCTTATCTAATCGGATCAGCCTCACAGAGTCTGCGTCTTTAAAAGACCCTAGGAGATGGCATTATATTTCAATCTGAAATTATTGGTATCTGTCAGTTTACGTGTGTGTTATCGTTTTTATCAACTGATCTCTAGATCTATTTGTATCTTGGTATTCTAAGCTGACAGCAACGTATAGCCAGTGAATAGTTGTCAAAACATGAAGCATAGAAGAGTATTAAATACCATTAACCCAACCAGAAAGACAAGAAGAAGACAAGAAGAAATTTAATGCTCCGCTGCCCACTTTCTATACCATTCTAAGCACGCCGCATTAGCCACACTCGCAGACGTCTTGATATTCAGGCCACAGAGAATCTGTTTCACAGCATTCTCCACCTTCTTTCCATTCGAGGTCACTGGGATCTCATTCCCAGGACAAACATCGATAATACCCGGTACATGTCTTGCACTGAGTTCTTTGCGAATGGCCGCCTGAATCCTGCCGATCAAATCCTGCGAAATCTGCAGACCCGATGCTAAACTCTCTGGAGCGAGTTTCACGAAAAGCACAACTGTTTCATCCGTATCTATACCTTCGCGCCTGCGTCCAATGCACAAGGAATCTTCAATCTCGCTGGAAAAATGTTTCAAAATAACATTATATATCTCCGCGCTGCCGAATCGCACGCCTGCGGGTTTCAACACCCCGTCGCTTCGACCTAGCATGACCAGGCCGCCGGTTTCTGGGTTTACCCGTAAGAAGTCGCCGTGGTGCCATATGTGAGGGCCGAAGACATCGAAGTAACTTTTTCTATACTTCTCACTGCCTTCGGGCCCAGGGGGCCAAAACATCACAGGTTGTGCCGGGAAGGGCTTGGTGCAGACCAAGTCACCGGGCTCGTTTGTAGCCGTTATATCATTGCCAGCATAGTCAAATGTGGCTACCGCCATGCCCAAACCACGGCATTGAATCTCGCCCCGATGCACGGGCAAGATCGGGCATGAGGCACCGAAGAGAGAAATAATGTCAGTTCCGCCCGTGATAGACCCGAGCATGATATCTGGATGGAATGAAGAATAAATGTAATCAAATGTAGAAGGGGCTAATGGCGCTGCAGTGCTGAAAATTGCCCGCAACATCTCTAAATTCACTGGCCGGTGAGGATGGCTTCGTGGGTTTAAGGACGCTTGCTCGATTATAGAGAGGTATTTTGCAGATGTTCCAAAATGTGTTATTTGCAGCTCATCGATCAGCCGAGCCATGGCTATCTCGCCTTTCCCATCTTCAACATCAAGGGGACGAAAGGGACTTCCATCGTAGACTATAATTGTGGCACCGCTGGCAAGCGCCGACACGAGCCAATGCCACATCATCCATGTAGTCGTGGTGTAATAAAACAGTCTATCGCCAGGCCGTATATCAGAGTGCAAAACATGTTCCTTTTTATGTTGTATCAATGTCCCCAATGCGCCGTGCACAATGGGCTTAGGAGCTCCGGTGGTTCCAGATGAATAAAGAATATATACTGGATGATCTGGTTCCAGCAGCTCGAATTTCAATGGCGTGTCTAGATTTAAAGCTTCGACAATAAAGCTTTTGTAAACCGAGGCTGACCCATTTACAGGTTGTATCTTTTTCAAGTCAAGTTCCGCCGATTTCGTTGCCTGCAAGATCACAACACGCTCTAGGGATGGCAAACCCGCCACAATCTCCACGACTTTGGACTCGGTGGGGTGGACTTTTCCATTGTACAGTGAGCCGTTGTCTGCGAACAATAATTTCGGTTGTATCTGAACAAGACGTTCCAGCACAGCGTGGACGCCGGAATCTGGGGAGATGGCTGTCCAGAAAGCGCCGATCGAGGTCGCCGCCAACATGACCACCACGGCATTCACATGGTTCCCAACAAAGCCTGCGATTCGATCTCCGATGGTCACTCCATTCTGTCTCATGGCATTGGCGCATATCCGCACGCGCTCGCGCAATTCCTTCCATGTCACGAACTCGCGATCGGACTCGGTAGCGCCGATGATGGCGATCTGGTCGTCTCCTGGACAGTTTTCTGGGAACAGAAGATTCTCGGCGAAATTGAGGCGGCTGCCTTCAAAGAAACGAGGTTTAGGGTACAGCGGGGCATTAGGGTCAAGAACCTAAGGAAACCATGAGCCTGGTATACTGACAATGCGCATGAGGATACATACATTAGAATACGGCGAATGTGCCTTGACGGCTGTATAATGCCAGACTTCCTCCCAGAACTGGGCTGGTTCTGTAACACTCCATTTGTAGAGGTCGTGGTAGGTTTCCAGCTGCAGTTTGTATTTCTGGCTGACAAGTTTTTTGAATTGGTGGATCTGCGTCTTCTCAGGCGCTGATGGCTGCCACAGTTCTTTGGCCTCGGCGAGACCTGTAGTTGATGGAGGGAGCATATCAACAGTCTAGACAGAGAAACTTAGCAGTAATGATAGGTCCTCGACTCGAGCATTCTTGGGGAGTCTCTTGTGGAATGGTTTTATTCGCCGATCGTTCTTGCCGCGAGGCTGCGGGGAACTTCGGGTCTCGGCTTTAACTTTTGTAGTCCGCAAGCCAGCAGCCAGAGAAATATAGATTAGTCTTGAGACTTTCACTGCTCTCAATGAAGAGTTGAAGAAAATTCGACTATATATGGTCTTAATGATGCCTACTATAGCGGAGTGACTCGAGAAGCGGATGCGGGGATAGTACAGATAGTAGTGGTAACAGAAAGCGTGCAGAAATGCTGTGCTTCTCCCGAGATCCGACAGGTACAACCTCCAGGCTCACAGGCTAACCATATAATAACACAGGTGAGTATTTCCAGCCGATCAAAAGGCACTCATAAATTCCTGCTCGCAGAGACATGGACTGTTGGCGCCGTTTGCGGCATAATATCGAAGGATGAGGTCATTCATTAATCCGGCATTAGTTACGCTGCTTAACTTATCTCTCCGTATTCCAGGTTGCAGTCTGCATGATTCCGAAGCACTAGTAGTTACTATCAAGACCATTTCTATTAGTGCAAAAGAAAAGAAATAATGAAAACAAAGTTTGTATGCAGCATCTCCTAACTAATTAGTTGTCACGGCGAGTAAGAGCGAGCAAAAGAATCGAGGCCCGAGCAAGCTAGAGCCGGAAAGGTCTAGAGGCTGCAGCCAGCACCACGCTAAGCCGGCCTAGGACGGGCGGCGGGCGATCCAGGGGCAACAAATTTTCAATCTTACCCTTTGTACTGTGTACTGTATTGACAAAACAATACTAGATGTATTCATCTATCATTCGGATAATTGCACGTATATTTGAGTAAGTACAGGTCATGTACCCGTATTCCTAAATTGTATTTTAAGTAGTTAATCGTAGCTGCACACTAGCCCCGACGACTTATCTTCAACCACCTCACTGTCTTCATGTCAGGAATCCAGCTTGTTTATCCGCCCCCCTAAGAACCCTTCTTTGCTGTCCGCGAGGTGTTGGGCAAGGCATACAATTCCTGTCAAGAGCGCCTGAGCCGCCAGGGCTGTCCACACCTGGACCCCGCGTGTGCCTTTGACCGCCTATCTGCGATATTGAGCTGATCGGACTCATCAAGCCTGCTACGGCAGCGAGCGGAAGGGTATGCCATCCTATCTCCAGACTCCGTACCAAGTGCTGTGCGCTCCATGCTGTCGGAGCACTCGGGATACTTTTCCAACGTCATGTGGCTACGAGTCTCCAACGCGTCGATTGCCGGCTAACCTCCTTTAAACAGTTATCCTACTTTGCTCGCGCCTCACGCAGACCACTTCTTGAATCGGGTCTGAAGCTTATCCACCGAGCGTCAACTGAAATACTCTGTGGCGACCCGATTGGAATTGGTGAACCCCATCCCCCATATCACCTGCCAACACAATTGCGATGCCTCGTCGACCCTCGAGCCCTTTCTCCAGCAACTCCTCCCCCGCAAACCGTCCATCCTCGTCCTCGGCCACAGAGAAGGGTGGCATTTCGATCAAAAACCCAATCTCCAAGTCAAATCGCCTGGCTCAGCTCTTTTCTACATCGCCCAAATCCAAGGCGGAGCCCAAGTCTGAGCCCTCGGCCGCCCACGCCGCTCTTCTCGCAGCCAGCAGATCGACTCCGCCTCCAAATTCTGGTGTGCCAATTAGCTCCGCTTCGTTATCGCTTCCTACAATATCGCTTTCCACGGCAAAGGCTGATAGCCCCAATATGGACGAGCCGCCGACTACGTTGTTTAAGCCTCCGTCTCCGGAAGAGTCGAGGCGACTGGCCAAGCAACATGCCCAGTTTGCTCCTATCAGTCATCCAACCCACAGATATTCAAGTCGGCACCCAGGCGGGCATTTCCCCGAACCTGTAATGGACGAACCGCCGTATTATTACCTCTTGACGACGTATGTTAGCTATTTAATACTCATTGCTTTCGGTCACGTTCGAGATTTCTTCGGGAAACGCTTCAAGGAAGAGAATTATCGACACTTGAAGTCACGGAATGGTTATGGTGCTCTGAATAGCGACTTTGATAACTTCTATGTCCGTCGGTTGAAGCTGCGCATTAATGACTGCTTTGAACGCCCAGTAACGGGAGTGCCGGGTCGCTATATTACTCTCATTGACCGCTCTACCGATGATTATAACCGACACTTTTATTTCACTGGGACTACTACTGATACCCTGAACATGAGCTCCTATAACTACCTTGGTTTTGCTCAGTCGGAAGGTCCTTGCGCAGATGCCGTTGAGGAGAACTTGCGCAGATATGGAATCAGCGTCAGTAGCACTCGCGCCGAAGCAGGGACAACAGATCTTCACCTTGAAGTTGAGGACCTAGTCGCTCAATTCGTAGGCAAAGAGGCCTCTATGGTTTTCTCCATGGGCTTCGGCACCAATGCGAATATATTCTCGACCCTGGTCGGCAAGGGGTGTCTGATCATCTCAGATGAGCTGAACCACGCATCGATCCGGTTCGGTGCACGTCTTTCCGGGGCATCCATTGGTATGTTCAGACACAATGACATGAAATCGCTCGAAGAAAAACTACGCGAGGCTATTTCTCAAGGTCAGCCTCGTACACATCGTCCATGGAAAAAGATCCTGGTTGTCGTCGAGGGGCTGTACTCTATGGAAGGGTCAATGTGCAATTTGCCAGGCTTGATCGCACTCAAGCGGAAATACAAATTCAACCTCTTCATTGACGAGGCCCACTCAATCGGCGCTGTTGGCCCTCGTGGACGAGGTGTCTGCGATTACTTTGGCGTCGACACTGCCGAAGTAGACATTCTAATGGGAACCTTGACCAAATCATTCGGCGCCAACGGTGGTTACATTGCTGCCGACAAGGTAATGATCGATTCCCTCCGTGCCTCCAACGCCGGTGTCATCTTTGGCGAAGCCCCAACTCCGCCCATCCTTACGCAGATTCTGACCTCTCTCCGCCTCATTAACGGCGAGATTTTACCCGGTCAAGGAGAGGAGAGACTGCAACGATTAGCATTCAACTCCCGCTATCTGCGGCTTGGCCTGAAACGTCTCGGGTTCATTGTCTACGGTCACGACGACTCCCCCATTATCCCTGTCCTCCTGTTCAACCCGGCCAAAATGCCCGCCTTTTCGCACGAAATGCTCAAACGCAAAATCTCCGTTGTCATCGTCGGTTACCCAGCCACCCCACTCGTCTCATCTCGCGCACGCTTCTGCGTGTCTGCCGCACATAACAAGGAAGATCTCGATCGCCTCCTGACGGCCTGCGACGAGATCGGGAATGTCCTCCAACTCAAATTCTCCACAGGTATTGCCGGCGGCGCCGTGCCTCCACCAGAGGGCATGACACCGGAAATGGAGAAGGAATGGCATCGTCAACACCGCGCCGGTAATGGCAACATCGAGCCTCCGCGATGGCGCATTGAGGATATCATTCGTCGCGGCGTTCAGGATACAAAGCGGCCCTTGATCTAGTTGTATAACTAGTAGTACCTGTCTGTTGGCGCCTGTCTTCTGGGCACCACCTGTCTTTCTTTCTCTTCTTCCCCTTTTCTTCTCATGTATAAAAAAAGCGTTTCCCTGTTGCAATCAGACCGAAATGTCAATCAACCTTGCCTATAAATTATACAGTAATGCCATGATAGACTTGAATCCTCTTGTTCGTAAATATAATGAACCAATCAGATGTCAACTGGTAGTATGTATGTATAAACGCTAGATATCATTCATCAATCATTCTAACTTTCCGTCATGCAAACAAGTCTATCAGAACAGATAGCACGGTGTATATATATACTGTACAAGACAGTCCAATCAATGCATACAACATGCAAGAACCATTTAATAAGCAACCACGATCCGAATCTAAACCCTCAAATCTTATCTCATCATAAACAATGCCCACCCGCTCACAATGCAAAAAACCAAGTCACTCAATCGCAGCTCAAAAATCAAACAGCGCCATAGCCATGTCTCTCGTCTCGATCAGTGTCATTAACCAGCAATGCTTGCTGTTCTCCCTGCGACGCCGTCGTTGAACGCGAGTTGCTTCGTATCAACCGATTAAACTCGCCCGATGGCACCCACCCTCTCATCCACCCGCTCACCCGTCTCCATCGCTGGCGGTGCGAGTCGTTCGGATCATCCACCTTCACCAACAACGGCGCATCGCGTTCGCCGTAGAGCAGGAATTGCACGCCCACAAAGGCATCGAGACTCAAGACGCCTGCGGCGCCGAGGAAAAATGGGAGTGCGAGGGCAACCCATTCCTCGCGATTGTTGCCGTCTGCGTCAGCCCACCCGCCACCGCCGTATGGGGCAAAGTCGAACCAGGCGTTCGGGTTAGTGAGGAGGGAGGCTGAGTAAAAGAAATTCCCGCTGAAGGCTGCCATGAAGAGCAGTGGCGATAGGCCCGAGGTGCTTTTGCGGATGTAGTTCTTGTATAGCTGTGGAAGACGGGAGCCGAGGTAGAGGATTGTCGACATCCAGGAGAGAATGCGGCCTATGGTCTCGGTGTTGAGATGGTGCGAGGAGTCAGTGGTTGGGTTGGTTGATGGTGTTGGGGATGCGTTTGCTAGGACAGCGCAGAGCATGGATGTGAGCATTATCGTCTTAGGCGACACGCCGAGAGGGAGACTGCCGCTTGCTCCAGACTCGCGGGGTACGCGTCGGTGGTTGGATTTTTCAGAGTACGATGGCGAATAGAACTGGGGAGATTCAGAGCCATACTTCTTGGGGATTCCCACGTCTTTCGGTTCCGATGGACGTGAGAGGGGAGACGGCTGTGCGTGTTTGGAGGCCGTGTCGCGGTCTATCCGGATACCCTCGAAGACGGAAGCGTTGTCGTCGTCGTCGTCGAAACTACTACCGGCGCTATCTTTGCCCTTGTGCGATTTCTTGACATATGTGTACCAGTAATGTTGGAACACAAGAACAACGTCAACGAAGACGTAGTACGACGCAATGGTCACCTGCCATGACGCCTGCCGCGTGAGAAGCGCCCCGACTAGATTCGTCGTATCTCCCAAGCACCACTCTACCAGGAAAAATGCTGAGAGCCCCGCGGTCGATTGGAGTTTGTAGTTCTTGTATATCTGCGGCAACTGGGCGAACAGCCAGGACACAATGCTCAGACAGCCGAGGATCGACGATATCAAGCCAAGCGTGCTGGGTATGCAGATGTGAAGGGTAGATGAAAGCAGCGCGAGGAACTCCGAGGACGGCTCGCAATGCTGGGGCAGCGAGTGGCCGGACGAAAAGGACATGGTCCTTCTACTGTATCTAAAGGTGGAGGAAAGCGAGATCACGGTGTCATTAGTCGGAAGAGACAGCCGCACAGAGGGTCAAACACAACGCAGAGGTCTATGGTCTGGTCTTGTCTTGTCTTGTCTAGTGTAGTAAAGCAGCAGGCGGCGATATATACGGTGTCGTTCAATGTGTGACTCAGCTGGCGAGTCTAATCTCGTAGGAATGGGCGGAGAGCGCGCGTGACGGGTCTTGGACGTTATCGGAAACTAGGCATGCGCTATCAGGTAAGAGCCCCACGGAGAGATTGTGGAGGTGACTTGTAAGTTGTCGGATAGGTAATGGAATACAGCGTCTATGAATGAAGGAGAGTGTACAGAGAGGGAAAAAAGGAAAAGAACAGAAAAGAAAAAAGAATCGGAGAAAAGGGATGGAAGAAGAAAATGCAACCCTGAAGGCGCAGTTCGGACGCAGAACAACACATCTGAGATGTCTGCAGGACACGGCGATAAGACGTCGGCGGGCTGATTGGGCGGCCAGCGGCTCCCCCCCCGCGCACACGATCGAGGGTCCGTCAGCCGATCCTGTCATCTAGTTAATCTTTAGTTAATCCTATTGCTAAGCTGATAGGTGAGCGTATTGCTTTTTCTGCCTCCGACAACGGGGCGGTGGCAAATCAGTATTCAATAATAATATGAGTCTGCGATGTTTTGCGGGCTGGCTGAGACGTGCTGATCGCCCGGATTGAGTTGCTACTCGTTCGTATTTCTTGGACATGCGTATTCATTTTTAATAATAATTACAGCATTCTGATTTTTAGACACGACGCGTGTAACGTTGAATATTTTGTTGGAAAAGAAGTTGCTAGGGTTAGGTCGAAACCCTAACTTGGAAATTAGGGCTTGCGAGATCACCGGTTGGGTTTGTAGCCTCAGGCACCAATCCTTACGCCTATGCCTATGGCATATTGCCCTCTCTTCAATGTTGCTATTGTTTCGAACTCAACAAAAAAAAAATCCCATGTCATTACTTCTTGTCGTCAATGGCACACCTTCCCCAATTCTATCTATCTTCTTATGATTTAGTAAATGCATATCACAATCATTCAATCATTATAATTCCTGTAGGTTTTGAACAAAAATGAGATTAGATCAATTCTAGACCAATATCTAGCTGATACAACTATTAGAAGCGTTATGAACTAATAGATTTTTATATGTCTTTAATCAGGCATCATTAACCATCGTACTTCAATATCGGCATGGCTTAATCGATAACAATTTAGCCCTATTGTCGCGTCAATTGTGCCTGGGCGACAAGATCACTCCACTCGAGGCCAATAAATTGCTTGATTCCCTTTGGACCTGGTTCATCTTTCATACGCACATCGAATGCCTCTGCACCAAGCAGCACAAGGTGTTTGATTAGCAAAGCAGCATCTTCATTAGTCTTTTTTGCTGCTGCGTGGAGCGCCGTCATTCCTACTCCACCATATACTAGTCTGCCAGACCGTGAAATTGTCCTCCTTGGGTGATCGATCGGTGCGCCATACGACAGAAGCTGTTTAGCGAGGGAAAGGGTACAACTTGACTTGGCTACCCGCACCAAGATGGCCCCCAGTGTGGATCTATCAATGTCATCTTTGAGCTTCTCCAGAGTGTGTTGCAACCTGGTTTCCTTCAAAATACTGCCTTTAATGCCACTGAAAACTTGCTGTCGAAAAACCTCATTGACTAGGCCCGGCCCTTCGCACACATCGACTAAGAATAATGGATCCATATTTTGACGGGACTTTTGACTTTTTATCTTGTCAATGATATATTGTTCCCACATTCCATAGATTTCCTCTGACTTGACGCCAAGCACCGTCTTCATCAATTCGGTACAATCATCCGTATCAGACCTTGCAATAACCCACTCGGCACATTCGGTATCCTGGCTCCTCATGGCTGCTTTGACGATTTTCAGTGGCACATTCGTCTCGTCCGGCGGAGCTAGAAATCTTGTTATGGCTAGGGAACCCTGTTGGGCACCAATAAGCCGTGCCGAAGCAAGGACTTCTGGACTGAGCTTTTTCCCACCTGGTGAGGCTACTAAGCGTCGTATATTTTCGAAATCACCTTCCATAACTAGGGCAAATAGGAGAGGCTGGATGTCTACAGTATTCATGTTAGAGAGGTCATCTACACTGAACTTTGAAGCATGGATTTCAGCCAAGTGTTCGTCACATCGCTTTTGCGTATTGAACCCCAGTGTAAAATATATGCAATTCGGCACTGGGCATTTGCATGGCCGTTCGTGGTGTGTGATATGGGCATCTCTGTCGTGTCTTGTTTCAAATCCCTGGCGACTATACGTGCAAAACAGGTATGTGCATTTGAATAGACGTGGGACGTAGTGAGTTTCTATCTTCTTGTATGTGCCGTTATCGTGTACTAATTCTTCGTAGAGGTCCTGAATCCGGACCAGCATTTTTGAAGTGTTTAGAGGATCAAAATTGACCCATGCTTCGCCTAGAACAGTCTCGGTGTTAGTGACTTCTACTCTGCGAAGGGGGAAGACACTTACTATTGCTCTGGTTCCAGCTCCATCGCTTCTCTGCTATGTGAAACTGGAATGTGCGACGAGCGCATTCATATCCAATTGGCCAGTGATTTTTATAATGATCATTTGCATACGGTGGTTCTCGACTGTTGACCATCGGCTGAAATTTATCATTGCTACAATGCCGAGCCAAGCGGTCCAGCAGCCTGCCAACCGATTCTGACACCGGGCTCATGCTATTCAGACGTTGGAGTAATGTAGGTAAATAAAAATGTGCATATTGGAGCAGTCGATATTTACCGCGCATAATGTCACGGGAAATTCGATCGTCGTCGACATCGGGTTCCAGTATACCAGAGTCAAGATAGGCTAAAAATGCCGCGGCTAGGTCTCGTGTGGCTTCTCTCTTGTCAATAAAGTCAGGGATCTCTCTGCTGAAAATGTACCTAGTAATCATATTAATCATGCAATACTTTCACTGAATGCCGTCAGATGAAGGAAGAGGATGTGAACCTACTCCTGGACGGTGAAGTGGACAAACTGCAATTTGCCATTTACGATCTCAATAAAAGGGCCACACATGTGGAGAAAGTCCAGACCAAAAAGCTCAGTCGAGACACGAGAAACACCGTTGGCGCGGTAAACTGATAGTGCTTGTTTCATTTCGAAGATCGTCATGGGTATAGGGGCGCATCCGATCCAGCCTAGGATTTTTCTGCGTTTTTCTCGGCGGGGAGGAGGTAGCTTATTGATTCGCTGGAAAATGCGTTTGTAACTGCATTACCACTCAGTTCTAACCATATGGCTTTTGGGAGGAGGAAATTTGCATTTGAAACTCACGCGTCATCCAAGTCATTCGGCAAGGCTTTGAGCTCGCTGCGAATCTCATCCATGCTGTTGATTTCCGCCACACTGTCCATAATAATACGCGCAAAGAGGAACATGCCTGGAAACGAGAAGTGAATTTTTCAGCACGCTACTATGTTCATATGTAGAGAGGGGGTGCAACTAACCTTTTGCCTTCGCTGATAAAGGAGACAGGAGCACACGCAGCTCAAGCTCGGTATTGGGATCAAACCTATGACTCTTTATCAAGTCATCGAACCTGCTATTGATGTACGTTTGAATGCTACCAGAGTTCCTTTCATTAACTTGGATATTAGTCGACTTTCCTTCCAGTGCTTTGTATATGTCTGCTTCCAATCGACAGCAGACAAGAAACCGCAGCTCATCGCATCCTTTCGAGAGCTCCTCCAACTTTTGTAGAAGGATTTGCCGTTCTGAGCACTCCATCTCATCAAGGCCATCGATAACAACATATGTAGGCCCGGCTGTCTGGAGCCAACTCTTGAGCAACTTCATGACATAGCCAGTGTTTCCGCGAAGTTCGCGCTCTTTTGCATCAACCAAAACGGACTGGAAATCCGGGTCATCCTCAGCGGCTTGGAAAATAAACGATTGCAGAATGGTGAGGGCTGTTTGGCTGGTATTGTTGGTATAACTGAGGAACGCGAACAGGGTTTTATTTTGCTTGTGTTGCCTGAGGTGGTCGATGGCTGCGCCGCATATGTATGTTTTCCCTGCTCCAGGGATACCATGGAACCAAAGCCATGCGGAGATTTGACTCCCCTTTCTGGAATCATCTCGCCAGCTACAAAATGCGGCATCTTCCAAAAGCCACTTTTCACAGCCTGAAACAGACCTGTTGCGAATCCAATCCAGCCGTTCATCATGGAAATCGACGGAGAACCGATCCCGCAGGCTGGAAAACTTCTGACGCTGCTGATACTTGTGTGTTTCATCAAGAAGATCAAGAGACCGAATACGGTGGTCACGGGCTTCTCTGATATCGGCAAGTGTTACTCCCTCCCTCAGCAGGGTTGAATGTTGTCTGAGGTTAGTTATCACCTCGTTGAACTTCTTGACCTGGCCGTCCCATAAAGCATCAATCAATGTCTTCCAGTCTTATTCGAATGGTTAATTGGTTAGCACGCCTATTTTTGGCGGTTTATCAAGAGCACCTACGTGGCTTGCGGAAAAAATCAAAGCTAATACGGTAAAATTCCAGAATATCTTCAAATAGCAAACCCATCGCGGCCTTGATAGCGTCGTTGGCCCCGAACAGGCTACCGATCAGATCCATATGCGGCATGGCGTGTCCTAGTTCTACCAAGGTGTTCGTGAATTTATCCTGAGCGGTAGTCACTTCACTCGACCACAGCAACAGGAGTTTCAATGGGCCCCAGATCAAAGCCATAATCTCTGGCTTAACTTGCACAAACGTCTCAATAACCCCAGCATATCTATTGAGACAGTTGAGGAAAGGCTTAATCTTGTTCAAATGACGACTATTTCCCTGCTTCTGTTCCTGAAGCTTCTTGGTCGCATCGTAGACATCGTTGATATTGCTGGTCGCCAATATCTGCTTATAGATGTCTGGGTCCTTGAGTTTTGTGCGGAATGAATGTTTCGCGTCGGCGAAAGCCTGCTGGACGGGATCGATGGACGCCATGGTGGATCGATGAACGTCTGTACGTGGGTTGAACCGGAACGCCTCTCATAAATAGAGACTTCCTGACCAGAATCTGCAAGGCAGTCTGGCGCTAAACAACTAGCCATAATAATATGCAAGTGACCGCATTACACAGCCACAAGACAATAACTCCGTCACATTTAGCGTTTCAGGCTGAATCCGATCAGCTGGGTAAATAGATAAATACACACATGAACCGACTGATCAAGGAAGTCAAAAATAAATATATATATTTGAAACTTTAACGGACCGAGATGGCCACACCCGAAAAGCGGGGGGTCCCGCTCCCCGCCAACGAACAAGCCGCCAACAAGAAACCCAAGAAAGGCCCATCAGATAAAGTCTATATTGATCTTACAAGCAACGGTCCCTGGCATTCAGTTCCTATAATCAGACAAGACCAGCCCGCCGAAGCGGATCCAGTGTATGACACATGTTTTGGATTGGTATTCACCTCCCACTTGCTGTCTCTAATGGAGTTAACGCGCCTTCTAGCTCTGTATGCAAGCGATCTCCTCCCCGGGATGTAGTGGGCCATCTGAATGCACCCCTGCTCGGCTGAGATTCGAGGGGAAGGTGGTGTGTATTTCCTTAAATACCGCACAGGATACTGTTGCGATTTTGGTGTCCGAGACGCTGTCACGCTTGGTTCACGAGTTTGCAGTGACCATGAATGCAACCCTATGCGGCAAGAAACAAAAGACTAAACACGATAGCAAGAAGCAAAAGGACCAATACAATACAGACCCAAGATTTCTTTCCGTGAGGATCATTTTGTATGGACTTCTTCAGCAACAGGATGCGATTGCGGACACTCTGGCGGGAGGGGGGTTGTTTTTACAACACCCTGGAGAAACAGAATTCAACCGAAATGTAAAGTATGTTAACCCGCAGTACTTGTTGGGGCCAGGCCAAGAATTACCCCCCATAGAGGAACTCTCAGTGTCCACATGTTGTGCACCTCATGGACAGCGATCAGCAAAGGTCAGTGACGTTCTTAACGAAAGCGAGGTCAACAAAGTCCAGAAGATATTCGACACGGCGACTTCGTTGGATGAATTGATTCCGATGATTAAGCCAAGCTCAAGACTGGTGACGCAACTCAAGAGGCAAGCTTTCACCTCATTATGAAGGTAGATTAACATGAACTAACGGTTCCTTCATAGGCATCAAATAGAGGCCTTGGTCATGATGGTCGAGAAAGAAGAAGGCATATATGAGAAATCACACTTCCCAACGATATGGAATGTCTCCAGAGGTCCGAATGAGCAGTCTCGGTAAGTCTTAAGCCATAAATATACCCAGCTGTCATCGCGATACGGAGGAAAATTGCTGACCAAGAATGGCGCTTTATATTTAGCTATCAGAATATTGTAACCGAACTATATGCAATGTCCCCTCCTCCACCAATTGGCGGGGGGATACTGGCAGATGTACTGTTGAATTCCTCATGACTTACCGGGGCACTCGACTCAGCTAATTGCATCTAGGAAATGGGATTGGGCAAGACGTTGTCGAGCTTGTCAGTCGTTTGTCATTACCTAGACCAGATCAACAAAAATCTGCCGTTGAGCAAAAACATTCCAAGGACTACTCTGGTCGTGACCCCTAAGTCAAGTATGATAGGACCCTCATAAAACATCAACTTTATTTAGATGTGTATAGATCATTTGCTAATCTCAGTAGCTATCTACGGATGGGAGCAACAAATCAGCAAGTACGCACGTTCTATCCTCTGCTTTGTTTCTTGATTCCTCATCTTATAAAATTTTTCACTCATATTTTGATCATAGCCATATTCACCCGGAGAAAATCCGATGGATTACATATTATGGATCTAACCGCCAAGAGACTGCATCCGACATTAGCTTGTACGATATTGTAATAACCACATATGATACACTCAGGTCCGAGGAGATCAGAAAAGGTCCTTTGTTTGCAAATGAGTGGGCCAGAGTGATTCTTGACGAAGGTACTGCCACGCTCTCTCACTCCATCACCATTATAGATATCTCAACCGTGTCCATTTTCTGACAGTTAGGATATCCCTATAGCTCACAGAATTCGAAATCGCAATTCCAAGACATTTCGAGCTGTTCGCTCTCTACGCAGTCGGCACCGATGGTGCCTTACCGGGACACCCATTCAAAACTCTCTAGACGATTTTGGAGCACTCCTAGAGTTTATCCAAACGCCTTCTCTCCAAACCAAGGATTTATTCATCCAATACATTACTAGGCCGATCAAGGAACGGAAAAAGGACAGTATAGAGATGCTCCGAAGGGTAGTGGCCGCTACTTGTTTACGTCGAACCAAAAGTTCTCACTCTGTAGAACTCAACTTGCCACAGAAGATAAAACGTGAAGTAATTGTGAGATTGGATCCTGATGATAGAGAATTATATGAGTTCTTCAAACGTTTCTCGTATCTGATGGCAGGAAACGAGAAAGTACCTCAAAGGCAGTCCGCCACCAATATTCTGGTTCTGATTTCTATACTTCGCCTAATCTGTGATCATGGGGAGGCCCTGCTTACAGCTGCGGCACGCAAGGCGTGGAAAGAGCGAGATGAAAAGCTGCTTACTAGGACAATGCTCGAAACAAATGTCAAGCAGTGTATCTTCTGCTACAGTGATGTGGAAGGAGAAAATGGGAGCGAGCTTGTCGTCGAGGAACTTGGTTGTGGACATGTCATTTGCGACATCTGCGTAACAAAGTTGCCGAGTTCTGACAGCCAGCTCTCTTGTTTACACTGTAGTGTAGATAAGCTGCAGTTTCCATCATCACCTACAAGGGAGGCGTTGTCGCCAGCAGGACTAACGAACCCTGCGGGGCTGCGATCACCACCATCCGCCAAGCTGAAGGCGATTCTGCACAATATCTTACAGAGGCAGGAGCCGAGTGGCATGAATTCACAACCCCGCAAAGCGTATGAAACGAATACCCTTCATACAGCCTATTGATTGCAGCTGTCTTCTGACTACTTCTAGTGTGGTTTTCAGTTACTGGACGAAAATGCTGGACCTGATAGGAAATGCCCTTGACGAGAGACAACTGTCGTTCCAGCGTATCGATGGCCAGCTATCCTTATCCCAGCGTAAGGAAGCTCTCGAGAAGTTCGGCAACGACTCTCGATGTAACATCATGCTGGCGAGCATTGGAGCAGCTGGCGAAGGGTACACATTCTTCCCCCCTTCCCTGATTATGTTCCTAATGGAGTCCCTCCGCTGATCATCACGGTAGTATTGACCTCACTGCTGCAACCTCTGTTCATATTGTAGAGCCTCATTGGAATCCTATGGCTGAATCTCAAGCTGTTGACCGTGTACATCGTATCGGTCAGACACACGATGTGGAGGTGGTTAGGTATATTGTTGATGAGTCAATTGAAAAGGTATGTTCTCCCACACGGGTTATTTGGAGATTACTAACGGAAATCGTGTGTTGGCTTCGTGTAACAGTATATCCAGTGGGTTCAGAACCACAAATTGCGCATGATCAATGAATCTCTTTCAGAATCTGAACAGAATTTGCAAGCGTCAGAGGTCCGATGGAAGGTAAGTCATGTTTTTAGCTGAAGGCCAAGGCAAACTCTCACTGTTTTTAGAAATTGCTAGAATTCCTCGAGTAAAATGGGATGGGTATGAGTCACCAAATTTCCAAAGACAACAAGTAATCACATAATGAACCGCCCTAGTTCATGACAAATCTACGAATAAGGACTACGTGAATGAGGGAGTTACTGGTTGGTTTTCATTTGAATCCATGCTCTAATACCTATCTTTAGTGCACGGTGACATTGATTAAACTGGTCCTCGGAAAAATCGCGAGGAGATTTCGATAGGGTATAAAAATGCTCTTCTATACGTCCTTGGAATATACTGAGCATGTACATTTGTAATAATAAAACGTCTCCAAATCGATTGAACCTTTTTTAACCACGAATATGACAAAAAGGCCTGTCTAACTCTCTTTTTTTGGCTGGAGGGGTCTTCCCCGACTGTGGTGGAACTTGTGGACGAACCGTTGTCTGATGAGGGAAAAAACCTCAGAGTGCTATCTTGATTCTTGAAGTTTTAGACTACTGTATTGGAATGACTATTTACTCTTGATGAATATTAAAAGTGTATATCGATAAATGACAATATTTACAACTGTAGGTAGATTGAAAATAAGAAGTAGAAATTAATCATTACCATAAGAATACCATCATATATTGCGTAGTGGTCAAGCTGAGGATAATAAATGTCAGTAGGCTTCAATAGTGAGGACCATGATGGAGAAAAGTAACAAAAGCAAGGTCTTCTTATAGTTTAGGGCAATATTACCTGATGTCTCAGAGCGTTCAGTGAGTATCCATTCTAGACTCTGAACGCTCACTGATCACTCACTAATCCCTCTGGAGCTCGTGGGTCCTACTCAGTGAGCGATCAGCGAGCCCGGCTGAGCATAAAGTGTCGTGAAACTGAGTGTTGTAGCATCGCACATGTCATTTAAGTGGATATGCTATATCCCACCTGCTCACTGATCCATCAGAATCACTCACTATGCGGCAGAACTAAGAGGGATCGATATAGCGTTCCAGATCGCACTCGACACACACGCAAAGGCGAGCACTCCCCGCTAGTGTGTTGTCTTTACCGATAATCAAGCAGCTATTCAAGTGATGGCCACCTCGAATTACCCATCGGGACAATATATCCTAGCGGAAGCTATACGATCTCTCGACAAACTCCGAGATCAAAGCTAGGAGATTCAGATCTGATGGATTCCAGCACACGTAGGGATACCAGATAAGGAAGCAGTCGACCGGGTGGCTTCATGCAACTGCCTACAGTCATATAGTCGCAAGACCTGCGTCTTCTTGAACTTGAGGACTCAATTGGAAAGTGTCTCGGTACGAAGCCCATCATCAACCCCATATGTCCACGAATATCGTAAGACCAGCGATTGGCGAAACACCAGGTCTGGGTGCAGCCCACCGGATCCGTGTTCCTTAGCATAACCCATCACCGAATCCAGCGCAACTTTGCCAGCCACGAGCCGCGACACTGGCGTCGCAGCCAAGAGAGTAATGCCCTGCACGAGGGAGGGTAGGTCCCCAATATCTGCCACAGACTGGATCTCGTCCAGACTTGACATCAAGCTGACGGCGAGGGTGAGTACGACGCATTGCTCTACGCGCACCTCCTCGAGCGTGCTGACGTGCCGACGAATAAACCCAAGGAGCTTCTTCGGCCACAGCGAGACACGCGCGAGCCTGAAGCGCCGCAAGTTCGGAAACACCGCGTGCTCGTACCTGGCTAGCGACTCCGAATCCCCTGGCAACGCGAGTGAGAGATCCTGCAGGTGCGGCATTGAGGCCAACAGGTCACGTAGCGTACCGTCATGCACGACGCTCGGGTCTTGGGCCAGACCACAGCCGATGGTGATGTCCAGTTTTGTGAGGTGCGCGCACGATCTTAGCGATTGGATCAAGGGCTCGGCGAACGAGCTACCATCTTTGTGGAAGATGGCGCATGAGACGCCTGAGACATAGGGCGGCACTAGGCCCCAGTCATAGAGAATATCGTGGGATGCGTCAATCCGGAACTCAGTGAGACGTGATTGCAGCGTTTTGTCGGACAGAGCAATGAGCGTGACGTAAATGCCACGCGACTCGCGAGCGAAGCAGCGTCGTCGTGGGCTCCAGCGTCCAGCAGGATTGGGCCCGAAGCGACCAATGGAGCGGCCGACCGAGCGGTCGCTGTCGCTGTCGCTGTCGCTGTCGCTGTCGCTGTCGCTTTCCCTGTCAATAAAATCTCGGTGCATATTATCTGTGTCCTGCTGAGTGTTAGTGCCGTTCCTCAGTTGAGACCGCCGCTCTTCGTTCCTGGCCAGGAGATCTTGTGTATCTGCCTCGCTCTCCTCTCTGCCGTATGGCTCGCCATTCTCGTCAATGGCATGCTGGAGAACGTCGTCGTATACTTCGCCTCTGGTCCACTCTTCCTCCCTATTGCAGGGCTGCCGCCACCATGCCCAATCGCATCGTGGAGGAAACGGCGGCCGCTCTCGGTGTTCGCGGCCAAGCTGCCTCCACTGCCGCACGGTTGGACTGGACGACTGCTGGCTCTGTGCTCCGGTCTTGAAGCTCTCGTCGGCGGTTCTGTTTGTCAGAATTAAGCTCTTTAGAGCGGTTAATCTTGGCAAGGCCTCCTTCAGAGCCACGATGTCGGCGCGCATAGCCAGATTTTGGTGGTGCTGGCCCAGTATGCCAACCAGGTGATTGTAAGAAACCCTATTTGGCTCTCGCGGCCATTCTCGACCCTGTACATCAAACGGTTCGTCGTCAGCAAAGTATGGCTTCCGCCTATCTTTCCAAAACTCGGATTCCCGGACGGCGAGGGCCCGGTAGTTGTTCCACACCCCCAATGAAGGGGCGAGGCTGGTGTCGTCGATAATGAGCTCCCTCACATTTCCGGCCAACTCTGTATTTGCGGCGACAAGTTTGAAAACCTGCAGATCTAGTGGGTGGTTTGAGAGGTAAAGGATGGGGAACAGCCATCGTGCTGACGCCGTACAAAGGCGTTTCGACGTTGCACGTAGAGCTTTGACGTCTCTGCCGGGAAGGTAGCTGACCACTTCCTGTATGATCTCATCGGGCAGGTTGTTTAGGCTCGACATCTTGCCGGTGTTGGGGTATGGATATGGAAACTGGTTCGAAGCTTTTCGCTAGCAAGTGCGGGGTGGTCTTTTCGCCTACCCAGTCGTCCTCCAGTTAGCAGCTTCACAAATACGAGGTCGCCCTGGAATTAATCTTTCACATAGAATGGATATTATAACACTGAAGATTTTGCAGATTGGCTTATATTAAAATTGATTTCAGCACTCGGTCAGATATAACGATTCCCAATGGTTATTGTCCTCTATAACGTTAAAATCCATACGCGCAAACATGTTAGTTGGATTATTGAGAGTGTAGGACATCTTGTTCGATATCTATCGCCGTATTCCCCATATTTAACCCGATCGAACTCACCTTCAGCGTTCTTAAGTCATAGATGAAAAGAAAATGAATTTTCTTATGTGAGACGTGCAGCGACTGCGGCGAATTTATCGAACTTTCGATTCAACAGAGTCGTTGTGATAGGTTCACTAAAAACACGTCAAACATGCGGAGGATGGAGTGTGTATCGAGGAGAAAGGACCCGTTGAATTTCATCAATTTCTTGCGCACTACGAGGCAAGTTTAAGTGTCAACTTATTTAATGCTTGATACTAAATAACAAGAACATCTAATCTAAGCAATTCATTACGTTATGATCTATTTTACTACCCCTATTTGGGTATTGCAAGTGAAATTTCAGAACAGCTTCTGAAGAGCAACGGCGTACATTAAATAGCAAAGAATGGTCAATAGTCATAATTTTTTGCCCCAACTATATTAATTTCAAATTACCTCGAACAGAGCCGGAACCCTATTCTTTCATGGAATGAACTCCATGGACACTACCTTCGGTATCGACAAAACGACCATAAAAGCCCATATCACCGCCGATTGCTCTTTTTGGCCTAAAGAAAGATCGAGTTATGAATCAACGTCGGTCACTAACCTCGAAAGAAAGAGGGAAGAAAGGAGTATATGAATACAGTCAGGCGAGGATGCATACAAATAAACTCTTCCTCCACTCTGCTCCACTTTCCTCAACGTTTCGTCGACACTAGCAACAGCGAAGGTTGTGGTCACTGCCCACCGCTCCTTATTCTCGTTCATTGGGGCAAGTGAAGTGGCGAGAAAGTTGTTGGGCTCGACATGCATGAAGCAACCTTGTGTATTTCCTCCCTTGCTACTAAAGAAGAAGATCTTCATCACGCCAGGGTCCTTGGAGTCGAGGCCTTCATCCTTACAGTCCCAGCCGAAGACTTCCCGGTAAAATGGCAAGGCACGACTAGGGTCTTTGACGGGTATTTCCAACCAGCAGACCTCACCAAACTGATGCACAAGTTATCACTTCACTCCATTCAATGAAACAGAAGTACTTTTCTTACTCGACACGGGTCGCTATCTTCCTGTGAAGACATCTTGGCACTGTTTTTGAGTACTTGGGATATTGATTAAGAGTTTTAGCTAATTAGAGCTTGCGGGAGTATTGCTAATAGCACACACAACCACCTAGGCTCGGGAAACAAGGCATTCTTTATGTAGATTTTCTCGCCATGGCTGCACCTCGTCATTGCATTTAGGCAGGTGGCGTTACCAAAGGGCTCGACCAGGGATATTACGAGAAAGGGCAAGAAGGAGCCAATAAAGACTGCGCTCAAATACGATTTTCTTCTGGATCACGAAGATAAGGTTGTCGTCCCAGCGAGTCATAATGGCCAGCGACATGTGATGGTCACCTGGTCTCGCGTACTCGACGTGCCGTGCGGGGAACCTCAGGCGCGGGTTTGAAACCATGTGGCGTTGAATGGACGCGTCGAGACTCGTATCTTCTTGATTGGCAAACTAGTGATGCCTGCTGGAACGATTTTTCTGCGTGGTGGATAGGCTGTTGTATAAGAGTGGTACACGGTAGATCCCTTTGGCAAATGTAAGCCTCTTCTTTTCCAAGAAAGCACGGCTTCTCTCGAACCACCTCAATAGTTAACCTCATTGTTGAAACGGAAGCCATGTTCGGCTTGAAGATACGTCATCGTACCTGTAAATTCTGGTAAATGCAAGATCAAGGTTGCAAAAAGACAATATGAACATAAATTTGTGATTGCCAACCGGAAGCCCACGGCTTCTGTGTAGATAGTCCGCATGGAGTTTAAATACGTACGAAGGTCATAGCTTAGCAGGTAAATCATTATCACATCAGCTACAGTCGCGACGCTATGACACGTGGCTCGCATATACGAGTATCACTGGATGGTCTCGTTCTTCCGACTACCGATTCTGCCAAGTTAATGCTCTGATTTCTTGTATTTCAAAGGCTAATCATATTATGATTCATATTATCCCACGTCTGATCAGAAAATGCTAGATGATTTTGTCAACATGCAGACAAGGGGGGGAAGCCAAGCAATAAAGTATATAGCCGAACCCGAGACAGTAATGTTACGCACCCTGGGCAATCATAACCACCATCCCTTCTTAATTCACCGCTTCTCGAATGTTAACCTTTAGGGGTATCCCAATGTCATCCGCGTCTTTGTCGCCACTTTCTTCATCCTCGACTCTGGCTCCTTCATATAACCTGACCTGCCACTTGAAATTTGGAAGATCTATTACCCTTTCTGGGTTCCTATCCCATTCCACTTCTAGTCCTGAGTCTTCAAGAACCTTAGCGACACGATTGCCCATAGCCATCCTTTTCTCCTTATCATTATAGTCGTCCCCAATCACACCGTACCGGAGGCAGAGCCCACCCCATTCGATACATCTGTCCGTGTCCTGCTCGTGGAAGTAGCAGTACCCGACCTGCCCATTCTCGGCCTCTCCACCGATTTCGGCATTCCCACAGGTGCCACAACATGTAAAATTTGCTCTGGCTACGATTCCCTCCTTTTCAAGGGTTTTATATGCCTCGATGAGCTTTTCCATATCAGCCTGTTCATCATCCAGCCAGCCTGCTTGCTCTTGGAGTCTGTCATGGAGGAGATATTCGGCAAATCTGCCGATTGAAGGGTTTGGGTTGTTATCCGCATCAAGCGAAAAATAGTCATGCAGGTCCTCAATTATATTCTCCAACGAAGAGTAACCACGCTGCAGCCATACTCGAGCCGTATTTTGCGCTTCCAGGAGGTCTTCGGGTCCTTGATCTGGTATGTCCAGAATTATTCCCGAGTTTGAGCTGGGCCCCGGTGTTGAGCTGGGTGTAGGTTTCATGATGATGTGGAGGACTGGGTTAGTGCTTTTAACAATAGCGAAGATAGAACCCGATATACTGGTTACCAATAGTGTTTAGTAACATAGGTGAGTCAAAACAACACGAGCAACAGAAAGCCCCCGTCCTTCTGTAAGTCGAGGAAATTCGGTAGTAAAAACGGAGAAATCAAAATTTTATGTCGACGAATAAAATGACATTCGATGATGTTTTTTCCCGGCAATTGTTATAAGCTGCGCCTCAAAATCATGGATAGAAAAGGGCGGGGCGGAGTTCGTGTCCGGGAGTATTCGTAGTCACTAGGCGGTGAATACGGTGAGAGCTCCTTCTGATTAGCGACTTGGAAGGTTCAATTAGTGTAAGGCTAAATCAGTGATAACGACTAAATTCGCTATACACTAGAATTACTTATGGGGCCATAACATCCATCTCACCAGTCGACATTTGGAGCTTTTGTCTGGAAAGCTCAGCTTAAGTATGCCAACCTCAAAACCGTCCATTCTCATTTCTAACACTGCCTGCCTCATCTCCCCAATTGGAGGTGTTCAGCCTCAACCGAGCTCAAGCCAACCAGAGTAGCTTTCGATTGGTTTAGAGGCAGGTAAACAGCCACTTTCCCGCCTGTCAAAGTGCTTTGCCGGAGGCGTAGTTATTCATCTTGGCGGTATATCTTTCATATCGTCTCTCTGTCGCTTCACCAGACCCAATGGTCAATGTCGCTCAGAAAACGCCGTGCTGGTACTGCTGATAGAATACGTACGAGGAACGACGTCAATTCGTAAAAAGCCTGTCCGGAGGAAACTATGTACAACCTTAGTGAATCAAAAAGAAGCCCCCATAAGATGACGACACCACGAACTCAGTCCAAAGTGCAAATCATATTATCCGGTATTCTTCTATCGATCGTTATACCCCGTATTTGTTTCGAGAGTCGGCCTACAGGCTTTACATGGTGATTTCTGATACAGTGAAGCGGGTAGCAAAGATCAAAGGTTATAGGAAAGAAGTGAATACAATTAGGGGGTAAGGATGATGTTGTCTGAATTTCTGGGAGGACATTCAATATCGTATTGTTGAGAAATCTACATGCGGTTTTATCTCAAATCGGCCCCAGTTGTCCACAAAGATATTCCAGAATACTTCAACCTATTCAAATGATATCAGCAGTCTATTAAACTACATGTGCATTATGATATATTGTATATTAGTTATCTCCTTCAGTACAATTCAGTCACGTCCTAAATTTGATCAATTGATATGCTCTGTGCGACCATCTCTTCCAGGCTCTACTTTATCCAACGTAAAGCACCCCATACCACTTGGCGCTTTAGATCGTCTTTAGTCCTACCAAACCCATCAATAGAAAAACCGTGGCACCACCGCCCACGGCAACAGCAGCTGAGCGCGGAATAATTCCAGCCGCGAGGGCAGTTCCGGTCACAACAACATCCAAGGCATCCGTGGCAACATTCGCCCACAGCATTCTGCGCAACTCCTTTCGGTCCCTCTCCCAATCTGACTCCGTCTGTGACGCTGGGGAAGCGGCGGACGGGAATTTTGGGCGAACAGTGTAGAGTAATTCGCCGATCACGGCATCACGAATCCCGAATAGGCGGAGTTGGTAGCTGGCAAGTGACCCAGGTGTGACGCCTGGGAGGAAGAAGAGTTTTGCGGTGAAGGAGGGGGCAACAAGGGCAGCACCGCCAGCCACGACGCGCAACCAGGCGAGGGCTTGGACTGTTCCTATTGCGAAGTTCGAGGGTTGGCGAGACGTGGTATTGTCAGATCGAGAGGTGGAGGGAATGAGAGGGGTCTTGGGGGTAGTGTTTTGAGTAGACATGATGATTGATATTTAATTGTCAAATTGTTTGAGGAGAAATATTGATTTGTTAATAGCTGGTGTTGAGCAGATGTTGTTTTTAATGATTTAGTTAGGGCTAAATGCGCGGCCTCCGCTGCCGTTTTATACCCGGCAAAATTACGTTATTCATGCCTCTCCTCAGTTCATTTCCCATCTCTAGGTCTCCGAGGCACATTTGATTTGAGCATGTTTGAAGGGGCATAACATTCTCAAGAACCTGATGAGAAGGGGGCGTGCTACAGCTAAACCCACTTTGGTGTATGACTCTCCAATCAAGCGCCAAGTTGGGTCGGATAATGCCGAGAATACGAGATCTCGATGACAGCATAACGTTATGGCCGCATCATCCGCAGCTAGGCAACGCTCATCTCGTCTTACAACGAAGGCCATAACGTTTTTTTTCACATCTAATTTGAGATCATTACATCAGTTTACGTGGCAGTTGGGAAATTATGGGCGCTGAAAGAGCAAGGAAGTGCAAACGATCCGCTGAAGAAGTGCCTTCTCCACGAGATCCCGACCGTAAGCGTGTATTAAACGTGTTAGCGCAGAGGAGATATCGTATGATTTCCTGAGGTTCCTGGCTGGTTTCCAATGCTTTGTCTAACCAATAGCCAGGAGAGCGAAAGAGGCAGAGACTAGCAGATCTGGAAGCGAAGCTCCGATCTGTTCAGTCTCAATCCAGTAAAGAGGCTTCCACCACACAGACCACAGCTGGAGCCGAATCTTGTCCAAGCACAACACAAATCGTGCAGGGAACTGGCCCTGAATGGACTAACGTCTTGTTCCCGGAATTGCAATCAGATGCACAACTATTCGCCGGCGAAGAATGCTCTCCCCCTCCTCCAGATCTGCAGCCGACGGATTGGTCAGCTATCCCAGCCGCCTTGGTTACCCAGCCTGCCTCTGACTGCGATCATTCTGAATTTATCGCCCTTCCCACTCCTTCAACATCTGATGATTCCGCAGCCCTCTTCGATAACTTACCTCCGTCAAATGACAATGGTCAGCTCCAGTTCTTCACTGGCCAATGTCGGTTTCCTAGCAATGTTGTCGACGGGCAGGCTTTATCACTTCAGAACCCAATGGTTCTCAGTGATCAGAATGCCTTCCTTGATGCCGCAGAAGTATCTCATGATACTTCAGCCTCTGATTCAGACAACAGCATGTCCCAGTTCAGCCATATATCATTTCCACCCATAGAAGTGATAGCACGACAAACCCCCGACCTTAACTTTCCATCATCCTCAACATTAATACATCCCAACCAGCTTGGCCGATGTCTCTCACCCGGCGTCCAAAATGATGTCAGTAGCCTTGATATGCCCATGCTTAAAATAATGAAAGCCGGTTTCTTCATCACGGACATGCTCAACTGCACCTCGCAAATATGGGACCCTTTCTTCCGGCATGTCGTGCAAAACCAACCACCAAATCTCCCTCCCCATTTCAAAGCCACCGCAGCTCAACAAAATATCCCGCATCACCCTGTATTCGACGTCATTCCCTGGGCCAGTGCTCGGACCAAGCTCATCCATATCTTTTCGCAGCCACCGGAATTAAGACCGCCGAGTGCGCGGGATCCACTGGCCGTTGTGAATATGATAATGGATATTGATGATGATGCGGAGGGAATGAGGATTTGTGGAGAGGACGGGTGGGATTGCAGGAATTGGGAGGTTGGGGAGATTTTTTTCCGGAATTGGTGGTGGGCACTTGATCGAGAGATTGTGGAAAATAGTAATAGACTGAGGGCTCGACGGGGAGCAAGGAAGCTCAGACTACGGGGGGCATAAATTGAGGTTATAATAGCGGGCTGGGGGAATATCATTGATAATTTCTGGTTTATATTTCATGACGGCTTATATATGTGTGTGATCTTCAAGTACGATATACACACATCCTCTAAAAAAAAAAGCAATAAATATGAAGTGCATCAATTTATAGGAGAAATGAGCGAAGTCTGTGCCACAGAACCCTGAATATACGGGAAATATATTGCCAATCTTTCAAAGTATGTTCTTCCTTCTCCACAAGCTTCCATTTTAAATCACTACAATGATCACTACATTAATCAAGAATTGATTTCAATATGCCTGCATGACGGCCATCAAATAACCTCAGCCAATTTTGAGAAGAAATATCTTCTGGGTTTTCAAACAGCCAAACTGTCAATCTATTGCCCAAGAACTCTCTAATAAATATGATATTTAAGTTCATAGCCGTACTATTCAGCGACGTCTTAAAGAATGGGGCCAACTGGTGTCTCACGTCGCACTCCTATAATTCACATAGGGTCCGAAAAACATGCATGGTTGGTATCGATCTAGGTACTTGTTGACATATAGAAAGCGAGATGGAAGAAATACAGCTTAGAGATTAGTAATATCCCGGCAATGCGCCGTCCGGATATCAACCCAGGTCAAGAATACTACATATGTAATCGATATGAAAACAAATTTGGTATCATTCAATGTAGAATACTAATATGTTATAGCCGTCACTGATATCGCGAAACCCATTGCAGCAACAACATTTATTAAAGGTCTCCCCACCCGACCTGCACCACTCTGTCCGCCGAGAATATCATATGCATTCCCGACTCCACCAAACCCGGCTGTGCCAGGCTCTGATGTCGTTGTCGAACTTGACGCCGTCTTAGTACTGCTGATTGGAGCTGATGTTATGGTCGCCGACGTTCCCGAAGTAGCATCGGCGGCAGTTATTGTCAATTGCGATAGTTGATCAGTCGCGGATGACTCTGGCTGTGCGCTGGTTGTTTGCGAGCTAGATTGACTACTTGGTTCAGATGTAGTTTGCGCAGTCATCTGTGTAGTTTCTGTTGTTGTAGTCGACTCCTGCACGGGATGTGTGTTTGTATCCGGCGCCGGCTTTGCAGTTGTCCCTGTAGTATCATCTATCTGAGACGTTGAATCTGCCGCCGTAGTCGTAGCCGTAGTCTGATGATGCCTTTTCGTTGTCGAGGTTCTAGTACTGGTATCCCCGGATCCCAATTCCCCAGCCTTCCCCGAGCAAACCGTAGATACTCCCTGTCCTTCAAGAAACCTGCCCAACAGTGTGTTGCTCCCGAAATTCTGCTGAGCATCTGCGCAAGCCTCCTGCACCTCCGAACTAATAACACCCAGACCAGCAAAGCAGAAGGATGAGCATCCGTCGCCGTTCGACGAGAAATCCGCGCTTATGCATCCCGGTACATCCTTGCTCCAAACGGAGGAACAGACCGTCGAAACGCCACTGATTTGCTCCAATTTCGAGAGGGAGATCGAAAGAGCGCAGCTGTTGAGGCTTGATAATAAGAGAAGGAGGAAGAGCTGTCTATGATTTGTGAATGTCATCCTTTTTCCCCCTCGTGTGTGGATATTGAGGTTGATGATGGCGGTCGTGATGAATTAAAGGTGATGGAGCCGAAGCTGTAGGTCACGTCTAAGTTTGCAATGATGTAGGTGGAATAATAATGAAAGTAATTATGCAAATAGTGGTGTTGGGGGGTGCAACACTTTGTCGCCCCTTGAGACAGTTTAAGGCGTCTAGCTGTGTTGGTTGGATGCGATGCAACAGAAGCTGTCTGAAACGAGCGGCCTAGCGCCAGATTGCTAGGTGCAACTGTGGTTGTTGGCAGATAGATGAGCTGGTATAGACTCAAGGAGGAATAAGTCTTGAATATGAATGAAAATGAATTATTAACGATTGACTGGTTGATTAGTCCAGCTGAATATCAATGTCGCAGGAGGGAACCCTATAAAGGATTAAGCAGACGGTCAAGTCCGGTATATACAGCAGCAGGAGGATATTGAAGAATCAAAGACAGGATTGAATCCAAGCAAACTCTAGACGATGCAAGAAGACACTTCCCTGCACGCTCGACGACAATAATAACAGCAATCACCACATCAACGACCACGCAGCAATGGTTTGTCACCATTCGCTCTCCGTTTCAGAAAGCATATCAATTTCCAATTCGGGGCCAAACCACTCGCCTCCGTGGCGACTCCGCCGGTTGAGCAAGGCATAGCAGCCGAACTTAAGTCCCATTGGCTGCGAACAATGAATTTTAGCCATCTCCTTGCGTTTGACCATCGAGCTAGTCACTGGCAGGACACCTTTGGCGACGCTGTGCACGAACCACTGGATCGTCCCGAGACGATCATTGAAACGCCTAGCGTCATAGGTCGACAGTAGAGAGAGCCGGCCCGGAGGATTGGTGGGCAGCAGAGAAGACTGAAGATCAAGGGCGAGTATGCTGTCTGTTTCGGATTTGGTTTGACGTTGACGCAGGGGCAAAATCGATAGGCTGACGCTGCGTCCCGGGTTCCTTTCCTGTTGGCGCCTACTACTTTCTTACCACTTACTGCTAACTAACTTGTTAACTAACCAAGCTACGTAATAACTTACTCATCCTTCATATAGGATGTATTATTGACGGATCTCAATCAGTGAATGGATTCATTACACTCGATTATTTATTATACAGCAGCCTAATCGCACAAACAAGGGATAACAGGACACCTCGCCACCTCCACCTCAAAAAAATCCCGAATGACTCGAGTGACTGCCGTGATGTTTATGCTTGTGCTTGTGGCTATGCTTTCGGTCGCTGTCATCAGATGAACTGTCACTGCTTCCGCTTCCCCGTCTGCGATGGTGATGCGAGTGTCCGTGGCCATGATGCCCATGCCCATGCCCATGCCCATGATCGTGCTTCCCCTCATGGACCTTGTTTCCGAGCATGTTCCCTGCGATCGCGCCTCCGAGGGCGCCTAGTATCCCGTGGTTTGCTTTGTTTCCCATATAATACCCCGCGGCGCCGCCGAGTAGCGAGCTTCCGAGCCCGCGCTCATCTTCGCCGCCTGCTGGTGGTGGGGCCCCGTCTGGGATACTTCCAGGAGTGTTCACGGCGCCGGCGTGGGCAGGTTGCATGCCATTACTGTACAGAGAGAGTTAGTTAATTAATCTCGAGAGGGCTATACCGACTTATCAAGAGAAGGTAAGTGTTACATACTAATACTCAGACGCTGCGCCTTGTTTTGCGCCCTGCTGGTTCGCATGACCGTCGTACTGCGGGCGGGGGCTATGGCTGGGGGGACGGTACTGCGCTTGAGCCTCTGGAGGGTGTTGGTAGCCTTGACCGTAGTTCGGGTCTTGAGGATGATAAGGCGGTGGTTGGGGTGAGGGAGTATGCCCGTACGGTGCTCCTGGAGGCGGTTGGTGATAGCCCTGAGCCGGTTGATTATGATCATAATACTGCCCGCCAGGAACGGCTGATTGAGGGGGTGGGTATCCCTGTTGATGTTGATATCCCGGACCGCCTCCACCACCAGCACCAAGGCCAGGTGGATAGCGGTTGTTGTTATAAGGGTCCGACATCGATGGGAGCTCACCGTGCGATCAGTTGTTTGTGGGTGACAATCAAGTAGTAGTTGCAAAAATAAATTCGAACAGAGTGAATGAGAGTGAGATAAGCGCTAACTAAATGGCTGCCAAGTCTGGTGATATCATGGTTTCAGCTGTTCAGCTGTCCCGGTCTCGTGGCAGACGACGTGGTGGGGTAGAGGCAGATCACTTCCATCTCATTAAACCAGCCACCCTACAGTCTATTTATTAGATTTCATTTCCAGGGGATCAGATTCGGCGTACGCTCATGGATTTATTTGAGGGGCTTTCTCGAAGCCATATAAATAGTATAGACCGGTAGACCTGTACTTCAATGGAAAATCTCATATAAACAAGGGTATTTCGAACTCGAACAATAGCCCCAACAGATGACGCCGAAAGCAAAACATTCGGCTATAAAAAGAGAAAAGGCAAGAAACAGAGCCCGCTGTAATGGCTGAATGAGATAATCTCCAGGATGAACGACGAACGAGGGGCAAAAGCGCAGCATGCAAAGTAAATCAGAAAGAAAAGAGCGAAGGACAGCTTCAGAAGCAATAATGTTGCTTGCTCGGACCAACGTATCATAACTCAATTGTCCATTGCTTTATTCATAATGTGTTCTGCTGAACAGAGATTTTCGAACATGGATTCCAAAACCATGTTATCTAATAGAGATCTAATAGAGATCTGATGGGATTCTTGTATATAATAAATAGGAAGGCCCAGGCTAAAAAGCTTTGACAGGACGACGTTCTGCTTTTCGCGTAATCCAGCCGGACAGCATATCATCTAGCCGCCCAGACATTTCCTTCAAGCGTTTGCTTTCATCTTTGAACAAGCTGCCAGTGATTGGATGATCGGGTCCAGCAGGTTGCACATTGGAGTTGTCATGTACAATGATGAGCAAATCCTTGATGTCATTCCCATCGTCTAGATATGAACGCAAGCTCGCGTCGCTCCAGGTCGCCGTAGCATTTGACGAAATAGTCGACACTGGAGTAGTCTCGTCCATTTTTCTGTCAGGCCCTTCAATTAATTCGGGAGATGATGACTCAGACGATACAGGAGAAACGGATCGTTCATCACGGGAAGAGGTATCCACTGTTAATCCCGGAGGTTGAATGCGGGTTGGCGAAACATCCACTGGAGACTCTGACACACTTCGACTGCTCTGTTTGTTAGCAAGCAGCGGAGATGGCTGTTGTTGTGGTTGCTGCTGGGAAGATGCCACTGACAGCGGCTGAGTTGCTGGTATCGTTTTGTTTGTAGGTGCAATTTCGTCAACCTCGTCAACCTCGTCAGCCTCGTCTTCCGGATCGTAATACGTCGTAGGCTGCCATTGCTTAGGCGAAGCCGGACTCGATGATTTCACAGGAGATGATACATCGACTTTAGGCCTTCGCTGTTCAAAAGATGACGAGGGTGATTCGTGAGAAGGCCGTAATTGAAGTGGTGCCACGACATTCGCGCCTGATGGTGAAACGACTCTTCGAATAGATGGACCGAAACCCTCTTTGACAGGTGAGGACGCATTACTAGCAGAAGTAGCAGCTTCCTGAGTAGCACGTTGTTGGTTGGCCGCGACAAGTTCTGCCGGTGGCTGCTTTTGCAGTCGACTTGTCTGTCTCTGAATCCCTTGGGGTTTGTTGTTGTTGGCTTCACGCAAAGATTCCGACGACACTTTGAACTGAGGCGACAGTTCGTCAGAAGTCTTTTCCATCTCTTCAGCATCGTCTTCTGAGTTTCTGCCCTTTTTATCTTTTCGCTTGAACAGCCCGCTGAGCATGCCGGGTTTCTTTTCTTTACGTTTGCTCTTCTCTGTGGAAGATAGGTTTTTCTCGAGAGATTCCAGACTTGCACGTCCCTGGTATCCAGTTAGCTGCCGCTTTCGGAAAAGTCATCAAGTAGAGTGTCACTACCTCTTGTAGTTCGGATTTGGAAATGCCAGAGGCAGAATCGTCACGCAGAAGGTTTGGAGTAAGCGAGATTTTCTTGGTCTCGGCAGTGTCATCTTTAAAGAAGGAGTCTGTATTTCGCAGTGTTCCGTTTCTTGACCGGCTGACATTCTCACCTGCACATTATCAGTAAAATGTGAGCAAATGGATACAAATCATCATACCTGGGCGATCCAGGGAGTCGTCACTAGGGCGGGGTTTCTCCGGGCTCGACCGGTCGATTTGGGTGTCTTCAATTTCAGTAGTTGGTTCTCGAGAGATCTTTTCCTTATGGGGCTTCAGAGGTTCCACAACAATATCCTCATCTCGAATATCGTCCGGGTTGCCCTCAGGTTCATGGGCCGGTTCTTCTTCCTCGGCCATCTCCTCGCCTTCGCCATCTTCTTCTTCAGTCGAATAGTCGATATCAGAGGCTTCAAAGAATGTCGGTGAGGCGAAAGTTACAGTTTTCGCATTGCGTCGCCGCATGGCCTTTTTGAGTGGATTCTTGGATTTTTCTGGATTGTCTCCAAGCATCATTGAAGAAAGCTGGAAATTTTTAGTAATCGCAAATATTAATGTACCAAGTAAAGACATACGTCGACATTTCGATGCTTGTTCAATCTAGCCAATCTCTCTGTGGGCGTCTCAATATGCTCTGCAGGCAAGTACCCTTTGGGAGGTTAGATGAAATGTCAAACAGCTGTTCAAATAGCTCACCGATGCTGCCATCTTTGACGACCCGGACAAGCCACCAATAACTATTGCTATCGTCAAGAAGAACCATTGTGTCCCCTTTCGCGGCGTTTGCTTGCCCTTCAACCGTTGCGATAAACGTATGCAGTGCGTAAACGAACTCGAAATCAATATCCTCTACAGTCATGTCAGGACACGTCACTCCAATCATCGTCTGACAGACTTACCATCATCGATGGAAGGCGAGGAAGAGATCTTATCCATCATATCGTCGTCCAACAGATCGTCGTCCCCTTCAACGTCCGCTATTTCTCCATCGCCTCCAGACTCGTAATGCCCATTCTCCCCGTTACGAGACCCTGCCAACTCTGTAACCATGTCTTCAGCCTCATCGTAACCTATATCAATTTGGGTACGGTCATCATCGCCATCGAAACGATCCAAAGAAACTCGAGGACCAGTAGACAATTCGTCCTTAGCCTCCTGCTCTGCGTGTCGTAACGACTGATTGTGATGCGAGGCAGAATGACCGTTTGTACGTGCACCGTGCGAGCTGTGGTCCTTCGCTGAGGGGTAGTTTTGATCCTGTAGGTCGATTGTATCTGGCCGCCGATATGTCAGTACGAGGAATGAATAGAGAGGGAAATAGGCACTGACCGGCCCTGATCATTTGTGGCCTCGTCATGGTAACGACGATCGAAGAGAATTTTTCAACATCAAACAATCAAATGTATACCAAGAGTCAGTGACACCGTTTCGCCAGGTCACGTTCACAGATTCTGGATACATTCATTCATGCGCTGGAAGTGCGGATCGCTTAACTCAAATTGAGTTATAAAACGACTAATTTGCGCAAAGGAAAATATCGACAAGTCTTGCAGGTGCGTGTGCGACTGTATGGAAAGAGGTGCGACCGCAGGTGGAAGCGGCTGGGAAAGTCGATTGCCGGGCAGCGCAGACGGCGCAAAAAAAGCAGAAAAATAAAGGAGCGGAAGAGGCAGCACGCGGTGCCACCACAGTCAATGAAAAGAGAAGAGTCAGAATCGGAGACTTGCCCCCGCCAGATTGGGATGGGTGAATCGGTGGTCGTTTGACGTCGTGTGTCGTGATGGTGTTGGCCCTTTCGCTTCCCATGACCCGTGAAAAGGGGCATTGCCCGTGCTTGCTGCGTTGTGAGGCAAGCGCCGGTCCCGCGCGTTTGTCGCTTGATGTGAGATGTGGCTGGGATGAGGCTTGGGGGCTTCTCCGCACGCTTGCTAGTGGCTTCATCTGGTCTGGCGTGCTGTGATTGGTCCAGACCCTTTCCGGAATGTGGGACTGGAGATCGGTTGCGGGTAACGCGGTTGGAGATCCTAATGGGCCAATCGCACCTGCCAAGAGACTCGAACCCGTCAGATGATGCTTCATCTGGTCAAATTCAGAGTTCTGATTGGCTGAATCAAAGCCACCGTTGCCTGATCAGGCTTGGCGTTATAATGCGACCATACCGTACCACTTTAGGACACTCCTGATTGGTCATATTACTGTAAGGCTCCGCTTCTCGTTTACTCTCGGCGTTCTGCAAAACGGTAAAACCTAGTAACTGCTCTTTCCTCTACTAAATCGTTCCTAAGCGCCTCTTTTTTTTCGGTGTCGCCCCTCCCTTGAAGCTTTGTTATTCACTCAACAGCTCGTCCGCATCGACCAAATTTGTGACAGCACAGACCGCTTGTCTCTATCTTAATATCAACCGATTCCTCCCGACTCATCGCCAGCTTGTGTCTAGCTTTATCGACTTTACAATACGGCTACGCACAGTATAGCCTCTTTGTTGCGACAACGACGTCATCGAGAGTCCGAACTACTCAGGCGACACTTTTCACTTAACGACTCAAAATCATCCCATCGTAACCGTTCAAGTCCGTGCGTCATTGCCGAAGTCAGGTGGTTATGGTATGCAGGCGCCTCGTGTTGATCACCCCCCGTGTTGAAATAAACATAAGCTCTCGACGAGGGCATGGCTTATGCTGAGCGAGAAGCATTTTCAGGGTTGAAAATCGATACTATTCTTGCCAGAAGCCAATCCCCCAGTCCAGCCCGCAAATATGGCGAAATTAATGACGGGGAAGAGCAAAGGTCGAAGGAAAATGACATGGCACCGACACGACCACAGGATGAAGAAGAGAGCGTGATGAATGAATTACACAACGACACGCCTCCGATGGCTGTTCCTCGTCCAGATGATAACCACTTTCCGTGTCTCGAGTCAGATATAAGCTATTCTCACAAACCGGAAGAGGACTACTCGTCGACATTTGAGGACTATTTGCGCGAACATAATCCACCGTTTGACCTTAGTTCGAAAGATCACACCGATCCAAGGCGCCCTAATGTGCTAGAAGGACCTCTGCCGGGTCGTGACTCCCGCCACACTGCTTACAGTCAACTACAAACGCGATTGTCTAATTTGCGGAACGTACAAACCCAAGATCAAGCCGAGCTCAACTACGATGTGTCAGACACTAAACAAAGGCACGGCAGACAACACTCGCCATCAATGGGTAATGGGTTGCCGTTCTCTTCCAAAAGGGATGATGATCAATTAAACGTTGAGGATCTTGATCGGCCGACCTCACTCACCTCAGTATCGACAATGTCTCCGTTGGAAGAAGTTCGGACACCTTCTGAGTACCCAAGGGACGGAACAAAAGAAGTTCTACTCTCTCCATTATCCTCGTCGCCTCTTATTCAGCGGGCTGCTTCTCTCGAAGACCCTAGTATTTGGACTATGGGCGTTAGTGCATCTTACGGAAGCAAATCCCGCAGTTATACACTTGAAGGAAGTAATAGTTGGCGAAGGGCAATGCGGCAGGGGTCCAGAAGGTCTACTGGTTCGAGTGGGAAATCACCAGCTAGTGCGTTCTTGTCTATGTGGACTTCTCCGGAGGAAGTTATGGCTCCTCAGCCTGATGATGAGGGGCAGATGGTAGGGACTGATTATGTTATCGGAAAGCAAATTGGATTCGGTGGTTTTAGCACAGTCAAAGAAGCTTTCAAAGTTGAGGGCAATGGTGCTACGCGGCGTCTGGCAGTCAAAATTGTGAAAAAACATGTTCTAGGTAAAAGCGAGCAAGAGAATGACCAGGTACAGGCTGAATTCGACCATGAAGTTCGTATATGGCGGCAATTGAATGATTCTCACATTCTCTCTCTGGACGCAGTATACGAAACCGATTATGCTACTTTCTGTTTTACCAAATTCGCCATTGGGGGGACACTTTTCGACTTGGTGAAAGCCAATCGTCGCGGCATAGATATGCACCTCGCCAAGAAATATGCCTACGAGCTTGCTTCTGCACTGCGTTATCTACACGAAGATATGCGGGTTGTCCACCGTGACATCAAACTAGAGAATTGCTTGCTTGATCCTGAGAGGGCTGAGGATGGTAGCGAGACAGCCAAACTTCTCCTCTGTGATTTTGGCATGGCAGAATGGATGGCAACAGACACTGGAGGAGAACCTATAGACACGTACGATAATCCCGCCGATCGCCCCCCAACACAGAACATCGGCCCAAGCGGATCGAGCACGAGCGTTGCGGGAAGCTTGGAGTATGCTTCACCGGAACTCCTTCTTTCGACAAGTGGCCTGGTAGACCCAGTGGTTGATATATGGGCATTTGGCGTTGTTGTTTACGCAACTGTTGTCGGATCTCGTCCGTTTCAGAATGGTTTTGGGCCACGGACACATGCCAGCATTCTCAAAGGGGAATGGGACCCCAATGCGGTTCTCGCGGGTCATGTAAATGATGTTGGTCGCCGTGACACTCTACAGCTGATACGCCATTGTTTGGAAATGGACACGGAAAGACGTTGGACCATTAGACAAGTCCTTGACTGTCCATGGTTCCAAGACGTTCCACAGACGCCCGAAGAGGCTCTGAATGAGTCTACCTGGAGGTTATAAGCCTCGGCTCTACACCCTGCTGATGTTATAGGACCTTTGTCGAATTCGTTTCATTTAACCTACAGGTAACCAGACCTTATCAGCCAACTTGTATGGATATGTCTAGATATGTATGATGAAGTTAAGTTTTGATTGTTTGGGATATTTTGGCTTGGTAAGGATCGTTCTTGGGATGGGTTAGTTTGCGTTCACTTGAGTCTTGAGCACAGCAGTCGATGATACCCCTGACCGTCAATTGATGATCAGCAGCGTTGCGCGAGCGTCGATGATTTGAATTTACACGATACGAGCGTTCAGATGCGATATGATATGAAGCAAGGCGTTGGTTCGTTATCTTTCTTTTTTTTTTTTTCCTAATTCACGCATTTTGGCATCCTAACTATTCAAAACTGTGCTATTTCGTTCGTCTTTTAAATTTCGGCTGATTACTTTGTACTTGTTTGTCCACGTGTATACTATTGATATAGTTCAGATGTGACACTAAATACTCAACTCAAGAGCTTGAATTATCCAGACATATGCCTATATAACAGGTATCCATGAAGTGGGAATCGCATCAATGCTCTGTAGTCACTGATGACGTCAAAACATACTGTTCATGGTATAAGTGATCGCCATCATCTCGACCAAAACATGACCCGTTGATCAAAATCTTCATCCTCCAAATCCTCAAACCTCCTTCGGTCATTCGGACACATCGTTCTCCACAATTCCCTGGCAACATCTAGATCTGCTTTCGACTCAGTTAGGTTTCCAATGCGCTGGAACAACATCCCACGATTCCGCCGTGCGCGTGTGTGCTCTGCGATGAAGTACAGATGTCCACCCGCAGTGTATATCTTAATAGCCTGCTTAAGCAATACTCTGCTCACCGTTAGGATTGTTAACTAGTAAAGTAGGGGGGCTACTTACAAGGCAGGGTCAAACATCTCAAGCCGCACGTAATGAGAAGCGACCTTCACGCAACCGTCAGCGGTACGATGGTGATTATTTCCTACCGTCGATTTGTACTGCTGAAGACAGCGTTGGTGTAACAAAAAGCTCTCATCAAGCTGCCCTTGCGCCAGTTTTACATTGCCATAACCCAGGAGAAGTTTCCCAGTCCTATACGTTTGAGATTAGCATGCAGGGAAAAATGTAGCTTTAGAGAAAATATGGTTTTTACACGAATGAAATCTTGTCATTGGCCCCGTATGCTTTCTCTCGATCTGCCAGCGCTTGAGAGAAGATCTCATCCGCCTCGCCGAGTCGGCCCTGAACCCATGCGGCAAAGCCGAGGTTGATCAGAGGCATCGAGATGCTGATTTGGGTTGCGCCATCTAGGGCCTCAAGGGAGCATTTCGATTCGAAAAAGCAACCTTCTGCTTTCATAGCATCGTTGTTCTGGAGATAGGCGTTTCCCAGCTCGTTCCAGGAGACACCAAGTGTTTGGTTTGTGCCACCAGGCTTGTCTTGATAGCTATTGCGCACAATCTGGCTGAATTTTTTCATATTCAGTAAGGATTGCTCTGGGTCATTGGTATGCAGAGCTCGAACTCCACGCTCATAAATTATGGTTCGGTAAAGTACTGCTAACTGGTCCCTTAGATCCTCTGGGGACCGGTCGTTTTGATTCCCATCCCCAAAGGCATCGCACATTAGTTCTGCTAGATAGAGGAGAGGAATAGTGTCGTCAAAGCGACCCCACATGTTGGTATTTCTGGAGAGGGAAATTAGCAGTGGGAAGCTTCAAGCTGTAGTGGAAACTCACGATGCGGCATCGATGAAAAGCTTTGGGCCATCCAAATGATGTCGCGTTAGATCCTTTGGTAGCTTGAACCTAGAGAATAGGCTTTGAAGTTTCAAGACGTGAGGGAAGAGATCTTGACATCGGGCCCACCGATATATCTCATTTCCAAAACTGAACTCCTCATATGGCCAGACAGCAGAGACAAAGGATAACATTGAGCTGAACACTTTGTTGAACTCATCATCAGTCATTCTCGCCCTAACTGCATCTTGGATGAGTCGGTGTATATTGAGCGTCTTCTTGTCCTTTTGCCGTGTAATTAAGGATCTTTGTATCAGCTCTGTGCGAGCGTTCTGGTATTCCGCGCTCGTTGATGGATAGCCCGGCCATATACCTGCGGCAGGGTTCTCCTCCAAAATGTACTCAGGGATACTATCTGAATCAAGGAGGGACATAGCCTGCAGCAAGGAATGGCTGCCTTCTTCTAATTGATCCAACGCCCAAACAGAGGCAATTGTGTGTTCATAGCCTGCGCGAGCTTTCGATGGTCCGATCTTGAGGTTGAAAAGTTCTGCATGAGCACTCTCTTTTTGATATCTGTCCAGAAACTCGGAGAAGGTCAGATCCTGACGTATGATTACACCAGCCATTTGGACGATTGCCAAAGGAAGGCCACCGAGAACATCGGCTATCGTCGTGACACTATTCTGCTCTTCGGTGCTCAGCTTTCTTCGGCCAGTTAACTTGACGAGTAGTTTTGCTCCCTCGCTGGCGTCAAGTGGCGGCATACTTAATGCACGCTTGAGGGAATAAACATAGGATTTCACAAGAGGGTCTCGGCTCGTTATAATAATCGAGCCAGAACCATATGCTGGCCAATAGTCATCAAGCATATCGGGCTCTTCTACATTGTCAAATACTAATAGCCAATTCGCCTCATTGTATTGAGTGTTTTCATGCTGCTTATATGACTTGATAGGGTTTGCGAGCCATCCCAGGACAGCATCTCGGGTCAGGATATGATCCCTGGATTCCATAGATTCCGCCTCCACCAGCCCAAGAGCGGCTGCCGCCTGGTCAAAGCTGCGAGCCAGCTTTACTGGCTCATCAGCGGATATCCAGATAATCGCATCAAACTGGTCCCTGCACCTATACACAAATTCAGCTGCGACATGAGATTTCCCCATGCCGCCAGGGCCACAAAGTGCAAACGTCCGCAGATAGCCACCAGTTTCTGATCCCTCCGAGGCAGAATGATCGTCGCTCATCGGCAAAAGATATTCCTCAAGATTCTTCAACAGTTGAGCTTGGCCAGAAAATACATGATTTCGGCTCAGGGGCATCACAAAGCAGGGTAACTTTGGGTCCATCTTATCAACCGAAAAGTCCGTGAGAGATGGTAAAAGTTGAAAGCTGCCAACTGTGGATCCCGCAGTTCCTTTGGGACTCGTAAAGGCTGAAGGGTGTCCTGGAGCTGACGAGTTTGTGTCCGTGGACGTTATCCGTTCCCGTTTCAGTGATCCTGAGCTTGATTTGCTTCGGATTGATTCACCGAGTCTGATGGGACGTTTGTCTGTGAATGTAAGATATAATTTAAATGTTGCATGTTTAGGCAACCCACATTCCTGGGACTTTCTTTTGATGTTGTCATGAGCTTTCTTCGCTGCTGTCTCAATAAACGAAACGATGGCAGTAGACTCGGTACTACCAGTCGCAACGCAGCACATATTGGCATGGTCAGATTTGGAAGGAATCATCTCTTCAAGTTTTGTATTTGTTTTGGCGAAGGTTTTATCGACAAGCTTTCGTCATGTTAAAACTCTAGCATGGGTAAAAGGAGAAAACTAAGAGATTAACGAACCATTACTTTGGAACCAAACATTCCTCCAACGCGCGTCCTTGCAGTCTCGAATACGCTTAAGACGGGAATCTCATCCATGACTCGTTCAAAGCTGAGACAGTCATTTGACAGGCCAGCAGATATCTGTCGAGTTACCTCGTGTTTCATCTTCGACTTTAAAAAGGTTTTGAAGATTAAAGAGATATTCAGCCACGTATTGGGATTATCTGAGACCGAGTGAGGACATGCAAGTAAAATGACACCAGCAATATTTCGCAGAAGAAGTCGAAACCGTTGAGGATTGTGGTAGCCAATGCACAGAGCCTATGAAGTCAGCGAAAGATACGGCCGAAAAATATTCTGAAAGATCTCACCCGCTTCAAAATGATCCCGCCGGTGCTGTGCGCCGCGAGAAATATTGGACAATCATTGAGCTTTGAAATGATTCTTAGCGCTGAAGTAAGAGGGATCAAACAGGCCTACCTGGTTGTTTTCTATGAGACCTTCTAAAGCGCTAAGAAAATTGGCGCCAGCTTTCTCGACCTGTTGCCAAGAGAAAGCCTGATGTTCTGTAGCAAGCTCGTTTGGGAAAGAGAAGACGCCAAAATCAGGAGCAGAATCTGCGTGCATAGATTTTGGCCAGATGTCTTTATTCAGATCGCTCCACTCACTGGGAGGAGATGTTCCAGCTCCCGGTATTGCAACAAACCTTTCTTATCAGTGGTTTCCATTTGACTAACGACCAGGATGGTGAACGTACAAAGTTCGAACTCTAGGGCCACAATGGACTTGCGACAAGTCGTTCAATCTCGGCATTTTCCAGTCTGGATTGCTGCTGTCCTTGTCGAATATCCTTCTCTAGATCTCAGGGTAAGGAGTCGTCGTAGAAGACCTTGAGCTTGTGGATGGAAGCAGCTTGGTTGATTCTATATGAATCAATGGTGTGGCATCGGGCGGTGTGGGCGGCTGGCATTATACAGTATTGGATGCCCAAGGCATCGCAACAGGGTAACTAGTTTCTAGATTCGTTTGGCTGTGCAGTGCACGTGTCGACACAAGGGAAAACACCGGCTGACCCCGCTGCACAGGTAGTACAACCCTAGTCAAAGGATCCCTGTTTCCGCCTGTGCGATAGGTATAGCGCTTCATATCATAGGCTTTCTTTCAAGAGTGGGGGCTAGGCGCTAAAGTGATTGTGATTGTGATTTCTTTTGATGATGTGCTAATAATCAGCGGGCCAGCAGGTTCCCTGTAAGAGGTTCCGATCTGCTACTGTCTATGAGGCTGAGTACAGTTGTCTCACTTAATTCCCTGTCAGGGATTGTCTACCAATATGTCTGTTCATGCGACCTTGGGCTTTCTGCCAGACGAGAAGCTCTTCAGGGAGGAAAGACCGTATTGCCTCAAGTTTGAAGCTCCCAAAGGGTTGCGTAGAACAAATATTCAGGCAGAGCACCGGCGGCAAATCATTGAAGATATCCGCGGTCGCGAGAAGGATTTCAACCTCGACAAGAATGGTTTCGCATTGGTACCTTTCCACACTAAAATGGCCTATGAAGACTTTGAGAATGAGGACAAGATAGTGACGGTATATATGACAGAGGTGGCTGCTGTAATACAGCAGCTGGTTGGCGCATTTCGCGTTCAGATCTTTGAATATGTGGCAAGGGCATCACATCTAGTTCTAAAATTGAGAGGTTGACAAAGTGCAGATTCGTAAACAGCACCAAACTTTTCCAATCGCAACCGGAGAGGCTTATGAGCATAATCAGCCCACAACAATGGTTCACATTGGTATTTGTTTAAAGATCTTAATTACAATCTTCTCTAACTAAGAGATATAAAGATATAAGCAAAGACTGGGCAAGACGACTAGCAGAAGGACTGAATCACAAAATCGACATGCATGACCTGCCCTCTCAGAATTATAGGTTTTACAAGTACGTTTTCAAAGTTGAAAAATGATGTCGTTGCTGAAACATTCAAGTCTCTGGAGACCAATAAGGGGACCCGTCAAGGACTGGCCACTTGCATTGTGCGATAATTCAAATTTGAATGTCCACGAAATCGAAATTGGCGACGTTGTGTTTGAAGACTTCACCATCAATAATGAATACATCCGCTTCAGCCCAGAGCAAAAGTGGCACTACGTTAGCGATCAGCAAGCATCCGAAGCATGGGTTTTTGTTCAGGGAGATGCGAAGCCGCACACCCGCCATGGTATTTCAACCTCAATGACTGTAGTTGTCTTTGGCTTACATGCTAGGAAAGGAGTTCCTCATTCGTCATTTCAACTGCGAGGCAATAATAACGACCATGTGCCCAGGGAAACAATCGAGATCCGGGCTCTAGCTTACTTCGAAGATGATTCCCAACCGCTCTAATGCCTCTCAAGCAGTCTTGCATGACTAGCGTTCATGAATTAATGAATGAAAGTTTGTTTGTTTGTAATCAAGTTTATTGTCCGGATGCAGCTATGAGCTATGACAGACAATGAATGAGAGTTATCCTATTTGTGACCAAGTAGCTTCGAAATGCGAGATGCGTTTAGCTCCGTTTCAACTTATCATCGTCACTTTCCATCGCTATTTAGGGTTTGAACACAGATTTGTGAGCCACTTTGGCAACATTTCAAGACTGCTTGCCACGTACCTTTGTAGTCTCCTGTGTCATAAAGAATGTTCAGGCTCAACTCTCCCGATGTACCTGCGATCTCGAGCTTGGCACCCTTCGGTGCATCGTACGTAATCGGTCTGTTTCCATCACGACCAAAGCTACTCTCAAAAGCCTTCCAAGGCTGCCTCTTTTCTTTAGATATGACGTCTGGCATGCTGGACCGCTATGCGAAGATGCGCTAGTTTTTCTAGATGTGATCTTATATGAAAACAAGATAGAATTAATTAAGAGTTGCTTGTGCGGTGCTAGGCGTGCCTACTTGCAATTTATTGGAATGCACGGCTTGACATGTTTGGCTCGGTCACGCGTGGCGCGGTTTGATCGTTTCAATTCCCCACGCTAAGATTTTAGTCCACACCCACCGAACCCTCTCGAGGGCATAGTTACAGTACAGTTGAACAAGGGTCTCGGAAGGTTCGGCCGGTGCAGACTAAAATCTTAGCATGAGCGGATATCGGGTGACCAGTGGTCAACTTTTGCTAAATTAAGCACTGGCTTACTCGATTAGACACTAGCGTGAGAAATTGTATGGACTTTGTATAGGTCCTACTTAATACTTTGGTTTTATATACTCTAGCCTTCTTTGACAGCTACTTTTAACCCCTAATCATCTCTAACCCTAACCCTGGTCCACACCCTGACACCCTAAATAAAGCCTTTAAAAAATTATTTTGAAAGGTTATGACATATGTAGAACTTAGGTGAAGCATATGCAGAGTCTATGCAGATGCATCGTACTAAAATTTCTGTACGACGCTACAGCTGTAGTGTTAGAAATGGCCAAAAATTATTATTTTTGGCCATTTTAATTCTGCCGGTTTAAACACCCAGCCGCTAACTTTTAGTTTACCCCCCCCTAGACACCCATGTAATTGTACCCAGTCAATGCAACCAAGTTTTAAAAGGCCAATGATCTTGAGGTTGCTGCAGCCTCGTCCTCGGCCATGACCCTAGTCGCGTTATTTCCGACTCTCCCAAGCACAAACACTTCCCATGTCATTCCGGCTACTTCTTCAAGTGAAAGGGATGCAGGAGTGACTCCGATTAACTATTATTGCTGTCCTGCTTCTGTTAGCATCATCCAGTGCCGGTCGTTAGGAGCTGAAAATTCAATAGAGGCCAACTCCATGGCTCAGAGCAAGGCACAGGGCCATAACACGATGACTGAGAACGTGTCTCCGGATGAGGGGGCTGCTCCGCAGGGAGATGAAGGTCTTGGTGCCCCAAAGATGTCGACAATCCAAGTAGCTATGCTTCTTGGAATCATATGGGTAAACCATTCCATTGCCCCAGGCTCCTTTCTCGTTTTACTCACGTCATCCTTGTCAGACGATGCTAGTTTTCCCTCTCCTAGACGAGACCATGATTGCAACACTTCTAGCTCCCATTTCGGCATCATTCGCCTCACTCTCGGACCTCTCCTGGATAGCAACAACATACTTGATTGGTATGGCTGCTTCGAATCCCCTCTCTGGTCACGTGGCAGATGTGTTTGGTCGTCGATTTTGCTTGATAGGATCTAGTGCCATTTTCGTGATCGGAACACTTATCTGCGGGTTGAGCACACATTTGTGGGTGTTGCTCCTTGGCAGAGCCATACAGGGATTCGGCTCGGGCGTAATGCAGTCGGTCGTATCCTTCATCGAGGCCGACGTTGTGACCCTTCGAAATAGAGGCATCACCGAAGCAGTAGGCGGAATTTTGTTTGGGGTCTGCTTGGCTGTTGGGGGACTGTATGGTGGAGGAATGAATGACACCATAGGATGGAAATGGGCCTTCTTAATCCAGGTTCCGGTTACGATTGTCTTGGCTATAGGTGCCTGGTTGCTCGTGAGAATTCCAAAGAAGAAATCACATATCTCCAGTCTACGTCGTCTTGATTACGTTGGCGGAATAGCAATCCTGCTCGCCATTGTGCTTTTCCAACTTGGACTTCAGTCGGGAGGGAATTCTCATACCTGGAATTCATTGCTGGTACTGGTACCCCTTCCATTATCTCTAGTTAGTTTCATCGTTTTTCTGGTTTGGGACTCCTACTTCGCCAAGGAACCCGTTTTGCCAATAAAGCTCTTACACAACCGCAATCTTTACCTCTCATCAATATTTTATCTTTTGAATTCAATGTCATACTTCTCAATTGAATTCTATATAGCGATATATCTCCAAGTTTTGGGCCATTCCACAACAGCATCAGGACTTCGGTTTATCCCCCAAGCGTTTGGAGCTGCTGCTTCCATCATGCTAGCTGGGATCATTGTTAAGATCACAGGTAAATATTACTGGCTCAACGTCTTGGCCCAGATATTTGTTATTCTTAGCGCTGCATTGCTCTTGCTCTTGAGGGTTTCGTCGCCTTCATGGTACCCATTTGTGTTCTTAGGCTTGTCTGGGGCAGGTTTCGGAATCAGTTGGGTGACTGTGTTGATGGCTTCCTTGAGTTCCATTACGGATGATCACCAAGCCAGCGTGCAGTCAGCTGGGTACTTTTTCAGATTCACAGGCATGGCTCTTGGTATGACAGTATCAACAGCAGTTTTTCAGAAAATCCTGAATGACGGTCTATGGTCGTCTTTCGGGAATGATTTGGGGGCTGGGCCACTGATTAATACCCTACGGACAGATTTCAATGCAGTACAAAGTCTCGCTTTTCCGGAAAGGCAGAAAGCGGAAGAAGATTACATGAATGCATTGCATGCAGTGTTCTATACTGTAACAGCCGAGGCTATTGTTGCGGCGATAGCGAGTCTGTGCTTGAAGGAGAATGAACTTCCGGAAAGTTTAAAAGAGAATTAATCTACCGAGTCAGTATATAGTAGACGACTATATAGCCTAGCTTCCCTACTCCCAACGTCTCTTTATTGACAACCACATTGTCGTCAACTTCCGACGATCCAGAACGAGGGATGAAATTGAGAGCAGGAGCACAGGCACAGACACAGCGAACCAAAGCCAAATCCGACCAATTTCCTGCTCAAACCCTGCAATGTTCATACTGAAAAAAGCACATGTGAACGATAGAGGAATGTAGAAGAAGGCAATCAAGGTCAACTTCGCAACTGATCGTGCTTGCACCATAGCTCTTTTGGCCTCGGCCAGCATAACATTGTTCATGATGACATTCATACCCTTCGAGCAGCGCTTGATGATGACTTCTGCTCTCTCAACTAGCTGCTCATAATCCTCCAACAAGCTTTCCTTGGCTCTGAGTGCCTTTTGGTATTGGTGCAGATGGTCTTTTCCAACGTGTGGCCACAGGTGGCCACCTGAGCACTTGATAATCTTCACTATCTCTTGGAGGTGAGTCAAGTGCTTTTGAACAATTTCTCGACAATACAAAAGATTCGACAATGTTGGGTTCTCTTTCATCAGAGAATTATAGTCTGTGTCCCCCTCGATCTTAGCTTCTATCACATTCATGAATTGGATCTCCGAGAATGCGCAGAATTGGAAGAGATCAGTGATGGCATAAAACGGATCAAGAACCATTGTCGGTGTGTCCAGAGTCTCACCGCAATATAGCGCTAATAATTGGGCGCTTTGTGGAAATTTTTCCTGGGACTTGTTAGAAGTCGTAGGTTTTGCTAGATAGGATTTCGTCCAGATTCTAGAGTTGTGCTGTATAGTTGGAGCAAAAATAGTCCATGGTAAGTATGAACGACCATCTTCTTGTGGTAGCCAAGGGCCCTGTGGCCCTCTTGAAAGATCTCTGCCGCTATCAGTAGCTACCAATACTGCGATGAATCAGTAGACTTGTAGAATATTTAACCGACAGAGCACTCACTTATCCAGCCTTCGTCGTGTTTATGGAGACATATGGACATTTCCTGTTCAATAAAGAAGTTCTTCTCATCGAGAACCGAAAAGGATCTAACTATAGAATCTCCGGCTTGAAATCTGCTGCCTAGCATAAGATCATGCTTGTATCTGGTCATGTTCCTCTCACTATCCAGCCTCAATGCGTCGACTCGGCCTTGATCAAATTCGCCAGACCTCTCTTCTCTCGATCCTAGTGTGACGAATCGGAGGGTTATGATGTTTTCTAGACCCGAACGTAAGGTCGGAGTTGAGTAATAGTCCCTCCGACATCGAAATCGCAGATGCGTATGGAAGAATTGAGGGTCAGTGCGACAGAAAGCGCCGACTGTGCTGATCCATTGTGGGGAAGGGTATCCGTGCAGGAAGAGAATATGGCATTTCATCGAGTTTTTACCCTCTTCTAGCTTTCCAGCACATTGCGAGGGACTAGAGTAGACATCAAGACTATGTCCCCCAAGCTTATCGATGGTGTGCAAGGTCCCCTGGGTGTTGCACAATGAGTCACCGTTTTGCATTCCATTTTTCAGATAGAGTCCCAGATCTTCGAAGATGTCTCCAGGGTAAACCGTGTCTTGAATAGTTTGTTTGGAATGAAAGAGTATAGCTTCGGCGTATTCTCGTGGTGCTACTTATATCCAAATTAGCATTGTACTACAAATCCTACTAAACGGGGCATATACTACCTAGCGGTCTTTGTGTTGTCTTCTTCGGGTGAAGCGTCGTCGACTCAGAAGATGGCTCAGATGAGTCGCTCGAGACTCTAATGATAGGGGGGCAGCCCATCTCCATGTGAGAATTTTTCTTTTTCTTTTTGTTGGGAGCTTTGAGATATATTTTAATGTTAAATTCTATTCCTTCTCTTAATTTATAGCCCTTTTCAAGCGGAAATTTTACCCCAGGCACAGATACGACGATCGCTTCACGGTCAGGGGTATGCCTCTTGAAGGCGCAGCGGGCGCTTAAATATGTATTTTCTATTAAAGGAATAACCCGGGCTAAATCCAAAGTCCGAATGGGTCTACGATATAGATTCCTTTTTTTGGAGAACCCAATGCTAGGCCTACTCCGTTGTATTGAAAATTTGATACCTTTGAAGTGCAACGCTCAAATGATGATGGGTTGGTGCATGAGGAACGCGTGCGGCTGTTTACCTTAATACCTAATTCGTTTGAGAATGGGGCCGTGGTTGACTTCCACTGAAAATGTGAGGACTAGCGTCAACATACTAGAAATCGGTTTTCTTCACCCCCTCGAATAATATTAATGGCCAGAATGAATGAACGGCGGCCACAGAATTGAGACAGCAATATTGACTATATATATTCTAGGACCTTCCTCGTAAAATCAGCTCAGTCTGTCGTCCGTGAATTCTACGATATTTGCATGTCTGCAACAACATTTAATGCGTTGGTATGTAGCGCCCCCAAATGATTTTGCTTTTTATTGTGTAACTCATTCCTTATTTCCGGCAATTACTGTATCCGCTTACCATTGCCCGACCTGATGTTCTTTTCAGCGTTGACTCTATGGCTCTAAACTGCACTTAAAAGGTACTACGAAGCGTGATTTTTCTTCTAATGGGAGTATCGAGGAAGTGAGAATGTTGTGGTCAATTTACTGGACTACTAACAGAACTCGTTTACATCAGCTCTGATGCGTCCGGTGAGTTTGATATACCCTAGGCGCCCAAGTGTGTAGCCCTTAAGATATTGACATAATTGACATATAGCAGAATGAGCAGAAAGTACTCGACCATGGCAATTGTGACAGTTCTGGCAACGCTTACTAAATGAGTGAGTAGCGGAGAGGATTCACCATCCTCAACATTCTGGTCTTTTGGCGCATCAGCTTAATGAGCGAATACTCCTGCTTACGAGGTTGTGACAATTTCTAGTATTCCAGAACAATTTCTTGAAAATTTCCAGAATTCCGAAAATGATTAACGGTCCTAGTAATTTGTTTGTTAGTAAATGGGACACGACACTTTCCTACGTACGAGCGGTTCTCACATTACATCCCAAAATATCTGACCAATCATAATCATTGCATAGTGAAATCCTCCTTGGTCTTGGAATCACCACTGTCCTCTTGGCAGTGAGGAAACTCGTATACATAACATCAATCAATATTAACTTAATCATTATATCATGCTGACTACACACGGACTTTTCTGTCTTAGCAACCTTGCGAACTTTGGCATAATAGAACAGCTCGAGTTGAATCTGATCCAATTGCCCCATTTGTATGGTCTTAGTGTGAAAGCGGTTGGAATAGATTCATATGACAAGTTTAATTATAACAAGAATACCATATTCCAAGTCGTTGCAGTGGCCCCGAATGTCAGACCTTTTAACGATGTTTTACCTAGTCCAGCGTCATCTCTAGCATTACGACGCGCCGGTCCGAAGCCTGCTTGGAAAGGGTTTATGCCACCTTTACCTGTTTCAAGAAAGTTACTCTCTCTTCACTCATGTACGTTGAGTATGGGAAAAGGGATAGTATTGGACGACATATCAGAATGGTCAAAAAACACTGACCTATCTAAAATCCGCCATTTAATGCTAGCAGTGGTCCCCGATCCTCTGCTTTTAGTCATATGAAGCAGAGCGTCAGTTTCATATCTCTTGAGTTGCTTGGTCTGAATTTACAGCCAGCCGATGGTGACCACTCGTTAGTGTCTAATTTAGAGTCCCTGATCAGCCATCTAGAGCCTTTAACAGAATTTCGTTTGGCAGGATATCTGACGCCTTCTTGCTTGACAAGTTGATTCAACGCCATGGCCCGACGTTACACAACATGACATTGTGTCTCGCGGCTAGAATGCTGCGAGTATCCAATAATACTGGCAATTCGCCGTCAGGAAATTCGAATAATTGAATCTCACTGGCCCCTGTTGCAGCGTCTGATTATATCTAGTCCTTACCACACCACCATCTCTCTTGATGGTTTTAATATCTCAGATGTTTGTCCCAACCTTCGTCGTCTTCGAGAACCCGCAGTAGTCATTGATTCTGTCGGCCCAACTATTTCACTTCGTGAGGTGGTTTTCAAGTTCTGGCATTTGATATGCGGAGGAAAAGAAGGGCTCTCTTTGAATGAACTTACTTAGGGACAACAGTGTTAGTCTTCCTTCTCAAATGATATTTCCTCCTTTCAATCCTTCGCATTATCTCATACGTTCATTTGAGCTAACGCGTACCTTGCAGAATACTGTTATAAAAAGGGCAGGCTTCGAAGAGGATGAATTGGGCTCGTTCAATTTTTTGACACAAGTAGCACTAAAATAGAAATAGCAGATATGTTTCACGATCTTCCAACAGCAAATTTCTATTTTGAATGGATTTGTTACAGATTTCACTGAATTATATCCTTTGCACTCTTATGGCACATCCCTAATTCGACGGTTTGCTTGTAAGAACTAGCAACAAGCAACTAGTCATTGCTCAAACTTTTGCTGCACTGCCTCCTGTCGGCTCTCAAAAGGTCATATCTTCAAACAATTTCAGTCTGGAGAGCGACTCACTAAAGAGAAGGATATTAACTCTCAAAATGTCAGCTAGGAAGGAGAGAATGATGAAATTCAATGTAATAAATTAGCTAATCAAGAAGAAATCGGAAATACTTACAATAATATCTACAATATCTTAAATTATAAGCAAATTCTATTCTTTAGGCATAATATTAAGTGGAATTATAGTAATTATATATATACTTAGATTTGCTATTAGATCTCGTTATTGTTAGGCCTTTATCAGAGACACATTGATATAGACAAAGATAGGTGTATCTGGTTTCATGCTTCATATTCCTTGCTTAGCCATCGCCTGAGGTGTCAGTTCCAAGACTTGATGACAAACCACATGTACATTCTACTCCATTGCTGAAGAAGAAATATTCTTATTTGCACAGGTCCAATGTCCACAAACTGTAATCTCATCGCCTCTAACTATATTGATATGTAGAGTCATAATTCATACCAGTTGACGCGAATCCACCGAGTCATTGCATATGTGTGCTCGTTGTGGACAAAGTTGCGATCATCAATTGGCCATGATGCTGCCCTGACTGCTACATCAATTGAAGTAAAGAAAACATGTAAAAGTTGCGACAGACTTTGATATGGCTACCAGTTGGCCTATTATCATCAATTGATATATTTGCTACATATGTACCACAAACGAAACAAATTTCCTATGCTAGTCATACAATAAACTCTTCCCAACCAATCTACCACAACCTATTTGGACCCAGAACCTTCTCCTTCTTGACACCAGCCGTCGACTTCCTATGGGCGGGCGACAAGAAGAACAAACTAGGAGATTCATTCGGCTGCACCAAGTGACTCAAATACCCGCGATGCGCAGGGTCACGATAATACTCGATATCCCTTCGATTCGATGGGTCCGGCAACCTATACAGGAATTTCCCGCGCTGCATAACTTTTTTCTCTGTATGTACCGCCGATTCCCCCTCCTCGGGCCCGGAGGTCTGCCCGAACAGCGCGCGAGCCAAAAACTCACTCCCGCTTTTCTCCGCCGACCACGCCATCGAGTAGAACGGGTGCGTTTTGTCAGCGATGATCCGTGCGATGGATGCACGTGTGTAGAAGCGAGTGGTAATCGACCCGCCGGCGGCCTCGACGGCGGCAATGGCGTCGGCAGAGGCCCGCGAGACGACTAGATGGATAGGCTGTTTTAAGATGCTGGTAGAGTTGCCGTCACCTTGCTCTTTCCCCCATGCTAGCAGCTTCACGCCATCTTTGATCCCGCCGAGACACTTGGAGGCGTGCAGTTCGCGGATGGTGATTGGGAATTTGGGGTTGATGCGGCCTTGGTCAATCCATTCCTGGATTCGATCGAGATTGACGACGGCGAGGTCAAGGGCGAAGCTGGAATCAAGTCAGTACCCTTTGCTTTCCTTTTTTATACAGAAATGGCTATCGTGGGGGATGCGTACATGTTCTTTTCTCCCCTCGTCCCATGCACGTCGATATCCTTGGTTTGTCCACCGTTGAATCCCGCAGGTACCTTGCCGTGCTGTTTCTGACCTTTGTGACCACGGCCGGAGGTTTTGCCTTTGCCCGAGGCAGGGCCGCGACCGCGACGGATGCGTTTGTTGTAGGCGCCGGGGTTGTCGGAGAGGGTGTTGAGGATGCTTGCGTGTCGAGCTTGCGTTTGCTGCTGCGGTCGATGTTGGGATCGGAGCTGGGGCGTGAGGAAGGAGAGGGGTGTGTATGATGTGGTTATGTTTGGTGTGAGAGAGAGATGGGATAGACGGCCCGAGAGGGTCGGGAGGCGAGTTGCCATTGTGGCAGGGCTCAATGCAGGGCGATTAATGAACGTATGAATGATAGGAAGTTGTTGATTCAGGGTGGTGAGTTGCGGAAGTAAAATTTGTCCGATGCCGCTAACTGTGTTTGGTAACTAACTCACAACACCACGACAGGACAGACTGCAGCAATTGCAGCTGTTCTATGTAATACAATTTAATATGCTGGACTGTCTTCGCCGAAACACGCCAAATGCGAAATTATATATAACCAAGTTCTACTAACAGGTCTATCGCATGGTACAAGCTAGCTAAGACAGGAAAAAAGAACTAATCCCAAATTGAACAACAAAAGAAACCGTCTATGTCTCCGCACACAAGTCTATGTCAGGTACGTATGTAATTAAGAGTTAATTCTGATAATCTGGGTTCCTTTCACACCAGAATAACGATCGTGGTCATAATCATGATCACGGGTAACCAGTCCACCAGCTGAGTACATAAAAAGCCGGAAGAAGATATGATTGGATAATACAAAGTAAGGTAAAGTAAAGAGTCAACTTTTGGCGATTTTACTCCCTTGACACGTCACGGCCAAAGATCTTAGCCTTGATCCAGTCAGTGGCAACGAGGACACGGTTGCGAGCTGCGAAATTTCACAAATCAGTATCATCAATAAACTCAAGTCTGTGGTAAGGGAAGGCTCACCGCTGAAACACATGCTCAAGTAAGCACTACGCCAGAAAAGATATGTCATCGTTCCACCACTCGCAATGTTGCCGCTCAGCCAGCTGATGTCTGCAACCGCACGCTCCTTTCCGATGTACGCCAAACTGCCCTGGTGCGAGTACTGGAAGGGGCCGATCTGCTTGGTCCGTCGGAGCTGGCGCTGACGTTCCTTGATTTCTTCGAAGACGTGGTTGCGTTCTTCGTCGCCCTTGGCTTCTTGTTGGGCAACGGAGAGTTTCTTGAGTTCGGTCTCGATCGCTTCGGTTTTGGCCATTGTGTTGAAGAGACGGGCGAGGAAGGCGCCTTCTTGGCCGGCAACCTGGGCTGTAGGGGCGTAGTTCGTGATAGCGCAGTCACCAACAGCCCAGATATTCTCGGTGCCGTTGACAACTAGGTACTCGTTGACGGCGAGACCGCGGCGAGAGTCCTTTTGAGCGGGAATCTGTTCCATTAAGTCGCGGACAACGCCACGGACCGCGTTACCAGTGGCCCAGACAAGAAGACCGTAAGGGATCCTCTCCAATTCCGTGGTTCCATCGGGTTTCGTGACTTGCGCTTCGATGTACTTGTCCGTGACGTTCTTGACCATGGTCTTGGTGCGGATGGTGATTTTCTCTTCCTTGAAGCTGGACTCGGTGTATTCAATCAACTGCTTGGAGAACATGGGGAGGATCTGCGAGTGTCAGCAACAAGCCCCTTGGGTTAGTAATTCTAGTTGCAAACATACATTGGGAAGAGCTTCAACCAGGGTGACATGGAAGTTGTCCTGAATTTCCGGAATCCACTTGCGCAAATCATCCTCGAAGAAATCCTGAAGCTCACCAGCAAACTCAACGCCGGTGGGACCACCACCGACAACGACCATGTGTAGAAGGCGCTTGACTTCCTCGTCAGTCTGGTCCTTGAAGACGGCAGTCTCGACACAGTCCATAATACGCTTGCGGATCTTCTGGGCATCGCCGACTTCCTTCAAGAAGCAGGAGTGTTCTCTGACGCCAGGAATACCTGTCAAAATCAACATTAACCATTCCAATCGCTAATGTATATATATATATGCGTATTGACTTACCGAAAGTAGCATTCTCAGCACCCACTCCGACAACCAGCATATCAAACGGCACAACGGTATGCGAGACATCACCCTTGATCTCCGAGTCATCGCTTATATACACGACGCGCTTCTCGTAGTCGATCTTGGTAGCCTCGGCTTCGTAGTATTTGACAGTAGCTTTCTTATGGCGCAGGATATTTCGGATAGGTTCCATGATGGAGCGGTGCTCAATCAGACCAGTAGTGCAGGACGGCAGGAGGGGGGTGAAGAGGAAGAAGTTGCGAGGTGAAATGACCACGACATTGTAGTTTTCAGTGTCGAGTTTTTTGAGGAGCGAGACTGCGCCCCAGCCGCTTCCTGTATAACATTAACCCTGGCGTTTGACAAAAGAACAGAAAGAAAAAAACTACTCACCCAGAATAACAAGGGTCTTCTTCGATGGATCCGGCTCGAGTTGCTCCTCAGGGTGACGCAAGACATAGATGCTGTACGCGAGGTAGCCGGTCAAACCGAGCCCAGACAGCAGGGTCAAACGGTAGGCCCAGCGAAAAAAGCGGAAGCGCTTCCTTTTTGGCGCTGGTGGAGGAGCAGCTGCATCAGCAAAGGCACGACGAAACGAGGTCTGAGCGAGAGAAGTAGTTCTGGCAGTGCGGTTTGCCAATGCCGATGACAATGGGCTGCTTCTTGTTGTCGTCGAAAGCAATCGCGACCGCGCCAGCGACCGCCTGGATGCCGAAGCTAGCGGCTGCTGCATTGTCGCGCGGACGAGCAGAGATCCCACAGTCATTTCCGGCCGTGGCGACTTCACTTGGATGAAGCCAGCAGGAGGGACAATGGGGTGGTGGTATGGCAAGGGGGCAGGTGGTTGAAGCTCTGATGGATTCACAAAAATGTGTGAGGTTGTGCTAATATTAGGCTATTATCTAAGGGCCGATCGGTCTATGGGCCGCGAACCTGCTTTGGGCAAGCCGGTGTGCTGCAAATTCTGATATCAATTGCAAACTCGCTGATAAGCTGCTGGTCTCGAGCAGCAACCTCGCAATATGTTGGTTCTATTGACAAGAAACAGATATGATAATTTTTACAATAGACAAAAAAGAAAGGGAATGACACATGCAATTGCTGTCGATATCAATGACGCACGGCTGCGATGCCTCAATCCGTACTAGTAATCACCTATAAGGAGGATCAATTCTCGCTCAATTAATGCTTACTCCGATCCCTGCCAACAGTACAGATATACCAACATGCAATAGGAAAGATTAAATGCAATGGAAGGTCCAGATCCTTCCGGCTGTTTACCGTTGACAGCCAGAACGGCCTCTGATTGGCCGAGAGGAGTTACCTCGGGGGGACGCCCTACAGTTATCCTATGCCCGCTAGCATTGCATATTTCTATAGCAGGTAGTCATAACCAGGCACTCTACGATAAATCCCTTGGAGCTAGCAAGTACTCCTTCCAATCAACCTGGTCACATGAATCTCCATCGGAAAGAGTAGGGAGGAATAGGAATACTGAAAGCTTGCGTCGGAGGGATTCGGGTTCAGCCTTCTGGGTGAAGGGTTGAAAGGGAATTTATATCCGCATTCCCCAAGTCTTTGGGGTCGTAAGGACCGGGGAAATGGATGGACTAGTTCAGCTATCTGTTGCAATGTTACAGTTTATTGGAGATATGGTACAGTCAGATTTGGTCTGATTGTCTGGACTAGCAGCGAACTACTATCTGGTTCTATAATCCTTCCTACCGGTAAGACACCGGCATCATATATGCTATGCTTCTCACATGGGTGAGATAATCAAAACCAGATTTCCGGCCCACCAGAAAATAAATATCAACGCCATAGTATGCTAGTTCCCAGTGCAAATAATCAACAGGAATGATGATGGTAAGTGATGCAAATGTAATCGGTCAAGTCGATGACCTCCCAAATATGTCTATTCGACGCCCGAGACCATGCATAAAGAAAAAAGAGTGTTGGTGACAACCAATGCAAATAATCTATACAAGTGAAAGGTAAAGTAAAGATCCGTAGTGTAGTTCAGTAGGTTTGACTTGAAAGGAAATTAGGTTGAGAAATGGGTCCCTGGGGCCACGCCTCGTGGTGAAGATATGGGAGCACCCCCGTTCTGCGTTCCGTCACCGTTTTCCCCAGAGGCTGGTAATGCATCTGATCCATCGACACATTGCGAGGCTGGTGCAAGGATGCAGACGGTGGAGGGATAAGCAGCGTGTTGACGGCTCTCACTGGGCGATATGGAGAGTTTCGGTTGACCAGGAAAAACGACGGTGATAGGTGAGACTGAGGTGTGCGTACAGGATAAGCCACAGACGGAGAAACGGTGCCAGCTGACGTGGACGTAGGGTATGGGCTCTGTCGTCGACTCGGATCGGGCAGTGACACAGAGGGGTTGTACAAAGCCATAGGGTTCAGCGCGAGAGGTGCAACGGTGGTAGTTGCTGGACCTGGCTGAGACCATGTCACTGCGGGGTTAAAGACCGTCGACATGGCACGAACATTGGGTAGTGGAAGTTGTTGTGATACAGTAGGTGGTAAGGACGGAACCACGCTGTTGTGCATATTCGACGAAGGGAAGCGGGGGGTCGGAACACCAAGAGTAGGGACCGATAATGGCATGCTCGTTGCAGTGCTTACCACTGGCGGTAAAACTGGGACCGAGACTGCTGCAGGCGTTGGAACGGCAGCCATCGAGGCCGAGTAATTGTTCGGTATGGCCATTCGCTTAATCGGGTGATCATCCACGTCGTCCTCCCAGCTCCTTTTGCGCGGGAATGGAGGGAATTCAATGTTCGGCAAGTGTCGAGGCGGGGTTTGAGATCGGTATAAGTTGGTGTTTGTAACTGAATTCCACATCTGCGGCGGGTTAAGGTGGTTGGAAGCAGGAGGAGAGGGTAGTTTAGAGTGTGGCGACGCTGGTAGGCTTCTCCAGCCGGATGGCTCCAAAGTCGGTGAAATTTGGAGGACTGGCGTCGTGGGTGCGAATTCATTCTCTGACGGCATCCGCGAGGCCTTGTCGAAGAAATCAGAGAAGCAGCCCAACTTGGAATGCCACTGTGTCCATTCTTCTTTGGACACGAAGAGATTGTATCGAACATTGCTCAAAAACTCCACTTCCATGATGTGAATTTCTTGCACCGTGATACTCGAAACCTCGGCCCACGTTTTGTTGGTGTAGGTATTATCGTCCAGAACTGAATAGCCCGTTAGTCTCAAAATGAAATTTTCTGCATTTGAAGCTCACATTTATTCCCCATCATCAACGCAATCGTCATCAAACGAAACTCGCTACCCTTCTTCCCACGAACTCCCGGGTTGGATTTCTTAAGTCGGTAGATGAACAGCAGAGCGAGCAAGATGACGTTTTGGCTGACTTGCGTGGTGGACAAAACCGTCGTCACCCATTTCTGAAAGCCAGGAGTAGGAATTGCCTCGGGTACGAGCGAATATCGCTGGAAGGTCTGGTCTTCGATGGCCTTTAACTTAGAGGTTTTCTCGAACCAGAACAAGCATGCAATCTATGAACCCCGGTTAGTTATCATCCACTCCCCATTCACATACAAGCTTACCTGGGCAGCGAATTCAGCCAAACTCCCGCCACTGTGGTTAATGGACGTGGGGATCTGCAAATACGAAGAGGCCGAGTCATCGTGGCTTCTCTTCTGGTGCTTGGGTTCGGACACGGTAGTCGAGATGGGTACATTCTTCACCAGCGGAGGCAGATAGTTGGGAACTGCATTTGACACGGTATTGGCGAGCGGGATCCGTGTTGCTGCGTGTTTGGTCGAATACTGATGCTGGGCCACGGGGGCATATTGCTTGGAGCTGTATGTCGACGGAGCCAGCTGGGGATTGTAGGCCACACCACTCATATCGGCCGGCGGGGTGGGAAGGCCGTCTCTCACGGTGACGGACCAGTCCGTCGACCCCGAAGAGATGGGATTCAAGGTAAGCTTGCTGAGGGACGACAGGGCGGCGTGGTGTTGATGCAGCTGGTGAAAGCCAGCAGCGGAGGCTGGGAAGGGCTGCGACGAGAAGGAGGGATACGAGGTGAGAGCGGGAGACATGTGTGGTGATGAGGTTCCTGTTGGCAAGGAATTGCGAGGCTCGATATAGAGCGCATCAAGTCAACTTGTAGACATGGACGTCAGGCAGCTCACTCAAGCAAGAGCTAATAATCCGCAGGGACCTTGCCTGGCGGTGGTCGAATGCTTCGAATGCAGCTGCAGGTCGGGCGTGGTGATCGATTCCAGGCAGACTGTTAACCCTGGCAGGTGGAATGGAAATGGAAGCAATGAAGGGGGGAAGCCAATGCACGGCAGGATCCGATTCCCATGTTATGGCAGGCACGACCAGCACACCCTTGAAGGGGACGGCACAGACGGAAGCAGAGATTGAACGGCGATATGATCGTAGCGAGACTAGTTGTGGTGGTGGTAGTAGTAGTAGCAGTAGTAGTAATCGTCGTCGTCGTCAATCCACGAGCAGTATTCCCTATTACCTCATCGACACTCCCCACAGTCAATCAGAGCGGATACGAGACAGACGGCAGCGTTGGTCGGAAACAAGGAGGTGATGCAGCGCAGAGAAAGGGGCGGACGCAATGAAAGGAAAGAAGTAGAAAAGAGAGTGGTTGCAAGTAATAAGAGGGTGGTGAAGATCTGGAACAGCGCGGCGGCAGACAAGACATGGCCGGCGTCGTCAAACAATGCTGTCTCCATTCACGCCATGGATGGAGATGGATCGATGTCAGTCAGTCTGTCATGCTGCTGCGATTAGGCTGGCCCACCGGGCGGTGGTTGGCTGGGGGCAGGCAGGCTAGCGGAGGGCAAGAGGGACTAGGACGCCTGGCTGGAAAGGGCAAGTGTGTTTTTTCTTTCCATTTCTTTTTTTTGCATGTTATGTTGTTTTTGGGACCGGAAGCAGGTCCCCAGAGGCTGATCGTCTGTCATGGTATGGTATGGTGGAGGGGCGAGTGGAGGGATCCGACGACGACGACAACGAGGGCCCAGCACTGGCGTCGTAATGGGGGAGTAAGCCTGTACGGCAATAGGCAGGCGCGTTGTGTGGCTGGGCGGTATTCTTGGTATTCTTGGTACTGTTGGTATTCCGGGTGTCACGGTGGTGCTGGTATTGGCTAGTCCCGCATGGGCCTAGCGCCAGCCGTGTGCTCGATGAGACAGGCTGATGTCACATTTCCCCCGGCCGCCAATCAGCGCTGCGTTGGGGATTGTGCACAAGACAAAAAAACCCGTAAATAATAAAATCTAAATCATACGGTGGCCAGCCTGGATCTAGGCGAGGAGCGTGCGCCGCTGAGACTGGCCCAGTCGGTCGTTGGCCGCGCGCCACGATTGGGCGGCGAGGAATGGGCCGATGGGGCGTCTGTTTGGAGAATGGATCATGGATGGCTTCAAATCCAGAAAGATTAGTCAATCAATCAGAATATGCTCGCAGGCGGGAACAACAATAATTGCCCGTATTATGGAATCGTCGGCTGGGGCATGTTCAGCCGTGGCGGGCGGCCAATAGCGGCGCGCCAGGACCTGCAAGGTTGGCCTCTGCGACTCCTCCGTGCTCGCCTCTACGAAGAGCAGGAATAATGAGAAATGCATAGCGCGAAGTACTATGGAATATGAACTATCGACTAGCCGAATATAGGGCAGACACCAGGGGCTGCTGATTGGGCAGCCGAGCGGCGCAAGCAATCATTATCCATTATCAATGAGTCCATCACCACATAAAATATAACCGTACGGTACGCAACAGTGAGGGCAAGCGACGCAACAATGAAGTAAGCGAGGCAGTATTACAGTACCGAGAACGACCGCTTTCGGTGGCGGTCGGGTGCAGCTGCTCTCTGGAAGAATAACAACAGCACGGCGACAAAGCGCCCCCGCTCTCCACCAAGCCCCTGGAGGCGACTAGCCTTAGGCTCTAGGCACTGTAGTAGGCTGTGACTATGAGTGTGCCGGGCGAGGATTGTGGATGGTATGTAGTACCATCCATATCGATATTAGTGAAGCATGTTTCAACAATAAATTATTCCAATAACATATGTCACATGTGTGTGTATGTAGATAATAATATACTATGTAGTATATCCTATATACTACATGCTGTCTACGTACTATATAGTAACTACATGGTACATTACGGTATGGACATGTATTGGGCCGGATCCGGTAAGGCGCGGCACAAGTGAGGAAGCTGTGATCCAGGATGCACAGGAAAAGGAAGGTGCGCCGGTCCAGCTGCCTAGTATTATACTAGACTCCAGTACTCGGTACGAACTCTCGACTGTATCTGCTGCACTCACTAAAGGATCACGAATGCGTCGCCATCCTGGACAATATCCAAGGTCCAGCTTGCCGCTCTGGTCGCTCCGTCGCTCCGGTCGCATCACATCCGAGTAATGAATGTGATGGATGTCATCGACTTGTCTGTTAGACAGCATTACCACTCTGATGGACGATCCGTGTTCTTGCTTCTCGCCCATGCGGATGCTGTTGGCAAAAGAACTGTAGTAGCACGCCGATGCAATGCATCTATTCAATATTATGCTTTCACTACGCACTCCGCCCTCGCAAGTCGAAAGCTCTGAGCCCTGGTCTCTGCTACAGCGACTAGCGAGCCAGCCCAACAAATGAGTCGATCAACAGCCACTGAAAGGGGACGCCAGTCGCGACACTGATGCAGCAAACCCTCGGTTCTCACAGCGGTGATGATGATAAGCGGTAAGATCGGTCCATGTGCGTGTTGATCAGGAGTCAGTCACAGGTTGCAACAAACTTTTTCGACCCAGACATCATCCATCCTCATACGCAACACGCAGAATAATACTGCCCGATTACTCCTCGCGTATTGGCTCGCCGTAATCCGTATCGCTGGTCGCCGCTAACGGACTCCTAGCCACTACTGCCTCCGCAGTAAGCAGACCAGCCAGAATAATAATAATAATCACGAATTGTGGTTCGACATCCTGAGCAGCGAGGACTGGCTAGCCCAGCGACTCGGTCATCCGTTTAGGATAGGAATTTCAAGAAACCTTGTCCCCCCACCTGTTTTTAGTTTTCCTTTGACTTTGCTCAACTCATTCCTCTCGCTAGTTCTATGATTAGTTTTACTTTTTCCGTGTGATCCAGGATCCAGAATCCGGTACTTGTACACCGAATACCCGATTTTATTGCGACGCTTGCCATTACGTCGCCTGGCCCCCGGGCTGTGTCCTGTGCACTGTGCCCTGTGCTGTGCTGTGCCGTGCTGTGCCGCTGGGCCATGCTGCTGAGTGCGCCGGCTCGGAAGCCTGTAGGTGGCAAGGATGGACCGTTTCGAAAGCATGATGCCTTGAATGGCAATTTCATCTACCGGCCACGAGTAGTACGTCGTCGTACGTACTTTACTCAGAGATCGTCCGTACCGGCTGGCGGAGTGCACTAACGTGCCTACCTATTTACAAGTTATTTAATATTAGTAGACAGTAAATCGCAGCCTCGCGGCCCTCGCCTAGTAAGAAATACACACTGCATGAAAAAATCATGCTACAAGCCAGGTTACACGTTGATGATCAAGCAAAGCCCGAACTGAGCATCGTATACAAACACTGCTAGTTTTTATTATCCTAGTGCTAAGAACCCTGAGATGCATGCATACCAATCCTTGATTCTAACATGTACGGTGCCTCACTGCCTATTCACTGCCTATTATGATATAATAGAAAGTTAAATGTTTCACTCTTAGTCTTGAACTTTCATTACTTACTGTCTTTTAATATTAGTATTATTCAATATTTGGGGCCGTCTATGGGGCGTGGCTTAGACTGCGATATCATTGCTATCTAATTAGCCGTGACTAGTCCAGAATCTCCTCCATGTATGACTTCCATACATCTTATACGGTGTGATATACAGGTTGTAGTGTCCACTGCCTAGTCATAATGAGTTAATCTTAAGGAAGCCGATTCGACCGCACAGTCAAAGTTCCAAACTTCGCTTTTCGTCCTCGCATGTGGAATGACTAAATTAATAATATGGCCTAGTTAATCCAACCCGGACAACCCGGATATCGACCTGCTGTCCGGAACCATTTACCAAAGGGAAGGACTATCGCAGTGAAACAAAAATTCGTCAAATGACCGACCCGTAATAATCAAAGTATAGTTGCAGGCGTAGTCAGGCATGGCCACGCTGATATTCATAGTCTTTGCCACTTGAAAAATAGTAATTATCAATTAGTTAATGAATCGCCCACTTCGTTGGTTTCAATGTTCCAGTTGCGTTGCCCTTAGCCCGACGACCCGATATTATGATTACCCGTCCCGCATTCGCATTGGTGATACATTGCACATAGCCATTTTACTGGTTGCTGGATGGTGTACGGTTGCAGTAATAGCCAGACAGTCTCACTTTGCACTTGGAGCTTTGAGCTTTTGAGTCAGTGCAGCGCAAACCTTTTTTTTTTTCATTTCTTTTTGTTTCCTTCCTATCTTTCTTTGGCTTTGGCGCATCCCACGTCCTCAATAGTCCATGTCATTAATCATAGTGGTGAGACTTTGTGGATGGAAGGGAGGGATCGAGAGCAGCCACATGGATCAGACCCATGCGTATTTATTCCTTCAGAAGATTAATATTAATATTTTGTGTTGAATGATTAATATCAAATTTCCGTCTGCCGTGTCTTTGTCTGGGCTATCTCGGTTATCTGGCTATTGGTTGAACCTAATAATAATATCCTCGCATGTATCACTACTAGTATCACTATCCATCTACTGAGCCTGGTTGAGGCTGCCGTTATTATGATTATTATTAACTTTCTGCTCTTTGACTGCTGCTGCACGCATGCATCATGGTTCATACGTATGATCGATCAGTCACAGGGCAGCGGAGTCAGACGGATGTACATGTAGCCAAGGCAGGAGGGCTGTAATTTGATTGATTGATCTGACTGCATGAGGTCTGATACCGGCGTCCATGTACTATCTACATGTTTTCAGCCATCGTCACATCGATATTAACCGTATTCACAGCGCTGCATTAAATATAGTACGCTGATGTAACATTTCGATAAATTGATGTACATTCGCCGGATATTGTGGTGTCTCCCTACATCAATTTGATGTACTGATGCATGCTTACATTACATATATTTTCTCGCACGACTATTCAGTCAGGATTCACCAGTGTTTCAATTTTGTGATGATTTTCAGCTGGATAATCGACGTATAGGTTGCCGCTGGCCTTGCATGACTGATCATATTCAACGTTAAACTTGATTCATACCGCGGCAGTTCCAGATGTCCTGCAATAGTAACCATCTTATACATCACTTGACACCCTGGACAGTGAGATAATCGCCGCCTTGCTTGTTGCCAATTTCTGCAGGGTTTTTGGATATTTGCTGAAATCTATTATTACTATTATTATTAGTAGTAGTAGTAGTATCAGGGTGGTGCTCCCTGCTTGCGCCTGCATTCCAGGTATGAGGACCTCGGTACAAACATTATTCAATGCGATGAGAGGGATGGCCCTTGCAGGCGGTTAGTTATTTAGATATTGCTGCGTAGATCTTTACATTTATCGATGGCTTGTATTTAATGATTATGGAGAATTGACATCTGGAATGTACTAATGTAAGTAGGGTGCTGATTAAGATATTGATCGATGGAGCTACATTGATATACAGTAGGGATATTGGTGTGAGTGCAGTATTATGATTGGAGAGGCGAACTCCGAATTCTAGCGACCAAAACAGTTGACACGTGCCAGGGATATGTATAACAAAATTTATAGAATATGGAATAGGGAATAGGGAATAAGGAATAAGTTGATTAGAAAATACTCCACCCCCTCCGCTCTTTACCAGTCTCTCTTTCTCTCTCTCCCCGCGCATCTCGCGTACTCCTCGATCGCCCTTCTAACTGTCGCAGACTCTCAATCTTCTGCAGCGCTAGTTCAAGCGTTTCTTTCTTCTTGATGATATCGAGATGATTGCGCACGCGTGGATCCTCGCGTGCAAACCGCTCGACTTCGCTGTCGGATAGGTGCCGGCCGAGACGGAGATCTAGTTCGCGGGGGAAGTTGTAGTAGAATTCGGAGAGGAGTTCGACGTTGAGGAAGAGAACGGCCGTCGATGTTAGTTTGTCGGCCACTACGTCGAGGAATACCTCCGGGCAGTAGTATTTGTTCTTGAGCGTGGAGCATTGCTTTGATCGCACGGCTAGAAGGCGCATTTTTATGATGTCGGCTCGGTCGCGGAGGAAAATTCCCTCTCGGCCTGTTCTCGTTAGTAATGTAGATAAAATGGAATAAGAATCGATATACCCTTGGCTAGTAAGGCTGAACTGAAGCCACCGGCTCCTCCAGCACCGTTGCCGTCGAGGACAACATCGCCCTTTCGCACACGGTCCACAAAGCTCATGACATCCTTCAGCTTCCGTCTGCCGACATTGTCTTCTACTCGCTTGAAAGCAGCGTCGCACGCGGAGAGTTCATCCTTCAAGACTTTGCTGACGTTTTCGCGTCCTTTAGTCCATTCAGGCTCCTCAACCTCGATCTCAAACTTGTACGGCTTGATGCAGTTCTCCACCTGGTCACTCGTGCTGAAGAATCGATCGTTGAGGATTCCATTGCACGCCTCCATAATAGCATTCTGAGCGTAGGGATGAGTCGAAAATGTGGATTGCGCAACCAGTTGTTCTATATGCTGTTGCAAGGCCCCGGCCACTACTGTCGTGGCGACTCGGCCAACTCCTAGTTTCGTCAGGTTCGACGTCGATGCGTCTAGCTTTCGACGCCAATAGAGGTTCTCTGCGTCAGCCTTAGGAAGGTCGCTCAATGGGTCTGGTTCTGCAAGAGGGGCCGTAAGATCCTCGATGGGCTTGTTCCAGTACCGCTGCGCGAGAATATCCATTACTCTCTGATCGAGCTCGTGTTTCAGGAGCTCCCGCACTTGAGGGCGTCCAAAATTCTCTGCAAAAGCTTTGAACGAGTGCTTGAAGCTGTCCAGACTTTCTGCTAGGTATGACTCTGCGCTGAGAGGGCGGTCGTTGTACTGGACTTTGAACTCGTAGGTGGCTTCTTCTAGTTCCTGACTGATAGCATCTCTCGTACCAGCGAGACTCCGTGCCATAGTTTGCTCGAGAACGGCCATCAACTTCTTGCGCAGAACTGGCACACCCACAGATACATCCGCACTAGGTCCGAATTCGCCGGGGTGAGCTGAAAAAAATGCCTTCTCATTCTTAACAATGGCGGTAGTGATATTTCCACTTCCACGAGAAAAAAGTGTCGCCGTCTGAGGAACCCGGGATACAACACCTACATAGCCTAAACGCAGTGGGTATTTCTGGTCTGTTAGGATGCTAAAGCCTCGTGCAGGATCGACCAAGTCCATTTTTGTAATCACACCAATCGTACGCTCTCCGCGAGGGTCAACTCGTCGACTGGCGCGGAGAGCTGTAGAGTTGGCGAGATCGACATCTGCTGCAGATATGGCAAGGATTATATTAGGTGCCTGGATGTATTTGTCGCAGAGGTCTGAAATCTTCTGTTTCAATTCTGGGGGTTGATCAGCACCCGCAACCTGAATGTATCCCGGCAAGTCAATCAAAGAGAGGTCGGGAACATGAGGAGAGTAAATATGCAATTGAATTGGGTCATCGGTGACGCAATCCTTGCCGGAGACTGCAAGATTGAGGTCGGTCAAAGTGCGTTGAATTTGTGAAAAGTCTGTAATCTTTCCTAGACCCAGCGCAGGGAATTCACCGTACTCGGCCTGGGCGTTTGGTGTATTGACAAGCGTGAGTTCAATCGGACGGCGAGTTACCATATTTGATCCTTTGGGCAGGAACTCGTGTCCCACAATCGCTTCTAGGACGGAGCTTTTACCAGAAGATTGAGATCCAATGACGACGATCGAGGGCAAAGTTAGAGTGTTAGACTGCCCGACTTGAGTAAGGATGTTCCTTATTTCAATCATCTTCCGCGTCAGGACCATCATCTGGTCATCGTCGGCTTCATTCCGCAACTGCTGGCCGCTGTCCTCCGTCTCATCATAAGCATAGGCAGTTCCAGCCGCTGCTCCAGCGGTGGCAGCGGCGAGTTGACCCTCCTTTGGAGAGTTACCCCCTCCTCCTGAGCCGTTTCCTTCAGATTCGTCCACTTCTTTCAAGCGTAATATCTTTTGCATCCACTCCGGAAGTTCCGTCTCCTCCTTCGCCTTTTGCCAACCGCGGTTGGTTTGAGCCGCCACATCTTGCAGTCCTTGTAAGAAATTCGACGCCGCACCACTAGCAGTCTCACCAGCCTGTTTGAAAATATCCAAAGCATAATTCCCGGCCTCTGCATGATATCACCAATTAGCTATGCCACCAAACGTCGCTTGTGTAGCAAACATACGTGTAGCTTGGTATTGTAGATAAGCCAATCCTGCAATCATCGCTCCGCCAAACATTGCCGGGATGCGAGCTAGCTTTATCGCAAGTCGTGGTAAGATCCTCATAAACGATATATTCCTCACAACAAGGTGATTGTTGTGGATTGAGCTGGCCCCAACTGGCCATGCGCGACCTCTAATAGCGACATTATCCACTCTCAATAGGCCTCCTGTCCGACTCCCATAGAAATGCGCCTGGCGGGTCAACAAGCCTTTCCGCATTAGCGGAGTCAGGCGTTGGGAGACCATCCTCCCACTCATCGTGCTGGTATTCTCATAAGTTGAACGAGTAGAGGCGGATTAATGAGACCCGGATTAGCATGATCGCAAGGATCCAGCCTCGAAGATATATTGGCCAAGTACTAACGGACAGTACTGGGATGCGGAAACGATATGTGGCGATGGTGAGGAGGATGCGTTGACGGCATCATGGTGGGAAGTGGATCCTTCTAAACAGTGTAAAGAGTGGTGGCCTTGTTGATGCCTTATACACGTGACCCACGCGTTCGAGAAGAAGTGTCTAAGCCCGAAACGGACTAGGCTGCCAGTCACATGGTTGTCCATTGTCTGTCGCGCTTTATCGACCGATGGCGTCAGATACACTGCTACCCAATAGGCAGTTTTCTGGACCGCTTTTTTGACAGTTTACAGCGTGCTTGATGACACGACAGCCTCAATTGCTTGACCGCCTATCTTTGTTTCGGAGTCGTTTGGTAGACCTCGGAGTGCCTTTCGTTGATTTAACCCTGCATTGCGACCATTGCTGGCGTGACCGACCACTCCGATTGCGGACCCTTGACGGTCCTAAAAACAATAAATTGCGACCTATCCTATCTGCTCAGCTTCGTCTGTCACACTAATTGATTCGGTCGCTGGCTGCAATACTTCTATTGCGACGGCTGAAACCTGAGAAATACTGCGATGTGTCGTTTTCTGGTAGGTTGAGATGTTCTGAAAATAGCTATTCATCTGCTGATGTTGGTCAACTTTAGGTATACAAAGGCCGAAATGAGATCCTTCTCAGCAAATTAGTCACAGAGCCGAGTCACTCGATATTGACACAATCTTACGATTCGCGATTACGACTTGTGAGATATTTTTCTGTCAGCGTATGAGTAGAGACTAATTTTGGATCTTGATATCAGGACACACGCCGCCCGGTCAACGGTGATGGCTTCGGCGTCGGTTTCTACCCGGATCCCAAACTTGGCCCAGAACCGTGCATTTTCACATCGACTTTGCCGGCATGGAACTGCGAGAACTTGGAGCGTCTAGCCAGTAAAACCTGCTCAAATCTCATATTCGCCCATGTGCGGGCAACAACAGAGGGCACATTAGCCGATAACAACTGCCACCCCTTTCAACACAACTCCTTAATGTGGATGCATAATGGCAATATTGGTGGTTGGAAATATATAAAGAGACCATTGGCAGCATCGCTAGAAGATAAGTGGTACCTGGGCGTGAAAGGGGGCACAGACAGTGAATGGGCATTTGCACTTTTCCTAGATCTAATGGAGAAAGGAGGTGCAGACCCTAGCTCTGATCCAGGACCTGACGGTTTTGGCCAGGCATTTTTACGGCAAATAATGTTCCAGACAATCGCCAAAATCAATGAATTGATTCGCCAAATCCCGGAGAAATATAAAGTTACAGATCTCGAGACAAGAAGCTTGCTCAACTTTGCAGTGACAGATGGCCACACAGTGATTTGCACACGGTATGTCAGCAGCAAGACAGATGAGCCAGCAAGTCTATACTTTTCCTCCGGCACGAAATGGAAAGAAGGTAAAACAAAGGGTCATTTCAAGATGGAGCGTCACGACAAAGGGGCGGACATCGTCCTTGTGGCTAGCGAACCTATTACCTTCGAAAGGCGTAGGTCCCCAACTTTCCACTGACTAGAAGAACTGTCTCTAACGCCATTCAGACAACTGGGTCACTGTTCCGACCAACTCAATCGTTACTATCCATAAGCAGACTGTACTAGTACATCCGGTTTTAGACGAATTCTATAATGACGACCCCAATCATGACCGATCGTCTGTTTACGCCCTATCTAAGGGCCTCGCACCCCCAGCTGTTGTCGCACCGAAGAAAAACGGTGCCGTCATTGACGCGGACTCCGAAAAATCAACTGAACGAGCACAGCTCGATTCTCTGGCGCGCAATGCCGCGCAGATTCAACTCGCAAGTTGACATGTTTTCGCTCTTGGTCTACAAGGTACACATGAAATTGACATTGAATAATGACGTATGCTATGTTGGAATTTTAAACTGGAGTTTGGGTTCATAGCTAGGGAACATTGGAGGAGTTTTCACAATTTGGGTATCTCTAATTAAATGCATATCGAAGCTATATAATACAAACACTAGCAACGCTTCTACTCATGATCTGAAAATAAAACAAGGATTGCGCATTCCCGACAATTCAGGGTTAGATAGCTGTCATCCATCGTCGCCTGATATGTTGGCATGTTTGAAATACTTCATTCCCACCCAGGCAACAACAACCCACACCCACGCCATGACAGCAGTGAGCACCATCAAAGCAGGGTAGTATCCTACGATAGGCAGAGTGGGGTCATCTTCTAGTTCCGGTGGTGCATATGGAGTTTCGCCAACATCCCATGCCCAACTCCATACGCCAAAGGAACTACCTATCCCCACGACAAAAACCAGCCAAGTGACGATCAGAATAATCCACCCCCACCATTCGGTTTCCGAATAGTCCCATCCACCGTCGACGCCTGTATGATGGTTTGCTATTTCGATCGATGAATGCGTGGCCAGTGGCGACCTGGCGCGATGGGACGAGTTGCGAGCCATTTGGAGTGCCATTGAGTCGGCGGCAGTGGCGGCTGGCTGGCGAAGGATGGCGAAATAGGATTCGGAGCTGGAGGAAGGGGTTGCGATGGGTGCTGGAAGGCCGCTGCCGCTACTGCTCACTGATGAGGGGCGTAAATTGGCCGTCGCAGCCGACTCGTTGTTGAACCGGGGTATCGATATATCGTCCTCATCATCAGTAGTATCGCTGACCAGACTACGGCGCGCAGTAGGTTTGTAGTTTTGTTGGTGAGTAGAAGTAGTCAACGAAGCACCCCTCATCATCATCAAAGACCGCGGCCAGTACGAAGCTGGCGTCGGAGTCTGGGTATTCTCTATGCTCACCCTCGGTGTGACTTCGTCATCCGCCGTGATCGTAGGTTTGAAAAGCGATGTTTTTGGCGTGGTATTTCCAGCGTCGAGAGCATTATTGTGACTACCATACGCATCTTCACTCCTTGCAGAACTGGAATTGTTCCGCTTTTCCTTCAATTCTAGGCGTGTTCCTAACAAGGCGGTCTTTCGTAATGAGCCCCTTCGCCGTCGCATTTTTCTCTGTTGCATAACCGTTGCCATTGCGCGTCCCGAACTCGCTCGTGCCCCTCCTCCTCCACCGTCGACACCAACGTTATCAATCTCGTCATTCTCGTCTTGATGGAGTCGGGTGTTGTTCGCCCAGCGGTGTTTAGGGGATAGCGATCCGGGATCATGTTCTGAAGCTTGGCTCATGCGCAGGAAGGAGAGCTTCGATAACAACGTTCCGGACAGTGTACGTTTGTGGCCGCTGCTCGCGCTGCCAGCGCGCACTCTCCCTGTGAGAGGGGGTTGACTATCGGGCTCTAGTTCCGTGCTGCTGTTGTTGCTGCTGGTAGTTGGCGGGCTGGCGCCACCATTTTCCATTGAGGGGAGTCGCGGAACCGATTAGATGAGAATGGATGGTTTTTTTGGTGGAAGTTCCATAGGGATTTCGTGAGAGTTGGCAAATAGCCAGCAAGCCGCGGGCCGAAAGTTGCTTGTGATGGCTGATGGAAAAACAATTGAAGACTGACGGAGGTGGCCGTGCCCGCTTATCCAGATGTCCCCACTGAGGCTTTATTCAGGGACTTAACCGCATGCAAAGCAAAACCACATATGTCAACTAATGCCAACTTGTTTATTTCTTGATCATACTAGACTCGCTGCCAATGGATTTTTCATGTTAAGAAATGTCCATAAATTATTGATAAATATTGTAATTTGCCTTTAGGTGTTGCCGCAACGGGAAATCGTCTCCCAGCCGCATCGCCATTTGCTGATAAGCGCCAGCCTGCCGCGTGGACCCACCCCTTGTCAACATAAAAACCGCCATCTCCAGCTGTTTTAACGATGCCGCTCCTCACTCATCGCCCCCTTCACCTTTTGATCCCTCAATGCGACGACTAGTTCCGAAGTTATTTCTCAGTGTTAGATGATTATGCATACCCGCCGAGCGTTGGCCGAATTCTTTTTTACATGATATCATTTGATACTCTCATTCTGTTTAGCACCGAACGCCTGTCTTGTCCTGGGAAAGAGCCTTAATCCCGCGGCCGTCTAGGATAGGGTTGCCCATACAAATATATTGTTAGAGTAGCGCTGGCTGTGGCACTGCACTAATGGATTAGGAGCCAATACTATATAACGAGGTCTTAGCAGTATACATAGCTATGCACCTGCTTATATGGTAATTTCCGCGATTGGCCCCATTACGCGCGCACTAAAATGTATCAACCGATTTAGTCACTCTCAACCTGCCATTTGGCGCCCTGTCAGGAAGGCTGAAACAGACTGCAGTTTATAGTCCAAGTTTTTAGCCATGACCGTGAGTTGGTACCCTGCCAACTAGTCGATCATCCTGGTAGGTTAGTAGCTCAGCCAGGGGCGCTTTGCGCATACAATTTAAGCAATTGTTCCGAGTTTTCAATTGAGAAGATTTATCAATGTCTTCCCGCAGACGGTTCTTGTCAGTCTTCGGTGTACTTTATTTTATCTTTTCTTAGGCATCTATTAGGCTCGATTACTATCTCATCTTCATAATAATTATTTTTTTGTTATTTTTCCCTCCTTTTCTGCATCTCGTTTTATGTATTTTCTTAATATGCCTTGATCGGCGATGTTGTCCCTCGACCTACGAGCTTTGAAAGCTTTGTACATAATTACCACAAGCGCATTTCTTTCCTTTCTTATTGTATTCTATTCGCACCACATGGTTGCAAGTGATGTTATCCACTCGTTGGTATCTGCGTTCCCTTTCACAAATGACAAACCTGTGCCAGCGGAATCAACATTCGACACAAACACTATCGAGCTGATACTCGGCAACCATAACGAAGAGCCGATACTGGGTGACCACGATATAGAGCTAGTGGTTGCCAGCTTGAAGGAACAAAACACTTCCTGGTACTCGGTATATTTTCCTGACTGGAAACATAATATCTACATTGTCAATGACTTGACAGCATCATTGACAGTACCGCGGAATAAAGGTCACGAGGCAATGGTTTATCTAACGTACAGTTCACTCCTTTTTTTCCCCTCCTGCTCTTTATTATGAGTCATTACTCATTACTCACTTAAAGACTAGGTACATCATTGACCGCTATGACAACCTCCCAAACAACACTGTCTTTCTGCATGCTGATAGATTCCAATGGCACAACGATAACCCTGACTATGACGGCGTTCCATTGCTGCGTGACTTGCAATTTGCCTACTTGCAAGAAGAAGGATACGTGAATCTGCGCTGTGTATGGGTACTTGGTTGTCCAGCAGCAATCCATCCATTCAACGATGAGGCTATTAGTGATGAACACAATGAGCAGGCTACTGGAGAAATTTTTCGTCAAGTTTTTGAGGAGTTGCTACCAGGTCATCCCGTCCCTACTGAAGTCGGAGTCAGCTGTTGTTCACAGTTCGCCGCCACAAGGGAGGCAATCCAGCAGCGACCCAAGGATGACTATATACGTTTCCGAGAATGGCTGTTAAATACCCCATTTCAGGATGGGCTGAGTGGTCGTTTTTTCGAGTATTCCTGGCACAGTAAGGCTTCATTTTCTGTCTCCTTGAGTGTAGTGCTTATGTTGCGTCCTTAGTCATATTCGGAAAAGATCCTGTCTATTGTCCCTCCGCAGCAGACTGTTATTGCAAGGTCTATGGGATGTGCGATCTTCCGAATTGTACGACCGGTGAGTGCAAAGGCCGCTACAATTTGCCCCCATACGCGACACTACCAGATGGCTGGCCACGAGTGGGCTGGAATGGAGAAGAGAGGCCTTTCTCCGGGCCGTAGAGCCTATACAATCCAAAGTCTCATCGAAACTCCTGGCGACTTCAATGCGAACACAAATTCCGGTCAAAATGCCTGTTTGTGAACCAAAAAAGCAGAAAAAACCTCGTCCGTTATCAGACTAGTCGCGATAATGATGAATATGTGCGCCGTTCGGGAATAGACTAGATCCGTTGTGTTATCTTTGCCACCAGTGCCGGGGGAGAGCCGTTGTTCAACTGGGCATTGAAAAGAGCAATGTCCATATCACGAAAATGTCTCCGGCGGTTTTTTTTTTTTAAATTATATCCTGTAATTTCGTCAGCTTCCGATTTAATCTTCTTTTCTATTTCTGTCTTAGCATCGTGGATCGCAGTACCCTTAGCAGCGTCCCATGTGCGATACCTCTTGCCCTGACTTTAACTGTCAGTTTCTGGGACAGTTCTCTGAGACGTCGGATGGAACGGCGGTTTGATATCCATTGTTTCTGTTTATCAGTGGTATCAGTCAGGGCGAATATATCTGCCATAAACGTCGCTAGGCGAGTTTCCCTTTGGACCGCTTCATTAGACGGACGTCTCAAAAATGCTGCCGCTGTGTCAAATTCAACGATTTCGTTAATATAATACCTGACAGCGCTCGAGTCATGGTCTGCAATTTGATCGCGAACCGAGGACGGTACCTTATCGACTCAACGTCCCTGAACTTCACAACAAAAATCCCATCATGGAATGCCATAGAAAGGAGTTGACTGAGTAGGTCAAACAGGGGACTACTCTCATGTTCGATGACAAATCTCTTGCTGTAAAGAAAAAGGTCAGGTCACGAGTTCAATTGCCAAGGAATTTGACTTATATGCGAGGTTTCCTATCTTCTTTCTTGGTATGAGTGATATGATCGTAATGGGTATATTGGGTCGGCATGGTCAGAAGTTATATACAATCCGAAAATTAATGTGTCTCTAAAGGATAGTTCCTATCTCATCATTGTCACTGAGGTATTCATCGTCAGTAACGTTAGATATATCTGATTCGTAATCTTGGTCGCTTTCTAGATCCGTCATTTCGCCGTCTCTATCCGTATCACTGAAGCCCAAATCACTGCTAATAAAGGTATCATCATCGGAGTTGCCAGATTTGTATCTAACTTTATTAATTATACTGTCTGCCATATCTCTGGGTTCCGCTTTGGGATTGTTGAGGTTGGTCTTAATATGTGTATGATCTTTTATTAGACTCGCATTCACCTATGTCACTCAGTTCATAGTCTGAGTCGCCTTTATCAAGAAACTTGTTATTATTATTGCCGGATTGTATGGCTTATCAAGTAAATTAAGCCTAATCTCATTATCAGATATAGTAGTATAACCACTGGACTTATGTTGGATATTAATCTAATTAAAGAATGTCTTAATCTCTACTAGTCTTAGATTTATTAAAATAATATTAGGATCCTTGTTCAATTCATTATAATAGAACATAGTCAGAATGATTAGTTTATATTTAGCTATCATCTAAAATGGAGCCTGTAGTATCTGTCCTACTTCCCTTGAACAGACCTCTTCAAGATTTTGGTATTATCTGACAGGTTGGAGGGTGTTGGCCCGGCTGTAGTGTGCTGTTTATGATGTTCAAGATAGAAACAGGCAGCTTTCTACTATTTTCTCACTTTTGAGCTTTGGTCTAAGTTCTGGGTAAGCCTCTACGGCCGGAGTTGCGCGGCTCGTGGGATACATGTTGGAGACCAGACTTGACATTTGGCCGCCGATGCTCGGCAATGGGATTTTAGCGACCCTCTGCCATTCACCTCCTGGCCAGCGTGATGTCGCTTCGATGCCGGCGAAGCTTCATGCATGATGTACTTTGTTCGGAAAAGTCGACCCAAGTTCCAAGGGAAAGTAAAGGGGGTTTAATAATCCGTCAACCCGATAATGTCGACATGGGATATCTTAATTTAATATATCAATTGATGCACCTTGTGCTGACAACGCTTTCAAATACAACATTGAAATATATAGTGACTGGAATGGAGACTCAATTGATCAATTGATATAGAAAAAGCGATATCAATATCATCAGTTGCTAGATCAAGTTGCATGTTGAATTATATAGACATTAATTACATTGATATATTAATCTGAATTATACAGTACTGGAGCGATTATTCAATCCCTGATAGACTTGGAGCTATCTGAATTGGCAATCTATCATAGCTTAAGCAGCAGTAATGTCATTGGCGTTGCCAGCAACAATGGCCTTTCCACTATGAAGCACATCGACAATGTCATTACGAGCAAAGTGGATATTCTTTCCATTGCCAGCGACGATAGCAGTGCCCTCTTCAAGAACATCAGTGACTTCATTGTCGCGAGCGACATTGATGTTCTTGGCATTATCAGCGGCAACAACAGTGCCATCGTGAAGAATATCGGCGACTTCGCCACGAGCGACGTGAATATTCTGAGCGTTTCCTGCTACAATAGCAGTGCCATCGTGTAGAACATCAATGATTTCATTTTCGCGAGCGACATGGATGTTCTTACCATTGCCAGCAACTGCAGCGGTGCCATCCTCAAGGATCTCGGCAACTTCAAAGCTACGAGCATTCAGGCCATTGGCGCCGGACACAAGTCCCTTAGCAACATTAATGTCGTCGAGATTTTTGACGACCTTGACCTTTCCTCCATTGAGAATGTCAACGATAGGGTTGGCCTCCCCTCGGGGACTGAGGATTTCGTCATTGCTGGCGACATGGCTAATATCGACCTGGATGTCTGGAGTGACATCGACAAGGCCGTGGCCCATGGTGGGCTGCAATTGTTGCTGTTAGTCGGGTGAACCCCCTGGAACAGAATATCGGAGCTTACAGTAGGAGCAGCTGTTGCAACAGCGCAGAGAATGGAGAGAGCTAGAGCAATAGTCTTCATTTTTGTTGGCTTGTTGGTAAGAGCAAAGAAAGAGTCGGTTTTATAGATCAGATAGATAGAAGCGAACGTAAGATTCAAAGAGATGAGTGAATGAACATGTTGTAAACCTAGAGGACCAGGGGATATCTAGATTTAAGAAAGTAGACACTTGAGGATTGTATCAATGATATGATTTCAGGGGCTATTAGCTTTCCAGATACGACAATGACAACAGTTACAGAAACTTACAGCATTTAGCTGTGATATTCGTCATACTTCTTCTGGATAGCATAATTGCAATCGTACTCCAGTTTTGAAAGATCTTCGCTCGATAGTTCATATTACGCTGTTTTCATTGTGGATAGAATGATGGATTGGGCTGGACTATCAAGGGGTTGATCGAGTTCTCATTTCTTGGATGTGACGGAATGGCATGGATACAACCACTAATTGAGATGCTAGCACAAAGACGAGTTTCGACCAACAGTAGCCGAAGCGAATTTAGAATTCTACTATCTGGTATCTATCTAGAATCATGGCGGTTAGGATTAGTTAGTTTGGAATGTAGGCCAAAACTTGGGTGTTCGAGATTAGCGCTGACTAAAGCCACTCTTCTTAGAGACTAGTTGAAGCGTGGTGAACACAAAGCCAATATAAAATAATTAAATGAATCATGTAACTACTAGCGAGTCATTTGCCTGCAGGCTCGATCTAGCATATCAGCTCAAAAATCAGATCATCAGAATCAGCGGAAAGATAATGCAACGTGACAGTCAGTACACCCAGCCACGAGTTCAACGACGTGTGAATATAAGCGATAGGCCAGGAAAGTCGGAGTTATGCCCACGTTTACCCCCACCGAAGGAAGTATCGTCACAGTAAATGTACGTGGCATGGGACATGTATCAATACGGGGCTCGAAAAGGCGATAGTCTGTCTTGGCGAGCTCCAGGTTCATGCATAAGTTGATAGTCAGCCTAGCTAGCCCGAGTAAAACTGTAGAAGGTTGAAAACTTTAGTAGAAATGGTTGATTGGTGATCGCCTGGGCGGATCCAAGGCGCGGGCCGTCCCCAACCGCGCCGATCCTACATACTTAGCCGCTAATCTATAGACAACAATGCTGGTCTGGTGATGGGAAGGGGCTGTAGCACGATTTCATGACTCGTCTATAGAGATTAGAGCGATGTACGAGTTTGACTTCTCCGCTGATATACACAAGTTTTCAATACTCCCTAAATATTACCCACTATTTTTAGTGTTTACAGACTGAGAATGAAAACAGAAAATGAAATCATTGAATACGATGATAGGAGGAATGTATCTTACTAAGACTGCTTCTGCTTGCCCGTATATCTTGTGCCATGCAAGCTATCCATCAGACCCAGAAGCCCATAATTGACGTTAAACATTGAATGATGGTAATCATGTATCTCGGGCTTCCACCCAAAGATACTCCCCAGGTCGTATCCACTATGCGCAATGGAGGCTTGCATTATAGCTCCAGTAATAAAGAGCCAGAATGTCACGATGTGCACGCGTAATAGTGTTGGCGGAATGATTATGGGAAGGATGTTAGACATTATATGCTCAACTGGATGACAGTATTCGCTCGCCAGGGCGACAGGTGTAGTGAATTGATGGTGTTGTTTGTGGAAGTACCGGAAAATAAGCCGGTGATGAAGTAGCCGGTGGCCATAATAAAATACTATTTCTCTTCCAAGCGCACAAAAGAAGGTGGAGGCGAGAATTTCCGGGACGGATGGGAGGTAAGATTCAATCCTATATACGGCTCTGATATGCAAGAGGCGCCTGAGAACAAAGAGTTGCAGAAAGTGAAGCGTTGATGTGAGAATCTGGTTCCCTAGCGCACCGAAAAAGCATTTTATGAGGACTTTCCCAGACGGTTGTTTGGAAAGGGATTGCAATTTGTATTTTTGAGCTGCTGGAATGAGGTCGGTGATTGTGAAGACCAGGGAGACTAGCCAGTATGCGACGAAATGTGTGGAAAATGTACCGACAAATTCAATGGTCTCTGGAGAGTAGGTGTCGGCGATATATGCCCATTGCGTCGAGAGGGAAGAGATGGGTTTTTGAACAAGACCTAAGCCTGTTGAAACCATTGATACGATGGTAGAATAGGGCTTGGTATGAGTTATTATGGTTGAATTCATCATTCTGACGATACAGCACTGAATATTTGTCTGATGAAGTTGCTGTGAGGTTGAAAATAAGATTATTTCCAAGAAAGAGACATATAGACTACATACGATATATGCAGAACATTCACTTTAGAGCGCCTTCCGTAGAACCGTAGGTTTTTGAAAAGACCATCTCTATTCGGCAGGTGATATGACAAATCATACGTAATCCAGATGATCACTAAAAGGTGAAGGATGGTACAGTAGTACCCCGTACGTGACGAGACCAAAAAGAGCCAATAGTCGAAATTAGTACATTCTTTCATGATCAATCAGCTTTAGAGCACAGGATGTAGAGCGGCTAGTGAACATTCCTGCATCTCTGCAGGGGCGCTAGTCGCACCCAAACACACCATGTCGTAATTTTGATTGATACGGTCTTAGGGTACAATAAAAATACTCGTCCCACGTTGGGGCTTATTAGGCCGATTAGCTTGACCACCAGACAGTAATCCGATGTTCCTTCTCAGATACATTTGATGGCCTTCTTCCCTAGAGTAACTCCAGCTCCGAACATCAATCTATTTAACTGCTACTCTATTTACATTGCTGTATTTATCACCGAAACCATGATGGTACCTAAGACTCTTTCAACTGCAGTGCTAGCTGCTGTCCTTTCAGCTTCTCTACCTTCAAGCTATGCTGCCTACAGCGCTCAAGATGCGATAACTGGCCTCACCTCCTTGGCCCAACAGGTGGACAGTGCAAGTACGACTCTCAACAGCTTCCACGGCGGATACATGGGCGCTCTCACATGCGCCCGAGAGATATTCACCGTCCAGCAAGCTTGCAAGCAAGCCCAACAACTCATCGACGGCAGCGGCCAAGTTCCAGAGGAAGATATTCAGCAATACGTGGACCAGATCGACACTTTACACGAATCTGTAACCAACATTCTTTCAGTTGCCGCCGCGAAGGTGAGAAAGCAATCCATTGCCATTTGATGCCTGAATATCGCTTGCTGACATGCGGGGTTCAGGCGCCACAGTTTGGAGCTCTGGGTGTCAACCCATTCGTTTCCTTGTTCTTGAGCATGTTCTCGAATGAGCGGACCATCTTCGAGCAGATTGCTAGAGAACGGATTCCTGCCGCCAACCATTCTTTGTTCGAGAAGTCTTTCTCCGAGCTGGACAAGACTTACCAGAGCACCATCAATGTGTTCAAGGGAGGAAAGTTTCTCTTCTAATTACGAGGCGGGGTACTGAAAGTTTCATAAGTTAGTCTTTTTTCAGGGAGATATGCCATTCTTGAGGCTCAGCTGTACATTCTTTCGTATCGAGTCGCTTGAGGTTGGATGAGAGTCAATGAGATCGCGAATTTTATTGTTATGTGGTTTAACTTCAGAGTCAATAATATATCTTGTATCCTTCTCTGGGGACTACGAAACCAGAAACCTCGTATTTGCACCCTGTGACTAGTAATAGTTCCTGTACCTAAAGAACTCGCACATCTATTTAGGATTGATCTATTCCCGAGAGGGAATGGCGCTCATACTAATGGTCGGATATGTGCTTTCGTGTAACGATTAATTTCGAGGAATATTAAATATTTCATTCTATTTGTTGTTTACATAGATAGTCGTTAAGTTTAGGCTGAATTTGAAGAATAGATTCGGAATTAATATCACTCCATTTTTATTAGCATCATGCACATTTAAACTGGTAACAAAACGGTATGCGTATTTTGATATCGATAAGGAGTATAGACCACTCGCTTATTTAGGCCGTATTGGGAAAGCCCAGTCAGCTAACCCGACAATTATTGTAAGCACTTTTTACTCGGGAAAAAAACCTATTTTGAGACGACTTAAGTGTGATATGCACACATACTTCGGCGTCAGCAGATGTAGGGCTAAAAGAGTGCATTTTAGCTTCGGGAGTTAGTTTGCCGGCAGAAATAGTTGCCGATCTGCGGGGCGGGCTCTCGTGCGCTGTCATACATGTAATATACAATACGGTATTTTACCATCTTCAACCTTGCATTATTACTTATTTTATTACGAGGTTGACAAGAAAGACCATACTCTAAACCGTGAGGCCGATCCTATAACATAAACACACTCAATCAAGCCTATACAGAGTATAGTTCATGCCTCTACATACTAAAATAATGCCAAAGATGAAGGATACCGGTCGAGATGGCTCCTCCGTCGAGGAAATTGATTTTATCCCAATAGCCATTATCGGCGCTGGCTTTTCTGGCATTGCAGCTGGATGCCGGATCAAAGAAAAACTTGGTTTTAGCCAATTCAAGATATTTGAGCGTATGGATGGAGTTGGGGTATGCCGAATTTCTTTGGTACAAGATTAGATTCAATTGCTAATTGAGTGTAGGGCGTCTGGAGAAAGCAAAGATACCCTGGTGTTGCTTGCGATATGTATATCACACCTGATAACCAAACACATCAAGAATGAAACTGATAAGAAGAGAATAGTCCTGCGCCGCTCTACTCGCTTTCGTTTGCTCAGAGTACAGGATGGTCCACTCTCACGCCTTCAGGTGAAGAGATCCAATGCTATCTTGACGGCGTTTGTAAAAAATACGAAATGATAAACAATATCCAGTTCAATACTGAGATAACAGACTTGAACTGGGAAGAATCTTCAAGTCGGTGGAAGATATCGGGATTTCGTCTGCAAAGGGAAAAAGAACGAGAACTGTTCTCACTTTACGCGAACGTCGTTATAATTGCGGCTGGAAAATTTTACAGCCCAAATCTTGCCAATATCCCGAAGCTTCCTGGAATCGATAGGTTCGGTGGTAGAATTATACACACGTTAGATTGGGATGACTCTCTAAATTTGGAAGGCAAAGATGTAATAGTCGTGGGCTCTGGTTGCACTGCTGCTCAGGTGGTTCCTTCGTTGCTGGCATCTCCTCATAATGCGGGATCTGTCACTCAATTGATGCGATCTGCTCCGTGGGTTAGGCCAAAGTTTATATCGGAAAGGCTCATGAGCATGTGGGAGCAATACATGCCATGGCTGACACGGCACATACCGTTTCTTGCGGGGATTACTCGCATGATCATATTTGTGATAACGGAAAGCTACTACTACCTTCTATTTGCTAGCTCGATTGGGAGGACGAGATTCAAAAGACACGTTTTACGTTATATACATCGGGAAGCTCCTGCTGAATACCATGAAATTCTCGCCCCAGACTGCGAAGTCGGCTGCAAAAGATTTGTCCAGGATATCGCCTGGTATGAAAGTCTCAATGACCCACGTGTACATCTTACCACTGCAAATCTGAAGGTATTTGAAGAGAATGCAGTGGTTTTAGAAGATCGACACTGTGGCCTAGAGAAACGAATACCGGCGCAAATTGTTGTGCTAGCTACGGGATATGATATATCTACATTTTACCCTAGCATGTCGACTACGGGACGAGACGGAGTTGAACTACATCGGCTATGGACAGAAAGAGGCGGACCGCAAACATACTTGGGAATTGCAGTCGATAAATTTCCTAATCTCTTCATTTTAGGAGGTCCAAATTCAACCAACGGTCATACCAGTGTACTAATCAATATCGAGAATGGAGTGGGCTATCTCATTCAGCTATTGAAGCCTATAATCATGGGAGATATTAGCACATGTGAAGTCAAAACAGACGCATGTACAAGATGGACGTCGAAGATTCAAGACGCATCGAATGGCAGCGTGTGGAAAACCGGCTGTAGTAATTGGTATATCAGCAAGACCGGTTGGAACGGCACCGCATATCCGTAAGTTATAAACCCCATTATTATTGTGATAGTGCTAACATCTTGACTGTTTTTACACAGGTTTTCTCATCTCTACAATACATACTGCATGACGTTTCCCAATTGGAGTGATTGGACAGTTACTTACACAGCCAAGGGGTCCGGCTCCAATGGAAGATCAAGCGTCCGGTCTTGGTTTCTTTCAGGTGCTGCTGTTGTAATCCCTGTTGTGATATTTACCTTTGTATTTAAGGTATGAGACAGGTTTTCAAGCGTGATTGCGATTTAGACTGGGTATTTAGCTAGGGACCAATTGGTCTAGATGTAATAGCGCTGACATCAATTGAGGCTTCCAATAAGTAGGCCTGAACTCAGCACATGATAATCTAATAACCAAAGTGCAGGAGTCTTCTGAATTTCAATGTTCTGGTCGGTATGCCCGAGCACATAGTTGCATGACAGTAGTTGTCCCTGGCGACCGATTAAGGTCCACAGCTCAGCTCCACACAATCACAAAATCATGATTTCCGATAGGCTAGGTCGGAAAGAGCATACCGAGCACCGCTCAAACTTGGGCATCTCCTGAAGAGGGATGTCATTCGGAGGATTCTACAAAGCGACAAGAAAAAGGAAAGAAAGCAATAGTCAAGAAAAATTGATAGTTGACTCCGCATTGAGCCCTAAACCTTAGCGTAGATAGCGTGTAGGTCCCAGTCGTGTATTACGGCGTATGGTAATTTACATCCGATACAGTACAATACAAAACCTGCTCTCAGATAGGAAGGCGCGCGACTGTGACGGCGATAAACGACGACTGTCACTCTAGACTGAACTTCCATTCTTCAAATACTCGTCTCTGTGTATATTCATAGCAAGGGAGGGAGCCATATTCTCTTGCGCTACTTTGATCTCCTTCGGATCTTTGTATTATACTATTTTTAATATGACTGCTTATCCTTCTGTGCACATCGAAGGTGATATGGCGGGGAGGCTGTCTCTCGATGATGCTATGAGAGGCTTGGTAAGAGAACTGGATTAAAATAGAAGATAGCACAGCTAATAGAACTTCAACAGGCACCAGGGAATCTTCGAAGTCCCTCTCCGACAACCACACTTTCATCTACCTCAATTCATGACCGTGCATCCACGCCAGCCAGCTCACAGGATGATGAGCCATTATCTTCTGCCAATTTTGAACCAATCGCTATCGTCGGCATGGGGATGAGGCTTCCAGGAGGAGTTAGGACGGACAAGGAATTTTGGGATTTTTTGATTGAGAAAAAGGATGGGCGTTGCAAAGTCCCCGGCACACGCTATAATGTTGATGCGTTTTATCATGAGTCTAAACAACACTCTGTAAAAACACAGTATGGTTATTTTTTGCAAGAGGACCCTGCCTTCTTCGACACAGGTTTCTTCTCTATTGGCTCGTTCGAAGCCGCGAGATTGGATCCACAGCAACGCCTGTTGATGGAAGTTATCTGGGAATGCATGGAAAGCGCCGGCCAGACTGGATGGCGAGGAGATAACGTCGTATGTACAGTTTCGAAGCTGACTTTAAAAACGATACTGACAAACACTGTATAAAGGGCTGTTATGTCGGAGTTTATGGTGAAGATTGGCTCGATTTGAATAGTAAAGATATACATTGTAAGCGGCCTTTGAAACCAAACAGATAATTAAACTTTCTGATTAGTATTGAATTTTTCTAGGGATTGATCGTTATCATGTTCTGGGTACTGGAAACTTTGCATTATCAAATCGCATATCCTATGAATATGACCTCAGAGGACCTAGTATGACATTACAAACTGGCTGTTCGTCCTCTCTTGTTGGGCTCCATGAAGCTTGTATCGCTATACAGGCTGGAGATTGTTCGTCTGCTATTGTTGCGGGAACAAATCTAATATTTACGCCAACAATGACAACTACAATGTCCGACAATGGAGTTTTGGCTCCAGACGGAATTTGCAAGACATTTGATGCTGCAGCTAATGGCTATGGACGTGGAGAGGCTGTGAATGCACTTTATATAAAACCATTGAAAGAAGCTCTTCGCGCTGGTGATCCTGTCAGAGCTATCATTCGTTCTTCTAGCACAAATTGCGATGGCAAAACACCCAGCATTACCACACCTGGCTCTGAGTCGCAGAAGCGGCTTATTAAAAAAGCCTATGAAAGAGCAGGTATTGATGATATTACCGAAACTGCCTTTTTTGAATGCCATGGCACAGGTACGGTTATAGGGGACAAAAATGAAGTCTCCGTAGTTGCTGATCTCTTCGGAAGTAAGGGCGTATATATCGGCGCGGTATGTGTGCTATAATACTTCACACTGTATTTTTTTTATTAACGGTCATCAGGTCAAGCCAAATGTTGGCCATTCAGAAGGTGCCTCGGGTTTAACTAGTGTGATCAAAGGGGTGTTGAGTTTGGAGAAAAATGTGATTCCTCCAAACGCTCATTTCAAGGATCCTAGTCCAGAGAGTAAGAGTACCCCTTGAGTTGATTGTTCTGTGGTATTTGAGATCTGACAAATAATTGATGTAGTTCCTTTCAAATCAGCTCGACTTCAAGTTCCGATAGAAGCCACGCCTTGGCCTGAAAATCGAAAACAACGAGTTAGCGTGAACTGTTTTGGAATAGGAGGTGCAAATGCTCATGTAATTCTCATCGTTCTGAATCATATATTGAACCGAACTAATCCGACTAGGTAATATTGGAGTCAGCATCATCACTTCTGCCGCCTGTAATTGGGACCACTACAAGAACCATCAAGCCACAAGAAGATTCGTTACACCTACTCCTTCTATCTGCATCTAGTTCATCTGCCTTGAAAAGCAAAGCCACCCTATTGAAGGAGTACAAGGAATCTCAGTCGCTAGATATAGAGGATTTAGCATACACATTGGCGTTCCACCGCGAGCATTTAAGCCACCGGACTTTCTTAATTGGAAACAAGAACGAGATCCACATCCCAGATCAGCTAACCGTGAACAAATCAAACTTTTCTCCGTCTGTCACATACGTCTTCACTGGACAAGGAGCACAATGGACAGGCATGGGTAAGGATTTGCTGGAGAATTATGATCAATTCGCAAGCGATATCAAGAAAATGGACGACATTTTAAAGACAGTGAATGATCCGCCTCAGTGGACAATAGAACGTAAGTAATTTGTGGCCCTTCCCGCTGATTCAAAGCCCACTAACTTCTCGCAGAGGAGCTCCTGGCAGTAGGTGATGACTCTCGAGTGAACGAAGCGGAACTGTCACAAACCCTTTGCACCGCTGTTCAAATCGCCATTGTCAACCTTTTGTCTAGTTGGGGAATTCAAGCTAATGCTGTTGTTGGACACTCCAGTGGCGAGATCGGTAAGCGAATTCTCTCTCTCGTATTGAATATGCGTGATGTTAATCAGAATAGCCGCCGCCTACGCATCGAATGCGCTCACATTTGAGTCAGCCATTATTGTGGCTTACTACCGTGGGCAAATGGCCAGAAATTGTCGCTTAGGATCTATGGCAGCCGTTAGTATGAGCTCAGCAGAACTCCAGCCGTACTTGCAACATGGCGTTGTTATTGCATGCGAAAATAGTTTTCAGAGTACAACTATATCCGGTGACCCCGAACAAGTTGATAAGGTGATTAAAGCTATATCTCAGAGCAAACCAAATGTTTTTTGTCGAAAGCTTCGAGTCAAAGTTGCTTACCATTCACGTAAGTTGACGTGTATCCCTCAAAATATCCATAGCTAATAAGTTTAGACCATATGCATGAATTGGGAAACGCATATGAAGAAGCAATCAAGCCCTATATAAATTTGAGAAAAAGAACTGTACTCTTTTTCTCAAGTGTCACAGGTTCACTATTGGAGGAGGCTAGCAAGCTAGATGCTACTTACTGGCGTCGGAATCTGGAGTCCCCTGTGCTATTTTCCTCCGCCCTCAGTAGTATTGTGAAGAATGCACAGCGTAATCAACTCTTTCTTGAGATAGGACCACATTCCGCCCTAGCAGGCCCAATACGTCAGATAATAAAAAGTACAAAGGGTCCAAAGGAATCTGTCTACGTTTCGACCCTCACTAGGGGTACGAAACAAGTACGCAATATGCTCGAAACTCTGGGCCACCTTTATTCACATGGCGCTTCAGTCGAGATCCATAGGTTGTTTGATACATGCGGTAGAAAATTTTTGATGGATCTTCCTCTCTACCCTTGGGATCATGAGGAGCGGTACTGGCATGAAACCCGGGCCACACAGAGCTGGCGGCTGAGGGAGTTCCCTCATCATGAAATACTCGGCTCTAGGCTGCCAGGTTCAAGTGACATTGAGCCTGTTTGGAGGAACATATTGCGTCTTGAAGACGTGCCATGGATAGCTGAACATGTTCTTTGTAATGATATCGTCTTTCCAGGGGCAGGCTATATCGCCATGGCAGGAGAAGCTATCCGACAAATAACAGGTTGCGACAGATACGTGGTTAAAAATCTTTTTCTCAAAACTCCATTGTTTCTTCACGAAATGCAAGCTACAGAGATTTTGACTAGCGTGAAGCCCGCCCGTCTGACAGATATTGCTGATGCTGACTATTATGATTTCACCATTTCTGCTTATGATGGAACTAATTGGATAAAACACTGCCAAGGGCATGCCAGTAAAGGTGCTGAAGATGACCCAGAACCAAAAGGTCTCCAACCCTTTATTCGAAAAGTTTCATCAAAGTTCTGGTATGCCTTTATGGCTAAGTTAGGCCTGAGCTATGGGCCTCGCTTTCAAGGCCTACAGAATATCACAACGCATCCGGCTGAGAAATTAGCTCATGCCACTTCCCATGATGACGGCACTTGGCATGAAAGTCACTATTCGATACACCCGACTCTTATAGACCAAACATTGCAGTTAATGGGCGTTGCAGTTTCGCGGGGCTTGACTCGTGTTGTGGATAAATTATGCGTACCAATTCAAATTGAGACTATCGAGATCAGCAAAGCGACCGGTGTATTTGCCATAGAAGCGACTACCAATCATATGTCTGGGGCAACAATGTCTGGAAATGTGACTGCCACAGTCGATAGTCGACCCGTGATCTCTCTGAAAGGGGCCTCGTTTTTCTCTATCGATGACAGCCAAAGTGTTGGAGACTCAAAAATTCCTCTGACTTCTCAACCTCAATGGAGACCTGATATTGATTTGGTTCCTCAGGAGTCTCTTCTCCCATTCTTGCCCCAAGGGCGAAAGTCGGAAATCTATTCGACCATAATTTCTCTATGTGTTATTGATACTGCGTTGGCATTACAAGATTTGGAGCCCGTAACGGACCATCTCAAGAAATATAAAAGTTGGGTTTGTGGCATGTTTGATCGGATCGGCACTAACAGTGAGGAGATCTGGAAGGCAAGCCAGGCAAATGAATGGGTCAATGTCTCTTCCGAAGCCCGACGAGAATTATACGATGAAGCTTTGTTGCAAGTTAAATCTGATGACTACGCATCTCTTAACCTATGTGCACTAATGCGCCAGGTCATGGACAACGCAAGTGATGTTATCCTGGGGAAGAAGCAACCCGTGGAAGTTTTGTTCCAAGACGAAAAGATGAAAACCTTATACTCGTCTAACTCTACAAGTGCTCAGTTTAAGCATCTGTTTTCTTTACTTGTTCATTCTAACCCAAGAATGCGAGTACTGGAGATCGGAGGCGGTACTGCAAGTACCACAACGATAGCCCTTGAGCTCCTGCGTTCATCTACAGGAGTCCCAATGTTCCAAAACTATACCTTCACCGATATTTCAGCCGCATTTCTAAAAGCAGCAGAGGAAAGCTTCAAAGAGCATAAGAATATGACTTGCAAGCTCCTGGATATAGCAAGAGACCCTCTTGAACAAGGATTTGACTTGTCAAGCTTTGATCTCATCATTGCCTCAAATGTCTGTAATCTTGGTATTATTTAAAGCAGTTACTAATATTTCTACAGGTTATGCACGCCATTCCAAAACTTCAAACAGGCATTGAAAATGTGAAGAAGCTTCTGGCACCGGGAGGACGTTTTATCTTGCAAGAGCTATGTCCCGGTGAGCACCCCAAATTAGACTAGTCTTTCTAATAGAAGTAACGGCTAACACTAGTAGATCTGCCTTGGGCGGACTATATAATGGTATGAAACTTCCTAGAAGCATGGTATTTTTACTTTCAGCTGATTGCGGACAAGGGTTTGCTGCCTGGTTGGTGGCTAGGCGAAGCGGACGGAAGGACAGAGAGGCCGTATGTCAGACCGGAACGTTGGCATAACGAACTTTTAGAAGCTGGGCTTACTGGAATCGAGGCCCAAGCTTACGATGATGAATGGCCACAGAGGATGACTGCCAGCATGCTTACTCGAAAGCCTCTGTTACCCGTACCTGACAGGAGGGTTACTCTTGTTACACATTCAAAGCCTAACCAATGGATAAAAGAACTGGAAAATCGGTTGCTACAAAAGGAATTCACAGTCACTTGGGGTTCTCTAAATGACAAGCAGCCATCTACGCGAGATGCAATTTTCCTTCTCGATCTCGATGGACCCTTTTTTCATAATATCTCTGAAGCTAATTATGAAAGCTTCAAAACATACATTTCGGCTTGCACAAATACCCATATGTTGTGGATAACACCAGGTAATCAAGACATGTGTGAAACTCCATTTTATGGACTCGTGTCTGGGGTTGCTCGAAGCCTCTGGAGAGAGATGTCACTCGATTTTGCAACAGTGAAAGTGGATCGTTTTAATTCGACGTCCGTCGATGCTGTTACTCGAATTTATCAAAAGTTTCGGGAGCAAACTGCCACTTCCGCCATGACTGAATATGAATATATGGTATCGGATAACGTTGCCAATATTTGCAGGTTCGAGTGGAAAGCAATTGAAGACCACCTCAGAACCACTTCTACCAAGGATACGCCAAGGAAAATGTCAATGAAGCAGCTCGGTCTCATTGACACAATCGAGTGGACGCTCGACGATGAAGAAGAATTGAAAGCAGATGAGGTTAACGTCGATATCGCCTATTGTGGTCTCAATTTCAAGGTATGTTCTTATGAATATATTTTCTCGATGTTGTGATGCTTACAAACATAGGATATAATGATTAGTATGGGTGTATTTGGGTCAACCAAAGATGTTGGCATCGAAGGTAGTGGTTCTGTGCGTTCGATCGGAAGCAATGTGAAAAATCTTAGCGTAGGCGATGAAGTCCTCCTTATTGGTAGTGGTATTATGAAAACGCGCAAGACCGTCACTGCAGACCGCTGTATCAAACTACCCGCAGATCTATCTCTTGAGGATGCGGCAACAATGCCAGTGGTGTTCGCTACGGCAATTTACTCTCTGCTCCATCTTGGACATCTCAAAAAAGGTCAAGTAAGGATAAGACCTATTCTCAATTTATGGTGTGGCTACTCTCTGACACTTTCTGGTAGTCTGTTTTAATTCACTCTGCATGTGGAGGATTGGGACTTGCTGCAATCCAGGTTTGTCAGGTGATAGGCGCTGAGATCTATGCAACCGTTGGCAATGAGGAGAAGATTGCATATCTTGAAGCCAATTTTGGAATTCCTCGTGACAGAGTATTCAATTCGCGAAATGACTCGTTCCTCCCAGCCGTAATGCACGCGACGAACGGTAAAGGTGTGAATATTGTTTTGAATTCATTATCCGGAAAGCTTTTACACGCATCCTGGAGATGTGTTGCCAAGCTTGGTAAAATGATAGAACTTGGTAAGCGAGATTTGCTTGGGCATGGAATGCTTAGCATGGATTTGTTTCTGGATAATCGAGCTTTCTTCGGCGTCGACCTTTCCACTCTTACTGAAGAGGACCCTTCTGTTTTCAAAGAGTATGTGGTCACGCCTCAAGCTTGGTTCGATATAATTACTAACAAAAATGAGTTATAGCCTACTTACACAGTTCACGGATTGGTTCAAAGAAGGCAAGATAAAACCAATTCGCCCCACTCGTGTTTTCGAAGCTGGAAATATTGTCGATGCTTTCCGTTATATGCAGAAGGGTGCTCATATGTAAGCCTTGACACCAGAATAGAACCCAAAAACGTTTATAGTACTGACTAAAATGGGATAGGGGTAAAATACTTATTAAGATGCCTCAAAATACAAGTGACATGGTCACAGCGTCATCAAAGCCACATGTTTCTCTGTCCACTGAGAGATCATACCTACTTGTAGGTGGCCTTGGAGGGATTGGCCGGGCTGTTTCAAACTTTCTTGTGGAAAAAGGTGCTCGTCAACTTATCTTTCTTTCAAGGTCGGCTGGAAAACACGAGGAACACGCTCAATTTCTTAAAGAACTGGAGGCTCAAGGATGTCAATCATCACTTGTTCAAGGAAGCGTCCAGAATTTGCAAGATGTCCAGAGAGCCATCAATATTAGTACAAAACCCATCGCAGGTGTAATTCAGTTGTCGATGGTTTTAAGAGTAAGGCTGGCTTTAATTCTTGAACATTGTCAAACATTATACTAACACTAGACAAGGATCAATCATTCTCAAAAATGACCCTCGATGACTGGTCTGCAGCTGTTGATCCGAAGGTGGCTGGCACTTGGAATTTACATACCGCAACGGAGCAATGCCCACTTGACTTCTTCATTGCCTTTGGTTCATTGAGCGGTACATGTGGTAATACAGGGCAGGCTAATTATTCAGCCGCCAACTCTTTCCTTGATGAATTCGTTCAATATCGGCGCAGTAAAGGCTTCCCAGCATCGGTGCTGAACATTGGTGCTGTGGGAGATATTGGATTTGTGAGCCAAGACCAGAAGCTACTCGACCATATGAAGTCTTTGGGAAATCGGCTTTTGCAAGAAAAAGATATCACGGATGCATTGGAAGTAATCATTTCGACTTCGTCATCCCAGAAAATTGTGCATGATGCTGATAGCAGCTCGCCAAATTCGACTGGGATGGTTATTGGCTTAGCAGTTAACAAGCCACTCAGAACTTTAACAATGCGCCCTCCATGGACCAATGATCGTCGATTTTTGGCATATGAAAACTATGAGTTGCCATCTTCTGAGCAAAGCACAGAATCAGATGAAGCAGGCCTAAGAGATTTTGTGGGCCAGATCGAGACGAATCCAATGTTGTTAATGCAGGCCGAGACTGAGGCGAAGATTCGAAGAGAACTAGGGAAGTTAATAGTCACGCATACGGCCTACGGTCAGAAGGAAGAGATGACGGAAGAAGAGATATCCGGTATTGCGATTGATTCTTTGATGTCAATTGAAATTCGGAACTGGGCAAGGCGTAAGCTATCCATCGACATCGCATTGACTGAGATATCAAAGGCTGCGACTGTGGGCGGATTGGCCAGATTGACAGTGGAAAAGTTGAAACTCAAATACGCGCCACAGACACAGGAAGGAGACGTTCAAACTGAAGCGGTTTCTTCATAAGGAATATTTATTGTTATAATCGCGGATATATTCCCTATTTAATGCTATACATTCGACCGTCTCCCGATGTTTGAATTAATTTGTTCGTATAAATACCTGACTCGTGAAGTGCTTCGAATCCAGTTTTAATTTCATGTCTAGTTGGCCGATGAAACATAATAGAAATGCAAAAATATTTCCAGCGGATATTGATGATTGATTACATCAATTGATGTAGTAAAATTGAATACACGTATTCAATCAAAGAGTGCGGAAAGGCAGAGCAAAGACTCATTTGGTAACCCATTAGCCTAGCCCTATTTACTTTCGACGGACAGCAAAACGTTATGTTCTCCATCTTCCCACCCCTGAAGCACCAAGCCCTGATTGTTTTAAGAACTGCTGAAATGTGATGCGGTGTTTTTGGCATATCCCCGATCCAGCAATACTGCAATCAGACCCTGGAACTAAGTAGTCGTATTCACTTAACGTACTACCACTCCGTGGGCAAGACTTTTCTTCAAAGGCTATATAAGCTTCTAATAACTTTATCCCAGCAATACCATCGATAATGCTTTCTCGACGTGGGTACATTTTTAGTAGGTGCAAAGCCCGATGTCGAATTGTGAGATCCCGGCAGCATTTCACGGTGTATAATAATGGCTCTGAGATGATAACTGAAAGGGAAAATTGTGCTGGTGCTGGTTTTGCAGTACGTAGTCCATCTTCGGAGCTCGTAGGTCGTTTCGTACCTTCAAGTATGGTAGCTGCTAGACCGACGATTCCCTCGTACTGATGGAAGAATTCGTCGTGTCCAAGTTCGTCCTTGTCAAAATTCTGGAAGAGCACGGCGGCGAATAAGCGTCGCATGCGAAGGAGCCTAAGAGAATCCTCTTCAATCTTTATTAAGCCTTCAGCAAGGTATTCGCTGAATTTATGGTCCCACGCAGTAAGTGTTAGGGTATAGATGTCCTTCTCGTCGACAGCTAACTCGGAATTTAGATTGGTAGGATGGAGCCGCGCCAAGCGATTAATCAGCATTTCAAGCGTAACATACGCTTCTAGGCAGGACGCAAAAGATTTCGGTGTATAGTTAGGAAGACCAACAAGGTTGTCGGTATTTTGATCATCATTCTTTACTTCTACACCACTGCGAATGTGCCGCTTCCGCGTGTCTAATTGGAAGAATATCAACAACAGCATGTTGATAGTAGTATCGGAATATCGTTGGCTTATCAAGTCCATGAATCCCCACTGATGAAGAAGGTTAATTCCGTTGCTGATGTGTAAGAAAGCCTGCTCTTGATAGCCCTGTAATGTAGACAGACAAGTGAACAAAACGCAAACTGTCAACACTACTATCTTATCCTGTTTGGTCAACACTCGTGTAGACAGCATATCTGTCACGCTTTTTATTGATTTGTTCAATTGTCTGAGTGCAAACCGAACGTTACGATGCTTTTCTGAGTCTCGACGGTAGGGTAATGCAATATCAGTCATGAACACACGATGTACAGCACCTAACGCGATAGTGGCATGCCATAAGGCAGGATATACATGCGAGGCTTGCAATGTACTCTTAGCCCAGAAGCCAAAATCAAATGGCCCCGCTAGACTTGAGGCCGTGACAGTACGAAAGAAGAGAAAGTGATCAACTTCGAGGACACTGTTGGAAAAAAGACGAAATTCCGAACAACTCCTCGCCGGTCCTGTAATAGCCCTTGGTGGGTTGTACTCCTGCCCCGCGACGGTTGTATTATTTATCTCTCTAGTATGCGTTTTTCGTCGATCTCTGCTAACGTTTGATTGAAAGCTAGCAACAGTTTCCATTCGAAACACTAAGTCTAGTTGATTGCGATAACCTGGGCACGCCCGGGCTATTCTCAGGCACTGCGAACACGCAGGACGAATGAAATCGCACTAGGCACGCCATATAAAAATTAGTTAAATCTTTTCCTTTATAGTGAGATTTCTCAGATCGGATATTGTACCTTTATGCGTCTTTCTCGACATGCATGACATGCCCGACTCGGCCTGCCGACATTCGGCATAGTTGAAATGATAGAGGTAATGGCACGAAGCAGAACTTCTCTATAAGGAAATCTATTCTTGATGATGCATACACAGATTGCAAGGGCAAGTTGTTAGAATGAATTTGAGCCATTGAAATTGTTGCTGGCGTCGTTTATGTTTACGTAGGCTGAGAGCAGGCGATCCCGCTTCGGGCAGTCGATTCGGCGCTATAACGGCCACGAGGCTTCTCCGCATGATGGTCGAAAGGCCCAACCTAGTAGGCTACTTTGCTGCCTCCTGAAGAGCTGAAGAAGTGGTTTCGAATCCCGCGATCCCCAATTGCCTGGCGCAGTGGCCGAGTCGATGGAGGGGTTCAGATTGATGAAAATGCTGTATATGATAAGATTACAATCCCATGAAATAATAACCGAGTAATGTTTGAATAAGGCTGCTTAATGCAAGGAAAGCATTTTTACTGTATCCAATTCATATATAAGTCTGCATAGTACCAACAATAAACTCAGGAAGCTTTAATAGATTACATGTATAATAGAGAGCAATCTAAGAAATGATGTGGCTGTGGTGGCCCTGAGGGATACGATGTCTACGGGCAGGGGTCGCTGATCCGGCCGGCAACCGAAGCGTACGGTGGACCATAGGGAGGTGATAACTTTTTCAATTTTTGGCCTGTGCCCAATTTTTCCAGAAACCCCATAATAGTATATGTCGCAGGCCTGACTAGAAACATATGGTTGGTTAGGAAGTTTCAACAAGCCCTATAAACCTTTTATAAGATAGGGCCTCCGAAAGGCCCTCAAGAAGGCCCTTACGGGAGGCCTCAGAGGAGGATACTACGCAGCACTGCGTTAATTTTTATAGGATAGGGCCTTAGAGGGGCCATAGAAAGGGCCGTAGGTAGGGCGTCAAACAGTATTTATATAAGGGCTAGTTTTTATTAAATAGGGTTAATTTACTATAGAAATGTAAATTGGTCTAGCATACAAGCGCTGCACAATATCTCCTCTGAGGTTCTCCCCACAAAAATCAACCCTACTATGTAATATATAAGCTTTCTAGCCAATCAAATTCGCTTGCTTACTAGATTCCGGGCGTTGAAGGGACTCGGGTTGAAAAAGCTGCCACCTCACTACAGTCCGCGTCAAGGCAAGATGAAGTCTTTGTATATGAGGATCCTTAGCAGTTATTGAATTTACCACATGACTGCCAATCGAACACTATCTCATGTTTAGTATAAAATACCTTGGCGGATCGGTTTCATTCAGGTTCCGGTAGACCCTTGAATACAGCGCTGCATCCTTCTTTTTTGGGAGAGGAAGCTCTGGGCGTGATAAGCCTATTGGTCATCACTAATTACTAGTAGTTGACTTATTGGGGCTGTAGCGTGCCAACTAACCTCTTTAGAACCAGACGTGGTCATCGTCGGCTTACGGAGTAGTACCCGAAACTATAATAAGATCATAAAGATTAGCGAGGCGCCAGAAGCCGCTTAATATTATTGGGTCCGTCTGGAACACATACATATATTATATTACGTGAAGCATGTACCAAACTGATATAAACACCCCTTAGGTGAATAGCGGGATTTACTCTTTAGAAAATCAACTACCTCTGATATACATAATCTAGTATCTCGGTCCAATTGATACATGTTTACAACAACTCTAAATTCTGAGTGCCGCTGAATTTACCTTTGATAGGCTTTTTTAAACATTAGGCCCCTGGCTAGCCCCCAACATGTAAATACGTTCTAACAAGCCCTTTTACAGTCCGGCAAAACGCCATCAGATTATACAGTAACACTCACCCAGCAAGGCTAACAGCCTCGACCCTACTCAGGGAGGCCATCCTCTATTTGGAGAGGCTTAACTACGATGTAACAATCAGCAAGCCAGAGTATGCTAGTGTGATGTACTATATAACAAGACATGTATTCTGCTTGCAATTCACGATGAATGTAGTCTTCTTTTTCAAAGGCCAATTGGTTCAAACACTACAGGCTTGTCTGTTCTACCAAGAGTCTACTTGATTCAACATGTTCTCACGACCAAGCCTTGGCGCCTTTGCGCTCGGCCTCGCTCTCGCAGGCTCGCCTGTCAATGCTGATGGGCCCTGCGACATCTACTCATCTGGTGGCACGCCTTGCATTGCGGCACATAGCACTGTTCGCGCCCTGTACGATAGCTATACCGATGCGCTGTATCAAATATCCCGTGGCTCTGACGGTTCCACAACCGATATCACGCCTCTATCCAACGGCATTGCCAATGCCACCGCTCAAGACTCGTTCTGCGCTGGCACAACCTGTCTGATAACCATAATCTATGACCAGTCTGGAAGTGGTAACCACCTCACCCAGGCACCGCCTGGAGGCGCTGCAAGCGGCCCGGAAACCAATGGCTATGATTATCTAGCAAGCGCGATCGGTGCGCCAGTCACTCTGAATGGCACCAAGGCGTATGGAGTCTTTATTTCCCCCAATACCGGTTATCGCAACAACAATCCCAACGGCACCGCTACAGGTGACGATCCCGAGGGCATGTACGCAGTCTTTGACGGCACTCATTATAACAACAAATGCTGTTTCGATTACGGAAACGCCGAGACGGATAGCAGAGATACTGGCAATGGCCGTATGGAAGCCATCTATTTTGGTAACGGCGGTAACAAGGGTTCTGGCAACGGGCCCTGGGTCCAGGCCGATCTCGAGAATGGCTTGTTCTCTGGCGGTAACGGTGATGTAAACGAAAACAATCTCAGCCTCACGTCCCGCTTCATAACTGCGATAGTCAAGGGTCAGAGCAACCAATGGGCCATCCGTGGTGGAGATGCTACATCGGGCTCGCTATCGACCTATTACAGCGGCACGCGCCCAAGCCCAGGCTACAACCCCATGAGCAAAGAGGGTGCTATTGTTCTTGGAATTGGTGGCGACAACAGCGATAGAGCCCAGGGAACATTCTACGAGGGCGTTATGACCACTGGGTATCCGTCCGATGACACCGAGAACGCAGTGCAGTCCAACATTGTTGCTGCTGGATATGATACCACGTCTCTAGTTACTGGAAACTTCTCACAGTTTTCTGTTGGTTCATCCATCTCCCTGCGCGCGACAACAGACTGCTGCACAAACCGGTATATCGCCCATACCGGCTCTACTGTCAACACGCAGATTGTTTCATCATCTAGCAGCGACGACCTTAAACAGCAGGCCAGCTGGATTATTCATACGGGCCTGGGCAACAGCGACTGTTTCTCATTCGAATCGAAAGATACCCCCGGCAGCTATATCCGCCATTACAATTACCAACTCCAGGCTGACCAGAATGACGGCAGCCAGTTGTTTGGTGAGGATGCCACGTTTTGCCCGCAGTCCGGCCTCAATGGGGACGGTCACTTTTCGATGCGATCCTGGAGCTACCCTGCTCGATATTGGCGCCATTACAATGCAGTAGGCTATCTTGCAAGCAATGGTGGTCCCCATGATTTTGACGCTACCTATTCGTTCAATGACGATGTGAGCTTTGCGATCAGCGACGGTTTTGCCTAAGTTAGGGTTAGGTCCTTGTGTTCTATATCTACACGCAAGGATGAGATGTATGTACATAAAACTATTTCAATTAATCTATAGACAGCGACTCCTCAGTACTATTTTAGTTAAAAAATCGTTTATGAAAATAACTAGTTAATTAACTAATAACGAGCAACCGCACGAATGTGAGATTCCCTACCAAAACGCATGGTACGAATCCCTGTTTGAGGCTATACTGTTTGGACATATACTCAGCTCCTGAATTGCTATTCTTATTTCCGTACCTAATATTTTCCATAGTGAGATCAGATGCCTGCCAGACCAACTAGTTACAGCAAGTGGTAATACCTTACGTTAAGATCAATAAACTAATTCAACTAGAGAATCAAAGTCTTATCTTGGTACAAATTTCACAGGTCTGTAGGCAATACAAAGGTGACAGTAATGAGAATTGCCAGTGGAACAGTTAAAGAAAAATAAACTTAGAATATAATATTTTCCAAGCTGCTATACTCGAAGGAGCTAGATGTGACAACTTTAAAAGTCTAATCACAAGGAAGGCATAGTCGAGAAAGAAAAACGGGGGGGGGAATGATTTTAAAGTACTACTAATCTAAAAGTGCCAGACAGTGCAAGAAACAACTTCCAAACAAGTGACATTATACCAATGCAAATGTAGCACACAGAGACTTTCTATATAGAATACTTTATTGCAGATAGCGTAAGCTAAATAAACTGCAGGTTGTTAGACACTCTATTCCAAACAGATCTAACCTGTGTTATATCTTAAAAGGTGATACTAAAAGGATATATATTGCTAAAGAAAATGTGATTCTTGAGACCGCTCGGCTTCATTCAATAGAAAGTATTCTTGTATGTACTTGTCAGATTATCGACGGTTGATCAGTGTAGAAAATAAGGAGAGTAATTATTAGTATAAAAAATAATAATGATACATATATATATAGGGAAATGTCTCCCCATCTGGAGATGGTACTTTGATCTGCCTTTTGAACGATTAAGAAACATCTTACTAGTCCAATATAAGAGAAATTCATGATTTAAAAAGTAAAAATAGACCAGCCTTCGATAACTATCATACTAATGACCAAACATCGACCTTTACGGTACACTAGAAAGTTCAAGCTGATGTATTTATATTCATAGCCACTAGATAAATCTATTACATGTATTCATCAATAACCTAGTTGGTATGTATGGTCGTCTTTATTTGTAAGTACTGGGTCTGTTGTTAACTTATTCTTTTTCAAACACAGGCTTCCATCCACAGGGAATTCGGACCATCCCGACAATTACAACAATACCAATACATAGTACTAATACTGTCGAATTTTCTAACTTCTTGATCGCAACCTGAGCAACGACGATGTCCGCAACCTCTTCCCATAAAACTGGTCAGTGTTTCAGGAGGTTTATTGCCTGGAGGGTTCTCTTCGCCACCGAGGGCTCGACGATTCATGGCTGTATCCTCGGGGGGGTTGGCAAATTCATCCAACATAGTACGGAAACCCGGTGGTAACGGATTCGGGTTCTCTGGGTCGTTACTCAGCATTTCTAGCCAATCGCTCATACTTTCCTGTCCTAATGTAGCATGCGGTACTTGATTGAGAAGATGCTCCGTTAGCTCTTGCTGCTCTTGCATAGAATTGGAAACCTCTGTGGAATCAGAGCTCCCAATGCCCCCCGGATCCGTGTCCAGGGATGAAACTCCTGGTGGACTCAATGGTCGCTCTGACTGGCAGCTGTCAACGTCAAAATATGAATGTTGCTTGAAATAGACCCTTGCTTCTTCTTTTTCTTCTTCATCGTCTTCTTCTTCCAAGCTATCCCTCGGAGCCCATGGCAACGACCTCAGCGAAAACGAGTGAATATGCTCGGCGGTGTGGTCAAGCAGAGCGTTTTGATCTTCACCCTCAAAAGAGCAAAGTGGACAAGCGGAGATTTCGAGAGGGACTTTGCGCCTCCATGCCGAGCATAACATAGGTATCTGCTGTAGCCTAATTCCATTGCTATGCTGGTGTTCAAGATGGGCAGTAAAATTGGCCAATTCCCTAAAGGTGGCATTGATATTTTTCTGGGAACATGCATGGCATACCCATTGGTCCGTGCCTCCATGTCCTTTGTTCATATGGCTTAACCAGGTCTCTTTATCTATATAGAACGTGTCGGTCCTTGGGCAGTCCTCAATAACACATGTGTATGGTAAAATATCCCTCATCAGGTGCTTCCTGTTCGGTAAATCGCAACAATCAGGTAGAGTCATTGTTTTGGGAAGATGGACTTACTTCCATTGGTTGCCTCGCCCCACTGCAGCAGGGAGGGCCTGACAGCAACAAGGGCACCTGAAAATATTATGATGATCATAAATAGGTGGAGATTTTGGGTAAGAGACTCGAGAACTTGTTACCGATATCACTGTCGTTGCAGAATTGGTAAACTGGCTAGGCGGAACCACAATCGGCTCGTCCACCAGCGTGGCAGTTGTTGTGCTTTGAGTTTGTATATCAGCCTTTGTAAGCGTATTTTCCCTTTGCGAAAGGGAAGTGGTTTTGTCAACACCCGAACGCGACTGCTGCTTTACGAACAGTGGACTCTCTCGTCTTGTGTTCTTTGGGTACTCGGAGTTGAGTCCTAGTTTCTGAGCATGTTGTTGGGCGTATAGGAAGCGATTCCGCCGTTTCAAGTTGGCATCAATTAGCCGTAGTTGAATTGGGGTCAGTTTTGCTGGGTCAAGCTGCCGTGCGCTTGAATCTGAGCTTTCATTGTCTCCAGGATGCACCAGGAGAAGGAGTTCAAGGTGGCGGCGCAGGGAACGAATCTGGGGACTATGGGGGTCAAATGAGCTGTCCGCTTTTAGAAGTCGAGGCCGGTTCCCGGCTTTTCGGATCGCAACTGTAAGCCTTGTGAGTTGGTTCAAACTGTCCTCAACATCCTTCATTCTGGCCAATTCATCGCTAGACAGCTCCACGGCAGGATCCTTAATTTTGTGGTCTGAGGAGGGCGTCAGATATTGAAGAGAGTTCTATTTGGATCGGTATACACCCATACCTCCGTCTATAAATTTCTGTACTAGAATTCTCAACATCAACAAGAGATTAATCAGGATAGTGTGCGCTTCTGGGTTAGAGCCCAATCGATGGTCCAACGATGTCTTCCCCTCGGCAAAGGCACCAGCTCCAGCTGACCAGACATTGAAATCCGCGAGCCTATTCTCAGCCCATTCTTGTTGCATTAGCCTTGGAGCTGTTTTGGCCATCCTAAAGACATGATGACACGCTGTTGCAGCGTCAAAGATCGTAGAAGATTCTGACATGGGGGGCGTTGTCCTCTCGACAAGGTGCCGACGTAGAGGGACTTATCACCACACTTTCGAATTATTCCTAGGCATCATGAGTAAACACGCTTTTGTTAGCTGGAGGCCATGTATATACCCCGCGGTGCCTAAGGCAAGGCTGAGATGCCATCACACGTGACTCGACGAACCTCAGCCTTCGCTTTCCGCTTTCGCTTCGTGGTGTTGTAAAGGAAGTCCATCGCCGCCAGGAGGATAAAACAGGATTATCATAAAAAATGGACGGTATAATCGATATGTGTCGGGATGTCTTTCCATGGATCAGTAACCAATTAACACGTCTCGGCCTGGAAACGCAGGATAACAGATTCGCTCAGCTGGGCGGCGAACTCTTCATCTTTACTCAGCAAATTTCACCTTCAAATCAGACAGGGACAATTTCTAATCTTGTCAACGTTGCACATCTCATTAACAAAGCTTGTTCTGTAAGTGGGCGATTTTAGCAATTTATACGGTCAGCCGGGAAATGCAACAAAACTTACTAATCGAGCAACTCACTACGTAGTCCCCGAAAACGAAATATGTTAGAGAGAATGCGCCGTATAATGCGCTTCGGAGGATATTAGAGGTCAAGGACTCGAATACCGCCGATAAGATACTTATTAGCGATGTTCGACGCAACCTGCTACAATTCGTCCGACAGAGCCCTGAGTATCCTTCCCTCCTACATTTCATCGCGGATTGCTTGCAGGAAACGGATTCCCTAGATGCCCTTCCTGAAGATGAGATACGTCTCTATAATGAGGATCCTAAATATACCATGAGAGTAAACAATACACTTTATACCCAACTCCGAATGCACTCGACCTGCTCATGTAGTACCCAACACTTGGAATCCGCGCGGCTGCGACTGGATCCTGAGCATGATGAGCAAGAAAATGCTGATATTCTATTCGATATGTTGTTTGTTTCAGGCCCCGCATTGTATTTTGAAACAAACTGCCATATACGGTGGAAGGAGGCAAAAATATTGGTTGCTAGGTATGGATAGAATTTCTACAAATGGGCCAGTAAGGATGACTAACCTTCTGTTTCTCACGCATGTGTAGACAAAACGAATCTCCGTACAAGAAACAAGTCTCATTTGCGGTCCAAAGCTCGAATCCATCGCTTAGGGCACGGAGCAAGTCGCCTTTACCAAGCGGTTTGCGAAAAGTCCAACTCGGAGAATTCTGTAGGCTGATTGGAAGCGAGAAGAGCACACCAATCCACTTCCATATCCAGAACAATGTGATGAAGCTCGCTGGCCCCGCCTGCGAGACCACCGCGCGAAACTTTCTCCCCCAAGCGAGTATTTCTCTTGCAGAATGGTTGGAGCAGACCGTGCACCTCTCCAACAGGACGAAGGTAACACTAGCATACATTATTGCCAGATCAGTATGGCGGTACTATAATTCGTACTGGATGGCGAAACCGTGGACACACGAGAATATTCAAATAATGAAGGAAAAGATCAGTAATCGAAATCATATCCAACCACATCTTTATTTTACCACGAAACTTCACAAGTGCAAGGATCAATTACTGGATTACTGCATCGCAGACGACCTGATTCATATGTATCCTAGTATCCTTGCTTTGGGGGTTGTTCTCATTGAGATTGCAGCCAAGCTGCCGTTCAAACCTGAAGGACCCCATTACCTGTGGGACGAAACCACCATCAACGACTATTACGAGTGGGCATGGACCACTGCAAACTGTAGTAACTCGGTAAACACAATCGGAGATGCTTATCAAGCGGTAGTAAACAACTGTCTCGACGCCGAACTATTTAGAAATGGTCCGATTGATCCATCGAAACCAGATAGGGATCTTGAAACTAGACAATCGCTTCTGTACGAGAAAGTTGTGCTGCCTCTTCGGGGGCTATATCACGCATATAAAGATGATTGGGATATCCAGGAGCTCCCCAGGTTGGAAATCCCCCCTAAAGCTCATCAGACTGAACATATCTCCCGTTCTAGACCAGTTAATCGCTCCGAATTCACCATCGCTATTTTTTGCGCGTTGCCCTTAGAAGCGGACGCTGTCATCGAACTTTTCAAGGAGATCTGGGGAGAAGAAGACGAGGATTACGGCAAAGCAGTTGGCGACGACAACACGTACACCCTGGGCAAAATCTTGCACCATAATGTCGTTCTCGTCCATATGGCTGGTATGGGGAAAGGCGCTGCATCCCAGGCAGCTTCAAGTCTACGATCCAGCTATCCGGAGATAAAGCTTGCGCTTGTAGTTGGAGTCTGCGGAGGAGTTCCATCACATTTGGATGGCAAGTACGATCTCATCCTTGGTGATGTTGTGATTAGTGATGGAATTGTGCAATATGACTACGGGAGGCAATTTCCCGATGCCTTTTTGAGCAAATCGGGACCGGAGATCGTTGCACGACCTGGTCCCAAAATTCGGGGGATGCTGGCTAAACTGAAGGGAGAGCCAGGGCGAGAACGCGTTGAGAGGAAGCTTTCTCAACATCTCAGAGTCTTGCAGGATAAGCTTGGGCAGAAGAGGGCTAGGTACCCAGGCACCGACAAAGACGAGCTCTTCCAATCCGCATACCGACACAAGCATCAAGATCCAGCAGAATGCAGATTATGTAGCGCCTGTGAAGGCGGGATGAATCCAGTGTGTGAAGAGGCACGATCACTCACTTGCCAGCAGCTTGGATGTCAGAAGAGGCTGCTGGTCCCGCGCAAACGGCTGCACGAGGCATCGAAGGGTTGTCCTCCAAGACCCAAAATCCACTTTGGCTTCGTTGGCTCTGGAGATACGATAATGAAATCTGGGCAACATCGCGACGAAACTGCGGCCCGGCACAATATTATCGCTTATGAGATGGAGGCTTCGGGGATTTGGGATAATTTACCGTCGCTTGTCATCAAAGGCGTGTGTGATTATGCTGACAGCCATAAGAATAAATATTGGCAGCACTATGCCGCTGCTACAGCTGCTGCATGCATGAAAGCTGTATTGGAGGTATGGTAGGAGGATAGTTGTAAAATCAGCTTTCCTTTCTTAGGTTTTGACGAGGCCTCCATTGCCAAATAAAAAATGTCGTTCCTTGATTTGCATTTACTAGTGACAAACATCCGTCTGTTTGATCTGCCCCATGAAGGTTTTGCCGAGGTTAAACTGATCCTGAAAGTAGTTCGTAAACACCGAATGGACTAGTCACACGTTAATAAGTTTATCACAACCAAGCATACTAGATTAATTTTAGCAAAAGAGCGTACTTCGGCGAAGATTTTCGGCTCATCGATGGATGAATGCACTGACCATAGCTCTCCCTAGTTAACACCTGGTGACGGAACCATATAAAATGCTGATAGTTTATTGGCTTACTTAGGTAGAGTGCCTGCATAGGCCTATATGATCTCGATGTGTACCTATATAACAAGTATGTGCAACGCTAAAACGCTCAGAGTCCTCTGGTCGAAACCGTTAGATCTTACGACGCTTGATCGGGCCCTCAGTATCTTCTACATGCCAACCAACTTTGCAAGGTTCTTCCTCCAAGGTCCTGTCACAACATTCAAAGACAAATCTGTCAGGAAAATTTTCACGATTTTCCGGCGTATCCATTGGTCCATGACATCTTTCATCGTGATCAGGAAACTCATCTGAATCTGCCTCACAGTACTCTGAAATTTTTCATCATTAGCTATGAGTATATATGTTGATTACGTCGAACCTACCAGGATGGTAACGACAGCTCTTTTTAGTATTTTCAGTCGTGTCAAAATCTTTCTCACAATTGATACACCACGCGTAGCGTGGTCGGAGTCTTTTTGAACTCGTTTTTGGGGCTGCCGACGTGACTTCTTGTTCTTCACTCGACGCATCACTATCATCAGATGTTTCGAGATCCTCAGATGTGTCGCCTTCTCCTGATGAGTTATTCTCTCCACATTGAGCTTGATCCTCGGTAATGACGAGCTTCTTTGTGATGATCTCACGAGCTGGGCCGACTTCTCTGAACAGCTCTTTGAGGATATCGTGCAAAACCCACCGTGGGGCGGCGGCAAAAGCCTGATCAAGAGGCTCTGAGGCTGATTGCATTATTTTATGTATTAATGAACAATTGACTAGGAATGATTGCTGATGATGTGTGCCAGCAACTTGGAATTCTAAGGTTGTTGGCGCGGAAAGGGGATGCATCATATTACTACAACTGACTGCCTTAATACCGCGTCAACCAATGATAACGCGTATTTCCAATGCTATCTCGTTCTGGAATAACCATTCAAATACGTCTTATTGAGGATGACCTACACTAATATGACAAAAGTTTGAATATAGTATTAAGATTTTCTACCTGTCTTTCATCTGTATTTACATCAATTTATGTCAGATTAATTTAGGCTTTTTAGAGAAACACCTGTAGGCCATACAAAAAGTTGAAATATTATTAGTATTGATATGGGGAAGGCTCCTATACCTCATCCATTTTGATCATGCTATATTCAACCTTTTGTCACCCTACGGGATAAATTATGGGATCAAACATATGAATGGTATCATGGAATTAGCTAGATATTTTCTTTTCGGTGTTTTGGAATCAAGTTGTTTTTTTCATGTATTTAGGAAGAAGGCCTTTCCAACGCTAGTCTAAATACTATTTATGCCAGCTGGTATATGTGTCTGCCTATAATAGGGCTATATATTCATTAGAGCTATAACAAGCATAATATCCTTTCAGTGTCAGTTAATTTTTATTCCCTAATATGTCTCCGAGTTTATTTTCTTCGTCGAGGTTATAAGCTAAATTCATGGCCAAAGACAAGCCTATCTTCTCTCCGGTGCTAAACAGGCGCTCGATGAGATATCTAGTCACAGGTCGTTCTAAACACTTTTGACTTTTCCCCAGGCTTGGACCGTATATGTGGTTGCAAAAGGAAGCCAAAGACTTTATTTTTGGCATTTACGTGGCGGTGCTCAATCTTGCGATATTCACTTTGCTAAATGCGCGTCTATTATATCAGAGAGGTCCAACTCTTCGATGACAGCACCAAAACTATTAGAGTTATTATTAGCAAGCTACTTATTGCAAAAAGAGTTTAAAAGAAACATACCCGAAGCAACTAATTTTCGTAGCTATCGAATCCCGCAATGCTCCCAGGCTAGCGGGAGTAAGATTCTGGAAACGGTCGTGCGATTTGATGCAATTCCACGCCTGCACTGGTGTGATTTCTCCGTCGAGATCCAGTCTTTTTGATAGCTGGAACAATTTTTCGAATTCAACAGCCGGTACTGCCCATGAGCTTTCTGCACCGAAATGTGGTGCATGACAGAGAAGTGACGCTTGTAAAGTCAATGCGTGACCATGTGATTCACCCGCTTGAATGGGAAGCATGGTGTGCTCCAGACACGGTTTTTCAAGTCTGAGGGTTACAGATTAGCCGGAAGCAGAACCAAAGAAATGAAAAGAGTTGCCTGGACGTACTGTAAGACAAAATCTATCCCTGTTTGAATACTATCTAGTCCGTGAGGGTGGACTTTTGGTGATCCAGCGGTCGCAGAAGGAGTTTTCCCCAAAGTTTCTGAAGGGGATTCTCCCGATGTTCCTAGAGGAAGTGAAAGCGCGTTTTGCAGTTCACCTGCCCCTAACTGACCAAATCTGAGCTCTTCGGGGATATATGAGCGTGTAGCATTTCAGGAGCCTCCGGAGTCCCAGCGAAGGATACCTGCATGATAGCTGTATTTCCCTGCTGAGATGCTGGAGATAGAGTCGGGATGTTGATGTTGTGTGTTTTCAAGATATCTTTCAAGATTGAGTTTTCGATACTCGCGTCTTGGAATTCCTGCCTGAGTGCCACATCGTCATGGAGGTCGAGAATTCGGTCCTCTAGAGACTTCATGTACACTTCTTTCCTCTCGCGGTGTTTTCTAATATCCCAGTCAGATAGAATGCAATGGATTGAGTTATTGGGTGGATCTGGTTTGTTATTATTATACCTCTGTGCGCGTCTGATTTGTTCGCGTCTGCGAGTATACGCCGCCTTGTCTGTTTTTCCAGACTCGACATCACCACCTGTAGAAAATTAATTAGCTGTACTCTTGGGATATATCTTTGTCGTTAGATATGTATAAAAAGAAAGATCGTTGAATTAGGGTTATCGATAGAGACGCAAATACACGTGAAATACATACCATCACCAGCAGCAGTCTTGCGTCGAGACTTATCGAATACAGATCCTATAGCCCCAGAAAAGAACTTGAATCTGGTTGACGATGATTCCTTCTTAGACATCACGTTGAAAATACAGGCTACGTTGAATATTAGCCAGAACCACAACATTTTCGTGGGGGATTGGGGTTAGAACACTTACATAATTGATATTTGTTGTAGGATAATTAGTACAAATAGAGAAATAACGATTCAATGATTGATTATACCAAGAGACGCTGTCTGTACCGTGCTCTCTTGATAAAGAAAAGTGTATGTTTATGTAACTTTGGCTGGTGATGTTCCCGATGGTTTAAGCTTACTGATGCTTACCCGGAGCAACTTAAACGTACTAGCGTGGAGTCTGTTGATTAGGCCAGGTTTAAAGGGGGCTCAATCATTGGCTCTTCTTTTCTTTTTCTCTCGTTATATGTGAATTATTATTAATTTGATTTGGGATCTCACTTATAGAGGGGAATTGACTGAGAATGGGGATTCCCTAGCTGGTCTCATGTCTCTTTGCTATGCGTGCTTTTCATACCAAAAAGAATTATTTTCAAGCGAGTATAGATAAGAATAAATCAGCTATTCGGTGAGTAGTAGTGGAGAGTTGTAGGACGTCAATAGGGACTTAATACATCTGAGGAAATGAACACAATATACAGGTTTGCAAAGAAAAAGAACCAACTCCTCCTTGGTGCACCGTCCCAATGTATCCCTTCACATTCTCAGTTCCGTCAGATATCAGCGCTGTGTCAGAATTTTCTAAAATACAAAAATCAGGACTTCGTTGGAAAGTGGCCCCGTTATATTAAAATGTTAGTATCGTTTTGTTCCTACTTCTTGTTTTCAACAACACGGGTGATCAGACCAGTGGCGACGGTGCGGCCACCTTCACGGATGTTGAAGCGCTGGCCAGCTTCAGCAGCGACGGGACGGTGTGTCTGCAAGACCATCTCGACGTTGTCGCCAGGCATGACCATCTTGGACTGATCGTCACCAGGGAAGCTAAGAGTAGCGGCCTCATCTGGATGACGTTATTAGTAACTTGTTTTGATAAGGTTGATTTTCCAACTTACCAGCAGTACGGATGAAAGCCTGAGGACGGTAGTTGGCTCCGAAACCAGTACGACGACCACCTTCAGCCTCGGTCAAGACGTACATGGAAACCAAGAAGTTGTCATGTGCCGTAGTGCTGCCGGGAGCAGCAATAACCATTCCACGTCGAACATCGTCACGCTTGATACCACGGAGAAGCAGACCGGAGTTGTCTCCGGCACGAGATTGGTCGCAGGACTTCTTGAAGGTCTCGATATCGGTGACCTTGGTTTTGACGGGGGTCTTTGAGTAACCAACAATTTCAACTTCGGAATCCTTGTTGAGAACACCACGTTCGACACGGCCAGAAGCGACAGTACCACGTCCAGAGATAGAGAAGACTTCCTCCACGGACATCAAGAAAGGCTTATCAAGGTCACGCTGAGGGGTGGGGATCCAGGTGTCAACGGCTTCCAAAAGCTCGTCAATCTTCGTTTCACCAATCTCAGGCTTCCGGCCTTCCAAGGCACACAGAGCAGAGCCGAAAATGATAGGGGTCTCTTCACCCTCGAATCCGTACTGAGTCAAAAGCTCACGCATTTCTAATTCAACAAGCTCCAACATTTCAGGGTCCTCCACAGCATCGACCTTGTTGACGAAAACGACGATCTTCTGGACACCGACTTGACGAGCGAGCAGCAAATGTTCACGAGTCTGGGGCCTAATCCACCGTCAGTACACTGCCGTTGTTCAAATCATTGGCCACACTTACATCTGACCGTCTGAAGCGGCCACGACAACGACAGCGCCATCCATGTTGGCGGCACCAGTAATCATGTTCTTAATGTAATCGGCGTGACCAGGGCAGTCGACGTGGGCATAGTGACGGTTGTCGGTCGAGTACTCGATGTGAGCGGTCGAGATGGTGATACCACGCTTTCGCTCTTCGGGAGCCTTATCGATAGCACCGTATTCGAGGAAGTTGGCAAGGCCTTTAGAAGCCTGGCGCTTTGTGATGGCAGCAGTCAAAGTAGTCTAGACAAACATTCATTAGCAGAGGGAGAGGACATGTGGATGGGCGTGTCTACCTTTCCATGATCGACGTGACCAATTGTACCTGCGAAATTGATTAACTATCGAGAAAAATCAAACCCGCCAAATCCGATCGGCTACATACCAACGTTGACGTGAGGCTTTGTGCGCTCAAAGGCCGTCGCGAAGGTACGGGCAGCAAATCTCTCGCTGGAGAGAACGTGGTGCACGGGGTTGACGGCGCGAGGACGCAGCAGGGAGGATCTGCTACTCTTCAGCAGAAGATTGACTGATCGGGAAATGCCAGCCATCCTGATTGACGCAAAAGCAATGGATGAATGAACAAAGAAAACGACCGTAAAGCACACGCAGGAAAGGAAGATGTTTACTGCTGCTCGCTCCGAGTCCCCAAAAATTTTACCCTGTTAGGGGAGCTTAGTCACCAACGCCCGCTGCCGACCAATCATGTTGCGGCAATTGCACTTACAAGCGTGTATACTACTATAACTGCTTGTTCTACGATCAGCTCATGCTATGGTTTTGATTGAGATTAATTTAGACTACACTGGTATATCTACAAAGGATCGAGCATGTCACGCGCAGAATGTGTCCCAGCCAAGGAGCGGGACTCCAAATAGGTATTGTCGATTTTATGATACAGCTATAGTACACCAGGCATAAATGACCCGTAAGACGTCAATTGTGCCTCTAGTTCTTTTTCTCAACAGTGATTGTGAGTGTCTTTCCAGGCTCTCCGTCCATTGGTTTGGCCTGGTGAGCATTGGCTGCTTGGACGGTCGACTGGACGTGGTCCAGCAGTTGCTGAATCTCCGGAGCAGTAGCAGCGCGCTTACCTTTCTTTCTCGTCAACACAATTTCCACTGTTTTGTCCTTCTCGAGAAAGGACGTAAGCTTTTTAAGGCGATGCGCGAGGTCGTGCGGATCAATTGACCAATTCAATTCGATCTGTTTATGCGATGTCTTCGCCGCATGTTTCGCTAACCGCACCGTGTTCTCTTTAGCCCTCTCTTGATCCCTCAGATCCTTGATGTTCATGACTTTGCAGACGGTGTTCCGCCCAGCACCCCCAGGGTCTAGCTGAACAAGAATTTGCGAATCCCGGCGCAGGGAGATGAGGACATTGTTTTTCAATGTTGGCAGCTCCAGCTGCCCGTTCTCGTTTACGAGCTGGATGACGTTCGCTTCTATCTCTTCATTCGTTGGCCGAGAGTAGCGTTGTGGTTTAGGCCCTGTAGCCTGGCCTGGAGTACTAGGGAACCCACCTACTCCGCGCGAGTAGAATCGAGATTGGGGAGCCCATACGGAGAGAGGGTGGCTTCGTGAGATTGGCAGTGTGGATTCGTGGTATATATGACTCGAAGAGAGAAGCCGTTGGCGAAGGGATTGGAGTCCCCGCAGGTAAATGTACCTCATGGCTTATCGACTGCGCTGCGACCAGGCCGTGAATTCATCGGGAATGAGGGTAGGGAGATCGGAGGCAGCCAGGGCCTCTGACTCTGACTCTGGTTTGTGTCGCTGTGAGAGAGTTTTAATATGACAACAAATTGAGGTCTCGTGCACGACAGAAAGACGGAGGACAGCGCTGAAAACGGCGGGAGGACTAACGACGAAGTTGTGTTCGGAGACCCACTGCCTTGCCGCCACCGCCTAAAACGACGGGCGAGACCAGATCCTCCAAGTGGTCAAGTCGACATTAATTTGCCCCTTTCAATAAATAATTTCGTCCCGGGGACATCTGCAACCTGCCGTATTTTTCATCGGCTTCCCTTTTCTCTCGTTTATATTCTGCCAGGCATCGCATTCTGCACTACTTCCCACTCACCGCCGACGTGTACATGTCGCCTCTGTGAATTTGTTGTTGATACGCATCCAAACGGCGGGCAATCTTGACTCGGGCGCTCACGAGTCAACTTGACGTGTGCATGTGCTCGCATGTCAACCGGATTTGGCGGCCAGAACTTACACCCCTCGCAATCGATCTTGTCGTTGCACTCGCGCAAACGGTCTTCCACCGTTACGGCGACGTTTGAAAGCCCGCCTGTCCTTGGTCTCTCACCAATGTATCACGAGAAAACAGCAATGGCGCAAAGGTCGCGGCTTGTGAAGGCTGGTGTTATTATCGCTGCGGCGTTTCTGTTCCTCCTGTATCTCGTTCCGTCGAGGCCCTCTGTATCAAACATTATCACAGGTAAGAACTTCGGCGAGAGACACTATTTATAAATTCTGACCGGCTTGAGCAGACAAGCAAAACCCTTCAGCGTCCACAGATTCCGCAAAATGCACTAAGCCCTACGACCCATCGAAACCGTTGAGACAGTATGTATTGATGATTGATGCCGGTAGTACGGGTTCTCGTATCCACGTCTACCGATTCAACAACTGCGGTCCGACTCCTGAACTTGAAGATGAAGTATTCAAGATGACTGAAAAGAAGAAGGGCGGCTCGGGTTTAAGCTCGTACAAGACCGATGCCGAGGGAGCAGCACAAAGTCTTGATGTATTGATGGATGTCGCCATGCAAACCGTCCCTGATGAGTACAAGTCTTGCACCCCGGTCGCAGTGAAGGCCACCGCCGGTCTTCGACTGCTGGGACCTGAGATGAGTGAAAAGATTTTGGAAGCCGTCAGACATCGCCTGGAAACTGTCTATCCTTTCCCCGTCGTTTCTAAAGAGAACGGTGGTGTGGAGATTATGGATGGTAGTGATGAAGGTGTCTATGCCTGGATCACAACCAACTATCTTCTCGGTAAAATCGGTGGCCCTGACCAGACTCCTACAGCTGCCATCTTTGACTTGGGAGGTGGATCGACTCAAATTGTGTTCCAACCGACATTTGATAGTGTGTCAGGTGGCATGCCCGAGAAGTTGGCTGAAGGTGACCACAAGTATCAGTTAAACTTCGGCGGACGCGAGTTTGAGCTGTATCAACATTCTCACCTTGGCTATGGTCTCATGTCTGCCCGTGATGCGATTCACAAAGCTGTTGTTGAAAACAAGTTTGCTCTCAGCCCTAAGGATCTATCTTGGACCACACAACCTATTCCCCACCCTTGCATCGGCCCTGGTATGGAGCAACAAGTCAACCTCACTTTCCCTGCTGGCCACCCCCTTAGCCCTGAGCTTTCAGTCATCATGACCGGTCCCAAAGAATTGTCTGCACCTGCTCAATGCCGTGGCCTGACTGAAAAGATCCTCCACAAAGAGGCTGACTGCAAGCTGGCCCCGTGCTCTTTCAACGGTGTTCACCAGCCATCTCTCGAAAAGACTTTTGCCAAAGAAGACGTATACATATTCTCTTACTTCTATGATCGAACGCGCCCACTCGGAATGCCTGATTCCTTCACGCTCCATGAACTCCAGCGCCTGACTGAGATTGTTTGCGCTGGTGGAGACCACTGGAAAATCTTCGAGGGCATTGAAGGCGCGATGGACGAACTCGTAGGTCGTCCCGAGTCTTGCTTAGACCTCAACTTTATGCTCGGTCTTCTACATACTGGATATGAAATGCCACTTTCTCGAGAGGTGAAGATTGCCAAGAAGATCAAAGACAACGAACTTGGCTGGTGCTTGGGTGCAAGGTATGTCTTCTTCCTTTCTGTTTACTTTTAACTATACTTACAATCCCATAGTTTGCCACTTTTGAGTCAAGAAGCAGGCTGGACCTGCCGCATCAAGGAAGTTTCTTAAAATAGAGACCAGCCTGATTGTATTTCACCTGCAGCTTGAATTGATGTTGATGTCGAGACATTATAAACTTGCAACTATATCTATTACATGCATTTTATTGTAATTCTTTCGTCCCGTTTCTTTCCGAATTCTCTTCCATAGAGTTTTCTTCCTCGCAGCCTTTTTAATTTTTTGGGCTGGTTGGAATGTTTTAGAGCATTTTTGTTCTGATTGGTCTTGTTGTTTATATTACATATGATTCATGAAAGGGGGTTGAGTCGTTGATATGAGGCAATGAAGAGAGTGTGCATGGCTGACTTGGTTGGCCCATATATGTATGATCTGAGAATATAAGAATAATTCCTCATGTTCATGTTGTATGCGTATATTTTTGACATTAGGCCGATCCAGTACTAGGGAGGTATGGTACTGGGTTTGGAGAAGAATTTGACGGAATGCGCATCAATCTTGTACTGGCATCTCCATGGGAGTCAGTGGGCAGGCAGGCGATCCTGAATCGGTTGCTTATCTTTCGATAATTCTGAGCGAATATTGCAAATCACCCTTCATCAACTTCTTGAATACCAGGATTCTCCTCTTTTGACCGAGATTTGATCCCCATCAGCCGATCCATGACATGGTCAGCTTCGTCGTCCTCTTCATCGTTGCTATCTGATGCACTATGACTTTCACTCTCGCCATCCCTCTTCTCTTTCAAAACACCCAATCCCAAGTTCTAGCGCAACAGCTATATTTAGAATCTTTCCGTAGTAGAACAGCACAGTAACCGCGGTCGAGAGTTAAACTTACCATTTCGATATACTCCCCTTCCCCCACTGGCGCATCATCCATGACTAGAGTCTGCGTATTGCCACTCGCAAGCCGCCGTTCAAGGTCGACATTAGCGGCCTGCAATTGCGGCAGGAAGGTCGAGATTCTGGATAGAAGATCTGGATGTTTGAGACGGTCGATATTGTGGATTTTAGGCTTTGGGTGGCCGCGAATGTATGTGATGTCTTCGCGTTTACTCCCAGGGGCAGGCTCTTTTACTGCCTGTTTCAGGTCTGTTTCTATATCCCGATTATCCTCCTCTTCCTCTTCGCTACCAGCGTTTTCGCTTTCAGCTTCTGAGCTGAAGGATGAGGAAGAGCCTGACGATGAAGTATAGTCGTCGTCATCGTCGTCCTCATCCTCGACGTTTTCGTGGTCATTATTAGTATCGACGGCCACAATTTCCGAGTCAGATTCTGTAGCCGCCCGGGATCGTTTCGGCAACGAGACTGGTCTCGCAGAAAGCAAGTCGCCAGGATCCTCTCGCCCGCGCTTCTTAGTCATGATGGCATTGCCAATAATATCGTGTTCTCTAGAAAAGGTTGGAGGTGCAAGTGTCGCTCGCGGTTTCGCCTTTGCTGGTGGAGCGCGAGTGCGCGGGCGGTGATTGGCTAGGGCCCGTCCGTCACACGCCTGCCCGCTTTGGTTGGCCCAGGAAGGAAGGAACCTTCATCTAAAATTGATATTCTTCAGGCTCACTTCTCTTTTTTTCCCATTCATCTTCTCAGCTTTATTTGAACGGCGGTTACACAACCGGCTCTGGCATATACGGCTCAAGTGGCAGCAACATGGATGCGCATTGATACTGACAAGCCCTGAGTTGATGATCCATCTAGGTATGAGATGGACGATGATCTTGGTAATTCTAGTATTTACTCATATTTCTTTCAAGCTCTGAGACTCTTCTCTTATCTTCTTTTTCTTCAAGACTCGGGTAAAGTCAATGGATAAGAAAGCACATTGTCTCTTTATGCCAGATCTTTGGCACTCGAAGACGTGCTTCTAGATGTCAGTGGTAGGTCAATATCCCCAATTTCCATGTGCATTGTTTTTTTTTGTATCATATGATACTGGAAGGTTCCCCTTTGTCATCTCACATGTCTGTATTTCTATATATCATGACACCCCATCCTGGATTCTTCACTCAGCCACTGTATAATGACTAGAAATGGCCTACTTACACATCACTAGTTAGCATATTGAGAGACTGCCTTACAAGTGCATGATTCTTTAAAAGCTACTCATTCAACATCTCTCTAAAACACGGGTGTTAAATCATCATGCCCGAACCAATCATCCAAGTAAAAACCTTTGAAGGCTACCCCATCCCCGACGACACCACACCAACCACCCGCAAAACCCTTCACCAGAACATCCTAGGAAAACTGCGTCCCTTACCTCTTCTCTACCACTGGACGGTCTGGTTCGACCGATACACAAACCCAGCCGACACCACGGACCCCGAAAAACAATACACTTCACGCCAAACCATTCTCTACGAAGATGTCGCCGACATCGCTACTTTCTACAGGGTCTACAACAACTACCCCTGGAACAAGATCCGATTACGTGACACAGTTCACATTTTCCGTAAAGGGACGAAACCAGTATGGGAAGATCCTGAGAATAGGCTGGGGGGATGCTGGACGTTCCGTGTTCCGAAGCCACTAAGCCAGCAGTTTTTCCACGAACTCGCTATTCTGACCATAGCGAATGAATTACAGGCTGCTGTGGAGGGTGGTATGTATTTTATATTTCACATCAGTTATCAAATTCCTTCATTACTAACTGGTTATTATAGAGCACGATCATATCCTAGGAGTTAGTACATCAGCTCGATTCAACAGCTATTTGATATCTGTCTGGAATAAGCACGGATCGAATGCAGCCTCGATCAAGATTCTTGAAGAGACCATCATCAAGCGACTATCGCCTGAACTGAGACCAATTCAAAACTCGAATTCATATTTTTATAAGAAACATGCTGATCGTGAGGGATACGATGAAGCGATTAGGGCTTTCACTGGGAGTAGTGATAGAGCGAGCTTTGTTTCGTAGAAGATGTGTTGATATAAATCCAACACACAGCTGACTTCGCGGCAGAAAGAATGCTTGTATCCGGTCATGACATTACTTGAGCGAATGGGAACTAGCAGACATCCATTCTGATTTCATTCCATTATGTTCACTCAATTTCTCATTGCATCTGAATCCGGCGTTTTGTGATTGACATTGATATGCTCTGTTTATTTATTATATACCATATGCGCGTTCTTATCTGACACAACATTTTGAAGCTAAATGGAATACTTGGTTACAGTTGATTTACTACATGTATGCAGACCTTGTCAAGCTATGGCACACTGGTATTGAAAGTTGATAAAAATACAATTCAAAGGAAACTGCCGCAATGTACACCAAGGTCTGCAGTCAGAATTAAGACTAGGTTAATCATCGACTTCTGCTTCGACGATAGCTGCTCCGGTCGTGCCTATCACGGTCTCTCTCACGAGTTCGTTCCCAGTCTCTATCTCTATCCCGATCCCTGTCCCTGTCACGGTCTCGGTCCCTTTCTCGATCTCTGTCTCTGTCTCTGTCCCTATCCCTATCCCTTTCCCTATCACGCTCCCGGTCGCGGTCACGATCTCGGTCATCTGGCTTCTCCTTCTCATCCCGGTCCCCTGTAGCCCCAGGGATATATCTATCACCTCGAGGTTCCCGATTCCACTCCCTATCACGATCCCGATCACGATCACGATCCCGGTCCCAGTCCCGGTCCCTATCCCATTCTCTTTCACGACCAGGGGATCTGATACGACGACGCGGAGACCTGCTGCGGTTACTAGTAGCCGGAACGTACCGATCAATGTCTAATTGACTTGGCGAGCGCGAGCGTGATCGCCGTCTCGAAGCAGATTGTCTGCGAGTGGCAGTAGCGGTGGCAGTAGCAGTAGCGCGAGAAGCAGATCGCTCTCGGTGAGGTCTTGGGCGAGACGGTGAGCGTCTGGGTCGAGAGTTGGAGGGGCGGTGGTCTCGCTCTCGCTCTCGCTCTCGGTCATGGTCACGGCCACGTTCGCGATCGTGGTCGCGGTCACGCTCTCTTTCGTGGTCTCTGTCTCGATGGCGGTCGTAATCTCGATCTCGCTCTCGATCCCGATCCCGCTCGCGCTCGCGATCACGCTCTCTATCTTTGTCTCGGTCTGACTCTTTTGTTACATCCCGAGAGCGATGACGCTCTCGGTCTTGCTCTCTATCGCGGCTTCGATCCCGACCAATATAGCGATCATACCCACGTTCGCGATAATTCCATTCACGATCACGATCTCTTTCCCTGTCCCGATCTCTATCTTTATCCCTGTCTCGTTCCCTATCTCTGCTGCGGTCTCGTTCGTGGCGTGCAGTCGATCGACTGCGACTTCGACGGGTAGTCCGATAATTACGTTCGTCCCTGTGGCTGCGAACCGAGTGTCTATCATCATCACGATCCCGAGCTCGTAGTGATTCCTCCCTGGAATTATTTTTGCTACCATCCTCGTATCGCGATGACCGTCTGTGCCGAGATCGCGAACGGCTTCTTCGCCTTTTATCGCGAGATGAATCCCGTGTGCCTGTGGTTGAATACCTCGATTCCGCTATGGTCTTTGCACGGGGAGCAGGCTTTCGGCCACTCTCAATCGCTTCGGCTTCTTCAAAGTCAAACTCCGGTTTCTGCTTTGCCTTGGCCGCTAATTCTTCTCCTTCCTTCAGAAGTAGCTGTAGAGCGGTCTCCTCCAGGGTCTTCTCATCCACAGGCGCTGGCACCACTGGGGTGGTCGCATTGGGCGTCGTTGTACTCGACGCCGCCTTATCATTCTCGCGAAACCGCGACGAAGACCCAGAGCCTTCGTAACGGTCATAACCCCGCGGGAGATCGTAGTTTCTGTACCTGTCCCTATCTCGAGAATCCTCTCTCCTTCTGCGCTCATATCGTTCCTGCCTTTCTTTCTCTCTCTGTTCGTCAATCGCGCGTTGCTCAGCGCGCCGCTTCTCGTCTCGCTCCCTCTGCTCTTCCTCCTTTTTCCGCTCAATCTCCCGCCGTTTGCGCAGTTCTTCCAGTCTGAATTTGTCTTTCTCCGCCTCAATACGCTCCTGTTCTTGAACCTCTGCCTGATGAATCCTCTCGCGTTCTGCCCGTCGTTCATTTCTCCAGCGATCGTAGTCCTCTTCAGTTACATTTCCACCCGTTTCCTCCTTGGCAGCAGCATCCTCGCCGATTTCCTGCCGTCTGATCTCCCTGACTGATGCGAGCATGGGTTCGAGATGCTTGACAATGAATTTCTCCAGCACGTTTTCAACATTTTTGTAAATGTCGCTGCGGTCAACGGCGCCTTCGATCAGAGTCGCGGCTTTGCCTCTGTCACGCGAGAGGTGCGCAGGTTCCCGGTCTATTTCCTGCTCGGCGAGCTGTTGAAGAGCAGTAGTGAACTCATTCTTAGCTTCCTACTCCCGGCTTCTCATTAGAATCACATAATGGCATTATTCCCATCTGGACTAGGATAACATACCGCATCATGAAACTCTGCCCATATTTTCTTCCTGTGGTTGTCAAAGGCACCTTTCTTCTTGAACGCGACAAGCAGATTCTGGATCGACGTCTGCTGTTCCTGAGACAGCGGCAGCTCCGAGGTTTTGTACCTTTTGCGCTGGAGGGTTTCGATTTCGGGCACTGGCGTCGTCGCTACCGCTGGCTTTGTATCTCCATTTGTGTCTGGTTTAACGTCTGGCTCTGCTTCTGGTTTAACATCTAATTTCACGTCGCTGGGAGTGCCTTCCTCCTTTACTTCTGGCGTGTCAGGCATGGTGAAGAAAGGGCGATGTTCTTATTAACATTCGCTCAAAGTCACGTTCAGCAGTGTGTATTTTAGGGTATAGGTGTCATGTTGTCGAGAAAACGCCAGTCAACCAAGAGGAACAATGATGGCATGCAATAATAATAATACAATGGGGATATAATTGGATCGAGAATGCCATAACATTTCGCCGGCAGAATATGCTCCGTAGGCGGTGGACTTTAAGTGCGGGCTGTGATTGGCCCGCCCGCCCTCCAACCGCCGTGCAGCGATTTGCTAGCAGTGAGCCTCGCCTTCCGACCTCAGCATCACTCGATGTCAAGCACTTCAAATTAACCCACGGCCACCCTCTCCGCATTGACCAGTCGGCTGGGGTCGCTCAACCATCTATAACTCTGCGACACCAGTTATAGATTCCCGAGAAAGAAGAAAATTTTCTCTTCTTCTCGGACTGCAGACCTGCACTTCGAGTCAAGTCGCCTCCCCTGTCGCGTCCCACCTTCAATCCTCATTCTCTCAACAATGGTTCACAAAGTCCTCTTCTGGAGCGGATTCGGTATGTTCTAGCTTCATTCTCATTTCCCTCGTTTATGGTTCTCAACTCAATGGCTAATTCTCATTCAGGCATTGCCGTCCGTCTCTGGCAACTCGGCATCGAAATGCGTCCCCTCCTCGGCAAAGACTCGCTCTGGGCGTACCCGCTCTTTGCCGGCGTTGGCGGAAGTTTTGGATACTGGATGCAGGGCGTGGAAAACAGACAACTCAAGATGCTCGCTGATCGCCGCGAGGCTATTCTCGAGAAGCGGCGGAAGCGGGATGAGCGAGAAGCTCTGTTGAGTAAGAGCGAAGAAGCGGGTGTGTTGGCTGCGACGTCATGAGGGAATTATGTGAAATTAAGGAGAGGGGAGGGGAATGCATGTCGAGGTTTCGCTGGTGATGGAGAACCGAGATTTAGGCTTACTGAGACCTAGGTGCGGTGGTATTTGGACTGTAACTATTACATGTTAAAAGATCTCATTGTTTGCGGCGTATGAAATTCACTCCTTATGTTCAAGCTGGGTTCTACGTGTGAATAGTTGTAATTTGGTAAAGTTGCGTATATTCAATTGTTCAACTATTCTAAGGGTATATCTATGCTCGATCTACAGCAATCTGCAAGGTCACCTCCCACTTCTGCCCTCCTGAACCGTAACCACCTCCCAGTCGGTTCTTAATAAGGCTTGTAATTCTTTCTCGTAGCTTCATCAGACTTTCCTCAGATCCTATAACCTTCACCTTGAGATTCGCCATGCACAGTCCATAGTGGACTTGCCAGAATCTGGCCTCATCGACGGCAGTAACTGCAGGGTCTGCAAGGATATCTCGCACTACCTGGCTGACACCACGCCCAGAAAATGACATGAGTAGCATTGAGCCCAGGGTCTTCACAATGCGTGAGCCAAGGACACACATCGAGATAGCCATGGTCAATGACAGCAGCATGTCGATCTTCTTGTAAAGAGAAACAGAGAGTAATGGTAGCAGCAGAAGAATTCCAGAGCATGACAGCGTCAGGAAATGCGACGGGTTGCTCAAAACAGAGGGGAGGGACTCGATATATGCAAAGCGCATGGACTTGCCTATTCGCGCATGGTTCTTCAATCCAATTGCAGAAACCAGCGTTGAGCCGATGGCTAGGATAGATGCGAGATCGACTGACCCGGCCGTGGCCCGGTCATGCTCATGTGAGTGATGCGGTTGATGGCCCGAGGAACCCTCTAGCCAATGCTGCAGGTTATGGGAGATCAAGTCAAGACCCATGAATAAAAGCAGAACGGAGGCGGCGAAGCCAGCCAGAACCTCTGCGCGCTCCAGACCAAATGGATGGCGGAGACTCGAGCGCTTCCACACCTCAAAGTTGCCCAAGACGTCTACAATTACACATAGCAGAGCACCGAGGGAGTCAAATAGGATAAGGTGGGACAGGGCTGTCATCGCAAGAGAGCCGTGGGCGGACCACAAGGTGTATCCAGCGATTAACATGTGGCAGACGCTCCACCAAAACCTCGTCTTCTGGTCCTTTGACATGCTGCCTCGACATTCTTTCAGTGTCGGGATTGGTAAAGACGCTGGTAAAGCTAAAGGAGCTCGGGGTGGTGGTTCGAGGAAGATTTGGTGTGATACACTACTGTGTTTGTACTTGTGACCACGTCGCTGGCCGATATTCTACATGTTTTCTTAGCAAACCAGATTCGTCTCACAGGAAACAGTTGAACACATACAGATTTCGCGACAGGGGTTTTGGCCAGTACAGTTGGCTGGAAGTTGAAAGGACCAGGGTCCAGGCTCGCATTGCCATTGTTCCCATCGCCTGAAGCGGACCCGAAGGTCGGGCTCATTGGGCTTGCTGGCTGCGAGGAGTTCATGGTATTTCCTCCCGATCGCTCAAGCTGTGTCCTGTTGTGCATGGGCGACAGCGCATCTGGGTTGAATAGCTGGTGGGCGGGTGCATTGAAGTCTTGGTCCTCTGGAGGTGGCGTCGGCGTTCGGGGGGGTTCAGGGATTGGGAGACTTGAAGCCATCGACGGCGATTCTACACATAGTCAGTAAGCAACAAGCAGAGGATATAAATACACATACAAAGCCGTCTCAGGACGAAGAAAGAGAAAGGACGTTCAGGATGCGGGCAGTCAATAAAGCAATAAGGAGCGGAGCCGGGTCTGATCGCGCCTAGAGGAAGTGGTGTGGCCACTGGGTGGAACTAAGAGGTGTTGCACTTGCATCTGCTCCGCCCGCTCCGCTCTCTCTCCGCATTCATCACTCATCACCAGCCAGCCTGGTCTGTCCACCATAACCATCAGGTCGCCCGCAGAACAGCCATGATTCCGCAGCCTGTCGATAATTATTGTCTCCCGATTACGACGCCTTTGCTGCGATGAGTGATCCAGTTGGCCTGAATGGATAACCGCGGGGCTTTTCTGTTTCTCCTCCTCACCTTCTACCTACTCCTCAGTTCCTTGTTCCGTGCGCCATTAATCGACCATGACGGCGAGCGACAGAAGCAGCTCCACGAAGAGGAAAACGCCCTTAAATTATTGAATGAGTCTAGATACGGGGATTTTGATCCGCAGGGTGATAGGTGGCTCCCGATCCCAGGGCTCAGGCAGAATGACAGCTATTCCTGGGAATTGCTGCCCACGGCACAGGCAAGAGCCAGGCGAAATATACAAATTGCCCTGGAGAGTGGGGGAATCAAGAGCCCGCCAGAGTTAGACCGAGCTGACCAAGCGACGTCTGTGCAACTGTCGTCGCTGTCGTTGCCAGTGTATCAGAATGTCACTGGAAAGCTTCGAGGAGACTGGATCCGTCATCCTTTGTCGCATGAATCGCATTTGAATGTTACTGCACTGGTGCAGGAGAATTTCTACGTCACTCAAGAATTTGCTCGTAACGTGACCGGCGACTCGGGGACGATATATGTTGATTTCCAGGAGGGCAATGGAGAGAGTATAGGGAGTCGAGAGAGTACAGGTGATGGAGCCAACGAAGGGGCAGAGATACCCCAGGTGCGAGAGATTCGCGCAGAGATTGCTATCGAAAGCGATAGCTCGTTGGGAAATACCTGGTATATGGCAACTTATGGACTGCACTTCCCTGCCCAGGGCTCGATCATCCTCGCTACGACGAGTGAGAAATTCGGAGGACTACTCTCTCTACCGCATCTGGCTCTCTCGCAGGACACATTCAACATTTCACATCAAATCATTGTAAAGTCGCTCACGGATACTATTGCAGAGATGCAAAACAACGAACCCACCTTTTTCCCTTGGTCCTCACTACCGCATGGAGCCCAGGCAATGGCATTTCCCACTCCGAAATGCGAGTACATTATTTATATGCAACAACGGCCTTTACGAATAGGCGGAGGTATCGCGGATCCCATCGTTCTGAGCCAAATCGAACAAGAACTTAGGTTTCCACTGGGAGCACCTATTCCCAGCCCGCCGATGATGGAAATGTCAGTCGTCATGTTCTCTCCGGATTGTGGCATTCTCCTGGAGACCAAGGGTGCACCTGACTACCCGCCGACTGAGGCTCTATATCTAGTCGGCCCAAAACAGGAAGAATATAGTAAATATGCATCAAGGACCATCTACGCCATGAGCTGCATAATGATCGGACAGCTGTACTTACTGTTGCGACAAATTAAAGAAGCGTCAACGCCATCTACCAGAAGCCGCATCAGCTTCTTCACAATTGCTATGATGGCTCTGGGCGATGCGATGGTTATGAGTTTGACGCTGCTGTCGTTGTTTGCTGACACATCTTTTGTGGAAATGTCCGCTACTTCGTTCCTCATCTTTCTGTCTGTTGGTTACATTGGAATGAGGTTCATGATGGAGATATGGGCGGTACAAGCCCCTGAGCGACGAGAACAAGATCGCCAGACAGCGCCCAGCCCGGCTACCCTTCCTCCTCCCGTGACCGCGGTAAGGGCTATCAGTTCAGGGGCAACGCCGATGATTCTACCGTCCGATCAAGATGAATTGGATGAAGGGCCACCAGATCCTGCGCCTACACCTGCAGCTGGGGCTGGACGAAACCCAACACCATCTCGAGCAGAAGTTGGAGCGGATGTTGGGACTATGTACGCCCGATTCTACTTTGTGCTGTGTACTTTGTCCATCGTTTCTCTATGGGCGGTTGTTTTCCCCAATAAAGTCGGCGCTATTTATGCCCGGCTCATCAGTTTCGTATACCTGTCTTTCTGGACACCGCAAATATACCGCAATATTATGCGCAACTGTCGGAAGGCCCTCCGATGGGAGTACGTTATCGGGCAGAGCATACTGCGATTAGTTCCCTTTGTCTATTTCCTCACTGCACGAGGAAACGTTCTGTTCATACGACCCGACTCAACAACTGCAATGGTCATGGTTGGCTGGGTCTGGCTCCAGACATGGATTCTCGCTAGCCAAGATATTCTCGGCCCACGATTCTTCGTACCCAACGGCTGGGCACCGCCGGCATACGACTACCACCCCATCATCCGCGATACCTCTGCATCTGGCACTGGCGAAGACATCGAATCCGGCACCACACTACCCATTGGCTATCTCCGTGCTGAAGAACGAGATGCTGGCAGCGCCAGCAGCAACCAACAAGACAAGCCGCGGTCCAAGGACAAGAAAAAGAAAGTCTTTGACTGCGCCATCTGCATGCAGGATATTGAGGTCCCTGTCATCAGTTCCCAGACTGTGGGCAGCAGTAGCATGTCGGACGGCGCGAGCAGCATTCTCGGCCGGCGGGCGTATATGGTAACGCCGTGCCGACATATTTTCCACAGCACGTGTCTTGAGAGCTGGATGAAGCTTCGACTGCAGTGTCCGATATGCCGCGAGTCGGTTCCGCCGGTATAGATCATACAGATTTTATAGATTTTTGCATGCAACGAGTAGTTTATTATATGGTTTAACACAACTGTTAGTAATAGAGATAGACAGCTATTATTACTAAAAATTCACCAATCAACCATCTAGTGATGTTATAAAATTGAATATGTGATTGAAATCTAACTGGTTATATAGACGGAGCCATTGTTGAAATTCAGGCTCACCGCATGCAAATCCGATGAAGCGATCTGGATCGTAATCCATAATAATCCACACACAAAACAAAAAGCAAACCAGCCTACAAAAAAGAATTGACCGCAAATCTAAACTCGATCAATGCTCCCCAACAGATTCCAGATAAGCCTCCTTATCCATTAATGCATCCAACTCACTCGGATCGTTCACCTCGATCTTCGCAATCCAGCCATCCGCCTCGGGACTGGCATTGATGGTCTTTGGGTTGTCCCCCAGCGTCTCGTTCCCTGCGATAATCTTTCCTGACACGGGCGACAACACGTCGGAGGCGGACTTGACCGATTCGACGGCGCCCACGGGCTCGCCGGCGCTGAGCTCGAGGTCGGCGGTGGGCAGTTCAACGTAGACGACGTCGCCGAGAGATTTGGCAGCGTACTCGGTGATACCGATGGTTGCTACACAAACACACGACATTAGAGAGACCGACAAAAAATATATATGAGGGTGAGTGATGTCATAGTCCTCCTACTCACCGATGTTGTTGTCGGCGAGGTCAATCCATTCGTGTGACTCGGTGTATTTCTTGACTTCCACTGTAGATATTCTCTCGTCAGTACCATTTCATCAGTTCGACATTCAACAGATTGCGGTAGACGCACACTGCGAGCTCCTCGAGAACGCCCTCATGCTTCCCCGCGGGAAAGCGGGAACAGTCCGACGGGTGGCCGCAGCGAGAGGGAGGCGCTGGGAGAGCATGCGCGACGCCAATGGGCGAGTAACGGCGGCGATGGACATTGCGGATGGACAATGAGGGTGCGCAATGGTGTTTTTAAGCAGGTAAAACAGGAGGACGAGGGGGAAGAGGAAGGAGCGAGTCGGGAGAAGATGATAAAAGTTGCGGAGATGGAAGCAGCTCGCAGCGCCAAGCCCGATAAGCTACCGCGCTAGCTGGTTCTGGCTTAGCTGGTTGCTTCAACGCCGGCCAGAATTTATTTGTGCTGTTTGTATTACGCTTCTTAACATCATCAAGGCATTGTTTGTCGCCAGCACCATGTTGTACGAGCTGATTGCAATCGTGTGTCTTTTCTTTCCTGCCAGGGCCTCCTTGGTATATCTAGCTAACGAGTTATAGGTCCGCCCCGGCAGCCTCAAGGAGGTCAAGGAGTATGTCCACCTTCACCTCACCACCGACGTGGTTGTATTATCTCGCTTCTAACCTCTCAGAATCGCCAAAAATGCCGGCGTGCAAGTCCTGCGCTCTGGCGGCGTTGTGCGCGGCTACACCAACTGGGGCACTTTTACGCTCCCCCGCCCAACCACAAAGCATCAGGCGCGATATTCCGAAGGCTGGCACTTCATCATGCGCTTCGATGCCTCTGGGCCCGTGCAAGCCGCCGTGCGCCGAACACTCTCGCTCGACCCGCGAATGATCCGGTTCTCCGTCGTCAAGCTGGGCACCAAGTTGGAGGATATCAATGATGTGCCGGGCCGTGTGGAGTGGAATCCGCACAAGTCGAATCTGCGCGATGGCATTAGGTCGTTAGACGCCGGTATTTTTGGCAGTCGGGAGGGCCAGGAGTAGTATGGGAAAGAAAGCGTTGCCGTGGAACGGGGACTACACTGGATTGTTTATTCGGGGTTGGCTCATTTTGCGATCGATCTTGCTGAGGATACCAGGGATTGAGAGTATACTTGATGTATTTTTAGAGCATAAATGGCGCATGATTTGGGATTGTCACGTTTATTCCACTGTCTTTTCACCGTCTCATTTAATTTACTGTCTTGTATTAAGAACAATCATTAGGAGAGATTTTAGGACGATCGCAGCTGTCACAGTTTGACAGCCGAACGAGACGACACGGCGGGCTGAAGAACGGCCATGCTGCCATTCTCGGCAACTGCTTGTTTGAATTTATCTGCATGATCTCTCCCATGCTGTGTATGTAACCACCACGCAGACACATATCTCTGTCGGCACCGTTGAGCAATCACACCGTGAGAGCACAGGCACAATCGTGCATTAAATGGCGAGCAGGAATAAAGAACGCGAGAGGTCTCCACTCAAGCTGTCGCAGAGTGCTTGCAGCAGGGTCGAATGGGGTTGCAAGCTCGATGACAGCGCATCTCAGATCTTGAAAGAAATGTCTACATCGGCATTATGAATCAGACAGTATCTGCAAGTGGCTTATTCTACATCCTCGTCAAAAGAAGCCACCACAATCTTTGTGTCCGCGGGGAAGAGATACTTCGGTGCAGCGGCATTAATCTCAGCGAGCACTGTTTGAAGGCCGTCCCTCAAAGAACCCCTTCTTCGGCCGATTATCCTGTGACGCCTAGCATGATATCTCGAGCTGCCATTCAATCAATGGCCTATGCCTAGCCCAAATGTGACGTGCCGTCCGGCCAGCGCAGGCTTGGAGCTGATACACGCCCGAGACGCCAAGCGGAGCCCCTTTCTGTTTCAGCTTGGGTTATAGCCTGGTACTTCGTAGCTGGCAAGCAATTACTAGAAAATCAGTTTGACAACCGTCTAGCTACGTCAGCAGACCTGGCTAGGCTTTCTTTTCAGTTGCTTTGTATTTGCTGCGCACCTTGCCTTTCTTGTCGAATGTTGCCTTGAATCCTGAGGCGTGCGGAGGTACGGGGGTTAGGGTTAATGCCGCGCGGTGCTTCTCTCGCTCCTTCTTTCTCGACCAGTACTCTCGCTATTTATTCCCTTTCTGCAGCAGAATCCTTCCTATATACACGGACTGGTTCCGAATATATATATAATAACCTCTAGCATATTGATTTATGCTGTGCGATAGTTTGCTGCGATGCGACGAATCTCGTATCCAGCGACCATCTTTGCTGGCGACATACGCCGCCCTTCCAAACCACGAAACAACGCATATGGCTGTGCCATCTACCGTGCTCGTCGGTATGGGTTCTACTACGAGTAATCTACTACCGGTGCGAGCGGAGTCGCCGCGAGGGTTGAACAGACATGAATATCGAGATAATGATCACAATAATGACAGCGATGCAGACAGCAGAACTACAACAACATCAATTACCTCAGCAGTACCGACTACATCCCCGGATAGTGATCCCAGTAACCAATATATTCTATCGCCTAGCGTGAATGGCGGTCAGAAGGCCGGGTTGATTGTCGGGTTGACTGGTAAACCTTCGAATATGTATCTAGTAATAGTATACTAATACCTTGTGAAATGCAGTCGGATGTATTCTTACAATTTGCCTGTTCCTGTTACTAGGTGTACGACGAAAATATGGCCCGGACTATCGCTCGTGGCCGATTCTATCTACTCGATCGGGTAGGAGGCGAGATATCAGCAGTAGCAGGAACGAGTTTCACGATGAGATGGAAAGCATCAAGCCCGGATTCGTGAATGATAATCGGGGACATCATGATAGTTGGTTCAGAGAGGAGAGTTTTGACTACGAGGGAAGGGGCAATACGGCGAGAATGAACGGGCAAACCGGTTCATTGCCGAAACTGGCCAGGTTGACGGGGGAGCCAAATATCGTGGAGAGGCAGGCGTTGATCTCTCAGCCAGCGCTGAAAGAGAATGCAGCGACACGACCAGCTCGTGGGCCGGATTCAAGTTATTATGGTACTACAACTTTGATTCTAGAATCCGAGGAACTCTTGAGACCAGTATCAGATACCCTTCCTGTACAAACACCAGACCTAATCTCACCACGTACCGTGCTACCCCCGCTTCCACAGGAAGAACCACCACGGCAAAGGCACAGCAAACAAACGACGAGGATACACAGAAAATCACATCTTTCCTGGAGCAGCACCAACACCTCTGCCGAGAATAACCCTACCGCTGCAATATCCGCACCACAAACGTCAGGGGCGTCCTCGCCAGTCACGATTCCATCATACTACATTCCATTCTACCACCAATTCATATCTCCGCCCGTCTCCCCATCTGCAGAGCCGGCTCGCGAGACCCTGTCGAGTCGGGATAGCGAATTGTCCCAATACAAGAGCATAGGGAGCTGGGCTCACTATCAATCGCAGCGCCGACAACAACAACAACAAAACCAGACATACCAGCACCAACGGCAGAAGCGGGAAAAGAAATCATTTATTGATTCTATCGATGAGCTTGCCATTACATCACCAATATCGCCTACCTCGCCAATGCAGTCTGAGCTGGTGCCGGGAAGCCAGAAGAAATACATGTATTCGGAGAAGCATAAACACTCGTCGTTGACGAGTGTCGAGACCCTCCTGGTATTCAGACAGCATCCCGGCACTGAGGTGGATTTTGGGCCCGCGAGTAGGAAGGGAAGGATACGGAGTTCTCTTCTGAGTCGGCTCATGAGGGAGTAGCATCAATTGCTATGATTTTACGGAAATGTACGATTTGATATATTACATATGTATTTTGAGATTTGCGAGAGCTAGGCTTTTCATTTTTGTGGGTATCGGCAGATTGACTACCACCGGGTAGTACGGTTGTATGATATTGAGGTTCTATTGTATCATCATGTATATAAATACCGGCTACCCTCAGAGATTATCAGGGGTGCACATGTAGATCATGACAGGTATAATAATATAAACGAGCTGGGAAATGCGTCACCTTTCTTGCATCGCTAATCTTGTTATGTTATCCACAGGCTTAGTGCGTAGGTACCGTCCGGCAGTAGACCTGGCGGCGAAATCAGCTTTCTATTCGCTGTTATAAGTGCTATAGTAGGGCATCGGCCGAGTGGACGTCTCTCCATATGAGATTATAGGGAGAATCTTTCAGTTTAAGACTGACTGTCCCTGTAAACTGTTGGAGAGTTGCGTAGAGTATCAAAAGTTGTTCCTGTTGTGCTACAGAATCCTCACAACTCAGCTTCAAATATCATATTTTCTAGCCCCTACTTCGATACAAGGTATTCAGCGTCACACAGACTGAGAACACGACAAAAAGAGTGGGTACAATGGCTAAAATTCGGTATATATGTATGAATGACTCAGTCGCATCGAAAATCCTTTACAAGGAAGGATTGAGTAAGATCTCCTAACTGTGCAGCTATCTTGATGAGACGTGATCGTTATTCTATCTCAATTATGTTGAGCTGTGTCCAACTGAGGCTCGGAGCTTGGGGAATGGATGGGTGCATTAGCCATACTTGCCGAATTTTCAGGCCAATCTGCTTCTGGATCTCTTCCCAGCTGACCATTTTGATTCGGCTGGTGGAACTAGCACAGGCGGGTACAATTGATGACTGAAGAATAATCATATTCACGGCGAACTTGTTGCTTGGCTTATTCGCATTATGCCTTTCTGTTTGGTACATAAGAGATATTGATAGCATATGCTCTATCAGACGCTAACATACTAGAAGTATATGAGTGCCAAGCAAGCTCTTAAGAAGTATGAAGAGCTATCAAGCGAAATCTTCAAACGAAGTTTCACGTCTCGACATTTGGGAAGCTTTACTGTCGATTTGTTACGAGTCCGTCCCTGGTATAAAGGGGAAGCTCTCGAAGCAGCAGCGAACAAGACCGTGGCAGAGCATCCAATAGCATCAGAAAGCGACAAATTGTTAGACCCAACATGCACTCTTGCATAAGCTCAAATCGTCTTTACATTACCCCAGAGATTCTAATTTTTGTTGCACTTCCGAAAACATGACAGTGCGGCAATAAGACATCGTACATACACAGCAAATGACGTGTCCTTGGACAATTACAGGGGCTGTACTGTTTCAAGCAACGTGGGCCACCTTGGCAGCTCCATTCTATTTCAAGGAAGCCAAGATTGGTAACTGCAAATTCTGGGACGGTGGAGTTGCAAACAATAATCCACTGAATCAGGTGTAGTTTGAAAAAGAAATTATGCTCCAGCATAGATAATTGAACTACTTGATAAGCCATGGAACAGGAAAACATGATCCTGGGAGGCGCAGGAATCTACTGGAGCACCATCCATCCATTTAGAATGGTGCACGAGTGTTGGCTAATATAACAAACGTTGATCATACACACCGGCTTTTCGAGGTTCTAATGAGAAAGAAAGACTCGGGGTATTTCAAAGTCGATCCTAGGACCTTGAACGACAATATTGGTACGACAGATTGTCCATAAGTTGGAGAAACTAGAGGAGTATGCCAATGCATATCTTGAGAAAGAGACGATCAAGATTATTATGAGGTCATGTGCACGGCTTCTTCGACATATACACGATATCGTAGGTGAAGTGTCTCATGAACAATGAATGAGCGTTGTTATCTATTTTTCCATTAACATTTATCAACTTCTTGTTTGACCTTCTAGTGCAGAATCTCTTTCTAAAAAAGAGTTTTTTTGGATTAAATATAATTTCTCACATATGTAGTCGTGTTAAGTGAATGTTGTAAGCGGGGGCTCGGTCGAAACGTAGAGGAGAGTTCTATTGGTTCCCCTTGGCTTAGAAAAGTAAAGTTCATAGGATCGGATCATCAATAAAGCGTCCAATTAGATGAAGGGAATTCTCCTAAATATTTTATGGTTTGTACCACATGGGTTGAATGTTACAAGCCTGAAATAGTTTGAAACCAATATCCATAGCGGCACGAAAACGCACGAGCCGCATAATGCGAAATTAGATTATACTGCTGATACAACACGTGATAGCGATTCTTATTATCTAGTCAACTATTAATAAAGACCCTGTCGGGCCCCAGTAGTGCTGCACGGCGATCACTGATAAGGGACAAGGAATACCATTGAATACGGAACAGGCATTTGCCTCGGTATGTCGGATTCGATGTCTGCTAATCATGCAACAAGGGTGGATTTGGGATAAGAACATGAAGTACAATGACATTTTAGCAAGGGAGCACCCATCAGCCATCCGAAATTCGCGTTTATATTAGCCTATAGTACTACGTAGCAGTAAATAATACAGGTGACTATGACCGCATGCACGCGTGAACGGCGTTGCAGATGAAGCACCATAGCTTTCCTGGTTAGCAGCCACCATAACATCCATGTAGTAGCAACAACGCCGGATTGGCTCCCAGCTGAAAAGCAATAACCAGGAGTCATACCGATTGGAGGGCTCATCTAATGCATATATTGGAGGGGTCAATGTGCCTGTAGAACAGGCAATCGACACCTCCATTCGGTCCATTCGCCACGCCACCGTGGTTGACTGATTCAAGTCAGCACTGGAATTTCACTTAGCCAATGGTATGATGTTGAAAGTCCTGACAGTTTTCGGGATACATTGGACGGCCCTTCCGATCAGACCAGTGCCTGCATTTTGGCTACGCGGAGAAACGCTCCAGAGAGTGAAGATCATTCATCATCGCCATTTCGCCTTTTCTTCTTTCCGTTTTCTAGTAGGTTTTAAAGTGCGAAGGATGATCGGCAGCGGCCAAGAGACGCCGGGCAGGCGATAAACAAGCACTAATCGCTAGGGCACGTTGAAGGCGAAGAGTGAGGCATATTTGCTGAGGCAGAAGCATCCGCAGCAATCAGAACATCAATGGGTGGGAAAATCGGAGTGGCGGAGTGCTTGATTGACAGTTGATCATTTGGAGTACGGCTGGGCTTGGGCTTTTTGTACGCGGCAGAATAAGAGTGGTGTGATCTGTTCTTGTCGGTACGCGTAATTGTCCGAGATACAGGGCCGGCCTTTGATAGATCGCGTTTTCCTTTTACCTGCTGCACCAGTCTCTTGCTAGCTACCAGCTGTCTGACGAAGCCACCACTTGGTAACTAGTTAGTATCGCTCGTCAATGATGACTCCGTGATCCGCCCGATTCGGCTCGTAGTTTGGCACTGACTCAACCTAGCATGGCTTGTCCGGCCTATCGGAAATTCGTTCTCCATTCCACCGGTCTTCCCAGCAATCAGCAGCCATCATTTCCCTTTGATCAAGCCATATTTGCAACTATACACTCTAGCAGAACAGGGGTCCATCAACCCTGCTCGCTGTTTCGTCAACCCGCCCGGCCTAGGCCGCCGTGACGCAATATGCAATATGCAATATGCAGTTGCTCGTTCCGTTGGGGAAAAGGAAACCAAGGAAAAAAAATTTTTAAAAAAGAAAAAAAAAAATTTAATATCAGATTGGGTCTATAATACAGTTTCCATAATTCTCGACTAGAGCTCGTTGGTCAACCGCCAGGGCGACCTGATGGCTGGAATCACACAATTCTATGCAAAACTGCAAACTGCAAAAATAGGGGCATCGGTGCCATGACTCAGGACAGCTGTTCCATAAGAAAAAAGGAAGAAAAGGCGTGAAAACAAGATCGCCATCTATAGGGCTATAACTTTAATTGCCATCGGGAAATTAAAACACGCATCCAACGCCCAAAAATGCGCCGACCGACCGAGAAAACACGATGATAAGAACACGCACGCACACAAATAGGTGCCGAGGGGTATCGCACAATAATACATAGCATATCCGTGCCTGACGCATAGATAAGAGGTCCAAAAAAAAGCCAATTCAACGCCGACGAGAGAATATCCACTTGCACGAGAGTGCACTTCTCAAACAGCAACGCAACTGGCTGGAGCAACATTTCCACAATAATACTTGCCCATCATCGACAGCAGATGCGACAGACTCCAACCTCGACAATGATTCTCTCGTGAGGGCTATTGTTGCAGTGGGGTGGGATATTGTCACCGTCTACTTCAATCCTGTGAAAGTGACCGCCAGGGTCGCGGCAGCCCGTAAAGACGTAAATGTTTTTCCAGTAATTGCACATATCGTGATGGTTGCGTCGAAGAATGATGTCTGAGTTTTCTATGGTAATGTTAATATGAGTTGATCGATGTCATCAACCAATGGATATGTGCAGGGCATGTATAATGAATATATGGAAACTAGAGAGACGTACCTGAAAAATTATGGTGATATGTGTGAAGATCGAAGGCTAGCCTGTTCCTATCGATTCAACAAGAGCCCTTTGATTTCTTATATTCCTGAACTGAGCCTGTGAATGAGATAACGAGATCAGGTTTGAAGGTGACAAGCAAGTAGTCTGCATGACGATCTAGGCCGCGGCCCATAGGCATCTTAGCTATTAATATTCAAAAGGCCATGCAAATAAATCATCACAAGTGGAGATACCTGCTGGTAGGAATATGATCCAAGACTCAATCCCATTTCTAAAGGACTACTGGCTGGCTTTGGTGGGTTGGCTCCGTGGCGTGAGAGAGAGGAAATAGCACCATAAGACACAATGTACCGCCACTTTTTCAAGACCAAACCCTAATCGGGAGCTCTTATAACAAGAGTGCAAGGATAGGGGTCCAAGAATTTTAAAACATTAACCGTAGTATAGTTGACCAGACTAGGATGGCGTCAAGAATGCTGGAATGGTCACTAATAATAGCGAATTGCTAATGAGGGTGATAGTGATAATGACAATGATAAATAATATTCGATGACTAGCATCGGAAACACCGTCGTATTCAGAACGTGCACATCCACGGCTTGAGCGTCCGGGAACACTACCGGGTTCGTGAATGGGAGATCGACCAAATGGACTTCACTAGCAGCCGTTGGAATGGCTTCAACTAATCACACACGTGGCGCTAGCAGGGGTGCTTATGCATGGTATATTGGCCGATACATAATAATCTACACAAGGACCAGACGCCGTGATTCGCCGCAGAATACCGCCGTTATTGGGTGATCAACGCGGCTGCCTTGACCCGGTGATCCTGAAATTTGGATTACATGTTACAGAGTGTCTCCTTCTGTAACGGGCTTCTTTCGCACCGACAGCAACATGCCAACTGTCTAAAAGATGGGCTAGCCAGCGGATACATTGCTTTAGCGTTGTTTCAATAATTCATAGTATTATCTCCATACGTGACTTGCGCAAAAGCTTGTGTGAACTGGTGTAGGTATGGAGGATGACGTGGATAAATTCGTGTTAGCTGGTTTTACTGGCTACGATGACGGAGGACCTTGGGGTTAATTAATGATGTAGGAGTGAGTAGGAATGTTCCGCGGCTTTTTTCCCAAGTCCAGTTAACTGATGTCAGCGATCTGTTAAGTTACATGGTTAGTATACTCACCTTACTTCTTAGGGTAAAGACACAATTTCTACAGACCACTTATTCTACTACGCCGTATCGGGTTTTCCGTAATACAAAACCTGTTTTCTGATGTACTAGCCACGGGGTATGCTTCGAGACTAGGATATAGAATTTTTGGATTTGTGCAAGCGACATGATACCACCCCGGATGTAGATTCCCCATCCCAGCCGCGCGGTGCCTCGACGTCCCGGCGCACTGGGTGGAGTAATGACTTTTAGAGGCTCCAGGGCTCCAGATTGAGTGACTGGCCCTGAATAACAATAGTAATATTAATACTACGAGGCTCATACCCGCAACTTTTTCCTTTTAAGGTTGTCCGACCCTCGGGAGGATTTCATCGAAAACGTTTTTTCGCCGACGAGCCGCTAAGTTACCCTTAATAATACAACCTTTTGCCTAGTACTGTACATCGTACAATGGCCTCCACTCTTCCGAAATACAGCCGTTCATTTTCCGTAATACGGCCGTACATCTTCCGTATATAAATATTGAAATCACACTATCAGCGCTGACAAAATCACTGAAAAACAGCTAGCCCTAGACCATAATTTCTGATTGAGTTTCGCCGTTTTGAAAATGCCTGACCATCGGTACCCCGTTCGGTAATTAATATCACCGACAAGCATCAACCTTAATTGTACATCGAGTCAACATTCGACAGTGACTCTGGGCATTGGCAGCGTTGATGTTTGAACTAGGCTTTTGTGTGTGAAGTATGCATATTCTTTTCACACAAACACAGTCCGTTATCATCTGTTTCCTCGAAATAATCTAGCTATGCGCCATTAAAACGGTTTTTCTTGATTCAATCAATTATGCATGTGAAAGTGGCTACCGCCGAGCCACAGTGGTCGTGACCATAATGAAAAATATATGAGCTATTGATTGAGCTCTTTTTCATGGAGCGGTCTAGCTGTGGCTGGCTGTACACAACATCGAATCATAAGCAAATAAGCCCCCAGCCCAGTCTAGACCCTCTGTCGGTATGCGACCTATGTCGAACGATGCTAATCTCGGCTTGTCGGATGCGAATTTCAAATGCCTTCCTCGGGTGCCGAGTTTTCGAAGCGACCAGGAACAAACTGATATCGGCATTCGATCATTGTATCGAAACCCCGACATAATACCTCTAACTCAACAAGGACAAGAACGGCGCGGATATGTGTATATGTTGCTTCCTCCACTTCTTCTGAATCCGTGCAATGGAAAATTGAACTGTGTAGTGAAACCACAAAAAAAAAATACTGACTCACAAAACAGTCCAAGGATCCACAAGGCAGAGGAAATTACTTGCTTTACTCTGATTGATAAGAGATGTGCACTAATCGGGTGATACCGTAGTATGTAGGTACTTGCTCCTCTTCTCCGCCCCCTCCCCGGCGGTGGTGTGGCACAGTCAATGTGCTTTGATCTCTCGCGCATGCAGAGATCACACAATCACCTTTGCTCTCAGACATTTGCTTAAAAATAAATCATGTAAGTCTCATAGTCAAGTGGACCCCGTGCGCTGCTATCCTCGGCAGTTGATACGATCTTCATGTCTTAGCCCGACTTTTTTCGGCAACTCCTGCCCGTGTCTCAAACCCCCCGAAAGCTTGATTCGCTCGTTTAGTCAATTGAAAGGTCATCAGTGCCCTTTTAAAAATGTTGACATGCAATGAGGCTCGCTATCTATGGGTAGCGGGGTAACCATGTCACTATTGCCAATGAAAGCTTTCTAACAGGGTGCTCTGGTGTTAGTTGTGCAATCATCTTAACTAGATATGGATTTCTAATCTAATGTGAATCCCTCTCTCGTGTTCAGAACCGAGGTGCACAATTGAAATGAACCAAACACATAGATTGAATGAGGGTGGGGCCGGATGGATATTATTTTGAGTATTATAGGAACTTCTCGCACGCACACACACAGATTTATTCGAATGACACCAGTTTACGGGTGAATAATCGTTAGCTAAGTAACATGTTCGATACTATCTCCATTTTTTTATTTGTTTCAAGAATTTTGAAATTTTGCTTGCTTGGCTGCAGTCTATATTATGTATGTAGATGCTGGAAACTCAAATTATATAGATCTGGATGTAGACGTTATTTTCTTTCCTAATACGGTAATAAATTAGCGAGCAAGATGGCCTAAAACGAGACCAATATAATGCCTTGGTTCTGGTAATACGCATAGTTGCAAAATCACGCTATTGACTTGTCCCAACTAAAATGGAACATATCCAATGAAATTTCTTTTTACTACTTGCCTAATGAGACTAAACACAGGATAAAATGTCTTTGCATAACTTGATGTTATGATGAATATTTGTTACTTCAACAATTAATTTCTTGGGTAGAACGGCTATCGATGCTCGTCGACCCATTCCTTTTCGAATACCTGGACAGAGAATCCAGAAAACAACATTTGACGCTACATCTGTATACAACATTTGCATAATATAGAACGAAAACAAAGTAGAACCAGAAAAGAAGCTCTTGATTGGTTGAAGCTAGTAAAGCCCACTATACTCTCCGTGTCCTTTGATGCGTAGCTCCCGCACACATGCTTTCTACGGTCCACGGATTCCCGGCACCCAACATGACCTTGAAAATCAATGATATCGAAGACGACTACTTAAAAAAATGGATGCTTTCCCCACTGTGGCCCCTTCTAACGAAAATTGAAATTACAGAGTACTCGGAATCAACCGGCACTACATCATGCTAGGTCATGTGTCATAACGCAGGACGATAGGTTGCTTATTCGCATTGGTCAATACTCCTCACAATGTGGCTTTCACGGTCCTCCTTGCGTGGAGGTTTGACCGTTTCAGGGTTTTGCTCATGATCGAGTCTGATCTAGAGTCCGAGCGGGCCTGTTCATCGAATATACGAAATCCTAATAGTAGTTTTGCCTCGGCCCCAGATCATCCGCCACCTGGAACGACCGCGCATATATCTTGTTATCAGGCTAGTGCATTCACTGCACAGGATAAGAAAAGGCGTATTGATGGGTTAGGAAATTGAATAGGTTTGATGATTAAATAAAAACTCCAAACTTTAAGAAGGGATTACATTAAAACAAACTAGCGTACTATATATCGAGACCAAAAAAATAAATGACTGTAATTCTCTTTCCATTTCCCACAGATCATAGACTTACGGAGATAATCAAGTATAGTTATATGCTTGAATGTTTATATGCGCAAGTAAATGGCGCGCTCTCATTGGGCAGATCCCAGATATACTACGTGCCGACATGATTGGTGGACGGCTGGCGATAGAGTCGTGGGGCCCGCAGAGCCCCCTGTCCCAAAAGGGGAAAACCACAACCGAATCGAGTCACATGACCGCCCAGGGTGAGACATCCAGAGCAGAAAGTAACAACCCAGCAACGATCCGCTCACAGCCTGAACCCGCAACCCATCCCGAGGCACCGTCGGCACCTTCGCTAATACCACACAATTAAACAAACACTTTCGCTTTCGCTACGCACCTCCTCTCGTTTCCTTCCGCAGCTGCCCCTGGAGGGTTGAACCCTCGTTTGCCATTCACCCGTCGGTCTTGTTGGGTCCCATCTTGAAAAAGGGAAGGAAAATACCCGACCACCATGGGTTTCGGCACCTTCGATCAGATATGTCTCAAGACACCACTGCCCCTATGCTCGCTCGTCGGCCCCCCCTCGTCTATCGAGGGTTCCAGAGGAATCTTGCCGAATTGCTATGCGCGGAATATCGAGGTTGCCAACACCATCATTTTCCAAGGTGCCGCGGACTGTGTACATATCGCGGCTTTGTCTATGACCGTTATTATGATCTTGCATGTGCGATCTAAATTCACCGCTGTTGGTAAGTTCATTGTTACCCACTACATCGAGTCTGGAGACCAGCGTACTGAGCATTGCATCACGCAGGCCGCAAGGAAATCACGACCTTCTTCTATATCTATATGCTACTGACAATGTGTTCTCTTGTTATCGATGCCGGCGTTGTTCCTCCAGGGAGCGGACCTTTACCATACTTTGCAGCCGTACAAAATGGACTTGCATCCGCACTCTGCACATGTCTACTCATCAACGGATTTGTCGGGTTCCAGCTGTACGAAGATGGTACGGCATTATCAGTGTGGCTCTTACGATCCAGTTCCGTCGGCATGTTTGCGATATCCTTCGTCGTCTCGCTCTTCACATTCAAGGGCTGGGGAGGGCTGGACCCGGCCAACCCGATCGGCATGTTTGTCGTCATTTATATTCTGAACGCAGTCTGTCTTGCCATTTACGTCGTCATGCAATTAATGCTTGTTTATAACACCCTGGAAGACCAGTGGCCCCTCGGTCATATCGCCTTTGGTGTATTGATGTTCATCATCGGCCAGATATTGTTCTATGTATTCAGCGAAACTATCTGCAACAACATCCAACACTACCTTGACGGAACGTTCTTCGCTACATTCTGCAATTTGCTGGCTGTTATGATGGTTTATAAGGTGATTTGCTTTTCTTATACTATAAGATGCCTATCTAACATAACGCAGTACTGGGACTCCATCACCAAAGAAGACCTCGAATTCTCCGTCGGCGTCAAGCAAAACAACTGGGAAGTCAAGGATCTCAACGAAGAGGACCGTCGTCTCACAATCTACGCGGACAATGCATCCGAATATGCACCTAGCACTCAATACCGAAGTTCAACCTTTGGCGGAAACCATTCCGGTTATTGAAAGAAGACACAAACCAGTCAAGGTTTCGTCTGACACGACTGCAAAATATAACGTATTTTTCTTGGGCTGGCGTTTTCATATGCATATTTTGAATACATATTTTGGTATATGACATTATTTCTCTTTATGCCCTCTTGGGCTCTATATCGTGTTTTATTGGGTATCTGATGGTCGGTTTAAGGTTTACTTTGGGATATGTACACATAATAGTTGATAGTGAAACAATAATTCTTTTCTCAAACTGTTTTCATATCATTTTGAAGGAAAACTGCATATATGCATAATAAATACAACAAGCATGCACAGGTGGTGCTACACAGAAGGCACCCCATATGAGCACAGCAGGATTACACATGGGTCAAGTTTGAAATCTTGCAGTAGCCGAGAAGAACATTTGAAATTATAGTCTAAAACGTTTATGCCCCATAGAATCAAAATGTTGTATACAGCAGTTCATGTTGTCATTGATTAACCTTAAACCTTACGACAATCAACGCGGGGAAGGCCAATCCGTAATGAATAGATTGATATTCCCTCCGACATTCAAAATGAGCATCAGAATAATATTGACGTAAGTGACCTAAGTCGAAAGTCCCTTGAACAGGAATAATCTAGAGAACACCAAAAATGGAGCGCGATTCATCAACCCCACAGAAATTGCAATGAGAATGAAAGACCCGGTAGAACAAGGTAAGTACCTAGGTGGGTCGTCATTGGGTGTATATGAGCTGGGTTATGCAACCATGTTGCTGATGGCTTAGATAGTCGTATTGAAGAATTACTACCAAGTCGTCTTGATCATTTGAATATGTCAAAGCCTCAGTTTTAGCATACATTAACTGATATATTAGTTAATTAATGTAAATACACGTAACACAAGACTTGAAAAGGAATGTCAGTTACGCAATAATCTCAGAGAATTTTGTGGAAAAGCGCAAGAACATGGGCGTATAAATTTACCGCTCGATATTATAGAGTGATCAATTAATGGTTATTATAATAAAGATAAATTAGAGCAGCGACCAAGATCTACTCATTCCTCCATTTACGGCTGTACCTCTAGTGGGAAAAAAGAAGAGAAAGAGGATATCGGTGACTAAAGTAGTTTGCACAATCTTTCCATATGTGAAGACATAGTCTAGAATGATTTTCAGTTGATGTAAACCTCTCATCTCGTTCTCGGTCACTTAGCCATGCGCCCATTAGAGACTGTTATCGTTTTTAATTGAGTGAACTCGGAGAATCCTAAAAAGTAATTATTAATTAGATATCGTTAAACATGAGATGTAAGAAAGGGGTTTCAAAGGGATTCTTACCCCATGGGACTCCAAAACGTCCCCAGCCGCTCGCCTTGGTCCCTCCATGTGGTAAATGGGCCTCATCATGGATGGTAATTGAGTTGATATGAACTGCTCCAGCATCAATTCGTTTTGCCAACTCAATTGCTTTGAGAATATCTTGGGAGAAAATGCTGGACGACAAGCCATACGGGCAGTCATTAGCCAGAGATATAGCCTCATCGGGTAAAGTGAAAGGCATTAAGACAGCCACTGGGGCAAAGGTTTCAGTTTTCCAAATGGACATTTCTCGCGTCACATTAGTCAGGATTATGGGCTCAAGTCTTGAGCCGTTTCGTTCCACTGTCTCGCTGTTGTGGTTTTCTGCCATTAAATTTCGAGCTCCCTGACCCATTGCATCCGATATCAGGTCCGTCACCTTATCGACATGGGGCTTTGATGCACCTGGGTATATGCTGGCTCGAATATTCCGTACGCACTCGCCCAGCTTAGACGTGAACTCTGCAAACACCTTTTCCGCCACCAAAATTCGCTCGGTGGACATACAAACTTGGCCATGCTACACACGCAGTTCAGTAATTAGCATTACATCATCCTTAGGTGGAAAACGAATTCAGGCTTTCAATACGCACATGTTCAAATGCTCCAATGGCAGCCGCCTCCGCAGCCAGATCTAAGTTTGCGTCTTCGAATACAATCATTGGGGCTTTGCCTCCTAATTCAAGAAGAGACGGTTTGCCATAGGCGGCAGCTTTTGAAGCAATAATCTTACCCACGTTAGTGCTCCCAGTGAAATTTATTTTCCGGACGCGATCATCGGTGATGAGCGCATCCACAATTTTGATCGCATCCTCCGGACGATGCTGAACTATATTCAACACTCCTGGAGGAAACCCAGCCTCCTTAAAAAGAGAACCGATGAAGTGATGTACCAAAGGAGACATCTCTGATGCCTTGAGGATAGCTGTATTTCCACATGCGATCGGCGTGGCTACCGCACGAAGACCCAAGAATAGTGCGGCGTTCCAGGGGGCAATGCCAACATTAACCCCCAATGGTTCCTTTATCGTAATTGCAAACGAACTAGTATCGTTCTTTCCGGGTAGCATGGTGCTGCTTGCTAGGCCAACCATTTGACAGGCAAGCTCCTCTAGTAGGTCTATCGACAGTTGGATATTGATTCCATCAATGAGAAACCCGTCAATCGGAGTTTCAATTTTGAGAAGATTCGCTATTTCGCCTTTGTTTTGACTAAGAATTTGGGCAGCCCGTTGAAAAAGTTCCCGCCGCACCCATGGACTTGTTTCCTTCCATGTGCTAAATGCCTCGAAGGCGCTTTGAATTGCCTCCTTGACAATATCTGGTGTTGCACCGTAGGCTTGGGTGGTTGATCCCGTTCCCGCATTGGTCACTTCAAACAGCTCACTGGATGTCACGGGTTGATTCCCAATGAACAGGGGAACTGGATTGGGGGCTGACACAGTCATGATGGGAATAATTAGACTTCCAATGTTGTGGCAATTCTTAGGATAAAAATTTCAAGCTGAATATGCGTGTGTATGACTTAAAAATGCAGAGATATTTCATCTTCCCCGCATTATCTGAAGCTAATAACGGAACCCACCCGAGTTGGCCCACCCACCCGAACTGGCCACTTCCGCCCGAAAACGCGTAATGTCACCAGTTTAATTCTTCAAAACAGATTAAAGAGTATAGCATATCGAGCTGAAATACGCGCTAATGGGCATAAATTGGCAGAATTTAAAGTGGAATCGCTTATAACATATATTTTAGATTTAGATAAGTGTAAATTACTCTCTTAGCCATCTTTTATATAAAAAGAAGTTTATAAATTGAGCTTTCAAAACAATATAGAACGTGTTTTTGGGCGGAAATGGCAAACTCGGGTGGGTGGCCAACCCGAGGGTGGATTACGTTAAGACAGGAATGATTACGATACGCTTTCGCGGAATGCATCCGACCTGCGGAATTACGAGCCGACAATATAGGTGTGGTGGCGGCTATCTTTAGTCAATTAACTTGTATCCGATGATATTAATGTCACGAGATCTTTAAAATATCGGAATTTATTGAGTACAGGTGCAAGATTCTTCAGACCACATGCTAGAAATGCTTTTCAAAGAACATATCCTGCAATCAATCGATTGATGTCTGGTTGGGTTTGTATCATAAATCCATGATTATTATCAATTGATATAGATGTTGATAATTTAGAGGAACTTTCGCTGTAGTTAATGACAACTGGACTTCTATTCCAAACGAGAACAACTTCCTGAAGAACGTTATGGAAACATCATCCCTGCCAGTAAGATGTGTAGTTGGAATCTTTCGGCCAGAACTGAGGGTGAACAATGGTGTCTTGATATTCTTCTTGTAATCGCGGTATATTTGCCATCAAGAGCTCTTCATAGTCGTATTATCCCTTGCCCAAATAATGAGAAGTCTACCAAGCAAAGTCATTCTATCATCATTAGCCTTTGCATCAGCACCTACGATAATAATGCCGTACATACTGGACTTTAATTTTCGACCTAATAGAAAAATAATTCTCGGATCTCACGGTTGCGTTTTGTTACGAACGAACGAGCCTTTGATCGTATGCATTAACATATGGGCGGATGTGTTGCGGGATAGGACCCTTTTTTTAACCGACGTAAAAGTTGATTCACAGAGACGTTTATGTATTCAACGTTAATATTTGTTCCGTAACCAGGGCCATGACTTGTAAGATCAACCTTAACTCCCTGGAGATTGAGAATGAGACACAAAACGGATTAATAGACTATGTCAGTCTTATGAAGAAAATAATGCCATTATGGAGTTTTCCAACTATCTTTGAAACGCTTTATTGTGCGTTGTTGCCGGCATTAAACACATGATCCCTCTACAACTTGTGATTCCCACCAATAATTTTTCTATTTCTCCCTAAAGGGAGTTCGGGTATTAATTATCATATCAAATCTAGCGCTTAGAACGAATAGCCAAAATTAGTTATGCAATGATCATTAAGTACCACCAACCTAATGGTCTGGCACTGGTATCTATTCCAATTTGTTCTCGATTCAGCTGTACGTCTAGTCATCCCTACCGAAGCAGAAATGAGCTTGACTGAAATACTTGACGATGAAGAGGGAAACTATGTGTCATTTTATTTAGAAATCAAAACGAAAAGAAACTATAAAAGTGATCCAGAGAATGTCAAGGTGCTTAAGAGTAGATATATATGGGCCCAAACATGGACGTATTATGGGGCTAATAATCTGGACTCAACACGGATGATTTCCCTAAGCAGTGGGTCATTAATAGAGTGGGCTGAGGCAGCGTGCAGACATGGAGGAAGAGTGAAGACAGGGAGCGGTGGTGATGAGATATAGAGCAGCAGGCCTCAAACTAATCCAGAAATATTGACTCAAGGTCTCCCTAGTAATGCATATGTAGTTTATACTTTGAGAATATTGCATTGAATGCACGTACCATTCGTCTAACATTCGTCGATTTCGGCTTGACTGAGGCCAAAAAAAATGACGGTGAATAATGCTTATCAAATGGGCATTTGATTGCAAACTGTGGGCCAAAGTTGGCAAGGGACACTATATGGCGAATATCAATGGATATAGCGAATACATCTCCAAGTAAGGAAATACATATCAATTGATGTTGTAGAGATATGGTGGAATATAGAGATAGCAAAAGGAACGGTTCTCAGCGGTGGTACGTAGACCTATAGGTTGACATATCAAACCACCCCGAAACCTCACGAGCAGAGATCCTTAGCCCCTCCACACCAATATTCCATTCTCATATAAGCCGCTAATCAATCCCACCTTGCGACTCGAATCTCTTGCAGCGGTAGCGCTTGTTCCGAATTCTTGTTTCGAAACAAACAAATGTTCTAATCCTCGACTACTTGACCATTGAGAAACCCAACTAGGCACATTTGCTTTCCAACAGGCGGCATTATCTGCTTCACTATCTTGTGTACAGCTTAGACGATGTTTCACAACCTCCTCCAGCGACGGGGGATGCGGGTGGCCGGCAATTAGCAAAACACCATCCTTGTCCGCAGATAAGTTGTCTGGCATAAAAGGTACTTCAATCGAGCTGTTGAGTTTGACGGAACGATCACTCAGGATGTTGTAGAGACGGACTTGAGCGGTTGACGTCGATGATACTGCTAATATTGACTCATTCATGAGAGTTACTCCATTTGCGAAGGGAATATGTGCAACGTTCTGAATTTGCGGGGTCTCAGATGCCAGGCTCACGTACGTCAAAGTACCTCCTGGAAATGCCAAGTATGTCTCGACCTGCCAGAACCAAGGGTGTTCTCTTCTGGAGCTGTAGTGGTCGTTTGTTACATAAAATTCATGGTCGTTAAGCGCGGCAATTGCGTTAGGAGCGTTTATCAGCGGGCTGGTAATACTCTGCTTATGCCTGGCAACTGGCGGGTGTGACGCAAGATCTAATGAAAACACGTCGACTCGCGATCCATCCAAATGATGGTTAACAACAAAAAGTGTGGAACTCTGATGGTGGTACTCGACTCCGAGAGGGTGCAGTGAAAACACTCCGGGATAGTCTACAATCTTTATTGGAGCTAGGGATTTCTCAGAGTTCTCGGGAAGATCATAGCGGTATATCAAGAGTTCGCCATTAGAAATTTCGTCGCGCTTTTCATGGTATGTACCCATGACAGTATTCCAGAGATCTCTCCCGGTATCGCAACTTAGAATTGCTACGGCGTTTTCGTCATCTATCAATGCATCCTCGCAATTGCGAAGCCGATCGGCAAATTTCACGGAATATTTTGGTAATACATTGACTTCCAGGAGCTTGTCAGGCCGATTGTTGAACAGAATAGACAGTGCTTGGTAACGATTGAGTAGATACGGGGAGATGTAAGCAAGAATTGCTGCCCACTGGGCACATTGTTAGGGAAAATAGCAATGATTAGGAACCAAAGGATTTCTACTTACAATAGTGAGAGTCAAGGCCTTCTGAGGTAGACGGGCCATTGTAGTTCTTTCTTCCTTACGACCTTTTTTTTTATCTCTTGATGAGGTTGGTCGGTCAAGTCTCATAGGGGAAAGCTGCGTCAGTGGTTTGTCAGGGAGTCGTTGGCACCGCACCCTTATATAAGCCCCCAGAAGAGGATCCCGTTGCCCCACAATTTAAGGCTTGATTTAAATGTCTGTGTGTGACTCCACAGTTAACTCCATTCAAAGCTCTGGTACATGGAAAATATCATACTCGAATTTAATTCGGTGTCGCCGAGACTGGTACTCACTGACTCCGTGATTTGTTGCTTTTTGTGAATTTATCGCTGCCATGTCCACTCGTGAAATAACCCCTCATTCCCACCTTTCAGGACAAAATTGGGGCATGGGTGTACGTAAAAAGCTGCACGAAGGCTGCTAGTGGTGATTTTAGCTACGGAGTTCGGGCAGTGAAAGCCGCAGGTCTATATCCATTCGCGCAAGCCTTCCGTGTCATCCTTTACAACGAATATCGCGATTTCACCAATGCCATCTCCTGGGGACGCTAAAATGATCGGTTTGATTCTTCTCGCCTTTAGTTTGGGGGCTGCATCCGCTGACTGGAAATGCTGGTGGAGCGAGCCAATATGTTCGTCCTATTACTCACTGTGGATTAATTAAAAGGACACGTTCGCTTTATATCCGTATCTTACGCGTAGCTTCATCAAGCCATGTAGCGGCCTTGGTCTCTTGCAAATTGGGTAGGTTCGGCGGTCAAATTCTGCGGTCGATGACAACTGTGTCCCAAGGCTACAGACATTATCATTTATTTGACATAGAGAGACGGCTAAGTACAGTGGCTATTCTTTGAAGCAGGTTCTTCACATGAGCAGGCCGCATAGTGCCATGATCACGAGTGACACCAACTCGTCCATCTAACTCACTCCAAAGTACCTCAATCTGTCTGGCCGATAGCAAACCCACTTTACTGCTCCCAGGCTCACTGATGCCTAGAACCCGCTCCATTGTCTCCAGGAGATGAACAACGCCGTTCGAGAAGAGCATGCCCTGCATACATGGTTCCGCCAGAGGCGACCCTCCAAATGTAATGCCTGGGATAGGTGCGATGGGGTTGGTAGAGAGTCGTTCGATGCGTGTAGTGAGGTGCTCAAGAAACAACTCGCAGAGGGAGATGAGCTGCGTGAAGATGCTTGTGATGGCTAAGGCGAGCGGAGTTAACAAAGGTTGCGAGGCGACGGAGGGGTAGGGCAAAGAAGATGCTGGGGTCGAATTGTGGTAGTTATACTGGTAGGATTGCAATCGTGGCGGCACCGGCTCTGGAAGACAATGCCGACTGTTGAGGAGCCGCGTCAGTATCAGGACAAAGTCTTGTGATGTCTTGAGCATGAATACGGCCACCGTATCGTTTTCTATAAACAACGGGCTTTCCCGATAGATGAGGCTATTTAAGTCTACGATCATCCTGTTCTTTTCGATAGCCGCCATGCGAATGTGTAAGTCGAGGTTGATCTTGGAAAGCTTGGCTATGGCGTCTGAGATTTCTATACCACCCACTGGACGTTCTTGTCCCGGTACTATCAGGGTAGTCGGGGTGCAATTGACGCTATTGACGACCCTAACGAGCGAGAGAGCATCTACGGCTGTGGAGTCGAAGGCGGCCGAGCCGAAGCACAACAAGGGATAGTCGTCATGAGAAGCATTGGTAGTATTCGGAGAAAGCAAGCCCTGGCAAAATGAACTCATTCCAATGGTTGGCGTCGGGACAGATGCATCGTACGACGCCGTTACCCTAGATGGTGCTAGTACTGGCGCCGCCGCTGGGGAGGTTGTGCTGCTCCATCCTACCTGGTCATGGATACCCGGGAACGAAGGAGACTCTCCAGATCTTCCAGGAGAGTTAAATTGGCTCTGCTGGCTCTGCTGGTCGAATGTTTTGCTTCGAGACACTTTGACGGTTGATCTTGACTTGAAACCCGGGACTTTGGAAGCATCATGGGCGGAAGCCGCCGTTTGCTTTGGTCTCCCGACTTTCTTCTGTTGTCCTCTAATACACTCTGCCCCAAGTATCGTACAACGTGCACATTTAAGGTCATATCGTTGTATGCGCTGACATCTCGACTTGTGTTTCCTGCAGAGCTCGCAAGAAAACCGCCTCTGCGACGGATGGATAGATGAGCGGCCCATGCTATGCTGCTCACAGGCCAATAAAGGTTAATACAGGGGATCAATGGTACCAAGGGCGTTGAGAAGCTGAGCGCATAGTAAGGAGCAGCGAGGCTCTAGCCAGTGCGAGGCTCTAGCCAGTGCGAGGGTCAATTATTAAAGGCTCCGAGGAAGATTTTTAGGTAAGCTGAAATCACCCGTCGCCATGCTCATAGCTCCTTATCAGAGGCTTCGGGTCGATAGATCGGCCGACCGACTGTGATCTGCGATCGAACCTCGTGGGTCTTAGACTAACTTTACCATTGGCTACCTGATTCTAGGGGAGGCGAACGCTATCATGCAAGTGGAAATTCCGTATATGCTACCAGAGTCTGAATTGACCCACAGCCAATCAACAGCATACGGAGGGTTTAATGTCGAGAGGTCGAAAACTCGGACTTTGGCTAAAAGGAGGGTTTCCTAGTGCCTTAGTATACCTGAATTGCGGTAAATCATGGAATGTTGTCCTTGACGCAACCACTAAAATATAGGTTACGCTGTTGCAGCGCTTTTATTGGATATACCAGTGTATGTCTGCCAGGTTATTGACCTGGATTGTAGTCTCTTTACGTATTTCGTAGCGTCTCTTGCCTCGACAATACCTTATATCATAATCGTACGAATATTTGTAAAGTCACTATTCGTGTGCATCCCTAGTGGGTGGACGCAGATTTACAGAGATTCAACTTTAAACCAAGTCAATTCGGATATGCGGTGTCATGACATGCCAATACCGGCTCATCAGTGATCTCCTTCACAATTTTTCAATCAATCACAGTTAGTTCCCGCAGCACAAGAGCTTACAGGTATCCTGCGATCTGATAATTATTAATCCTTCTCTGTAACTTATTAAAACAAACTTGATCACTAATCACAGCATCTGCGGAATCCAAAAGTTTGGTCAGACTGTTTCCGATGTATCAATCATGTATATAATGCACAGGGACCCTCCTTCCCGATGCTCCAATAACACTCTTAAGCTCTAGTTGCTAATCATTTCCATTCTTTCTGGTTTTGGTGAGACCCTTTCATTTTCACTGGCTCCCATACAGTTCTGCGGCGATGCCATGGTGTCTATATCAAATGTTGGAGACCCGGGAAATGTTGCCAGCCGAGTCTTCTCCCATCTTTCGGTGACCAGTCGTAGAGGACATGGTGTCCTTGAGGAGGAACCAATCGAGAACACTGTGGATTGGGAACTGATGCCCGAGGTTAAGGCAACTCATGAACACGCGTATATGGAGCGAAAACTCGGCGTGACGTGGAAGGACCTCACTATCAAGGGCACGGGGTCTGACAGCTCCTTTAATGAGAACGTTCTCTCACAGTTTCTACCCAAAAAGTTGAAACGAGGCAGTGGAACGACCACACCATCGGTTAGAACTATCATCAACAAAAGTCATGGTTGCGTCAAACCTGGTGAAATGCTGCTTGTCCTTGGCCGGCCGGGTGCAGGCTGCACAACGCTATTGAAGGTCCTAGCAAATCGACGGAAAGGATATACCGGCATTGAGGGTCAAGTCAATTACGGCTCCCTAGGCCACGAAGACGCCGCGAAATACCAAGGTCAAATCGTCATGAATACGGAAGAAGAGACTTTCTTCCCTACCCTGACCGCTGGCGAAACGATTGATTTTGCAACTCGATTGAAGATTCCATATCGAGTCCGCTCTGGCTATAGCTCTCAGGAGGAAGCTCGGGTAGCTACTAAGGACTTTTTATTTCATCTACTCAACGTCTCCCACACCGTCAACACCAAAATAGGAAACGAGTTTATCCGGGGTGTGTCAGGTGGTGAACGGAAACGCATCAGTATCCTGGAAACCATGGCCACTCGAGGTAGTGTATACTTCTGGGACAACTCCACCAGGGGCCTGGATGCGAATACAGCTCTCCAGTACGTGACCGCTGTCCGGAAAATGACCGATATTTTCGGCTTATCCTCGGTTGTCACACTTTACCAAGCTGGCAATGGCATCTACGAGTTGTTCGACAAGGTTCTTGTGCTCGACGAGGGAAAAGAGATCTACTACGGGCCTATGAAAGAAGCACGGCCTTTTATGCATGGCCTCGGTTTCATCTGTGCAGAGGGGGCTAACGTGGCGGACTTCTTGACAGGTACACAATGTATTATATTATACCTTATAGAGAAATACATACTAATACTAAGCCAGGCGTCACGGTTCCAACGGAACGTAAGATCCGCAACGGCTATGAATCAACTTTTCCCAGGAACGCCGATGCCATCCTAGCGCACTACGAGAAATCTGACATCAAAAAGGACATGGGAACTGAGTACGACTACCCAAACACGCAGTCTGCCAAAGATAATACGGAAGAGTTTCAGCGCGCGATTATGAATGAGAAGCACCCAGGTCTCCTGACGGAGCGCTCGCCAGTTACGGTTGGATTCGCCGAACAGCTTAAGGCATGTGTCCAACGTCAATACCAGATAATCCGAGGTGATATGGCAGTTCTCATCATCAAGCAAGCCTCCAATATCATTCAGGCACTGATGTCCGGCTCCCTTTTCTACAACGCGCCCAACACTTCGACCGGCATGTTTATTAAATCGGGTGCTCTTTTTGTTTCTCTACTCTTTAACTGCCTCTTGGCACAGTCCGAGGTCACGGACTCATTCTTCGGTCGCCCTGTCCTAGCAAAGCATCGGGCTTTTGCATTTTATCACCCAGTAGCTTCTTGCTTGGCCCAGATTATCACCGATATCCCTATTCTACTTTTTCAGATCACTTCATTCTCGCTCATAATCTATTTCATGGTCGGACTAACTTCAACTGCCGGGTCTTTTTTCACGTTCTGGTTCGTTATTCTATCCGCCACCATGTGTATGACGGCTCTATTCAGAGCAGTCGGTGCCGGCTTCAAAACTTTTGATGACGCAAGCAAGATGTCGGGGGTCTTGGTTATGTCCTTGCTCATGTACAGCGGATACATGATTCCAAAACATCAGATGCACCCCTGGTTTGTCTGGTACGTGTTCATCATCAGATCTGCGCTTTGCCAATTGACTGTTGACTGACTGCCCAGGATATTTTGGATTGATCCTCTTGCTTATGCCTTTGATGCACTCATCTCTAACGAGCTCCACGACAAAATCATCCCTTGCACTGGCCCAAACCTGGTCCCGAACGGGCCAGGATACGATTCTGCCGCCAATCAAGCGTGTACAGGGGTGCGTGGGGCCCTGCCAGGAGCTACGAGTGTGACTGGTCAACAGTACTTAGAAAGCATGAGCTATAGTCACTCGCATATCTGGAAAAATGTCGGCATAGTATGGTGAGTACTCTCCCTCCGAACTCGCGATTGCATATTTTGTGACACTTCGTGCAGGGCTTGGTGGGTTCTGTTTTTGGTTTTGACCATCGTCGCGACTTCCTACTGGAAGGCTAGCTCCTCTCAGACTGGGGTTCTCACGATCCCAAGAGAGCTCGCCAAGAAAGCTCGTACGGTAACACAGGACGAAGAAGCGCAGAACAGCGAGAAGCTGTCAGACGTAGCGTCGAGTAAATCGTCCGACAGAGAAGATGTTAGAAAGCTAGATGACCAATTGATTCAGAACAAGTCCGTGTTCACGTGGAAAAACCTGACCTATACAGTCCAAACTCCGGATGGACCTCGTATCCTACTGAATAACGTCAACGGATGGGTCAAGCCAGGAATGCTAGGCGCATTGATGGGTGCCTCGGGGGCAGGTAAGACAACCTTGTTGGATGTTCTGGCACAGCGCAAAACGGATGGAATAATAAAGGGATCTATCCTTGTTGACGGGCGACCTCTCCCCGTCAGCTTTCAGCGGTCTGCGGGCTATTGTGAACAGTTGGACGTCCACGAGCCTCTGGCGTAAGTTACTCTCTCTCAAAGACGCTCTATTTGCATTTTTCGACTAATTTTCGATTCAATCCAGAACCGTGAGAGAAGCTCTAGAGTTTTCTGCGCTCTTACGTCAATCACGAACAATTCCTAAAGAGGAAAAGTTGGCATACGTCGATGTGATCCTGGATCTCCTCGAGATGCACGACATAGGAGATTGCCTGGTCGGCGCTTCTGGCGGCGACGGTCTGTCAATTGAGCAAAGAAAGAGACTAACCATCGGGGTTGAACTCGTCGCGAAACCAAGCATCTTGATCTTTCTTGACGAACCCACATCCGGTCTGGACGGCCAGGCCGCCTACAATATCGTCCGGTTCATGAAAAAGCTCGCCGCCGCAGGACAGGCAATCCTAGTGACTATACATCAGCCCAGTGCCCAATTATTTTTTGAGTTCGACAGTTTGCTGCTACTTGCCCATGGAGGAAATACAGTCTACTTCGGAGACATTGGTGACCACGCCTCCACCGTTAAGGAGTATTTCAGACGCTATGGTGCCGACTGCCCACCGGAGAAGAATCCGGCGGAACACGTAATTGATGTTATTTCCGACCGGAAGATGGATTGGCACAAGATATGGCTCGAGTCAGCCGAGCATGAAGCGGTGTTGGACGACCTTGATCGCATCATCGAAGCGGCCGCCACATCAAACCCGCACACCACCGATGACGGCTTCGAGTTCGCCATGCCGCTCTGGGAGCAATGTAAGGTTGTTAGCCTTCGCTTGTCCAAAGCCATGTATCGCAACGTCACTTACGTCAACAACAAATTCGCGCTCCACATTATCACCGGGCTTTTTACCGGCTTTTCATTCTGGAAGGTTGGCGAGAGCGTAAGTGACTTACAACTACGTCTTTTCGCGGTGTTTAACTTCATATTTGTAGCGCCAGGTGTGATAGGTATGTGTTTCATTATTGCTTTGTACTACCACTTTCCCAGAAGGCTTTTACGCTTATACGCCCGATCTTAGCTCAATTACAACCCCTGTTCTTAGAGAAACGCGACATCTATGACGCTCGGGAGAAGAAATCCAAGGTGTACAGCTGGCAGGCCTTCGTCACGGGCCTTATTGTCTCCGAGCTACCTTACCTCGTCATCTGTGCGGTCCTGTTCTACGTTTGCTTCTACTACACCGTCGGCTTGCCAAGTGACTCCAGCAAGGCAGGGGCAGTGTTCTTCGTTATGCTTATGTACGAATTCGTCTACACCGGCATCGGTCAATTCATTGCTGCATATGCCCCAAATGCGGTCGCCGCTGCACTGGTCAACCCGCTGGTCATTTTTACTTTGGTGGGTTTCTGTGGAGTGATTGTCCCCTATTCACAGATCACTGCGTTCTGGCGGTATTGGCTGTACTACATCAATCCTTTCAACTACCTTATGGGATCCCTACTCGTTTTCACTACCTTCGATTTAAAGGTTGAGTGCAAGGAGGACGAGCAGGCTATCTTCGATCCCCTAGCCAACCAGACATGCGCAGAATACTTGGGGGATTACTTGCAAGATATGGGTTCCGGCACTAACCTCCTCAACCCTGATTCAACATCCGATTGCCAGGTCTGCCAATATCGTTACGGGAGTGACTATCTCCGGACAGTGAATGTAAAGGATTACTACTATGGGTGGAGAGACGCGGCGATCGTCGTCATCTTTGCATTTTCCAGTTACGCCTTGGTTTATCTCTTGATGAAATTGCGCACAAAGAAGTCCAAGCATGCCGAATAGAACTTGGCAACCAACAAATTCCCAAATGTCGCCGGCACATGCGTTGGAGTGACGCTTATTCTTGATTGCCAATGCTGTTACGACTCAGATTGTGGTAGAGGGTCGGAACAGTTGAAAAACGTCGTCCCTTATGATCGGCAATCAGGGAAGAATAAGCGGCGGCGAGCAAGGGACAATTTTTCGTATTTGCAGGAAGGAAATGTTAGAATTTACAGTCTTAGTACTAGATAGAATTTAGAGACGTTTATAGACCTTTTTGATGTTTTCCATGGTGTCCTGTTAGCTAAATTGGGTTCAAGTAGCACCTAATAGTCTTTGTCGACCCTCAGGACAACGATTGTTTCATATTGTCTTTTATACTGTGTTTAGTTGTATTTGTGGTAAGTATAAAGTACTCCGCTGCTCCGGAGTTATTCCAATCTCTAATCCCCAATTCAAGTCATATTTCCATGGAATTAACTGTCCAATGCGAAGTAATCTATCCTAGAGGCTTATCTTTCCATCTCGTTGAAAAGTGCCTTGTGGAGCAGATGGTAGTCACTGCTAGGCTCCTAGCTGAATCCTGTATGAGGTGGTATCGTGCCGCTATTATGCTGGTGAGAGTTATTTTGTGATTACTCTGGGATAAGTAATTGGTTGCTTATTGACGCACATATAATATATACCAGTGCTAGCCTGCATATCGCTTCGACAAGGGTCAAGGCAAATGAAATCTACCTATCTACCTACCTACTGTAATACTATCTCTGTTGAGGAGAGAAATGATGAACCGTACCGTACGAACAATGTGGTGTAGCAGATTATCATCTTGGAAATAGCACACAACCTAACGGGCCCTCGAGAGATCAATGGGGAAGCTCTCGAAAATTTGTCCAGATGGCCACCCATATTGATACTCTAACGAAGTAATATCAATAAATGCACGATATTTCAGAGGAAATATTAGATAGCCCATTCATTTAAGCTTTTCGTTATAGGTTACATTACCAAAAAAGGCGCTGACCTAAAATATATTCATACTTTTCCATCAGATTCACCAAAATGGAACCGATTGTAGTCGGAAATCAACATAAAAGTATGTATATTGACGGTGAATATGCACCTTTTCCTGAAGTATGGAAGATTGCCCCCGGAAATTCTCAATTGGGTAATTTCTACAAGCATGCCTCAGAATGTTCGATAGTAGCGACGTGTATGGGTAACAAAAAAAAATTCCTAAAAATGACATGCAAGAACGTTGTTGCGAAAAGCAAGCCCGTCCATCTTGCATCTACTCTACGGTTCAACAAATTCACCGATCATGTGGAGGTTCTTATAGTTAATTCCGTTGTTGATAATTGTATCTGGTTGGTTTGTTTTCAGCGACTGGCATTCTGGGGATTCTTATTAGAATTAATTGAGGCTATCACTTACGTTACTTATCATTGAACAATATCGTCAGTTCCGTAGCTAGTAATATGATGTAGTTATGTAGTAGGGATTAATAACATTACAAGACCAGGAGAAACTAGGCACAAAACTCAACGTTGTCTCCAAGATCTACGTAGCATTACATCATCAATCCCACCCTGAAACAATTTTTCAAAAGACTGTTCGTCCCATTGAGAAAAATGTGTTTCACAGCAAGTTGATCTCTTCTATACTCATGCGACCGGGCAGCTATTACCAGTAATCGTGGCGCTCATAAGAAATCTAAATATACATATTCTGTAAGCTGACGTTCTCGGTTCACATTATTGCAATTATCATGTAACTCTAAGAGCGCATATACGACTGTTCCTTGGGGTATTTTATTTCCTTTGGGCATAACAGCGTCCTGCCTTTCGTTGTGTAAGTCTTGCACGTCATAGGTGGGAATTGGGAGTTTCGGAATACCATGTGCTAGTCAATTATGAAAACCGAAATTGAATCTTTCGAATAAAAATAGAATATCGTATCGACTAGCATGTTCGGACCAGTCTGTACAACTCTGTTGATTCTACTGTCCATTGTTACACCACTTAAAACGATGATCGTGCCGGAAAGGCAGCTCGCATTGAGTGGCTTATGTACCACTGGCCTCATTGAACAACCCGGCCCTCCTTGTTAACAGATCTTTCCCGTTGGATTGGCAACTGAGGGGACTCTGAATGATTACGACGGAATTCCCGGCCGAGACGAACATGTTCTGAAGCGAAACCTTCTGATTGATAAAAGGAGTATTAGCCCTATTGGTGCTAGTATAGGCGCATTCCAAAATGGCCCAATGATGATAGTGGATGCGTAGTACAAGCCTAGGTAGTTTATCACCAGCCTCGATGCGCTCAGGCACTTTTGACCATTGTACTTAAGCCAATGTGATATGTCACATCTATTACCTAGAATTACGACATTCTTCATCCTTCTCTATTTTGTTATCGCGTGCCATCTCCAAGGGATTTTCATCAATCTAAGAATGTCGTGACCGCCCGACAGAAATCCAGATTACACGGCATTTAGGATCCGCCAACAGCATTACGATGGTAACGCGAGATATAGGGGTGCAGACTGATCCTTCGTCGCCTTCTCCCGGAGAGCCAAGTCACCATGCTCCGAATCTGCCGCCAATGGGCATCTCCGAGCAGCCGGCGTTATTGAGGGTAAGATTCAGTCCGTTTCTTTGTTTATTTTCAATGGCAGATAGAGTCTAAGTCTGTGTAGGATGACGCCAGTGATCCTGCTTCGGATTACGAGGAAGACTTGTGAGCCTGTTCCAGATTGGTGAAGACTATCTCAGTCTATGACATTAACAGACATTTTTTTCATCTGTACAGTACAAGTGATACTACGTCTCTGAAGAGCGAGATCACTTCATATCGATACGAAAATGGCAGACGTTACCATGCCTATCGAGAAGGAGAATATTGGTATGATACCGGGAACAAAGAAAGACTCGGATGTCCCAATGCTATTCAGATCTAACGATTTTTCACTCCCTAGGGGGCCCAATGACGAACAACAAAATGAACAGCTTGATATTGCGTAGGTGCTAAATCAATTTTACTCGATGGAGGCCTGACTGACATAGGTCAATAGTCATCACATGTTCACATTACTGCTAGAGAACAAACTCTTCCTTGCTCCAATTGATGCACACGTTCAGGTAAAATGCCTTCGGTTAGAGGCGTTACTGATTCCGTGCTAATATAACAATGAAACGATACAGAGAGTGCTTGACGTGGGAACTGGAACGGGAATATGGGCGATGTATGTTGACAATTTTCACTCACCAACTAGTTATTGCGACATAGTCTAATATCTGCTATGCCCCAGTGACTTTGCCGATGAATTCCCCTCTGCCGAAGTGATTGGAACTGATCTCTCCCCAATCCAGCCGGCTCTGATCCCGCCAAATTTGCGTTTTGAGATCGACGATGCCACTTATGATTGGACATATCCCCGGAACTTCTTTGACCTCGTCCACGTCCGGTCCCTCTATGGAGCGATTGCAGATTGGCCAGCATTTTATACAGAAGTCCTAACACATCTCAAACCAGGTGGCTGGTTTGACCAGCTGGAAATGTCTATTCAGTTCCGATCGCATGAAGGGACGATAACCGACGATCATGTGCTTGCTGTATGGTCAAGAACATTTATTGAAGCCGGCGAAAGATTTGGCAAGACATTTCGCATCGCAGATCTTGCCAAGGAGTACCTTAAGAACGCAGGGTTTGTCAATGTTGTTGAGACGAAATACGAGCTTCCTGTCGGCGGCTGGAGTTCAAACAGGCATATGAAGAAGCTCGGTAAATGGAACCTTGTACATTGCGAGGAAGGCATTGAAGGATGGGCAATGGCTCTTCTTACCAGAGTGATGGGGGTGAGTCTGGCGTCTAGTGTATCTTTTCCTTTTTCCTGCTATTTGGCTGATGTTTCGAAAATCAAAATAGTGGACCTATGAAGAAGTCCAAGTTTTTCTAGCGCAAATGAGGAAAGGTCTTCGCGACCCAGATACGCACGCGTATTTTGATGTGTGCGTATATACCGCGGGAATCCCTTATGTTTTCCTTTTCCTAATTGAAAATCTACAGAGTCTGCGTTTACGGCCAGAAGTCCACGCATGAGGAGCAGCCGGGATAGTCAACACCTCGATGCTGTGTATATATCTGTATCAACGTTATTCGATGTCTTACAATGGGTACTTGTGGTATCTGTTCGGCCGATTGTACCCGCGCAACTTTTGAAATTTTCCGCTCGTTATTTTCCAATATTTCCGTGATGGAAATAATCAGTGGAAATAGTCTACAAGTTTGGATTTTGCTGACAGTGCAGAATGTATGATCTTCTCAATTTATGCCGCGATTCAGAGGACCTTGCTGTGGCTTAAGGTTTTATTCCAGCTCTCAAGATTCAGCCTGCTGGCCCAGCTGTGCTGAGCTGCGGCCAACACACCCTCAGGCTGCTGAGAAAGATCATTGGTTCGAGGTGCATAATCTGAAAAAGAAAGAAAATGCAGCTCGAGATGATGTCTGAGCACTGCAGCGGATTTGCTGAAGAACGGTCTAGTTGAAACTAGCTGCCTTAGTTTCGTGATTGGTAATAATCTTCAGTCTTTAACGTAGCACAGACCAGTAATAATAGTCATAGTAATATTATTATGCCGGAACTATCATTTCCGAGGGTTCTTCAGACAGGCGTCTGTAGGTTTGTATTAGCTTGAATCGAGTCGACCTTTACTAAGTTTACTTCAATTGGGAATGCCATTGAATTGACCTGTCCGATTTCCCTGCTGCATTGATTTTATTAAAGAAGAAGTAAAAGAAAATACAAGATGAGCACTTCGATTGGTGATATCGTTGGAAGTCTATCACCAGCCGTAGTTGCTTACGCCGTATTCGCCATCACCATTGTCCACTATGCATGGACTGTCACTTATCGCCTGTATTTTCATCCACTGACGAGAATTCCAGGCCCTCTTTTCGCCAGAATAACTTATCTGTATTCATTTTACTATAACTTCTGGAATCCAGGCCGATTTTATATGACAATTGAAGAGTTACACAAGCAATACGGTAAGAAAACGTCTCATGCACGATCCCGGTCCTTCTGGTGTTCCAGAGGATACAATTGCAAATGTAGCATATTATAGAACCAATATTATTCTGCAGGTCCTATTGTCCGCGTTACACCCGATGAAATCCATCTCAGGGATCCGGAGAATTATGACAAAATCTACTACATCGGCTCCAAGTACTACAAAAGCCCTGCGTTTTACCATGCCTTTGGAACCGACAAAGCAACTTTCACCACGGCAAGCAATGAAGTACACCGCGCCAAACGAGCCGCCCTAAACCCATTCTTCTCTCGCAAGCGAGTTTTAGAGCTTGAAGAAGTCGTACAAGCCAAAGCGATCAAGCTCGAATCACGCATCCGGTCTGCTCTCAATGGAGAAGGGCATATCGACCTACACCACGGTTTCCGAGCGGTATCAGTCGATGTTATTACGGATTATGCGTTTAATAATTGTTACGATTTTTTGGAGCGGGCAGACTTTGGTGTTGAGTTCTTTAATATGATTCGCGACTTTGGTCCGGGTTTTTGGTTTTTTCAGCAGTTTCCGGCTACGCAGCCTATTGCGTTTGGTCTGCCATTCTGGCTTGTGAAGATGGTTGATGGGCCATTGAAGAGAATGATGATGCTGCAAAATGTGTGAATATAAGTTTTCGGTTTGCTTGGATGTGTCCCATTACTTACTGGCTGGTGTTTAGAGCAGTCGTGAGCAGATTCTCCGTGTGAAGAGGGAAGTTGATTCTGGTGAAGAGAGCAGCAAAACACGGCCAACGATATTTCATCGGCTACTTAGTCCGGATGCGGCAGATGAATATATTGTACCCACAGTCGACGAACTCAAGGATGAAGCATATATCATTGTGGCCGCGGCTGCTGATACCACTGGAAATGCAATGACTGTAGCTACATACAACGTTGTTTTGAACCAAGACATATATATTCAACTAACCACAGAGCTGAAAAATGCGTTTCCAGACCCGAGTGCTAATCTAGACTTTGCGACTCTTGAAAAACTGCCGTATCTAGTAAGTATTTTTTGCATCATGCTGTGATTTCTGATAGTAATGGTTTCGGCAGACTGCTGTTATCAAGGAGGCACTTCGGTATGTTTTTAAGTCTCGATTTTACTTTCATATTCCTTTACTGAAAAACTTACAGCTTGTCTTATGGAGTCATCGGACGTCTTCCACGAGTTGTTCCTGAATCAGGAGCAGAATTTCACGGGTACCACGTTCCACCCGGGGTAAGTCGTCTCGACAATCCCCAAACCAATACAAATAGCACTAAAGTAGAAAAATACATAGACACTTGTCAGCATGAGTTCCTGGACCATGCACCGCAATGAAGACCTCTTCCCTGGCCCCGAAGAGTTCAAGCCGTCAAGGTGGATGGATCCTTCAGCCGCAATTAAGAACCTCGACCATTACCTTGTCTCATTCGGAAAAGGGTCAAGGCAGTGTGTCGGAATGCCGTAAGTCGAACCTCTCAAAGCATATTATTATCATGTCGCTGATCATCGTGCTTTGCTTGGTTGTATAGTTTGGCATACTGCGAATTATATGTTACTTTAGGGAGAATATTTCGGCATTTCGACAACCTGTCGACAGACCATAAATCGGTTGAGGATTTATTGTACAGCGATTACTTTTCGTCGTATCATTCAGAAAAGGGTAATAAATTTGACTTCAGACAGGCGGTTTAAGTATTTATTGCAAGGGCACTTAAAATAGGGCTCGTGATTAAACCAGAATGATCAAGGACAGATTACGAGCATAGATGTAATGACATCACGACATTAAGCTAACAGCAGATCATGTCCTGTTAAGGAGTGTTAAGTTCTTATATTATGTATGACAATCTCGCCCTAAATCGAGGTCAGATGAGCGTCCCTTGGCTGCGCCACACTAGGCATTACAAGTCCCACTTCTGGTGACACTGCCATCGAAAAATGTATGATTATCAAGTAAGAAAACATCTAACTTGCCAAACTCAAATAAACTTCCAGGGACTCGATCCAGCCTTATGAGCATATAGAATATTGGTAGAACGCCATGGCCGGCGCCTTCGGGTTTTCTGCCGGCGACTTCATCACAGGCATCCAACTCGCCAAGGACGTCGTGTACGCACTTAGCGATACCCGCGGGGCACGTCCGTGTTTCCAGAGCCTGGCGAGTGAGCTGAACACACTGCGGTGCGCGCTGAGAGAAATTAATTGTATTGGGAATGATGTGGATGAGTCAGTATCAGCGTCGACCCGGGCAGCGAGGTCGGAACTCGGAAATGCCGTAGAGCAGTGTCAGCAGGTCATTGAGACGTTTCTAACCAGGAATAAGAAATTCCATAAGTCGCTGGGCAATGAGCGTTGCACGTCCAGGCTCAGAGCAAACTGGCATAAGATTGAATGGGCGGTGGGGAGGAAGAGTGAGGTTGATGGGCTGCGCGCTCAGATTCTAGGGCATACGACGACGATTAATACTTTGCTTATTTCAATGCAGTCGTATGTTGTCATTTTTATTTATTTGACTTGTTACTAACACAGGGTAGATCGAATGTCGTCCTTCAAACTGCGCTCTTGAGCGATTGTCGTCGCAATACTGAAGAGCAGTTGTGCACGCTTTATGAGACACAGGACCAGGTCAAACAAGCCAACGATATGATTCGTACACAGGCGGGTACGCTGAGCAAGATTCTAAATATCTTAAACGACTCGCCTACTGACCCAGATCAACAACCTACCGAATCCGTCGTCCCGTCGCAGGGCATGATCCGTTCGGTCATGCTACAAACCTTACAAGCCAACCTGAGAATTTGCCGTTTGATGGCAGAAATGCAGAAAGCTGTGCAGCAACAACAGCAGCAAGAAAACCTAGATGAGAAACTACCTCCACAGATTCGCACCCAGCAGCCCGTGCACTTCGAAGACGCGCATGGCCGTATTGCGCCCTTTCATATCGAATTCGTAAACTCCCTAGACGCCTTTCTGGCTGTGATGGAAGTTCGCTTCCGCCATCTCCCAGGATTAAGCAAAGTCCAGCGACTGGAGTATGTGATCCGCGAGCCGGAGACAAAGAGGACGCTGGATCTCCGAGCACCATGGGCGTCGGTTTTTCTACCAGGACGGAGGGTCACGATGAGTATGGTGTTTTGGAGACCGTTGGTTTCGGCGAATGGTTGTCCGAGCTGTTGTTATGATAATAAGATATTAGGGTTGGATGATGAGGTTCAGTGGTATGTTTCTTTTTCCATTTACGATGATAATCATTACTGACAAGTGTTCCGGGCAGCTCTAATCCACAATGTCGAATCTGGTACGATCGAGTTGTAGAGCACGGCCAATCTAAGAATTTATCATCATGCACAGAATTGGAGTTTTCATGTTGCAAGATCGGTTGCCAACCACCTCCAGCCTATTGGGTGACGGAGGAAGAGCAAGACAGCATTAATCAGTTCAAACGTGTCCAAGTCCGACATTTACTCACTCCTTCTAATATGCACTGACATGCTGGGGTTATTATCAAGGTAAAGCTTAGCATATCAATTAATATTGATCTAGGCTTCCAGATATAGAAGCACTAGGTATCGATCCATTGTCTATCTTCTGTGTGCTTGCTCGTCTTTTCTCAAGTATTTTAACATCAATTGATGTTGAGACCTTCCTAATGGGATGAAAAGATTCACCACCCTAGCCAGAAAGAAAGAGCGAGATATTGAAGACAGGAAATCTAGTTGGTCTTTAATAAGAATAGGGAGAAAAGGCGACGCGTTGTATATCTTGCCAGAGGGGATAGAAATGGAAGATGACTTAAATATGGACAGAGTGGTATGAAAGATCGACTGTCATCAATTTCGTGATTTGCGTATGGGAGTATGTAGAGGAAAGTACAAAGTATGAAATTGGAAAGAGTGAAAATGGTTTCACTGTTAAATTGAAAGAAAAAGAAGAGAAGAGAAGAAAAAGGAAAATCTCATTCAGCCATTGGCCAAGTATAAGTCATGAAAGGAAATGGATGTGGACTGTCTTTTGTTCATGGAGAAAAGATAGGGCCTGTAATGTATAAAGAAAGCCTAAAGACTGCAACGCAAGAGTTGAGATAATATTTGAAAAAAAGCCAAAAGATCGAGACTGGACGTGCCAAACTTTTAAGTTCCCCGAAGACACCAAGGCATTCTCCATCGAGAGCCTAGCCCAGAGAAGCTATCAATAAACATGCGAGTACGCTACAGGACCAAGAGAAGTTTGAACATTCCAAGATCAGATAGGATTTGGGGTATTGACTGGAAGACGGCAAGAATCTCCACTTGAAGGAAAATGCAAAAAGCTCAGAGCCCACCTGCAAAGACAGTCTGGGAAAGATGGGCAAGCAATTAAGAATATCCGAATGATCACCCGAGGATAAAAAAAAGAAATAGAGAAAAAAAAGGAGGTCCCAATATTGTCCCAGTCGTTTCAAAAACATAACACCGCGAACTTATTCCATCCAAGACGAATTTATCGATGAACTAACCAATATCAGAAGACTAAGCTTGGTAGTTTCCCTGGCCAAAGCCGTTGCCGAAGTTGGCATTGGCGGGTTGCTGCCAGTTTCCACCAGAAGCGTTTTGCCCACGACCGTAACCAGCCGAGTTGGCAGGGCCTTGGAAGCCTTGTCCGGGAACACCACCAGCAGGGAAGTTGTTGCCTTGCTGATCCCAACCACGACCAGCGGGAGCAGGACCTAGGAGCATGTAAGCAGGGTGAATCGAGGAATAGTCGAGGTCATGTTGATATACCTTGAGGGCTCATTGGACCACCGTATTGAGGGAAGTAGGGAGTTGTATTGAAGCCTGGTCCACCGGCCGGCGGAGCCTGGAACCCATCAAATTGGCCGGTAGGAGGACGATCTTTGCCCCACTAGAACACAGTTAGAAAATGATCACGACATCATAAAAGGCCACTACTTACACTGCACTTGAGAGGACGGCCATTAACTTGATAACCGTTGAGTTGGCAGATGGCCATGGAAGCATTCTCATGAGTATCCATCTTCAAAAAGGCAAAACCGCGATCGGCCTGCAAGCGAGTCTCTACAACATAACCAAAGTTCTGGAATAGTGGAACAAGGTCGTTCTGAGTCGTGTAAGGGGTCAGGTTGCCGACGTAGCAAGTAGTCTGCCACTGAGGTGTCTGACCAGCGACCATGTCATAACTCTGAGCGCCATGGGTAGGGAAGTGATGGTGGCCAAATGGAGTAGGGGGAGTCATGCCCATGGCAGCCATGGCCTGCTGCTGCGAAATGGATGGCTGTCCCTTTTGATTTGCCCAGTTGCAACGAATTGCGCGAGAGCCCAGCCATTCACGGTCCATGGACTTAAGAGCTTTTTCAGCATCATCGAAATCGCGGAATGCGACGAAGCCATATCCTCTAGAGCGACCGGTTTTCATGTCCCACATGACACGTGCCTCAGACACGGAGCCGAACGCGGAAAATGCCTGGAGCAGAACTTCATCGTTCACTTCATTGCTCAGGTCGCCGACGAATATGTGAAAGTGGTTGGACGTGTCTTCTTTGTGGGTGCTGTTGGACTGGTAGGCCCAGTTAACGCGAATTTCCTGGGAGAGCATAAGTAGGAGACAAAAAAAGTCTGTGAGTTCTTAACTCACTGATTGGTGAATGCGACGACCATTGAGAGTCTGCATAGCCCTTTCAGCTGCGCCAGGGTCGTCGTACTCAACGAATCCGTAGTTCAGTCCTTTGCTTTGGAACTAGAAGTACAAAGGCCAAAATTAGCACATAGTATAAAGAAGCTGAGGACACACATGTGATCAAGCAGTGAGTATCATTGATAGTGGGACAAGCTTTTTGTTTCAGAAATGCATGGTGAAACCCAAGTGATATCTTTGTGAGAGGTGGTTTGGGCACTCACATTCTTGTCAGGGATGATTTTGACACTCTGGACATGTCCTGTAGTTTCGAAAATTTGTTTTAAGATGTCCTCCGTGACTCGAGGATCCAGACCACCAACGTAGAGGGCCCTCTTGTTCGGCTCAGGGGCAGCTCGGCGCACGAATCCACCTGTGCTGGTAGGCGACATCATGTTTCCAGACATTGGAGAAGTGATGGCAGTCGGAATTGGGTTCGTGTTTTGTGGGATGACTACAGACGGTAGTGAGGGAGGGGGGGCCATGTGAGAGCCAGTGCCCTGGCCGTTGCCTTGAGCGGCGTCGAATTGGGGCTGACCAGGCGCGCCAGCAGAGGGCTGGGGAGGCGGTGGGAGAGTCGAGGAGGAAGCGGGTGGCGCGTTTTCTGCCATGGTGAAGTAAGGCCGCGTAGGATAGACAGTTGAGGTGGTTGAGTTCAGATAGAAGTGCAAGAGAAGACCTCACAAAGACGAGAGTGTGGGACCCAGTCGAAGCAGCGAGGACGGTGCGGGACAGCAAGTCGAAGCAGCTGAAATGGTGGGTCGAATGTGCCGGAATAATAAGACGCAGATGAAGTGGACGGGCAGAATTGACTCGCACAAGCTGGTTCTGTGATGCGGCCTGGGGTACGGGCTGGCGATGCGGCGGTGGGCAAGAATAGGAGAGGCAAGCACAACACAGCACACAAGAAAGGAACCAGCAGCAGAAGAGGCCCTAAGGCAGCACAAGCAAAACGAGGCACAAAGTCAACAAAACAGCGAGACAAAGCACAAAGGGACGAGGGAGGGTTGGGCGAGGCGGGATGGCGAAGTCACAGTCTGCAGCATCGAGCAGTATCAAGCATCAACAAGCGACAAAACCGAAGGAGAACTTGCGCCTAGTCTTAGACAGGTTTGGACGGGCAAGAGCCGCCTGGAGGGGACCGCTAGCCTTCTTACGGCCTAGCGTCACCCGCCTGGCTGCTGCTGACTAAGGCGTTCTCTCGTTCATCGCCATGACCGACTACTGCTGTGATCCTCAACACCGTCTGCCCAGGTTCGCCATTGCATCTATCGCTCCATTCTCTTTGACCGGTTATTTGTGACTTTCTGTTCGCGGCGTCCTGCTCATGTTGCTGGCAGGCGGCTTGTTGGCTCCCCCACACGTGCCAGCGCCCCTGACAGCGTAATAGACGCCGGCATTCCAGCCATCTCCGCAGACCCATAAGGTCCGCGTCCCGGAAGGAAGTCTAATCGAAGCTCGCAGCATCTCTCGATTGCAGTGCTATCCAGGTTGACCTCGTCATGGCGGAGTCTGCATCGTTCGCAAACCCTGAATCCCTCACGGTCCTGTCAGATGCAGTAAATCAAACAGTATGAGCTTCTCTTCGCGGCGATACTGGTAGCTGACGATAAGCAGCTCATTGATACGGGACGCTTCTTCAAGACGTCGGGCTCGATTTATTCCCGTGCACAATTGAAAACTTCTATCCCCGCATCATACGAAAGATTCCAGACAGCTTTGGACAATCTCTCTGAGCAGATAGTAAGCTTTTTCTGCTCGTAACATTAATTAACCAGCAACCCGCACTGACATGCAGTAGTTCATTGCCAAGGCATTTCTGGAAAAAGATTATGAAGGCATCACTGCGAAGAGAACAGCCCCGAAAGCTGAGCCTGTCCATCCGCCGGCTGAAGATGTGGCCATGTCAGAGGCACCGCCTGCTGTGGTAGATGAGCCGGCCGAAGATATTGTCCAGCAGCCCGATCTACCTGAACCACCTATTAAGACGGAAGCTGCCGTTGTCTCGGAAGTTATCCCATTACAGACCACGGAGACTGAGCAAGAGCAGCCTGACGCCACTGCCAAGATCGATAATATCAAACAAGACAATACCATAAATAGCAGCAACCAAGAGCTGCCAGTGACCACAGCGGATGACTTGAATTTTGATTCCATGATTTCCACAGATGGTGGCAACGGCAACGAATTCGACCTGAATTTCAACTTCGGCAACGACGATATTGGCAATCAGAATTTCCTCGAGGGGACCAATTTCCTCCCTCCAGGGACGGCCATGGCTGAAGGCACAAGTAATAATGACCCCGGGCCAAACTCCATCAGCTCGCTTCTTCCGGGCCTGGAGAGCTATGCTGTGGATAACAATGCTGGTGGGGACTTTAACTTGGAATTGCAGAAGCTTGAACAACCGAGCGTTCAGGAAGATATGCTGGTGCCAGGCGAATCTAGCTTCGATGATTTGTTCCTGGAGAAGGACCATCTCGAGGGAGAGGACAACCTGCTTAGTGGCGATGGGTTGATGGAGCTGGGAGAGCTAGACGAAAATTGGTTTTAATAGATTTTAGTCAGCTCTCATCATGAACTTAATACCAACATTTTTAATAATTTACAATCCCATATTCTAGATATGCATCTTCCCTCCTTTTCTACTACTGTCCATCATTATTTTTAATAGAGCACATTTAGAGTGTCAGACGCACTTCAATTAAATCCATCATATCCACTGATACATACATATATATATATACGCTAAAGATACGAATACTCTTATCAAGACAAGACTTCTCTCAGATCCTTTTCTAAATTGTTGTCGGCTTGTATATTTGCCTAAGGCACTCGGTCACGTGTGAAGCAACGCTCCATCAATGTGTCTTTGTGTGTTCTATGTGCAATTCTCCCCTCTCCCTCCTTTACTCGCTAGTGAACCTTTCATCCTCTCTATTCAACCCAGCTTAACCTTCAATGTTATTAAGGGCATTTATCATACACCATTCCCTCCAAATCTACTCCGTTTGTCCACGAGTCTGAAGTATGCTATTAAATCACCAGATACGCGTACATTATAAATTAATACCCAGTACAACTTCGGTATTGGCTCTTTTTGGTTACCCTTGCGCTCAAATTACCCCAAATCGACGTTTCTTAACGTTGTGGGATTATTAATAATGAATGCTATATAAATTGATATATACATGCATATAGATTGGCATTGGCGGCGGTGCTTATGAGGTAATCCTGTAGGCGGATATAGATAGTTGTGTTCAACATGGCAAATATGAACTCAATTCAAAGTCTAATGGAAATTACTCTATTGTAGATTCAGGCGCAGTAATTATGTAATTAACTAGTGATCAAAGAATCCCAGGATTAGAACGAAAAATTCATTCTGCAGATAGAAGGAACAGTAGAAAGTGGAACAATTTCATTAGCTTAAATAAATTTGGCATTGCAGAGTTTACTAATACCTGTGATATCTGAATGAAACCAAGTTCACTTCCTAATAGATTCCTCGGTTGATAGAAACCAGCACGATAAAGTATTGATCAAAAGCCAGCACTGGGAGCATAGTTAGTGTTAAATGGATTGAAGTAAACATTCAATAACATTGAGGATTTAGATGGAATCAATGTTGCAATTATAGTTCATTGAAATAGTCCGCCGCCTTATTTCATTTCTTCGAATCTGTTTCTCCCCTAACGATTATCCAATCTTTTTAACTAATTCAAACCAATCCAAAAAAAAAAAATAGTGCAACAAGAACGTTATGATAAAATCATTGAACATCTAATACATATCATATTCTACCTGCAATGAACTCACTGCCAGGTTCCTTAGCGTGGAGGAAGTATTTACTCATAGAATATAACTGACCCTGAGACATATCGCATGCCAACTCTTTAGTTTTGGAATAATTTTATTGACATGTTTCTATATGAAAATACAAAATCCTGTCTCATAATCACCAGAGCGTTCAATATTGTGCCCGAATATACAACATACAGTAACCTTACTCACCATTTCTGGGCGACTGGAACAGTTGCCTCGGCACCCTACGCTGAGGAAGGGTGCGAGAAGATTTCAATGTTATGGAATCAATGTTATGAAATCAATGTTATGGAATTAGTGTTATGGAATCAGTGTTACGGAATCAGTGTTGCATACATGTCATGTGATTTGAGAGCTACGTCATGTTCTTTATAAAGCCGGCGATTAATGTTGGTCTTTTTGGCCGTGTTGGTTAGGGTTGTTCCCCAAAGCCCTAGCTTACAATCTTTGAGTATAAAATTCCTAATGGACGGATTGTCTATATTCACGATACCAATGATGGCATGTCTGGATAAAAGAGCAAATTTGGGGCAAAACAGCATGTAAATACCTTCAATTGGTTAAACTAGCTAAACTGACTAAGTTGATAAGTTTGAGTTGGGAGGGGAGAAATTTTGGCATAAAAAAAGATTTTTGCTCTGCATGTGACTAAGCACCCCAGGCCGACCAGTATGCCGACAATATGGGCTTCTCCCTCTTATCAATTGATCGTGAGGGTATTAGCGATATCGTATTGTCGTACTAAGGGAATTATATGCCTGATATCAGAAAAAAATATGCAAACCAAAAATAACCTCTCTTAAGTATGCGCCCTTTTTGGTATGTTGGTTAAAAGTGTGGCTCCTGAAGTATGTCATGCTTAATCAGACTGAATCAGCGATAACGATAGTATAATACTGTACCTTATCGTGATGTGGGTGGCTGCTATAAAAATAATTGGCAGTAATATTATAATCTAGCAACAGTAAGAGTAATCATAAATGGTTTCACTGGCCGGGTGAGTCATTCGCTCTATAGTGAATGAATAACTAAACGGCGAATAATACGCCACGCGGCTGGAATATCCGGGTTGATAATAACAACGATAAATAATATCGGTGATGAAACAGGGTGGCGTTCTGTAAATAGAACTGTTTGTCAGATAGTATGACTATTATGTATCCTCCCGGAGTGATGATGTCATTGCCGGGCGAGCCTTGGCAGGACCCGTACGTACTCTCAGCACGAAAACGGCAAGACTACAAGAACAGTAAGACTACAAGAGAAACGCCTCAACTTTAGCCTTCTTTCGATGCATCTAGGCTCGCCGTGGCCCCATGTGAACCACGTAGCTAGTTCTTATTCCTGTGAGAAGAGATGTCAAACCATTAACCACCAAACCAAAAAGGGCCGCAACCCGTACCAAGTAAGGATTAAAGTGGAATTTGTATTTGTTTCTGACAAAAGAATACTTATCGGGTATCTCGATAGAACTTAGTTTGTATAATATACGACATCAATGCGTTCAGGATCCGCGGGACCGTTGACAGGCACTGGATCAGTATTCTGACCGCATATTCAAGCCACACAGCCGATCCATGCTCAACGCGTCATCATAGTGTTCCTTCGCGGCCGTTTTCGAGTCAGGAGCAGACACAGACAAATTAGCTGGCAGTCGCTAGCAGTAAGCAGTGTTTGTTGGCGTCTCGACTGTGACTGCGCGTGACTGTGAATCATCCTGCCGATCTCCCACCTTAATAATGATGAAAATATCAGGATGATCCCCCACATCGCCTTAGCGTTAACTTTTAAGGGTATCTCGGCACATCAGGGCCTGTGGGTAACAGTCATCTTGCTCGTGATCGAACTGAAAGTAGGTTTGAAAGTTAAAGAGAACTGCTGTCTCCGAAAGAAAGCCGTTGATTTTCAATTGGTACCAGTGCACTACTGTGTGTCAAATTTTTCCAAGATAGTGTACTTTCCACAGTCAAATGCAATCCGTAGATCCCGAGAAACAGCCGAGGTGGCCTCGATCCGGGAGATCCGCGAATCACTGCCATAGTCAAGCGTGTATCCTATGGAGCGTATATCGTGCGAATTGTATGACTGTATATCGGCCGGGTCTGACCTCCATCGGCGCTCACTCGGGCTCATCAAGGGTACGTAAGTTCCATTGTTTGGCGGAGGCGTGGGCACAGCTGCAAGAGAGTAATTATTAGACGGAGATCAACAGAAGAACGATTGATCTTTGCAACTAGGACGTAGGGAGTAGCAAGCAAAATGGTGCCAATTCAGTGCATCCGAATAATAAAAGTAAGAAGTTAATGAGGATGAGGATGACGATAATAATAATGCTACTAGTACTGAGAAAGATGAGGCGGCAGTGAATGGGGCAGTGATTGGGGCAATGATTGGCGGCAGGCGCATCTGCGTCATCGTCGCGCCCGGGCTGGAACTTCCCCAGGACTAAAGATTATTTAATATTAAAACCAAACTGCGCCTGCCCAAACCCTCCTCCACCACTCGAGGTCGATACTGGACTGTCGCTATCGTGATTCTACTCTCAACCGTCCTGTTCACTTCCGATATCACTATTGTCGAGTGCTAGCCCGCTTGTGACTGCGCCCGCCTTTGAGTTTGCAGCCCCCCTGCGTGCTGGTGCGCGCGGCCTGCACATCTGACCGATTTTTGGGCCTTTTGGACGGAATTGTGTTGGTGACCTGTGGCGCCATAAGGGATGTGTCTGGCATTTTTCGTCCCAATCACGCACACGACAGCCGGCTTTCTACTGTCGATCAGTTGAAAGAAAACGCGAAACCAAAAAGAGAAGAAGAAAGGGAAAAAAAGAGAGGAGAAAAAAGACACGTCCGGAAAAGGCAGTCCGACTATTGCCGCCACTATTAGAATTCCAACCAAGTCCACCGTTTGGCAACTTGATACGCCTATCCCATCCAGCGATCATAAGCTAGTGTCGAATCGGTATGTCTGCATGCGCTGCTTTTTTTTGTCACCCCTTAAACCAAGTCAGGTCATGCCATGTCCCGCATGAAGATCTTCAGCTAGATCGCTTAAACCCCCACAGCTGTCAATCCTGTTCCCTGCTATTACTATATAATACAAAAGATATGTCCAGCGCCATGGCGCTGGTCATACCCCCAATGCATTTGCTGTTCTCCCATGTAACATGCTGCGATATATCTACACTGTTTCGCTCCCTTGTCTATGTTATTTGGCCAGCTGCGTATTGCTGTTGAGCGCTTCCAATGCGGAACGAGACAGCCCACTATCGTCCGATGACGACCTTCATCGCAAGACCGCGTACTAACCATGGCCAGAGCGAACAGGACTCAAGATCCTCCTCACCGCATGCTTTCACCCTCTTGCGCTCTCGTTTCCAGCGAAAACCACGTGCCCCGAGCACCGAGCCTGCGTCGCCCTACTCCAACGATCTAGTCGTACTACTGGGAAAGCTGGCGGCGTCACGGGAAACTGCACGGAAGCGACTCTTCCACTTTCGAGCGACAAGCAGCCCTTCAACTCTCAAGCACCCGATGTCACTTAGCGTGCCGAGGTCGGCCAGAGCCCGTCCGCTCTCCGACATTTTCAGCGGCTCAAATGATGATGAGCAGATTGCACAGATTATGGCCAACCATATGGCGACCAGCACCACGAGGCCTGCGCCAGTAAGTGGCCCACCGCAGCGGCCTGCGCCTCAGGACAGGTCGAACAGCGACGAATCAACCACATCCACTGCGAGCTTGCCGACATTGCGGAATGAACGAGTTGTGGCAACAGGGACTGGAATCACGGTCAGCGTAGCTCTGGCTGAGCCTGTTCTCTTTCTTCCTGGCTACGATCACAACGACCCGAGCACCAAAAAGTCGGCTATCCTCAGAGGCCACCTTCATATTAAAACAACAAAGTCGGTCAAAGTCAAGAAAGTGTCTGTCTGTCTCCGTGGCCACGCGCAGACTGACTGGCCGGATGGTAAGCATTATTACGTCGGTTTTAATTTTTGAATTTTATTAATGCGAAGACAGGAATTCCACCAAAGAAAGTGTCGTTTCATGACAAGAAGGATCTTTTGACCTCGGGAATGATTTATTTCAATCACGGAGATACTTCTCTCGTCCAGAATGACTACGGTGCTCACTATTACAAACTTGCAGCGACGGCTGTGCAAACTACAACCAAGGAGATGAAGGCCACTGGTGTAACCGCTACTACTCGGGAGTTATGGAAGAACGGATCCACAACCACGGTCAACAGAGAAAACTCGCGAGAACTGAAACGTTTGTCACTGCAGTCGAACCACTCGCGCAGTTTCAGCAAAAATGAGCCACCCGCGACCACGCAACCACAGGCCGCACGGAATTATAGACTCTTCCCACCTGGCGACTACCTCTACTCCTTCGAGTTCCCCATTGATGGATCGCTTCCGGAGACGATTCGAAGCGATCTGGGCTTTGTACGCTATGATCTCGAAGCTATTGTCGAACGATCCGGTGCATTCCGTCCGAATTTGCTGGGCAGCACGGAAATTCAAGTCGTCCGGACTCCTGCTGAAGGGTCGCTTGAGCAGGTTGAACCGATCGCCATATCGCGGAACTGGGAAGACCAGCTTCATTATGATATAGTTATCTCTGGCAAATCTTTCCCCCTAGGGTCTCAAGTTCCGATCGCCTTCAAATTGACACCGCTCGCTAAAGTCGAATGTCACCGCATCAAAGTCTATGTGACGGAGAACATTCAGCATTGGACACAAGACCGAGCTGTTCATCGGTTCCAGCCGCCAAAGAAGGTTTTGCTCTTTGAGAAACGTGCTGACTGTCAAAGTGTGAGCACATATCCCGGAGGCAGCATGCGAGTAACCGCCGGCGGAGGAGTTCCGTGGGATCAACGGGAAGCTGCGGCTCGAGGACAGGAACAGGCAAACAGAGGAATGACTAGTTTGCTAGGAAATTTGTCCAACGATGTCGGGGTTGGGCCGACGGAGATGGAATTCAATGTGCAACTACCCAGTTGTCATACTATGAAGGGAAAGGATGAGGGACAGCGCTTGCACTTTGACACTACGTACGAAAACATCCAGATTAATCATTGGATCAAGGTATGTATTACCACGGGTTATCAAACGCTGCGGTAATCAATCAGATGCTGATAACTCACAGATCGTATTGCGTCTGTCCAAGATTGACGAGAACGACCCTACCAAGCGCCGCCACTTTGAAATCTCAATCGACTCTCCATTCCACATCCTCTCCTGCAAGGCTACTCAGGGCAACATCTATCTCCCAGCATACAGCGACCCATCATCCGACCCCGTCATTCCTCAAGACGAATACGCATGTGGATGCCCTGGCGCTCCATTAACAAGACGCAACGTCTCATCCAGCCAGCTCTCGATATCGGATCATGACGAGCGTACAAACAGTACCAGCAGTGGCCGCAGTCTCCCCCGCAGTTTCACATCCGGCTCTGGCGGTCTTGCGCGGCCAGCGCAAGCTCACATCGCCCACGAACCACCGACCGAACGACCACCGACCGCGCGCGAAGCACGTCCCATGCATCTTCTCCGCGCACCGTCCTTCGCACCACCATCGTTCGAAGACCTCGAACCACCGCCGCCCTTGGTCACCCCACCCCCTGAGTACGCGACTATCGTCGGCGACCAAGACCGGGAAACGGTCCTCACAGACTACTTCAACCGCCTCTCCTACTTCGAGGAACAAGATGACGAACACGGCCTCGGCCGCGTCGACGTGCCGCTGACACCAGGAGGCCGGGTGCATCGCAGCATGGATGTTCCGCGCGAATGGGTCCGGCTAGGTGACGCTACAGTTCAATAGACACAATATTGAACTAGTAAATACAAACCACCAAACGAGTATATAAATGGGTAATTATGATATTACGTACATAATCATTGATCGACGACCTCACGAAGACTGGACAGAAAAGGATGGAATTTTGTATAGCTTCTAAATAGACGGGCGTTTTCGGGGTTGGTTGGTGGTTGCATATACGATTGGGATTGGGAATGAAAATTGGGAAGGGAGTAACTTCTACATAAATATTTTTTGTTTGACTTGAACATTATTATTATTGAGCAACAGAACATTGCACTACCTAGTATCTATCCTTCATGACTATAAATACCAATTGATATTATTGCTTTTACACTAGTTGACATGTTTATTATGTGATTAAGTCTGTGGATTGGTAATCTTGATTAAATGTTCAATCGGCTCAATAAGTACCTGTAATTCTATCTTTTTACTAGTTGCATATTAATTAGAAGTCATTCCTCAAGCCATCAAGGATTAAAATAACTATTAAGCAGATCTATTGATATCTGTTACAATTACAATGAAGCTCAATTTGGTACGGAGCAAACATGTATAAATTCAAAACAATTCAAGGCCTATATATTATCATATTGAGAGTCTGTATTACATTGATTAATTGATATGTAGATCTAGACTACATTTTAGGTGCTTCAAATACAATCTGATATGAGGTCTAGTATTGATATACAAAAGCTCGGCTAGTAACTAAACCAAAACTGATTCGGCAATTGGTTAACTGGATTTCCTATCAGAGTAAAATAACAGATACTGATACGAGAGGAAACTGAGGCAGGCACTATTTGACCTAAATTACGTTATATTCCTAGGACACAACCCAGTGGATTTAGATTATCTCTCAATCATTCCAATGCTCGTGTAATGTCGCAAGGTCAATCTTGCCCACTTCCTTGAGATAATTGGTCAACAAAACCTCATCCCCATTCTTCTCTCTTTCCGTCCACCCATTTCCAAAATACTCAAACCTATTCCTCGTCCCTTCTTCCGACTTTTCAAATACAAAATCCTCCCAGCGAGGGTCTCTGCTGATATCAAACCGATGATGACCCGTTCCTGGCCACGGAAGCAGTGGTCGTGATTTACCATATCCGCTTTTCCACCACCCGTCGCAGTCGTCGCCGATTACTTTATCGTCAAAATAGGCACCGACAATCTCATTGAAGTCGTCCGTTGCTTCTTGTGACGGATAGATAGCTTGGTAGCCCTGGCCTTGGACTTTGCGGATGACTTTGGATATGTAGGTTGCTGATATCTCGGCTTGGAGGGGAAATGTGCCCCCTTGGCCGTTTGTGTTCGCCTGTATTGAAGATCAGCACTCTTATTAGAAAGCCGAAGCAAGAAGCATGAAAAATACCTGTATAACACCAAAGTAGTTGGGAACATTGGGGGCCATTACGCCAAAGTAAGTCTTGGGGAATCCAATCGGCCCGGCTGCAGCCCAGTACTTGCTCAGATCCAAGCCATTCTTTCCAATGGTAGGAAACAAAGGGAGGAAGGCATTCTGGAAGCCCGTCGCTGCAACAATTATGTCAACTTTCCTCTCCTTCCCGTCTTCTGTCACGAGCCCGTCTGTTGTAGCATGTGAGATCTTCACATCATCCACATAGTCGACTTTTGCGCTTCGAATAGCTTCAATATAACCTGCCGAAGGAGTTGGTCGTTTACACCCAGGTGCAAAATCAGGAACCAATCGGTCAAACCAGGCTTTATCACCACCAAGCCGCGCCAGCAATGCATCCGAGTATTTCTGTCGGATTTTGGCGTTCTCCGCACTACCAGAAACAGACCCCTGATACCGTCCGTGGAAGTTCTTGTCCAATGACTTGCGAAACTCGAGATATGCTTGCGGGTCCTTTTCGAATTTGTCTTTCTCTTCCTCGGTAAAGACGTGTGCACCTAGTACTTCGGTTGTGGCAGGGACGAGATTTGGAATGATTGAGGAGACAATCCACTGTTTTGACCGCACGTAGTGATCGATATGTGCCGGCTTGTCGAAGGTGTTGACTAGGAATTGTTGTCCACTGGCCCCATTGCCAATGATAGCCACTCGCTTGCCATCAAGGCTGCGAGTGAGTTCTTCCGTCCATTCAGCTGTATGAGCCAGGATCCCCTTGTAGTCAGTCCCGAGTCCTGGTATATTCGGCCATTTAGGGACATTCAATCTACCGGTGGCCGAAATGAAAAAGTGAGCCGTGTCAGTGAAGACATTCCCTGTGGCCAGATTTTTGATCGTTACAACCCACTGATGGATATCATCAGACCAGATTGCGGACACAACGTCATGCTGGAGATGGAGAGATTTGTCTACACCGTATTCCTTGACGAGTCGTTCGTAATACTCCCGTATCTCTGGTCCTGGAGAGTAGTACTCTGACCAGCGAAGGTTAGGAGCGAATGTGAACTCTACTATCTCGTCAGGCAAGGCAATTCGAATTCGCTAAGTGCGATTACTTACGGTAACTGTGTGATGGAATGTCGCATCTCACGCCTGGATACCGGTTCTGGGCCCAGGTACCACCCTACCTCACTCTTTAGAATCACGTACCCTAAGTACGACTGTGGAAGTCTGAATACATACCACAGCATCCTGGCGCTCATACACAGTATAGGACAGATTTTTAACTTTTCGGGGAATCAATATCGAAGCTGCTATACCCGCTATTCCCGCGCCAACGATAATGGCCTACTGTCTTTCAGCCTGGAACAAGGAATATTTTTGAAGTAATCTCGCTTCAATTCGTACCTTGACCGGCGGTGCCGCATCAAACGGTCGTTGTCTGGGTTTCCAGACCTTCTCCGATTGTTGTTCCTGTCCTGCAAGCTGGGTTTGGATTTGTGCCAGTCTTTCAACAGATCGTGCCATATTGTCCTTTGGAACTACACCGTTGTAACGACTGGTCCTTGAGTATTTCAAGTAAATTCATACAAGAATAAGAACATGGACCAAAGGCCCCGGGATTTCATGCGAAGTTGTCAGTTATGAGGGGGATCAGATCACGCAATATTGAAGGCGATTACGACTTGAAGCAGGCTTATCGGATTTGTAATATCGGTGTATTAGTTCAGTTTATACAGGCGCTTTTCTTTTGCTCCGCTTTCAGTACGAATTCGAGTCATGGCGAATGTCTCTTCTCATGCATAAAAGTGAAAGTTCTAACGGGAAAAATGGAGGCGGTGGGGTAAGTTGCTGCGTAACAGGGGAGATTTGGCGGTTGCGCAATACGTAGTCGATACGTATTTCATTTTCTGTTGACAATAATATAGAAATTTCTATCCAATGGAAAGAGATCAATTCACGAGGTCATTTCTTGGGACTTCCAACACAACTTCCCCATCTACCATTTCCACGGCTGATCCACGTGCCAGAAGCTGTCTAGACACGCCGGTCAGGACTCCTATCTTACAGGTGCCGTCTCAACTACTGCTGAAGACTTGGTGACTTTCTTCTCGTAATCGTTTGTGATCTCAGAACTCTCATTTTCGATGATACGTTTCTCAGCTTTGCGCTTCTGACTGCGCCTTTCCACGATAATCAAGGTGTTGGTGAAGTATGCAACACTAATGATGAGAGCCTGAATAACAGTAATTAGCACCATTTCCTAGTGAAATTAACGAGTCAGAGGCCCAACATACCCATATACACCCGCCGAAGAAACGCGGCCCCTTAGACACTGCCCATGCCACCAATGGAACAACCAAGCTCGTGACCTCACCCAGGCAATTATACGTCGCGAGCGTAATAGCACGAGCTTCGAGATCTTCGCTCAGACTGTCCGCAGCCCAAGCAATTATAAACGGCAGCGCTCCTTCGGCCCGACCGATGGAAATAAACGCAAAGAACTTCAATCCGTTTGGAAAAATTCAAATCGGCAGAACGAGATTCGCGAATATGGCAAGCACACCTGAGAGTATGATAGGTTCCCATCTTTTACCACGTATATCGGTGCAATATAAGCGTTGACTAGAGCAGACACGACGGCTACCGCGTTGGTGATCGTGCCAATGTCGTTGACAAGCGGGATTGATTACTTGTATGGCTGGGACTTTAACCACAGAATGAAAGGAGCTCCGAGAGCGTAGATACTGTTGCAAAACAAGAGTAGCAGGAGAGTGAAAACATAGAACTCCCATTTAGAAAGAACTCTTTTAATTGGCGATTGATTCCGGTGGACGGCTTGAAGCCCTCTTCCTCCAAAGGTTTACGGGCAAATTGCTTCTCGTAATTGGTAGCCTATCAATTTCTTATCCAGGTCTATATGTTCAAGCTGGCAACTGACCTGTAGCGTTGACATAGTTGACCCGGTTTCCATATAAGTCAAGGTCTTGTCGCATTCCGGACACGTAGGCAGTTGCTATTACGGAGTCAGATCTCCTTATTTTTTTTTCACGATAATGAGGGGTGCGCTTACTCAGAGCGTTCACATCGAGATACTTGGTAACGAATAAAAGACACGCATAGACCAACACCAAAGGTCAATCTTGAATATCAGAATCTTCTCCTCGTAAGTGTTGCCGGTCGGGTACCAACGTACTGCATCACCAATCCTCGCGAAGAACTTCTCCATGGCGCGCTCTGTCAGTCTTCATTTGTACGAGTCAGGGGGTCTCTAGGGAGGGAATGCATGGCATAATTTGTTTTATACCTCACCCGACATTTGGAAATTAGAGCTCAGCTTATGGAGGGCGTATGGGGGTATGTAAAACCCAGGTCACGTATTTTACCCAGGTAGCTAGTCACAAGTCTACCACTAATGAAGTCGGGTTGCTATCGCTAAAATAGGAAGGTTCCGCATCGGGGATACCTCCGACAAAAAGGTTATCACGACTGTTGAAAGCAGGAGCACGCAAGATGTATTGCGTGTGCTCGGAGCTTTATCTAGAACGGAGCGATAATTGGAGTAGCAACGATTCATGCTTCGATGAGCGGAGAGACGAAGGGCTAGGCATTGGGATTCGCGAGAGAGGCTATAACTGACATGTATATCGTCCTGCATATTCGAGTTTCCGACTTTCTGTGGATTGGTTCGTTTGGTTCGACTTATGGGTTGCGAATATCTTATAGGTCGTGCATCGCGGTGGTGACAGGAACGGGCGGATGTTGTGATCAGCGCACCAAATTGGTCAATCCGCGGGGGTTTTTGATGCTTACATATCCGTCTATAGACAGTCAGAAGGAGATAAAAAGCGTGTAGTGTTCTCTTTGATGTATACCAAATTCGCCATTCAACATTTAGGTAAACCTAAAAGTTTGCCATAGTAGACTGCCTTCTGAACATTGAAATTGCGACTAACGCAGCCACACCCTGCTTGTCAATATTATTTTCCATTATGAGCAGTGTCGACCATAACAAAAGCGCCTTACCAGCCGACAAAGGCCAGAAGAAGAAGAAGAGAATCCATCTCAATGGCTTCGACATGTTCACCGTCAGCCATCTGTCCTTCGGCCAATGGCGAAACCCAAAGGACCGGTCCAAGACAAAACGTCGCGATCTATCCTACTGGACAGATCTAGCTAAAGTCTTAGAAAAGGGAGAGTTTACAGCTCTGTTTTTAGCAGATACTTATGGCATATACGATACTTATAAGGGAAGTGCCGACCCAGCGATTCGCTATGGTGCGCAAGTCCCGATGGGTGATCCCTCAATTGTACACTATTCCCTTCGAAAACAAGGAAATCACTCTAGGCATGCTAACTCTGATAGCCAATCACTGCAATGGCGTCAGTGACTAAAAATCTCTCTTTTGCAATTACCACGTCGACCTCGTATGAAGCGCCGTATGTGGTTGCTAAACGCTTTTCCACGTTGGACCATTTGACTGGTGGACGATTTGGTTGGAATATCGTCACGTCTTGGAAGGCTTCGGCATCCAAAGCCGTAGGTCCAATCCTAAATTATGTCGATATAAAACGCTAATCTTATTAGCTTGGTCTTCCGTTGGTAGAGCATGACCGGCGCTATCAAATTGCAGACGAATACCTTCGGGTTTTATACAAGTAGGTCATTTATGAGCTTCACAGTTTGTGACTGACTAATTAAATCCTCAGACTTTGGGAAGGAAGCTGGGCCGACGACGCTCTAAAGGAGGAAAATGGATCCGGTGAATATGCCAACCCAGACCGTATCAAGTACGTGCATCACCACGGGGAGAACTTCCACCTCGATGGCATCCACATTCTGGATCCGTCTCCGCAGCGCACCCCATTCTTATTTCAAGCCGGAACTTCTCCCGCCGGCGTTACCTTTGGCAGCACGCACGCCGAAGCAATCTTCGTCGCGGCAATCAGCCCGCAAGCCCTGGCTCCTAAAGTCAAGTTGATCCGCGAAGAAGTAGCCAAACGTGGCCGCGACCCGACTTCGGTCAAGATATTCCCCGTTTTCACACCGATAATCGGTCGAACTGAGGAAGAAGCAAAGGCTAAATATGAGGAAGCACTCTATTACGCTAACCCAGAAGCCGGTCTTGCCTTCTTCTCTGGTGGCAGTGGTATTGATTTAAGTCAGTACGATCTCGACCAAGAAATAAAACCAACTGATGTGCACGTTGATGCGCGCGTGCACTCTGCTCTGGCCAATCTTCAATATACAAGCCCGGACATTCCAGCCTGGACGCCGAGGAATATCGGGAAGTGGATTGCGATTGGTGGGAATGGTCCAATCCCTGTGGGCACGCCGGAGAAAATTGCAGATATCCTCGAGGAATGGGTTGAGGTAGCGGATGTGGATGGCTTCAATATTGGATATGTAGTTTCGCCAGGTTCGTTTGAGGATGTTACTGAGTTGTTGGTGCCCGAGTTGAGGAAGAGAGGGCTGTATGATCCCTTGCCAGGGACTACGTTGAGAGAAAAGGTGTATGGGGAGGGTCAGAAGTCGCTCCTTGAGGATCATGTTGGAAGGCAATACAGATATGAGACATATGATGGCAAATAGGCGTCAACTGGTAGAGGGCTCGAAGAACAAAGTGTGTCTTCTACATTAATTGATGTAGTCAGAAATAATAAAACCCTATACCAGTTGATATCAACTGATGCATGAATGATACATCAATCTATCAATGGCACCATGTAGATGTCTACATAGTGAGATGCCTAAGGCGCTGTCGGTCACGTATAATGCAAACGCCTCAAGTGCAGTGTTTATGTGCCAAATTTTCACCTTCAACTCCTCACTCATGTCAACGGTGTGTCAAGTTAGTCAATCTATCTATTTTATTCAAATCCATGCTATTTGACCTCGTCACCTCTTTCTTTATCTTCAGGAAAGACAATTCGCTATATATCCTGGCCTTTTATATAAGGTCAACCACATACACTATGCTTTTTTTCTATGCTGATTCAATAATATTGCTCTTGTGCAGTCTGTAATGTTATTTTGTCATTTGTAGCATCATTTCAGCTGAGTCTAGACCAGTCGACATGAAAATACTACTTATACGATATACTATTTTCTCTTATCGGACTACAGCTGTCAGAGCGATAAGCCGCATCGACTTGCCCGAGTCAGCCTAGCCTGGCCAAGCAGTGCCGATTCATCTTTCCGTCCACATGACTCGTCCTCGTCTTATCTTCGTCGTCGTGTTGCGGTTGTTTCATCCATTGACTGTTGATCGTACTCTTTGGTTCATTTTTCTGTTTGTGTGTCCAGCACATTGACATTGATGGACCATCCCGCGCATTGCAACCGCATGTGTTTTGCTCGAGTCGAAATCGAGTGTGGTGTATCTAAATCAGCCAAAAACCGGCATTGACCGTTACCAAACAAGTGCCTTATAAGCAGTTGCATTTCCATGTCTATTCAGTAACTCTCTTGATCACAATGCCCATCCAAGTCCGTCCGCTGCAGAAAGAGGATATCCCCGAGGTCGTCGAGTGCATCCAGCAGGGCTTCGCTGACGACCCCTATTTCCGCTGGGTGTTTAACGCTGAACAGGTATGTATAAACCGCCCCAGATTACCAGTTGATGTAGATAGTCTGTTCTTTACTTGGGAAACTAACATGCCCGCCACGTGAGTAAACGCGGTCGTTAACGTCGACTCGCTGTTTCCATCACAAGAGTGGTGTCTTGTCTACTTATAGTTCAATAAACAGAGAAACTCAAGCTCGCTCACAGCCCGCTGTCTGTGGGGGATCAACAATGCCTTGTTCTACGTTGCTCAAGAGGTTGATGTTGCCTCGACAACCCCGTCCCCAGTGCTAGGCGTCTCGTGCTGGCTTGCTCCGCAACCAGCCTCCCAGCCTGAATCCTGGTACACCTGGTCGCAATCCCTGCTCCTATCATTTCGGCAATTCCTCACGAATCTCCGCTACCTCGGCCGCGGCGGCCTGATCACGAAACGCTACTGGATCTGGAAAGCGCAACAGGGAGCCGCGCAGACTGAGTTGTGGACGGATAAGGAGCGGGGCTATTATTTCTGTAACATCGTGACAGTTAGACCGGAGGCGCAGGGCAAGGGGATTGGGCGGAAGTTGTTTGAGGTGGTCACCGATCGTGCTGATAAAGAAGGCGTCAAGTGCTACCTCGAGAGCTCTAAGGATGAGCCGAATGTGAAGATTTATGAGAAGATGGGGTTTGAGATGGTCAAGACGATGGAGTGTGAGGATGGAGGGGAGGTATGCCAGGTGAGTTATTACTTGTTTATTTTTTTGTGTCTGAAGGTGTATCATCGCTGATGGATATGATCTGATATAGTTGTTTTGCATGGTTCGACAGCCAAAGACTGATAAGATCTAGCTTTGTATGGAGTTCATTTCGGGTTTGCCATGGTTCGCTGCATTGTTATTTCGGGAGTATCAACTGATGTCAAGATTGTCAATACATAGTAGAATGTCGATATCGATAAATTAAATATATCAAGTATTTGAATACGTATATACAATTTAATGTTTACAGACTAAGAAGCAGAGGCATATGTACACACTAGCTAGCCGAGCTCCGCACCGATTACATGTACCATCGACTGCCGGCTCGACATCGCAACTCACCCACGTCAGCTCTCGACATACACGTATCTGCCTGAGCATGCTGCGCCCAAGCGTAGCTCCGTCCGGCGACTGAGTCAAAATGAAGAAGACCCTTTTGCTTGTGTTTATTCATGGGTTCAGGGTTCGTCTACCCCGCACGATCCCCAACTCGACAGGATCAAGCTGAAGATTGCAGGGCGGCGAGGACACCTTTCTCAAGTTTCCAGACCAACTCACTGCGCTCGTGCGACATGCGCTGCCGAGTATTGCCGTGCAGTCCGTGACGTACCCTAGATTTGACACGAGGGGCGATCTGAAGGAGTGCGTCGCGAGATTTCGCGATTGGTGTGTTACCAACTCTGTACCTACCTACTACCTATCTAACATGGCACGTAGGCTCCAGAACAAGGTCATCGACATCGAAGTCGACAATGGCACGCCCTCCCCGACCGTCGACCCCTCCGTACACGTCATCCTAGTCGGACACTCTATGGGCGGCATTGTCGGCGCAGAAACGCTGCTGCTGCTCGCCTCCGAACAGCCCATCCCACCGCTATCGACATCGTCGCAGGCCGATATTTCTGACCGTCCGTTTTTCATGTTTCCTCACATCCAGGGCCTAGTTGCCTTCGACACACCGTTCCTAGGCATTGCGCCAGGTGTGGTTTCGCACGGCGCCCAGGAGCATTATCAAACCGCCTCGACCGCATATACCACGTTTACTGAGGTTGCGGGATTATTTGGGTATGGAGGGAATAATAAATCTACGACTACAAGCACAACTACAACAACCGCGACGTCGAAATCAGCTACACTACCCCTCCCACCCGCAACAACAGATACATCCAACGGTGACGCAGCCGCGACCCCGTCCTGGTCGCGATGGGGCAAAATGGCCATGTTCGCCGGTGCCGCTGGCGCAGTCGCAGCCGGCGGTGCTGCAGCGCTTTACTCGCAGCGTGACCGGTTCACTGAGAGCTGGCGATGGATAACCTCGCACCTCGAATTCGTCGGGTGTCTCGCGCGGCCGGCCGATCTACGCACACGAGTTGCCTCGCTGGCAACACTGCAGCAAGAGCGCGGGATAAGCGTTGCGAATTTCTACACATGTCTCGGCAAAGCAGCTCCTCCTCCACCACCTACTCCTCCCCCTCAATCCCCCCTCGACGCGGGCAGATCGCGGTCCACCATTCTATCCCGCATCCCGCGCGCCCGCAACCGCACATTTTGTCATTTACCCGAGGACTTTGATGCCTCCGACGCTCTGCTCGCAGGTGACGGGACGTCGGATAGTCCGGGGATTAAGTGGATATTAGCGCTCAACGATAAAGTGACAGATGAGACGACGGCCCATATCAGTATGTTCTCGCCGCGTGAGAACCCGAAGTATTATGTGCTAGGGCATGAGGCGGCCGATACGATTGTGCGATGGGTTGATCAGGGATGGTACGCGAGTGCGGGTGCAGAGGAGCAGTTTGATAGTAGTAGTGGTGCGAAGAATACCGCGAATGCAGAAGAGAGAGATGATTTTGTGGTTGTTGATTAGGCGGCATTATTATTAAAATAAATTCTACTTATTCTTAGCCAGCAGCACCATAACTTGTGCCAGAATTTTCGGACCAAATCTGGATCAATACTTACACGAGTCATTACCATCGTCCTTATCCTTACATTTAGGGTATTTCGATTTTATAAGAATAAATTGTTAGTTGTGAGGAAGAAGGATGAATTTCTCGTATATCGTATATCAAGTACTAACTATGAAAGGGGACTCAGTGTGGGGAGCAGAAACCGTGGCGCACCTATTGCTCCACATGCAATGGCGGCGGCGTGGGAGGCCCCGAGGCACGCATACTTGCTGACCGTAGGACCACTAAAGCTCTGCTAGCCTTCATAGAGGCCGGGAGCGTCGATTTATGGGGGTGGGAAGCTATAGATGAGGGGGGCCTCGGGGGGCCCAGGGGGAAGGATGACAGCTCTTGGCGGCCTATCATCGGCAGGCGACGCCTGCATATAAGCGGCTTAGGAAGAGGAATTTGTTTGTACATTAATACGCTAGGCACCAGTCCGGGGCAGGCAGCGGGGGGAATTAGGGGTTTAACCCCTAGCGCCCACTGAAACGAGACATTCACGGCTTATAGCTGGGTAAGGTCGTTAAACAAGGAATAAATAAAAAAAATCAATAGTAAGGAAGGATACGGTATGACTAATTCTGACCCAACCGGAGACTTTCACACCAATACTCTCCGGTCATTGATCTTCATTGGCTGCAGCGCCCCATTAATAAGCTTCTTCAGCCCTATGAGCGCCGCTGGACGAAATCGCCCGTTGGTTTTTTTCAGCTACTATTTTTTCGATGGTGCTATTACCGGACGAAAAAGACCGGCATGGGTCCACTATCAACAACAACCGCGTCGTATCTGCCTCTCTAACGCTTTCTGACGCTGTCTGGCGCTCTCTAACGCTGATTTCTCGCGCTCTCTCATTGGGTGGTCAGCTCCAGCGAGTTGGTGAGAGTCACGGGCCAAGAGCTCCGCCGTGAAAACTTGCCGTATAGGGCTATTGCAGAGCGCTGCAACGGTCGGACTTCGTCCTGATGAATCCACTTTGCGCTGTTAACGGAGATTGGATTTATAAACATGATAAAGAGCTAAGAGGATGCTATTGGTGACGGACGATGACAACGTCTTGCTCATGTCAGATATTAGCGAGTGGAGCGGGCTAGCAGCGTATATAGCAGGCCTGTTCCCACGCTGGATCAAGTGAGGATCATCAATCAGAAATATTCCAGTCAACGCAATATCAATTGACATCAATTGGCATCAATTGTTATCAATTCTGGAGGAATATTCGAATTGAAAAATGTCCGAACCAGCCGAAGCTACCAGGGCTTCGTCCCTCTCAAGCCATACCTTCCACGACCCGGAAGCCTCGTCAAATATCCTGCCCAAGGCCAGTCCAGCAGCCAGCATCGCCGACGATGCGAAAAGCAACGACATTGAAAAACTGTCTGTCGACCAGAACTTGGAGAGCGAGAAGGAGGAGGCGGCACAGTCAACCGAGGATGGCAACTACCCTGGCCCAACCAGTCTCATCTTCATTCTCATCGCTACTATGCTCTCCATGTTCCTCGTCGCCCTTGACATGACCATCGTTGCAACTGCGATCCCGCAAATCACCGATGATTTCCACTCCCTGGATCAAGTGGCTTGGTATGGGTCGGCTTTCTTCCTCACCCTCGCTTCTTTCCAGTCGACATGGGGTAAGGGGTACAAGTACTTTCCACTGAAGTATACCTATCTGTTGGCAATTTTTATCTTTGAGTTGGGCTCTTTGATTTGTGCGGTTGCTAAGAATAGCACGACTTTGATTGTCGGAAGAGCCATTGCTGGTCTTGGCGCTGCCGGTATCGCCAGTGGCGTGTACATTATCATTGCCTTTTCTGCGAGGCCGAGGCAACGTGCTGCTTTTACGGGATTGCTGGGTGCTACGTACTCCGTGGCGAGTGTTGCTGGGCCTCTGCTCGGAGGTGTGTTCACTAGCAATGTCTCCTGGCGATGGTGGTATGTCTCTCGTATCTCTATCTATATATGAACTAAAACTCACATTTGTCAACTCTAGCTTCTACATCAACCTCCCAATCGGAGGTCTCAGCGCTGCTATCATCACCTTTTTCTTCACTACACCCCCCGCCGCAAAGCCCGCTCCAGCCTCCGCCAAAGAGAAGGTCCTGCAAATGGACTTGCCTGGAACCTTCACCATCATGGCCGCCGTCATCTGCTATCTGCTCGCCCTCCAATGGGCTGGCGTCACCAAAGCATGGAGCGACTCCGAGATCGTCGGCCTGCTGGTCGGCTTCGGTCTTCTAGTCATCGTTTTCATTGGCGTTGAATGGTACTCGGGCGAACGAGCCCTGATCCCCTTCCGTCTGATGAAGCAGCGCAATGTCGCTGTCGCCAGTGCCTACGTCCTCTTCGTCGTCGGCCCCATGTTCATCATGATCTACTACCTCCCCATCTACTTCCAATCCGTCAAGGATGTCTCCGCCTCCCAATCCGGCGTGCGCAACGTCCCGCTCATCCTCTCCGTCAGTCTGATGACCATCGTCTCCGGCGTCCTAATCACCGCCTACGGCCAATTCGCCTACCTGATGATCCTCGCCGGCGTGATCGCGACTATCGGTGCGGGTCTAATCTACACCTTCGAAATCGACACCCCCTCCAGCAAATGGATTGGATACCAGGTGCTTTGCGGCATTGGCGTGGGTATTGGGTGTCAAATCTCGATCATCGTGAACCAGGCCTCTGTCGACCCATCCGATCTCGCCAATGTCTCTGCAGTAACCCTCTTCCTGCAGACGATCGGCGGCGCCTTCTGGGTTTCCGCGGCCCAGGCGGCGTTTTCGAATAAAATGTTGCAGAAGCTGCCAGAGTACGCGCCTGGCGTTAACCCGCAGCTGGTGATTGCGACGGGTGCGACTGAGTTGCGGTCGGTGTTTAGTGCGGACCAACTCGCGGGTATTCTGCAGGCGTATATGTCTGGGCTGAAGGTGACGTTCTTGCTGAGTATTGTCTTGGGTGGGATTGCTACTGTGATCTCGCTGTTCCCGAAATGGACGAGTTTGAAGGGCAAGGTTGAGCCGATGGGGATGGCCTGAGCTGTTTTTCTGAAAGAAATTGCATGGGACTGGTTAATGCATAATGACTGGGAAGGTTTTTTTGTTTCAACATTCAACGGTAACTGCTTAATGGCGGTGACACGAGGAGCGTATAATAGACTGCATATAGATTTACATTTATAATGATAATCAACTTACTCCTCACAGCTCATACTATCAGTATACCACCCTACACAAGCTTCCTTTGGATATAGCTCCTCACTTCCACGCCAGCATCTCGCACTGCAACGACGCAAACCAAGCATCATCTGTGACAGCCCACGCCTCCACGGCCCTCAGCGTCTCCTGAATCTCCTCCTCTGTAATCCCAGCATCCAACCAACTCTGCCGAAACGGATCGCCCTCCTTGAGCTGCCCACCAACCCGCCAGGCCAACCACTTCCTAGTCTCCTGCCCCGCAAACACCGTACTCCCCGCGCCCACCTTGACCTTCCCCCCATCAGCATCAAACCCAGCCTTCCGCATCAGCGCCGGCATCATCGGCCCTGTCTGTGCCACCTCCGCATCCCCCTTAAACAGCCCCCGTCTCAAATTCGCGCTCCACAACCTATCCAGCTGCGACTCCGACGGGTAAAACCTTTGAAAAGCGGCATCCCGCGTCGCCACAATCCCGCCGGGTTTCAGAACCCGTCTAATCTCGACGAGCGCGCTCAGCGGCATTTCAGGCGGCGGGAAATGGCCGAAGACCTGGGACGCATACACAATGTCGAACGAGTCATCCGCGTATTTCAGCCGCTCGAGGACATTTCCTTCCTCAAACACTACAGAGCCCGGACCCTGGGTAGGGGCGTTGGCGGCGGCGGCTAGGGTTTTGGCTTTGTCTAGCACGGCAGTGGAAATGTCAATGCCGATTGTGGCACCTTCGGGGGCGTACTTGGCGAGCCCTGTGGTGATGGTGCCGGGTCCGCAGCCGACGTCGAGGATGTGGTCTGTCTTTTTGATGTAAGGGAGCAGAAAGGCGGCGTCGACTTCGGCGGTGCGGGCTTGGTGGGTTGCTGTGGTATGGTGGGAGTGGCCTTGGGTGTAGTTTCCTGGTTGAGTTTGGGCCATGTTGAGTTTTTAGGGTGGTGAGATAGGTTGATGTAAGTGTTTGCTGGTTTCTTTGATGATCAAGTTAGGGCTATCCAAGTACATGTGATGGCACGGAGCTCCTATGGCGGCAATGCGACGGGATTTGAAATTTTCCTAGAGGATCTTGAAGCTAAGTTTTTAGCTATGTTCTTTATGAGTAGATAAGTGTAAAAAGATGATATTCTACCCAAAGATGTATACTGTCCTGCCATTTTATGCTCATTCTCAAGCCGGTTCCGCTCTCAGTCCAAAGAACAGCGGCCAATCAAAGCGGGCTGTTTGTCCTGCGCCGGATGCACTTAGATCCGAATCAATAGCTGAATTAGGAAAGTAGTGATGTCTAATGGTGCCTCAGGCATAGATTAGGGCTAGCATCTAAATTTAGAAAAGGAGATAGGAGTGCGAGTTAATCGGAAATAATGGGTTAAATTTTACAATGACTCATTGCTGGTTTATATATTTTTGATTTATATCTCGGGTGTTCTGGCTTAAATAACACTAACCGAGTCGATAGCAAGACAAATAAATACAGAAAGAGGAAACCCCGAAAATGAACACTTGAAAATCAATTCATATTGAGAAAATCTTTTGCGACATTCCCGTCCATATTCCCCGCTACAACAATTGAGGGCCCTTCAACACTTATACCATCATATGAATGGTAGATTGCCCCCCTCTGCACTTGTCCCATGTCGCCCATCATCACTCTCGATGTGTTTTTTAAGGCGATGTTTTTATAAGAATGCCCCGTAGTCTTCGTTGTCTGCTGCAGTGCTGCCATGATGGATTTTTGGCAATGAGTAAGTATGATGGTGTGTTGCTCAATGGCACTTAGGACCTCGGAAGCATCTGGTTGTTGTATTTCGCTTCTAACGAGACTGGACTCAAGGATTTCCTCCTTGCTGATTCGGAGTTCTTCGATCCGGCCGAGAAGCATGTTGGCTGTCTTCTCGAACGTATATTCGAGGGATTTGGTACGCTCTAAATTTTGGGATATGCTTTTACTAATGAATTGTTAAAATGCCTTTTGACATGACAAATAAGTTGGTAGGAAAGGGAGGAACTCACAAATTCAACAAATCAATGCAGACAATAAAAGTAGTTTTAAAGTCTAATAGTTTCTTCCGAAATTCCGCAATCTCATTCTCCTTAAACTGCACCATCAGTCTATCCCGAAAAGAGACTCTTCCATCTTTAGAATGACGCAGGGTGTTGTTAATCTTGTCCTGAAAGTCCCTGCAAATGCTATGACATCCCTGCAAACTCGGCTGGATTTCGATCAAGTTCTGCTTTTGTTCGTCCGACAAGTTCGCGTCATTGCCTTGCTTTTCGAGTTCCTGCTGCATCGAATTTATGGTTTTGTGTAGGTTTTCAAGATCCGGTCCCAGGTCTTGAAGAGACTTGGGGCCATCGCGAAGACCGGTTATCGTCTGATAGACGGTTTTGACGGTGAAATAGGTGAGTTGGGCAACAGCAATTGTGTTTGCGGTGGTGCTTAACGGGTCGGCCATGGATACAAAGGATTTATTGATTCGGGTACTTTATTATCAGAGTGCACTTTATAAAATAGGCTCTTCTATACATATGTTCTATACATATGTACTGTCGCGGGCAGTCTTTCATACTGGAGAGGATTACCCGCCTCAGACATAATGAGGGGTATAGGGCAACTTTCCTCGACCACCAATCATGTCTGGCCAACCCGGTTGTACGCAGTATCGGGCCATTGCAGCTGTGTGGCACAGTGGCAGTGTATGCTAGCTGAAGGCTGAAGCATCACATCCCTGCCCATGGGCTAATCTACTCCAGGTTAAGATCGCTCGACGGGTCCGGCGCTTTTAGGCTCTTGGCGATCACTGATCTTTATCAATAATCATGGTGATCACGGTGGTGCAATAATAACATATAAACCGTACTAGCATTCAGTAGCTAAGCGTTTGGTCAATAGTATATCAGTATCGTGCCAAGTCGAGTATTGTCGGCGAGATTGGGTGGATAGCCTGGTAAGAACTAGCAGCAGTAGAGTACGAGGTGTGTAGCCCGTGCAAAGCAAACAAACATGCGGATCAGCTCGCAAACTCGTGGCTCTGATTTGACCCATACAAATTTTCGGGCACATAACCCCTAGATATTGCCGACGTTGGTAAGTAATAATATTAAGATATGCAAGACGATAGGTAGATCAAATCATGACTCATCAGCGGTCGTATCCACGCGCCATGATTGGCTGTTCGCCCAGGCTCGGCCGTTTTCGTCCGGGCCGCTTGCCTCTTCTTACTTCTGGAGATTTCTCTCCGTCATCGCTAAGATCGGCCTCTGCAGTGCTGTATTTCTAATCACTATATCAGGTTCACGCTCGGTATCTGCCTGGCATTATATACCACGCCCTCACAGAGCCTCATCGGCCATCTTCGTCCGCTCTCATCCCGCCGAGTTTGATATCTGATTATCCTGACTAGTTGAAAGTTTGAAGCTGTTGCATGCGTTGACATACTTATCAAGATCGGGTATAGGCGATTCCAACCGTCTTAATTCCGCCCACTATTATTGACCTGCAGCTTGACGTTGGTCGTCGCTGCCTAGGGCTTTGGCCTCTGGAACCTCAGTTTGACAGCTTGCCATTTTGTTCCTCATCACCTTTTAAACATCGTCGTATAAGCTGCTCTCCTTTCCGCATCCTCCGTATGCGGGGAAGCTGATTAATTATTGTCAATCCTGATCGGACGTTCGGTGCTGCGGTTGAGCTTTATTTGGGCCGTCAGCTTTCTGACCTACTCCCCGGACCTTCGCGGACCGGTATCCGCATCAACAGGGGACTATAATGTCAGCGAGCGGTTTCCTGGAGCCTTCAGGGCCGCCTCGTAAAAAGATGAGGAAAGGTACCAAAAGCTGTACTGAATGTGAGCGAATCCCCATTAATAACCTACACATGACAAATCCTACCCAGTTCCATATCAATTCCCGCTAGTCTCTTTCTGTTTTGATTTCTTTCGATTATATTAACACCATCTAGGTCGTCGACGAAAAATTCGCTGTACATTCGACCAAGATCGTCCGAATGTCTGCAATGAGTGCCACTCGCGAGGATCGCCCTGCATTGATCAAGAACTAGGCACTCTGGATCCTAATGTTGCCGGTGTTCTTCCTGGAGAACAACCCTATAGCCTCCGGGAACGAGTGACTCAGCTCGAGAATGTGGTGAGAGACATCCTGCAACGGATGAACCAGACAAGTCCAAGCGAATCGGAATCGCCAACTCAACAACCAAATATCTCCGATCCCTGTGGTAGTAAGACAGCCTGGCCCTATTCTCATTAACTATTGATCTAACTCTGAAAGTTTCGTGTGGCGAGTCTACAGCTCTCCCTATCAACTCCAAGACAATAGATGCACCGCTTACTGAAGGCCGAGATATCGAAAGTGCTCCGGTGTTGCAACTGCTCAACAATAACATCGTTTCTCGCACGGAAACTGCCGTTCGCTCTCATGACGGACCTACCACAAAGAACCTTTCTGAAAAGGCCGATGCTGTGCGAAACCAGCTTCTTAAACTAGTGCCTTCCTGCCAGGATTTATTAACCATTCGTAATGGGGCGACCTTCTGGTGGGCTGCATGGCAGTACATGTTTCCCGAACTCTCCACTGGATGCCGGTCAAATCTTGTTGGAACCGATGATATGTTTCAAATACCCAGTTCTCCAGGAGAGCTTGCCAAGTTTTTGATCTGTCTTTTGATGAGTATCGAGCAGCTTCCCCTGGATTTCAACTACGCAGCTTTGCAGAATCCTTTCAATCCTGATAAATACGCGGAACGTGTTATATCCGAAATCGATCGATTGGTTATTTATGATGATGACCTGTCTAGCACGCTGCCAGGTTTGGAGGCAATGGTACTGATGTCGAAATGGTATATGAATCTCGGTCGACCCCGTAAATCATGGATATTGAACAGAAGAGCAATTGAACTCGGTCAATTATCCGGCCTGCACATTTCGACAAGAAAAGAGCCACGCCCTGGTGATACCCTTTATGACCGTCGCCTGAAATTGTGGACTTTCATCGGGCTAAACGACCGCTTCCTAGGCCTCCTCTTCGGGCTACCTTACGCCATCCACGAGAACTCATTCCGACCACAAGTGGAACGACGATTGAAAAATGAGAAACCAACCCTGGAAACCTTTGCGTTGCGTCTGTCTTTAGTCATGGGTCCACTGATTGACCGCAATATGGATGACCCTGCCGACATGTCACTTGCTACAACTCTGAGATTGGAGCAAGAATTAGAAAACCATTCGCGAGAAATGCCCGATCGCTTCTGGGTGAAAAAGCCTGGTGCGAATTTCAGCATCGAAGAACAAAACGATTACCTTGTTACTCCGTTTTTGTACCATTTTTTGCGAACTCTGATTCATATGCCGTTCATGTTGAAATCATACGGAGATCGTAAATACCAATACAACCGTGATGTTGCGTTGGAATCCGCCCGCTGCGCACTCCGTGCATATGGCAGCTTGCGATCCTGGGAAGGAATGAATCCTTATATCTGTCGAGTAATTGACTTCCAGGCTTTCACCTCGGCGATGCTCCTCGTTATCAATCTATTAGGGTATTCTGAAGACGCGCCAAACCACAGCGAGGAACAGGACGACAAGGACTGGGCACTCGTCCACGCAACCGTCGAGGTCCTCCAGAAAGCCGCTGATCACCCCACAGGCACCGTCGCCGCACAATCCGTCAATATCTTGGCTGGAATCAGCAAGACCATGCCAAACATGTCCGAATTTCAAGACAGTAACATCACCTGCAAGGTCACCGTTCCGTACTTTGGCGTTATCACAGTAGCACCCGGGAAAGGAAGAAGACCGCGGCTGCGAAATCGCCAACAAGCAGCAGATAATAGCAGTAACTCGAACTTCTCTACTCAGCCTTCCCGATCCACAGTATCCTCCGAGCAGACGAGTCCGTTCCAGATCTACACACCACCGCAATCCAACCCGAGTGATCTGAGCACGGGCTCCTCCGATCATATCAGTGGTACGAACACGACGAGCTGGGCGTCATCGTTAATGGACGATCCACGAATACAACTGGAGAACATGGTTGCATTTCCTAACAGCGGAGTACTGGATCAGAATGCTTTTACTGGCTTCACGTTTGATCATGATAACCTTGGCGCGTGGTCGAATCTGAATCTGGATTTGGATTTGGACCAGGGCTGGGATATGAACTGGACTGATGGCGGGATTTTGCAATAATTTACTAATATATAGTGGATGGTGGTGCGTTTGAGACACCTATGCAGTGTCTGTGTATATATATTTACATGTTGAAGGCGTTTGGTTGTTTGGTGATACCTGGGTCGTGGGACTCCACTCTGACAACGTACATACGAAACTACTATCGATTATTGATTATCGATTGATGGATGGGTAGAATACAGCATAAAAGCTATTTGTATCATGCCTATTGCCTGTCTCGATGCATGTAGTTGTAGATTGCAAGGTACACGTGATCGTGTACATGTAGTGTAACACTGTACCTATCTAGCTTGCAGTAATAAAGGCGGTACAGCTTCACCTAACCAGAAATGGACAGCAAGAAACTGGCAGAAACCTCGAGGGCGACTTTTCACATTTGTTAGGGGAATGCCGGTTGCACAAAAATGTCCTTTTGTATGGGACTGCGCCGATGATTCAGGCATGACTCTAGCGCAACAGAAGTCTGGTACTATCTAGACTTCTGAGTGAATCTGGTGTGGGAACAAAGTATGTACGTGTCTCGTTGAGATAATAGGGAGTATACACTATAAATACCTCCATTCCTATGATTTACTATGCTTATAATAGTCATCGAAGATCTGTACAGTAGTGTAAAATAAGATTGACAGACGAACCGAGGCCAGCGAGAAAGGGTTGGGGTATGACACAAGCCGAGTGGAGCGCTGGTTGTCCACAACGACGACCAATGCCAGCAGTGCCAGCCTCCCCGGGCTCTCCAACGCTCTCTCCTATCCAAATAATAATTATTATTTGCCGAACATCTCGTCAACACCACCACATGATGTCTACCTAGCCGGACCCTACATTGGCTCCATTAACTCCGATAAAAACCACTCCCGTGCCCTGTTGACCTGCCTGGTTGTTGCATGTGACCTCCCGAGCGTCATCTCACCACGGTCTCGCTTTCTGCATTATCCTGCTAATCGTACTTGCATGCGCCGCATTGCGCATACGATCTGTTTTCGACTTTCCGGCATTCTTTCCAGCAAAAAGTGACGTCCCCATTTAATAGTATTCAAAGATGGAGCAGCGGTTACGTGCCGAGAGCAGGAGTCATACCGCCCCGGGCATAATAACGACAAATGGCCACTTTGCGTCTGTGGGAGATGCAGCCCACGATCCCAAGGCGTATGAGCATGGAGTGCAGGTCATAGACGGCGACAAAGAGTTCAAGTGAGTTTTTCACATTATGCTGTTTTATTCTTCTTCCGGCTAATTGTCAAATGCAGCTCCAACCTGTCCCGATACCTCACCCTCGAAGATGTCACCAACGCCGGTTTCAACTACCACCTCATCTCTGTCTTTGGTTCGCAGTCAACCGGTAAATCGACCCTGTTGAACAAACTCTTCGGAACCCAGTTTTCCGTAATGGCCGATAGGGAGCGTCGGCAGACGACAAAGGGTATCTGGTTGTCGAAAAACAAAGTCATCCATGAAGACCCCAAGTCACGCATGGCCGATAATATTTTGGTTATGGATGTTGAAGGTACCGATGGCCGTGAGCGCGGCGAAAACCAAGACTTTGAGCGCAAAAGTGCCCTTTTCGCGCTGGCCACGAGTGAGGTCTTGATCGTGAATATCTGGGAGCATCAGGTCGGATTGTATCAGGGAGCGAATATGGGACTCTTGAAGACTGTTTTTGAGGTCAATTTGCAGTTGTTCCTCAAGGATAAGAAGTAGGTTTTGCTATGGAATTTCGGGATTGGGAAACCGAATGTACTGATTGTTGTTATTTTGACAGCACAACACCTCGATCCCTGCTTTTCTTCGTCATCCGTGACTTTATGGGCTCGACGCCGCTCAAAAACTTGGAAGACACTCTTCTTGAAGACTTGTCGCGCATATGGGCATCGCTTTCAAAGCCCGAGGGCTTGGAACACTCCACGATTCATGATTATTTCGATTTCGCATTTTACGGGCTTCCACACAAGGGATACAAACCAGAAGAATTCTCTGCAGAGGTAAAGAAGCTAGGAACACGATTCCGAGAAGGCAGGAAAGGGCGCAAAGAGCAAGTTCTTGGCGAGTCTAACGACGGTGGGGTTTTCCTGCCAGAATATCACCGAAGAATTCCGGCCGATGGATTCGCGCATTATGCGGAGGGAATTTGGGATCAGATTATCAATAACAAAGACTTGGATTTGCCAACTCAGCAGGAATTACTGGCGCAGTTTCGATGCGATGAGATTGCCAGAGGGGTTGTCGTTGCGTTCGACGAAGCTATCATTCCATTCGAGGATAAGCAGGCTGAAGGGATTCGTGCTGGCGCACCGCTGGTTCTTGGAGGACTTGGCCCTGCTATGCGAAGTGCGCGGATGAAGACGCTCAAGAATTTCGAGACAGAAGCCAGTCGTTATCACAAGGGTGTTTACAAGCTGAAGAAAGCCGAGCTTGAGGGTAAAATCGACACGAGGTTAAAGGCTCTCTTTCACGGCCAACTCAATGCAGCCCACAAAGCAGGGGTCAAGGAATTCAGTGAGGCAGTGTCAAACGCAGTCAAAGCCGGCCAAAAGAAGGGCGCTAGCTACGACTTTGCAGAGATCGTGAAACAGGAAACCAAAGCTGCTATCGAGCGTTTCGAAAAAGAGGCACGCGCTACTCTCGTTGAAGGTGCACCGTGGAGCAATTACAAACAGGAGCTTCATTTGTATCAAAAAGATCTGGCAGAAGTCAGTGGCCAGTTGCGGCGGGATGAAATGCGCCGACTCGCTACAAGGGTTGAGCGATGGGTGCGATCTCGCTTGTCGGATTCGGTTGGGTTGGAATTCAACTCCCTCGGATCTGGACGAGGCGGGTCAGGTGCTCCTGAGACAGGAGACAAGCCTGCTGAGAACCAGATATGGGATCGTATTTGGAACCTGTTCGTTGAAACTGTGCTAGATGCCGAGCGTCGATTCACAGATCGCGCCACCAGCTTCGATGCCAGTGTTGACGAAGTCGACGTTGGTCTCTGGCGACTCCGGAGGAAGTCATGGGTTGCGCTCCGAGAAAAGGTCGAGGAAGAGATGATGGAAGGGAACCTGCTGCTGAAGCTGCGGGAGAACTTTGAAGATAAATTCCGCTATGACGAGGCCGGTGTGCCGCGAATCTGGCGTCCAACCGACGACATTGAGGGCATCTACACGCGTGCTCGCGAATCGACTCTCACCCTGATCCCCCTTCTCTCTCGATTCCGCCTCGCCGATAACAACTCCCCTCCACCGCTCGACCGATGGGTCGGCCACACACCCAGCTCGGTAACTGCCGCTGACGAGGAAGACCTAACCCCCATCGGCGGAGTAGATGAAGAGGAGGGCAAATCCCTCGAGGAAGAAGTCACCATTCTCAACGATGCCAAACGCCAAGACCTGACTGTGCGCTTCAAAAAGGCTGCTGATGGCGTCTACGTCGAAGCTAAGCGCAGCGCAATTGGAGGGATTACGCAGGTTCCTCTGTACTTTTATGGACTGCTCCTCGCACTTGGCTGGAATGAGATCTGGGCTGGTAAGTTGGCCCCCCAACATTTTCTTGTGAGCCTTGGTTCTAATATTATGCAGTTCTCCGTAACCCAGCATACTTTTTCCTCCTCTTTGTCTGCGCTGTCGGTGCATACGTCACCTATCAGCTCAACCTCTGGGGCCCGATTATGAAAATGGTCGACGCGGCATCTCGACAAGCATTAGAAGAAGGAAAGAAGCGCCTACGTGAGTTCCTCGAGTCGTCTGATACTGGTCGTCAAGCTATAGCTATGTCGGCGAATGCTACGGGGCATGGAGAGGAGTATGAGATGAAGTCGATGAATAAGAAGGTTGAGAAGGAGAATGATGATGATGATGATGATATCTAAAACATGACAAAAAAGTGGATACTATATTATGTGTGATCCGTATGAATTTATTTGGTTTTGATGAGTGTCCTCTCGTCACCGTCTGGGAGTGAATTGAAAAGACTAGTGACTATAAATGATACCTTTGGCAAGACTTCAATATCCAACAAAAACCACATGTATTCAATTTCTTCATCAGGGTATCGAATATCAAACATGCTATCATACAACTCAACCCAAACACAGCCCATCACTCAGCGGCTGTACATACCTCTCCCAATCCCCCTTCACCCCAACATCCACATTTTCAGCGACATTATTCCTATTACAATAACCCCCGGTATGATCCCGCTCACCCTCCAAATCCCTTCTCTTCCACACCCTTTCCACAATCCCTCTCACCCGCCCAACTGAACCCCTCGCAACTAGAGCCCGTTCATCATTCTCAAGAGCATCGAATTGATTCAAGAACCACACGCGCTCCGCATCGTCGCCAGTCGAGAATACTGCGCCGACGAAAAGCGGCCAGAGGTGCGCGGAGCGCAGATGGATTGGGGATAGGGGTTTGGTGTGTGCGATTATCTGTGTGATTAGGGATTGGGCGGTTGGAGAGTAAGGGCTTAGAGAGCGGAGAGTGGCTTGGAGGTAGAGAGTTGTTGAGGTGTGAATTAGGCGGGACGTGTGTTGGAGGATTGTGACTTCGGTGATGGAAGAAGGGGGTGAAGGAGAGGGGTGCGGTGGTATGGAGTGGGAAGTGGTAGGTGGGAGGTGCTGTGTTAGCGAGGACAGCTGGGTCTCGAGTTCTGAGGACTTGGCGAGCCAATTCCGTTGGTTGGTTTGGGGGTTGCGCTGTTGGGGTGGTTAGATGAAATGGGTTCGGTATGTTCGATGTTGGTTGTTTAGGGCTTACCAGGTCCCGTGCTAGATCTGTAATTTTGGAAATGATGTCGATCAATTCGTATGAACATCCAATTGACGGGTCAATCTAAGTCTGATCAGTCTGGAAATAAAAAAAAGGTGTATTATTGCAATTTTGGCTTACCTCGCTGGAATCTACTGGTGGCAGTTCGTTAATCTTCGCAACTTTGCCACACGCAGTCCGGCCCAACGCATCCTTGACGAGGAAAAACCGAGAAACAAATTCCACCACTTGCGGGGTTATTCCTCCAGTAGAAGAATGTGTAGATGCTAAGCGCATTAAATCAAGGGCCGCGCTAAGATGCGCTGACCACGATATTTGACAGTTATCTGACATCTAAAATTCGACTTGTCAGCATCGCATAGCTTAGTACAATGAATGAAACATACTTCAAACACGCAGAGCATGAGTACAACAATCACATTAGCATCATTTGCAGCAGAGACTGCGTTCGACGCGATATATTCTCGGAGAAGCTGCATGCTTCGTTGTTTATGCCGTAATGCAGTTAGATACAGATGTCTTTGACCTCGTGCGGTGAGTGACAAGGCACCGATAGCAAGGACCATGTGCATTACCGCCTCGTTAGATAAAGCCAATGGGAGAACCAAATGGCGGAAGAGGTTAGTTGAAGAATCGAGAAGGGGGATAACGTTGGAGACGGATTTGTTGTCTGCACTTATTAAACATTCCATCGTAGCCAAATTAATTAGAGAGGACTTACAGTAGTTAAATAGAACTGGATCAATCCGACTGTCAGTATCTCGGGCAAAAAATAATGTCGGCACCATGGAGGGAGAAGCATGTAATGCGTGACGGTGTTGATCATGCCAAAGAGGCCCGTTATCGAAATTTAGTCCTTCGACCATAGGCACGGCGATGTTGCCCTCGAGGTCTGACGTGAAAGTATTGAGAAAATACCTTCCACCTTGGTCTCTGGGAAAGCTCAACCAGACCGACGATTTAGAGGCCGAGAGGCCAGCGCGATCTGTCCGTGTCGTGCGGCCATGCTTAATCCCGCGCTTGCGGGCGTCGTCTTCCCATTGAAGTTGAATTCCATAGCTGCATGTCCTATTATCATTGTAGCAGCGGCTGCAAATTGGTTTATTTTCTTTTTTTCCCGTTAGCTATTCATACATTTCTTATGTAAAAAAATGACGTACCAGGACAGCGCAGTTTGCGGCTCTTGCATGTGAGGCAACCACCGCGCGAATGGGTTACTCTGCGGCCAGTTCGCTTCTGTGGTGATTTCCCCTCTAGTGTCATTAGTTTAAATATTATTTAGAAGTCTGCCCTTTGTTTTTGCTAGTTCTCTCTAGTATGAGAAGATTGCTGTTACTGTAATGTTCGAAGTCGCCGCTGTGGGGTAAAAATTGGTAGAAATCTGGATTTACTTAGGTAAGCCTTGTCCAATGTTACTGGTAGTTTGGTGGACAATGATCTGGATCACAAAATAATATAATGTGCAGATACAGCTTTATTTATACTTGATTGCTATGTGTGAAGCTTTTTAACGAGGAAAGGGGATTTCATACACATATTTCAAGGCTCAGGGCCTTCGATATTTGATAGCTGTGACATTTGAAGATACGAAAGTCAACCGGCTGAACTACACTTGTCGGGTGTCTCGAAATGTTAGTCAAGTGTTTACTAAAATTCAAGGGTCAGATTTCAGGGTTATATAAGAAAATCCGGTGATTATATATAATCGATAGATTTTAATACTATAATTTATTTTTAACTCTTACCTGACGAATAAGTTAAATTATCATACTTTCGTACCACACGCTCATTTTATAGTTCCTAAGACGTCTATTAGAATACTTGCTTTAACGGTCACAGTACGCAGAAATCCATTCAAGAATGAAGTTATCAGCAATAAAATTATTCCCCCTCAACTTCTGTCCCCAGAAAGCTCACATCCAACGTTGAGGCAAGTGAAAAATGAAAATCTAATCTAGTGTCGATCATTTGGATACATCTGAAGCAATCCGGTTAAGGATCTCATGATGATTCACGCCCCACGTGTTGCATTCTCTCGTCACGATATCATCGACCCAGTCGCCCCGCGGCGAAAAGCGAGCCCTGAATGGCAGCGGCTTGGTGACCAGTCCATCGGTGCCTTTTGTGTCTACAACGACGGGCTCGCCCGTCTCTGTCAGCTCACGCTTCACATCGAAGGCCCACAGGAGGCGGGCAATAGCAATCCATAAGCCGTTGCGCGCAACATGACGGCCGGGACATATGCGGCGTCCGTACCCAAATCCAACGGTTGGAAGCTCTTTTTGTGTGGATTTGACGTTAAGCCACCGCTCTGGCACGAAAGCTTCCACGTCGGGACCAAAAACAGCTTCCTCACGCGTGATGGACCAGTGGTTGGGTATGACGACCGAATTGGCTGGGATGCGGAATCCCTCGTAGCTGGTCTCGACTTTGGTGAAGTGCGGCACGCCCGCGGGGCCGGCAGGTCGCCACCGCAACAGTTCCTCCAGGATGGCTTCGATATAGGGAAGTGCAGGTCGGTCCTCAAAGCCGGGCAGCCTTTCGCGTCCCACCGTAATGTCCAGCTCCTTCTGGGCCCCGGACATCCAGTCGCGGTGGCCCTCGGTTATGCAGGCCACCACGAACCACATCATGGTTTCGGTACTGGCGTCGAGTGCGGCATCTGCCATGATGCCAATGTCGAGCGCCAGCTCCGTAGTCGGCATAACGATGGACTGGGTGTCCACGGCCTCCTGCATCTGCTTGGCTATGTTCCAGCTGCTGCTGGCCAGGCCGCGCTCGAGGTTTCCCACGTGCAGCGCGCATTGCCGTTGCCAGTGCAAAGCAGCTTCAGTCTTCCATGGTGCCAGGAATCGTGGCAGCTTGTTCAGCACAGGAAATGAATCGACCAGGTACTTCCCAACTTGCGCTAGATGGTCAAACTCGTGGTTGACAGCGTGGGCCTGCAGAAGGATGGGATCTACCGCCGAGTGAACACGATAGCCGTAGAATAACGAGTATATGATGCTGGCGGTCATGCGTTCCATATAGCCGTGGCAATTAGTGGACCGGCCAGCGTCTTCCAGCAGATCGAACAGAAGCTGCTTTGACTCGAGATCCTGGAAGGGAAGATAGGCTCTTGCCGCGCTCTTGCTCAGGACTGGGCTCTCCAGTCTCTGGTGCAGCTTGAAGCGCTCATCGTATGGTCGCAAGAGCATATGCATTCCCTGCAGGGCCAGCTCATGGGCAACCTACCAGAATTATTAGATAATGGGTATGGAGGCAGGCGAATCAGCACTTACGACAAAGCGAGGTCGGTCCGAAAAGATGGCGCCCTGCTTGGCCAGGAGATCATGAGCTGCTTTTGAGCTCGTCAAGACAATCACGTGCTGCCCAGCCATGTTGAGATGGATGATGGGGCCGTACTTCTTGCTCCAGGCATGGTACTGGAGCCATGGATATGACTTGGGTGCTTGGTGGACGTTACCGAGAATGGGCAAGGAGGGCGGACCTGGCGCAAGCGGCAAGGATGACTTGGGCTTTGCAATATAATAGAAATAGAGTGACACGATGATCACAGCGGCAGCCGCGTACACGGTTGATGAGGCCATGGCTACAAAAATAAATGTGATAATGATGCAGTGATGCTTTGAAAGCAAAGATTAACGCCACATGTCTGTGTGACGGCCTGTCAAATAGTGTGAGGGGTGGTCCGTCTTACATGTGTGTATGTGGAAAACTGTCAGCCGCAGACATTCTTTGCTAACAAGTTGTCATCAATTGATTTGGTGTTGGTACTAGTTGGCATATGTAGATCTGGCGCTACTCGACTGGCCTGGTTCCTAGTCTTTTCTGCATAGATATTTTATATATAGTATCTACATGTATACATATATATATACCTTCGGCCCCTCAAGACTTGGAATTTCATGCCTTTTTCAAATGTTGTTTGTTTCAGAGACCACCCTTGCCCCCTAGTGCCGCTAAAGGCGCCGGTTATCCATAGTGCCTCAAACGGGAGCTAAGGTACGGCGGACTGTCAGCCAAGAAATACCATATATTTATTTTCAATATATGAAAATATCAAATCTATGCGTGTCAATAAAACTTACTAGTGGATTACAAATTTTGTCGTTAAGACCAAATCTGCTGGTGTACTAGGGCACAAACCTTGATTCAGTGGTCTCTTAAGATTCAAAACAATCATAGTATCACTATTATGCTTATATAGAATGGGGATACCACAAAGAGCCTATCCTCGGGATGAACTTCAAAATTAGTGGGATACCTTCCGCGGCATTTAGTTCTTTATTTGATGATTAGACCCGTTATATATTGTGAAGGGTATAGATCGTTGTCTACGGATTATCGGCAATAACCCCATCAAGTATTATTAAACCCAAACGCCGTCCGTCCACCTTCGGTACTTGATACACAGACTCATACTTTGTTATAAATCGATATATATCTAATCCATGCTTTCTTTCTACGAACAGCGAGGCCAAACGTCGAGAAAGCTCGGTTTAAAGTGCTGGGTTGCACTTTTCTTTGTCCAACGCCGTTCTCGAACCTCATTCGATCAGACTGAAAAGGGCCATTTAGAGAAAGCTCATCCGTCATTAGACGAACGGCGAGATGAATAGTGAAGAATAGTCAATATGCTACTCAAAGAGGCATTCACGCCTTTGATATCAGTATTGTTTCCACTTCCATTTCCACAGCTCTTATTGCCGCCCATTTCTATACTCGGTTGGTGCTAGTTAAGAGCCAAGGATTGGATTATTATGCCATGTTTAGCGCCTTGGTAAGGAAAACAATCCGATTAATTCAAAAAAGGACACTAATAAGGAGGGGTTTTTGGTAACATTTGCATATGGTAAGTGCAGGTCTGACTCTCGTCGTCGGTGTTGTACATTTTTTAACGCTATTACAGAAGCCAACTATGGAGCTGGTAAACATACGGGCGAACTTCCGCCCAATATAATCAATAAACAGCTAATGGTGGGACAACGAGTCTTCTCAAGCCTAATTGCTACCCCAGGTATTGACAACGCACAGTTCATATGGGCTAGTATCCCAGAGTATCAAATGACTTTTTTCAGCTCCAAGATTTCCATTATATTACAATACCGCCAATACTTACCACTCAGCAGATGCAACATTCCTGCAATGTTCTACTCGTCGTTATTGGCATTCACGCGGCTTGGACCTTCCTGAGCGCCTGACTGACCTGTGTACCTGTGGCTAAATTCTGGAACAACAGTATTGACGGTCATTGTCTGAGTAAAGGAGGTTTGTGGTTCTCTAAGTCTGGCATGCGTATTGCTAGCGACTTGATCATCCTCGTGCTGCCGATGCCCGTTCTCAAGTCTTTGCAATTGCCACGACAACAAAATATTGCTTTGATGGCTGTTTTCGCTGTGGGTATCTTGTATGTTTTACACTTTAACTGCCCACATCTTCTCATTAAATAATTGACACTAACCACAGCCAGCGTTGTTGTCACGACTATTATCCGCCTGCGAAGTCTTTTGGTAATTTCCAAGTCTTCGGATCCTACCTGTAGGCCATGCCTTTACATCAGATTAACTATATCAAACGCTGACAAAACCATCCTTAGATGATGTTATCGGCACTGTAACTTGGTCTGCTATTGAATGCAACGTTGCCATTATTTGTGTGTGTCGTCCTCCCATCAAACCGCTTTTATCTAGGTATATTCCTAGTGTATTCGGCTCCTCCATCGCTGCGGAAAGCAAAGCAGTCACCAATAGATTTCTTCGTCGCTCAGCTACCGCCGCCATCGAATACGACGACGAACAAGTCCTACACACCTTCAATCGTGACTGTCGCACAAACTCCGATGTTGGTCATAATACCATCAATACGAGTGCTGACAATTTGAATGAACGAAAATGGATGGAATCAAAGTCACAACTTTGCTACACCAAGAATCCAAGTTGAGAGATGAGGAGTCTGAGAGTACGAAGGGTCTTTTTTATTATTAACAGGTTGTGACAATTGATTTTCTTTTCGTCTATGCAAGGTAATGACTACTTCCTTGTTTTTTGTACACTTATCAGTTTTGTGAAACACTTACTTGATCGGTGTTATGAAATGTATTTCGGGTCGTTACTAATCTTAAAAGATATGAAATATATAGGATACTGAGGGCATCCAAACAGCTGATCTGTTTAATCACCTCCAAAAATTGCCGAGCTGGTGAATCCATGCGTGCCCCCGCTCGGAGCATCTCCGACTCCCAATAAACGCGGGGCCTTCCAGCCTCTTACTGAGCCTGCAGCAGAGATTGCAGTCAGGCGGGAAAAATGCCGGATATTCTACGGCTAAAATATCTTGCTGGTGTTCGCAATTTGCTCTTCTATTTCTCAACTATGGAAAGCCACCTAATCAACTTGATTTCGAGAATATCATCATCCGATCTCGGCTGACGCCAACAAACAGTTGCCATTGTAATCTTCCGAACTTAATAAGGAAAAAAAAATACTGAAGATGTCGACACTTCCTAAATACGAGGATCTTCCTGATCCCCGCCGCTATTGGCCTGCTCCAGCCAATTCCTACGAAGAAGGTCTGGGAATGTTGCGACTCCTTACCCCCGAGATCGTCGCCAACGCCGCTCGCAACGAGATCCAGACCGGCGAGCGTGTCTGTCTGAACTGGGAGCTCGAGAAACTTGATCCCCCTGGGTTCGGACGCAGACGATTCCAACATTTAATCAAGATTGTCGAATGCAGCAACGGAGCAGCGCTAGACGACGAGTATCATTTCAACCCTCAACAATCCTCGCAGTGGGATGGGTTAAGACACCACTCTGCGCCTTGGCCAGACCATAAAAGAGAAGAGAAAAAATTATGGTACGGCGGTACAACACTCGAGGAAATCATCGAAACAGACTCACCACGTATCGGAATTGGGCATTGGGCGAAAAAGGGAATTGCTGGACGCGGAGTATTGATTGATTATGCCTCGTGGGCAGAAAAGCACAAAGGGCTGAAGCCAGATTATGCATTAACCCGGCATAGAATTAGTCTGGATGATGTTCTTGCTATTGCGAAGGAAAGCAAAATTGAGTTTCAACATGGTGATATACTCTTCCTCCGCGTCGGGTTGCCGCAAACGTGGAATGCGATGAGCGAGACACAAAGGAAAGAATACTCTGAGCAGCAGATGCCTTCACATGCCGGTATCGAGCAGTCTGAGCGTGTCGTTAAATGGTTGTGGAACAGCCATTTCGCGGTTGTTGCGAGTGATGCTGTTAGTTTTGAGGTTTTCCCGCCTATGGAGAATGACTGGGACCTGCATCATCATCTTTTGGCAGGCTGGGGAGTGCCTATTGGGGAGATGTTTGATTTGGATGGGCTCGCTGAATTGTGTAAGCAGCATAATAGATGGACGTTTTTTGTGAGTAGCAGTCCTTTGAACTGTGGCCGGGGTGTGAGCAGTCCACCCAACTGTATGGCTATCTTTTAAGTCTTGAAGCTGTCAATTTTTATGCATTTCCCAACAAATGAAATTTGAATGGCGTATAATCCACAGCCCAGATGATATATGACCCAGAACTTCCATAACTCCTTTGACGAGCCTCAGGCTACTATAAAGCACGTGAATAATGCAGACGCCATACGTCAAAAAAGAATTTCCCAGTCAACATTTGAACTTTCCAAACGTCAAATATCATCATCAAGTCGAGAGTATTAATTACGATCCGAGTGGTTACCTTCGTATCCGCAGTTCTCTACTGTTGTTCGTTACTTAGATAACCTTATCTATCTCAACAATATTGACAATATATACTAGCCCAATAGTATCACAGAGTGTAGCTATCTCCTACGAGAAAGATCATCAGAAGGCCTTTCTGAGTGCCTTAGTCTCAGGTTGGTTCATTCTAGTAGCAGCCTTTTCGAGGCTTGCAAAAGTTAGTTCTTGCGCGGAATCAACAGTGAGAATCTAACCTTGATGACGGGTCGAAAGCTCTAGGTGGGATTTATCAAGACAAAGTCGGTCTCTCTGATCCGGTCATTCTGTCGCGGCATCGTGAGAGCGGTGTTACTGATCTTAGTTCCAACGGCATAAAGTTATCCTTCACTCAGCATATATTTAACTAGTTCTGTCGTCCAAATTGGCAGAAACCAGCGAATCCCCTTCAGCACTTTAACCCAGTACCTGGCTCGGCCATGTTCAGGAGTACAATTCCTTCGAACCTTTTCGGATCCCAAGATACGAGGATTTTTGGTTAGCATGCCCTACTACCCTAGTTAACTTTTTAAGGTCAATCATGGTTCACATGGGGCCTTGTTCAGATACTTTACCATTCGATGTTTAGGCTTTCATCTTTACGGTACTATCAAATCCAGACTTAAGCATATATATGATGAGAGAGGTGAAACGCTATTTCTAGTCAATCATGAGAGCATGTTTTTGTTTCTTTCTAATTCAAAAACCATATTTGAACCGCAATGTGGAGTGTAGATCATACGACGCCGATTATTCTTCCAGATTCTCATTTTTCCACAAACAGGATATTTCGAAAATAGGCTAATTTTTTGCCGCATTTCCCCTGATATATTGTCTCGCGTGGATAATATTTAGAATTTCTAGTTCTTCCTCTTAATGCCATTATTCATGACTGTGCTGACGTCGGTCCGTACCAAGACCATACGCCACTGAATGTAAGAACGAGCCGATAGCTCGAGGGTTGCTGTTGAATGGGAATATCACGCGGGGAAATGAATTGACTGTGGCGCAGATCATCCCGACTAATAAACTCGCCCTGCGCGTATAGCTATTTGGGCAGGGCTCCTATACCCATTCCACTTTTCAAATGTTGTGGTGCTATTTCAAACCTTTGTCATCCCTACTGTAGATTTATTTCATGCTACAGAGTCGGAAGTTCCATAATAGTATTGAACTTACTGATCTTTTTTGACGCAGTCGCGAATATGTGTCAAGACACCCTCAAGGCATCATCCTAGCGCTGAATGTGAACATTGCAATGACTCGTGAAAGCAACATTGTATCCACAGTCGCAGCTACTGCGAAGAATAATAATACTGTCACTTTGGTTGGCACAAGCGGACAGATCGCAGCTGACTCTCCGTGCTGTGGACTAGACACTCTCATTTTGTTTCTAAATGATAAACGCTTCTTTCATGCGGTATAAGATCCTGCCCTCCCGTCAGCTGTCCTGCGGCGATCCATCAAGGGGTTAGCCTCGCGCAAATATTTCGTAGTCGATATTGCTTGGAATGAAGTTCATTTTGACAAAAGCAAGTATCACATCGCGTGCTGGGTCAGGAGCTACAGCTACGGTTTGCAGTCAACGGGGAGCGGTATACAAAGCCCATCAAAACAACTGTCGGGGTATCGTATATTGTAATTCCTATCAGCTAGTAATACTCAATCGTTGAATATTGTGCTCGGCTCGGAGTATCCTTGCCTGGCGTCTCAGGTTGATGCAGAACAAGCCAAGTAAATAGTGTTGAAGCAAGACAATTAATTGCAGTAGGAATCGGCGAATCACAAGAGCCGAACAGCGGGCCGTACCTCGGCATTATTTCTCGGCTGCCCATCTTTCTGTGAGTGTTGAGATAAACTGCTTTCCCTTCGTTAAGCACGCTTGAAATGGTGATGTTTGATATCGTTTAAGCGCAATTGCGTAGAAGCGACTCTAGTCACAATACTACCTTGTCTAATTGGCACCATACACGGATCATCCCATCTACAACTCAACCAGAACCAACAAATATTAGACCATGGCGTTTCTTTCTATGCTGACGCCTTCTTCGCTGCTTTCGATGTTGCTGTCATGGCGAACGCTCTTTATTTTATTCGCTTATGTCAACAAAAAGTCCCTGCCTTTTGGGTGGACAGTGCGTATACCTCCATGCCCTCCAGTCTCCAACCCTATGATAATTTGGCTAACCCATTGAACCCGATACAGGCGAGTGTAACATGGGCTATCGTCAAAAACCTGCGGCGCAATCCATCCCAATTCATATTTGACTCGAATAAGCCAGTCGACGTCAAAGGCCATCCTACCCACCCCGTCTTTGCTGTCGCGACAATGAACACCTACACGTCTCTTTTGGAAACAGACTACAACATCCACAAGTCCAACAGCACGTATTATGCCGACATGGATATTTCGCGCACACACTGCGTCACGCGGCTGTACACACCCGGTAACAAGATTGTGAACAAGGAACTCGACGAGGAAATCGCCGCTGCTGCTGTCGCTGAGGGCAAGCCACGGCCAACCAAGTCACAACCCTTTTTCATTGCTCTCGGGGGCGCGTATTGCTCATTCAAGCGAGAGCTGAAGCCGTTGGAGAAGTACGACATCAAATCATACATGGCTGCCTGGGACGAGAAATGGATGTATATCATGACCTACTTCATCAAGCCGGAGAAGAAGAGAGGCGCGGGACCGACAATAGCGGCGATTGGTGTGAGCAAGTACTGTATCAAAAAGGGGCGTCTGACAGTCCCTATTGAGCGAGTACTTCGGGCTAGTGGATATCTGCCTCCTCGGCCAGAGGGCGCAACGCCAGTGCCTGCAGTGCGAGTATCGGGCAATGCATCAACTACTGGCACACCGAAGGACGAGGGTCTTACGTCTGCAGTGGATGGCGTCAAGTTGGTTGATGAAATGTCTAAATTGGGAAATCAGGATTGGGAGATGGTGCAAAAGCAGAAGACGGAGAACGCAGGGTCGTGGAATGGAGAAGAGTGGACGTGGGAGCGCATCGAGGCCCAGCGCAAAAAAGGGCTCGAATTGATCCAGGGCTATATTGGCTTGGATAATAGACTCTACGATGATTGGAATAATTGATTTTGTGAAATGTAGATTTTTGTACATAATAGAGATTTATACATAGTAATCATGCTTTTTTGAATGCACATGTTTGATAATGAATTTCTATTCCAACCATAGAAAATTAAAACATATGGTATTACAATCTCGAAATCTAAATGATCGAAAACCCCAAACGCCATGTATATCCATGCAGTCGTGATAAAGTTGAAAATGTGCTCGCAGGAGAGGAGATAATGACATGCAAAGGCCTCGGAATTCTATCAAAACTTTTGCCGATAAGCGAATAATTACTCGCTTTCACCTTTCTCTGTCTCCTTATTCTTGTCCTCGTTGTCATCGACCGTTTCTTCCTTCTCTTCGCTCTGCTCTTCTTTCTTATTCTCCAAAGCTTCTTGCTGCTCCTTCAACTCATGCTCGAACAGCGGCTTGTGGCGCTGTCTCAGCTTCGCTTCTTCAGCAGCAACCATGTCCCGCCACAGGTCAGCATTCTCGTCACGTCGCTGATGTTCAGGCATGCTAGATTCCTTAGCAGCTTCACGGCCCTTCTTAGCCGTATCAAGAAGACCCTGACCCTTACGCTGATCATGAATCTCAAACGCCGCACTGGCACACATAACTGCAAGCGTAAGACCCTGCGCATACACACGAGCCTGGACAATCTTCTGCTGGCCCGTCAAATACGGGTTGCGGCCCACTAAGACAAAGCTACCGATAATAGAGGCAATCCAGGTCACACCAATAATTTTGTATTTTTCTTCACGCGCCCAGGCAGTCAGCCGATTCGAGAATGACATTTGGGCGAGTTCTTCGCGTCGGAGTCGTTCTTCACGGTTCTCAAGGTATCGCATGTTGACGTTGCGCTCTGCTTCGTATTGGCGAGAGGCATGATCAGCAGCAATGATGCCGACGAATGTGCCAGAGGATGTGACGAGGAATGCTTTCATGGGGAGAGTCAGGTTGCGGATTGTATGGAATCGGCGAGATGCTGCCATGACACCGGCGAGACCGCCGACGAGACCGATGGCTGTACCTACGGTGCCTCCTTGGACGACCGATCTGTAGTCATATTAGCATGTTGACCTAGATAGTTGTCGAGCTGTGTAATAGTTCCCATTGGCATACCGGTAGTGAGCAGCCTCTTCTTCCTTCGTTAAGAGCTTCATGGTTGATTGTACTCAGTATGTGCTTGCTGAGTGCAATATTAATTGGTCGTGTTGACGAAATGTACAAAGTATTCACAACAATCGAGTTTATTTTATGGACCTGGTTGAGTATGTATCAGTATGTGGAGGCGTTGCTGTTATAAACCATTTGCCCGGCGCCGTGAAGGAAATAGCTCGGTGACCTCAGGCTTACGTGCAAGCCGGATTTCCACGATCGCATAGCTTTAATATTCTACTTGCGGTTTAGCGCTACCGAGTCTCACCCGAGACGAGCTTCGGGAGAGTCCGGTGTCAGTGTCTGCAGCTGTGATTGGTTCAGTGGCTCTTCCGGACTGGGATAGCTGTCTGCTTCTAGAATCTTTTCATTACTACTCGTATATTCGGATAACGTAAAACAACAGCCATCCTTCCGCCCACCCCCACACCATATAAAATGTCCATTTTATACGATGTATAGGGGTGGGCGGATGGCCGTTAGATTACGTTAGAACTAGGGAGTTTATTCAGCGTCGTAAAGAAGAATGTCGTCATATCGCATGCAACGGCTGGCTGCTGAGAAATTGTCATGTATGCACTAATTATTCAAGCTACTATCCATGCACGAACGATAAAAAAAACTCCATGAATATTCCTGGTCAACTGCTGCGCCGAAGAGAAACCCAATATATCAATCCGATTAAATACTTAGACTCACAAACGCCGTAAATGATATCGCGACCAACCGTCGACAAAAAGACGATGGGATAATAAAGGCAACGCCACACATACTGGCTGTCTGAGAACGAATTATTTGCGCGATGCTTTACCAGCATTCAGCTGGCGTGCTTTCATCCTTCTGAAACGATCTTCTCCGCTTGCTCCGACGGGACGGGCGAATTTGCTGTCTTGAATGACAGTTGAACGAGGAACAATACTATACGAGGTGTGACCCATCTCGCGACGAGCACGATTAGCCAAACGTGGCGGCAGAAGTTCCTGGGCACGCGCTTCTTCGGCGGTACGTTGCGCAATATTGCGATTGACAAGGCGCCTGCTCACGTTAGCTCAAACCATCATCTGCACCTAGGGTATATAAAAGTAAACATACGTAGGATCAAATTCAACCTCTTCATAGACTCGCTTAGAGTAATCATCAGATCGCTGGAGAATCGGGCGAGTCCAATCTGCAAGGAGTCGTTCCGCCTGTCGTTTGATCTTGAGCTCGGGTTTCTTGCTCTTAGTGTAGAAAACAATGACTTTGCCAATACCACTAGCGATGAGAGTATCTTTGTTGATAGGAAGCTTGCCAAGCACATCCAGCAAGTCACGCTGAATGTTGTATGCAGGTAGCTCGCCATCGTCGAGTGGCTCCAAGAAAAACTTCACAGCTTCCAGAAGATTGATTTCGGGGTCTACCAGACTAGCAGTGTACTGGTTGCGATTCAACAGATTCAAAACCTCTGGTAACATCTTGAGTTTGTGCATGGCGGGTTGGCCCTCTCGGCGGGCTGCAGCATCAAGTCGGGCAGCGTCCGTCATGCGTTTTCGCATGTCTTCAATCTCTTGGTCTGCCATTTGTTCCAGATCCTGAATTTGTTAGTCTCTCTGTAGAATAATCGTGTGGTGAATCATACAATGCCATCAGCTTTTCGCCTGCGTCTCTGTGGCTTCTTCATGGAGGCGTCCAAAGCGCGGTCCAGGGCACGTCGTCGTCCTAATATATTTATCAACCACAATCCTCAAAATAAATACCTAGCAACAACAGAGTCATAATCTACCACTTACGTTCTTCAGGGCTTAGCGTCTCATCATCCTCTGGCGTGGCAGCCCTCTTAGCCTTCGCTGATCTTCGACGAGTCGCCTTCCCGTCACCTGATTCACCATCCGAGTCCGCCTGATTGCGTTTCTTCTTCTCTCGGCGGCCCTCCCTATGTCTTCTCGGTTCGCCATCTTCTCTCTTGCGCTTATGGCGGCCAATAAGCTTCAGGTTCTCAGCGTCGACATCTAATGCTGGACGGTCCTCGATATCAACGTCATCGGGGTTAAAGTCTTCAAATTGCGCTTCGTCGACTTCTGACAGTACGGATTCATCGTCAGAAAGGTCTGGCTCGTCATCCCCAGCTGCGCCTGTGTCGTTGAGGTCATCAAGCTCCTCTTGCAGCTCATCCCGGTCCAGTGCTGGAGATTGGGCCTCAGCCTCTGGTGATGCAGACATTGTGAGTGATTTCTATCCCTGTCTGGCACCGCAACACAGAAATAGCTATCTATGAGCGAAACCGTTCTATCCAGAAAACAGATGTCGTCAGGAGGTGAGGTGAGGATGGTTAGGACAACGAGAGAAGGTCGCGGTGGCTGGAGCAAGAAGCGGCTAGCCCAAGAAACTTCGCCAGAGTCGGTGTGGCCCGTGCGTCTGGCGCGATTCAAGCTCGCCGCAAAGAATATGATGCCTCCATCATCAATTCACAGCAAGCCAAGGTCTCTGCCATCACAGCTCTTTTAGCCTCTAACAATCACCAAGACTTATTTACTGTACACTGAAATAGACATTGTCAATATGTTTGGCGGCGGAGGTGAGATTTCTATTGTCTTCTGCGGACGTTTTTGCTCTTTGACAGTACTTTGGCTAACTAATATTGCAAATAGAGCAACGACTTTCTAAGGAGGAGATCGAGGTATGGTTACCATGCTCTAATTACCCTAGAACCCGTGGACTTGCCACTTAAAGGGTCCTCGCTTCAGACCCGTCACGATCAATGAAAAATTCACCACGATACCATTTGCGAATTCTAAATGACGTTGTATCTTGACAGGCCGGTGAGATCGAAGCGCAACAGACCGTTCGATTTGCAGTTGCTACTGGCATTCTCCTTTACCTCTGTAGGTAGCCATCCTGCCAATAAATATTTTCACTTACTAATGGCATCAATAACAGCGCCTTTCGCTGTTGACTTCGTGAAGAAGTTCCTGTGATGCCTCATGCCTACCACCGCATACAAAAATGAATATCTACTCGGAAGTGTGCATGTATAAATTTTGATGGCTAGCTTCATCCTTGTGTTTCTATTCCATGTACTATAAGTAGACTTTGGGGTATCATTTTTGCTATTGCCTTTGTCGTCTTTAAATTGAATATGCTACGGATACTCGATTCATTTTTGACTCCCAACCCGACTAACTACTAAGAAGAACGCTCAACGCCTAATCTTTATCCCACCTTGATTAAAATGACTTGTGCAGAAAAGTTGCTGTCGCATCAACCCCATGCGAAGAAAAGAAGTCAAGTAATATCAAGAAAAGTAACCCAAGTTGCATTAAGAAGCGCAAATAATATGCTCTGCGTTAACAACTCTAGTGGACATTTGCACCCACGGCTTTCTGGGCTTCGTCTAATTCCTTGTTTATGGACACCAGCTCCTTCTGTAGGTGCTGGATTTGAGAAGCGTAGTCTTCGAGAATCTGTTATCAATGTCAGTTTAGTTGAATGGATGCAAAAATTGAAAAGCACCATACCTTTTTCGCAGTTTTGATCACATTTTCATCAAGCGATTCCTCAACATCGTTCGCAGCATTAGAACCAGCTCGCTCAATTTCGGCAGCAAGCCGCTTAGAGTGTTCACGAATGGCAAGCATTCTTGCCCAAATTTCTTCAGCACGTCCGGTTATTGATGGATCAAAAATGCCTCTTTCCAACTGAACCAGTTTCTTTTTAAGTTCTTCTTCTGCGTCATCCATAGCGTAACCACGATTTCGAAGGACTTGGGTCTTTGCAGCAAGCGATAAACAGCGTTGACTCAATATAACATGTTTTCTCCGACAGTCAGCAATTTTTACCGAGATTTTGAGGTCATGGCGAGATAACAGGTCAGTGAGACATTGATTGATTTCGTGCAGGCGAGTCTGCATGATACTGAGGAAGTCCTTTTGCCTTTGAGCACGTTTCCCAAGTTCCCAAAATCCTTTCACAAGAACTGGAACATAACCTGGCTCAGGCCGTGACTTCAGCGCTTCCTCCCATTTGGTCACGTCGTCTTGAATGCTGGGCTGGTAAAATGGTGCTTGATCCTCTCCCACAAAGTTATACAAATATGTACGAAAAGGTGATGTCTGGTTTGTAGGGTCCCACTTGTCCCTGATTATCTCCATTTGCGCTGGCACCGTTCGGTGTACTATAATATGTCAGTCGAACATTCAAGACATGTTAAGAGAAAGTCATACCCCCAGTAACCGCACGGCCTGGGGACCAAAGCGAGGATCCCAATTGTGGCTGGTTCATTGTCTGCCCTAATTGTGGTTGCGGTTGGGGCTGTTGTTGGGTTTGTTGCTGCTGGTTCGCAAATAGAGATCCTCCGCCGAACAGCGACTGTTGTTGCTGTGGCTGTTGTTGTTGTTGTTGTTGCTGCTGCTGCAGTGCATTGTTTGTTGCGCCGAAAAAGCTAGTACCTGTCTGTTGGGGTTGTTGGGGTTGCTGGGGTTGCTGTGCAGGACCTCCAAACAAACTTCCTGCAGGCTTCTGCTGAGCAGTCGAGCCAAAGAGACCACCTGACTGAGGCTGGTTTTGTGTCTGTGTCTGTGTCTGCGTCTGCTGACCTCCAAACAGTCCCGTGGGTTGATTCTGTGTTTGTGTCGATCCAAACAAGCCTCCTGAAGTCTGTTGTTGAGGCTGGTTCGCAGACGATCCAAATAGACTCTGCCCTGTCGCGGGTTTATTCTGCTGCGTATTACCGAATAGAGAGCTCCCTGTCGACTGCTGCTGCGTGTTTCCAAATAGACTTGGCGTCTTATTTGCGGTGCTATTGGCAAAAAGGCCACCGGATTGTTGCTGAGGTTGAGCGCCGAATAACGACATGATGGAAACTGTTTTCCAACACTGTACAACGGATAGTCACCACGATTTTCCAAGCGCGACAATAAAACAGTCTCGCAGAACCGAAGACCAGAATGCGAGGTAAATGAGCGACTAAGTCAATTAAATCAAGCCATGTTATGAAAATAAAAGAATTATGAAAAGAGCAGCTGAGGAAGCTATTGAGAGGAACAAGCTTGTTCGCGCGGAGGTGCCTTGCCTGGAAAAACATTAGCCGCAGCAGGGCTAAGATGGTACGATCACGTGATATATCCAATGACAAGAAACTGATGGAATATAGAGCCCAATCACGCCTAATAAGTTATTCTGAAAGGTGAAGTCCGCACTAATACAAAGCATCAACAGCTTATTTCTCTTTAATTTTATTGTATATCTTCACTCTCATTCGATGATCATATTCGATCCGGTTATGTAAGCAGAAAATACAGCTTCGGGAACGACGGACCAATGAGATCTTCGCTAAAGGCCTTACCGTGAACTTCACAGCTCCTCAACTCCGTCCTCTATTTCATATTCAATTGGCATTGCGTTCCCAATCTACTCTCACAACCGCCAAGATGGCTTCCAGACAGCCCCAGTATGATTTACGATCTTTCTATCTACCCATGTCACTCAATTGCTAATTGCCTGATCGAACAGATTTAACCAGCACATCCTCGTCGACACGACGCCCATGCCCGATGGCATTCCCAAGGTTCAAGAGATCGGTGCCACCTCTGCTCCTCTGATGAGCGCCTCGTTCTTTATCGGTGACCGCTGCCGAGCATATAACGATGACTACATGAAGTGTAAGGCGGAAGCCAACGGCCGAGGAGAGTTCGAGTGTCTGAAGGAGGGTCGCAAGGTCACCCGTTGCGCCGCCAGTGTGTACGTATCTTCCCCGCGAGATTTCGTTGCATTTGGATTTGGATTTGGGAGCAAAGAAAACTGATTGTTGGGTAGTATCAAGGATATCAACACACACTGCTTGAAGCAATTCAATGCCCATTGGGGGTGTCTCGAGAACAATAACCACCATATGTTCGAATGCCGAAAACCAGAGGTGGAATTGAACAAATGCGTTTTTGAGCAACTTGTTTGTTCCCTTATCTTTATATATGGTTTCGTCTCACTACGACTTACTGATATGCAATTATAGGGGCTGAAGAAGGAAATCCCCGGAACACCATCCAACGTCACACCTGTTCACCTACGACCAAAGCAACTCTACGCTCAATATCCCGGAAACCAATATTAGAATGCTAGATTTTAAAAGGCATAATTCTCATTTTCTCACTCCGATTTCCCTTCTGGAAGAAATGTGTGTATATATTAGCTCGCTGTAGGAATGATATTATCTCTATAAAATGAATACAAAATGCAACACCTAGAAGTATGCATAATGGGAGGAGTATTGTTACAGCTTCAATCTTTCTCTCCTTCGAACATTTTTCATAGCCTCCAACCGAGCAGCATACTCTGGGATTGAAGGTACATGAACCTTGTGGTGCTCTACAGTTGCGTATTTTGTCTTGCCGTCAAGTGATTCGAAGTAACCGCTAAGTAAAGCCATCGTCCTTCCGTGTTGCTCGACTTGGCACCTAATACACACTTTCGTACCTATTCACCTAATGTTAATGTCTCATGAGGATAATAACCATTTGACAACATACCAAGCGGGATGCCTTTAAGATATGAAATGTTCAATGTCCTTGACACGCCTCCCAAAAAACTATACATTTCGAATCAGTATGGCGTCCAGATATCCACCGTTTCAATAAGACAAAATAACGTTAGAATTATATAGACTTACTCCCAATATCCAGCCTTAGACACTGTCTGCATCGTCAAGGCAGTACACATGTCTATCAAGATCTTTTAGCAACTTTCCCAGATTGATGAAATCAATTCATACCAAATATAAGAGCGTAAGCACCTCCGTGCAAAACGCCATTGATATTACACCATGTCTCGTCGGCCGTGAATTCCCAGACCGACCAGCCTGATGGGTCTGCATCGACGAATTTAATAGACTCTGTCAAGAGTTTGACATCATAACCCTAAAAAAAATTCAATTTCTTGACCTGGGCGCAGGAAGGACGCAATAGGGGATGCGTATTCCTACGCTTAGGGTGTGAAACGCACCTTGAAGGATTTCTCGGCAATGATTTGCTTGTATCTATTCTTTTCGTTTTAGTCTGGCAAATCCATGTATTCTAATGCACAAAGCAGAATACGGATCATACATAAATAGTTTTGGGGTAATTTTTAAATGAATCAACTGCAATTATACTACTTACAGCTCTAGAAAGCATTCAATCCCGTCCACCACATCCTGCTTGGTTGGACAATTATCCCGTCCATCAACCATATTGAAAGAGTACCAGCTTTGGATTTGAGAAATTGCCTTTACTACAGGAGGAAATTGGGTAAACGGCTAGAAGCGTTGACACTGCTGCGAAACACATCCGTAGAGTGAAGGTCTGAGTGTGTATGAGGGGCTTGGCATCGCCGCGGTCCGAGGCAAATTGCAATGGAGCTTGACCATACAAATTACACATGAAAAAGATTCAGTATTTATCACGACTATCATTATATTGTATTTTTTTAAATTGAGTATTTCTTTTCTTCTGCCAACAGATTTGAGTCTGGAGATAGAAAATTAAAAGTACATGATATATGGTACAAAACCCCAACCAGTCTTTGATCTTTTGTTTTGATGGATTCAAAGGGAGATGCAAAATTTGGATTGAGTGGAGATGTGGTAGGTGCTGAGAGACAAAACTCTGCACATCGACGAGGCCGTGAGGTGAAAGGTGTAGTGAGGATGGTGGTAAGACAAAAAGGTGAAGAGTGATAAGGAGACAAAAGAGATATCAGAAACATGCCATATTACAAATGCAATACACGCTTAAAATAACAATTCGAAAGGTGAAGTTGTGGAAGTAGAGCATCGGACATATGTGCCTTTTACATCATACCGCCCATACCGCCCATACCACCCATTCCACCCATTCCACCCATGCCCGGAGCAGGAGCAGAGCCCTTCTCTTCAGGGGCATCGACAATAGCAACCTCAGTGGTACCGAGAAGAGAAGCAACACCGCTGGCATCAATCAAAGCAGTGCGGACGACCTTGAGAGGATCAAGGATACCGGTTTCGATCATGTCAACGTACTCGCCCTTCGCGCTATCGAAGCCCTTGTTGAAGTCCTTGCCAAACTCATCGGTGAGCTTGCCAACGATAACACTGCCCTCCAGACCTGCATTTTCGACGATAGTGCGGGCAGGACGGGTGATGGCCTTACGGATTATGTCAATACCAAGCTGCTGGTCGAAGTTGGCTCCCTTCACATTGTCCAATCCGTTGGCAGAGGCCTTGAGAAGGGCAGTACCACCACCAGGAAGGATACCATCCTCAACAGCAGCGCGGGTAGCGTTGAGAGCATCGACAACACGGTCCTTCTTCTCACCGACCTCAACCTCGGAGGCGCCACCAACCTTGATGACGGCAACACCACCAGAAAGCTTGGCAAGACGCTCCTGGAGCTTCTCCTTCTCATACTCGGAGGTAGTGGGGTCAGCCATAACGCCACGGATTTGCTCGCAGCGCTGAGCAATAGCGTCCTTGCTACCTTCACCATTGAGGATGATGGTATCCTCCTTGGTGATGGTGATCGCACCAGTAGAACCGAGTTGGTCGGGAGTCAACTTGTCCAACTTGATGTCAAGCTCATCAGTAAAGACAGTAGCGTTGGTAAGGATACCTAAGTCGCCAAGGATGTTCTTGCGGTTGTCACCAAAGCCAGGAGCCTTGACAGCAGCCACCTGAAGTTGACCACGGAGTTTGTTGAGAATGCAAACAGCCAGGGCTTCACCCTCAATATCCTCAGCAATGATCACAAGAGGACGGCGGAGTTGCGTCGAAATCTCGAGAGCAGGAATAATATCCTGAACAGCAGAGATCTTCTTCTCGGACAAAAGGATGAGAGGCTTCTCGAACTCAACTTTCTGAGACTTGGCGTCGGTCATGAAGTAGGCGGACGTATAACCACGGTCGAAGCGCATACCCTCTGTAACCTCAAGTTCATCATCAATGGTCTTGCCCTCCTTGACCGTGATGACCCCTTCCTTGCCAACCTTCTCCATGGCATTGGAGATCAGTTTACCAACGTGAACGTCACCGTTAGCAGAAATAGTGGCAACCTGTGCAATCTCTTCGGTGGTGGTGATATCACGCTTGTTTGCCTTCAAATATTCGACAACGGCATCAACAGCAGCCTGGGTACCACGGCGAAGGTCCATGGGGTTGCAGCCAGCGGCGACATTCTTGACAGTCTCGGAGAAGATAGCACGAGCCAGGACAGTGGCTGTAGTAGTACCATCACCAGCAACCTCGTTTGTCTTGGAAGCGACATCCTGTAGTAAACGGGCACCGAGGTTCTCAAACTTGTCCTGCAAAGTGACGGCCTTGGCAACGGTCACACCGTCTGGGTGCGGTCGCGGTCAGCTTACATGGTGCAGAAGCTAGAATTCATCATTCACCATACCTTTTGTGATCTTAGGCGATCCATAGCTCTGGTCAATCAATACATTGCGGCCTTTGGGGCCGAGCGTAGAAGTAACAGCCTTGGCCAGAGTGTCAACACCCTTCAGGAGTTGAGCGCGAGCCTCAACGCCAAACCTGAGCTCCTATAACCTCTATCAGCATTCCCAATTCATCCACTAAAAATCCCTTTTCAGTGCGTAGGTACAAACCTTGTGAGCAAATCGTTGTTGCTGCAAGGACACGCCAGGTGAACTGAGCTTGGAGAAAGGAGCTCGGGACAGAGCGGAAGTCCTGGATGTGAGAGCTCTCTGCATCTTGTCGAGGAGGATTGGAAGACAGGCAGGAAAAGGGGAAATCGAACAAAAAAATCAATAATAATGACCCAATTCACCTAGACCAGGACGCCCTGAGGATTGGATTACTAGAGGATGGGAAAAGCGGATGGGAGAAAGGAAGCAGAAAAAATGAAGCCGATAGCCGAAAATTTTCCAGCTTCTTTGCGATTCCCCGGATGTCTTGGCGCCGAAGCTCGTAGAACAGCCGCTGCAAAGCGCATCACGTGATGTTTACATTCAATAGTAAATTGCAAACAATGCTCCTGCATTGGAAACAACATCGCTTGCATTAGTATGTATAGGCTATGGCTGCTATTCTGTGGCCATCGTGGTCCTTGTTATACGAATATAATCCAGACCAGCATTGCCTAGGTCCGCAAATATAAAGGAAGGTTTCGAAATGAGCAATGTTTCAACACAATCCAAAAGCTCATCACTACTGGCTCCAATCATTTGAGAATCGACGTCCATGGTACACATTTCAAGAAAGCCAAGAAAAAAAAGAAATCATAAACGATTCGCTGATCAACGCTGTTTTGCATCATGCAACGTCCTCCTTCGCTAATCCCAAAGCAGTTGCAAATAATGGCCAACGACCCAACTTATCGGAATGATGTGTCGATACCACCAGAACGGCGATGTGGTCTAATTCGTTTCGCGTGTGTAGACTCTTTTTCGGGGTCATACGCAGAATTTGGAATGAAAAGCCGTAGTCAGACTTACCATCGAGTGACTAGCGAGACAGAGGTTTCGATAGCTTTGCTACTTGCGGACGCATCAATCTTGCCACCAAACGAGGTCCTTTGCTTCGTCGATAGCATCATCAGTGTTGAAAATTTGTTCAAAATCAAAGATCCTGCCAGGTGGGATCTCACCGTGGCTATCATCGACTTCCTGGTCAATAGTGCTGGTCCATTTCTCGTCAATCAGCGCGGGTTTACTCTCGTCTCCGTCGAGCTGAGGGCGAGCAACCTCAAAGTCACTGATGTTGCCATGCATCCAAGCTGTTTCCCTGTCTGCAGAAACGGTTTGTCCGGCTGAGGAATTGTGAAACCCGTACGCAGCATGAGAGTTTTTTGTCGCACCAAGAGTAGGCGCAGTGTTCCAACTTGGGTCGAAATAGGTGGGTAGCTCCCTGTGCTTTTCCACGTATTCCTTGTACTCCGGGCGCTCTTGGTCCAAGACGCGCGCTGCAGAATTGTTTTGCTCCAATGGTCGAAGCTTGCGATGAAATTTCAACTGAGGGTCACAATGCTCGTCGTTGAGCCAGTGTGCAGGGTGAACGATTCTTGGATCTGGATCATGTGTTTCGTCTGCCCATGCAACTTGCTGCGGCGCGCTGTATTGTCGTATCACCACTTCTTGAGGCCATTCTCCTCGAAGAAGGCCGGGGTTCTGTGAGTTGCTATAGTCCGTAAGAACGGGCCCGTAATAGTCCTTCGAAAACCCCCAAGTGCCAGTCCTTGGATCAGAAGCTGGCAGATGCCATCTTTTCTCCGGGTCTCTCTCGTGATAGACACCAATACCTTTGTGTAAAATCATGCTAAGAGCCTTTTTGCCAGGCTTAAGTGTAATAATATAGGACTTCTTTTCTTCAACCTTGGCTTCATCTTCTGGATTTACCACGTTGGAAGCCCGCTCGTCGTCTTCACCACTTCCAAGGAACTTCAGGAATGGTGCATTTACAGCAACTAACTCAGAATCGGAACTTTGACCTTCGCCATCGGATTTTGGTTTTCCCTCGGCATCAACAAGCCCATTGCGCAGTGGGGTGAGTATGGACTTTTTCTGAGAGGACTTGCACTTCTTTTTACTACTGTTGCTGTGGCGTGAAGGCTCCCAGTCCGAGTCTTCATGGTCGGACTTATCTTGGAAACACTCCTCATCAGTATGAGCACGCTTCTTAGCCTGGCTTTTTGGCTTCTCCTTCTGGGCTTGCTCTTGGCCTTGGCCCAGCGACGCGTCGGTTGATTTAGATGACGATGCTATTGCACCAGTCCATCCTCGACGAAGAGGAGGAGGTACTGCCTTGTCCATTTTAACACGAAGAGTGCGCAATTTAGCAAGGTGTTGAACCACTGCTCCTTCGGTTATATTGTTTCCCATAGTCTCAGCCACTTGTGCCCAAGGAATCTTAACATGTTCCTTGTTGCAAACGGATTGGATGGATAGGAGGAGCAACTCGTTCAGGTTTTCTACATGAGTAAATTGTTAATGACCATCAAACTCGGCAAATGACGGCCAATTCTGATGGAAACTCACCATCCCAGCGTACAATACTGCGCTTGGCCGGGCGCTTTTTCTTCTCGTTAGCCATGGCGACAAGGTTTTCGTAATTATACCAGCATGTGTGGGTGTTGAGACGCGATGCAGAAATTGAATGTCCAAAAATAGGTGCAAGAATCCTGACTGAGCAGAGGGTATGAAACAAAGTCCTGTGTCACTATGTGAGTGAAAGGTCATAGAAAGGAAAAAATCATGCAAAATGATATCTCCAACTCCTGAGGCTACCGTGCAAACAAAGGACGGTAGGTTGTCATGAAGACAGGAATACAAAGTGAAGGTGATGTGAGAGTCGTCAAGATATTTCTCAATCCCAGGAGGGATACAAGAGAGGGGTAGATATGCTGGCGCAGTGCAGCTGAGAACCCGGTTCTCAGGATCACAGCTTGACTCTTTTCAAAGAATTTTAGATATTGCCAGACATAGAAGATTCATATTTCAAAATTCAGAGTGTAGACTAGATTAGAAACATATAATGCCCATAGCGCAGGCTCTAGTTTGGATACGTGAATGTGTGAACTTGTGAGAGATAGAAAAGGTCAGCTCCTTCCAAGCAGAGGTGTCTAGAAGAAATCAAAGAAACCCAGCCTCTAACCAGCAGGCCGAACAATTCTATCATGACAACCATACTGATGATGTTTGCAAGAAGTAAACTACTGACTTGCTCTCTAAATAGAAATTCCACTTCGTAACGAATATTTTACTCTAGATAGAACCAGATACTGCACTTGATGAAAATTAATCGAGAATAAAATATATTTATTTAGCTACTTGCTCCAATATTTGAAGCCGATGCATATCCATCTATATAGTAAATCACGTGACAGAACTTCCACGTGACCATAGCGCGGCCATGAAACTCCGACAATTCCCTATCCCAGAATACAGGTCTGCATCCGCCATTTGCCATTCCAAGAACCTCCATCTGCAACCCTTCAATCCCTCAAAATGTCAGCCCCTTGGAAAGCTGCCGGTTTGACGTATGTTATTCGACCCCGATACTTTTCGCATGCTCTAGTCGGTTCGTGTTTCAATTGCTGACCTGTCAATAGCTACAACCGCTATCTTGCCGTTGCTGCCCGCACCGTCCGCCGGTCCCTGAAGGATGGTCCTCGTCTTGCCGCTGAGCGTCGCGGTGTGACCGATCTCAAGTTTGCCAAGTGGGAGGTTAGTACTGGGGAAAGCATAGCTGTACAAGGGAATGAAAGGGCTAATATAGAATTTTGCGACGACAGAACGGAAAACAGGGTGAACCTAAGCAGGTTGGCGCTGCCAACGCCGAAGCCTTCGCCGCTCAAGCCGAAAAATAAATGACGCGAAACATCGAATCGGAGAAAAACAGACGCATGAAATGGTGATATCCCGGATCCGAAGCAGTTCGCTTGGTGCTGGAGGGGGGAAGCGGATTGTACATTCTGTAGCAATACTTGGTCTTTGACTATCCAACGAAACAATAGAACATTTCTTCCATTTGTGGGAAAATATTTTATACCACCAGTAATCGTCTTTTGATTGACGTATAAATTCCAGTATAATTGGTGATGTTAACTTAAGGCTACCACTTGGAGACCTGCGGCCGTTACCCAAATTTACCCGCAGCCCCATCGTTGTTCTTTCCCGCCGAAAAAGGGCAGCAAACAAAACCACCTCCGTTACGTATTTCAGATCACAACAAGCAGGTTGTGAGAAACCATAATTTCTCGCACAAAACCATGCTGCCGAATAACCAACTACGTGTTCCTCCGCCCCAGTCAGCCTCACAGCGCATGGTGACCCGAGACATCACTGATAGTTTCGTCAACGCCGCTTCTAGTGCGTCGCTCCCCGCAACCGCCTATCTCGATATCAACAGCAGACCTAACCCCAGCTGACGAGTTGATTCTAGAATTGCGACAAGGAGAATTGGTCAAGGATGAACTATTTACACTATTCGAAGCGGTGGGAGCGCTGGAGGTTCGTTGAAGCCCCATTCCTTTTTTGTGATCTCGGCTCACCTTGCCTTCTTAAGATCATGGACTCCAAAATGGACAGTGGATATCTCGGCCCGGGTGAGAATCACGCCCAGGCCCTTGAGTATGACTACGACGTGATGCGAGAATTGCAACCCGAAGAAGTTGTTGGACTGATGGATCAACTGTTGTGCCACGAGGTTCGTTGTTTTCCCATACGATCAAGAGGTTCGAGCTAACTTGAAGGGTGGTGCTACAGATGGCATGGCATATGGGTCATCCCCTATCTCAAACCCTTTTCACCTCGATCTATCTCGATAAACTTCTGGCGCCGGCCCCGAAATCGTTTGATGAATATAGCTTCCATCGGGGAGATGCAAAGCGGCAGCTTGAGGTTGAGCAACAATCACCTTTGATACATATCGTGCTGAGGGCATACTGTCTCGGGCTAGTAAAGGCCTGTGATTTGGTGCACCAACGTGTGACTCAGGAATACTACTACGAGGTTGGTCCCTGCACGTCTATTTCTCGAGGGAAAACCGCGTCTGATGCTGCCCAGGAAGAGGACTTTTTCCCGCAATTGTATAACCGCAGCATACTTACCGAACACGAAGTCGATCCAGTTCAGCGACTCCTACAGAGAGCCATACAGTATCTTGAAGAGAATAATGAGGGAATAGAGCAAAATACGAAGAGTGCATTGGTTAATAGATTGCGTTTTAGATATCATTTTCTTGAAGCCTTGGACGAAGAACGAGATATTATCAACACACGAGATAAAGGACCTTTCACTGCTTGTCTGTCATTAGTTGGCTCGATTGAAAGCTCTGCGACTATTGGAAAACCGATTGAAGAAGCCTTTACCCTGAAAATTCAACGAAAGCTCGCTAGCACAGTACCACCGCGACCAATGGTGACTATCGGTGTCGATGCGACTATTGAATATTTAAAGCATTTCTGCCAAAATGCAATTGACATGTTTGAGCTTTTAGACTATTCGGGCTCAGATGACTTGAGAGTATGTATATCTCCATTCTTGTTGCTCACTCTCTGACACAACTAGGTTGCCCTTTGGACAATGGCCTCGAGGAAGCCACAACCGGGCGTCTATATAAGGAGTCTCCTACAAAAATTCATTGTCAATAACCTAAAAGTTCTTGGTTCTACATCTGTTAAGAGACTATTATATGATGATCTTGCAGATTTGGTACTCCCTTCAAGCATATTGCTCCAGGCAGAGAATGAAGAGGTCGAAGTACCATCGGACCCGCGATTTCAGATACATAAAAGCATGGAGGATTTTCTTATCCGCATTGCTGAGGTAAGTAGTACACGTCAATATCCCAGAAGCTACTCTGACTCTGTAGTCATTTATGAACACTTTTCGCTCATCATGCTTGAATCGACCCCGAGTGCGTCGTGCGTTGTGCCATAGCATTATTGAGTGGGACAGCATTCAAATAGAGGTCGGCATATGTTTTTAATCGAATGTATACAAACGAGACTAATTAGTTGATAGGCAGAAAAACTTGATGAGCATCTCCAAGCTTTAACAAACGAAGCACCTTTGACATTTGACAATGGCGAATCGGCATATTCGTACCCTTTGGGTAGTTGGGCATACCACGAAAAGCTTAAGCAAATCAGATCAATCATTCAGATGGGCTTCGAATTATCGATCTACGCCCCGAGGAACTTGGTGGAATGTACTGGTATCTGGCCGAAATATGTTTCCAACACCGGCGCCACCTCGATCGAATCCGGGCATTTGTTATCGCAGAAATGGGACGAAATGATAGTGCCGGTGGGAACAAGCCATTTGAGAGAACTATTACCGTGTTAGGCCGTCATACACTGTGGTTAGTAGCAACAGAGAGCTTTGCTCTTGCGCTGCATGCGATGTATGTTTTTCTCGATCGACAACGAGTGCTCCCACACGCGGCATCCAAAAAATCGTACTCTAGCTCTCGGCTTCGGTATGAGTTACGTATGAAGCCCTTACTTTCGGTTAGCCTCCCCGAGTTACTTCCATTCGACAAGTTCGAAAAAATGGTCTCCCCCGAAGAGGAGACCGACGGACAGACGCTGGAACGAGCGAATAGGGCAATTGGCGAAGCACGTAAAGCGTGGGAGAAAGTCCTTACTGACGGCCCATTCTTGGGCTCACGCCATGCGGGCAAGACAGTTGAGCGTCCAGCTATTGAGGCTGAATGGCAACGAAACACCAAGGACTCATTCCGATCATGCATTGGAGCCAGCGTCGCAATCCAAAAGGCGACCAGCATCTTCATGGCCAAAAAGTCCGCCCGCTCCAACTCCACATCCACCTCCACGCGGGAAGCCGGTGATGCATCATTGCTGCCGATTAAAGTGGAAATCCCAGAAATCGACACCCCCCATCGCTGGCATGACTGGTGGGCTGTGCCACGTATTTCAGAGGTTAAATCGGGCTGAGTAAGGTGGTTGGCTTCTACAAAATTGCAAAACACTGAGAAAAATCCTTTGAGCCTTTGATCTCTAATATCCGGACGGCGGTCGATATTCGGATATGGCGACCCCAGCCTCCGGCTATAGGGCGATGGGTTTGTGAATCTTGGAAAGCCTGATCTGAAAACATAGATCAGCTATGATCAATCGATGCTTGCGACCATTACGAGGCATAGCGCGTCTGGGTTGGCGACTAATTGACAGGCAGCATGGGCCGGGCTAGGGTTGCATCAGACAGTTCCACTGATGAAGATATCATAGGCAGATTAGCGAGGGTCTCAGATGGCCACCATGGAAGTGGTGAGCACGACGATGCACACATGTACTCCGTATGTTTAAAGGTAGTTCGTGGTTGCTTCTAATCGTCGGGAGGGGGAAAAAGTCGGTGAAGCTAGCATTCTACTGGGCAATTTTGAGAAGCTCAATGGAAAGGCGACCCTAGAAAAAAAACGAAACAAACTTCTAAATCTAGAAAGTGGTAACCTATCAACGGAGATTTTGCGTGTAGATATTTGTCATACTCATACTTCGATCCATCATCATTCGGCATTGCTATTAGCTGATCCTGACCCCATTATGCAAACTAATAGAGGGGTCCAACGCAAAATTGCGGCGGATCTCGGACCAGCTCCTCAGATCTAAAACTAAGCAAAGCCAAGCAACGAAACGGAAATACTAATGAAATAAAACAAAAAAAAGCTCCGATCGAGCCGGCCCCAGATTGTGAAGATAGACGAGAAGGGGAAAGCCATGGAAGGAGGTATTTCAAATCATTGAAACAGATCCTTCTATCTGGCTCAACAAGTTGCGTCATGTCCAGATTACGTGACGCAGTTTCTCTGCTTGACCACGTATCAAGATGGCAGCTCACACGGTCTGATCCTTACGTGAACGGAGTACGTATTCTAATTTCGGATACATTAATGCCTTTGTCTGTTGGTCGAGCTAAGACTCCCCGCCCACTACACAATCGAACCACCATGAAACACGATCTCGATTCTCTACAAAATAGTAGAATACATAGTCAAACTAAGTCCCAGGCTGTCGGTAAAGCCGAGTCGATCGATGTCAGTTCCAGACTAGTCATGGGATTCCTTGATGTGCACTGTTCAAGATCGCTGCCACTAGTCTGATATCGAGGTAGTACTCTGTATACTGCCCTGTACAAGTTAGACAACTTCGCTGTGGATTCTGAAACAATGCAGCTTCTCAAATACTCAGCCCAGTCGTGTCTGCATTACAGATTGGGTTTGTTGCAGGATATTATCGTATGTATTATATTCCAGCTGCAAGCCATTGCAGAGGGTTCCAGAAATATGGCCGCCAGCATCCACTTTCCATTCAACTATGAATTAAGTCTGGTGGTGTTGGTTCCGTTCATCTTATCAAATGTGCATGAAAGATACGGACAGCCATGAGTGTACAGAGCTGGCCATCTTACCGATACCGCACGCGTACACAGCTGTCTGATGAACGGGGTTCATATTATTTAATATTTAATATTATATATTATTATCAGGAGTATTTTTATAGACTAATGATACTAGTCATCAAGGCTGCTGTTTGATGATTTCAAATTGTGTTTTATTGCTTACTCAGAGCACGGATGCTGGCCATGTAATAGTAATACTCTGTCCTTGAAATGCTATGTACTGAGTGTATGTAGCCCGAGGTCGCCGACTAGCCGACTCGCCGACCACTTTCAAAACATCAATTAAAATTGATACGAGAGTGCAAAATACAAAGCGAGTGGACATGACTATTCACTTCCGAAATGACAGGCTGACCGAATGGCGGGGTCCGTAAATACACAGGCGACATTGTAATTTATACCCACGTGTAATTGTAAACAAACTTAATGGAGCTGGATGAGGTCAGCAACATAGAACACTGAAACATTCGGCTTAGAGTATACACTATATAATAACTATGTACAAAGTATACATACATATACATGTATGTAATGTATTGGCTTGTATGGCTATTCGGGGTCCTGCAGTCCCCGAAGCTGATTCGCCCAGGCCGATGGATCCCGACAGAGGCACAGAAGAGGAAAAGCCAGCCCTATCTCTCTATGGCGTGTACTACAGAGTTCTAACTAGCTTCTGTCTCATTGATGAAGGAGCATCTCATTGTTGTAATTGTTGTTATTTGTTTTCCTGGCTATTGATTATAGCTCCTCCTCCTCATTTCGCTTGTTAGTTGTTTCGAGTATGCTGGTGGTGGGTCCTAAACTTTGGGATAGCAATCAAGGGATGATGACCATAACTTTCAACTTCAAGTCAGTGCTTTGTAGATATTTGGAGAGACTTAACTTCATTTTGCTAACACTCGCGTATCTTAGCTTGATCATTCCAGGAGGCTGATGAAAAGTAGCTCGCTAGCGCGCCCATATTAAAAGGCCATATAAATCGGACAAATAGCCTGCAGCCATCAACCAGACCTAATTTTATTTCTTTTTATGACTTATTGCCCCCGAACCAACCACACAGAAGAAAGTCTGAACTCGTGGAAATTTCAAATTCAAATGCAAATGCAAATGCAAATTCAAACCCAATTCTCAGTCTAAAGACCCGGTCGAAGGTTCAGTCTAAACTGCATTGTAGTAAATTATGAAGTCTGTCTGTCTCTCCTTCGCGATCGTCCACTTGCATTAGTTTTCTGGATCTACCCAATCAATTAATCAGTCGACTTGCTTCTTCACATTACGGAGGAAGCCGACTGGTAGTTCGTTCGTCTCGCAGCCTCCGTTTCATGTTGACGAATCGCTTGGGTTGGTTGAGAATCGAGATTGGCGGTTAGTACATAGTACTTGTCCAGTACACTGGTACGTCTCCTCAAACACATCTAATACATAGTACCAATACGTAGTATATAAGGCTGCGAAGCTGTGGAGCAAACCCGAATGGGAAAGTTAATTCGTCACTTGTTTCTAATTCGGTCAGTGGTTCATGCTCCTGAAGACTCATCATTTTCAATGTTGTGTATACGTTGATGATGTATATAACGCCACGCTGTCCCTGTTGACTGACTGCTGGAGCATAGCATAAATTACCCGGACCAACATACCACCATGCAGGACAACAGTTGACTGTCGCGTGGATCTATTAATACTGTTTGACTTATTATAGCATGTTATAATAAGGATTATAATAAGATTATATTCCCCGGCTAAGAACTAGCCCTAATTTATCATCGCCGTCCAGCTGTCTAGCACGGCCTATTCAACACCTTGACGACTCAACTGAGAACTGTGCAACTGAAGAAATCATCATCAACGCAAGACACCTACAGGAAATGTGGTATACAGCAATTCCTAGCCATGACCCAGTACAATCAGCGTCTCTTCCCACTTCAGCACTCAATATCAAAATCCACATCAACAAAATTCAGATCATATGCCGCAAAATCGATACTACTACCAACCATGAATAACGACAACCTCACCTCTGACCCTCTACTCCAACTCTACTACCAAAACTTCCACCATGCCCACCCCATCCTCATACCGCTCTCTGCTCTCTGCGGCCCTTTGGCGCAATACATCCCAGCACAGGTGCTAACCGTCATGCGATATATCGGGGCGCATTACCACTGGGACAGCTCTGTGCGGGATACTTTCAGAGAAAGCGCGCTCTCAGGACTCTCCCTCTCGACGACGAGACGAGACGGGTTCCAAGTACAGAGTATGCTTCTCCTAGCGATCTCGGTGCATGCCCACGGCGGCCACGACGACATGGATCGAGCGATGGAAATCATCGAGCAGACTATCAGCCTCGCCTTAGATCTCGGGATGCAAGATGCTAGCTTCGCCGTGGCGAACGGCCAGGGCCAGCCAGCAATTGAAGAAATGTGGCGTCGAACGTACTGGGAATTGTACGTGGTCGATGCGCTTCTGAGTGCGTTGAGGCAACGGAACTCGTTACTGTATCACACGCCATCTGATGTGAGGTTACCATGTGACGAGACTCTGTACAACGCCGAGGTATATCTTCCCTCCTTCTCCCTTTTCTCCGGTTGAATGAATATTGAACGTGTCAATAGTCCTCAATTCCGCAAGGCTACCTCCTCGCTGATCTAGCCGAAAACTGGCCTCGAGGGCCGCAACACTGCCACTTCTCCTCCTTTGCATACCGTGTTGACGCCGTGAGATTGCTGGGGTCTGTGCTTGCTCTGAAGTCAAATTCATCAAGTATAACTACATCTGACGATGAAGCAGCTGCTATCGATGATGCTTTATTTGAATGGCAGCGGCATTTCCCCCATCGACAAGAGGACTTATCAACGGGGACGCCGTTCGATGAGCTGATTTTTCAGGCGCAGATGATCGTTCACTCGTAAGACTTCCTGTTCGTCTTTTTCTGGGTAGTAGACTGACTGTACAGAGCCGTGATATACCTCTACCGACCTCGCTCCAGCCTCTCCCTACCTACTCTCATCGACCGCAACTCGATCACCAACCGCTTCTTCCCCTCCAACCAATCCGCACGATCATCGGCACCGTCATCCTCCAAAATCACGCTCGACGATCCAAACACCACCAAGCTCGTGCGCGCCGCCGACTCGCTGTCTAATCTGCTCACCCTCCCGAGTCCCGTGAAACGGCACAGTCCGTTTCTGATCCACGGGCTAGCGATGGGGGTTTTCGTGCATACAGCAGCGTATGCACGGAATATGAGTATGGAGACGGCGAGAAGAGACGATGAGTCAAGTTTCAAAGTCAGGATTGAGTTGGCGGTGGGCGTGCTGAATAAATTAGCAGAGACTTGGCCGCTGGCGAGTGTGGTGAAGAAGGAAGTTGTGCGGGTTTATCGCGATGCGGTGGGGAGGTAGCTGCAATATATCCACTATGCCAGCTATATCAATTGATACCTTGCCATTGACACCAGTTACATATGTAACATTAGTTGATATCCATGAGACAGCGATAGACATGACGGTCACGCGATGAGGTGCAAGTGTACTGCTTGGTGGTAAAATGAAACGACGTCACTATATTTGAAACAGCTAGTACATATACAGCGAACCTGAAAACCAGATATCGATCATCCCTGCATGTCTGGTGTTAATTAACATGTCATTAGCACCTGGAATCCCAAATACACATTCGATAACAGAGAACCGTCTGTTACACAAGCCTAGACGTATCGATATCGCCGTGGGCCACCTCGCCACTATCCTCATCGATATCGCCGCCAGACTCCTCCCACTTGCGCTTCTCCTCGTCACTCAACGACCGCCAGACATTCTTCTCGCCGTTCATTTTCCGTTTTATCCACTTGAACGGCTTCAGCGGATCGTTGGGTGGCCCCTGTGGACAGCCTTTGTGTCCGCCATAATAGTCATTTATGCTTTGCTTCCGCTCAACAAAGGCGTGCAACGACGCAAGTCGCTCTTCCTCCGTCATTGCCTGGCGAGCTGTTGCGCGTGCGTACGAGGGGAGGCGTGGGGAGTTGGCTGTGTAGTCTGGCAGTAATGTGTCTGTGGTTGATTCGGCGAGGCTGACAGCGTCGCTGGGATGATCTTGTTGTTGCTGTTGTTCTTGATGCGTTTCTTCGCTTTGAGTATGCGACTCCTCCACACCGACTGATTCAGCCGTCACCGTCGTCATTGCTGTTGACTGTTGACTGTTAAGTCTGATGTTTGATGCGAAATGTTAGTGAAAATGTGTATGCGATGACCATAGTATAGCCTGGTGCTTGCGGCTTGCTTTCTGATTTGCCCTTTTATGTTTTATTGTTTCCCCGCCCTGGTGGTGCACATGGCTCGGAGCTCACGGCTGATTCGGCACGTTAAGGTACATTTAGTAGAAACTGCTGCGGCTTGCGAAAATGCGGCGTGCGTACTTAATAATATATATCATCTAGACGATAACTAGTAAACCAACACGTACCTCGCGCCGAAGATCAATTGGTGTTTCATGCTAACATGTAGATTACTGACTCAATGATGTGCGCGTACCTAAATGCTGCATACTGCTCGTCACTCGGAGTAGCGTATATGCAGAAAGCTTAATCATGGCTAAGACCTTGCTTACGTCAGTGCTGTCTCTACATCAATTGACGTGACGTAATAAGATACAAGTGTAGCGTAGTCTGCTGGTAAATGTTATGGCAACGTCGATTCTCATCTATCCAACAACCAGACTAATCCACCCACTCTACAACCCCGACCACAGAAGCGAAGAGAGAGAAAAAGGCAAGCCCAGAAGAATCCAATTCCGTAAAATAGACACATAGACATCGAAGAAAATTCATACACATGGTAGAAAATATTTACCGGTATTTATGGCTGGGTTTGAAGGGGGATATAAATAGGCCACGACCGGCGGGAACGAATATATCTCTTCTAACCAGAAGAGGCAATAAAATTCACAATCCAGTTGGAAATAGTTGAAATGGTAATCAGATGCTGAGTTCTTGCACACATACTGACGAGGAGAGAATGGATGGCTAGGCCTGGGCGTTTAGACTTGAACCATGGCCTGGCCCAGTGGCTGCAGAACGTTGTCGGCGTATTCACCGCCGTAGTTTCCTATATTCATCAGTACTTTGCCATACGAATGCAGCAGTGCCAGGACGTACCAGCTGGGTAGTAGTCGCACACGGTGAACGGCAGCGCGTCGTTCGAGCCCGACTCGGCCAGAGGAGAGCAGGTCACCGTGGCACAGCCTACGGATTGGGTGTTGACCCAGACAATCTGACTGTAGTGGCCCCAGTGCTCAAAGTTGCTCATATCGGGATTGGCTTGGCCATACAGATCCTGATAGTACATCATTTCGTCGTTGTACATCATGTCGGTGATGATCTTGTTGACTTCAGTCATATCAACGCCATAAGCGATGTTCTGGCCATAGGAGGAGGCAGGGCCAAGAGATCTGTTTTAGTCAGTACAGATTCCAAATACAACACAATTAATTAGGGAGCGTACGTGTCGTGGTGGTAGTCGCAGGTATTGGCTAAAGCCAGGGCACTTTCGGCTAGAGTGTCGTTCCATGACAAAGCTGGAGCAGAGTGGTTGGAGCGGTGAATGTTGTGAGAGTCGAGCAGCATCTGCTGGTAGGAATCTCCAGTGCCAGTGGGAACAGCGCTGGTGGAGGTGGAGGTCTCAACGGGGACGGTGGTGGTTGGGGGAATGACCACCGAGGTTGACGAGATCGAGGTCAACGAGGCAGAGGTGGTGGTGGGCCATGGTGGCCATGAGTAGGTCGGCTCCTGGTGGGCTTCATTAACGATTTTGGGAGCGGCGGCCTGGGTGATGGACGTGGAAGTGGAAGTTGAAGTCGACGAGGGGATGGCGCTTGGCGTCTCGGTAACAGTGACGGTAACAACAGTGACCTCGACGTCGGTCACGAAAACTCGCTTGTTGAGCGGACTGGCAGCAGCGCCGAGGGCGCACAAGGCACCGAGCATGAGAGAACCCTTCATCCTTCACAACAGCAATGGCAGCGCAAAATAGGTGCGAGCAAAGAGCGACAATTGGTATATAACAAAGAGTGGCGGCAGCACTGCAAAGGAGCGGGCAGTGGGAGCGAGAATCAATCGAGAATCAATCACGAAACAAAAACGGCGCAAAGAAAGACCGGCGAGCGTTGAAGAGAGACAAAGAAGGCGCAGAAAACCACAATGCAGGAGGGCCGAAGAAGTCTAAATGCAGTCCACGCAAGAGCGTCGATCTGAGGCCCAAAGTGCCAATCCAATCGTTGCGGTGGGCCAACCCCAATTTCACTAAGGCTCGCAACGAGATTAGCGGGGGTGACAATGCGGTCTGGTTAAGCCAGTCTGAGCATGTTGCCGCGATGGGACCCTGCTTACCTACTTTAGTCGTTCTTTGGGTTGGTGCCGTATGCTTGCTGATGCTGATGCTGATGCTGAGGCCGATGATGTTGAGATGGCTGATATGCTGACTGGGGGCTCTTCGGTCTTGTATGTCCAGCACAGCAAGAATTGACTGAGAACTCTGACGACAGAAGCACTGCGCGGCCTGCCTCCAGCCTCGCCCCGACACTCGACTCTATCATCTGGGAGCGTATGATAACTGGGAATTCTGATGTTTCAGTGTCCAACATTCCATGGTTTACAGCCACTGGCCGCACTGCGCGATCCGGCGGATCAGGCAGGGGCGTCACACCGTGGGGCCGCACGCTGTCTGATTGGTGGCCCCTTTTCATAGTCTCTCGCTAGCGCCAACTAGGGCTAGTCGTTGCATAGCTTCAGCATGCAGCTATTCCTCAATATTATTCTTTAATATTTATCCAGTAATGATTATCCGTATGGCATATTTGTGTGTTTATCCTACAATTAATGTCTAATAGTCATGTACTGATTAATCGATTATTATGTTAGATAATACTATGTGATGTTACGGCAGCCCCAATATAAGGAATGTGCCCCTTCCATGGTACTTGTTTCACGGTTGCACTGTTTCACGGCCACTTTTTGGCTTGAATTGTGGCCGGGCCAGCCAATCGGCATTCTTACTGCCTATCTAGTCCCAATACTTCTTATTAACTTAATACTAACACTATAACAGCAAGAAACAACCGCTTTAATTTAATACCAACTGGCCAATGACGTCTTAGCTTGGCCTGGTCCTGCCATTTCCACCGCAATTGTGGCTTTCTCCTTAATCTCGACTAATAGATGAATCGCAACACTTTAATATAAATTAATACCGATTAATATATTTATCGACATATACATTATGTAATATAAGGATATATATGATTCATTAATGACTCCCCCGTTCTAGCCTCGAGTAAATATAGATTTTGCCCTGCCAAGATTCCGCCCTCTTTGTGTTGCATCCCCCAATCTCGAAGGATCGAACTGTCTCTGTACGAGGTCTCCGTAGGAGACTTTGATACTCTTTGATTGCGTGTGCCGGTCAGCCTTGTCAGGATTCTATAAAAATAGTACTCGATTCCGTCTGCTGAGTCAGATCGTACATATCAATTGACTGACAACGTAAATGGTAGTATATTCGTATCATCAATTTGAGACTCCAAAAATGCTGTATATCACATGATCCTTCACCCAGAATACCTCCTAATCAGATTAAGATAACCAGGGCACATATTCAAAATTCAAATAGTCGGAAATATCTATCTATAGATCCACCGTCCGACAGCTCCCTGTCTCGCACACAAGCAAGAAATCTCGCACCGGCGAGCCCTCCTTGATATCTTTAAACAACACGTTCCGTCCCCTGATCCAGCTAGACGAGATCGTAGCAGCTGCACGCACATCCACCAATGCGACTGCCGCCGTGGCCGTCGACACCGCGAGTCCTGCTTCTTGTCGTATGCGTTGGATAAGCTCTGCTTGGGTTTTCTTTTCTGATGTAGCCGCCACCCCAGTAATATTCCGCACGCCGATCTCGAGTCCGACTATCGCGTCGAGCAGATTAACGAATAGGAATGGATGCTGCAGCAGTTCTACAGAAAAGGTATTGCAGGTTTGCCGCGCAAAAGTTTTGTATTTCTCGTCTTCGAGAAGCGTCGATAAGCGAACCAGATTCCGGGCGATAATGCCATTGACAGATGGCGTTGCTGAGTCAGTTCCGCTCTTGAGGCGTAGGAGAGGACCTGGCATCCCTTGTATAGGCCTTGATGACGTTGTGTAGTACCCCGCGATGATGCTGGGTTCGGCGCCGGGTGCGAGGAAGTTTTCGTCGAGGTGTTCTGGGCGTGTTAGTCCTTTTCTCAAAAAATGAAGGGAAAGGCTCACTTTGTAATTGCTCGGCAAACTGCAAATACTTGTCGTCAAACGTAGCTTCGTACAACGCGATCAAGCCATTCGTCAAATATGCATAATCGTCCGCAAATCCGGGGGTCTCCCCGCGACTGCCATCGCGATAGATGCGCCACAACTGGCCGGTTGAGGATTCATATAGTTTGGTCTGGATAAATTCTACCGCCCTCTGTGCCGCGTCTCGACATTGCTGTGCCTTGATCTGGTCAATCTCCTCTAACAGCACACTTGCCTTTGCGAGTGCTCCAATAGCCAACCCGTTCCATGCGACTATAATCTTATCGTCTAGATCTGGCCGTACTCGCGTCTTTTCTCGATATTCTCGTAATCGCTGTTTCCCAGATTTGATAATCTTAATAACTTCCTCGTCGCTGAGCCCAAATTCCTTAGCTAGCTTGCTCGGTGTCACCTGGATCGACAGCACATTCTGATCCATCAATTCGTCGTGCGGGTCATTCTCGGGCGCAATATTGCCGTCTGGCAATACGCCCCAGTGTCGCGCGCATACCCCAGCATCTCTCGGACCAAGTACCTGTTTGAATTCCTTCATTGTCCATACATAATACGCCCCCTCGCGCTTCTCTGTGTCGTTCGGCGAAGGCAAGCTGTCGGCATCTTCTGAAGAGTAGAACCCACCATCGGCGGCTTGTATTGGGCTGCTTGTCAAGTACGCGACAATATCGTAGACGGCACCTAAAAGCTCAGGTTCGTGCGTCACGCGAAAACCGTCTACATAGGCATCTAGCAGTTGCGCCTGGTCGTAGAGCATCTTTTCGAAATGAGGCAGCAGCCAGTCTGTTGTGACACTGTATCGTGCGAACCCGTTTCCAATATGGTCGCGAATGCCGCCCCGCGCAATCTTCAACAGCGTATTCACTGCCATCGTCGTCGCCCTCGTACACTCATCCTGTCCGACAATATCTGTCACCGCACTTGGGTACATGCCCAGTCGAATAAGAAAACTCAAATTCGCCGGCGTGGGGAACTTCGGCGCGCGCCCGAACCCGCCATTTACGGGATCGTAGCGAGATGCGAAATGCTGGAAGGCTTCCTCAAGAAGCTCAACCTCCAGGTCCTCGGCTCCTTTCCCTCCGGGCTGCACATGCGTCCCTTCTTCTGCGAATTCGCGCAGTTGTCTTGTAATCTCCTTGGCGCTGTCGAGGCATCGTGCTTGCTGAGTTTGCCACACGTCGCGCAACTTTTCCAGGATGTCAATGAAGTTCACTCCCGCGTCGGTGCCGAACTGTGCTGGAGAACTGGAATGCGGACCAGGCCAATAAGTGCCGCCAAAGACCGGCTCGAGGTCGGGGGTAAGGAAAATATTGAGTGGCCAGCCGCCCGATCCAGTCGTTGCTTGCACATAATTCATGTAAACGTCATCAATATCCGGCCGCTCTTCTCTGTCTACCTTGATCGGTATGAATGATTCGTTGAGAATGTTCGCTACCTCATTGGACATGAACGATTCCTTCTCCATTACATGGCACCCTAGACAGATATCAGTGAATTGAAATCAACACATTACAGAGGCTACTGACAATGACACGCCGAATAACCGATACTGACAAAGATGAGTCGATTATGCTTCCTCGCTAGCTCAATAGATTGTGAATCCCAGAGTTGCCATGCAACCGGATTGTGCATGTGTCCGCGAACCTACCGCTGTCAGTAATTCTGTGGTTATTTGATATTTGACTGTGGACCTTTGGGGATCTTACATATGGCGAGCGACTCTCGTTGAGCCGATTGACCAGCTTCGGCCTCGACTCGGCAGCCCCTTCTTCGTGCACATGCGACTTGTCAGCCATTTTGGACGCAGCCGATAGCGTCGGGGTTCCTCCTCCTGATCAAAGAATGAAAAAATGTAATTATATCGGGCTTGAAAGCGCAGTCCGTGCGATAGGAATTTCTTATTGTGGGTGCATGTGGTGGTGCTCGATGAATCTCATGGAGGGGTAACTGATAATGGCTGTACCGGTCCCCGCCGAGCGCAAGAATAAGGATGATGTAAAATGCCCGTATACAATAACTTTGCACCCGAGATTGACCTCTTCACAGTAATGGCTAGCTTTGTGTCTAGGAATGGGATCAGATGATGTTTTGGTATTATTTCCCTCCTTCGATTGATGCTTATGACTCGGAGTTGCCTTCCAGACTGCCGATTGTATGCGCTCTTACTTACGAATAAGCACAGGCTGCAAACAGCGATGACGCCCGCAGGTGATGAAGAGTCACGTGATGCATTTCTATGTATGAATCATGATACACTGGTAACAGCTAGGAACCGATTAAATGGAGTGTCATCAAGGTGTAGTTGAGAGTTGAGCATAATTTAAATTCACGCTTAATCTCATCACTCGTCCTCTCCCATTAGCTCTGCCAGCTCCCGCTCCTCCTCTTCTGTGAGCATCGATTCCTGTTTTGGTGGCTCTTCTGCTGTATTTTTCTTGTTCAGTGCTTCTTCCTTAGCCTTTTGTAATTCAGAAGGATGCAGACTCCATTGTCGAACAGTCGCGTCGATGCTGACGCTGACAACGGTGTTTCCGACCAATACCAAGCCCGTCACTTCTTCAAAATGACCGGTATATGTGTGATAAAGCTCTCCAGTCTGTGCAACTCAGCATCAGCACAAGATGGACAAATAGAATAAATTTAACAATTGATAAACGCACCGCCTTATTCCAAACTCGAATCTCTTCGTCTCGACATGCCGTAACGACCCAGCCGCCTTGCTCATACACGACCACATCTCGCACAAAATCGGGATGCTCAAGAGCCAGATTCGGCTGCCAGCCACTGTCTCGTGTCAGGCATTTTGCGTATTTATCGGCTGAAGCAGTCCATAGATCGCCATCTTCATCAAAATGTAATTTGTAAACACTCGTTTCATGGGCGATGAGTGGGTTAGCTGCACTAGCCGTGGCATTGCCAGATGATAATATCGAGAACTGTCTGATTTCTCTGTCACTTCCAGCCGAAAATAGATCAATACTCAATGAACCTTCTTGTAGAGTAATAGGGTCGATACGGAGGTCCTGGATGCCCATTGAGTGATCCTTGAAAACGTGCAGTTTCTCGCCATTGGCGATGTCAAAGATGATTATTTTCGAGTCCGCTCCTCCCGAAATCAGAACATGTCGGCCATCGTTGATTCGAGCACATGTTACAGCTTTCACGAAATCCGAATGGCCGTCATACTTTTGACCAGACTGTTTTGATTGAAGACCCCAGCTCCATACAGTCTTGTCCCAGCAGCCAGCAAAAAGCAACTTGCCATCGGGACTGAACGCAATGCTTGTCAAGGGAGCCGTCGGACCTCTGTAGAGAGCTAAGGTCTCACCAGTCTAGAAACGTAGTCAGGGGAAGGTGTTTTGATATTAGTTATTAGTTTTTTAGCGTACCTACTTCCAAGGCAACTTTCCTTACTGAGCCCGCGCTTTCGGCAACATAAACAGATCCCGCACTATATGGATCTTCTGCGACGGCTAGGATTTTACTTTGCAGTCTGATGGGCTTACCATGCTCATTTTTAGCCTTGGCTGCTCGACGGCCACTTTCTTCTATCGACGCACTGCCTCTTGGTCAGAAAACGGAGTGGAAACTCGGGGATTGAAAAGGCACCGACGTGGTTTGAAAGAAATCTTCCTTGTGTGATGAGCGCGACATTGTTGCTAAGTAATACGGGGATTATTGGAGAGAATCCGCATCGAAGTTATAAGTTATAAAACAATTGTACTGGAGGCTGCCGCTATGGTCGCTGGCGCCCGCCGTACAGCTCCATTTTCAAGCCACAATCAGCTTGTCAACTCTCTGCGTCACTTCTCCCCCAACACTTTCCTCCTCTGCCTTGTCGTCTTACTTCTACTCTCATTTTTCACGCTGCGCGTCTGCGCGCCACCTGCAATTATGGATATGAACCACTTGATAGGGTCAGTTCGGAAATTGGACCACCTGTTTCCATCTAGCTAACAAGGTACTAGCCAACGGTTCAACCTCATCTCCAAGAGCGATATTCGGTATGGCGCTCCTGCTATCAGAAATTACTTGGGCGATTTATTGATGCTAATGGAACGCAGATATGTCGGTACACTGCACGAAATCAACCCCGAAGCATCAACCATCGCTCTCGAGAATGTCATGTCCCACGGCACAGAAGGACGACGAGGAAACCCCAGCGAAGAAATCCCTGCTTCTACAAGTGTATACGAATATATCGTCTTCCGTGGCAGCGATGTGAAGGACATTAGTGTTGCAGAAGAAAAGGGCGAGCCAGAGCCCCAGCGCCCACCGGTACTAGATGATCCTGCTATTCTTGGAGTGAGTCTCGAAATTGTTCAATTTTTTCGTTTACAACAGTCATGGGATGAAGCATTTCGGATGTAAACACAGACCTGTTCTGAGAGCGCAAAACCGTGCGGAGATTTCCGTTGCCTTCCTTCTGATCTGACTGCAAACTTGTTGCAATATGATAATGCCCAGTTGGCAAATGGATAGCTAATGTTATGATGCTTTAGAGCATGTCTCGCCCTGGTCCTGGTCCCGCCCCCGTTCCTCAACCTTCTCAGCCACAACAGCCACCTCAAGGTCCCCAAAGCGGTCGGCCTGGCCCTCCGCCAGGATATCCCCAGCAGCCTCCTTTTCAAGGTTATGGTTATCCCCCCTACGGCGGCCAGCAACGATTCGGGCCGCCTGGCTACGGTCCTCCTGGTCCCGGCTTTCCTCCGTATGGCGCTCCTCCAGGATGGTTTCCTCCCCCAGGACACGGCTTCCCTCACGGATCACCAGGCCAGTTTCCTCCTAACCAAGGTCCTATTGGACCCCCTGGCCAACAACGTGCTGGCCCTCCTGGCGGTCCTCCGAAGCCAACCTCCGAACTTCCAGTTGGCGACAAGGTATCTCAGCCCGGTAGCAAAAGCGCAACGCCAGCACCTGCGCCTACGCAGAACGGCCCACCCCTTCCTGTCGAGTCGAAACCTACAGTAGCCGAAGCTACCCAAGGAACTTTGCCAGCAGCGAAAGCCGCGGCGGCAGCCCCTCAAACACCGTCCAAAGTTCCTCCTACTGGACCAAGGAATGACCGAGTCATACCCGCTATCCCCATCGCATATCCAGCCAAACCCGCTGTCCCACTTACAACTGCCCAGCAAGGCGCCGTTGCTGCCTCCCAAAACACAGCGCAAGCAGCCATCACAGAAGCTACTCGTGCTGCCACGGCGGCCGTTGCTGCCGCGATGGCTAAGCTTCCTCAACCGAATGCTCAGAAGAAGGGTGCAAATGATGCAGGTGTCGATGGGATGACAAAGAAATTCAACGACTTGAAGCCGTACGACAATAACCGCCCCCTTCGTTCTGCGCACCAGGGTCATCGAGGCGGGCGTGGGGGCCCGCGTGGAGGCCACCATGCTGCCAACAAGAAAATCGAAGTTCCGGATACAGACTTTGACTTTGAATCTTCTAACGCCAAGTTTAACAAGCAAGATCTCGTGAAAGAAGCGATTGCTAGTGGCTCGCCAATTGTTGAGGAAGAAAAGGAACTCAATGGCGACGAAACTGCCTCAGTCTCATCTACTGCCACTCCCATTGCTTACAACAAGGCATCATCTTTCTTCGACAACATCTCTAGTGAGATCCGTGATCGCGAAGAGGGTTCCGGGCGTCCTCGCGAGAGACGAGGCGAGGAGGAGAAAAAGAACATTGAGACTTTCGGCCAGGGCAGCGTCGATGGATACCGCGGTGGATATCGCGGGCGTGGCAGAGGACGTGGTTACGGACGAGGCCGTGGTTACACTCGTGGATACGGCGGTCGCAGCCGAGGTCAATTCCGAGGCGGTCGTGGTGCTTCACAGTCGACTGGTGTTCCTGCACAAACCTAGTCGGTTTGTTTTCTCCCTATGTCGTAACCACGAATGATATGAGAGCAAAGCTCAAGGGTACGAGCTATAAAGTCTGGACAGACATGGCATTTTTTGGGAGGTATAAGGTGCTTGGTTATTTTTTTCGTCTTTCTGGATTATCTCAGTGATATCCTGCATTCGCAGACAGCGGTCCATCCCATCTCCGTCTTGTATCTCATAATTACGTTGTCTCGTGTGGTACTCTGGCGTTAAGCTTCGACTAGTTTTACGGTTTGAGCTATGGCTGTGTTCCATTATCATTGTCCTGTGTTTCTTTTTGCTTTCTCTATAGGCGCAATTGAAGTAAAACAGGGAGCCGTGTTGTGGGCATGAAAATCTGATGAGAATGTTTTCCTTTCTTGAGACGATATCCGCGGTTTTCTTTTTCTTTCTCGGATGTTATGCAGCTTATTATCTGTTACATCGTGTGGTTATTATCCATACACACACACAATCTCTAGATGTCATCTACCGGAAGAAAATCTGTATGGCTGGTTTCTCGGTGGCATGGTCGGGGAAAATTTGTATCATACCAAAACTACAAACTGAAATGAAGTCTGGTTTCGACTTAGTTTTGTGCTTGTCTATTATACTTTGTAAATCTAGTATGTCTCTTAAAATCATACCTTGGGTAACTTTTGGGGCTATGTATGCCACTATTTCAGTGTTCGTGTAGGCCTCATGTATTGGAAGCGTCATCTGCTAGAACGATCTTCAATGTTATCGTTATTTAGCTATAGTTTACTTTTGCCAACTATATCCTGCTCGTCATCTTTATCTACCGATTCTTCCACTTTCTCGTAATACTGAACATAATCCCGCAAAGCATCAACCTCATCTACTGTGAACTTCCGTTTCGCAAAGGCCCGATTCCCTTCTGAAACGACTGCCTTGAGTGGAATCTCCATCTTTTTTCCATTAACATTGTATGGGATACGGGATACTGGAAATATAGCAGAGGGAACATGACGACGTGAAAGAGCCTTGGTGATACAATCTCGTATTCTTGCTCTTAAACGATGCCATTCTCCATCGCGAATAGGTAGTGCGTTTCTCAATCGAAGCACGACAAATAGAATTACTTTCTCAGTTTCGTCGCCTTCTCGTCGTTGGCCAATGCAAATAGAGTCAACAATTTCCTCCGCAAAATGCCGTTCGATGAGACTATATATTTCGCCACTACCAAATCGAACGCCAGATGGATTGAGCACGCCATCACTGCGGCCAAGGATGTATATACCTCCGGTATGAGGAGATGTATACATGTGATCACCATGTGTCCATACACCTGGAATACTAGAAAAGTAGGTGTTGAAGTATCTCCTCCTGCCAGGGTCGTGCAGGAAGTGCATGGGCATGTTAGGAAACGGTTGTGTGCATACCAATTCCCCGCTCTCCCCTGCAGGTAGCGAGGGACCTGGAGTTTTATGGTCCGGTGATGACGAGGATGGATATACCTCGATGGCCATTCCTAATGCTTTAACAGGGATCTCCCCGGGGTACGTGGGAAGGCTGACAGTGCCATGAACGAAAGAACCACACAGCTCAGTTCCGCCCGAAAAGCTGATTTGACACAAAGAACCAAAAGACTCTGCCATCCAGGATGAAAGTGCCGGGGTGAGAACGGCACCGGTGCTAAGTAGCAGTTTCAGTTGATTGCTCTTCATGGATTTCGCCGAGATATTCCTCCGCCGCAGCTCAGAGAAGTACTTCGGACCCGCGCCAAAAGCAGTCACTCCTGCAGAGAGGATTCGCTGGAGACAACATTCGGGGGTGGGATAGAAAGGAGAACCGTCGTAGAGAACAAGTGTACTACCGCAGAATAGAGAACCGAGCATGATATTCCAAAGTGCCCAGCCAATGTTAGTGTAGTGAAAGTAGACATCCCTCTCATCGAAGTTGCAATGCAGTCTGTATTCTTTCTTCAAATTGATAACCACGCCCCCATGGGAATGAACAATGGCTTTGGGAGTCCCGGTTGTACCTGAAGAAAACATGACAAAGATAGGGGTGTTGAATGGGAGCTGTAAAAACGAAAGAGGTTTTCCTTTAGCTCTTTTGAGGAAACTTTCCAGTCCGACAGATTGGTCTTCAGTATTATAGGGGGTAGTGATAACCAATTCTGCATTAGGGGATCTGGTGAGTTTATGCCATACGGAATGTACCTTAGGTAGAATCATATGACTTTTACCGTTATACGTGTATTCGGCATCAGTAAATAGGAATCGTGGGCGTAACTGCGACAGTCGATCTAGTAATGCCTGTTCACCAACATCTGTTGCAAAAGACGAAAATATACCTCCCAGGCTAGCTGTAGCAAGCATCAGAGCTAATGAAATTTTGTTGTTTCCACCAATGGCGACGACTATATCACCTAGTTCCAGCCCAGAGCTCGAAAGTGCATCTGCTAGCAAGCGAACAAGGTCCCGTAGTTGATCCCAGGAGACATCTTCAGGCTCTGATTCGAAATTAGATTCATTCAAAACCCTAATGGCAGTTCCATTTCCACCACGCCGTTGATAAAGAATGTTTTCCGCAAGATTCAGTTTTGCATCTTTATAAAACTGAGGGAAACTGTCAATGGAGAGAGTTTCATCAATAGCAGCACTTGGCTCAACTGATGCTTTGATATCGAGATAGTGCCATAAAGACATCCAGAATATATTTCTAGTTGATCTTCTGGCTCCTATTGAGAACAAGTGGAGATCGTCATATGTTTGTAGCTGAGTACTATGATTTCTGTTGATGTATCCGCGGAAATCATCCATATAGGTGCGAAGCTCCGGTGGGGGTGTGTAGACAGGTGTTGGAGTTTCCATAGGTGGCATGATTGCAGGCCGTCGCTTGAAAAATGTGCTGATCAACATTGAAATGAGTTGACATAAAGTTTTCGTATTCCAGTCGCATATTCATAAGTAGTGATTTTCCATTATCAATTGATCTTTCTGACTTTGACACAAACAAGTCGGCCCGGTGACATCGGTCCGACCCAAGCCCTAATTCAGGCCAGAGCGGAGCGACAGCTTATGGCCTATGACAACTCAGAAACCTAAATGAACGTGTATCTGACTGTAGAAGATTCAAAAAAATATGTATTCAATTAACTAGATTTATCGACTTTTTATGAATTGTTGTTCGTAAAAACGATGACCAAGAAATGTGATTACACAAGTTTGTTCAAATGTTGATGTCATTATATAGAAAGAGCATTGAATTTTACAAACAGCTTATCAATTTATATATCTTTTTCTCTACCCTTTGTTTCAGGATCATATCTTATCCCAATATAAAATTCTAAGAACCCTGCAAATGTCAAGCTTGTGGTTCTCTGGGTGGTGTAACCAACCCACTACAAGGTCCGAACCCAGCCCTCTTACCATCTGGCGTAGTAAACCAGCCTTCCATTGTAAGCAAGTCTCCGTCTTCAAGCCAGTTTACCTTCTCATTTGCCACAGACGGGAGTGGTTCTTTGCAAGCATTAGCCTCGAAAAGACAACCACATCCGGAGGGAGAATTTGGATCTCTTGATTCGGGTGTCTAGAAATCGAATGAGCTACATATTTTTGATTAAGACGTTCACTTACAGGAGAGGAGGTTGTTCCAGAGCCTAACAGATCACCTGTGTTGAGTCCGCAACCAGCAGACGATTGATAGGCAATCATTTGCAAAGAGTCCCAATGTGCATCTGTCAAGTGTGTCTGCACAATCTTGACTGGGTATGATTTTTTGCCTAGGAAGAAGTTAGGTACTACTTTGAACGTCACAAAAGTTGCTCTTAATGCTGCTTACGAGATAATGTCACTGAAAATTCGATATCGTAACCCGCATGGTTATCAGGATCACTACGAAGATGACTTGATAACTCGGATTTATTTGACTCCACCGGACGAGCAATACTACCCCGAAGTGCATCCGGGGTAATCACCCACGGCGAAATACTAGTGAGAAAGCTCTTGGAGTGCAGCGGTCCGAACGGATGCATTTCGTACTTTTGTATGTCCCTTGCAGACCAGTCGTTCAGCAGAACGTAGCCGAAGACATGTTTCCACGCCTCCCCGGCAGTTACCACATCTCCGTGTGCTACGGGAGTCGAGATAAAGCAGCCCATTTCGACTTCAAAATCAAGCTCTCGAGAGATCTGGTACTCGACATGTTTGTCACCGTGTTGGCGAGGGAAGAAGCCCTTGGGCCGGATGACTTCGGTCCCGGAGACTGCAACGGAAGATACTCGTCCGTTGTAAGCCATGGGATATTCCCAGAATGCTGGTGGAACGGGAATGTTCATCGCTCTTCCGGCCTAAGTGAGTGTGAGATTTCGTTGCGAATACAGAAGGGCTATTTCTTACTTTATCAGCATGCACTAATGAGCTGTAGAAGTCGGTATAATCCGTTAGATGCATTGGTAAGTGCATTTTTACACTTTTTATGGGAATGAGGCCCTTTCTTTGCAATGACTCCTCTTTGAAAATCGGAGAATCGACGCTGGTGAGGTGAGTGATGATAGCGTTCCGAACAGCTTGACGGTCAGGCAGAGGAAGAGCTGCGAAGTCGTTGAGGTACGGCTTGAGTCATTAATTAGTATCTGAGTTTTTGCATATGAAGTACAAATATTGAGCTCAGTGAAATGTATTCCCGAAGCACCTTAAGGAAAACACCGTCCAAAGATTGTGTCAGTTGTGAGTCTTTGAAAATACCATGTTGAAGCAAAGTATCTAGATCGAGAACAAAATTTCCGACGGTTGTGGCAGCTCTAGGAGTCTTTGGAAGTCAGAATCGCCTAAAACCCGTAAATCCCGATACTTACTTGTCCTGAAGCAGAGTATATCCCAAAAGGAATATTGTAAATACCAAACGGGCTGTCGTTTGGGACGGGAAATGGGAAGGACACTGCCATCTTGCGTGTATTTTCGAAATAACTCAATAATAAGAAGCGAGTCTTTCGGTTTATAGAAGCGTCAACTGGTCTTCAAAGCTTAATCCTGTTCGAAAATGGCGGTCGTCAAAATTATACTTGGAAACATGAGTCGGGCCGATCCATCGGGCCGTGTTTTGTGTAACATTGTATATAGGCCTGTAAGTAAACCTTATAACTATATATCGCTGGGGATGCTAGACATCCAATGTTGAATTGCCCATCAGTAATTTAAAATAACTCAATCAAATTCGACAAATAAAATGGCTTACAAACAAACCAATCCTCTTCCAACTCCCAAGTCTGACGATGCTGTCCTCTCCATCGCAGCCTTTGAGACGGGCTGGATGCAAATAAAGGCGTCGACAGCCATTGCCGGTTTGAAAGGTTTGAACTATGCTACTTCCTGGAGATTCTTCATCCAACACGCACCTTCGAATACGAAGTTTTGGTTTGATTTGGGGGTTTCTCACGTATGTCTATAAAACAGCGATCCAATAAAAGCGATGACCGCAGCTCTTTGTGAGATACTACTATTTACACATATATATCAACTTGCAGGACCTTTCGATGTATCCTCCTAGAGTTCAGCGAGTGCAGCACAAGGTCTTTGTTACGACTCCATCTGAGCGCGACCCTGCGCAGGATGTCATTTCCATAGGCGCAGACCCGAATGACGTGAAATATATTATAGCAAGGTACGGATTATCATACTATTTCACGGGCGAGATAATTCTTCAATTTTTGACAGCTTCTCTGCCTAGCCATGCTCATTGGGATCATATATTCCCCGCTGCCAGCTTCTTCCCCAATGCCAAAGTGCTCTGCGGTGCAGGCACGTTGGAATGGGCATCTAAAAGTTGGCCCTCTGAAGCTGACAGCACTTTTGACGGACGTATATGGCACACAGAGAAAGCCGAATTACCGATAGAAGAAGTCTCATCTCCTTCAACTGAACCGGAGAAGTGGCAGCCTCTAGGCCCGTTCAAAAACGCATATGATTTCTTTGGAGATGGCAGTTTTTGGTTGATTGATGCACCAGGCCATTGCCCCGGGAATTTGGCCGCCCTGGCCCGTGTGAAGCGTAAAGATGGTAAGGTCAAATGGGCGTTTCTGGGCGGTGATTGTTTCCATAGTAGTCTGTTCGTTGAGTATCCAGAAGCACCGTTTGGCAAAGGGGTTAAGGTCACTCCGACAGATACGTATCATGAAAATGAAGACGAGGCAAGGGAGATAATCAGACAGGCTGCTGAATTAAAGAAAGGGGAAGGAGAGAACGCCCTAATCTGGATCGCACATACGTCCACTCTGGAGGATATTTGGAACTTCTGAAAGTCTCTTTACCTATATGTCGTATAAACCCATTTACGATCAATTGCTAGTCCTTATTAAAGCCTTAGAAGGATGAACTTAATGGTACAAGCACTGTTAAGATCCGAAAGTTTGCCTTTGGACATAGACGCATAGTAATTGTTAATCTTTGTCGAAGAGTTCACTGCCTGGGGGAATGAAAATATTGCTCCAACTTGGAGTTGAAAAGTCAAAGTTTGGTGGGATTTCGTCTCCCGACGAACCAACATTGATAGCATCAATATACCGCATTTGAGGGTCAATATTGCTTGGTGGGTTCCGACCACCGTTATCATCATGCATTTGGTCTCCCTCTGGAGAAGTACCAGCTGTGCTGGAGTGTTCCAAATGGTCGTCAGAGTACGGCCGATGAATGAATTCGCACTTGGGCGAATATGCTAGATCGCATGATGCTGCAATAAAAGCTTCAAAACTAGAGTCTTCCATCTGGGTCTCTCTAGGCGAATCCTGATCCCGTAAATCATTCAAGGCTTTATTCAGAAGAGAAGAATGTCCGATTTCAGATAAACAAAAATGTGATTCCAGGTCTTGATACTGCGATGGAGTTAGTAGGAGCAAAATTTGCAACCATAATTGCATTTCATCGTTAATTGGTTGGAAACTCGGTGAAAAACATACGAAAAATTGCAAAGTAGGCCAATAAACCTTGAGCTCCCATAATAACAGCGTGCATATAGCGCCATCCCGCCGAATTCCTTGTCCCTTCTCCAGGCCAGTGAAGGCCATGACTGCGGAGAGGACCATGCCAGCCACAAAAGCACAGTATCCCACAAAAGATGGAACTTTTGCCATGTCAGGTGTGGTGTTCAGATATCCACATGTCATTTTAGCAAAATATTCGGCATGAGATGTTGCTGTTTTTGATGAGATCTTCACGATAGTAGGAGGAGTCGCATGGCCTGCCGTGGAAAGTGACAAAGCTGGTACCATAGAGGAATGGAGAAAAATTAGGCAGAGGTGATACATCGAAAGGATGAAAAAGGCATTACGCTGTAAAGGTTCGGAGCGTGTTTCGTCCATCAAATTGTCATCTTTAAATTCACTTGGAAGGGACGAGTAAAAATGTTGCAGATTGCTGTCAAGTTCAAAGAAAGTACTCAGACACGATTGATAAGTTGACTTTTCAAGTTTTCGGACGAATTCTTTGACATTACGCCTAGGATGGATAGAAGTAAGCATCAGGAAGCAGATATTAGAATGGCAACATGTCTCCATTATGTACAAAGGGTGCAGTGCCTATCCATAGAACGATTGTGTTGGGTATACTCAAGGAAAGATGCCGTGGGAAGAAACCTACCAAAGTCGAAGGACTTCAAGCATGTATATAACACTAGTCTGTGAAAAGGTCTCATCCCAGACCAACCAGTCGACATAACCACCAAGAGAAGGGGATGAAGGCGCTAAGGAGATTGGATCGGGCCGGTCTGTCTGTGAAGGTCCTCTTGTAATAATCGACTCAGTGTCTAAATCAAAGGAATGGCAATCCGGCACCATTTCACTGATACAACTCTTAACAAAACATGCCCAGCGCACACGATCCTTCGAAATGGCTCGAGGGCTCTGGAAGTCAGAAAAAGTGTTACCTAGCTTTGCCTTGCGGTCAAGAAGATAGAATGACGATTGTGACACAGCTACATTACAAAGTCAGTTGAAGCAGGACGCTTAAGTAGGTTATACCCACTGGCATGTAAAATAGACCGCTCGGTCTCGCCCAAAGCAAACCAATAAAGACTGAGCACGTCGCAGGAGCAAACTTGAGCGAGGGTTGGTGTGTCAGAATGAGCCAGGACTAGCTCACTTGCCCATTGTGCCCACTCACGACCACGTTTCCCCACTGATTCAAGTTCACCAATGGATGACCTTTTCCCACATGTTTCAGCAGGAGAAGTACGTAAGAATCTAGGAACAACGATATTACTCCCGGTCAGTTATTCCCTCCATGGACCTGCTCCCCTTTTCATATAGGCCATACGCACAGTGACGACACCGCAAAAGTGCTTAACAAGGTATGCTTCGGGAGCGTACCAGCGCAATAACACTCCACAAAGGCTTTGTGGTCATAGAGCAACGAAGCTGAGAAAACTCTGGAAAAGTAAACTTCAATCAACAAAAGGCCAATCTCTCGTTCTGGCAAGCTCCGTAGATCTTCTGATGTAATGTGGCTTGATGGACTGCCGATAAAGGAAGACACCGTTCGATTGTTTTCATCTATAGGTAGTATAAGGTCCAAGTCAGAGTTCCTACGATGTGGGGACCCAGAAAATAAACCTAAGGACAATGAAAATGGATTTGCTCCTGGCGGGGACTGGCGCCCCAGCAGCATCTCAGTAAAGACCATGTCGTCTGCGGCCGGATTCGATGTGTGAGACACTCTGTCGAGCTCGGATGCACGGGATGCTTCTTGCCTCTGAGGACTCGGCCTGTCGAACTGCTGCAGGGGAATGCTGACCCCATTTCGCCGGGCTGCAAGCAACCTTCGATTTGGTGGCTCTGGATATACACATAGAATCCTTTTTTTCTGACACCGAGAACAGGTTGGAGATTCTCGAGAGCATCGAATCTAATTGAATGTTAGCTTTCAAGAATTCCCTAAGAAATACAGCAAGAAAGAAACCGCCAGATACTTTCAACGATCGACATCCTCGACAAGCTGTGGGAGACAATATCCTCTGGAGCCGTCGTGACTCTTCGCGCACCCGGACGAGAGACTCCACCATGCTGGATGTCAGAATAAAGATAGCCTGCACTCTGGACGGAGCAGCAACAGTCAATTGACCGTGACCGGTGGTTTCGAGACAGGAGCGAAGAACACGTGATCGATGCGGGGAAGTGACCCGGAAGTCTGGGGAGCTCCGCATGTCAACCCTTCGCCTCCGATTGGTGGGGAGTAAGTAATCATTGGTGACTGAAGAACTTCTACGTGCATGGGTGTCTCGATTAGCTTCGAAAGACGTGTCAGGCGTTGTAATTTATTGCTCGATCTTACTATGAAGCTCAGAACTAGACCAAGCAAAGAAAAAGCTGTGTCGAAAACCTCGACAGGCTGGGTTTCTCTTTTCTTAGCAGTGAACCTCCAGACATCTTGCCCAACTGTATTATCAAAGATCACTGTTCAATTAAGATGCTAACTTAGATAGATTTGACCATCTCTACTCAAAGGATATCTATGTCAAGTAACCTATAATTCTGTTCCAATTTTACTTGTTAGAGGCCTGGTCGACCCTGTTGGAAACGACAGCTGGATCAACGGACTCATCCATTCTGAAAATGACTTTCGTGGCTTCCTTCAAGTGGATAATGGACCATCTATTATTGCGAAATTTGTGTACAAGTGATTATCATTTTCAAAACGGAATGCACTATAACATATCTGCCCATGACTCTAAACGGGTCGGTTTTGCTGCAGAAATCACTTATAGGCCGACCATGAATCCTCGATTGAATATTTGGGTCTTTGTATATGTCTTGGTTGCTGATCAAAAAGACCTGCCCATCCATGACTCACACATTAGGCACTTAGTAACAATAAAGGTGTCTAGAAGGGTGGCTCTTGGGATGTGCATACATTAATGGACTCATCACATCAAACACCATTAGTAATACGTATACAAGCCGGGTATGCTGCATCGCTACATCCATGCATGTCAATGTCTCCATTATTTCTCCAATCAGTCATTACAAAGATGACGCGTAAACAGTGAGCAGAATAAGTGCCAACTGTGGCACGTCGGCGCCTCTACATCTTCAGAAAATTATTCAGAAAAAGACGGGCCGATGAACCTTAAAGAGGACGGACCGAGCAATCCAACTCATCCAAAAGGAGGAAATGCGCCAAGATGTACATGTCGGACAGCCGCAGCTATAATATCGAGGAGATTCTTTGACTATATTATTTATGTCAATGGCACGCGCCTTTGAATATGTCATACGTGCATTCATTTCTGTTTTATGTAGTGTAATTGGTCACAATGGAGATTCAGGAAGAACCAGCAACACACCGTCCGGACAACATCGGTGAGGAAGAACTCGATCCGCACATCTACGACGACAAAGGCGATCCTCATCGCACCGCACTCGAGGATCGGGATGCTAATGGCAAGGTGTCCTGGTCGACCCTTGTAGCAATCTTCTTTCTCTCTTTTACTGTCCATCCAGCCCTCAGCTTCACTTTGCTTACCGTGTTCCCTATTATGGGCCGGATCGGAATAGAGCTGCAGGGCAGTACGCAAAACGTCAGTTGGATGGCTTCTGGATGGTCTATTGGGGGAAGTGTTGCGTTTGCAATAGCTGGCCAGCTCAGTGACTACTTTGGTCGACGCAATATCATTCTCTGCGGCCAGGTTCTATTGATCGTTGGTCATATCATTGGGGCGAGCGCCCGCAGCGTCAACCAGTGTATTGCCGGCATGGTCATTTTAGGACTGGGAACAGGTACCATATTTGTGTCAGTGAGATATCCATATTTCGAGCTTGGGCTGTAGATTGACAAGCCACAGAGTGTACCCTGGCATCTCCGAGCTGCTACCCAATCGCTATAGATCCGTCGGCGTGAGCTTCACGGATCTCTGTCTGCTTCCTTTTAGTACATTTGGACCTCTCATTAGCCTGAGTCTATATCAGAGGGCAACCTGGCGCTGGGTTTTCATCCTGGGTGCCATTACCGGCGTGGTTGCTTTTATAGGAACGGCGATCTTCTACACACCACCATCGCGGCCACTGAGAGATCGCACTCGCCGGCAAATCCTGCGCGAGCTCGATTATCTTGGCATCTTCCTTTATAGCGCCGGCCTTGTCATCTTTCTTCTTGGTCTTGGATGGGCCGGTGTAACGAAGCCATGGAAGAGTGCTGCAGTGTTAGCACCGTTGATAATAGGGTTTTTGGTCTTTGTTTCAGCCTTTGTCTGGGATTTCAGCGGTTACGCCAAACGACCAAATTTCCCATATCACATAATGTCGAACGTCCGCGAGTATACCATTTTATTGGTTCTCATCTTCGTGGTCGGACTTGTTTACATATCAATGACTGACTTAATCCCTGCGAATATCGCAGCCGTGTATACCAGCGACTCCATCAAAGCAGGAGACTACAACATCCCTGCTGGCTTTGGCGGGTCAATTGGAGGAGTAGTGCTTGGTAGTCTTTCCTACCGCATTCGATATATCCATTTACAGTTCGCGGTAGCCATTGCTATTCAGACTATTTTCACGGCTCTGCTCGCCCTCAGCACGCCTAATAGACTACCATTAGCCATTGTCTGCCAATTCTTCGCCAATATGCCGTTCGCATGGATCACCACATGCTGCTATCTGACTGCAGGCATTCACGTGCCCCAAAGAAACATTGGCTTGGCAATGGGGCTCCTGGGAACATTCAGATTTCTGGGAGGTGCCATTGGCACCACAATATTCTCAACTATTCTAGAGAATAAATCCACGCCGGCTATTCTCCACCGTGTAACAGACGCGGTGCTACCACTAGGGTTTCCTCCCGGTGAAATTCCAGCATTGATATCCTACTTGTCAAACGGCAGCCCATTTCTAAACCAAACTGTATCAACTGATGTAGTCAACGCCGCCACAACAGCGATCAGATGGGGATGGAGTGATGCATACAAGATCGTGTGGCTAACCACTATCCCGTTTGGAGTCATCGCGTTTGCGGGTGCATTCTTCGTGCGAGATCCGTCGCCATACTTGACAAAACATATCGCTGTCACGCTGGAGAAGGAGCGGTTGAATACAGACCAAAAAGAGAAGTCCACTGGCGTTGAGGTCCAGCACTTGGAGAACTCGGGGGATAAGAATGTGTGATCATCACAGATCAACGCGTGTTGTATACTATAGCAATTTTGATGGGAGTGTAACTGCTTGCATGATTGATCAATACGAGTATCAGAATGTCAATTTGAAACAAACTCGCACGCAGGAGAGTAATCCGAGCATTTCGCATAACTTATATATTGTGTAGACTGACCAAGAAATTAATATTATCGTCTCTTCAATGGATGCCAAGCCTCCGCATCCATTCCAGTTGCGGGTCTGCAGGCACCAGCCAAAACGGGCTAGGCCCAAATACGCTGAGCCGCGGTCCAATGTCGACATTCACGAGAGAAAGAGAGAGAGAGAGCTGCCCCCTCAATAGTTGATATTAAAAACTTGTCTCCCATGTCACTGTGAATTTGCCCAATCCAATTCATTGCCGAGCTCTTTTTCTCACGACTACTCGCTGGCTATCAACCATATTCCCTTGCGAATCCCACTCGTGACTGTCGGGCTCCTCCCTAGCATCGTCTTGTCGCGTGCAATTCTCCCTCCGTTCTAGCCGAAGCCGAGAAAGCGTCACCATCGGGCAGCTCTAATCCAAAGATCACGCCAACGAAGCTGCACTGCGCGATTGCTTTCTTCGTTACCTTTTCATTTATTTGATTTCATTTATAATCTGTCAATTGCATTCTCTTTGACTGCTATTTCTCCCGCTGCAACGCCTGTTAGGTCCGGCGTGGGGGGCGCGCCGAATCTGAAGCTCCATGCAGAGCTACCTCGGGCCACAATGTCGGACTCTGTGGGTGGGTGATGTCCATTCAGCATTTTAGACATGTTGGACTGGTAGCTAACGTATGCGGGATATTCGTCACAGATCGAGTCTTTGTCCATGCCCTCAATACCGTCAAAAAGATACCGAGGACTGGCACAGCCCGGCCGCCAACGGCAGAAAGGCTTAAGCTATATGGATTATATAAACAGAGCATGGGTTCGTACTTCCAGATAGTGGGTTATAATGCGTTTTCTGACATTAATCGGCAGAGGGCGATGTTGAGGGGATAATGGACCGGCCAGTTGGGGACGCAGCAGACGTACAAGCAGAGCGAGAGAAATGGTAAGACACAGCCATATAGAGCGGAAAGATGAGGTAGCCATGGGCTAATTGTTTGAAAAATTGCTTAGGGACGCATGGTATTCACAACGTGGTATATCGCGAACAGAAGCTAAGAGACGCTACATCACAACGCTTGTCGATACCATGCATCGATATGCATCGCAAACCGAGGAAGCTCGGGAACTCGTTTCAGAACTCGAATTTGTTTGGGACCAGATCAAATATAGCACGTCCTCTTCGTCGTCTTCAAGCCCGATGCAGGCGATGGGCCTTCCGATGACAACTGAGACCTCTGCGCCGAGAAAATATGGAAGCATAGATGGCCGGATGAGCCGCTCACCACCGGTGGAGGATCCAGATGAAGACCTAGCCATATATCGAAGAAGACTGGGCGATTCAAGATTACGAGTGTTGAGTCCAGTTAGCCAGCCTGACGAGCCGGATTCAAACATACCCGAAGAAGAGGAAGATGATGAGGATGAAGAATTCCAAGAAGCCCGAGATGGTACATCATCTGGCGGAACCACATCATCCCAAGATCGTGAAAAACCCACCGCAGCAAAAACACGACGAAGACGAGCATCAACACCCGGCAACAGGCCATCATCACACAACAACGCTGACGATTGGCGACGACGCGTCGAGCAGGCCTTGACGAAAATGACCACTGAAGTGGCTGCACTTCGCGAACAAATTGAGTCCCGGTCAATCTATGCCAGTCGACGAAGATCAAGTCTTTTGTCGTGGTTGAAATGGCTCTTCTGGATTGCCATGCGACAACTGCTCTGGGATTGTATGATCCTAGCTATCATTCTGATCTGGATGCGAGTCAACAGCGACCGCAGGCTAGAGCAGAAAGTGAAAGCTGGGCTGATACAGTTCAAAAATTGGTTAATGACGCTCAGGATACCGCGACGATTACCTAAATTCTCGCGTCTGTCGCTGCCATGATTTCTTTTCTTGCCTTTACGTTTCCATGTATATATTGTCTATTTCCCCTTCCATGATCTATATACATTACATTTTCCAGATGTCGGCTATTTTATTAAACGGGTGAGCATACGTCGGAGTTTTTCAATTCTTCGATTTTATCCAGGACAATGTGCCAATGTTTGACTATGGATATCAGATATAGACCATGATGTGCCTATCTAAATAAATTAGTACATATAATGAACTTCTTGGCACGAGCGATTGATTCATACGCCTTGCCTCTGAGCGGCTCGAGTAGAGTCTTTATTCTTGACCACACAAACCAACACCTTCCCCTTAGATTCCTCTCCACCGATCGTCTCTCAGTTGATCAGCTGGACCTTATCACGTATTTTAGGCTTGTTGTGTTTCTTCGTTTTAGGATTAGGGCTTGTGTGAGCTGCCGACATGTAAGATTTGGACCAAGGGTGGTCGTCATACCCACTGCAACAAAGAACTGGAGAGTCACTGCATTCTGCCACAAAAGCTGCTCGGTGGTGAAGCTGTTACCAGTTTGAAAGGGCAAGGGTGTCTTTGCATTATTCCGCGACGCTAGCCTTGCCAGAACAGCCGAGCTCCTACCATGTTTGATATTCTGTTGTTTCCTTGTATGCTCTCCCTTTTTTGCCTCTTTATTTTCGCCTCTTCACCTTCCATTTCTTCCGTCATCATTGCTACTCTCGTCGACTAACATATCTCCAACGTGACGCAAAATGGGAACTCGCAGCCTGATCTGTATCTTCTACAAGGGCCGCTTCATGGTCGCCCAGTACACGCAGTTCGACGGCTACCTTGAAGGACAGGGCTGGTCAATCCTCAAATTTCTGGTCGTACACGGAAATATCGATCGTCTCAAAGCTGGTATGGAATTTGTTAGCATTATTGACAGGGAACGTCTCACACAACTGGTCAGTGGGCATGGGTACACGACCTCTGACCACTCTGGACAAATGGTCTGCGAGTGCGGTGCTCCTCAGCCCTTCTCTGGTCCTGGGACATGCGTCCCACCTTCGTTGAGCCGTATGACTGGTGCAAATATTCTCAATATGATTGCATCTGCCAGCGACCAGAGCTATCTACCGGTCACTCTTGGTTTGGAATTTGTCAACGATGGTCTCTTCTGCGAATTCGCCTACTGTGTTGACCTCGATGCGGACGTCTTTGAAATTTTTGCCGGGTGTGTGGAGAAGCCAAAGAAAACCAGCAGCAATGATACCAGTAAAGAAGAGCTGCTGATCGGTCAGTGTCGCTTCCTAGAAGTCGGCGCAGAGACTGACACTGTTCCAAAACTCCTCATGTCTTATCCTTTTGATCACCTCCCTGGGAATTTGAATGATATGGTGAATCAGGTAACGACGAAAAATCCCGATATGTTCATCAAGGATGACGAGGACGAGCCTAAGAGTCCGACTAAGAAAGATGAAGAGGATGAAAAGAGTGGAGAAGTTAAAGATAGCGAAGAAAAGCATGATGAAACGGAAACTACTTCGTGATTAGTCCTTATCAGGTAAACTGCCCGATTTCTTTCTCTATTTCGAAGATTCAGACGAGTTTAAAAAAGGACTTATATAGTATTATGTTTCGGATAGTGAGATGTTTCTCCAGCTATCACTCCTCCATAGCGTACGACGTTTTCCAATTTCCGGATCCAACCCATTTTTGCGTATCCACACCGTCTGTTAGAGAACAGTTAAGATGTTACGTGAATAGAAGAGGACTTCGACTCAACTCAAAGTAGTAATCCAGCCCTTTTTACGAGGACATTTAGCAGTCATTACCAAAGACTATAATAAAAAAAGTCAAAAATGGTCAAGTTAAAATAATCATTATATGTGTTATATCATTCATCTAGGCACATGTCTCGGAGCCTACACCTTTGCAAACTTCTGCTTGGTTCGGGTAGCCACAACTTCTTCGTTATAAATGAAGTTGACACTCTCGTGTTGAGTCGTAGCCTCAAACCACCGCTTGAACTTGGGCAACTTCTCCAGCTGGCTTGGCAGGCTGGAGTGTAGTAGCCCGTACTCCGGCTTCGCGAAAGTAGCAATACGCAGCAGGACCGCACCCGAGAGAACCTATGTCAATATCAGCCACCGATTCGATTACAAACTCTAAATTGACAGCAGTGTTTCTTACCTCTGCAAGTGTCAGTTTCTCACTTCCGCCAAAGAAAGGCCCCTTTCCTTCTTCCAGTAGAGGTTCAATCTCCTTGGCTACAGCGTCGACGAGAGCCTTTGTGGATATCTCGCGGTCTTCGAGGCTGGTAGCACGAAGGCTGGAGAAGAAGTGTGGGACAACCTTGCTGTAGAAAGCATCGACAAAGAAATCAAGACGTGCACGGTACAAGGCATTGTCCACCGGACCGGATGGGGGCAGCAGATGAGAAGGGTGGGCATCGGCTAAGAAGCGAGCGACAATTCCAGATTCGGTGATTATCTGGCCATTGTAGGAAATTGATGGAACAAGACCGCGCTATATCGATCGAGCAGGTTAGTTAGACTGTACACACATTTTGCTCTTTTTCTGCATACCGGGTTGACCTCAAGATACCATGGCTCGCGAGGGGTATCCAAGTCAATGACTACCTCTTCATATGGTAATCCGAGCTCCTTAAGAATAATATAGCCGCGGTGCGCCCACGGGCAGATCGGGTTGGTGTAGAAGATGATTTTAGGGGATGCCATAGTTTGGTAAAGAGCGGGGTATCCTAATGCAAGCAGCTATGTTAAACAGGATTGGAAGCAAGGAGAGAAGGGCAAAGTCAGTTATATAGTTATACAATGGAGAGGTAGTTCGCAAGCAGAGTGACAAATGACGAATTTAGGACGGTGATTGCTTGCTCTGGAGCAGCTTTAATTACTAATTATGCTGCGAACGGGCCTCGCTCTGATACGGATAGCGAAGCTTCTCCCCGCACCGAAGAGCAAGCACTGGCTTGAGCTGTCGCTGTCGCATCGCCATCATGCTCACGGATGTCGGAGTTATTCATATAGTTAACTGTTGGTTACGGATTAAGCACGTTGGGAGGTTTTGGTTTGGGGAGCAGCAGCTTTATTTTTTTTTTGCTGCCTGAGGCATCAACCATATCTGACATCCACCCACATTTACGCGGCAGCAACAGAACAGCCATACGTCTCTTTCAATCCATGAATATAGATTTCTGCCTGTTATTAATTACAGTACATGCTTGGCATTTAATGCAGTCATTGAGCCTTTTCGATTGGCTTGTCCACAGCAACGCTGTCCTCTACTGACACACATGACATCATTGGTCAGTCGAATATTTCTCTGCCTGCCGACCAGCAACATATTCATTCACGCACTCATAATATTAAATAAATAATAAATAGTTAAAGATGTCATAACAGATAACTTGGCATGTCCACGTGACGAGAATGACATTGTCGCCAAGGGCGACAAATGACAATAAGACGACGACTCCGCTAAGCCCCCCCACCAGTGCAGAGTGCGGCAACAAACAAGCCAGCCTAGCCCCTCCTTCTAGCTGCCTATCTCTCTCCCACTTATCCTCCCATCTCAACCTACAACAATCCTCCTCTTATCTCAACTCTACAATCTACTTCGTATGTTCACTACATCCTTCATCAAGTCAGCGCACGGAAAGAAACCTTCCTTATCCTGCACAAACCGGTCGCGTCGCTGCGCCTCCCCCAACAAATTACTGACCTCAAACATTGTTCTGCAGTTCCGCCTCCTTTTCTGAATATTTGGATTCAAAAGTCGATTCAGTTCAATTATCATGCCTGTGCGTATTGATCCTTTTTTCTGCATGAATCTGTATGGGCGTGCGCTAATTAATGGGCAAATTGCAGATCTCCTCTGGGTAAGCTTCTTGAGCACACATAAACAAAATGCATCATCACCAACTACCGCATCATACTTGAATTACACAACCTATACACGATCATGTGCTAACTATTGTTACTAGTATTACGGTCAAGGATGAGTGCATCACTACATTCCGCGACAAGATCAATTCCGTCGGCCCATCTAGAAATGTAAAGAAGATGAAGTGGATGATCTTAAAAGTCACCGATGACCTGAAGGAGATCGAAATCGAATCTGTACATGACCCTGCCAAGGATGATTCCGATAAATCTATATACGAAGACTTCCGAACTCGCCTTAGTGAGAAGCCCGGACCGAAGGCGGACACCATTCTCCCCCGATATGGCATCTACAAGGTCGATTACGAGATTCCTGGCGACATAGTGAGAAAGACGTATGATTCATTTTAAAACTACCATAACACTAGGAAACCCCTTGCTAAACACCCCATAGGGACAAGATCGTCGGCTTCTCCTGGGTCCCTGCAAGCACACAAAGAGAGGTAAGTTTCTCGCCGTTCATGCAAGCATCTGGACTGACGCTGCTGGTATGTATAGTTGAAAGTGGTCTACTCCACTTCGTACGAGGCTTTGAAAAGCGCCCTGGGCAACGTTCAAGTATCCATCCAAGCTGATGAGCCGTCGGAAGTTGAATTTAAATATGTTCTCAAGGAATGCGATAGAACTGCAGTAAATGGGTTCTGAGCATTTAGTGTTGTTTGAGCCTGCATTGAGACTTGACGACGATCAAAAAACAGCTTAAAATACGCTTTTGTAGAGATTACCTGGGTGCTCGTGTTGATATCGATGTGGTTTGCTGGTTAACACTACAGGTAGCTCTCTGATAGACATTCTTCCGATGTTGTTGTTCTGCTACCTAATTGTTTATTTCCTGGTTCGTATCCATATCCAGCCAAAACGGAGTTTGGAATATTGAAACTCGACTGAGTATATGTAATATTTACAATGCACACTTGAGGACTGAAACAATCGACCGGTAGTTCTATTGATGCGTAATTGAAACGTTACTTCAAATCCTGTGTTTATTGTAAGAGTCTCAGTCAATTGGATGTGGTATCAACCGACTGCAGATGTCGGTATTGACGGGAATGTCACCATTGAAGTGCGCAAATACATCAATTTATATTGATCTGGTGAACTTAAGGACTAGATAAAATTGCAACGACTATATGTGCGTCAACTACGTATCAATTGATGTACATACGCGTGAAAAGTCAATTGCTGTAGTGGTTTGGAATCTGTACATAATCAATTGATGCGTGCCACTGTGAAGGTTTGAATATATAAATACATGACTGATATTTTTAGTAGTGCATACGCAACTAGTAGCGGTTATGTAATTTTGGATATGCACCTTTCCGGGAAGGTCTCTGATACGCATTGATACAATTGCTTCATATTTCAATTCTACATACATCCTAGAAAACATCATAGCACAACTATATGCCGACAACATTTGATACACACCATGCGACTGTGAGATTCCGAGCACGGCAAAGATTCGGGTCCGACCGAGCGGGCCGGCTGGTCGGCCAATCAGCGACTCGTAAAAGGAGGCTGTCATGACCGCGGCGCCGGCAGAACTTCCACCTCAAACCACCATCATCAAAAGCCACCCTTTGCGTACCACGTCAAACCACCTGGTCGACCGTCTCTACTCCGCCTCTCGCCTTCAACCAATTTTTTCAACCATTGCCGATCTCGACGGTCTTTAACCATATAGTAATTCGACTTGCGTATTGCTTCAATTCCCTTTTCTCGTCTCTTTTTCGCTCTTCCCACAATGTCCCTTCGCTACGCCTCTCAGGCTGCTCGCAGCTCTGCTGCCCGGTCGTCTGCCGCTCCAATGACCCGAGTCATCCTTCCTGCTCACAGCGCCGCCGTTCAGCAGACGCGTCTCTCCTCCGGTCATGCCATTGCCAACCCCACACTTGCTGGCATTGAGAAGCGCTGGGAGGCCATGCCACCTCAGGAACAGGCCGACTTGTGGATGCAGCTTCGGGATCGTATGAAGGTTGACTGGCATGAGATGACTCTGCAGGAGAAGAAAGCCGGTATGTCAGCTGTGTTTGGGTTGTCCCGGTTGTTCCTAGCTGAGTGGTAACTAATACTGCTTTGTATCTAGCCTACTGGATTGCATTTGGAGCCCATGGCCCACGTAAGGAGACCCCCAAGGGCGAGGGCTGGAAGGTTCTCTCCAAGGTCACCCAGTTGGTCGCTGTCTCGGTTGCTATCTTCTACATTACTCGTCTCTTTGCTAAGCCTCCACCACGCACAATGACCAAGGAATGGCAAGAGGCTAGCAATGAATATGCCAAGGTGCGTTCGCTTTTCCATGTTAAATGGACCAATTGAGATTGACTATAGCTAACATGCTTTGCACCGTATAGAGAGAAAAGATGGAACCTATTACTGGTATCAGCAGCGAAGGCTACGAGGGCGAAGGATTCGTGCAGAGCCCACCCGAGAAGAGTTCATAAAAAAAGAGAACATAGAATACAGAGTGGACTCGAAGCGGGAGAAATGGATGTCAAGCCGAGTGATTTTACTTCTTTCGCACTCGCTACTGATGTGTTATATATCTGGACAAGTGTTGATTTCGTCGCTTGTTGCCCCGTTCGTTCACTCTCCCTCCTCCCCCTTCCATTGGGAATTGAGTTCAAAAACCATGTACTGTCTACTGTGCTATAATCAATCTATTTCCTTTGTTGCTTAGATTATTTATACGTGCATCATAAAAGTCTAATTGTTCTGTATAATATAAACGGCACCTGGGGCTACGGTATATTAATTGATGTATAAGTCCATCGGTCCGGTAGCAGTATCTAGATCTCCCCCAAGCTGGTCTTTCATCAAATAATAGAAAACAGCTGTATTGCGATATCGATCACGGGATACGGTCAGATTGGCCTCAATTGGCTGCTATCGGAGCAACAGCAATGCCTCTCCACGTGTATATCCCACGTCAACTATACATATTGGAAATTGGGGACATATTACGCTTGATGGTTTTTCTTTCTTTTCTGTTTCTCCACGCAATTCTTCTATAATTCGGACTACACCTCACTGATCTCAGCATGGCCGACACGGCAGAATATCGCCGGTCGTATGGGTAACGGTCAGAGCTTTCAGTTAGCTCGCTTTTGCTGCGACTCCACGAAAAGGGCCGGACGCCAGGTGTCTGTTTGCGCTGCGGCAGGCCGTATAGACCGGTACACAGCTGGATACTACCGCTCATAGTTAACTAATTCATTCATGACTGTAATATAAGCATAAAAATAAAACACTACACAGGAAAAAAAAGCAATTGGTCATTGAGCACGCAGTCGGCTTAACCAAGTCGGGTGCACTCGGGTCTCGGCGCGGACAAACAAAGCGCCGAGGCGCAGGGCTTGTTGCCAGCCGTCGAACCTCTCGCAGTCTCTCCCTTCTCTCCCACACTCTGGCAGCTGCCAATCTCCCATCTCTACTCTCCTCCCCGTATCCTTTCGCTCTTAAACACCCATCACAATGTTCAAGAGGTGCGTCTACCACTCAATTGATTCGTTCTCTCTCACTTCCATCGCGTCGTGTGGCCTACTGACAAACATTTTCTTTTCAACAGCGGCCTCGCCCGGACCTTCGGGAGGGCTGCCTATGCCCGACCGACCCCTGTGGCTCGTCGCGCATTCGAGCCTCTCCGATCCAATGCTCTTCCTGCTCTGAATGCCAGGTTCGCAAGCACAGATGCTGGTCTCGTTGGAAAGATTCACCAAGTTATCGGTGCCGTCGTGGACGGTACGTACACATCTCGCGCTTTCGGAGGCTTGGCATGCTTGGAGGACGGGATCGACGGAAAATCTTTTTTCTGCACCCCAACACCAACGAAAAAGACCTCAAAAAGTGGCTCAGTTGCATTGATGGACCCGGTTTCTGATCTTGGATTGCAGTAAAATTCGACACCGATTCTCTTCCTCCCATTCTCAACGCTCTGGAGACCCAGAACAACGGCCAGAAGCTTGTGCTCGAGGTTGCTGTACGTTATAGAAGCTCACATACCAACTTTTTTGACCTGATCCCACCGGCTAACAATCATCTAGCAACATTTGGGAGAGAATGTTGTCCGTACAATTGCTATGGACGGTACGTATCTTGCCTGACGAGCTTGCTCTAAGCTTGAGGCGCGTCATCTGACAGATTATAGGTACCGAGGGTTTGACCCGTGGTGCTACTGCCCATGACACTGGCTCGCCCATCACGATCCCCGTCGGCCCTGCTACCCTCGGCCGTATCATGAACGTCACTGGTGACCCCATTGACGAGCGTGGCCCCATCAAGGCTACCAAGTTCGCTCCTATCCACAATGAACCGCCATCCTTCGCCGAACAATCCACCTCTGCCGAGGTCCTTGTTACTGGTATCAAGGTTGTCGATTTGCTTGCCCCCTACGCCCGTGGTGGTAAGATTGGTCTCTTCGGTGGTGCCGGTGTCGGAAAGACTGTGTTCATTCAGGAGTTGATCGTACGTGGAGAACCGAACATGTAACAGAAAGTACCGATGCTAACTTCTTATAGAACAACATTGCTAAGGCCCACGGTGGTTACTCTGTGTTCACTGGTGTCGGAGAGCGTACTCGTGAGGGTAACGATCTGTACCACGAAATGCAGGAAACTGGTGTCATCAAGCTTGACGGTGAATCTAAGGTCGCCCTTGTCTTCGGTCAGATGAACGAACCGCCCGGTGCTCGTGCCCGTGTTGCCCTTACTGGTTTGACTATTGCTGAGTACTTCCGTGATGAGGAAGGACAGGACGGTACGTCTGAGAAAGAAATTAACACGGTCATACAACTAACAATTATTAGTGCTGCTCTTCATTGACAACATTTTCCGTTTCACTCAGGCCGGTTCTGAGGTGTCTGCTCTTTTGGGTCGTATCCCTTCTGCCGTGGGTTACCAACCCACCCTCGCCGTCGATATGGGCATTATGCAGGAACGTATTACCACTACCACCAAGGGTTCTATTACCTCCGTCCAGGCCGTCTATGTGCCCGCTGATGATTTGACTGACCCTGCTCCTGCCACCACCTTCGCTCACTTGGATGCCACCACTGTCTTGTCTCGTGGTATCTCTGAGTTGGGTATCTACCCTGCTGTCGACCCTCTTGACTCCAAGTCTCGTATGTTGGACCCCCGTGTCGTCGGTGAAGACCACTACGCCACCGCCTCTCGCGTCCAACAGATGCTTCAGGAGTACAAGTCCCTCCAGGATATCATTGCCATTCTGGGTATGGATGAATTGTCTGAAGCCGACAAGCTCACCGTCGAGCGTGCTCGTAAGCTTCAGCGATTCTTGAGCCAGCCTTTCACCGTTGCCCAGGTTTTCACTGGTATCGAGGGTAAGCTCGTCGACCTCAAGGACACCATCCGCAGCTTCAAGGCTATCATCAACGGTGAAGGTGACGACCTTCCCGAGAACGCTTTCTACATGGTTGGTGACTTTGAGTCTGCCCGTGCCAAGGGTGAGAAGATCTTGGCCGAACTCAGCTCGTAAATCATGTAATATCTGTCACTGCTCCTTTTCTTTTGTCATTTGCATTTGTCTCCGCTTTCTTTTAGCGCGTGTGTATATTACCCGTATAAAAGAAACAGGATTTGAGAAACTTTTTACCAGGAGAGGAGCTGTGATAAAAGCTTATGAAATACCATCGGTTGTAAAAATAGATTACTTCTAGCCTGGTTCTACCTAGCTAGACAATGCATTTCCTTTGTTATAGCCCAAACTTTTGTCAATATTAAGATGGTTTTCTAAATCTCCTGATTTCTGTTAGATACCTCTATCACAGGTGTTGTGATACATACCTTGATGTCTATGAGCACAGAGTCTCATTAATTCTAGATCTATATCGGCTCCCAAGTCGCATGGGAGTCGGCCAATCCACACTCGCAGTAAATGTTGATAGCCAAGAATAACAAGTAACCTGGGATCAGTAATTGTATGCTTTAAATATGGAATCCGGGTACGCTCATCTTGTATGAATGAAATTTAAATTGGAGACCTATTACCTGTTGTTTCTCTTACAAAAAAGATTTCTGTTTACTTTCCTGAATGTATTTTCTATTAACAGCCTCAATACATGTATCAGGTTGCCTTTCAGATACCCCTATAATTTCACCATTCCCGATTGGGAATGTCGTAGAAAGTGCCAAGACATGTAAGCTCGCGTTTTTCGACATCTTATTTCTCCAGACTACTTGACTACGTGATCGAATGTTACGCATTATTTCCCAAAACCAATATACTCCTGTTTGGCTAAACGGATAAATGTCTAAATCACTTACTATAATACTCACGGGCGGAACAGGCTGTGTGGGTTTTGCAACTACGAAAGCACTACTCGAGCATTACAGCAATGATAACAAACTGGAAGTCAATAATGTATCAATACACATCCTGGACGTTGCAATTCCTTCCGAATCAGATGATAACTTTATAGCGGCTGTCAAACAATACCACAAAGTAGATATTACCGACGCGACTGAAATTGCCTCGCTGTTTCTAAACCTCAGACCCGATGTGGTTATACATACAGCATCTATCATCCCATCTGCGGCACGAAAACAGCACATTTCGGACCACAGGCTGTGGGATGTTAATGTCGGCGGCACAAAGAATGTTCTTGATGCCGCAGAACAGTGCGGAACCGTTGAGGCATTGGTATATACGAGTTCGTGTGATGTTGTGAAGCCGAATAGTTGGATGAATTTTGTGAATGCAAACGAGAAGGATACGGCGTATTTGATGGATGCTGAAAAGTGGGACGGAGAGTATGCAAGAACGAAGGTAATAATTCGGATAGTCGATGAGAAGTGAAGCCTTCTTATGCTAATGGAAACGAATAGGCTGCAGCAGAAAAGCTAGTTCTTGCAGAAGACCGGAAGGTTAAGACATGTGCTATTCGTACTCACGGCGTCGTTGGTACTCATGATCAGAATCTATTTCCATTAGTTGCGACTAGTCCACGCAAATTATCGCTTGGATCGGGCAAGAATCTCTATGACTTTTCATCCGCGGATAATGTTGCTTTAGCACATCTTCTCGCCGTGGACAATTTACTATTGAAAAAGGATCCCACTGCTAATCAACGTGCTTTCTTCGTTTCTGATGGGAATCCAAAACCATTCCGTGAGTTACAAGAAATGGTATGGCGAGAGGTCGATGGCGTTGATGACCCGAAGAGTTATGGTGGGCATATGGTGATTCCTGTGTGGTTGTTTACTGGTATTCTTCGCTTTTTAGGGCTGTTTATGAAGACAGACATATCGCCGGATGATGTAGGTGATGCAGTTGCGACTCGATATTTTGATATCTCGGAGGCAAGGAAAGTGCTGGGCTATGAGCCTAAGAAGACCCTTGAAGAGTCTATGCGAGACGCATGCTTGTCTTGGAGAAAGAGATCAGAGAGTTAGTAAAGTGATTGGAAGTGCTTCTTGAGTATATATTTTGTTATCGGACAGAGTCCATATAGTAGGACGACAGAATTTTGAGCATGGCACCACAAAAGTGGATTAAGTATAGAGGCCATCCCCATATCAATGCTAATAATATTTGAACTTTTTGTATTGTCTACGAGCGGGATCCCAACAACTCTATATTTTGAGTCGGACATAGATTGGTGTAAATCCAGACGAGGGCAGAAAATTTTAATACCATGTTTAAACTTGTGTCATAAGTGTAGGTGCAATCATCTCCGAGAAGTAGTGGTTGCCAGGTTTCCTTGTCAACGAAATTTATCTCAACCAGTACATCTGTAGGCCCTTGGTCTCGAATTAAGTTAAGTCTAGTCTGGTATATTATCTAGCAACAGTTTACATAGCCTTATCCAACAAGTAGGGTTAAAACTAAGGGAAAAAAAAACAAAATCAAAACCAACAAAAGGGTTCAAGTAGATCTATATTGGTCCTTGTATTCAATGGCGTTGAGCAGATTTGAAGTCAAATCATCCACTTCAAATATTATCAGGTTCAAATGAAAATTCACAGCCCGCTTGACGTGCAAACACTCGGCGTCGCATCAATAGTTGACTCGGCGCTCTGCAGGCTACCAAACCAAAATAATCACGAGTTATTTTGATATGCTATTGCAAAAGGTCGGAATTTACCTGGACTCAAGGGGTAGCAGCTTACGAGGAAGAGGAACCACTGCTTATTCAATCAGGATTGTGTAGAGCGCTATGTAAAACAGCTAGGAGTAGTATTTGAATTCCACCTAGCCATGTTTACTTTTATCTAGACATGTTGGATAGCTTCGACAGTGCTGGCATTGAGGTAGCGAGGCTATGATATAAAAACCCTGATTTCGTAATAAGCTACGCAGCACATCCATCAAGAATTCGTTACCATAAAATAAATAGTACATGTCATACCATTTTCGATGAGGAGAATATGGGATCAATTTATCAGAGGCTCTTTAGACTGAGACCGGGACTTTTACATGTCTGTGGGATGATTTCATTTTTCCCTTCGTGAATAATTCAGCTTCAACAATACGCTGCAAATGACTGGTCCATTCAACTTGATATTATTGAACGAGTGTTGAATCATGCTTTGTAATTTTATTCTAATTGATCGGTTCTCATCTGGTTAGTTTTTATAGTCTAGTCAGAATGTTGTTAGGGCTCAATCAGAAGAAGTAGCAATTACCACTTCACTCTCGTTGGATATCGCCGATAATATAGACTCATTTCAAAAGAAGCTAAATTCGTCAGTACCACAAAAAGCCTCTAGGAAACTATCCGTTCCTAGCCTCCTACGCCCTATTTCGCAGTAAGTCCGACGCCACAACGGGGAGGAGAGTGCTTGGCCTTGCACCTCGAACTGCTTCTTTTTGTTACTATATAATCGCTCCCAAAAAACTACATTTCCTGGCTGGTAAAATATGACGTCGTGACATCACGTGCAGCCACCCCCCGCAAAGGAAGACAACCCCGGCTATCGACCGTCCGGGGATTTATGTTCTTGCTTTTCGCTTGATCCACACTTGGAAAGCAGCGCAAGTTCCCAATAAGGCAAGGATGCGACAGGACAGCCAAGCTAGTAGAATTGGTTTCTTAAAAAGCACCGGGAACCATTTTCCGCTGCTTGAAATTTTGGATGAGAGGTAGCCGATAAAGAAGATGTACATAAAAGTATAGCTGGACTTCTCTGCTCGTCGGTTCTGAAAAAAAACTGAAAGCTAAAGAAATGGCTGATAAACCGCTAACGACCAAAGCAGGTGAGAGTGTAGATGCCGAAGACTTGCTCTCATCTGGGCAACATTCCGCTCTCCATGCTGAGCACATCCCGACGCCTACGACGGCAATTGAACGTGAGCCATACGGGCCGCCAGGCTTGCGTGGGCTTGTGAGCAATCCGTTTGTCTTGCTGTGCGCGGCGTGTTCGACGCTGGGCGGGCTGATCTTTGGCTATGATCAAGGTGTTGTATCAGTCATTCTGGTCATGGATCAGTTCCTAGCGCAGTTCCCACGAGTAGCTGCTGGGACTGCTGGAGCCGGCTTCTGGAAGGGGCTAATGACTGCTATGATCGAGCTCGGGGCCTTCTTGGGTGCTTTGAGCCAGGGTTGGATCGCTGACAAGATCTCACGGCGGTATTCGATCCTTGTCGCTGTCGCTGTCTTCTCCATCGGCTCAATCTTGCAAACTGCGGCAGTCAGCTATCCTATGCTCACTATGGCTAGACTCGTCGGAGGTCTGGGAATCGGCATGTTATCGATGGTTGCGCCATTGTATATCTCCGAGATCAGTGCGTTATATTCATTCGATAGCCATTCATTTTATCATCGTTCTCTAACCTTATAAAACATATAGGTCCCCCTGAATGCCGTGGAACTCTTCTTGTTCTTGAAGAGTTCTGCATTGTTCTTGGTATCGTCATCGCCTTTTGGATTACTTTCGGCACACGGTACATGTCTGGTGAATGGGCGTGGCGCTTGCCCTTCCTTCTTCAAATGGTTCCTGGGTTTGTTCTTGCTGCCGGTGTAGTCATACTTCCCTTTTCTCCGCGATGGTTGGTTGCTCAGGGCCGGGCCGATGAAGCGCTCCAAAGTCTCAGCAAGTTACGCCGTCTTCCTACCTCTGACAAACGCGTGCGCCAAGAGCTCCTTGACATCCAAGTTGAAGTGCGTTTCCACCAACAAATGAGCGCCGAGAAGCATCCAACACTTCAGAGCGTCGGAATGCAAAACGCTTTGCGGCTTGAGTTAGTATCTTGGTTGGATTTATTTAAGAAGGGATGTCGGTGCCGAACACATGTTGGGGTGATGTTGATGTTCTTTCAACAGGTACAACTTCTTTTCATATTCATTAATCATTCTAACTTTTATAACAGTTTGTAGGTATAAACGCGCTAATCTACTACTCTCCCACTCTTTTTGAGACCATGGGTCTCGATTATAAGATGCAGCTCATAATGTCTGGCATTCTCAATGTCTTGCAACTCGTAGGGGTCATTACTTCCGTCTTTACAATGGACACGCTCGGTAGACGCAAACTACTCCTGGGCGGATCAATCCTTATGGCCTTATCACACATTATAATTGCCGTACTCGTTGGTTTATATAATAAGGAATGGCCAACGCATCGGGCGCAAGGGTGGATTAGCGTTGCATTTCTTCTATTCTACATGGTCGCCTTTGGGGCATCATGGGGCCCTGTTCCTTGGGCTTTACCGTCTGGTACGTGTTTCTCGGTATTCCACTTCTTGATTGAACCAGAAAAAAAAGAAAACAAGATAGACCATCTAACCTCCTAATCTGTCAAGAAATTTTCCCATCTTCCTTACGCGCCAAGGGTGTTGCTCTTGCCACTTGCTGCAATTGGTTCTGCAATTTCATCATCGTAAGTTTAAGTCTTCTACTTATGATATTTCTCAGACTCATTACGCTACAGGGCCTTATTACCCCACCACTTGTCGAAGACACCGGGTATGGAGCTTACCTCTTCTTTGCAATATTCTGCGTGCTTTCTGGGCTGTGGACATACTTTTTCGTGCCCGAGACCATGGGACGTACGCTAGAGCAGATGGACCACATTTTCAAGGACAATTCAAGTGCGGGTGAAGAGGCGGCAAGAGAAGCTATTGAGGAGGATTTAACACGAGGTGAGCGAGTGGGCGTATAGATTTGCGCTTATCCTTCTCAGGTGTGTAGACGCGTCAGAATATGAATATGGACTCTTGATTGGTAAACGCATCGCAGTGGACAGCAGAAATACCAACCAGTCCGATGCCAGCGATATCAATTGAACAATACCTAGGCTAAAGTACTCATCCATATCTTGATGTTCATTACGGGCCAATTGGTATCAATTGATGCCCGCCGTGAATGACGAAATTTCCGGAACATTCTCAAAAAGCCATTTCATGGCCAATATCCATTAACGTATTTCACCAACGAACGGCCAACACCCTCGAACGGCCAACCGCCAATTCGCATACAAAACTGGTATTTTTAAGCTCTCAATATTTCGCCACTTTTACTAGGAAATATAGTTTGAAATTGGTATTATAAATAAGAATATATTTCAATATGAATAAGATTAATCTAAAAATAATAATAATTTTAAAAATTACACTGTAATTTTATGTATTTATTAATAAACTAAGGATATATAATATAAAAGTAAGGCTTATAATATATATTAATTTTAGACTATATTTTAATAAAAATGGTGATATATTGACAGCTCAAAAATGCCAGTTTTGTATGTGAATTGGCGGTTGGCCGTTCGCTGGTGAAATACGTTATCCAATAAAAGCAAATGAAAATCATTGTCTTTTTGGATTGAGTCTTGGGCGAGCTTCGTCTTTGATTACAAGCTAAGGAAAGCACATGAATCATGTTTACAAGTTGAAATACCACTGTTGAAGTGCCATTTAATGGTTGGATGTACCATCTATCATCTATCTCAGCTTCCTCATCCTTTTCACTATAAATAACCTAAGAAAATTTCTTAAGATGTCATCTCTTCCCGCTATTGTTCTTGTTCATGGGGCTTGACACACGCCTCCGAACTATCGACGCTATATCAATGCTCTCACCGCCCGCGGCTTCACGGTACATTGTCCGCATTTGCCGTCCTGCAATGGTCTGCGTCCACCTACCTCGACATTTTCTGACGATGTAAAGCATGTCCTCAGGATTGTTGAACAGTTGGTAGAGTCCGACCAGCGTGTGATCATGCTTATGCACTCGTACGGCGGTGCAGTAGGCACCGATGCGGTTGAAGGCTTGTCACTCTCTGTCCGTCAATCCCAGAAGAGCGGCCAATCAGTTGGCGGCGTCATTCATCTTACTTGTGTGCATATATCCTAGAGCCGGGTCGCAGCCCTATTAGTATTGTGGAAGAAGTTGGCTATATACACCTCTGGTCTCAATTTGTCACCAATGCCGAAGACGGCACGACCTTTCCCGTTGATCCTGTGCTATTATTTCAAGGTGGAAATGCAGCTGATAAGACCCTTGCCAACGAGGCGTTACCGCACCTGGTGCCATTCCCTTAGTTGACTTTTACGACGCCCACATCGGGGAGTGGCTGGAAACATATACTAGTTACTTATGTCCTGACCTAACAGCACTACTCTGTGCCTCGTGCCTACCAGGATCTCATGTTGGAAAAAGTGCGGAATGCAGGTGTGGTGCCTCGGATACAGGATTTTGATACTCACCACAGTATATTCCTTTCACATCAAGTTGAAATGGTGCAGGTAATAGTAGAGGCTTCCGAAGATGATAGAAATCCGATGTAAATAAGCGAATGAAGCTGGGGCTATCATGTACCACTGATGATGTTGAAATTTATCAGTATACATTGCAAATTGTACAATGGTGGTGGCCTATTGTTGAAGACTCGAACTTGATTGGCACTGCTAATAATTTTATTTTCATTAGCACTATACCGAAGGAAATGCCTTTCAACATCAATCTAGTAGATAAATATAGACATAATACCATTTCAAGCCTTATAGACAAAGTTTCCATTAAAAAATGTCTCAACAGTAACCTAGAATCTCGGCCATAACCAAGGCCCGAATTTTCTAATGGAGAATATAATGTTCATTTACAATATTATCGATACAGTTCAATTCTATGACAAAGACGAGCGAATAATAAATTAATCCTCTATCAATAAGCAGGCTTGGGCCGCGTTGCTATGCGTTGTCGTTGTAGGCACCAGCATTTCAAAATATTATATCCATCTAGGGCTCGGGGCTCTGACCATCCGCTTCCCGGTCTGACTTACATACTACGTCCGTACGCTGAGGATTATAAAATTATCCAAGCTTCCAGTCGTTTTCCTCTTCAACTAGAGTTTTGCAACTTCTCAGAAGTACTGTGCATTTTAAAATTCTCATTTTGAAACAATAATTGCGAATATGGTCTGCAAATCTTACACTAGACGTTCCAGCGTCCGATCCACTGTTACACTATACGACAAAGGGGATTCATACCCATACATTAATCGCTCTGCTGTTGAATCTTGTACATTCGAGAACCTCACGAATGCTACGAGTATTCATCGCTCAAAACTGAACGCCGTTATTTTACGAGAAACTCCCCAGTACCTCAACTTCGCCACTAAAGATAATTGCAAATGCGGTGGTAGTAACAGTGACAACAAGGGCAGCTACATAAAATTTTGCAACATTGATACCAGCTCTGTGGAAGACTCTGATCTGAGACGTAGCAAGATCCAAGACTCAACTTTGATTTCTGTTGCACAAATCAAGTGGTCAGAGATTCGCGGCTCCCGCATTATAAATTCTGGGTCTATAAAACGCTGCGAGATTGACGAAACCGTATTATGGAATGCAACGGGCTTGAGGTGGTCGATAGTCAAAAAGGCTGATCTAACGGACTGCTCTAGAATCAAGCGCTCAACCATACAGGAGAGCACTTTGAAGAACTCCATCGTCAGTCATTCAAGTCTAAGCGGATGTGAAGTGAAAGATTGTGCGATATATAGAACGACATTCGAAGATTTGATACTTGAGAATGGCATCTGGAAGCATGGAACTTTAGTTGGGCGAATCGACGAGACAAAGGATGTTGTTATAAGACAGATCAATGGGAAAACGGTATGTTCTACCAGTCACTTCTATAACGATGTTACCCTGTATAATTGGTTGCTCATGTTGCCTGCGAAGAACAAATTGCAAACAAAAACTGGTGCTAGTGATGAGGTAGTCAACATTCCCGTTGAAGGAAACAATTCTCCCACAAAGCACTTGAGTATTCCGACTAGCTTGAATGGAAAACGAACGTCGGGATATCGTGTCGACAGGGGATATCTGTTGGAGCATTCTGAATCGGAGGAAAATTTTGATACTCAGTTAGACGAGATGAGGGATTTAGACGCAGAGAATGATTCCAAAATACCGCTGCCGCCATATCAGTCTTAATATTGATGAATATCAATTTTAGATAATGGGGATGGATCACTGTGATACTAGATTGATAGGTTGGGTTTCCTCACTACTACGACTGTTCTAGTTCGAATTTCCTTTTATTTTCGGTTTCATCCCAACTCTATGTAACTATGAGATGCGCAGGACATAGCTAAAAAGGTCGAGTAAGTAGGCAGTAACGTTTTTTTTGGGTTTGAGAAAAAAGCCAGCCCTCAGCCGAAGAAACTCGTAAGAGTGCCATCTAAACAGGTAGCCATAGGAGAAATAACATATGATTATACTCTCGAAGTCTGCACTGTGAAGTATCAAGTAGGCTCGAATGGTCTTCAAGAACATTCAGGCTGATAGTTGTGACGTAGCACTGAGTGAAGTGGGGTAGGGGTACATGTTTAGAACTTTAGGTAGGGAATCAGAATGCTGAAGTGCTGCCATGTGGAGATTCCGTGCATCATCCATGCAATGGAATATTAATTTCCCGAAATCTTGTTCCGTATTGCTTTTTTATCGGAACAACTCTTGCCGCCGCAGTCAAGGCTTTCAGTCAGCATGGCTGATCATGGCGACATGATCCTTTTAGGCCATCATTGCTATATACGCCAGGGCGTTGAAGCAGAGAAACGACTTAATTCCAGGTAGGTCCTTCCAACTCGACAAGTAATAGGTTGATTTCCACCATTCAGCTCGTCGCAGAATAGCCACAATCCTCGTAGTCTAAGGTGATCAGAGCCATAATGGCCATAAGTGATCCGTGAAACAGCCCCAATTGGCACGTGGGGAAGTCTCATGCCAGAGAAAGTGTGGAACTGCGGGGAGAGCGGATTCCTGGGGAAGAATACATTAGGCTATGGATGGCGTGCCACCGGAGTTCGCTTTAGGTTCTTGAAGAATAGACGAATCCCAGTAGCGAGAAGCCACATCAAAGCGTCGGACCCCCATATTGAAGAAAGCTACAAGCCCTTGGCAACGGAGAGATAATGGAGAAGCTTTCTGCTCCCTCCCACGGGCCTTTCCCCGAGCTTTTGGTCTACACAGCAACCTAGTCACGAGCCAAAGGAAGTTGCGTCTGTGGACATGTATTTCAGTCCATATTTCTCCACCCTAGGTGGTGAATTGCCTTTCGTATTATGCAAGTTTCAACTTCCCCGCAATCCCCGATATACCCATGCTGACCGAGCGCTGTACACTCTATTGTACACTGCCCGGTATATATAGTCGGAAATTCTGCGTTCTGGTGCAATTCTTATCCATCGGTATCCCCATTGATAGTTCTTCGTATTTATTTGGAACTATTTTCGTCCTTTCTTGGTACTCTTAGGTCATATGACAATGGCGGGTGACGACACAATCATTCATGATCGTGATGCGATGGGGGAGAAAGCTGAAATGTCACACGAAGAAATTGTGCACCTTGCCGCTTTGACTGACGATGAGAGGGCAACCGAGGTGAAGCTTCGGAAACGAATTGATACACTGATTTTACCACTTGTTATTATCGTCTACTTGATGAATTATATCGATCGGTAAGACAGATTTCCGAAGAAAAAGGCACGAGGAGAGCTGCAACTAATTTAACTAAAGCAACAACTACGCTGCTGCAAAGCTGCAGGGTCTCACCGATGATCTGCATCTCAATGGCTCACAGTACCAAACCGGGTTGTCAATCCTGTTTGTTGCATATATTTTAATGCAAGTTCCGTCGAACCTGATGCTTAATTATATTGGCCGGCCATCCTTGTATCTTGGTTTCTTTGTCGTTGCTTGGGGCCTGGTCTCCGCATTGACTAGCCAGGTCAAGAGTTATGGCTCGATTGTCGCCTGTCGTTTCCTGCTTGGCCTTGTGGAGGCTCCCTTCTTTGCTGGAGTTTTGTTTTACTTATCGAAATGGTATACAAAAAAGGAGCTGGCCTTTCGGATGAGTATTTTCTATGCCGGATCCTTGCTTAGCGGTGCATTCGGAAACCTCATCGCCGCTGGAATCCTGTCAGGCCTGGCCGGCAAGCGCGGAATGGCGGCCTGGCAGTGGTTGTATATCATTGAAGGAACAATTACATGTTTCGTTGGGGTGGTTATCATGTTTATACTTCCAGACTTTCCAGAGAACTGGAGTTTGTTGTCTCCGGAAATGAAGGCTGTGGCTAGTCGACGTCTAGCTATCGAAGCCGCCGAAGCCGATATTGATGAGGCGGGTGGTATGAGTCAATGGCGTGGCTTGAAGCTAGCATTCGCGGACAAACGCACCTATGTGCTTGCTCTGGCGTACATGGGTATAACCGGCGCTGCTGGGTTTCAAAACTTCTTCCCAACACTTACAGCCACCTTGGGCTATAACCACGTTGTATCGCTTCTACTTGTTGCTCCGCCTTATATTTTCATGGTCGGCTATTCGCTGCTGCACAACTATTTTTCAGACAGACTGCAGAAACGATTTGTTTTCTGGATCTACCCGGTCCCGATCACCATTGTTGGGTTCATTATTTTCATGACAACATCATCATTCGGACCGCGGTACTTCTCGCTGTTCTTGATGAACTTTGTGTTCGCAATGAACGGGACGTTGTTCGGCTGGATTGCCAATGCAATCCCTCGACCACCGGCAAAGCGTGCTGCATCATATGCTTTCATCAACTCAGTGGCTAACTCTGCTAGTATCTGGACGCCGTATACTTACCGTCAGCAGGACGCACCACACTACCGACCAGCACTAGGCGCCTGCATTGCTCTGCAGGGACTAGCCTTTCTTATGGGCTTGATCCTGTTCCTTGACCTGCGGGCATCCAATAAGCATCTAGAGCGTTTGGAAAACGAGGACGTCACTTTGACTGAGAAAGAAATGCAGAAATTGCAAAAAACAGCGGATATTGAGCAGATTGATATCGCAGCGGCAAGGCGGCTACAGAAGGGATTCCGTTATACATTGTGATGTCATTCTTCAAGTTTTGAAACAGTAGCTTCCAGTATCGAACAAACAATGATCCAATGGCCGTTCTGATATATTTACTCGTAGAGAGGTCGAAATGCCGAGGCACATCCTGTGTTAGATCTGTAGGACTTGTTAACGGTAATAAGTTATCTGTGGCGCTGCCGTGGGCTGAAACTGAAGGACGAGCACCGGCTTTCTGAAAGCTAATTGTCATGATTGCAGCGCAGACTTGTTCTGGGCAGTAAAACACAGGCTCGTACCGAAAAATGTCTGGGGACTGATGGTGAACGGGGTTGCATTCATAAATTGGGCCATCATTTAACCGGCTATCTTAGCCAGCTGTGTATCGCGATTCCTTGATCATTACTGTTTTTTTCTCTTTGGTGGATTCGACGGAAGTTGGCATCTGCAGATGTGGCCCGCGAATAGCGAAGCTTGGAGTGACCGACATGGTGATGAAATTACCCAACTGCCCGTAGTCGCGGTAGTAGCATGCGAGGCTGACATGGATGATGTGATGCGCAGCCTCCTTTCTTACGCGGCCACCTAGAATCGCGCGCCTCACAATGCTTGAACCAGTATGCTTCAATAACCTGACTATTATTCTCAGTACTATGGCTGGTGCTGCCTTCCCACGGAGGAAAAACACGAACATTGATGAGACTGATCTAAACCGTCGTGCTAATCCACCATAATCCCATTGCAAATTCCAACGACGAACATTGCCGCTTGGACCCGCGGTTGTTTCCGAAAAAACAATACACTAGTAAGGTAAACCTAAGGCTAGTGATATATCTGTGCCACGAAAAGACTGGGTTTCGCGCCTGATTCCGAACGCATCGGCCAATGGGTACGTTCTCACTGCGAATCCGCAAGAACAAATCATCGTTGACTCTGTGGCGTTACCTCTTGTGGCGTTCAATAGCAATTCTCGAGTTGCTGTTTACAATACTATCCATCTCTCATCGAGATCTAGTCATCAGGAGGCTGATAGCGGGATGCTTCAAGGACTCCTCGTGCCCAGTCAACCGTTCATGGTCTTCTTCGGATGCAACAGTGCAACGATTCCTTATGTTTCGTTCGTTTATCGCGCTCTGTCTATATAGACAGTGGGGTGAAATGCATCCCCAACCTTGTGTTGGAGAGAACCGGAAATGGCGTTATACCGTCTCTTAAGGCGATTGACGACAGAGGACCTTGTGTTATATTCTCGAGTGAGAGAATCCGCTTGATTCAGTACATGTCTTGAGCTGGTCGAAATCAACGCAGAACGCTGATACGGCATTTTATTTGAGGGAGAACATTGCACACCGTGCGACGTTAGCAACCAGGAAAGCTTTGCTGTGTCACCACTTGTGTCCTAGATGTTGTGTATGACTCTATATTGCCCCGCCGGTCAGACTAACGAAAGCCCCTGTGGGGTTATGGTGATCAACCAACTGAGGCTAGCTGAGCCCGCTCCAACTGCCGTTAGACTGGAAGCAGACGCACCAAGTTTCACCCTAGAAAAAGGTCCAGATCGCCCCTCTTCGATGAGCGATTACCTCCGAGATCTCACATCTCACCCTGCCAATTCCTGCAGCGTCGTTCGTGGGCTGCCCAACAATGTCCCCAATCTAGGTCTTTCTCAGCCATAGTCTTTCCGCTGCCTATAGCTAAATCTCCGGGGACAATTAGGGCCCAAGGCGCCGGGCGTCCCTGTGCGCGTGTGGCTGCTGGCCGCTATGTCGAACCCTGCCCGCAGCGACGAACCAAAGTCCAAAAAACCCACCAACAGGCAGTTGCGGTCATGTCGAGTTTGCCGTCTACGAAAAGTCAAGGTCTGTTGTTCTCATAAGCCAAATCCCGAATTTCAAAATGCTTTTGAATGAAGTGTATTTCGAGGGACAAACGCCTCATTGCAATTCTGTTTTTTGGATGGCACTTTATGTGCCAGAAGAACCCGAACCGAATTTGACATCATTCTGGATTATCTGCTTACTGACGGAGGGAACCATCTAGTGCGATCGGGTCAAACCATGCCATGCCTGTTGTGCCCACGGACATCCGTCAAGATGCGTGTACGATCTGTTGCCTGGAGATGAAGAGGCACAGCCGATTTCGCAAGCCGAAGAGATTCGGAATTTGCGCAATGAGATTAAAGACTTGCGAACCCGAATAAGTTCACAAGGTATGAACTCGGAATCCCACGTTCTAGACAAACAACCTATGGAGATATATTTTTTAATCCTTGAAACATTATGTATAGGGGATAATAAATCTAGATCTCGGAAGTTAGAGGAACTGGAGAAACTGTTTGATGCAATCAGATCGGCGCCAGTCGAAATAGTTGATAACCTTGTTGGCAATATTCGTGGTGACCGACTGAGAATTTCCCCAGGGCATGATGGTAAGTTATAGAGACGGTCGATGATCGTTTTCTGTTGCAAGCTACTGCCTGCATATTCGAAACTAATATCCAGTAGAGAGCAGCTATTCACGTGGCGCCGGGACTACACTCGCTCTGCGTACGACATCCCCGTTGGGATCTAGTGACGACGAAATATCATCTTTCAATAATTGGGACTCGGCTGTCCCCAGTGATACGCGCAGCAGTAGTGGCAGCAGCAGCAGCAGTAGTGCGAGCACTATCAGTATTGACGAAGATTGGTGTGGCCCATTATCTCGATTCGTTTCAGCAAAGCCTATGGTGGACGGATGCGTCCAAAGATTCGTTGACGCTTTTAGTCCGGAGGTCGATGCCAGCTCCGGACATGCTGGAGCAATTCGAGCGGCGGCAGATATTCGAATGTTTTCGCCCATGATATCAAATGCTTTCGAGGCCGTCTCGCTAACTTTTTTTGGTCGGAGTGTGCAGGATCCCGGCGTGGAAGCCGCTGGGATGAAGCTGTATCCAAAAGTTCTGCGATCTTTACAGGATGCCCTGCTGGACCCTGAACGGAGCCGTTCAGAAGCAACTCTAATCACAGTCACATTACTCTTAGCGTTTGAGAGTATTGAACGAACATCAAACGAGGGTGTTACTGCCCATGTAAAGGGAGCGGCACGATTGATACAGCACCGAGGGCCAGAAAACCATATGTATGGAGTTGAGCACTTGTTATTCTGTGAACTGCGACCATATTGGGTTTGATTACCATGGTTTCTTATGAAAACCCCCTGCTAATTTTATCTAGACTGGTGTTGACATTATCGACCGCAAACCGAGTTTCATGGCCGAGGAAGCGTGGAAAACCGTTCCCTGGTCTCAGGCTACGACGTCGAAAGACTTATTGCATTATCTGCTTGACCTTGTGGTTGAGATTCCGGGCTTGTTGTGGCAATATGACGAGCTGATGGCCGCTCAAGAAACGCAACACCTTGGAAAAGGCGAACTCCGTGTGAAACGTACTAAGCTATGGAATTCAGTGACCGACCTGACGTCCCGTTTTGAACAATGGAAGAAGGATTATGTTGATTGCTACCCAAGTGGAGCTCCCCAGGAGACAACTGAACCGCAAGGGCCTGACCCTTTCCCTGTTTTTCAATGCCACGACCTACGAACGATGCAAGTAATTAAGCCGCCAAGCCTTATATACCCGGATCTGAGGCTGTTACAGTCAATGTGTATTTATAGTTCCAGTCGGTTAATCCTTTCAACAATTGACGATCGACCGGAAGATGCGGTAACGATGGTGGAAAAATATCAGTTAGCGTGTGACATTGCACGCAGTCTTGAGTGCTATATCCGCCGGGCGCCAGGAAATATGATTAATAGGCTGGCTTTTGCAGTACGTGTAGCATGGGAAGCGTTTCCGCCTGGCGATGTGGAGCGCCACTTCATGATCCAGGTGTTTGAACTCGTTGAGAAGCGTCACGCTTTGCGTTTGTGGGGTAGCTCAATGCCGGAGTTGAGCGCGCGTACTCCTGGTTTCACGCCCTGATCTGGCAGATTTCACTACGGACTGGTGCTCTGTGTTGATGACGATGACGACGACGATGATGACTTGATATGCAACGAGGCTACGGCGATTGCTGTGGTGAATGTCGATGTTCTTCTATTGATTGCCATATATCCCTGTTGCTTTGAAGCCGTGCTGGAGCACTGCTATATTATATCTTTATAAATCTTTGTTTTTAGACAAACTATGCGGCGTCTCACAATGGCCGGGATAGGTGTACGAATTAACCATCGTGTCTGCCACCAACTGTTTCCACTGAAACAAATAATATGCGGATTGATTTAGATACACCCAAAATATTTCACCACGTAAGATTCGATCATGACAATTGATAAATTGAATATCACGAACTCACTGGACTGACTAACATTAGAAGGGTGCTCAAGTATCTGCCATCTGATAAGATGCCATTCGTCCTCAACCAAATGTCAAAAACGAGTTACGACAGTAATTGATACTCTTGTAATTTACGCCTATTCCTCCCGGCTATTGAGGAAAGCTGAATGGATCAGCCACCAGCCGTGCGGGTCTGCTAATATTGCTAACTGACCCTAACTCTCTAGCCTGCTTAATAGTGTCTACCATCGGGTCCGGGCTCCAGCCATGGCGGGTTCGTCCCCTTTTTCAGCCTTTTCTCTTCTCTCCAACATTATTAAGTACGACCCAAGTTAGAGGCGCCATCTAGTCAGTGTTGATAGGTAGCAATCGGCATCAATACACGTAGACATGCACACATCCGAGTCAGCCGACAAGCGAATCGCGACCAACAATGGTGAACGAGCCTACTGCAAGGGATAGTGATCGCGGGGTGCGTCGGGGTCTTAAAATCGGGACTAGACGGGTTTCCCAACAGGGAAATCAATACATCAACGATTTAGTGTTGTTCTCAGCCTTTTAATCTGCATTTCGGCTCTCGGAGTCACATTCGCTTCTTCACGATTCGCCGACATGAATCCCCTGTCCCGCCGCAGCTTCTTTAGCAGATTCGACTCAGACGCCAGAATGGCAGTCTCCTGCAAGTCGACTCTCCATAAATTCAAAATGCAGCTAGTCAACATTACTCAGCTGATCGTGTCGGCGTTTTGACGCCGTGACGGAATTATTGCAGGGAAGAATCAAGTCGGCGACACTAAAATTTAGTTCAGCTGCTAGTTCTTAGGAGCAGTTCGTCGTCTCCGTAATTTGTGTCAAAATAATTGACGTATCATTATTTCCTTCATCAGCTCTTCTTTTGCTATTCAACTTCTATGATAAAAGTCAATTGACAGATGCAATTCTGGTAGTGTCGCTCATTTATAATCCCCTGCAAAGCATCAATACGTTGCGTTTCCATATTTCGTTCTTGGCATTATATACATAATATCGATAATACTTAATCAACAATAATGCGTTCTTTTCTGTTGACAGCTGCCATTGCAGCAACCACCACAACAGCAATTTTGGTCCCCGATCCAGACAATGACTACTCCTGTACATCTACCCACAACCCGGTAGTGACACTGCACGGGCTCGGCGCGACATATTACGAAGATATCAATTTTCTGGGCGACTGGCTTAAGACAGAAGGCTTTTGCGTTTTCCGCGCAACTTATGGCTCATATCCCGACTTCCCACTCGTTGGGGGGTTTCTCCCTATAAACGAGAGCGCCGTCGAGGTCGCCGATTTCATTACTGACGTTAGCACGAAGACTGGGGCCGATAAAGTCGATATTGTCGGACATTCTGAGGGTGCGTTTCTGTCGCTATACGTACCGAAATTTCAGGCTGGAATCTCAGATATCGTCCAAAGGATCGTCAGCATTGCGCCACCGACGCACGGAACCAATTTCGCGAACTTGGTCACGCTAGGCAAAGACTTGGGTGTTTTGGGTCTGGTGGAACAAGTCTTGGATATTTTTGGATGCCATGCTTGTGATGACTTGGTTGATGATGGATGGGCGATCAAGGAACTCGACGATGGAAAACCAATCATCCAGCCGGGTAACTCGGCAACAATTATCATTTCGAAATGGGACGAGCTTGTGACACCGACGACGACGTCGCTGGTTAACGAGACCAGCGCCAAGAATGAGTATATCCAGGATTATTGCTCATATGATCCTGTCGGACACATTGGCGAGGCTTATGATTTGAATGTGTGGAACTTGGTGAAGAATGCACTGGAGGATGTGACTGCTCATAACTTCCAGTGTGTTGTTGGCAGCCCTGGGAAGAAAGTCTAAGCTATTTGACAGTGAAAATCGGACCAGGATTTATACATGTATTTGATCATATGTCAATACCTCATTTGCATACTATTCACAAAAGACATACTTGATTTAATCATCTTGCAACCTAGAAGATTATGAAATGAGCCTAAAAATGGCATCAAGATTCGTCAGTTGGTTCTGCTGCCTTATTTCCGTCCTGGGCACCAAAAAAGGGTGGTTGCATCGATGATTGCTTAGGTAAAGCTGTTAATGGATATCTAAACAGCGGTCTATTGTTCCTTTATCCTGGGCTTTATTTCTAATATGTAGGGAAACATAAGTAATGATTGTTCATTTATTCAACTGCCACCTATACACGGAATTTGAGAGGGGTAATTGTCCCGGAGTAATGCCCAAGGACAACTGTCCCGTCATTGCCTACTGTTGAACAAGTTGCTCGATAATTGGGAGGGAGCCATAATACCTCTTTACCTTGAATAGCTATCCACCGCTGACCTTGTGGTGCATATGATGACCAATGACTAGGTACAAATATCTCAATGGTGTTTTGAAACAAAGGAAGGGTGTTAGGATTGTACCAAGGCCCAATGTTCAAAATTCGGAAGTTGGTGTTCACATATGGGTCATCTTCAGAGAGTTTCAGATACAGGCCATCCTGAGAAAACTTCAGATATGGGCCAAGTACAGCAAGACTCAAATTTACGCGATTTTCAGAAAGCTTCGGATCGGCCTCAAAATCGTCATATGTCATAGTATGTAGAAGGACTCCTGTGGCAGTATCCCAAATCTTGATTTCATCAGAGGCCGATGCTAGTAACCGGCCATCCGGTGACAACGCTAGAGCGCAACTCGCTCTTGAGTAGCCCCAAAAAGTATGTTGTAGAGCTCTTTCGGCTCCAGTATCCCAGTACTTTGTGAGATCCCATAATTTAATCCTACCATCACCAGCAGAGGCCAGCAGCTGATTGGCTGGTGAAAATGCCAAGGAGAAAACTAGGCCGTTATGGCCCTCAGGAGTCTGTTGTAGAGCTCCTGCTCTCATAGAAATGCCGAGGAGTTCGTTTGTATCCCAAAATTTGATTTTAAAATCATTAGAGCCAGATGCTATCAGCTGGCTATTTGGAGAAAATGCGACAGACGAGACTGATTCCTCATGACCCTTAAGAGAACATCGTAGAGCTCCTGTCCTAATATCCCAAAGCCTGATGGTTTTATCAGCTGACCCTGATACTAATAAATGACAATCGTGTGAGAAGCTGAGGGACGTAATTGGCCCTGAATTGGCATAAAAAGTTTGTGATAAAGTTCCCATATGAACATCCCAAAGTTTAATTACTCCTTCACTGAAGCCAGATGCCAGCAGTTGGCCATCTGGTGAAAACACCAAACATTGCGGACCTGAATGTCCGACAAATACCCGTTCCAAATGCCCTGTGGCAGTATCCCAAAGTTTAATTGTGTTATCACGACAGTGGGATGCTAGCTGTTGACCGTTTGGTGAAAATGTCTTATGGCCACCTGTGGATGAGACGCCGTTAAAACCCTCTTGCCAAGCTCCTGTAGCAATATTCCAAATCCGAATTGTATCATCTGAAAATTTTAATGCTATCAGCTGACCATCAGGGGAGAATGGAATACCATTGAGTGCAGATGCAACATTCTCAGAAGAAGGGATGTCTTGAAAAGAGCTTGTGATAACATTATGAATCTTGAATATGCCGTCTTTAGAGATTAGTAATAGTGACGTGAAATCCGGTGAGATTGCCAAACATGAATATGGATGGAGTTCTAGAGTTTGTTGCAAAGCCCCTGTGACAGTATCCCAAAATTTGACGGTTTGATCGAAGGAAATTGATGCTAACGACTTGCCATCTTGTGAAAATGTCAAGTAATGAATCATGTGTGAATGTCCCTCGAGAGTCTGTAATTCTCCGCTCCCGGGTTCCTCTATCTTTGGTAGTCTTTCTATCCACGTAGGCAGGTCTTTTTTGAATGTCTGTTTGATTACCGAATCTTCAGGAGCAAATATAAGCCCTGAACAATAAAACTGAAGTGGTGCAGTGTCGACTATTTGGCGGATGTTTAACACGAACTGTTTCCCGTCGCGCAGAAATTTAGATAACGGAGAGCCTGTCTTAATCTACACCAAGCATTATTATTTATATGCACATAGATCAAAAATTCCAGATATGACATAAACTCACTTCCAGTTTGACAGACTGTAGCATAGATATAGCCTCAATAGCTTCTGATACAGCTCCAATTATGCTCATTACTTCCAGCCAATGCAGAAAGTGCTCTTGAAGGAAAGAAAAAGCACCATCCATTCCATTATTAAGGTCATCACTTTTTAATAGATGTGTTGTCCAATAACGGCAAGAATATTGCAGTACCGGCGGTAAATTTTTGTCTATCGTCTGTTCATCTATCTCTGTGAGAAGTATTCCCTCGTTTGGAAGGTCACAGATATTTCGTTTTAGGCGGTGACGCATGATATTAAGACACTGGTGGGATATCTCTTGATGCTTTTCTTTCTCGTTTACCCAGAATGGGCTCTTTATTCTCTTGGAATCAAGCAGAAAATCTCGAAAGGACAAATGTAAAGTTCTTATCGGAAGGGTTGGATCGCTTGGTATACTGAGAACTGAGTGAAAGAAATCCAATCGCTTACTGATAGTGCCTGGTTTTATATTCAGGAGTTGGCTAAGTGTATGAACCGACAATGGTGTGGCGAGCAAAATAATGGCGCCGATAATTTTTTGAAACTCCTGCACCAGCTGCTTCGATTCTTCTTCGTCCTGACCAACGAGAAGTTGTTTCATAATTGGCATATATGTCTTTTCCATCTTAGATGCATAGCTGCTTTGATCCTTTAGCAGGTTTGTAAGCCGTTCTTCTGCATCCCATCTTGATTCCCCAACAAATAGACACACGGTAGCAGCGGATATAAATAATGGAACCGATAAGGTCATCAATTCCTGAATAACGCTTTCTCCAGGCCATTCTGGAGGCAATAAGTTGTTCTCCCTGATCTGGGAAAATTGATGTTGTAGAAATAAAGCAATGTCATGCTCGATCACAGGTCTTGGAATTTCGTGAAGGAGCACGTCCTGATGATCTTCGTTCTCCATTTTCCTAAAACCTAGCCTCATTGGAGATTCAGGCCTGCTAGTTAATAATGTTCGGAAGCGAATACATCTAGACTTTTGCGTCTGCGGTAAGAGCCGTAGAAGAAGTTTTATATCCTTCTCCCCGTCACACTCATCTAACGCATCAATAACCAGAACAACTGTTTCAGGTTGCCGCATTGGAGAATCCAGAGTAAGAAGTGGTTGCAATAGAAGCTTGTCAAATTGCTCCTGCAGTGATTTGGATGCAATATTAGGATCATTTTCAATAGCGTTGCTGATTTGAGACACAAGTTGAGGGATCTTGTGGACCAATTGTGATACGATCGTTGAGATTAATCTGTACACGCTTCCGCGATCCTTTTCACCCCTTTTAAAGAAAAAGCTTGCCCCTAGAAGCCCTTTCTCCTGAAAGGACCTGGCCATCGTCCTGGAGATCGTTGACTTTCCGGTCCCGGCTACGCCATTTAGCCAATATATGCATTTTCCGTCTGGCGATTGTGCCCATTCTGCAATTTGCTGGAGAAGCTCAGTTCTTGTTCCTGGAAGACAGAGACTTTCATGTTGATCTATATATGAATCAAAGAAGGCCCCCTTGGCAATTGGTAACTTGGAAATATTTGATGCCTGATGGGAATCTCGCACATATTTGATTAACACATCAATCCGGGCCAGAATACCTTCTGCTTCCTCTTTGTGTTGGAGATGCTGATCTATTTGGACCCATTTCTGTAGATTACGTTCTTCATCATCGATAACAGACTTCAATTTGGAAAGCGGATGATCAGTAGTCGCCGTAACACTGCCTAGCACTTGCTTCACTCTATTGGCCTGCTGAATTTTCTGCAGCTCCACTGAATAATGCAATATAGCTGTGTAGACACGGACAATAGCATTCCGGATTGAGGTTTTCGTTTTCAAATGGCTCTCGTCGTAGAAATTCTTCTGGATATAACTATATCGGGCAAGAGATTCGGCTAAGAACTCGGAAGATTCGAATAAAGCATTTCGCAGGTCATAGTAGTTTTTTGTCATCTACAAAGAAAAAAGTTATTCTCCTGCAAATGGTGATAGGCTGATAACGTTACATACCGTCAGTCCAAGAGAAACGATCATCCATGCACTAGATGCATGCCCTGTGGGGTCGAATGAGACTATTGCGCTGACGGTGTCCTTGAACGACAATGTTGCATTAAGTATGTTTCGTGCAGCATTTCGAAGTATAACATTATCCGAACTCCGTTTCTGGTATTCCTCATAACGTTCCTTGGTTATATGAATAACCTCATCCAGTACCTGGTCTATTGGTATAGGCCTTCCGGGACCACTATTGTTGAATTGAGCTGAGGACAAAATGCGATGATCGCTGTCGGTAAGGTTGCCATATGCAACCTGCCACAGGTTTTGTAGTTGAGTATCCTCATTTGACTGCACATGTGAGTTTTCCAACTCGTTTGTGGAGGATGATACTTCTGTATTCATCGAGGAGGTTGTTCGGGGTCATTGGAGTCGGAGTTTTCGACCCGAAGTGTCCTATTCGGAGATACTCCATCCTTGTGGATAAGCTTCCGCCGAAGTTTGCCGAAAGTGTGCTTCATTGCAGCAGCAGCTTCCCTGGTTGGGGTTCTGGGTGGGGTTCTGGGTTGAAATATAATAGGGAGTATTCTAACAGCTATCGTATCTTTTGCAAAGGTTCGGGAGTAACAGCTTCGAAAAGAGGTAATTGGCGAAACTGACAGCCTGAAGTTGATTTGCGGCGCAGGCTTGATAGCCTAACGTAACCTAACGGACCCCATTCCAAGCCTTCCAAATCTCCCCACAGTATGCGGGTTCCCGCCAACATGCTGAACGGAGTAGCTGTGTGAAGCTGGCGCCAACCTCATTCTCACCATCGATCCCCTGTCCAAAGTCAACCACCGGTCATTCCCACCGAAAGGTCATCCGAAACAACTTCTGATTGGTAATCAACCAATCTACATTCAGTATTTAGTTTGACAGAACATCCGACCTCTTAAGCTTCTCAAGGAAGTTGATTTGGGTCTCTGTGGGCCAAAATGGCCAACACTGTAAACATTACATCGCCCACTAGCCTCGCTACGCTTGGAGAATATGAATCTATAACAACAAATGGGTTTTCTGTGTTGTGGCATTGATCATGCATATGGTGTGTTCCAGATGTACATTAGTTCATTCATCCCGACATATCAGAACACCGTACAGAGTAGCGCAGGCGGCTGTTTCTCCCATTGGTTAATTAAGGTGGTGCAGGTTGGCAGGTAACAGCGGTTAACGGGACGGAAGAGGGGCGGGCCGTGGCCTAAACTTGGATCCTTAGATGAAGTCTGACCACGGGAGGATACTTCGATATCGATGATCCTTTTTCGAAATAAAAACATTATCGTTATACTAGAGGGAAAGATCAAAAGAATTTACCATTTGACCTTTCTTCACCCGGTGTACAAACTGTAGATAAGCCGGAGCACAGTCGGCGTTATACAACCCTTCACTGAAAGGCGCATAAGTAGGGTTCGCGGGGGTGGTTCTAACTTTAGCCCTTTTGTCTCCCTTCGGCCGTTCCACGGCATGAGAATGATCGTACAATTGAACAAGTTAAGGAACACACTTAGGCATAGTGTTCGGAACCACTCAATCATTCCCTTTAGGGAATGATACTACTAATAATTTCACTATTGCTCATAATTTTTCACAGCATCAGCTCTTCCCCGAATTTTTAACAGTAAGAATGGGTTAAAAGAACCACGTCTTCGGTTTGTATGGGTTTCCTTTGCGGGCTGGATAAATGGAGGCCGAAGTCTGACTACGTAGAAGTGTAAGTTGATCATTGATCGTTCCGTAACCAATGATTTTGATCTCAGACAGACTCATGTCTTAGCTCTACTAATTAGACCAAACTAGTGCAGGTTTTACACAATCAATATCTTCATGTCTATTTGCTATTGTCTTCAATTATGTTTCTACATATAACTTTGTGCCCCAACTCATTCTGGGACATCTCGCATCTTTTTCACTACACAAAATATGTGCATTAATAATCATGTTACCTTGGTGGGTTCACTCCTCCTCCTGCCCCAAAATCGGTTCCCCCATTCTTTGTCGAAGAGCCGCAAAGCTGATAATTCAGGAAATTTGAGAGACAAACCATACCATCACCTGAAAAGTTACTTTCATCTGGCAACGGCTGACTTGGCCGGAAGAAATCATCTCCAGAATTGCAACCCAAGGCATTATTCGTCACCCAGGCTTGAACAAAACTTTTATTGAAGCAATACCCACCCGGAAATGACCCAGAGCCAGATTGTTTCGCAAGGACCAAAAAGCAGTTGCTGTGAGAAGCCAGCCTCCACCAGTCAGTAAACCCGGCAGGTGAACTTCCAGAGTCGATGAAGTTGTTATTAGAATCATTTGTACAGATTTGGTCTGGAAGTGAATTGACCTTGTCGGTGAGAATGGCTAAGCAATCATTTTCACAATTGTCTGTTGGGCTAGACGGAGGTAGCGATGTAGTGGTTGGCGACTGGAAAAGACAACTACATCCGATGTGAGATCCGGCTTGACATGTACCAAATGAGCTACCTGCACCGACTTGCGTTCCCTGGCAGCCATTGGCATCGCAAGACGCAATTGGACCACAGAAACCGGGTGTTTGAGCATCCGGGACACAAGAGCATCCAACATGGCTTCCTCCCTGACAAACACCCAAGTTACTGCTTGGATCGACGATCTTGCCATTGCAGCCCGCGAATTCACAAGATCCGAGATTCGTGCAAAAGCCAGGTGTGTTGGCATCAGCGACACATTTGCATCCTGCGAATTTTCCTTGGCAAGTTGCCGCTCCGTGACTGAGTAATCCAGCGCATCCTCTAGCCTCGCACGATTGTGGAGTGCCGCATGTGTTGTCTGTAGGAGCACATTGACATCCTGTAAAAGAACCTTTGCAGGTAGCTTTACCATCACTATCAAAGCTGCCCTGGCAGTTATTGGAGTCGCAGCTTCGAGGATTTCCACATGTTTTGGTTGTTGGAGTGCATTGGCATCCCGCAAAGGAATCTTTACAAGTGGCTTGTCCATCACCATCGAAAGTTCCTGCGCAATTTTTGGCGTCGCAGCTTTGAGGGTTTCCACATGTATTGACTGTTGCGGTGCAAGGGCATCCATCAAAGAAACCTTTACAAGTAGCTTGTCCGTCAGCATCGAAAGTACCTGCGCAATTTTTGGCGTCGCAGCTTTGAGCGTTTCCACATGTATTCCTTGTGGGTAAACATTGACAACCTGTTAAGGCCTGTTTGCAGGTTGCTTTCCCATCAGCATCAAAGGTTCCTGCGCAGTTATTGGAGTCACATGATTGAGGTGTACCGCAGAACCCAGGGGTTGATGAACCAGGTGTGCAAGGACAACCAAAGAAGGAAGTGCTGGAGCCGCAAACTCCTTTTCCAGCTTCAACACTCCCGGAACATATTTTGACATCGCAGGGTGTTGTAGGGCTGAAGCACCCGACGTTATCACCATCAGTCCCGTCTTCTGGGGCTATTGTTGGGCATGAGCCTACTGTCGTAGTTGTGGTACTTGCGGTAATCAAACAGCCTGACACTGTGATTGAGGATGTCGTACTGCAGGAGAGAGTCGTTGCATCGAGGAGCGAATCACATGACACGAAGAGGTCTGTGACAGTAACCGTTTTACATCCGGAGCTTGTGCTTCCAGTAGTTGTACCACCATCCCCGCCACCAGGTGGTGGGGGAGGTGGAGGTGGTCCTGTTCCTGGTGGAAAGCAGAGACCCCAGATGCAAGGTATACAAATCGGAAGCGGAGGTATTACACATGGTATCAAGTCATGGTCTGAAGAACTTGTCGTGGTGCTAGGTGGGTTTGGCGGCGCTGTGTTTGGTGGCCCTGTAATAATAGGTGGCTCAGTCAAGGTCGCTCCAGGTATGGTCGTCAGAGATCCATTGGGCAACGTTATGGTTTGAGGGCTATATGTGGTGGTGATTATCCCACTGCCAAATGTCAAAGTAATCGGCCCGATGGTGGTTGGTGACCCGTTTGGCAACGTTTCAGTGAATTCTGAGATGGTCGTAGTACTTATTCCATTAGGCAGCGTAGAGGTAGTCCCTGGAATGGTGCTTAGTGAGCCATTAGGAAGAGTTATTGTGGAGGGCGGTACGGTTGTCAAAGAAAGCCCATTAGAGGAAGTAGAAGAACCAAGTTGAAAATTTTCTGTGGTCCCTGGAATGATGCTTAATGAACCGTTAGGAAGCGTTGTTGTAGAGGGCGGGATAGTGGTCAAGGAGGGTCCAATAGAAGAAGCTGAAGAATTAGGTTGAAGGGTTTCCGTGGTCCCTAGGATACTCGTTAAAGAGCCATCAGGAAGCGTAGAGGTGGTGGGTGAAATCGTTATCACTATTACTGATGAGATACTCTGTATTGTCTCCGTGCTTGGGGGGATAATCGTCAGCGAGCCATTAGGTAAAGTTTCTGTCGTGCCGGGTATTGTAGTCAGTGATTCTGATCCTTCTGGCGGGTTATTGCTCAGTGTCTCGGTCGTTGCGGGTATGGTAGTGAGTACTCCGTTGGGCAATGTTTCTGTCGATGCTAGTATGGTAACCACAGAGGACCTTGTTGTATCGCCTGGTAGAGTGATGATAGATCCAGAAATCGTCGTTAATGACCTATTTGGAAGGGTAGTGGTAATGGGTGGGAGGATGCTCAAAGTCAGGCTTTGAGGGTTTAGCTGTCCAGAAAGCGTAAAAGTTTGACCATAAGTAGTGAGAGTGGTCAAAGATGAGACAGCTGGTATCGTTACCGTCTCTGATCCAGAGATTATCAAAATGCCAGAGCTCGACACTACAATACCCCCATCAGGCTCTGTGAATGTTGTGGCCCCAGCGTATAGACTGCTCGAAGTAGGAGGTGGTATGCAACTCCCAGCAGTTGTGATGGTCATAGTGGCAATTGGTATACAGCCTCCAACCTCATCACAAAATGTACCTACAGGACAGCATCCGTCCAAACAACAAAATGTGTCTAATTATGTGAGACTTTTAGGGCGATTCAATAAGGGCAGCACAAGGCGTACCTGCACCACACAAGTTATGTCTCCCATTTGAGATTGGACAACATGTATCTCCATACGAATCAGAGCCACAACGATCTTCACACCAGTATTCCCAAGGAACAGTACACCTTGGATGGCCCAGTGAGCGTGTGGCCTCGAGAAGCTCAGTCAAATATGTGATGACTATCAGAGCTATCAAGTGAATTGCCATAATGCAGGTTTATTCGTAAGGAACACCCTTTTCTGTCATATAATATCTATAAAGAAGGCGATAAAAATATATTACAAATATATGGGAAACAATGAATGTCGACAAAATTGAAGGACAACTCGAACAAGTTCATCTGAGTTGAAGAAAGAAGGAAGACCTCTCGACCTTGTCATCCCTGAAGCTATGCTCACCGAGTATGATCCCTACTAGAAAATCTTGTTCAACGACCCCAGCTGAAAGCTGATGATGAATTTCAATTGGGTTTGCAATTAAGTTTGCAATTAAGCTTACATCTCATGACTACTATCATCTTTAATTTTGAAGGTCTGAAGTCATGGGAATCCCGTATTAACTGCCTAAAGCCATAAGTGATTCTTCGGCCGCCCCCAACGGCTATGGATCAGCGATGAACAACTGTAGGGCTAAGTTCAATTCGTGGACTATTAGTCCGCGGAGGGTGGATGACGAGGTAGTTTAACAACCTTGGCATTGCCCGACGAGCGATGTGGTAGGTCAGCGCCAAGGGTGCGCATGCTAGTACGTAATTGACGTTGTCCGTAGATAGCATCAAACGCCAATTAAGGTAATGCCGCACCAGGCATATCCCTCTTAAGCAGTAGTCGGGAATTTTTTCCAGTCTGGTACTTTAACGTAGGCTTACTAATAGTACAGTAAGCTGAGTGCATTGCATAGGTGCCAAGAGACGGCGACCTTGGAGTAGGCTTTGTCCTATCAAACCCTTAGGCATCTCACTTATATTCGCCTCATGAAAAAGACCTCAGAGCAACAACCCATGCACATCTGCTAGTTTTCTATTGCCTTCTCAGCTCAATTCCACCTTGTTGCCTTTCCGACTTAGTAGATGTTTACAGCCTGCCACAACTCACAAAGAAACTCGACCTTGTATTATATTTTCTTTTCATTTTGAGATATCATCGCTATTCTTCTTCCATCATTGTGTACTACCATTCTCTCTATTCATTACAGAGTTTCTCTTGAGTGTGCGGTTAACCTTGCTGGGAGAATTCTTCATCATGGTATGACTCCAAAATTGCACTAAAATATCTTCAAGAGTTAGAAGACCAGCATCTCACGGATGACGCTTGTAATATGTATATGTATCTGATTTCCAGGAGCAGAAACAACTTGTAGCTTTCTATGGCTGTTCTCCACGCCTACACAGAACTGTGGTTCTATGTATCACCGGCATTCTTCTAGCCCTCTCGATCGGACTCAGTCAGTTTCAAGGGCAAGAGATCGCTCTTCAAACCCGAATTGTCGGGAGGTCGGAATCTAGCCCTATCGATTCCTATTTCGACCAGAACAGCAATTATACATCACTCATAAAAAGAGTTTTCGACGAAGCAGCCTGGGATAAAGCACTCAATACATACGGCAAACCCGCCATTATATGCAACCTACCAGCGAGAAATCCAAGTAAGAAAGGTTATCCAAAACAGAGCGAATTCCTAAGTCTAGATGACCTTGGACGAAATGGAGTAAGACTAACCAACCTTTTTCACTTCACTTAAGTTCCACCCCCAAGACTGGGACTAATTCTACATATCAACTCTTGGTTGCTTGATATTCTCCTCAGAATCCACCCAGAATATGCTGACTTTCAGTATGCAGTGGACGGCCACGCGTCCGGATTCTCTTGCACTTGCCACAGCCTTTGACGGGAACATTGTTGACGCCTTAACCAAGTTGGGGGCACTGGGACCACTGGAGGAAACTCCGGAAGGTTATTACAGTAACCAGAACCAAGATTTTAGGCTTGAAGTCGATGGAATACTTACAAATTTTGATGTAAGAACTATGCCCCTAATTCCATGAACCCATTCAAATCTCCAGTATTTGCATATCGAGAAGCGCCCAAATGAGGGCCAGAAGTTGTTGCGGAATCAGACCTCCTATCTCTTGTTTCTTTCCTCCTTATGTTCGATTTTCTTTTTAAGAGGGCGCAGATCGAATGGTCCTAATAGAATGAGAAGAGTTGTTAAAATTTCTTCAAGGCAACATACGGTCATTATGCGAGTTCTATCGATGTAAATACCGGTCTCTTTGTTGCAGAAGACAACTACTCGCCGAAAGAAATGATCAAGAATAACGGTGGAAAATACCGCGCAGGACAAATGCCACCCAGCCTCGATAACTGGGCGGATGTGACTTACCTACAATGGCTCCAAGCGGCCACAGATCTCGGCGGTAAGCCCAGGGACATAAATGCCAGACTGCCGAATCTGAAGTACTTTGCCAGATTCCATATCATTAACACAGAATCACAAGGCATTATTAATCATGTGAGTAGGCTCTATTCTGTATCTATCGCCTCAAAATGACTGTTACTGGCTTCGCAGCCGTACCCGCTTAATGCTTTTGCTTCCAGTTTTAAAGATCATGCTAGCATATAAAATGCTAACTCCTGACAAGGCATTAAAGAACGTGGGGGAACAACTCGGGCCGTGGCCGGGACGCTCATTTTCTATGAGGACTGATGAAGGAAAAGCAATCCTGGGAAGCCCTAACGGTAGGGGCGTGGCATTCTTTCTCTATCAGCACAAGGATTTGCTCGGTATAAAAACAGTCGGTAGCGTGACGGTTTTCTCGACAACGGGGAAAGACCCTAAAGGCAACGATGAAACGTGGTACCAAGCAGTATTTATCCTTAGAAACTTATAAAAAAAGCGCTATTCTAGTAGTCATCCCTGATAGAGCGATGCTAAAATCCTAACTTTCATAATTTTCAATGACATGACAAAGATACATAATCAAATTCGAACAATTCCTGTCTGACAACAAAGGCTTAATAGACATGCAATTGACTTCAATAATGCTGAAAAAGTTGCTTATTTATTTGGTAAAATACTCATCCAAGTAAACTTCAGATTATCCATTGTATAGGTCTCTCTCAAAGATGGAGCTGTTGAATCTCGCTGGGGATCGAATGGAGCACTCATCATTTCGAGCCGACACATCCGCTTGAGATCCCAAATTCCAAAGCCCAACCGACGAAATGATTCCCATGTTGCGCCTCCCAATATTTGTGAAGGAATATTAGGGCCTCGGAGACACAAGGCTGGGAACATGTTGGAGGCTGGAGACTTCCTTGTAGTTGCTTCTTGTGATTGACCCCATTTACTACCGATGTTGTCATCCTGAGGCGTCATAGTTGGCCAAGAGCTTTCGAGTTCGCTTCCTGGCGGAGCAGACGGTAGACGAGACAGCTGAGCAGAAGTCCCTAGTTGTAATGAATTGGGATCTGCGATCTCTAACATGTATTTATTTACACATTCCATCTCGTCAGTCTCCCACACCGGAAGATGCATCCAAAAATCCTGATAATCTAAATCCTGTAGTTTCGTCTCGTCCCCTGGCGCGCTTTGCAATGAAGGCATGATTGATCTTAGTTCGTAGTAAATCAAGAGGTGCCATAGAGCGCGGAGAACTCGCTGTGTTTCGACCCAGGATGGTGGACCAGTGTCAGATATGCTATATGTGGGACCGGCGAGGGCGGGATTGTATTTCGTGACAGCGTACGGATCCATCCTGGTTCCTGGGCGTCGGAAATGGGTCGGTTTTAGGGCATGAATACGGTCGAGATATGCCCGAAGAAAACTGCGACAAAGATAATCGATGTTACTGGCGGAAATAACAAGATGACGAGATGCCGGGATAGGAAGTCCTTCTGGAAGAATGTTGCTTGAATTTGAACCGGCATGGCATGAGTGAAAGTCCGTAACACTATTCCAGGTCTTGTTCGGTGCAAAAATGGAACCGGCTTGCGCTAGCAGATGGTTGACATGTGGAGAAAAATAATGTGATGCGATCTCCTCGATGACCTCTGCGGCGCATTCATCAAAAATGGAGGCCATGACCGGAGATGAGTGCAGTAGAGCTTCCAGAGAATTGAAGTCTGGCAGATACTTGATGATAAAAAGGCGTATCGGAGCTGGGAGGGCTGAAAAAGTATCCATCTTTGATTATGTATGAATAAAGGCGATATTACAATTGCGTACGTGGAACGTTGTAAAGCAAGAAGTGTGTGTTATTCACTCTACTAAACGTTCTTGCCAAGTACATACCGGGCGCGCCACCGGGGTCTCCAGCATTGGACTCTATAATGTCGCGCAAATTCACTATATCGGGTGGAATCTCACTGGCTGAGAAGAAACACATTGTATTTTGCAAAATTTAACTTTTTAAAATAAAGAAATATTTTTAATAAGTTTTTAATATTCTTAGTAACAGGCTGTGTCTACCCGTGGTAATTGGTTGGCTGTGGTGTTAGCTGCTTTAAGGGTCGCTCACCTTTAAATAGTTTAACCTGTCTTTAGCTTTATACAAGTTGGTTTGTAACATAAGGGCTGCTTGCCTTTAAGTAGTTTAACCCGTCCTTAGCTCCATGCGAGTTGGTTTCGTAACACACAGCCAGTGACAACTAGAGTGTGTCCAGGTGCGTGCGTGACACCTAGCCAGGAGCCTAGTATGTAGTACAGTTAGGCGACTATTATTAGCGGTGGTGAGCCCGGGCAGGTCTCCGAAGGCGGGCGGTAGGGGCAGTACCCCACATTGTTGGTGACTCCTCATCTACCAGGAACCAGCTTCAACTTCGATCTCGCACCACATTGTTCGTTCAGTGTGTTCTCCCTCGATCTATGTGAATGCATAGACGGCCGTAATGCAGGGGGTTATATTGGCAGCAGCGGCTTGCCACCCTTTATGGGTAGGACCCTAGCATTCGAGCGTGGTCTCTTCTCTCTCGGGAGTGACTAACTGGTAATAGGATTCGGAAAGGGCCACGTTCTCGGCATGCGCCGTTGCTTTTGTTGCATTTGTACCGGCGCTGGTGATTGCGGTGATTGGTTTGAAGTACATGCTGAGCCACCCATACTTGCATCGATGGCGTCCAGTATGGACGCAATCATTTGTGACAGAGGCGATCGCACCAACTGAATGCACAACAAATCCACCCAAACAGCCTTGCGGCAAGGCTGTCGCTATTTTCCTGCTTGCTGTAATCGTATTTGCGACCGGGTTAGCTCGTATAGTAGCTTTTCCACTATTTTTGGGCTTTATAGCACTGACCGTTGCTTGGGTAAGCTCCTCTCCTTGTCAGATGTAATATGATAAGTAGTGTTTATGTCGATAGGGTCTCACGGCACTTGTAATAGCCTCAAAGCGTCCTGTGGTAGCTCCAACTTCTTTGTTGGTCTTTTACATCTTGGCATTACTGACTGAGTTCTCCGTATTTGACGCTGGATTTTCCCCAAATCTGCTGGCATGGGCTGCACACCACGCTACAATCTGGGCATCGTTGATATCAATTGTGATTGTTCTAGTGATGCCAATCAGAAATCCTATCCTCTCTAAGGACGGCATTGGGATTGTCGGCGAGACCCCATCGGGTAGTCTGCGTAGTCCTGAGGATCAGCTGCTACTCTGGCAGTACCTGACCGTGTCGTGGATGTCGCCACTTATCTCATTGGGTCGCAAAAGGCGAATAAATGAAGATGATGTATGGCTTTTGGGATATGAATTTCAGCACCGAAGATTGCACGAGAAGTTTCGTCGGTTGAAGGGATCCGTTTTGGGTCGCTTACTACAAGCAAATGGCGTTGATGTGGCTATTATTGGTAGTATTGCAATTGTGCAGATGATTTGCAGTATGCTGAATCCATACATATAAGAAAGGCTCCGCTGACTTTTGCACAGATTTTTCTTCCCCGTTACTTCTACAGCAACTCCTGAAGGTTATGTCTGGTGAGCATGTAGACAAGAAGGTTGCGTTGACATATGCGACGATGATGCTAGTTCTCCGGATTGTCTTTGCGCAAAGCCAAGTTCTGAGTCTTTGGTACGGCCGAAGATGCTACGAGCGAAGTCGAGGGGAAATGGTGATGATGGTCTATGAGAAAGCTCTGTCTCGAAAAAATACCTTCGGTCAGAAAATACAGAATGAAAAAGCTACGGAAGGAACTGCTCAAAATGGCCACTCCAATGTAGCTCCTAACACACCTGGCAAGAAATCCCGAAATCAATGTGGGTTGATTCCCTGGCGCAAAAGTAAAGCGCAGGAGGAGGAGGTTAAGCAAACGGCTTCCATGGGCAAGATCTTCAATTTGCTACGAGGCGATGTCTACGAAGTCGCTCAGCGGTTCTGGGAAATTGATACCTTCATCGACAAACCAATAGGTCTCATCATATCTATTGCTCTTGTTTGGAAGCTGTTTGGGCCGTCCTGCTTTCTAGGCGTGTTGACCGTTATCGTGGCTCAGGTAATTAACGGCTTCATTACCCGATCCCTTCTGCGATGGGAACGCAATCGACGTAGCGCAACCGACGTGCGATTACAGATAACATCCCAGTTCGTTGAGGCCCTTCGGCATCTTCGGTGGTACGGGTGGCAGGAGCACTGGCTCCGTCAAGTAATGGAAGCCCGTGACAAAGAACTTCATCTACGTGTTATCACCAGTCTGTGGAACGTGGCAATTAGATTCGTCAACGTGTTTTCCAGCGCTGTCTTTCCAGTGGTAGCCCTTTATGGCTACACAATATTGGCGGGGCGTCCTCTAAGTATCGATATCATTTTTCCGGCGCTCCAGCTGTTTACTATGCTCGAAGAGCGCCTTCGCGATATTCCCACCCTCATTACTACACTTATAAATGCCTCCATTGCCATGGGTAGAATTGAAGATTTCATGGCGGAGCCAGATAAAGAAATGGGAGAGAGAAATACGCTGTTAGACCCAAATCCTATAAGATTGGAGTCTTGCTCATTTTCCTGGCCTGGAAAGGTGACGCCAGTTCTATCGGATGTTACCATAACCGTTACGAAAGGCTTGACGGTCGTTTGTGGTGTCGTTGGAGCTGGAAAAACTGCACTATTGCAGGCCTTGCTTGGCGAACTTGACAGATTAAAGGGAGAGTCTCATATTCCGAATGAGATGGTAGGGTACTGTGCACAAACGCCATGGTTGCAAAGTATGAGTATTCGAGACAACATTCTTTTTTCATCGCCGTACGATGAACAAAGATATAAACGTGTATTGGACGCATGTGCATTGGTGCCTGACTTGGCAAATTTCACACATGGCGATTTATCCTTTATCGGGGAAAATGGAATCGGTCTATCCGGTGGACAAAAGGCACGAGTAGCACTGGCACGGGCTGTTTACAGCTCATCTAGGATTTTGTTTCTTGATGATCCGTTGTCGGCACTTGACCACAATACAGCCGAATATATTGTGCGGAAATGCTTTCTTGGTCCACTGGTGCAAGATCGCATTGTGGTCCTCGTCACTCACCGCACGACATTGGTGCAGCCACATGCCGATCAGATCGTTGAAATTACAAATGGTTATGTAAAATGCTATGACAAGGATACGATCTCCTCGGCACACGTGATTGACGATGAACCGCAATCGGAAGACGCGGGACAGGAAACGGCTGAAGAGGAAGTCTCAGCGGCTGTTCCGGACAAATTCATTGAGGAGGAACATAGGGCTGACTGGGGGGTTCAGAGTCGCGTGTATTGGTCATATGTTAAAGCCGGAAAACTCAAGTGGTGGAGCATCCTTGTCGCCGTTCTTGCTATTTACCGTCTGGCAGCTGTGGTACAATCTTGGTTCCTCAAGGAATGGGGCGAGGCCTACAGCCTGTCTTTGGTGATGGTTATGTTTACTGGTCTGCAAAAACAGGTAACTGAAAATTGGGTGCTGAGCACGTCCCTGGAAGCAGTAAACCACACCTCAAATAACACCAGTGCACGAAACTGGCCGTTTGACAGGATACACATGCCTCACCCAGCAGAGGATGTACGGCCCTGGCTTGGGCTCTATCTCGGAATTGCAACCTTCCAGGCTTTAACAATGCTTGTGGCGCAGTTGTTGATGCTGGTCATAATCTATTGTGCAGGGAAGACAATGTTTAAACAAGTTATGGAACGTGTCAGCCATGCTACTTTTCGATTCTTTGACGTCACTCCCGTTGGTCGACTTATGAATCGTCTCACCTCGGATATTGGAGCAATTGATGGGAACATCAGTATCCAGTTTCAGATCATCGCGTTTCAAATAATCACCTGGACCTCTGCCATTGTGGTCATTGCCTCGGTGACGCCGATGTTCCTTGTTTTCGCCCTCCTCCTAACCGGTGCATTTGTATTCATTTTCTTGAAATATCTGCCTCTTTCACAAAGTCTGCGCCGGCTGGAAATGGTGTCATTGAGTCCGTTGTTGTCTAACTTTGGAGAACTTTTACATGGCTTGACCACCGTTCGCGCATTTCACGCCGAAATCCGTTTCCAAAATCGTGTCATTCAAGTTGTCGACAAGTTTCAAGGAATGGACCACTTTTACTGGTCTTTACAAAGTTGGCTGATGTATCGATTCGAGTCTCTTTCGGGGGTTTCCACATTCTGTCTTACTGCATTGGCACTATATACAGATGTCTCAGCCGGTCTAGTTGCTTTCCTGCTCGTTTCTGCGAGTTCGTTTGTCGACTCTACGCATGCCCTATGCAAGTATTATGGTCAACTTCAGATGGATTTTGTCTCCGTCGAACGTGTCGACGAGCTTCGGCATATCGAGACCGAGCCGGAGGGAGAAATAGATCCGCCAGCGTACTGGCCGCGATTCGGCACTCCGATTATTTTCGAAGACGTCACGATTCGCTATGCACCCCATCTTGATCCTTCTCTATCCAACATCTCTATCGAGATTCCTGGTGGATCTACCGCTGCTGTCATCGGCCGCACTGGTAGCGGAAAATCAACTCTAGCTCTCTGCCTTTTAGGAGTTATACAGCCCGAATCGGGCGAAATATTGATCGACAACATCGACATATCCAAAGTCAGCAAACAAGCACTACGAACAAGAGTAACATTTGTCGCCCAAGATCCCGTCCTTTTCCCAGGCAGTATTAGACTCAACCTCGATCCTACCAAAGAATTCTCGGACCAAGAATGTGCCGATGCCCTCAATAGAATCTGTGCACGACATGGTTGGGATCTCGATTTTCATATCGAAGCCGGTGGACGAAACCTCAGTCAGGGTCAGCGGCAACTTATTGGACTGACTAGGGCAGCACTGCGGCGGAGTCCGATCGTAATTCTAGATGAAGCTACAGCCTCGATCGATCATGAGACGTCTTTAGAAATCCAGAAAATAATTCGCGAGGAAATGAAAGAAAGCACAGTCATAACGATTGCCCATCGATTAGAGGCTATTAATGACGCGGATTATTACGTTGTTTTAGATAAAGGCAAAGTTGAACGACAGGGACGTGTCTAAGTGGACATCAATAGCCGGGATAAGTATCTAGGGTGAATATGTGACTTGCCACTGGATAGGCATAGACAATAACTAAATATTTTCTTTTGGCTGGTTTTGCCATTTCCTTTCCTTCGGGCCTTCTCTGCTTGCACTTCATATGACCGTCTCAGTCACCGATCCGACATGAGTTAATTAGATCAGATAAGGCCGACGTTTGGTTAAGTATAGTTCCTAGATCTACTGCAAAGACCACAGCCAATCTATCATAGAGTTCCTACTCCTTATGTAGTCTTAATACTACTAATGTGTACCTCTGTCGACACCAGCAGCACCTAGGCGAGAGTTGCAGAAAATAGTTCCCAAACTAGTCACCCACCGCATACTCGAATGTCAGTTTTTCGTAGACAACGTCGTTTAGTTGGGTAGAGTTGCTAATTGTGACTTGGCCTTTGAATGAAAACGTGTCATAAAATGGTCTTATTTCGACATATTATTGCTAGCTATGTCTTTATAATAACGACATTTTGACCAATATCAATTTATCTTAGAATGCTTAAAATCATTTACTCGTGGTCTACCAACTGGATCAATTGATATAAGCATCAGCAGCGATCGTTCGGCTCTAAGAAGCCAAGTTTCCGCCCGACGTACTACTGCATTATTAGGATATCATTCACAGCTAGGGATGCTCAAGTTTCTCCAACGAGGGGGCCCTACTTGCTGGTTTTAATCGGTACTCTCTAGCTTAATCGCGGAATCATCCCGACGCAAGCTTACCAATGTGTCGTATAGATAACTAGTTCATGCCAGATGGCTTTTCTGGCCTCTTTTACTTCGTGTCCTTCTATGTGGCATTGATTTACCACCTGTTCGAAGTACGGCACAGAAAGGATTATCAGAAGGCTTGAGTGAAGGAAATCAACTACTATGTCTATGTACTGCCGCGTAAATTCTTACCCCTCCCCCACCACCAATCTAATCACACATTTCACGTTTTTGCTTATTATTCATGCTAAAACTATATTTAAATTTTTTGGCGCGATTTTAGTACGGCGAGACATGCTGGATGGAAATACCTGTCACAAACGCTCCTCGCGCAATCCATTTCTACCGCAAGGTCTTTGAGTGGAACATTAACGACGAAGGCTACGAAAACCAAGTTGATGGAATCGAGCACACGTATTTTTTCAATAAGGGAAACTTACGTGGTAGCTTTCTCTTGGTCCCTGAAGATCAATTCCTGAATATGGACGCTCTTTGCGCCCCAGGGGCGAATCAGGTATCAAAGAAAATGCGCTGGGGAGTGGTTAGTACCATTGCAGCGGAAGATATGGACGAGACGTTGAAGAAGATTGTGGACTGTGGAAGGCGCATTTTCAAGTACGCTTGTTCTTTACTCTAGTATGTATTGATTGCGTTTATAGTTATTGATGGATTTATAGAGAAAAAACACTGCTCGGCATGGAAATGGGTTCCCTTGCAAAGTTTGTAGATACCGAGGGGAACATTCATTCACTGTGCTCTTTGGAACTTTCGGACTGATTAATTTGTCATATTGCCATCAAATTGTAGATAATGACTTTTTTTTCTGCAGTTGTGGGATTTGATACCCCTGGGTATTTGTGAAAGAGGATTTGTACACGGTTTACTGCTTTCTAATCTAGATTTCCATGAGGACCTTCCTAGGCTTTATTCAAATGAATATGAAGTTTACTTTTCATCCTTATATCATCTTATTCTACAAGTATATCTTTACAATTATCATACCTTCACATGTGAATCCTATGGCCCGAAATTCATAGGAATATCGTGAATTTCATCTATCGTTCTAGACTATCCTATTAGAAAATTAAACTATTTTATTCTATCGACCTATATCTCCTTCAAAAACCCTACTTCAATCACCTTGTCCGTGGGCACACGCAAGTTCGCCATTTTATTGCGGGTATTATCCCGGATCCACAAAAATAGGCTCAACAAGATTTTTCGCACAATCATTGTGCCTGGTTTAATCTTCATCTCTTCCTTGCCGATGATATATAAAACCTTGTGTGAGTAGGCTGCTTCGAGTCTCGCTAGTTCGCGACCGACATCGTGGTGTTTCTCCTTGATGGAGCTGTCGGGGTTTGAAGTAGAGTTGTCCTGTCCGTCTTCAGCAGCATTTTCGCCTGCGGGCTGCGGGGGTGGAATATCATTTATCAAATATTTTCTGAGTTGCTCGACAACAACATTGGCTAGATTAGGCGTGATTATTACGTCGTTGTATCCATAGCGTACTACAAGACGATAACAATTCGGCACTGCCAAACGAGAGACCATGTATCGTCTGTCTGACTGAACAGAAGGCATTTCGAGAGGTCGCAGATGGAAGAATACAATCACTTCGGGCATGGATGTGAGTTTGAGGACGAACTGACTGAATACTATGGGTGTTGTTTCGCCAGCTTTGTCGAAGAAAATGCCTAATCCGCGTGTTGTGCTTATAGGGAATTCCCCATACTGCTTCGCAAGATACATTGGTGTTTCAGACTCGAGGGAGGCCGAGCCACTGGTGATGAAATGAGAGGTATGAAAACGATCCTCGGCTTCGGCGAACCATTGCTGCTCTTTCCCGTACCGCCACAGAAGAAATAGCAAGGCAAGGATGGCAGCAATCATGAGCGTCACCCAGGCTCCTTGAGGAACTTTGGTCAGCACTGACGAAATGTAAGCCCCATCCAAACAGGCAAAGGTGAGCCATGGTAGGATAACCAGATATGGGTTGAAACGCCAGACGAATATCGCTGTGAGTGAGACCATGCAGGTGTCGAAGAAAGTAACGAACATAACGCACACTCCATATGCGTTACCTAAGGAAGTTGTCTAATGGACGTAAGTATAAGAAGATCTAAACAACAATAGAGGCGGACTCACATTGTTAAATATGGAGGCGACCAAAATCGTTCCAATCATCATCAGCCAATTAGCGATTGGGATGTAAAGTTGGCCATGGAATATGCGAGATGTGTGAATAACAGTAATTTGGGGCATGTATGATAGTTTCATAACTTGAGACAAAAGCTGTGAGAATTGTTAGGGAATGACAATATGGTTAACCAGCGCAAAATGAAAGATGTACCTGAAAGGTTGCCGTTATGATAGCCTGCGATGCCACGATAGCAGCTAGAATGGCAATAACTAGCGACGGATAAACCGTGCCTGGTGGCGCAGCATTAAAAAACGGATTAGAGTATGCCTCCGGAAATACGCTTATATATGCTGCTTGTCCTATGTATGCCAGCAAAAGACATGGGAAGGTATAGCAGAGCCAGCTGATCTGTATGGCTCGGCGACTGAAGGCTCCGAGATCGGCAAATAGAGCTTCAACACCAGTAAAGGCGAGCAAGGTGCCACCTAGTGTTCTCCATCCGTCTTCTCCGTGACGGATGAGGTATTTAAATGCTAGGCCGGGATTGAAAGCCTGAAACACGCCTGCGTCGTATTTTGCAAGATTGTAGATCCCAAACACGGCATTGAACCCGAGCCAGATGATCACAATAGGTGAGAATGCGACCGTGAGCTTGGTAATACCAAACGCTTGAATGGCAAATAGAAAGACAATAATAGCGTCGCTGACGCCAATTATGGTGCCCTTGGATATGTTTGGTTGGACAACCTCAATTCCCTGGACGGCTCCTAGAATGGACTGTGCCGGAGTCAAAAGACCATCCGCTAAAACCATTGTCACTGCCAATATCCCCATAACCTGTAGAAGAGCTCTAGCGAATTTACTGGACTCGAGGCGGCGGCGCATCGACCGACCGGCTTGTTCGAGATCTCCCGTCAAGTGTCTTTTCATTTGCACAAAAGAGGCCTCCCGAGGATCCCGATTGGTGATATTCATCTACCGAATACGTCAGCAGACAAAGCCAATAGATAGTTATCTAATGGCAAACACGTACATATCGGCTAAGTAAAGAGTACGTGCTGAACGTTCCGCCTTCGCCGTCATTGTCAGCGTGGAGAATGATGATAATGTACTTCACAGTGACCATCATCATCAAAGACCAGATGACTATAGACAGCACACCGATGAGATCCTGTCGCGATGGGGGCTCGCTAAAGGTCGAGGAATACACGTAGAGGGGACTCGTGCCAATATCACCGTAGATCACACCGATGGATTGATAGGCCAACCAGAAGAGCATTTTTCCTTTGAAGACCTATTATCTCTCATTAGCACACTGTTTATGTTGCAAAGACATATCTATGGCGATTCGCATGTACCTGTTTACTCCTGTAATCGGCGGGATTCCGCAATCCCGGGTCTTCGTCAGCTTGCTCGATGCCAGAAACCTTGCTGCTAACGCGTTCGATAGCCCTGGAGCGGATGTTGCATATCTCATCCCCGGTGCTCTCAGTCGTGTCCTGTTTGGAAAAGGAGCGCATTTTGTAAATGCTCGGCCCCGTTGTCGAGATGCCATCTCGGGCTTCATCCTTCTGCTGGACTGAGTCCGCAATGCGGATGCTTGTCATGTCGCGCCAAAATAGTGGGTGTTTGAACGGACACTGTTATAAAAGTTTTCAGACTACAACGAGGAGCAAGGTAAATGCAAGAAGAGCGGCAGATTTGCATGTGGGCATGCAGGCAACTTATTGACGGTGCCATGACAATAAGACTGCATAGTAATAAACTTTGTATGGTTATCTTCAGCTTTGCAATGGCAGTATTGGGTCGCAAATCAGAAGTTAAAGATAAGAACCAACATTGCTGAGCTATTGATAACATGGTTGACAAATGGTAAGAAAACTTTAAAGGTTGCTTTGTAGGGTCAGATCCTCTGGTTGATGTCCGGGAAGATCGCCCTGCCCGTTTGATAGGACCAAACAATTCCCTCAACACGCCAGCCTGCGGCCCTGCCATGTGCTGCAACGCCGTCAGATGCAGCCTCGCACGTTATTCGCGTGGTGCATTGGGATTCTCATTTGCGGAGACAAGCTGGAATTGCTGTGCATTATCTGTATCTTTGAGGGGTTGTCGTGGTTAAGCTTTGGCGTACCATGGCACTCGAGGCCAGAAAAAGAAATGCGTGAAAGTGTTGCGTGATCTAGAAAACCCAGCCATTGAGCCCTTCTCTTGGGCATGCGACGTAGGGTTGGCATGATGATGGCGTCTAGATTTTTCTTTTCATCGAGACTTTGGCATTTGATGGGGACGCAAATTACAGTCGAAGGTGAAGGTCTACGGGAGATCTACCAATGGCAGAAGCTCTAAAACACCATGGCTGAAGCCAACATTCCATATTCCCCACGTGCATGTGTCCAAAAGGGAACTCAATTATAAGGTTCAACGAGACCCACGCAGCGCTCAATCCTCTCGAGCTCATCAATACAGTCTCTCTCTACGAGGACAGTTGGGCTGCTATGTCATCGCCCTTTTCAATCCATCAAAAATATTTGAAACCAGCAGCCCAAGCAAGCCTACGAAGATGAGACTACCGTTCTAACCGTATGTACAGCCTGTATCTGCTTGAGCGTCTTCCAATGACGACATCTGCAGGCAATCGCCCACATACAAGAGGCTGTTCAGGTGTTGGACTACTAGAAATTGCAGGGTAACAATTTCGTATCGATCGCTAGCCTTATATCCTGGAAGACATTGTGTGTCATTCAGAGGAACTTGGATATCCAAGCACACTGCCTCTAGACGAAGTCACCTTTGAATATGTTCGCGTTCATGCTGCAGTCTTCCAATCCTTTTATACATAAATCACCCACCGCAGAATGTACACTGATGCATCCAACCTTGTGGCATCACGTGGTTGAATAATTGGCCGCAACTGCATCTCGAAATGACCAACCAGGATAGAAAACAAGAAGGTAGGGTAGTGCAGGCGTTGTTGGTAATATCCAAGGTTTCATGATTGCTCGATCGCGGGGCCTCTAATCTGACATTCATCAGCCCGGTCGCACAACGACGGCGAATTGCGGAGACGATATCGCATAGCAATGCGCGTCGACATCTATTTGCAGGTTAAATAGGATCCTCTCCTCTGACTTTTCCTCTCCATCCTTTGTTTTTCAAATGTTGCTTCCGTAAGAATCGATCGTGGTTGTTCCACCGAGAAGGCAAGAAGCTTTGCGGGCGGACGAAATTGCGCAATCACCGCTAGCATAGGCACCCGCGTCCACCCGAATGCGGCCAGGCAGCCAGTTCCAACCAGCAAGTACAGAGCATTGAGATTTGGGCTGATAACACGCCATAGTCCAGTGCCCTTGCTGCATCTCAGCAGATCACGATAACTGTCAGTCATGGCAGCAGGCACAAGCAGTGCTAGGGACGCTCCCAAGAGGGGTCAGTGCAGTTAACTTTTTCCTCCCTCTTATCAGCTTATCTCGCAATTTCACGTGTTCTTCTCATGCTCCTTCCTTCTTCCCTGCGCAGAAGAAACCATAGATATTTGCTGACTGCGTACAGTTTGGGCCAGTCTGATCACCAATCTCAATTACCTCCCCGGCATCCTCACGCTTGCATACTCAATCCAGAAAGTGGGCAGCGAATATCCCCTCGTCGCCCTCTACACAGATGCGCTGCCCCCCCTTGCCCTAGCAGCTCTAGAGGCGCGCGGAATCCCAACACGACGGGTGCCGCATCTGTCGCCTGCGAGTGGCAAGCAGTATGCCGACGATCCTCGCTTCAACGACACCTGGACGAAGCTTGTCGCTTTCAGTCTGGTCGAATTCGACCGCGTGGTCTTGCTTGACAGCGACATGATTGTCCGGAAACCTTTCGACGAGCTCATGACCTTAGAGCTCGATGCGCCGGAAAATACGTCTGGAAATAGAGTCTTTGCTGCAAGTCACGCATGTGCATGCAATCCCCTGAAAAAGCGGCACTATCCAAAGAACTGGTATGACTTCTAATTAACGCATTTTCATCTCCTTTTGCTAATAAGCGTCGGGCCATAGGGTACCAGAAAACTGTGCCTACACCAGTCAGCACACCTCCCCAGATGAAGCTCAGATCACCGGCTCTCCAACATCCTTTGGCATCGGCATGCTCAACTCCGGCCTTCTCGTCATCAATCCTTCCACCGACGCCTTCTCGCTGATCGTCCAGGCCATCAATACTCCAGAGATAACCGACAAACATGATTTCCCCGATCAGGGCTTACTCTCTGAGATTTTCAAGGGCCGCTGGGTACCCTTACCGTATGTCTACAATGCCTTGAAAACGCTTCGGTGGAGAGGTGTGCACGACGCGATTTGGAGAGATGATGAGGCCAAAATCGTGCATTATATTTTCGCCAAGAAACCGTGGAGTAGCAGGACACTGGAGGAAAAGGACGTCAAAGATGAGTGGGAAACAAGTGACAAGCTGCTGCATGAGTGGTGGTGGAAAGTTGATGACGAGCGGAGGGTTGTTGAAAAAGAGAGAGGCATCACAGATGAGCTGTGAATACGCTGTACTATCTATATGACTACTTATATGGGTGGAATTTTGTGTCCTTGTCTTGTGGAGGTTTGTGGAGGGTTTTATTGGAAGCTTGTTGATTTTCCCTTGATGAATTGGCGTCACTATTTATTATATGGACCAGGAAATGGATGGTGGATGTGCTTTGTAATGGGATTATTCACTACGCCATTATAGAAATTTGTTTTTAGTTATTGTAGATAGTTTGTGTGCGTCTCAATATACCTCGTACATATGCAGATAGGGTGTCATTCTAGAACCCGTCACCCTTCAAATGTTGTTTCTACATGTCTGTAATAGGCGTACAATTCTTCACGTTGAATCTTGTACACAATACTAAATCGTCTACCAAACATTGAGCTTTCCTCGAGGAAGTCATTAAACGCTATTCAAACGAAAACATCGCCCGAACCAGTTAGAAAAATATTGCTGCCAATATTTGAAGACTCTGAATGGCGTCACAACCCTAGCCCAAAGGCATAATGCATCATTCCATTACTAATCAACTGTTATGCAAATATTTAAATGGTTCCGAGCAAATCATGGCTGGGGTCCGTCAGTCAAACACAGCATATGGCCCTTTCAGTTCGGAATATGGTCAACGATACTACTAAACTTGATTCATTTTAGCCCTCATTTTCTTGGCAACCTCTGGCATCGTAAATTATGAGAGTGGTTACGAAAATATAAACAGGATTATTAGCCATTAAAGAAATCCTCGAGACACTATGGGATTCCATCATACGGTCGAGCGTTGTAGAATATTAGAGCTATAAATCCAGTACCAATCGATTTCAAAATAATAAAACCACGTCGACATATGAACCATTTCAAAAGTGCTTCGCGTAGACCTTGGTATAATCTGTCAGATCGACTCTCGAGTACACAGAGTGCATGCTAAGCGCCGATGTTGATGCTACCTAGATAAAATAAAGTGATCGGCGTCGCTGCAGAACGGCTACTATTCGCTCCAAGTAAACGACTGGGCGTTAACATGAAACACACTTCTGTATGTTTTCAACCTGGCAGCACATCGGCGTCAACAATCCATTTTTCACATATCTATTTTTTCTTCTTCTCCAGATCGGCGCGGCGCATCGCGGCACTTTCATACTAATGTTTCATCAGCAGCATGCATGCACACATCCCGGATCGTCGATTCTTCAGCAACAGTTCAACTGAGTCAATGGTAATAGCGCGCGCGTAAAAAAAAAAGTATCTTATTTATACCCAGTTTCGGTTCAAAATGCCCGTTGAAAACTCCTCACTGGCTGACCAGGGATTGCGATCGGCCTGTTCTCCATGTAAAGCCACCAGGATCGCCGCCAACCTAATCTGTGCTGCCTGAAGCCATTACTGGCTGCCCGTTCATGTTAGCTGGTAGGGGCTACGAACCCACTATTCCGTCAGTCGTGACAAAAAGGATCAGATAATGATTTTGAGGTTTTTCTCTCATGAGTTTTTGGGAATTAGAGCGCCTGGTTTTTCCTTTTTCTTTGTCTTTCAACCATAATCCCTACATGTCAAACTGTATACCAAATTGGGCATACACTTCGTCAACCCCTGATTGGCTGAAAGGATGGCTAACGAAAGATTGAAAACCCGCAACAAATTGAAGCAATACACCCCAGTTAATTCGCTACATTCTATCCAAAAATAGAAACTATATTTGCGCTCCAGAATTGACAAATTTATTGAGCGCAGTAAAGCTTGCCAATACACTGAGTTCGCATGTTGCAACGATAATTGCTTATTTAGTACGGGTTCGAAATGGCCTAGTTATATATAGCAGACATTCGCTCATTTCACTGTTCATTTTGTGATTCTCGACTATCAATTCGCATCACTATGCCCAGCTCCTCTTCTAACAACCTGCTAATTTCATATTCCCTATCGTCTTCGACGACTGGCTACTGCTTAACATGAATAACTTTACAAACGGAATCTCCAACAGTAGTAATTGCAGCACTACTGGTAGGGTAACGTCATCGCCGTCCGCTGCATCTCTATAGCCTAAAATTTTGGATCAGCACGATAAAATAGATTTCACGACATCCTGAGAAAATCATTTATACCATAAGCCTCCTCAATTGATCACCTTAGATATTGCATACGGTTACTGGAAGAGTATCAAATTGGCTGGATTTGGGTCTTGCTAGTTGAGCTTGCCGCCGCTCAGGAAATGCTTGATGAGATTGTTCCCCAAAGCCCTAGCTTACTTTAGATTTATTATATAAAACTTATATTTGCTCTAAATAACTTAATAACTACAAAATATTTATTAAGAAAATATTTAGCTAGATTTCTTAGCTATTAAACATTGAGAAGTCTTTGAATAGAGGGTAATTCTAATTTAGTTCTGTTCTTTTACCTTTTCATCAGATGGTCAGGTGTTGACATCTGGCTCTTCTAATAAGACTGTCAAGCTCTGGGATCCTACCATAGGTGAGCTGTGGCAGACCTTGGAAGGTTATTTTTATTGGATCTGGTGAGAAGTAAATGATGCGATATCTATATAAAACAATCTGCGGGTATGCTTTCAGAGAAAAAGACGTTATGGATTCCTTTGGAAAGCTGTTCTATCTGTTTTGCAATGAGAGACGGTATCCTTGTCTTCGTTTCATTTGATTGTTCTATAAAAACACCCTCTCATACCCCTATATATTTAATACCACTTCAAGAAGGAGGGTCGGGCTGGCTAGGGATTGTACTTTACGTTCTCTGTCGTAGATTTCATGAGATATTTCTCCAGGTTTCTATACTAAAATAATGAATTACGGTATTCTAGCTTATATCTTCTTTATTAAACCCGAGTGTTAGAAATGATCCTGAATGCTTTTTTTCTTATATAAACGATATCAATAAACTGCTCGACGAAGTTACTAGAATCTCGATCAAAGTCTTCTTCGGAAACTTGCCAATAAGAATAAAACTGCTTGTGTTGACCTGTTGCTGTTACGGTATGCGCTACTGAGCCATGAGACAGCCCCAAGAACAGCCAGCGTGAGGCGCCCATATGCTTTCATCCCGATCCCCACACAACGTGGCCAGTGCTGACCGAAAGAGCCCTGGCAGATGCTCTTTCACCGCGCCGCGCCGCTGGTAGTACGGAATTTATGATATCCATCAGTATTCTGACGGCCGAGAAAAGCTGCTCTAAGAAGGTGTTCTGATGGAGGCTATGGTGCAGAGTTCAATGACTTTCTATATTGTAAGAGAATCGAGACGAACTCTGCGGGGCGATGATCAAGTTATTATTAACGGGAGACATGCCCCCTTAACCCTTGTCCTCATTAACACTTGTATGAATCCATCGCGTTTTGAGAAACTGGCTTTGTTATGATTATCGATTCGGCGCGCTGTCAGAGCTCAGATGCTGACTAGCTGAAGTCGTTTCAACTTGCGCTTCCTGTATGATCACAGCCATGTTGTAATGCCAACTATTGATGACTTAAACACGGATAAAATTCTGTGGTTATTAAGTAGGGACAAGATACCACGGACCCGAGTGGGAATTATCAATTGAATAGTTTTTATGAGTGGAATAAATACATGGACGGTTCGATGACGTAAAAACGCGGTGTAAAAAGGGGGGATTTAGCGTAAAAAAGGGGTGCTGAAGCTGACGTGGTTTTGTGTGAGAAGAAAAAGGGTTTATTTGTGTAAGTGGGAAAGTGATGGGGAATACTGTCAGATAGGTTGAGTGGTAGGCCATGACTTTATAGATAGAGCAGCATGAAGTCGTGGCTATGGACATGGCCTGTGGTATCGTCACATCATATCCGAATCAGCAAACTAAACAGCATCGCGTAATTCGCCGTCACCCAAGACTACGGAGTCCGTACATGGAGTCTGAAACTTGAGAGTTAGGAGTACACATATTGCTAAGAATCTAAGACAATGGAAAGCAAGCCTTCAATAGCCCTTTCTCCCCTCCGCAGTGACTAGTCACAAGTACGCTCCTCTGATTGCTGAGATCATCCAAAGCGGAACCTGGCTGGATGGCGGTCAACTAGAGGATGCTGGCTTGGCGCGTTTACTAAACGAAGGCGCTGGTGTGTGTGGCTTGCACTGCATCCAAGCCTCGAGAATCGAAGCTGTGTTAGTTTCCTCCCGAGAGACCTTATTTTAGCCTTTTAACAATAAACATCACGCAGTCTGGTCTGCTATTGTTCGCGTCTTGCTCGATGAATGGCTGGACAGACCCTTCTGCAGGCAGGCAATTCGCCAGGGCATGGCAAGTAGACCCACTGGGCGCGCGAGCTCAAACAAGGTTAAAGCAATCCACTGGATGAGAGCTTTTTTTGCTGAAGACACCACGCCGGTTCGTTAGCTGGGCTCCACATGTGGTACCAGCTCCACGGAACCCAGCACTCCATTGGCTGGACCTGCAAGGTTCCCCTGTTTCAAAGCTAGACATGGCCCCACCGGCCATTGGCCAGCGGCTATTTGGTTTTAGAAAAGCCCGAGCCCAAAACAAGCAGCTGCTCCGCAAACTATCAATTACTAATTATTCACGGAGTGCTACGGGTTTATGGTTCACCGTTCGACCGTTCATGTTGGTTGGCTCTTGAGCCTTGGCTTCTTCGTGAATATATGAGTTATCCCCGAAAATGGTTCATAATTACGACACCAAGCAACTCAACAAGCCCACTCTGCCCGGTGTTTGATCACTATGGTAGTGGCCCATTCAAACGACATATCCATTACGGCGTAGTCCTTCGAGTCTTCTCGGCGAGTGTGCGTAGTATATACGAACGACTGGAGTACTGACAATTCGTGTTCTTCAATTAAGCATTATAGGAATTAACGGAAAGCCGATTCTTTATGCAGAATATGCAACCTGGAAGAAAACCACCACTCGCGATTCCTGTGGGTGCAGTGCTGCTGCTTGTTCATAGGACGCCTAGTGAAACATGGGCCACCGCCCCGTTTGAGAATTATAGGGTAGCGGATAAGTTGGGAGATGTTTTTCTAAACAATCAACATCGGGTTCCAAGCAATGTTTAGTTACACATAGATTCCTACTCTCTTTTCTTTTGGTCAGCGACTCCATCGTACTCATGCTTCTATTATTGAATTTCCCTGCTAGCAGTACCGCCATAGTAGTAGTGGTAGTAGTAGTAGTAGTAGTAGTAGTATAGATGTATAGATGTGGCCGTCCTCTGATTGGACAGCGGTAGCCGCTGCGCGTTCTAAACATAACTCAGGATGAAGACCGATGAACCGTCAACTAACGCCTGCTCCACTGCAAAGCACTGAACAATCTCGGGAGTTCTGCCAACACACCTGGGCTGCTCAACATGCTCCGATTAGGACGCACTAAAACACGCATCCTCGCTGCTCGACTAGTCTATGGCCGTTTCAACCTCAACGCTGTGGATCCGGAGCCACAGGCCGGACGCAACCAAAGCGCCGACGATGGCCAGGCGAATCGACCAGACGTAATGCATGGTACTCCTCTGATCATGTCCTGATAACACACGCTACGCGCCCAGTCGGCCATTTATATCCACCCCTACTCCATCTCTCTTCACTCTTTCGCTTGATCGTAATTTTGTTTTTTTGTCACTCTCTGTTTCACGTCTCTCAATAGGTTGCTTTCATATAAAAGTCAGCGCCTGGAGGAAGACTTTCGTTCCTTTTCCCTCAGACTTGTTGTTCCTGCATTTATCCTTACCCAACCTTAGTCAATCGTTATATAGCTACCCATATCCACTGAACACTGAAGAAAAGAGACTCAACAATTATCTCTCACAATGAAGGCATCCTTCCTTCTCCCGCTCCTGGTGAGCGGCTCTGCTCTGGCTGGCGTGGTTCATAAGCGTCAAAAGCCCTCGACTACTCCATGCACCACCGCCACAGGTACTCCCAGTGTCCCTGCGGTCAGTATTCCTAGCAATCCCCAGTCTCAGAAACCAACAACGACAACATGCACAACCGGTACCGATATTCCAGGACATGAGAGTCACAGTTTCACGCTCCCCAGCGTCACAATTGTCACTGTCGGCTCTTCATCTCCCAGCGTGCCCAGTGTGACTGTCCCTCAAATCACCGTCATTCCAGGTTCCAGTGTACCTGTTGGCCCGAACCCTTCTACCTCTGCTCCAGCAATCCCTTCATCGAATGTCCCAGGCGGCATAGTCACCAAGACAACCACCTACACTACTACTACCTGCCCAGGTGAGTGTTCTACATGACCCTTTTCAAGTTATATGGTTAACAGTATCAGTGCGTACTACGACTATTACCTCTGGTACTAGTGTTATTACGCAAGCTATTACAGGTACCAGCACCATTGTTGTGACAGCAACTGTCACCTGCACCAAGGACGTCTGCAAACCACCTTCTGCTACTATTTCTGTTCCTGTTGTTGCTCCCACAAGCACTCCTGAGGTTATCGTTACCAAGACTTCCACCTATACTACTACTACCTGCCCGGGTAAGCCCTAATCAAGAACTGCTATGAATATTCTGCTAATAGAAGAAGTCTCCACAACAACTTTTACCTCGGGAACCGCCGTTATCACCCAGCCAATCACTGGAACCAGCACTATTGTAGTGACTGAAACAGTTACCTGCACGAAAGAGGTCTGCAAGCCACACACTGCTACAGCTACTGATACTGCGACTGCTCCTCCTACCAGCGTCGCCCCTACCGGTGTTTCCCCTACAAGTGTTGCTCCTACTGGTGTTGCCTCCAGCTCTGCTCCTGTTCCTGTTGACACCACTACAACCCTTACCAATGTTGCGCCGACCACTGTACCTGCTGTCGGAACGACTACCACACCTGAGGTCGTTGTCACTAAGACGTCGACGTATACCACCACCACCTGCCCAGGTACGTCCAACCACACGGAGTAGAAAAACGTGTTGCTAATAGAAGAAGTTCACACTACAACATTTACTTCTGGGACAAGCATCATCACTCAGCCAATTACTGGAACCAGTACTATTGTAGTCACTGCCACGGTGACCTGCACAAAGGATGTCTGCCAACCGCATACAACTACGGTTCCTGCTACGACTGAAACTGTTCCTCCTCCAACTAGCGTCGCACCTACGACGGTTCCCACCAGTGTCACTCCTACTAGTGTTGTGCCTTCAAGTGCTGTTCCCACGACTGTCATTCCAACTACGGTCATTCCAACTACTGCTGTCCCCACAAACGTTGCTCCCACTACTGCCCCTGTTGGTGAAACTATAACCACTCCAGATGTTGTTATCACTAGAACGCATACATACACTACGACCACTTGCCCAGGTAAGCCGCTTTCGCTTTAGAAGGCAACATTTCTTGACTGATTCTCAAATAGTCCATACTACGACTTTCACTTCCGGCACCAACACAATCACTCAGCCAATCACTGGCACAAGCATAATTGTTGTGACTGCTACCGAGACTTGCACCAAGGAGGTCTGCCAACCGCATACAACTACGGTTCCTGCTACAACTGAAACTGTCCCCATTCCCGTCACTAGCACGGGGGTTGCTACAACTGCTCCTAATTCCGTCACGGTCCCTGTCCCTGTATCCAGTACTGGTGTTCCAACTGCTCCGAACTCAGCCCCCCCTTCTGATACCGGTGTTGCCCCCACTTCAGTTGCTCCTACCTCTGTTGTTGTCTCTCCCCCAGGGACCACTACAGTTCCCGAAGGAGTTACGACTAAGACAAGGACGTATACAACAACTACTTGCCCAGGTCAGTTATGTAGCTTTTAATCCAAATTTGAGCCTCCACTAATTCAATAAAGTTGGTACCACTACTTTCATTTCTGGAACAAACACTATCACTCAACCTGTGACCGGTACAAGCACAATTGTTGTGACAGACACCGTGACCTGCACCAAGGACGTTTGCCAGCCACACACGGTTCCTGCGACCACTCTTGTTGCTCCTACTACCGTACCGACTCCAGTAGTGGTGACTGTCACCTACGAAACTACAACATGTCCAGGTATGGTTTATCATTTGAGAAAAACCCCGTTTCATGGTTTTCTAACAATCATACAGTCAGTCACATTACTACCACTAGCGGTACCTCAACTATCACTATCCCGGTCACCGGAACCAGCACAATTACTGTGACTGCTGTGACTACATCGATCCCTGCTCCTGCTGAGACTACCGTGGTCTCATCCGCTGGTCCAACAACAGTAGTTGTACCCCCTCCTGCCGGCGCCTCTACCATCGTTCCCCCAGCTGGCGCTACTACTGTTGTCGTGCCTCCACCTGTTGGTGTGACGACAGCAGTCACTTCTGTTGGCGCCACCACCATCGTCCCCCCAGCTGGCGCTACTACTGTTGTCGTGCCTCCACCTGTTGGTGTGACGACAGCAGTTACTTCTGTTGGCGCCACCACCATCGCTCCAGCTGGGCAGTCATTTACTTCTTCTCCTTCGATCAGGCCTACGCCTTCTTCTAGTATCGCCATTCCGGGCAGACCCGGTTCGACCAGTATTAACCCAAGCATCCCTGCCTTTACCGGCGCTGCCTCGGCCGTTAGAGTAGGCAACACTGGCCTGATCGCCGGCGCCCTTGCTGTTCTCGCATTTTTCTAATGTGAATTCGACATAAAATCAGCGAAAGTTTCCTTCTGCATTTCGCTACGACATATATATGTATCAATATATATTTTCTTCTGTCCTTGTTTGTGTATAGTGCGCAAGATCGCTAGCTGACGCTATTTTTTACTTAATTGTCTATGTCATCGAATTTGATATGACTGTTCAAGTACCGGCCATCATAATGTCATATTGTCTTATCTTATAATGATGAGAACAATTAATTGGCAAGGTCTGAACACCAATATTTGATAATTTTGACAACTAATATACACCTATTATCATATTCCTTTTGGTTAGAGCCCTTCAGATTTGTTTTAGTTAACCCTGGTTGTTATCATTTTCTGCAAGAGTGGAGTTCTTTCGATAGTTCTTAAATATAATTGCTGAACAGACTTTCCTAATAACTCTTCGCTTTTATAATACATTTTTAAAATTCCGGTATTTGAAATTGGTCAAAGTTAGCGACTTAACTGATTATCTCCAGTGGCTCTATCACATGGTAGATATTACAGCAAGCATAAATATGTCGGTGTGACTATTGATTTCATGATCAATTGAAATTCTCTACGTGTAAATACACTCCTTGTAACCCGCTCCCTTTGTTCACGGCCAAATCATCGCATGCTTGAACCACGGCAGACCGCACTGATACCGATAGCCCCAACGGTCCGCAAACAGCTACAGCTGCCTCGCCCTGCGCCTCACAAATCACTTTCCTCATCAAGGTGTCAAAAGAAGGACGCCCGGAAAATAAGTTTGCACAAGGAAGAATAACATCTTGGTTCGAACATATTCGGTTTGAGGTTGCGGCTTTTTCATCAGTGTGGCCTCTGTTGATTTGAATGTCAATGCTGGTTGACCTCGTGTTGCAGCATTGACACTCATCTTCACATTGACAGCCAGATTTGAGTTTCTCTGCGGATCGCGACGAGGACTCACCAGCGACAAGATCGTCACAGGTGATGTAGATGCTAATATGAGTTTCAATGCCAGCTTCTTGTAGCTTTTTAAAGGACATTGTAAGTTCCTCGGCAATCCATGAAAGCCACGTTTTCTTTTTAATGATCCATGTGAAATAAACTGTTTGCAGTGGGAGTTTCTGACGACTCGCACGACCTGCTATGTCCAGCAGATTTGATAGCGTGAATGTCACACCTGAAGCGCCAGCAATTAGAACCAAGGTATCAAAGCAGACCAAATCTGATTGGGAGCTATGATATGGTCCATCGATGAATGCAAGATAGGATGGGAGCTGTTGGGTTTCAGGGGAAGCCTGGCTGTCGTCATTTCCAGCAGCAGCAGCCTCAAGAATACGTTTAGTGAACCCCCCATACGATCGTAGAACAAAAACAAGATCTCCATCATGAGACCCCGAAGATGACAGAATAGTTGCCGGATGCGACTGCACAATACCAAAGTGAGGAATAAATAAACGAACATATGAGCCTGCTTTCCACTTTTTGATCCGCCTATTCGAAATACGGATTTTAGTTGCGCCGCCTTCTAAAGCCATGAGACTTGCTCGTCCAGTCTGGAAGAAATTATTGAATGCATTGCGCAAGAAACGGACCAAATGGGCGAAGAGATATAGACCGACGCTGATATAGATGTAGTTCGTGGAATACGGCGACGAAGTTCCGTAGAGATGGTATGCAATTGCAATGATGAATCCGAAGTAAGTGAGCAGATGCTGTATGACAAAAAGCTCGTAGGCCATGGCTCGGAATGGTGCAAGCGTGGTAAGATTCATCCACAAAAGAATCGCGTATGCCGCCATACCCGTGGGTGGGCAGGCATCAGTATCCCATTCCAATACCATTAAGCCATAGATATTCCATGCATGGCTTTGAAAAGCGAAGTGGAAAGTCGCCAGAAGCAACAAACCACGCGCAACCCATCGGTGATATACATTTAATCTTTCATATGACACATTACACAGGAAGCTGATCAAGTTCATTTTACTAGAGAGTAAAACGAGTAATGGCACTTGAGCCGCTGCTAACCATCCAGCGCGAATACCTAGGGCTTGGTAGTGTTGAGCACCGGGGATATTGTTATTGGTGAAAACGAGAACTAGTATGAAGGCGAAATACGCGATTATTATGTAGATGCTGCCAAATATAGGAAGTTTTATCCACCAAGAGGCTCTTAACGGAGTGAATTGGAGATATGAGGATTCGCGGAGTACTGCGATTGCAGCAGCGAGGGATTTTGTTAGGAAATTGGCTGGCTTTGCCGGACATGCCCTTTTGGACGAACATGCCCTGATTCTGCAGTTTTCTCATAACGTTAGATATAAAATGAAAAGGATGAACTAACTATCTGAGGATTTATGGGTATTTAGTTACCTCATCTTAAGAACCGCGGTTTGGATCATGTTGCATATAGTCGCGATTCCAATCGCTACCGCGACTCCGTACCAGAAATACCGCGCATACTGATTACCAGTTACACCGAGTACAGAGTCATCCAGAATATCCTGCAGGAAATCAAGAGCCTGGGTTTCGTTGGAGAAGTCGACACCGGAAGATGTCAATGGATCTGACGAGGTCGAATCACTACCCATACCCATATCCATTTTGCCGTATAGTTAACCAAAGGCGAACGAGACTAGTGAAGAAAAAGGGAATGAATGAGATAAAAGTAGGGTTTCACGTTGACTTATGAAGAAAGAGAGAATCCGTCGACCACCCGACTCTCGAGACGTGGTTTTCCCACTAGAAGGAGGCGATAATGATTGAACAACAAATTGAATTATAAGATCAATTAATTATTACTTTGAACAACATTTGATAGCCAATGCCACGCGTCAACTGCTGTCCCGTTTTTGCTTGCTCCGCCAATAAGCATTTTATGATTTCCATGATATCCGCTCAAATCTTCTCATCCGTGCGCATGTAGCGCCGGCTTTAAACCTAGAAAGCATCATAACTGATTTTGGTGTCCAATGAGAGCAGCTCTCCATCGAATAGAGGATAGACAAGCTTCTTTTTAGCGAATCAAGGTGGGGATGAAAAGCTTGTTTGAGCAGGAAATACCAGACCAATCGTATTAGTGGATCCGTGATTCCCGGCCCAGCTCGGCTCTAAGGAATGTTGTGTTGTTTAAGGTGCGAAAATAAATACCAGAGAGACCTTCTATTTTGTCTGTTTATTATTTGCCTCACAGTCGAACACACTCATAATTCAGAACACAATGCTGACATCATCGACAGCGACAGTGGCGTCGATGACCATGTCAAGCAGTATGTCAATGTCCACCTCGGCAATGAGTTTCAACACGAACAACCTGGAAACTCTGCTTTTTTCGACTTCATGGGTCCCGATAACAACGGGTCAGTACGTGGGCTCATGGTTCTTCACCTTCTTCCTGGCAGTGATCTGGCGGGCCTTGGTTTTTGTGCAGAAAAGACTCGATCATTACTGGATTCGGAAACATTCCACTCAATATGTCGGTAATGACTCTCTCGGAAATATACCGGTGGCGTTCAGCCACACTAGATCAGTTCAAGATTGGAGACTGTCTGTTAATCTGCCACGTGCGATACTGGCATATGTTGTTCAGTCTATCGCATACCTCTTGTAAGATCGAACTTCGCGTTCAATTGATGTTCAGACCATACTGATAAGGCCTATAGAATGATTCTGGTCATGACAATGAATGTAGGGTTGTTTTTTGCAGTTACGATTGGGTTTTTCTTTGGGGAGCTATTTTTTGGACGGCCAGACTTCATGAATTTGCGTAGTGGGTGATCTGTCCGATGGCAATGTTGACAAAGCAATAGGTGTACATAAATCTACATCATAATGTGATATGTATGATTTCAACTACATTGGATTCCCTCAGTGCGTAGGTAGCATAGCTAGGTAATTATATGAAGAAGAATAAGTAATCGATACCTTTGTTGTATTTGGTTTCCGATCTCAGCAATGTGTATGACAGTTATGCAGTCAAAACTTCTCCGAAACTGACCTCATTGTTTTAAGATAGGCCGACAACCTCATAGTTCTAGTTACGAGTTGAATTGGCACTCTGAGCAAGTACTTCTTTCGTACCATTCGCTGAGGTAATAACACTGTTGTATTGCAGCAGGCGAATATCTTGCCCGCAACCCGCTTGCAAACCCGACACAGATTGATAATTCAATCCAGCAGTACCACTGAAGCTGCCAATTTTCTCACTATTACTCTATATCTCAATCGTGCATCCGTCAGAGGGTAAAATGACGGCAAAATTAACATTGTCTAGCCCTTACTGATAATTTTTCATGGTATTCGAGCTAATGTACGTACCAGAATGTACCAACAGGACTGCTACCATCAGGTTTCATTTGAGAAATACCAGTGCAGTTGTGCTTGAATGCAGTTATGAGTGGCCGAATTACTTTTTGCCATCCGTTATGATCGAAGCCGTCCGCGTAGTTACCCACTTGTCCCAGAGATCTGATCTTGCCAGAAGCCACCAACGTAGTGCGACTCACCTGCGTCATTCCAGGTAATAACTTAGACAAAATCAGGCTGCAACAATGAGATTCGCTCCATGCGTTCTGGTAGGTTTCTTTCGCCCGCCCGGTACCAGTCATCACCGGAACCTAAGTATTTGAACTGAAATGTAGATAGTGCCGGTTTTTTCAGTTTCCTAGCATAGCGCATATTGTGGGGTAAACAATTTGATGCTGCGAAGGCTTACGCATCATATAATCCTTGCCAGTTTCATATGCATCTTGTATCAGAAAGGAATCCGCACTATCGCTGACGTTTAAAACAGTAGTTCCTGCTGTGGCCATGCAGTCTCCCAACTAAATGCTCCACCGATGGCGGTGAATTCATCAAAAAGACCCTATAGGATACTCACTCTAATCACCACAGTCTGGAATGAAGCATAAGTTTACCCCTTTAGCTTGGAGCGGCTGGAGAAACGAGGAATTCCAGTTTGCGTTACTAGTAGTACCGCCATCATACGTGCTAGCCCAAGGTCTGCCATCATCGGTGGTGTAATATTGAGAGTGGTTACTGAATTGCAAAAGAAAATTAGGAAGCCCAGATATATCGAGATTCCAGGACATGTCAAATGAAAGAGACATTTTGAAGACGATCCAGAGGCAACATCGAGGAGGTAGGTGATTGCGTTGGTATTCCATGTATCAGAGCTAATAGTATGAATTTTGAGGGCAAACCTATCGAAACCGGCTGCGATTGCGTCTTTCACATCTTTGCGGGCTTCACCTGAATTCATATTCTCAACTTACATTATTAGAATGGGAAATTTGTCAGAGTCTCAATACTTGTTGGATATTTGCATACCATATAGTGCGCAAAAACCGCCTGTCAGGACTAGGAGAGAAAGAATTGTTCTTGGCGTCATGTTGACTGTTGTATCTATCATATATGTTTCCCATATCTTCTGGGCTTTTTGTGTGTTTGATCTATGACTACACATATTTAAAAGTAAATGGATCCTTTATATACGGTGGTTTTTACCAAACAACCCGCTTTTCATTTAAAATTAGAACTAAAACCGGACCATTTGGGTTTCAGTGCGGTTTTGGTTTGGTCCGAACCGAACCAAATGACTGTCTACTCCAATACGATAGCTCTAATAAAATAAAAAGATTAAGAATTTTTATGATGTAACTTATTGGAGGCCTCTATTACGTAATAAAGAGGTAATAGGACGGTATCTAGGAACCAAATAAGAGCATATGTTTTTGATCATGACGACGGAGCTTTGACAGCAGACACGGTTGTATCAATGTGTGCCATCTTCATTTAATCCCTCACATGCTTGTTATAGGCCCACATTTCGATGATTATGTTTGTTTAACATGGATGGATGCGCAGACTAGTGTAATATTAGACAACATACAATATATAATGTTAGTATAATGCGTGGTGAAACAGCGGGGAAATGTCAAACTTTGTGAGTTCAAATGGTACTTTGGCTATTGAAAGCCAAGGCCACTGTTACATCTCTCTCTCCTCAAGACTATTTACCTTATTTTTATTTTTCATGTATTCAACCCCAGCAATCTTCCTCCACCATTTCACACGCAATTAGTTCGTTCCTTCAATCTACATCGACCATACAGTCCAATTGCTCGCATGATTCCGCAAAGCAGAAAAGTCCTCCGTATCCTATTCTGAGAAGTCGCTTGAGCATCCTGTTATCCCATCAAAATAGCACTGCCATGTCTCCTTGACCAATTAGTTTGTCCTATAGGCACCAAGAAAGTGTCTGCTTTGATAAAATGTATCTAAGAATAGCCAGGATATCCTCGCGAGAGAACAGAAGCATGTTGCTAGGGCAAGTTTTTTTCGCCTAGGGGAATAGCATAGAGCTAGCTTTGCTGAAGTGGCGGTGGAATAGGAAAAGTTCCGGGTCTGATCCTAGAACCTAGCTCGTGAAACATTTGAAATACTGGGCGTTGTGAAACATTGAGAATACCGATGGGGCTAGGAGGATCTATTTTGTTTCTTACCTATGTATACTATTGATTGACAGAAACCGACGCATGTCAATCCACTCATGTCAGAAAACTTGGGGCATTTTCGCCCGAGATTTATGCCAGAAAATTGCACACGGTTCCCCCGCCATGTTGTATACTGGTCTCGCGGGGTCTTGAAGAAGGATATGCTTAGGACACAGAAATGAGATTTAGGACATAATCGTGGGATGTGTGAGACTTTTTAATTTGTCACATGAAGGGGAAATGACAAATAAGCTAGTATATGTATATTACCATACAAGCAGAGTCTATTGAATTTGAACCTTTTGACGAGGCGGATAAAGCCCTTGCCGCCGCATTTGTTGATTACTAATGGACGCGCCTTTCGGCTACAAGCCCTTCGATTTGGGTCCTCGGTATATATAATATCACAGCTCTTCCAAAAAAACAGCTTTCTAAAGAAGGATCGGCTTTTTGTTTGCCAAATATATTTTTACATTTTGATACACGTGTAATAGCTTTCTCTCAGGAGAAAAACTTCAGACGAAGTATAGGACCCAACAGCCGGATGTGTTCATCTTGACTCACCATTAAGGCTTGACGTTACTTTGACGGATCAAACATTACCTAGAGAAAAGACTACAAAAATGGTGGCAACTCTTCTTTCTATAATTCCTGATCAAGGACTTATAGAATTCTCCATCAAAACCGATTCTGGCTCTACTATTGCCGGATACTCACGCGGAATCCAAAATGGTTCTATTAGTAGCAAATCGCCTCTTTTGATTCTTCTCCATGGATATCCAGAAACGTAGGTTGAGCTTTCTGACTATATAGACACATAATTCTAACGTTATATCTGTAGGAACTTTATGTAAGTGAAGAAACTCCTGGTGTTTCTTGTAATTATCAGAGGTAGAGTTGACCAATAAAAATTTCCTACTGATAGGTGGCGTCATGTATGTTCGGGTCGCAACTTTACCTCTGATCCCAGGCTAATAAATCTGTATCCAGGTAATTCGACTTCTTCCCAAATCGATCCCATTGTTTGTTCCTGATATTCCCGGCTATGGCGCTAGTACACCTGTATCCGGTAATACATCGGCATCCCACACGAAACGCGCGGTCGGAAAGGCCATTATATCTGGACTATCCGTGCTGCTATCTGTTAGCATCAATGCCCCAGTACCAATAATTCTTGTTGGCCATGATCGCGGTGCAAGAATTGCGCATCATCTAGCCATTGATGCACCGACTTACGCTGACAAATTCAATCTTGTAGGCGTCAGTTTGCTTGACATTGTTCCCACCACTGTACAATGGCAAGGAATGGCCAACCCCACTGAAGGCAGTGGCTTCTTCCACTGGCCGTTCCTGGCAAACGTTGACTTGGCAAACGAAATGATTCAAGCGCTAGGAGGTGACGTCTTCGTGCGACGAATGTTTGATCGCTGGCGGGGCACGCTGGCTCCAGCTTGTGCCGAAAAATTGGCTCAGGACGGCGCGTATGAGGTCTATGAAACATCTTTCCGGGCGGAAAGTGTGATCCGTGCTAGTAACCTAGACTATGCGGCTGGTGCACGAGAGGATATCGTCGAGCAAAAGGCTGACCAAGCAGAAGGAAGGAAAATTGGCGTGCCTGCTTTGATTTTATACTCAGCCACTGGCCTGGGAAAACGGTTTGATGTTCCAAGAACTTGGAGAGACTGGGTTTATGAGCCGGACAAAAATCTTACCCAGAAGGGAGTTGGTGGTGGAGCAGGTCATTTCTTCGCCGAGGAAAATCCACATGAAACAGTGCGCTATCTATTGTCGTGGTTTGAGTTATTGGGAATCTATGTTTGATGCCTGTGCATCAATTATTGTAATGTCTTGCTGAAACACTAGCTTGTTCAAACTATACATTGTTGTCCACATTCTGCACGTAAGTGATTCTTTTAAAGGAAAACAATGGGTATTTCTGTGGTGATAAGTATGTTTAGTCAAAAATAAAGGCCATGGGCGAAATTACTTCGGGAAGTATCTCAGTCAAGGTGAGTTAAACATTGAAAATGAATGTGCGCAGCTGTCGATCCAAGAGATGATTTCTCATGACCTGTTCAATATACTGCCTAAACTAGCCACAGACGAGAGTAATTGGAAGCGATCGGTCAGCCGAGTCAACGAGCTACGAGTCCCTTTTGAAATCGAAGAATTTTCAACGCCACAATCTCCCATACAGGTTAGCAAAGCCATCTGTACTTGAAAGCTTTTTGGAATAGGTCGCTAGGATCTCCCAGTTGCCGCCATGCTGCTTGCTTTGGAACCGCGCCAGAAGAACAACAAGGATATTCTTGAAGGGTTCGCAAAGGCATTCTCAGGTAAATCTTTCTCCTAACACTCCATCTTCATTTAGACTTCACGTCAGTGACTAAATTTTATTTTAAGAAAGAAAGCGACATTAAAAAAATACTCATTGATATCAGTCAAAATCGATTCGTGGCAACTTCCGGAGGTAAGCAGTTCCAGCAGTTAATGAAGGACATTCACCAGCACTCCACAGTGGTGATCTCTCCTTAATGATAGATCGACTTGCGTAAGTATTTTTCGTTTGTTGTTAAACAATACCAGTACATACCGAGCGTGTAATTTTGCTGACGTGAGACCCAGGCTTTCGCATCGACACTTGATTTGCGAACCATCCCATTGAGTCATTTTAATTACAATTTTGGAGTTTATTTAAACATTTTGAAACAGCTTGAAATAGTTTTGTTGATTATAAATCAAGCTGTTTTTCTATTCCATTTCTATACCACTGTAAAGCCCGTACTGTCCAGATGGATATAAATCTTCATGATCTCGATAGCAAACTATACCCGACTTTAGAACATGAATGATATACGAGTCATGTTCAATCATATCAAACCATTCATTATTAATCAAAAATACATATATAATCATCAAGAATATTTAGCAAGGATTCGGGAAACTTGAAGATAATCACCATTTTCGTAATCTATACCCAAAGAGGGAAAAAATCGACCAACCCCCGGCGTTAACTTCTATTTGTTGGCCCGTTTCGGAGAATAGGCATTTTCCCGACCTTTATTTCCTAGGACTAAACTAAGTTACTAAATCCTTCGACTATCCACTTCAATTAGAAAAGGCTCTAGCCGTAATTTAAACGTTATTAATTCCATGTTTTTATTAGTTATAACTATGTGAACTTAATGAGTCAATGATGATGTTCCGCATGCATGGGTCAAAAAGCCAACTGCACACAAACGTATCAGCCAACATTTCCAAGATGTGTTATCTAGAGAATGATGCAAATTCAAATAGAATAAATGTTTTAGAGTATTTATTCTTGCAGTGAGCTCAGCTTGATCTTAGATGATGATGCCACATATTGACATTACCCACTCGTATGAAGAACCACGGCTGTAATTTGGCCAGAGATGTTCCTAATGAATTGGATTAGGTTCCTGTAAAACTAGTAATAAAGCCTTTTAAGACGGGCATTTCTTTACTATTGCGTTGTATGGTAGGTCATTCATGGGTTGATGATATACATTTGTAATATTTTATTCGGTAGAATGCAGATCCGAACTAGAGCATCGTGTTTAGCGTACAGATAGTGAGCTAGTACATATGTAAAATTCGGGTGAATGTGTATCGTTAATTTAGAACTATAAATACAAGGTTAACATCCTTTTCGCTTTCAACTTTAGTTTTCAAGCTCAAGGAGAAAATTATTGATAGTGATCGCTTCTAAGATGCATACCCTACGCACCGCCTTTACCTTCCTGGCAGGGTCATTACTCTTCATACCAACGCTGTCAATCCAGAGCAGTGAACAATTGGGAACATTTCAGTCAAGAACAGCAGCTCCTCTTCCGCCATCGCAAGATCCCTGGTATACAGCACCAGAGCAATCAATCCTCTTCTCTAGCGCACCCGGTACCATTCTACGCATTCGCCCAGACCCATTTCATCTCTACGCCTCCCTCGGCGTAAACATATCTACTGCTAGTTACAATATTCTATACCGTACTACGGATGCCAACAATCTACCTAGTTTCGCGGTAACAACGCTCTTCATCCCGGCCGGTGATACCGAAACATTCCACCCATCACAAGGGAGCCCTAGCTTGCTGTCCTATCAGATACCATATAACTCCCCCTGGGTCGACTCAAGTCCCTCATATACATTGTCCACAAACACCAATAGCACATTTCCAGATATAGTAGCTGGGCTGGCTCAAGGATGGTATGTCTCCGTTCCTGATCATGAGGGTCCAAACGCGACTTTTGCAATAGGCGTGGAAGAAGGACATGCCGTTCTTGACTCACTACGTGCTGTTACGCAGTCTTCGCTTTCTCCTGCAGTGTCAAAAGAGAACGGGTATTCCTCTGATCACAAGCATATTGACTGGAAAATTGGGCTTTGGGGATACTCCGGCGGCTCAATTGCAAGCGAGTTCGCTGCCGAGATTCAAGCATCATATGCTCCGGATATTCAAATTGCCGGCGTTGCCATCGGTGGACTGCCAACTCCGTTAAATGCTGTTTTCGAAGCCGTCAACAAATCGCCCTATGCTGGACTGATTCCATTAGGTCTTTGGGGTGCTGCTAACGCATATCCGTATGTCGGAGATTATCTAACAAGTCGTCTAACGCCAGGGGCGAAAGAAACTGGAGTGTTCACCAAAGCTCGCAATATGAGTGTCTTCGAGGCTTTTTCTGTGTACAACGGCTCTGATATATTTTCATACTTTATTGGTGGAAAGGACGATGTATTATCATCTCCAATAACCACCTTCATCTTCGAGACGCAGTCGACGATGGGAAGGCATGGACTACCGACAATGCCTATTTTTGTGTACAAGGCGGTCGCTGACCTGTTGGCCCCTATCCAATATGTGGATTCTTTGATTGGACAGTACTGTAATTATAGTAATGTGACAGAGGGAAAGGGAGTCAAAATCTTGTACGAGCGAAACACGATCGGTGGCCACGTTGCCGAAGAAATCAATCAAGACGTAAATGCAGTTCGATTTTTAGCCAAGGCACTGAGTGGGAGATTAGGAGCTGGATGGCCGAATGGAAAGGGCCATGGTTGTGTTGTGAGAAATGTTACGGTTGGAAATGACACATCACCGGACTGGTAGATAGACTCCATCTTAGGCAATTTCTTTAGTGCATAGTCAATTGAATGCATTCCATTATTAGAATTGATCATTTCAATACAATTTAACGAAGAATACTAATATCGCCATGCCGGTTACCCCAATCCATTTCCTGTCCCTCCTGGGTCGTCTGCCCTGGGACTCTGTATCTATATCCTAGCTCCTCTGATCGTCTCACTTCATCCATATTAATGATCCAATACTACCCAACAGTGTCACACTCTTACAGGCCAATCAAACCCATTCCCAGTGTGGTAATTCGGTGCATCGAACAACAGGAAGATCCAAATACCAACCAGCCCACCGATACAAACATAACCGTCGTGCCAATTCGTCAATACGTACGGAGCGCAGTTCTCCAATGTCTAACGTCAAATGTATCAGGTCGTAAACAACCATACTCACCATTCCATTACAAAACAATAAGTTGTAGAATAGACGCTAATATCCCAAACTCTTGTAGGTTAACTAGGATTTTTAGCCAGCTTAGACCTCTTTCTAAGCTGGGGTCCCCAGAAATACAACAAATACACCCATGCTACCACAAGAAGAGATACAAATGCCAAAACCGCAAATGACCATTGCGTGCTCAAGTTATCAAACATAACAATCCCTATTGGCAATTAGCAACCAGCCTGATGGTTACGAAAGGGGAACTAAAAAGGGGCGGCATACCAATATGAACACATCCCGCTGCAACCAGAAAGCTGGGGATTAGAAACGCTGCCACTGCGCTTGCGGCTACGTTCGGATAACTGTCAGTGAGATAATTCAGCATACTCAGCCAGAGTATTGGGTCAACGACGTTGAGGAGGCCGCCGGCAATGATTGGCGACCAATAAGACACATTTCCCTTTGATGTGAATGCGAACCAGAACAAGGAGATTGGAAATCCCCAAACAGTGACAAGAGAGACTAAGAACCGGGCTTCAGGTCGTGCAACTCCACCATTATTTCGCCTGTCACGGGTATAAAATACTGTCTGGATTGGGACGAAGATCACAAACATGATGACGACTCCAACAACGACATTAAGGTATGTAAGGTCTGCTCCGATTATTCTGTGAGATATTAGTAAACTATCAGCAACGTAAATAATTTGACTGAATACCATACGAGAGGTCATTATTAACGACAAAAACGTCGAAAATTCCGTCCAGATACAAGAACAATAGTCCATAGATAAAGCCATTAAACAAGCCTAGAAATGTAACGATAGGCTCGGTGAACATGATTCGGAAAGTCATTGTCGTTACAAATCGTATTTCTTTGAAAATGTCGACTTTCGACTGGGCGATCATCTTCTCGGCCGCAGACGAAGCTAATTGAGCTTCTTGTTCTTCTTGCGTATCGTGTTTCTGAGTACCCTGGGCAGCGCGAGCAATCACCACTCGAGGAAGTGTCTCAGGCACGCAGGCCATGCCGGCTGAGAATGCTCCAGCGAGTATAACGCTTTGCAGTTTAGCTCCGAGTCTATGATCAGCGAAAAGATGATTGTAATTACTAACTTGATCCAAAAAACCCAATTCAACCCCATATGTGGATTGTCAGCAATCCACTCTCCAATGACGCTACCAATACTAGGCCCTGTATTTGCAGACATGACGAATAACCCCATGGGCTGACCGGCATTATCGGCATTGCCAAATAGATCTGTGATTGTGCCCGCGACATTACATAGCGCCGTGCTTCCTGCTACCCCGGAAAAGAACATGAATATAATCACCATGGGTAGGTTTAAGGCCAGAGAACAGCCCTATTTACTCCGTAAATACAATGGCCAATTATAGCAGAATCAAGATAGCGCGGACTTACGATCTGGCATAATCCATAGACAAAGATACTTGCCACATAAACCCATTTCCTTCCCCCAATATCACTCAGTGGCCCTAAGAAAGACGGCCCAACAGCCGTACCTACAATGAATAGCGATTGTCCCAATGCAATGACCTGGGTTGAGCCGCCAAATTTGGCTTGCAGCGGCGTTTCCGCGCTGATGTACGAAGACGACAGAAGCGCGATCGCAGTCTGCAGTGCACAGTACACAATTGTGATAAACCATTTCTTCCATACTGGCCAGTGGATAGGATGATGCGTTTCGGCAGTGGTGACAAGATCGAGGACACCCAGAGGTGATGAGGCTCCTGCCAATGTTAACGCCGGTAAGGCCTCTTGCGAAGAAGGGTTATCCCTGGAATCATCGTCGGTAGGGATGATGGCCTTTTCCATGGTGAAGCTTCAAACAAGGTAGATCAATCAAATACGAGGGCAGTGAAATCCTTCGGGAGCAGTTTGTGTTTCAATTTTCAATAGTCCATGCGGCTATCAGGAAGATCAGCTGGTTTGCTTCACACGCGAATACAAATGCCAGTCCAGGTTATTAAACCGTCGCCCGTCGAGAAAACCCCAAGTCGCACGAAGTACCAATTAAAGATCGCGCCTCTATATTCTCCATAAATTCAGAATGAAGATGATTAAACAAAAAAAAAAGGACATCTGAAATTTTTCTCCCATCAAATGTCAAAATTTCGTGGATCGGGGGCTCCACATGTGACGCCAATCATTTATTTGCCTGCAGAAGTAATTACCAATTTTGCATTCCGGCCGTTACCGGATTGGGACCCACTATTAATCGATCACAATGCTACCACTGTATATCATGCAGTTCTTATCTATCGGCAACTAAGGCAAATAAAGCCTGGTGTTGATTCGCTGGTTCTCATTGGTGATAAATTGACTCGTGATAAGAGTTGACTGAGTCACACGAAGCCAAGTTTATATTTCTCCGTGAGGAAAACCGGTTTATACGGATTTAACATAGAAAGATCTCACTGAATATGTGATAGCCTACCTATGTCCGTACGCACCTCCAAAGGATTCTTTCGTGGACAAAGACAGGCAGTAGTGACAAGATCAATTTCATTTTAAACATCACCGCTTGTACACCTTGCACAAGGGGTGCTCAGCAATAGGCTAGCGCCTTCACAGGCTTTCTAATACGCCGAAACTGTCCTGCGCCATACGGAGATCGAAGCTTAAAATTGAAATTGAAGAGACAAAGGTCAAGAAATTTGAACAGTATCGACCGTATTTTTTCCCACTAAATTAGTCGGTTGATCGTGGTGGTTATCCAGCCTTTAATCGATCAGTCAAATAACTGCATATCGACATTTAAGACGCGGGAATGACCAAATAGAAATTTCAAGATGTAAGAAAGCGATAATTAAAGTTAGAATACACTGTCGTTTCGCGTTTCGTTCAATCAATTGGGTATTATATTTTTGCCCATACTCCAGAAGCAAAGAAAAATATGTATGCAAATGTATATATCAGAGAGAGAGAGAATAAATGATCAACATGCCGATTCTTCCATTCGTCTGGAGGTTTTGCTTTGTTGATGTGATCGTTGCTGCTGCTGTTGTTGGTGGCGGTGATGCTCGACCTGGGGACGTAGAGTGGCAGCCTTATTCCACAGCTCCTCCCCACGATCATCACACATGGCACCTAACCATAATACCGATTTGATGACATTTTTGACATCGTCCCAGGAAGAAAGCTTCGTGACAGCAGCGACTTGGCTCAAAGTGGCGGCAAACCATGTCGTTGTTTCGGGCTGAGTGGAAGCAATGCCGCCAACCACCAACACCCAAAGAAGATATTCGGGCGAATTCTTCCAGCCTCGCGACTGGTTACACAACGCTTGTCGTAATTTATTCGTCAGCTGGGCATAAGGCGCCATGATTGGTACGAGAGGAAAGATAGTCAGGAGACAGTAGATGACGGTGGCTAGCCGGAGGGCCTCGTACGCTGGACTAGTGTCCGCAATTTCAAGGTCATCAGCAGAATCCAAAGATAAGGCCCTATGTTGGATCCAATTCCGGCGATCAGCCATTACTGGCGCGTCTGATCCGGCAAAAGAACCGGCAAAAATGCCCTGCATGTACAACTCGACAACCGCGTTGTAACTATAGATATCTGCAAAAAGGTCGACTAATTCATCAGGGGCTCCGAGGGCAGCTAGCTTGGGAAATTCGCCCCCAGTATACATTCGCAGTAGGTATTGAATGGGCGGTGGCCAGTCGGGCTGGCTACGTGGACCATTCGTTTTGATGATTGGGATAAATGGAAAGAGTGGTTTTCGGAGAAATTTGGATGAAAACATGACTGTAGCTAAAGACATCATTTCGGGTAGACCATGGAGTTCAATTGCATCAATTCCACCTCGTATCTCAAGTAATCGGATTAGTCCCATCACATGAACTTCGTCGTAGTCGAGATAGGAGTATATATTGGCCCACTGCATATCACTTAAAGGCGATCGGTGCGGATTTCGGTCCGGAGCGAAGGCAGCTTCATCGTATCGGCTGTAGCCCATGAGAAAGACGGCCATAAGAAGCTCATCTGTCTTCTGGGCCGTTGAATCTTGCAATGCATGGTTAATGCGGGTGATTGACTCGTTCTCCGCTACCATGATTTGGATCATCTTTTGGCGACGTTCTTTTGACGGCGCTCCACTTTGCATCCGATCCAACACAAACTCATGGCTGAGTGTACCGTATATAAATGCTGATAGCAAAGCCGGACTGCGCATAGCCGAGGCCAACCAGACATCAGATACATTCGGGTCGTGGGTATTCGCGGCAGATGGCAACATTTTTGCCATAACCACAGAGGCCGCTATTCATCGTTAGTATGTCATCTGTATCATATCACATCCGCCTAGGGTGGTGGTACTGACAATATTTAAAGGTCCGTCTAACGATCTCCTCGGGGACTTCGGTTCCGAAGCTGGTAAATATCGGACTTCTCAAACCATTGTTTAGTCCTGACATCAAATCTTGGCGGCGGCCTGTTCTTCGGCGGGTGTTTAAAACCACAGGGGCATTCTCATTCATTCGCACACCAAGAGCTTTTCGTCCTACGCGCTCTTCTTCCTTCTTCACTTGTGATGGCTCCTCTACATCGTCATCTGCTTCCTCTATCCGTGAATTCGCCTCGGATTTTATCGCAGGATCGTTTTTTTGTGGACCAGGTATCTCATATGGCTGAGTTCTACCACCCTTCTCCCTAGATGGGCCAGCCTTGCGGCGTTTCCAAATGTAGCGACCGGCGTTAGCACGGATGAGCGTGCGACTCGAAGAGCTCTCCGTCTGGGAGGAAGGATCAACGGTGATGAAATTAAAACCCCCAGGACTAGAAGCGGGTGTAGGGACGGGCGAAGAACCAGGTGACTGCGTAGATGTTTTTTTGGTGCCGTTATGATTTCTGCTCCTGTTGCTGTTGTTGGTGCTGCTGGTTCTCTTCGGGCTCGGTTTGAATGCGACGGGGTGATCCATTTTTCATCATGGAATGAGATGATAATGATTGGAAAAAAAATGACGTTGTTTAGAGTAGTAGGGCCGCCATGAGCAGCGGGTGGCGGGGAGTTATAGAATCATTGACTGGTAGCATTTGAGATCGACTAAAACAAGCACTGTAGAGAGTGACACGAAGGACGGGTTATAAGGAAATGTTCATGTTGGAGAAGGCCGATAGAGACTAGGAGAAGGAAGTGAATGGGCCGGGCGTCCGCAACGCCGTTATAGCTAGCGATGGCCGTTGGTGGGAGGGCAGGAGCAATCGCCGTGCGGTGCATGCCACAATAATGGGCAGACGGGAAGGAAAGTAATGGAGGTTGGACATCGCGTTAGGACTGGAGCTTGGGACCCCGGTCCGCGGGTGGCAGGCCAATAATTGGCCCTTCTATCTCAAAAGTGGGGCTTCCCGCGCTGGTCCGGGCCCTCACTGGCTACTGGGGACCAATCAAGAAGTGGTCCACCTCCGTAGTCAGGGAACCAGACCTACGATTACACTATCAACGGAGCCCACTAATGATGGGCGCTAGTTGATAGCGGGCCCCATCAGGTCTGCTTGTCGAATGAACCTTCGTACCTGCTATGTACCTGCTATTATGTCCGCCGTAAGATGTGATGTGATGTCGGTGAGTCTAGAGTACCACATATGTGTCCTGTCTCGCTTCCACGGCGGTCGTGTCAAATCTTTATACGCTCATTCCATGTTACTTTTATTTTCATCGCAAATGTGCACATGCACACTTGTCAAGTACGAAACTCAACAAGGATATCATTAAGGTTATCCTAAGCCAAGACAAGGTGCGCCTAGCAACCAATGAAGCATAGTTCAACTGTTCCCACTGAATCCCAGGCGGGAAGCCTTTTTCGGCGGATATTTGTTTTCTCTTGCTTTTGTCTGGCCTCTGTTTTTTAACTGTTTTCGTGCTATTGGCTGTTGCCCTTTTACTGTTATGGGTTTAGACTTACTTTGTTTTCCCTTCTCCTTTTTCTTTTTCCTTTTTCCTTTTCCTCTTTCCCTCTCCTGCGTGTGGCACACTAGATCCGACTGAGCTGGTCCGAAAAAGAAAAAAAGAGTCCTAAACCACCTTCTTGGCCAACTACAAGACAAGAGCGAAGGACCTAGAAGGAGTTGTTGATCAGTAATCGTTGAACGATACTAATGTGGGCTTAATGCTGCTACCTACTGCGTACTAACTTAGCTAGTAATTACCGTATACACCAGAACGTTTAGATCCGCCGATGTGTACCATCAAATAAATACGCTGCATCTGTTAAACATTACATACTAAAATCATCCCTGCTCAAAACACTCCAAAAAATATGTACGAAGAAATAAAAGTTACCATTGGTTCCGCCTTACGGGCGAAGCGTGGCAACCAACTTCCAGGCACATTTAAAAGACTAAATTCTTCTCGATGATGGGGCTAATCTCTGATGATCTGATCGATCGTAAACATTATTGTTGTATTCATCCACTGTCTATGTAGAGTACGTACTACGGAGTCCCGAGTAGTGAGCCACTCCGATGCCCATCTAAAATTCTCAATTCATACGGTCCAATTCAAAGTTTTATGAATATAACCCTAGAAGCAAACATCGCTCTCTTTTTACTCATCCAGATGAATAGTTAACCTGTTGTTTCTATTGGAGTTTATAAATGAAGAATTAAAAAGGAAAGAAAAGCTAAAAAAAGATTCGTGGTAGACACAGACAGGATGTGCCTGGATCCACGTGATTCACCAGGAAAGTCGCAGCAAATTTACGTTATAACTATTCATCAACACTACTATTGAAGCCTGCGAAGTAGAAAAACCAGTTATACAATTTGATAGTGGCGGAGTCTTTTTCATTAGCCCAAGAATAAGCACGCTACAAAATCACCAGCCCTTACTTGAAATATTGTACTATACTTAAGCCTTTTGTACGAGAACAGGAATTATATCTATTCTTTCAAATAACTGCATCGAGAGTGTATTATTAAAATATGCACTTCATAAAATGCATCTCCATCATATCACCACCCACATCGCGACAACATCCGGACGTCGGACTTAAGTTCCAATGGTTTGGGATGATAAAAGACAAAATTCCCCGTCGCCAATGAAAACTCGATAAGTCCATGCAGGTTCATATATTATTTATTCGTTCTCATATTTCTACATTCCACATCAGGTAAGAGATTGATAACTCTTATTAAATTATTGGCTCAATCGTCAGTCTCCCCATGAAACAATATTAGATTACTTTGATGCGTATTCTGATCTTACATTACGAGAGTCAATGGCGAATTTGGACTCAATCTCGCTGCTATTACAAATAGCAGATGAGTACAACAATTGCATATTTGAGCTGGCATGAGGTACTTCTCTGTATGTCACCATGTTACCATCTGCATCAATTGATACAACGAATTCACTTCATCGGAATCAATTCATGTATACACGCATTTATTAAAACCGATATCTTCGTACAGGACATTGCATTGACCAACTTTTAATTATAGCCCTACATAGTTATAGAAAACTAGATTCTCATATACGCATCATGACACAGGATTAAGATGATTCTAAAATACTATGGTGTTATAATGGATTCGGTAAGTCATAGTCATTGCCTCCTTACGACAGTCTTCCTAGGGGATGTTACTCATAATCTCTTCAACATGAGTCCCCTTTTCCATTCATCAAACATGCTCCAAGAACCTTTCCAATTCTCCTCTTCCCTTTTTAACATTATCACATACTCTTCCCCGACTATTTCTGCATTTACCTCCTCAAATCCGTAGTTCTGATAAAAACCCCCTTTTCCTACTATCATTTTCAACCGTCTTGAGCAATAACTTTGCGATCCCACGTCTTTGGTAAGATGAATGAACAGAGCATTCTGCGATATATAAATGTTTTGCTTCTTTGTGTCTGCTAAATTCGTCGTCATGATGGGTGCATATTGGCCTCGCGGCGAGGAATGCCACAGGCCTGGTGTTGAAACTTGAATCATGGCATGTAGCTACCCAGAGGTAGTTTGACGAAAGAAATAATTGAAGTTCACCAGTAGAGAGAGGAGGATCAGAAGCGATGAAGGACAGCGCGGGAATTGAGTTGAAAAGTTTAGACGCCGATTTCTCAATAGCCGGGAGTAAGGGAATGTCCTCCTGCGTTGCTGGTCGAATTATAACAGAATTCTCGTTAGATGCTTCCATTATCATGCTATACCTATCTGTGAAATTTTAGCATAGAGAGATGTTTCATGGATGAAGAAAGGCTGGTGGGATGGCTTTGTTCGGTATGTGGGGTTCTATATTAAGTTTTTGTTCCGTCAGTTATTACTCATAATGAGCAAGTCAGTATATTGGCATTCTTGGAAGAGGAAAATCTATACTTTCAATGTTGATGATGGCATGGAGTATCGATATCGATTCACAAGCTGTCAATATTATTAACATAAATTATTAACATAATATATGAATTTCATTTAAAGTATATGAGTATCAATAAATTAATTGATGCACAGCCCTACTAATACCATATGGGGCCCCCATTGAAAAACAACGCACTCACCTTACGCAAACTTGCTTTTGGATCACTCTCGAGAGAGTGAACACGTGTATTACTCTAATTCTAAAATTTACGATTACCACAAACACATTTCATAGCTTCCGGATAAATATATAATATAAATAAAGTCGATGAAAAATACACCCATTCATTGAGGTTGGCCTGATATTTAACAGAAATGGTGTAAAAACGAAAATATGGATATCCTGACTATAAATGCAGGTAGACATAATTTATCATTACCTCGACAGCTGTGCTACGACCTATCAGGATCAATTCCATCGCGGAATGTCGCTCGAGAGAGAACCTAATACCTCGAGGAGAGTATTAGGTAACTAACGGTCAAAGTCAATAAACTACTTTTCTAGACAATTACAAAGCTTAAACACGCCAATCTCCACTTTATTTGCCCTTAGAGGCCCTTTGTGGGCATCAACTATCAAATCATCTTGAATGGTTGGTTGCTTTCAGCCGAGGAAAAACATCCCTCTTTGCTTCGGCGGGGATCAGTCCAATTTTGACAGGACAGTGCCTCTTCATGGCTCAATGGAAATCCGTGATTGGTGGAAAGTCGATATTCTTCGGCTCGAGACAAGGCCAACTATGGCGTGGTTTACCTCATCGATGCATGCCCTAGAACTATCTTAGCCTATTTTATACCGACGCTGTCTCTTCCACGTGTGTAAATATCGGGTCGTGCTCTCCACATCCCCGGACTTCTGCTGTGGAGTTCGCTTCATCGTGAACGGTCTCACCCCGCACCAGGGGTGGTCTAGACTCCATGAGGGATATCTCCATGGAAGCTCTTGGCAATTTACCAAATTAGCACGAAAAGGTTCAAAGTTTCATGTTTGATATTAGGCTATATCAATTTTGACAGGCTAAATGCTATTATGGTTGCATCATATATAAACATGGTGACTTCGCACCATTGCTCGTTCGTGATATGAAACCATTAGGGCTATTGTTATGGTGTTTTGTGATCGAATTATGATCATATAGCTCTATAGCGGTCTGTATAAGCTAATACACGGTGCAAAATGACCTCCGAAATTAACGTTGAAAAATCTGCTGCAACGCACTTGGAAGACACCCTTGGAAGCGGTGCTATTATCGAAGCAAAACGTGCCTCCGACGAGGAACACTCGCAAACCCTATGGCAGGCAATAAATGCCAATCGAAAAGCTGTCGCCTGGTCCATGCTTATATCATTGTCCATTGTTATGGAAGGTTATGATGTTGTGCTAATTGGAAATTTCTTCGCCTACCCCCAATTTACCCATATGTATGGGCAAGATTACGGCGGTAAGACTGGGTGGCAGATTTCTACACCATGGCAATCTGGTTTAAACATGTCCAGTACAATTGGAACAATTTTTGGTTCGTCTTTTCATCCTTGCCTTTGTATGAACCGCGGAAAATAGTCATTCGAAGCTGATGGATTCGCTATATATAGGAGGATTACTGAATGGATATATGACATCTCGCGTTGGATATCGCTGGGTTATGATTACATCCCTTGCAGCTCTGAATGCTCTGTTGTTTATTGTATTTTTTGCTCCTTCCCTTGGCGTTTTGGTCGCCGGCGAAATGCTTTGTGGGTTCACCTGGGGTGTGTTTGCCATAGTTGGTCCCTCCTACGCATCGGAAGTTTGCCCGACAAATCTACGTGGCTATCTTACCATTTATGTGAATCTCTGTTGGGCAATTGGCCAGTTCATTGCCGCCGGTGTCCTGGAAGGATTGATCCATAGGAACGACGAATGGGCATACCGTATTCCTTTTGCTCTGCAATGGATCTGGCCTCTTCCCCTGATGGTGGTTTGCTTTTTCGCTCCGGAGTCACCCTGGTACCTAGTGCGCAAGGACCGACTTGAAGCTGCAAAACACTCCCTCCGACGCCTCGGCGGAAACAAAACTGAAGACCAAATAAATGGCCAGCTGGCTATGCTGGTGCACACAATCAAAATCGAATCGGAGTTGGAAAAAGGTTCAAGTTACCTCGACTGTTTTCGAGGAACGGATCTACGACGGACAGAGATATGCTGTCTCGCCTTTGTTGGACAGATTTTATCTGGCAGCACATTCGCTTATTCTCCGAGTTACTTTTTCACAACTGCCGGAATGAGTACAGATCATGCGTATCAACTGAGCCTTGGTGATACTGCAATTGCCTTTGTGGGTACAATTTGCTCCTGGTGGCTGATCACGCACTTTGGTAGAAGAATCATTTACTTAACCGGACAAGGAGTTCTGTTTGTCGTGCTATTTCTTATTGGCATAATCAATTCCTCAACGAGCGCGAATAGCGCTGTCTGGGCGCAAGCTGGCCTATGTATCTTCTGGTTGTTGGTATATTCGCTGACTGTCGGCCCTATCGCATATGCTATCGTCTCCGAAACATCTTCTATCCGTCTACGGAGTATGACTGTATCATTGGCACGTGTTTCATACCAAGTTATCAACGTCGTCAGCCAGGTATTGGAGCCATACTTTATGAACCCAACAGCATGGAATGCATCTGGCAAGACAGGATTTTTCTGGGGTTGTACGGCTCTTTTTACATTCATCTGGGCATACTTTCGCTTGCCGGAGGCCAAAGGGCGGACATATGAGGAACTGGATATTTTGTTTGCGAGGAAGGTTAGCGCTAGAAAGTTTGCGAGTGAGCATGTGGATGCGTATGGGGCCCAGGGAATTGAACTGGAAAAGGAGGAGAAGTAGAATGAAAGATAGCTTGTTATGCTTCTATTCAAGTATGTGTGAATCATTTATCAACTTTTAAGCAATTATTAAAAGAAAGCCACTATCTTCATATAATGGCTACCTTCTAATAACCGAATCTATCTGATTAACAAATTTGGTATGATATAACAAAATTATCCACCCGGTTGCTGTTGTAAAGAATTCCACCAATGCTCACGACGAAATTTTCGTACCAAATTGTTTAAGTTGAAGAGACTGGGTTCCGGAATAGCTATGCCTCAATGAGACAACGGCGCGCCACTGGCGATACAAGTAGATACATATTCATTACCATGTCTTCATCGCACATTCCCTCTCGAATCGATACTTTTGCATTTGGAAACGTGCGGAAGAATAATGTGGCTCCTAGGAGTAATTCCATCCAGGCGAGATGCATGCCGATACAGACTAATCCGTTTTGTATACGTATTAATTGGTTTTCTCCTCGAAGTAAAGAATACCATTGGTAAGGGAAGTAAAAGACTCACTGCGACTACCACCCCCAAATGGCATGAATCCATGTTTCATGTCTTTGGTTGGGTTCTCCCACCGAGCAGGATTGAAGCTGAAAAAAAAACAACTTGTTAATTCCTCTCTACTAGGTCTGAGGTCTTGAAATAATCACCTTTCAGCGATAGGAAAGAGGTCAGGGTCACGATGAAGAGTATATGCCTGGGTTGATACCGTCGTGCCTCCTGGAATCTGGTATCCAGCTAATTTGGCACCTTCGGGTGGGACTTTACGAGGCAAAGCGCTTGGCACGGCTGAATGGATTCGCAGGGCCTCATTAATGACCTATTAATTTAAGTGTTAGGACGTCGGTATAGCATAGTGGAGAAATATTCTTTGATACTATAGTTTACCTGGTTTAGATATGGAAGGTCGCGAACGTGTTCTTCCGAGAAATCTTCCGGTAATGCTTTCACCTCCTCCACCAACTTATCTCTGATCGACGGATTCTTACAAACAGACCAGACAAGATAAGTCAATGTAATTGCAGTCGTGTCACTGCCGGCAACGATGTAACCGCATGCTTCTTGTATGATCTCAAGTTCAGTGAGACCGTCAGGTCCCCCCTTGAGAATGTTGGTAAACAATGTTTTTCTAGTGCTTACACCGCTCTCGAGCATGGTCTTGTATCGGCCAATTGCCTGTCGGGCATGCATGAATATACGTTGCCCCCCAGCTTGAACCTCCTTGAAAATTGGCAAAGGGATGAGTTGGGCATATGGTAATAGCGTCGGAAACGTTGTTCGGATGGCCATGAAAAATGACTGATTTTGAAGGGCCTTCACAAATTGCGTTTCCTTTTTTTTATATGCCGTCAGGTATTATTGTCTTCTTCCTTTTTTGAACCGGATTTTGTTTGGAGAGATTGACTCACTTGACCTTGTTCCAACGTCTTGAAAGACTCTCCGAAACTCAATTCAGCAATCACATCGGAGGCCATAAAAGTCCACCATTTGAATACATCAATAACCCCACGGTTCTTTTTCTCCTCAGCCATTCGCTGTATGGCCAACCGAACACGCTTCATAACGTCAGGCTCCAACTGGGCTAGATTGTTACGAGTCATGCCGGCTGATAAAAGCTTCCGACGAATCGCATGACGATGAGGATCAGTCGTGTTAAAGAGAGTCTTTCCGCCGCGATGCCCGATGTTATCGTAGAATTCCGACTTGAGAAATCGCCCACCAACTCGATGGATCTCCTTGGCCGCACTGGCGTCGGAGATGGCAAGCTCGGTTGGACTGACTCGAACGATAGGGCCTGTCACGAGAGCACAGTTAGCATAGATTGCGACGCCATATTTTCGTCTAGAAGAAGAACGGGAATAGCACCATATTTTTTATGCAGACGGTGCACATATCGAGGTTTGTTCCCTGATAAGAATTGGTATTTCTCATAGAGACCGGTGTACTTTGAAATCCATGGCCCTGGATAGCCTGACAAGGGATTCAAATATGCACGGATAACCAAGTTCTTACCAAAACTCTGTCAGCTATAACAAAGATTTTGATGTGCGTTGATAGAAAATTAACACGAACCAATGCGAGGAACACGACCGCGCCAGCGATGGAAATGGCCGTCGGCGACGCGTTTTTCAGTATCTCTATTGTAGATCTTATCATGTTGGGCTTGCTGTGCAGATTATTGACAACTTCCGTTATGACAATACCAAGAGAAAAGAGAAGGGACTCGTGTAGAAAAACGAGGCTAAGTGATATACCCTTGAATTTAGGCGCGAAGATTGCAAGGATTTTTACAGCGTTGGTACCCAGTCAGTGCCGCACTAAAAACGAGGCATCTACGGAGTATGTAGTTCCTGGTTCTTTTTTATCTTCTTTTCTTTTTTCGGACTAATTACAGTCTGTACCATCTCAACAAGCTTGGAATGTGAGTATGGATAGTTTCACCGGGGATGTGCTGATCATTACCACTTTGGCAGTAACTCATCTAATAAATCACATATTTCAGCACCCAAACAACCACCATTGTTTGACACGTCTGGAACAGCTGCAGGGATCAAAAAATTTATTTTTGCATTAGCGCAAGCTTGTTTTTATGAAAATCAAAGCTTAGCTACTTCCGGTGGGGGGTTTCGTTGATCGAAATTTGATGCCGAAGCCGAATTATGCGTAGAACAAGTCATTTGATCACTGGGTGATGGTGAATAAAACCTACTTATGTCAGAAAGCAATACATATACGGAGAATGCCTGTCTGATCCTGCGTAATGTATTCTTATCTTTAATTGCATTTACTTTGTTCTTTGTTGTTTCTGCGGGAAATTGATTTCCCCGGAATTTATTTCCCCTCATCCCAAACAGTAACTCCGGACGAGTCCGGGTTCCATACGAAGGGGAAAGTGGAAATTACATGTTTGCCCTTTGTGTGCCGGTGTATCGTTGGTATAATTATACCAGCTGCTGCTAAACTTCTTAAGCGGGCGGACTGCGACCCATGACAATACTGTTATATACATTAACTATACCTCGCGTTTTACTATGACTCTAGCGACATCTAATAAATATATATATTTAACATTTGAATATCTACCAGTTAATTATCCAACAGGAATAATCGTCGAGGTCTGAGAAGACAACAAACTTTTACAAGTCCCTATGACTAATATTGAACATCTCGACCTACAAAGAAGCAAAAAACAATCGACAAACAAGCACTGTTAGTGCTCATGCTACAAAAGAAATTCAATACCGCTCTCAGATATTGGACCTTTCATTTGGGAAATGTTCAACGAAATCTGAAGTTGGCAATGTTAACTGATTTTCATACTATGTTCATTTATATCAATTGATGTTAAATAGCGAATATTTTTGGGCCATTGACTATGGACGGCATAAACTTCCTTAAATTATTGGATTCCGGTAGCAGGGACTGACTATAGAGCAAGATTACTACTGCATCAAGTCCTACGAAGAAGCCTAGATTCTAAAAACGTCTAACAATATCACACTCATCACTTGATCCATTCACCGCACCAATTGTCCTTACCTGGTAATGGAGCTAAACATTGCCACGTGACCCCCCTACCCTCTGGGCCGATAATCTCGTTTACGCAACGACGGTCGTAGAGCTGCAAACGCATAAAATGTGTATCTGATCGGCCTTGTGATAAGTTTAAATTAGTATTGATCTAGTCTAGAAAGATCTCTACGTTCGCCTCGGCATATCTCATGGCTGTAGTATAGCCATATAGCCCTTCCTGCTTTGCTTAATTCAGTAACATACGACTTACGTTGCTTTTTAAATTATTATGTGAATTTGTGGCTTCAAAATGCTCCGTCTTGTTTAAAATCTAACTGCAGGTGGAAGAAAAAACCGGTCTCCTAAACTTTGTTGCACAGACAATTCCAAGACAGGCGATCTATGAACTACAGTAACACAGTCCCTTGTCCTCTGTACAAAATGGATGCCCGTCGTTGCAACATGTCATAAGACTACATGGCTCAGGGCACTCCCAACATTGCACTAATTTGTAAATTCGAGTTAGCATGCTCTTGTTTGATGGAGTGTACAAGAAGACGTTATAGAACGTAGTACATTCAAACTTTGGGGGATATAACGGGGGAAAAGAAACCCACACTTATTAAGAATGTATTGCTGACTTTCCGCATCCGCAACACCTTCAGAAACAATATTTGAACTGTCTTTTTCAGAATCTCAGTTTGACCCATCTAACAGGACGGATAGGGCTACTCACCTGGAAAGGACAAAACAACCTGGCAGATTGCTAAGGCTAGAAAGAGGAAGGAATGGTGGATTTTAGATATCATATCGAACAGTCATTCGTTCTCCATTTGTCTTTAATACACCATCGGTATGGAAAGAATGATCAATAGGAGGTGGGGGAACAGTTGGCAATCGATGTTGAAAGAGACTGGAAATTGAAAATGTTGTTTGCGCCGCACAAAGCTTATTCTGCTAAGATGGCACGGCTGGGGCGTCTTGCGGGAAGGATTCGTCAGCTATGACGCGTTGGCTAATAGAATGCAGGCGCTGGGAATTATTATGGCCGGACGTTTCAATTGGACGGGTGAATAAATGAATGAATCGTAATGGTGTTATTTTACCTTGTAGTGTTTTTATCATTCATCGTTACTCTCCATAAGGAGTAAAGAGTTAAGCATCGCGATAATTCTTGATGAAAGATGCTAACATGAACTTCGGAAATCTGACAGGATTCGATCGTCGATCCTAATTAATCTTTCAAATGTTGATAAGAATTGCGGATTGAGGTGGGCACTAGAGTGACGATCTATTCCTTTGCGATATGATCACGCGTGCAACGTTACCCAATCCGACAATAAAATATATGCGTTGAATAAAGTGGTGTGGAAGAAATGTTCATGATTCAATGATTCATCGTCCCTGTTCAATCCTATTATTCTTGCCTGATTTTTATTTTATCAAAATTTCATCATGCATTTTCAATCACTGAGTTTCAAATAACGAAACTTCCAGTGACTGGCGGCAAGAGATAGAGTTGAGAGCTCTCGCATTTCCTGATATCCTTATGGTAAAAGGCTAAGCTTTTCTATATCAGATGTTAAACCTATTGGAACTCAAACAGACTTCGAATTCGGCTTTGACCTTGCACCGGCGACGCACATCAGCCATGCTTCTAACCCCACCCTGGCCAATCACTGATCCCTTTATAAGTAAACTGACTTGCCGTAGGTCTGTTGAGTTAGATATCGATGTCTATAGTATGTTGAAGTTTGAAGGCAATACATACATAATGGGAAGCATTGTATTTTACATTCCGTTCATTTTTTTTTCCATTAACTTGAAGATCCATAAGAATCAGCAGTAGGGGAAGTGAATAAATAGAGCATATAATGACGCAATGATTGAAATTTCATGACACACTCACTTCTACATATCGTCGTCGATACACAAGGGAAACATGTCAGGATAAGAACATTGAGACACTAAACCTCCCAGTCATTACACATCGTTCCAGTCATTGAATTAATACCCGAAATTTCCACCTGACATAACATAAAACAGTGCATTCCTCGGCTCCCATTCCCAATGAACGAATACTTTTTCTTGGATGCAACTCCATTATTTTCTGAGTTCTCGCGATGAAGTTATTTTGTATGGCATAAGCGGGTCTCTCCAGTGATCACGTCGTAGAATGTGCTTGGATCTACCAAAGATAAAATTGTAGGTCAATAATGCAAGTACTTATAACTCATAAATATAGTAGAAATGCAGTGCAAGAGTCAAGAAAATTCAGAGAAAAAGAATTCGAAGACATTACCATCAGATCCAGTTCCTGGCAAGCCCCTTGCTGATGCGTCTGTTATAGCCCCATTTACAAGCTCCTCAATCACTCGAATCGTATCGAATCGACCATCGGGTTCTGAGAGTAGTCTCTTATGTGACTCTGATGTGTATTGGTCCTTCAAGTGCGACTTTAGGGTTGAATGTAGGCTGAAGCTGCAATGACATAGCGGGCACGTTGCACGGAGAGTTGTAGCCATGATGACAGCATCTTGGAACGCGATTGCTGATTGATGGCCTTTTTTATTTCTCAGTAGTTCCATCAAGAGACTAGGATCAAAGAGATTAGGAATTCGTGTATGGCAAATAGTCCAATCATCTACATGGGCTTCGTTCAGATTGAGGGCCTCTCGGAAGAAATCATAAAACCCCCTAGGGTCCCGGTTACGGTTTTCACGCAAAATGCGAGAGTGGCCTTCTCCCCCATCTGAGGCGTGACGGTAGAGATCTTCCATCCGAGCGAATCCCTGGTAGCAGTAGAGACAGACACAATTCAAAGACGAGTTGCTTATAATTGACCTTTGAATGTGATACTTATGATCTTGGGCCGAAATCGCATGATGTTCCTGAGACAGAACAACATCGTAGTAGTATCCATGGTGGGGTGGAGCCGAGTTGGGCAAATTTTGAGATGCCGACCAAGGGTCTGTCATCGTACCATTGGACAGTAAAACCCGCTCGATTGGAGGCTAATAGATCTCTTTGCTAACTCGCTTTTCTGAAAATAGAATGCGGGCTACAAGGCAAAGCCCGACCCACGGCGATCAAAAGCAGATGTATAAGGTGGAGTCGAAAGGCAAAACAAACCAAAAAGTCACTGTAAAGAAGTCCAAAAGAATGTAAAAAGGAAAAGGAGGCAAGAATCACATTATGTGCTTATCTGTCGATCTTTGCGCCCTGTTTCTTGCGCCTTCGCTTCCTGTCTCCGTCTTACTTTTTGCCTGAGGTTTCTTGTTTCTTTGTTCCTTGTCAATGATCCATTGTCAGCCTCCAAGGACGCACGCGCCGCGCCCTCTTCGCCAGGGAAGTGACAGACATATAGACAGGGACTGCTTAGTTGCCCCACTTGAGACGACACCCAGAGAGACCCCTCATGGTTCTTTCTATCTCCGTGCGAAATCATTCGATATGACTGCTTGGTTGTTATGTCCGGAAGCATTTTACTGGCTCGGAAACTAGGGGGGATGTTAGTTGCCGCCGAAAAGGGGCGTCAAGGCCTACCACTAGCTTCAGAGCTAAGCATGGATATTTATATTGTCTGTCAGTGGTAGGCGCTACTGATTGGCTCTAATTTGGTTGCAACTGGTCTAATGCAGCTGTCAAGGCGGATCGCATGTGCTGATTGGATTCGGTGATGGACTAGCGCATTCTCCGTGTCTTTCAAAATAGATTTACTAAGGAGTGTGTGGAGTGGATTGGTGTCAAGTGGAAGCGGAAAAAGAAACCAGCCACATCTCTACCTTTTTCTTGTCTTTAAGCGAAGTTGGTTATGAAATTAAGTGACGTGGGACTCTATCTAAAATCCTTGACAACATGTATCAATGAACGCCGCATACTTGATTTACCCGCTGTTGATTTTACCGGCAGTTATGTCTCCACCCTTACGGACGAACATTGTTCGTCGTTGTTTTAAATGGCATGATGGTGACTTTCGCTCACGAGCTCTACTTTCAACCTTTATTCTTTCTATTTACTCTGTTATAACCCATGATCACGTACAGGACTTACTGGTGTCAAAGCACATTGCTATTGATATAAACAGCTATATTAATTGATATTTCAAATGTTGAGTCAACGCCATTTCAGCTTGGAATTTTGAGAAGAGATAAACGTGTGATCATATTGATTAATAATACACCAAAGTGTTTTCTTCTATTATATGGTTTTCGTTTCCCTCCAATCTAAGAGCTCATGTGAACTACATACGTGTGCATCAATTGATCAATTGATATATCTAAAAAATTTAAAGTCTTCTTGATCATTTTCATTATCCAAGGCTTAACAAGTTTTAATGGTTGAAGTGGACATATGATTTGCGACATGTTGAAAGAAATAATATATCGTATATAATATGGTTCTAGGTCTGATTACATTTTGAAATACCAGCTTACTGAATGGGTATAATTATTACCCCGAAATCCTGACAGTCTTGTTACACACCTAATTCTATCTTATTCTGATGAGCTACTCATCAATCTCTTCGTTTCTGCTCTCCTGACTATAGATAAGATAGGAGTTTTCTAGTTAAGTGGAAATACACCATTTAATAAGGGCGCTGGTCCGTATCTTTAACACTCATTCAGGGGCTGGTTATTTAATAAGTACTCATCAGAGTAGTACATATCTTATAATACTTAGTTTATTTCCCATATTTATCTATCAACAATAGATTTCATGTAAAAAGATTTTGAATTCAGATAAGCTATCATCATATGAATTGTATACATGATGAGCTTCAAAAGAAGGGATTTAAGAATAGGTTGATACCGAAAACTTGGTGATGCCACAAACTTGCCAGTATGAAAATATGAGAAAACTGACTGAGGTCATATTAGACAATATGGAATCAAATAAAAAAGGAATTTATCAATATAACCTTAATCCACGCAATTTGCATAGAGTAAAGGGGGAAAACAGAGAAATGACTGGTACCCTGGGTACTCAATAGTTTCAAGAACATTGAAATATTTGTACCTTTGGTTAACAGTTCTCATTTATTGACTTGACTCATTATTTCCGCTGTATGGTTGATGAAATGATGAGGGGGTGAACACCACAGATCAATTGATGATGAGTCAGAGAGAAATTGAACCAAAGGTTTCCAAGTTAACTCAACAGGGGTGAGCGTTCAAATATGGGAAATACTGGTTATTCAAAATGAGTAATTTAAATGAGACTGGCATATAACTCGTTATAGAGGTAGATTGTGCCTAGAATTTGACCTTCGTATTATAACCGGTCTTCCAAAAATTCGGTTAACTAACTAGCTATTGAATTCCCCACATTTGATTCTTATCAGTGAGTTGAAAAATGGTCTAGTATGGTTCCAAAAGTCATGAAGTCTCTTATTGAGTCAGTGATTTTATCCCTGTATATTCTACTTTGATATGCGCAAGGCGTCCTAGTTGGACTAATAACTTTCCATTAAATGGAGTGTTTTCTTTGTCATCCAACATCTGTGCTAGCCCCAGAACTTTTCGTTAGCTTGGGGATAACTTGGGAACTGCCGACTTTCCGAATCAAGCAGTCGGTCCAACGCAATACCAAATGTGGGTCAATTGATTTAAAATAGATTGCATTTGGGTAGAATACTATTTCGAGACTACTTTCTATAATTCATTGTGACTACTCCTCCACGCCATATTTGGAATATACAATCTATCTCTTGTCCATTTGAAAGAATCAGAGGTCAAAGGAACACTAACCATCTAGGTAGTTTGTTCACTACTTGTTAAAACTATTGCTATCATTAAAATATGTGCAGTGCTGATTATGATTGGGAATGTCTTGTCCTACATAGATAGAAAAGTTCTGAGCTAAGCAATATATATGTACGAGTTTTTGAGTTATCAGCATCGGAATTGCTGTTGAGTCAATTGACAGATCGATCTTCATATCTTAGCTGTAGGGTAGTAGTGACTACATGTTAATTTATTGCAGACACACCAATTATATCATCGGTGTAGTTTTACTGCTGAACGAAGAACGACAGGATATAGTATTGAATAAAAATGTGACTATTGAGGGAGCTCTGAGGGAGCTTCCTGCTGTTAAAGACGGTTACACTACATTGTAAATAATCAAACCAATCACATCAGTTTTTACTTTCTTGATTTCAGCGTTAATGGACTTGGGAATAATAGCACTCTTATTATCCACATATAAATGTAGTTATTCTGGATTTCTTGGTTTGCAAACTACGGATACATGTATATACATCATCAACATTGAATAATGATCTTCTCGTCATCTCACAGGTTATGTATATTCATACGGATGCTGCGTGTAACGAAGAAATTCGAAACAATTAGCATCGAGAGCCACAGCTAGTGGGTAATTATCTTAAAACATGCCTTTTATCATTGACCATAATCTATTTTTAATACTTAATATTCGTTCACCCAGCATGGCCAATCTCATAAACCATTTTAGGTTTAGCCTTTCAAGTTTGACTTGTCATTGACCTAGAAAGAGTGCTCTTAGTTTTTTTTCTTCCCAAAAATTAGAGATTATTCTTAATTTTCATTATTTTCCAGCCTGAAAGGAATTTGTTTCTCTGTAGGGTAAACCCTTTAGGGGGGTTTGAGACGGTTATCTAGTGGTGGTGTTCCATCTCAGCGACGTTCGGGAGATGTGCAGAGTATCTTTATAAACAAAAAGTTTTTCCTAAGAGGTCTATAAGAAATCAAATAATAGAATCCCGGTACTTTTTTATCTGCTAAAATTGTTCTGTATCTAAAAGTAATTTTTGTAGAAGAACCTGGAAGAAATAAAGCATGATAGGAACGGTTAAGATACAGCATGAGAATGTTCACATTGACAGCAATGATCCATTAGACTGTAGACAGTCAGCATGAAAAAAAGAGTTGATTCACAGGTGAAAATATTTCATTCCACGGTTGCATATACATGCTTTTGTACTGCATCATACAAGCTATCAGAATTATTGATAATTAATTGATCTGAACAATTTGGATCCCGATTCGAGAGAACCGTATTGTGCGGAAGTTTGAACAGATCCACATTACCAGTATTGTCAGCATAGTCGTCATAATATAAGTACACAGACCGGTGCTTGATCATTTCTTTGATAGATAAAGATGCTGTGGCTAAGAGGCTGTTTCAGAATAGTGATCAGCACTGTCCAAGCGTTTCATCAAGTCAGCTGATGAAATGATTCATTACCCCGCCTCAGAGTCAATCAAAAGCAACCAGATAAATCGGAAACGAGGTGAAAATAGTCTCGGAAAATACAAACAAAAAAGCGGCTCAATTTACCATTGTCGCTCTATCTATCTGCTATTTACGATATAGACAAGAGATATGCGTGGCTTGGAAGAGAGTGGAGACACTCTCAGTCACCTCGGCTACAATGCTAGAGATCGTATAGGCCATGCTTGGCAAGGCTTTGTCGATTTTGCGATGCGAGAAAATGTACTGGAGGTCGCAATTGGTTTAATGTGAGTTTTATCAAATATTCAGTTCCCGCACGAGTTTTCCTTTCTGAGAAAATGGTGAAATAGGATTGGCCAAGCTTTTACCAAGGTTGTTACATCTTTCGTCTCCGATGTGATACTTCCGATAATTTCTTTACTGCCTTTCATTCATCGAAATCTTGATGAGAAATTCGCGGTTCTGAAACAGGGGCCAAATTTTGACTCAGAACGGGGCTACAACACGCTCGACCAGGCCCGTAGTGATGGGGCTCTTGTTATGGCTTACGGGTTTGTCACTTTCCCGGATATCGTAGAAAACCGCAGATATTAATGCTTTTATAGGGCTTTTTTAAATAATATCATTAGTTTTCTTGGCGTGGGCATCGTACTATATGGACTCGCCCATTTCTATGTTTTGATCTCACATGACGGGTCCATGATCAAGAGAATGGTGAAGTGCAAGTATTGCAAGAAGTGGATAAACCGCAAGGTAAGTTTATACCATCTTGTTTATGATTCAATGTTATATAGCGCTTGGGCCGATATCGAGTTGACGACATTGCAGGCACATCGATGTGTAAACTGCTCTAGCTGGCAAGACGGGAGGGAAGAGATTAGACCGTCAAGCTCTGAAAGCGAGGGTAACTAATACTCAAACATCACATTAGAGGTGTTTAGCGAGTAGTTATATGAATAAACATAGATTTCCACGAAATCATATATACTATTGATGACATTTGATAACGTTGACCTTGCTTTTTTTTACCTCTCCGAATTGGCTTTATGGTGCCGAGTAGGATTGGAAATTGTACTCAAGCGTCCCAAATCTGATGGAAACAGGGCCATGTTTTGCCAACTCCGAAGTTGTGTTTTTTTGACCAACGTCAATTCGCCCCCGCGTATATCAGTGTTAAGCCACGTACCTACAGCAATAAGTTATAATAGATTTAAATTGGTATCAATTAGCGGTAGAGTACATCTACATATGCATAAAACAGTCTATCTAGTCGATTTTATATTGACAATTTAGAACCTATATCAATCAAACTGTCATAGCCCAGAGACTCGGCACGTTGATTGGCCTTGATTAAATAACAATACATCTACCGTGATTCTCGTTATTTGGATGGTGTATTCAATGTAGCTATTAGACATCTCATATAATATCTTAATTTGTTTCCTATAGGCACGATGAAGGTTTGCTGAAGCAATGGTATACTTACCCCAAACCGAACAAATCGAGCAGGTTGTCTCAACCCGGAGAAGCCCATGTTATATGTGAGATTCCCATCTTAAACAGGAATTTTGCCGAGTGAAATATGTGTTCACTTTATATACTTTTCCTTTGCCAATAATAGTGTCTAGATAATCCAACGTGTTGGGTACAATTCCGATATTTTTCGGGCTGCCTAGATATCTCAGTACCTATGTGAGTGGTGGAGATAGCTCCGGCATTGGACTGTGGAAATTATGGAGCCAATGTTGGGTATGTAAACAGGCCTGAATCACGACTATCAGCGGCTTGTAAAGACCCTTCGTTGATATCATCGAAATATAAGACCCCGCACGACAACGACTCCTGCATCTAGTGATATCTCCGTTAGTTTCAATATCCCTGTCTAGGTAGAGGTATGGAATAAAAATATCAGTCGGTATCTCGTCTAAATACTACAGCAAGGGATGTGTTGGGCATATTAGGGTTTCATTGTGCATGCACCTCGGACGACGATGTTTTGAAGGAAAGTAACTAGGGATAAACCTGCTCAAGCGTAAATTCAGCATATTCCCGAAATTATGATCAAACCATACCCTCACGGTGCAGACCAGCCAGTTTTGTTAGAGGAGAATTTTAATGTGACACTCACCCAACATGCTAAACAAATTAGAGTTGGATTGTGTACTGTCTCGATCGGGAAAGACCGGCCTGTGCTGGGATTATTTCCCCGCTCCACGCTCCACTAGACCCACTTCATGGCTCAACGTGAGAACTTGATCTCCTTGAATCTGGGCAGTTTTAGCACATACGTACTAATTGTCGTGTATGCGCCGTTTCCATGATAAGCTTTGCCGAGCTTAGGATGCTTTTTTGGCGGTCGCTAGTATTGAATACGTATTGTAAATAATTGGGGCCGGTAAGCATTGTGGAAAGGGTTATTATTGTTATTATTATGACAGGTTAGTTTATAGCAAGCCAGCTAGCTTGGAGAGATAATTTAAACTGCCTAATTGGAGACACCAGTGAGGAAGTAAATGTAAGGTTCAGTTCTTTAAGTTTTGTTTTTCTTCGTCATCATCATCATCATCATCATCATCATCATCATGCAAAAATAACACAGCTTCTATACTAACTAAACAGATGGGTATATCCAACACCAAAAACCATTAAGCAAGTACAAAAAATAATGAGTCTTTCAAGTAATATAAATCATATCATAGCATCTCGCTCATCTATCCAAACCAATTCCGGATGTTGATCCACATCATCAATATGCACCATCTCGGAATTAGGAATGAACTCTCTAATCCCAAGAAGTTCGGTCAACCCGGGTTTTTGTCCAGCAACAAACTTCTCGAAAAGGTCTTGAATATGTGTGTCGTAAAATTGATTATCTCCGGGGATATAACCACGGATGCAAAGAGATTCTAGATTAGGAGGTAAAAGGTCGGCGAGGGGAATGTTGACAGCTTGTTGGACGGAAATGCCACGAGCCATTTCGAACAGGCATTTGACGCCAATACTGAGTCGTCGGAGAGCTGTGAAATCACATAGAGCACCATTTTGGTGAAAGATAAGTTTTACGACGGATTTTTGGTTCATGAATGCCCGTTGGTCCTCAACGTCTTCGTCCATATCATCATTGGTATCATCATCGGAGCCAGGGACAAAGTACTCTGCGAATTCTTCCTCTTCGAGAACACTAGAGTAATCAGAGTCAGTGTCCAGGTCAAGACACTCCAGCGAGTCTCGATGGACTAGAAGGGCTCTGAGAATGGCTGGAAATCCCATATGCCAGTTTCCTGTATCAATAGTGGCACGGCCACCGACGGAGTGAACGAAATGTTGTAGTTGTTTGGAGGATGTTATGACGGAGCATAATAACATAGTTGGAAGCACTGAGTGTAAAAGCTCGATACGCTGGATATTCGATGACAGTGGTAGCAGATCTTCCTGGCCGTCTTCTTCTATTTCCATTCCACCAACGCAAATATGTTCAATTGATGGTAATTGGTCGAATATTGACATGTGGTATAGTAGGTCGTAAGGATTAAAGAGAATCGGGTCATGAATAAGGGCATCGTCTGTATGTAGTAGGTCTATGCGGTGAAGATTTTTAAGAACATGGCCACGGCTGCAAGACGGGCTCCCTGCTCGTAATAAAAACTGCTCCAGGGGCAGATGTGCAAAGCCATCCTTCATATATCGCCCAATCGGACGAAGTTTTATCGACTCTAAATTCGGGGAGACGGACACGAGAATCGCTGCGAGGGCTTGGATCATATGTGAACCGCGAGTATGTCGACCACCTCTGACTCGAGATCTGTTTTGAGTTGATTAATACGTGTATAGAAGCAAAAGAGAAAGGAATATGGTAGGTACTAACGATTGAAATCCATGTGAAAAATCCAAATCAAAGTGTTTTTGTAAAAGCATATTTAGCACTAGCTCTTTCTCCACTCCGTACCACCCGGCATTCAGGACAGCTGACTGCAAAAGCATCCTATCTTGTTCGGATACGAAGCGCTGGCTCGGTGTTGGCTTGTACTGACCATGGTAAGAGGTATCTCGAAGAATATCAATATGACGGATATACATGCCCAGCTCCGGTTGCCGCAGGATAGACAACAGTAACGAAAAGGCCTGGTCGCAATCTTGTTCTGATCGTAGTCGAACCGTTCGTGGTACGTTAATTGGGTCGATGTCAGGCACGATATTTGTCATGGCCTCAATATTCATGACAGTATCGAGGGGTAGGAGCTTGCTTGTGGAAAGGGCGGCCATGGTGGACACGCGGTAAAAAAGAGGGATATTCATGTCGAGGTCCATTTGTGAATTGGGACCGCCTCGTTATGAGGCGTGTCCAGATAGTGCGTACTGTTATTTGTAGCCGTCGTCGTTTTGACAGCAAAGTTGTAGGTCTTCTTTTTTCGATGTTATTAATTATGCCCTTCGTGGGAAATTCGTTGTGGGACGAGAAGACGATGTCGGGGAGTTAATAGTCATCGGCATGCCAATTTTGGCACTTTGGTAGTAGTAAAAGTAGCAGACCAGCCGTGAAATACTGTCGACAAAATCAAGAAAGCTCAACGTAGATGAGAAACTTTCAAGTGGCACTCGGCTGTTATATTTGATAGTCTCAATGTCAATAACCCGGATTTTGGATAGAATGCAAATATGATGCCTGGGCGGTTTAATTATAAGAGTTTCGTATAGCTTAGGACGGACAATGGGGGGAAAAGTTTAGAAAGGTTCATGGCCATGGACATTTCCGAAGTAGTTCGTCTAACCAACGCAGCTAGACATGCACACAGTCATTGGAGGGGGAGTTCCTGGAGCGTGTAGGGCCTATGTTGGGAATAGAAGCGAAGATGACTGTGTGGACGATTGAATTCTCTGCCTTCCATTTTTTTCTGCAGGCCATTGACCATGCCAATTTTTGACAGTAACGGGTTACATGCATGGGGTTGTTCCGTAGTTGTACAAAACAAAAGCGTATGTCGTCGAGCATGTGGCCCAGTCGGCAGGCAAGCAGATCTGCTGCTTGCTGCTACTGTTGTCTTCCCCACAGGGCGGCGGGTCGGGCTAGCCAAAACACATGAGCAAGTATTTCCCTATTTGAGAAATTCCTAATTTCCTCGCCATTTGTTAGTCGCTCGCTCTATCTCCTTTCATACTTCTCTTAATTATTCCTATGATTGATTAAGGGCATTGCTACCTTGTTGTTTCTGAAACAATCCCTGTCCTTCCACCTCTCCTATTTAGCGCTAGCCTTTGATGCAGTTCTTCCGCCTTTCTTTGACGGGGGATAGAAGCCCCGAGCATTCATCACACCCTCGTACAATTGTTGTTCTCGTTATTTGAATCGGTCATATTAGCACTCTGGACGCTGGCTACCTTAGCAACTAGCACTTGCGGCAGAACGCGGCGCTGCGTGTCAGCAACCATGACTCGTGCTCGACGTTTTCGAGAGCCTCAAGTACTTTCCCAATCTGGTTAATACACAAGCGAATGCATGCCTTGGCGCGGAAAAAATTGGAGTCTGGGTTGGGCTATTCCCCTCCCCGTGGGCGCTGCGATCAGAGGACCAATCAGCAGTGGACGGCTAAAACGCAATCGGCGCAGTCCAGATATGGCCTAGCGAAGTGCTGGGATTGGAGGTTGCGCCACACTACTGACTCCGCTCGTTACGAAGTAGCTAGCCGGATCAGGCTAGCCTGCTTTATTTTTACTGCTTGCCTATTTGGAGCAGTACTGTCTAACATTCCCGCCCCTGCGATTGGCTGATTGTATACATACATTAACATTGATTCTTACTATTATGCATGTCAATGTATATTAATCCCCAGTAGCACCATAATCCTTCTTTAGTCAGTGCTGCTGGTGTCCTTCAGCAGTACAGCGCTGCCTATATAAAGTCAACGCATCCCCCCACGTGGGTGACATCTGTCAGAGGGATCATTGTCTCGAAGGAGCCATCACTATCCTCAGTGTACGAAGCATATGCGTACGTGCATATATCGCCGTACATACCACGTAGTCGTCTCTTGAAACGCGTCGTGTCCCAGCCGAGGCAGCCTGGCGCTTAATGCTGCGCTTCAATAAGCACTGGTGCCAAAGCTGACCGTTGGCTAACCTTTCGCATCGAAGCACTCTTCCAGATGTCATTTTCGTTACAAAAGCTAAATTGGCCAAAACAATTATTTTCAATGATAACGCATAGTCAGTAATACGTAATGCGTGTTCCAGTGCATCTGAATGTTTACTGAAACTTTCCTGATGTCAAATCTCTCATTACTTTGCGCTACACCGCTCACATGGATCGGTTGATCGGCAACTACGCCAGCCGGTAAACCTCTTCCCTCCATCCTTTTTCCTGAGGCAGCGTGTATGACATGGTAAATCCTTGCATTGCGTTCTTAAGAATTGGCATATCTCCTCGCTAAATGACCTGCCACGTCAATTCCACCAAACTTTGCTCCTACGGTATGCAAACACCATGCATGGCGACCCATCATCCCTGTTCCTATCACGATCCCTTTCCCGAACTGCCTTCGAAAACCCCTAATTAGATCTTCCCGATTTGTGGGGTTAATACTGAGGGAGAAGTTTTTCCGCCGGGATATCCCAATAACAATCACTACTCCTGAGCTGAGATATCTCTAAACGGGTAAACTCGGCCGTAGAAGGGTTACATCTGTTACTGGCCACTGACTTCAATTTTGCGACAGTTTTTCATAATATGGACCTGCAAGTATGTATTTCTCTACAATGTTTGCCGATCGTTTTCGGCCATCTTCGGCCAGATCGATCGATCGGCATCGGTCGACAGGGGCCGCAGTGCAGCCGATGCCTCAGGCTTCAAACCTTCCGCATAAAAATAAACATTAGTGTGGGCATTGACCAGATTTGGTGATAGGTTGCAAATAATATAAACGAGACTTCGCTTAAGCATGCAGTTTGCTTGATATTGTTAGAATCGGAAATATTTCCCTTTAACCAACATTGGCGCCAACAGGTCCTTGTTTTTTTCCCACAATAAGCCTAGCTAAAGGTACAATCCAGCCGCCATAACGTCACCCAGACTTACTCCGTATATGAACAACAAAGAACCAGAATCCCCGCACTTCTTTCATTCAGTCGATTAATGGATCGGAATAGAAAGTGGCTGAGCCGTTGTTTCGCCCCTTGGTGCAGGAAGTATTATTCCTTCTTCGAATTTGCTTGTCTATTCGTACATCATTTTGCAAGTTCCGTTTGTTCCGCAGTGTCAAAAGTAAAAGTATATGGGTGATTCAGTCTGCACTGTGCACCCTGCAGCTTACAAACCGAGACACCTCTGTCTTCCCCCACGACCAGTCTGCGCTTTGTCTTCAGCAACGCACTCCGTACTTACCGACCAAGCTGCCTGCTGTTTCCAAGCCCCAGTAATATATGAAAGCAAAATAATCCTTTCGTTTCTTTCGTCGCCTCACCGGTTGGTAGCCAGCGACCCGATGCCTGATAATTCTCCGGGACCGACTACGCACATTACACCCCCTCAGAAAAGGAAACCGCTCCAGCCCGGTTTCAACGACTGCTTTAGGCGGCTGGGCCAAGCCATAATCACAGAATCTTTGACTTTTGTAGATCCATCTCAAACTATAATTTAGTAAATCACATGTCAACTTACACTGCTACAGGAACTAGGAGGCCCAATCTCCTGCTATAAAATTATAAAGATCCAAGCTACACAGGATGCAACCGTCCATTTACTGGACTGCAAACCGACAAGAAAATTAAAGCACTGATAGCTGCCTTCTAGTTAATTGTTTTGATTAGTCTACGGGGTCATTGGGTTCCTTGAACATGGTCATCTATCGCCTAGCATGGTATTTCTTTGTTTTCTTTGTTTCCTTAGTTTCCTCATTTACCGTTTATATTGCCGAAACCAGTGGAGGTGTTGTATTTTATCAAAACATCTATTGCATCCAAGCTTCGTAACAGAATTCCAAATTTTTGCTTGATAATTTATCGATTTCTTTTTCTTCCTGTTCGTACAGCGGGGTTACGAGTAAGGCGCAAAACGGGTGGCAATGAGGTTGACGTATAACAATCGGGCATACTGGTTGAGTTGGTTCGTTTTATTTCCTATTCTTTCCTTTGAGTTATACTGCGACCCTTCGCGTCTCCGTCATTCCGAGGGAGTTCGGTATTGGATTATTTGTACTAAACAGGAAGATCCCAACACATCAATTTAAACCGCACCAACCTTCAAAGAGGTCAACATTCAGGTAAAAGTCTTATCATATTTATGTTTCGGCTAATAAACTACATAGCAACATATCAATATATTGCGTTTAACGGATTTATACATCGCTCCGAGTCTAGCGCGGCTTACAAATCACGAAAATTTTCGAATACCGAATCATGAATCGAGGAGCTGAAAGCACAGGGCGAAAGAAAGAAATTACGATGAATACATGGACTGTAATTTCACAATATGAAAATGGTACTCACATTAGAGACTCTTCTCCCCTTACCGTCTAAGACACAACCAATCTACACATCCCGGCTCTTTCTGCGCCCTTTCAAATGGACCGACTTTGACAATTTTTACAAACTCCGCACTACGCCAGAGGTCATGCAATGGACTAGTCAAGGCCGAATTGATGACTTGGTGGACCAGACAAAGCAGTGGATGAGTTTATTCATCTATGAGAATGATGAAGTTCCGCGTCGGAACTATAACTTTGCTGTGTTTCTAAGAGATGAAAAGTCTGATGTTCGGGATGAGACGCGGTCCGAAGGAGACGAGAAAGAAGGAGATTTTATTGGTGTTTGTGGCCTAGTCTGTTTGACTTCGCCACCCATTTCTCTGCTCCCTAGCTTTGGATACATGTTTGTCCCAGAAGCATGGGGAAAGGGGTATGGCACGGAATCCGTACAGGGATTTAGAGATGCATGGTGGTCAACGATTAGGTCGGGTCTTGACAAATACGACAATTCATCGCTCTCCGCACCTGAAAATGGCCTTGGAACTTTACGTGCGGTCACTTCGAAAAAGAATCAAGCCAGTATCAAAATCTTACAAAAGTCTGGTTGGACTATGGATGACGGGTATGACGATGACAGCCAGAAGGATATTAAATGGGTGTTAAAAACGCCAAAACCTTATGAATAATTCTGGCGGAATATTTTCATTTTTGTTGGTATAATAGACATATAATTTCATTCATTGTGAATATATTCTTCATGAATAACTTATCTGCCTGATTGGTCGAATCGGTGACCCGGTGATTCGGTGAAGTTAGCAACGCCGATGACAACGTATAAATAGCTTATGGTTATGAATTGAATTTATTTCCTATAATATATTGTATTTGGTACTTTCTATATCTATAATAATTGAAAATGGTCACAATTACTATCGATCTAGTTTCCGACCCAATATGCTCTGTGAGCCATCCCCATATATACCTGCCAGGAGAAGGTCTAATCCGATTGATTTTAGTGGTGCTTCATCGCACACCGAACACTTTTAAAAGCCGTACAGCTATATAAAAAAACTGTTCCCAATGGGTCAATGGACAGCTTCAACTTAACCTATCACCCTTACTACCTCCTCGACCCATCAAAACCATCCACAAACAAGCAAGAATTCCAAGACAAAATCATGAGTCGTCAGCGACAAAAACTTACATACAACCGCATCAAGCAGATTGGGCGCTTTCATGGAATAAACTTTAACTTCTTCGAAGGGGAGATTGGCGGCACCAGGGAGACGCATCGTTTGATCCATTTAGCACAGAGCAGGAAGAATTTAGACATTCGAAACGCAGTGGTAGAGGGCATTTTCAAGGCTTACCACGAGAATGCAATGAATGTTTCGGACTGGGAAGTGCTTAAAGGAATTGCAGTTCAAAATGGAATCGGGTGTGAAGAAGTAGACGAATGGGGGGATAGAGATACTGATCTTGGTGGCGATGAGCTTGATCGCGAAGTTGAAAGGATTAGATCAAGTATCTTCAATGATGATTTAGGGATCAGAGTTCAACGCGGCGTACCGGTTGTTATTGTTCAGGGGAAATATAGGATTGACGGTGCACCAGACGTCAGTGAGTTGTTGGATATTTTTTGGAAGATAAAGGATGGTGGAATCGTTGAAGGGGGCGAGACTGGTTTCATGTGCGAAATTGGATCAACACAGTGTTGAATATGGTTCATTTATATTAACAGCGCAAATAATTTGCATTTATACGCCATGATATGGCGTATATCAATCGATCCACAGACACAGTACTTTTCTATATTTAAATTTAAATACGCTTTACCTGAATTTTAATATCGAGATAATGTGACCAGGAACCATATAGAACAATATCTCAGTACTGTGCACAAAGAACAACATCAGCTACCAGGAATCTGAAAATTGGTGTCAACAAGGAGCGCCAAAGGCATTGTTCTAGGGTTACGTACATACCATTAGCCCCAGTCCCCATCGAGTATGACAATGTGAATAACAATCGCATGCTGCATGCTGCCATTTAAAATTTGATTATCAATTCTATATGAACTTACGAAGTTCGGCAGTATGGCGCAGCTCTGGTCCTCAGTGCTTGCCGACAGCCCTGTTACCCATGTCAACCATGTCGTCAAGTTGTAAGAAAAGGATGTAATGGTGGCAATTAGTAGACATTTGGTGCAGCTAAAACATTTTCAAGAACGGATACAATCGAAAACTTCAAATATTGAATATTGAAAATATATGCACCGATGAATAAATGTTGACACGGTCCCATTAACAATTGATCTGCGGCTCGAGTCCAAATGTACGTAAATGTATGCACGAGCAGTATAACATTATCAGACCAATTTCAAATAATTCGGACACTTAATATTTTTCTTTTTTTTTTCTCAAAAAAATCTTCTGTTTACATTTATTGTGGTATATCCATTATTACATCAATCGAGGTGTGGAAGTCAAACGTTATGGCATCACACTTAAAATAAAATGCACCCCACAGTCAACATTTGAACTAGTTCAAAGTTATAGAAGGGTGCTTTATCTACTATATATTTCAATATAGAGTGAAGCCTTTGTTTATCTACACATTTGAGTTAAGAAGATGCTGTAACCCTTTTATATTTTTTACTAGAAGGTTAACAAATGGTTCATGTACATTAGTCCATCATATCTCATGTAAAAGCCTACGAAACCTCAATATGGCAACAGCAACAAATGAATATGTTCTATGTTTTGCTTCAATGATGACACTTGGCTCATGCCTAGTCCATTCGCAATACAATTTGACTGGCCCATAACTGCATCCAACAGTGCGGAAGGCTCAATTCCACCTATAAGTCCCGGATAAGAGTCCTCAAAACTCCAAATTCTGTACGTAGAGGGAAACCCAATTAGTCTCTCAATTAAACCCAATTGAGTTTCAAAGGCCGGGATCATTATAGCGATAGGGGAGTGCCATGAAGTGGAGGTCTCCTGTTGTGACGCTGAAAAATACAGCGAAGACATGCTATTATCAATAGATATACTCTGCCGTAGATAATCCCTGATGACCTTGAGAATGGTATCGAGAAGCCGGATCAGTTCAAGATAAGTAGATAGGAGTAGCAAAATAGTTGATATGGGCAGAGGCTCCTTTGTCGACATGGCCCTTTCGAGCGAACCATCTTTGGGGGCTATTGCTTGCAAAGCCATTGTAAACCTTGACATCAGAAATAATGTATTTCTCAATGGCCCGGGCGATATAGGTGCGGCGGTTGGGTCGATGAAATTCTGGAGTCGTAAGATCCGCATCTGGGTTGGATCCCACGGATACATCACCAAGCCAGCGAATTGTTGTGCAATACCCCCCAGAATTTCTATGAGCAATGTGGTCGGGAAAAAATCGGATGGAGTATTGGGGAAGGATAAGGGTCTGTCTAGGTGGCCGTCAGGAGCGGCTGTATCTGGATCATCTGTGGTCATATCACTCAGACTAGGCAAACGGAGCGATGACAAATCGGCTGGGACCGATAATTTCTCTTCAAATAACAAGGAAGATAGCCCGAATGTCTCTGGTGACAAACCGAACAAGTAATCTGAACTTTGATTACCCGGGGCCTGCGGTAGATGGTCAACGCAATGGGATGGCTGCCCTTTTCGACCACTTCGGTTGTCTTCTTTACTTCTATTTGAAGACAAGTCATTGTAAGTGCTTCTGTAATTGACGGCTGTGTCATCCTTTGGAGGACGTCCTCGGCGCCCGGAATTACCGGTCATGCAAAGCACACCAGCACGAAGACATCGCGTACAAGGTTGATCGGCTGATTGGTCCTTTCGAGGACATCGTAATTTTTGTTCCCGACAACGATTGCATGAACTTCGCTTTATTGGGTACCAATTCATCATACAATGAAATCAAAACCTTGATATTTCTTTGGATCTATAACACGAGCTATGGAGGTTACATTGTTATACTTATATCGTACTAATCCAACACCTTCCGGCTATATGCAATCATTGCCAAAAGGGTCTACAGCTAGCGATATTAGTGCTCAATGGCATACGCGGTTGATAAAGGGCTACTAGTCGATTACGTATTCTGTGGGTGATTCAGGCGTCCCCGCATCCAGCTGCACGTTAATCACCCTTGAAGTGAGTGACGGAATCCTACTCATTCTTGTTGATGGGATTTTGTCGTAACTATAATTAATTAACAGAGAGTGAAAGTCAACTATCGTCTTCGTCTTTCGTCTTTCTTTTTTTTTTCAAGTTCTTTAGGTATGTTAGGGTTAGGGTAGAAATTATATCTTAAGCTGAGTCCAGGGGGTTTGTTTTTGAGAGTTCATAAATTTGCACTCTTCCTTACGGATATGCCTGCTCTCCAACTCTAACTACTTCTCTGAGTATCACCATAGTACAATGGTCAGCATCTTAATGAATTTGCAGCCTTGCGTGGGGCCTCTGGCAGACTAACTTGTGGATATCTTCAAGACCCCCACTCTGTGGCCCCTTTATCGCGAGGCTTTATAATCTGCAAGATACCTAACTAAAATCGAGCACTACCCTACTAATGCTATACGAAGGAATGGTTATTACTTTATTTTCCCTTACGTCAGGGTATTACAGATACGACTAGAACATATTTCACCAACTTTTTTGCCTCAAATTAACATTCGCATTCATCATCTGTACTAGATTCTTTAAATTTCCAATAATTCGATAACTATGAATATCCCATTTATAATTACGTACGTAGGTATTCCAGTTCCTTAGTAGTCAATTGTATATCTGACTGATATGCCCTGGGGGAACTTTGTCAATCATTGTAGATAGGATATCTTCCAAATGAGCACAATACAGTGAGGGGCATTCATTTGAATATACCGCTAAATGTTAGATCTTTACTAGGTTGAAAATTTAAGGAAATCCGTAGGTTGTCAAAATATATGTGGGGAACCCCCAAAAGTTCACGTTATTTTCACGACCTGAGCTAGCCTCTAGATTGAGGATTATCCAACTATTTAGTAGACTGATGTTAGCATAAAAATGCACTATTTTCTACCGTTTTTGGGGTAGTGGGATTTTGTAGCCAGCGACTGACAACCCTGCTTTCCAATTTTTCAACACACCGTTGTACTAATCCGTTAAGTCTATCACGCAATAGCTGCTGATCTAGAATAAACATATGTCATAAAGGCTCTTTGATGTTTCAACGTACGGCGTATATGTAGGTAGTTCCATCGTGGTTCCACTGCTGGGGCGATTTCCCATCTGTTGAAGAGGCCATGGCGCAATGGTTACCTAGTACCTCGTTAAAAACCCGCCATACCATGTGAATCCATTCATTGAATAGTCCTACTCAAAGCAATCATGAATAGAGACGACATTAAGGACCATTTACTTCAGAATTATCCTTCGGATGAAGGTTCAACAATTCCTATATTACATCCAAAAACATACGCTTTTGCAATATGGTGGCCACTAACTATTACGCTCCTGGTCCTGTCGATAGCGATGAATTTGTACCTAACTATTACGGATATTTCTGTTGGTGGCAAGAAAATGTTTCCTGTGGATGAATTGGCTACGCAACGCTCACCGTATAGTAAGCACTATCATTCCGTACAGCCTTTTTGCCTTGCTATTTCCTTCCACATTTCGTTCATCCAACCAGTATCCTATCTAGAAATACTAATAAATTTTTATATAGCTGACTTGAGATACGAGCTTCCAATCGAGTATAAACTAAAGACCGAGTACACGAGTAGCAACATGACCTTGGCCGATCAGATGTGGGAAAGCCTCGATGTCGATTCTGTTCTAATAGCTGTCACCCCAGAGTGGGCAGAGAACAAGGGACTTCCTGATAGCAAACCTTTCTTATGGGATAAAACTAAAAGGGTATATTATATTAAGGTCTTTCATCAACTTCACTGTCTTGTAAGTCAAATTAAATCTCTTGAAAAGAGATTAGCATTTATATAAGGCAGACATTGTTTACTTATTATGAGAAATTCACAACCAGAAAGCAATTCGGAAGACACTGCATGACTTTATATCTACCAATAGCACTCTTGTGCCGCTAAATCACGTCGAACATTGTCTCGATATACTACGGCAAGACCTCATGTGTAAAGCCGATGATACACCTATGATTGCGACGCATGATGGTGCTGGCTCCAACCAGACTATGCAGTGCAAAGATCTATCAAAACTAAGAGCCTGGGTACAGGCTCCAGCACAACATTCTTGCTATCGCCATCTCGATAATTATGTAAACCTATCTCACCCGGATGAGCGATACGCGTTCTGTCCGGAAGATAGCCCGTATTATCCCGCAATGCAAGAATGGTTTAAGAAACATGGTCATCATGATCCATTCCAGGAGTAACCTTTAGGATAGATCTCACAAGCTTAAGGATTGTCAATTGCGGTTTATATACTAATGCTTCATGGGTTCCTCGTTCTAGGTGTCATTTTAATAACTCTGATTATGTTATAATTATATATTACAACAAGTTGATCCATTTCCATAAGCTGGTTTCTTTTTTGCCAATTTATGAGTATAACCTGGGGGTCGTCAAATTTACAGAAATCAAAGGAAAATATGGTGAGGGATAGAGATGTGAATGCATCTACACGCTCATTCATATCTGCTCCTGGGGTACGTGGCTTTGCTGACGGCCAGTGCTGTACTTTAATTGTATCACAAAGAGTCAGATATGGTGCCTAGTCCTGCTGTGTACCATCTGCTATAGTCATGTCACACAATTTAAACTGGTCAAACTATCCAAGGCTAGATACCTCACACTGGACAGTTGTTTTATGTTCTCTAATATTCATTTCCAAAAAAATATAACACACCTTGGCACCATCATGGGAATAGAAATCATCTTCGTATAATGAAGAAGGCTCCTCGAACTACATTTCATACCGTATCTTCATATGCAACAAATCAATGGTGTCCGTGTCCAGGTCTCTCATGGTAGTTGCTCTTTGTCGGCTGCCATTCTAAACCTGATGGTATCTCTAATTCTATCCCCTGACTATTTACCCAGTCCTCCAATCCCATATGGTTGCCATATGGTGTTAGGACACCCTCAGGGCTTTGTTCAATAATCGGTTCCTCAGGATACACAGACCATGGAGTCCTTTGATGGATTGTGTTGGCCTCCTTCCATTCTAAAATCTCTTCGAAATTGCGACACTGCTTGGTTGAAGCAAAATTCAGGTTAAGACCAGGCCAGCCTTCAAACTTTTGACCAATGATGACTTCCATATCTGCATGGCATGTCAGGCTGCGCATGAGAACATAAGTGCAATGTAGCAAATGATCCTCCCATTTAATTGGCGTATACTTCTTGTTCTTTCTCATATCTCCATAGTACTCCGGCCATGCAGTTCTTCGGAGTATATCCAAACAGTGAAGTTGATGAAATACATCTATAACCCCATAATAAACACCTTCTCCAAACTCAGCTTTAGGGGCTGGCCATGTGGCCGCAGGATCATACCCAATGCGGCGCACCTCATCAGCGTTTAGGGCGATGGATTCTGTACTACTTATTCTTTCCCACGCTTTGTCAACTTCTGGCGAAGGTCGTTGCTGGAAGATAGAGGGTTTATTATCTGGCCAATAAATAGTGAAGTTATTATGAACTTCGGATCGATATATATTTAAGCGGTCGTACAAGGGAGCTATTTTCAAGTTAGATTCTGAACTTAGAAACAGAGAAGAGACCCTTACAATATGCACTGATATCCATCTCACTGTATGGAGTCTGCTTAAACATGAATAGTATTACTGTCGTCGTAAGAAAAAGTAACACATTAGCTACCACAATGGCTGAAGCACTAAGGCCTCTGATGTATCCCCATGATCTAATTGTATGATGATCATATTGTGGTGGATAGGGCTCAATATGCTTGCCAGTTAGATACTGGCTTTCGTCCTCATCGCTCGAGTCTCTTTGCTCCGAGGGCCATCGATAAAAACGCCGAGTCCATTTGTGGTATGCAGACGACATGGCCACAAGAAACTGGAATGAAACTAGATAGATTCAATTTGTCTAGGTACAGACTTTAAGAAAGATTGTGAGATACGACAGGGACAAAACATTGGGTTCTCTAGCTGAATAGGCACGTGACACTTCAGCAAGAAAGGTGATCAATTGCCAACTGTGAAGTTTTGGGCGAGGTGAGGCAGATTAATTACTATGACGGGTGGCAGTGAGGTATAAGCATCATACATATAGCCACTACTACACGCATACCAATAATAGTTAAACGTTTTATGCATTACGATCCTTCGCATAAGTGGTAATTTTCTTGCCATTCGATATGCCTTATAATGTTATCCCCACATTGCACCATCTGCGCGAAATATACGTTATTCACCGAATTGCTATACCAATAGCAGCCGTATTTATGTTTGTAATTGGTAATTTTGTATCCATCAGTACGTATTACACCCTTTGTAATCAACTAACATATCTTTCATATTGTACCATCAGGTTGAAATTCACGTTATTCGCCGAACTGCTACACCAATAGGAACAACATATTTATGTATGCACGTTGTATTCTGTATAATTAGTACTTTTTATATCAATCGATACTCTTCCTCATTGCTAGCTACACATCTTGACGCACTCCTTATAGACTTATACTAATAATTGCAACCATCCAACATCCTTCTCATATTACACCATTAAGCTCATCATTACGTTATTCTCCGAATTTATTGATCTGAAGTCTTTGTAGATGCAATCGTTAGGAGTGACATAGTGCGATATTAAACTAGGCTTATAGTATATAAAGGCCGGCAACATCCTAGGTAATCAAAATCATCCAAACAAGCCGTCATCTCAGTCATATCTTCAAAGTACAATATATTTTTACTTCCACAAAAGCCATCATGCGTTTTATCGGAGCCGTTCTTGCCTTATTGGCTGCGTTGCCCATGATCGCGGTCGCAGCCCCAGTCAACGCTGAAGCACGTAACACCGACACTCTCGAGGGTGGCACTGTTGACTGCTAAACTCGCGTCAAGTCTGTCCAGGGTATGAAAATGATTGTGCCTCAAAAAGAAATTGAAGCTAATACGGTTGGACTAGACGAGATTGCCAAATATATGAGTCCCTGGGCGCAGTGTACGGTACTGGAAATCTGCAATGAAGTTTCAAGTATCGCTTTATGTTGGGATGAAGAAAATTCTGGGGAATGGTCAATTTTGTTATACATTCAGTTTCACGCAATGGGGTCATTGATGTTTGTATCTCTGCTTGAATGAGCTCGTCCTTTCTTTTATTACATAGTTCACATTGACAATCAAGAACTGGTCAAATATATGGCTAAGATCTTAAGTGCTACATACGCTGCTGTTAAAATAACTTCTTAGAACGGTTTACACTAGTGTTGGCACTACCATGCTCATCTTTATGAATAGAATTTACAGGGAGTAATTATAAAAAGGAACGAACCATATGTCTTATCTACCTTGGCAATTATTTATCAGTTAGAAGATCGTATCTTCAGTAGTATAGATTATCATTAACATTAGAATAATACAAAAGTTTCCCAGCACTCTGTCATTGAAAGTCTGTATATGTTTGTACGGTACAATATTCTAAGCCAAAAGACCGTTTTTTATGAGAAGATTATTATCACTGATGTCATACCCACATTTTGAATTTCAATAGTTTATGAGTAATTTGTGTATTATAGTGCAAATCTAGGGCTGGCATGACAATGTTCTAATAAATTCTATCTAGGTCATGGTTCCTGCTGTAATACACACCTATTACTTTAGCAAAATCACACGCCCATTCTATTTATATGAGATTTATAAACCCCCAGAAGTATTTCTTATTATCTTCCTACAACTAGTTTAGTACCAGACAAATTCTTCAACTTAGGTGAAGTAATTTGATATCAATCATAGTGAGTAGGAACTATAATTATGGATATCCAATATCTCTGGACTTCTTCAATATATCCCTGGAGATACATATATATTTATCATAATATATTCAGTAATATAGCATTATTACTCGTTTCATTTATTTACACACTCTCCGCTGTACATGGTAACCATCCTGATGTAAATTGTGAAGCTTCATTTCCTATCTCCCCCAATAAGGATGTGAGATTACTTACTATTGCATGTAATCATCTAATCCATTCGAAAAATATAAAGAGATTAGTATAATTCATGTTTTTAGGAAGTAGGCAGTGACAGGCCGTAGTCTTTCAATGTGATATATATGAATCAGACGAATCACCTTTCAGATCTATCTATCGAATCTTCAATATTTTAGAAAAGATTTTATCAATTTGCACAGTTAAGTTAGTTTTGACGTATAGCTCGATACTTTGAAATATATAAATTCGCGAGTCCTAAGACTTCATAGACTCAGTAACTACTGTCGAGGATGAGTCCATAATAAAAATTACTACATATATGTATATATTGCCGTTAGTCCAATAACATCGAGAGAACGAGCATTATAAATCGGAAGCACATCCTCCTTGATTTAGAGATCCCATCTTTTTTATTTTTCCTTATTCTAGCATGATCGTTAAGTAATTAAATTGTATTTTTTATACCGACTCCATTCCCCCGAGATCTCAAGGAAATTTAATTTTATAAAACTTTTTTTGTTTTATCTTTTTTTAAAAAAAATATAATTTTTAATGTCCGCGCGGTCCGGAATTAGGACTGTTCCGAGTCGTACCAGGGAAGATGAGAGCGAAACTGCCACCACAATCTTAAGAAATTCTAATAATAAGTTAACAATTTTTGAGCTGATACTAGAAAATTAGATTTTGAGTTTTAAGCTAAGTTGCCAAATTAAATATAGAGGCACACTATGAAGATACGCTAAATAATCTCTGCATCAGTTGAGAGTTTCACCGACTGATGACGTCAATAATAATTACATTTGTCATCGTTATCAATTGAAGTTTAAGTTGCTTAATTATATCTATCGGCGACATTGGCCGAATTCACAGGGCCATTTCGATTACAAATCATTATTTAGTCTACCCCCGCAACAACGTTCGAGATATAAAATCGCCATCTCTTCAACGTTGTGCGTCCTTTGAGAAGCACCGATTGAGCGCATTTGTTTGAAAACTAATCCTTTAAAACGAACTAAAATGTATGAAGTTGTAATTCATTCCGGCCCGAAGGCCGAAGTCGTCCAATCTCCCATCCCGAAACCAAAGCCAGACCAGCTTGTCATCAAAGTCATAGTTTCGGGCAGCAACCCCAAAGACTGGAAATATCCGGAGTGGACGGAGGCTGTTATCAACCAAGGTGACGACATTGCAGGCATTGTCCATGAAGTTGGTTCCGGGGTAACTGAGTTCAAGGTGTGAAACCCACTAATGTCACGGCGATAGAGATGAAAATCAAAGGAGAAAATATAAGAGCAAGCACCTGACAGTGTTGAAAGTAGATCGGAGCCCGGGTTGCTGCGTTTCACGAGATGGCCACACCTGGAGGTAGCTATGCTGAGTACGCTGTTTCGTGGGCACATACGACTTTTCATTTGCCAGAGAAGACTACCTACGAAGGTGAGCATATTCGGTAACAAATATAGTTGAATAGAGATGGTTGACCCGAAAATAGAAGCATCAACAATTCCGTAAGTCTGAAAGGATCAAGAAAATATTATGAGTTCCATCCGAAACTAACTGAAGTACAGCCTGGCAGCCCTGACAGCATCACTCGCTCTTTTCGGCCGCCTGTCTCTGCCCACACCTTTTTCTCCGGCTAAAGAAAAAATCCCACTCATAATCTATGGCGGTTCATCTGCTGTCGGCGCATTTGCTATCAAGCTCGCCCAAAAGGCGAACATTCACCCTCTATTTGTCGTCGCGGGCTCAGGCACGTCTTTTGTTGAAAAGCTGATTGACTCATCCAAAGGCGATCGGATTATTGACTACCGCCCTGGAATCGACCATGTCGTTGACGAAATTTACAAAACTGCCAAGGCGAGTGGAGAAGAAACGATTAAATACGCCCTGGACAGCATTACTCTCGATGCCACGTACGGCGCGATCGCCAAGGTGTTGGACTCAAAAGAGGGACAATTTACCGGCGTTTTGCCCTTTAATGAAAATGTCTTTCCATCCACGGTGACCACTTCTATGACGAATGTTGGTAGCGTGCACAGTCCAAAAGTACCAGGGGACGAGGATTTGGGTTTCGTGTTCAGCCGACTGTTTAGCAAGGGTTTGAAAGAGGGTTGGTTCTCGGGACATCCGCATGAAGTCGTTCGCAATGGGCTGGAGGGAGTAGAGGAAGCTTTGAAGAATTTGAAAGATGGGAAGAATAGCGCTTCGAAGTACGTCTTCAGAGTCAAAGACACTCCTGGTTTGAAATAGAAAGTGATAAAGCAAGTATATCCGAAATCAAAATCAGATTCACCAACTTCTCCATGATAGTTTAGTCGCATAATTCTGGTCCTACTTGAAAACCGGCTTGATCGCCTGGGTTTCATAGTGGTTTACCCACCTATTATTGACAGTATCAATTCATAGCGCAAAAATGGTTGCCACCACCGACACAAATATCATATTAAGTCCAAGTAACATATTAATACCCTCTGCAAGACCAGTAGCAACCACCGTAGATGTCACAGCAGTCACATCCGGAAGAAGGGTAGGACGACACTCGGTCGGAATATTTTGTGCGAAAGAGGAAATGTCCGCGGCTGGACATTGCCTTACACAGACCAGCAGAGGGTCATTATAACCATGGAATGTTGCACAGGTACAGTTGGTGAGAGCCTGGCCGGTTTCGCTGCCAGTGCAAGCGGAATCTTCAGGATGGCTTGAGAGGCAATTGGTGGCGCAACCACTTAGCGAAAGAGTGTCGGATACCAGGTAAATGGAAATAAGAAAATATAATTTGTAATTGGTATTATAGATATTTGCATTTTGAGGCTAATAGACGATAGATTTCTCTCCTCGTGTAAACGGGTATGGTTGGAATATCAGGTGCGAAATGGAATGCGCATTATTGATTATAGGATGTCAGGAGCTTTTTATTTCATCCAACTACTGCGTAGCCGAATAAAATTTCAACATTGCGAACTTGCTTTTTTCCCTTCTCTTGTTTCTACTCTTTTATAATTATTCTATGCCGCGCCTAACATCTTGCCTAAAAGGGGCCGAATGCATACAGGATGCATTGACACTTGGACGATTCAAATCACTGGATAAAGATGGATAAAATACACTTGTATCTGCATGCCTTTCAGCTGAAATACTATGGTTACCCTTCCGGTTGTCTTTAACACAAAGCCGGCCGGATTTGAAATAATACGTGCAGCCTCTTGCCCAGATTACGTCTCTCATGCATGTATTGGCTTCCTAGGCACTGCATACATTGTCTCGGCCGACCTTTAGGCTGCAGAATTATTTTCCCCTGTGTCACCTTACTGCTTTTGTGATTCTTACACCGGTTCTTTACTTCTGTCAAGAATATGCGAAAATATTTACCAGAACTTTCAACCAATATAGCTAGAAATATCGAACGCTTTCATTTACGTATTTTCAAGTCCAGTTAGAACGTGAATATAAAATGGCAATGAAGGTTGGATATAATTGTATTGATAATGGAATATATTATTTTATTTCAATTTCATTCTAATTTGCTTGCTTCTCTGCGACTCGATCTCCGAGAGATGCGCGATTCTCTCAGTCTCGGCGGAGTTTCTAATCGTGACTACACGTAATGGCCCAACCCAACAGGCTTTGCCAGAGGCCCCCATATTAACCATAATATTAATTGAATCGTATTTAATGATTACAACCCTTCTGGCATCCTTATGGCTATAGTTTCAGAGGTGCAATACTTTATGTTATAAGATAAAGGTCAAAGGGTTATTACTCATTAGCCGATAAGAAAGCTTGAAAAACTTGTGGAGACAAAGTTAGGTTAGAGTTAATTTGTCCTATTTTTACTCATTTACGGCATTTGATCATCGATATTTGAATCCTTCAATTGAGTTATCGTCCAACACTTTGTAAGACCACCAGAAAAACACTTAGCCAAACGTTCGATATACTTCGGGTACCGTTCAAAGTCTACCTAATCTATTATCTATCAGAAAGACAACTGCTGGAACCAATGTTACAGAGTTTCAATTAACTATAGTACTTGTTCGGCCAATTTTGTATTAAGGAGTAGTAAGAAAATAGATCCTATGCCCCTGGTTCCCTACGTGGATGGTAGTACGAGCCCTACGAGGTTACTAAATGTATTACAACAATAAATAAACCATCTCTGAATTTGTGCCAGCAGTCTACAAAGCAGAGGGTTCGTCTCGCATTGGACACCCCGTAGTCTGTAGGAAGCTCGGGGTACTATTAAGTAGTATTTGTATTTTTGCAGAATTTGATATGAGGCAACTAACCTCTCTGCATTATTTATTGACGATTCTCGAGTAATAGTCTAAGTTAGAGCACAAAACTTGAGAAATAGTATAAACTGAGTTGAGCCTCAGACTGAGGCTTACTTGAGATCTGAGTAGGTAAGCGCGTTTGTTTATACCTTTCGGCATTGGGCACCAACGTATTGGGATCAGCGCCTGGAAATTAGGAACACGAATGAAACGCCGCTTTCCTCTAAAGCTAGGGTAGGAAATCCATCAGGAACGCCAGTTAACGCACTGCTACCGGATTGGCCTGAATTGAACCGGACTAGTGCAGCACTAAATACCACTACTATTATAATTCTCCGCATATGTCCGCAAGTACCGAGGAGTTGAAAAGATTCCCCATGTTTAGAAGCAGAACCCCCGCGTTTGACCTAGGATGAACCGACTAGAATTCTAAGTAACCTCAGCCCTAATAAACTTCCCGGTAAGAAGGTCCATGTGAACAATATGGGACGGTTTAATCGCGAAATCGGTTTAGTTAATCCGGGGTAATTTAGCCTTCCCCTCCCCTCTTGGTTTGTTCCCTCAATGCAACTCTCGACAGATTTTTACATCTGCGAACTTTTAATATAAAGCCGACACACTAGCTTTTTGGAATCTACGCGTTGCAGTAAATTGATAATCGAAGTTTTAAACACCAGTCCCACGGCCTCCCTGCTTGGTGCAATCCTCAATTTCATTGGCCACTTTTTTTTTCTCGCAGATGCTTCTCACTCCATGTCAAACTGGGATATGGATAGACCCCAAACAAACCTTTCCACCTGTCCGTACCCCTTTCTCCAACAAGACACGTTTCCCGACGTTGGTGGATGTAAGTAGTCAGAAGCAGGACATTTGATTTTCATTCCAAAAGTTCTCTGCGCTAAAGTCTCACTGCCGTTCACCCCAGTCGTATCAGGTCGTTGGTGTAGAGAATTTCATACCAGATCTGGTTCTGTATCATGCTGTCTACCCTGCCCTTGGTCAAATTGGATATATTCCGATGGTAGGTCCAAGTGCTCCGCGCCTTTTCTCGAAAAGAATGGAATAAAGAGAACCGAATATCAAAGACAAGGCAAATCAAGGAAGACGTGAGCTAAAAGCAACAATCCAGCATTCGAGGACCATCTGAATATTCCCGGTTGGTGTGGGATAGCGGTGATAGTCGTGGTAGTACTGTTCCTGTGCACATATGTGGTGGTGCCGAAAGAGTTTACTGCTCGTCATTATCTCACCACTGTGCCTGGTATTGGATTCCTTCTCTTGTCGGTACGATTTATTCATCCACCAGAGAACTTGACACTCCGTTAATTGAAAGCCTAGATCGCATATGTTATTCCTCTAGCCCGAGCCCCAAACCAATGCTATAATGAGATCACGGCCAATAACAACTTCACGGATTCCATGTGCACCGCAACTTCATCAACTCTGTTTCTTGGGGTATGGTTTGTTATTATTAGCTGTGAGAATCCTTTCCCTTTCCTTTGTAGTCTTACCTGATACCATTTCTAGGCTTTTTTAGATCACTATCACTTCACCTCTATGTGGTTTGGGAACAGAAGCTTGGACGGAAATTTAAGTATACGTCATTGGCCTGCATTTTTGTCGGCTCTGCTTTGCTTGTTGCTCTGTCTTTGCAAGTGACAGGGTCATCTTATCAGTTGGGGAAGGTGTGCTATCTCAACCCGATCCGGAATTTGGGAACATTTTGGATACCTTTGCTAGTCATGGCCGCACTCACATTCCTTCTGCAAATATGGACACTCTGTTACAGTTTGTTGAACGTTTTTCGTGGAATGTGGGAGGATCGCATAACTGCCTCTTGCAATCATCACAACGACAACCATATCAATAATGATGTTTTATCCCCACAATCATCGATTGATTACTGGCAGCAACAACATGGGGGTCGCCGACAATCACTCGCCACCCACAAGCTATTGACCAGCATGCAGTGGCGACCCATGCTTGCTTCTTTCGGCGTTTTACTTCACGTTGTCCTCTTTGCGGCAATATTCCTAATCCTGAGGCAAGACCATGGGTATCCCGCTTCAAAATATGATGATTGGGTCTCTTGCCTGTTATCTTCCGGAGATAAAAACCATTGCATCGAATACGCTTCCGACTTGGGCCCGAACGAAAAGCTTGTTGTTGCCTCCTTCTTCATGCTTGCTGTAAGTTCTAGAATAATATTATTTCATCCGTTCTTCTGTGTCCATCAAAGCAGACCTTCCCTGACCTTGTCATTTTTGAGTTTCTGACACTTTATTGGCCCACACAGGTATCCGGTTTCTGGGGCATTTTAATCGTGACGCGCTTTTCCATGTTTGACGGCTGGCTGGAAGTACTCAATTGCCGACACAGGACACCTTCTAGATCCTCAATGGTTGCTACAGGTCCACATGACGAGTTTCCACTTCATCGGGCGTCTACTAATGACGGTTGTGATGCCAGTTTCAATACAACCTCAAGTCTACCATCTGCCAATATGAAGTAGCTAGCAGCCTGTTGTGTTTTAAAAGAGAACAAAGTCTTATATTGTGCATTTTTTTCAAAATTTTGCATGGCTATGGAGTTGTCGGCTTCCGTTGTGACTACTACGAATGCTTTATTGGATTCCTGTGAATACGTTTCTCTGGGATTTCAACGTTGGATGGTATGATATCAAATATTGACTTTCAAATGCATTGAGAAACTATTCGCCAATGACTCAAGACAGCCTAATATAACAAATAATGACCGTTAGTCCGTATGAGTTTTGCTTCAAAAGGCATGACGGCCATCGAAATGGAGAAGCAAACCAACGTAAATACCCTTCCGAAGTCCCCAAAATCAGATATGCCTACATTATAAGGATTAGTTAATATGCTGGCTCTAATCAGAAACTCAAACAGTCATCCAAGAGAAACCTGATTGACATCTGCAGTTATCTTATCACTACCTCCAATACTAGCAGTTGTAGAAACACTTTGCGACTGCTTTACCTACTATGAATACTCCGAATACGATTGGATAGCCTACAGATTTTCCTGGTGAAACCGCAACAGCAGTCATCTTCGTTATCAACAAAGCCATTCCGAAAGTAACCGCACCTGGGATTTTGTATCAGTCCTACTAGAATAATTTTAAGCTATTATTAGAACTTGTAAAACTGCCAGGGCTTGTTTTAACTATAATAATTATATTGACATGTAGATTCTGAAAGATTGATGGCTATAACCAATAGCTGTGTGAGTCTCCTCTAGTCGAATTGTTTAGTTTTTTCTTTACTCCGTAATATACTATGATTTTTTAAATGCCGGTATCGTTGTTGCAAAAGCCATTGTTCTATAACCCGGCTTTGTTTATCAGTATGTATTTGCTTGATTCACAACTAGTGAGAGATCACAAAATGAAACTCGCTTGAAATATTAGGTTTTTCCTAGTAACTGGATGGTGCATTTATTAAGACATTACATATAATTTATAAATATATCAATGGATGTGAATGTACATTGATAGAATGGGTATCAAACATGACGAGGTTTCCACTTGGGCCGGCCTTCACAAGGATATTAAAATATGTATAAAAAAACATAAAGTGACAGAGAACCTTCCTTCATTAGCCTTTCGATGTGAAGTTCTTCTTTTTGAATAAAGGTCGTATATAGAGTGTTGATAGCATTGGAATAGGTCAAGAATCAAATGCCCCGCTGTTTCTCTTCTTCTGCCCTTGCATTCTCATAGGTCTCACCGTGGGTGAAGACTCCAATGATCTCTCACCAGCAGGCTCATGGGTAATTTCAATTGTCGTTTCTTGGTACACCGCGTGCTGCATCAGCTCAGTCCCCTTGTCCGCTTTAACCACAATATCATCTGTCGACCCATCACGGTCTCCCAAAGAATCAATTGTTACCATTTGATGAGACTCTTGGGTCCGAAAGCGAGAACCAAACTTCGATCGCTTGCTTCTGCTTCCGTTGTAGCTGTCATTTGCAGCGATTGTTGTCGAAACTGTTGTTCCAGGTACGTGGGATCCTTTCCGCTGATAGGAGTTGGAGTTATAAGCCATGCTAGAATCACTAACTAGTAAGAGGTGGCGACGGGTGATGGTGTAAACGGTCACGTCAACGAGGCCAGATAATGCCATAAAGGCACCGGAGACAGCAAAATACGTTTTGCTAGGAACTATGTTACGGGTAACAGACATGCGGCCTGCGGCGAGGGGCAGCGAGAGCATGACATAAGCCAAAGGATAGATCACCATGTAAGTGACGACGCGGTTGAGACGGCGAAGAGATTCTTGCTGGTTGTGAAGAGCAGCCGAGTTTTTCTTCATACGACGGCGTAGGTAGATAAACATGATAGTGTAGAGAATAATGGTCCCAAATTCAGCGAGAAATATCCAGAAATAATGCCCCCATAGTCGTTCATGTTCATATTCGGGACTAAGCCAGCACTATCTAAATTAGTTCCTTTGACCTCGATCCAAAGGGGTGACGTGATATCGAACCCAGCCTGCTTCAGTAACAAGAAAGACATTTTTCCCATACAACCCCACAGGTATGAAGCCTAGAACCAGAATGAAGCACCATAGTGCAATGATGACACCACAGAAAATCCTGTTTGGAAGTTGTCGGCCACGAATGACAACAGCGGCGGTGTGGATAGCAATGGCTAACACGAATAGACCACTACCAGCGTCAGCAGTTTGGATCAACCAGCCCTGCAAGTAGCATGCCGTCCTGTGATACTGTGACTTCCCGGCGGAGACCCAGACAAGACATATCAAAAAGCCGACTGCTTGTTGGACGTCGGCCAGAAGAAGGTTATAAATCAGTACCACATATTGGTTTTCTGCCAGAGGTCGCTTGTAGTACCTGTTCCAGTAGATCATTCGGTAAGTGAGAAAGGATAATAGACCGCTAGTGGCGATGGCAGACATGCAGGCGATGAGACCGACACCTAGGAAGCGCCCTTTTTGGAGAGAATCGAAGATGAGCTCCTGGTATTTGGGGTCAATGTCGTCCTCACCCGTAGCCTGACGGACCTGTAGATACTTTGAGAGGCCATCGGAACTGAACACGTAATGCAAACCCCTTGATATGCTAGTCATATTATCTTTCAGCCTGCCTTCACAACGCAGGTCAAGCGAGAAGAGGAGCAATATATAAAGCCAGAAGGGGCAAAGACAATGGGTATTACGGTATCTATTTTTCCAAATACCCAAAGTGGTTTATGCTCGTTCAGAATCCGAGGAAAATGTCTGAAGAGTTCCTAATCTCCAATATCCAATTTTCTGATATGAGAGTCGTCCTCTGTTTGGCGACTTCGCATATTTAAACGTTAGATCCATTTTTGAGATTTCCATTTACTTTCAAGTCTTATCATCTTTTCCGACTCCAATCATTTTTAACTTTAGCTATGTGTCATATTCGTACATAGTTCGCCATAAAAGCTCCGCCCGTGGATCTTATAGCCGGGACCTCCTGGCTGGCGGAATGTTTGACAGAGATTCATTATTCAAGGTAAGCAGGCAATTGGACAATGTGGATTGTCAAATATGGTTATTGGTCTTTTATTTGTCAAGAGCCAACTAAACTAGTAGGCCGTGCCTCCATACAAAACATACAGAGTACCACATATTAGGGTTTAAGTCCTAGCTTGTTTGGGCAAGAAAAACCAATTGGCAACAACTAATTGTGCAACCATGCTCGCCCACCGCTCCCGCTGTGGGAGCAGCGGGTGAGCATGTTGGCACAATTACCCCTTTATTTCCTGCTCCTCCGCATCATCCTTTGCTCAGCTACAAGTTTTCCACCTATCGTCTAACAGCAAAAGGTAGTCTAGGTGGGTCGAATGACTACAGCCTCAACATTAAATAATAAGTTAGCCTAGAGCGCGTGCTTGTTTAACGCCAGCCCAAACGTCTTTGAAGCTAACATGTGCATCTCATGCAAATAATATCTACAGAAGTGCAGATCCTAAGCAAAGACTGTAGATCATCTCCTATAATTTTCGTGGGTCTTTCAGTTATGCGAACAAAGTATGGAGTAATGCAATGAATAGATAGAAATCGATAGACATTTCTTTCAGTAAGGTACGTGCGTTTATTGCTTCTAACGGCATGGTTCATTCGATTTACACTTTAGGAGTGTCATGAATAATGATATTGTCCATCTCCACAGCGTGGCTCCTAGTCACATGGCAGCCTAGCCTCGGTCCTCCACCCTATCTCATCCTCAGAAAAGACATCGTAGCCGACGCTAATCCGGACCCGCTTTTATCCAATTTTTATTATTTGCCAGCTCCTAAGGTAATTTTCTTAGTACACAAGGCCTTTTATTATTGACAAAGCTTAAAAAGCTAGCAGGAGATTAGCCAAGTTGAAGATCAGTAATTGGGGAAATAACACTCCTAGGTTTTCAATCTCTGTACGTAGTCAATATGATCTACGCCCATCTATTCTTAACAGACGATATGAGAAGGAAAGACTCTGTGACACTTAATCATGCGTTACTTTTATCGAACTTTGGTCTAGTTTCAGTCTATTAGGGTCTAGTGATGGATTGCATAAGTGGTCTATAATATATTCAGACTCGTTGCTTTGACTTCATGGTAAACAAAGCCTGAATCAAATAACGTTAGTTTTGGGTGATGATCATCTATCGGGAAATATCCGATGGCATCCGCGCTCAAGCACTTGTCTGCTGGAAGTAGGATACTAGCTGACGATTACACCGTTGATCAGATGGATGTAATGTTGGAGAGGTTAGGATTCGCATGGTTTGGTTTCTCATACTATTCATATTGACGACTACATTTCATGATGGCAAATTGGGCCCTGGCTGATCTCATTTATCCAGACTGGCCAAAATGTCTTTCAATGTCGTAGAACAGAGGACTAATGCTCAACTCACCTTTCTTTCTACCATTACTCCTTGATTTTAAGTAATTTTCTGTCTTTTCTACGCCTGTTAGGATACGCGGTAGGCTGATGGAAAACCCACAACGCTCTGACTGCATTTATAGGAAGCTTGGTTGCCGTAGCCGATGGGAGGATACTGTACTAACCATATCATATGATAACAAAGTTTGTTGGTTACATCAGCAGGACAAAAACACGCTTATCATCGTAATTGTGGAGTGGGTGGAATCAATAGTTCGCACGAGGCCCTTAACCCTGCACTTAATCATCCACACGTGGTGCTTTACAATATATGAACATTTTTCCATCAGCTCACTCAGCTTCCACTTTTCAATTGCCACTATCATTATGCTAGCTAATGCACACGAGTGTCCATTACTTGACTGCTACTTTCAAAAAACATTTTGTATTTTTTTTCAAAGCTTCCCCTCTATATATAGGTTGGCTACTTTGTCATCTACTTATTTGGTTCTTTTGTATGTCAGCCCTTGCTGTTTCCGAGAAATAGAAAGTTGCAATATACACACGTAGATCGACTGTTGAATTGTATTTAATAACTAAGGAATTATATTAACAGTCAATCAAAAAAAATGCGCTCTACTATAAAATTGTGACTTTCTATATGGCTTTGTACTTTATGGACAAGCTCAAAGAGCAGCAGTATCTAAAATTGAAGGACTCTATAACAACGTCAATAGCGATTTGAAACACTATTTCAATTTTCAATGTTATAATTACAAAAATTAGATCTCTTAGATAGGCCCCATAGTCCAATGCGGGAAAATCGTGGATTCCAGACAACAACGTACAACGCTACAATCAATAGCAGCCATTACGCTGCGTTTCTAACCTCAACAAGTTTCCTAAAAAGTTATATATATTTAATATTTACCAATCTCTAAAGGTATCCCGCCATAATATATTTCTAAATTTAGCAATGTTTCCCGGGATAAAACATATTAATAGGATGTAAAGTGATAATTATAATTTCTAATCTCAAAACATTACTGAAATATTATTAATTTTATAAAGTATTATCAAAGCCTTATTGTTATTCAAACTATTTAAATTATATACACGTACATAAATATGTATTCATACGTCACCCTATTTGCCTGTCTAAGGGAGTTCCTAAAGGTATTTATATCAAGAGATATGATATGGACTCTAGGTGCTATTTTCATGACACTACTTGAAGCATGGGGGAAAAGATGACAAAAAACAAAAAAGGAAATAAACTGACTGTACATGTACATTCTAAAATCCAGTGAGTTTGCAAATTATGACTCCTAAATGTTAATTTCGAGGTTTATACCTTATAATTTCGCCCACCAGTTGCAGGTGTGATTAGGTTTGTTTATTGAAAATGCATTTGGGGTCATATTTTGTTTTCAACTGTTCTACCTTTTCTTGGTTAGGACCAAATGGTCGAGCAAAGCACAGATCATCGACCAAATTACCATCTGTTAACATTCGAACAGATAATATGCACTTTTTCTTTCCTTTGTCTTAGTATCAGATTCTTATAAGAAGGGTATCTTACGCTCACTGTAGTTAGCATATTCCAGAATTGTATAAACTTGAGGCTGAGCAGGCATCTCCAACGCCTTTTGTCTACACTTGACTTGTAAATAACGGTCCCACGCGCGAAATTTATCGTCATTTTTCTGGTTTTCCCAAGAGGTTTTGAGTATTCCGATGTGGAAGTAGTCTCGTGTTGGGAACGCCATTTTTTTATTATCACCTTTGCTACTTGAGTCATATCATAAGACTCAATTGAAAATGTCGAGTGAGATAGATCAGGCTCCTCAGTCAGCTTCCTAGCAAATTCATCGAATAGCCAATGAATAAACTCGGGTCTAATCGGAGGGGCAAATGTAACACCCTTTAACGATCTTCGGCCTTTGTGTATATCCTTGAGCATCTCGTTTGCTTGCGCTGGAGATTGAAGGAATCTTTGGAATCGATGCAAAATAATCCCGTCCGGTCTTCTCACCTCCATCAAAATATAGTTAGACAATAGTGAAGGGATCAGGGTTAGACGGCTTTTTAAAGACGTAATGAGAGGCGACTCGGCGATTTGGGTTCCAGTCAGTGAGTCCACAATGGCATCTATCTTATCCTGAGAGAAGACCACTTTGCCAACAAATACTGTAGGCTTGATTTGATCATATCCTTAAAACCAAAATTCAACGACAACTCCAAAGTTCTGTCCTGCTCCACGCAACACCCAAAGAAGATCCCATTTTAGGTCTCAGAGGCATCGACAATTTCTCCATTGGCGAGAACGACTTTCGCTCCTAGTAGGTTGCCCACTACTGTCCCGTATCGTCCACAAACCATCCAAAGCCACCTCCAGGGGTGCTACCGCCAATTCCAACATTGCTAATAGTGCTACTCACCACGGAGAGTTTATACTTCTCTGTTACCCTGTTGACACCCTCCCATGTGCAACCCCCATGTGCAATTATGACTTTATTATCCAAGTCGACGCTTACATCCCATATCTTGGGGAAATCAATAATAAGACCTCCATCGGACGAATTGTTTCCACCTGTAGAATGCGCTCCACCTTTCACAGCGAGACATAACCGGTGTAAGGTTGCAAAAAGCACCAGATTTGATACTTCTTTTGTTGACAGCGGGAAAGCAACAATTCCCTATCGAACCTCAGTCAGAAATTGCCATAGATCAACGTTTAGTAGGATAACAGTCCAGTCTTTTAAGACGATTTGTTCCCTTGATTTGTTCGCGGCTCAACATACCGCGGGTCTTATAGACGTAGCTGACCAGCGTGAGATAGCAGTTTGGTAATCAGGTGATTCCAGGGTGACAAGCCTAATTTCAGGACCCAACCTAGACTTCAGATCTTGCAGAAGTCTAGAAGCAGTCCCATCCATTTTTATTTCTGTTTTTAGATATTTAAGTATTATGCGACCGTTATTGAAATGATATCGAAGAATAGAAACAATATGGCTAGGAAGAGATATGTAACATCCCACTGAATTTAGATAATGATAATTATTGCAAATTTTGTTCCTTTAGTAAAAAGCTCAAATTTTTAGTTGTCATATCGTCATTCTTCATTAAGTGGCTAAAAGCCCTATTCGGTCCATCGTTTCGATAACAAGCCGGGCTTGTTTTCCAGACTCCCTTGCCAGCAATTTTCGCAGAGAGAACGAGGCGCAAGAGTCGCCATCGGGATATCGATTCCTTAAATTTTTGTGAATTAATTGATGTTTGGCATAAGAGTATTGAATTTCCGAGACGTTGACGAACTCGATGGCAGAGCTTAGGATAAGTATTTACAACCGTATTTGAACATTTTGGTGGTTCATAATCAAGTCAATGTAAATTTTTCAAGAAATTTTAATAAATGAAGATTGCACTACCTCAAACTTAGGTGCATTCAACAAAGTCATCACCACTAGCTCCGGTGTGAGTGATCACGCCAGCATATTGACCCTGCTCGTTGAAGATGACACGGTCAGGACCAGGGCTACCACCAGTATAGACTTCGTAGGAGCTCAGAATAGGAAACTCCTGGTAAGGGCCATCAACGGGAAAACTGAATCCTTCGTAGTCGTTGTATTGATGAGGGTAGTCCCCAGCTTCACTTCCAGATTGATAATCTGAATAACCCTCATTCAAAGCGGCGTCGATGTCGCTCTGCTGGTAGCAAGTGCTACCACATGTTTCTGTGCAGCTGGATTGACGCACGCGGAAGATGGCGGTTGCCTGCGTCGAGTTGACGAGGAGGACAAGGGTGGCGGTGAGCTATTTCAGTCAGTAAAATCTGATTCGTGTGATTTTATAACCGATTGGGACAGATTTTCTGAGACGAACCTGACTAATCTTCATTTTGAGAGTTGTCTTGGTTGAATTAATCTAGTCCTCACTATGGAATGAGATGACGAGATCATAGCTTTTATACTGAAATTCTATCACCTTCTGGGTTTTTAACGAGGTAGCATTAACAATTGGTCTCAGATCAATTATGGGCTCGTGCATTGATGAGAACATGATGTACATTCTTTCCGTCCTCTCCGTCTTATCACGGCGCAGAATTGACGAGGCTCAGTCAAAGGCGATCTTCAAACTAGTGAAATGTAACCCTAACCTTACCGCATACAGCGAAGACCTACCGGCGAGACAGGTACAACATTGAAAGTGCAGCATTGTCAGCCAATAAGAACAACAAAATCTGAATTTGGATCCCCAACATTGAAAAGCTTAACCTCGTGATAGGATTGTGGATCATGATAGGATAAATCTCTTGGCCTTGAACGATTTAGTAAATGCTTGTTTTACCATAAAGCTTGTTTGTGCTACGTACTATGAGCTCTTAAATTAGTTAGCCAGCTGTTTCAACTAAACGCATGCAAGAGTTACCCCGCTGTCGTTATTCCTAGATTCCCATCGCTGTCGATCGTATCAATATTGTGACATAGTACGGAGCTATAGACAAGAATTAGTTAGTCCTCCTTTACCAATCAAATGATGGTAGCAGAATGGACAAGTTTGATCGGAGGGGCTCCGACACAGTTGCTGCCTGTTGATCCGCTGTCTCCCGTGTATTAGTTCATGATACTAGCTGTTGTTATTCATTAAACCATCCAGGTTGAAGTAACTCCTGCCATGTGATCAAAAATTTATTTGAGGCCACATCATACACCTGCATTTCGAATACCATACTGGAAGATGATCCAAGTTTACCGGTCTAATACCGGAGCCTTTTACAGCCACGACTAGTATCAGTAAAACTCGCTATAGGGTAAGCTTGATGCGATTGGACAAATCTGTTAGGTATCTAAGATATGAGAAGAAGGCTGAAGAGGCGTTTGAATTATTTGTTTTCCTTTTTTAAATCCCGAGACCTCGATGACCTTCCTAATTGAGCAGATAGTCGCATTCCTTTCAACCATTAAAGCGGCAAATCTGCCAAAACGCCGTGGGGGCTATTTACAAAAATTCTCTATTGTGCGAGGCCAAGTGCGGGGTTTATTCAGATAGCTTTATGTACTCTAGAGATGATTCAGTGTCCTTATCAGTCGACACAGATGTCGGATTCCTAGTTAGGAGAAAAGAACTAACTGCCTATTTTGATCGTTAGACAGTCATGGAGCCATTGTCAACATACTTCTAAATATTTCAAATGTTGCAGACTCAACCCTAATATTCGTCGAATACCTAGAAAAGACACAAAATTCCGTGGTGAGAAATCACTTTCTAGTTTTAGGAGTTATTAATATTTCTTTCGTTCAAAAAATAAAATTAGCATTATTGAATGCTTTGCTAAATTATTAGCTCTTTGATATCCTCCACTTCCAGGTATGTGTATACAATAGACTGTATTCTTTCGACTGACTGATGTTCAATCAATCCAATTGAGAGAAATTGAAAACGCCTAAACTGAGTCAAATACTAATTATTAGATGTAGTGGAGGTTACTTCCGAGAATATACTTTCGACATACAAATGCAGCAATCATATTCATCTATCACCTCAATGACGGTTTATCAATATTGTCTTGATTTCACGAATCACAGGAAGTTAATATAGATGAATAAGCCACTGGTTCTGAGCCGTACAGGCCCTTAGGCACATATAACTAATCGCTGATAATTCTAGGAATCTCAAGGATTTGAAATTCCGTAGAAAAAAATCACGGAGATGATGGAGTAATATAATAAATAAATACAAATTTTCTTAAACGAAGCATCATTGGTCTAGTGGTAGAATTCGTCGTTGCCATCGACGAGGCCCGTGTTCGATTCACGGATGATGCACATATTACTTTTGTTTTTTTTGGTTTTAATATAATGGCCACTCACCCACTATCTAAGTCTTCGAAGAGCAGTGTTTGTATTGAATCTAATCCACATTAATTTCTCCCTCATACACCGCCGACATTGTCCAAATTATCATACGACCATTCACGGGGCATAAACGATCGGCGAGTCGGAAGTCCGAAATGCCATCTTACGCTTGCTGCCTCAGGCATCACGGCCATCGCATGGTACCACGGCCGATTTATTCTTGCAACGCTCGATGCGATTGGCTGTTCGTCTCGGGGTCGGGGTTGGCTACATGCGACAGCTATTTAAGGACGCTTGAAAGCGTCGTTCTGCACAGAGCTGTTGCATTATCTTCACTGCTAATTCCGAATTATTACGAGACGGAATCTTTGAAAAAGGATAAATAAATCGGCGAAGAAGGAACAAGGCATACAGTCATGGCAGCTCGGATGACGTTGAGACAGGCAGGCGTTTCCAATGTGGTGATTGGCCTAGTCGCCGCAGGTGGCCTTTACACAGCATACTCATATTTTCAACCCTCGAAGAAAATATTTGGAGCTGGATTGGCTGGCGGGTTGAAACTACAGCAGGCAGAGGATGTAAATCACAATACAAAGCGATTACGATTTTCGTTTCCGCGCCAAGACGATGAGACAGGGCTCACATATGTGTGTAAGTACATATCGCGTCGTACCATAATGATGAATCGCGACGAAACCATTGAATTCATTCTGACCTCTGCCCATCAGCATCTGTTTTAACAGTATCTTGGCCAAATGGAAGCATCACTCCAGCGCTCAGACCATATACCCCAGTGAGCAATCTCGGTATGCTACGGATCCCTTTCCACAACAACACAAAACAGCTAGGAGGTTAACAGTTACCAGAAAGTCCTGGTTCTATCGATTTCCTAGTCAAAAAATACCCGGAGGGAAAAGTAAGCTCTCACTTGCACTCTCTACGACCAGGCGACTCCCTCTTTTTTGCTTTCCCTATCAAAGCGTATACTTGGGAGCCTAATCGCTATGAGCACATCACGTTAATCGCCGGTGGTGCTGGCATTACACCGTTGTACCAACTCATCCAGGGTATTCTCAATAACCCAGCCGATCGGACCAAAATGACATTGGTTTTTGGTGTCAATACTGAAAGTGATATACTCCTGCGTGACGAATTTGAAACATATCAGAAAACGTTCCCCGATCGTATCAAGGTTGTGTACACGGTGAGCAATAACTCTGTTAAAAGGTCCTCTTTCGAGTTTCGCAATGGTCGTGTCACCAAAGAACTTTTGAAGGAGCTCTTGCCGCCAACATCAAACGATACCAAGGTCTTTTTGTGTGGACCGCCGGCAATGGAAGAAGCATTGACAGGGAAGCGATGGGGTGAAGGCGGAATTTTGGGCGAATTGGGTTTCAAAAAGGACCAAGTCTTCAAGTTTTGACGATCAATGCGATAGAGAATCATTTGTACTATATCTGTAGACAGTCTCATTAACTACCACTCTATTGATGTCTTCTATTTATAATTAAACATTTTTGTTAACAAAGAACCACGTTACTTTTAAGGGGCCATTGCAGTAAGTTCACTTACCTAGTCGTTTATACATGTGATTACGTAAATATCAAGGTTTAAATATACTCACTCTATATTTCATGAAGATTACAACTGTGAAAACCTCAGGAGGCAGTTTGATTATTGGGAAACCGTGGTATAGAATTTATTTTGAGGTTTGTGAAAATCTGAACAAGATTGCCTATTTGAGAAATGCTCTTAACCAAAACCTAAAATTTGAATCTATTTCTAGCCTACTATCTCCCTAATATAATTTATATATGTATACATTCCTCGACCAAGCATCTGAAAGCAGGCCTCTACGCACGTGTATTAGAGTAGAGGAATTCTTTCATTATAATGGTGCACATTGATCCGCGAAATCAACAACAAAGCGTGCTCCAATTTATAAATCTTGAGATTGCTTACTGAGCATACCAGTACTCAACCACAAGGAATGCATCATACTATCTTCGAGCAAGGTTGTGCATAGAATTCTGTGGCTTACCATGTACAAGGGTTGTTATTGGACGGCAACATCAGCCTTATTTTCAATAATTATTATTATTCAGCCTCCCATCACATGAAGTTGAGCACTGTGGTGCTCAAATGCCCAGTCCGCAAATCGTTTTTTGCTAAAACTTCACCTCATACAAATTTTATCTTTTACATATAGCTATTTAAGGTTATTTATGATATATATTCCCCATCTATTCTTGCCGGCTGATGTCATTTGTGTTGTCGTCTTGTTTTGAACATTTAATTTCTTGTATAATTCAGGCAGCATTTACATTCCTATTTTTTGGCTCTAAAAAAGGAATTAGAAGCAAATCTGCCCAGCTGAGTCGGGCTCAGGGCTTATGGTCACCCTATACGGGTGTTAAGTTGCCTAACGATGTATGACCTTTTCTGAGCATTTCTGAAAAACAAGGCATCCTAACAAGATAAATAATGTCTACCCGAATGCGTTTGGTCACAGCAATGGCGATACTGATGTAGACCTACGTACATTAAATAGAGTTCTGTGTTCATCAATCTAATATGTTCTTTCAGCTCAGCGATCCTCTAATGTCGAGATTGAATACTAGCTCTTCGGCATGGAGTTATTTTGAAGGATCCATTCTACATATCAACTGTAAGTCCCGTGGCACATGATGCTTTCCCAGAAAGTCTTTCAGAATCAAAAAGTAAGCCAAATGCCCACTAATATGCCACTTATATTTTCGATGTGTTTTCTGGGATGCTTTAGGGACGTTTATCGAAATGGAACTGCAGATTCCCAAGGCGGTTTTCCTGTGGCATTTGTAACAAAAGCTTTGCAAGGCATGCAGACTTGAAGCGACATCGTTCCAGTATTCACTTTCCTGTATTGAGAGACTGTCCACAGCCAAATTGCACCCGAAAGAGCTCGGCTGGATTTCCTCAGATGGAACACCAACGCTCGTACCACCACATTGAAATTCCCCAGCGCCGATATGGATCAAAGCATCAAAAACCTGATAGTTTGAAAAATGAGCGCAGGATAGCTCCAAGTTCATTGATCCTACAGCCCTCAGTCCAAAAGGCCAAGCCCATCATAGTGACCAGTCAACGAAAGAGAAGCTAAACGATTCTAATTTGATGTCTCAGCAACACGGTAAAGGGTCGATAAGGCAGGAAAATGGTGTAGAGATGATTGCAACATCTCAAAGACAAGGTGTTGGATAGTTACATTATGTTTCATCTCCAATTACTTCGCTAAGTATCATTGATTCCGGTAGAATCAAAGACGCATTGCCGACTGAACCGAATAAAACCATTCGGCCTGTGAGCGTGAAAGCAACAAATTATGATACCAGAATTCAGAATTTGACGACATCAAGACCTCCGGGAATTTCAGACGACTGCTTTGAAGAAATGGTTGCTATCTTTCCATTAGACTGGAATTTCAATCTACCAAGCGTGTCTCCTCATCTTCCCTCTAATTTCTTCGATATCTCGAATATGAGGGGAGGCAACTTCTGTCACATGAAGCTGTGGTATCGAGGTATATACAGCACCGTATAAGTCAAAGAATAGGGGAAGAATACAATCACAGCAGTAGAGTTTGTTGTGTGGGTATATACTGCAGAGTAAGCAGTTACAAGTTCACATGTGCACTATTATATAAAAACAAAACCACCCAGTACTCTAGGATTGCTCTCAATTTAAGTTTCGCCAGCGCTAATCCACCATAGCTACTATCCTAGTAGCCACTTGTGAAGAATAGTGGGCCAAATCCTTAGATTACGGCAGTTCATTATAAAGGCTTCAAGGTAGCTCTAAATTGAATTAGGGCAAAAGTCTACTTTATTGAGGCTTTCATATAAAAGCCTTTGAATCCATCTCGAATACCATTGAAGGAAACTCATTGGTTATGATAATCGAGATTAAATTCAAACGCAAGCATTCTACTCTAGATTTGGATATTGTGAAATGTGGTTGTCAAATCAACCTTCGTGATTCATGCGACAGTTATCAGTTCCTTCTAGTCAGCTTCTCTCGTCAAAAGAAAATATTAATAGTCTAACCAAGAACACCAGATCAAAAGCAAACCCGCAACAAGAAAAAGACAGGACAAATATACTTTACTACAACTCTCGAGAACTCGTGTACACCTCCTTCCCCTTTTCACTGACAATGATTGGCGTCATAGTACCGGAAGGAGACGAAGGGGTATCAAATGAATATGACGGAGATTTCTGCTGCCCACGCATGGTAAGAAACTCTTCACCAAAGGGGTACGTTGTTGGCTTTTTGGCAACAGGCTCTTGACTAGCGTGCTCCCACAATCGCATAGTGAAGCTCTTTCCCAAAGCTTCAATAGGAGGAGTCAACAGTGGGAGACTAGCAAACAAAGTACCGTAAGACACAATTGCCGTCAACAGTGTGCAAAGCCAGTAAGGTAGACCGTAAGAGAATAGAGAGACCATTGCCCATGAGCCAACTGACCAAAAGATGAAACCGTGGATGAGGTAAACACTGAAAATGTGTGGGAAAAGCCATTGGAATATCTTGATGGAGAAAGCCTTTTGAATTGTAGGGCAAATTTCCACAACCATTTGCATTGCCACGGTGCTAAGCAGTGCATTGAGACGGGGGATAAAGTAGTCTGGATAGGATAAAGGTTGAGCTTGACCAATGCTAAGGCCAGTGTAAGGATCCGGATGCCATCCGTATTCTATAGCGGCGTATTGAACACCTGTGTGCACGGCGACCATGTCAATTGTGAAGCCACCAATGGCAACACATGAGAAAAAGATGAGATATGGCCAGTAGATATACCATTTGGGCTGTATCCATTTTTTGTACTTGAAGGTCAAGTCCAAATCCGCCAGCAACACGCCGGCGTAGTAATAGCTGCCCCACGAATGTGCATACCAGTGCATGGCCGTGCAGAAGAAATAAAAGACAAAGCGTTTCCAGGGGGTTTTGCACTCGCGAATCATGATCAGAGCTAGAAGAGTTTGCCATGCACCTTGCAACTGGACAGGGATTGTCCAAAGTGATCCGGTACAGTAATTGTTCGTGATCATCGGTGCTGCGTTAGGAATCAAAAAGGCGAGTTGCAAGATTTCTGAAATATACACCCCAGGATTCGGAGCAACAGTAGTAAATGGCCAGAAGGACCAGGTCACTGATGGCAAATACTCGAGCCAGTTGACGGCACCAGAATCCATGAGAAAGTATATAAGGAAAGCAATAGAGGCGACCGGTGTCAGCAAACGGAATGGCCGAGCAACCACCTTTTGGGCCATGTTGTCCAACTTGCCAGTCCTGATGTAGTTGGAGGTCAAGAAGCGAGTGGAAATCATCAAGAAAGGCCCAATCCAAAGCGGATCCAGGAAGTAGGTAGCAAAACTCTTTCGTGCAATAACTTCGCTGTAGTAATGTGTATCTGTATCAGGGCTGATAACACCGCCAAAGTAGGTAAGTCCAAAATGATTGGCAGTGACCAGAAGACAACTAATAGAAATGAAGCCTGCTAAGTAGTCTATTCTTGGTGGGCGTGCACTACCTGCCGCGGGGTTTCCGTCCTTTCCAACTGCTGCAGCTTTTTCAGCGGGTTTTGTCTCTGCGGCTTTGGGCTGAGTCTCATTTGAATCGTTTGCTTCTGGAATAGCGACCTGCGCAGTAGACTGAGGTGAGGTAGGCTCTGAACTACCCACGCCATGGATAGAGGGTGCCCGTGATGCTGCTCGAGATGATTCGCCTTGAGTAACGTTGGTAGTACCAAATGGACCGTTAAAGGAGTTTTGGGTCATATTGGATAGCGATGGCCGACGGGAAGCCGCTGGTGTTTGATATTGCGGTGCCGGAGTTTGAGTTCCCTTGTATGGCGGAAGATTTAGAGTGTTGTAGGATGCATTTCGTGGCAGCGTCGAACCATTATCTCCATCTTGAGAATGAGAAGTCTCACTACCGTCGAGCGATAGCGACTTTTCCTTCTCCTTCTTAACTGAGGGTTCGTCTGCAGAGAACGATTTCGGCTTTGGCTCCTCTCGTTTCCTAACTCCCAGAAGCACAAGAAGTTTGTGCCAACTAAATCGGCGCCAAAGAGTCTTGCTGGTGAGGACAATGAAAGCAGCAGCAAAGATGATATCGATTATGAGAGGTACCCATTTAATCTCATATGGCGGCTGAGACTGCGTCCACGGCTCCGCACTTTCAGGTCCATATGCAGAAGCTCCACGCAGTGAGTTATCACTCATTAAACAAGCATCTTGAATAGAACATCTAGCATTAAAAGCGGCATGTTCGTCATCCGTCATGGCTGAGGAGTTGAAAAATAGACGTGTCCATCCAATATTGGCCTGGTTGGTGCTCAATGGAGGTCCCTGGGAGCTGTATTTGTTGCCCAAAGACCAATGCTGGAAGTGCAACGGAGCTGGTGTGGCTGGAATACTTGAGTTAACAGATGTGTTGTAGCTCTTTTGTAAAACCCCCCCGATATAGTAGTTCAGCGAGTCTCGCGTCCAGTCAACCCGGTATTCCTCATAAAACCAAGGCTGGAAGCCCTCTAGAGTTAGGTTGGTAAAATTCGCGCCGAGCCATGTATTAGGAAATTGACCCTGCATCAACATCGACACCCAGGCCTGGGTATTGTTGTCAGTGTTCATGACATCTATCTCCCAACTCTCGGTCTGGTTATATGTCAGGCTCATCGATATCACAGAGCCTCTTTGCCATGAACGCGCCGGTCGGAGTGAACTGCGGAACGAGCCAAAAAAGATATCCTGACGAGCTGTCCGGATGCTGGACCCAACGACCAAGTGTTCGTCATCAGAAGGGTCGCAGGACATTTGCAAGCTCGTCAGGTTTCGCGCTGTGCTGTCATTGGCGATTTGGACATTGTTGATGGAAGCGCCTTGACGATACAATGAATTCCAGCCTCGGTCATATCGGTGGGCGAATTCTTCCACGACAAAATCTGTCGGGATTCCACTGGACTCATTGAAGTAAACAATCGAAGACTCTGTAAACAGGATCTTGGCTTCATCGTCATAGTAGCCACAAGAACAATTGCCGACATCCTTGGTCTGGATACTGGATCTTTGAGCTTGAACGGTTGGTGCCAGCACCAGGAGCCCAGAGAGCAGAGCCTGATATACTAACAAGAGCATCGTGGCCACTTTCTAGGGAACCAGCTGTCTGCTGGTGAAAAGCGAGATGGTGTACCCAAGAGAATAATAACAGACCAAATTGAAGTTGCAGAAGGATCAAAAAAATTAAGGAGCAGTCAAGCGATGGCTAGACAGTAGTCTACTACGTATTATTATCGCTAGTGGCGGCTTTTGATTGAGCGCTGTCGGAAGTTTCTTTAGCAATAGACCAATATTATCAAGATATTATCCCATAGGCTGCATGTGGGAACTGCCAGAGAGCTGGCCTGGTTTCCACGGTGCCCGTGGGGGGGTGGGAAAGTGAAAAACAAAGCTTCCTAAATCGTACGCCGCGATTGTGATGCTTTTTTTCTTATCGCTAGCGGCAGATCAGTTGGATGACTGCACAGATCAGCGTCCTCAGCCTGTAGACTGCAGCAAGCTAAATTAGCATCATTAGCATCATCGTGCCTGGAAGAGAAAGGCCCGGCGTGGTGGCTGATGTTAGGGGACCCGCACGGGAGGTCCAATACGTTTTCTGCGTAGGATCTCTATTATTTTCTCATTTCGGCGAATGCTGTGCTAAGCAATGAATGGCCGAGGGAGGAGCTCAATACGCCACGCCACGATGGTAAATTTCCACGGTGCATGAGAAATAGCAGCGGGTCAGATAGCCAATCGCCAGACCTGGAAGGTTACAGCGGCGAGCCGGCGTTGACCGATTGATCGTCGACATCTAGCTCTAATCAAAAAGCAGTAACCACGGGACGATGCCTCAGTCATCGGCGGCTGGATCTGACAGCCACTTAATGACCAAATGAGGCTAAACGTGTCTCTGCAGCTGTTCTTGGGCCGCTAGTGGAACTGTGATAAGGATTCAAGACCAAGGACGCAGTGTGGTACAGTAGCAGCGGGTTCTTTGCATAGCTGCTTACTAGGGTCGTGGCGTGATACCGTAGATCATCATGCAGGAGCTGATGAAACGACCTCGAGTTAGACTCGTAATAATTCTCACCTTCCCTTTCAATTATTAATGGCTAGCAAACGGATAGCAGATACACTAGCTCCAGCTATATGGGGCAGGTGGTTGAAGAGTCACAATAATTAGTTTCGACGGACGCCAGCGGATAGTTTACGATGATACGATATCTGAATGGGTTGACATCTTGATCAAAGTTCCCAGCTCCCTAATCGGTGTTGCATCTCCTTTTTATCTAGGTTCTTGTTGGTGGATCTTGAAGAGTAGCCTCCGTTGAACCCAGGCCCACTATCCACTGTGCAAGTGTTGGTACTATAGGAGACATGTGAATGGCGAAAAAGAAAAGAGTAGGAAAAGGAAACTACGGAAGAATTTCTAAACACACCCCGGTGCTCGGAGTTGATATCCATCCATAGCTCTGTCGAAACATACTCACCCCACCTTGTGTCTGATAATCTATCTTATCCGTGAGCTCTTCCAGAGTTCTCTTGTTTTCTTGCATGGCAGGCCGTCGTTCTTGAACCTGACTCTGCCTCACTGAAAACTTATTGATCACCATGGAAAAGCCGGTCAATACCAAGGAAACGTCGTTTGAAGTCACGGCTTCCAGCTCGGGAGCTAGCCAGCTGGCAATTGAGAGAGGTACTGAGAAACCGACACGCAGTGGTAATCTGTATTCCAGCTTGAAGAAACTGTTTCACGATGTCGTCTGGACATTCAATACAGCTTCGGACGGGGTGCAAGACTGGACCCCATTCTTCCTTGTGCTGTCCTACTTCGTCTTCTCGACGACTATCTATATGAACGCGACATCTGGAATCATGAAAGTATTTTGGTTTCTCTATTTGATGACCAACACCTACATTGCTAGCGCGACAGTGATAGAAGCCGTTATGAGCACGGGAGCATTCCACGATGCAAAAAAGACCGTGGAAAAGGTGGCCAAAAAGAACTGGCAATTCCCAACCCTAGACAGCGATCTACTGAAGCTGGATATTATTATTGTCGCCTACCTACCCAATGAGCAAGATATTGTTATGGACCGCGTCACCTACCTGCTGGAGGAGATCATTTATCCGCGGGACAAGCTTCGCATCAACTTGATTTACAACACCCCCTACGCCATCCAGCCGTTAGAGGACGAACTACATGAGCTCGCACGAAGAAACCCGGGCAATCTCCGGGTAATCAAAGTACCGAACTCCACGTCCAAGGCGGACAATATCAACTATTACTGCATGATGAATGGGATCGATGCAGATGTTTCAGCCATCTTCGACTGCGACCACTACCCACACCCGTATGCTCCTCGCTGGGCGATGGAGCGGTTTGCCAAAGACAAATCGGTTGACATTGTCCAGGGTCGGTGTGTGATTCTCAACGCCAACGATAACCTAATGACCTCTATGATCGGAATCGAGTTTGATAAAATCTATGCAGTTTCTCACCCGGGACGTGCGGCCATGTTTAATTTCGGCCTGTTCTGCGGGTCAAATGGGTACTGGCGTACGTCTCTTTTACGCGAACTGAAGATGGATGATACGATGCTCACCGAAGACATCGATTCGGCGCTCAGAGCGTTCGGACGTGGAGCCAATGCTGTGCACGACCTGAATGTCACGTCCTTTGAGCTGGCACCTGTCACAATGTCTGCATTCTGGAAACAGCGGCTGCGCTGGTCGCAGGGTTGGGTGCAGGCTAGTTTTCGCCACATGCATCTCGTGTGGAGTCGGTCGCCAGACAGCTCCAAACACCGCAGCCTCAGACAAAGATTCGGGATCCTGTCGCTGCTCTTTGTGCGCGAACTGAGCTACTACCTGATTACGCAGTACCTGTGCCTCGTGTTCAGTATCGTCATTATCCATTTTCCGAAAAGCGGGCACGAGCTGTACCTGTTGCTGTTCTTCCAGTACCCCGTTGCCTGGTGGCTATTCCTATTCAGGTACGGTTTTGAATACTCCTTTTTCTTTCTTTTTGCATTATTGTCTTGGCATTCGTCTAACCCATGTGCGCAGTCTCTTTTCCTTCGTGGGTACACTTTACGTCACGCTCCACTTCCGATCTGAGTTCACTCGTTGGTATTCAGTCCCCATCTTTGCAATGAGCTATCCTATCCAGCTCGTGTTGACGGCAACCCTCGGTCTCTTTGGGCATGCACGCCAAGTGAGCAAGTATGTCAAGTGGAACCCAACACCCCGAGGTTAATCAGTGGATCATTTGATCCTAGTTTCGGCTGTTTCAGTCGTTAAAATCTGTGTGCCAAGATTGTGCACCTGGCAGCCTACTTAAGTTGCTTGGCGTGGGAGTTTTAATTCTAGTTTTAATTTTGATAGACTATTGATCAATATACCAGGCTTGTTTGAAATACACATGATTTAATAAGGAATCCTACTTGAATTTTATTGATAGTATTTTGAATCACCAATTGAACGAGTAAACTCAATTGAGTCGGTGCGAATTGGAGGAGAACACCCGGGTTGTGGGTGTTAGCCTCGTCTTAGATTTTACAAAATGGATATCCACTGATAATTCAAACCTGGACCGCCCACTAGATGAACCTGGTGGCGAGGCGGGTTCCCTCGGATGCCTTCCGAGAGGGTGCACATAGTCATACCCTGTTCTAAAGCGTAATAATATGAGCAGAAATACACGTACTATTTGCCAGCTGGCGGGGATCAATGGGAAAAAAAATCGCTATCAGAGGCTATCTTTTCCCCCTCGTCCTCGTCTCTGCAGCAGCTGTTTGGCTGTTCAGCTCGGGATGCCGATCGCCGTGACCAAGAATGTGGATGAAGGTAAAAAACCTTCTCGCTTTCCTACTTGAGCAATATCGCCGCGAGTTTATCTCGAGACTCGAGATTCCAGATTCGAGGCTCCTCATCGGGATTTGCCGTCAGACGGGTTGATACAATCGCATCAATCGCATCAATCGCATCTTGATTATCGTTATCGCTCTGACGGCTAATCAGACAGTTTGCTACAGACGGCAAGTCACATTAATTACATTGTTGTGCCGCTTGGGCACGCATTCTGACCAGGGTTGCTGGCCACCAGGAACATTAGGGGGACCTATCTGCCCACTAAGAAAGTGGGGTTTCGCCAAGACCAGCCAAGAATGTTCCTGGCCAGAGAATGTCGATGTAATTATAGGCCCGAGGCTTCTTTTCTTGGCTGGTGTCGATCAGTGGATACACTGGATAGGGAGCAACGGTAACTTGATAAGAAAAGCCTCGTTTTGCTAGCAACTGGAACTCGGCTGCACTAACAGTGCTGCCACTCAACTATGATTGACCAGGTGGCTATCTCTAGCGGCTATCGACGAGCGATCACGAGCCTCGAAGCTTGAGACCTGTTAAGCCGGCCGAAATTATAGCCTAATCTGATGAACTGGCCAGGTCTAGGTCCCCGGAAGATTTGGCATATTTTACGCATTCGGATCCTGGTCATTATTTTATGCCCGTTAGGAGACGAGAATTAATAATTATTATTGGTAGCAATTGCCACCCCATAAAAGACTGGCGAAGGAAATTAATACCGTGATCGGTGACATCGCTCCGCTCAACAACGCTAACAGCCCAGCACGTTCCGTATTTTGGCGACAACGACGTTCCATTTTTTCCAAGCATTGCATTGTCGATCTGGTGCCATCATGGTGCAGAAAAATGATGCGATTTTCAGTGGGATCCAGCTTGGCGCTGGTCAGTGTTATAGGCGTTGGCCGGCGTCGGCATTCGTGCTAGTGAGGGCGACGGCGTGGGATAACTGGTATAGGCTGAAAATGCTAATCATGATAATGGCAAATTGAAGCTTCTAACTTCCTAATCCGGCGGTGGCATCTATTTAGATGCGGGAGCTTACAAAAGTAGGGTGGAATCGGTGGATGCGACATGGTGTGGCTTGCTGGCTTCTCTATCTTAGCTTGCTTTGGATGCTCTCTCAGACATACAAGCTTTTTTCTTTCCCACATCTGTACACGTATTTATGCTAAATAGGTGATTGACTTTATTTTCAATCAGCTTTCACCTGCGACTTGAATCGCTTGGAAGAACAGCCTTGCACAGATTGGCAATCGCCTCGTCATGGGTGGGTTTGATCTCACTGCGCTGCAAAAGCGCGTTATGCAGGCCCCTCCAACACAATATGAACAGCTCTACCTTGTCGGTTTCCGTGGTGTGCTTGTAATCTCGACGTTCCTGTGGGTGTTTCTTCAAACCTTTGCACCGACGACGGTATATGCTGCATGGGCCAACCAGGATGGACCTCACGATCAGGAAAATGTGCGAAAGGTGCTATCGGTGTTGTTCTGGAATCAGTATTTCCTCATCGGATCCATCATCTTTCTGTCCGCTCGATCTATCGCCATCCCATTCTTCCGCAATCCTACAAAAGAATCCATTGCGCGAATTTTACTTACTCGCCCCCTGACTCTCTGCATCCCTGCCGCGATTGCGGTGGCCATTGTCAAGGGCTCCATTACGGATGATTTTGTCAATAACATCCTTCTCCGCTTCGCAGAAGGAACAAATAACAATGCCATACCGATTCCGCAGCCATTGCCAACAACACTGTCGTACTGGAACTCTGTCTTCAACCTGTTCTGGGTGTCACATCAGTTTGCGGCGCAGGCTGCGAATTACGCATATCCCACCCAGACACTATGGATGATCACCGCAGTTTATATCCAAAGTTACACCGTCTATATGACAATGATCGTCGTACCCTACACACGGCCGAAATGGCGTGTGCAGTTTTCAATTTTTTTCATCATTGCCGCCTGGTGGTGCCAGTCCTGGGCCTGGTATACTATTTCGGGCCTCATCATGGCTGACATGGTCGTGAACATGGACTTCAAAGTTCATGCGCAGCGCGGCATCCCCGTCCAATTCCGCAATCTTGCCTGGCGACAAGCGGACGGCCGTCCGCGACGAATCCCTGTCTGGAGCGTCGCCGGTCTGGTAATGCTAGGCGGAATTGCAATGCAATACGTCTGGGTGGCTGCACGACCGGACTTGTTTACAGCGGAGTGGGAAATCCATTCAAATCCGTACAGCATTGGCGGTCTCAACACAGAATATCAGAACGACCATACCTCGGCGCGAGATGATGTCTATCTCATGCTGGTAGGCTTTTTCTTCTTGCTAGAGACATATGATATACTGCAACGGGTACTCCAGAACAGGTTCTTTGTCTATCTTGGGAGCCGGTCTTATAGTACGTCTCTCCTTTTCCTTTTTTTTTTTTTTGGTATGGGTGTGTTGCTAACATTGATTTTCAAGGCTACTTTCTCATCCAGCCCATCCTGATATATCGGGTTGGCATCCGTGTGTTTGGCCAATTACGAGGCACCCATGGTATTGGATATCCAGGCTCTGTGGTTGTGACTCTCATTACATGTCTCGCTGTGACAGTACCTGCTGCGGAGCTCTACCATCGTCTGGTCTGTGTTCCGAGCAGATACCTCGCACACCATTTTTACGAGTTTATTACGTCGTGAGATACTCGCTCTTACTTGTATGGACACATAGTTAGTTTCTTTTTCCGGTCCCATCCTATTGGCGTGCAGAATAAACAGATAGACAGACAACGTAGCGACCATTTGTACATATCAATTGATGAACTGGCAAAAATGAGACGTGTTAGTAATTCCCTTGTTAGATTGTCGGGTTTTCAACTTCCGGTCTAATTTTTTTGTCAGCTTCTTTGTTTCGCACTTTTCTTTCTTTCTTTTTTCTTATTATTCCCTTGGCTGCGCACTAAGATATGCACGCCACACCGTTATCCACTGAATGATCTTTTGAATGGTGGAGCCAGACCGGTCCACGAGAGCCAGGCTTTCTTTTGCCCTAGGCAACTAAACAGCTCCTAAAATGCTAACCAATAGGGAAAAGAAAGGTGAAAGTGTTCACGGCCCCCAACACCTACTTTAGGGGGGTTCTTCAACTGCCGTAATATACAACCATAGCGTCAGCAATGGTAACTTCAAATTGTGACAATTACTTCAAATATTCCTAATTATTATGGTATCCAGAGCCATCGAATAGTTAATAATAACAGTATCACGTAAATATTATTTTTTGTGACCAATCGAGTTGGAACGTGCGCGAGCTTGTTGGTTGGCCCAACTGCATATGCGCTGCAGATCTACCTCAAACTGTTGTCCGACTTCATCCACCACTGAAACAAGTCACACCCCTTTCTCATTTCTATGTTCAGAAGCAGTAGTCAGGCTTAGCATATAAACAAAATTCTATTTACAAGTTACGAGCATGAAACACTGCGTAGGATTAATGATATTACTCCATGACTGTGTGGTAGCGAGAAGGATTGATTAGTGCTCAACACACTGGAGTAGCGCGTGTAACACTTTGTCCTCAATAGTCATCAATTAGGCCTTCAACTATCTTGAAAGATTGTAAATCTGGCGAAGAACTCACTGAGCGACATAAAATTCTAATCTTTCAAGTCTTGGCAGGCAGTGTCCGATTGTACTTCCACTTTAGGCATTGCTGTGTAAGGCTGTGTGCAAGGCTAAGTCTAGACTAGCGAGGCACTGCAGGGCGCGCGTATTGTTGGGAACGACCGTCTTGGTTTTTCCTTTTCCCTAAAGAACGGCTGAGCGATAAGATGTGAATACGGATATTTCCAGGCGCTACGAATGGATATCGACCTATGTGGGGATTTCCGCGCGATCGTGTACGGATAGGAAAAGGCTATTGTCTTTTTTTAATTACTTCTTTTCGACTAATTACCATTATTGAGGTCGTGAAAAAATATAAATACGAGGCTGGGTGGCGACGAGATCGCCAGCCGTGCCAAGTCCTAAGCCCTCTGCTCAGTGCTAGCTACATTTTCTCTTTAATTTCCCCCTTTTGCTATCTTTGCATTCTTGGTCCTCCGGTTTGCCTAATTCCAGCAAAGTTTGGGACATGGACGGATATAGAACTTTCTCCGAGAAACTCTAATCTTATCATGGAACGTGGTTCGCGTGCTTCTCTTTTCTTTCCTTTCTTTTTCTCCGAGACTTCCGGGTTCGTTGGGCAAAGACATCCAGACTTGGGGTGATGAGGGTGATCCCTGTACACCTACTGCAAGAACATAAGATAGCAAAACACAATGCAATTCATTTAAGAGCCTTTCCTTCGCTGTTACACGCTGTTGTAATTATTGTGCGATGTAGAAGTTTGAACACTTGTTTTTGGTGATTTTCAATATCGTCTGTAAGAGTCTAGTACCTGTGCTACTCGTACTATGAGACCTGAGACTATTAGATCGCTCATACTATCAGCTGAGACGACCAAATGACTATAGGCACTCCAAATACAATCAGACTGAGTAAAACGCTATTCTCAACGCAATCCCAGGACTCCCTTCACTTCTACCAGCATAAGTGAACGTAGACTCAATCCGTCAAGCAGTGTATTACCGTCAACTTTCAAATATCTACATCGTCGTATTGTTTGGGTTCATGAAAATGTAAGCATAATAAGTACTACGTAGAAGTGAGATATTTGTGAAACCAGACAAAAACTATTAATCAATTCTCTTCATATAGCTATTCATTAAAAACAGAGTTCTAACCCATACCCAAGCACAAGAATATAGCCATGAATCACGAAATAGTCCAATACGATTTTTTGTACGCACTGCAGGCCACGATATATTTTATCATAGATCGAAGTCCATAATGTCGACGATCTATCTCTTGCGCATTTCCCTACCGCTGCTAAGCACTCTAGCCACGAACAAACAGGAGGCTTCATTGATGATGTCCTCGACCTTGGAGTCCATACATACCGCCTTCTCATTACCAACGAGATACAGTGTGTGATGAAAATGATGTCTCTCAAGAGATAGGACAGGATATTCGGAAACCGTCTCAATGAGGTTCAATTCAGTGTGTTCCATCTCTGATCGTTGCGCGTGATCTAGATCTTGTGGATCTACTGGGCATACTCCAAAAGTTCCTGGTTGAGAAGAGCTAGTCGAGAAGCTTGAGAGCATTAGGAAGAGGGAGACATCTAGGCATAAGACCATAGAGTCTGCGTGCGCTCAAAGGCCTTACAAAATGATACCTGAGTGTAGATGGCTCTTAGAACAAGCTCACCAGTGCCACCCCCAGAATAAGTATGTCGGTATCAACACCGTCCGTACTTATTTCTTAGTATATCCAGCAATAAATGCTGGTAGAACTCACGTATTTAGCAATAATATCAAAGTTTACATGGAAAAGTCCAGTTGCCACCCATACAGTAAGCCGATATAGGTTTAAATACTTCGAAAATTCGTTGTCTAACAGTTTCCAATCGTTTACCCTCCTACATATCCGACCTAAATTAGTCATTAAGCTCCAAATTCAAAGCATTGTTGATGGCACATAGAACCTAGCATACGGATTCTTTACCCCATGCTAGAGCAGATATGCTCATTACGCTCCTCCTCCTCTCCCTCAGGGATTCACAGCAAGCAGTGATATCCCCTAAGTATATAATATGGATTCGTTGCCTCTCTGGACCTGAATACTTGACCTGAACACATTATAAGCATTCATATCGACGTGTGAGGTATCTTACAGTTGTGACTTCGGATTACGGTTATATTTAATCACAGGCGTTGTGCCGATTTCTAGCGTGTTATTCACTGTGATTACCGCTATTTTCTCCGAAAACGCATATTGAGTGTCTCTGTGACATTGTCGAAAGTCGCCTGGTTTCTCAGGAAAGTATAATTCAACAACACCTAACTAGAACTGTGCTCAAGTGGCCTTGTTCTCCGATTATCTCGCTCGTTTAACGCATGTGTTGCCCGTGAGAAAGAATCGATCAAGAACGAATTGCGCATCAGGGATCATAAGATGAGTGTACTATATCAATAAGTACTGGCTCCAGAGACAGCATGAGAAACAACTACGAATACATCTAATACTCTGTATTCGTGATATCCAATGCTGAATACGTCTAATTGAGAATTCGGGGAAGAATAAATGCCTGTAACTAGTTGGGAGGCCTCCCAAAGAACTGATTTACAACCTATTATCCTAGATACGGTGAGATAGCCATTAAAGCCTTGTTCTATGGACACACCTGCCACGATGCCGGCCATTCGTCCACTCTTTGTGAAGTCCGATGCCAGACTGGTGCGAGAAAGATGAGGAGTTGTGTATCCATCTGCATCAGTAGCCACTGGAAGATGGTAAAGGTGATCCACCAATGATAAATTGTCAACTCTTTCTCAAGTTCGCACACGTCGATGCCGTTGATACGGCTTCCTATTGTCTTGGTAGACAAATTTTGCTCTTGTAGTTCGGTCGTCAGGCAACAGGCAAGCCGAAGTAGCACATGTTTCGGCGGGTTTGAGACCGGACCAGCAGAGCTTTGTTCCAACCCAAAAGTATGATAGTCCGGAATGTAAATATATCTAGTGTGAGATGGTCGGTGGTGATCCTCCCGGAAATTCAGACGAAGATGCCTTGGACACTGAGTATCGGTGTTTGAAGCCAGTCACTGGCCAGCTTAATAGCACCTTTCCCAGGGTGGACTCGCCCATGAAGAAGCAGGCGTTGGCCAGATTAACCAAACAGAGTCTCGTTGAGTGTATCGCCGCGAAGCTCGTGCATCACGAGCGTCTTAAATAGCGCGAAAGACAGTGGGTGGGTCGAAAACCAAATATGGACAGACAATCGATGTGATTTCAGGGGTCCTGAACTCATTCAGAGGGCCCGGTCATGGAGACACAGCATCAAACATGGTCGTGATGCGATCCTCGCGAACCCATTTCACTAAGGACCCTCCTCTTCCACTCTCGAGGAGATGGATTCCAAGGCTTCCAAGCTTAGCAAGGACCAAACCAGAAGTTCAGTGATGACTGAGGAGAGAAGGCCTGCATGTTGACTAGTAGTAATTACATCTTCAACCGACGATAGGGGAATGTTCCTACAAATTGACTTACCTGTCGATGCCAACAGATACATCATTGTTGTCAGTCGAGAAGGTCTTAATGAGTATAGTCTCCAACTGATGCTATATTGGAGGTGAACATATGCTAGACTGTTGCTAGAACATGTATCTTTATCTGAAATCAGATACGGCTCGAGTTCCTGTGGACGGTCGTATTGCTGGGAAACGGCCCGAAGGGCTCGAAATCATATATGAAACATATGTCCTACCTACGACAAACTTCGCAAATTCCCCGGCCGGGGCATTTTATCTTTCTTGCGTGACAAACCCCGCAAGAGTTTCGCCCAGGGTGTCTGTTCATAACAGTCATTGCATGTATAATTATTGCGAGTATGTGAGATGGAGGTTGTTAAGGAGTAGGATTGAGAATAACGTGGTGCTTAATTCGGTCGTTTGTATTTCCTACCCGTTCATCTCAACTCCTCACACATGCAACCACTGAGATAATATGTTCTTTGGCCTTCTGAATCCAGCAAACAGCCCTCATTTTTGGGTGACGATGAGCATTGAGATTCAATATCTCAGCGGAGAGTTCGAGGGCATGAATATACGAATAAGATCAATTTAGAGTCGTGAAGGCAGTCTAGATCATGAATGGCAACGTTGCCACCCGAGTTGGTCACTGACTCACGAAAACGCGCTCTACATATGTATCAGTTATGTATATTCAATCTCAATTGCGACTGCAACAATAACTATATCCAAAAGTTCAGTCTATAATGTATTAAAGTTCTATAATTACACGATTTATAGTTCCACGGCCACTCCCATCATCTTCCATATACTAGCACCACCCAAATATACCCAACTTTTCTATCCTTTCAACGTGTATACTTTGAAATAGAGTTGTTTCTGTTCTCATATATCTTCTGCACATGTGTATCAATACTAACCCTTACAAATACAAATGCCTGAGGCAATGAACTGTTTCCTATTCAGGTATAGCGGTAGTTTCTCCATCAGGACTAGGCCCGGATATACCTATTTATCCGCCCGAGCAACTTAAATCAACATCTGCCCCAAAACACTTCATACTCAACAACACATTCGCGACGCAAGGTGGAGTGCAAGGCGAGGTCCATGCCTTGAAATCCCTCTCTCTCACTGCCAAGTCTCATCTGATTCTAGACGCAAGAGAGAAATGGATAAGCTCTGTATTCGATGCGATACAGCAAACACACTTTCATCGCAAGCCATCTTGCCACCATAACAGAGTACTACTAGCTATATAGCGTGTATCTCGCGTCGATTACGTGTTTTGTTTCTGCTGCTGTTTGAGGATCTTTCGGTCTGATCTTGCTTCTCAAGAGCAGATTTCACATCAGATGGAAGGGTTGTCGGATGGTATTGGAGGGAGAGGCATGTATCAACGAGTACGGGATTCTGCTATCTTTTATTTGGCTGGAGTGACGTTGTGATTTAACTGTGGCGAATGGTACATACAAAAGACTGGTGTATTTTTTTATACTATTAGATTCTTTATCTGAGCATTGTCAATTGTCAATCAGACAATCATCGATCGAGAAATCATTCAGTCTAATTTCTAAATACATACCCAGTATGAGTAGTCAATCAAGGTTTTTTGCCTTTCGTCTCCATGTACATTAAATTATGTCAGTTCAAATACAGACATCTTGGGATTCGCCTGTAGATAATGCAAAAAATTGAAATATTATTAGTATTGATCCGGGAACACCTCATCGTAATGGAGAGTGTCGGACTTTTTACACGTTAGAACAAATTTAGTGTATTGGAAAATTCAATTAGTTAAAGATACAAGCCTGAGTTACAAAGAACTCATCTATACATTTCGAAGGCGGACTTGGCTCTATATTTCCTTTCTTTCCTCAAGCTTAGGATTTCCCCATTGGAAACTAATATCATATATTTCGAAACTATTTAGAGTGTGAATAGCACCACATTTCCTATGTCTTTATTTACAGTACAATGGATAAAGATTCAAAATTAACACACGAATAGCCTTAAGTTGTATGTACATTTACTGTAGTTTACCCTATATACAGTAAGGCATCTAGATTATTCACATTATGACCTAGTTGGGCTTTTTACTTCTTGAAAATAGCCGGTACTGAAGTCCGGAGAAAATGTTTCTTTTTGGGAGGGCCAGCTCCGCAGGTTATAAAGTGGGTGCTAGACGTACACCTGAAATAACTAGTCTGATAGAGCTATCTATATCATAATCTGCTCCTTGTAGAGATGACAGATCCTCAGGAATTTTCTCAGATTGCTATGCTTTAAGAACCACGGTAGCTCCAATAATATATAGATGGGCTAGTCTTAGTCATTGGTTCTGAAGCTAAACACATGTTTTAAGCATTAATAAAGCTTCTGAATACTAATCAAGGTTTTTTAATGTATATAATAAACTTTGCATGGTGTTCAGTGTATCGAGATGGTCTCTCCCCAGCACTGTCTTGGATATCTCGATTACATGTACAAACAGCTGTTCTGCCTCTGTCAACTGTCCCTGATTCTGGAACGTTGATCCCAGGTTGGCCATGTTAGTCAGTGTATCAGGATGTTCTGGCCCTAGCACTGTCTTTCTTGTCTCCATTATTTATATGTCTAGCTGCTATAGTATCGCTTATCTTATTAATATTGATCACTTTTAGGCTAATTAGCAGGGTTGTGAGCTGCTGATTTTGTGTTGTGAATAGGATGAAGCTATAGTCACTGTGTGGTAGGAAAGACTTTAGCTTAGAGGAGCTAGAAGATGACTTCTATATCTCTAGATTATCTATATTGTCGATGATTAAGAGCTAGAAATCTGCGTTTTTGGAACTTAGATAAGTCTTAACTTGTAGCTTTATATCTATTTGAGATATATCTTAAAGTTTTAGATATTCGTTAATCTTGATATATGCTTGCTCGATCGATTTAATGTTTATTGTGGGAATTTAAAAAATAAAGATTTTAGGATTGCTGGTCTGAAGTGTATACGCTAATTCCAGTGTAATTTGAGTCTTTCTAGTTCTGTCTAAGCTGGTAATGGCTTTTTTTTATGTACCGTTTTATTTGATGATGGCTTGTTTTAAATCTAGCACCAGATTTTTGTGATTTAAAAATCACGGATTATGTGTAAAAGGAATTATCCAGAATGCCTTTCGAGATGTCGGGTCTCTTTGAGATTGATTGATGGGTATAATAGATAGCAGTATTTTAGAATAAGTGGCAGTGATTAGTACTATATATTCTTATTAATGCTTATTCTTATATGAATTAGAGTAGTTGTAAATGCCTTAAATAATCAAACATAGAATCTGATTTATGATCTTTATAGTCTCTATTTTAAAGTATAACATTCTAATATCTTTAGTGAGTTGATCTCGAATCTGTCTATTTTTTATAATCTGATTTCTAGATATAATTACTCCATAATGGATCTGTGGTTGATTTGGCTATTGTGGATTCCAGAGATATAATTAGCTCAGATCGCAAGAAATATAAATGTTCTCGCCATTCTGATGGATATATATTGCCTAAAAGAGTTAATTCAGTTCTATTGACTATAAATATTGGGTTATTATCTTATAATTAGTGGCTAGTAGATTTGATATTACCTTTATTAGGTTTAGATTATATTCTTCTATCTCGCCAGCCTGCAGTTGAGCCATTGCGGTCAATAGAACTTACAGAGGTGGACTCAGCATTTTAGTATGTTAGAATCCATCATTAATAGTCTTTCTATAGTTATACTGTACCATCCTGTTTGAGAACCCAGTTGGTTAGCTGATCATAATATCATCCAATTGGATATCATGTCTTGTACTGGGAATCTCTCTTCCAATATCAATAAGAATGGCGAAGCGATCGAGGGAAACGAGGTTTATATTTTAGTAATGATAGTTATTACTGAAGTTATACTGTATACTTCTGTCAGTAAATATATTACAACAATATTATGATCGGTAATCTTCTTTAGTTTATATACATTATTATTGCTTGGTAGCTGTTGGAGTGGAGGGTGCCTTTGGTCTAGCATGACTGTGGCTGTAGCTGCCTTTAGCGGCAAGGCACACATCTAGATAATGGTATAATCATTGTGTCTTTTTTATGTTTACTATTCGTATTTACTTTTTATCTGTATTGATATAATCTGGCTTTGATCTTCTCGAAGTGTGTATTAGTGTGACCAGGATTAACTGATGTTGAAAGGAGATACCTGGTAGCTGCAGGACTTCTTGTTGCTGAGGTGCTGAGTTGGTTGATTTCCTTCCAAAGAGGTTGATGGGGCAAGGATTGTCGTGTATGGCCAAGAGGGCCATCTTTCTGCGATCGATGGGATGGTAGCTTAGCGCTCCGATAGCCTTGTCCTTAGCGGTGCCTAGAAAGACTCGGGCTGACAGAAATTCCGGATTTCATGTCCACTCAACTTCAATTGTTTAGACTCATTTAATTGTACACTATTGAAGATATTACATTATTGAATATATTCGTCTTGATGCGCACTTCATGCTAGTAGCTGCAGGCCAAAGCTACAGATGTTTAACGTATGATCCTTCTAGCAAACGGGACGTAAGGATTAGCCATCAAAATAATCTTTGTCAATCGCAAGTATATTGTCCTAATTACGATCATAGCATCCTATTTATATCTCTTTCCTCCAAATATTTGATAGATATTTTTTTTTCTTTAAATGTTCCTGCAATCACCAAATGTATTATTAAATGGTAGCCACTTTTTGAATATCGTCTTGAATTTCTTGACGTCTCTATTTACTCTACGGCTGTTCTATTAAAGTCTAATTTTGTACGTCTTGGAGTTGGTTACACATACAAATTTATATGGATACCTTCGTCTAGGCGTATGCTTTATAAGAATATATTAAAAACGTACGGTGTCGTCAATTAATAATACACAATATTTAAAATTATGCTACAAAAGCGTACTATTTACAAATCGCCAACATGTCGACACCAAGGCGTATACAAGCCCTGCGCGCGCATCTGGATAAACAGTCATATAAGTATGTACGAAAGCTTTTGAACGCATCAATATTGAGTGTTTACCTACACCAATTGACACGCGTTCGACAGCTAAGCGAGCGAGCGAGGCAGGGAGTAAGTGAGATGGCTATTAAAGTATCTCTGTAGCAAAGAATACGGATAGTTTAATCCAAAAAAGCGCTGAAAAAATAGAGATATTGATGTGACTGGGAAGGTATACATGCAGTATTTTCAGGCAAACGCAGCATGTCACCCACCGTCATCGACTCCGACAACACTCAAAGACATACATCGCTCCCTCCAAAAAATAGTTGACACGACCACAAACCCATAAAAATGACTCTCAACACCCCGAATCCTTCCAAAAAGAAGGAGGTCAGGTAAGCCGACACCCAACATCTTCATATTAAATCAAGGTATAAATCATGCTGATGAGTCACGCAGTAGCTGGAGCCGCGTAATCTCAATCCTAGTCAGCTCAGAACAAACCCCCTTTATGCTCCACGAGGTCGTGATATGCTCTTCCTCAGACTTCTTTCAGGTCATACTACGCGGTGGTGGTGGTGGCGACTGGAAAGAAGCGTCAGAACTCGCCATTACACTACCCGACATCAACAGCGATCAATTCCAAGTCTACATGCAATGGCTATACAAAGACCACCAAAAGCTCGGGTCTCCATCAAAACAAGTCACAAAACTCGACCATGTCGGGCTTCTGCAGTGCTGGATTATGGGCGACAAACTGCTGGATGATACGTTCAAGGATCATGTAATGGAGACGCTTATTGACAGAGTTAATGTCCAGAAAAAGCCCGTGTCGCCGCATGGTGTAAGGTACATTTACAACAATACACCGCCGCAATCGCCTCTGCGTGCTCTGGCTGCCGCGACATGGGTGGTGGCTAAGGCAAAGCCAGGGGATCTGGATGAACATGACATTCCGCAGCAGTTTATTCTGGATCTTGCGAAGGTGGCTTTGCTGAATTTGGGTAAAGATTGCTTTCGTGTCAGTCCTAAATCTTATTACTTTTCCAAGAACGCGAAGAAGCAGTCCATAGAGGACGCAGGACTTTCCCGACAGTCGTAGTTAACTACTAGAATTGGTGATGGTAGGAGTGCGCAATTGATTTAGGGCAAAGAGCACCGTGCATGTTGCTACAGAAAGAAAATAAAAATCAGATCCAACATATATTTTCCATTTTTTGATCAGTTCTACTATATGAATCTCTATTGATATGTAAAAATAGGTTTTTCCCGTGTATCCATCTCGAGATTTGAAATGAGCTAGGCAGTAATAGACTGGATGTGTGATATCAGAGTTGCTCTAGGACACCTCTTCCCACTATTTTAGTGAAAGGAGATGTTGAGAGCATCTGTACAGTGGCGTGGCATCTCCCATCTACCCGATAAAATCCAAGCCGTCCAATTCTTTACGCACTGAATCCTCCGTTTGAATTTTCTTCATTTGTGTATCTTCCAATTTCTCGCCAGCGGCCAGTCGCATTTTCAATTCGTCGATGGCGCGGAGTTTCTTGAGTAGTCCGCGGACGCGCTTGTCTTGAGTTGTGTTCCCGCCAGGGGAATCCGGCGGGGCAATTGGCTGAGGGCTCGCTTTGGCAACCTTGTTCCCCTGGTTGTTTCCTGCTGATGCAGTGCCATTCGCGCGATGATTGTTGACGTTGCTCTCTGCTCGGTTGCGTGTATGGCTTTTGGATCGGCCTCGCTGCTGCTGGTCTCCGCGACGGTCTGGGCTGGGGTTCAGATGCTGAGGCGCGGTTGGAGGGGCCAGTTCACCGTCCTTTTCAGCGGTTTCTTTGGCCTTTTTGGCCTCGCGCTTCTTCTTGTTTTTCGCAGCTGACTTTGACAGCTTTTCATCTGTCACGTCAGCCCCATGCGGGAGAGCCACTCCGCCGCCAGGAGCTGCGCCTGGTGGCACATACTCGACTGGGTCGGCACCAGGAATGTCACGTCTTCTAGGCTTGCCAAATCCATTGGCAGGCCCCAGAGAAGTTGTTCCTTCTCTCATAAAGGCAGCACCACCTTCGTCTTCCCTTTTGAATGCCAAAGACGTCGTCTGACCGCGTGCACCAGGTGGTCGATAGGCTCCAACAGGCTTAGATGGGGTCTTCCTCTTGGCAAGGTATTCCAGAGCAGACGCGTGAGGGACCGGGGCAGGGTTAAAGGGGTCAGTGATTGGATATTCCGTTGCCCCTTGGGGACGCCAGCAGACTTGGTACAGCTCATTCATGTCTTCATTGTATTGAAGGGCGCCGCTCACATGCCAAATGCGTACACCATTGTCGACTCTCAGTCTGGGGCTAGTAGTGGCAGTGAGGATGTGTTTTCCATCTGGAGACCAATCGCAAATGGTGGCATTGGAGCCCTCGATAGTGGTGACCTTCTTATGACCCTTTTCCAGATCATAAATATCCATCTGACCAGCCAAGTTTCCAAAGCCTGCAACAACAACAAATCGTCCGTGGGGTGAGAATACGATCGTGTTCCGTGGGGCAAGAGGATAGCTTTGAGTAGCAACACCGCGGTAGTTGAAGATAGTTGTTTTAGCCGGCATATAACCATAGACGACTCCAAACTCCTTCGAGTTGGGAGACCATGTCACGTCATGGATGGGTCCTTCTCGGTCTGTGGACTATTAGCCAGGAGAATTTTCAAATTCAGATATTGCGCATACCAAGGTCGATCCTAGAATCAAAAGCTCCAGTTGCGCTCAACAAATACAGGGTAGTTTCTCCGTAGTAACTCTTGCCAGATTTATCGACGTCTGTTTGTGCCAAAACTATAACAGAAGTTCCAGAACTATTCCATTTGAGCTGGACCTTATCGCCCTTGAAGAAAGTCTTCTGCGAAACAGGATTCGCGAACTGAGGGACGACATAAACCTTGACTGAAGCCGGTTGACCCTGACCCAAAGTCAGCAATTCATTTCACATCATTCTTTTATATCATCTACATACCTTGCGCTCAGGCACAAAAACAGCGAGTGCTTGCGTCTTCCCGGGGGAAAGAGCAAAATCGACAACACCCTCCTGTCGCAGCTTGTTCCACACAGTTGAGAGGTCATGGCTCTTATAAAATTGAACTTCGTTGGTGACAACGCGGCCACAATACCGCTCATCCGAGGTATACTGCAGATTCCAGCTGTTTTGCGACTTCTGAACGAAACGACCTACCACTGAGTTTTCACCGACTCCGCCCTCCTTTGCGTGAGCCTCCACGTTCCATACTTTCAAGTTCTTGACGGAATCTCCATTCTCGTCCTTTGTTGGCCGTTGCCAGGTAATGATGTATGTACCAAGTGGGGAGAAGCCCAATTCGAAGACGTTGTCGGCTGGCAGGGTGGTGATGATGTGGCCAACGGAAGGATCAATGATAGTAACACTAGAGGAATTAGACACAGTTCCTGTACAAGTCGAGTCATGGATTAGCATACCGCTCCGGAGACGCCCATGCGAAATAGCGGCCGCATGGTGAATAAGCGCTACAGCGAAGATTCCCTTCAGGCCTGAGTTCAACAATAATTAGCCAAGCGTCGTCGCATGCGCGATTTGTAATTCATACCTCTCGAAGCCTGCAACAGGCTGGTACAGAGGTGAGGCGTCCAAGAGGCCGATTCCCTTAAGGGTGCGAACTAAGTCATGTTAGTTGGAAAACTCGACACAGCACCCGCAGACACTCACATGCAATCTGCGTAGAAGCTGCCATGGCTATTCAAAGTCACAGCTGCAGAGCTTGACGATTGATTCCGTATTTAAATGGACAAAGATTCGTACTCTACGAGCGGGTCGGGAGGCGGTTTCTTGCAATCTCAGGAGACCAAAGGCTAATGAAATGTCAAAGCTTGTGTTGCTGTCTCAAAAGTCCTCGCCTGGCAAAAAGGCAAATCCGTTTGTGATGTTTTTGTTCTTGAAAACTTGTTTGTGAGTTTTTCTTTCTTGATCTTTGTCTTGTGGTGTGGTTGGTTTTTGCTGTTAATGTTTTTTTGTCTGCATAGGCAACACAACAAAAGTTGGAGGCAGAAAATCGCACACACGCACAATAAAAGCTGGATATAGCCTTGCAAATTCGGAACTCGTAAAGAGGTCGACAGTCCTTGGAAAATCCCGTGCTTGACAAGCAAATGCCAGCAGTTTTAAGGAAACGGGAGTATCTTCTGCGCACAAAAGGGGGGGGGGAGTTGGGAGAGGATGAAGGACTCTTCGTTCTCGCCGCGGCGTGGCCGAAGTAATTAGAAATTTCGGTGCAAACAGAGCAAACACAACAACGAGCAACGGCCACAGCCACAGCCAGCCTTAGCCTTGCCTTAAGGCCCTGAGCTACCCGGCGATCATGCTAGCGGTGGCTCAACATTACTTATTTTTTACAATGCTCTGTTCTTTACACCTGAGCTTTGTTGAAATTTACTTTCAGTCAGATTCACACGCATGACTCAATACAGTAAATAGTACCCTACTCGACTCTCAAGCAAAATGAATCAATAAGTAAATGAAATGAATCCCCCAATACCGCTATCCTAAGCTTCGCAACTCCAAGTTACGCCAGCTAACATATTCGTACAGAACTACTTCAGAGTGCCCAATCTGCGAACAAGACTAACCTCGGCGGTCTTGCTCTTGCAAGGTAGGGTTATCGGGGCCATGCTGGCCAATTAATCGAGGTGTGCGGACGGTAGTATCGACAATATCAGAATCATAAGTGACGCCGTCGAGCATTCGAGCATCATCCGACGGTTCGGGGGTGTTGGATCCCGCTGGAGACGGCGATGACTGCGATGGACCGTCACCCACGGAACTTCCAGGGACGTGCTGCAGGTAGGGAGGATGTTGTGCAGTCGTCATGTTTCTGTTGGCACCGGGGCTGCCGAACGATGGTGTACGGCCACCGGCAGATTGCAGTCGACCCAACGTGGCACCGGAGACAGGCCCGCTGATGGTACTGCTGGCACCCTCGCCAAAGCCAACCAGACTGGCATTTCCCTCATCACTCATGCCGCCCACGCTCGAGGTGCCATCATCATGGTCCTCGCTCATTTTATCGTGATCAAAGGCATCGCTTCCACTCGCCCAAGTCGTGCGGCCGCCGATACTTCCAGTAGCGCTAGCACTGCCTACAGTGCTTCGCTCCTTGACCATATAGGGATAGCCATCGAAATAGCCCTGACCTTGCGGATGCGATGGATTGAAAGCGCCTGTAGAACCAGGGGCGAAATTCTGAGTACTCCCCGCGCGCGCCGTAGCAACGCGCTCCAATCCCGCCAACCGCGAAATTCGATCTGCGCGCTCTGCGTCGAGGGTAGAGGTCGAGGTGGCCGATGCTGACGAGGATTGGTGGGTGTGTCGTGTGTAAGGGTGGGTGTGGCCCTGGTGGCCGTCTTTGATGGCGGTCGTCGAGAGCGCAGACAGAGATGTGGTGCCAGAATTGGGAGTACCGCTGGGAATGGGTCAGAACATGTTAGTATCTTATCTCACGGTACGACACATGACTCGGGAGAGCAGAGCAAGGCAAGAAAGAACCGCAATGGGTATCTTACGGTCCCATGTCCGAAGGAGTGACAGGATCCGATGGCGGTGGAGGTAAATTGATAAGAGTCGGTGTCGACATTCTATTATCAGCCATCTCTCTCTTTCTTTCACTCCTTTTTTCTTTCTGCGATGGTTATGGCTATAAGCTGGTGATAGATAGTGGTGGAGCGGCAGACCACTCGCTGCAAAAGGAGGAATAAAAAAGAGTACAACTGTGGCAATTCGAACGATCTCAGTAAATACAAAATCACTGCAATCGCGCCGGTAATGAGACGGCAAACGCAGGTATCCTAAAAGTGCACGTGGTGGAGATGCTGAGAGACACTGAAGCTCAAGATCACAGAATGGATCTGGCACAAGGCTGTACGGCGGCCAAGCCTGTTCACAGACAAGAAGACGAGTGCAGGATATACGAAAGAGTAGTGACGCGATGAATGTTTCAAGGTCCTGGCGAATGACACGGTTGAGCAGCAGAGTCAGGTCAGTCTGCAGTCTGGGCAGGTGGGGGGAGTGGGGATCAGGCTGGGGCTGCCATAGGGCGGCCCAATGCAAGTCACGACGTCATCTCCAATGATCGGCAGTGCTTTTATCATACTATATACTAAGTAGTTAGTAGTAGCTATGGCACTTGAAAGAATATATTTGTTATATACATCATGAATAAATGCATCGGAAGAGCTTATATACAGACAGCCTTGCATCTGCCGCCGTCATCGTCTGACGGATCCGCATTGCAAGGGAAGAAAAACATGCTAGCAGATACTATCGGCACGTCGACGCTCAAACAAAAAACGATCAAGAAGACAAGAGGAGAGGAAGGGGAAGTCGGAATCGCAAGGTAGTGTGCTAGGACGAGGTTGGGAAGTGCTGTCCAGGGTATTTATATTATTGAAACGTGTCTCATAAATCATCATTGGCTGACCTTCCGGCTTTCGTAATGGCCGCGAAGATTATCTACCTCTTGCTGGAGCCGCGAGAGGTCTGCGAGAATGTCCTGGGCGTGGGAAGAAGACAGATTATCCTCGGCGCTCTTGCTCTGTAGCGTAGATGACTGCGTGCTGTTTAGACTGCTCTTGCTAGAAGCTCGCACGCGTCGAGGTGGAGGTGGTGGCGGTGGCATGGATGGTGCGTTCGACGCAGATCCAGACGTCGACCATTTGATGGATGGCGATCGCGATGGTGGAGACGATGAAGCTGTGCTCCCTGGGCCCTCTCCTCCTAGCGTGGAAGACGGAGCCGAGTGTTCCTGAGATAGAGAAGACTTGGTGTGTGAGAACGCCTCAGCCAGAGAGCCGCCCGCTTTTTCATGTCGTCGGGAAGGGGGTCTAGGCGGTGTTTTTGTCCCTGGACTCGGCGGTCCGGGAAGTTCGAGACCCAGGCCTTTTGGAGGTAACGAGATACGGTGGGGATGATCCCGAGCAGACTTCTTCATACTCGGCTTTCTCTGGCTATGTCGTCGAGCAAGAGGTGGCGTAGGCGGTCTTTTTGACTGAGACGGGGCCCTTTGCAAGGCAGAAACATCGTCGTTTATACTTGTGTCTGATAAACTAGTCGGCAGTGTCGCATCTGACACTGCCTCTGGCGATGAAATCGCCATTTCCGGGTTCGTAGGCTGCTGAGTAGATTCCCCCGACAGATAAATCTCTTCGCTCGACTTTCTCGACGTTTGTGATGACTCCCCAGGCTTGATCGGTTTGCCATGACGAGTCCTTGGCGGCGGTGGCTTCGGCCTTTTCACACTAGCCGTCCTCTGAATCTCATTCGATTCAGCCTTCAAAGAGTGAACCGACGTGCTGGTGTTGCTTGTAGCATGACTATCGAGATCACCCCTCCGCATGACCGATACTGTTTCGACGTCGCTGCTATCGCTGCTATCAGCAGCAGCAGATCCAAAACGAGCCTGAATCACAGGATCAGACACCGTATCGATCCTCGTCGTCACCACCTTCTTATCCTCACCGCCTCTTCCATCAGCATTCCCAGTAAGGAGCAACCTCGTAAACGCATCCACATCCAGCATAGCATTCGATTTTTGCTTTGCTTCAACGGCACTGTCTGGTCTCTGGTGACTCTCGCCCCCCTCGCTCATTGCCCTACGCAATCCCGACTCATTCACAATCTGCCTGTCGGGTGCATTCGGTCCGGTAGTGTAGTCACCACCCACCACTTGAATGTAATCCTCCTCCCGGCCGCCACCAGCGGATGAATGCGGATTAAAAGGGTCCGCCGTAGAATCATCAGAAGACTCTCCATCGCCGATTTCTAGCGGCGGCGGGCTGTGATGGGTCCTCGGGGCTGTCAGAGGAGCTGCGGGGAAGTATGTTGTAGAATCGGCGGGTGGTGAGGGTAGCGGTGGGGTAGCAATTCGCACTGTTTTTGAGTGAAGAGGGAGGTGAGGTTTAGTACTTGCTATTGGTACTAGATAGATTAGCTTCTTTAGAAAGTCATCTTGTATCGAGCGAGGGGGGCACGCACTGTCAAAGACACCTTTGTTGACATCCGGCACTGTCACATCATGGTGATTCGGAATCGACGGGATGGGCTCGCTCGCGGCTATGATCCTGCTCCGGCGGAAGGGGTTTGATCCAGACATGGCATCAAACCTGCACTGGGGTTCACGAGTGAAAGCGTGACGGGCGTGTCATGGGGTTATTCAATGTTGTGTTGGGGGGAAGTTGCAGGGCAGTCAATGGCAGCCTGGAGGTTCAGTGTCGTTGAGCTGGGTTCCACAATCAAAAGGTCACTGTACCGCTTTCGGTAGGTGGGTGTATGCTTATTTACCTTTACCCCATGTCTATGCATGTAAAATATGTATATACAACGAAAAAAAAAATAGCAGTTAATTATAATATCAAGAGTTGCTCCGTTAACTAATAATTCGGTGGCGTGGCATGCCAGGAAAATAAAACGATAAAACTCCGAAATATAGTACAATTTCGCGTATATGGTCGTGGGCTTCTATAGCCACCATGTTGCTCGAGATAATAAAAAAATATGAATCCCCCGTCGCGTCTCAGCCGGGTATTAAGCCAGCTCAGCGCATCTCAATAATACATTTATAGGTTTGTTTCGTCATGAATTCGAGCTTTCGCTATATACGTGCCACGGCTCGCGCACACCGAAAAAACTCTCGGACAGGCGCACGCCGCTTTCTGTAGGCTGTGTGAATGCAATTTGCTCTTTCGGCAGGTCTAGGCCGTAGATAAAATTGCTTACGACACAATCCAACAAATCCATTGCAATTCCCTTCCGCCTTGCAGAGCCGCATGTCCATATCCGCGAGACGCCGACGATGGCTGGGTCTAGTATATCTTGTGTGCTGATCGAGGAGCTTTTATGTTTGTTATCGCTATTTGTCGCGTCCAGTTTGACGGGATGCGCCTCCCATATCCGTTCGGCGAGACATAGCCCCATACATTTGCTGTCTTTCATATGGAGGAACACCTTGTACCGATCGGTCTCCTCTTTCTTGCCGTTTTTGCGAAAACGATTCGGGGGTTCGACTTGGCTCCACAGCTGGGGCTCGTCGATAGCTGGCGACGATAACTCCTTATTAACCACGTCGAGAACCTTCTTCGCTTGGCTTCTTGCCGCCACAGAAGCCTTCCTGTCGACAATCACAATATAACCATCACGGCATCGTGTCGCTTCATAAACCCAGCGCGACGCATTGGCCTTCACAAAGGCCTTCCCCAGATCAATCCCCACCGCATTCATCGAATGGAACTTATCATGTAGGTCGGAATCCTCGGCATTGGAGGGGACATATTCCATGCCACATAGGTTGCAGCTTCGCCGCACATTGATGCCGGCATCAATCTGTAACTGCTTCAACACTGGCGGCTGCTGCGGGCGTTGTTGATGAGATTGCGGCTGTTGCTGGCTTTTCTTCGGTTGATCGGTCAGAGAGCGGACGCTGTTGGAGTTGACTTCAGTCAACGGAGCTCCGTTTGTTGATTCCTTTATAGTAGATTTCTTGCGCTTCAAGAATGAAAAAGTCGGTTTCCGCGTGTTCGCAGGCGGCGGAGTCACACGTGGAGGTGGCGGCGACGATGGCGGCGTGGAGAGATCATCTTCTTGCGTGGCTTCAGAGAAGATGACTGAATTGCGCCGCGACGGACTCGACGCGGCCACGACAGCCGACGACTCGCGGATGGCATATTGCAGGTTGGACTCGGCGTCGTCCGAGTCGTCCGCTGCCTCTACGCGTCGTTTCTTAGCAGCATGGAGTACGTTGTCATCGTGGACGCGCCGCACCGGTCTCCCGTATGTTTTCATGAGGCCCCTGCAGCGGTCAGTTTCTGAGCTTGTTGGGTTGGCGAGGGGCAAAAATCAAGGGCGAACGCGTGCACGGGGGAAGGGAGCGGCACATACCTCTTAAACGAATTTGTGACTGTCCACGGCATCTCACTGGGATCGCGATAGTAGGGTGTGGCAGCACATGGGGGGAATATAGCGGAAGATATGGGAAGAGAAAAGAGAGGAAGCTATCAGGATGGCGCAGGAGACAGATAGGAATGAACGAGTTCTGCTCTGTTTACTCCGGGGTGACACGACCGCTGGCGCTGGCCACTCACAGCGCGCCCGCGGGGCTAGTCCGCTTTGGGCTATATTACACTTTCCTGTTCTTCCTCGGTCTTGTCTCAACACAAACCCTTCTTGGAAGGGTTAACTCCTGACTCTCTTCTTTTTGATACTCTGACCACTCTGTCGCTGATGTTATGGCCGCCTGGCGGCTGGAATCATGCCAAAGTGAGAAGAGTAAAATGCCTCGTGCGGGCTGGCCAATGGATCCTCCCTTACCGGCTTAGTCCGTGGCCGTTGAGCAAGCCCAAGAGACGATCAAACCGGATCGGCGCGACGATTCTGCAGTGCACGGTCGCTGTCGATAGTAGTGTACACTGTACAGTCCGTACTCAGTGTACTGTACTTTACTGAGCAGCAGCAGCAGCAGCAAGGTCCGGGGTTATTGTGATGGAAGTCGAAAGAAGACGACGGACGTCAGCATGGAATAATAGCAAGTACTAATATCATCAACCGATTAGGCGCCAGTCATCGGTGGCAAGGCTCGGCTTGGAACAGGATACACGAAGAATAATAGAGAACCGATGACTCAAGCTCTAGAGTCCAGACAGCATGCAACAACCAAAATACTCCAGCCTCGTCGATTCGCGGGCTCGCCTCCTAATATGGGGGTAATGTTAATATCAGGCTATTAGCCGTCGTATCAGGCTCTCTGTTGGTAGCGTTGGTTGGCTGGCGTACCTGACGTGGGCCCTACACCAAGGACAAATAACACGACACTGAACACTCTGGGGCCCTGGCACTGGCAGCTGGCAGCTGGCAGGGCAGTGGGCGCTTCGCCCCCTTAAAGCGTCCGTTGAGCCCTGACTAGCTTTATGACAAGTTGCCACCGCGCTGGATCATCCACTCAGAGTCTCAGACTAGGTTACGGATACAGTAAGACTAGGTTAGGAATATGCTTCAAGCTGACTGGTCAAACAGGCAGCAATAATTCATTGGCCAACTAATAATACCACGCCTTGTACGTACTTTCTCCTTACCTCCAGACTCGCACTCCTCTAACCCCTCCGAATCGGTGTCGTGTTGGGTCTTTCCACTAAATAATCCGTCATTACCGTGAAAACCAGCCATGCAACTGTCCCTCTGTTCAGTTACTAAAATAACAGGTAAACTCGCCGTGCGGCGTAGTCAAGTACTCCATGTAGTACGAGTACGACCGCAGTCACCGTTTATGGCCCTACCAGACAGCCTACCTGTACGCGCTGTAGATCGCTCCATCACCAACACGTCATGGTCCTTTGTTCATACCTTACTTAAAAATAGTCCCCGTTTTGAAACCTAACCGAGTAGGCAGGTCGTCAAACGGTATAGTCACCAGTGACATATGTATTAGAAATATTAATAGAATCCATAAAATGACTACAATAAGACTTGAAGTGAAAGACGGCAGGCCTGAGGCTAAGCTAGGTTGGGATTATTGAATCCTTGGCTGTGGGATGTATTGTGTATGATGATAGACGACGGTACGTTGCACTCACCTAAGCCGCTCGCCGCCAATGAGAGTAAGGAAGAGGATGACACCGTTAGCAAATTAGGCCTGCAAGGCCCTACTGCCTGGCCTTTGCTCGCTAGGCTGATCATAATATAGATATCATCAAATTAGAAGCTGGTCTCGTCGGTTATGTGAGTACATGTACATTAATGTAATAGAGAAAGGAGTAGAATAGGTATTGTTATCGTATTAGATATAAGATCAGCGATGCTATGGCCTGTTTATACCGACCGCTAACGATTCAATGCTTGTAACTAGCCTTGACATGGTCGACACTATATTCCGGATGCAGACTATAGCGCAGCACAGCGCGGTACAGTCCTTGCATATTCGACCGACATGTCAATGTTAGAAAGAAGACCAGGTATGCCATCACATGAGCAAGTTGTACGGGTTGAAATATACTTTTTCGAGTAATAAAAGTATAGGTCAAACCCGCCTTGAGACTTTGAACCTGCACCACGTTTTGGTTGTAAAAACAGATCAGATCCAGCAAAGCGCTCAACGCGATTCCCGCAAAAGGCCCGTGTTGGAGAGGGCCTAGATGTTGTTATCATAGCCATCGAACCGGTGCCTTTTCCGGTACAAAAAAAATAATCCAAATATATCCAGAAGTGGGAGGATGTATAGTACAGAAGAACGGCGGGTTAATAACAATGCAAACGAAAAGCCAGGACGTTCAACCGGGTCGAGGAAGAGTGATGGCTAGAATCGTGGTTAGCGACAGGTGTAGTCCGGGTCTTGTTACCTTCTGCGAGAAAAGAGGATTAGACAATGTCCCAGACGTCCTCTGCGGCATGGCAGAATTTACTGCACGCCACACTGGCACTAAGACTGTAGTTGCTGATGCCAATAGCGTCGTCTTTGAACTCGTCTGCGAAATCGTCGCGTCCCTTGGCCATAGCTCCGACAAACACGCAGATGCTTTCCTTTGGATCCAGAGATTCGATATAGTCCTTAACACGGACTACGGGCGCGTCGAAACTGAGCGTGACCTTGCGGCAGTTGGGCGGCAGATGGTCGGTGATGGGGTTTTTGATGACCTTGAGCAGCTTCTCTTGCGAATTGGTCGATCGGATGGACAGACGGTGCAGCAGCTGCACCATCAGCCCGGCAAATCGCTTGAATGTTCGTGGAATTCGCACCGTCGGGCTGACTTCGATGAGGACGCCTTTTGCGGTGTGGATGTAGATCTGCAACCGTCCAGCTTTATTTATGGGCGAATCGAGGAGGGTGAGCAGGCACTGAACAGGTTAATCATTCACTCAAACCCTTTTATTTTCCTTATTTTTTTGAAGGGTAGTCACCTGATGGGTGATATCGGGACGGGCATCGCTAATATCTCTGTTCATCTTGCGCATGACGCCGATGTGCTCGTCGCTGTTGAGAAGAGAATATTTCTCCTCCCGACCGCCCCGACCGCCATGCGACGACCGATACGTTTCCAGGCTGGCATTGGAGAGCACGACAATCAAGCGCTGCGTATCCTTATCGCCGGCCGCAATGGGCACATGTTGTTCAGCGACGAGCTGAGGGAGTTCAGGCGGGGGGCACGACTGGGTTCCTGGTTCCATCCCGGATCAGCAAATTTTCGCAACCACAGTAGCCTATGGTATGAGGTGCAGCGACAGGAAAGATAGAAGAGAATAAGTAAAATTAAAATTGAGCGACGATGGTGAGCACCTGATCACAGCCACAGACGGAACAGCGCAAAAACAAAGCACCCCGCAAGGATCATCAGAACTTACTCGGTCTCTTTCTCTTACCGCCATCTTCAGAGGCGCTAGTGCTGTTGTTGCCATTGCTAGCTGGATTCGACATGTTGGGCGACAATTGACTTGCGGTCTGCGAATAAGTGGCGCGGGATTGCTCTCGTGGAGTCGATTCTATACCGTTCAGGTTTCTTTTTCGCGGATGATTGCAATGTTCCCGAGGTATGTAGGTTTGTGCGGTGACCGAACGAGGACACAGAGGCCACAACTGCAATAAGAAGCGACAGGCGGGGCCCCGAGATCACGAGACAACACACACACGACAGGTACCAAACAGACACAAAACCACAGCAAGTGTTGAATCGAGTCTACTGATAGTGAAGATGGAAGCAAGCTTGTGCTGTCGGGGGGGCCACAATTCTTAAATACACGGTAAGATAATCATAATAATATACTGGCGAGCGGGGGTACAGCACTGGGCCACAAGTGCTGACTGTATTCAGGTGATTCAGCCCGCTCGGATTCCGACGGCGCCGATGTTTATTGTTGGTGTAGTTATTATATGACTATTATTATTATTGATCAGAGCGAAATAATATTCAGATCAATTGAAAGAATCCGATACTATCTCGCACCATTGCAGCTCCGAGCTCGGAGATTGGCAGGCTAGCTAAAGCACGTGTATTATCAATCAGACTATTTGGTTAGACAGCTCTAATCCCAAACATGATGTGTAACACTGCAGGAAATGATATGGCGAGTAGTACAACCAAATGCTCATGTCACGAAGGGGACGCAGGAATAGAAACCGAATGGGAACGGATGTGAGATATCGGATCGTTGGCGTCATTTATCATGATATATCCTGCATGTACTCAACCAAAGTCCAGTTTCTATTCTATAATCCATAACCACCATCTACCTACTCGATTTCAGCGCCTTTGATGATACTCGCAGTGCACTGGGCAGTTGCGTACACAATTCGATGGTATTCCCGTGAATAACGGAGTACTTGCAGCAGACCGAATAAGAGCCCTACAAGAATATCACAACAAACTATCTACCAGCAACAAGCGCGACAAAACGCTGCTTGTGTATATATCAGTGTGATATTAACGTATATTAATAAACTACCAACAGCATTTTATTCCAGCCAGCTTTCGCGGGAGGCTGATGTTCGCTTATATGCAAGAATACCATTTGGGCCAGCACTCGACTAGGTCTGAAAATATATTTCAGTCTAATAATATCTTGTAAGACGTCGTTTATTTCTATAAAATTACTTAGTATTTTCAGAATGTACCGCAGAATCATGAATATGGAAAATGTAAACTATCGTTAAAGTATAAGACATGAAGTCTTCAATTATCAAATCTGGCAGCAACTCTCTGAAACTGACATGCATAACAGCCTCCCTAGGTACTAAAACGGAGTACAGATTGTAAGTACATATTGATCTGTAGCTACATATGTAATGACAATAGCTAATATCAATACATAATATAACCCATAATGTTCATGTCTACGCCTTCAGCATCGCCCAATATGAAATAGTATCGTCATCATCCTCTGAATTCTTACTGTCAGATGAGCAGTTTAAAACCAAGGTTTTCACAAAAGGAAATATTGGACCTTTTTGTACACTCTAAGTAGATGAGGTTCTGGCCAATATAGTCCAAAACCGCTTGCATTGTTTTTTTCCCTATCCCCTCTACCTTGGAGCGAAGGGTGAACTGCAATAACCTCCAGATACCAGATATCATGTCGGTTTAGCTTCTGTTGAATCTCTAAGATCAAGGTGCTTGTGGACATCTTCAGCATCTCATATCAGCGCTTATCGAAAAGTAGCCACTGAGATCGTGTATTATATATAGGGTAAACAGTAGGTACCTCCTCTCTAGGCTTCAAATCGTACGCTCTACCAAACTAGTTCCCTAATAAGAGCTAGAGTAATAGCCACGACTTCCCTATCGACCATGTCGACTGGTCCCTCGGAGGATAGAGGGTAATAATAGCATCGGCATCTGAATAGTAGTCGCTAGTGCAAGTTACCATTACCCCAGAGAACCCGCAAGACAAGAACAAGAACCCCTTTATACAACTGAACGCCACGGAATCTAGAATTGAGCAATCATTTCAGCTTAGATCGTAGAAGGAACAATTAGCCTTGGTCACACCAACCAGCGAAACCATTTCTCACCATTTCTACCAACCTTTTATTGTCTTGTTTTCCTTTTCAGCCATGGCTTATACCGCGTTGACATATGGCTCGTTGTTGGCGTGGATATCAGTAATGAGGTCTGTTGAAAGTCAATTTGCCCTGGGACCCCCATACAACCTCAGTGCGGCCGGTGTCGGGCTTTTGAATCTTGCGCCGTTCATCGGAATGCTTATTGCAACTCTAATATTCCTGGCAGTAAGTGACTAGTCTATTCTAAAACTAGCACAGCGAAACAATGGCGTCTATGGGCCCGAGATGCGCCTCTGGTTGAACATTCCAGGAGTCATATTGACTGTAATTGGCCTCATACTGTTTGGGACCAGTTTTATATATGTAAGCCTTTCTTTTCTTACTCCTGGTGAATCACAGAGCGGCGAAGAGAGGAAAAATTAACCAGATTCGATTAGTCATGGGCGTTGATAGTGATCAATGTTGCATATGCGACCTTTGGGGCAGGTTGAATTATCTGCTGCGATATTGCGATCACATATATAATTGATTGCTATCCAGATGTACATGATAACAGGACAATGTCCTTGGTATTATTTTTTTTTAACTTTTTTCCCTCTTATTGGTCCTCAACTTTTTAGAATAATCTCGAAAGCTGACTTGCTTATTCTATACAGAACCTCGGAGATGCGATGGTGTCTATTGTTTGCATCCGCAACCTTGTTTCAGTGCTTGTGATGGTCGTCTATACTCCATGGATTACCAATATGGGAATTCTCAACACGTTCATTTTGATGACCGTTCTATTGTTTTTAGCAAAACCACCCACAAGGCCTTGTCCACCGCGCTATTGCGCTCATTGACGAAGGACTGGAATCTTTCCACGGCCATTTTGCTAGAGAGAGAAGAAAACCTATGGCTGAGCTTGGTTGAAGTGAAATCGGTGCATTATCAACTAGTTCAGTGATGCTAACTATATATCATCTGTGGAAGTTGGATCGATCACGCAGAATATTTATTTCGTCAACTGCGTTGGTGAAGCATGAGGGTCAACTCCACGAAACATACCGGAAGATCTTGTTGAATCGCATACCGCAGCATCATTTACTGGCTACAGACAATCCAAATATATTGTTAAAAGGATGTTAGCTATGGTAATTAGCAGATATTGTCCCAGGTCTCAGAGCCAATGAACGCCTGGAATAACTTTCCAATGGTGGATTCCACGCAACTGAGTAATCACAGAGAGTCCCATACTACCACTCATCCAATTCCCTGGGTAAGTACGACAAGTCGGTCTGGTTTGATAGTTGAATTATGTAACAGACTGTGGGCCGTCTAAGCAAAGGCAGAAGCCGTCTCGAATGACAGCTTTGCAGTTCTTTCTCCTGAGACGTCAGAGATCCACGACTGATTGGGCAAGGCTGCCAGGCGACGTGGCAGCGTGCCCGGGCATGAAGTGGATCACGGTGATATTGTCAACTCAGCATCACTCTGAACAGCACTCAGAGACCGTGCCATGGGCTGTTGATACTTGATAACTAGTTAATAGTTAATAGTATTTTGTGTTATTGTCACGCGCAAGCATTGATTAATAAGATTGTCAACGGAAGGCACGGCCCGCTTCCGCAAGGACAGTGGCAGCACACTTCCAACCTCCTGTCTTTTCTCGCTCTATCACCAACTTTGAATTCATCCTTGCAAATGCAAAGAATGAGGCTACAAAGGATGCCCGCCTACATCCTCCCGTCTTCTCTTGTCGCATACTCATCCTCACCAAGAAGTGTGTTCTGGCGATGGCCAATGAGCACCACTGTGGGTCGCAGGCTCCCGCTCCACCAGCAACGCCGAGTTGCAAGTTGCAACTCGCCTTGCTCAAGTCGACGCTCAACTCATCGCATCGTCGATGCTGTCAGACCATCGCCTCTCCTATTTACCGCCTGAAAGCTGGCCTACCGCAGCACGAATGCCCAAAGCGGCTACACTGCTGACACCGGCCAGTCTGGAATCTTGCTCATCTTGATGTTTAGCGCGCTATCTGACCTGAGTCACACTTCTGAGACGAAAGGCGCTTACCCACTCTTCACCGCAATTCATTGGATCGCAGTGGCAACCTCTACTCGCGTTGGCCGTCTCGATACCAATACGTGACAGTGGACACTGACCTATGGCTCCACTCGTAGTGATTACAATCCAGTTTGCTGCTTTGCTCTCGGGCTCTCCCCATTCGCGGCTTATGCCTGCCTAACTCAGGGACACACTGACACAGATGAGACGATGAAACTAACAGCGACGTAACTGGGCCGCAGAGAAGCCTAACCATACAGCATCAAACCCGATAGAGCTTCTTTATAGGAGAGGGCAGCCAATCAGGCGACTCACCAGGCTATGGATTGGGCGTTCTGATGCTGCCCTCGCCCTCGCCATCTCTGGAGCACGATTCCATGACTTCCTTTTTAGCTTGCCTACATCCTACAAAACTGGGTCCAGAACATCGGGATCAATGTGGATGTTTCGTGGACTTGAGATTCCTCCCTTTGCCCCGTGGATACTCAGGCGGGTGTCCACGCATTGCTCGTTATCCGTTCCCCGTGCCAACTTGGCGTACAACACCGAACACCCATTGCTGTTGTTTCTTTCTCAATTCATGATAAGTTGCTAGTTTAGCCCCGGTTACATAATGCATGTTCCTGAATTATCTTTGAATAGTATATTATACTGCATGTAGGCTCACCTGTCTTCCAGTCAATCCCTTGCTCTCTGCCGACTTTGTCAATCTATACACGATATCACTGATACACATTTACATACATCTCCCCTCTTTCCATAAGACTTGAGTCCTCATCACTCTATAACACCATTCTCTTTATACTCCCAGTTACAGTTTCAACCTCCTACTTTGGCCTCCTTGACTTCGGCGGCCTGATCCTACACAATCTATCTAACAATAATGCCCCTCTCACACCTCACACTGACTGTCTCACATCTACCCACCTCGACATCATTCTTCCTTGCATGTCTCCAACCGCTTGGATATCAATATATCGGACGACATGACGAGTTTATTGGATTTGGATCCAAAGCCGACGAGCCGGCCGATTTCTGGCTTTCGCAAGAACGGCCAGGGTAAGATAACCCTCAGTCCGACCAGCCATCTGTTACTAACATAAAGAAGAACCCCTGCCGGTGCAGTTCACATCGCCTTCCCGGCACCATCAAAAGAAGCCGTGAACGCTTTCTTCGTCAACGCCTTAAAAGCCGGCGGTAAGATCCATGGTGAGCCTAAAACCAGAGACCACGAGAGCGGATACTTCAGTGCCGCTATCATAGACTTTGACGGCAACAGCATCGAGGCCGTTTATCGCCCTGATGTTACGACACGCTCGCAAACCGGAGGACCAACTTTTCAAAAGGTCAAAAACGATACTGTGGTCTCGCGTGCTCGGTCAACCAAGACCGAAACTGTCGTACGTGCCAAGACTGTCTATGCGATTAATGATATTCCCCCGTCGCAAGTCAGATCGCTACATGATCAGCATCTGCAGCAGTCATATCCGTTGCCGTCGCAAGGGGAGAACTCAAATATCACAGCAAAGACCATCATTGGCACTCTCCTCGGCGCAACCGCTGGTGCCGCTATCGCATATGCCATGGTGAAAGGCGACTCCTCAAGCTCTCAACCACCAGCCCCTCCCTCGGGTCCATCTCCGCCATCCCAATATGCTCAGCAACAGCAACCAATACAGCAGATGCCCCTGCAACTACCCATGTCGATGCCCATCATTCCCATGCTAGGACCTGCACCCTCAGCGCCAGCACTACAAGAACCCCCCACCTACCGTGCCCTCGAAGCTCCTCCGCCCGCTCGAAGCACATACACAGCCAACGACGCAATATCTGCCTTCACACGATCTGCCACTTCCAAAAGCCCACGCGCCGACACCATATACGAGGATACCGAATACTACCCTCCCGTCGACGGGCCGCGCGGAAGCGTCTATTCCCAAGAAACCAGCGGAATACGTCGCTCTTCCAACGGAAGCGTGTACGCAACCCGCGACATCCCCATTCGAGCAATCGATTATCCCGGATCGCAAAAGGGGCGGTCGCAGTCATATCCCTGCGACCCCAGTACCTTGATCAGCAGTTACGCTGAGAACTCGCGCGCTCAGCTACAGGGCCATATCATTGGCGACGCCGAGACGGAGTTTTCGTCAATATCAACCATCAAACCGGCCAAATCGATGCATTCGTCATCATCATCGTCCGCCCATCGCAACAAATCATCCCACCACCATTCCCATACCTCCTCGCATTCTCCACCACAACAATCGCAATCAATCCTCTCTCAATCCCCATCCTCACATCGCTCCTCCAAATCCCACGCGAGCAAACACTCCCACAATCATCGCCACCTTCATCCCGACGAAACCTACTCCTCAACCTCATCGTCTCGCTCCGCCCACAAGACTCCTTTACCAGACAGCAAACCAACCTCCGTGGCCTCCTACTCACATCGCTCTAGCACCTCTAAACGCAGCAAATCCCACACATCGCCGCACGCCATCCCCCTGCCGGCCTCCACAGCCCCGAGTACCATCTTCCTTGACGCCGTAGACATCGACGTCGCCAACACCGCACTCACGCCAGACGACAGCATCAGCCAAGTGGGCATAAACCCTTCCCCTTCAGACCACAAACAATCTCGCTCAAAACCCAGCTCCTCGTCATCGTCGACATCCAAACGATCATCGAACACGAAGAAATTCGACGAGCCAGTGCGCCCAAGTGACAGTATAAGCCAGGTCTCAAGCAATCATTCGCGGACGACCGAGCGGACTGTCAAGGCGTATTCGAAGAGCGGGTCGAGGGGGAGTCATTATTAATGACACAACCCTTGCATTGGACGTACAACCGACAGTAAGAGTATGAATATAAGCAGTGGTAGACAGAACAGGCCGATACGAAGTAGAGTAATGCTGCATTGTTGGAGTTTGATGTTATTCTTGTTATCGATTATTAATATTTGTTGCTACGTTCTGACTTCATAGTTCCAGTCATTATTGAAACTTTATCTTACCAGCTACATCATAAATAATTCTTATAAGTTCAGGTATCAGGAACTAGTTCCAGTAAGGATGTGTTTACCCAATTACTAATACTTCACAGAACAAACCTATTAGCATCAACATTTGAGGCAAGGAAAATAGATATCGTAAAAATATGAAAGTACTTTTAATATTTAATGCAACTACACCTATATCATGCACCCATCCATCACCGCCAGGTACCAGCTAGTCAGTCACACTATATCATATACCCGATACCGCTGAATTCTTAATACCGAAAGAAAAAAAGTTCAGATCATGAGATTTGATATTGATAGAGTAGTCCAGTAGCAAAGTGGAAAACGAAATCCCGCCGATGATGACAAATGAGGAACGGCACAAACCGTCCGACAACAGAAAGGAGAAAAAAAGTGCAACCGATTACCAACAGAGAGAATATAGAGTACGCAATACTTTAAAAGGTTGAACATAAAGAATCAATCAACTCGGGCTCCAAAAACCACCACCACGGTACGCCAGCGCTACCTCCGATCCGGTCTAATGGTCAATGGTCAGGTCTTTTTTTTGTTCACATTATCAGGTCGTTGCCAAGGAAAGGATGCACTATGCACTATGTATTTGTTTTTTTCGTGGCCATTGGAAAAAAAGACCGAGTTTAGGCCGTAACGATCGTTCATTTGTTGTGGTGGTCCAAGGGTATCAAATTGCGTATTTGCGTGTCCATTCTCGGGCTGTGGCATCGTATCGACCGCGGTCTGTCTTGTAGACATGCGCAATCTCCGGCACCAAGGGGTCGTCGGGGTTGGGGTCTGTGAGCATCGAGCAGATTGACAGAAGAACTGTAAATCGTTAGCAAGCATTCTGTGACTGTTGGTTAAGGAGTAATCACCCTTCGAGATCGTAAGAGCCGGACTCCACTGGTCTCTCAAAATATCCAGACAGATACTACCGTTGGAGTTGATATTGGGGTGATAGATTCGAGTCGTAAAGTTAACCTTGGGGGCCTTGAACGGGTAGTCCGTAGGGAAATGGATCCCTAGGAAGAAAACACCGCCAGAGTATGGGGAGTCGCCAGGACCCATGATCGTAGCTTGCCAGTGGAACTTAATATCTCAGTTAGAACACAAATAGTTTCGACTGCAAATCTGAATTAAAGATCGCCACATACCAAATCATCGCCAATAGGGCCAGCAGAGCAGGATGAGGGCGGATCACTGTATCACCGTTAGTTAGCCGTCCAAGTAGAAAGATGAAATCAAAGTGAAAAGCGACGTAAACGTGTACAGAATGCAGGTAGTGAGGTGACGTTGGGCAACGATATGAACACATGCCCCGCAGCTGTGGTGGGGAGGCACGCTTGAAGAGAGACGATAGGAAGCAGGACGAGGCAAAAGAGGGGAATTATCAAACTCACCGTCCGAGATCTGTGAGTTCCTTTTGAATGCGCTTAAGGGCCATCGTGAGATACGCTGTGTGCAGTGAGGGGATACAAGAACAGAAAAGACCGCAGGAGGGACGAAGAGGGGCGTTTCAGTCTAGCGAGGCGATAACGCCGTCAGTTCTTAATCATACGACGGATAGGATCGACCTTGCTGTCGAGGCCATGAGGGTAGAGGGAAGTACATACCGTAAGGAGAGGGGGATGCCAGGGAGAAGAGTCTCGTTGGGTATGACGATGACAGAGATAGCGAGAAAGAAAGAGAGAGAGAATCTAATACGACGATGGAAGAGGACGGAAGAGCAAGAGAGAGAAAAGACCCACTGAAATACCGTACCGTCACGGGCCGTAAGGTCCTCATCACCTGACGCCAGTCGCCACCGAAGTCATCGCTGCAGAACTCCCACAATACGGTAATTACGGTGTCTCGGCCAGGGCACTATTCCATTGGCTGCTGGCCATCTTCTTTACGTGCCGAACAGACATTTTATTGTAAAGACAATGTAGACATTTTTTTATATCAACAACTCTTACAATGATGCATTATACTATTTATTTACCTTCCCGCTCAGACAAATGCCTGAATGCCGGTAATCGCCCGGCCGAGAATAAGAGCTACGCTTGAGGTCAGCAGGATTCGCGCAGACAATCAAAAGCGGACAGCCAGCACTTACAGTGAATATCGCTTTGCCCTTCATACGTCTGCGTGACAAATAGATTCGCTACGTGTCGCCCGATATGGTACTCGTCGCTCGTGGCGTTGCCGCCAAATATTTCTTGCAGTCTGCAGTCAGTCAGCAGTCAGTCAGCGTGCTTCGAGAACATTCGGAACAAGAACGTACGTCCTCGCATTCGCCAACGCCCTGTCGCAATTCTGTCGCTTGACCATGGAGATCATTTCTGGCGCGGACTTTCCGGCGTCCTTCAAGCGAGACACCTGGGTGGCAGCCAGCGTACCATATGCAGCGTCGGTGGCGGCATCAGCCAGCTTCTTCTGGATAAGTTGGTATTTGGCCAACGGGTTCCCTTTGAACTGCTTTCTCTCCAACGCATACTCCCTCGCCCGACTGAGCGCATCCTCTAACGCGCCCGTGACACCATAGGCAATCCCCAATCTCGCACTGTTGAGGCAGGTGAACGGGCCAGCCAAACCCTCCACATCTGGAAACATATTCTCAACCGGCACGGGGCACTCGTCCAGCTGAATTAAACCTGTGATTGATGCTCTCAGCGCAGTCTTGTTCTTAATCGCCGGTGTCTCCAGCGTTCCTGGCGGGCACTTGCTCCGCTCCACCAAAAAGCCCTTGATCTTCCCCGTACTCTCCAACTTCGCCCACACAAGCAGAACATCGGAAATCGGTGAATTCGTGATCCACGTCTTTGTGCCTGATAGTGAATAGTACCCTTTCCTTGTCGGATGCTCCCGCGCAACAGTCTCCATTGATCCAGGGTCAGATCCATGATTCGGCTCTGTCAGACCGAAACAGCCCAGCAACTTGCCCTTTGCGAGCTGCGGTAAGAATCTGTCTTTTTGCTCTTGTGTCCCGAATTCGTAGATTCCCGTCATTATAAGCGAGCTTTGAACGGACATTCCCGACCGATATCCCGAATCCACGCGCTCGACTTCTTTCGTAATCAGGCCTGACGCAACGGTGCTCGCGCCAGCGCATCCATAGCCGTGGATTGAGGCGCCTAGTAGTCCAATCTCCCCCATTTCCAAGAGTATATTGCGATCGTAGTCTTCATTTCGGTAAGCCTCTACAGATAATTTATCGTCAGCATCAATCTCTTCCAGTCAAGATATGACATCACGGATCTGATCACAGCTCGTACCAAGTACTCTCGGCAGCAAACGCTCCTGACAATACTGCCTCGCTGTATCCTGAATCGCCAATTCCTCCTCCGTAAACAACTCCGACGCCGCCAATGGATCCTCCCAGTTGAAGACCGCCGAAGACGCCCATCGGCAATTCTGAAGCGGGAAGGACGTCGTCCGCACGTTGGCGGATCTGCGGAGTGTTTGGAGTGGGCGCGAAGCGGCACGTAGCATTGAGCAGTTCATTTTTAGAGAATGGCAGGCTATAGTTTCATGTCAGGGACGAAGTCCTAAACACAATCATTGAGGCAATTGTCAGCGATCCATCTATGTGTACACACGATCAGAGGAGGAGCGGCAGCGGAACGAAGATCGATCATGGCATTCATGACAGACAAGGCGGCACAATTGAGGACTTACGTTCAGTTCAGTAAGTGTTCGTCCACTGTAGAAACTGTAGAGTTCAAAGCAAGATTCAACGAGCTTCCAAGCAATGCTCTGTTCGCCATGAAGTAAAGCATAGCCGATCGTGTCCCGCACTGTCTCGACCTACCTCGGCCCTGGCAGCCAATCAGCGACTCTTCCCCACATCAACTCCAAAAGAATCGCCGTGGAGTTTACTTTTACTTTTATATCACACATTATAAATATAAAATAAATAAGACTGGCATTGACAAGTTGATACTGATACTGATACATCTATCCCTCTAGAAGTTCTCCTTGCCCCAGACATACTGGAATCCCGGCTCCGAGTACTGATTACACTTTATATGCAACTGACTGCCCAGACCCTTTGGTCCACAGAAGAACACTCCAGCTTCTGCAGGGGTGTGGATCTTACGCACCGATCGAAAGATCATGTCCCAATTCGGGCGCCCAAAGTTCGTTGGAGCACGCAGGCCCGTTATAGCGTCGATGTCCGCATTGGCGTCGTTGATCATGATATTCGTCGCATCGTCCGCTTTGATTTTAGCCGTTAGATACTAACCCACCATCGTCAGCCAGCCCTACCTCTATAATAATTATATTTGGAGTGACTCACCGTATGAATCTCAATCTTACTCTCCATATCCTGCGACTCAATCGCAGCGAGCAACGATTTGAACCACTCAAAGGACCCAAAATCACGACAAACCCAGAAAAAATACACTTTCCTCAGCCTGGTGCGCTGCTGCGGATAGTTCATTCTGTACCAGACACTCTTCAGAATCGACGCAAAGGGGTTACGCCAATTCCCGCGCCAACCAGCATGGCGACTTCGTACTTGAACACGTCTTCGGAGGCACTGCCAAAGGGGCCATCAATATACACTCGTGGCAGAATGCGGCGGATGGCAGGGTCCACGTTGTCGTCCGGATCGCTCTTGTTCACGCCCACGACGGCAGACCGGTTGGCGTCCTTGTTGCCCTTGGCAGCTTCAAAGTCGCAGCCGAGTGTTTTGGCGAGCGCTTTGGTGAAGTTGCCCACGCAGCGAACGTGAACGGAGATGTAGTCCTCTTCGGGGGCGCTGGTGAGCGTGAAGGGGTGGTATTGCCAGAGTGACACTTCTGGGCAGCAGAGGAAGATGTACTAAACGAATCAGAACAAAAAATATATGTAAGATCAAGAGAATGTGGATTACCTGTCCAGCTCTGGTTTTGGTCCGCGCCTTTTTGATCTGGATCTCGACCACGTTGCTTGGATGCTGAATCACCTTTGAAATATAGGTCTTGTGCCATCCGCGAATCTCTCGCGCAACCCGTTCAGCCAGATAAATAACCGCGCCATAAATCCAGTACTGATAAAACACACCGATCCCCGAGCAAAACGGGGCGAAGTCAGTGGGGATCATACAAAAAATGCCATGCATAGACCAGAAAACGAAGAACACGATGAAGAGGTGATGCGTGTACCAAAAGCGCTCGAAGTTATTTCGCCGCGGCTTTTCGATGGACGTAAAGACCATGGCCATCAATGCGATCAGCATGATCCAGCCGGTCCAGGTAGGGCCAGTTAAGAAGCCGGCGCGAAGAAATCCGACAAACCCCTGCCCGTTTTTGGCGGAGAGCTGGGCGACGTTGTTCAGATGGGCGATTGTGTGGACCCAGGTGAAGAAGACGATTGCCCATGCCACCACTGGAAGATTAGTATAGGTTTAGACGGTAAATTTCTTGGTACTTACGTTTATGGAATGTGATGTTTTTGTCTGCACTCGTCAGGCATTGTTTTGACAGGCCTTGCTAAGGCGAGAAACGACTTACCAAATTGTATAATTCCATTCAAAGGGGTCTGTCTCATGAGAGAGATCAAAGTCCGACAGACAGCTGGGTCACCATCAGTAACTCAGATCAAAGACGTATATAAGATAGACCTCACGGAACAGGATTAAGGCGACATTGGTATGCAGAACCAAAGCAGCAGCTCGTGCCACCATATATGTCCAAGTATAAGTTCCCCTTGCATTATTCAAATTGTCCTAGTCATTATTAATCGAGACAACACCAAAGCGCTTGTTTTCTTCTCACCTTAAACCCATAATTCAAAAATCCAAACACGAAAATCATAATATTAGCCAGGACGAAAGCGAGCACGGTACTATTCGCATGTCATTATCAGCATCATCAACTCGAATACATGTACACCAACATACAATCTTCTCCATCCCTCATTGATCATCCTAGCCATCACATCGTTAGCAGCTGATCACCCGACATGACGATCAACTCACCAGCGATCGAACTTTTGCTTTGTCGTCAGCTCCTTTGGCGCGAGACCGCTCATCTCGCCGGACATCAACATCCTCGTTAGAGGCGGGTATCTCGCACGCTCCTTCTTGTAGCTAAAGCTGCCGTCCTGCGGCAATTTGTCTAGTTTATCCATGTTGGGTTGTAATTAATAATATTGGCCTTTTTGACAGCTGCTTGCAGTATCGAGGAATAAAATATCGAGTCTCAAAGCCCGTTCGAGGCTCGATAATTAATAAGAAGTAAATGTATGAACGAACTGTCAACGTTAGTGTTGTATAGCAGGCGGTTAGGGTTAAACACTTACTGAAGCAATGCAAAATGCAGTCTAACAGATCAAACAGAAGAACTGCTCCAGAAAATCAAGGCGAATCACTGCATTAAGTAAATTTATGCAATGCCACAGAGGATATTCCCCAAGGAGACTCCCGAAGGGGCCGAGTGTGTGTGATACACCGGGCCGAACATAGGTCGACACAGAACTAGGAACAAGCCGGTTTCAAGGTGATTTTAGAGGAAATCTGTTCCAAAGTGTAAGGGATCTACTTAAGGTATCTCATCACTAGCCATGAATTCGCTCGATCGAGTTAGATAGAACTAGTCAAAATGCATGAGACGGAAGCCCCTGACGGCCCTGCCTAGAATTATCAATGCTACAACATATGTAGTCAGATTTGATAACCATTTGGATGAAGTGAGCTATCGATTAATACTTTTCATCTTATTGGCGGTCGGATCCCATCGTGTTTGAGCCTCTGTCGTGGCGGGACAGGAGAAGCGTGAAGAGCGTCTCACAACTGCATCGGGCGGTTTCAACCCGCGTCACGCTGGCGGCCTGACCTCACCACATCAACAAACCCTACTTTACTTAAAGTCACTGCAATACAATAGTTATACAGCTCTCCATAATAATACATGACATAGTCGAAATAACGAATTCCGACTCTTTGCAGCTATTTCTACTTCTCTTCTCTCCATATAATTGAGATTTGTTATTTTAAATAATTCAAATTTTCAAAATATATCAAAATATCAGTTTAAATTTACAAAAATATTCAAAATAAAATAAGAATATTCAATGATAATCCTACTGGGAGACTCTCTGGAATTGATATACTTGTCCTAAACCTAGGAGAAAAATTTGTAAGATTTACTTGCGCAAATCTAGAAATCCATGCAAGCCAGGAAATATTATGATTACAGAATACTATGACGGCACAATAGAAGCATTCAAGTAACCTATTCATACGCAATATTCTTATAAGTTCCGAGTATCTACTCATCAGTACTCTTCTTTTCTTTAAAAAAATCCACATTCAACGACAAAAGACTCCAAAAGACTCCATTATGGAAATGCCTACTCTGTTCCATTAGGGACAGGCCATTGATAACACAGAAGCTAGTCCATATTAATACAGGACACTAATGAGCAAATCTTACCCACCCTCAGCTCATCTGTATACACAAGTTAATAGATTAATAGTTGACTCTCTTCAATACATGCTATATAGATATACGATTTATCATCTAGAAATCGGTATATTTCTTGCCACAATTGTCACTGGATAGGCCCGGAGTCCTAGCTAGCAAGAGCTAAGAAATACAAAAGATTTCGATAGGAAGGAAAATGAATCACACTCCTCCATACCAGGTGACGCTCCGAAGCTCGCTTTATATACTCACCATATAAAGCTCACGCCTTGGAGCCTAGCAACTTGTACGGACTAATAGAAACTCCTGCGAGTGTGCGTTTTTGGGGCACGTTGGAATAGCTTCGCGAGGGCAAGCGTGTGCGTGACCCAAGCAAACTATATACAGTCCAATCCGTCATAACAATTACGAATGGGGCACTCATAGTTATCAGTATACCAAAGCTAAGACGATTCAGCGACGGTGGCCAGGTGCGAATGTAGCGCAAGAGAGATGGTAAGATAACGTTCTAGTAAATTGTATTAGAAAAAACCCCCCTAAACAAATCGGAAGCACAAAAATAGCGCCTCAAATAGCTACCAAAACATCTACTTCATCAAAAATATAATAAAATCATATATTCTTATGTGTATTTAGGAAAATGGAGGGTGTATGGATCGAGCCCTATATCAATTGATATGCCGAAAGTTAGCTTGAAATCCCGATGGCATCGCTACTACATGTGTAAAGAAGGACTTGCTGATTCTCCTGCCAAGCAAATTGATTGATTATCTGCATAACTTTAAGCTAACATTACGTCAAAAACTATCCTTAAAAAAGTAGCATGCTAATACATACATAGTTGCAACACTTAGTCGGTGGGGGCGTAAAAGAGTCCCCATGAGGGCCTTTTCATGTTGATCGAATTCAGCACCATCCAATCGTATCGCCACAAGGTCAACGATAAATATAAAGCTGAAAAAAAAATTTTATTTAGGTTTGATCGTATCCTATGCTGTCCACGGCTCCATGTTGAGAAAAGCGTAAGGCTGATCGATTATGTAAAAGGTTTCTGTCTAACAATGGTGCTCTAAGACCTCTATACATAAGTATAATGCCTATTTATTCAATGTAGTTCAGGCAGTAATCTGCCAATATAATAGGGTATATTTGATAGCATTCTTCGCCTCTTAAGTATTCCTGGTAGTGATCAGATCACCACCATGCTTGGCCGTGGCATATCGATGTATAGGTACCTCTATTCACAGGCACTCGATATGTAGTTGAAGCAACCCGCTCTCGGGGCTGTATTCTCCACCGTGAATGTATAGTAACACTTCGGTCCTTTACGTATTTACGTACATTATTGGTTTTCCTTTTTTCCTAGTTCGGCAACTGGTACTGAAAATAGTTTCAATTCACAGAATGTAGGAATGCATAGCCCTGGTTCATTATTGACCATAAGAACTATAAATACTGTTATCTCTCACTCATTTATTTACAGGAAAATACACACAATAAAACAAACTCATCTCAATTATCACTCATCTTTATCGCACACAATTAAAATATCCAATACTCACCATGGCCATTTCATCCTCCGTCCGCAATATTGTCCTCACTGGCCTTCTCGGAGCCACCGCAGTTCTGGCAGGTGGAAGTGCACAGGTGAACTATTACACTGACGCCGGCTGCACTCAGTACCAATGGAGCGATGCATTCTCCCTTGGCTCCTACGCCGGACCGGGATACTCCTACTCCTATCAACTTGAGGGCACACAGTCGGCCAACGTCGCCAACTGCAACGACTGGACCTGGTGCGTCTGCACCTTTTACGACACGAACGGCAACACGCTCGGTGAAGCCCAGAATGCCGGGTCCAACTGTGTACATGGCGACGTAGCGTCATTCTACTGCTATGGTAGAAATGCTTCTTAATCCCCTTCGAGTAAGGGTTCCATGCATCCTCATTCGATATATAAGGTCATACTGAGTTCAGACTGGCAGAGAACTAGGACGGACTGAATTGATCGGATTTGGTCAAGCATTCAATAGAACTGACCGATTGGTGTGGACTGGAAACCGGAGTCGAGGGATTGTTTTTTGTACTTTGGATTGCTTTCTATATAGTCAACTTTCCGAAGCCTGTACATAGCGCAAAATTAGACGGCATGACTTTGTCTCTGCTTGATAACAATGATATTTTATCCTCTCACGATAACGAACACTTTATTATAACGTAGGAGATAGAAATAACTCATCTTTAGTGATGCTGAATCAAATAAGTCAATATCAGTACACATTATCCAATAACTATCTCCTCAGGGTTCAATTTGAGCCGTAATGGACATAGCCGCTTCGTACCATCGGTCCTGCTCATGAAGTTACCGGACACAGCCACGCAGCATATACTGGTCATAAACCCATCAATTGCTTCACATTAACATCAACGACACCAACAAATGCAGCACAAGACGGAGAAATGACGCTTATATATCGTCTATATCTAACCACCTCATCTTATCCACCTCACACAACATATCACTACAACAAGTTAACCATTCCAACAAGTCAACTATCCTAGCAAGTCAATAAAATGGCCACCACCATGGACATCTCTTCGAACCCCCTCGCCAAATTCTCCCTGCGAACCCGCCAAAATACAATCCTGCATACAGGGTACATGGGGACCATCAAGTACATGCTCCAGACCCTAATATTCGAAGAATACAGCACAGGTCTACACGCGCAAATCGGTGTTTTCGAAGGCCAGCGTGTTGACGTTAATACAAACGAGGAGGTAGACTGCATTATCAAGGTTCGGATGCAGTAAGCTCCCCACTCTACACTATCTATATTTGTATATATGAATATCTAATGCTTTAGACTCAACCCCGTCCTCATCCCCCACGCATCCTCGTCCTCCCGTGCCTCGTACTTTCTCGACCGCGAGTGTCGCGCACTCCGCGCAGCGCAGTACTCCGGTCGCACGCCTGACTTCGTCGCCTGTGCGAGCGAAGTGCAAGACCGCAGCGGGTTTTATCCCGGTGGGTATCTGGATATTATTGCCATGAGCAAGTTACCAGGGAAACCTATCGCACAGTGTCTCGGCGCGTTGACGGCTGCTGATTTGAAGGTTATCAAGAAGGATCTAGCCGTACTCCTCAAGTAATCCTCCCCCCCCCACAAAATCCCTTTTCCCGGCTTCTTTGCATATATATGTATGTTAATGAGGGATCAGATACATGGATCAAATTGGCTACAGCCTCCCTCTCGACGCCAGTACCAACCCTTCGGAAGAGATTGGGAATCGGGATCGGAGTGGCTTGCAGGGCCGTCTAGCGCGCTGGGTCATTGATGACAACCACGTGTCGTACGACCAGGCCAGCAAATCGGTGTATTTGAGTGATCTCTCACGCTTCGGGTTCTACGGCGAGACGTTTGGGGGAGCCCAGCACGAGGAGATTATCGCTCGCTCCGAGTTTTGGCAGAAACTGGTTGCGTTGAATCAGTTGAAACGGCTGGGGTTGGACAATAGTAGTGGTGTGAGGGGTGAGGAGGGTGCGTTTACGTTGTGTTCTAGGGGTAGGAATAGGGCTGTGGACAGGGATCCGTGGCTTGTGAGGGAGCGAGATTTGATTGATGCGTAATTGGTATGCGATGGATGGCGATAGCGAGGGTAATGAGGGGAATCTACTTGCTAAATGACAGGAGTTAAAGAGCGTTAGATGAGCGGTAATCGATAAATCTTTCATTCATCTTCATCAGACATAACTCAGCCGATAGAAATCTATAAGCTAAAACATGCAGTCACGCCGGCATTTGCGACTGCAAGAAATCAAAGACTCCCGTCGGAAAATACTCTTCATCAAAACCCCACAAATCCGTCATCATTGGATCTAGTGATCCCGCCGAAAGTCCAAGCTGGGATTTGTCCATTGTCGCATTTGTTGCCACGGGGAATCCGTTGTTAGGTGGATTTCCATGAGGATTACTACGTTCAGAGGAGAGGGGGGCCACGCCTAACATGGCTGGCGGGTGGCTCAGTATTGTAGCGCGTTCCCCGATAGTTTGGGCGTTGCTCAGAGAGACTGTATTGTAAAGTGAAGGTGTGTCATGCAGCCAGCTAGGCTGCTGAAGGCGTGGTGTGGGCCTGGTTGAATGGCTTGTATGTTTTTCTTCCCATTCCCGAAATCCCTCCATCATCTTCCCCAGGCCGCGTGCGATGTGGTGGCTGAGGTGGCGTTCGCTGGCTTTCTCGCTAATTGATATCATCAGATCGACAATCTTTTCGATTGTCCGTAGTACGCTCGACACATTGATGCGTAGAGCTGCTGCCGCGAGAGAGTTTCGCTGGCTAACGGAAGCGTTTACGCAGGAGGGATGCACTTTGACCGCGATTTTGAGCAGAAATACAGCGGCAAAGGTGATCATGCTATGTAAGAACAGCGGCACTCCCACAAGACTCCTTTGGATATCAGGCTCGTCAAGCACCGTCTGCAAAGTCGACATAGCACTGTCGATGGCGATCTCAGCATATTTCTTACGCTCGGCTGAAAGAGGTCGGAAAGAGTTCGCCGAATGATACGTCCTCAGAGCCAGTGAGTTCAACGTAAGGCGAGAGAAATGGTAATGTAGAGCCACTGCTTTGAACGGATAATCGCCGACAAAGGCATTTCCCACTACATCTGTTAGTACAGCCATTCAAGTTCATGAAAGAGATATCTCACCAAGCCGAGACGCCCATATCTTCTGCCAATTTTCTATATCTTTATCAAACGTTTCAATCTTCGGCAGCTCATGTTCAAGTACCTCCAGGTCCACATCCGGGCCGAAGGCATGGTAGATACGAGTTAGTGTGATGAACAAGGCAACTTGGCTATGAAGACGTATATCGCGCTGTTCGACAGAAGGCATATTGAGGAATGTTTCGTGTTTCACGATGCATACATCTTCATGAATGATAGGTGGCCGGCCATACGCTATCGAGAAATGATGTTCTAGGACCTTTCGGGCACATCAGTGATTTTCTAGTAACTGATATATTGTGGCTTACATAGAGAATATACCACAACTGAGCCTGTTCCCTGTGCTCAGGGGAGCTCTGCATAGCTTTGCGGTAACACTGGTGAAGGTTTCGTTCCGTCGCTATGCGCACTGCGTAACCGGATAATTTCCAGCTGACATCCGATAACCAAAATGCGCCAATACACAGAGCTCGAAGATCGTCAAGGCTATGATGTCGATTCAGCATCGAATCCGACGCAAGTCTAGCAAACTCGGCATAGCAAGTATCAAATATTCTTTCCTTGCTGGGTATATGAAGAGCGGTAACCGCCAGCACGGCAGATGTCAGCAGTGTGGACGATTGTCTAGCAGACAAAAGACGTTTATGAGGCATAACCAATCCATCCCATAGATAATGATTCAGCCGCCTATCGAAGTAGTTGAATAACTCTTCTGCCTCGGTGAGATCCACAACTCCTCGCGATATAAAATCCGCAGCGACCAATCGATCAGGCGCATATTGGCGCGTAGGCGAGTTATCTCGCGAATGGCTCAATTGTGTAACCTCAAACAGACTCCCCATCGGAGCCGTCACTATAGTCACCGTTCCAGGTTCCTCTCTTTCAGGAGAATAGTGCGACTGCTCCCTATGCGTCCGATATACAGAACTCAGGCGACGAGCATGTCCACCAGCGGTATTCTGCAGTGTCTCAATATGGTCTTCGTTGCGTGGTGTCGCTTCCACGGATGTTGTAGATAGCTTTCGATCTCGCTCACTCAGTCTGGTCCGGGGTGAGGGACCGCCGCCTTGATAGTAGGAAAGTTCAGGCAGCTGGGCCTTTCTTAACAAATCCGCCATCGCCAATTCCATCATTGTCTTCCACCTGCAAGACATAAAACCGTTAGCAGTCTTCCTTCAATGATTATTTCTACACTATCATTAAATTGGGTGCTCACTCGGCTTCGTCATCCAACAACGTCTGTAGACTTTTGTTGACCACACATTGTAAGCCCATGCGCTGACATCGCTGGCAAATCTGATTCCCCGGCTTCATATCACAGCGCACCTTATGGCGCTTGCACTCGGTACAAGCGCGGATCTTGCGCGAGATCTTGGGGATGTGTCGCAGCGAGCCGAGCCCTTCATCGTCGGGGGAGCGTGAGGGTCCTCCTCCACCGCCGCTGCCGATGGGGGAAGAGGACGAGTGTTCCCCATTGCCTTCGAATTGGATGCGATTCCGCTTCATCGTCGGAGATCGGTCGGGAGAGCCAGCGGCATGGTGGTGGCCAGCAACGAGGATGCGTACAAGCTCAGTCTCGAACGTATTGTACAACAGCAGTGTCTGCACTTCGGACTTATCATGCAGGCAATCGGCCACCAAGCCGGGGAGAGCGGGGGCAGCCGCGCTTGCTTAGGGCAGCCACGTGACCTGATCCGTAAAGCAGTTAACAAATCGACAAATCGTACGAATACGCAGTACTGTGGCTCCTGTCTTGACACAACAATATGTGCAGATTTCTACACAGAAAATACTTACCATCGCTATATCGATAGTCTGACTCTCAAGCTTGTGAATACAACAGCCAATCAGAGATGACTGTGTTGTGGAGATACAGCCTAGTCCCGATTGGGTTTAATAGCTTCACGGCGCGATTGCCCTCATGCGCGCACCGCGTACAGGACTATTTGCTTGTCTTGACCAGGCTGCCTTTTGTCCATTCCCCTCGATCCTATGTCCTTTCTCTTTTCTTTTCTTTCTTCCCTTTTTTCTCTAGTCCACCTTCCTTTCGATTATTTCTATCAGAATACCAATACCACTCTTAAAGGCTGACTGATCAGAGTTCATCAAACGCCGATTCAGCCAGCCGTCGTCACCATGGGCATCAAACGTCAGTAGCGCATAATATCTTTACCCCAGATCGAACCAGCTAATCAATTTCAGATCTGTACCAAGTGATTTCCGAAAACGCCCCTGATGCTATCAAGACTGGGGAAATCAAGAACCATTTCGGCAGAAAGGTCGCCATTGTAAGTGTATATTATTTCACCCTACAACAGTAGAACAGTATGCTAATCTAGTCATTCAAGGACGCGTACGGGCACTCCTTTCCTTTTCCTTGAACTATACTCACGTAAATCCTAGATCTATGAGCATTTACAGCTTTCTCATTGCGGTGCGCTCAGATGGCCAGCAGCTGATGAGCGAAACGGGCGAGACGACGTCACATCTCATGGGCATGTTCTACCGCACACTACGAATGGTGGACAACGGCATCAAACCATTATACGTGTTCGACGGCGCGCCGCCGAAAATGAAGGGTGGCGAGTTGGCAAAGAGAACTGCTCGGAAGCGGGAAGCACACGAGGCTCATGAGGAAGCCAAGGAGACGGGTACGGCAGAAGACATGGAAAAGTTTTCGCGGCGAACTGTGCGTGTGACGAGAGAACACAATGACGAGTGTAAAAAACTATTGAAGTTGATGGGGATTCCCTACATTAATGCGCCCACGGAAGCTGAGGCGCAATGTGCGGTGCTCGCTCGCGCTGGTAAAGTTTACGCTGCTGCGTCGGAAGATATGGACACGCTGTGCTTCGAATCGCCTATTCTACTCCGTCACCTTACCTTTAGCGAACAGAGAAAGGAACCGATTCAGGAGATTCATTTGAACAAGACGCTTGAGGGCCTAGACATGGATCGCAAGCAGGTTAGTACTCACCTACCGGCGATTTCCTATATTACCTAGACTGATTGTTATTGGTGATATTAGTTCATCGACTTGTGCATACTTTTGGGCTGCGATTATGTCGAGCCCATCCCTAAAGTTGGTCATCACACAGCTTTGAAGCTGATTCGCGAGCATGAGACGTTGGAAAAGGTAGTCGAGTTTATTGAAAACGATCCCAAGAAAAAGTACACGATCCCGGAAGATTGGCCGTACAAAGAAGCGCGCGAGCTTTTTTTCAATCCAGATGTGCGTGATGCCAGCGACCCAGAATGCGATTTCAAATGGGAGAACCCCGATGTCGAGGGCTTGGTCGACTACCTGGTCAAGGACAAGGGCTTCAGCGAAGATCGGGTCCGGAACGCGGCGGCTCGGCTGCAGAAGAACCTGAAAACGGCACAACAAGCTCGTCTCGAGGGGTTCTTCAAGCCCGTCGCAAAGTCCGAACAGGAGAAGGCCAGCTTGAAGCGCAAGCATGACGAAAAGATTGAAGAGCAGAAGAAGCGCAAGAAGGAGGATCTGAAAGCAAAGAAAGAAGCCAAGGCGCGACCGCGCGGCGCTGTCTGAGCCTCACCATCTCTGGTCTCGCATATATATTACATACAGTTGGGTCTCATAACATAAACTAACAGGCAGCGTGAATACCACGGGGATTATCATTTATGAATATGGGCTGATGCATGAAGGTGGTGGTGTTTGGCGTTCGCTTTCGCATCCCGGTCGGTCGGCTAGCGGGTAGCCCTCGGTTGGTATCTTTCTCAGTCGACGACAGAACCTGGGTATCTGCGCAAAATTGATTTAATTTTTCCGATATTAATCATATTTCGATTCTATTGAACGCATAGATTGATGCTAATGTGCAGCTGGGCCTTTACCAGCGTAGTTGCGCCGGGGATCAGAGGCGATGTTGTTGAGCGACGGTATCACCGACTCCAGTCGCCCACCTTACCATCCGTGATCTTTGGCATATTCAGTAATAAAATTAAAAATAAATCCTCTCATCCCATTCTCCAGTATCTATTCCATCTCTCCCCTCTTTTTCATATCCATATCGCCCACTAGGGAGGGAGAATACACCTTCCTTATGCTGGCGGCCGTTTCGTGAATGTATCAGCGAAACACACCCGCCAACTTCATTCTTGATGTCGCCCATTTTGCAGCGTATACACGCCGTGAATTTTTGAGTATTCGTAAATTCAGATCTAATTAATTCCTATTATTCTCTTAAAAATGCTAACAATGGCGCTGCGTTGGCAGGATCAGCGCTGGAAAAATGGCAGAGGGCTGTTTCGACGCTGACCACGGCAGGACATGATGTTGTAACAGTTGTATGAGAGATTAACTTTAAGTAGCCCCGCAAGCAAGAACAAGCTTGGCTGTGGCGGGCACGCATTCCCGCATGTGACCGGCCGGTGATCACCTGCTCGCGGAACCCTACTCTCTCCCTCTCTGTCTCGTTTTGGTTTGTCTCTGGATGGCGATCGGGAGCTATGTATGTGCTATGCATGTGTATGTAGGCACCCCTTACGGCTGAGGCAGGCGCCCATGCGAGAGTTACAGTATTCCCTGCATGCACGGAATGAGAATATATTGAAAAGTACATATGGTAGAATGCGCAATCATGACTACATAGATAGAGACAGCAGTAGGCAGTACCAGACTGGCGTGTCGTGGCGAGGTTGTCTCGTGACCAGGCAGCACCCAGGCAGCACCAGTGCCAGTCCCAGTACCAGTATGCTGGTCTGGTTTGTAGGAAATAAATTATGAATTATCGCAGGTTATTCGTGGGACACCAGGGGTTCATCGCATCATCCCATCTCGTTATGGTTATGGTTATGGTTATTGTTATGTTGCTGGTCGGTGGCTGGGAGGACATGTGTGTTGTGGAAGAACATTCTATGCAGTAGTTGTATACGCGATATTTAAGATATACGCATATGGACGGAGGATATGAATAAATAAAGAAGTGGCAGACAGCATGCCAGTGGGCGATTCTGGGCACTAGTATCATCGATGTCGAGAGCCAGAGCGCGGGTGATCCTGTCAACAGCGGCTGCCCTATAAAGCGCGCAGCCCCGCGGCATCCTGCCTCGCCCTCGCCCTTCCTCGTCTGCTTCTGCTTCTGCTCCCTCCACCACCACACCTCCACCCATCGCTCCACGCTTCCCTCGATTCGATTATATATAACGCTTCGGTCGATCCATCGTCTGTTCGTTAAGAATATTAAAGAGAACGTCGAAATGCCTCCCAAGAAAGCTTCCACCGCCGCCGCCGCCAAGAAGGCTGCTGGCTCCGGCCACGCCTCCTACAGAGGTACGTATTGCCTGATCCTCATCCCCCACCACATCGCATCGCGCGAGTGTGTGCTTCGCTGCGGTCGCGTGAAGATGCTGATTGTCGCTGTATAGATATGATCAAGGATGCCATCATCAATGTGAGTACATCCCTGTCGCGCCCGTGCGAGTTGTGTCGCCCCGGTCGCAAACAAGCGAGTCGGGCGATCGCGTGCCGTGCACCACAACACAACACACAACATGGCTGCATGCAGATTTCTTCTGGTATACTAAACCGTGAAACGAACTACACTAACGTGTCTCGATGTAGTTGAAAGAACGCAATGGTAGCAGGTACGTGTTTACGTTTGTCGCGTCATGGTGATGTGATGTCGCGTCTCAACTACATCTTCATATTTGCCTTCCTTTTCTTTCGGGTATATGCTGATAGAGTTGTTATAGCCGTCAGTCAATCAAAAAATACGTCCAGGCCAACAACAAGGTCGCCGTCGCGTCGCCGGCCGCCTTCGACTCCCAGTTCAACAAGGCCATCAAGGCCGGTGTGGAGAAGGGCGAATTCAGCCAGCCAAAAGGTTAGTTCGATCATCTCCACGTGTTTGCATGCTGTTGCGTGTCTCTGTCGTGGTCTTTATGCTTCGTTTGTCATGGTTGTTATGGTTATGGTTTGTATTGACGCGTCACAGGTCCTTCCGGCCCCGTGAAACTCGCCAAGAAGGAAGCCACCAAGCCAGCTGTCAAGGTATACCCATCTTTTCAGGACTACTAGAACTACGCTCACGCTCACACTAGAAGCCTGCTGCGAAGGCTGCCCCCGCGAAAAAGACCACCGCCAAGAAGACTGAAAAGACCACTGCCGCCAAGCCCAAGAAGGCCACCACCGCCAAGAAGACCGCTGCTAAGCCCAAGGCCAACACAGCGAAGCCTCGCAAGACCTCCACAGCCGCCCCTGCAGTTGTCGAACCCGCCAAGGTCACCACCAAGACCAAGTCGGGACGCATCACAAAAGTCGCCGCGAAACCAGCGACCAAGAAGGCTGCCCCCAGGAAGAAGGCCGCCAAGGCATAGATGACTGCTGCGGATGGCTCTGTTGACGAAGTTTGACTGTATTCCCTTTGTAATGCCCTAAGATATCTTTTGTTCAGGGTTTTTTTATTTTCGTCTCGTCTTGTTTTTGGTCTACGTCTTTTGGAAGACGACTTCTCCCATACGACGGATATGGTATTGTTGTGTCTATGTTTATCTATACTTGGTATTGGCTGGCGTCGCTTGGTGGGTGTCTTTGGGAAATTATGTTGATTTGGGTTGATGTCTGAACTGACTGGATGGATTTCAAATTTGCGGGACTTCAACTTGCTTGGTTTGGGCTAAGTAGTGTACAAATCAATGTTTTTATTAAAGCAGTCTATCCCGTATATAGGTGTACATATTAATTTATATGTACATGTACGTAGTTGATGAGTGTCCGTAGAGCAGATAATACCGTTATCCACATGTCAATCGATGGGTCAATTCATGTATCCGTGATGTCGCTTCCTGCCGACCACATCTTCTCAATCGATACATGTATATACTTGATAGATGACACTACAGCATTCGAATATTGATGTTAAATAAATTAATGCGACCTACATATACATTAATGTATCAATTGATATATATATATACCAATTGGTTGATGAGTGATATCAGCCATGGAGCTGAGTTTTATATATCCGTAACGATATATATTCCATTCTAACCTGCTTGACAAAACCGTGCAGCAACAAGAAAAATGTCATTAATTTTTCATCCATTACAAAATATACACTTCTACACATGTATCTGTAATCCACAACCAATAAGCAATTAACAGTGGTATCACCAGACTTTATCTCCTCTAAAGTCAATGTCACAGTTATCCTTTGATATTGACGACACTAAGCCTAATTCGGAAACTACCTTTTTGGGCGAGCGACAGACACATCCCACATACATCCTACATATATTCTAATATGGCCTATTCTAATATGACCAGAAGTATATAAATTATAGAATCGCAGAACTATGTGATACTCACTACATGTAATAATGGAGTAATGTATTGATTGATTGCATTGATCTCGGAATTTATACGATTTATGATATAATTTGCGATAGGAGAAATAATAACAAGATGCAACGGAGTGGGCGAATCAGAGAATGTGAAATAGTGGGGAGCTGCTCAGCCTCAGTCGCGGTCTCGTTCGGGCATGCAATTTTATATTGCTACAAGGATTACATTCTCCTTTTATTATTTTATTATTATTACTACTATTATTGTGTTTCTGACACTAGGTACCTCGCAGCTTTCTTAATCTAAATTAATAATATTGCGAGAGTCAACAGTTAGTGCCCAGTCCGGCTAGTTGCTGCCCCCAACAGGCTACTCCTGTCCGGGATACGGTACGGGATCCAGCCGTCATCACTCACAGTCTCGACTCCCATTCTCATTCTCATTCTCATTTCCAGTCTCCTCCCACACCTGAAGTTGATCGCCATCGGTGTGTCTTCTTCTTGTTGTTAGACAGTTCTGTGTTGAAACTGTCCCTCCAGTCACTCCTTAAGCCAACAGCCGCCGATCGCTGCGTCATCCGGCTGCACTGCACTAATCCTAATCCTAATACCAGCAATCTCTGAGCCCCCCTTCTCAGCGTTCGCCTTCAGCATCAACACTGCTCCAACACAACCATGCCCGCCGCCTGACCTGCCCACTCCGTACCAGGTCGTCCATCGCACAAAGCAGCCATTCGCCCGACATAAAGAACGCTGCTGAGCCAGCGCTCGCTTGCCGTGCCGTGCCGAGCGACGGCTGGCCTGTGGCCACGCAGACCTCACGTCACAGAAACTATCCTATCCTATTAGATCGCCTCTTCAACACAACAGCAGGCGTGAAATATGCCGTCGATTCTGAGCGACAGCCCGTACCAGCACCAGCCCAGCGTCAGTCCCTCGAATTCCTTTGATATTTCGCACCGAAAATCCTACGACAAGACCCCCCCAGTGGGCAACACCTTCCTCTACACGGCCGGCCCGAATGGCGATGCTCCAAACTTCTACCAGCAGGCTGACCACACCCAGTTCCTTACCAGTCTGAAGAATGGGAGTGTCCATTCGCTGAATCCAGGCCGGTCGAGCATTGGTTCTTATACTCGGGAACGGCCCTTTTCGAAAACCGACAGCACGCCTTCGCTGGCCAGCGGCTCGTTCCGAGAAAACACGCGAGATCAGCAGCATCATCAATTGCCTAGTCGTGGATCTTGGGCGATGGTCGATGGGTATGTGAACGGGTCTGGATCGGGGCCAGAGGCACCGCACCTGAACGGAACGACGGGCGATTCGCGCTCGCCTAGTTTGCGGCCTGTCCAGAATGGTGATTATTATCGATTATCGACGAGCGAAGACCGCGGCTCGTTTTTGGATTCGAGTCAATCAACTTATCATACGGCGAATATTCCCCTCTCGACTTCTCTCCCTAATGATTATTCCCTGTTCCCTCCTGAACCTGACCGACTTGCACCGCCGGGCAAGCGCTCGCAGCATCGATACTCGTCACCCCCACCCCCAACGGATTTCGAACCAACGTCGCCGTCTTCGCCGTCGCGTCAGTCCCAGCGAAGCACCCTGCAAGTGCCGAGGTCGGCTGCTCGACGAAGTCGTGATTTGTCGTTGGAAGAGACACGCGCCTATTCTACCGGTACAGCTGGGTCTCATTTTCGACGTAGCTCGTTGAGTCTGGTTCGACGAGCGACTCGCACTAGTACTGTTGAGCATCCCGATGAAGCACTGACAGACGAAGATGCGGCTCGATGGGCAGAAGCGATCAAGCAGAAACGGGCTCGCAAGAAGCGGCGCGAGGAGGAAGACGAGGATCGCGTTATTGTTGGCACAAAGGTCGATCAGAACCATGTCAACTGGGTGACGGCGTATAACATGTTGACTGGTATCCGATTCGTGGTCTCGAGAATCAACGCGAAAATGGACCGGGAATTGACGCCGGCAGATTTTGAGGCGAAGCATAAGTTTTCTTTTGATATGTGAGTCTCACCCCTATCCCCTAAATTTGGGAGTATTTACTGATGCGGATATAGTACTGGTAAAGAATTGACACCGTCAGCAAAGTACGACTTCAAGTTCAAGGATTACGCACCATGGGTGTTCCGCAGATTGCGTGCCAAGTTCAAGCTGGACCCTGCTGATTACCTGATGTCGTTGACGAGTAAATATATTTTGTCCGAACTAGGGTCTCCCGGCAAGAGCGGCAGTTTCTTTTACTTTTCGCGAGACTACAAGTATATCATCAAGACGATCCACCACTCCGAACATAAACTCCTGCGCAAGATACTTCCAGATTACTACAAGCATGTGGAAAACAACCCCAACACGTTGATATCGCAGTTTTACGGGTTACATCGCGTGAAAATGGCCTATGGCCGCAAGATTCACTTCGTTGTCATGAATAACCTTTTCCCACCACACCGTGATATCCACCAGACATTTGATTTGAAAGGTTCGACTGTCGGTCGTGACTTACGCGAAGAAGATTTAGAAAGGAACCCCCGCGCGACGATGAAGGATCTGAACTGGTTACGCAGAAACCGGCATCTCGAAGAGGGGCCGATGAAGAGGGAGATCTTTATGGCTCAACTCCGTAGAGACGTGTCGCTGCTGCAGCGACTGAAGATTATGGATTACTCGTTATTGGTTGGAATACACGATCTTGGACGTGGCAACGAAGAGAAGCTTCGCGACAAGACACTACAGGTCTTTCAGCCTGGCGGCGACCGAGACGACGATCCCGGCACAAACTTGTTAATACGTACGCCTTCGAAATTGGAAAGCGCCCGCAAAGCTAGAGAATTACGGTTAACGTTGAAACGAGAACGGCCGGTTCCGATCCAGCAAACGGCGGCAAAGATGCCTGATGAGATCCTTGATGAGAGGAAAAACCTTGTGTTTTATTCCGACGACGGCGGTTTTCGCGCGACGCATGAGAACGGCCAAGCAGGAGAGGAAATCTACTATCTTGGAATAATCGACTGCTTGACACCGGTAAGTCGATATATTTTATATTATTTGATAGTGGACTAATATAACTAGTACGGCATCGTGAAAAAAGCGGAACATTTCTGGAAAGGCCTTTCTCACAACCGGAATCAAATATCCCCTATTCCTCCGCAACAATACGGCGAGCGATTCATCCAATTCATGGAGGGCATCACCATGTCGAAAGAAGAGGCCGAGCGCCTTCAACAGTCTCGCGCGAACGAAATCACGTCGGAGGACACCACGCGCGTTAGCGAAGGAATGCAGCGCGACTCCTCAGTTGAACAAACCATGCAAGCCGCCGAAAACGAAGCTCGACAGAGCGGGCCAGAGCCGCACACGCGCACGCTGGCGACGATGTGGGATCCGCATGATATTAATAGCATAGGCGGTCCGTCTACGCTACCGATTGTTGACGAGGCCGGCGAGGCTGCGAGCCAGAAGAGCGGACGCAGTCGACGTGCTAGATATCCGCTTGACCCGACGGCGCAGGTTTCGGAGAAGACGGGGGATAATTCTCCTTCGCGGAAGTCACATCTTTCTTGAATTACGCTATCTCATTGCACATTCGTTCGTCGTGATAGAATGATGCATTTGTACAAATACTTTGGACTGATCTTTCAGTCGCAGGTTCGTGCTTGGCACGTTCCTCAGACTTGTATACGTATACGTATGGTCCCACTCTCATTCCTGAACATATTTCCTACTCCTTCTCTTTTGATTGATTGATTCTCATGCAGACGCATGAATACCATCGTTGACTGGCATTCGCCAATCTTTCTCTTTTGCTCTTCCCTTTTTGTTGGTTTCTGCTTGTATCTATTGATGTTGGATTGTCCCAATCCATCTTCTCTTTTTTTCTTTTTTCTTTTTTCTTTTCTTTTTTTCTTTTGATTTCGATTATCCGCGTGTACATGCGCTCGGATTCGCTTAGCAACTTTATGTTTTCAGTTTGGTTTAGTAGCCAGCGATGCATCGCATAGCATAGCATCTGTCTGTCTATCACGGACGCAGATGGATAGAGACAGACAGATACGTTCGCGGGTTTTAATGACAGTCGGCTTGACTTGGCTGTTGATGGATGGATGAATGGGTTGTATTTAGTTAATTATACCAGTGAGCAGCACTCGAGGTGAGGAGTGGTGAGGAGGGAGGGTAGATAGATAGAATTCATTGATGAGATTCATCCTACTTTACATACCTACGCCGGACTAAATTGAAGCTAGGGACAATGGTAGAAAGGTGGACCTTATTGCCACAGACACATATATATGCACAAGTATTGATTTTATTAGATAATATATTATACTAAGTTAAAGGTTAGCCATTTGCTAAGATGAGAAAACAAGCCCAGTAGAAGGCTCGCGTGTCCTTGCGTGGCAATGATTGTGAAGTCAGCCCGGTAGTTGGAATCTACGCGTCGTCGAGGTAACCCACTCACGCCCACAATTGTTCTCTTCCTCTCCCTCCGGTCGGTTCAGGGCATTTCAGAAACAAGTGGTATGGTATCTTTCATGACTAACCGCATTATGTTTCTTGTATTCTATTCATATCGGCCATTATACAGATTTCACTACTAATACACCCCTACCGCCCCACGGCTCCGTACCAGCATAAACCAAGTATAGCACCAATAATAATCGACACAGCGGGAGGCAATCGGAACCACGCGTTGCCTGCGTACGACACAGTCGTGACGACTAACCACCACGGCTCATTTGCTAGACTTTGTCCAGCGTTATTGGCCGGCGTCAAGTAGCCAATCTGCCATAGCCGGTAAACAGCAGTAAACACTAAGCCAATCGCAGTAGCATTGACGCCTCTCAGGAAACGAGTCACAGATCTCCTCTTCCGCAACACGCTCCAGAAACTCTGGACTGCGACAGCCAGTGTAATTCCGGGCACAAAAATACCCAGCCAGCCTAGAAAGGCGCCAAAGACAGTTGGGAATTGCGAATGCTGTAGGGCTAACGACCCTAAAAAGACAGCGAAGTTGAAGTTGGGTCCCGGAAAGGCTTGGATAATGGCCAGGCCAATTAGAAAGTCACGACTAGAAACCCAGCCTGGACCAACGACGTAAGAGCGAAGGAGCGGGATCACAACTGGGCCTCCACCGAAAATCACAGTCCCAGCGAGGTACATGCTAGCGAATAGATCAAGTGGGAGCGGAGGAGGGGCCAGTTTAGCTCTAGCGACAAGGATTGCGATGAACGAGGCTATTTCAAACATTAGTTCTGGGTGATACTACTGTTGCAGTTTTAGGGTACAGAATATACCAAAGAAGATAGTTAGGATAGCAAGCCCAGTCCGAATCCGAATACCATATTTCGGTGATGATCGACTCACCCCCGTTCCGGTCGACTGTATCGGGTTCAATAAAGCCCCCGAGCACTGCGGTGGGGTTCCATTGTGGTTGACTCTCCTCGATCGTATTATCGGTTCATTCCGCTCCACTTCTTGTCCGGGTGGTGGGATGGACTCTATCACCATAGAGTTTGTATTCGCCTCCTCAGAACCTGCTGGACGTCCATGCCTGTTCTTCCAAGCAATCCTCATCCCCTGTATCTGAGAATACAGCCACCCATCCCAAATAGCTATAACAAAACCGCCAATAAGCATCAATACCGGAAAGAACCATAGAGCGTTATAACAAAGACCTGCACATGCACCCCAAATAACAAGGATGCGGGAAATATTGTCTTGAATTGCTTTCTCCGAGAGCTGCACAGCAGAAACAGCGACAATGCCGACGGTCGCAGCGTTGAGCCCCGAGAGCAGAGCGTAGACTGGGCCAGGGAGAGATTGGCTAACGTTTTGGATACCAATTGAGAGGCAATACATGCCGATTGCACCCGGGAGACTACCGCACAGTTAATAGGGTGGTTATACAGAAAAGTGTTGCAGACCCTCTCACCTCCAGAGCAGAAATGCCATAATCGCCGGAAAGACTCCAGCATGAAGCAGAGTGAGACAGAATAGCATTTTTGTGCTGCCTGGACCAGGAAGGCCTTGACAGATGGCGAAGAGTTCCTGATACTATGCAGGTGTTAAGAAAAAAAAGCTAAGAAAGATATATATAGGCAGTCAAACAGTCTGCTCATCTACCCATTTCTCTTTCCCCCCCTTCCCTTCCACGAATCTGCCATGGAGAATTTGGAAATGTACAGGAGGACCTCCGAATGCAGTGAATCCCAAATCCCATGTACGGAGAAAGACGTCAATCATGCGGCGAGCGACGGAATTTTCACTGCGGTTTTGCTGCTCGGATTCGGTGTGGCGGCGCCATTTTTGCTTTAACGAGCGAATGGACCCGACATATCGTGAGAGAGGGGCAGGGAGTAGCATATTGGAAATCCTAGTGATCAGATTGTAAACTTGACAGCTAAAGACACCCCAAAGAGCTCAAGGAGCTTAGCACTTTAAAGGTTGGCAGGTATCTGTCATTGGTGACTAGTGATTGGCCACAAGACCTCTTAGCACTAGTTAGTGGCACCCCATGGCAGGAATTTGATTGCTGATTGGCAGAGAGCTATGATTATCTTGTATGCTACTACTGTACCAATTAGTGAGGCTAAAATCAAAGTGAGAAAAAAAAGCGGAAACTAAACAAAGCTTCCCGCAGAAAATTGTGGCGACTAGTTAGTTATATGGATTTAGCTGCCTCCCTCTGCTTTCCTGAGACCGCAGTGGCTGGCCAGAAAAGACCAATAAGACCAACGAGATCCTTCCATGCGGCAGTTAGCGAACTCAAATATGAAAGCAGCAATCCATGGGTGGAAAAGGCAAATGGATTTGTCTCTTCTTTGAAAGGAATTGTTTAAAACCATACCTGAACTGCATTAAACATTGTGGCTACCCTCGGTCTCGACATCAAAACCGCCATATTATGAAAGGGAATCTTCCCTACTGTCAAAAGACTTCTTCAATAAGGATGTTCATATCTCTTGGCGCCGCGTTGGACGAGATAACATAGTCGAGGCGAAGTGGTGGAAGTCACTCAATGTCCATGCCTCTTTCCTGGCAATTGTATAGCCGTCGGATACAACCCTTGGATACAACCCTTGAAGCAGAAGATAATTTTGAAGAGTCTGGGGTCCTGGTCATCGGGTAACAAGTATTTAATCTTCTGTATCTCTGATTCCGGGCTGAGTTGCGCTCCGGCAGATTGCCGCTACATGACACGACTGGACAGTGTTGTCACTATTCCCATCGTTTACTTTAGCGTCGACATCTGTAAACAGCTTCTCATCACTATGTATGAGAAGGAATGTACTTTTTCGAGAGAGATATTTGCATACAATATCGAACTGAGGGCATCCCTTAAGTAACGGCCAACTAACAGCTAGTTGTCTCAGATCGGACAGCTCCGTGCGACTGTTGAACTTTTTAACCATCGCGAAAGGGTAGATGTGGGCAGCGGCGATTTCAAAGTCACTAGTTAGGATGCAGCGCTCTGCTATCTCTAACTTGAGACTTTTTGGATCAATCAGCGGCGTTTGGTTATAACTAAAAAGGAGTAGAAACATACATCTATTTTGGCCTTTCCAGAACGCCCATCTAGCCATGGCTTGGTCAGCTTTGGGGTCGGGTTCTAAGTCGAGATCGAAGTTGAGGTCAAGCCCTGTGCATCTCTGGAGACGACAGAAGACGATGTCGCGGAAGCGGCTGATGTGGAAATGGCTAACTTTGGACACTAGGTACGAGGAAGCCCTATATTTCAAGTCAGTCTAGGAATTAAATCCCTAAAAAGAACAGAAAGAGCAGACGTACAAGCTGGCAGTAATTTACTGAGATCTTGGTTCCGAAACGAAGATAGAACAGTGGGCAGAGCAAGTAGGATTGGACGGGGATGGCAGAACAGCGCCTTTTTTGTCTTGCAAACGAAGCTATACAACGTCATTGACATCAGGGCCAGGCACCTACGACCACGCGTTGCCTAGACGCAGGAACAGCCCTCTAGGATTAAGTATTGGTGCGTAATGATTATATGAGATCCTCACTAATTGTTGAGTGCTAGAATGTAGTAAGTGTATTATACTCGTCGAGGTGTAGGAAGAACACTTACATACTGGTATGTAATAATGGTGGCATTAGTACGCCAAGATAGATAAGTAACCGAGACATGAAACAAAGAGCTTGAATGAGTGCCCAGCCATAGGTCCTCGCCCAGCAGCTGTTCCGTTTCCGTGTACTCTCATTATTTCCTCTTTCGGCACCGCAGAGGCAGTAACAATCGGGCTCTTTGGAGGAGGAATTTAGAGTCTGTATTGATCCTTCTGTAGGCCATCCAGTTGAGTAAATTAGCCAGAACGTAGCAGCCGAACGCGACACATGTAACATTATGGATTATTACTAGTAGTATATTCCATTCTACCAATAGACATCCGGATTTCCGGGTCAATTATTTGGAATTGCAACGCGTTCCTTTCTCCGTGGCGTTTTGGCGCGTAATATTGGGTATTTCGAACCTATCCCAAAAACGCTTAGTGCCAAATTGACGATCGAAAAACCACTACACCAAAAAGGGGTCCCCTCATTAGTGAGGGTAATTAATCTGGTATTTATTGGCCGACACGAATCTTCCGACAAGGCTGCAACTACTAGCAGTCTTCCAGTCTTTCATGCCCAAGACCTGCCACTGTAGAATTTTTCATGCCCAAGCCCCGTCACTGTAAAGCCCGTCATTTAATACTTCACGTCTTGAATGTAACACGGCGCGATAGCATCCGAACTTCTGAGATTCCGAGCTTCCGATATGGAACCTGTAAACGTGTTCGACTTTTTGGTCGAGGACACGCCAGATCAGAAGGATGTCGATTTGCAACGTATCACCCGGCTCATAAAACCAAAGGGTCCTTTCCTCGGATGGCGCGCCAAAGTACCAATTTCGGAAAGAGTCTCAACGGTATATCAAATGTATGACAAATTCTTTTCAGATGAGAGAAATATGCATGTAATGTCAACGCTAACCAGTGCGATCACATGTGTAAATGAAGCTATTCCCAACCGAATATTAACACTATTGAATCTGCATTGTCCATCGAAAGAACAGCGTTCCTTCAAGCCGAACGGAAGGTACGTTTCCTTGCGATTCGTTGAGGTTGTAGCGCGACGTGAATCATAAATTGATCATTTCGTTCCGAATACAGAAGGACTACGATAAATCTATCAAGGGAGGACCCGCCAATATCCAAGAAACTCGAACCCAAAATAAGGGCCATTCGGATCGAAGGGAGCCTTGGGGACGGGCAGAGGGTGATGGCACGCCAGCAATAGTCCGTCGTACACTTAACCCACGAACAAAATCACCGAGGCCTATTCTGAGCCCTGACTTGGCAGGGACAGACCTGGAAGAGGTATCAAATGTCTAACGTCTGACTGCGTACTTCACACTTATGCTTTCTTAGGGCGCTGAAACTGTCCTCCAAAGAAAACCTCTGTCTCCTTGGGTGGTCGAAAAAAGAGATACCACTGTGAAGCAAGAAAAAAAACGTTGGTCAAAATGTGAGATATAAAGTGACTCAAAATGCTTTCACTGTACTGACGCTTGTAGCCGCCACAACGAAAGCGATTGGTAGCTCCAATTCCCGATCTCCCCTTACCTTCGACATACAGGAAGCCTTAGATGACTATGAGTCAGAGATTAGATCTAAATCAGATCCTTACAGTGAGAGGAATAATAGTGGCACACCATCTCGTCGTCAGAACCATCGCGATACGAGGATTACCGTAAAGGTTCTAAAGACTACTTCGCATGAAGCATCAGCCAAGCCGGCCATTCCTTCAACAAACGAACCAACGTCCTTCTTATTGTCCGTCAAAAGAACAATATCTGAAGACTGCACCCAAGTCCATGGAACCGAGCCCCCACTGAAGCTTCACTGCCTTGAGGTAGAATCCAGGCGACGAACAGCGCTGCGGCTTGACCATCTCAAAAGGGTTTCTTCAACTTCTAACCTTCTGACGAGGAACGGCACAAGGGAACTAGATGGACCGAAAACCCTATATCTGTAACCCGGGTGTGTCCTCTTATTATATGCACGAAACGTCGCCTCTTACGATTATCTGTCTATGCATCTTCGCAGTTATTCCTAACAAATCGTTATGTCGAGGACATAGTTATTTTTTCGTTGGAATTCTATCGCTACTAGATTTCCTGATCATATCAACTTCGATATTTGGCGGGGAAAGGATCCGCTGGGTCAACCATCGTCGATGGCGAAGAAAACCGCTACCTTCTCGACAAGGTTTGCAATGCGCTAATACCACTACGGTGCTCCACTGGAATGCAGATGTATTGGGTGTGAACTTTCTCGAATTCAAACCGAGCGTTTTCCCACGCTTGACCTTGACAACAGAGAGCGGCCTATAACGCTAGGTGAGAAACGGGAGAAGAGGTTCTGTTATCCATTCGGAAGTGGATGGCACTTATTCCCTGACCAGTTCTTTAGCCTTCCTGAAATATTCGGGACTCTAGCGGCTTTGATACTAGGGTTCGAAATAACTGATCCACAAGGTGTCGAAGTGCAAGTTCTGCGAATGGAGATGATGAACATAGGCCAAACAACAGCTGGACCGCAAGGTGCAGTGATACTGGCCGGGAAGATTCGTCGAATGGAGAGATGCGAGGATGTACAGTGTTCATTCAACAGTGAATACACAATTTCATCTGATTTTCAAGATTACTACGGGGTTCAACCCGTTCAGTTAGTATTCATTCAAAGATTATAACTACCAACATTCTATTTCTTCATCCTATTTCTTCATCGCCTCAAAACGGCTACAAACATGATGCCCACGAGAAACAAGTCTCCACCCTCTGGTCGCAAAGCAACGCCAACTGGTGCATCAATGGCCGAAGCTCCACTCAGAGATCGGCCCGTGGAGAACAATCTCTCCTATCTTATCAACAATCAAAAATTAGTGATATCCACACCGATGACTGATTGCCTGCCGACCGGCCGATGCCGGCGGTGTATTAGTTCGGCAAGCCGACGCAGAGCGTTCTCTCTCTTTGATTTGATATCCATTCCAGTATGAAACATACGAGAGCCATAACGAGAATTAAATCAAAAAATGACAGAAGCCAACGGTGCTATCGCCGTGGCTGAGATCTCTCTATCGCATAATCCAACGGGACCGGAGATGGAAAAAAATTGTGTTGCAGATGAAAGTGCACCAGCACACAAGCCCTACCGCCCTACAAAATTTCAAAGCAATATCACTATTCTGAGCTGCGTAAATATTTCTCAGGAAGAAAACTGAATTCCTCGCTGATTATGTTTCTCTAGTATATTGCGAATTTTAGCGACGGTTATCAAAATTCCTTGGCTAATCCAACCAATGTTATATTCAATAAGTTACTAGGTAAATCAGGTTACCCAGCCGAAATGCAGACGCGGATCAGTAACTCCCTCCTTATCGGGGCCATCCTGGGTATTGTTGCCATGGGTTATGTATCAGACATGTCATCGCGGCGTGTCAGTCTTCTGCTTACATCTGCGTTGGTAACAATCAGCACATTAATGGCGACTTTGGCCCTTCAAGTACACCCTTCTCGAAATATGCTATGGTATTTTGTCATTGTCCGGGGAATTTGTGGGTTTGGCGTTGGAGGGGAATGTCCCCCAGTGCGGCAGCAGGTTTGGAAGAGTCTGACGACGTGCGTTTCTACCAGGCATTCAATTAAATGCCCTTTTCTATTCGGTATTATTACAATACTGATACTTATACAGTTTAAACACCGTTACCGAGGTCCCATATTTGTCTCTTTTACCACACTAATGGCAACCCTCGCCGCACCCGTGCAAATGATTATCTACCTCATCTGCCTGAAAGCTAGCAACAATAACTTCCCAGTCACATTTCATGCTCTATACTCCATTGGCACCATCATTCCTCTGTTCATTATGATACTACGGTTCTTCATGACCGACTCGACGCTGTTTCACAATTCGAATTTTAAGCACCAACACCGGCCTCTTCGATTCTACTGGCTACTTGTACGGCGTTATTGGCGAGTCATGTTTACCACCTCATTGGCATTCTTCTTGTACGATTTCATCAACTTCCCAAACAGTATTATGAGCAGCACCATAATTTCGTCTCTCGTTAAAGACGGCGATGTGCAAGAAACTGCCATTTGGCAAGTCATTCTCACCGCTCTCCCCGTCCCTGGAGTGGTAATCGGTGCATGGCTTTCGAATATAATCGGCCGCCGCAACACTGGCATCGTTGGATTTGCAGGCTACGTTGTTTTCGGCTTCATTATTGGTGGAACCTATTCTAAGCTGTCCCAACACATCGCCGCATTCGTTGTGATGTACGGTTTGCTCCAGGCCTCGGGTCATTTAGGGCCCGGTGCCACTATTGGGTTGATTTCGTCAGAGGCGTTTCCTACAGCAATGCGTGGCATGGGATATAGCGTGGCTACAGCGTTTGGAAGGACCGGAGCTGCCGTGGGTACGGAGTGTTTTATGCCACTGGAGCAGGCAGCAGGGAAGAGTGCAACGTTCTATCTGGCAGGAGCCGTGGCTGTTTTGGGTATGATCGTGTATTGGGTTTTACCCGAGAGCGGGGAGAAGAATTTGGAAGAGGAGGACAGGAAGCTGGAATTGTACCTGGAGGAGAATGGGTTTGGAATGAGGGGTAAAAGTTAATAAGGCTACATATCATCCATTCTGAAATGGTAACCCATCGACAGGGATTGTCGTGGTCAGTTCTTTTGAGATAATAGTAGCAGGAGGGGCGAAATTAGTCCCAGTTTCTGAAAAGACGGTGGTCCTGTCGGTGGTCCCCATGTGAATAAGCCATCCAGCCCAGACAAGATGTCATGACTGATCGCCAGTAGATATCACTTCGAGTACCATCGCCATCGCCCGGCCCACCGCCCACACGTTTCTCTCGTTGCAGCTTTGAATCATGAGTATAATGAACTTACGCTCAAAAACCTTAGGATCCTCAGTCAATTCCAAGAGACCCAGTTGCTCCAGGTTCCTAGTTGCCAGAAGCGTCCGCTTGTTCTTGAGGTGAATCGCCAGCGCGTCTTTGACAGCACTATAGATAACATGCGCTGGATCAAAGCTTTTTGCCGAGGAGAATGTACCCAGGACGGCGCGCTCATGGATGTCTGTTATTGCGAGCCTGAGAACCCGGTAGAGATCTAGCAGGACCCTGAAGCCCAAGACACTGATCCACGGGGCTTCTCTCATGGCTTTTTGCGCGTCCGCGCCCCACATAGCGTTCATGACATTCATCAGCTCCTCAAATATGAGCAGGAAGCCATGGTCACTAAAGGTACTGGATTTTTTGAAGATGTTTCTCGACCTCCGCCCGAGAACTTGATTTCCAAGAGAAAGATGTACGGCTGTCGCGAACGCGGCGGTGATTTCGGTATCCACAATGCCAGAAATGAGAAGGTCGTCTGGGATGCAAAGGCTAACCTTGGTCACCCAACAAACCAACTCGACCGCATCCCACAGCCCATCCCCTTGGCCGTATGTATTCAAAACGTTCTGATCAGCACTCCTGAGGCCCAGGATAACATTCAACGCCGATGAGATCTGACTGTTTTGCACGTGTGTTAACATGTGGAACGGAGACGGGTTGGCAGGATTGGGGGGTAGCTGATAGAGATAGTGCGTGAAGCCACGGACGAGCCGGTAAATGTTCGCCGTGACACAGAAGAGGGCAAAAGGTGACGACGAAAGGGATCGTAAGAGTGGCTCTGGTGGTGCATCAGACAACAATGACTGCGTAACCAGGAAAACCGACTTCACGATGAGTCCTCGGTCGCTCATGCGACCGTCCATACCCTGGTAGGTAGAAGCCTCCTCGACTATTTGCTTCCACCATTCCTCCGCAGTGTTCGCTTCCCAAGATTGTGTCGACCAAGGCAGGTCCCACACGATTTCGAGAGGTGAGATTTCCGGTCTTGTGTTACATGCGAGAACCAGCTGGAAATCGATTACGGAGACCCCATACAGACCAAGCTTCAGGGACTCCTCGTCGACGAAGGAGCGCCAGGCTTCTTGTAACTCTACAGGCCCTAGCGACATCCCCGAGTCCAGCTCCTGTCTCCATGCGGAGTAGTAGTAGCCGTAGATGTGTTGATGGGCCATGCCAGTTTCTCGGATATACTTTTCGAGTAACAGATTAGTCAGGCCCGTAGACATGCTCACTATGGAGAATGCTCACGCTGATAAGTCGGCTCAAAATTTGGCGGCTCTGGGCAAATCTCTCCGCCGCGAAAGCACCGTATATGACACAAAGTAACAATGCCTGGATAATCCAGTTCTCTTTCCATCGCCCTTGGTCTGAGATCGCCTAGATGGTGTAGGGTTTAGTCGCAGAGCATATGTTAGCTTATGATAGGGCCGCATACTGTTCCTTGGAGGCTTGTTACGCTGGCTTCCCAGAGCTGATTGCTCTGCCAGTGTGCAGCACTAACTTCGACCGCGGAGTCTGTCCGGCAACGGTAGAGGTTCCCGATTGCGACTACGATGTTTGCCAATGGCTTCGAAGTCGATGCCAGAGAGAAGGTTGGTCGATGCAGGACTGGAAACGTCTGGTGGAAATTCGCAAAGTAGGCCGTGACACAGAGTGCAGTGGCCTCTTCGGAAAGACTAGAGACCCGTGCTCTCAGAAAGGGACGTCGAGGCCTCGTGACGAGGATTCTACTTACAAGGACGATTGGGGCATTGGATTTGAGGTCTGCGGAGCTGATAGCAGTGGCTCAGTCACCGGTGGTAACGCTTGTATAGAGCTAGGCTTTCTGGTTTCCGTAGTCAGGCTCTCGGATGCCGCACGAATGTGTGTGCACCTCGCCTTTCTTAATGTCCGGCGCCCGTCACATCGTTCTCGATGCCGCTTGCAGATGTCCCTAGAACGAGAAGGTCATTGTCAGAGTGCACTCTCTCGAGAAGTGCTCTAGTGCCAGCATTCGTACCTCCTGCTGAAGACTGCGTGACATAGCGGGCATTCAAAGTTCTTAGATCCGGAGGTGCTATGACCTGTGCTAGTCAGGACTCTCTTTGGGATGCCATGAGCATACTGCCAAAAAAAAGGGAGACGAACGTGTTCTCTTGTGGCGCTCCAGATTTTCCTGTGAACATGTCAGTTAAAATGCCAAGAGCGCCTAGCCCCCTGGGTTGAAACTGACACTTCTCGTGAATAGTTGCGAGCAAAAGGGACAGCCAAAGGGTTGTGAGCTACTCATGTTGTGTCCAATAAGTTCGATGCTGAAATCGTCGTCTCATTCACCAGCACTCGTACCATATGCTGCCAGGAGGTCCAGCACCGTAACCCGAGGGCTATCTGTCCCTTCTTAGTCCCCGAGGATATCCAGGAGCGGGGTTTCGAACACTATCTCTGCCTGCAGCCAACTATTACCTCCGTTACTCGTGCGCCCCGACCCCACCAAGAGCCACTTATCAGCAGGCCTTATTGATAAGGGAGGACTTATGCAAAGGCTCAGTGCTAATCGCATCTTCCATAGAGACTGTTTTATCCGCGATCTCGGGGGCATCTGCTGAGCGTTGCCCTGCAAACTTGCCTAGGTAAACACCTTCCTCCTGTCTTTTTTTTTTCTCTACAAAGGCCCCCCATGATGTCCGCTCTGCCGTGCGTATGTTATGTTAAAAACGGGTCGAACCGAGCTTCTTAGTGGGCTTTGGTGCAGCTTTTGGGACTGGAACAACGAGGCATGGCGATTAAGCGACTAAACCAATGTTGAATTTGTATGGGTAATCCGCACTCAGTTATTGAGTGCAATTAGGGGGAATTTACGAGGTTATACACTCCCCAATATAGTGTTTATTTATGTTAATTCTCTGACGTTTCTAATGAGAGAGATGTACCCTATATTGGAGATTTACAGCCTCTCTTATTAATATGTCGCAGCTTTCGATTGGCTATTGCAAAGTGATCCAAAGTCTTCCTAAGTCTTCTGGAATTATCCCAAATTATCTAACAATTAATTGCCTACGTGTGGAGTTCTAAATTTACACAACTTTTACTAGTAACTTTGGCCCATTTAGGAAAGACCTTGGACAGCCCAAGCAGGATTTTCGTCCATACAATATTTGTGCACTCTTGGCTCCTATTAGCACCTACGTATTCTAGTGTCAGTTCAGCCTGGTAAGACTTGGCTTCAACCCACTGTCTCTGACATGTGACAGCAAACAAGTGTATTTTGAGTAGAAAGTGGTATATATTGCTTCTAAACGGTCATGACTCATCCCTACTTAGCTCCGCTGGATTGGCCATTTTACAAATGTAGGAACTCTTTAATGTCTTCGTCCTTATACTGCGGCTGCTTATCTACACCGTTCAGCAGCCCGAGATACCAGCTTAGGTCGTGCCCATCAAACTCGCGCTCAGTAAATCCGTTACCAAAGTAATAGAACCTGTTCCTGTTGGCTCGGGTCAGGCGGTAGTCCTCCCATCTCGGGGTCCTCATTGCATCGAAAAAGTGGATTCGGGAGCCAGGCCACATCATGACCTCTCCCTTGACACTGCCCTGCTTGAACCACGAGTTGCACGATCCGCTCCAGGCAGTTCTTGGCAGGAAGTCCCGGCGATGCTCGGCAAAGTCGGCCACAGCCTCTTCAGTCGGCTCAAAGGCCGTGATCCACTCGTCAGACATCTTCTCGATGATCTGCATAAAGTGCTTGCCGAGCAGCTCCATGACTGGGAGGATGCTTCCATGACCGTAGACGCCAAAAGGTCCATTGAAGACTTGTGCCGTTCCGTCAGTGAAAAGAAAGGAAAAACAGAAAAAGAAAATAGATTTCAACTCGGTGGTCGGGAAAGGATGGGCGCAGTGCACTCACTGAGGTAGTTTGGAAAATGTGGGACAGATATCGATAGATAAGTGCTCGAAGCCTCCTTCCATTCATCGCTTAGGTTGCGTCCGCCACGGCCTATTGTGGGATATCGCGGCTTCCATGTGACGTCAAATCCGGTAGCACAGACGATGATGTCGACCTCGTGCGCCGTGCCATCCTCAGATACGATTCCGTCTGCGGTAATTCTCTTGATCTCGCCACTGATGAAATCGACGTTATCCTCGCAGAGGGCTTCAATGAAGCCATTTCCGGGAGTCGGCCGTCTACAGCCAATATCGTAGCTCTTGGGAATAAGGTGCTCTGCAATCTCTGGCTTCTTAGCGGACTTCCTCCTCATCTCCTTTTCGGCAAACTGCATAGCGTGTCAGTGCGGTGCCCGAGTCTAAAAATATATCCGTGTTGGCACTGTACCTCTCGGGCTTCTTTCTGTTCCTCTGTGCCGTTCAAGATGAGCCTGAACCTTCCGTTGAGTTCTGATTCGATGTTTTTTCGGTACATCAGGTATCGCTCCGGGTTATTCTTCATAATCTCCCTCTGCTCCTCGTTGTCTACGTGACGATATACTAGGTAAGTGTGCCTGTCGTTAATCAAAACTATACAGAAGTAGCTCACATTTGAAGTTGGTGCCTTTCGGTCCGGCAAATCTCTGTCCAAAGCCTGCCGTGATCCAAGTAGTACTTCTGATGAAAGCCTTAAGATTCTTAACGACTGAAACTTAAACGTTAGCGTCCATCTTTCTCTCAGTATAGACACTTGAGCGGAATATACTGGGCTGGAGAGCTGGAATGATTTGGATTCCAGAAGATCCTGCACCAATGACAGCAATTGTCTTATTTTTGAAGTCTACGCTCTCGTCCCAGTTAGCGCTGTGCATCATGGGGCCCTTGAATGTTTCCCGTCCCTCGATCTCCGGCCATTTCCACTTGCTAGTTGGAAACAGTTAGCCACAATCTCTAACAAAACCGGGGAGAAGGGAGGGGGGTGCCATACTTCAGGACACCCGTGGCGTTCAAAAGGACGTTGCACTCGTCTTCAAAGACTTCATCCGGCTTGTCCACTCTTTGCACCCGCACACGCCAAGTCTGAGACTCTTCCTGCCAGAAGCATCCCGTGACTAGGTGGTTGACACGGCAATACTTGAGCAGGTCGAAGTCTTTCGCAACCTTCAAAAAGTACTGGTGGATCTCGCGAGCTCCGGAATAGCTTTGAGTGTTCAGTAGGCTGCAGCCAACAAGTCTCCAACCGGGGTCACTCACAATGTGGTCCATTCTGGGGAAGGAGCCCAGGAGAACTGGTAGCAAACTGAAGGGATGTCACAGGCGCATCCTGGATAACGATTCTCATACCACGTCCCGCCGATGACGGGATTCTTATCGTAGCAAACGTAATCGATGTCGAGGTTGCTCTTGTTAACTTCGTGCCCAAAGTTCAATGCGCTGGCACCCGCACCAATAGCAATAACCTTTATCTTCCTGGGCTTGCGAAGAGGCTCCTCTTTGATCTTGTACGGGATCTTGTCTGCAGGGGCTAGGCTAGTGTAGAAGTCGTTGTTTGGATCGACAACAATTTCTTGTGCAGTGGTCACTACGCTCTTGGTGAGTGGTTTTACCGTCTTGACGGCAGCACTGTTTATAGCAGACATGGCGTTATCCAAGTACAACAAGACTTTGTTGATTTTAGAACTGCGTTTAGACGATGTGAGAAGTTATTGGTAAATGTAGTTACTGGCTTTGAGCTAACATATGATTCTTAAACAATATCTGTCCACCATTAATGTTCAAGGAGCACAGAGAAGCTGCAGAGGGAGGGATTTCCACGGAGCTCCACTGCACAATCTGACAGCGAAGGGCCCACGGAACGAGGTAAGCTGGGTAGCATGTGCTCCGGTGGATGCAAAGGTCGATATCTCCAAGGCCAAATGGCCCGTACAACAGTAGTACATGACTTATCGGAACTAGTTCGGCACGTTTGTCGATTTTGAGGTATTGTCAACACATAGCTTCGGCTAGTATCCGCCTGGGAAGTCAGCGTCCGCCGCCGCCGCCGCCTCCGCCTCCACATCGCCTGGCTTTGTACGCGTTAGAACAAATTGAGCTTAGTGGCAAATTCGCTTGGATTGAGATACAGGCCTGAGTTGCAAAGAACTCATCTATCTAGACGGACTTGTATGCGAATTTACACTAATATTTGTCATTTGGGCATTTCGAATCCTTTCCCAATTTGCTTAGTGCCAGCTCAGGGTTCGCGTTAAGCATCATTGCGATATATCTCCTCCGCCTCCACCTCCACCTCCACCAAGCTAGGAGCCCATTACTGCGGTTCATGCTGATTGCTGTGACCAATCCCACGAAATCCTCTCTCCACACACGTTCTAGTCCCTACTCTCAACATGTTTTAAGCTACAACCCCAAGAGCTCTCCCCGCAAGCACGGCAACCCCCTCCTTTTGGCCATGGCCTTTTCCCGGGTTAGAGTGAAGCCTTCGCATCTTAGGCCACTCCTTTCATGTCCTGATGAAGTCGAGAGCGAGATCGTAGATGCTAGCTTATCATGAATAGCTCCTTTGCTTGCTCATGCCGTGGCCAAGTGGAGCAGTGCGATTAGACTTTACCTGAACGCTGATAGGTAAGCACGACTCCGGTCGTCTAGTCGAGATAAGGTGCTGTAATGAGATGCATCTCTAGGATTTATACGCCGCCCAGGACTCCAGATTTCGAATATATCTCATTGACTTGTCATCATCCATGAGCTGCACCGAAGGTATTCCGCACTGCGAGCCGGCACCTTTGACATTATCTAGCTGTTTGATCCGATGCTAGTGTCTTCGGTTCTATAATTCGCGACTCAAGCAGCTGCTCCATCATTTGCTTCTAAGTCGCAGGTCACAATGACCACAGACAACACTCCCGAGGTGGCCCCGACGGCCGGTACGCCTGTAGAGAAGTTCGCTATTGAACCCGCTATGGTGTCCACAGAGCTATCTGCAGTCTGTTCTATCAAAGTGGATATGAACGACTCGAACCTCGACCCGGCTCTCAAGGCCACCGGCGGTGCGATCAGGGAAGTCTCTGCAGAAGCAAGTGCGCGTGTCTTAAAGAAGATTGACAGGCATTTGCTCCCCCTCATGTGCTGGATCTATATGGTCCAGTTTGCCGATAAATCCAGTCTCAACTACTCGTCGCTAATGGGTATCAAAGGCGACACCCATCTCACCGGGTACCAGTACAGTTGGCTAGGAAGCATCTTCTATGCAGGCTATATCTTCTGGGAGTGCGTATCCCCCATATCCTACTCACCACGACGAAGAGATCACTAACCAGCTTGCAGGTTTCCAACCACCTATCTCTTCCGCCGGCTTCCCGTCGGCAAGTATCTGTCCATCAACATTGTGCTTTGGGGGGCGGTCTTGGCCTGCCACGCTGCGACTTCCAACTGGGCTGGTCTCATGACCACACGGTGCATCTTGGGTGTCTTTGAAGCCACCATCACACCAGGGTTCGTTGTCATCACGTCGATGTGGTATAAGCAGAATGAGCAGGCCCGTCGTATGGGTTACTGGCTTGGCTGCAATGGCGTCGCGTCTATTATCGGTTCCCTCATCGCTTACGGCCTCTCGGCTGTTACGACCTCGGCTCTGGCCCCTTGGAAGATTCTCTTCCTCTTATTTGGCCTGGCCACTGTCGTTACTGGCGTTTTTTATCTATGGTATATGCCCGACAATCAACTGAATGCCAAGTTTCTTAACGAGGAGGAGAGAGTCATTGCCATCGAACGGATTCGAGATAACTTCCAGGGTATTGGGAACCGTGTCTGGAAGTGGGAGCAGTTCTGGGAAGCTATGCGTGACCCCCGTACCTGGCTCTACGGCCTTTACTCTCTGATCATGAATATTCCTAACGGGGGCAACACCACTTTTGGAGGTGTCATCATTAACTCGTTCGGCTTCGATTCGCGCACCTCGCTACTTCTTAGCGCTCCAGCCGGCGCTGTTGATCTCGGCAGCAAACTATTCTTCCCCTACCTCTCGGACCGCTTTATGGACCGGACCCTGTTCTCTGGCATCGCCATCCTCTTCGCCATGCTAGGTGGCATCCTTATGATTGTCATTCCACTCGAGCACCGGGGCCCGCTCCTTTTCGGCTACTATCTGATCGCCACAGCTGGCGCGTCATGGTGTCTCGTTATGGTCCTTATCTCTAATAATACACTCGGCTATACTAAGAAGGTTACCGTCAATAGCGTCCAAATCATCTGCTACGCCGCTGGTAACTGGATCGGCCCGCAGACCTTCCGCAGCAGCGATGCTCCCGAGTACCGGACTGGCAAGACCATAATTGCATGCCTCTATGGGGTGACAGCCCTCGTCCTCCTGACCATTCGCCTCGTCAATATCCGAGAAAACAAGCGCCGCGATAAGCTTCAGACCCGGTCGTGCGTCGACTTGAATGACCCCGAAGTCAAAGCTGAGATCGAGAGGTCAAAATTCATGGACTTGACGGATTATCAGCAACCCCACTTCCGATATGTCCTGTAAAGCCACTGCAGCACTTGGCGACACAGATAGGTTTTGGTCAGTACCCCGAGGTAGAGATGTGGTGGCTCGGGAAAGAATCGTTAGTCGTATTACGTCGCGTTATATGATATCATTTTTGTCATTCTGTTCTTTGAATGGTTCAGGCTAGTGCAACACGCACCGCTGTTCAACAGCTGACACACATTTGGCCACCTGGCCGTATCAGCCACCCTGTACCTAGATATACTGCAATATATGAATGCGAGCACGTCTCATCTGAGTCCCTTTCTAGCCGCCCCCATCGATGTAATACTGCCTTTAGCAATAATGTATCGCGGACGAACCGTAATCCTGTCAACGAGCTGGATCAGGCTAGCACGGCCTTGGACCCAATGTTGAGGGAAGCTGAGAGTAATATCTTTCCTATATTAGCCTACCGTCGAAGCGTTGCTTTATTCGGCCCTGGGTATACTATTATTCAGTTTCGAACAAATTTCTTTTGCTATTATTAGTATAATAAATAGTGCTTTGAATATTAACTTTACAGAACTCTCTAGTTGTCAGTAGAATATCTTCTATAATCTCCAATCTGGCGAGTGACCACTTTGACAATATAAAGGCGGGGGGTCGGCTGGCCGGTGAAGGGACTAGGGCTTGGACCTCCCTATAGTCCGGCGTGCCCATGGATCGATTTGGCGCCAAAAGCGTACACCCAAGTTAGGTAGACCTCGCCTCCCGTATTAGTACTCCGCATGAGCCCTCCATAAGTCTTTTTGTACCCGAGCCCAATTACGTCGCCGGTTAATGGAGAAATCTGAAATGCAAATATTCAAAACTGGCCAAGAGGGCCGTGATTGCTCCTGCAGAGCACTATGCATTTTGATTTCAGCCGCAGTGCGGCCACGAGCTACAGCCCGGAATCTGTCCTGATTATTGTATGGCTCCTTTTTCAGCCATGCTGCTGTAAGCGCTCTAACATACGTTTTCACAGGTTTGCTCGACTTTAGCACTATACAATGCTTTTGAACTCCTTGCTCTTATTATCACGACCGTTAAGAGGCGTAAGGGTCTCTACTTTTGGAGTATATTTCTCGCATCATTGGGAGTGATTCCCTACACCGTAGGTTGGATACTCGTCTACTTCAAGCCCACTATCGCTTATGTCGGCATGATAATCGACAGCATCGGCTGGGTTATGCTGGTCTCGGGTCAATCTGTCGTCCTGTATTCGCGATTACATCTCGTACTCAACAGTGCCAAAATACTCCGCGCTGTCCTCTGGATGATTATCTGTAACGGTATTCTCTGGCACACCTCTATTACTATTCTCCTATTCGGTTCCACATACAGTCCGTCCCAGAGCAGAAGTGGCTTCAACGGCGTGTACAATGTCATGGAGAAAGTCCAATTATCCTTCTTTTGCCTCCAAGAGTTCATTATCTCCGGTCTATACATATGGGCCGCGGTGGATATCCTCAGGACGGCGTTCGGCAATAAGAGACGATTCACATGGCAGCTTTTTAGCATCAACGTATTGATAATAGCCATGGATATCGCGATTCTCGTGGTCGAATACATGAGTTACTTCGTGTGGGAGCAAGAACTCAAAGTTGTCATATACTCTATAAAGCTCAAGCTCGAGTTTGCGATCCTGAGTGAGCTGGTCAAATTTGTGCAACATCATGGAGACGCTAATTCCATATCTACTTTGCCACGTCACATTTCTGGTGCTGTAGAGCCATCTGCTGCCCGGCAGCGCACAAAACACGGGAGAGCCCGTTCCCCAAGCTTCCCGGAGACGATGCACGTAGAAGAGTCTCTATTCAACGCTGCGGTGTCTTTAAGACCAGAGACGTCAAACTACCAGGAGAGTGAGAATAGTCAGATTAGGGTCAGAACGACGGCAGATATAGAAGACTGTTCCATAGATCTCGGGGATCGTAGGACCATGCGCCACCTCTACGACGACGCGGTTCGGCAGATATCGAGATCATAGACTGCGTCTTGATACCGCTGTCACCACTTTTTCACATTTCGAATCATACCTACGATAGTCGGAAGGCAGCCAAGTTCTAGCCCTATCCGTTGACACACTCAATGTCCAAAGCTCCCACCCATTGTAACATTTTCAATGTTGAACTTTCTCTATTTCTAAAGGTCCCAGGCTATATATAGAAGCTATCTGCTGGGTCTCTTCATTCGCCTGCAGAGCATTGATTTACCACCTAGTGATGTCGCCTGAGCACTCCCCCGGGGGGGTGGGTGGTTCTATCAGGGCTTCCCACGCTATAATGATAAGCTTATAGTCTGATATCATGGGCTTATCTTTATCAATTTCCCAGGCCTGCAAAGGCCCTAAAGCCAGTGAGGGCAATACTAAGTTGACAATTGACACTCCTTCGGTCTGCTAATACCGGGTAGCTTAGCTTCCTCTGGGGTGTTATTAATATATAAGGAGTGCCTGTCAATAAGTCGTTCTAGAGGCTCAGTATTGATTTGTGATGGGGCCTAAGCATTCTAAATCGATTTATGAGCGTTAAAATCATCCACTTTTAAGTACCTACCTACTATGAGAGACTATTAATATGCATTCTTAATAGTTCATTAGTGTTTGGATGAGGCCCCCTGCTAGTAGTAGCTAGCCTTAACCTATATATTATAACAGTTGATGATTCTCATGTATCTAGGCGTCTGTCCACTAATTATGGGGGGTTTCTCTATATCTAGGGCTTTCAAATAGGGATGATCTACTAAATCAGTGCGATTCTCAACCTAAATAGCATCTACAAGGTCTTTGCAGACTGTTATAAGCACTCGTTAGTCCCTTTTATCCCTTCTTGGCTAGTAAAAAGGGTAGCTTAGATAAGAAAAGTCATTAAGGATATAAGGCTTATGTAGGCATATAATATCTATATGTTCTTTTATCCTGGTCTCCAGAGCCCCTAGAGTGGTGGGTATGTATGGTCACAGTTATGCTGAATTATTATAATATTTATAGGGGGCTCTAGAGGGGGTTATTCTTGGTAATGCCGCTCTGGGCTTTCCACTTAGGGTGGGATAGTGGTATAATGAATAGTTGTACATATATTATTACTACCATCATTTAACTATACAACTGGCTATAGAAGCTTTATATTCTAGAATATTATTGATATCTTTCTTTAGAATTTATGTGTTAGTAGATTGATTAGAATATGGATGCCATTTAGACATACACTGGTTGTTGTTGTTGTTGTTGTTGTTGTTGTTGTTTGTGAGGCGGTTACTGGAAAGCAGGTAAACATTGGGATTTATTGGTCGAACGTAGGGCTTGGTTAGATATAGACTGATTGCTGACCTGTGGCATATATGGCTGCAGGTGTAGATTATATAGTGTCTCAGCTAGCTAGTGTTTTGATAGTGGCGCTATGAGGTTCTCTGAAGGTGCCTTAGAGGTGCTAAAAGGTTATAGACCTTTTATAATATGTAGAGTCTTACATTATTTCTTCTTTTAATGGAATCAGTGTTTCTGAGCTGATTCTAGGGTATGTGGCGGATTAGAGATGATCTGATAGGTGATGGTTTGGTGTTAGTATAGCTATACTATATGCTGATTGTTGTGTATATTACTTAGTAGGTAGATAAATGGGTCTATCACTATATGCTGCACTCATGTTATTATTATTATGAATATTTATCTGTTTGTTATATCTTTAGAAATTTTTTTTTTTTTATAATATTATTCTGCCTAGTGTATTATCTCTTTATATGATTTTTTTATTTTTTTAGTCCTGTGTTGTCTTTGTGTGAGTAAGTGAGGCTATATGTATGTATATGTATATGTTTATGGATTTATCTTTTTATGTGCTTATATATGTGTCTATTAGGGAGTCTAGTATTAATATGGAATAGTGTCTCGCCATCTATGTAGAGGTTTGTGTGTCTGTGTGTTTGCCCATGTGTTGTCTCTCTCTGTCTATTTTTTCTTGTTCTTTTTGGAGGATGAGATTGTCTTCTTATTTGTGAGGTGGGATAAGAAAGTAACTGATATTATTTGTAATACTCTTATGAACTAAGGTTGGCTGATAGAAGAATAGAGCTTTTTGTGCCTGTTTGTTACTCGCGCTTGTTTGGTTTTCTTTGTGCGTTCTTTGCCTGCTTTTGTGTCTTGTATTTTCTTGTTTGTGCCTACATCTTGTATTTTTTTGTCTATGTGTTGCTCGCCTGCCTACCATGCTTGCTCTGCCCTCTGCTTAAAGTCTATTATGTCTCTATGGTTTTATGGATATAAGGGCCTTTTGCCCTGCTAATGATGCCTTTGGGCCCTTGATAATGAGTCTGATCTTGTCTGTGGCAGTGCAGTTGTTGGCCTCTATGTGTGTTGTAAGCACTTAAAAAAGTCTATAGCCAATTATAAAATAGTAAGTGTCCTTTTTTATGTATATTATTATCTGCTTAGCCTGTTTAGATATTTAATTTTATATATTGAATGTCTTTTCCTTATATATCTGAATGCTCTATTCTACACGTTTAGATGTTTATTAATAGATTATAGATGTTAACTGAATAAGAGTCTTTTGCTCATAAGATAGTTGGAAAGATGCACTCTCAGTTTAAGGATTGGGAGGAGGTTGTTATAAGTCTTAATATAGCTATATACTGTTAATAGGCTTCTTAGTCAGCCGACTATCTTGGAGAGTCAGTTAGTGCAATCTCTATATAATAGACTGAGTCTATGCTCATGTTGGGTGTTCTTAATTGGGGGAGTGAACATCTATTAGCTTGTTATAGCGTTTTAGAGTCTCTGTTCAATGTAAATCAAGCAGCTAGGCCGGATACCTTTATAGATCTCTATGGTTTATGCGGCTTATCCGCTCTCAGTTACAGGGATTTGATAGGATTAATACCTGTGTAGAATGACTGCTTTATGTATCTGGTTCGTTGTGTGTCTAAGGCATAGTGCAATCTGGACAATTATGTTTGGGTTTTTTATGGATAGTTCTTTTTGCTTGACCTTCAGATATTAAGATTTGTTGGGTCTTCGGATATTATAATATCTTTAATGCATTTTTTAAGGCTTCTTTTATGAATGTGTTTAGATTTCTCTTTGGGGATTTAGGTTTTTAGTTTAGCTTTTTGTATTATAGATGTGGCCTATAGGCCTAATTTTAAGAGTTATTCTTTTTTGGTCTCTTCCTCTGTGTCTAATATATAGCTTTCCTATGATAGACCTTTTAACCTTATGTTTAAGATAAATATCTAGGGCTTTAATATCTTATAAAGTCTCTACTAGCTTTTAGATTGTTTCTTTAATGGACTAATCCTTTTATTAAACTAGGTATTAGGTCTACCATCTATAGATTTATTCTTATATAATATTCTGTATTATATATTTGGGTATATCATCAACTAGAATTGATTCTATCAATATAAAGTTCCTCGCAGCAGTATAATATAGTTTTAATAGAGATATATAGAATATTGAATATAAGTCTCTGTATCTTGGGGTTAAGTCTAGATGATAGACGTTTATTCTCTATATTTTTAGTATTTAAAAAAAGCTTATCTAATAATCATCTAGCTTTCTTAAATATTAAGATGATATTATATTTTTTATTTGAAATATAATCTAATTTTCTACTTTATAGATCTTTTCTATCTTTTAATAATTATAGAATTTTGTCTGGAACCCTTTTATAACTTTTAATCTTATTTGGAGTTATGTTTATATTACTTAGAGTTTTTCTATTTTTTGTTTTGCATTAAGATTCTTATTTAGAGATTCTTTTGTTATATCTATGCGAAAGTCTTCTTGGAATCCTATCAGCATCTTTATTAGAGTTTTCTTTGTAATACTATAGCGGCTGTTATTATATACATACTATATTATAAAGATCCACTGAGACCAATCTATTTATTTATAATTAATATAGTAATACAGATAATATTCTATGAGTTGATTTTATTATTTGGTTTAGTTATCTGACTGAGAGTGAGCTATGGTGGATAGCTAATGGATAATTCTGAGATAGAAATATATGCTTTGCTAGAATCTGTTGGTAAAAAGCTTATTATAATCTAATACTATGTATTTTGATAATATAATCTATTAAATTAGATATTTATATAGCAGTTTTACCAGTTTTTTGGCTATTAAAGCTTTCTAGATAAAGAGATAGATATAATACTTTAAGAAAGGGTCTATTATAATTAGAATAGTATTGATTGTTTTCTTTTATTATTCTGCTGAAAGTAGTTTGGTGATAAAGTTTATAGTCATGATCTTAAATAGTTTATTAGGAACTGATAGGGACTTTAGTAAGCTATATTCTTTATATTAATATATCTTTATTTTCTGATATACTGTATAGATTTGGATATAATATTCTATATTAACTTTTATTGCTGGTTAATAATATTTTTAATGTACTATTATTAGGGTTTATTTTTTTCTAAAATGTTCTTTTTAAGTGTTATTATGATTGTTTTTTATGATTTTTAACTATAGGGTCTTGTTTAGTGGCATATAGGCTACATTTTTATACTGAAGTAGACTACTGTCTTCAATATTTTAGTTTGAGTTTTTGGCTTTATAAATATCTTTTTGAAGATCTTTTATCTTCTTCTATATAAAGATATCTCCTTATTAATAGGTTTGAAGGAGAGTCTCTATATCTAGCTTTATATCTATATAGGCTGTCTCAGTCTTTATAGTTTTAATAATTAGAGACTATAGTATTAGGAGCTCTAGATTTTTTATGATATTAGTGGTAGTACTTTTATCTATAGAGATATTTTTTATTTTAGATTTGTGGGAATCATTTTTGTTAGTAGTGAAAAAATTTTTTTATTCTTCTTCTTTATATACTGATTTACTTGCAGATTCTCTATATCTAAGAGAAGGATTTATATCATTTTATTTAGCTGTGAGTATCCCTCTTTGGAGCTTCTTCTTTAAGATAGAAAGAAGGGATTCTTTCTTTTTTATATCTTTTATATAGTTAGGTTAGTGGCTAGATGTATCTGTGAGATTCTTTAATCCTAGACAATATTCTATATTGAAATTGTATGCTGATAGATATTCTGTCTATTGAGTCTGATGTCTAAATAATATTTTCGTAGTAGTGAAGTATTATAGGTTATTATGGTCTGTTAAGACTCTTATTATGTATTAGCTATTTTTTAGGTATTATTGTTAGTGTTTAAAAGTATTAACTATAGTTATTAGTTTGGTATTATAAGTCTTATATCTAATCTTTGATCTTTGTAACTTTTAGGATCAATAGGTAATGGGGTGTTATGTATTATTTTTAAATAGTTAAGTGATTACTGTATCTATAGTGCTCTTAGAGGCATCTATTTTTAACTGTATAGGCTGGATAGGGTTAAAATGTCGCAGTAAGGGCTCTTGATAGAATAGATCTTTGAATTCTCTGAAAGATTTTAGGGCTTTAGGGATAAGCAGTTTAGGGTTTTTCTTCTGTTTCTGATGCTTTGACGCTCTGTCTGCTATTCTTTTTATGAGTTTGGTCAGGGTCTTCATAATCTTAAAGAACTTTGGTATGAAGTTGTGGTAAAAGTTTATGAATCTTAAAAAAAATTGAATTTCTTTTACTGTTTGTGGTTCTGGCTATTCTTAGATGGTTTGGACTCTGTTCTCCTTTATTTTAATATCTTTTAGGGATACTATGAATCTTAGATATTTTATAGTATTGGTGCTAAAGCTATATTTATTTAGTTTATAATATAATTGGTGTGTTTGAAGTCTTTTTAGGATCTCTTGAATCTAGGTCTTATGATTCTCTAGGTTTTTTGAATATATGATTATATCGTTGAGATAGATCATTATATAGATGTTAAGTAAGTTTGATTTAGCCTTATTAATATAAGTTTAAAAGGTAGTAGGGGTATTAGCTAGTCTAAATGGTATTATATTGTATTTATAGTGGTTATATTTGGTTCAGAATATTGTCTTCCATTTGTTTCTATGTTTTATTCTTATGCAGTAATATATATTCTTAAGATTGAGTTTAGTAAAGTACTTGACCTCTAATAGTTGGTCTAGGATCTCCAATATTAAGGGAAGTGGGTATTGGTCTTTCATTATTATAGTATTGAGGTCTTGATAGTCTATATATAGGTAGAGACTGTTATCTTTTTTTAGGATGAATAGGATAAGGATTTTTGCTGGGCTTTTCGATGGTTTTATTTATCTTTTCTCTAGGGCTGTTTTTATATATATTTTTAATATCTCTTGTTTGGACTTGGTGAGCCTATATATTGGTCTATGAAAAAGAGTTGTGTCTGATTTAAGTTTAATAGTGTGGTTATGTGCTGTATATTTAGGCAGTATATCTATAGCCTTCTTTGAGAATATGTTTTTATACTTCTGAAGATACTCTGGGACCTTCTGGTCTAATTTTGTTACTAATTTTTAGTTTAAAGATTCATTGAGTAGTATTTTTATATGGTTTCTATTGTTGATTTTGGTTATATATAGCTGTAGGTCTCTGGTTTTGAGGGTATTAGGCAATATCTAGTAAGCTAGATATCTAGCTAGGAGCTCTTTCTATGCTGTAGCTATGGTAAGGATCTCTATTTTCTCTAGACTGGTGTAGGCCCTGTATTTTTAAGTTTGGTTTTCTTAATTTATATCTGGGTTGGCGGCTTGAAACTATGGTATATCTAGGATAATGTCATATCTATCTATGTTTATTATATTTAGTGAACATCTAGTAGTTCTAGATAGTCTTTTGGTATTTACAGTTTTAATGTCTATATTATGCTAGCTATAGAACTGGATTTAGTGTCTATTAGTAGCCTTAACTCTTTGAGATGTCTTATTTGAGTATATTCTAAATCTCTTTATAAGAGTTTAATTTATAAAACTGTTTTGAGTACTACTATCAATAAGTGTTTAGAGTAAGGGAGTCTTTAGTATGTTAAAGAGTTCTATCATTATAATTAATAGTTGTTCCTGTTATAAATTCTTTTTTAGTGTAATATTAGATTTAATCTCTAGTGCAGCTGCTGTACTCAATAGCTAGGGTTTCAGTTTTTTGACTTATCTGTATCTCTTTAGTCTATTTCAATCTTTGGTTTAGGACAGTTGCTGGTAAAGTGCCTGGGTTGATTATAATTGAAATAGTTTTGACTATTTATATAATTTCTATCTTGGTCTTAGCTTATATTAGATCTATGGGATCCTTCTCTTAGAGGTTCTGGGTTTGTTTGGGGCCCTTGTCCTCTGTATTCTGGCTGTTTTTTTGAGCTATTATTCTCTTTAGATCCCTTTATAGGGCCTTTAGGCTTTTATTATCTGTTGGCTTTAGCCTTCTAACATTTGGATATAGTATTTTCTATCTTTTGTAAGAATGCTATTATTCTTTTATAGTATTTTAGCTTTTTTGGATACTTTTAGGTTTCTGTTTGTATGCTCTAAAGAATCTTAATATTTAATTATTTTATTTATTACTTTTTTATATATTGAAGATCTATCTATTCTTTTAGTGTCTAAAGGAATTAGGCGAACTTATATATAGATTATTCTTTTTATTACTTTATATTAATATATTGGTGTAGGGCATTGATTTAAAGAAGTTTGGGGTCATTAAAGATTTAATAGAGATAGCTCTTAAAGTCATTCTAGCTTATATTAACCACACTTCTATGTTTCTTCTAGAATAGGGAGTATTGTAGGAATTGAGGTTGATCTAGGTTATCTGATGTTTTGCTAATCTTATGCTCTAGATATATATTATATCACTCTGAATATTTTTTAAATCAGGATTTGGCTTTTTTAATGAATATCTTATACTTATTATAGCTTCTTCCATTATAAAGATAATCTAGTTTGAATTTTAGAAGATGTTTTTCTTTTAATATTTTGATTTAAGGATGCTTTTCCTCTATATCTGTATTTTTAGAGGTAGGATCTTAGATTTAATTTTGATTCTATAGTATATTCTATTTTAGTTCTGTTATTTAGACTTATTACTCTAAACATTTATTAGTTATTTCTAATTTAGAGAGAATTATAGAGTTTAACTACTCTTTAGTAAGTTAAATATAGATTTTATTTATGATTGTTAGTTCGGAATTATATTCTTGATATTCTCTTTATAGTATTTTCACGAGCTTATCAATATCTTTAGATTTATATTAAGATGTTGTCCTCTTTGACTTACTTAAGAGTTGCTCAGGGGTAGCGGCTATTAATGTGTTTCTAATAATGACTATTTTCGAATGATCGCTAATCTTTTACTCTAAGGTTTAAAGTAATTAGAATATAAAGTAGTTACTGGAAAATAGATAAATATTAGGATTTATTGGTCAAATGTAGGGTTCGGTTAGATATAGATTGATTATTAATCTACGGTATATGTGGCTGCAGGTATAGATTATATAGTGTTTTGGCTAGCTAGTGCCTTGGCAGCGGCGCTGTGAGGTCCTCTGAAGGTGCCTTAGAGGCGCCGAAGGGTTATAGACCTCTTATAACATGTAGGGCCTCACATTGTTGTTGTTGTCTGGCTTGATAGTCACACAATCCCCTTGTCCTTCCTAGGTAGTTGCAGCACTATACCAGCAACAGATAAACTATTGTATCCGGTTGAGTGTAGAAATAATTATTGGTGTGGGGACTCATTTGGTTTCTTAGTGTCTTAAAAAATTTGTTTATTCGTCCATAAACGCCCTCCGTATGATCCCTGAAGTCTTGGCTGGTTTTAAAATACCTAGGTAGACATTGTCATGTTCCTATCTGTAAACATATTAACCCTAGCTTCATTATATACACCTAACCATCCGAAGCCTGTACCACTTGAGCCCAATCTCCAAAACCATAGGCACCGGGTACGTTCTCTCCGTCAAACAAGCTAGCCAAGATAACACGATCGGACTGCTCTCCCTCCCACGGTTCCCGTCCATGTTGGGCAATGATATTATCGTACACTAGAACATCGCCTTCTTGCCATTTGTGCAGGACGCGGATCTCATCCGTGATCTTAGCCAGATGAGCCAGATACTTCTCGGGAATCGGGGTCCCGTCGCCGAAGAACTGATGCGCGACATTCTTCCTTCCGGCCGCGCTTCCCTCACGGGCCTGGAGGGTATTCTTATAGTACGCCGCCAGGCCGGTGAAGAGTGTAGGGAGGTTAGTCCCGGGCTGTGTTCGAATGACAGGCAAGCGATGCGTGAGTACCAGCCCCTTCCCCTTTCCATCCTCGTCATCTGTCCACTCCCACGTGGTGTGCTTGTCGCGTCCGTATCGGGCGATCTGTGCTTCGATCTTCTTCCGTTGCGTCTCCTCGCTATCACCATCTTGGACTTCCTTACCAAAAGCTTGTTTGAGAGTGGATCCGCCCACGTACTGTTTCTCCACCTTGTATGTCACCTTACTCAGGATTCCCTTCTCAGCCAGTAGATCAATAAACTCGGGGATCTCGGCCTGGGCGCGATGGAACAACTCCAGGCTGGACGAGATGGGAGTCTCGCCGCCCTTGGCAGGAGCCTTATGAGAGTAGAAGAAGATGTACTCTGGCGCATGAGGCACCTGGGGAGACTCGTTGTGGTTGTAGATTCGCACTTCCTTGGGGGCTTCGTTCGCTGGAGCTACATTGGGGGCGAGCAGCGGTCGGTCGACGACGATGCCGATGATCTCGTGCGGCTTGTAGCCAAACGCGTGCGCGAATTTACTAAAATCGGCGGCGTTATGGATGGGAAGGTTGCGGAAGAGGAGGGTGCCGTGTTTGGCTAAGAGGTTCGTCAGCGTTTTGTCGCGTTGGAGCGTTTCGATCGCTGAAACTGCGCTGTCGAGCGAGTCGACATCCTGAGATGGGCGAAGGGCAAGGGGGATCTGGGTGTTGGCTGGATGAGGAGATCCCAGCAGGCGTTGGTTGGAAGAGGGTAGATCGAAGGGTTCGAAGGTGACGGCCGAGTCTGCAGAGTCGGCGATCTTCAGCGAAGAAATCGGCAGCTGTGCGACAGAGGCAGCCATGATTGATTTTTTTAAATAAAGAGTACTACTGCTCTATGATGGGAAATAGAGTAGCTCTCTCTCGATGGAAAACGAAGAAGGAGGTCCAGATGTCCTGCTTATCATTATTATCAGTGAAGAGGGGTATTCTGCATTGGCTCATCTTCCCCTCACATGGCGAATCCTGGCATTTTTTCTGATACCGGCGCCATGGATATAATAATTATTAATGTTAAAAAGAGTTTCCCCCATGACTCATGTACCATCGGCCCATCCCGATATTCTGGGTTTGGGTTTGTCCCGACATGATGGGCAGGTCGATATTCCTCATCCGTGGCTGCGATCACGACAATCGTCATGCACCTCGGCAGCCGGTTTTAATCGCGACGACTACCCGGGATGCAGTGATGTATTTTCTCATACTTTTGGCCCTTCTGGTCTACTATCAATCTTTTTAGTATACCGAATTAGTCATGGCAGCCGCTTCAGGCAAATCACCAGAGCCAACCCAGGTTCTAGCCATCAAGACAGACACAGACGACAAGACAGACCCAGACAACAGCGCCCAGGAGGAACAGGTACAGGCACAGCACCATGGCAAAACCAAACCAGTCTTCTTCCGAAGCACGCTCTTCCAGATCCTCATTGTAGGACTCTGCGCTTTCTGCGCCCCCGGAATATGGAGCGCTATGAACGGGCTGGGTGTTGGAGGCAGTCAGTCGCCCAATTTAGTCAATGCAGCTAATGCTCTGCTCTACGCTTTCATGACGGTCACTTGTTTTGCAGGTCCATGGCTTACCAATGCCATTGGCTTCCGGTATACTCTTAGCCTGGGGTCAATTGGATACCCACTCTACGCAGCTGGCCTATACCTCAACAACCGCACGGGGGCTACTTGGCTGGTCTATCTCGGCTCCGTAACCTGCGGTATCAGCGCTGGATTCTTCTGGAGCGTCGAAGGCGCTATCGCAACTGGGTATCCGGAGCAGCACAAGCGTGGCCGCTATATTGCAACTTGGTAAGAGCTGCTCCCATGTTATATCTCGAAAGGTAGTCTAACCTGCCATAGGTTTACATTTCGCAATTTTGGTAATATCATCGGCGGTGCAATCTCCCTGGGGCTCAACCATCGTACCAACAAAGTTGGCAAGGTTGGATACCAGACATACCAGGGCTTTATTGCGATCCAATGCCTGGGCCTGCTCTTCGGGCTGTTATTGTCCAACCCAGACAAAGTACAACGCTCCGACGGCACCCGTATCGAAACCTCAGCCAGTCCCATCGACTGGCGCACTGAGCTGGAGGCCATGTGGAAACGCATCCGGAGCAAACCTATCCTGCTTCTGACTCCGCTTTTCTGGTATTTTGGCTGGATCCAGGCATATCCTGGAACCTATTTGGCAACGTACTTTACTGTTCGGTCGCGTGCGCTAGGAAGCTTCATGTCTGCTGTTGTTGGTACATTGGCGACCTGGCTAGGAGGCGCTCTAGTTGACATTCCCTGGGCGCGAGACAGAAAGGTCCGAGCCTTGAGCACGTGGCTGCTCATCGCATTGCTCAATAGCGCTACCTGGATCTGGGCAGTGATTATTCAGAATGAGTATCGACACACCCATCCAGTTCTAGACTGGGGTAACCAAAGCGCCTTTGGGCGTGGGTTCGGACTGTATCTCTTCGAACGAATTAGTCTGGGCATGGTCGAGAATTATATCTATTGGTGCATTGGTAACCTGTCGGATTCTCCCGGTGAGCAGATTCGATACAGCTCGTTGTTGCGCGGCATTGAGACGGCCGGCGTTGCTGTCGGGTTTGGCGTCCAGGCTGTTCCTACGGCGCTGATTGCAACGGCCAGTATCAATTTCGGCTTGTGGTTTTTCGCTCTGCCATTTAGTTTCTGGGCCACACTGCAGGTGGTAAAGAAGTTCGAACAGGAGCAGGCGAAGGAAGGACAAATTGAAAATGACCAGGAGGCTTCGGCTTGAAATAAGAGTTATTATGGAATTTGTCATGCTTTATTTTCCGACTGAAAGTAAAATTTCATCTGAGTCATTAGTGTTGTAGATTGTAATTCCGAATATTCATCATGGAGGTGAATGTGTTTAAAAAGAGTCCACCGTCAACCCCCTCCAATGCCTCTTTTCCTTACTAGAGCCCTTCCTGAAAGATCCAGACCGGCTTACGGCGTGTTGGGTGCTGAAGACGGCTCTGGCTCAAATCATCATTGAAGATAGAGTCCTAGGCCCCTTTTCGCTCTGTCATCTCGATCTCCATTTCGGCAACCTTCTTTTTGATAACGAATACAATCTGACGGGAGTCATCGAACAAGCGCCCCCAAAGTTTGGTAATATAGTAATATCACTGGAATAATGATAATAATAATCTCATTGTAAGAAAGAAACTCACTTCTGGTTCTACAGCCCACTGTGGTAATATTTCCTAGATAGGATAATACAGGAGATGGGATGATGCCCGAGTCAGTTCGTTATTAGTTCAGAAATAAGCTTTCGTGCACGGCCATGCTTCACGACTGAGGAATGTGTCGGAAGGAAATACATTTGAGAATTCGGAGCAATATACTTACTAGCTCAGTCCGTTCTGGATGTTGAATATACAGTTTCTTCATCGGGGCAAATTTAATCCGATATTCTTCAATTCTGTGATCTAGATTGTCTGGGTCTGGGAGAGCGAAGCCGGGAGGAAACCTGTCAAAATGCAATATTTAGAATTATTGTGCCATCTGTATACGTTCTTTGGGATAGTGCCATAGATCTAGCCCATGTCAGATTTCCCTATGCCTCCACTAATTCAGCACCGTGCGCGGCTTTCTCTGCGATGTTCTGTTGAAAATGCGGCATATTCCGTACCACCTTGAGTGATCGCTGGCGACAGTGACATTGTTTTAGTTATTTCATCGCAAAGGAGACAGAAAAATAAGCAACCAAATCAGTCGAAGATACAGGATTCTTCTGGTTTGCTTGTATCTACCATTCTTGTCTGACACTCTGACAATGTTGAAATTGCATAGCAGAATTTCAGAGCTCCCCAGCAACGTGCAACAACTATACCCCCGCATAGTCAATATTTTTTTTTTTCTTCTTTTGTTTACACAGCTCGACATATTGGCTGACGGTTGAAGAGTGGAGTGCATTAGAACTGCATAGCCTCGGATATATAATGACTCCAAAATCGTACATTATTACGTGCTCGAGCTAACCGGGAGAGCATCTAGCAACATCGATATGTTGGTCACATAGAGGAGACAAATCGCGCCATAAGGCAGGCGTTGAAAGTTTGTTCTCAATTGGTAAAAGTATGTATGTCCATTGTGCATGTTTATTACCTATTCGTGTGACGACTGGAAACAGAAAATACTACAGGAGATATACCACGTGTAGTAAATGACCTTATTAGAGCGCTTAAATAGGCGCGGAGAGTATATCTCGAGACAATCGTAGACTCTTCTATCGTTTGAACTTCACGCTTTTCTTTGTGCTTGTCTATTTTTATTCAAGTCCGAGGAACGATGGGTGAACCAGATATTTTTAAGAATACCCCAACGGTGGATGAAGGTTCTATATCTTCTACGAGAAATGGAGAGGAGCCACAACGAGATGTCTCTGGCGACATCATCGAAGACGGCCTTCGCCGAGGATTGAAAGGAAGGCAATTCATGATTATCGCTCTGGGAAGCATCATCGGACCCGGTTGTTTCTACGGATTAGGATTGGGCTTCTACGAGTCCGGTCCTCTGGGTGTTTTAATCGGCTTTGTGGTCACAGGTATTTCCATGTGGTTTCTCATGCAAAGTGTGGGAGAAGTAGCCACTCTTTTCCCTGTGCATGGAGGCTTTGTCGAGGTATTTACCAATATCGCTTGTTCATTGCAGTCAATATTCTAACTCCTCCAGCACTGCGGTCGGTTCGTGGACCCGGCTCTCAGTTTTGCCATGTCATGGATGTATTATTTCATGTGGAGCGTATTCCTGGCCGCAGGTAAGTTCCTTTCAAGTCTAGATTGAGATTAAAGAATTAACCTGGCCTGCCATTTCTAGACTGGAATAACGCCGCCGTTATTCTTCAGTACTGGGTTCCCACCACCCAAGTCCCGGTTTGGGCATGGTATATCATTTTCTGGTTTGTCTTTTCGATAATAACGACTCTTGGAGTTGGCTTCTATGGGGAAATCGAGTACTACTTTGGAATGTTCAAATTTCTGTCTTTGGTCGTCCTCTTTTTCATCTCCATTTTGGCCAACGTGGGAGCGTTTGGAAATGGATATGTAGGGTTCCGCTACTGGACAGAACCGTATGGTTTGTGCAATCTTTTTCTTCTTCTTCTTCTTCTTCTTCTCCGGCCTTTGAGTTTCTCGCTCTAACGAATATCTAGGCCCTATCAGGAATGGAATCAATGGATTCGGCCAGGTCTTTACCCTGGCGGCAGCCTTCTACGTTGGGACAGAGATCGTATCCGTCGCCGCTGGAGAATCCAAAAATCCAAGGCGCGACGTCCCTCGGGTACGTACCGAACCTCTTTGGAAATATTTTGCTAATACATCTCGTTTTTCCTTTTTTTTAGGCAACCAATTCCATTGTATATCGCATCTTGTTCGTTTTCATCGGCATGTCTTTCTTCCAGGGCCTCATTTGTCCGTCAAATTCCGACGAATTGGTAAACGCTACCTCAAACACTGCCTCGTCGCCTTTTACCATCGGATTTGTTCTTGCCGGGTGGAAATCTGCTGGCCACTTTGTGAATGCTCTGATTCTCGTCGCATTCATCTCTGCTGCAAATGGGGTGGTCTACATACAGTCTCGAACACTTTACTCACTGGCTTTGAAGAAAAAAGCTCCCAAGTTCTTTGCAGTCGCGAGCTCTAGAGGCGGTATGTACCAAACCACATGTTCGACAGGGTTTGTCTCTGTTTCATCGCTAACTGTATTTCTATAGTCCCCTACCGGGCAATCCTCTTCTCTAACCTCTGGGGGTTCCTCTCTCTCATGTCCCTGCAAACCAGCAGCGGTGCAATCTTCACCTACTTCACCGACTTCGGCGGAACTGCAGCATACATCGCCTGGGCGGCCATCACCTTCGTCCAACTCCGCATCCGAGCAGCCGCCCGCCTTCAAAGCATCGACCGCAAAACATTTCCCTTCACCGCACTGGGCGGGTCGTGGGTCTACTGGCTGAACTTTTTGTTTAATATTTTCATTTTGCTGATTCAGGGATATACGTCTTTTGAGACGCCATTTAATTATAAGACGTTTATTGCATGCTATATCAGTATTCCGGCGTTCTTTGGATTGTTCTTTGGGTATAAATGGTGGTTTAAAACCAAGTGGTCAGTCTAACACTCTTTTATTTCTTTTCTCTGCCAGCCGGCTTGGAAGGGCACAGTTGCTGATCGAATACATATCAGGGTTCGCCTAGACGAAATCGACTTCTCTGACAGAAGAGTGTGGTATGACGAGGACAAGAGCGAACGAGATACTCGTTCCTGGAGTAGAAAGGTTTTGGACGTCTTGAAAAGTTAAGGCTACCGATTAATTTCAGAGTCACAGATATCAACAGGTTGTCTATAAGGGCCTAGGGAGCTACACAGAGTTCCAGGCATAAGGCTCTGATCAGACAGATTAAAGATAGATAATAGTTTAACTAAGATAGAATGGTCTAATATATATCTACATGATCACCTCTGTCAAAATAATCTATTAATGGCCCATTTTACGCAAGGATTTTTTAGTACGACCCTAGATCCAGTTCTGGCATCTGCAGGATGTCCTCTTCTGGCTCCGGGATCCAGCTTTGGGCGCACAAGGCTTATATCTGTGGCTTTGTAAAGGGAACAATTCTTCGTTTCCACGTCCGCGCTATGGTGAAAAATTTGTCCCTGTGATGTCCTTCTTCGAGAATATCCTGACAACAGAATGGCTTGATCTGAGTAGCACGATCTTAACGGCCGAAAGCCTGAACATCACTATCAAGACATTGGAAGAATGGGCAAGGATATATGAGCTACCGGATATAAGCGTGACCACAATATAGAGAGCCTTTATAGGAGGGATATCATAAATTAGTAATAATTAGGAGAATATACCTAACCGGCCCCTCCACGTTACTACGAGATCCTCTGCGCGACCCGATTCTACCACGGAGATGGTTGCTTAGGAGGTTTGTAAAATAAAGTGAAAACCATAGCTGAAAGGAATACTGAAAAGGATTTGACAAGAAAGTCATGCTATCATAAACTATTCTATCTTGTGTTCAACATCTTGTTATAGTTTACCTATTCATTTGGTGATAATGACTGCCTCCGAGTCAGCCACAGTCACGTAAAGATTCCCACTTGCATCGGAAGTCACTTTCTCATCGCTGCTGGTCGAATTATCTCTCGTTGGTAAGCCTAGGGTCCCATACTCGTATGAATACCCGTTGAACGTAACGCCAGTGTCGACATCAGCGCCTGGTGCAGTCAAGCGTTTCACAACCCAAGACTCGTTTGGATTAACGCTTATAGTATAATTCTGTGAGCCCCGATCGGAACCCGAAGATGATGAAAATTCGCGAAGGTTAAGCAGCGCCACTCTCTGAAGTGTGCCATTGACATACGCGCCATACCCTGAATCTTTATCGGCATCACCATTTAGATCAATAGTTTTCACTTCAATCGTCGAGCTGTTGGCGAGAAACGTTGCAGCAGCGAGCTTTCCATAGTAGGGAGGGTTCGTCTGGGGGTCTGACGAATCTTTCGACACAGGCAACCACGCAGAATACGCCGAGCCGACGGCCTGATGGAAATGCTCTCTCTTAATGAAGCCAGTTGAGGCAGCATAGGCGGAAAACTCCAAAACCCAGAGACCAGCACCAAAGACGTTGGATTTTCCCGATGCACCTCCCCCATAGAGACTGTTATGTTCGCCGAGAATGTAATCTGCGTCAACGTCGCTGAGAGACTCGGCTAAATTGACGTGGCTCTGCAACTTATTCGCGACAGCTTTGTGGCTCATTAGTGTGTTTTGTACGGTCACGCCACTTGAACTAGCACCGGCCATGTAGTTGTGGACAGAGATTTGCTTCACAAAGTTTTCACTGTTTTCGCCGTCGTTGAAGATATCGGTGACTTTGATTCCAGACCCAGGAGAGCTTACAGATGGTGCCATCAGACTGAAAGAGCCATTTGCTGCCATGTCCGCGCATGCATCTTGTAGGTATGTTTTCAAGCTGTCGGTAGCATTCTGCCAGTCAGCCTCATAGTCTTCTGCCGGCCAGTCGGATGGGCGCCATTTCCCTCTGTACAGATCAGGTTCGTTTCCAACCTCCCAAACATTTAGTTGTCCACGCAGTGCATCACATGCAAGTGGCACTGTTTCTCGAAGCGTATCATAGCCAGAGCTATTTGATGCCGCAAGATTAAAATTATGCGAATACGTGGTGCCATTAGGGAACGCGCCGTAGGAGTCGAAAAACGACTTGCCAATGCAGAGAATAGCCTCAGGATCGGCGTCGCACGAGGATGCAGTGGCTTCAGATTGGTTGGCATCGTATATTGCTCGGTCACTAGTGTGGTAATATTTAATTAGCTTATCCTGAATACCATCCTCAAAGGGCTACTAATGGAAAAACAGAGCATGTAATAGACATACGCTGAGTTCCCTCCGACTCGAATGACCAGGGGACTTCCTTGTGCATCAGCAAGAGCCTTTATTAAGTTGTACGAAAATTGGTTCGGGCTTTCTTTCGTGCCTGTTCGAAGAGTCAGAAAAACACAATGTCTTCCTCCTCACTCCCCACCGCTTCTTTCTACATATTTACTGATGGTTGGATAGACGTACCAGCAAACGAGGGAAAACCAGTGAGTTCGATTGATAAAGAGACGAATGAATCATACAAAGGCCCTTTGGAGACAGCTGCAGCCATCTGGGAGAACAGGAGGAAGGAGAGAAGAGATGCCATGGTCGCTATCTCAATGTTCACTATAAGGAATGAGTGTATGTGAAATATGCATTCAGTATCAACTCAATTCACTCCATTATTTGCCGATGCTCCTATTTATGTATTTTGACGATTGCTAGACACCAATTGATATTTATTCCGCCCCAGTTTCCGAATTAGGTATTAGTGACCAGAAAATAAGCATATCGCCGGCATCTGGATAGTCCGGGGGGCCAAGGCTATGTTCTATATAGGAAGGATCGTCGGGTTAAGCTCTTGGTCTTAACTACCGTGTTTTACACTCTGTACGTAAAGCAGGGGATGACCACCAAGAGGGTTACATCCGGCTCTGGTTAACGCCTGGCCCTGGCCCCTTACTAGGTACACTTAAGTGGGTAGGTAGCTTCCGACACGAGAACTTTCAATGTCGTACTCTCTCCCCGCTTTATCTTCTAATTATGTTAACTCGTCTCTCATAGTGATACGCAGCGCCATTTCTAGTATCTTCATACCCTTTACACAAGAAACAGGTTTCGATATGTACTGAAAATATGGACCATTTTGCCAGCTGAAATATGAATTTCGGAAATCAAAGTGATACTGTAACGCACCAAGTCCAGGATCTTCTAGTAAAAACAGTTAAAATATCCTGAGATTGCGCCAGTGCGCAGCAAGTCGTAGAACTAGGTGCAATCTATTTATGTCTAGTTTATATATATATATTTTCTTCAATCGGCCATATGAGAGAACTATTTAATGCTGCACGGAGTCAAACATAAGAAAGATGGCAACAGTCAAGATAATTGAACACGGAGAGTAGAGACGCCAAAATTGCTAGTGATCAATCGAATGAACAGCGCCAATTGACAGTGATTGGAAGATATGTGCATTAACTGATATTTTAGGAACCACGAGATACTACCTATTACATAATTTAGGTCTCGTCAAACAAATGAAGCAGTTATATATTTAGCCTTCTTTTCCTTGAAGATTACGACAGGGGCATTGACTCTTTACCGTAGTAAAAACAGGGAGAGGGGCACATATTTATATCTCAATGCTCCTGGCTAGATTTCCCCTTTCTTGTGGTAAGTTCCCGTCCTAGAACTTCCGTATCCCACCAGACTTTGGCTTCTAGAATCTGCAGCCCGTCCGTTCCCTGACCGTCCACCTCGCTTTTTCCGATGAGGAACATTAGAAGCCTTGGGACGATAATTGGATCCCCAGCCAATAGTTGGTCTTTCATCGAAAAGGACGTTTCGGTTTCTATTATAGCCCAATATGCAGCTTTCTCCGGATCTGATTCCGTAGGTATAGCTTCGACTATTCCGTGCGAGTTAATATTTCGGTTTCTCTCAATGATTTAGAAAGATTAAATTGACTGCAAACGATATTTAGGGGATACTTGGTGCTTGTAAGGCTTCATAAAGTGGAGAAGGATGTAACATACCGAGGCGAATTACTTTCACGTTATGGCAGACAACACTAAACGGCCCAAAGAGGCTCTTCATCCAAGTCCAAATCTCATCGCCGCCATGATAGACGGTGCCATTGGTGTTGAAGAAGGTGCAACTTGGAGCATACCAGTCGTGGAATGGGCCAGATATCTCGAGGGAATCAATTTTGTCACTGTATTTTTCCACAAAAGCGAGAGCAGGTATGTCTCTGGTCGAGGCATCGTATGTCCCGATGTGGGTGATACACGTGGAGGACACGGACATGTTTAGCCGAACAACAACAACTGTATTCCTCTGAGAATAATGTGATATGACATTGACGCTTCCTTGCTTGAATGACTTTGGACAAAAATTCACTGGATGAACGGCTGGTATTTAACCTGTGCAAAGCGTACTGTACATTATTGTGGATGTAAATAATAATCTTTGCCTACGTCACCAAAAGCCACGGCTGCTCTAAGCCCAAATTAAGCTATTCGAACTCCGACCCTCATCCAACCTTGCGGGCGTAACTCTTCGAGACTGGCCGAGGCCTGCGACCTTCACACTGACGCTTTTCTCATGTGGGGCTACATAATCGATCGGTTCTGAGCACTGAAGGATTTAATTTAGGAGATTCGGCCGTATCTTGCTAAGTCCTTTGAACAAAGTGGCGATCGTCGTAATCACAGTTGATATGCTAGCACATCCAGCGATTTTTCTATCAGTAATCACGATTATTAGGACTCGGGCCATTGTCGGCTTCAGCATAATCATTGGTATTGTTGATTTAGTAAAGCCCTGAATTAATAACATCATCGCCGAGCACTTATCTCCTGTCCATACATGCGTTAAATGTAATTATCCACGCCCGTTATAATGTCGACGCACTTTAATATAAAAGGCAAGATATAACGCCAGAAATTCAACAAAGAGGCAGAAAATTCCAAAGACAAAGCCCAAGGTCGATAACTAAAATCTAAAGTTCTCTTCATCACATCCTACGCAACCAAGCATTTAATCTACAATGGCACACTCTGATTTATTCTACGAACCACCCAAGGGAGAAACATCCGGTCTTCCCCATGATCCCTTCAAGAGCTTTGTGATCCCCAGGCCCATCGGATGGATAAGTACAACAAGCAAAGATGGCCAGGACAATCTTGGCCCATTCAGCCAATTCAATAATGTGTCGTTTGACCCCCCGACGATTTTGTTCATCGGTCACCAGTCTGCATACAAACGTCGCAGTAAGGATTCAGTTGTGAATGCTAGCGATACTGGCGAATTTGTATGGAACATGGCAACGTAAGTGCTTAATTAATAAATTTCTATCAACAGCGTTGGAGGAAGCTTACACTCTATGCGAATAATAGATATGATCTGCGTGACGCTGTTAATGCTTCCTCGCTCGAATCATGGGATGACGAGTTCCCAATTGCCAATGTTTCAAAAGCGCCTAGCCGGATTGTGAAGCCACCTCGGGTAGCAGAATCGCCCGTAAGCTTTGAATGTAAAGTTCACTCTATTGTGAGGGTTGCTGGAGACACCTTCGTGGGCAATTCTGATATCGTCATTGGCCGTGTGGTGGGCATCCACGTTAAGGGAGAATATATTACACCAGACGGGGTGAGCATTACATATTATTAGATCTTTTCGTTCCCGCTAACTTTGTTACATAGCTCTTTGACGTATTAAAAGCTGCTCCTCTTGCACGGCTCGGCTATAATCAATATACTGCTATCAACAATGTGTTCGACATGCGTATGCCGATGATGCCAGATGATAAATATAGTGCTGGTGTACTCGGAGGATCTATTAAGGATGTTCATGAAGCGGAAGAGGTGTACCAGAGAGACAAGGCGGAGGGAGCCAAATAGAAGGAGAGGAATTAGTCTTTTATCATGTATGCTGTAACTATTATACTAATACCTGTAATATTCTGGCGTTATTTTATCCTCTAACTTCACTTTCACTACCAAGCATTGGAAACGAACTTATATAGATCTGCAATATATCTTCAATAATAAATTAACGGTCATAGATGTCCTCAAATCCGACCACGTCCATTTAAGATTCAGAGCCGTAGTTCCTAGGATGTCTTTATAGTTGCCATTTGGTATTATTATGGTAGTAAATCGCCCCAACAGTACACCAGAATCCCAATTTCCCGTTATTGTCTATGACAGACCGAAGTGAATGAGGGATACATATCAATTGGCGGTTAAGTAAAACCACTCACTGATATGGAGAACTTCAGATGTTTAATTTCAATATTCCCAATATTTGGATTCTGATTCAATTATGTATATTAATGTGTTCCAAAACTAGTATGTCAACCATCAGCTGGCTCAGTCATAATAATTACGCATGTTTCATTATAGGAGTTACACAAAATTTATATTACTCAAAGGAGCCATGTATGCTCATCAAGGATTTGAGGAAATAAGTACACCGCTTTGACTCAACATGGAAGTGTGTTTGACTCATTCTCTCTTGGCTTATGTCCTATCAATTGATGTAATAGTTCGCTTCTTTACAAAGAAAATTGAGAAAGTGACAATGGCCATTATACTCATCTCTTTTATGTAAATGAGTGTACACTCCCAGACTCAACATGATAGTGTGACGTTTGATTCATCCCCCCGATTCAAATCCTATCAATTGATCTACCAGTTTCCTTTTTTTTTTTTTTTTACAAAGAATAGTGGAAATATTACACTACACTCATTTTTTTTATGTAATGAGTATGACTACAAGATCTGACTCAGATATACCGTCTTCCGAGTCACTCTTGTCTATAACTCCAGCACGACTACTTCCTGGTCTCATTCCTCTTGCATATTCCCTCGACTGTTGCAAAGACAGACATCATCCCCAGATACACACACATGTTCATCTTTCAAATAACCAAGCTTTTGATCAAGCCCTAATTCAATCACGCCATGCCTCTCGACCCGAACGGTAGACTTGATATTACCGGTTGGCAATGGCAGTTAGTGAGCAGGGACATTAACGCATTTCGTGAAAGTATACCGGTGTTGAGATACCCTGCACAAAATTTGAAGATCGACGGGGGCGATCTAGCAAAGGGAGGATTGCAGGTTTCAATGGTATCTGAAGAACAGCGGCGATGGAGAAAAAGTCGAAGTAAATCCGAGTCTAGATGCGGGACCTTTTGGATTCAAACTCGAAATGTTCTATGTCGATACCGTAGAGAAGCATGCAGATACTCGAGTGTAGGTCACCACATTCCATACTGTTGAGGGGGGTATAGACATATGAAAGCCTAGGGCGAGATACAATACTGAGACCAGATGTTTTGAAGCCGCTATCTATTCCCCGTATTTAGCTCCACGTCCAGCATTCTATCTCATCGAGTTGGAACGGGGCGCTGTACGTATTGGAGTGGGTAAAAGCTGGGGTTCTATCAAAGGCAGATTTTTGGTCGACGTGCAGTGATCGATGTGCGGGATCACTCAGGCACGTATATTCCCAGACTGGAATAAATGCCACTGGAAGGTCAGAAATTATCAAAATATTTACGAAATCGCCAACAATAGATTCTTCCTCTGCTATTTAGGCTGATTAATGGCGGGGTTAATTGTGGCTATTAAATGCCGTATTTCTTTTCATACAGTCACTAGATTTTGATTAGATACCATCACAAACCAATTGATTCCCATACTCTGGAAGTTGTTGAAAGACATGTTTATCACAAAGCCAGGAAACGTAGTATCATGAAGATTCTGACTGCCATGTACGAGTTTCGAGTTGACTTAATCAGTTACTACTAACACATTTGATTTAATCTTTATATTCTACATTTTGATACTCTCGATTGATGTTATCACAAAGCCAAGAAACGTAGTGTCATCAAGATTCTGACTGCTATATACGACCTTCGAGTTGACTCAATCATTTCCTACTGAGATATTCGACTCATTCTTTGTATTCCATATTTCATACTATTGACTGATTTAATAGTACATTGAATGAGTACAAACCTTGACTCATTGCCACCTCTTAAATCCCCCTAACAGGATTACTTTGAAAATTGAACCTTTCAACACGACATAGCACCTTCTCAAATTCTGAGTTCTCGATATCTTTCAATTACTCGATATTGTTGTTTTAGTTCTGTATCGATTAAACCATTCAAGCCATGTCAGGTCTATCAGGAATTCCGTCCTCTACAGGCCGCAATTTCGCATGGGTAATAAGAAACCCCATACGCACACCGAATGGTTACAAACTACGTGTTTGTTTGACTTCTAACGGACAGTTTGTCCCATTTCATGGGAACCCCAACCAACCATATAATTTCGACATTGTATTCCGCCACCCTGATCTGATATTTGGGGTAGTTGTTGCTATGATTCCGGGGTCCCTTGAACAGCAGGGTCATTTTAGCCTTGAAATTCCAGAAGCGCATCTTCCTAGATGGCCTGGAGAGTACCGCCTCGAGCTCAATAAACCGCTCGTAGGCTTTCTCCCGGCGGCTGATGCTCATGAAGGAAGCAGTGCAGCCACAGCTGTGCTTACCGTGCGTTCGCGAGAAGGTCCGTATATCCCTGTATCTGTATAAAGACCGCATGGAATAATCATACTATCTTATCAACAATAGATCCTCCTCCTCCTCCTCCCTCAGTGAATGGCGTCAATTACCAGAATGGAGTTTCTTGATGGGGCTTATTTTGGCTCTTGGAATCCACTGGGTTGCATCTGTCGGCTGGTAATGCTAATAATGCTAAGCTTGAGTGCATCTATGACCATATTTTACTTCTTTCTTCGTACTCTAAACTTATTAGTTTATGGAATACAATGTTCCTGAGGAGTCAATGTGGCTGACGCTTTATGACCTAACACTATTGATTAAACAGTGTAGATATAATGATCACCTGGTTATCTGGGTTACTACTCAATATGAAGTTGTTTCAAGGTAGGCTGTGGGTTGTGTCAGACAGCAGAGGTACTATTCTGCGTTAACCCATATGCTGTCTCGACTGCTCCACCTCCTGGGTTAGTATTCTTGGAGATTGCAAGTTATACAATTAATAACTTTATATAGAGAGATATTTACATTTTATCATACGCGTACAGGAAGGGATAACTCGGGCCATTTTAGAATAGTCTTACCGGCTGAGAATATATACGTCGACGTAGTCAAGGACATGTCGAGAGTACTACCACCACCATAAAAATACATTCTGTTTTTCATCTTGGCATTGATGTACTAATGTATAGAAAAGACCTATATAGAATAACAAATGGAAGAAGTATAATAATTCACAAGTATATGAAGATTATATGTATATGCATAGCTGAGCCGAGCTCGGCCGTCATAAAAGTCCAGTAAAACCAGCAAAATCTGGCAAAATATTACAAAATATTTACTTACAGCACTGTTTAGCTGGCTCTTGGCTACAGTATATGCATACTGATGTAATTAGCATGAACGCGAACTCAGCCCTAAATACGAGCCGCCACTGTACACTGTACTCCAACTAATGATATACAGCGGGGTGTATGTAATAGTAAGCCCTAGTATTACTTATTATCACTAGTAGATCAACTGACGCCAACGCCCGACGCGCGCCGCTTAATGATCGTCATCAGCTGGACTTAAAAAACAAATAAAATCCCCGTTAACCACGTTTATTTTTTCCAATCCATTCTCTATTGTACATACGTGGATAGAATGGCAATGGCGATTCACCATGTCCGACGAAAACACTGCTACTACTAATACTACTATTACTACTACTACTACTACTAATAATCCTCCCCCGCTAACCGTCACCGCATCGTCCTCGCCGACAGACGAGCGGCGGCCCCCTCTTCCTCTCCCTGGTTCGTGACATACATACATTCATGTTAATAAACGATAATTAATGAGATTAGTGAGCGTGCCTCGAGACACTCCCACCGACGAGACAAAGAATGACATCGAGAATGAGCGGAAACGCGCCCCGGAGCTCAGCGACCGTATATCCATCCCCCTTAACAGAAATAATGTATATTTGATGTATTGAGCGCTAATAATCATGTAGGAAATAGACGCCTCGCCGGCCCTGGTCTGAAATGGCACAAAGCGTACAACGACCTCGACGTCTTTGGCGGGCGGGTTCTCGTCGTTGATTTCGCGAGAAGCGGTACCTACCCCCTTACCCTCTAACAGATGTAAAATATGTATAATATGTATTAATGTATGTAGGCGATGCATCACACATCCGCAAAGTCGCCGCGCAAGAAATCTTCAGCCTCTCCAACCTGGAGCGGCTATACAGCAAAACACCTTCTGGAAATACGAAAACGCCAGCGATGCGCGTCATCCACGTGCAAAACGCGGACTGGGCGGTGCCTTTCTTACTACGCAAATTCCATATTACTAGCAACCACGACGACGGGAACAGTACTCTAGGTGGCGGTTTTGGGCGGTATTTGCGCTACAAAAAACCCGAAATGCGTGGCGGAAAGCCCTTTTTGACGGGCAAGACGTGGAAAGTGCAGTATGATCCGTGGAGAGGCGTGAATAGGACGAGTTTCGGGTTGGATTATATCAAGAGCTTCCCTCACACCAGCAGTAGGAGTAGAGGGGAGGTGGATATGATGATGCAGTTGAATGATTTCGATGAAAATGGTATGTCTCTCTCTCTCTCTTCTTTACTTTGATAAGTGGTTGAAAGTGTTGTAGATGAGCCGATTTGTAGCCAAGATGTGTACGTGCAACGGGTAAGCTGCTATATCCAGCACGCCCAATCACCCAGCGAAAAACGACTGTCGGTGGACGAGCTCCCTCTGCGGAAACATTTCTACCCATCTGACAACACCACCGACGAGGGCATCATCAACGGCGCGCTCAAAGACAAATCCGAATTCCTGCCTCGCCTGCGCAGTCTGGACAACGGCAACGTGATCATCATCTTCGACAACTCGTCCTCGGGCAGCATCGACGACACATTGATCCCCGCACGGCGCGATCTCGAGTGTCGATGGCGTCGACTACCCTTTCACTTGGCATTCGAGTCGCGCGATCCCATTGAGAATGATGACGAAAAGCTCGCGTTGAACTGCTCCAAGGCGATATTACGGGATATCTTCAAGGCCGTTGTGGGCGCCTGGGATGGGTTTCTGGATCGTGCCGTCACGCATATGACGATTCTCGAAGATAAGATTTATGAGCAGCCCGCTGATGAGAGTAGGGCGCCGGAGTTGTGGGCGAATTCGAGCGCGTGGTTGAAGGTTGAGAAGCTGGTGAATGTGCATAGGAGTGTCATGAATGAGACGAAGGCGAGGTTGCATGAGTTGACTGGTACTTTTCCTTTATCCTATTCTCCTTCAGTTTAAAAATTTTTTTAATTGATTGAGAATGTAGACGACGTCGATGCAGAGGATAACTGGCTCGACGACAGCCCCGGCGATTTCGAGCGTCTGACGAATCTGATCACCGAGGACCTGACCAAGCCGACCGAATCGCTGATCTCGCTTCTATACCAGAGCGTGTCGATCCGGGACAGCAGACACAGCCTCGAACTAGGCGTTAGCAGTACGTGTCAAACCTATCTAACCTATGCATATACATTATACATACTAACAGACCGTATCAGTGTGGCGGCTGAGCTGGATCACATTCATCTTCCTCCCGCTGACCTTCATCGTGGGCTTTTTCGGTATTCCACCCCCTAAGATATGAAATAAAATATCAGTACTGATTGAATATATGTAGGAATGAACGTTGACACCTTCTCCACCGACCCCAGCATAAAATGGTATTTTGTCTCTGCCATCCCATTCATGCTCGGCGTAATCGCCATCTACTTCTTCACCAAACGCCTGGCGACCAAGAACCGTCGCACGCCGCACGAACGCGCCGTCTACGAGTCGTTCTTCCAGGAAATGGCCACTGCCAATCCCACCCTGTGGACGCGCCACGGTCCACGCACACACATCTCTCCCAAATCAGGTCTTACTAGTGTTATGCGGCTGAAATGGCGGTTTGTGACGAGATGGCTGAGGCCCGAGAATACGATTATCCTCGACCCGGAAGACGCGGCCGTTGGTGGCGGTCTAACGGCGGATGGGTTGGGACTGGTGGACAGGATTCAACGGTGGTTGGCGAGGCGCTGGACGGGGGAGATTGCGCGGGCGAAAGTATGGGCAGGGGATGAGGAGGAGGGGTTGATGATGGAGGACGTGGAGGAGAGGATGAGTGGGGAGCATTCGATTGGGGAGGCGTTGACCGAGGTTGCGGAGACGGTGGTTGCGCCGGGCGTGCCGTTTGTAGGGCGGACAGCCATCGTAGCTGATGCTGAGGAGAAGCATGATGTGGCCTTGTTGACGGTGCCGGGGACGAAAGCTGCTGCACAGCAGACAAGTCAGGACCAGGACGAGCTGGTAAACCCCGTTATTGCAGCGGCCACGCTGCGTGATGAGCGCCGCGCGAGGAGTAATAGTGGCAGGAGTAGGAGTAGCGGGAGGAGCAGGAGTAATAGCGCGAGGAATAGTGGTTCGGTGCTGGTGGAAGAGGAGGATGCAGACTGGTTGCAGGAGAGAGGCAGGAAGGGGAAGAATTGGCTCTGGCGGCGGACGGCGTCAGGGGGAGAGGCGGATTCAAGTTACAGGGAGAGTTGAGATAGATATATATAATATAAATGATGGTGGTGTACAATATACTGTTGTAAAGTGATATTACTAGTTTCCTGATAATAGATAACTCCAAGACCCAGACCTAAGACGCCATGCTAACCAGCCTATACCATCGTAACATATCCAGCCTGCGATGCAGTACATATGCAGCAAGTGCTGTAAACTATTCGGCCTTCCCTTGAGTCACCTTAGCTGCCTGCACTGCCGACATCTTCTGCGTCCAGGCCTGCGCCGGCTGCGGCTTCCTGACGGTGCGCAAGTCGTCCGTCGAAAAGCCCGATATGCGCATGTTGTACTGGCGCTCAAGAACAAGCTGAATATCGCGGATCTCGAGCGTCGACGCTGGGCGGAGCTTGGCGAGACGACAGGCAGAGCTTACCACGTCGTCAACAAAGTCGTCTGCCATTTGCAGAATAAACTAGAGAACAATTAGTTGTTGACTAGATAGGAGAGAATATAGGAGAGAGTAAGTACCTCTTCAGCATCTGGCGTCAGTCCCTCCCCCTCGCCGCCACCAGTGACCTGACGAACAAGGATGTCCAGCATTTTCTTGCTCAGCACACGCTGCCCTTCGCCTTCGAGCACATACCCAGGATGTTTCTGAATCGCAGGCTGACCCATCATGCCCATTGCACCGTGACTGGGCCCGCCAGAGAGTGTTGGACGAGGCGTTCCCATTGCGACGGGTTCAGGGGGCTGGACGTTCAGGTTCTTGGGAATGGCCATGTTGATGTTGCGAGTGGTGTTCTCGGCGGAGCGGTTCTGGATGTAGCCGGGCGGGTTGGCATGCGCGCTGTTCGCTGCTAGTGGCGTGCCTACCTGTTGGCCCTGCTTATTGTTGTTGTTGCCCTGGTATGACTTTGCAGCCTGCGATATGGCGGCCTCGTGGGAGAGTGGACGAGGCGGATTGTTCGCGGCGAGGCCGTCGGGCTGCTGGGCTGGGACTTGGGCTGGGATTTGCTGCTGGCCGGCAGCAGCTTGGGTGAAAGCGCTCTTTGGTGCAGTCTGCGCGGTGGGAGTCTGTGTCTGCGCTTGCTGCGGCGCCTGCGTGGATGGCGACTGGCTCTGGCCTGCCTGGACGCGGGCAGCATTGACGGCAGAGTTGATGGTATGTGGTGCAGGCGCCTGTGCCTGGCTAGTATGCAGCTGGGCAGCCGGGGCGTTGACGTTGTTCGTGGTGGTGTTCATGGCGGCAGTGGTGGTTGCAGAGGTTGCAGGAGGAACAGCTGCGGTGTTGGCGGGCGCCGTTTGGCTTCCTGCCTGTCCTTGCGCCTGTACCTGCTGCTGCACCTGCTGCACCTGTTGTTGCTGCCCGCCCGCCCGCGCCGCCTTGAACACTTCTTGCTGCTCCTGGAATTTCTTCAAGAAATCACCGCCCTCGCGAAACAGCTTCTCCGCCTGCTGCTGGCGATTGCGAAACTCCTGCATCTCCTCCTGCGCCATCTGGCCCGAGGCCTGTCGCGCCTGCACCTGCTGGCGCACCTCCAGACTTCTCTGCCTTCCCATCTCCTGTTTCTGCAGCGCCATGCCATACCGCAACTTGGCCTCGTTGAGCCAGTTGGCCGCCTGCTCGCGGTTGACGTTGGGCGGGAGATGGAACTGAATGGAATTGACCTTGGCCTGGACGGCGGGTAGCAGCTGGTTGAACGTCGTCGGATTATTCGCTGCCTGTGGCCTCTGCTGCCCCTGTTGCTGCTGGTTTTGTGCTGCTGCGGCCTGGGCCTGTGCCTGAGCCTGGGCTTGTGCCTGGGCCTGTTGTTGCTGCTGCTGCTGCTGCTGCTGCTGCTGTTGCTGTTGCTGTTGCTGGAGTCGCTGCTTGTACAGCTGCATCCCCTTCATCAGCGTCTGCGAGACCTGCATCAGCTTCATCTGCGCGCCCCGGTAATCATCGCTGGACGGGTCCCGCGACCCGAGCATCTCCCATAGACTGCGGACGTATTGCGTCTGCTGCTGTTTCTGGGCATCGTTGAGATGCGGCAGTTTGGCGACCTGGTCGGTGCGGATCAGCGAGGGTTGTTGTTGCGGAGGGAGCTGCTGCGGAGCGGCGGAGGGCTGGCCTTGACCTTGGCCGTCCATGATGATGGTATTATTATATTATAATACGCTGATTATATTATAATAGGCTGATGTGTGTATGGACTTGTCGCGATGGGTGCTGGCTGCGTGAGTGCGATCCGACGGTTGGAGCTGGCGAGTGCCGCCCAAGTAAGCGGGTATAGGTGTATATATATTCTGCCAAGTGCGAAAAAAGAAATTTATCTCTCTCCCTACAGCATCAGATGAAGATATATATGGCTGGGCCGGCGGTCGAGCATGTCCTGTTCTAACTTCTATGGAGGAGGGAGGTGCAGGGAGCAGAGCCGCAGCCTTTCCATTTTCGGATTAGTCATGGCTTGGCATGTATACTATTTTCATGTATGCGTCACTTTGGGCTGAGTAATAACTTTGTTCTGGGATTTACGATGCGTCTATTCAATATGTACATGGATTCTGTTCGTAGTACAGATAAACAGATAGTAGCTGGGTTAGATGAGCAGCCTGATGGTAGTGCCTGAGCATAGCTTTTGGTATAACTTTGGAGGACCTTGGAGTGAGATGTGTGTGGGATTCAAGTCCTGCATCACAGAATCTCCTATTTCAAAGCACATCATATTTCTAAGCAAGAAAGCAGGTCGTTGTGTCTTCAGGTGCCGCTCATCGAAATTCTTGCATCTCTCAGACCTGGTCTAGTTAGTGATGGTTGGTCTTATAGAAGTGGTAATAGAATATACATACGATCGCAAGATCTCCCTCTGCAAGTTGAACATGTATGATGGAATCGGGCTGGTTCTCCTGCTCCAGGACGGCATAAAGGCGTGTTGTAGGCTACCAAAAATCATAAATCACCTCATCAACTCCCCCAAATCCCGCTCGATCCCCGTCACTCGCTCCTCCAACGTCCTTTTGCGTCTTTCCAGCTCCCGAATCTCTTCTAATTCCTTCTCAATATCGTCGTCTGTAACCTGCGTATCTTGTGGTTGAGAATCAGCAAAGTCGAATTCATCCTTATCATACGCTTCATTTATTCGCTCTAGCTCTGCAGTGTTCTCGGCCACGCGCGCTTCGAGCTGCTCGAGCGATGCGGTGATTTGGGAATAGCGGTAGCGCAAATTCGATATTTTTTCGGGTGCGCCGGGGACAGGGCTGTACCATAGCATATTCAGATTAGACGCGACCTAACTTGTAATGAATGATGAGTGATGAAGGGAGGTTTACTAGACGTTGCATAATATCTCGGCACCTTTCAGGAGAACGTCGATGTTGATCTCCCCCCGTGCAGCACGTGTCGATGACCCCGTTGAACGTTTGATTTCGTCCATCATGTCATTGCCTAGCACCCGCGCAACAGCGGACTGGTGCCGATTATTTCTGGCCGCGTAGATGCGACTCGCCATGGTCTCGCCTTGGGGTTCAATGGGGAAGGAAGTCCCTCGTCGTGTGGCGCGTCGCTGGGACGGTTTACTGGATTGGTCTAGCGTGAAGAGTGCCCGTTCATGCACTTCCGTGTCGCGGATCAGCGTGGTGATGTCGGGCGTGTTGAGTAATGCGTTCGTGAAGCGCTTGGGCGGGGGGAATCTGCGGGGGTCGAGTTGTCAGCGCCGTCTTGATAGATTGTTGGGGACACTTACGAAAGCTCGGAGATGGCGTGCGCTGAGAGCGAGATTTGCTCGAGATGGTTTTCTAGCAGGGACATTTTGGCTGGTCGTGTATTATGAGGATATACATTAGTAACTCGTTGTGATGAACTGTTGTTGGTAAACAGCCGCGCCAAGACTCGTTCAGTTGCTATCAAGGTGAAGCTCGGCCTCTGCCTCAGGCAGAGATGGGGCCACGACAGCACTCCGCACCTGCATGCCAGCACAGAACACGCAGCACACGCAACACCCACCTGAGTGGTTTCTACCAGTACACAGGCAATCTAGGACACAGCGAGTCTTTATGTTAGAAGCAGTAGCAGCGTAGGAATAGAGATGACCACGCGGACACTCTGCCTGGCTTACTTAACTCGATATCGGCCCCTACTAACCGCTTTTGGATGCCACTGCTCGTCGCGTGCCAGTCCAACAGCCTGATTGGCCCGGCGGCTCACCTGGTCCACTGCTGGCGGTCCGCGTTGCTAGACAGTTCCAAGCATGCTCTGCTCTGCTCTGCCGCCGTCCTCCTGCTTCATCACCTCTGCCTGACATCACATCACTTACTCACCCATCCCCATCCCCCATCATCACAGACCTTCTATCTCCTCACCTACCTCCCCAGTCCCCTTCTCTCTTCTCTATCTGCATCCATTCATTCTCTCGGCTCGTTCGCTCTCGCTTGCTGCGTGACCTCATCCCCAACCCTGTCGGTCCCCGTCAGCCCCGAGCTATCACAGAATGCCAGTTGAACGGCGCTCTCTGCGGTCGAACAGCAAGGGTGATACCTCGTCCTCGACCAACGGCGAAAAAGCCCGATCCAACTCCAATTCTACCGCCAGCAAAGACAAAGCCGCCCCAACAACCCGGTCGGCGGCCGCGAACAAGGCCAAATCCGCGCCCCAGCTGCCGAAGAAAGCCGCCACCAAGGGCGCAAGCAGTTCGAATAGCAGCAACAGCATGAGTGGCGATCAACCCCAGCGAAATGGGACAGACCCTGTGGAGAACGGTGTGAATGGCGCGGAGGACGCGGAGATGGAAGAGGATACGCCAGGTGGGCCTACATCGTCCATCAAAACCAGCTGGGAGCATGATGGTGACGAGATGACTGTTGTAGTGCCACCATCAAAGGGTGCCAGATTATCTGGCACAGATCACAAGAAAAACGAAGAGAAAAACGAAGAAGATGATGTTGCCATGGAAGGCACCGAGGAGGACTCTGCCAAGGAGCCAGAGGTCGATCCGAGGGTCAAGGCCGTGCAGGGTGAGTCGACTCTATTATATGTAAATTCCATCTTAACATACTGCCATTAACATACTGCCACTGCTTAGATATCAAAGCCAACTTTGGCTTGCTGGAACGTGCTGTGACACACTTTGATCCTCGATTTACACTTCGCGTGCTGCGATCAATATCCTCGATGCGGAAACACATCTCGCCAGACTTGCTCGCTGAAGTCATTGTCGACACTTATCCCAGCTCGAGCCAGGCGGCAACCTTCTTGTTGGAAGCGATCGGAAAGACAGGCGCATTTGATAGTGTTGTCTCGAAGATGGACGTAGACTCGGAGAAGCCCAAGTCCGGGACTCGTGAGATTTTGCCAGAAGTCGATACGTACTTGTCCATCCTGGTGCAAATTTTGTTTTACGATCAGAAGGAGACCCAGCGTGGCGCCGACTTCTCCAGCAAATTGGTGGAGAGATTGCGAGTTTTGAATCGTCGTACCTTGGATTCTCTGACGGCCCGTGTATACTTTTACTTCTCGTTGTTCTACGAGCAACTGGCTCCTCTTCCCCCGTCCCCAGCTGCTGCAGTCATCTCTATCCGCAAGCCCTTGCTCGCTGCTCTACGTACCGCTGTCCTTCGCAAGGATGTCGATATCCAGGCGACCGTCATCACGCTTCTGTTGCGCAACTACCTGTCCACTTCACATATCTCCCAGGCTGACCTCCTAATTGCTCACAACGAGTTCCCAGCTGCTGCATCCAACAACCAGATTGCCCGATATCTGTACTATTTGGGACGTATCCGTGCTATTCAGCTACGCTATAGCGAAGCCCACGAGCATTTGACCGGAGCCACCCGCAAGTCTCCTACCAGCTACAGCGCTGGTGGCTTCTACCAAGTGTCGATGAAACTTCTCGTGATTGTCGATCTGCTCATGGGTGATATCCCTGACCGTTCTATCTTCCGCCAGCCCCCTCTGGAGAAGGCTTTGCATCCGTACTTCCTTCTGGTGCGTGCCGTCAGCACTGGAGATCTCGATGGATTTTTGAACATTGTCAACACTCACAGCGCCACGTTCCGAAAAGACGGTACTTATACTCTGATCTTGCGTCTACGGCAGAATGTCATCAAGACTGGTATCCGTGTCATGTCTATTGCATATTCGCGGATATCGCTACGTGACATCTGCCTTCGCCTGGGTCTGCACAGCGAGGAGTCTGCCGAATACATAGTTGCCAAGGCGATCCGCGATGGCGTTATCGATGCCACATTGGATCATCAGAATGGATATATGAAGAGCAAGGAAGCGGGCGACATCTACATGACCAGCGAGCCTGGCGAGGCCTTCCACGCGCGTATTCAGGCTTGCTTGAGTCTTCATGACGAAAGCGTCAAGGTGAGAACACTTATAAACTAATATATACTACATGTACTGACGATTTAGGCCATGCGTTTCCCCATGAACCAACACCGGCTGGAGTTGAAGAATGCGCAAGAGGCGCGGGAACGGGAGCGCGAGCTGGCCAAGGAGATCCAAGAGGGCGACATGGACGAAGATGACGCCGGCGGAGACTTTGACGGGATTTAGTCGGACATCAGGATGATTCAGCAGGATAGAGGGTTATCCCTACACTACATGTATACTCAGAATTCATTTCGTATGTTACCGCTTGCCATCTTAGACGTACTTCTACTTGTTCTACTGTCTATTCTCTACTGTTAATGCAAATTATTAATTATAGTAATTATCGTATTATCTGAAGATGCTAAGTGGGTCCTAGGAAGAAACCGCGATGCCTTCTAGCGTAGTGTTAGCGGTTAGAATTCCTTCCCGGTTAAAACCAGAAAAGTCGGCTGAGGTTGCCGCGTCTTCAATTCCTGGATTACTGCTACTTGCAAATATCATTTGTTCACGTCTACCCGATCTACTCATCTACTTTTACCTTCTCTGCTCTCTTCTTTTAATTCATGTTTAATTTATTGGACTAATCCGCTCCAATGACTACGAGAGCTCGCAGCTGCTCGCAGCTCCTGCTCTCAGGTCGACCAGTCCCTCCGACATCGATATGCCCTCAATGCCGGCACCACAACATCCTTTACACCACGGCCAGTTCGACGCAATTACGCAAATACCATCCCAGCCGCCGACGAAATGTCTCGCCCATTGGCGCCGCCGTGTCCGCTGCCCAGAACCTGTTCACCAAGGGCTTCCCCAAAGCTCCTCCCGGTGTGTCGGTCGACCCATTACGCATCGTGGGCAAGGAATTGAAGTTCCTCAGCAATAATATCCGCAACCTGCTGGGGTCAGGCCACCCCATGCTCGACAAGGTCGCTAAATACTACACCTGGAGCGAAGGAAAGCACGTCCGGCCGCTCCTCGTGCTGCTCATGTCCCAAGCCACTGCGCCCACCCGGGACACCTCTCGCTCTCCACCCTCCACCCAATCCTACATCAGCCAGCCGATCAGCTCGCCTCTCGTCCTCGCCGACGCAAACCCAGATACAAGCCCACTGACCGCGCCAGCAGCCGACCTTGAAGGCGTGTTTGGCGAAGACCCCAACATCCTCCCCGCTCAGCGCCGCCTGGCCGAAATCACCGAACTCATCCACACGGCGTCCCTGCTGCACGACGACGTAATCGACAACGCCGTCACCCGCCGCTCCTCGAGCTCCGCCAACATGCAGTTCGGCAACAAAATGGCCGTTCTGGCGGGTGATTTCCTGCTTGGTCGTGCCTCTGTTGCTCTCGCTCGTTTGCGTAATCCTGAAGTTATTGAATTGTTAGCCACCGTGATTGCGAATCTCGTCGAGGGCGAGTTTATGCAGCTGAAAAACACGGCAGCGAACGAGACATACCCCGTGTTTACAGACGATACCATCTCGTACTACCTGCAAAAGACATACCTCAAGACCGCTAGCTTGATCAGTAAATCATGCCGTGCGGCGGCCTTGCTCGGTGAGCACACGCCTGAGACAGTGGAAGCGGCGTATTTGTATGGCCGGAACTTGGGATTGGCGTTTCAGCTGGTTGACGATATGCTGGATTATACCGTTACCTCGACGGAGTTTGGCAAACCCGCTGGCGCAGATCTGGAGCTTGGCCTGGCCACGGCGCCGTTGTTGTTTGCGTGGAAAAGAAATCCCGAGTTGGGCGCGCTGGTGGGGAGAAAGTTTGGTCAGGATGGGGATGTAGAGAGGGTATCTTCCCCTTTCCTCTATCAAATATAAGTAATTGCTGTGGTGTGTATGATGCTGATATATGTGTAGGCCCGCCATCTTGTCTCCCAGAGCGACGGCGTCGAGCAGACTCGCCTCCTGGCGCAAGAATACGCCGATAAAGCCGTCGAGGCAATACAGATCTTTCCTGATAGTGAGGCGAAGAATGGGCTAATTGAGATGTGCAAGAAGACAATGAACAGGCGGAAATAACCAACACCACTAACCACACCAACTACTACATGTACCGATATGATGAGTAAGAGATATCACCGCGATATACACTCATTCACTCATTCACTCTTACGGCCGCTGTGTTGCGTGCATTTATCACTGACCACGAGGTCACGGAGTCGCGGGTTGATTATCAATTGACATGTATTTTATTATTCATGTATTACCAGCTCAACAATACAACAATAGAATAGACCTCCCCCTCATCCACCCTGTCCTAATATTAATTCCGACTCAACCTCTCCCAAGCCTCCGTATACTTCTCCGCCGTCTTTCTCACCACCTCGTCACTCATTTTCACCCCCTCTTTCCCTTTCAACCCTTCTCTCGTCAACCAGTCCCTCAAATACTGCTTATCGAAACTCTCCTGGCCCCGCCCAACTTCATACCCATCTCTCGGCCAAAACCGCGACGAGTCCGGCGTCAGCACCTCATCGACGAGAATTACCTCGTCCGTCTCGGTATCGAGGCCAAACTCGAATTTCGTGTCTGCAATAATCAACCCCCGTTCGTACGCGTATTCATGCGCGGTTTTGTAGAGTGTTAGCGCGAGATCGCTGATGCGGGTGGCGTATGGCTCGCCGATGATTTGCGCCGCTGTTTCGTTCCACAACATTAGCATTCCACCAAAATCACACACTTCCCTAGGGGGGGTAAGTGAGGTTACCTCGATCAGGATGAATATTCTCATCATGGTCACCCATCTCCGCCTTTGTGCTAGGCGTGTATATCGGCCCGTCTGGGAACGCCTGGCTCTCCTTCAACCCTTGCGCAACCTTGATTCCGTGCACCGTGCCATGCGCCTGATACTCTTTCCAGGCGGAGCCAGTAATATATCCGCGTACGATTGCTTCGATCGGGAAGATTTTGTATTTCCGTACCTGCATACTGCGGCCCTCGAGAGCGGGGCGTAGGGACGGCGGGATGGAGGGTGGGAGGGAGAGGGTGAGGAAGTGTGTGCGCAGAGACGGGTGCGCGGATTGGAGGATGCGGAACCAGGTTGATGTGCAGGATGTTAGGAGGATGCCTTTATTTGGTATGCCCTTTATATTAGTTAGTATATATCAGTTAGGATGAGGACGTGGATGTGGATTTGTAATGGGGGGGTACGTTTTCCATGATCACGTCGTATGCGGAGATCCGGTCTGTTGCGATGAAGAGCAGTGTGGAAGCGTCGATTTCGTAGAGGTCGCGCACTTTGCCGCGCGCGATGAGCGGGAGGATGCCATGAAGGTCGGTGGTTGTGAGAGCTTCCTGTGCCTGTGCCTGCGCCATTGTGGTGGTGTGGTGAGGAGAGGTGAGGATGGTGTTGAGGAATATTTTTGCGGGGTGGATTTATTTGTAGCCGCTATCGGTGGGGTTATTTATCGGAGGAAGGAGGAAGGGTCCGGTGTTTACATTTATTGTTAGCTTTCTGTCCGACAACAGTCGACGGCGCAGTTGACAGGATCATGCCTGGACTTCTTTATAATTGCGCTTTATAATTGTTTATAATTGCAATCGGTTGACAGAATCGCGGTTAAATTGAATACAGTGTCGGTCGAACGTGTTGTGGCAGCTATCATGATCACGACATAACAACAATATCTGGATTTGATGGATTTGATGAAATGGCCCGCTATCTCACGCCTTCAAAAGTCGCCCTGCTCTGCCTAGCCACGCTCTACACCGAAGGCACAGTCCCCAACACATCCGCTGTCCCCGTGCTGTCCTTCCTCATCTCGCACATCCTCCCTCCTCGCTCCTCCGACAAATCGCCCGCCGCCTACAGACGCGACAAGAAACACGCCGTCTCCATCGACGAACTCGAAGAAGTTCTCTCCTACCACTCCTCCTCCATCCCCGGCCGCTCAGTATGGGATCTACTCCTGCGCAAAATGTGGCTGCTAGACTGCTGCGACGCCCTCGAAACCTTTTTCGGTGATATCCACTCTATCGTCGAAAAGTCCCGTGAAGAGCAGATCCAAGACCGCGATAATGGCCTTGTCGTTCAGGATACGGGGATGCTGCTGTCCAGGTCCTCCCCGCTAGGCGCGTTTGTGCGTCGCGCGCAGCTGGAGTTTACACGGCTGCAGTTCCATGACTCGGTGAAGCTGTGGCGCGGGTTTATCAAGTATCGCTTACCGACGTATAGAGCGTGGGCAAGACGGCATCCGTCGGGGGAACAGTCGGCGGTGGATGTGAATCTGGTGGATCTCAAGCTAGATGCGAATAGCTATTTGAGCCAGGTGGTCTATCGGAATATCGAATGCGACGACGACGACGACGACGACGCCGTCGACGACGAAGCGGGCGTGAGCACCAAGGACGTCGAGCAGCTACTCACATTCCAAGTCGACGAACTCCAACGCATCGGCGGCCGCGTTCCAGATGAAGTCAAAGACCAGCTAGAATACATCATCTCAGCGGGCGTCATGGTCCCGAGTATGGCTCACTACATCCGATTCTTAGACGCGTGGAAGGCAGGAGACTATCCCTCCTCGTTTGACAATCTGCACCGCTACTTCGATTACACCGTTCACAGCCGAGATCGCAGCTTCTATCAGTATGCTCTGCTGAATTTGGCGATTCTGCATGCTGCTTTTGGCTCGTATGCTGAGGCTGTGTCGGCCATGCAGGAGGCTATTTCTATTGCGAGGGAGTCGCATGATATGGACTGTTTGAATTTCTGTATGAGTTGGTTGTATCACTTTGGCAAGGCGTTTCCGGAGGAAATGGGGGATGTGCAGAGTACAGGCATGTTGGGGGGTGAGAAGGAAGGGTTGGCGTTTTTGAAAGCGAAGGCGAGAGAGAGTGAATCGTGGGGCTTGCTTAGTACGACGCTGTTGAGCGAGGCGAAACTTGAATTACAGAATGTGAGTTCAACTTTTGTAACGGTTTAGGGTAAGGGTTTGCTGATGATGATATGATAGGGCGATAGTTTGGCCGCGGCGTTTGAGAATATTGTCAAGTCGTCGTATTTGAATGTGACCAAGAATTTGAGGACAACTATGGGGCCGTTGCTGCTGCTTCAGGCGTCTGTATTCTCCCGAATAGGTGAGTTTCACCTTCTATGAAGTTGTAGAGTTGTGTTCTAACAAATATGTAGGTCTAACGCATAATGCTTTGCTTCAATGCGAGATCTTCCGTGAGTGTTATGCTAAAGGAGCTCCATTGGATGATTGTCTCAAAATTGCCTATCGAAGTAGTCAGTTGGTAAGTAGTAATCTATCAGTATACGATGGCATAGTGCTAATAATGTAGCTGTCGCATAGTGGCGGCTATAAAAGAGCCGTAACTCGTATCAACGACGTCTCGCCAGCAGACTTGCGTTCTCTCAAAGCGAACCAAAGCTGGGCATATTTCTGTGGCATTATAAAACTAGAACGGCAAATCCATAGGTAATACATCCTTGTAAGACCAGTCTATCCATTTTGACAAGTATAATATAGAAACGACTCAATCGCCGTCGAACATTTATTTGCGCAACTCCAAGACATGCAACTCCCCGACACCGACCTCGCCCTGCAACTATCCTTCCTCGAAATCGAATACCGTCTCCGAACAGGCCACTACCAAGAATCCATGTCCATCATCGACGGCCTCGCCCAGTCCATGAAACAAGAAACCTTTGACATATTCACCCAAATCCGTCTGCTATGCTACAAAGCCCGCATCCTCGACAAAACCGGCCTTCCGCAACGAGGCTTCTCCATGGCCATGCGCGCCGCCGCCATTGCCTACCGATCGCGCGTTCTGCCGGGTCTGTGGGAAGCTATCACTGTGCTTGCCACTGTTTTGCTGAGCCTCCGTGAATTCGAAGCTGCGTTGGAGATGACAGAAAGCATAATGCCACAGGTACTCGAGCTAGATAATCGGTATCTTACCGCGCGTTCGTACTCGGTGCTTGTAGATGCGAATATGGGGTTGGCGGGTGAGGCTTCCCACCATAGAATAAAGGCAGACGTGATTAGAAAGGAGTATGTGACCAGGGCCCTGACGTATATTGATTGCGCGTACGATGAGTACGAGGCGATTGAGGATTTGCCCGGCCAGTGTGAGATGATGGCTAAGAAGGCGACGGTCATGCACTTGTCTGGCGAGCCGGTGCTGGCGAACGACTATGCAGCTAGGGTGTTGGATTTGAGGAAGACTCCCTATTAAATTTATATTTAAATATAAATAATATCAAATATCAAATCAAAATATCAACATGCCCGAACAAGAAGGTAATTGTAGATGCATTCCGAATCCGGTTAGTGTGGTGACGTCGCTATCAATCGTTTTCTCCGACAACATTTGAACCTCTTCCTTTAGTGCTATCACAACATTGAAATGTGACAGCCTTAACCATGTTCCCTACACCACGCTGTCTCGCAGCCAAGGCGCCGGGCTTCTTCAAAAAAAGCACCGGCGAGCTCAGCCGCCTCGCACGCATCGGTAGCTCCTCCCTCACCGTCACCATGGCATCTCAGCTAACCGGTATCCAGCTCTCAACGCCGAAGCCATATCGACACCCACAAAACCCTACCCCCTCCTCGACTTCTCCGACCCCGCTGCCACCGCCTCCTGCAAAACCATGGCAGACCGTGCGGTAGGCGGGTTCAGTACTGCACAACTCGACTTCATCCCGGCTACTGCTACCGACCCAGCTCACACCCGCTTCCACGGCACAATATCCACCAAACTGCCCAATAACTGGCGCGTAGAGCGCACCGGCTACGCGGCGTTCCGGAACCGTGACCGCGGCTTCTGGTTACTCGGCAGGCTATACTGGGACGCCGATCCGTATGCGTATCTCGCGCTGCGGGTCAAGAGTGATGGGAGGCGGTACATGGTGAATCTGCAGACGGAATCGGTTGTGGAGACGGATATTCATCAGCATAGGCTGTATACACGGCATCACCGCGTCTATCAGCCACCACCACTGGGTGAGGGAGACGAAGGGAGGTACGGCGCACTTTCAGATATCCCCCCCGCAGAAACGATCATCAGCACAGCCACGACGACAGGGAGTTCGGGTTCAGGCTGGGAAACGATTCTCTTGCCCTTTCACTCCTTTGTGCGCACGAATTACGGCATGATTGTCGAACCGCAGCAGAGCTTGATCAAGCAGAAGATCAAGTCGATTGGCATTGGGCTGATTGATCGTGTGGAGGGTCCGTATGATTTGAGAATTCATAGGATTTGGGCGACGAATGGGATGAGTGAGGAGGAGGTGGAGGAGGAGAGAAGCATTTGTGGAGAGAATGCGTTAGGTGTGGATGAGGGGGTGAGGACGTTGTGGGGGTCGAAGAGGGATGCTCATGGGAAAGAGGGGAGCCATACTCAAAGAAAAGAGGAGGAGGAAATTGGGAAGAGGAAGAAGGGGTTGGAAGGGCTGAAGGGGGAGTGGGAGCAGTAGTCTTCTTCTTCTTAATTGTATAGCATATGGTGTATTTATTTAATGTACTGTTGTGAGGTTAAAGGAGATCGCTACATATGTAGGGGAGGGTGAGACTGATTTATGCAAACGAGCGTTAATGATGCCTGGAGCAAACGCTGTCTTAGCAAACGCTGTCCACAACACCAGTCACTCAATGATTGTCGGCTCTACATCTACTCACCAAGCTCTATCATCGATACAGCAAGCACTCGTTCACATGTAACACTGTCAACTCCACCACTCTCGTTATGTTATCGTAGCTCGAGTAACTAGAAATGTCCCTCTCCACACTCAGACCACCCCAAACACATGGTGATGATGACCACGATATCCTCACACCATGCTTCCAACACCAAACCTTCTTCGACCACGCCTTCACGCACTACATGACCTTCCGCCAGCCCCTCCGCTTCTGGTACGGCCATCCCCTACGGCGTATCATCAAAGGCAACCCAGCCTACGCCACCAAACTCTCCTCCTACCCCATCACTGAACTCTTCAAATTCCACCAGTCCCTGCAGCTCCGTCTAATGAACTACTTCCCTGAACGGCTCTACTTCGAAACTCACCCTCGTCTCCTCCAGCCCCTGATCCGCGCTGAAAAAATGCCTGGGCTAGTGAAAACCGCCTTTCAGGGCCGAGACCGGTTTCTCAGCGTGATGACGGCGTATATCGATCTTGTCAAGGACGGGGCTACGGATGTGCAGCTCATCATGGTGCGTCCGTTTCCGCGGGATATGCTTGAGGATCAGGATTGGAAGGCGTGTATAGCGCCGCATTGCCGGATCTTCTATCTGGAAGTCCAGCAGACCCTATTCCTGCGCATCTCCACGGAGACGCGCTACGCTGAGTCCTTCCCGACCTGTCAATTGCGATATGACGACTCTGGCGATGGCGTCGAGGGCCACGCGCTGTCGAGGATTACGTACGGTCTCAAGAAACATCTCGCGGCTATGAATATCCTTGAATACGAGATTCTGTCATTGCAAACCCGCCGCTCGCAGGGTATTCCCTCCTACCCTGAAGAACAGGAACACCTCGCCTCGTCACACTCCTGCGAGCGAATGTTCATCTCCCTTTGCACCACCAACCTCGACGGCGACCTCGACGAAAATGGCAACCCCTGGCCATCGCTAGTCATCGAAACAGGCCCAGCCTTTGACAACACCGCCTCCCGTTCCCTGCTACACTACGCTGTAGACTGGTGGTTCACGCAAAGCCGCGGCTTGACGCGAATCGTGCTCCTGCTCTTCTTCAACTACCTGGAGACCGAGACCGTCGTCGAGAAATGGGTGCGCAGCAAACAGCCGCCGTTCAGGAAGCGTCTAGCGCAGACGATTATTATTAGCGTGCATGATTGTCTCCCGCACGAGACGCTGGCGTCGACGTGCGAAATCGAGGTGTCCGGGGAACGATTGGTGTTGGGTATAGAAGCGCTGCTTGGACGGCCGAAAGGGGCGGGGGAGGAGGATGTGGTCTTCGATAAGGGGTTTTTGGCTGGTCTAGCGAATGGGTTTTTGCTTGTGTGGCCGAATATTGGGCCGAAGAGGTATGAGGCGCTGCATCCGAAGCCGATGCCGGGGGAAAGACAGGTAGAGTCTATTCGGATGGCTGTTGAGAGGCAATGACAACAGGAAGAGGCTAAGGTGAGGGAGTGTGTCGTGGAAGAGTTTGAAGGTAGTATGATGAGAGTATTTCCAGTGACCTGCTTCACAAATTAATCCAGAAAGCAATACCCCCCTTGGCAGTGGTGTGCACATCCAAATACAACGCGGAATATTTTTCTATCATGTTGTAAACTTCTTTCGCCCTCCTTGTCTTGATTCTGCCGGTCAAGTATACAAGGTTGATCATCTCTGTGTCGTGCCCATCTGGCACAGGGGATACATCTTTCTTCATATGAGGATTTAAGAAATCTCAGTAGTTTCTCACTGAGAGTTATAAAGGAGAATCGAATTTGGCCCGACGTCTGTCTTTGGTGGTTCCAAAGCCTTTCCAAGTGGTTAAGTGATTCAAGACATGCTGACACGTCGGACTTGGCTTCTGCTGCGTCAAGCCTCTCGTTAATGAGTGCGCCTTCACAGAGTTCTCTTATAGCGACTAATTTGTCCTGGTGCAAATAGATTTCGCTGATCAGCGAAGTACCAGATCGCAAATTCTCATCGCAGAGATTAAGACCATCTTCCCACTGCTCTGTGGCTATCGCCTTTTGGATCATCCACTCCAGAGTTGCTGTGAGAAAAACATCCACTTCCTTAACGGGGCCGAACTTTTTCATGCTTTTCCAATTTTTCACATACTCGCCACACAACGTTTTCACTTTCTGGAAATCATTGCAACTTTTGGCCTCCTCTATGCCAACATAGAGCGAGGCTTGTTCAACAATTACTGTACGTAGCTCCTTGAGAGCTTCTAGATTTCCCTCATCAGGTATCCCGTCAGGGATAAGGCTTAAGATATCGTTGACATAAGACCGAGCAAGATTAAACTCTTCGTTAAATAGAGCACTCCGAATAGCGTCAATTTTAAGCTCAAATTTGCAATAACATCGAACCTTCTCTAAAAAATCGAGTTCCGCAAAGACTTCACGTATCAACTCGTCCTTCTCAAAGATCTCCTCTACACGGTCCAAGTTCGCAAGAACGCTGGTGTATTTGTTTTCTGTAAAGGCATCCCTTGATGCCACCAATGCTTCGACAAGAGCCTCATTATTGGCGATGCTTTGCGTCACAGAGTGTTCGTCCTTGGAACACTTTGCATGCATTCTGATGAGCCTTTGCATCTTTCCCCTAGGCATGTGTGACAGATAAATACCGTTCCCTCTCTTGAATGCAATTTGATTAAACCAAGAAGTGTTGATGAGAGATGCATGTTTGGGTGCAACATCAGCCATCAATGTTAACAATTCTTTACTCACTTGTATTGCGTCTCTCCTGCCTCCACCTCCTTCAGACGGGAATAGGCTGCTTACTAACATCATGTAAAGTCTGTCCTCATCGATCCCCTTCTTCATCTGATCCAATAATGGGCCGAATATTTCAAGTGTGACAGATCCTTTACATATATCACGCAGGGATTCAATGTGCTCATCAGCCTTATCATATGAGAAATCGTCCATTGCTTCTTCGAGCATATTTTGATGGTGTTTAAAGGCTTGCGAGACATCGCCTGTATCCGTGGCGTCTTCAAGCTCCTTGAGTATCGAAGAGAAGCCCTCATTTTTACTGGGTACTTCAAACTTCACTTCAAAGGGACAACAGCGGATCGAATTTTCCAGCTCGACTCGTCTCGCAGGCCCCTCTGTATATTTCCGAAAAAATTCCTTCAGCTTGCTGCGGTTCTCATAATAGACATCGAGGTTCCGTTCTGGGGTTTCTTCATGCTTTTCCGTACTATATTCGGATGCTTGACTATTCAAATTCTCAATTATGTCATCAAAAAACCTATTCACTAGCTTCACATCAATATCAAGCCGTGGGATTAGTGAGTTCTTGTCTTCTGGCAAGTCCACTGGAAACTTGACACTCTTCATGTAGTGACGATTGTCATACTTTTCATTTTCCAGCTTTTCAGTGCCACGGTTGAGCTGTTGAAGAGCCTTGTACCGCAACGCACTGACTATCGGAAAAGCATCTTGAGCAAGTTTCCGCTTGTTAAAGCTCCTCTGGTGATCAGAGAAATTAAACATGATATCTCCGAGTAAAAAAGCCTTTAAAATTGGAGCCACGGGGCTTGAGTCTTCCCCGTGATATTTGTCTAATAATTGCATCATCCTGTTGCTTAAATTCAGTAGTTTTGCGCGGCGCTCATAGCACCAGAGCTGTAATTTCGAGCTGCAGAAAATATAGCCTATAGACTTGATACAGAATGTGATGATATCAATTGACCCTTGTGAATGCTCAATAAATATGCATAGGAGTTCGAGAAGACTTTCTGTAATGTGGATCGATAGTGGGTGATCTGCGAGGTAGGTGCTGACCAGATGTATTGGCCACTCGTTTGCAGATATCTTGGACGGGATTTGAAGAAACAGCTTGATACAAGTAAGCACATTTGCGTCGCCACCGCAATTGGTAGTTTCGATGTCTAGCCCATCTTTGCTTGAAGGTAATGTTCTTTCCATTTTCCAGTGGAATGGAATCAACTGAATGGATTCCAATATGAGTTTATGCATATGGGGTTGTTTTGTATATGGGCTGAACTCGAGCACAAAAGCACGGGCATAAATAGTGAATAACGGATGCACCCAGGCAATCTCCGACCGTTGATCTGTGCGTATATATCCTCTATCAATAGCATATGATAATGTCAGTGCTGCCCATTCAGTAAATGACTGTAGCTCGACCTCTTCTTGTTTATTAGGATCAAAATCATTTCCCGAAGTGGCCATGAAAAGCGTCTGGAGCACATATAGCGGGGGTGTTTCGTTCCAGTAACAGCTGAAAATTAATAGTAAGACAAAGCAATCCCGGGGAAGTGCCGAAGAGAGGTAGCAAAGTTCCTCGAGAAGGGAATATGGGCCTAAACCCTTCAGTTCTGATAATGAATTAAATATATCACTATGCAGTCGGTGGTAAAACTCCCGCCATGGTATTGAAAGTGCTCGTTGAACGGGAAGAATCTCCAATAGGGCTGAAGGGAGACCTTGTAAAATGTCAATTACCGCTTCTAGCCAGTCGATGTCCTCAAAGCCCCACTTTGAGGTATCTTCACCAGCGTCGCAGAGAATCTTTTGAGAAAATTCTACGCTGTCAGACAGATCTAACCCTTGAAGTTCAAAACGCTGGATCTCTGGTTTCTTGAGACCTATTTTATTCCCCAACCATTCGAGATCAGGGCGCCGAGCAGTCAAAATTAACCACCCTCGTGTTGTAGCTTCTGGCCTGGTATGAGGGATAGCTATCGATCTTATCGTTGCATAGATTTCCAATGCTACCGGGTCTGCGTGTGCTGAGTTACCCGCAAAAGGCGTACGAAATGGTGAGGACAGCATATCGAGACCATCGAAAATAAGAATTACCTGACAGGCACAAAGAATTTCTGAGATTATAACCTCAAGAATATCAAGATTATGAGATTGCTCTGATAGGGAAGGGATGGTCCATATGTTTGATCTGTATTTTTTGCCCAATCCAGACTGGAAAAGTCGGTTCAATACGGCATGTGCCAAGTCACCTGCAGACATTATTCTTTCTTCAGAAAAATTGATCGTGATGACCGCATCTACAAAGAAAGTCTGTTTCCATATGGGAACATCTCAGCACGGATACTAATGGGGTGATTTGGATCACAAGTCGTTACAGATGTAATATCTTTGTTTGTCTTGATACATGTCTCTTGTCAATCATGTATTGCCTCAAAGAGCTCTTTCATTGCTTTGAAGGACTGGCAAACTACTAGCTGTCAAAATGCCAATTGGGATATTGTAACGAAATTTGTTCAGAGGCGTCACACTTCAGTTTTCCAATTGATTTGAGGGGCTAAGTAATCACTCAACTCCTGGGTGGACTCATTCAATCTCGCATAACTTTTCTGTGTCTTTGTGTAGAGAATTTCTAGTAGTCAGTTAATTAACATTCGACGAGACCTGTCAGATGGGTCAGCATTCTGTATCCAGAACCGATAACATCCTTACGGCTAGGAATGGACGAACCATTAGGTAATAATGATTATGATTAACACTGATACTGTCTCCCAGGTGAACTCGATTCTCTCCATTAATTCGAACATCACTGAATTGATGCCCTACATACGGACGGTTGCATATGCTAGACTCCGAAGGATTGAGAGTTTCCACGGTTAAATGGGTCAATTTTTCATCGATTCTTTGCAGATGGACCTGAAGATCAAATGCTGCGTCATGGATCAACTCCTTATATTCCTCAAGAGCTTGATGGGAACTTTGAGAGGTATGTCTCACGAAAGAGTCAATACAGGATGAAGTAGTCAAGGAGTGGCGACTTACATAGTAATAGTGCCTATGCCGATTGCGATCGTCGACTTATAACCTGCAATGGTGTCCATAAATTCATTAATATCGCCTCCCATGAAACTCATCTTTCTCCAGTCTTGAAATCCTATTTTGGATTTTGCGCTAAAGGCATCCATGGATTCTCTAAACTCGATGCATATGTGGTTATATCGCTCTATAGGTCGTTGAAGCATCGTTAAAATCGACTCTTCGGTATTTGTAATTTGCGTCAGGGACATCAGTTCACCGATAAGGTCTTCAAGCTCATCTCGAAGCCTCCGTAAAATTCCGTGATGATCTTTAAAGCGTTTTGTAGTTTCATAGAGTGATCTCGTGGAATGTATGGCGGATTCGACAAGTGTCTGCATTGACACACGAGGATGTCCCTTTCTTAACGGTGTTTCCATAACAGTTTCCATTGCCGTTTCTCTCGCAAAATTTAGTGGTGCATCCAAATTACCGTCTAAATGACAAATAAAAGTCAACAAATAAATAGTGAAATCAAGCAGTAAAGCTGAGCAAACATACCACAATTGAGCGAAAAAGCCTGTGTGGTCTGCTTGCAGCCTATGTGACCATTTCTGGATCTTTCTGCTCTTGGGGTATCCAGTATAACAAAATCTTGATCATTGGTCTCCTGGTCAGACTGATCCTTATTTTCCAGCTTAGAAGTATAGGAATTGGTATCTGTTATGCCTGTGGATAATTGGTGTCCAAATCAGTGAGTAGATCTTTGGTAAGAGTTCCACTACAGGACAAAGCCCTTGCCTCTTAACGTACCCGAACGCTTCTCCTTCACCAGCCGCAGTTTTGGTGTATTCGAACCAGGTTCTACTATTGTTTGTCCAATTATATGTTCCAACCTTTCATCAATACTTTCAAGATGAGCCTCAAGATCGCATTTGGCGGTTTGTATCAATATTTGATGCTTTTCAAGGTTTTCAGCAGTTGTGAATGATTTGCGACTACTCATTTATTAGCTTAGGGAAATTATTTTTCAAAAGTATGGGCTATTTATTGAAGACAGAAACTTACAGCTTTACATCACCAAGGGTGACCTCGATGGTCAATTTACACGCAGCAACTAGTCGCCTAAAACCGTCAATATCATCATTCATATACCTTATTCTAGCCCAATCACGAAAGCTTGACCGGGAGCCACCAGACTGTGATAAACAGATCATAATTTGCTGTTTAAAGTCTTTACAGGCATCACCACATCTTTTCAAAGGCACACGGTTAAGCACATAGAGGGACGACCCAGCTGGAGTCTTAACCACGTCACTAAGCGAGCCGAGAACTGCAATCAAAGCCTCCAGCTCCTCAAGGAGGTCGCGCACACGTTTTGGATGAGAGTTGAAAGTCTTGATCGTCTCATATAGAGTGATGCTAGATTGTAAAGCAAAAGAAGCCGGCTCTACAACTTCTGCCATTGTTGTGAATATGAGCTTGATAACACAGCAACGAGTAAAGACAGGTTAATGTTGGCGCCCAGTGTCGCGGAGTTCGGCTAGATTAATACACGTCAGTCGTGGAGTGGTTCGGCGGCCAATCATCCAATCAACTAAGCATGACTGCCAGCGTTTACCAACCATAAACAAAGGGGTTAGTTATTGCCCTGAAAGAGTGAGATGTCAACCAGCCCCACTAGTTGCCGAAGGTCTTTTGGAACTGATTAAGACAGAACCACTTTACAAAGGTAGATATCTGTTCCCCCGCTTGGCCACTTGAATTCACTCCCGCCACCGTCCCGCTTTTTTGATTAGGTTACTTAAAGAGCGAGGCTGCCTCTGCTTAAGTTAGCATGAACACAAATGCAAGTATTTAAATTCCTTCCAGACCGACCCTACTGCTCTCCCACTCGTCACAAATCTTTAATTTTGCCTCACAATTTGCCCTTATTGCCTTGAAGGCATCTGGCCCCAAAGGCAGTCTTTCTGGTAGCTGCTTGTTCGCACAACGTCCCTCGCCTTGAACTGCTTCAACAATCAGAGCGGCAGCCTTCCGGGGATCCCCTGGCTGGTTACCATCTGCAGCATTGCAGCCCGCTTCAATTAGTTTATTCATCTCGGCATACTCTGGCAAGTGATTGGGAGCACGGTAAAGTATGTTTCCAGGTCTAATGACTTGGGTACGGTAATATCCTGGCGTGACTAGGCAGGTTCTAAGGCCAAATGGCTGGATCTCAAGGGCCAGATTTGGCACAAGACCCTCAAGAAGGCCCTTGGACCCGGAGTACGCACTGGCACCAGGCGCTCCATAGTAAGCCCCCACGGAAGACATGAAGAGAATAGTTCCGGATTGGCAGACACGCATGTAAGGAAGTAAGGCCCTGGTCAGGTTCAATGGACCAAAAACATTATTACGGAGGGCGTTGGTGATAAACGGTTCGCTGTTAATATTTCCAGACTGTTACATTGCAGGCTTTTTTCTGAGGTCCGACTGGCTGGACTCACTCGATTTCTTCTATAACACCCGCGTCGATGTATGCTGCATTGTTGATCAACACGTCGATCTGCCCGGTGATCGACCAAGCCTCCTTAACTTTGGCATTGAGGACGTCAACTGGGGCGGTCACGTTGATTTCCATTATTGCTATCCCAACTTCCTTGAGGGGAGCTAGCCGTTCGAACGCACTATCTTGTCCAGATCGTGCAGTTGCAATAACATTGTCGCCCTAGAGTATCAAGTCATCAGTATCTTCAAATAGATGGAACATTGCTGGATTTACAGCAGCGAGAATTGCCAGAGCCAGAGCTTCTCCCAGGCCGGAGGAGCAGCCAGTCACGAGCCATGTGAGTTTACCGGCCATGTTGGTTGATTATGATATTTCTGCAAGGGGGGAATTGATACGATGTCGTGGACCTCGTGCGAGTTCTTGTGTTTATCGGAAATTTTAATAGAATTAATAAATATTATTGAGCATATATCCAGAAAACCTGTACGCATGCCTGATAAAAAATATATGTAATCTATTGATATTGAATGGGTGAAGGCCTGGTTTAAAAGTACATGGTTCAATAAATTGATACCCGAAAGACTAGCATTTTGCCCCAAAGGCCATGCGGTCCACCTGCCTTATATTATTGAGGCTGAGGAGAAACTTTCATATTCAAAGTGAGTCTGCGTGGATTCACCTTTTCGGAAGTCGATTGTCAATATCCCTATGAAATATTTGATAGGCGTAACGATGGGGCGGGAGGGTGTTGCTCGTGGTTCTGGGGTTGGGCGTGGGAAGAAGACTGGTAAGAAGGAGGCGAAGGAGGATAAGAAACTAAAGAGGATGTCGTGGAAGTTGTCCCTGGAAGTGATGATGAGCTTGAAGAGTACATATAGGAGCGCTGTTTGATGACATCTGAACTGGAAGAGGGAGCGAGATGTGCTGGTTGTATCATACGTAGATGAGAAGCGTCGGGCACATGAATTCAATGTTTATGTTGTAATTAGTTGAGGCTCCGGATTATTGTACGAATAATATTGACAGAGTCACGTTAAGCATACTCCAATCCATCTGATAAGTATCGAGAGTCTTCTTTCCATTCTACATATAGTCCCTTGTGGGTTCTCTCCTAAAGCAACATTACGTAGGAAATCGGGGTGTGCCAGCAATGGCCGGGATGTCAATTGATGGTTGTTCGGCATTGTTTTAATATTTCAAAAATTCTTGCTTAAAACGTGTTTAAAAGTTATCTATGTTTATCTATTCACTAATCTAGATATATATCTATATATTATATATTACTAAATTGCATAATACTATATAAGAAAGTATATGAATATAATAAAAAGTAATAATTACTAATTTAAAGCATTATTAAAGAAGTATTATTGAAGCTACCGAGTTAGATAAATGTGTGTCACTGTGTCTCTGTCTTTGCATATCACGCCTGCCTGAGGGTGTTCTTGAAGATATTCTTAAAGCTTTTTTTAAAAGTATCCTTGGATGTGTTTGTCACAGATTACTTTATAGTACATCTATGATATGTATATATTAGATGCATACAGCTAAAGTTGAAGAAATCTATAAAGTACTGTAGAATTTCCACTATGATTGCCTTGCTGACTCTATCAATATAATCAAAGTAACTTATATCCAAAAGTTATAAAGAATAAAATAACATAAACATATATCTTTATGAGTTCATTTGTCTCCAAAAGACAAAGTAACCGTAAATCATTCCTACCCCTTCCCCCCACCATATATCTCATATATCAGCTAGGGACTGTTGAATTCATGTTTCACTCCAATGCGGCAATCAAAGTACAAGTCTCTTGCTATAATACGAAACCACTACCTCCACCAAGCTGTCACCTTCATTACAAAGCTTCAAATGCCACTTGCGTACTACTTCAAGCACATTGTAGTCAAGGACTGTGACATGAATAGTCCCATGACACTTTTGGTGAAGTAGCCTCGCGAGAATTGTTTGAAGTTGTGACGACTCAGAATCATTAAATGGTATCTTTCTTCCCTCGGAGATCTTCTCCAACTCGCATCCCCAGTCAATACCAAAGCGTTGTCCGATTGCTTTGGCAGTCAAAGGTAGATGTTTTCGAATGGTAGAGTAAGATATTTTGGAAAAGAAGTAATTTCTCCAGATCACGTAAGACAGGTCTGTGAGATTACTGCAGTTAAAAGGTTCGTAAGCCAAAAAAGAATTAAAAAAATTAAAGTAAATTACTGGTTTTGTCATACGTACGATGATCCAAGGTGACAATTAACGGAATCCGCGCCCTGTTCCAGGAGCAGCTCAACAAATTCGAGGTTAAGACCCAAAGCAGCCTCCTGCACCAAGTTAGATTGGAAATTAGAAATAAAAACAAGTTTAACAGGAGCTGACAGGGATGCCATACGCAGAGAAGCGAGCGTCCATATTCAGTGTAATCAAATGGTGAGGCCTCTCTGGCTGCAAAGAGTCGTCGTAAGCCTGCCACATCATTTCGCCGCACACATTGAAAAACTTCTGACTTATAAGAAACGACGTTCACCTCATGGACGAAACGTGTTAGTTGCGGCGGCGAATTCACGGATTCCCAGCCCCGAGATAACAGCAAGAATATCCCTGCCGTGTCTCCTTTAGCAGAATCAAGCACTGCGGGTGAGAAAAGGAAGCGTGATTCAAGGTATTGATATCTCTCGTCGCATCCTTGCTGACCCTAATGTCTTTTGATGAATTCCACAGTGAGAAACCCACCTGGAGTTTTAACTGTGCCATGAAATCGGGATGTTCCGATTGCGCCGGTTTCAGGGAAATGTTTATAGAACGTCGACGTGGCAATTTTCGTTCTGCGACCACCTGTCTCGCAATCCATAGGCATCAAGGATAGAAAATGATGATTGGACACACTTGTTTGTTTCGAGTTCCGCAAAGAGCGCGCAGCTGCTTCATGAGCAGATGCGAGCAAATGAGTTAGCTCCGTACAAATCCAATCTCGATCGGCCCTCGAGAGTATTCGTCTCTCCAAGATCAGCGTTTGAAATACATTAGGAAGATAGAGCGGGACCTGGCTCAGCGGCACAATTAGATATTCCAGGCCTCTGCCCTTGAACGAAATATCGGTGGTTTCCATCATAGTACTCGACGGCGGTATGAGATGGCGAGATACCTCGTCGACCCTTGTAACAATAAGATTAGCCACTTGCAGGATCGTTTCATGATTGAAGGCAACACGGTAGCCCAGATCTGATATTATTTTCTGTGTGGAACGAGCCAATGAGATATGGAACCTGTTGGCTGGCTTGAAATCCTTTATCTTGCTGAGACAGAACATTTGCGATGTTTCTATCCACTGCTTTGACTTTTTCTCGCAGGATGATATCATGCTTTCTGCAAGTAGTATTGTTAGTCACTCGCATTTTCTTAGTAAAGAGTATGGACGTATAAAATTAACGAGACAATTCTCTTACCCGCTGGTAACCTTTAGATTCAGCATCATTAGCACCATCTGCCCCTGTAACCGGTCACACGCCTTTTTGATTGCCTCTTCTCTCGAGACATATCCCCACAGAAGCCTAAGATCTTGAAACATGGTTCTTGGAACAAGCGTAAATGCCTTGATGACGTTATGAAGCTGCTTGATTTCAGAGTCGCAGGTTTTGAGGAGGTTTTCGAGCTCTTCTAAAGGTTCGAGGCTGTCTTCTACGACGTATACCGAACTTCGATATTGTTTCGCGTATTTCTGAGCTCCTGAAACCGCCTCATTGACTTTTTCCAAGGTTGATTCCACTAGAAGACGGTCTTCCGGTGCCGTTGCGATTTGTTCCATGAAACCGTAAAGGGCTTTCGCCGAACGGATCACTATGTCTGCTGCGCCAAGCACCGAAGTAACGTTGGCAAAGTTTGACAGCTGGGCCATGGTTCGATCAGGGTTTTCAAGATATTAAAGAAATCCTCTACTATAGAACAACGGAGATATCGGACGACAAATGTATCCTAGAAGTGTTAACCATACATCCGGAAAAGGGAGGGCGGCCGGCCTCCGTAGTTCACACAAGGCTGAGCCTTGCACAGCCTGGTAGTCAACTGCTATTGGCGCCTCTAAAGACCAATCATCTTATAATGGAAAAAATAGGAGGCCTTTTCTGCGTTCGTCAAGTTAGGCGTTATTTACAACGGATTCGGCTGGCTGGGGAGAATAGGATTTCTCATTATCTTCATGAACATAGCTAATGAGAGTTTCTGCTTTATGTAATAATATTTTTATAGTAGAATATATTAATAAGATGAAAGTAACGATTACTAATTTAAAGTATTACTAAAGAATTATTGTTCTATTAAGTTGCTTATATAAATGTGCGTTACTATCTCTCTGTCTTGCCTATCTGAGCGCGTTTCCGAATTTGGGAACCCGCTCTAGACGCTTCAAGAAATAGAGGACGATACATACCTTGTTGAATGTTACGACCCTTAGAATCTAAAACAGTTTGGTGGTGCACTAGAATCTGATTTTAACTAGTATATCTGATTTGTCTTTTCGTTTTTAGTACAACAGTTAACTTCTTTGTCGCTTTGCTAGTTTAAGCAATAGCAATAATTCAGTTTAGCTCCATAAAGCTGAAGGAACAGGTCTCTAGAGGGTTCATATTGAGGATATCTTGCAAAAGAATAACTAATATATTGTTCGCCCCTCGCTTTCCATTGCCTCAGGGGCATACATGCACATTTATGTACGCAGCCGCTCACCTAGCCAGTTCTTTAACGCGAGTCCCTGTTGGGTTTCGTGTTTGTCACCAAACATAGGCCACACAAGAGGTGCGATATGACACTCATTTCGACCAATGATGAGAGTTGTTTCGGGGTTTACTTTCTGTAAGCAATCAGTCTCGCCGATAGATCGAATGAAGTGAACTTGTTATATGACGTACGCTGAACGTCTTAGTCCAAGCCTTGATAGGGTCCAAGAGCATCTCGTCGGTCCCGGCAAGGACGAGGATCTGTTCGACTTGGGCATCTTCCCACCACGTTTCAGGTGCTTCAAGCGCCTCGATATAATAGTTCGTGGATCTCCCATACAGGTATTCTTGTGCCCATCTCTCCATGACTTCCACTGCGTCGATATCTTTATGTTCATTGTCCTTCATGCTAGGCCAGTCATCACGGAAGGATAGCCAAGGGGATAGAAGAACGATAGCTTTAAGCGGCTCAGTGATTTTCAGTGCTGGAGCATCTTGAGATGGATGGGACAAATGGGACAGAAGTGCTAGGCATAGATTTGCCCCTGCGGAATCGCCAGTAAGGACCACCTCCGACGGCGAGCGTCCAAGATCCTCAATGACAGACCGTAGAGCTTCCACTGCTTCGCAGAACTGTGTTGGATATGTTGCGTGGGGTGTCAGGGTATAGGTAACATTAAACCAGCCCGTAGTAATACCATCATCGGAAAGCGTTCTTGCTACCTCCGGCCAGAATTCGAGATACGATTCTGTTGCATCCGTGGCGAATCCTCCGCCTGAGTCGCTCCTTCAGCACTGTTCTCTGAAGATTGGGCCAACGCTTACCATGAAAGTTGATCACCACATATTTGGCAGTTGGACTACCGAGCCAGAATCCCTTCAAGCCGCGCTCGTTCGATACGAAATTCGGCTCGATCCCAGTCTTCCTACAGTGTTCCAAATAGAGGCGGTCGTAGGACTTGAAAAGATATCTATCCTTTTACAGTCAGCGTCCGCATGCTTCTCCAAGACAGTAACTGATACGCACTGGAGCTGGAGCGGACTGAACCGGCTAGTGAGCTGGTATAATCGGTAAGAATTCTATTCGTGTATAGACATAGCTGCGAATAGGGTAAGGTACCTTTTTAAGTACCGCTTGTATCAGGTGGTGATGGTAGCTATCTGCCCCCGACGGGCCGCGAAATGGGCCGCATATAGCAGCAGATACCAGTCTTGCTCCTTCATGGCCATATTCAGCCGAATACCAAGAATATGGGAAGATATGGTTCGGTTTACTTACCAACAGAGACCCAGCCTAGCCAGGCATCTACCGTTTCCCATACGCTAAGGGTGTGTTTCATTGCACTGACGTTTTCTTGGTGGTTTTTCAGTCAATTGCTGGGCATTGGACCATGGCTGTTGCAAGATTCCATTTGATTTAAGTAGCTGTCGCAATTTCCAAGCTTTGTGAGCCTGCTTTCCGGCTTGATTAGTATTCAACTCCACTGCCGAGGTTTAACTGATTTTACGGTTTGGAGGTAGAAATGCTCCCTGCGGAAGTCAATATGTGGCTGAACTATCTAGCTAGAAAAGCATCGTGGATGGTATTTTATGGGAGCTGTTAGGGCGTATTAGGACGATTATTCGGAAGACGTTCTAATAGCTTATCCTCCATAGAAAATTTTACTTTTCCTATAGAAATGCCCGGCTATACTCAAAACTGCATGCATCCACATCAAAAATCGCCAGGCTCCAAATCCAGATATCGATTCTACCCTAAAAGTCACCATCCATAAAGAGATACACACCAAGGATATCTAAAATCCCACCTAGGAGGTCCCTGCTGCCCCTTCTCTGTAAACAAAAGGAGCCAATGATGTACCTGATGACCCAAAACATCGGATACAGCCAGTGGAACTGCATCGGATGATCAGAGGCCTCAAATCACCCAAAGTTTCTGTCCAGATTATAGCAAAGATAATTACACGTGCTGATAACCAACAACGACAAGATGCCAGTGAAATGAGCAGCCTTTTTCTCGTAGAAGGGGTCGACAAATATATATGATTGTATATATTCTACAGTATTTATACTTAAAGCTAATAACATAAAACCCGGTGGGTACCAGTCATCATGAAGACACCGACGGCAAGGAAAATAATTTCGATGATGAGGGAGTTGGCATAGAAGAGGAAGGGACGTAGATGATATGTCGTTTATGGGTGGTTTTGAAGTCATCTGGGCCGGGCTATGATGTGTTGGTATTGAGCCATGTTGACTAAAGATAGTGGCTATGACTGCTTAAATACATAAACTGTGCATTTCTCCATCTTCGATTAATCCAGTTCAGTTGCAACCGAGGTGCCGGTCTATACACCACGAGTAAATGTTAACTTAGTGATTCGGTGATTAGTGATCACTCTGGGAGCCGAGCTTGCACCATCGAGAATTCCCATCACCGCTTCACTCCTGTTTCTCATTCTCTACACATCTTCCACAGAAGGACTATGTGCACAATACCATCGAACAGCCATGGTCACTCTTCTTACCACAGAGATACCAACTGTAGAAGTGGCACCCCCACTCCCCAATGGTTCATCAGTGCTGGCACCGAGAAAACCTGAATGACCGCTTGGATCTGGGCAGCCTACGCTGGACGAAAACCTAGGCAAGACGAAGGTACACGAAAACCTCAGAATCGAGTCCGGAAAGGCAAAACCGTAGACTAACAGAAATCAGCGACGCATCAGGTTCACCAGGCCGCAGCCCTAGTTAACCTCTCGTACCGTTAAAATCGCAGGCCCGGCATGAGGAGATTATAGCCTGATGGGCCCCAGGATCCGGCCTTGTTTTGTTTGTATTGTTCTTGTTGACGAAATGAACCGCAGCAGTTCGGTATAGGATGCTTGTGGTGTAACCTCCATATGGTACTGTCCGTAGATTCCTTCTATGTCAACTCGATATACTTCCCATCACCTCGCGCGTTCAGCAGGATAATCCACACCTTTCCCAATACGCTATTCAGGATCGAGATTCTTTACGGCAGACATTAAAGACAATACTTTCTTTTAAAAAAATAATGGTTTTCTGCTGAAAATTCACTTTGTTTCCATGTAAACTCGTATTATTACCACTCATAAGATTTAATTAGTTCATATAATAAAATTAGCCATTAACATCAACTCAAGTTTATACCAGGTTATAATATAAGATTATTGATCATCAATACCTTTTAAGCTGCACCCAAGGCGCTCGCTAGATCTTTGAAAATGATACTAGTTGCCGTTGGCAGGGGAAAACCTTCTACTGAGAGCGTCGCAGCATGGTGTTAAGATACCTAGACATGTTTCAAAGTAACTGTTTGATAGTTTGCAATATTCAATAGATGATCATAGGGAATTGCACTGTACCTAGAAATAAAAAACGCGGGGCAATAAGTGCAGCAAGGATGGCAACATTTAGCTTAACCATCGTTACACAATCAACAATATGAATAACAACAGGAAATTTTAGAAAAAGCACCACATTGATCATCTAAAAGTATATTGAATGCCATAATGGCTTCCTAGAGTACAAAAGAAGGGTATTATATTACACATTCTAGTGCGAGCCAGGTAATTACAATGCATACTTGGGTTGTCCACTTCCCCATCTTCGCGGACATCGAACATGGAGGGGTTCACGGATTTCAGCCGCACGTTCTTGACTAGCCTATGTCTAACTTCAATTCATAATGGTCAGTGGAGACGATTAGACGGGAGGCTTCGCATTACGTGCAGATCATCGTATTCAGTGCAGATCAATGCGGGTTATCTTCCTACATCACGATCTGTAGTCTGAGAGCATCTCATGTGTTATTGATGACAAGCCAACGCCAAGTAATTTATTCATCCAGAGGATAGGGTAGGACTATGAGCCTCAATTCAATATTTTCATGGACAAGACTATATAGAGTTTCAATGCAACGCTTCTTGATCTCTCTCAAAACCACACGCCATTTATCGCTCGACGATCTATCCCATGCACATTCCGCTCGTGCTCCGCAAGCTTGTCGCGACGAGTGAACCCATTCTGTCCGGTACGGTTGCAGCCAATCCAATTACAGGGATACGGGCGTTGCATCTGATGAATGCGTTCATGGCGGTAGAGATCTCCACGACGGGTGAAAACTCGCCCGTTACAGATGGGATGACGACACATGTATTCATGACTTTGAGTTTGATCGATATTCAGTGGGAACGACCCAAGATAATCATCACCGAGAGAAGGCATAAATCTTGCCATCAAATTAGCATAATTGAATTCCGAACGGAATCGTACTTACGGAATCGTACTTACGGAATAATTGATGGATTGAGTATTTCGCCGGATTCTGACGGTGCTTGTTCGTTCACCATTGTGTTCATGATTTCGTTATGGCGAGCTAGTAGCAACGAAAGCGATTCAGGAGCGCTTGGCCAGGTAGATGGAAGCGATTCATCGACAGAACCCTGCACCAATGGCATCGAGGCGTTGTCCATTAGTGGAAAAGGACTAGATGTGGTCTCTGAAAGTATTTCTTGTTCATTTCCAGAACTGAGAGTTTCCAGATCGGCCAAATGCGGGGATATGGAAGGTATATAGAATGGCGACAAGTACATGCGAAGGCTACCGAGACCACTCTGGACGCCATCATCCAAATGAAAATCCTCCGCCGTGGTCACACGACTAGGACCGCGAATGGGAGCAGTCGTGTTGCTCAGCTCCTCCTCGTTGACACCTGGTACCACCGATGTTTGACTCTGGGGCGACGCATTATGAGTTGTAGGAGGCCATTCATAATTCTCCATCGTTAAATGCTTATGAGGATATGGCCGTAATCATCTTCACGAGTTCTAACCTATCAATAATAGAATTTTTGCAGTATTTATAGGTGCATCAACATCCTCCTTGGCCGATCAGCAAATCGTATGTTGCCTCCGACGACATTTTTCGGGCGCTATCGCGACTCGACTCTCAGCCTCTCCGAGTTTTTAGCACTCCATGTAAGTTATATCCGACGAATTAACTGGTGACAACTGGACAGGAACATTATTCCCCCACAATGCCCGCGCCCGCCAGGAAGCCCTCCCATGTTAGGTTTCGCTTGTGCAGATTGGTCTATCCATCAATAATCGGCGGAAATCAGTGTTAGTATTATTCGCAGGGAGACCAATGTGATGTTGTTGCATATTGAATCGACAAATCAAAAATGAAACGGTTCACAGCGGGAAGTTCATCGTAATAGCCTCGTCTGCGTCTCGGCGTATTGGTCAAACGACCCAACGAGCTGACCCTAAAGAAGTACACGTTGTGATAGGTTCTTACCAAATACGCTGTCCCGAGGGTCAACACTGCGTCGACAATGCCAGAGTACACGGTGACAGTCATAAACATGTGTAAGCCATGTTGGGCTGACATACGTCGGGCGTAGCTGCGTCGGGCGTGGATGCATCGGGCGTGAATGCATCGGGCGTGGATGCGTCGGGTGTGAATGCGTCGAGCATGAAGGGCTCGGTTGAAGAGACATCAGCATCAGTGCCCAGCAATCGTGATGGAGGCCATTTGGAAAGCAAGTCTCATGCTCTCACGTGACCAATTCGGACATTGCTTCATCACGTGCTCGAGATGACATAGCGAGCCACTGGGTAAATTTAGAAGCAGAATGATTCAACAGCGTAACGGAGCAAGAACAGGGTGCCTCAACAAAGGCCTCGGTAGGAAAAGTAGAAAGAATTCGACGAACCATCGCCTAGGAGGTAGCAATAAGATAGAAAACAGAGAGATGACCTGAGAGGGACAACCCTCTATTTAAGTCAATCTTGCCCAGGTGTGTTGCCTTAAGAATCCCGAGATACTGCAACAAGGACCTCGATGGTAATATAAAAAGATTTGAGAAACGAGATCCAAGGTTATAGCGATAAGATAGAAAACCGAAAGATCAGTTTTAATCGAGCACAACTCGCTCTTTAAATAAAGTCTGCCTTGCAGCCTGCCTGCCTCGAGGCATTAAAGGCCCTGTGACTATGCCGTGGAGCATAACCCGTCGGAGCCCAACACGGGCAAGTCTGGAGGCAGTAGAGCCAATCACATCGAGCAACCCGCGTCCTGTTTGGATGTTTGAGGGTGCCCGCCCCGCCAGGGGTGGCGTACTCCACTTCTGTGCATAACTGCTGCTGCCGATGACCCACCCTCAGCAGCATTTCTCCAGGGATTTGGGAGTTCAGCGTGCGTTCTCCGAACTATACAGTGAGACAGATTGAATTAGGCTTTGGAATCCAACTTTGGTACGTAAATTTTATACCAAAAAAGCAGAACCGTTTCTTATAGAATACTGAGATTTCAAATCTCAAAATTCACGTGTCATTGTTTCCTATAAACAATACGTTGCCGTATTGAATGTCACTGCAGGGGCACTACCATATGCTGTTGACGAAAGCATGTAGAATGGATTACGTGTATAAATCGTCCATTGGACCAGAATAATTGAACTCAGTATCTGTATACTTGAAATAAAAGATGGTGACGAAGCGGGCCGAAAAAGGTCATTGTTGGGCTCATGACTCCACTTCCTCTCTTACACTGGCGGAGCTCTCCAGGATTAACCACTGATACGAGAGCGACAATCATTTCAAGCTACAGCTGGGCAGCAAAAGCATCAGCACCCTTGACACGTTGACGGTCCCCACTGTAGACGTAGTGCAGAACACGTTGTTGGTCATAAGAAGTCAAAGATGTCTCGCATCCTGTAATGGAATTCCCACCGTAGCAAAATTCTACAAAGGTACATGGAGTTTTTCTTATGGTGTCTCAGCATACACAAAGTCTATTATGTCAACTTCGCCACTATGTAAAATTTAATTGGTTTAATGCAGAATAATACAAAGTTACATGATTTCTCCTGGTCAACTAGGGGAGTAAGTTTGGCTTGCTTATCACGATACTGGCTCTTTCTCTTTGTTACCCTGACTCGTCATGGGCAAAACTCGGCTTATAAGAGCAAACCCTTCACATAGAAAACTGTGCTATTAATATTATGATATGCATTTGTTTATTCTTGAATAGTTCATGTGGTTTCATACATTATCAAAACTAGGGCATAGACAGACAAATTTAACACTAGTTCCTCAATTCTTCAAGTTACCTCGCGCATTTAAAACAACTAAAACGTCTTGCTTCTCATTCTCACCGTCTGGTGAATTACCTAAATCCATCATTGTTACATATAATGGTTGGATAGAATCCTGCTGTGGCGCGTGCCTACTCAATCTCAAAATATAACTCAACGAATAGCTGTCAAAAATACTTCAAAGAGGAGCGGGGCATTACCATTGAGGCTCACAAAAACGAAATTCAACGGTTTATCAAGCATGAAATTGATGGGCCTAATGATATTGAGCCTAAAGCTATGCATGAGGGGCTGAGATGGATATTCTGGAGAGAATTGTCGACTTAGCTAAGGGACTGTTTGTATAGCCGCGCCTAACATCACTGGCAGTACTAATAATGATGCAATATATTCCTATTGCCTACATTGCAAGTCCGTGCCGTCCTTCAGGCTACAACCTTATATCACCATGAAAAAGCTTTGAATAAATCAGCACCTGACCTTGGTGAGGCATATAGTGGAACAACGACCAATTAGATCACAACAGCAGCCGGTTGCGCTAGCGGGCCAGGAAGGAAGATCATTGGGTGAATTCGTTTGACAGAATAGCGACTCACCATTGATGAGCTCTTACGCTTACTAGCAATTAAGGACAGCGACACTTGTTTTGACCCGAGGGATACGTCTATTCGGGGATACTGCTACAACTGCTACCAGCTGACACTGCGGCCATGGTTTGTCAGTGACTGCTCAAAAGAAATCCATGTTTGATTCAGTACTCTCTTTAAGAACACCTCCTTTCGCAGAACGAGATATTCGATCTTAATAATGCGCAATAGCACGGCAGAATCACATGCAATTTCCTTAATTTTCTATATTTAATTGGTTCTTAATCCGGTAGGTTGGCTGTGGACACTGATATATTTATTTATACCTCGAAGCTGTACATTTTGAGAAGAATCAATCTATTGTATCAAAATTGAAATATCCTCAGTATATGATTTGATTCATCATGCTTTCTCGCCCGGAATGAAAGGACAGCTACCGGACAAGCCACTGGTCTCTGCCTTCTGCTCGTTCTTGTCCTCACGCGCAATCTGGCGGAACATATCAATCGGATCAAACCAGACGTCAATCTTCTCAAGCTTGAGCGCATCGTTCACCTTGGCGACAACAATGCCTTGGATATCGATAGGGCCTCCATGGGCTTTGATCGTGACTTTTTCCCCAGCACTACACCGCAATCAGTCCGATATCAAATCACCGGTACTCAGTGAAAAGAATAGACTTACTTGTTATACCCTACATAATCACGTTTCATCTCCCCCCAGTGTCTCCACTTGAAGACCACCACGGGCGGCCCACTGTACACCTCGGTCACCTCCCATGCAAACGTGGGCATCATGCGCTTAAACGATTTGTGACTCTGCTCAAAGTCATTTTTTTCGGGGTCATAAAACTCGTTTGCCGTCAGAAGCGCATTGTACGTGCCAACCTGGAGCATATGCTCGCCCGTCTGCGGAGGGCCACCGTTGAGCGAGAAGGTGTATTTGGAGTGGTCAATGGTTCGCCAGTCGGAGAGAGAGGTCTTGAACGACGCCTCGATCTCCCAGTTTTTCACAAGATTTTCAACGAGGTTGGGTAGGCTGCCAGCTTCGTGGCTCATGGTCTTGGCTGTAAGAACAAACTAAATGTTAGCTAATCCTAAGAGATCCTCCTGCTGACGAGCAGAAGACGTACTCTTCTCATAAAACGATCTCGTGTTAGAGTAATCCGGAGGACTGCCAAGTCGCCATGCGGCGTCGGTGTCCTTCAAGACCGCATTAGGATCGAGAACGTAATCGGGAAGTCCTGCGTCGCCCATGTTGTATGTGTTGTATGTTTAGCTGGGTATGGAGTGTTGTGAAAAAAGTTAACTTTAACAGGGGAAATCAGGGGACATAAGAAAAGCTCTTGGAAGTAGCATGGTCTAGACCAGCCCGGCATATGTGATAATACATATGCTTCAAATTTAATTATGTTCAAGCCCCAGGACTGTAGTACACACGACTAGTGTTTTTTTTTTTTACCAAGGCCCTGTAAACAGATTGCTCGAACCAACATGCTATGTGTTCCGCAATTGGACATGTTTCTGAGTAAGACGGTTAGGCTAACGAGTGACAGCTGCGGGTCATGCAATCCAGATTGAGCGATTTAAATTAAAATGATAATTCGGACTGCTCCAGTTGGCCATCTGTAACGAGTGGCGTCTCCATACTGAAACGGTCCTTCCTATCCCTGCCAACGCATGTGTAATCGCGCAATTAGTACTGGTGCCGTTAATATTTGGATTGAGGACTAATGCACATCAGTATGTAGTTTCGTATAATATTCATGCTACTAGATTTGGACTTTCGGAGAATTCCGATGTTTAGATAAAAGACGTGCGCTAATGGCAACAGTACGTATTAATGAACATTGAAGTAATAAATGATGATACATAAATCCGACGCTGGAACCTATAGATTCAAGTTTCAAATATCCTACTGCCCCTTATTGCCTGACATTGAATTAAAGCTAGAAAAGGGAACTAGGCAGAAAAAAAAGCACCTTATTTTTCAAATCACGTTTTTTAATTCGCAGGGCAGTAGAATTTTCATTCTGTACATGTATAATATAGTTGCCACGAATTGTGCCCACCAACGAGTACCAACCAGACTAGTAGAGCTATTGAAAATATATGGAATTGTGTATGACACTATTAATTATGCAATCCCGTTAAAAATCCACTTAAGAATTAACTAACGCGATCGGACGCCCCCCACCGTTGCAAAACGGGCTTGCATGAAGCTAAATCCTTGGCTCATTTCAATGAATTTGAAAGCCTGGTCCAGCCCAAGCCCAGGTGATCCAATTATTCTAATATTTGTAGACTTTATAACAGATGCACCTTTCTCCAGAATTACTAGCCTCTGAAATATTCTAGTGTAATATTATCTACAGTAGCCTTCATAGAAGGAAGTCAGGACAGGGTCCGGAAGAAACTTCCTTGCTAATCCTACTCTAAGTGGAGAAATTGGAGTACCCAAGTGATCCTGTATACCCCAAGATAGTAACCGACAGTTGGAGAAAGGCCACACTCTTCTTTTATTGCAAAAATACTTGACTTGTAAATACATAAGTGAAAATCAATACGGCCATATATTGGCTAGCGGATGTTCCCCCGTCTTTCTGAGCGAGGCTATCAATATCGGAGGGCCAGCAGAGGATGCTTTTCTTTATGAATTGTAATACGGTGATTATATATACTCTTAACTATATTCTGAATTATCACTAGGTTGAGAATGTTACGATTAGCTCATAAAGCTCTTTGACCAGAACCAAATGTAGAGAAATCAAAGGCTCATTATGACATCAATTCTCCTATAAATAATCGACAGAGAGCAAGATTAATCCTTCCTTTACTAACACTTTCACCATCCATCTGGCCCTGAGAGATCGCGTCAAATGGTAAAATATTTCGGCTGGTCAAACCAGCCATATGATTGCTGCATAGCATGCGGATCAGAGCCACATGTTACGTGGTGGAAACCGGATATCATTTTTGACCATCGCCAGGACTGGAAGCAGTTCAAGAACCCAGCAAGCTTAAGGATACTAGACGGTGCGATCGTTGTTAATGCTGAGGATATAGAAAGCATGTCGTTTGAAGAGGCCCCCTGGATGTGGACGAATTTCTATCGAGCAAGTGAGACACCATTAACTGAAATATTGCAGCATAAGTTGACTGGATAAGTCATTCACAGACTACACATCGGTCATCTGGGTGTATCAGGGATCGGCCAATCGTTTGAGGAATCCTTCTGGGAAGCCGTTCCTCAGGTGCCTCGAGATCCACATAAAGCTCGCATTGGCGATGCAAACAACCTGGCTTACCGATCCTTGTGTACTCGATTCCAACCCATAGATATGTATCGTTCGGGTAAGAATAAGAACGCCAAACAGATAGGCTACATTGTGCATGCACACTGTTGGCTCCTGGTTGGCCGATATATCGGAATCGAAATAATTACAGAAAACCTCAAAATATTTGTCAAAGCCGTGGAACAATTCTGGACGCAAAACATACACCTGTGGATGACGGCACCGTATAATAAGGATATTGAGCTTGTGGAAAGAAGTGAAGATGATGGCGACGTGGAAAGCAGCGATGATGACTACATACCTGTTAGAGCATGGCGAAATCCAGCAATTGTGCCCGAAATTCAGACGATTATTGAACAGGCCACGAGGGTCGTCCACCAGTCACAGCCAACGACCACTATGTCTTGGATTCCTTTAGATATTGCCATACAAGTCGTTGAGATTACTAGGCTGGCCAGTGCCACAGACACCCAAAACATGCTAGCTGCCTTTGGGTGGAGATTGCCTGATAGTTACTGGCAGAGCTGTTGTGATATGGAGTTGATCTTCGAATATGGGGATCTCAGGAAGTCCAATACCGCGGTGGATTGGCAATTCCTCGTTCTTGAGACTGAAAAATTATCGGAGGATGATGACTGGTGTAAAAGAAGTGGGCTTAGAACTCGTCGTCGCATTTTTCAATTCCTCCCACAGATTAGAAGTATCTTCCTCGACATGCTTGAACAGGACAGAAAGGATCCTGGATCTCTAAGTGGTTCTGGTGCAAGGTTTTCCCTAAGGAAACCGTTTATCTAACAATTAAACCTGATCAATCATGTTGGGCGGGACTGGAGCAGCTTTAAACGTTTAAGATGCCTTAATACATTCCGTCATCAAAGAGACCAAGGTTGATACCGTTCTTACATGTAATCATATAAATTGATATTTGAAATAATACTTCACCTAGCATTCGATGTCTTCTCTTCGTAGTGCTCTTTATTAATCAAATATTTAAATCTACTATCCCTAATTTCTTATTTATCATATCAACTCTATTTCTTAGGGCTATATTGGAGGCATTTCATACTGCTAACCACACCACGAGGTATTTTCCTGCCGCTTGTACCGTATCTTCCGCAATTTTCGGTGAAATAAACTTAATTTGTTTCATCAATGATATTCGTGGCATTTTTCTTACTATCAGATTCGTAGGAGTTTCAAATTCCCGACTATAGATATTCTCACTCCCTACAATCTTAATCAGAGGGTGTGAGAATAGATCATCACGAGGGCACCACGAGGGCACCGCCTTACGCTGATTATTCTGTAGGCAAAACACGGCTCGTATTCAATATGTGCGTGCCTAATATAATATACGAAACATTTAAGAATGTCCAGCTGTTTTATATATCACGGAGTACATGACGTTGGCGATTCCGGCAGCGACATGTACTGGCAAAAGAGCATTGTGACAAAGACCAAGCATATTGGCTCTAGCTCTATTGATGAACGAAGATTCGATGATAAATGGTCGGTCACATTCACGACTTCTTCCTTGGCAGGGCGTATGAGAGCACAAGCCTCCCGAACTCTTCTGGATCTCGTAGGCTGGTGAACTTCACAGGAACATTCCTATGTGTCTTAAGAGAAATGGCCAAAAACGCATCACGAAGATAGATCATGACATCTTTTAGGCTATGGGGATCCCCACTAAAGGGAATTGGACATTCGATCACGGATCTGTCGAATGGAATGGTACCTAATTTTCGTTCTAACTTGTCAATCTTGTGTATGAACAAGACAATATTGGCCTTAGCAGTCAAGCGGGCGTTGCACAAGCTTTCAAACAGAACAAGATCCTCCTCTATACGGTTCATATCGTCTGCCTCAGGCGATACTTGGTCGTAAGAACCTGCATCGACAAAATACAGTATCGTTGTGGCCTTGTCCAAAATGTCGCCCCACTTTCTCCTTTCCGAACGCGAACCGCCAGGATCGCAGATTATTACCTCTACCGGACCATTGGTATATCGCGATAGGGCAATACCGGTGGATGTGGTATAAACCCACATGCTGTCCTGAAAACTGGGTATATATTCGGGATTTGTTATACGATCTGTCGAATCGAAGAAGCTAAATTGTGAGTGAAGATCATAGATTAGTTGGATTCATCTTCTCAGTATAGTGATGGAAGTACGTACTATTCAGCACCGTCTGAAAAACTGGAAAGGGTCTCCTTATCGAGAAGACCTGAATCCTTCAAAGCATCCCATAGAGCTCTGGCTGAATGATTTTCATCTGAACTCACTCCTTGTTCGCCGAGAGGCCAGAGGCGCTTGAGACTTTGAGCTAGGGACAGGTTGTGCTCGTCCGGTAAGGTCATGTTAGCCGCCCAGAGATTCTTTATTTGCTCATTGACTTCGGCCAAGATGGTAAACTTCTCCGATACCTGTCCTAGCTCACTGTCAATACCTAAGAGGAGGTTTATAGCCTTGACTGCGGTACTTTTTCCGCTCCTAGAGGAACCAGCTAATAACACTCTAGAATGCAAGGTTTCAGTTGCCGTTTCTTGAGGCAATGGGGCTTTAGCGGACTGAATACGTGACTGACGTCTGAACCATACATTGGACAGCTGTTGTATACCAAGCCTCTCAGTTTGTCTTCCCATTTGTCTCTGAATGGAAGTTGTCGTGGTTACCCAATTCTGCGGTCTAATAGAAGATCTCGTGGAACCTGGGTCAGACTTGATAGAGTTTGCTCTCTGTCTCTGGCTTTCGCTCACACTGGCAGCAGAAAAGAGATGTTTCTTATTGTTATCGACATCGATACGACGCCAGTCTCTAGTCTCCTGGTCAGTCATTATGGAGAACCCGTCGTCGGCTGAGGCTTCGATTTCGTTGTATACCCATTGCTGGGTAACAGTCACCCTCAAGGCCTGTTCCATGGTCGACATTGCCGCCGAGCGATAGACTCTCGAGCTAAATAAATCCGGATCGAATGAAAAATTGGCATCTATTCGATCGAGGTTCTCAGCGACGCTGCTCTTCTTGGTAATTTCGGATTCTGAATCTCGCAGCCATAATAAAGAAGAGGTATAATCTTTGACCTGATTGAAAACACTCCGGTTCTCAGCCCTCCGCAGGAAATTACTCTGTTCGATAACCGATTTACTAGTTGTTAATCCATCGTTAGCGTCGCACAGCAACATCTATGTATCACCAAAAGGAAGTGGGTAGATGAGAGCGTTCGGAAGTACTTACCACTGCATTGCTGTGAGAAGAAGGTTCAAGGCATTGACTTGAGTATTCAAGAGGGACTGAAACTCTGTAATGTCATTCTCACTCAACACAAACCGGGTCTTGCTCTGCACTGTCAATTGATCCCGCTGGTATTTTGCCAGTCGCTCATCAAGGACAGACATGACCGCATCACAACAGTCAAGGGATTGGGCGACATCTTTGGAGAGCTGTGAATCTTGTGCAATTCCGCCACATGGGAGAAGATCTAGGAGTTGATTGATCTGGGCGAGAGCAGCCTTCAGCGTACTCAGTTGCCCGATAAGAAGTTTTATTTTAAGACTGACACTCTTATAACGGCGTTGCAAATCGGCCAAAACGGTGATGCTTCGGGAAACCATATCTAAAAGGCCTAGTATTGAGCTACTGGCATTGATCGTAGATATCGCGTCCATCTCGGATGGAGCTGCGGCACGCTGATTCATCGGAACCGCTGATGAAGATCATATTAGTCTGACGTATATTTATATAGATAGATAGAGGCTGTGTCGGCATACTTTTCGGATAAATCTGATACAAAACCGCCTTAGCATAGGCTGCAGCCATGGCCGCTGCATATGGTTGCCATTCTTTGCTTTTATGATCATCCCCATAATCACAAACTCCTCGGATCACACCAACCGGGATATGGTTCATAGTCCCAGCGGCTTCCATTTCCAGGCCGATAACATTGTATCTGTCTCGCAACTCATTTCTCTTCTGAGGATTTTTAATTAATTTCTCACCCGACCCAATAGAACCGTACCATACGCGCGCACGTCTGGAGTCCGGGCGCCGCTCTCGATTAACTAAATTCTCAATCCCATATTCATCGACTTCGTACAGTTTATCTCGATCCTGCCCTGGATCAATAAACGTGCCATTCGCGTGTTCCTTGTGTTTAATGGTGTCATAAAATGGAAGACAGATATCTATATCATTAGGCGACTCCAGCTTAATGTTACCGATTGCCGCCCTGACAATACTTTCTGTTGTGGCTAACATATGTCCACAACGCAATGGCTGAAATCCATCTTTAGTCTCTTTACCCAGATCGTATGCGATAAGGCCTGCGCTCTCACCGTCCGGGAGTCCCACAAGCACATCGCCGAGACGAATATCACGATAGGGAGTTTGTGAGAAATTAGGAAGGCCAGCCGCAACACCAACTAGGAGCCCAAAGCGTATATTCGGAAAGAATGTTTTTATTTGGCTCGCGAGCGCAGCGGCTGAGCTTGTGCCGTACACCTGCCCACTTGGTAAAGTTGCAAGGATGACATTATGTCCGTTGATATCACCAGCATGGAACAAATAGTCATAGCCATAACTCCATGGAAATTGGCCCATGTGGCGGTTATCCAACATATGCAAGGCCGCTCGGGCTTCAATTTCCAGCGGGGCGATCCAGGCGACCGTATAGAGATCTGGGTCGAGCTCCATTGAGGGTTATTATTTAGGTTCCGGAGCAGAACCATAAATTCTATATTCCAAATCTCATAAAATAGCTTCGATGAGACGTTTGTTAGCCGTCTATACTGGCGAGGCGCACTTCGGCTGCGGGGTCGAAACAGCTAAGCCACTTCTTCAGCCTTGTCTTAGTGCGAAGCTATTTCGTGATGAAGAACCCGTCATTGTCGTGGATGGTAAATGGGTAGCTTTCGCTTCATGGAGTACGACTTTTGAGAATATCGACAAACTTTTCGAATTTAAAATCACGGTTGAGTGAACGAAGGGGGTACGGAAAGGATCCCATTTTGATGTAGACTTTGCTTGGGTGATGTATGATGATCTAAAATGTGTACTTTGGACGGAGGTACCTTAGCATCAATAACAAAGTAAAGACCTGGTGCTAGGGTTGTGATTACACTCCCAAGTACTCAAGCCTCCTTCGTCTGTGGCGACCGACTCAAACTAGGTTTATTCGTACTATATTAATAGCAGGAAATGCCTGAATCGTGAGTAAAAGTTGTGTACTTATATTGCTCAGCATTACAAGGTCGCTCTTGAGTTTATCTCTCAGCTCGAAGATTCAATAAGCGATAACTACCTGTATGGCTCAATCAATAATCACAGAGTAAGTCTAGTAAAGATAGTATTACTTTCCAGCCAGTCTCTCCAGCTCTTTTTTCTTCATCTCAGCCTGTGCAAGCAGCCGCTCGGGAACCACATCCTCTCGCCCGCCAACAATCCTCCACCCGCGAAGCTGATCGACCCCCAATGCCTGAAGTGTCTTTTGCTCAACCATGCTGTACTGTCTCGGATCCTCGCGGTCGAAATTGAACGGTTCCTTCAGAGAAACAGGCGGATTCGTAATGATGCGCGGGATCCGTAGACTGTTGATAGATGCTGAGTGAACCATCAGTGGATGCATCAAGACGACGTCACCGGCATTCCCGGTCATTTCACGAAAGTCATGACATTGTTGGATCAGTCCAGAGTAGAATCCGTCATTGTTATCAGGCGGGGGCTTCTGGCCTCGCGGCACCATACGGGGCGAAACACCTTCGGGATGATCGTGCTAGTACTGTTAATTAAGTTCATACACTGTAGATAAAAGCTCACCAGATACTTTGCCAGCAGTGGAATGGCATCAGGACTGATCATCGTGCCGCCCGCATGTTCTACTATATCGTTGAATAATGGAATAACAAGCAACCCCTGTTCTCGCGAGTCGAGGAAATGAATAAAAAAGTCCCCATCGACATGCCATCCATGCAATCCCTTCGGCTCCGGCCACTTCCCTTCCCACTCCTTCGTACCCAAGTTGACAATCAATGCATCGTTCCAAGTGGCAGACCATTCAGCTATGCGCTCTTCGCCGCCAAGCAGCTCGCATATCCCCGCCCATGCCTTGGGAGCAAACGTCTTGACATGCTCGTAGCGGTGCGACGGCATGTGGATTCGCTCTGATGTCCAGGTTTCTTTATCGGTGGGTGAGTAGCCCAGGCGTGTCCATACATCTGACGTCCATTCGGCTGCTTTTTCGCGGGAGAAGCAGTTGGTGAGACGGACGTAGCCATGCTTCATGAAGTGGTCTTTTTCAGCCTGGGTGAGAGCGTAATTTGACATTTTGCCGGACCTGATTCTTAATGCGCAGTCGATTAGCCCTTATATGATAGTCGGAGCGAGAAGCTGTAATTGTCCTTGGATAGAGTCGCTGATTAAATAGAACTGCAAAAAGCATCCGCGGAATGTCGGAAGACGAATCCCCCCACAAGGTTCCTTTCTTACTCATCCCGAGATCCAATTTCAATCGTCTCTATTATTGGTACATCTGAATCACATATCACGTGTATATTATTATTGCTATATACGTTTGAAACGAAGATGGAGATATGGTCAAGGCAAACAGCACAGCAAACGCGACAATATGTATCTTGCCGACCGCCCGCGGTTTCGCAAGGCAGGCCATGTCGAGTGTTTGCCTCTACAACATCATCTCTCAGGCCGTCTATTTTTCGAAAAATATGCCTCTCTGCGGTATGAAAACGGATGGAACTATATTGACAAGTTGAAGTTCACTAAATATTTACTGCTTACTTGCGGATGATGTCTCTTCCTAAGTCTACGACTGAGGTTCCTTTAACAGAAATCACAGAAGCCGTCAATCAAGACGAGGAACGATGTCCATCACTTGAAAGGCGCAGGGTGAGCTCCTGCCAATACCGAAATCTTCATCTGCTAACGATACGCTAGTTGATCGATGAACTGGTCAAGAAACTAGACCTACCTCAAGGCTATACTGGACTACTCAACATTGATCCAATGTTATTAGGAGAAGTGAAAGAATTCGTCCTCAACAACCTCAGTAAACATACCAATTTGGACGCGTCTGACATCGTTTTCAGAGTCATCGACATATATTGCGTGCGGCTTTATGGTCTCTTTTTCCATTCCTCAAAAAGCCACGTTATAGTCAGTCATTGGCACCATACAGGTCTAGGCATTTCACGACGTTTAGCAGAATACTTGACTCCACATGTTTCTGACGCTTTGCCCTTTGATTCTTATGACGATACTATTATTATTGACGACCACCTCCTACAAAAACCGACGTATTTGCTCGAAGCACCACCAAGCCTTGTCATTAAGGAGCGGATTATCTCGCTCCTAAAACGTGTTCCTGCCTCCAAAGCACCGGCGACTTCAATCTCACCAATACGAGCTCTGACTGGAGACAGAATCGTTCCTTCGAGTAGCACAAACGACGTTTATCTTTTTCCTACTGGAACAGCTGCCCAGTACCGATTCCATCAATATCTCAGCAATTCCAACTACCACGAATACAGCTCAGTCGCGTTTGGAAAGGTGTCTCGAGGTGTTCTTGATATATTGCGTCGGAACGGCAACCGAGACAAGCATTTCCCACAAGGTGACGACAAAGACCTGCTAAACCTGGAAGAGTTCTGCAAGTCTGAAGCTGCCGCGGATCGTAGGGTTCAGGCTTTATACGCCGAATTCCCCTCTGCTTCCAGTCTCATCAGCGCTAGGCTGGAGAATCTCAGAAAGCTCGCGGATAAATATGAGTTCGTTTTTGTCATCAGCGACCTTTTTGGAAGCTTCGCGAATGTTGATATCATGGCTACTGCGGACGTCCTCTTAACATCGTTAACGGGAAGTTTCAGCGGCTATACAGATGTTACAGGAGGCAGTCTGGTGCTGAATGCTGACAGTCGAGCTGCTTATCGAAAACTGAAGCCGTTAATGCAGCGCAGTTGGCACAACGAGTTGTTTGCTGGAGATGCAGTTGTACTGGCGAATAACAGCCATAATTATTTGCATCGATCGGCTATTTTGAATCAAAATGCTGAGTCTGTCGCGTCTTTTTTGCAAAGCAAGGTACATGATTCGAAGACTAGTGTGATGAAAGTCAATTACCCGAAGTTCAGCGAAGCTCGAAGTTCTCATGAGATGTATATGCGAGATCAAACGGGTCGTTTGGATCCTGGATATGGCTGGTTTCTTACCCTTGATCTCGCTGGGGCGGATCATGCGGTTGCGTTCTATGAGTCCTTGAGGGGGCGATTCGGAGTACACGTAAATACTGGGGTAGTATATGTGGCCCTTTGTGATGAGACAGAATTCGAATATCCTTATGAGAAAGGTACAGAGGATCAAGGACGGGGTGGCAACAGGATATGTATAGTAATTGGCATGGAGAACATAGACGAGCTAGTTGATTCGTTCAAACAGGCCCTCGATGTGGCTGATACTATTAAGACTGCAAATAAATTAGCCATATAATCACTTCCATCGAGAGATGATAATAGAGATAGATTACCTGATTCCTGTCAAATAACATCGTGCTAAAGTCGAGAATTGACCCTAATTTGACTTCTGTAGGTAATTTCCAAAACTTAGATTCACCATAGCAAACACTATCAGGGTTAACCAGTCGTCTTGGAATTCATCAAGATATTTGGTGAATAGCTATCATATAATAGACAGTTTATACAAGGGGATTCATCTAAGCTTGCCTGCCAGTCGCGGTGTCAACCCCGACGCTCTTTTTGGGCAGAATGTTCCTCTGCGCGAACATTGACAAACACATGGTATGTGCGGAGATTCCCAATAATCTTCTGTGTCTTTTGTCATATATTTTCTCTTAAGATTTACCAACCGTTTTTCCCTCATGGGTTCTTCTTTTCTAGAAGAAATACATATCAGATAGTCTGCTGCCGAAACAGACATCCAATATCGCAAGTCTCTTCTTTCATAACCGCTATTGCCCCTCTAATATCGATTTCCGTCAAATTTCACTTGTAATCTCTTTCATAACATGTCTACTACCTCCATGACACTATCTATACCGTCTCGCCGTGGCTGGGATCGGTTTAGAACACCCTCTCGCGTTTGCTTTCGCCTCTTCATACGCCGTTGCTACCACTATCTGTCTTTGTATTAATCTCTATCTCCTCAGATCTCTCTCTTTCAAATAAATTTCTACCACGCACCACATAGGTTATCTATTATGCTGGAACCTGCTCATCTCAGGAGGGCCTCTTGGTTCCATCCAGTGGGAAACACAACACCTGTGTGCCTGACACAGACAATCCCCCCTGATCAGAATGCCACTGTGCTTATGTTGGGGTGTGGGGATATAAGAAATGTGCTGTTTACAATATACTCAGATCTGAGTTGAGTTCACCTTCATCATTATCATTAGTTTATCATGTTGACAATACTGATAATAACAGATAACCGTCGCATCGACTTTACATGCTGCGATATTGAATATGAGATTATTGGTCAGTATACAAGTGACCTGGTTCTCGATAAGAACTTGCTTTTCTGATTGCAACAGCGCGCAATGTCATGCTCTACACGCTTCTCTTACATAAAAACAATAGCGAAGTCTATAAAAACATCTTCAGCATCTACTACGACGTCATGATCAACGACGCCGCCTTGAAAATGCTACGTTGGCAAGCCAGACGCTTATGCCAGATTGCTTCGTCAGCACAGGGTTGGAACGCAAGCCCGTATGCGAAATACATTCGTTTTCTCGACGGACCCACACTTTGGAATTGCCTACAGATGTGGAAAACCTACTGCACGAGTCCGATCAATGGAAACAAGTATTTGGAGGTACAGAACGGGCTTCGACGGGGCATCGCCACAGCACAAGATCTACAATCCTTTTTCGTTGAGGATCGCAAGTCATATTATGGGATCAAGGCTACGGCGCCGGTATCTTTATATACGACTGAGGTAATGGCGCTTCGATACGGCTATTACTGGCATCGAGGCACCACAAAGCTCAGTGATCCACCCTCAACGCCGTTGAGAAAGGGGCGTGTCCATATGAACCCAATGTTTGCGACGGGGCGACCAGAGCTGTTGATGCACTACGGTACCGATCCTTACAGTTCAATGCACAGTTCAATCGCATTTATGTCGTTGACAAAGAATTCACCGCTTGAGCCTATCGGAGCGAGTAACTTTGATCGACTGTACGATGCCGCGTTTACTCAATTCAAGGCCTATGCGGAGGTGTTCCGAGCGAACAGCCACAATATCTCTATTCGTGTTGCAAGTGCCGATGCAATCGCCTTTTGTCATGCGCTCCAGCGTTTTGCAAACTTGGGAGACCCCAAGAATTCAGGATGGTATCGCCGTGGTTGGGGGTTTGAGCCTATGACGCTGGGGTATATGAGACCTGGAGATCATGCGTCGTTTGATGTCATTGATACCTCCAATCTAGCGGATCATATTGGCTGCTTGAACCTGATTTCTGCTGCTTCTCCCTTGCTCAGGCCAAGCCACACATCGACTTTACGAGTTGAGACGGCCATCATTCGCGACAGGCAAGGTCCAGAAAGCGGTACTGATATTCTGGGAGGCCACTTTGCTGCTATGTCGTCTATATTTAGTCTGAATTGTATACAGTTTTGGACGCAGAATAGTAACACGCCTATCTTCCCTGAGCACATACTTGCAGATCTCCCTAGAAGCGACTTTTATAGCCAATCTGTGTACTGTCGTTACGCCATCGAGTGGCGGCATATGGGAGTTGAGAATAAGTTGAGGATGGAAGAAGAGGACCTGGCGCAGCTCATTGCGGCAGTTTATGCGCAGATGTTTGGTGATGAGGATCCCGAGAGCTTTAAGCCTCGAAGACACAGGTACCAGCAGTACACTCGCGCTAGCTTCGCGGCCGTTGTGGGTGCAATTAAGAAGGCTGTCCAGTTCTCAGACTGGGATGAGATTCTTCAAGACTTGATGGATATTATCAAGGAGAATAACACGCTTGATGCTAGGTACAAGGAGGATTTGTACTTGCAACTACACCTTCAAGGTTTGTACACAGAAGAACGCTTTCGTCCTCTTGTCTCCTTCTTGGATAATTTCCAGGAGATGACTGGGTTAATGTCTGAATGGACCTATATTCCATCCACCGTCTGTTTAACTATGGTCATTCCAAGGGGAAATCTAAGCTATTTAGAAGAACATTTCCCATCGACAGCTCTCATTGGGCAGATATGTTTAATGACTAAAAATATCTACAACCTCTCAAAGTATGATTGCTTTCAGAGCGTGCAGCTGTGTTTCGGTACCGTCAATGCAATAGGGAAGTGCTTCACTGATGAATACACTGTTAATGTGGACGCCGATCGTACCGGCAAAAGCTGGGAGGGAACCAGCGATCTCGTTGCTTCTGTCATCATCCCGAGTTGGAAACTGCTCGAGCATCCTGGTTTGGATTTTGACGTTGCTTTTGCTCTTCGAGAAACGACAGACTCTCAGGAGGCACTGAAGAAGGAATTTGGAAGAGACATGATCATTTTCCGTGACCGTGTTAGCGGAGAAAGCGTCTTCCTAACTGGACAGCAGCCTCACATGTCTGGGACGATGTGGGTTCCAAATTTGAATCCAGTCGCGAGTCATTCGAACCCACCGATTCAGTTCCAACCGCGCTACTATGAAAGGGACCTGACTGGGAATCATGATTATTTTCGGCCAGATCTGGATACTTCTATTGAAACCCCGGCACGTACGCTAGTGAACGACACGCCCATCTTGGTTAAATGCATTTCTGCATTTCAACACATCATACAAGCGCCAGGGTGGAATTCTGGGGAAAAGACTGAAGTCGAACTCTTCCTCCCCATGCCAGTGATCAGCGAGATATCCAGCTCTGAGCCTATACGTCCAGTGTGTGGAAAGCTGACATATTCGGCATACATGTCTACTGTAGAATGGCTGTTCAAGCAGCCCAACACGTTATTCCCAGTGTTCTTGGACCAGGGGAAGCCAATTTTACAAAATCTACATTACATCAACCTCGACAAACTGCCTATTTTGAGCCTGTCACAGAATTACAACTATGCATGGCTTCAAGACCATATCACGTCCACCATGTCCTACAAAGAACAAGTCGCCAATCACAAAAAGTCCCTGCAAAAACGCCGTGCTCTCTGCGACGTGCGAGTGCGCTTCAAAAACTCACTTTTCCATATCTTCCAAGTCTTCCTCCAATACCGTCCTGCGCGCGTTCCATTTGTCATTTCCAACAAGACAGAGGGTCTAGTATATTTAATCTGCCCATCCAACCTTCGTCTCGACCTATCCAACAAAACAATCGTTCTCGACTGCATTGTCGCCCATCTCAACAAACAAAGCCTGCCATACCTCCGTCCCTGGCTCGAAGGCCCCTCAGCCCGAGAATTCGAACGGATAAAAGTCAGAGACGACGAGCTGCTGATATGGAAACACACTCTCCCCGCCTTTGCCGAGCGCTGTCGCACTTGGTGCCATACGGCAGATTGTGAGTACCAATCCGTAAAGAAAATCCCGCCGTCGACGGAAATAATGCAGCCCGGGGCGTTTTGTTCCTGCGCATACGCGTTTTCACGAGATTCGAGCTATGATTTGGGTGATGAGCAGATATGGTCGTGTGTACGGCCCCATGCGGTGCGCGTGGCATTGACACTTCCCTTCCCATTCCCGTTTGGGCCAGCGAATGTCGGCTCGGATGTTGAGATGTGGGAGAAGTGCGTTAAGCCGAGGATGGCGAAGCATCCCATGCACGGGAAAGCAAGGGATGTTAGATGGTGTCTTTCCTGTGGGCGAACAGAGGATAAGGAGAAGGTCGAGTTGGAGGTGTGTGGTGGTTGTAAGAAGGTGTGGTATTGTTCGGAGATATGTGTTCATTGGGATTGGTACTACGGGGGTCATAAATTGTCCTGTCGTCGATTGAGGAAATCGTCTTGAGTGGAGCACTGATGTTGGATGTAGTCTCGTTGCATATCGGGCAAGGGTGGTGTATTGGTTTCGGTGTTGTGCTCTAATTATTGAAGTGGAATAATAAGCGCAATTTACTAAGATTTTAGAAATGGCCAATAGTAGGTTATGAACTAAATATAGTCTAGTAAAAGTACATGTAGATGGCAATCTGGGTGAAAAAATTGGTTCAATAACCTCAACAAGATCTAAAGCTTTCGGTCCAACACGCTTTCCTCCATTATTTACTCCATATATATTTAATTATTAAGGATAAATATTGAATATTCAAACATGTATCTTCAAGTTACCCTATTAATGAAATTATTACCTTATAAGAATTCATTATAATATTGATAGATAAGATGATATAAGCTAAAAGTGGATTTATAAGGGCTTTAAGGAGACCTAACATATATTAGGAAATATACGAGTAGATTAGTGATAGTTGCCCTTTGGCTTAGCCGCTGGGTGTTAACAAATTGTGCGTGTGTGTATGTTTGTGTGTGTATAATATAAACTGTATGTCTAGTAGGCGTGATGCATCTCTACGCAGAGCATCAGCGGGTGCTGGAGGGGGACTTTCCATCTAGTGTTCCTTAAGTTCCCTGACACTACTGCCTGTACTAAGTACTGAGGGCCATGCCCAGCATCCTGGCGGCCTTTTGTGATCAAGGTAAGGAAAATGATCTAGATAGACGCGGCTGTATGTTGTATGAGGCTTGCAGATTCCGAGGCGGATCCTTGCTCCTACTCGCTTGAGCCACAAAACCTCAAGTCTATCTTCACTCAGTCAAATGCCCAATATGCTTGGATTCCCCAGCAAAGGAATTGTTCCACATCCAGGCTCGAACGCTACTAGCACACAGTCTACAAGATATCATACAATGCTGTCGGTACACCGCTTCAGCCTCACCCAGTACCATTCGTCTCTCCCGCCGTGCTTTCAGACCGGGAAGCTTCGTTGGGTGCAGCCCGCAACTCACGCGGGTATGTCCTCACCAGATGGCGCACTCGTGCTGGTCTTTGACCGGGATGCGACCTGCTTCGCCTTGACAATATTAATCAAGTGCGCGCCGAGCTCTTCTCCGCCGTCAATCTTGCCAAGCTTTGCTCCGAGCAGCTCCGCGTCTCGCAGAAGTCTGCACATTGGTTAGCTAGCAACGACATGTTCTCGAGGAAGATGCTCACCTCGCTTGCCCGGCCTCGGTCCGTATCGCCGCGCTTTCGAATGCCTTGCTCCATTGCTCCTTGTAGCTCACAAAGACCCGTCCGACGATCATCCTCACGTTCAACGCCGGTAGATACTTGTTCAGCACTCGGTGTAGCGTGAGCGCCTCCTTTGTGAGCGTCTCCATGTGTGGGCTGACGTTCCTCTGCACCTCGTCTTCATCGTCCCACTTGACCTTCTCCATCTCTCTGGTGCAAACGGTCGCGCGAAAACTCATTATGTCGACGAGCTTGTCATGGATAGCGGACTGATGGTCCTGGAGCAGGCGCTTCAGCCGGTCGTATTCTGCCATGCTGGAGCCTGTGATGGACGGTCGACGACGGACACACTCGCGCACGTAGGGTATCAGAGCAATGAAGAAGGATAGTGACTGCGAGGCAAGGGCAAGGTGCTTCGTATTGATATTGGTCAGCCCAGCTGTTATTTTAGCACCGGCACCGAGAATAAGCTGTTGTGCGCGAGAGTTGTACAGTTTGAGATAGTCAAGTAGGATCGTCGAGATGTCGTTGGCCATGCCGGGGACCGATGCCAGAAGGACTGTGTATTGCTCTATGCCGCGAAGCGCAAATACTGCCGAATCGACGAGAATAAACTTCTCCTCCTCGATGACCGCTAGTGCCAGGGCTTTCTTGTCTTGTTTAGCAGCATTCGTAGGCTCCGCAGGGGTGAGGTTTGTCTGTAAATTCCGTTCACCTGCTTCCAGGCTTACGGTACTAGCGTCCGTATAACCGAGCCATGCCGGGGGGTCACTGTTCATGGACTGGACAATGTGCGCCAGAATCAATGCGTCCTGGGGCTTGAAGTCGATGCGCTCCCACTTCTCAGACTCCATCCTTTGCACCAGCTTTTGCTTTTCCACTTCGTGCAGACGAGGGATAAAGTCGTGGATTTGGTTGTTCACGACGCCTTTGAGCGCCGCTCCAGAGTATCCAGAGACTGCCTCGCATTCATTGACAAACAGGCGATTCAGTGTGAAGTAGCGTAGGAAATCGGTCAATCCAAGGCGAACCGTTTGCTCGGTTCTGACTCGCAGCACCTTTGTCACCTCTGATTGTGCCTTGTCCACTGCCTGTTCGAGGAGGTTCGACATGTCAAGGGCCAGAGTCATCTCTTCCTGCAAATTACATCCCGTCGAAAGGCTTGGGGAACGGATCGCCGGATTGCCCATGCTTCCCGGGCTTTGGACGGGCGTGAGTACGTTGCTTGGAGTATTCTTCATGCCACTTGTGATATCGAGGAGAACCTTGACCTGTACGCGAAGCCTCCGTAATGCTTCGCCTATCCCGCAGTAGACCTTGACGAAGAACACTTCGGCGTCCTCGGGACTGAGAGCACGCAAGTTGCGAGACAAAATGTTCGACTTTTCCTGCAGGGTCGGACGTCGACCGCTGGATGCAGATGCGACAGACTCATTATCGTCGTCGGTAGAGCTCGGCAGGTGCTGGCGGATAAGAGACTTCATCTCTCCGATGACAGCTTCGCGAAATGTGGTGCTTGCTGCAGCTAGATACTGCGACTGGCCAAGTCCCTGCAGGACAGGGATGAGTTCTTCGCGCAGCTTTTTTGCAGTCCTCATGGACGCAGGTGTCGATGAGGAGACATCCGTCACGCCTTGTACGCGTTTTGCGGTATCCGTCCAGCGCGCCAGAGTGTCTCTGGGCGGTACGCCGGACACATGTCGGCGCAGGTCGCACAAAAGGACGTTCAGCAATCGGGCTTCATAACCTTTCCCGATTCGTAGGCGAAGCTGGTCGATGCCTCGCAACGATCCTCCAAGAACGTGCAGTCGGCGTAGATCGGTAAGCCTGATGGATGGGTTCGGCAGAAGCCAATGCAACTCGCCGCCAATTTTCGGATCCAGTGTTTCGGATGCAAGCTGTTCGACGTACGAGATATGTTTTATGGCCGTCTCCAGCTGCCCAGAGTTTACGAGTTCCTCGCAATGACTAGCGCCGCTAAGAACACATCGAAGCTGTTCGGTAGCCTCGCCCAGCTTTCTCAGATTGTCCCGTCTTCGCTTCATGCTGCTGATCTCGAAACCGGGCACTACCATATTTTTGTTCAAATCCGCGAGGTCATCCCTCAGCTTCTGGATCTTTACGACAGAGTCAGCCGCCTCGATCTGGAGTTCACGAAGAGAGCCGATCGCGGCGAAAAAGGAGGCTGACAATTGCGAAATGGAAAATATCAAATGAATCTCTACAGTGTCCATGTACCACAATAACTTCTCTTGCAATATGGCATTAGTAGTAAGCGTCTTCCTAGCAGGCAGCTGGTTACCATTTGCAGCAGTACCATTCGCGCCGTTGCCACGGTCTCCGATGGTGGACAGTGGCTGCTTTACAACCTCCGCATGCTCACTGACAACATCGAAAGTGCGCGGATTCTCGAGGCGAAAGTTTTCATCGAAATAAACAGAGGGAATCATAGACAGCGGTGCAGGCGCAAGCTGGCTGCGCTTCGAAGCGCTCGTCTTCCGCCTTCCGCATGGTGCAAGTTCGTCGTCTTTGGCAGCGGAGATGTCTTGACGAGACACTGGTGCGCCGCCGTCTTCGGACTCGAGCTTCGTGCGTTGGAGAGCATCAAAGAGACTTCCGACCTCACTGAGGTAGTCTTCAAAGGCCGAGGGTTCGACATCGAGGATAGTGGTGAGAGTGACAGGAGGTATATCTCGGGAAGTTGGCGGTTTCTGCGAGGTCGAATGGATCGCGGCCCGTAATATCGGCGGTTGTAGGAGTGTAGATATCGCTTACAAAATCGTCAATACAGCTTCAGGCATTGTGTCTATGAGCTTGCCCACCATTCTGACCCGACTCTGCTACCGTGCCCCTGCTCCTTCGACTATGAGAGGCGTTATCCAGCGACACACTAATCGAGCTAGGGTTTGTTGCGCTCGCATTCGAAACCCTTGTCGCTGGCGGTCGAGGACTTCGCGACCACCAGTCGTGGCCGGGAAATGGGTCTTCCGCCCTTGGCGACGGTGAACCCGCTGGTGACTTGCCGCCTGAGGGGGTTGCCATGATCGCGCAGCGGTGTGTAGGGTTACGAGCGGAGGGGCTTGGGAATTGGTAAGGTGTACGGGCACGATCGTGGTTCAGCAGTTGTACTACTTTTGACGAAACGGTGTGGACTTGGCCTGTGCGGGTAGGAGCGTTCTCGATGTTGAATATACAGCTAAGCGCCGACGGTTTCATATTGGTCGAATCACTTCATGATTGGATATTGGAAGAGATATCATTTATACTATTTATAATAGCTAATAGCTGTATGGTATTATTTTAATATTATATAGTTAAAGTTTACTTTTTATTATCTCAGAATAATTCTTTATACAGATTCACACTATCATAGTGAGCTTCATACAACTAGCTAGCCTAATAGAATCAAGGAAGCACATTCGATAAGGCAAATTCATGATTATAGACAACTATTAATACAATTTACTATACAAATGATAGGCCTATATTCTTGATACCGTCAGAAAGCCCTATTTTCTAGATTCTAAATATATATTGTGTTTTTTCATAGATTTATTTATTGTTAAGATATTTAATAATAAATATATTTCTCTTAAAATAGAAAAGTTCTAAAAAAGAAAATTCAGACCTCCAACTGGCCCTCCGACTGATTCCCGAACTGATCCTGCATTGATTCTTACCTTCATTCTTCGCTTCAACACTCCATTCAGACCCTTGTTTCTGCTTTGACCTTTGGGGTTTCCCATGCTTCCCCCCATTCCATTAGTGTCGCCGTTTCCTTCTTGTTCGACTTTTTGGACATCTTCCAAAATCTTTTTTTCGCTTTCAAATTTTCCCGTCATACCTTCCGCCTCAATAGTGTAGTCATCTCCTCCGTTGCTGTAAGCTATCTCAAGAGATACATTTTGTTGGCGATTGGTTTCATCTTCTATTTCATCAGTCTCGTCGCCTTCGCTAATCATCACATCGTCGATCCCGCTGCATACAGTCTGGGAATTCTCTGCTTGTTTGTTGTGTGTCTCTTGAGATATCTTTGTTTTACCATCAACATTGAGCACTGGGGTTTCCATTGTACCAGTTTCGTAAGGTCCTCGGCCATATGGTTGTATCTCGTTTGATATTTTATCTTTAATTTCAACGTAACCTGGTCTGCCTTCTCTCCCAATGTTCTCCAAGCTCTTGCTATTCTTTCGTATCTGTTCGAAAATCTCCTGTAGATTACGCTTCGTTTCGTCCGGTATTTCTTTGACACCTTTTCTGGAGAAATACAAACTCTCGGACTTCAGGTACGGATTACAGAGGAGTCTGCTCCAAGTAATCCCTTCCATCGCTCGATAGTTTTTGACAGATTTAGGATTGTGGATTTCCCAGTTCCCACAAGCCGTGCGTGTAAAATTGCCGCCGAAATTTGTCGGATAATCTGGAGAATTGTCACTTTTCTCCACGGACAATCTTGCTTCTTCGCTGTTTCTTTGATCGCGGTTTCCATACCGAGTCTGAATGCTTGCCACCCTTCCGAAGAAGCTTGTGTATTCTAAGTGGATTATGTTCTCCCGGTAAATTTTGATAGATAAGAGGCTCGTTTTTTCTGGAAAGTCTGTGATCTCTAGGAACTTTCTGGGCGCTGGGCAGTTTGTGTTCACTATGTCATTTGTGTTTCCTGGAAGGGTTGCTTTTGCATACTCCCACCATATTTGACCATGATCAAGGTCGAGAGCGTCAAAAGAGAGACCACTGGGGAGTCGCCAGCTAGGAATCCCGGTGATTTCGACATGTGTGGCTTCGAGCTTACACCTTTTTGAGAAATTGGGGAATTCCTATTTCATTGTCAGCGTCCATTGGTATTTCGTACATTATCAAGTTAAGAAGGGATTCGTATACTTACCCTCACCGCAAGTTTTGCTTGATCAGCAGATCTGAATATCACTCCGAAAGAGTGAGTTACCATACCAGTGTCGGCTTGATTTTCAACTTCAGGAGTGTCTGATATGTGGGCTGTAATCTTCGTGTTCTTTTCCCTAGAAGCATATTCCACAAACCCCTTTATTTCATCAACATAAGCGCTCCTATAAATCTCATTATCGGCTGGATTCGACATGACCAAGCGGCATGTTCCTGCACGAGAATCCCAAGTCAGCTTCTAAACTCGATACAACTGGATCTGAAGAAAAAAGGCTCTTACTTTTCCCATTAGCTCGATCAACTCGCAGCCTACGCTTTTCATAACCTGCTTGCATAGCAAATCCTTTTGCCCTAGCTTTGACTAGGAATTTCTCTGCATCTGAAATTTTCTATTTCATTTTTTTTTAGCAACATGATACTATGCATTTCCAGCTTTGATACAAGGCAAGAATGGAAGGGAGGCTTACTTTGTATTGAATCCACGCCGTGCGCAGTTCTTTATGTCTCCCTGGCCCTTTCCTTATCCCCGGTGCTATATTAATATCAGGAGTAATTTTCCATGCATTTCTCCAACTCCGATCCTGTTCATAAACTTTGCTGCAATTATCTGTGCAATGCTCTCTGCAGCTCACTGCACAACGGGCGCTGCACGCCTTTTTGCATCGTTTACCATCGTATTGGAACATTTCAACGAGTTGATCCTTTAGCTGCCGATTTGAGAGCTGATTTGGTAAGCTGTGACGTTATTGTTAGCATTATTCTCAGCATGTACGCAGTAAACCTACTCTCCGACGAAAACTTTCGCCTCAGGATCGCGATTGTGAATTAGGGTCTGTCGAGAAGGGCTGTAATTGGGCGATTTCCCCGAATGAATTTGATATTGAGCCGAATCTGAATATGTTGGTATTCGTGGAGAATAAGAGGGCAGCCAACTCGGTCCGCGGTTTGAAAAGCTTCCCATCGGGTGCCCATATTGAAAAGAAATTGGAGGATCTGGACGGAGAGGGTTGTGGTCGGCTGCATTCCCCGGATACATTTGATACTGAGCCGGATCTGAATATCCTGAAATCTGTGGAGGATAAAAAAGGGAAATTGGGCCATCATTTGAATAATTTCCCACTGGGGGCTCGTGTGGAAAAGGAAATGAAGGAAGCGAAGACATATAATGCCAATCCTGCTGGGGATATTGATGCCATGGATTGCTAGGCGGAGGAACTGGATTTTCATGATAGAGTATTGCTGGTTGATATCTAGTTGGAGTAGCGCACCGGTATTCCATGTGGTATTGGTAGTCACTAACAGGCCATGTTGGCTCAGGAGGGTAGTTTAGAGTGGGGTGGCCTTGAGGAGAGTGACCTTGCAGGCATTGTTCTTCAGGGGATTGTTGACAGAAGTGTTTCTCAGAAGGCGATAGTTCCTCAGGAGATGATTCCTCGGGGGATTCCTCCTCAGGGGAATGGTCCTCAGTGGGATAATCCTCCGAGGAATGGCCTATCGGGGAGTACTCCTCAGGGGAGCTCTTTTGGGAGGCGAAAGGCTGTACTTCAGGATTCATTTTGATCAGCAAGCAATGTGGTCAATGGTGTTGAATAGCAGCAAGTAGTAGGAACAGAGCTATAGAAAGAGTTATTAAAAGGAGAAAAGGAAATAAGAGCAGTATAGTAAGCCATATTTATTAAGTATGGCGTATTGAACAACTACTTTTCCTATTTAAGAAGCTATTTCTACTCTTGTCTATGTAAGGCTGCGAGCCCAGCTGCCTGTTCAGATATGATATTTCCACGGTTATATTGATTGATAATGGATGCCTAGGTTTATACAAAGTCTACATAGTCGAGAATAAATACCACTAATTATTGAACAATATTGATGGTACCTTATCCGCGTACGTACCATGGGAGGGCGCAGTAGGCCGCCATTGACCCCGGGTTGATTGTCGCTTAAATGGGGAAAGTAGATATAAATAATAAATATGGTGGTCATGTTGAGAATTATTGTTTATTAGGTTGAAATTCATTATTTTGGATGTAGTCATTGGTTCAGGTTGCTGCCTTGAATATTGAGGCGATGATTTCATCACTACGCCCTTACCATCTCCTATGTAGTACGTAGGTAACCAAGACTAACGGGAAATCATCCAAGGCGTTTCTGTCTCTAAGTAGACAAATTTGAGTGCCTTCGTAGTGTTTTTAATCTGACTGTTAATGTACACGTGCAGAATTATAGCACTATGTAGCAAAACTTTGACGAAACTTGAACAAGTCTAAGTTCTTGGCTGAGACGGTACCGAACTATTCATTAATTTAATAATCTGTTTTAGTCTTTACACAGCCAGTTGGTCTGCCTGAGGTATTCGGTCACGTGTAGAGCAGACGCTCTTCGTACAGGCATGCCTTGTCCAACATGTGATCCTAAGGTGATGTCGACCTTTGAACGCTTCCTTAATACCCCAACAATATATCTAGCGATATAGTCTACAAAAGAGATATATATAATATATGCTAAAATAAGCAAGGCAAGGCGATTCAAGGAAGTGGCTGTCCGGATCTCAGTTCACACATACGAGACTTTCACGTTATCCATAAATTAGGAACAGATCATGAATAGGGTAGTAGTATTCCTCAGGGTGGCAGACAAAGGAGCAATGGTTTCAACCCTCACGAGGCAGAGTTTTCCCCATGGTCTACAAACGCATATAAATTGTATAACCTAGATAGCTGCAAACCGTGTAATAATAATAGTAATATAATTGTATTGCAAAAACTAGTGCAATATGTTGCTCTAGCAAATTGGACGAAAGGACGACTCCCTGTCGCTTGCAGCTGAAATCGTCGATAGTATCTTTTAACATCCCCACCCTCCCCCAAAGATTAGCATAGGTATCCATAGGTTGAGTGGGACTTTTTTGTATCTGCAATACAATTTCAAGAGCAACTTAGACACCCACACACACATAGTAACCCAACCATAAGTTGTCGCAAGCCGAGTCGACAGCCGGATTCCACGAGACGAACTGAGCTTTCGTAATGCTACTAGCTGCCTCAATAGTGGCACAGGTGTCCCCTGACTTGACTAAATGGAATTTCTTACAGTTGCTCACGATGCTGGGCATTTCAGGAGACGGTGCAGTAGATGTAGCCGTCCGCGACGTCGTCGTCGTCACTGCCCCAGGAACGCCGACGCAGACATAGTATCCAAGAAAGAGGTTGGTACAGTCTATCAAAGTATCTTACGTTAGCTTTTAGAAAGTACGTTACATGGTCAGCGGTATACAGTACCGGAGTTAATCGATGGGTTCCAAGAGTCAAATTCTTGCGCGCTGATCCCAAATTTGGACTCGATTGCGGCACAAGTATCGCCTGACGAGACCAGATAGAAGTTATTACAATTGGAGACAAGGCCTGACTGGGTCGGCTCGTGCGGAGACGAGGTTGTCGTCTTGGTAGCGGCGGTGGTCGTGGTCGTCGCCCCAGGGACGCCAACACAGACGTAGTAGCCGAGAAAGAGGTTCGTACAGTCTATTGAAAATGTTAGTTACTAGATATATACATTATATTGCTGCAGGTATACAGTACCAGAGTTAATTGATGGATTCCAAGAGTCAAATTCTTGTGCGCTGATCCCAAATTTGGACTCGATTGCGGCACAAGAATCGCCTGACGAGACCAGATAGAAGTTATTACAATTGGAGACAAGGCCTGACTGGGTCGGCTCGTGCGGAGACGAGGTTGTCGTCTTGGTAGCGGACGTGAACGTGGACGTGATCGTGGGCTTAGTCGTGGTGGTAGTCGTGGATGTGGCGGTGGTGGTGGGCGAGGTCGACGTGACTGACGAGACTGTGCCTAACACACAGTAGGACTGGCCGGCCACCAACGTCGTCGGGCACGCAACACTAGGATTCAGTGCCTGAAAACCCTCTTCTGTCAGACCCCACTCGGCAGCAAAGGTCGTGCAAGTATCTCCGCTGCTGGCGGCTACGGTGAAATCGCAAGTCACACTCTGGCGGGCACCCAAGACGTGAGCAGAGAGCAACCATGGGAGCAACCCCAATATCATGAACGACCTGAGGCCCATTTCAGCTTTGGCTTACTAGTAGATGAGAGACAAAGAGCAACAGAAAGAGACCAAGAGGCTGATCACAATGCGTGGAGATCGTTGAGGATGGGGTTCGTTCTCATCATGAACTACGCGATAGTTTGAGCGACTTTATACTCGTAGGAGGAGGAGCATGATATCTACGTTGGTTTGTTCGCATCGAGGGCATGTGTGCTTACTTCGTAGGATGTAGAAAATGAGGCGAATTAATGGGTAATTTCGGATATCCTGAATTGTATCCTGAATTGTATCCTGAATTGTATCCTGAATTATATCCTGAATTGTATCCTGAATTGTATCCTGAATTATATCCTGAGTTGTACCAGTAGTTCAGCGCTAACAGCCGCTTTTTCCACGTTCATGACTACTTTATATAACGGTATCGGTATTGTATGAAATGGTATTGGAGGTAGTCCGGCTGCTGGATGAAAGAATCGCTGGCAGCGTGCGGCCCCCGATGCTCCTGATTGGCAGCTTCAACAATCACTACTCTCTATGGACTAGCGTACCCTTAGCGTGCATTATACAAAAAGGCCGGGCAGACCCGAGAGCTTAGCGCTGGTTCATGGAGCTAAGGAACAGTTAGCTAACAATATACAGACAGAGCGCAGTGCTCAGTCTCTTCAAATGTTGGTCCTAGCAGTCCAGATGGCGTATCAATAAGCCACGCGCATTGTCAAATCACCCCCATATTTGGCTTTAGTTATGGATTGGAAGCACCTAGTGTCAGGTCTTTTGTTGGTGGGGCTTATAGGTGTTATGAGAGGTAGTTCAACTAGCATATTGGTGTACTAGATAGATTCTCGAAGGATAAGAGGGTTTATAGCCACATATATTATAGTATGATAGGATATTCTATACCCCCATCACCGAGACGCGAATGATCTACAAAGTTAGAATCCTGCTACTAAATGGACCCTGGAAAAGCCCTGTAAGATGCATCAACCAATCAATCAATCAATCGGCGTCGCTGAAAAGGACGGTGGAGAATATTATTCTTGGCAGGGCCGAGATTGCCTGAGAGGCTGCGGCGTGTCCTCCGATTTGCCAACTCTCATACAGGTCAGTCACATGCACCTGTTCCTTAGTTTATGAAGTAGATTGCTTGCTGGGACTGCGGCGTGTCTGATTTGCCAACTCTCTTGCCGTCCCTAGACTTACTAGCTTACAACGTTACGCCCAGTAACCCCATTTGAAACCTCGACACACATTTCTCCCCTTCTCTCTTTCGTTCTCATTCTCTGTCTCCCCTTTTCTCCTCTTCTATTCATTTCTTCTCTTCTTCACTTTTTTATTTCTTGCGCAACAGTCTAGCTTTCGTTCAGTCTATTTGCTTTCCATTCCCGTTCTCTCCAATTCTCGCAGTGGTAAAAGCCTCCAGAGCCAATCAACATGTCGCCTACTTTCTTGGGTCTGTTTCTTGCCTTTATTCTCGGCGCTGTCGGTGCTGAGGCTCTTACTTTCCCGGCCACCGTGGAAGTCGATCTTGTCTTCCCGCGCAACGATACATACGCACCTGCCGCTCTTATACCTGTTGTTTTCGCAATCCAAAACGCCCAGCTCGCAGCATCCCTCGACCCAAAGTTTCAATTCACCGTTACGAGTGCTAGCGACTCCTCCAACGAGATCACCACCGCAATACTGGATCTCACAAACGCCACCTTCTCCCGCAGTGACCCATACTATGCACTCGGCTATATTCATAGCTTGAATGGCATCGAAGGCCAGTGGGTGCTTGCCTGGTCCTTGAGCACTGGCAACTGCTCGGGATCTTCGGATGACACTGTAAATATTGGCCACTTAAACCAGAATACAAATGTCTTTTTCACCACCAAGAACGGCACGCAGCCGCCAGATCTCGTCGCGGCTTCAGCTGACAATAGCACCTGCGCCGCCACGGATGACAGCTATACATTCAATGTGACGGGGACGCTGGACGTGGCGGACACGATCAAATACGATGGCCGAAGTTCGTGCGCCGTTCTTTCGCCTACACTGCCCACTGCAAACCCTTGCGCCGCGGCTGTAAACGTAGCTGCTGCAGCGAGCATCTCTGCGGCTATCACGTCTACTGCTTGCGCTTGGCAGAATCCGAATGTGACATGTCCGTCCTCCAGCAGCAGTGCAGCTGGGAGGGTTATGATGTTTCCAGGGATATGGTCAGTGTGCTTACTTTGGATTGGATTGAATTTCCATTTTTGGCTGTAGACTTAAGTCAGACAAGATTATATTGTAATTGTACATAATGGAGTATTTACACTTGCGGCTTCCGTATGATAATAGCAATAGCAATTGATCGTGCTGCGATATGAAAAAAATCTACGATAAGAGAAAAGAGGCGTAAGCGGGCAGAAGGCCTGGGCAAGAAAACGCAGATCCGCAGATCCAGATCCAGATCCCCTTTTGAGTCCGCACGTGGTGTCTGCCACGGATCTTGGCCAAGAAGAGAGCCGCGTTATGCGTACTAAATCTCATTTTGGGAAGCAGGCTGTGTACGGAAGGTAGGATTAATTAAGTCGTTCCGAAATGGACTTACTGTTACAAGCAATGCAACCATACATGTACGCAACAGGAAACTCAGCAAGGCGTTCGAGAGAGTGTGTTCCTTGGTGCACAGGTATAGAACAGATGCGCCTTGCACATTTCACTAAAAACATTAGCTCCGCGGCAACAGCCCAAAACCTGTACAATCAGGCGCAGTACATCAAACACAGTCCTGTACCTGTCATTTGTTTCGTTCTTTTCTCTTTTCACGGGATCTTTCCTTATAAACTTCACGATTATTACTCGATTATAGCCAGCATCTTCGGGGCCCCGGCTATGTGGGTTGCTCCAGACCCCAGTTCATTTAGCACGTAACAGTGAAAGCAGGGGACCCTTCTAGGGTGGTATCGGTAAGCTCCTGGCGTAAGTCATGTCCTGTCTAACTTTATGCAGACTACGGTTAGCCTAGGCCTTGAAAATTCCCGTGAACCTCTTGCAAATTCACTCCCAACTCCCATGGAAGTTCCATATATATTTTGATCCCACCCATTTCCCAATTTCCCAATAGGTATTCCCATGAGTCCCGCCAAGACTAGAACTAAGCTTAATTCAATGTTATGCCAGCGCTAACCTAAATACGTACTTTTGTTGACTAGCGTTTACAAATTGCTCGGTAGTATATCAAGAAGGGTATAGCGTGTCCCGCTGAGCCAAATTAGTGGGTCAGATGAACTATATGCTCCATATTTTGTGGCGCAGATGTTGGAGCTAAGGATAGCCTAATATAACTATGATGCGGCTATACCGTCCGAATCAATATATACATGACAGACATATTTTGCGGTGCAGATGTTGGAGCCAAGGATAACCTGATATACACGAGTAATAAACGAGTAGAGTGCACGTGGTGACAAATGTGCCTCTTATTTCGACTTTTTGCAGGCATCTCTCGGTCCACCAACAGAGTCTTCATACTAATCATCTGGTCTACGATGCGTTGCCCAAATGAGGACACGTCGTGGTCATGGTAATCTCCGTATAACATTTGACGGTATGGCATAAGCGCTTGCCCATCGAGTAGCGTAATCATATGTTTTTTTTTGGCCTCGGTCACGGTACGAGGAAGGTGATTTCACACAGTAGCTCACGAGTGCTTGCGCTTATGCACGTCGTATGGTACGTCGCCGCGCACCAAAGGACTAATACTCGACTTAACCTCCTTGAAAGTTAGACTACCCCACGTGCTTACGGATGAGCCTCTTTGCCTCGACTAGAGATCGGAATGAGGTACACAGTATATATAGATACCATTTTTAGAATACCTTTTCTTTAGCCTATATGTTTCTCTATTTACTCTAGTGGGACTGTTTTAGTGACCCAAAATTCTCTCTACTGGTATAAGCGAAGGCTTAGGTGATCTCATTGTCTCTTTAACACTCTCAAATTTTTACCATATTACGTACTAGGAAGATGATTTGGATAAAACATAATAACTTCTTTAACCCAGTATTTGAAACAAGGCCTTAGCACCGCAATTTACCAACCGCGGTCGAACCCACCGGTCGTAATTTTCACTCTAGTAAGCTCAATACTTCCTAAAGCAAAGTTGGGCCTTCTAGGGGTGTGCTGCCAACTACATCACCAGGTCGTCTCCCTATTGGGCATGCGATACTACCCCTATTCTATTCCTGCGCAGGAGACTATTTTTGGCTCGCTCAGCTGGGAGAAAACCCAGGCTACCTCTATTATGTGCCGTATCAAGGGGGGATAAATATAAAGGCCACAAAAATGGACATCCTTGAATTCCCAGAAGACAAAAGTCCTTCACCTTTTCTTTTCTTACTAAGATCGGTTCATAGGAACACTGGCAAATATGCTTTTCTTTACCTGGCTTCATCTGGTTTTTGGGGCCATCGGCCTTGCCCTTGTGTCCCCAGGGCGAGCCGGATTCTCTTCATCACCCCGTGCCGCGCTCAGAATCCCCGCGAGCCCGGGTTATCGTGGTAGGGACGTTGCTTGTCCAACGCGTTGCAGCACTTCGGGAGCTTCGTATGGCAACTGGTCTGTCTATCACAACCTGGAGCAGACCAAATTGTGTGAACACATCATTTTCTCCATGTTCAATATCTATGATGATGTCGACGACTCTACGAGAAACCACCGGATCTATTCCTGCTCTTCTTATGGCCCGGATTGGACCAATCTACAGGCACAAAACGCCCCGGTTTCCATTGTTAACAATACGAACACAACGTATCAGCTGGGATGGTGGGCAGACGGTACATCCCAACCGGCTACCATCCAGAGTCTTGCACGGGAGATGGGCAAGTACTTCACCAGCGGACATGGCCTCACCAACAGTTCCGTGAATCTCTTCGTCCAAGCTAGCGGCGGCGCTGCCGGTATCTATATTGGCAAGGGCCTGCAGAACGAGGGCATTGTCAATTTCGCTCTCGGATATCTGCAAAACAACATCCTATCCCTCAACGTCCAAAGCGGAAATGTGGCTATGCAGCTTTGTGGCCCTGGCTACGATGCCGACCACACCTTTGGCTTCATCGCTGCTAGCAATGGCACCTTTTCTCAGGTCCAGGACGCCATCCAGTCTTGGTACAAGGGCGACTGTGTCTCCTTTTATACTTCACAAAACATCAGTGGTCCTTCCTATTTCACCACGACCACCGCCAGGTTAAGTAATGTCACAGGCTCGACAAACTCGACGTCGACTCATCTAGCCCGCCGTTCATCCGGTACGTTGCCTAACTTTGCGCCGTCACCCAAGCCTGATGGATCATGTGCTACGTATACTGTGTCACCTAACGATTCGTGTTGGGCAATCACTGCTACCTACAACTTGACCACCGATGAGTTGGACAAGTACAACAGCGACACCTGGGGCTGGGAAGGTTGCGACAACTTGATGGCCGGTATCATTATTTGTCTCAGCTCGGGCAGACCGCCGATGCCAGCGGCCGACAAGAACGCCGTGTGCGGTCCTACCGTGCCTGGGACGGTGGCGCCGACAAATGGGACGGCCATTTCCGACCTCAACCCCTGCCCGCTGAATGCCTGTTGCGATGTCTGGGGCCAGTGCGGCATCACATCTGAATTCTGCACCAACACGAGCACCGGAGCGCCAGGGACGGCCAAGCCTGGTACGAACGGGTGCATCTCCAACTGCGGCACCAAAATCGTCAAGGGTAGTGCGCCAGCCACGTACCGGAACGTCGCTTATTACGAAGCTTTCAATTTCGACCGGCCCTGCCTCTACCAGGATATTCGGCAAGTAGACTCCTCGTTAACGCACCTGCACTTTTCGTTTGGCACCCTGGACGCGAACAACTACTCCGTTAACATTGGCAATGCCCTCAGCGCGTACGAGTTCGAGAACTTGAAGCGCTTGTCAGGGCCTCAGCGGATCCTGACGTTTGGTGGCTGGGCTTTCTCCACCGATTCGAGCACGTACAACATATTCCGTGAGGGTGTGACCGCCGCCAACCGTGAGACTATGGCCACGAGCATTGCCAACTTCATCCACGACAACAATCTGGATGGCGTGGATATTGATTGGGAGTACCCTGGCGTACGTACAAGAGAAATCTCAAACAAGGGAGATGAAGAGGCAGATATATGCTGACCACACCTAGGCACCGGATATTCCTGGCATTCCGCCCGGCAACCCAGATGACGGCGCAAACTACTTGGCCTTTTTAGTTATTTTGAAGAACAAGCTTAGTGGCAAATCGCTGTCAATTGCGGCCCCTGCGTCCTACTGGTACTTGAAAGGCTTTCCCATCGCCGAAATCAGTAAGGTTGTAGACTACATTGTATTCATGACCTATGATCTCCATGGCCAGGTGAGCAGTATATATACGTACGCAGGCTTCTGATCCTTCCTCTTTTGCTAACTTACGTTCATAGTGGGATTATGGCAGTGCGTATTCACAAGAAGGGTGCCCAACGGGAAACTGTCTACGAAGCGACGTAAACTTGACTGAAACGAACACCGCATTATCTATGGTTTGTACCCCTTGCTTTTCTATTTTCGTTTCTCTTGTGGCAAAACTCGTCAATGTATATTCACCGTCTTCTAGATTACAAAAGCCGGTGTACCTTCAAACAAGATTGTCGTTGGAGTCACAAGCTATGGCCGCTCTTTTGGCATGGCCCAAGCCGGCTGCCACACTGAGGGCTGCTTCTTCACTGGATCTGCATCTCAATCGACTGCACAGCCAGGCCCTTGCACGAACACGGCTGGATACATCTCGAACGCGGAGATCAACGATATTGTGGGTAACAAGAGCCGAGTCGTGACTTCCTATGTCGACGAGAAAAGTAACAGCAACATCCTTGTCTACGACGACACGCAATGGGTCGCCTACATGGACGACAACATCAAGGCTGAACGCGTGCTATACTACCAGGTTCTAGAAATGGGCGGTTCCACCCTTTGGGCTTCCGACCTCTCGCAGTACAACAAGGTCCCTTATCCAAGCAAGAGTTGGGATCATTTTATTAGCCTCGCTGCGATTGGGGACGACCCATATGCGGAAGGCAACCGCACCGGCAACTGGACGACGCTGACCTGCAGCGACCCGTCCGTCGAAGACCTCACGGGATTGTCGCCAGAGGAGCGGTGGGATGAGATGGACTGCCCGAATGCGTGGACGGACGCCGTCAATGTCTGGCTGGACATTGACCAACCTGCCGGAACGCTGAGTTTCACCGCGTCGGTCTCGAACACCATTCATGGTCCGGAGGACGCCGACTGCGGGCAGTACGGGGACACCAGCAACTGCGCTGGAACCAAAACCTGCGCGGAGATTGTGGGTGGCGGCTCTGGCCCGGCTGGATACGAGATCTGGAACTCGATGGTCATTGTGCATGAGGTGAGCCAACAATAGACCACTAGAATCGCAAAAGTGCTCCAACCTGTTACAATGCTAATCGTTGATTCCCCCTTATTTAGATGTACACCACCTACATCGACGCCTTGCACAATGCCTTCAGCGACATCGTAAGCCCGGCGCTCCAAAACATGGAGAACACCTTCGCGCCGGTCTCTCCTCCTAAGGACAACGAATGGCTTGGTATTCTGCTGTCTGTGATTGGCCTCGTGGGTACTGTGGCCACTTCGGCATTTTTCAACTCATGTGCGTGCTTGCCCTTCTCTCCTTTCTTCTTGTGTCAAATTTGGATTGTCTAAGTCATATGCTTACATGTCTCCTCTCGCTAGTCCTGGCCGCCATGCCCTTTTTCAAAGCCAACAAAGCACTATACGACAATTTGAAAGATACCGGCAAGGCCCTTGTGTCCTTTGGCACAAGCCTTACTTCTGCCTTGGATGGAGGAAGCGTGGCAGGGTTCGTCATCCCCGTGAACATTTCATTTGTCTTCTCTATTGAGCCATGACTCACGCTAACACGGATTGCAGCGGCACATGGACTGCCCCGGACCAGGCTGTGTTCTCCCAATACCTGGGCCAGGCCATCTTTGGCTGGGCCAATGTGACCGAGTTGGCATTGCAGAAGCTTTTCGATGGCGACAAGGATGGGCTCACAACGCTCACCGGCCTTATCTCAGACGGCAAGCTCATCGCAGGCGGCGTCAGCGGTAGCGAGGCCGAGCCACCCACGAAATACAACGCCACGACCTTCGCCACACTAGAGGCGAGCGTCGCCAAGTCGTTTTTCGCCTTTGCCATCCCATCTCTCTGGAACGTCTCGAGCACGTACGCATTTGTCGCCGACTCCGGCGCCTCGTGCGACACCAGTGACCCTCTCTCCACATACATGCCCAGCGACGACATGACGGCTTCTGGGTATTGCTATAACAACAACATGTACTACCTGGTCTACCCTCACGAATCACCGAACAACGACTGCGAGACGAATGGAGACGGTGTTCGGACGTGCGGAAGCTATGTATTTGGGGCAGTGCCGGGCATCAAGTCACTGGACGGCACGTTCGGCGGCATCACCCTCGCGGACCTCATCGTCGGCGCCGTCAGGACGTATGAGCAGAACGGGAAGCAAAACGGCGGCGGCGTCGCGGATCCCGCCAATTCGGGCACCTTGGAAGACATGTGGAACCAGGACATCACGACGCCGGGATACGTCACGATCCCCGTCTGCAGCCCTGCCACGGCAGATGCCGCGATCAGTGCTAAGCAGAGCAGCGTGCCCAACTACCCGTGCAACCCACTGCAGGCGATCAGCGACTGTGGCGATTCAACGTTCGTCGACCAGACCACCAGTGGGTCCCCGACCATCGCCGACTGCCAGCAGATCATAAAGAACATCCAGAACACACTGGGCGAGTGGGAGGTGGAGAATGCCGTCGAGGAACAGCACCAGCTGGTGCAGTACGGCACCTGCAAATTTGGCGTCCAGGGCAAAGCCATCAACGGCAACGTCGACTTCCACGTCGGCGCCCAGGACATTATCGACATCATCAACACGTCGATCCAAAAGTTTTCCTGGAACGGTTTGGTCAGCGCCAAGGGCGAGATGGGCTGCAATGGCAACGTGAAGCAGCAGTCGGTGGAATGGGGTCTTTACTGAGCTCGCCCCCAAATCCACAAGTTACGATCCATTGAATGGGATCATGATATATTTCTGTAAACCATCCTTTCAGCTAGTCATCTCATATGTTTAAATTCTTTTGTGCTCAATTAGACTATGAAGTGAGCGAATCCTGTTAATAGCGTCAATCGCAAATCCTAACCCTAGCCCTAACAGGCCTAAACATATGTACTCCGATGTGATAGAGTATGAAACTAGGTACAAGACCTACTCACCCTTCAAATCCCTTTTTTTTCGTGGTACCCTTCATGCATGACTCATGTCCTCCCCGGCTCTCGAGAATTTCTTTTTTTTTGGGCCTATAATATTGAATTTACTTGATAGGTCCACCTTCCAGGAAGCAGATATAGTAGTACTTTTAGAAAGAGCTTATGAGTACAAAATCACATTTGTTTGTGATTGGAGGAGGCTGTACAACCAATCTTTTCATTCTCATGACGAAATCAGGGACTCTACTTACTCACAAAAACAGTGGACGGTGACGATATAAGAACGGGATTATAATCCTCTTCGTTCGAGGTACCAATCGTTATTGCCTTCTAACGACCGGTTTATGTGTTTACGCCTTGAGCCTATCACCGATAACTTTTTAGCGTACTGATTTTGGAGTGTTATACAGGGTCATCCAAACAGCGAGTGAGATATGAGAGCTCATTTTTAAAATCGCAGTTATTTCCCGTTTCGGCCAAGCCAAGTATTACGCCTGCAAGAATTATTTAACAACATAAGCATGATAATAGTAAATTTTTAAACACTGCAGTGACTTAAATGGTGAAGCAACTAGTAGAAGTGGAGGGAGTAGTTAGGATTTCCTGCCAGTTTTCTAATATTTAAAAATTTATGATCACCATGTGCTCTGTTATATAATCCCTGCATGTAAATAATTGACCCTTATCAGTGCTCAGGCATCTCGTCTCCCTGTATCATCTTCACAGTGAAATTTTGTCCAGGGTCTTCATGATCTTGTCGATGAACTGCACCCCGATACGATCGTCACCCATTGCCTCCAGCCCTGCGAAATCTTCATTATCGTCATCCAGACACGTCAAGCACGAAACCACCACATGTGCATATTTATCACCCATGCGCGGTGCCAGTCTCGTGGATGCCTGTTCCACTAGGTAATCCTTGAGCAGGATCGCCAGACCATCGAAAGAGGATATCTGGCCTTTTTTCTGACTCCAAGCAAGAAAGTCGTAATAGGTTTTGCCAAACTTGGACTGGAGACCGCAGTTAGGTCCAGGCTCGTCTACATATTCGACGAAAGACTCCCAGAGGCCAATTTCGAGTAGACAGACTCCGAGACTGTAAATATCGTGCTGCATGCTATACTTCTCGGACGGGTCCATGCCCTGTCGGTCGGGGTGACGGTAGACATTGCGAGCCCAGCTCATGTCCCCTCCCATCATTGTGCCAGCATCCGCAGCGCGAAAGGCATCGAATCCGACAAGGAAGGCGTAGTTAGACGTAGACCGTGCGTCCTCGAAGCAGAGTACTGATTCTGGTCGTACGTTCTTATGCACGAATGAGAACGTATGCACGTAGTTGACAGCTTTGCTTATTTCACGCGCCACGTGGATTTTGCGGGATAGTGATATGTTAACGTCTGAGTGAAGAAGCAGTTGTCTTAGGGACTGCAATACCTCCATTCCCCGGGGTATCCGAAAGACAAGCTGGAAATGGGAGTAGTCCTTTTGACCTGGGGAGTGTGAATGGGGACAAGGCGGCGCGGAATGAGAGGCTAGGGTTTTATCTGGCTGTGGTAGTGCAGGTGATACGTGCTGCCTAGTAATTGGGATAACTCCTTTGCAGTTGAGCAGACTGAAGGCCAGGGGATCAGCTTGAGAAAGCTTAGCCGCAAGGACACGCACGTCTCGCGCAATCTCGCGTACTCGGGTTGCCTGCCCAAGCTCAATGGTGTCGACAATATACCACTTGTTGTCCCCGTCCTGTCGCCTGCCTGCTTTAACATTTGAGAAGGGTATGTCCACCCATTCCATCTGCACCTCCGGAAGGAAAAGCGATCTCGTTTGTTCAAGGGATGGTGAGAGAACCTTTCGCAGTCCAGCGGCAAGAGCTAGTGGATTCTTAGCAGCATTTGCAGGTTCATGCACCCTTTCATCCGCGGCCGTTGCCTTTGCTAGTTCACTTTCCAAGATAGGGCTCGCGATTTTCATGAGAAGAAACCACGATGGGTCAAAGCGGCGCTGCCACGCCTCAAGCTCAGATACAACACTGTCAAGTGCCTCCTTCTTAAACACCCAAGCCGCCTTAGACTTGAATCCGAAATGGCGAATGCTCGACCGAACCGACGAGGTCTTTTGAGTCACTCCCTCAAGAGTATTCTTAGCAAGGGAAAGACTGAGCAAGAGCTGTTTCAAGAGCTCGTCCATGACACGGCACTGGTCCGGATCCATGATAGATGTGATGCGGACCATAAAGTCCACCTGACTTTTCGTGCGATTCCAGCAGGACTCGACAACGATTACACGCTTTTGTACCTCAGTCTCTGCATGCCTCCAGTTGGAACATATGTCAAGAATTTGGACACCGATTCTGGCAGAGTCAGGGCTAACCATGCTAATTTAGAGATCGGAATACTGAACGTACGTGTAGCATGTCTTCACGACGGTGATTATTGCAAATGGGTCCATGATGCTCGGTTACCACTACGGGCAAGAAGCCTGTGAGCGGGCCTTTACTTGTCTGCAGGTGAGGCTTGAGATTGCGTCCAACAGAGCGGGTGGAAGTAACTAGTAACATCAGAACAAGCGCCGACAACGGTATCGCTGGTCTGGTGAGAGTCACAATCGTTCAAAATTGCCACTCCATGAACTGCAATACGGTAATAATTTGTTGGATTTTTAACCACCATACCGAAAAGGGCGCAACCCTTGTTTAGTAAGGATTCCTAGTGGTAACTATTATAGTCGCATATTTTTTCTGACATAATCTCTCCTCTCTCGTCGGTTGCATTGTGGGCCCGCACTCTAACGTGTCTGCCGCTGGTAACCCAATTAATGATCCATGGAGCAGTTCATGAACTGGCCCCTGTGTAACTGGAGGCTGCAAACCACCTACGATGATAATGGGGACCGGTGCCACCAGGGGTCGACCGGCGACGAGTCCTGGCACCCCGTTAAACGTCTAGGTAGTGGTTCTTTCGGTGATGTCTGGCAGGAGCGCTGCACGTCGGGACCTTCGCAAAACGGGGTTCGCGCTGTAAAACACCTTCACAAGCGACAAACCAAATTCTTGGAGATGTCACAGCGGGAGCTCGATGCCCTTGACACCTTTTCTGCGGCTGAGGTAGGTGGTGCAAAGAGTGCCCAAGGCCGGCGGCGGACTAACCATGTCGCAGTACAAGCGGCATTTAGTCCAATTCCTCGGCTGGTTCGACGACTCTGAACATCTCTATATCGCGATGGAGTTTATCGAGCATGGCGACCTTCAAAGCTTCATAACTGCCCCCTTTCCAGAGCCTGAAGCGGCGTCAATTGTAACTCAAGTTGCCCAGGCGCTACAGTACATGCACCGTAAGAATTTCGTTCATCGGGACGTCAAACCCTCGGTACGCCTGCCCCCGAAAGCCACTGGTGACACGAATGTCACTAACATGCCTAAAGAATATCCTAGTTTCCTCTCCAGGTCCTAACTGGCATGTCAAACTCGCCGACTTCGGAATCGCGAAAAAGACAGATGGCACTGCTCTTGGCACGCACTATATCGGATCCCCTGGCTATATGGCACCCGAGCTGTACGACAACCTGTCACCTCACTATACAGCAGCTGTCGATGTGTGGGCGCTTGGAGCTGTGGCATTCTGTCTGCGTACATGCTCTCCTCCTTTCCGGACAATCAAGCACCTGCTAGACTATGCTCGGGACCACAGGATCCAGTTCCCCCTTCGACCATTGGGAACCTCGAGTGGTTTCTGCATGAACTTTGTGCTGGGAACAATGGCGGAACTTCCTGAACGACGATTGACGATTGAACACGTCCTCGCTCATGACTGGCTTTCGGAACACGCGACTGTGCATCAGGGGTGAGCACACAAAGTCCTCAACCCCATTCCGAGACACTGTACTGACAACGAAAAGGGATAACATGGATATAGCCTCGCTGACGAAGTTAACAACATGGAGCACGTCGCCGTCTAATGCCTGGTCAAACACGTATGATGGCACCGAAAAACAGCAGCCGCCGCCTCTTTCAACCACTACACCGATAACAGCCCCTTCCCCCTTGCCCCTTAAGCGGGAACAATCTATGGAAGGTGAATTAGCGAGGAATTTGGAAGACATTCGGCTAGGGTCTAGTGAGCAGGGGAACGACGACAAAACCAAAGGCCATCCAAATCTCAGACTCACGAGTACGCATCGCCTTGATTCTAATTGATTTAGCTAACAGTTGACATAGTTATTGGTACCCATGGACTTCACAAGAGACATATATTTCGTGAGCTGTTGACTGTGAATGAACTGTGCTGAGCTCGCTAATTGTACTCTGTAGGACCTGATCCCTTCGCTGTAGTGACGGTTAATGGGGAAGAAACGCATAGGACCAGCGTCAGATACGGAACCGTGAATCCGTATTGGAATGAGAGGTTTGACCTGTACGCAATTCGACCTCCTCTACACTGTTATTGTACCCTCCTGCAACGCAACCAGTATTAACTTCCCACAGCAAAGTAGAACCAGATAGTGCCCTGACTGTGCAAGTCTTCGATCAGAAGAAATCCAAGAAGCAAAACCAGGGTTTTCTAGGTCTCGTGACAATCCGGGTTGGCGATGTCATAGATTTAATAATGGGCGGTGATGGTACGTACGATAAACCTCGGTCCTCGTATAGTCACATTGTCCCTAATGTCCAGCCTACTAACTACTGTAATAGAGTTGGTTACCCATGAACTCGAGACAGACGAGCAGGGGAAAGCAGTTCATGCGAAGATTTTCCTCCATTTTTCTACTAATCTGCCAAATATACCAGCGCGTCGAGCAGTTGCCAGAGCTAATATGACCCCATTTGAGGATGAGTACGGTTATCTTCCAGGCGGTTGGGAGAGGCACAAGGACGACAAAGGGTGGGCTTATTACATCGACCACAACACGAGGACGACAAGCTGGATTAGACCCTCTGGGTAGAGGTATGGATTGATAAGCTGCGAATCGCGTTTAAGAGCCAGGTAGCAAGCGGTGATAGTTTTGCCAGCCTGTAACCGGGCGACAACCCATATTGTTGAGCAGCACAGTACCGCGCCTGTATCTCCAGCGAGGTCAATTGCTTTCGGGCAAAACGAAACCGATCCCATTTTCATCACTGATTGTTTCGGCTATATGTGCAAATACGTTCCTACGTGTCGGCCGTACACGCAGCTGCATCAATAACTGTTATACCGCTGAGGCCGAGCAATCATTAGCATCAGATGCGCAACGCATTGATAGTGGCCATGACCCGTGCCTTCAATCTATCGGTTTATTTTTGCTTTTGCGTTACTTTATGTTACTGTATCAGACTCTTCGCGGCCGTGGAAAATATAGAACTCCCTAGCGAGTGTCTGGCTGCCTGATAGATGCTCTACGACGGTAAACACAAGCCACGACGCTGTGATATGAGAGTTGCCCCGTAAATTACATCCCTTTTCATCTTTTATAAAAAGCGATTGTATTCATCAGAAAATCAGAATGACCAATGCTCGTCATTATCCTCATGATCGAGGCTTATAGTGGGTCGAACCTGTGAAATTCTATCCGACCCAACTTCGTGACGGCCAGTAGTCGACCTTCTGAAGGATCACAGGGGTCTAGGCTAGTTGTGGACAATCCCAACGGCTGTCATATTTGGTTTGGTGCAACTTTTTTGACTTGTGCAAATTGTGGTTGCTAATTTTCAGGGTGTAATGAAGTGATCTATTATGTGAAGTTCAGTGGCATGTTAATTTGAATGGCTCTCGTAAATGGGATAATATTTACAATTGTTTTGAATTTGAATACAATTAGCTCAAAGGTTGTTTTATACATTATTGCAGGTTTAAATTCATTTGTTCATTATACATCAATACATCGTCACTTCAACAAGGAAAGGTGACCTTATCCTTTAATTTGAAAACGCCCACCAAATTGAACCCCGCGTACTCCACCAGATACACAAATCAACCGATACTACAAAGACTTCCTCGACAACCAACTCTCAACATTCTTCCGTTTCGCGATAATCTTTACAATAAACTGTCCAAAATCATCAATCTCTTCAGGTTTATTGTGCTCTAACAAGTGCTTCTCCGTCTCCAGACTCTGTAAAAACAACACATCCTTCTGTCGACTTCTCTCCCACCATTCCGCCGCCGACTCTGCTTCCCACAGTCCCGCGCGCGTCGTAAACATCAACCCCCCAGGGCATAGCGAAATACCGTATTGTAAAAGACTATAAATGCACTGCGCATGTCCTGCAACAAGCCACGTACGTCGCACACTTTCAGCGAGAATCCACGCCTGCCATTCTGACTGCCGTTTCTTTTCGAACGGCGCTTCGTGAATACTGGTAAGCTGTTTAGGCGCGGAGCGGACATACTCGCTCGATAGCAAGGCACATTCGAGCATTTGCATACTCCACAGCTTTAACGTCGGAATCACGTCCTCGGCCTTTTCGCGCTGTTGGTCGTCGGGCGAGAATAGCCGGAGAACCTGATATACCAGCAGGGCTTGGACGCGAGCTAAATGCTCAGATACGCCGAATACAGGTATGCCACTAGTATTGCTGCTGCTGCTGCCGTCCTCTAGATGAGGTAATTCGAACAATTCGGCTTGTGCGGCTTGCTCGTCTAGAAGCATCGATACTCTCTCCTCTAGAATTCGCATCACCATGCCTCTATTATTATCTGTACTGGAGAAATAAGTCGCACAGGCCATGTATGCGTCTTGAATACACTTCGGTAAGTGGTCTTGATACAGTTGCTTGTGGATGAACATCGTGCTTCCATCCCTAACCCACTCCTTGAGCCAGCGCAGAATCTGTTGGATGCTGTGTTGCATATCCGGAACCCTATAGTCTTCGCGCGGCGCTGCTCTGGTGAATTTCACTACGAGCCACGACTGCGGCGACAAGAAGAATTGATTCGGGCTTGCGATTGCGTCATATGGATCAGAATACGAGCTTGTGACCGACGCCATTGGCGAGGGTAAAGCGAAATTTACAGAATCAAGAAAAACATCGTCTACAGGCCGCCTCAGCGAAACAGCTGTCTGGTCTGCTCCCAGGGCCTGAGATTGATTGCTGGAACGATCATGGAGTCGCGTTGAAGAGTAGAAGCATTCGATTCCTTTCACAACGCATCGGCGACAGGCGGGGTGACGCAAGTCGCACCGCCGTTTGGCTTTGGTGCAGGCACTGCACGCCTTTTGACGAGTTGATGAGGATTTATTGTTTCGGGATGTTGAGGAAGCTTCGGTCATTATTGTGGTCTTATTGGATCAACGTGTGAAATGAAAGAGGAATGATAATTCGATATGGACGATGGTTCTGGAAGATCAATCGTTGATGACAAATCACGCTACGCTGCAACGGGCTTAAATCGATCTTCACAACACAATACATCTACATCTCAATCGATACATAGATAACCGTGCCACTCTTTGCACTAACCGCTCTAAAAGCGGGAACAGTTGGTGCAAAGGATGGCACAGTTAATTATAGGTGAGATAGTGGGCTGTACTGTACAATATATTACCCTGGGCAACCCGTTTTCTGGTCACTTTATGGGCTGCCTGTGAGCCCTTCTTATTATTAAATGTAACATTCCCAAGAAGGAGTCCGCCACCAATTAATCCTCTGATTTCCTGTGGAGAGACGTTCTCGCGATCTCCTGCAGATTGTTACAATGGTTCCGAAAAGCGCCAATCATGCATTTCTGCCGCGTTTGTGGTCGATCGTTCACATATCCTTATGAGCTTCGCCGACATGAAAACTGTATCTCAACATATCCTCTCATTCTTGTCGTGGAATAAAGTTAGCAGTCTGATAGATTACTGGAAAAAGCAGCCTTACTTGTGAGGAATTTGTGGTGGCATCTGGTTTCGTGCGTACGCAACCTTCGGCCCTGGATGGCCGAAGGCTCACTCGGTCTTAGTTCCACAAAAACTAATAGGATGAAATTGAATTAAGTCACAACTGGTCCGGCACTGAAGGTGGCCTCGCAGATTGCTGACTATGTACGGGAACACAAATTCTACTACTGTCATCCAATATCCGGCAGCCCTCGAGCACCTAAATATATGAAGATTTGATGCGAAATCTGGTGGGAGTAAATATCATCCGCCGTCAGAGAAAGGACTTATTCTGTACGTATTAAAGGGTGACAGCATTCGGTCAGCTTCAGGATCCTACAACAATCATCACATCTCACTCGTAAATGGTCCAAAAAGCCATAATATTGTGCCACGCTCCATCCACTATTCAATAAAATGCGCCATTGTCGTGTTTCTCAGCGTCAAGTCACTCGGTCCCGGGGCATTAATCCGATAAGGTCTTTGAAATTGGGCAGATCAGCATGTAGCAATTAGGTCGCCTTTCTCAAACAAATGCTAAAAGTGCTATCAATTCAGACGTTAACAAGTGCAGTAGAACGAACTTCGTCATTCCTAGGCTGTATTCTAAACATTTTGAGCACGTAATTCACCGTCATTGCATCCATCTGAGCCACCAAGCTAACGATCTGATCGACCAGAGATAGGTACTCAAAACCAATCCAATCAGACACCTTATTTCGAGCCAGAGTGAGTCCGGGACCTAACAGTCCTTCAGACGCGTTCGATATGAGTGACTTGATAATCAGTCGTAACTCTTACACTATCACCGACGGCCTGTGCGAAACTGTTTGATACATCACTTGTATACCCGTATTGTGGTGGTTGACTGGCAGAATTGACATATCCCAGTTCGTACTGTTCGTCCCGTGTAGACGGAGGCTGCTTTTTTTTGTTCGTATTGGTTGAAGGTGTATGCTGGTGGCTGGAATCCGTGAGCCTAGAGGCGCTGACCCAAGTTGACGTGTTGAATAGAGGTTTAATTATAGGTGCGTTGACCGCAACAAAGGCGACGAACTAGAAGATAATTACTTAGGAGGTCAGAGCTGTCTATAACTGATATAAACTCAACTGATTCCCTCGCTGCCCAAATTGCCGCCACGTTGATGTTCTTGATATTCACTAAGGAGAGAACACATCGCAGCAAGGCAGAGACCATAATGAAGATACCTGAGCATAGTAGAGCGCCAATTGTTAGTTTTCTAAGTACTTGAATATTAGCATTCCGTTTTTGCGATTTAACGAGGGCCATGTTAAGACTTCACCTTATCAGCTTGATTCTCAGTTTGATAAGTATCGGAATGGGTATAGCGATGATAATCATGTCGGTGCTAGGGATCAGTTAGTATGACGCAACCTTGTCATGGCCAACTTGTCCACTGTGTGATAAAACAAACGCTGACGTAGCATACAATATATTGAAAGCAGCGACAACAGGATAGGCACTGTAGTGCATCGAGCACTCTCCTAAAAGAATGTCAGACTAAGCTCTCTCTTCACCAGGCCCTTACTTACTACCAGGATCCGGATTGACCTGCCAATTCAAATGAAATGGCTGACAGTGAAAGGCAATCGTGAAAACGACGACCACATAAGAAAGGCAACAGACAATAGCGGATAGCCTCACTGTCTTTCGTTGAAAGATGCCAGATCTGTGCCAGACGTTGTTTAACGGACAAGCCCCAACCATAACAAGCATATTCTGACTTACGTGAGGCGTTCATAGTAAAATAATACCGACCCCTTCAATGACCATATTATACTAACGTACATAAACCACCCTACTATGACCAATTTTGAGCCGGTCGCCATTCTTTTAATTTCAGCTTCACTGAAATTGGACCGCTCCTGAGACGTCCATCCAGTGTTACTGCCATAGACTCGACCTAGAAGGGGATAAGTCTCAAAACAGACTTTGCATCCTAGGAAGGGGCATGGATATCTTACCGACAAGGTAGACTATGACTATCTCCGACTGTACGTACAAATTAGCAACTCTCATCTTATTCTCTACAGCTGTACTCACCGTCCAGAATAAAGCAGCCAGTATGCAGAGGTAGTCATCACCACCGAATCCTTTGAATCCCATTAACTTCCACCTTGCAAATACCCGTATAAGAACAACAGTGATGCTGAGTCCATATTCTACCCAAGCCTCTGTGATGAAAGGCGATTTAGTTACCATTGTCATTACAGGCATTGCACTCCAAGCCACAGAGGGCCGAGTTGTGCTTCAGCGTCTGGATTGTTGCGATGAAGCATTTGGTTTAGAAAATGCCACAACAGAGGTTAGAGCTCTTTCATCGAGGTAATCCATGCAGAAATCATGCTATAAGCATCTAACGATAAGACGAGATGGGATCATTCCCACAATGAGAGATTTAACTCATAAAGTAAAAGATTGATTCATCAAAATTATGACTAGTCAGAGAGAGGACTCGGGCTGAGTATGCCTAAAGCAATGATCAATTTTGCCACTGATACTTAAGTCTATTATATTCATTTCGATGACCCCGGGTGTACGTGCACTCCTCCACTACCCGCCACCGAGCTCCAGGTAACCATGGACGAGCGGCTTCTACTCTTGGTTAGCTAGAGTTACCAAAGTTATGGAAACACGTAGCTCACGATCAAAGCCATCCAACAAGTAAAAGCTATCAATGTAAATGAGCATTTCGAGCAAAATACTTGTATGTGTGTTTTATACCTCTGTCATGACAGAGCAATAAATACATTATCCGCGGGACAGCCTACAAACCAGCACCTGAAGCTTCTCCATCGATCCAGATCTAAGGAAACCTAAGGTGTTCATAAGGTGGGGTCATGTAAGTTAATTTGCCACCCATGAAATGAAGATGTCTAGACAACAGAGATTAAATTAGATCCCGACCCAGACAACGTGTCTGAAGAGCCAGGAATATTACAGAAATTCCAAATCTTACGGGATTAATGTGGTATAGAATAACTGATTCCGTTGCCAAATTATTTACCAACTGCTGCTGCTGTTCCAGGGTCCTTCTTTATTTAATCTTCTTGGATCACGATAATTACAATAAATTAACAAGGATAATTGGACCTCCTACTTAACACATAAAATATATGTTAATGGGTAGCTGTGCGTGTTGGACGCCGCAATGTTAGTCAATATGACGTAAATGACACAACGGGAGCTACAGGTGGACGGTCCGAGTTGGTGAGGTCTCGGCCCCGATAATAGCTTAGAATGTGTTGGGTTGGCAATCTGCCCGGATCTTCTAAGTACCCATAGGAATTAATTTCCTCTCCTTTTCTTTATACCTAAATACTTTGTTGGCTGTCAGGATTCTCTATCAATACGAGACGATGACATTCAGAAGAGTTGCGAAACTCTCGCTTCTATTAACTAACCCTTTTACCCAATCTATATGCCAATTAGCGTGATTGAGAAGAGTACTCATGTCGCTCCTGCTCTAATTAACTCCGCCATTCTCGATTTGATCAAGCTTGACAAATTGACAACTAGATATTTGTAGACGCTCTAATGACCCATATTACAGGCAGCTTCAAGACAACAAAATGAAATATAGAGTCAGTGAGTTATGAATTGATTTATTGTTGGAAAAAGTCATTAGTATATATTTGCACGAAATCACTGGCACAATTTACCGATGACTCAGGGGCTGAAAGTTTTGATATATTTTGGTTTGAGGACGCCTAATCTTGTAACTATATCAAACATGATGTATCACCCCTCTTGCCACAGATCAATGACACGTCCTTCCGTATTTTCTCAGACGCGCATAGTTATATGGTAAAGGAGCCAGAAAGCCCGCCGTCACGGACAACAAGGCTGCGATCCAGAATTTGGGATCCTCAAATGCCACCACACCGCCGGTGAGGTGATAGTCAACTGCGTTCTCTGCCAGCTCCATCGCCACCATGGAAACCATACTCATGCCCATTGCTGTCTGGGCTGCCCTTTTCCAAGACATATTATCTGGACCCCTGCGAAGCAATACTGTCTCGAGCATGATCGAGGTTGTGATACCAGAGACCACTTCACTCAGACTTTAGCATCGGTAAGAATTTGTATCAACGATTATGCAGACTTACTCGACAAGACCATGATTGTATTCATGCCAAGCTCGGGATAATAGGATTGCAGCATCCAGAGTGCAGAGAAGTCCCCAATCGTACAGCCTACCAAGCAACGCAAGGTATTGAGCCCAGACCTCCTCCACGTCGAGCGGCAGGTCCAAAAAGGTAGGCTTAGCATCGACCTATTACTTGACGAAGGTAGTGTTATACTGGAAGCATTTTTTAGCATCTCATTTTGTTTGCCAGACCCTGAGCTTAAGTTTGGCTGTTTGTTCTGGCTAGAATGGCAGGACGATCCCGGGCTAGTCCCGGAAAAGGCACAGCGATTCAAGGAGATTAGCCGAACGGCGAGACTGTTGGACATCTGCCGAGGGAAAGAGTATAGTCGATTCATGTCGAGCATGGATTTCAATATTAGCAAAGTTTCCTAAAGGTTGCAAGGGACGTACTAAGAAAAACGAGTCGGTTTAAACGTAGAGCGCAATAACCGCGCACAGTCATGCTTCGGCGTTTCGGGGCTGCCGAGATTATCACCAGAGCGGAGCCACCCGACCTATGGCAAAATCACCTCATATAGATCATGTGTGCCCAAAAAGTTGTATAGAATATTCTACGATTTTACAAATGATATAAATGGCAGACGGTACGGTTTTAGAAGGTACCATGTCAGGATCCTCTCAAATTCTTCTTCCTCCGCTGGCGACTCCGAGATAGGCTTTTCGGAATGGCCCAAAATCAATACAAGTTCGGTGTCCAGATGCGATGCAGTGGCTGTTCCAGGACTATTGAAGATGCTATCAGCGGTGTCGATGGTCAGATAAATTAGTTCCTAGTATTTCTCTCTTGTAGCGATTTGAGTTAACTAGCAGGCGCGATAAATAGACCTCAAAACTTTAGATGTCAGTCTCGAGCACAAGAGTGTTCTAGTCACCGTGAGACCCTCGCTATCATATGAGGAGGTCCTTACCATTATTAAAGAGACAGGTAAGAATGTCCGTAGCGGTGAAGCGAACGGTCAAGCACGGGGATTTGAATCAATTATTTGGGGGAGAGAGGCCCAATTGTCCTTTCTTATGACTTTTTTGCTTTTTTACATGAGCGTACGCTGTTTTTGAAAAGTAATTTGAAGAAGAAGTAGAAGAATATCATATCTGACCATTCGATATCCTACACAAACATAGCCTGTAGTTCATTTCAAGTTAGACAGCCCGACCGGGTTTAAAAATTGGTTCAGTGTTGATCATTAGGGTTTTGAAGATGGGTTATGAATATTTGGCTATTTCACTTGCCTCCAGCATTTGCTCCACAGTATCCCGGTTGCGTTCGACCCTCTATCATCGGATACTCTGTACTACCTCGATCCGTCTGCTTAGCCAGACTGCCAGCGGACATTCCTGGCTTCAGTAGAGAGATCACAGAGGGCTTTCGCTCACTGCTAGGCTTGAATCCTTCATCACCTCGTTACAGAGCCTCCTTGTGCTTCACTGTTTATTATCTCAAAGAGACATGTTTCCAACGCAGTGCGTATCTATATTTTCAACTTGCAGACTATCCCTTGGTAACAGGGAGCCTCTCTTCAGGAGTGTGTCCATAGCTAGGGAGGGTATCAAGGAGATAGCCAGTCGAATTACCATCCTCAGCTTCCTGGAGCGACCGGTCACTTGCATGGCGGGACTTCCCATTCTTAGCCGCATGCTTCTCAAAGTCATAGTACTCTTTTCCCTTGCTGAGCAGTTCCACGATGGCAACCCCTAGAAGGACAACCGCCGTCGTCTGGCCAAAGTCCCAATCATTCTCCTGCTTATTGTCGCCATCAAGCTTGCCATCATTTGCCTTCCGAAGTGCAATCGCCATGTAGAGGTGCAAGGGGAAGTGTAATGAGGAGAACAGCAGAATCCCACGTCTCCTCCTAACTCCACCGAACACGCCAGCAATGGTAACAACTATAAGCCAAGAGCTAGTAACAGCCACGTAAATCTGATCGCTCGCGGGATGTGAGGCTGTTATGTTGGTGACCAAGTGCGTATGGTAGCAACGGCCAGGTTCCTTATTAGGAGCCCAGTCATTGAGTCGGATGCAGAGGAGAATGGTAAGGGCAAGGTATAAGGCGATATAGAGGAAAGTGGCTCGGTAGTGACCGCGGAAATAGGACATAAAATCGGTGATGCGCTTAGAATGACGCCCGGAAGGACGTTTCGTATCCGGTGAGTCGATCTTAGCACGGCAGAATCTCCAACAGACGAGGGCGGCGGTGTTAGATACTCCGACGAAGCTAACAATGTCGAAGACGAGGTGTAAGTGGTATGTATCTATCAGTTGTACCTGCGAGAAGACGGTGATCATATATGCTATCCCCAGCGTCAATTGGATATCAGACCCGATCATTAAAATACTAGAAACAAAGTCCAAGCGCTTGCGCTCGATCTCACGCTGAACAGAGCCTTCTGGATGCACGACATCTATGTTGCCGTGGGTGGTTAGGAAGAACACCCACGCAGATAGACCTAAGGATAAAGCGGCTTGGCCGGCGAAACCCACGAGAATCTACTTATAATTAGCATGGACAATGTATCGGCGTTCATTATTGTAAGTGTATACGAACCCCATTGCCCACCAAGGCAGCCATTTCCTCTCCAACTAGCTCACATCCATCATCTCCTACTTCCCTTCTCCAAAAATCCATCATGCCAGGTTGTTATGTGCAAGGTTGTCATTCCTAAGGAAGACACTGCATCGGAAGCTGCAGAGAGATTTGCTTAACCTCTTATAGTCTCCCACGCCAGACCGGTTCAGAACCAAGATGGGGCCAGTACCTCTTTTCGCCTTCAAAGGATCATAAATTGAAGACAACAACGCTTAAGGGGCTCCGCGCAATGAGACTATGAGTTCTTGGCGTGAACATAGTTAATCGGTATGATTGCGGCCCAATTACCTACCCGTCTACCTTATGCAAATCCTCTGCCAAGCCGCTATTGGAAAGCATCGAATGAACGATGATGTAAAGTTGCTTCTCGATAAAATCGTTGTTGTTGTTGAATGGACTTGCACTTGACGTAGTTATTTGGAATTTAGCGCGCCAAGAAGCCTAAATAATTTCAGCCCCTACTCACTAATTATAGCTACCTCCCTACAAGGCTTATATACACGCACAACTCAGTTTAACTCTCCCTAAAATATCATTCCAAAGTTCGTTAATCCTCCCTACCCTACCCTTAATCCTTTCTAATTCTTACCCTAATCTTTCCTGGGTAGAGGATGCGGCAATAATCTACACAAAGTGAGTGGCCATAAAACAATAGCCAAAAAAACTCGCCCTAAAAATGAGCGCTTGCTAAACTATTTTTTCCTGCAGCCGCCGCGCACTAAATTCCACGTAGCGGTCAACTGTTCCCCCTGATTGGATCATGATCAGGACCACGCGGTGATTGGTGGTGCATCTCCCCTGCCTCGATAGGTCTAGCCCTATGGCTCTGGCCCCCAATTCCCGCAGTTATATGGGGAGCAGAATTTGATTCTATGACCTCGACGGTTATCTCTAACGTCATATTCCCAATTACATAGAATCTCACCCTCATGTATAGTCCGTAGCGAGAAATATTGGATTGGAAGAAACTCATATATGTCTGCATTTAGAAATATTGGAAATATTCATTGCTATATACTCTGTTCCTTTGCCTTCCCCTTTCGCAGCAGTTGATACAGGCCATAGACAGAGCCTTCCCCGTACACGTACTAGCTCTAGTTCTTAAATTACTACATTCAATCCTTTCCCATCCTCATGGTTCCTTCGATAGATCTCATAAATGATCACCTCTCTTCGACCAAACGTAACACGTTCGCTTTGTAAAGGACACCAAGTGGTATCATACATCTCCTTGAGAGACTGGACTGATGGGTTATTGCCAAGGCCACATATCCATTCACGCTAACAGACACAGACACAGACACAGGCTGCAGAAGTTTTCAATATACCGAAGGAAACACATATTCCTCCACATCACTTCCTTATTCCTTATAGAAGGAGAACCGCATTAGCAGCCGCTGCTAGAACACCGCCAGCTAACAATGGCATGGTAGCTAGCTCTATCGCCATACCCTTAGCTGCTCCACTGCTTGCTGAAGTAGCTTGTGCTGAAGAAGATTGTGTGGCATTGCTATCCGATGTGATTGAGGTAGTAGTGTCACCTTGGCCATTGTTTGCGCCATTCGTTATTTCGGTAGGACCACCGTTTCCTTGGCCACTGCCTGTGATGGTAGTTACATCGGCGGAAGCCGTAGCACTCGCATCTTGCCGTCTCTTAAACCGTTCAATCATTAGTAATGATGAGAAAAGTCTTAGGTGTAAATGAGCTTACATCAAGATCAGCAGCCCAAGACCCAGCAATCAATAAAGTAACGATCAACCTGTTTGTGAAAGATTTCATTTTATTATGAAGACGACCAAAGATGTTTTTTTTTGACCTAAAGGTTGAAAATCATCTAATGAATGGATTGTGAGTAAGCACAGCGTTATAGTCAAGGAAAGTTTATGATAAAATAAAATTATAGTGCTATCCTATACAATGGACTTGCAGACATTTATACTTATTCCCCCCCCTTGAAGTGCTGTATTATCCCTAGCAGAGCTTTTACGGCTGAGTGCTCCGTAACACAGCTAGGAAACATAGATCTACAGTATTTTGCGATATTACTGGTTATATTGCACCAGTATTGATAAGACCGGAAATTAAGACTAAGCCGAAAACAGAAAACCATTCGTATACTTTCCTAATACCATATATCCGCCTTGATGGTTGCTTATATCCAATGTTTCATTGTTTCTGATGAATCATTTATATAGCTAAGGTCATAAGCCTTTAATTTACATAGTCAAGACCGCATTTGAGGTGTTAATTCGCATCTTGCAGTACAAGGAACGAGACATCTTGACGCGTTTGAGTAACTTCAACAATTAAGTTAGTAAAAATAGTGGAGATTTTACAGCAAAAGTTATAAATAAATATCAATTGATACCATAAAATAAAAATAATTAAAGCAGCATGTACTCCACTCCGTACACCTCCCATTGTTATTGGCACAAGTACTTTAATAACGTGTGATTTTCGGCCTAGCGTCTAGATTAGTTGCGCATAGACCAATTGATTCTGTTTTAGCCCTCGCCTAAATCTATAGAGCTTAATCCATGACCTTTTTAGATTGGAGGACACGGTAAAGAGATTCCGTAAGTACAGTTATTTTGACATGAATTATATGGTTAAAAGCAGTCCCTATTTAAGCCCTGTTTGATACTAATAAAATTGTAAGAGAGACATTGTTACCAGCGTTTGTTTTATATAAAAGGGGTCAGGCACTAGCGTATATTAAGCTCCAAGTTCTTAAATAGCTTTGGGGCTAAACTGCATATAATAGGTCCAATCTTGTTAAAGAAAGCTATTCAATAAATAAGCCAATCATGCTGCCAGGTAAGTTATTACATGTCTGGCGTATTGCCCTACCGATGGGTTGCCTAAATAGGAACATTCCATATTAACCTGTCAAATGAGTCTAATATACGCCACTACGGGGCCAAATGGAATCATGATTTTGTCTGCCCTGGGGGCGGGGGAGCATAAATCAACTTAACTTTATATTGAACTATCTAAAACGCTAAAATCAATGTTTCTTGGTGTTGCAAAAATGTCCTAATTGCTAGCGTTATTAGAAGCGGCAGTACGCTATTTCCAAATATCGATATAGTGGTAAATCTGGTGTTAGATTGAAAGCGTGCGATATGACCGACTTCGGAATCGCTTAATACTAAGGAAAATACTAGTGAATTCGAGTTAATAAGGTCTTACTTTGATTGGAATTCCACCGCACTAAGAAGCATGTTTTATAATGTTAATAATAGTTTGCCCTTGTAGTTAGTTATAATACTAAGGTTCTGATACACTTAATTTCAGAAAAGTATTAATATGAGGCTTTGAAATCTTTAGATATGCTTCAATCTAAGGATAAGACTGAGGATGAGGCTTAGACAGTTATCTAGAATATTATAAAAAAAAATTTTATTTTTATGTTAGGTAAATTGGCTTTAAATTAGAATTGATATGTGCACCCTAATCTAATTTATGATTTTGATTTGGCAATGAATTTTTGATCTTTCATAAATTTATTATGTGCATCTTAATCGCTGCAAAATCGAGGAATTAAAAATTTCTATAGGAGGTCAAAAAGCAACCAAATTTGTTAGTATTTTACTAAGAAAATTGATTTACAGGTAGGCTCAAAAAAAAATTAGTTCGGGTGTACGCAGTAAAAATCGGGACGCACGTATCAACTTCCTATATGAAGTACAGGTTCCTTCCGCTTATTTTCTAAATTCCACCAACAAACCAATTTTAAATCCGTTTCTTTGATTATTTAGGTATTCGTCCAATGAAGAGATAGATAGAGATCCGTCTCCTACGCGAATGTTTTCTCCTGATGAGATAGTCATGAATGACCGTTCAATTGTTGGCGCGGTTGAACGTGATTTTGGGTAATTTGAACCTATTCCCAAAATGCTTAGTGCCAAATATTCCGACAGCTAACAGGTACTATTTAACTTCGTAGGTAGACGGAGCTCTCTACATAGTAGAGACTCAAGATCTAATATCTAGAATATCATCAAGTTTCATCTGTCCTTTACTTGCTTCATAAAGTCTAATTTGCTTATTATCCCATTCATCTCCTGCCCAACTCCTCAGGACGGGCGTCCTCAGTACGAGTACTATAGGCGAGCCAAAACCCTCCGAGGTCTTTGTCTCGTACTTTTCAACTGACAACCAACGTGCCGCATCACCCACCGGCCTAAAAACCAATCAGTCATGTCTCCTTAAGCATGTAACTAGTCTCTTTAAATACCTACCACCTCCCCATCACATGAATATGCCAAGGTCGGCAAAGCGATCCGCCTGCGACCTGTGCAGAGCGAAACGAGTCCGATGCCCGCGTGCCGAAGACAGCACCGCGCCATGTGCGCGCTGTATCCACGTCGGCGCGCGATGCGTGACCGGTTCCCCTGGCTACCCTGGAAGACCGCGAAAGGCGCGTCTCATTGATGGCACTACACCTAGAAACCTGGCCATGACCTCTGCTGACGACAGCGCTTCGCCTGTGTCCTGGCCGACGCAGCGAGACGGCAACCATGTCGAGTTGCAGACACCTCCGGTGGAGGAGCCCATTTCGGTGAACATGAACATGCCTATAGGATGGTCCGGGGCAGATACCGCATCATTGAATCCGCTAGATGGTCTCGGAGGAGTTGGCCACTCAGATTTCTGGACAACGTCCGCCAGTACAAATTTCTTTGACTGTTCATTGACAGACGAAAATCCTGTGTTGAAAAGCATCCCCACACAGGTACAGCAGTCGAGGAAGCCATCACAGCAGCAGGAGCTACTAAGCGCATCTGATACCCTTGACATGATGTATACGGGCCAGGCTTTCAATAACATACTTGATGTTGATTCATTTCTTTATTCATCTGAATCCCTGTCAGACCAGAGTAGTCCCGTCCAATGCCTGAGTGCAGTGAGTTTGCTGATGCGGTTCCAAGAGAAGATGGAACAACACGTCACGACCATGGGTGCCTTTTTCTCAGAACCCCGCAACGTTGTGGAAGACTGTAAAGAGAAGGATTCCATGAGCATGGATACTGAAAATCCTGTCGCAGTAGTTCTCATGTGCACTAAAGAGTTTATCGATATTATCCAGAGTTTGGCGACAGCGACTCAGCATGCCACCTCAGACTCATCTACCCGTAGTGAGCTCGTCCAACCAAACGCAGCTCCCTGGATTACTCGAACCAAGTCCCTCAGCACGGAAACAACACTCTTGGTACTCTCGAGCTACCTCGCGCTGATGAAGCTTTACGATTCCCTATTCCATGGCGTTTACCACTGCTTCTGTCAAATGCCGTCCGAAGTTATCAAGTCGATCAAGGTCAAAGAGGTGTTCCGTATCGGGGGCATCTCTTCACTGCAGGACATACCAGTAAAGGTGTATGCCATGGGAATAGTCGATGTCATCCAGAACCAGATCAAAGCTCTGGAGCGTTGCATGGGACTACCAGCGGCATATTGCCTCTCGAGCGAGGTGACTGCTTCGCAGTCGATCAAAGGGTTATTTGCTAATGGAGATCGAGCACAGTTGTTCCGTATTGTCATGGAACAGCAGGATGTTAAATCACAAGGAGGTAATAAGTCGTATGTGGAGTCGATACGAGAGAATATTAAGAACTCAGTAGCATATTTTGATGATTAGGAATAGATTGTCGCTATTCCTAGCAGGGAGTTCTAGGGGGCTTGCATGTAAGGGATTAAAAGGAAGTGATATTTTTAAAGGCTACATACTTAGTCATGAACAGTGTAAGTTAATTACTGTAGGTTGAGCTAGCTTAAAACTAACTACCTCTATCAGAACAAAAGAAAGATATTTCATGACATGCACTGGACAATGCTAGGTAGGTGCTCCTGCCGTCTCTATTGGTACTGTATCTGCCCGTTTCGACCTCTGAAACCTGTGTCTTATTCTGTACCTAGGTAGATATCACGGTGTGGCCGCTGGGCGCCCCCTTCTCAGTGGTCTCTGCCATCTCGTCATTGGAGTTGTCTTTCTCCGTTATGCCAAAGTCACTATCAAGTTCTTTTCTAAGTGGCACCTCCTTGACCACTGCAGCAGCGATGACCCCCAGCCCACCAAAGGCGATAGCAACCTGCCACGAGCGCTGCAGCGCGATACTTTGAACCGCAACGACCTGGGCGCGTGTCTGCGGCGAGAGCGAGTCGAGGAAATTCGCGGTGGCATCCTGGTACGCGCCACCCGCCATGAACTGGGCAGTGACAGTGGCGTTGCTGCCAATGGCACCCGAGCCAGCGAGCTGGGCAGCGCGGTTGCTGAAGATTGTACCAGCAATGGCAACGCCCCAGGTGACACCGAAGCTACGCATAAAGGCCCAAGTGCCTGTGGCAACGGCGGTGTCCTTGTCTGTCATGGGGGCCAAAAGGGCGGGGAGCAATACGGGCAAGGCGAGGCCGGCGCCGAAGGACTCAATGATCTGGAAGGCGACCCAGGCGCCCGTGGAGGAGTTCTGGTCGAGGAGCGAGAAGAGGCCGAAGCCAACTACAATGAGGGCAAAGGCAACGAACAGAATAGGCTTGTAGCGACCGAGCTTTGTGAGCAGGACACCGCCGATGATGGCGCCGGGGACCAGAGAGAGGATTGTGGGCAGGAGCATGATGCCGGATCGGTAGGGGGTTGCGTTGAGAACGCCCTGGAAGTAGACAGGGAGGAAGTAGAAGGCCCACATGGTGACAAGACCGTGGAGGAAGGTGAGGAGGAAAACGGCCGCTGTGATGCGGTTGGCAAAGAGGTGAAGGGGCATCATTGGGTTGGCGGTGAAGGGAGTCGCTTCGAGCGCAACGAAGCCTACCAGGCTGACCATGCCGATTATCAGTGGCACAAGGACCTTATACGAAGACCATGGATACTCGCCACCTGCCCAGCTGAGAGCGATAAGCACCGAGGTTGAAGCGCCGATGAAGACGGCATTGCCCAGCCAGTCAAGGCTGGAAAGCTTGGTAGCTAGGGTCATTGATTTGTCGTATTTGACGTGCAGGAAGACAACCAACAGCACCAGTGCGGGACCGCCGATTGGCAAAGCCATGTAAAAGGCCCAACGCCAGTTGCTATAGCTAACAATAAGCCCGCCGAACAAGGGGCCAAGTGCCGCTCCCAGAGAGACCATGCCAAACACGATGGCCATGTACAAACCTCTCTCGCGGAGGGGCACCAAGTCGCATATTATGATCTCGCAAAGGACACCGACGCCGGACCCTCCAACACCCTGTATAGCTCGGCCGGCGATCATCATGGCCATGTTTGAGGCTCTATATTAGGTAGCCCTATCGTCAGCATTTGCTCATGTTCATCGAATAAGGTACTACAAGTTGATAATAGTAGACTCACCCCCCACATATACCACTCGCAAAGACGAAAGCGACCGTCGACAAAATGATAGGCCACCTCCGACCGAATACGTTAGCGAGTTGCCCAAACATAGGTTGAAGAGCAGCCATGGTTAAAAAGTATGCATTGGCAACCCAGATGTAATTGTCGCCTCCGCCCAAATCAGCGACGATGACCGGTAAAACCGTCGAGGTGACCGTTGCTTCCAAAGAAGTCAGAAGGCTCGTCAAAGCGAGGACGACCATTATGGCCCAGAATCGCAGCCCCTTCCGAGTCTGCTGAAGAGTCTCTTTTGACGCCACTTCTTCCAGTTTGTCCACAGAATCCATGTTTAGAGTCGCCGCTGCCGCGTCCTGTTGAGACATTATGTTAAATTAGTAGGCAGTAGGTAAAGATTCAAGTCGATGTTGGTAGATTGAGCATCTAGACACAAGCGATTTTCAGATTCTCTCCCTTTTATTTAAACCTTGGATTGCAGAGAGCTCGACAATATCTTCTATTCCATTTCGTATGTTTTCTGGGATCCTGCACCGAATATTGGTTGGATATAGTAGCCGGAGGGTTGTTGGATGAGACAGGCTCGGAGGGTTTACAAAACCCTACGAACTGATAGCCTACTCCTAATACAATAAATAGACCCAAGTACCAGCACAAATATCTACGTACAATTGGAGAGATTTATGACTCCTTTTAATCCTTTTAGTCTTGAATAGTCTCAGACGGCTCTGCTTCTTGAGGCCTACGCTTTAGCTGCAGCAGACGACCCTAATAGGGTTGCCCTACCCGCTCATAAAACCAAAAGCACCCAACTCTAATCAATCTAATATGTTGGGAAAAAAATTTAGCAAATATTCTCTTGTATCTCAGATCAAGACCACTAGCTAATCACCGTACAGATCATTGAGCCTGGAAAGTTTGCTGCACAGTGCACACTTCGAGGTAGTGCAGTGAATGCGTACATAGACTTCTATTGGTGACGAAACTGCTTCCTGCTCTACTGCTCCTCTCTAGAGAATCCCCCGACCCCATTGTCCAATTCCTATTCCTCATTGAGACCCAGCGGAGACTGCGAGAAATAATAGTACTACTCTCGCAGCAAATACTGCTGGCAAGTTTCTAAAAATGGCTTTTCAGCGGTGTCTCCAGGTTTGTAGAAGTAACTGACGTAAGAAGACTAAAATGGAAAATGAAATTATACAGCCCGAAGCTACTGATAAGCGAGTAGAAAAGTTGAAAAGTCCCGACCTACCAAGGAAATATGGACAGCTTGGGGGGTTCTAGATGCTTCGGAGGTTGTAAGATGCCCGAATGCTCTTGTAGCTTGGAAGTCTAACAGTGCATATTGGCAATGGCCATTTTAGGAAAATGGGTTATAGCAGTGAGCCGGTGCTCTCTAGCAGTTTTATTCAGTATTAAAGCTTTATTTGAAAGCAAAGAAACATTTACCAGCTGGAAAAATCTCTCATTTAAGAATATGGCTACTCTAGCAAATGTCACACTCAAGAACCTCAATAACCAATACGGCATGGTAATTCCCCCCATAAGTCTACCTCTATTTCGGTATTGTATAATATCCTAATAGACACCGCTGTAGAACGCTGCTGCTTGGCAGGCCTAGCGGCGGCTTGTATTCGATGAGGAAGTGCGTCAGGCCCGTTGGGCTGTCTGTCCATGTCTTCACGGCTACTGTCATCGAGATCCAGCCCAGCAGTTTACAGAGGAGCCAGGGGACTCTGTGGAGGTTAAGCATAGTCTCGGAATTGTCACAGAGGCTGCAGCGGGTGTTCAACGTCGAGGGCGACAAGTTCGCGGTCCCACCGTATGGGAAACCATGCGTGCGGATGCGTCTGGTGACCGCCAAGGAATTCAACGAGATCGATGACTCCTTAGCTAGAAGATTTGAGAAGGAGACAAAAATTCATATGATGACGGAAAATATAGACCTTAATAAGATGACGAATCCAGAATTTGGGTTTGAGATTGGGGGAACAAGGTTCCATACTAGGCATTTCGTGGTGGAGAGAGGAGAAGAGATCGAGAAACTGACACTGGTATATGATTATATTGGGCCTCAGCCTACCCCAAAGACCTAAGCTTGGTTCTTATAGTTTCCATTGCAAGATGCTAGGTAGATATTGAGTGGATACTGTAACCGGGCACTATCTCAATCAAGCATTTCCATCAACAATTTGACAATCCACATAATAAAGGGGAAAGAAATGACCCAGGCAAGCATCACATAGGTTTAAGTCTGGCATGTCTTTTAAGTGGCACCTCCAATAGAGGCTTTCGTTTTGCCACTGAGAGCCTCTCCTCTGGCGGACGTTAGCTTGTAATTACTTTTTCTGTGTCTTTCTCCTCTTTTTGACATCTTTTAACAGATGGATTGGCTATCGGTGGTTTCACATTTGCCTGTCACTCTCGCTTACTGTATTTAGTAGGTCATATAATATATTTAATGAATCAGTAGGCTTGCTTGGCTGTGATCCTTTCAGAGATAAAATCCTACCTTCCCAATCAGCTGAATGTACTGCTCATATTCAGGTCCAAATCAAACATGAAGGTACCCCCACTGATCGGGATGTATTCCTTTGTGAGTTTTAAATGAAGACACCTCCACTGATCGGAGTGTATTCCGTGGTCGACATGGGTGACAAAGAAAAAAAAGTGATACCTGATACTTCTGGTTTCTAATTGCTTCCTCTATCAGAGCTCGAGCAAGCCAGCTTTCTGTCTCGACCACTCCCACCGCCGATCCATCTCCCCTCTGCGCCTTCTCTGAGGGTGCATTTGGCTTTGATTGGCTCTCTTCCTCACTCCCCAGTCGCAATAGCTCCCAAGACTGTCGATGGTCTCAAGGACATCATCAACAAGCTCGAATCGCGCGGTGCCGATTTATGGGGCTGCCTGCTCAATAATATATAAACGGTTTCTCCCGCACCTAAATATGTCTACTTTCCAATGTTTCTATCGACCGCGATTTATATCTCTTTATATAGTTTTTCACTCCATTACTCTTTACAAAAAGAAACTTTGACATGTCGTGGCAGGAGATTGATCCGGGACGCTATGAGCGTCCCTTTGACACGATTGAGCGCAATTTCTGGGACATCGCAGCTTTCGGCTCACACTTGAAGAAACAGCACTACCTTATTTCCAGCGCAGTGCAATTCAAAAACTTACCATCAGTTACAGCTGTGAAACAGGCCTGGATGATGTTTCGTCATAAACACCCGCAAATTGCTGTCGTGCCGGATGCGAACCGCCAGCAACTGGTCTATACAGTCCCTTCACCAGAGGATCTTGACGCATGGGTCCAAGAGACGCTATCAATATATGCCGACAACGAAAGTCGCTCTGCCGAAGATCTCACAGCTGAACTTTCGCCATGCCATCTCTTCATGCTCCATTATCTTCCATCCTCGCGTGAGCTGCTTTTTCGTACGCCGCATTGGCGCACCGACGGGGTCGGCTTGATTCATCTGCAACATGAATTTTGCAGTCTCCTCGCCCAAGGTCCGTCAGGAACTCCTCTTGTGTTTGATGGCTCAGAGATATCGCGATTCCCACCCCCCATGGATAAAGTGACAGGAATCCCCCTTAAAGTCACTCCCCAGATGAGCCAGGCGGCTGACAGACAATCTTGCATGCCGGCCTCGTTCAGAGAGGCCCTATCTAGCACCTCACCAGCGGCTCCCCGACGTATAGGAACACATTTCACACGCGATGTGAGCCAGCAAATCATCACTGCCAGCAAGGCGCGAGGCGTAACCATCACAACATCCGTACACGCTGCATTAGTGAAAGCAATGCTACCTCACGTCACCGCTTCTGACGGCAGACTGATAGGTTTTGGCTCATTTGACATTCGCGGCCTTCTGCCTCAGCCGTGGAATGGTGTAGCCGGAGGAGCCGGCTTGTATCTCGCAGGCAAGCCGAGCAGCATCGAGTTCACCAATATGAAGGAATTTACCTCAATTGCTGGTTACCTAACTACTTACTACCAACGGAGAGATTTGCAGCAACTTCTAGAGTCCACGGCGGATTGTGTTTCACAGGTCGGTGCGATACTGGCGGCACCCCCGGAGGTAATGCTTGATGCGCCGGGTGCTGCTCACCCAGAACTCAGCTCACTAGGAGTTATTGAGCAGCGGCTGCCGAGTAGGTACACAGGTGCCACAGCCATACTTGAAATTGAGAACTGGTGGCTCGGTGTTGACATCATTAATCGGGTGTTGCAAATGTATGTCTGGACGCGCGATGGTCAGTTGCACCTGACATGTCATTACAACGAAGCTTTTTACGAGCGCGACTTTATCAAGCGGTTTCTGGAAGAGTGGGAAGCAGTGTTGGTCACGGAGCTGATTTTTTGATTTCAAACCTAGCATAGCATACTTAGCATGTAATAAGCTAGAAGTGAAAGTAGACAAAGTGGTACAGTTAGAAAGCAGTAAAAGTACATGATTAGAAAAATACTAACCCTTGAAAAGATGGATTGATGGGACATGAAAAAATATGTAATAGCTGCGAATAGGCTTCTTGGAGAGTTCACGCATGGGAGATGGAGTGATTTCAAAAAGGTCCCATGGGAATTGTCACTAGGGCTGTAAATGAGTAATACTCGCTTGATTTCATGTTTGCTCATACTCGTATTCGTAAATTGAGAATCTTACTCATTACTCGGCGAGCAATTTGAGCAATCCACATATACCAAGCCATGGTATTATTAGATTGGCAGTTATATCAACGCCTAGTTATTCTACTTCTACAGACAAATTGCATAGAGAGGTTCAATTAATCAATTAACTTAAGCAGTTCTGAATCTACTCTCTTGTCCAAAATGTCAGATGTTGGTCGATATTTTGATGATTCTTTTATATAAATCCTATGTTACGATTCGAAGGCGAGGATTCAGGAAAAAGGGCAAATTCATTAACAAGATGACCTATGAAGAACCAAGAAGGAGAGTATTTGCTAGGGAGCAGGCTCAGTCTATATAAGACTGAACCGTGTGAGGGCTTTCGCCAAAATCCATAGAAGTTTCAACCCAAAAAATAAGGGTACCCAAAGAAATGTGACAGGTGAAAACTGACGTATACGAATACAGTGCCGACGGAGGCATTCCGCCTCCCGTTAGAGGAACCGCCGTTCTGTTGATACGAACTCGGAACGGCTTTATGAAACGAAGTGCTTCTTACAAGTATCCTCTTGCCAAACCGCGACATCCTAGAAGAGACTGCAAATAATATGAACTGGTTATCTATTTAGTAGAATAACCATAGAGACAAGTACTTATGTATGGCAGCTGCTACACAAGATTATCTTGCAATTCCTGCATCAGAACTTTAGAAGTATCATATGAAAGAATATTTCGTATAGTTAGAAAGATGTGATTAATCATTGAAGGATTTCTCTTCATTCTCGTGATATACGTCAACTTTCTCTATTACGAGCTTCTATTCGTCACAGTTATATTAGCTAATAATATATCTATCTATTAATTTGCAGAAATTAAAACACTCGCAATAGTAGGTTACACGATTTACTCGAATTACTCGTCGAGTAATTCGAGTAGCAAGTCCTTATTCGTACTCGTAATGGTCGAGTAATTACTCGCCGAGTACGAGTACTTTTTCGTTTATTCAAGCTCGAATCAAAGCCCCAATTATCATGGTCTAATTACAGGGCAAGCAAGGCAGCAGCAATGACTACTCCTCCGCCAATGACAGCATGTGCAGTTGCGATAGGCAGAGCGCCATTTGAAGAAGAACCCGTAGTACCAGTAGCCCCAGAAGAGATCACAGAACCAGTGGCAGTGGAAGCGGCCGTCGTTGTGACAGCAGGATTTGTGGCAGGGCTGGAAGATCCAGAGGCAATCGCGGCTGAAGCAGATGAAACCAGGTTCGAATAGTCGCTTGCAGTAAACGGAATCGGGGTGGAACAGCTGGATTGTGAAGCCGTGAAGCTAAAATCGTCATATTCGCCAACACAACAATTGGGATCACCGTTACTATCGTTGTACAGATCTCCATAGCAGCACTTTCTGTCGCCCTTAGAAATAATGATGCTCCAGTTATTAGGGCAGTCACTGGCATCATTCTTCACTAGGTCCTGGTTCTATTAGCAAGTCTTCACTAGTTATGATAATTGGTTCAGACATACAACGCCTATGGCATTTGCAGCAGTGGCAAGTGCTAGGGTCGTCATAATAAGAATATTCTTGAAAGATGACATCTTAAAAGCGATTAAAGCTAGAATTGATTTTTGGAGTAGATGGACTGATTTTTTGTCATGTTTTGTAGAATTTATAGGGGGTAATGTTCCAATTAAATAATGTTCTAATTAAATAGTTTTTAGCTGTGTACAAGAAGGAAATTCAAGCTCTTCCATTTGGAGAGTAGTTTATCTACTGTCGTTCTCTTGTACAGTGAATATGCAGTAGTTTGCGATATTACTGGTTTACTGCATCTCTAGTGGCATGGCCAAAATTGAGACTAAGCTGAAAATTGAAAAGCATTCGCATATCTTTAGGTGCAAGACCAAAATTGAGACTAAGCCAAAAACTGAAAATCATTCGCATATTTTACGAGCCGAAAGAGCTAACTCTTCACTAGGCAGCGGGCTAAACTATGAGGCTTAGGTTTAATATTTACTAACATGACGGCCATACGATCACACCCTATGATTTTGGTGGACGTGATTTGGTGGCTGGTCTTCTATCACATTAAGCTTTTATATGGATGTAGAGTAGCTATGATTATTATTAGTTCCTGTGCTGACGGTGCATTACTATATTAAAGCAGCTTGTTTGGCCCCGCGCCACACTGGCTAATTGCCGGCTGCCCTACTGGTCTTGGTCAATGTGAAACTGGCGAAGCGAGGACTGAGGAATGGGAGTGGTAACCTTTCAAAAGGCTAAGAATAGCCGCTGGCCTGATGCTTTTAGAGCTGAAAATGCATTAACAGACGTCAGATATCGACATATGTACACAATGCCAGCGTACGTTGCAAGCAAGATCTGTCATGATATAAGTTAGAGACGCAAAATGTAATCCTTTGCAATAATCTTTTAATTGCTGATATAGGCATATACAGTGGATTTGTTACGGGTTTAATCCCGCCTGACTGCCTAATCTAGGTACAGTGAATTGAGCAGAAAATAAACATGGGGCAGGGGGGGGGGTAACAAGAAGATGGCGTGAATAGGGGTTCGTAGACAGAGAGCCGGAGAAGCGTAGGTCCGGTGCTCTTAAGTACGGGGGGGCATAGCCTGAGCTGCCAACCTCGCAAGCACTCGTAGACCGCCAATTTCGGTGTAGTGAGTGTTATACTCTCGGGTATAGAAGACTCTGCTGACCATTGCCCATTGGCTAATTATTGTATTCGAATAAAAAAGCAAAGGCTAAGCATGAGTTATTTAATGGAGTCTAGCTGCGTTTCATGACATCTCTCCCTCGCACTCGGTGTCGATATAGAATGGAGACATAAACATAATTATGCATTATAACTACCTACCACTTTACATGATTCTCTTTTGTACACCAGGAAGATACAGTATTGTGACTCTCAATCCAAAATACTGACTTTTGGATGGTAATCGTTGCGCATTTCCGCAAGGTGTTTCCGTGTCATCTTTTCTGTTATTCACGATAATAATTTCGTGTTGGATATTACTGGTTTTTAACGATGGTTGAGTTTACTGTTGCCAATGCTGCTGCACTTATCGTAGCGGGCTTTTTCCTAGGTATAGTGCACGATCCTATCACCATCTCTCAGCGATTCTCATCGAGAAGACAGCCCGGTAATTGAGCCCCAATATTCTCACATTAATCATGTTTAGAAGCATCGGTCACCAAAACAGTTATGCAACATGGTAGGATATCCCCGAACAGCCCCGGTTCCTAATTCTATCACCGCTTGAATTTTACCGCCAGTTCATATACAGCTGATAGAAACCAAAGTAAATAAAAAGGACCGTAGCCAACCGGATCATCCAACGGTCGCTCTGGCCTGATATTCTCCAAACCGATGCAGTGCTCACATACGGCGTCAGAGACAAAGTGATCGCTCTTATCGCAACTGATAATCGGCATGGGAGTACTCATGTCTGTCGCTAGTGTTATAACGCCGCTGGGACTGTATGACGCCACTATTCCTGGAGCCCAGGAATTGCCTTCTTTCGAATATGTGCCTGATAGATCTCCCTTCAAAATCGGAACCCTGCCAAGAAGCAGTCTTCTCTTTTCACGATTATGTGGTTATGATTACCTAGTGCCATGCCCCTTTTCTGATACAGTCATCAATATAACGGCGATTCAGGGCAAATGATTCTACAATGGTCACCGACACATATCCTTACGGCTACGACACAAACGTTCCGTCAATAGTTACAGAGATATGCTCCAGTAGGACGAACAACCAACCGACCACTCTTTCAAATTTCTTTGACATTCAATGGAGACGATATATAACTCAGATTGATTACAACCATATCATTGATAACGGGTCTACATATCTTGCGGGGGCATATCGGCCTCTGCAGAGCGTAATATTGAACAATGCCATCGAATCTGTGGAGGGGTTGATAGTTGACACCGTGAATGGGGGCATCGGCTTCCGCAATCATACCGTTCCTTCAGGTGTTTTCGCCAACGGCGGCTCCTCTCCTGGGTGGAGGATTTGCTGTTCATCACGCCGGAGACAGCTTGCGTAGACACAAACCTCACTATCGATTTTCTTATCACTCAGAGTCCAAACAGAAGCACCTTCGTTGAGAACGTCGCCTTGACTGACCCAGGGGGTTTCGTAAACCTCGGCCATCCATACCCAGAACCAAACCAAAGCAATCCTACGACAGATGCACAGCTGTGGATGCGAGCGTCCAAGGCTGAATACATGAGTAACGGTAACTCCACGTTCTACTATAACGTATCCAACCCCGCGGATGAACCAGAGGTAGGCATGAAAGCCTTCTCATATGTTGACTCCTATGTCGGCAAGACATTTCCGGTGCAGACCGCTACGGCCAGTAGTGCTTATGACTCGCTCAGCACTGACCAATACTTTTCTGACTTCTTCAGTCTGCTCCTAAACCATTCAAGCTCCCAAAGCCCACATACGAAACCGCCGCCGAATCCATTCGGCATTAACAGCACCCCGTGGCAGGATCTCGGTAAGTTAGACGCATATTGATCCTTTTCAACACGGTTGGCTTGTAGATAGATGTGTTAACGACAAACTTTTCCTTTTTCGTTTCTCCAGAGGATCTGTGCAGCCGGTACTACGGCAACGACAATACCTATATCAACAATGGCACCAATAGCCTTCAAAACCTTATCGTCACGGACATCCTTGACAAACTGTTTACTAGTGACACTGATAAACCCATCTGGGGCCTCATTTCACAAAAATTTGAGGATCATCGGAACGTGTCGTCGCTCGGTATGAGTTTCTCTATTTGCCAGGAATCAACAATAGCATTGGTATCACAAAACCTTATCTGGACGGACTATGCTGCCTCTGTTGTTACTGGGACGAAGGAAGTTCTTGGGGCTGGAAACTCTGGAGTGCAGAACACTTCAATCGCCGTGACACCCCTCGTGAGAAGAGTCTGTTATCAGCTCCTTTATGCCCTTCCGGCCCTGATTACTGGATTCATTTTAATTCTATTCTCAGGTGTTGCCTTAGGGCTGTCTGTGCTTTCTCCAATATCCATCGCGACCATCCCCGGGCAGATTAATCTCGCTTCGACGGGAAGAATACTCACCACGTGTCTGTATCCTCAACAGTGCGATATATATGCTCAAGTCGTGAATGGAGCAGAAGCATGGGTAAAACCATTGTTGAATTTCCAAAAGATCCAAGCTATGGGGTGGAATTGAGGTCTTACATTTTTAGAGCTCAAGGTTATAAATCTAACATCGGGGAGCAAGTTGCGCTTCTCGCGGAACAGACGACTGAGGGAAAGTAGTCAATCGGCAAGGATATCGTATATATATGAGAACGTTAAATATGATCTGTCCTTAAATAAGAATTGAATGACGCCAATCTGGTCGGCATGAGCCGCAACACTAAAAATAATAGAAGCTAGATGGTGCAGATATGGGTATGGCACAGCCCATGCTCAGGGAACAGAAACTAACGAAGCTAACATGATCAAGGATAGATAATGACGGAATTTTGCTGCAGGTTGGCAGACATGATAGCATGATAGTTGACAATGAGTTAGACGTCTTCAGTAATCGACGTTATCAATTCTTCGACTTTGTTTCCTCTGCCGAGTCTTCGTAGAATCATAAATAACGTTTCTATGTACCGCTTTAACCAGGTATCACCTTTTCAAAAATTCTTTTTAGATTGGAAGCTTTTTTCTTATAAGTATTAAGACTCTTGTCTAATGCTTCATATATACCTTTAGGGATTGAGCTCTGTTTCAGTTCGAGTTGGCTTTTACAGGTTGCGAGAGTGTAAAGAATGACTGGGAGCTGTCGTCGAAAACAACTCTCAGACGTGATTGCTCGCGCATTAGTTCGTCTTTCAAGGACTCTGCGAGTGTCATCAAATTGGAGACGATGATACGAGGCTGAAGTCCGAGGTTTTTGAACGAAATTTGGACATTCACTGGTTTCCGCCATTCGGGATGAATTACTGATTTTAGCTGAAGGGCTAAGCCATCCGTTCAGGGGGAGGGCGGCAATGGATTCAGGACAGGAAATGCAGCAAAAAAGTGTGAAAAAACAAGAAAACAAAAAGTAAAATTTATATACAACAGCTATAACATGATTTTGCTCACTATTATTGTAAATAGACGCTGCCACTTTAATTCAGGCCATTCAGAGCTTACTGGCTCGTCACTGCGTACCACAGACCACAACCCTATACGACATGGAGCCGGTCAACAAATTGTAAGATGGAGATACGTGACACAGCAGGTAAATATTTCAGAGTAATAAGTTTATTTTCAGAGTCGGGATTTGCAGTTTTGGATGTGTCTCGATTGACTCCGAATTTTGCCGACCGCAAGCCGACTTACTCGACTATCAAAATACCCGTCGGTTATTTACGACATGAGATGCCAACTGTTTTAAAACAAAATGTGGAGATTCTGCCGGCTGGGCGACAAAGCACTATGCCCACTATATCCTTACAACTCCTATACGGGTAAAGTCGATAATTTCTATTGGTTCCGCGGCCTTAGTGCTATAAATCCTCCTTTTATTCAAGAATCGCGCGATGGGAAATCTCCGTGAGTTATCCCATCTTGCCGGTGTTTGAAAACAAATTAAATTTATCAGCCAAACTATTTTTGACTATGATTTGTGGGTCCTACCCATTGGAACTGTCAACATTGATGCGGAAGACTGGCACTCCGTGAGAAATGAAGAGGTCCTGCGAATTTAGCGGACCGTTTGTGAAACTTGCATAATATATATACACCACAGATGGGTAATACTCTAAGTAGAATCATCTTTTCCACATAATACTTTGACCTTATAGATGAAAGTGTAGATTCTATTTAGAAGTATGCTTTTCTTAACCGTCTTGACTGTGGCTCTTGCCTCAGTGGGTGAGGCCTTCGTCCATCCCGGTCTCCTCCAGAGCTCAGCGGACTTCGACCGGATTAAGAAGAATATTGCTGCAGGCAATCAACCATGGGTGGCAGGCTATCAGAAGCTTCTCAGTAGTGGATTTGCAACTCCCACATACCAACCAAACCCAGCTCCAACTATCTACCGTGGGTCAGATGGGGTTCATGCCGACAACTGCGGTCAACTTTATGTTGACGTTGGCGCCGCTTACGCCCTGTCACTTCTTTGGGCTATTACTGGAGAAATTCAATGGGGCGATGCTGCAATCCGTGTTCTTGATGCGTGGTCTTCAACATTAGTAGCTCTTGGTGGAGATACTGATGTATTTCTTGCAGCTGGAATATATGGCTATCAGTTCTGCCAATCTGCAGAGATCATGCGTGACTACTCTGCTTGGACGGGCTTTAGTCGATTCCAAGACATGATGGTGAACGTATTCTATCCTACGATCAATGACTGGTTTGTTGGTCATGAAAACTGGGGGAGCTACTCATCAGGCGTATATCCAGGCTGGGACCTTTCCATTATTGCTGGAGGGATGTCGCTAGGTGTTCTAATGGATAATGAAACCATCTACAACCAAGCTGTAGACTGGTTCTATAATGGTACCGGTAATGGGCAGATTAACCGCGCTATTCCATTTGTCTATTTCTATGACGACGAATGGCTGGCTCAGCCTATGGAGGTTGGTCGGGATCAAGGTCATACCATGCTTGATATAGCACTACTGGGGGTTATTGGCCAAACCTCATGGAACCAAGGGCTCAATCTTTTTGGATACAATGGTAGTCTGATCTGGGCCGCGTAAGTCCTGCCTCCTTTCATAACTGAGCTGTATGGTATCTAATTTTCTGTGCTAATACCTCTAATTCAGGGCTGAATATGTCGCAAGATATAATCTTGGATATGACGTCCCATACACAGATTATAATGCTTGGCCTATTGAGCTTCCTACCATAAGCAATTCTAGTCGGGGGAATATCCGTCCAATATGGGAGCTGCTTTACAATCATTATGGTGTCGCACAGAATTACAATGTCACTTGGACAAAAAAATACCGTGACTTAGTTGTGTCGGATGGTGGTGGCGCAGAAGGAGGCAGTGGAGATTATGGCACTGGTGGTGGATATGACCAACTTGGCTGGGGTACCCTTCTTTACACACTCGAAGCAAGTTAGCTAAGCTCCGGTTTCCCCTGTAGCCACCACCAAGTCAGGAACCGGAGTTCTCATGGTCGACGTAAGAATGTAGGCGGCGGAGGATAGGGCAAATATGAGCCGCCCATCCGGCCGCCGTAGCTTCTCCCGTTGGTGGCGTTATGGCTTTGGTGTGGAGACTGGCATTACGTGTGCTGTGCGCAGTACCTACAGTGATATTTGCAGAGAAACAACTCCGCCACTAATAACATCGTCCTTGTTACTAATGCCTATTCGATTTCAATTGCTCGTGAAGCACCTTCATCGGCTCCTGGCAACGAGAATATCGTCTCTCTTTTCTTTAGTAATAGTATAAATTTCTCTTTTTGGTTTGATTGTCACAAACACGATCCCCTGCCATGTGCTGGCCCCTGGATCTCTCTCCGATTAACACAAAAAATTGCACCCATGGCCCGTGAAAAAAGGACAGTAATCTTCAAAATAGAAAAGAACATCTATTTGATGTCGTCGCGAGGCGCTATCTCAAATCACTCCACTTTCTATCCTGTTTTCACAGCAGCCCAATATTGCATTAACTCGCGTAAGTATAGCATAAAAAGTCCGCCTCCGTTTTCCAAACATCAGCAAGAGTTGTGCCCCCGGCTAAGATCCCATCGGTTGGAAGCACCGATTTCATTGATAGATAGGGCGGTGCACCATTGGGATATTCTAAATACGATGCGTAAGTCGTTATATTCTGGACGCTTCCACCAAAGAACGCATTTGTGTTATTAGGGTGCGCATTTTGCCATTTCCACCACACTCGGTCGACCATCTGTATTGTGTTAGAGATAAGCGTGTAAGGTGGGCCTGTAAGGTGGCTTGAAAGGGTGCTTACCGCATGGTGCATCCAGAAAAGGGGTTCATTAGCAGAAAAGGTGGGACTAGGCTCATTCTCAAAACAAGACTCAGAGGCATCTTCAGGACAATAACCCGCAAGATCGCTACGCCAAACTCATTAGCATTATTATCCAACACCGGAGTCGCAGAACCCACCCTCCTAATATCTCATGCACACTACCATGTGGACCCTCGAAGCCCTCGATAAACCTTTGAAAGCCTTTATAGTCACCGGTATAATTGGCAATCGCGGCATCAATGACCTCAGGTGTAAAAGTGGCATTTGCATCCAAGTCTAGTTGCGGGAAAAAGTCGCCAGCACTTGCGAAATTGATGTATGGCTGCAGAGTGAAGTTTCGGCGCAGCCCATGAGATACAGGGTATGCAAGGGTGAAGTTGGAGGAAAAGCCGCCTGTACCGACGACGAAGTCGTTATCGGATATACCTACGGCTTGGCCAAGCCCCGAGATGTTGTCGTCTGACCAGATACCAGCCTCAAGAACGTTGGCGGAATCTAATAAAAGTATTAATATTCGGGAACTTGTAGGGACTGAGGGAGTAGGTACCGATGGTCCAGTCCCAGTATGGTGCTACCCCATTATAGTCACAGCGGCTCTTCAAGGCTTGGGTATATGACCAAACGAAGTAGCGATGGAAAGGGAAGAAGAGACCTGCGAGATTATCATACTAAGCAACATGCTACAGTGACAATAAATTTTGGGGTGTTCACCCGTGAAGTGGATAACCGGATTAAGATCCGAATGCACATATGCATAGTCATCGTAGTATGAGCTGTTTGATGTGATATTGGCGAAACTTTCGGCAAAGTCGCCGACTGAAGAATACAGAGAATCATCGTGAGGGAGATGCGCCATGCACTAATCAAATAGACATGGTCAATTATCTAGAGAGTACAGAAGGACGTCCAAACACTCACCTTGACAGCATCGATCCAGGTAGTTTTCTCTGCCGTTGTAAACTCCCGCCATTCTCGTCGAACTTCTATGGAAGAACAACCCCCCCAAGCCGTCGAGGCGAAAGCAGCAAACACGTATATTGGTATAAGCAGTGTCATCTTCTACGAAGAATAAAATAAAATGCGAATATGGATGACAGTAGATATCCCTATCAATAAAATATTAAACAGAAAGACAGAAGTGTATCACATATATATGTCTATATTCTATATTCAAATCTAGTAGGAGACAGGGAAGTATCTTCTTTTCAATGTTTTTTCCATTGGCTGGGCGATCAATGCTTAAGAGGGTCAGGGAGGCTGCGAAGTGGAGTGTGTAGCTTACGCAGAGGACCACAAATAGAAGTTGCCGTACGTCAGCTTCAATCATGTCGCATGGGAGAACTTCAGCCCAGTAGCAGCAGCGCATCGACATCTGTGGGGTGCAATTGAACGATAAGAGACGAGTCATTAAGCCTGGAAAGGAGACTATGCTCTTGCAAGTTTAGCGTGATATTCAACAAGGTACGGCAACATGGCCAAACAATAATAATATGGTTGCGAATCGTGAAAATCTCAAATTCAGGATATTCCGTTCCTATTTGCTAAAAGAGCATTGAGGAGTCTGCTAGGAGGATGGTCCCTATAATTCGGGATATATCATGTGTACGTAGATATTTACCGAGAAGATAGCGACGTAAGCTTGCCAGGGTCCAGCCGGTGGAAACATAGCCTTGCGGAGAAGGTCCACAGTCGCGTATTTGCTCTGTGGATAGTAACGCTTATCTGATGCCTAAGTGCTGCGGGACGGTATCTATATTTGTTTATGCAAGACATCAGTACCACCCGTAGTTTAGTAAAGATTTCTTATCCGCTGATATAGAATTAATATCGTCTAGTACTGCTATTTTGTGCAGTCTTACGCGGCGCCACGTTTCCGTTGATCCATATATAGTGGATATTCTGCAAGGCACACTTACAAGCATATCGTACGATTGGCCTGGTATTGACCCGCTAATAAAATGCTAATCTGTGAAGCTGATAGAAGCATCGCTGTTTGATTGGTTTTTTCTAAGCTTGTGTGTGGTGAAGATCCTACCGAGGCATGTTTTGCTGTCAATCCGGTGGTCTATTTAGGATAGAACAATAGATATGTAAGAGAAAAGTCTGTGTGCAATGTAACGGACAAATGCCATACGTAGATATAGCTTCTCGCCAATCAAGACACAGAGCGAGAGGATGTGAGAGCATATAACAACATTTAGAACACAAAACGTGGACGTATTTAACCCTGGACTTGAAACAAGAAGTGCGAGAGATAAGTAATAGCTTTGATTCATAATTTGTCCCTGACAGATTTGGTTCGTGTTCGAAAAATAAGCTTCTTATTTAGACGAGATAATATAAGATGGCTAGGCTACATTGTCTCCTAAATGAGGTAGTACTAGTCTTTTGGGCACAATTTCTTCCCAATATGATCATTACTTCTGGTATACTCGGTACTGATGGTCCAGCAAGTAGCCAATGAAGGCAATGATAACTCCCTTGTAAACTCGTTTTTAAATGCTTTTTCTTTTCACTGACGGCAATATTCTCAATAAAAGATAAGCAAAAGCCAGGTTCGAGCTATAGGTATTGGGATACTTACGGAATTTAAGGAGAAAATGTCAAAGTTAGTTGACAGTCGCTTTGGAAGTATAACGTGCACGTCGGGCTACATCTTGAACCAGGTCGACCCCTAGCATATTCTGACTCAGGGCTGACGGTCATTTGACTGGGCCAGAACAACAATAAGATAATAAAAACATAATAAAACATACAACAGCTGGGATTCGCTGGTGGTCACCCACCCAACTACTAACCAGCCGGCGTGTGGCTTAAGTACGGCTGAGCGGACGGGAAGCCCTGTTTTCCACACCCTATGGTCGTATGTATCAGAGATCACTTCAAAAGGTTTGATAAATACAAAAAGGCAATCGACCCAGTGAAAAAGCCAGATGAGAAGGGTGAGTGCGCAATAGACAAGGTGAGAAACAGGATAAGAATATCTATATTCAATATAAGAGTAGGTGCCGCCTAGTAAGGATCGGGTGATCACCGCTTTACCATCGCGCGGCTGGGGTCACAGTGTGAGCGCGAGAATCACCTTCTGTTCCCGATCGCCCCACACATATACTAATCTACAGTAACGCATAGTTAATCATCTCTCTAAAACAGAAACGATCATGGTCGTGGCATTAAGTATGATATGCCTAAAACAAATCAGTCTACGCTTAGAGTAAACCGTATGTACGTTTACCCTTTGACGAACGTTCGTCGCGATTGACGTTCTGTAAGCTATATAACGTATACAAAAAGACCGTAATCACTACTTTCACAAGAACGTTGAAACGGTAGAGCGAGATCTGACAACTAACCTTATCTCTACCAGTCTCGTAAGCGGTGCTAAATGCTGATGAAAGAGTCTTCCCTAACCGAGGACAGAGTTTATTTTGGTGGTGATGGCTCTTATTTCCACAAGAGGCAAGAAAAATAAGTGACAACGAGAATTATGTGCACAAATGTATCATAGAAGACTCATTTTGCAGTCCGCTTTATAGAGCTACAACGTTAATATTAGAATAATTTAAATAGTGCAAGTCTTGCCATAACGTTCTGCCTCTTCGAGTGCGTTCCTTATTTGCTTGTGGAGAGACTTGGGGACGTAGGATGGACGAAAAAGCTTTGTAAAGAATCGTCCGACATTTGACCTAAAGCCAGCTGTGACCCGTTACCTGATTTGATGCGCTTGACAGAAATGAGGTCTTTGAGAGTTGTTACCACTGCTACCCTGCTATTGTCTCCTGCAGTGACGTCCTCATAGTAGTTTGTGCGTGGCTGATGCGCTTCTTTCCCTACCCGCTTACAGAACTCCAATAAGTCTTCAATGCCTTTGACTTCTTCCTGAAAAATCTGTTGCTCAGTGCTGAGTCCATCACTCAGCAGTGGAATATCAAATCGGGTTACTGGAAGTTGTTTATCAACCTTGAAAAGATGCTGCATTAGTTGAATTTTCCACCTAGTAAATTCTTTGTGCGTTGAACTCAACCCCTCCTCATTGATCAAAGAAGATTGCGAGGGTATATCACGAAAGTGTCCCTGGTAGGATTTCTCAGGAGCACTTTCTAGGTCTCCTAGCAGGCTAGATCGTGACTCTTCCATGAGAGCCAGAAAGTGCTCACAGATATCAAGGCTCTTCTGAGTACTTTGCTTCTCGTCTTCCATTCTTTGGAGCTCCACTGCATCGACTTTTGTGATTCTCGAGCCGTCAAGTGACATGGTCTCCAGTCTTGCTCGAATGTCCTGTAGATGACTTTCTAGATCGCATTGTGTATTCTCAATGAGCTCCTTATATTCTGCGAGGACAGTTTCCGTAATATTTGTTTTTCGACTGCATGAAGAAATATTAGCACCGCCAGCATGGTTAAGAAGGGGTATGCAGAACGAACGTACAGATTCGCATATGCAAGGGCGATTGCTATTGTTGATTTGTATCCGGCTACCATGTCCTTGAAGCCTGAAATATCTTTACCCATATACTGTAGCTTCGCCCAGTCTCGCTTACTATAACGTTTGTCCGAGGAATTTTGTGTACATTGAGTAACTAGTTTGTTGAAGTCGGTACAAGCACTGGCACATCTCTCAAGAGGTCGCTTGAGGACCGTAATATCGACGTCAATATTGCCGAGTAACAACTGCAGCATCTGCAGGACTTCCTGGAGATCTTGTAATTCTTCTCGAAGTTCACGAATGAGCTTTTCCCGAGACTGAAAGCTTTTTACAGTCTGAGAGAGAAGGATGGTGGCCTCGAGGGCCAAGGTCACAAAGGTTGTGATAGCAGAGGCAGTACCAATCACTTCCGCCGCCATGGTAGAGGTGTAAAAATATTTGTAAGAGAGATGAACGTGTAGAATGAACAACATCCAACAACTGTTAGGAAATGTGAATATATATAACAGTCCATAGGGACTAAGCGCACCGAGGGATATGAAATTATTATCCACATGAAAAGGTACCTGACCTAACGAGTCATACTGGCGCTGAGGCCACCAATTGACAGACGTAGCATCGTCTTCCCCTTACTCTCGACGTTTCCAAGTGTTTCAAATATACAAGTTGTTAAGATGTGATAAAAAGTCTAATCACCACAGCAGTCACAGTAGGAGCTCAAAGTCCTACATTCCTTATCATTTAAGCGCCCGTCTACTCCATTGCCCCAAGATCAGCAAAGGCAATAATTCCGAGTTAGAACCTAACTTCTAGAAAAATTCTCGTCATCTGAGAGATTATACACGCTGTCACTGGATTTTCACGACCGAAGAGAGGCCTGCTGGCGAATTCCTACAGAGCAGATGTTGTGGCATGATTGAGTACATAGGAAAGCTTAAAAGGCGTCCTTGGTATATGTATATAACGAACATGTTTACTGGTAACATGTTGACTCATCAAGCCAGGATTCATAAAATTTAGATAAAGGTAAAACAAACCACTTCAGCCGGGTGTCTTTTCTCAAATGAGACCCCTCTCAAAAGCTTTAGCAGGGATTAGTCTATCAATCTGAATGACAGGGATGTTTCACATAGCCGCCGGTTATGAGAATTGCGTAACATGAGAACCCAAGGTTTAGAAAGTGAAGACTCCAAATTAATAGATTCACAGAGTATTTTTTAAAAGAAGTCGCCTATATCCATTTCATAAGGTTAGAGTTTATTACAATATGTTTTAAGCGAGGTAAGGCCTATCAATCCAGAAGAGCCACATATTATGAAACGCAGTGTGTAAAAATAGTAATTAGTTACTAATTTTCGACAAACAGAAAACGTACGATGGAAAAGAACGCCTAATCAACAACGAAAATGACCGATGCTCACCAGCCAACCAACCAATCCCGCGAAACGTGTAAGCGCCGATTCCATAGCTACGTAGTACCCTAGCCGCCACCTAGAGGCTGATACGAGCTAACGCCTTTTCCGCGGGCCAACATGATTACAAGCCCTGTGAAGGCTCATAGGGCGCACTTCACAATTGCATTACCAAGTTCTTTAAAAGAATCAATGGAGTACATAAATACTCTACGTGTCATTTACCGCAGATTGTCTTCCGAGTCTTTATCGACTTAATTTATACTATTTAACCATTAAAAGCAAAGCTCTCAGTGACATTTTTAGAATAATAAAATATTCATCGCGTTGTTGATTCTATAAGGTTGAATTTATGAGAAAGCATATCACTAGTTCTATATAGTAATAGTTACTCCAAAACCTTTATACAGAATCCTCAACTATATTGTGGACGAGACGAGCGTGTTATCACCTTGCTTGTCAGGAAAGTAGTTGGAAACTGGGGGTTGGTAACCAGGACGGTCAAGATCATTCAAATCTACTGCCAACGAAGAGAAAATACAATGCTCTTCTAGAAAACTATTGATCCTCGTGCCAAAAGCTGACTGCGCCCCTTATAGACCTAGGTAAGCGGCTTCCTGGTCACAGAAAAAGATGTCAAGAAGCTATCAACTTACCGAGCGGCCTAGGTTTGAACAGGCGATCCTATCTTTAATGATGTACGAGAATTGTAAGAAGACATCCATCTTTATGTGTGAAAAATTTAGTTTATCCTTTTTATCACAATACAAATAACATTTAAACACGAGTATACACCGCCAATTCTGCGTGTCCAGAGGTCGTTGCAAAAATAAATTGGCTTTGGTGCTCACTATTGATCTGACCAACTAGGAACTTAGGAACTTTTAATATCTTGGACTTTCTAACTGCAATATGGGTCCCTACGCTTGTACTGAAATCCACGTTGCCTTCTACGTTTCCGGCTTCCCCTTTTCCACTCACCCCGATTCACCCTCATCACCGCGACTCGCTTTTAAAGCGGCATCGTGACAGAAGGCTATTTCAATAATTAACCTTAGATATAATTCTTGCTTAAGGACGGCTGAGCGGACGGGAAGCCCTGTTTCCACATCCTATGGTCGTATGTACTTACTATTTTATTTTATAGGATTATATGGAAACAATGTTTGTGATCACTGCATTCCGCGTACATTAAAATCACAGTACCACCGTGAATTGGGTGAATGTGCTATAGATGGGGTGAGCCACTCACACTACTCGCCTGGCGTTGCTGACCTCCCCCTCTTACTATTTTTGCTGTATGCGATCGGGCATTGGCTACTCCCCCTTCATTTCAAATATTGGTGCACTTGGCAGTCTAGCCTAGCGAATGAAGGGGAGCGAAACGCTGCTGGTTTGATGTAATACGTTCACCGGTTTAGTGTTTTGAGGGAAAAACTTTGCATTAGCGCGATCAGCTGTACACTGTATTTATAAGAGAGCTCTTGTCGCCCAGAAGTGTCTCTGGAGGATCACGCAAAAAATATAGAGTTTAATGTCAATATATACATGTTTCTCTGATCTGGGACATGTGAGTTCCATAGCTGGTTATTAGTCCTATGTACCCGTATACAATTCAAGAGAGGAATTCCAGATGTACGTACAATGCTGCATACAGTGCAGCCTTGTGTAGAGTTCAAGAAAGCCACCATAATAAGCCTTAGCGTAGCCTTGCTTCCAACAACTCAACCAATGTCCCCATGCCACATAGTTACCTACGTAGTTACCTCATATTAATTGGATATGATTAACATTCATGACTGTCATCTTGCTTTTCTCCGATCTCAGCCTTGTCATGTCGGAGCGGATAAAACCTGCACACAGAGGAGGGAAATGGAAGAAAGAAATGGGACGTAAAGTCGGCTCTATAGACCTCGCTGCGGTGTCTGACAAAAAAAAAAAAAAAACAAACAAAATAACGTCGGGTCCTGGCATGAATTGAAGCACTGCTACATTATTTCCACGAGGAAAGATTCGAGAGCAGAGTTCGAGCTGATTTTTGATCCAATCGGAAGATCGGAGTCTAGATCCGGCATTTGGTATTCTCGACCATTTCGTGCCATTAAACGCAGGCTCTCGATACACATGGATCTCTCATTGAACATATCCGGTGCTGGCCCACTCAGCCAAATAGGCCTTCATATCCTCAATTTTGACACTGCTGTCCACTTGGCTTCTGGAGCGGTCGGGTGGTGGAAATCGCGCAACCGATCCATGTCCCTGATTGAATCTATATCAGCCAGTAAAGCATCCATTGTGTGCGCCAGCAATTTTAACACTGTTAGTTATCGAGAGCGAAGGAGGCAGGTTGGTCTTGTGAGAGGGCTTGCGGTCCAGCAAGATGATTTGTGTGCAATTCCTGGAAGCATAGAACAGACCGCGGTATCTAATGACTCAGGCATCGATTGTATGAGGGCGATGACGACTGGTCTCCTTTGCTTCTACCATGTCCAAAAAGTCACCGCCATTCTTGCAGAAATTATTCCGTTCGGCATGCTACATCCAGATCACGACGATGAAGTTCCCGTGTTTGAAGGGCCTCTTCTTTCTAGTCTTCGAGACTGGGTCATCTCTGTGGCTGCCGAGGAAGACTGCAATACCTACAGAAACCACCTGTTGCAGTTGGTTTCTAGTGCACAAGATGCGTTAATTGGTGCTGAAGTAGTACATGCTGAGCATTTCAATAACTCCACAGATGACTCAAATCATATACTTGGAGTCCTAAGGTGGATGGTGACGCCACTACATAAGCGGAATGAAACAAGGTATCCCACACGCTCTTTCCACGTATGGAGAATAGCGGTCGTCATGTCTGAACTGGGATTTGATATCTCAGCGTCCCTGGAGTTAATTTTTTCATCTTTCCAGTATAAGCATTTTCTTAGCGATACGGAAAATTCTAGCCGCTACTCTGATGTTGCCCTTGTTACAACTTCTGTGGGTGAGACTGATCCTTGGATGTTTCAGCGGGTGCATACGGATTTTCTTAGGTTGCGACCGCAAGTGGTGTCCATACGCAGCATACCCCATATATTATTCAGCCGTATCGCCATGAACGATGCTGACGTGACACCAGAGGAGCTAGTTGAGATGTGGAATATTTCATTTGACTTTGCCAAAAAGGCTGTGGGAGTTCCATCCCTCAAACGAGGAGGAAATGTTGAACTTCCAGTTGCCAGGGACTTGGAGCTTGTACGAGAAAATCATAAGCATCTTATTGGGATATGGTCGACTCACATGTCACGGATCCTCCGCCCTGCGATGGAGTTATATATCCCGGCGTCTTTTGGAGATCCATCATGGTCTCACACGGAACTTCTAGCCTACTTCCAGCGCCAGAGGAACGGCGACCCAGCAGCTTCTGAAGACCGAGAAGTCAGACGCAATGTGCACAAATTATCTGCCATCCTTTTGGGATCTATATACGGCGCCTGCGTGCAGTCTTTAATTCCAATGAGAGACGCAGATGGAGAAGCAAGTCCGTCCGATTCCCTGCAGCTCGCATTTACGCCGGAGAATATCATCTCGGATAAGCTGTTCCAGTGGACAGCGTCTCTCGGCCTCGCACTAAGTGGACTTTTGGAATCAAGCAGATGGACTGGTCTTCTCCTTGAACTTGCCACGGGCATCGAACATACCCAACCTTTAAATGAGCAACCTTCAGCTGGTCTGCTTGGACGCAGACTAAATATTACCCCCAGTCACGATGGCATCTTTCAAGAATCTCATCTAAGAGTTTCAGATATTTTCGGAGTGCAAGCGAACGGAGTGTTTGCTGTTTCTGACTTTGTCGTTCGACCATCGACAAATGCAGACAGCGCCTTAAAGTTCCACGTTGGAATAGGTCGAATTCTGAACCTACCAATAGATGGCTCGGGATATCTCCGGACATCCCAAATAAACCCGGCCGGGATGGAGCTGCCGTTGAACCCTTCGCCTCAGTTAGAGATTCTATCGAGGCAATGCGGTGCTGCCAGCATACAAGATGCCTTTCGGATTGACGCAGAACCTGACTGGAATGTGAATGCGCAGACCATTTGTTTTGGTGTTCGCCGCGCAGGTATTTTGATTTCCATTTTGAATATTTCGCAAGTCTTGGAGAGACTTTACAATAGAACGGTTTCCTGCACATGTGGGGAGCCGCAAATGGCAGTGACCGTTCCACTGTCCGAGCGATGGCAGGAGGTCACAGTCTATCAATTTCTTCGACCAAGTTACCCTGGGGGTTCGAAATTGGCTGCGTATATCAGGGACGAGGACAAGATCATTGTAAACGTGGAAGGGGATGACATGAAGCGGATTTTCATTGTGGGGACTTTACAATGCAGGAAGTTTGCTGTTTGTAAGGATTGTATTCATTGCGCCTACAACAGCATCAGAAATAAGGACAAGAAAGAAAGTGCTGCTTTAATTGTAGGATAAGGAGTTGGATGGCATATTTTTAAGTTTGAAGATCAAACGACTGGAAAATGGCTTTTGCAAGTTTCAATTCAGATAAACTTCTTTATATTCTGATAGGTATATTGTAATCTTATAAACCGACAATATGCTAAGCTCTGTAATTTGGAAGTGTATACCAAGTTGGCTTTCTGGAGATAAAAATAGTAAGCACCCAATATGAAACATCAAGGCTGACTGGAGCTTTCCTTACCTGTAACTATAACAACTCTTTCTAATGAACAAATCTTATTGTCTTGAATCGCCATGGGGGTTGCGTACTGGCAATGATTACCCCTCAAAGATAGACGTTCGCAACTGCAGAGCTGAGTAAGATTAGCACCAAGCTAAAGTAAAAACCAAAGCTAAAATAAAATGTAAGGCCAGGCTAAATAAAACGAAAATACAAATAAAACGGTGCCTCCCTTCCTGTCGTTAGTTTTTACATTAATTATTGTTGTTATTTCACAACTTCAAGACCAGCTATGAAATTGCCGCTTAGAGATGTCCGCCTGCAACCCGAAGCTTACTGAACCTATCAAACCCAGTTTCACAGCTGCAGGGGAAAATGACTCTTAAACACCAGAAATAAAGAGGCTAATTAATTCGCTTCATATGCTAAAACATCCCGAACGCGGCTCTTTCGCCGAAACCGATCGTGACACTCTTCGCATCCCAAATCCCTTCCTCACGAAGCAACAAAAACATGCTGGAGGACACGTTGTATACACAGCCAAAGCCGAGTGAGAAGATACCACAAGATCAGCCATGACAACCATTTTCTATCTGTTAACTCCCAATAGTCCCAAGGGAAGGTTCCATGGAAACAAAAGTAGAATAGTGCATACGTTACCCAAGGGTTGAGGGAGATATGTTCTTATTCACACGGACGAGGTCAAGCACGTAGAGAAAGCGAGGGTAGAGGCTTTTGTTGTTGGCCAGGATATTGAGAATGGGGAGAAACCACAGTTGATTGTTGAGGGGGATATATACAAAGCGAGTTACCTTTTTGCCAGATAACGAAGATTCTGATAAGAGCAAGGACGGATTGTTGATAAGCGAGGTGAGTTGACCCATGTATTTCTTCCGAGCGGATCTTTGTCTGGTATTAGAGATCTAGACAGTGGTGCCAGGATTTGAGTTCACTGATCATAACTTCATGCCTGCTGATGTTCTTCCTAAACTGGTTGAGGTGAGGCAGGTGAAGAAAATTCAGTGGCTACAATCAAGTAGCTATCCGACAATCTCCCAAGGTGTTAGGAATGACAAGAATACGGACTAGAAGAAATTACAAGAGTAGTTAATTGTCAATATCCGGTTTGTTGTGGAAGGAAATCTTGTTCTCCAATCACAGTTTCTTCGCCGCCGCTCCTTTGGTCTATTGCGACAACCCTTTTGTACGGTATAGAACTGAGCCTAGACCCGGTCTATATTGGAACAGTCCGATAGGGTGGTCTTTTAATTGCATTGCGTTGTCTGAATTGATCTAAAGAATGGTTCGGGATTACGTCAACACTCTACAGCATCTAAACTTTTTATGACCTCACCACTCCTGTAGACGCGGATAAAGGCTGCAAGCGTCGAAAAAGTCTCATGTTGACTTAATAAAATCGTGTGGCCAAACAGATAATTATGTAACTATAGGATATTGCACGAGCTAAATATATATAACAAACTACCTCGAACACGCCGGGAGCGCTTTTTAGTGAAATATACTATCACTATCAGTGCCTAGGAACACATTAACCCTGAAACTAACTAGAAGCATATGAACACTGACGTGACTTCAAAATATCTCACAAAACCACCATGGCGATATCTTCAAACACAATGCGCGGCATCAGTTTGTTTTGCCGCGTTATAGAAACCATCAGTGCGCTTATTGTCTTGGGTATAACCGCATGGGCAGTCGAAACGTCCAAGACAGTGACAGTTATTTATTCATTGGTCATCGTATGTTGTCCACTCTTGGTTCTCTTAACAATTTTCAATCCGAGCTGATCGAAATTTAGGCCTGTCTCACTGTCTTCTACGCCCTACTCCTGTTCGTTTTTGCATTTTTCTCGTCAAAGAAAACCATTTTTCATGTCATCAGCACTATGATAGACTTATTTCTGGCATTCTTGTAAGTGACGCTTGTCTTTAGGAGGAAATATGAACCAAAAATCTAATACAACGCCGTGTTGGGCAGCTGGATCGCTGCATTTGTCCTCCTAGCAAACAACTTTAACGATACTGGTTGTAGGGTGAACCATTGGCATGGAATCTTGGTCTGCTCTCGACAACATACAGTTGAAGCATTTGCATTTATTGCATTGTACGTCAAAGAGGTTTAGCCTGTTGCCAATTTTTTGGGGTAAATGGGTATACTAATTTTCATTATTCAGTTTCTTCACTCTTGTGGCCGCGATATTCAGTGCCCTCACAGTTTATGCGATGGCGAAAGAACGCCGAGAGGATGAACCACCACACAGAGAGAAAACTGCTACACCTAGTACAGTGGCGGAAACGATCCCAGAGACACATGCCAGCACCGAGCAGACAGTGAATAATGTTGTCTGAAACCGAGCATGATACTACATGTGAGTGGAAATGGAATGAGCTTGTCGTTCATTTAAATGGAAATTTTTATTTTGATTGGTCAAAATATATCTTGATATGATTAAAATAGCAGCAATAATGTCAAACAGCAAGTATTTAACTTTTCATCATCAGTGTAAAGTAGGTATGACTCATGCCTGATGGATGGATGCCTGGAATACGAAGAAACAAGAATCAAGTTTTGACAGTCACTGATTCATAGTTAATTATTAACTGGTCAACTAATAATTATTACCTAGTGGAGAAGAGCAACACTAAACTTAACTGAGAAAGAACGACGTTATGAATTACTACGAAACTAGCAACATTGCGGCGCGTCTCCGAAGTTCCTGCAACATGGATACCAAAGTAACGCGGGGAAACTATTAATTGTGAAAGAGAAGTATAAGATATTGATATTAACCTGTAGCGATGTTTAAAAGCCTGGGTTAAACGATGAAGATTAGGTGGGTAGTAGCAAAAGATGGCATAGTCGGCCCACACGCCTACTGTCGTCATTGGATTGGAAATTCCCTTGATATGACTAATTTAGTATCACCTGACTAGGCACTTTATGGTATGCCTAAACTGTGATTTGGTAGCGAGCGAACCACAGCTTTGGGACGTCCAAGAACAAGCTTTAACGCTAGCCCTATGCAGATATCACGAGTTGCTCGTTTGGAATACGAGATGTGCTGCTGTTGTGATTTAGCGGTGAACTACAAACACGAGATATTGTTAGTATTATTAATCAAGTTTATATCCAAGCTGAAGTGACACGAGCTATAAAATGAGTGTGTATCTATAACCGGATATCACTCTGCCAGACATTCTAACATGGATGAGAAACAAAATCATAGCAATCCAGATGGATACGAGATGCCGCCACCAACAGATCAGGTATATACTAGTACGGCGAATGATAAGATAAAAAGTGAGAATGAAGACGAGGGCAGCGTTAGCAATGGCAAAGAACCGCCGGAAGAGCCTGATCTGGAATATCCAAGTATCTTAAAGGCGGTTATTATCATCGCATCTCTGTTCCTGACTGTTTTCCTGGTGGCCCTGGACCAGACCATTATCGGAACGGCAATCCCCAAAATTACAGACCAGTTTCATTCTGTCGGCGATGTGGGCTGGTATGGGAGCGCATATTTCCTAACATCAACGGCCCTGCAGCCGACATACGGGCGTATTTACAAGATTCTCAATGTATACTGCATACATTTTGCCTGGTCTAGATAGATTGACTGACATACGGTTGCTAGGTCAAATGGGCTTTCTTGGTGGCAATATTTGTGTTCGAGTTGGGGTCGTTAATATGCGCTGTAGCCCCTAATAGCCCGACCCTCATTGGAGGCAGGGCTGTAGCTGGCTGTGGAGTTGCAGGCATATTCTCTGGTGCTTTAGTGATCATATCTTTCTCTAGTACATTGACTAAGGCCATCGGATTGTTCCTCCTTCTAACATGCAATTACAGTTCCTCTTCGTCAACGGCCTATGGTGTTTGGTCTTTTTGGCGCTGTCTGGGGAGTCGCTTCTGTTGTCGGTCCCTTGCTAGGAGGCGCATTCACTGACCGAATATCGTGGAGATGGTGCTTTTACATCAAGTATGTGCTGAGAGGTCTCGTCAATCCAGTGTACTTCCTTCCTCTAACACCGATCAATAGCCTTCCTATCGGCGGCCTCGCAGCCGCCGTCGTTGTATTGATCCTCCACATCCCAAAGCGAAAGACAGACAACTCCCAATCCTGGATGCAGAAGCTCAAACAGTTGGATCTCATCGGTGCAGGTTTACTTATCCCTGCTATTGTCTGCTTATTGCTGGCACTTCAATGGGGTGGCAATAAATATCCATGGAACGACTCTCGGATCATCGGGCTCTTTATCGGATTCGGTCTCATCGCTATTCTCTTCGCATTCTCGCAGTACAAGCTCGGTGACAAAGCAACCCTACCACCACGCATCCTGAAGAAGCGCACTGTCTGGTCTGTGTGCATCTTTACTGTGTGCTTTGGAGGAGCCTTTTTCCTACTCATGTATTACTTACCCATCTATTTTCAATCCGTCAAGAATCATTCCGCCACAAAATCCGGTATCGATCTCCTTCCGATTCTTCTGGCAACGGTCATCTCCTCAATTATCTTCGGTGGCATCATCACCGCAGTCGGATACTACACCCCCTTTTTGATCTTCAGCACTGCTTTATTTTGCATTGGCTGTGGTCTCTTGACAACATATAGCACCGCTATTTCCAACGGGAAGTGGATTGGATATCAAATTCTTACAGGCGCTGGCGTAGGAGCTGGCTTCCAGGTCCCCATGACTGCTGTACAGACGATACTTTCGCAGGAGGATATCCCTATTGGGTCAGCTGCTGTGATGTTCTTTCAAAGTCTTGGCGGTGCACTGTTCATTTCTGTTGGTCAGTCCGTTTTCCAGAACGGACTAGCTGACTACCTACGATCGTACACCAATGACATCGAGCCCGGTGTTATTCTTGGAGCTGGAGCAACTGGAGTCAGACAGATCTTGTCTCAGATTGGGAAATTAGACGAGCTGTCGATCGTCCTAGAAGCTTATATGGCCGGGCTGGTTGACGCGTATCGAGTCAGCCTGGCATTGACGTGCGTGGCCTTCGTAGCCAGTCTTCTCGTGGAGTGGAAGAGTGTCAAAAAAGGTAAAAAGGATGGGGCAGAACTGGCCGTTTCAGCTTGATATGGTAAAATGCACTTCCACGTCCACAGATAAAAGGCCAATGAGATTCATCCAACAGCTCAATATTATTGCATGTCAGATGTAGGATATAATTAGGTAGACCAGTTACTCTTTTGTTAAATTGGACTATCTCATCTCCAGCTTCATTGTCATTTACCTAGGATCCGCCGACTATATATATAAATATTGTAAATATGAGCCAAGACTTCTTTATAGCTTCAGTATGTGCTTGATCTTGTTGGCTTCCTACGAAAGTATCTATATTGAAGGAGACAATTACTGTAAATGTAGCTATTTATATAAAAGGGGATATAATAACGGATTCGGCATGACCAAATGTCAATTGGATACAGATGTCAGTGGTTTACCGTATAATTATCGTTGACCCGGACCGCGGTACGGCGGAGTATACACACAACCTTGCCACAGTTAATTTTAAAGTGGGCCCTGGAAAACGCGTACTATTTCGGAGTATCGGAAAAAGCAAAACGCGTCCAATAGTCTGAATGAAGAACACAGGATAGAGATAGAAAAAGTAAGAACCAACAAACTTGTCACACAACACGCAAAGGATACTGTACCTTCATCACAGAACCCCTATACATCTTGGTGAAAACTAGTAAAAATCAATTTTCAAATTATCTAAGCCGCTCGATATGCCCGCAAACGCGCCTCTTCAGGTTCAACTGCTTCGGCGACAAACATCTCCAAGAAGTCCAAAACGGGCGATAAGAGTAGCTCATCGGACATCCCTCGGAGAGACCGATGGTCTGCTGTTTCCGCGTCCGCCAATGCTTACTTCCAGTATAAGTTGTCAGTAAGGGATTCAGATCGCGCTTACGCTACATTTGTATCTGTCCCCTTCCATGGATCGGCAAGGAGGATGACGATGAAGATAGCGTCGATGGATGTGACAAAGGCAAATCATGCCTCTGTCATAAACCTGCTATTGAACATCCGGAGCACATCTGGGTTGTCAGTGCGGCAGGTTACAAGAAGTTTCTCGCTCTTGATACTCTCATATCGCTCCGTGACCCAGACAACTTTCAGATGTACACGTTCAATGACCACTCAGGCTACGGTGTTATAGAGGCTATTGAGAATTACATTCTGGATTTTATAGAGGCCGAAGGCAACTGGAAAGAGCAATGGGTGGTATGCGAAGCATTGGCGTTGATATTGTCAGGCAATGGGATGATGCCTATGGTTATGTATGCACATTTCATTCACCCCTCCTGCTGTATAGAAGGTTACTAATCACGTCTAACAAAGGGTCGGTGACTCGGAAAAAGTCACGGCAATTTTTTCAATTATCGTGCGCATGGTCCTGTCAGTCCTTGCCAAGTTGGAAGGTTTGGAGCTGCTCAAGCCTGATTCGGAAGTCAGAAATCTCAGCCTAGTCATGGCTCTGTACATTGAAGAAACTGGGTCCTTCCGAAGCGATGGCTATATTTCGGCTGATGAACCGGAAAGGCGCTCTAAAACATTCAAATTCGATGCTGCCCGTTTTGACAACTACCTGGTTACCTATGCGAGGAAGTACAATATCAAGCCGCAAGGTCTTCCTGATACCGATAAAAATGTGGAAAAATTGGATGATATCGAGCTTCCAGCTGCTGGAAAGGACCCGTGGGGCTGGAATGTCGCCTTGAAAAAGTATTGGCGAGACTACGGCCCAAAGATCGGGGGCGATGATCTTGATATTACCACGTGGAGCAGCGGACAGTGAAAGGCAAAGAGTTTTACTGGTAAGGATCCACTTAGCAGGAAAGAAATTCAGGCGATAAAGGACGGGATGGTGATGCAAATGATGTAAGAATTATTAAAAGTGGTTGAAAACGAAGGTCTCTAGAAAGAGAAATGTACAGATATTCCTATTAAGATTACTTTACAATTTAGTATACTGCGTATCAATATTTAGTCTAAATGAATTATTAATTGGTTAAGAATTCTTAATCTAGCTATGGGAAATTGACTAGAAGCAGGGGCCGTTGGGGATATACTCTTTCCGGACGGCAGCGTGAGCGAAGTGTTTGCAGAAACGAAAGAGAGTTTGGTCCATCTGAAGAGTTATTAGGGGAAATTCCAGGATGATATGTGCAAGGACGCCAACGAACTACATGTCCGACCCAAAAAAATATATAAGGAATATAAAAATAAAATATTGTAATGCCATCATCGATACTAGCCAGTCCAAACCAGCGCTATCATGCAGAATATATACAACTTGCCCATTCCAAATTCCAACCGAAAAAACGCCCCAGGCAGGAAAATGCATATGAACAGGCCTAACAAACAAATCCAAGACATCGTAAATGATATGATAATGCTAACGATAAGAATATGGTATGATAAGGTGATGATAATGTCATGTTCAGTAATAACCCACCAATGCGAATGCACCAGGCTGAAACTCAAGTAAGTAGAGTACACAATACGCCAATGCTTTAAAAAAAGGGAAAACAAAATAGAGTAAAGAGGGATGTTAATATTGCCTGACTTTGCGCGCACCGAAGAAGTTCAGATCAATCGCGGTATCGTTTGCGCCGACGACGGGAGCGGCTTCTTCGAGCATTTCCCATGGTCGAAGAGGGTACGGGCCGATAATGCGACCGCGGCTTTGGATGCGGAGGCGGTTGGAGAGGGCATTAGGGTCTTCGGCGGTTCCGGGTGGAGCGAGGAGAGTGCTGGTGTGGTTTGTCGCAGATGGGTTTGCGGATGGGGTGAGAGAGGATATCGGGGCTGGGGAGGAGCCAGAGACCGGTTGGGTAGAGCCTGCAGGGATGGATTCGGTGATAGGGCCGAAGAGGTAGAATAGGCGGGGATCGTTTTGGACGTGTAGGAATGGAGGGCAACGCTCTCGGAGGAAGCGGGCGCATTGTACGCGGGCTTCGTCGGGTAGGGTGTCGATGAGAGAGGAGGCGATGTCGAGGGCGTAGGTTTGGATGGTATTGGTGATACGCATGTGCTGTTCGGCTGCAGATATGGATGCTTTGGATGAGTCTAGAGGGCGAGAAGATAGGCAGAGTGGCGACAAGGCAAGACAGCAGATTGTAACGAGGAGTCGGGACTGGTCTAGAAGCGCCGGTGGTCGTTGGATCGTCGGAGAAGCAGGCATATCAAAAGCAGCGCGGTGGATCTTGACCATTCGCAACATCGCGGTAAACCAGAACAAGAAACTCTCCTCGCATATAGCCAGAGACTGTACAATATCTGGACCCACCTTGCTGTGATTCTCGCTGATATTACGGGACGCCGTTTGGATTGTAATGAGTTTCTGTAGGAGAGAATTCATCTTCTCAACTAGGAGCGGGCCCACAGAAGGCACCCCTCCTTCTGGGATGCTATAAGCAAGTCCGTCAATGATAGCGAGGTACACTTTGGCATTATCCTGTAGAGCTGTTCTTTCGACATCAGGCATCCCATCAACTGCGCTCTCAAACTGTGCCACTGAGAACAAATCATTCTCAGCCCTTTGTCGGATCTAGTAAAGTTAGATTGGTTTATTGTGAACGAATGACTAGACAGAAAGTAAACTTACCTGCTCCACTGCCTCTTGACTCATAAGCGAGACCAAATCAAGCCAGTGAGTCTGCCCAGAGCGCACGTCAGCAACGGCAGACTTGAACATGACGTCCACGATGCTATTCCGAACCTCCTCGCCTTTTTCCATGTTGAATAGCATCTGTAGCTTCATTTGACAGAAAGGCAACGAGAAGTCGTCAGCCACTTTGATTGTCGTTTCAGCCTCCAAGACATCATCGTGCTCTTTCTGGTGGTCAAAGTTGAGAAGCTCGTCGAGAGCACGGCGGACGATGCTGAGGGTAGCTGGGTAGTCTTTTAACATAGCACGAACGTATTCATGAGTGCCATCGCCGGGATGCCGTACGAGAATTTCCCGAAGCAATGGGGTGGTATATCTTGCCCATGATTCTTGAAGGGAGGCAGAATCCTTGGCCGGAGACTGGGTCAGAATGGCAGCTGAATCTTGAATGATGGTAAACACTTCATTCAGATGTTTTGACAAGAATTCCTCTTGTGCTAATGCAAATCGGTATGACAGGAAATCAGGCACGGGGTTTTTGCTAGTATCCGGCAGAATCAGTTCAAGAAAACCTAGCTGTAATTCGGGTAACGCTGGTATGTTGAACTGAGAGGACTCGTGTAATAGTTTCTTCATCAACAAAGTAAACGCTGGTAAAGTTACACATCCAATACCGACTAGTGGAGCGAGCACGAGCGACAGTTTAGGCCGTATGGAAGACCTGAGGATATCACCAATCCATTGAATTAGCAAAAGGTCGAATTGTTTTGGATTGAACGATCTCAGTTGCACTAGATGACGGCAAGTTGTATCAGTAGTGGAAGCTCCTTTACCGTAATTAGGCACCACTAGTTGTTGGATCAACTTCTGGAATACAACAACCAATGTGCTCTCATCCATGCTGTTTCCAGACGACAGGAACTGATCCATGTCGTCGTTAAATGAAGGATTGGCATCATTCAAAGTATCTGCCATGTGGTCCGATACAGGAGAGTAGGCTGCTATTGCCATCTTCCGATCACCCCGTGAGAGTTCTTGTCGAAGCAGGATAATCGAGTTTTGTTCATTTGGAAGACGATGGCCAACTTCAACCAACGAAAACGCCAGATCATAAAGAGCTAGTCCATGCTGTTTCAATCGAAGAAAAGCCTCATAAAAGTTCCTAAACAGGTCGTTTGCTGCACCGATGACAGTAAAGCAGCTAAAATGACAGTTCAAAGTATCGACGGCAGAGGTAAGCACGCGGGCGTCGTCAGAATTCGAAGCGTCGATGAGGACGTCTGCAAGCATTGCGATATCTCCATATTGTTCAAGAGTCCAGCGAATAACAAGGAACTCATCGTGAGTTAATGATGAGGCCTCCACGGCGCTCTCATAGCCCTTTGTAGAGTGATTAGAACTATCGCCATAATGCTCGGAGACAGCCCCTCGAACCCATTGGCCAATCTCCGCTTTCACCGACCAAGTTAGATTGGCATGATCGACTTCGCAACGCATCATGTCACTCTCATCATTGTCTTCACTATCAAACATATCTGGCAGTTTTTCCTTTAAATCGGCCTTGACAGCCCGCAATTCCTCCTTTTCAGAGAGAGACAGTCCGGCACGGGCCATAAGCATATCTCGAAGGTTACGTAAATGACGTGGTAGGCGATTGGCAGGGATATGGGACAAAAGTCCAATATCAATTGGAACCGTGTACGGGGAAACTTTCTCCGGGCTGCCCTGACGATATTGCTCAACTGCGCCCCTCGCGACCAGCCATTGTAGGTATCGACTGACAGAAAAGGTTTGGGATCGGATCAGTTCTGCGATAATATGATGGATGTTGGCCATGGAAGCTGGATCCCGATCACGTGTCTTTGTAATGAACGAAAAGATATGTGCGTCGATATCAATACCTAGGCGTTTCCATTTTCGTAATAGGCGCACGGCAATGTACACGCGAACCAAACCGTGACGGAATCGACTACCTGCCCATTCCAAGATCTCGCAAACTAATGCCCCACGGTCTGCCATAACATCTAAGCACGCGTTGGATAAAAACGCTATATCGTATGTGGTAAGCGAAGAGTCTAAAAGCTTGATAACTAGTTGGTGTGGAGAACGCTGTATGGCTTGGCAGAAGGTTTTAGGCTTTTGGACACGAATATTTCGATAGACAATAGATTGTAGAATGGCCTTTTCCGTGACGTCTTCAGGGTTAAGAGTGGAAGACACAATATTTTGATATTGGTCCCATGATCGAGGAAGAACAATAGACGAAGAAGTTTCCCGACAGAGTCGACGCACCAACAACGACACTCGATCTATCAAAGGCTGGAATGTTGATCTCGGTTCGGCGATTGTCGCTTGTCGAAGTTTCTCTAGCAAGGCTTCGGCCATTCTTCTGCCCCGTTTCCTAAATCTTACCAGGCTTTCCCAGTAGACGCCCAGCATCAAAAGCCAGACGGGAGTGGTGTCCAAGGTAGAACTCTCAAGAGACGATAAATACCAATCCAAAAAGTAGTCTTGCTCAAGGAGATTTTCGAAGAATAAACGAGCGGTCAGTCTCACCCTAAAACAAATTAGTAATTGGCGCTCAATAGGGGATAGAAAGCAGAGAAGTCCTACGCATAAGTGATTCTGTCACGCCAGCCTTCCTTTCCACAGGTGTTGATCACTCCTTCAACAAATTGCTGTACGCTGGCCGTCCACTCGCGAACCCATTTCATTTCTAGGCCTTGGGAAAGCGACCCGCTTGTTCCTTTCCTCTTGAAAGCACGAATCTCGTTTGCTCCAACACATTTTGCAAGCCAAATAGCTCTTGTAATAGGAACGCCTTTGCTCAAGCATTGATCGAGGAGAACCTTGCCTCGGATACCATGAGGGATCGTCCGACTCAGTCTTCGCAAATTGACTTCCGGGCTAGCCAAATCTTTTAACCAAATTTCCCTCTTGTTATCCGTAAGCGTGACTCGAGGCGGCGGTTTGAAAGTGGATGTCGACGAGATCTTGTTATGAGCTTGTCTTTTCTCTAAAGCAGCAGCAAAAACAGAAGACAAAAGTTGTAAGCTAGAACGGTTTTTTAGTTGACTCGATAATTTACAAGTCGGCGCCTGTACGTCACAGTTCGAAGGTGGCTGTTTATCGTAATATCCTTGTTTGACAGCGGTATCAATCAGCCTGTCTTCCGGGTGGTTTCCGAGGTGGCTCCAAGGAAAATAATCAGCGACTTCTATAACTTGTTAGCATCTGACGCCCCTTTCAAAGGTGAACCTCTCGAGCGCTTACTATCTCCAGTTAGGGCTGGAGCCACGGCTGGAACCTCCGGACGATACGGAGTGGTTTTAACTTCTCGGCCCTGTATATCCTCTTGCGCCGCATGGCTGGTGCTTGTCGGTTGATATAAAGAAGAGTATTTCCACGGTCGAACTGGAAACGGGGGAGGAGACGGAGGTTTGGGAGTATGCGACCCCGATGCAGAATTCCCCGTAAAGACGCTTCCACCGTATGTTTCAGTCACCAGGTCCTGGAAAGAAGACGCCGGGCGGCCGCGGCCGCTGACTGCAGTCGGTCGTGCGATACCACCACCATTCGCTGTAGCGCTCCGAACCTCCGCGCTTCTCGTAGTAGTTGCGCGGCCATCACCTCCAAGGCCAGAAACACTGGTATCTAACTTGGGCCTTTTGTTCGGGGCATCGGTGTCTTGAAGCGCAGAAGGCTCGTTTGCGGTCAAATCGACAATTGACTGTTGTTGGGCTAGAGGAAGAGATGGGGTGGCCATTGACGACGACAGCGGCTTGTCCAAGCGAGATCCAGCGAGATCCCCAGGCCTCGCAGCACTGGGGGCGCGAGAATGCTGTGCCCAGTTTTGGACGCCGACGGAAGGATGCGGTATCATCGCATAGGCAGCGGAGACATGGCGTTCGTCGGGCCGCTCGAGATCAGCACATTGATGCCACCAGTTGTCTCGTCTGGAGGAAGCACACGGATGGCTGTTGTTTTATCGACTGCGATGCGGATAGAGACGGATCAGCGCTGGACTCGTGCCAGGCTCGGTGTTTTGCGGAGGCAAGACTGGAAGTGGTTGCGATCGGGCAAGATATCGGACGAACTGCTCTTCCACGGCGAGCACGATCAATCGGTGGTCGAGAGGAGCGCACGTGTGTATAATGCTATATAGCTGTATATAGTGCTGTATATATAGAGAGTGCACAATTAACGGATACGATCCCAGGGGTATGCACGAGGAGAAATCGAAGAGCGGAACGAGCAGGTGGTGATGCTGGAGCACAGGACGAAGACGGTTAGTAGTGAGGTAGCCAGTGCTGGGGGGCTGCGTAACTAAGGTAATACGTGAAGGCTCGGCACCGCGGATGCACCCTCGCCTTCCGGGCTGCTGCTGCCGACCGCACCGTACGGTATTACATGCGTATTACAATACGCATTCCGCTATACATTCTCTCCTCTATGAGTATTAAATGCTAAATACACAAGCGCTTTTGATCACGCGCTTTGCATACTTTCTTGTTACTTCCCCTGGAGTTTTGCAGCTAGATTCATTTACAATATCACCGACTTACAATGGTGAAGCACAATAACGGATATACGGAACCTAAGTACAGCGGTAAAGCATATTATCGGGGGTAAGCCGGAGATTGACAGATACAGAACTATATACATTCCATATTAATACAGGATTAATTACACAATACATAATACGTACAAAGTCTAGCCCGCCGGTAATCGGTGCACGCCGGACAAAGGGCCGTTAATTAATTCGTGACTTGTACAATAATCAGGTTAATATTGGAAAGATACTTCGATAGTGGCCACTGGCTATCGCCACCGGAGGTAACTAATACTACTCTGAATACTCTGAATAGTTTATCAATGATGAACTACATATTATATAACCATGCTAATTCCTGCGCGTACCTATGTATATCAATGTTGGTTCTACATAATCTTATGTATGTGTCATTCTTGTATCCGATCGCCCCCGTCCTGACACTAATTAGTAACTTAGATAGTTACACCTCGGATGATCGGCAGAAGATAAGGATTGCCTGATAACTCATAACTCATACCCGATCACTCTCAGTCAGATGGCGGTCATGATAAATCTAAAGTGGTCGATCGCCGAGGTGGCATGATTAATACATACCGCAATTGAGCCCAAGTAAACTGATGTGATGGGCGCCGGGTCCGTATTACTTTAGGAAGAATAGCACGCCTGAAGGTCGGAAAGATTTACCGGGGGTTTAACTCGAGATACGACCTTCTCACATCTCGGTCAGCGAGTGGTGTTCGGATGTGGCACGCGTTCTAAGAGTAATGGTCGTGCACTTTGCTTTACTCGTTAATGAGGTACTATTGGGGACTGCACCTGCACCTGCATGTTTATTACCATTCGAAAATAATAACCCAGTGGTTGATTTCATCCTGCATTAGTGGAACCATAATGAAAGTTCGTCCTGTATCCGCGAGAACGCCGTAAGAAGAATAATAACATAATAAGAATCAGAAAGAGTAATACTTATCAACCGATCCGTTTGCTGCCGGGCACCCCACAATGTGGCGGTCTGGTTCGGGCAGTAGGAAATTATTATTAACACCAGATCCGACCATCGTGTCGCTTCGAGGCGATCCATCGTATGCCGGGAATGGCCACCATTTAATAGCATTTACCGAGCCGGTAATATGACATTCTCTCTGATTTCTTGTTCTCGGTTTATGATCTTGATTATTGGCTTTATTCATTAATTGATATTAATTAGTGACAATCCCAACCCTGTTCTCTGTTCAACTAAATCTATGTAACCCTGGCACACCCTCCGGGCTTGAAGTCAGCTAATAACCGTATGATAGACTGCAACGATCAACGAATTAACCACACATTACCAACCAACAATTCCGAGTCAGCCTATCCCTCCACCAGTATTCCGATCGATGCTAATTATAATCAGTGCAGAAAGAACATGGGTGCCTTGGCCAGCAATAAGCAACGCAAAGTTACACAGATCTTCAATTCCCCGTTTTATATTCCTTTTTCCGTATTGCCCTTCTGCATGCTGCGTACCGTATCCTCCAAAAGTTAAGCTTGTTTGGCTATTTAGTATTATTGTTTACGAGGCGGTCCGATGACTTGCTCATTGAACAGTTGTCCAGCCCCGGCGTCCGGTGCACGTCCCTTGCCCTAGACAGAATGGTGCATTGGATCAACGGCGAGATGATTGACGATTTGACAGCTCACCCCCCTATCTATTGCATTGGGCAGTCCTGTGAATTAATTATAGAGTGCCGCATACTTGCACATGAACGTCTGGTGCGCCGACAACACAATGAGGCTGGGCCGGTTTCTACTTACAGTAGCATGCTTGGACCTGAATCGAGCCAAGACAGTCACCCCACGTCGCCACGACCGCTAATTGACGATGGCTATGGTACCATACTAGAATTTAGTAGCCCATCACCGTGCCACGGTGGTCCACATGATATTAGATAATAAGTAATAATAGCCCGAAGAATGGCCCGGAAACGGGCTATTGGCTGTGTTTGAAGTGCTTGTCCAGCTCCCTTGGCAGTACTAACAGGGAAACAATAAGCGTATTTTTGGCTCCTAAGTATAATAATCGGTTCGAAAACCGCGAATCTTGCTGTGTCTGTGCCAGTGATGGTTTGGTAAACTTTGGTGGATACGTTATCGGCCTCCGGCTCGGACCTACTGCACATTCTTTTTTGATCTTTTGATCTTTTGAGCCTTAAGCGGCTGTTGATTCTTAAATGTGGTGTCAATGCAGTATTGGAAACATGTGTAAGTAGCAATAATGAATAATATTCGACTTTTCCTTCATCGAGACAATCAGCCAATGCAACACCCGTTATGCTTCGTCGTACGCAGTTGCTGTCGAATCTTGGAACGGGATGTCCAAGTAGCGCCGTAGTAGAAAAGGCACGGCGGACGGCGGACTGTAAAAAATTCGACGTCTCTTGCACGAAGATATAATAATGAATCAAACAATCCGACTTTGGTCACATTCATCAATGAGTAATTAGGTCTATGTTATTGGGATGAGACGACGGCGAGATAGATGGATAGTGGAGACGGCCCTACGATTGGTGGAGTTGACATTCAAGGCTAACTCATAACGGCTAGCCCCGCACGTGTCCATCTGAACTGGTCGAGAGGTTGACGGACCCTAAACATTACTTTGCACGCCGATTCCAACCAGATCATCAACACTATCGATTGTGCGGTCATTGCCCTTTGCTGGCTACATACGCACAATGACGTCCAAGAAGGATATGCGACGAGCGGATCTCGGTACGATTGACAGGCCCTTCCCTTCGTTTCGCCTCCGCGCAGGGAGAGATGAAACATGAGCTGACTATAACGTTTTCTTGCTTTAGTGATTCCCTACGTCGATCCCCCGAAAGAGAAGAGTGAAACAGATATGGGAGGTACATAATATGGTTTGGTATACGCGATGGAGATAGGTGTTGACGGTTTCAGGTGCCATGTCGACGACGCTTCCAATGGCGGCTGTATGTGTCAATTCTCAACACATATATCTCTGAATTGCTAACGGATTATAGATGTTTACGCGGAACCGGTAAGTCGGTGGAATAGATATTCTGTGACTGAGACGGACTTTACTAACGAATATACTCCACTCAAAGACTTATTGGATGGTACGCTGTTACCTGTATTACAAAACGTTATACCAGGTTGAACTGACATTTGCGACAGGGTCTCCGTTGTCATTTCCGTCCAGAATTGGCTCGCAGAAAGCCCCGAACAGGCCAAGAATGCTGCAACACCATCTTATATGAATGTCTTTATGTCACGTACGTCTCCTACCCCTTGTCAATAGCATCATTCTGCTTGTTCGACCGTTTATCACTAACTATTATGCGTTGTACTAGTGATGGCAATGGGTGTCGTACGTTTCCTCCTCGCGTATCCAAAACGCTCTAACCCCTGTTTGACAGACATATATGCCACTCTTTTTCCCCCCGCCCCCCGGCCGCGGCAGCACCACGGCAGCTGCCCCGTCTCCATCTCCGTCTCCATGATGTACTCACAAAATGAATGGTGTTTTCGTTACTGGGTCTACAAATGGCGTTGCGCGTGGAGGTTGCGCTTTTGACATAGTAATAGGAATAATATAATATGTACTGTACATTCAACATCACATCATTTTGACAACTATTCTCTACAAGTCGTAGCTACGGTTGAGTCATTATCATGACTATTAATCAGAGTTTGTTCCAGCATGTCTTCCGTGGGGCCTTACCTCACAAGCCTGGTTCTTTAAAAGCCAAGCATACGGTCACGGAAAATCAGTTGAAAAGAGCCACCAAAAGATTACGAGTAGTATAAAATACTACTCGCTATCCTAAATATTCTGGTCCTTTATCAAATCTCAACGGCTTAAGTGAGCAAATATTCCGCTTACGAGATCGTGACAAATAATAAGAATATCACTAAATAGCGAAGCTAATTATTAGTCACAGAGGACACTACAGTAGAGGAAATTTTAGACCATTAATAGTCAGACTTATAAGCAGAAGTTAGGAGAGCACTTAAGGGTTATTCTTATACACATCGATGTCCTCTATCCATAAAATCTACGTCTTTGTACCTACTAACCATTTGCAATGATCTCCAGAACTAATGAACTATTATTAGTTGCTGATAAATTGCAGCAGATAAGATTATATTATATAAAATAAATCTTACCCTTACCCGAATAAAATAAAATTTAATTCCTTAAATGTCCGTCTTCGTTAAAGGCATCGTTGTGTTTATCTTCTTTTGACACAAGTTGACCATTTTAGGTATCGTTTTTACTAGCCAGCCTCCAGTCTACTTCGCACTGGCAGCTTTAAAGCATCCTATTCAGTTAACGAGCCATCTTTCCATAATTGATATATTCTCTGTCTTCCATCTTACATCTCGTGTCATAGATTAAATCTCCCTTGAGGTGCTCGGTCCATTCAATGATAAGACAACAAACACTAGTATGGAAGCTTCTCACGCTTGATCCACACCCATATTGTGACAGTCGCTTCACTTGGGTATGATAATCAGAAGAGATTTAGCTAGAAGATATAAATAATAATTCACAATAAATTAATACATATACTTGGCACTGTCCTTTTCTTACCCTCATAGAAGCGCAAGGTATAGATCGTCTCCTCGGGAATGTTCCAAGGGACTTTGTTGAACGCCAGTGAGAAAAACATAGGTACAGTAAAGCCTAGAATTAAAGCATAGGCTAGTCTATGTTATTATATTAATATCTGTTAATCGAATTTCAAAGTTTCTATTTAAAGTGAGTCTTAAGTGATGTCTTTTGATAAAGATTATGTCTATTTAAGTAACTTATATACTGAAGAGGGAAAATGACAAAGAATGACCTAGATATAAGATAATGAGAAATTCTGATCAACTGCTTCAACTTATCAGAAACCGTTACAGTGGTGACACGGTCTGGTCGATAGATACCTGATATATGCCTTGGAGCCTCGCATATAACTTGTCAATGGATCTATACCGCTCACATATAACTGTTTGCCAGTTTTCTTCCTTCTCTCTGTATCTTAGTACCTTCGCGTCAAGCTCCCTATATAGGGGAATCCATATTGGCCTCAAGGACTACAAACAAGGGGGGTATTTGACTCCTTGCGTAAAAGTTTTTGAGCCAACCGAGTCTCACCAACACTACACTATATACTTCCGTCTGAATAAGGTAGCTATTAAATGCTGATATCACATCAAGATCTCTTAACTGTGAGTAGATTCATCCTTAGTCAGAAAAGATAACAATAAATGCATGAGTGCTAATACTAAAATATAGCCGACAGAGTGAATTTGAGAATAGAAGGCTCTAAAAGAGAATAGAAAATAGATGCTGAGCTGAAAGCTGCGCGGTTTTCTAATTTTCTCAACTAGAAAATATGCTCCTACTCATAATGCGAAGGTGTCGCCACCACTTTCCCAAATACGTTGAATATTTTTGAGAAAAGTCCTCTCCAATACCTCAAATCCTTTAGATACTACAACATCCATCATCAATCCTCAGGATTTGGTGTTGAATCACAATCTAGTTAGCCTCAGTTCTGGAGCTTTCCATAAAGATTCAGTCCAACGGAAAATTCTCTGACAGAATATAAATGATAGCGATCGCCTAATTGCTGCCTGAGCAGTCAGACGTGAACCGCCCAAACTGTCACACAAGGAGCGATCCACACTCGAATATTTATCGCAGAAATGTTCCCAATTCTCAAGCAGTATAATTTATATAATAAATGATTTTATATGCTAATATTGATAATCGGAAATAACTCTCTTTTTCATCCGCTTTTGCTCTCTCTGCCAGCATCGTAACAAGGAATAGAAATTGTATTCATGTTTTTCTCAACCGCATGCTCGAGCGGTGTTCTGGAATATGTATCCTGTTCATGTATTTTGGCACCCTTCTCTAACAATATTTGGGTGGCATGGACGCCAAAAATACCAGGAATAACACTTGCCCGATGTAGTAATGTGATTTCGTTTCCTCCACAATATCTGCTAAAATCATTGACTTCCATATTTTTCAAAAGCTTTTTAAACGTCGCTTGTAAGAGACGCAATATTTCCTCTTTTTCCTCTTCTTCGGATTCTAGTTCGCCACTCCATGCGTTTAAGGTATAAGATGGAGACATGGTATTAGGTGCATCCTCTTCAAACCTCAATGTTGTATGGGTATCTTGCAAAATGTCCTCAGGTTCTAGATAAAGCTTCCCAGAATCTAATACATAAATACTGTAATACTCGGTAGTATCCAGAAACCTTATACACGGAAAGCGGTAATCAGAGGATCCTTGGAAGTTTTCTCGTATTTTCACATCGGCACCATTGTCGATCAGCAAAGAGATTATATCATGCTGAAGTCTAATCGTGTTCAATATTTGGCGAGGATGATCAATTGAAGGTGGCCTGAAACAACTCCTGTATATAGGCAAGTAAATTCGTTGCCCGTTACTGCTTATTTCTTTATTGACATCAGCCCCATGTAGCAACAACGTTTTGGCAATAGCAAGAACCTGGTCCCGTCCATTTTGATCACAAGGCCATTTAGATGCATCGCAGACAAAAGAAAGAGCAGCCGCTCCATATCCCCCATCCTCATTGATAAATTCGCTAGTTCGATACTTGTTAAGTAGAAGACTGGCCTTGATAATAATATTCACGAGCTTTAGAGACCTTTGCCTTACTGCTAAGATCAAAGGAGTTTTTCTTCCCGGGTGATCCCATGGACTCTCACCATGCAGGGGCTTGAAAACCTCAGCGGGATGTATATCAAGAAAGAGCCTAATAATCTCTGCATAGTGATCAAAAAGTCCTGTTCGCGTTCTTTTGAATAAATAATCTAGCGGGCGGTAAAGATCCTGATTTGTGATACCAACATCAACACTTTCTTCTAGTAATACCTTGACACATGGCACATCAGCAAGAGAGATTGCCCAATGCAGTACTGTAGTTTTCTTAGCATCAATTGGTTGTGCAAGTGCTCTTTTCATATAATTTTTTGAAGCGTTTGTTAACAGAAATTTCAGAACCTCGACGTCTCCCTTTTTAATAGCCAGGAGTAGTGGATAACCAGATTCTAAGGAGGTGATATCTCCCCCATAATCCAACAGCTGTTTGATTATCAGAAGGTCACCATGGCGCACAGCCCATTTGAATCCACTGCTTTTCATCCTTTTAACATTATGACGATAAAGAAAAGGAGTTAGTATTTGATTCAAGCGCCATGATGCTCTTGACAAACTGAGTAGATTCTGATTTATACATCTTACTCCACCTACAGAGATAATATAGTTAATAATCTCAAGAACTATTTCAACAGGTAACCAGTAAAGATGTGGTATCGGCTTGGAAGAGTCAAGTTGATCAAAGGCCATTCTTTAAAATAATACTTTCGATCTAGAAGGATAGACTGGGCGTTGTAGAATTGATATTTCGCTATGTTGATCAAGGTCAATGTATCAATAAATTATTCAACTCAACGAAAAGAAGATATTTGGTGAAGATGGGAAAGGCTCAGATATTATATAAAAGAAAAAGAGCAAAGAGCAATGACCATCATGACATCATGATATCCCACACTTTACTGGCAATGTTTCAAATTTTGGTCAAGGACCTGGAATTTCAAGTTGCGTTTGTTTGACATGTTCCTTTTGATACTAATTTTCTTTCTTGCATTATTAAATTTTGATATTTTTTCTAGTAGAATTCTTGATTTTATGAATGAAATGGCATAATGCCTCGGTGTGAAAACTTTTACATTTTTTTGACATCATTGATATGAAAAGCCTCCAGCCTCCATAGGCAGGCAACCTATTCTAATCGCACTTACCTTTTTGTAAAATTAGTAATGCACAATTTTTGCCATTACTGATTCATTTCAGAAATACATATATAGAGGGCAGTCAATTGACGAACTGGCTGGCTTAATCAAATTCTTTCAGAACTCTCGACGTAGTTTCAATGTCAGTTTGAGATACGAAACAATTCATGGTTTCATACAAAACAAAGGGCGAGGCAAGATGAATGGTAGTATTCAAGATCTGTGTCATAAGTTTCTCAACTATTGGCAAAGGGCCTAAAATAATCGTCCTGCACATTTTCAAGCAGCTGGTCCTCGTTTAAAAATAGTATAAAAAGCCCTATCAATATAAATGGCGTTACTTATTCTTTTCGCCCACTGGCAGATACATGTAAATTACTTACCATGGTTATTGTACACAATGGAGGTACCAATAAGATACCCAAGCTTCCCATAGAACTGGTATTCCTTATCATATCACTACCACGCAACATTGAGGGGCAGGTCGCATTAGATTCAGCCTGCTGTGTGTTTTACAAAACATCATCCGGTAAACCTTTAACCAAAATAAGAAAAAAGCCAGCAGGGAAGATGAAAAATTGACTTCTTAGCTACCTTATACCAGTTTCCGCAAACACCAAATACTCTTTATCACAGTAATCTAAACTTCAATCCCACTGTGGTCTAGGATCCCCCTGATCTTCGTAGCCATACACAGCCCCAACCTCAGTCAGGTCATTCACATGTTCCACTGCCACGCCCACTATCTTTGACGCGTTATATGCCGCAATACTATTATTGCTCATTTGTCTGTCTGCTTCCTCTTGCTGTGCAGCAAGCCTCATATTCCTACTCACGGCGTACTATTGAGAGGGCTACCATCTTTTGCACTGGGACATGTCTACAAACTCTTTGGAGTAGATAGGAGGATACATATTGTGATTCTGCCTCAAATTTGAAAAGAAAAGTTGCTTCTTTTAGAGCGGTTTGGGCTGTAATTCGGAGGATAGCATCGTCAGATATTGGTAATGGGACAAATTTCTTGGGTCTTGTAATAAGACTTCAAAATTATTATAGGTACACGAGTTACAAAACAAGGTTTGCACCCACTCTGATACATGAGGGAGCCGGTTCTTATAAAAGCAAGGGAGATGTAGAAATGGTTGGTTGGCTACGCCAAAGGTGCGACTCAGTGTTTTGAATTTTAGACCGTTTAGCTTAGATAATATTATCAATAAGATAGAGACTGATTAGCCACTGGCTCAGATCATGTACTTCCAGATATATCTAATAACAGATCAAAACTATAAGAATTGTTATTTGGTCAGTTCAGTCAAATAAGATATAACTCAGATAATAAAACCATTGCTAAAATGGACTCTTTAAATATCTTTTCAGTCTATTTCATTCTTCTTTTTAAGACGTATGAAGTATGGAAAATGAGTAATAGTAGTGGTAGTCAAGTTTATTGTCCGCACCTGATCTAGTATTTATCAGCAACTATATATCAATTGATTTTATGAGGGCACTCATTGTCCTACAGGGCCTCATCAACATTTATTGCTAAGTTTCTCTACTGTGGGTTATAAATGCAGCATTTTTATTGCCACTGTTATGGCGTGGAGTCATGACGGATGATTATCTGTTGTAACTATCTACCAAAATAATACATTTGTAGGCCGTCACTTTTCTAATTAGTCGGGTCAGCTAGAATATATCGAGCAAAAACCACCTGTATACAATAAAAATGAAAAAATTGTCAAATATCCTACTCACAGAACCCCCCTCCATTCCCTATCAAGTATTCAAAGAGAACAATACCGGAGATCTAAGGATCCCAGCAACCGTTGCATGACCTACTTATGACATCTGGGTTGTTGATATATCGCCACCATGTAGCCATAGTTGAGATATAGAATAACATAATGTCTGTTATGGCAGCGCCGTTTTCTACAATACTTGAGGATATTAACGAAAACCTAGGTGGAGTTGTCTTAAAAACAGACCTAAAAATCTGCAGAATACTTTGTAATGTATATCTTTTAATAAACTAGAACCTTTAGTAATTAAAAAGAATTAATATTATAATATATTTAGTATTTACTATATTATCTATATATCTATTGTTACCAGTGTCGCACTAGTATAAGGACGATTGCGAATAGCTATTGCGACGACTCAAGAAAGGCAGAATATTCCGGTTCTGCTCGGGATGCCTATGAACTAGCCGGTTAATGGAGCTGTCGGGTTTAGCGCGGTAATTTTATCTAGAAATAATTGGTTAAACATAATAAAGTATTGTGAGTTATTTATTTCTTATAATTAATAAGCTTACTGTGAGGATTTTGTTGAGGCAACGAGCAAACCAGCGGACTTTCAGCCAAAATATAAAGTCGATTAGCATACAACTTCTAATGCCGTTAGCCTCTAAGCGCTGAAATGTCTAACAAGGCAACCTGACTGTTTAATAGTTATATATAGAATGAGTTTACATTCCTGTTAAATTTTAGCCTTAGGATATAGGGACTTGCCGGGACTGACTTGATGGTAGTATGATCATTTAGAATTGGATATTATGTATTGTAACCTTTGAAAAATCAAGCAGTATTCCTTTCTAACATCTATCACCTGCCTCATCTAATGATAGCGATTTTGGGCCGAAACTCAGAAGCTGTCTTTGCAGTAGGGAAGTAGCTGTTTATTACAGTGAAAGCTAATTCAAATTATGAGCTTGACCTGGACACTAGAGATGTTCACATCTAAAGCAACACCACATGTGTTTATGGCTATCTACGGCATCTAGGCGCCCCGACCGCTTTATGAAGTGGGTGCGATGATCAAAGTTGCTCAATCGGCGCAGCTGGGCTCTGAAATGTATGACACTGGCCAATGCGATCATCCAAGACTAGAGCTTTCTTTCTCCCCTCGCAATCCGCATAGCAATAGCTAGAACAGAATCACATTGACCTCCATTCCGAATTTCTTTGATAAACTTTGAATTCTGCACGTCATCCTCAAGTCGTAGAGCATCTAAAATGTGCTCAAGTTGGAAATGAACCTCACGCAGTTGCGATTTTTGCATCGACAAGCGTAGCTCTTCTTCTTCAGAAATGTCCTGATGCTCTGGCTCGTTCTCGTGTATGCAATTAGATTACACATACTGGTCGGTTATTACTGGAAACTTACTCCGTCGGCTTCTAGTATCTGATCTTGCTTAGTATCTGGCAACGGGTCTTGACGGCTCTTAGCCATCTCGAAAGCTTCGACTAAAATCTCCAGGTCAAAAGACGGGCGGGGATGCTAGGCGTGAGAAGACTTCAGGCTCAACTGGTCTAGAGCCACCCGAGTGGTGGTCCGTTCTTTTAAAAGTTTGCTTCACCGTAAGCACATAGACTATATACCTCTTGTGTGATTCGTGGAACATGTTGCCTTAGCTGGGGTACTCAACCTGGAACAGGTATTGATCCGCAGTACCCCGCATAGAATGTTCTGCCATATTTATAGGGACGAGTTCCAAAAATTTTTCTTAGTGAATGCTACGAGTCATCAGCAGAAAAGATATCTCCTAATATCAATAGTTTTTTGACAAACGGACACCTCGCTAGTAGTGATTAATCCATTATATACAAGATTTACACCCCCCATTGCAACTAACATAGATGATTCGGCAGCTTCAGTACGCACCAATAGATCGGTTGCACCACTCGCCCCAGTATGTCGATCAAACACACGTAGCAGATTACACGTCAACTAGTGCTAAAGAGAAAAAGAAACGTTCAGTAATTGCGTGGATGGAATATAAAAGGGGTCGGATCAAGGTAAAAATATTCCTTGATGAGTCGGTCTAACTCACCGTCCTAGACTTCATCGCGGCCAAGCCTAAGATAACGCTTTGATAATACCTGTGTCTCCAGTTCTCAGGCGGTTTCCCCTGTTTTGAATACGATGCTTACCAGCGTGAATGCAACTATGATGCAAGTGCAGGCAAGCGACGCAAGAATTATGCACAGAAAATGAAAACCCAATTAGAAATCGTACAAGCCCAGTACCGAATTTACCACACCCTTTTAGAACCTTCTGGATGTTAATCCGCGCCATCCACTGAACTAAGGGAAATTCTTATGTAGAAAACATTAAGTGATACCAGTTTTCAGGAATATGATTTATGATTGACGAGATTCTTTGCTCCTTTGAAGACGCGGAATGTAGCGATATGAGCGTAGGTAAGTTTGTTAAATTAGGTACTACCCTCGAATGCTTCATATAAAAATCTAGAACTAATAAGTGCTTAAATTTTCGTTCAGTTGTCTAACCATCAGCCGATAGCCTCCGTTTCAATCTAAACCCGCATAGATTGTTCACCTTAGTATATTTAGTTCATTCCTTAGCCCCTACGGCATGTCTTGACCCTTATAAACCCAGATCACTGTATAGAATTGCAGCTAACGAAGAGAATATTGACAGCCCCGCACACAAAATTCGCACTACTTTACTACAGTTCGATCAAATATTTACTTCGTTTGTTTCTGCTAGGTAATGTGAGCAATATATTATACGTGGAGTCAAATGAATATAGGTGTAATATGGATAGGTCCAGGAAGCATGCTTATGCCGAATCCGGCAATACCAAGACCGGGGTCTCCGAGATATCTCGGGAGTCAATTGTGATATATCATAATTGATACCATAAGAACCCGGACATGACCCAAATACCCTCACCTCGCACAATATACCTGTATCTAGTTAGATTAGGTATCAATGACCTGAGGCTGGGACTCAGGCATATCAGCTTGGTTTCCAACCCCGGGGGGAGGAAGCCAAGCGATGTCTTTTGTATGATTTTTGACATAACTTTCAATATAAGCCGCTTCGGCTTCGAATAACCTTCGGTTCGAAGCCTGCTATATATATATTATATAAACCGATAACTACCCCCCAAGTAGCCTTGCTCTATAGCCTCAATGTCGAACGGTGAAGCTTCAACCCACCCACATCTAGTCTTTCCAGACACCCCCGAACACGCCCCTGCCTGGACCGTGTTACAATAAGAATGGCCTACAGAGGTTTTTTCGCCATTTGCCCCCCAATTCTTGGATTATTTCAACTGTCTGTCTAGATCTCTCACCTTTTTGAGTTGGAACTACATTACGGTCCTTAAATATTGATGATGTAATCATTTATATTATTCATGGTGTTTTTTTTTTTTTTTTTTTTGGGTGCAAAAAAAATATATAAGCTTCTGTTTATAGCTAATAGCTAAGTGCTTTTTAGATTCTTTGGATTTGAGGGACCAGATAAAGAGTAAATATCAGTAGATAGATTACTATCTTAATTATATTCAAAATAAGTATAGAGATACGCGGTAATTGCATTCTATTATTTTAAAAAAAGGGTTACCAATGATAAATTGATTATCTTCAACTAAATCCCCTTATATTATTCCAATCTATAGGATGTATATAAATTTGTAAAACATTATAGCCCTCGATAAGACTATTGCCTCCCTGATTATAACCAAGAAAAACCAAAGGCCGGTGGTTTTATTTTCTTTGCGTTGGAAATTCGCAGTTGTGCATGAGGGACCGAATCAAAAAATACAAGGGCCCAGGCTCTCTCACCCGACACTTTCGCCGAAGACATGCGAAATCGTCCTGGAGCAAGATGGTTCGATGCAATTTGTGCAACATTGGCCTAGAACACACGATAGCTTCATGAACCACACTGAATTGATGCATGGATCTATCTCCCGATCATCAACCTCGAGATTAGGGCTTTAGATCGATGTATGCAGTGCCTCGTTAATTCCCCCTGCATTGAATTTGTACATTCTTTGTTTCCCCCATTAATTTCAGAGGCTGATCCTCGCACCGTCATCATACTATCTATCATTGGCCTTGTTAGCTTCGTTAGTTTCTGTTCCCTACATAGGCTCTGCCACACCCGGATCTATATCTACTGGCTTCTATTGCTTTATTAAAATCAAGACTATTACTAGAACGGAGCTAGGTTCTGTTATCACTATAGGTAAGTTTAGTATGATTTTTCTAATTAATGTTCTTACCGATAAAGAGACCTCTACCGGTGAGAAGTTTTCTCTCTTTCCTGATATTATATAGATTCCAGACTGAAGAGCGTTTCTGGTCAAAGTAGTATTCCATCTAGGGAAATTTTAAGTACGGGTAGTACCTGCTTAAAGGTCAGTGGTGGATTCTAACTGCAGATAAATCCCTATTAATGCGGCATTGATAGAATACCCAATCCTTTATATGACGAGCTCTGTTTATTTATAACATGACACAGCTTACTGAAGTTATGATGTGAAGACCATGATTACGTATAATTAGTTGATTATAATACCATTATACAGTTCATAGATCTGTCACATATATTTAAGCATCTCGCCATTCATTTTTCATTACTTTTTTTTTAAGATTACAATCTTCCCATTTAGTTGGCCCTAGTAAAGGTATATAAAACTTAAGTATGCCTATTAATAAACTTACTTTTCATATCTATTTTTATTCTTATTATTTAATACTCTTATTGCTTTATTTCTGTCCCTAGATGAAGAATTATGAAGGAATATCTAACTTGAATAATACTTTACAGCACAATAAACCTTTCTTTTAAACTTATTCTCGGGAGAACTTGGCTACTCCAAGAGCACAAAACATAGTGGAAGAAGAGGACGGCGAGATGACCCGCTAGCCATCGAGGGTAGTTCATTAACTCAAATTGCCGTCGCTGCCTACTTTGACCATGGCCGACTTGAGTGGACGGGCGAAAAGCACCACTTAGCCGTATACATGCTCGGCTATTTCAGGGTAAGGTTTGGAAAGAAACTGGACGAATTCAGGTGGGCAGACCATTAGAGCAAGGCACTGTAGAGCAAAGGCAGTACTTTGACGCTGCAAGGGTACAGCGTTTTGGCGAAGAGGTAGATCACACTCGAATCACCTTCCGTGACGCTTTAGATAGGCGTGAAATTTTATCCCTGATGGGCCAGAAGGGATCTATGTGTATCCTCAAGAGAGAGATATAGGTAGAGGAGTGGAGCAATATGCAAAAATACATGTAGAACATATAAGTATTAGTTCGAGATTACACCTATATATAGACTAAATGTTCCGTCCCAGGCTTCAGTGTTGCTTCACATTCTATCTCTGCACTGTTAGATAGGAGAAACTGATGAGCGTGGCTACCTTCATGCCCCCCGCATTCAACAACAATAATCATGGCTTATCAATCTGTGGTCCTCGAATATACGGTAATAATTTTCGATTAACTACGGACATCACTAAACCGATTTATCAGGCCCTCACCGAAATCTTCCGTTCAGATTTCTGATCCTCCAGTGTATAATATTTTTAGGTTAGACATTGAGATTTGAAATCACTAAAATGAGTATAATCATAACACCAAAGTGACCTTGTACTAACCTAATCAGTCTCCACCTAACCACGGCATCTAGAAGGAAATACATATTTATTATTTGCAATGAACCGACTCTGTACATTGGCTGAGATGGCTACATTTTGCCATCCTTGCCACTTGAGAATCTATACGTTGAGTCGCAATAAACGCTGGAAATTTCTCCTATCGCCCCGCCGAGGGGTATTAACGAACTTGTAAGGCCTAAGCCATCTACGTCCGTTGATTTTCACCTTCATGCAGATCATCTCAGCCCGCCACCAAACCCCCCACAAGCTGTGAACAGAACACAATCCCCATGTGGTGTGATGTAATTGGTCCGCTATCAATACAGTTGCACATACTTTATATGCACTGTGACTCTGAGGACCAGGCCGTGACGTAATTTTCGGGTGTGATAGGTATGTGTTTCTATTTGGGTGTTCGATGCATAGTGCTACCGCATGCTATTGTCATGTCTGGCTGGCTGAACTGAAACCACTGACACGTCATCGGGATTTGCAGACCACTCGTTTAAAGGCAAATAGACTTGTAGTTCCGAACCTAGTCAATACGGGCTATTTGGGTATACATATATATATGGCATCCGCAGTCCTATCCGTTGACCATTACTCATCTTCTTTTACTTATCAGAGCCTTTTCAAAGTTTTAACCAAACTGTATCTCTCTGAATATACCTATCTGTACTTGAATTGTCTCTAATCCAAAGTCAAGGTAGATTGTCCAGTTAAACCTTTATCCATCCTGTTCCACAGCTAAGTTATTCTCTATCTATCAGATGTCTGCTACTGCCAACGGAACTGTTTTCCGACCCAATCCCAACCAGATATTAAATGTTTTTACCATTGACGGTTCTCAATACACCTTTGCATCAAGCGTGGCCACTCCTCTTCCGCCGTTCCAGGCTGTGACAGCTACAATTAACTACGACTACCCCGACCAGTTAATCGCGAATCGATTCTATGACGGCAGTGTCCAGGGAGGCCAGCTCAACATCCAGCTAGACAACGGAGTAAGAATTACTGCGACTGTTGAGCCTCCGATTGACGTTGGTCGCTTTCAAGGACAAGGCCACTGGGAGGTGGAACAAGGGGATTGATAGTGAAGGGCCTCGAAACACTGCGAACTAGAACACCTGTGGTTTACTTCAATGTTTTCATCGACAAGTTTGATATATATTGAGCTATCCCTCATTGTCCCAGTACTGAGACTTGTAAATGAAAATGATATTTATTTGATAACCCTTATTTAAGAGATAAGTTTCAGCCTTTTTCTTGTATTCTTTTCTGCACTCAAGCCACATCCAATTCGATTCTCGATGCCGTCTTGACAATGACCGAAACAACTTTAATGGCAGGAGCGGCGACATCTGGAATCTGTGTGACTCAGGCGGTGATTGTATTCTGTTATATTGAAGAAGGCTCTCCCGTACTGCATCGCCCATCTCCAACGGAGTTTACCGAGAGTGTTCCAGCCTGTGAGGTATCTAAATACCATCAAAATAACATGGCCCTGCAGCACTTCAGCAGTTAATTATCTCTGTTTTTATAACTGAAAAGAAGTAATACCTAGTTATCTATTTCCATTATATTGAAAATATCCCTGGGCTGTCTCCACATTTCCCCGAGTAATTGTATTCATCACTGTCTCGTACGGCTCATGCCTGAGGAAGTCAATGAATAGGGAGGGTTCGATGCGGTTGATATGGCAGGAGCTATATTGGAAAAATAGCCGGTAACAGCGTCGTTTAAACCGTCATATACGACGTCGTGCTATATTTCTAGGATGAAGCTACGGAGGTTCATCCGTTTACGCATAATTTCATAGACAGCAATCAAGTAGTCAGTGACAATGCCCCCGTCTTGGATAATGCGGTAACTATCCAAAAGAAGACCGTGAAGGTTTGGCTTCTTTAGCTACCGCTGTCTGGTTTTTCTTTGCATTCTTGCCTCATTTGTTACCCTTGCCTGACATCATTTGGACGGCCCTCCGTAAAGCTGTGCTAGAAGGAGAGTTCTTGGAATCTTGATCGGACTCCTCTTCAACGCTGACATTTGCATCCTCATCCTTGGATAGACCAAGACTAAGGGCATCAAACTTATTCACAAAGACAACCATCTCAAATTTTTACTTTCCGTCTACCTAAATTTGACGCCTCCAGTGTTCTGAGTGGACAACCACGTATTCCCATGCGGAACCACAAATGGCCTCGACAAGCGAATCGATAAAAAACTTGTGTGAGCGATTACTCCACACGAGTTCATCATCGTCAGGATTTTGTTTCAGAAGCTACTCAAAGTGGCATTGAATTGCTTCCTCGCTCCGATGTCAAAGCAGAATAATCGACATATAGCGGATAGTAAGGAGCTGATATGCTTTGCGATAAGCTTACTCGGTGCTAGTAGTGTTGATACAGTTATTTGACCAGTTATATTTGGTTTTTTGAGATTGGTGTCGTCATTGCTTTCGTCATCCTCTAGCGACTGAGAAGTTTTGATGATGGCGTTTGAATAGTACACTAAATAATTGGTATCTCGTTTGTATCCCAAATAGGGATTGCGTTTCTCCATCGATTAAGAATCGCTTAGCCGGGTCCCTACAAATTTTACAATACCTCCGGTCGGAATTTCTTTTCGCATCGCTATCTTGTTTGAATCAGAGGAATCTGAAGGGAAGCTGCTGATATGAAATAACTAGCTATGGTAACTCCAGGCTGCCAATGATCGAATCGCTAGCCACGCCGTTATACTTATCCCTAACAACCCTAGTCTGGTCGTATTAAAAATAATGTGCAGATGTACAATATTCCTGAAGTTACACCATTATTTGTCATTTGGGGTGCTTTGGCCAAAATCAGCATTTATAATTGTTGAACTGTCGCAATTTACTAAGGTTTTGAGCGTCCCAACATGGTTAACACTGCCTTATTTTCAACAATAGACGTCAATGTTAATATCTGATCCTTTTGTCAATTATTCTCTGTTGATCGTAGCAAGGGCTGAGTCACTCATGATTCATGACTTAGACCTCTGCAAATTTGCTACATTCGGGTTTCAGGCAGGAGAACAGAAGGAAAATAATCAATGAAAAAAATGAGATTACAGTAATAGAAACATACAAAGTGGCAAGCCAGATAACTTTGTCAACACCCATAAAACCATTGAGCATAAAAGTGGAATATCAACAATCACAAGGCGTGAATTGAGATCCTGGTGGCCCTCCAATTGTAAGATGCCATCTTCTAGCACCATTCACGAATGATTTCGGGATAGTCGTACGTTTCCCGAGTCTTTCCCATTCACCTTGATTAGATTTCCCAATAAACATAACCTGGGGCCCGGCGAATTGGTATAAACCCAGGTGTGAGAGACCATATACTTGAGCATCCCCAAGAACCACTACATAAGATCCGGCGACATGATCTAACTCCCTGAAGTCATATTTCTCGCCAGTATGGCTGGAGATTGATACATACGTGGAATTCTGATCGATCAGAAATATGTGGGCACAGATAAGATCCCCTTCGAAAGTGGTATCTACGGAAGTCTTTATCTTGATATCATATTCCGTAATATATGTGCCTGTCACAGTAAATTTGTTGGCAGGAACCATCTGACAGCCTATTTTGTAAGACGGAGTGTCATTGGAGTGGAATATAGGTAGGTCGGGGACAAGCCCAAACCGAGAGTTGTATGGAATGTCCTCTCCAATATCTAGCCATGACGGGAATGACTTTGTTCTTCTGGCCAATTCGAGAATGAGTTCGTCTCTAGTACGATGGTAATCGACCTTGATATTCACACCGAGGAGATGCATGACACTGAACACCATATCTTGTGATTTCGTTGATGTCCGTAGCCAGATACTTCTCCATGCTGCGGACTTTTTCATTGCGTCCGTATGACCGCTTAACACTCCTTCCAAAGCTGTAATAAGTGGTTCATCATTTCCGAAGCACTTGACGATAAATGGGACGTCGATACGCTCCTTTGTAACTTTGTCCACCTTGGTAATCTTTAGACCTGACTTGCGGCAGCTGAGTAGGCTTTGGAGCTTCGACAAAGCAATAGTATCATCCACATTGTCTATGTCATACTGTGGTCCGGTAGTTATCATTTCATAATCGTAATTTGGATCCCGCTTGGAGGCCCGGATCAAAACGTACACATTGGAAGGGGAAAGGGTAGCTTCTTGTAATGTCCACGCACGAGTTATCCATGGCGCGTAATGTTCAGGACCTTGGACGGCTGAAACACCACCTGGCATGACAATAACTGCTGTAGAATGCTGGTAAACTTGACCCATATGCTGGATCTGCAGCTTCTTATCCTCACTCGAATCTTGATGGACGCAGACCAAGTCTAACCAAAGAAAGACGCACTGGAGATGCTGAGCTGCTTTGGCAGCTTCAACCAGTCCCTGCCAACTAATTTCGTGGTGTTTATTGTTCCCAAGGTCAATTCTCAGTGGTCGGTTAGCAGCAGCGCTAAGTCTTTCGACTTCTTTGCTCGGTGACCACGAGTGTGAGATGGTGGCATATTTGGGAATACGCTCGCCTGGTTTACTGAAGTCTAGACCCCTCCATTCCGAGAGAATAATGGTAGCGTCCCGGGCTGCCAAAACATCAGAAACTGTTATCAGTCGTAATTCCCCTGGAGTCCAATGGACTGATGCATAGCTCCAATCTTTCTTTTCCCGCTCTCGCAGGCGTTGGATGGGAATTCCAGGCATGTCGAACTCTCTTTGCGATCACTTTGAGTGAAATAATGTAAGTAATGTAACCTGTTGAATACCTCCAAATAACTATAATATTTCCGTAAGCGAAAACGAGAGCACAAACCTTGGAAATAGCCTACACAATTACAATAAAATATATTCTTTTTTTCCCTGCATAGCTCCTAGCTAGAATATATCAATCCAGTCGGGTTGGGCACCCACCAGATGTTTAGGTAGAGCATGCTAAAAGGTGTTATCCCAAATCGCTAATTATTTCCGAGTGTGACTCTGTCAAAAGCCACCGGCAGCCGTGGTATATGTGAAGAGAAAGGTGGGGGTTCTCTGTCGAATAAGCCTAGTATGAAGTTTCCCAGGAAGTAGGGGTTTGCAGCCAATCACCCAAATATCCTCCGTGATATCAGCATGGGTGTCACGACAGCAAGACACTCACCTCTTTATGAATTTGCGAAGAAGGAGATATTGGCGCTTCTCCGCCAAGCTTGATTGTCGGTTTACGGGCCTCCGCCCACAACTGCACGTGTTATATTACACATACTGTATATTGTTTGTTTGTTATTCACCATCGCGGGGTACGGTGGCTGGCTGACGTTCTGCTCAGAAAGCCCAATTTGGATTTCCTTCCAGCTGCCAGAGATACAGACACGGTTGATTTCGTGACCGCTGTGTAACCCTGTTCGAAACACATAAATGATCCGAACTGACAATCAATCGCCGTCTAGACTCGGCTTTTTTCCCTTACTAAGGTCTAAATTTACCGATATGATAACTACTTATAGGGTACATGTAGAAGACTATAAAACCTTGATCCTCGATTTCTTTAAACTACATATATTTTTTATGCAATATTATATATGAGAGACACGAAATAGGCTCGGATTCATAGACAGTCCTCACAAACCCCACCAGATAGAGAGTTGTCTCTTTATTAGGACTCACCAACTAGCGAACAATTCGATTAGGAGAAATACATGTATTTTATTTTGAAGTTTATTTCAAGTTAGTTATCTGATGAACTAGTCTGTCATATTATTCCAAACTTTTCTTGCCCTATTACTCAAGAATCATTTTCCTTCTTTTTCACAATTTTGGATCTTCTATACTCTACTTTGACCTAACGATACCCCGTAAGCGTCTGTACTGATGGGCTTGAATTTAGGTGTTCTCGATTTATCTACAGATCGTACACATGTAGCGAGGTCCACTCATCATTCATGTTATTGGCTGCGCACTATCCGCCTGACCTCGCAGCCTCATTGTCCAAAATCAAGGATACAATACGGCTACACGGGATCAGTTGTAAAGAGCCGTCGAAAAGGCAACGAGTAGTATAAATCAATGCCTACCTGTCAATAAAAGCAAGTAAAAGTCGAGGCAAAAGGACGAGTGTGGAGTCGAGTGCAGGAGCCCGCCAGTCATAGCGTTGGCCACCCGCTAAGTCATTTGATCCTTCCCCTTTGCGGGAGCCCGCCGCACCCCTCGCTCTCTTCGCTAAGACTGCGAACTGACCGTATTTAAGCCCAGCCTGCTCCCTCCTCTCTCTGCATCTCCCCAGACCAACCTGCCCTTCATCGCTTTCTCGCTCCTAGACCACTATCCTTGCGACCCGTTGACTCCAGAGACCTAGATTCTCTCCTCCCGCCTTTATCCATATACCCTTTTTCTAGAGAGGTTCTCAGAAAAGGCAGAGTTTATGTCCATCGAAAACCTCAAGACCTTCGGTAAGCGCCACCCTCTTATCACCCTCGGCAGAACACGACGAACAGAACAGAACACGAAGAACCCTGTCTTATACCTCTCGGCCTGGATTTGGGAGACGGGATTCTCGCGTTTTCTCGCGTTCTGATGCTTCTTGCTCCTCGCTCTCGTGATCGCGCTGGTCGCAGGGCGGGGTAGAGTTTTAGCCTCGTTGATCTGAAACTAACCTGCCTGTAACCACAGACCCCTTCGCCGAAGCCGACGAAGACACCGGTGAGACTAAACAGTCTCAAAATTACATTCATATACGGATTCAACGTGCGTTTTCCTTTTCATGCCGTAGTATTGTACTGGTCGTGCTTATTGCTGACGCTGACTTCAATAGAGCGCAATGGTCGTAAGACATTGACCACCGTGCAGGGTCTTCCAAAGAAGTTTGATCAGAAGAAAATTCTCAAGGTCATCAAGAAGAAGTTCGGTATGCGTCTTCACTCACTACTTTCGGGTCACGTCATGCTGACTCTGTTTAGCTTGCAATGGCACCATCGTCAACGACACTGAGATGGGGGAGGTGATTCAGTTGCAGGGAGATCAGCGTAAAGATGTTCAGGAATTCTTAGTCGACAAGAAAGAGGGCTTGGAACTCGATGCCAAGAGCATCAAGGTATGCCTCGCTGCCCCTCTTTTTTTTTCTTGCAATGCAAACTAATATTTGCAGGTCCACGGGTTCTAAACTCCAAACGCCGTGTCGTTCCGGTCCTTCTTGGCAGGTCGTCTTACAAGGTCTTGCCTTTGTTGCGAGTTGCGAGTTATATCCTTGACTGCTAGCCTGCTGTCGCCAAATTGATCATAAGGCAGATTATCTCAACCGATGAAAAGTTCGCTTGTCACGAGACAGATTACTGCATTTAATCAACGATCGCTAGGTTCAGTATTGACTTTCGCTTTCGACGAGTTCTTTATTAAGGATCGAAGGATTGGGACACCGGCGTTGTTAGATACCCATTAGACAACTTCTTTTCTGTTTTTTGTTCTGGCTTGCTTGCTTCTACTCAGGGTATTGTCTCTTAAGACTGATGCGTATCCCGATGGAGCTCAAACGTTCCTTGTGTATCGCAGTCTCGGCTGCTCATACCGGTCATTCAGAATTTCATTCAGAATTATACTTGAAACATCTATTTTCGAACAGTAGTTTACTACCATTTTAGGACAAGTAAAAGTAGAAATATCCGAAGCCCTGCTTCGTCACGACCAAAAAAATAACAAACGCTAAACAACGAGAATCACTATCTACAACTCAGTCCCTCCTGCCCTGGCCGTCGCCGTTGTAATCCAGTCGAGAATCCTCTGTCCCATCACGAACGCAGGCACCTCCGGCTCGTTATCGCGCGTCAGATGCATTTGCAGCAACAACAGTGACATACTAATATAACTCGCCACAGACAGGACAGACAGCGACGCCGTGGTTTCGCGTTTTATCATTGCGTGATTTTGGGTGGCGTGGTAGAGGAAGGTCAGTGTCTGTACATATCCCATTAGTTGTTTGGTCATATTAAACGAAGAAAGGGAGGAGGCACCGTTGTTATGGAGACCCATGCTGGTAGCAGAAGGCGAGGGTCAGATGAAGCGCCAGACAGCCAGAGTACTGAGGATGTGAGATACGCGAAGAGCCCGTTTGTTGCGAGCAGACGGATGAGGACGGCCGGAGGACTGTAGTTTAACAGCCTGATATAGTCAGTCATTGAATACTTTCTGCTTTTTTTGGTTTTTGGAGGACGAACCAACGAGACATCATGCAGTCCATGAAAAAGTACGAAAGATACGCCGATGCGCAGCACTAGCAATATTAGCACCTTCCAGTCTACCATCTATATCCTGTATACAAGACTAGATGGAAGGTGGATGTACATACCCACATAATCGCCAGCGCAACCTCCGTCACACGAAACCGCCTCTCAACATCCCAGTCCGCCGCCGCGCCGCCCACGATAATAGCTACCCAGCCCTCGCGCCACATCCCTGGTCGGATACGCAGCAACTCGGCCAGGAAGGTAAACGCACAGCGCAGTCCCCACCACAGCGCCGGCACGACGGCCAGAGCCCGGCAGATGACCAGTGGTAAATACCATTTGCGGTCGACGCCGAGGATCACGGCGACGCGGGGATGGAGATTGGAGGGGCGCGAGGCATCGTCATCGTCTGTTTCATCGGCGTCGTCCGTGTTGGGCGTGGGTGATTTGTTGGAGTCGGGGAGGATGAAAGAGGAGCGGCGGGAGAGGGATGGCGAGGGAGGGACGATGGTCGAGGTAGGTGAGGAAGCGTCGTCGTCGTCGTCGTTGTCATTGTCATTGTTCTTGGCACTGGTACTGTTGATATGGTTGAGGATGGTCTTGTTACTGCCCCTGGCGCTCGCCAGCCCGTTCATGAGTGATAATGGGTATGGGAAGGGAGCATTGACTCCCCCTAGTCGCTTGAAGAATGTGGGTGCAGGGTCTGATTGCCCTTCGGCGCTGGTCAATGGCTGTTGTTCGCGGCGGTGGTGGGATGAGCGCGACGAGGGGAATAGGAGGTGCTGTCCGGCATCGCGGCGGAGGGACGCCAGAGTTTCGTAGCTCCCTACAGCCTCGCGGCCGTGAAACGGTTTAGTTAGGGTGCTATGTTGCTGGCTGCTGAAATGCTGTGTAGGTTGAGTGTTTGGTGGCGGTCGCGTGTGAAGTTTGAGGAGGAAGGAATTCCTGGGGTATTATGAAAGGTGCAAGCTAAATCCTTAATAATCGATTAGCGTCTGACATTGAGTAATGAGCAATATTAGACTGGTACGCGCCAACTTGTCCAACTGCTTGTCATTATTATAGTAAGAAATTACGCTTGTAAGTATACTGTCTATGTGTCATACTTGCCATCTGCATCTACTTATCATATCATCTGCAGACTGACTGACCTATCTCCCTCAGCCTCGGCAAGTGTGCACCTGAACGTGACGGGACAATCATAGTCCACAACAAGCATCTTAGCACACACATCTTTTTCTAGCACATGTAAGCTGCATCTGCATTACATGAGATATCGACGTCCGATGTGATTGTATACACTCGGACCAATGCTGTCGGCCTGGTAAAACTATAGACTAAAGCTGGCGCTGGATAATGTCGAGACCCGTTTCCTTCTACGAAGCCCTTGGACGGTAGGTTAGTTTCTGCATCTTACATATACCACCTCTAGGATAATGTCTCGCCGGTCGAATCAAAAGGTGATGTGCCCTTAACATTGCCCCTCACGAGCAAAAATATGTATATAGAGATATCCAAAGAAATCCCACCCATTAGCTTCGTTTGTCCCAGGCGGAATAAACCTTGACATCTTCATGCCAGACACTAGCCTTGATGGTCTCAAATTCCAAACCAAATAACCCCTCGAATACTTCTAGCACTTCCTTGATGGTCTGCAAGACCTCGAAGTACCGCGCAAGCCTTTTGATGTTGACGTGGTAGCCGTCCTCCCTCTGCTTGCAGGAATCGTAAGCTAAATCCAAGACGTATATCGTGGACACGACCTCGAAGTCGGCCGTCACCCTACTATTTTGTCTTCTTGCTATGTCCTCTTCCTTCAGAAGCAACAGCTTTTCAGTCTGCTTCTTTGCCAATGGCCGCAATCCTCACCTTCACTTCACACAAGAACGCCTGAACCTCGCCTACACTACGTGCCATCTTATCCTCCATCTTCATCGCTGCGATGTGTGACCTAGAATTAGAGCTACACTGTGATACTTTTTAAGAAGATATAATAAAATTTTGGAGTTTGATCATCAGTTGCAAGATACTGCCCCATATTAATAGATCATTGCTTGCAGCCAATCAGAATCGCTTTAAGTATATCAGCCGGCGTGGTCTATCACGTGACCATTTGCCGGACAAATATTGACTGCCCGCAACGATGCAGCAACAATCCCAACTATCACCGAGTCATCGGCAGCCTCCCTCGAGGTCTGAGGTTCGCAGCTCCCCATGGCTTCCTCAATTGGGCTTACCCGGCATCTTCACCGCGCAACAACGGCGCCTCGATTCCAAGCCTACCACCGCTCGCTAGCCATCTCATACCACAGCAAAACCAGGAGCAGCAACACACAGTACCGCTCGTTTTCTCAAACATGCGCGCCCAAAGCAAAAGGGATCCCGCAGACAATGACAATGAAGATTCCTGCCCAAGTCAGCCCGAAAAGCAGAATGCGAGAAATGTCGCCGGATACCATGCCTACAGATTTTGGGTTGCTGCCGGGGACCTTTGTCAAACCAGAGGGGAAGGATATGCCTGCTTTTTTCAAAGAGCCACAACTCAGGTTGCGGATGGAATGGGTGTGGATAAAACAATGGGTTGCAAATTTCATTGCGTGCGCATTCCTTTCTTTCCTTCTCTCTCTTTTTCCTGTGGTGGTTATTGAAAGCCAAGATTGGTGTCGCTGACAGCCATCTAGGACTATTGCCTATCATAAATACTACTTCAAGAAACTTCCACTCGAACTCAAAGAACGGAAAGGCATCGCTAAAAGGCTTCATCGGATAATGTACACAGAATTCGCAGGGTAAGGACTGTATCTTAGCATTCATATAACAATCAAACTAATATTACTCAGCGGCAACGAAGCTGCTTTAAAAGAAATATGCTGCACCGGCCTCGAGACAAGCCTCCTCTCTCGTCTCAGACGCCGACCGGCCAATGAGAAAGTCTCCTGGAAGATGAGCTACATCCGAAGCCCGTCGACATTCTACACTGGCGCGCGAGTGGTTTCTGACCGCGCAACCAAGATCCCCGATTTACCCGACTCGGGTCTCCGTCAGGTCGTCGTGCGCATTTGCAGTCACCAAAATACAGCTTCATACTCGGAGAGATTATCAGAGGATAGAGAGCAAACTTTCGTCACACCCCGTACCGAGAAAGCACAGGCTATTACAGAATATGTGGTTATACAGAAATTAAGAATAAACGGCGAGGATGTACCGTGGAAGATTTGGGGGTTCACAAAGCCTACGACTGTGGATGAACTGGACAGCCACCATTTCTCAGGTGGGTTGTCTGCAAAGGAGCGATTGGAAATGATGCAGGAAACGCTATCTGGTAAGAAGTAATCCGTCTCATGGAATGTCGTTTGTACAATATTGTATATCATTATAATCAACATTAGCCATATCCAGGGTTTCATCGTCCATAACCCTCAACAAATTAGATTCTTCAACGTAGACCTTACAACTTAGACCCCAGATCGAACTTCCCATGCCTCCCAACCCCATCCCTAAACCTCGCAGCCCCCTTCACACTCTCCTCCATTACCACAGCCTTCCCATTCTCAAACTCAAACCTCATCGCATCCTCAAACCCCCTCGCCTCATAAGCAGCGTAATAAACACTCTTCCTATCCACATTCATACACCGCTGTGGAAACTTCAACAACGTCCTCGCCAATGCCATCGCCTCCTGAAAAGCCTGCCCCTTCGCCACAACCCGATTCGCAAGCCCCATTCCCAGCGCCTCCTGTGCCGTAACCGCCCGCCCCGTAAGTATCATATCCATGGCTCTCCCCAACCCAACGATGCGCTGCAACCGAACCGTTCCGCCGTCTATCAACGGCACCCCGAATCGTCGACAGAATACCCCAAAGACCGCGTCTTCCTCAACAATCCGCATATCCGCGAGAAGACTCAATTCCAGACCACCTGCCACCGCGAACCCGGATACTGCTGCAATCACGGGTTTTGAGAGCGTCATGCGAGATGGGCCCATCGGTGCGGGATTTGTGCCGTCCACGGGTAGCAATTTTGAGCTTTTGCTTTGCTCTACATCTACTTTCCGTTGACTTTGCTGATTCTCTGGGCTGGATATTTTGGCGACTTCTTGCAGGTCAGCGCCAGCGCAGAAAACACCCCCAGAGCTGTGGAATACGCAGATCTTTTGTGTCGGGTCGTTGTCGAAGGAGAGAAAGGCCGCGTGCAGTTTTTGTGCTGTTGGGCCGTCCACGGCGTTGCGGCGTGAGGACCGGTTTATGCATATCGTTGTTATGCCAGCGGAGGATTTCCCGAGGAGGACTGTGTTCTGATCGTCGGCCATTTTACATGTAACGTGTGGTCATAGATTGATCAGGAAGAGAGTAAGTGCTGGTATTGTTTGTATCAAGTTTGAAGTTTGTTAGAACAGGTGAGATGCTGATGCAGCAATGTTCCTAATGGAGGTTCTAGAATCTGTATTTTAAGCAGTATTAGTGTTATTAGAGCAATGTCAACACTGAACGTTGAAGTAATCAATTGACGTTAGGTATATAGTCAAATCCGGGGAAGCCCCACATCGTGTCAGAAGCCGAGGTTAAATCAATGCCATATATAAACACAATTCTTAGTTTTTATCTTATATTGAATATCAAGTATCCTGGGGAGAAACATGACCAGCTGCACAAATATGACTATGAGCATGTGAATGGGAGAACAGCCGACCGTTTTAATGAGCAAAAATTGGTGAAACGATGTCCTGGTCGCCGAAAATACGGTCCGCGTGTCTTTTAGGGAACAATTGCATCTGGAAACGCACTTATCAAGGACTCTATAACCCGGGACAATCTGGTACAAAGGTATGAGGCTCTGTGTTTCGAAATGGAAGCCGCTGGGCTGGTGAAGAGCAGCTTTCCCTGTTTAATTGTCCGAGGAATCTCTGACTATGCGGACTCTCACAAAAATGATATATGGCAGGAGTATGCTGCGGCTGCAGCTGCACGTTATGCCAAGGACTTTCTCCATATTTTTCCCGGGAATATATGACTAGGTGGGATTTAAGTTTGAAAATGGCTTCCTCTTTTATAAATATATACCAATAAGACAGGATCTTTGTCGTTTTGCGTCTCAAAGGTTACACCCCATCCTTTTATTCCACATAGCTAATCATACGAGGATTCCTGCTATCCCACACTTGGGTTCAAAACCACCATTTATAGAGAAGAACCGTAGGAAACTGCAGGTATGTATTCCTGAGAGGAGAGGTCAGGGTTTTATGAAAATTAGAAAAGGCTCCAAATAATGCTGAAAGTTGTTTGTAATATTCGAAATATGAAATAAAATTGATGTATCTACATTTGAACACTAAGACAGCTTACGTTGACTGCTAGATACATCAAGCCCATTAGAACATTGAAACAAAAGACAATAGGCTTATGGTCAAGCAAATACATGTATATAATGAAGGTTGCTACTTGCTGGTATATATGTAGTTAAAATCATTAATTGGTTCTATTCTCTGTCAGATAGCAAATACACTGAAATTCTGTCTAATGTATGACTTCACCCTAAAACCAATGACTATTTCCATGGTGGCTCACAAACGCTCCGCTAAGACTCATATCCAGCTTGTTCTGAATCACGTCAATCTGATCCCGCACGCTCTCCTCCTTTGATAGCTGGCCCTTCAAATTTGGTTCAACTTTCTGGAATTCTTGAAGCATCTTTTCGGTAGCGTCTCGCAGCTCACGTGGAATCGGGACTTGAAAGTTTCGTTAGCCAATTGAACTTGTAGCAAGCTTATCCCTTGCCGGACTGACAGGCAAAGTGTTTCTTGAATAAATATTGCCTACGGCGCGGGGGGGTTTGGGAAAAGATGGGCACTTACTGGGTCCTTCATAAGTGTCTACCCAGCCTGGGCTCAACGCTAAGACCTTGATACTTTCCGGTGCCAGTTCGGCGGCGTACTTAGCCACAATGACATTCAGCGCGGCCTTGCCAGCCGAATACGCTACGCCATATGAAATTCCCGTTTTCTTGATTAGGTCTATTTCTGCCATGCCGCTGGAAATGTGAACGATTTTCTTCTCATTCCCTCGACGCACGAGGGGCAGAAACGCGTTGGTAACCATGATCGCACCAAATACAGACGTGTCCAGTGTATCCTTGAATGCCTTGTGCAGCAATTCCGCATCTACCGGTAGCTGCGACGGTGGCAGCGAGAGTGTTGCGAGATCGGTGGCGGCAGCATTGTGGATCAGGATGTCTAGCACACCACCTGTGAGCTTAGACACGGCCGTGGCGGCGGACGCAAGCAGCTCGGGGTTTCCCACGTCTGCTTCGATAATGTGCACATTGGGGTTAAGCTTGGCGAGCGAGGCTAGACTGATGGCATTGTCGGGATTACGGACGATGCCGAAGATGGTGTTGGAAGGGTTGCTGGAAAGCTGCTTGACGAGCTCAAGGCCTAGACCTCTTGCAGCACCAGTAATAGCGTACGAAGGCATGGCAAACGAATATAGAATGAAGTGTAACTTTTTGTATGTGTATTTTGTTATGAACCGTTCAACTGGTAACGGCCGGCTCTGACCTAGGCGCTGGATGTCTGTTCGGGTTATCCCTCAGCGTCTTCATCGGATTTTATAGGTGATATTTCTTGATTTCGGATTTCTAATCAAGTCGGTCAGCACATCTGCAAAAATCCTCTCGGGTGACAGCCAGCAACCTTTTTCATCTAGATATTCGAGGTAATGACGGCTCATCGGCAGAAGTATCGGCCGACGGGGTGTGGACTGCGGCCGACGGAGCTATAGTTAAATACGAATGACATGTACGGTATTACCCTCAGAACCGTATTTTCGGTTCCCTCAGGTTCCCTAATCTTATGTTCATGGATTTCAGCCTAGGGTAACTTTATTTGGTTCGAACTTTAGGTATCAATCATAGCGGTATTTTAAATGTCTGCAGGATGGATTCCCATTCCGTGTCAATCGATTCTAGCCCTGGCAACTCGTCCAACAGCATCCAGTCAGGCATTTGGAAATTTCCTTCTTCGCTTTCGTCAACTCTCTCATTAGCTCTCACCTGCGTGCCATCTCCTGGTGTGTTGCGGTCCGGTTGCTCTGTCGGCCCCCGGTGACTCTGTTCGACATGTGTATGAGCCTGGCAGTCTGGCATGAGCTCTGTCTCAGCTGCAGTGGTGCTGACACCACCAATTGCATCACGGAGCTTTTTAGGATATGCGAGTGCGAGTTTCTTTAGTTTAGTGACGAACGGGGCCAGGGTGTCGTTCGGCCTAATGACCCCCCCAGTAAACGGGAATTCCGCAGCGCTTTCGAATTTTTCGGCCAGCTTGCTAATGATCTGGGTAAGATCTATCTCATCGGCAATATTTTGAGCTGCCTGCCTAGAGCGGCTTTCACTAGGCATTTCCGGGGTGGATAAGACATGTATTGTAGCCGTGGGGCCTGACACTATAGTGCTCTCGACAAGAGTGAAAGTTAGCCGTATGAGGCTGGCGAGCACGTAACAAATTCTCCAGAAAACAGTGTATGGCAAACACCGAACAGTAGAGTCATGTATTACTAGAAATTTCTGAACAAATGCCTTGTTAGAGTTGAGCATATGCCACAGCATTGCGGCTCTAGTCGGAGTGAACGAAGGCTCAGCGCGGATACAGCCAGTGCCTATACTAGGCGTTCCATTTGGCACAGCTTCCCAGAGCTCATTGTGAACAGCCACTTCTAAAGTATAAGATTCCGTGTAATCAATCTCCATGTTTATAATGCTGTTGTCTATGATGGTATTAGTGAAAGTTCTATCAAATTGACTTCATTAAAACACAGACCTGGGTGAGCCTCTGCTTTAGCAGCTAATCTTTTAATGAGTTGCAACTCGTGGAGGAACCTCTCTGTAGTTATAGAGACACCTGAATTTCCTCGCACCGAGGTGTATTCCACATCGAAATAGCTAAACGTTTCTCCGACTCGAGTAGCAATGGATGCGAGGAGCACAAGCGGCTCGATTAGCTTATCCGTGTGGTGTTCGCCTGCTGCAGTTAAATGGCGACAGCAGTCTTCCATATATCTGCTAAGTTGAATCACCGGCGGTCTCCGGAGAGATCTCGAGAGGCTTGCAAGCGATGGATGCTCATTAGCACATAGTCAATTCTATATTTGGTGCTTTGAGGGGAGTTGGCGAAACTCCCTAACACGTACCCAGCGGATAACCAATATGCTCCTAGTAGGGCACGCTTCTTAGCCAAACTTGCAGCACTTCCTTTATCAAGGTTTAAATCGTAAACCATGGCGACGCACAACTGCATCATCGCAAAAATATCTCGCTCTTCATTCGGCGAGGCAAAACAGTAATGCCAGGCTAAATAAATAAGAAGTGCTTGCAGGGCCTGCAGGCTTCTTTCGCCGCGGCCAATGAGCTTGGAGCTGATTTGTGCTTGTATCTCCTCTCCAAGCAGCCTCTGGAGAGATAAGTCGGAGCGGAGTGCCACAGATATAACTACAAGGAAAAGTAAGGGAGCATCTTGCCTAAGCTTGTTCGCATCAACTCCGTTATCCAAGACTACGAAGGGAAAGAAGGCGGCATGGTGAAGAGTGAAGTCGGTCAGCAGGGCCTCTGCATATTCAGGAGTAATGATACGCCGGTCAACCAGGTCGACATAGCCATCACTGGCATTGGGTGGGGTGACAGATATAGGTGGTACAAGCGATGAGCGTATTCTCGATGAGACAGCGTCCACCGAGGAGCGAGACGTAGAGGGACGGGGTGTGGGAGGTTCCAGAGGCGCCCTGAGACGCCCAGGCGAGAGCGCAGCCCCAGACAATGTTGAATCGCTAATCGGGTTTTTGTCCTTGTCAAGGGTAGATACTCGCGTAACTAGTTCCTCTAGCCTGGACTCTAGTCCCTCAATGCGCCTGTAAATAGAAGCCGTACATTAGGATCTGATATGAATTCAATCAAAGGAGGTCTACAGAACACGGCATCATCCCTACCTTGTACCTTTCTGCCTGCGCCTCCTCTGCGGCAGATCCAAAAAGGTGCACCCTTTCCCAAGACGAGCACACCGTTCACAGTTGTCCTCCCCGATACGGCGGTTGCATTTCGTTTTTGCAGACGTACAGCTCACGCATGCACGTCTCTTGGAAAGACCGGTACCCGGAACGGGGTTGGCAAAACGCCCGGCGTCCATTCTTTCCGCAAGTGGCACTAGGGTGATCTGTATCTATATTTGGCGTATGGGCCAGTAAAATAAAGCTTGGATCTGGTTGTTTGTTTTCAGTATGCCAATAAGAGCCCGTACAAGAGAAGGACGGACCGGGTTGGAACTAGACCCGTGGGAAATAATCCACTGACTAATCTGCCATACTAATGTGCACCGAGTCTGGAGCGGATCGGGTGCTCGGAGCATCCGGCCGCATATGGCTCTATTATTACGGTCATGACCCCGCTATCTTCCTTCACCGCACATACTCACATAGTCCATCATGACGAGCAAGACGCGCAACGTTGACTGTGAACACATCTTGGTACGTAGACCCCAGTCGGTTCAGAAAAGATGCTCATACACCTAAAAAGATCACAGGTGTGACTGGCTATATTGGATTTAAAACGCTTTCAATCGCCCTCACGGTAGGATACCGCGTTCGCGCTGTCGTTCGCAATGAAGCCAATATCAAGGACCTGAAAAACAGAGACCCGACCGTAGTGGAAAGTCTTGAGAGGGGCCAACTTCACTTCGTCGTAATCCCGGATTTCCTAGTAGAAGATGCGATTTTCAATCATCTCGACGGAATTACTGTGCTCATTCACATTGCATCACCTTTGGCAATTGAGGTATTGTCTAGTCATAATCCTCTTATTTTCTAGTCCTGATGACTATGCTGCGGGGTAGACTAATGATTATGATGCTGGAATCATCAAACCGGCTCTTTCCATGGTGACAACTGTTTTGGAAGCTGCTGCTCGGGTGTCGTCGATCCGCCGCGTGGTGTTAACGTCTTCTTGTACACAAGTTTCTACCATACCAGTCAGATTCAGGAGGCTAATCAGTCCTAGGTGTGACATTGGTTCCATTCGAATGGAATATGAACCCGGACAGTGATAGACTATATACAGGTTGGTGACTGATCTCGTCTGACCCCACGGTTACTCATGGTCTCTTTGTAGTCGCTGACATCAACACGAATACTACCGGTCCATTCCTGAACGCAATGCAAGCTTACTGGGCATCCAAGGCACTCACCCGGCTTGCAACAAAAGAGTTTGTTAGGAATAATTGTCCACAATTTGACTTCATCAATCTCTTGCCCTCTGTGGTAATTGGACCAGACGACCGCCTTAATAATGACCCGACTGCAACCATCGAAAGTCTCCTTCAAGGCACACGAGCGGCAGTGCTTGCTCCTGCGCTGACTTCTTCACTTAGTTCTCCATTTCCATATGTTGGAGTTCCGGTACATGTGGCTGATGTGGCATGGGCGCATATTGACGCGATAGATGCTGACCTGGTTCCTGGAAATTCCGAATATATTCTCTGCTCAGACACACCAGATGGAGTGGTCTGGGATAGAGATGTAGCTAATATTGCCAGGAAGTTCTTTCAAAAAGAGGTGACGACGAAAGTATTGCCACTGGAGGGGTCGTTGACGACAATAAAATGGAGACTGGACGCTCAGAGTACAGAAGAGGTGTTTGGGTGGAAATTCACGAGTTTCGAAGACACTATGAAGGAGCTCCTTGCGCAGTATTTGGAACTCCAAGCCAGAAACAATGCTGTGATTTGACCTCATATATCAATGTATTAGCCACCGGAAGATAGTGCCAGCTAGAAGTGATGACAATACTGTGCATCGATATTATTGAAGGAACATAAACTAAAATAAATCTGTCTACCTCTGACTGGGTGTAGCTTTTTAAGTTGCTATGATTTTTCAGATAAAGATTAGGAAATTTGCGATGCTCCCGTACTAGTTTCCACAGCCTCAAGTATCAGTGTTAAAATAGATTATTATGATCATGATAAGATAATGAATATCGGTTGGAGACTGCTCGTAGTTATTCTTTTTCTTACCTGACTGTGGTTCTTGCGGTAAGATCGGTTGGGGGCTCGGTTGGAAGGATGACTGTAGGCATCAAAGGAGACAGGAGGGTATTTACTTAACCGCCTTGGACTTCTCCGTTGTGGACTTGTTCGTCGAGAAACAAGGCGCTCATTAGGAGAATCATGTCGTCTTTTAGTTCTCGAAGCTTTATATATTGAGGGGTTGAAGATTTCCTTCGATTGTCCAGATTCTGATGCCCAGGAAGCCGGCGTGCCACCTCTCTCTAGCTAGATATGCTCTAGAATTGCGACCCAGTTCGTCCATTCGGCCCCTTTTTCGTGTTTGGTCTTGGTGCTGCGCAAGAGATGTTTTATAACAGGGATAGATATACTGATACTTCATTATTGTTTACGCTTGGGATACACTCTCGGCTTCCCGGCTAAGATAACCGATGGCCAGCGGCGTGGGCCTTGGAAGAATGGCGGTCATTTAGGAATTTAACGGTGGGGGCAGAACCTCCACAGAAGGCTTTTCTGATCAGTGTATTATATTGTCAAAATTTCCATTTCCTACTTTCTCTAAACACATATGGTCCAAGAAATCTGAATGTTTAGCAACGATAAGCAGTTTTTTCAAAGCATATTGTGTCAAGGAAGACCAGCAAACACAGAATCCGAAAAGTACTTTCTAGCGATGTTCAAACAGAAAGGGGTGGTCTCATCGAGAAAGTGACTCGAAATCTGGCGTAAATTGCATGGAGGTCTCCATCAGATGCCACATTCAAGCCTCAAGGGAGTAAATATACGGTGACCCCTGTCGTCTTGATGCTCTTTTGAGTTGCGATTGCAGTTCTTACCGGTCTCTCTCCGATACTTAATTTGGTTGATTCAACACCCTGGAAGTAAAGACTCGAGGGGGCAGCCATATAATGCCAGGGTGCTAAAACCGGTTGAAATGAAACGATACTATGTGCATTAGACAGGCGGAAAGCGAATGCAAAAGATGTGTCCTAGTCATAGCGAAGAAAACTTCCTGCCCCTCTTCATCCGGCCACTGTCCAGTGACCTGGACGTACATGACTGGAAATACTTGTCTTCCAAAGGCACCTTTGCCCTACCAAACAGTGATTTCCAGAATGCACTATTACGGGCATATATTGAGCATGTTCACCCACTCCTGCCAATCCTAGAGCTAGAGTCTTTTGTAAAGGCTGTATTCTCTCCACAGAATCATGGCACGTCGAAGCTACGAAAAAGTGTGAGCTTGATACTTTATTGGGCAGTAATGTATGCTGCTATCCCTGCTGTGCCCTTACACGCTCTCCACAAGGCGGGATATTATTCTCATCATGATGCTCAATGTTCTTTCCATATGCGTATCCAAGTATGTTCTCCTTTTATTTATTTCCCATTTTCTTAACAAAATGAGATTTGACAGTATTTGATACTGATAATATAACGAGGCCCTTTACAATGTAGAGGCTGAGTTAGACAGACTATCCCTAGTTCAGGCGCTACTGCTGGTCGTCTACAGGCAAGATATCACAAAACAAATCAAGGACATGACATATTGGATGACAATCATCTGGTCCTACATGCAAGAACTTGGCATAGACGTACAAATCGGACGCAAAGTTAAACCTACAGGAAATCACCAAAGGAAAATAGCCTTGTATCGCCGGCTGTGGTGGTCGTGTTTTATTTGTGACAGACTTGTTGGTCTGGCAGCTTGTGCAGATCCCGTACTGCCACAGCCAGGTAGCATCCCTCCGTTAAAACTAGATGACCTAGAGATTTTTCATTACCCAGGCTATATTATCCAAGCTCTCGGTGATGGAAATTTTTCCGATTTTGATCTTTCACTTCATCTTGGCCGTTTATGTGTCATACAGACACAAGTATGTATACTTTTGGACCAAGTTATCTCCGGCCCTCATGGGCGATCACCGAATCAACTACTACATGTAGCTACCAACCAGGCCATATCCGAAGCTAATCGTCTGGCAGGCTACAAGGCTGACTTATTGAAGCATCATGACCAGATAACTTTCTACATACTTCAAAGAGATTCACCCTTGAAAATCATCGATCCTGTACGATTGAGTCAAGTCAAGAGTTGTGGACCAGCCTATATTCATGAAATGGTTCTTTTTATTGTCATTGACGCGATTCTTGCATTTCTCTTGCAACGCCAAATTGTCTTGCAAGAGATCTTGTGTGGGAGGGATGGTGGACACGGCAAGCGCGGCACAGCAGAAGAATTAGACTCTTATCGGCTCAACCATTTTTTACGTCAGTCACGCATTGTGACTATACACAGAGTCTGTAGTCGATTAAAAGATCTCAAACAAAGCGGGGAACTACAAAAGTTGCGACCAACAATAGTTGGGCTTCTGCTCCCCGCTGCTATTCATTATCTGACGCAGGTTCGTGAAGAGGGACAAAATATCCACGACAGTATAGGCAACGCAGGCTACTTTGATGAATGCCTATCTATTCTAAAGTTGCTGGGGAAACATTACCCGTCTATTGGCCAATGGGCTGTCTATTTGCAGAAAGCAGCAATGAGCTGTTCTGTTCCCTGTCCTTCTAGTCTTCCTTATACTCATCACCAGGAAAGGCTGGAGGATTCTATAATTTCTGATACGGAAACAAAAATACTCTCTGACTTCGATATGTATCAGGAACCAATACAGGCATGTATGAGGTGGTGGTTTGGAGATGGGAATGCAATGTCGTGATGGAGTTGGACATTTATTAATACGCCCGGTATAATAAAGTTTTCTTATTTTACAATCTGAGCAACATAAAATAGCTAGCGAATTGAACACGCTGATTGCACTATCAAAGATTTTCAAACTCTTACCCATTGGTATATCGTCAAACTGGGGACGAGATGGGGATGAATAAGGATATCTAACGTGAAGGGAAGAGAGTAATGCTTGATAAGCGAGAAGAAGGTTGTTAAAGTGCCACTTCGATATGTTGAATCAACGATCTGTTTTAAGTTATTACATTTCCGGATTAAGGAGCTCGAAAAGACTTCTGTCAAAAATATGTCTGAATAAGGAGAGAGGCCTTTTAAATAATATAGCTATACTTGCTATAATTTAGCATCTTACAATACTAGCCTATCTTGCTAAGATGTTCTCTACTACATCCCACCCCTGCCGCCGGCGACCTGAGTCTTGTCATTGCCCGTTTGGAAAAATTGAAGTGAGATGGTATAAACCACACCTACCATGATTGTCTGTATTAGACCTGTTAGAATGAATACTGTCCTCGTGGCTGGTTTGACTTACTTGTCCAGTCACGTAGGAGAAAAGTGGCGATACCACGGCCAGTATCGCCCGTCCAGCGTCTGTCGGGGATCCAATTCGTCGGAGGGGGATATCCCCTACCCTAAAAACATAAGTTCATAGGTGTGAAAATCGGTAATTATATGGAATTCAAGAGTGCTCACCATTTATCCTCTTCATCGTAACCACCTTTGAATCCCACAGCATGCTTTGTACCATCTGGCCTTACAACAAACTCCCCTTTAGGGGCCTGTGTGAGCCTGGTTTTGATCGCCCCAAAAGCCACAGCTGGAGGAAAGGGTCAGTCAGTCTAAGCTAAAGTCACTGGTAGGCGAATGAAGTTCATACTGTTGACTCTCACACCATATTCAGGTCCCCATTCATGGGCCAGCGTTTTAGTAAGTCCGACCAATCCCGCCTTGGCCAGCGCATAGCTCGCCTGTCCTGCGTTACCATATATACCAGATGTGGATGAGATATTGACAATTGATCTCGGTTCACTGTCCTTAAGCATGAAATATGGCGCTGCTGCCCTGATGAGTTTGAATGGTGCGGTGTTGTGGAGGGAAATGATAGTTTCTTTCGTTTATTAGAGTGTGGACCAAATTCCTGAGGTTAATGGGGAGGCTCACCCCATTGTTTGTCCTGAATATTTTCAATTGGGCTATCCCACGCGTATCCTGCATTATTAATGATTATATGAATTTTCCCCTCGCCAAACTCAACAGTCCTTTGGACAAGATGAATAAGGTATTCGTTATTGGTGATGTCTCCAGCAACGACAATTGCAGATCCTCCGCTTGAATTGATGGTTTCAGCGGTTTTTCTAGCCTTTTCTGCTCTATATATGAGTATTGTGGTTATGACTCTTCATTCTCGCCGAACTGGGTACCGGCATCTAAGTCTGCGATGACTATCTTACACCCCTCCCGTGCTAGAATCACGGCGGTCTCGGCGCCTATACCTTGAGCTGCGCCAGTAATTATAGCAGTTTGGCCTAATTGTGTTTGTCAGCTAGTTTCAATATCAAATCGCCTCAACTGACCAGCTAGCATCCCCTGCGGGAAATTGAGTTGCGGAGTAATACTCATCGTAGCAACTTTGAGAGCACTATAGAACTGGAAAGAAAACGTTGCAGAAGTTATAAAATATTCTAAATTTGCGAGCCCAAAATTGCCCCCTACATTCCACTTCTAGGACAACAACAGGTCCTTGATTGAAATTTCATACAACAATAATATTGATGGTATTTTCGGCATGGTCGGTTAACGCCGGGGAGGCGAGAAAACCATTTCGGCCAGGACCGAGTACACGATCTCGGATACTTTATCCAGCCAGGGTTATGATGACCTTACAATGCGATGTATTTTGTGTATGGCATATTCAAGCCTGAAGAACTATAGAGTATGCGCAATTCGGCGAAGCTTAGCCTAGATTACCGAATATTTATCAAATGTTGAGCAGAATGTTGCATGATACCCTATCGTTAATAAAACCTTCAGGCATGTGCTATCATTGAGTTTCTCTTTTTTTTTCGTATACAGGATTAGTCGATTAGAGTGCGGCAAATATAACTTACGGCAATTGAATACTTCCTTTACATTTGAAGATATGGGTTCAGTTAATCCGCTTGGCAACGGAGATGGAGGCGTAAAAGAGCTGGATGTTCTTATTATCGGCGCTGGGTTTGGTGGGTGTTATAGCCTGTATAAGCTTCGTAACTTAGGGCTCAAAGTCCATGTTCTCGAGGCAGGTTCCTATCTCGGTGGGGTCTGGCATTGGAACACTTATCCAGGTGCTCGCGTCGACTCGGAAATCCCATATTATCAATTCTCGCTGCCTGAAGTGTGGCGCAAATGGAACTGGACGGAGAGATTTCCTAGTGGAGATGAACTGAGAGCTTACTTCAAGCACGTTGATGAGACTTTAGATTTATCCAAGGACATCAGTTATTCCGCCAATGTCATTGATGCGAGATATGATGAGCCGAAAGCGAAATGGACGGTGACAACGGAGAATGGCCAGAAAGTGGTCAGTAAGTATCTCATCTGTGCCACCGGGAGCTCTTTCAAACCACACTTTCCCGCTTTCAAGAACTTGGATAAATTCAAAGGCCAAGTTATTCACTCTACGCGGTGGCCCAATATTGCAAATACAGAAAATAAACGTGTCGCTATCGTCGGTTCGGGTGCTACTGCAGTGCAATGCACACAGGAGATTGCGAAAGTAGCCCATTATTTGACGGTATATATCCGTACGCCAAGCATCTCGTTGCCCATGTTTCAACGCTCCCTCAGTGAATTCGAACAACGAGTTAATAAATCTACTTATAACCGTATGTTTGCTTATTGCCGGAAGTCCAAGTCCGGTCTCGGGTATGACTCTCGACCAGGTTCTGTCTTTGAGCTGAACGATCAAGAACGGGAAGAGCTTTTCGAGGAACTATGGAACCGAGGAGGATTCAATTACAACCAGGCCAATTATCGGGATTTTTTGGTAGATCCAAAAGCGAACAAGCTAATGTATGATTTTTGGGCTAAAAAGACACGCCCAAGACTAAAGAATCCCAAAAAGGCAGCATTTCTTGTACCAGAGACTCCGCCATTTGCATTTGGAACGAAACGAAGCAGTCTAGAACAGGACTACTACGAGCGCATTGATCAAGACAATGTTGATGTCGTGGATCTAAAAGCAAATCCAGTTCAGGAATTTACAGAGAAGGGAATCATTTGTCAAGATGGGGTGGAGCGCGAGTTTGATACCATCGTTCTGGCTACAGGGTTTGATGCGATGACGGGAAGCTTAACGAATATGAATATTCATGGTAGAGATGGTTTGACATTTCGAGAACGATGGAAAGATGGGGTATTCACCCACCTGGGATTGTGCAGCAGTGGTTTCCCGAATCTGTTTTTGATATATGGACCTCAAGGCAAGTCTTACTTATTGAGCTACAAAAGTTGATTCTAACTTTCAATGCAGCACCCACTGCATTTACAAATGGTCCTGTCTTTATTGAAAGCCAGGTTGACATAGTAGTTGACCTGCTCAAAAAGCTTCAAAGTGAGGGCATCAAATCTATTGAAGCACAGCGTAACGCTGAAGAGCAGTGGAAAGATGCAATCCAAAAAGCTAACGACCAAACTTTGATGCCGCTCACTGATTCCTGGTATATGGGGGCAAATATCCCGGGCAAAAAGCGAGAGCAGTTGAACTACTTGGGGGGTATCGAGCAGTATGAGCGTGAATGTCGAGCAGCCCTTGCCACCTTGGAAGGATTTACTGTTGTTCATGATGAGAACAAATAGTCTGGTGTACGCAATCTAAATGCTCAAAATTGTCACTTGAGGCCGAGAGCAAAGCGGGTGAAATCATGAATAGAAACATTGAACATATGGACACGGATCGCCCCTCCGAAGCAGTCGACCCTCAGCATAAGTAGATATATGGATATCGGCCATTCGTTTCTTTCTCTCGTCTTCAATGTTCGATAGCTAGGCAAGATACAAAATACGGGAGAATGTATTTTAGTCAATGCCCGACACTCGGTTAAATTACTTTTTAAAATATTTTCGGTTCATATTCGTTTGATGGCCTAGGCGATCTACATTGCTTCAGTAGTTGCATTTGTAATTTCTCGGTTAATGTAGCCGTGTCCAGACATTTGCACCTCGGCTTAAACCGAATCGAGACGACTGGGCGTATTGCACCTCCCTACTGACAGGCGATTAGAGAAGCGGGTTGCAGGAGCAGAAAAGCAAGTAAACTCTTTTGATCATATGTATGATAGCGTCAGGCCAATAGAATTAGCTGCCATTTTCCAAGTTGCGTACACAGGTGTGGTAGATGCCTCTCCAAGAACCTTAAATGCTTTTATAGAGTGGTAGCATTTCATCAATAATGACGTGTAACATGTACTACATAACGTAGGAAATCTTTTCAATCTTGCACTTAGGCTTAGAGGTTAGATTATCTCATGTACAGATTGTCATAGTCTAGAAGACGAGATATCTTTAATGCAATTTCTAGGCCTTGTGGCGCCATCCATAAAGTAATCATTACCGTCCTCAGTGCCTAAAATTCATGATTCTCAATTTTCCTTTCTTTTACCTGACAGCCTTGGAAATTCGTTGCGATCCAGTCTACCATTGTGGTGAGATATACTGCTGTCGAAGGAAGCTGTGGGTATATGTAAAATGCATGTGGTAGGCCGGCATAAATTCTGAGAGTCGTAGAAACACTGCATATGTAACGATAATCACGAGTCTGATGTCACTCACAATATTACAAAAAAGTAGATATAATGAAAATCAGCTTACCCCGCTTTTTTTAATGCTTGAGCATAGGCAATACCTTCATCCCTCAAAGGGTCCATGCCTGCAACTTGTACCACTGAGTAGAAGTTTAGCATCTCTCTCGGAGTTTGCGGTTAGGAAAAGGTGACTATACTGACATGTAGGGGGTAACCCGTGGAGTGACTCAGCCAGAAGAGGACTTGCATACGGATCAGGAGTGGCATCGGGGAGGTATTGATTCCAGAACCAGTACATTCGATTCGCGTCTACTATCGGGGAGTTTTTATTCTGTTTGTAGCTTATATACTCGTATTTTCCCTGTGGAAAGCATGCGGGATGGCATGTTACGGGGATATTAAGAATTTGGCCGATAATTCCAGGTATCGAAAGATTTCGGAACTTGAGTGCTAGAACAGTCGACTTGAGATCAATAGTTAGTCACGTTGTTTTATTTGAAGATTAGGAAAAGTTGTATAAAACGTTCTTACAAGATTTGCACCTGCACTTCCTCCACCCACAATAATTCTCTGGGGATCGATATTTAGGCTATCAGCATTCTTTCGACACTGGAGGTTTGTCAGCGAGTTGGGTCTTGCTTATATAGTGTATACATCTCGATGCAATTTACCCAAATTAAGACATCGAAACAGTCATTCACTGCAAAAGGATACGGGTATTCGGGCGCTCTTCGTGCTTGTTAGATTTCAAGCCTGCCAGGATCGTTGTCGGTTGCTTACCGACGATAATCCACACTCACGACCACAGCTCCGTTTTTAACTGCAATCAAGCGATTTTGAGCCTCTTCTGTCTCTGTATTACCAGTAACAAAGCCTAATTACTTTCAAGGTCAGACACACATCATTTTATGGTAACAGTTGACGCAAACGGACGGGAACAAAGTGGGTTGCCTTACCTCCACCATGGGCATTAAAGAACAATAATGAACCCGGAGAATGGTCTGTAGAAGTATATATACGGATCAAGATCTTTGTGCCATCTCGTACTTCAACTTCTGTTTGCACTATATCAAGGTCTTTTCCAGGAGTAGGGCTGTCCGGTGGGATCGGCGGTGGACGATATCCTGCTGCGCGAAATTGTTCAACTGGGAGAGCATATAGTTTTCTTGATAACTCATCTTTCTCCTTCTGAAGATTGGCCACCAATGCCCACTCATCTGATTGCTCGGCCAGGGCTGCCTGGACAATACAGCTTGCTCTAGTCATGATGTTGCTTGGACTTTTGGTATTGTCTTGGTATGTTATTGGGTATTATCAAGAACAGAGTAAAGCTTAAAAAAACAAAGTATTTGACATGTGTCCCAAAAAAACAGACATTCTAGACACGGCTTCTATGCTCAATTGATAGCCGGGGTATATGTGAATGCGTAAAACGATTCGGCATATGTAGTTTCGTCTTCGGCGAAAGCCGATGTGGGTGATTGAGGTACACTCTGCTACAAGGTATTGGCTAGATTCAATGATACAAGCACGGCTTCATTCAAGACCTTGCAAATACGGCCCGAATTTCCGGAACAGTATTCATGGGTATAGAAGGCAGCTGTGCCCAATCTAGAACCTGCCACTAGCCGTAAATCCTACAAAATCGTTATACTGATAATACCGTGTCGATACTCTCAAAGTTAGCCTCATAATGTTCGTCCCAGAATATTGCGATGAGGGCGCAACACCAATTCCATCACACCTGAATCTCGAAACTCTGCAAGGGAAATCTGTCATCATCACAGGAGGTATATCTCAATTCAAACTGTGCGATTTTCCATTCCTAATTCTAATTTAATGACCTTTTGTTATCTTTCCACAGGTGCAAATGGTCTCGGAAAAGCCTATGCAGAAGCCTTTGTAAAAGCAAGGTAAGTCCTCTTCTCACTTTTAGGAACTTGCAGCTGAGATCACTCAAGGGCATACGTAACAATTGCAGATTTCAACGAGACAGCTGGGAAACAAACGGTCTCTGAACTTTCATCGTAGGTATTGCCATACTCTAGAAACCATCTGATTGATACCAGTCGCTGATTATTGAGCTTCAAGTGAAGCCAGCCAGTTCGTTAAATGCGATGTTCGGAGCTGGGATGATCAAGTCCTCGTATTCGAAGCTGCCATAAAGAATTCTCCATTCCATAGTTGCGACATAGTCATTGCCAATGCCGGTATTGTAGGAGTAGATGACTTGTACAAGCTTGAGGGTAAATCATTTTCCTACATCTTCCCCTCTCTCGCATTAAAAACAGAGATGACTGACAACCAATTCAGACCCAAATTCACCACCTGTGAAGCCAGATTTGCGCATAATAGATATCAATTTGATTGGTCTTTCATACACGGCGAAACTCGCGTTGCACTACTTTCGACGACAACCCTTGAGTCCCATTCGAGACCGTTGTCTGATCATCAAAGGCAGCATTGCGTCGTATGCCGACCAGCCTGGGTCGCCGCAATACAATATTTCTAAATGGGGGGCGCGAGGACTGATGCGGAACTTGCGCCGCACTACGTGGAAAGAGGGTATAAGGGTTAATCTTGTTGCGCCTTGGTAGGAATTCTAGTTCTATTTGAGAGGATCGCATGTAGTGTGGTATGGTATGCTAATAGTCCTTCCAGGTATGTGCGAACACCAATTTTATCAAAAGATATACAAGACTATCTCGACGGCAAAGGGGTTGGCTTTGCTTTGGTTGAGGACTCGGCTAAAGCAATGCTCAAGATCGCATCTGATGCGTCTATTAATGGTATTTTGACTCTCTCCGAAAAGAAAAAACCAAATGACAATGATGAAACGAGGCTAATTATCATAGGGAGAGCATTTGGAATTGTGTCTCGAAAAGACGCACCGGAAGGGTACATGGATTTGGACCATGATGACTACAAGGACGGGGATATTTTGAAAGGATGGCAAGAAATTGTCTTGGATACTGCTCATCGGATAGTGGTAAGTGCAAGGATCCGTCGATGTTTTTTTGGGAGTTAGTCGAATAATGGCGATATTAATAAAACGATTCACAGGAGTAATGTAACATCTGGAGCGATTCTGGTACATGCTTAGATGGATGCGTGAGTTAGAGAATGACGTATTAGTGCTCGCTGTGTGGACTGCTCTTGCTGACGACATAAATGCAAAGGAAATGTCATGGATATCTGCAATATGTTTTACTCAGCACGGTAAATATTACCAATTACCTAAAATTGTTGAATGGTGAACGGGAAAGGCCGCTGTATGTCCGTACAGTATTGTGATGTAAACAGGAAATTCAGCAAGCAGCTATACAGATTTCACTGTGGTTCTTATGTACCACAATATATAAATACAAAAAATAATTTCACGTGCAGTTTATACATTGGCTTCGCTCCGGGCTGTTGTGGGATGTGGAAGCCAGAGGGAAGCAAGTTGCAAATTTGGCCAAGATAATAACGACGATGTAAATTCCTCTGTATCTTGATGCATCCATTGCCGGTCTAGCGATGACAACTGTCCAGTTAAGTGGTTATTCCAGTGATTTTTATCTCCTCCCAACTGCTGAAAGTTAGAAAACTCATCACTACATTCCACCTGCCGGCTTGGAATTCCAGTCGTAGCTTTGCTGCATTTCTCTGTTGTATTTGGGAAGCTAGGTTCCAGTGGAGAGGATGCAGGTAGGTGAGATGGTTGCGACGGCTGTTTAAAAGAGAAGAGATCTTCTAATACTGTCCCCTCCACCATTGGCTGAAGCGTACGTAGCATGCGAGTGATTACAGGGAAATGTGGTTGCAGGTCGTCCATGGTGTTGACTGTCAGACGAAACCACTGAACATCGCGTGAATTGGTCGTGATTTGCCTGGGATTTTTACGAAACTCGGTAATAAGAACTGTCAATGCAAGGTTGACATTGTCCAGCATTACCGACGGTATTTTCTCAGTCCCCTGAATCTGTCTGTATGTAAGAAGAAGACGTATGGTTTGAATGGCGTTCTTGTAGATTATCTGCTCAGAGTCCTCATTGTCATCAACGCCTGTCGATACAGGCAATTGGACATTCTCCAATGTGTGCGTAGCGGCACCTCTAAGGAATGCCTTGTGAATGAGAATCTGGACTTTGCAGTATTGCATGTGAATTCCATACGCAGTTGGATCGAGATCCGGAACGGAGTTCTCATCATAGGCCATTCCTGGGGGTAGGCCCTCGCACCATTTCTGTATATCCGAATCCAGTCTAAACAAAGCGGCTTTCGCTGCAGGGTCAAGGGCAGCGGGGACGCTGTTCAATATATCACAGATTTCAGCCATGGGCACACATAGCTCCATCCACGCAGTTAATATTGCAGCATCATGCCCTTTGTAAGTTCGGCATCCAAGAGCGGCGATCTTGACTATTGATCGGGGTATGGCACTCGGTCGGCCTAAATACATGCACCAAATTCCCTCATAGGAGATGGTTGCGCAGAAAAGGTGTAGAAGCGGGCTCGGGGAGTCGGCGGAGCTAGTCTCATCATCTAGGTACATTGGTTCATGCAAGCCAATGTCAACCAACATGCGCGCTGCCATTCCTATGTGTCTCAAGTTAATGATTGTCAACATTAAAAAGATAGAAAGATGTATGGACCTACCACAGAGCATCCAACCCACTCGATCACGACCGTGAGTTACTTCATATTCGCTCAATAACAGGAAGCCTTGCAAAGAGGCGGCAGACGGTTTTTCGATTGCGAGCAGAATACCAGAATTGGCCTGAGAAGCGTATTTATGTCCCAAAGAACGCACGGCGCTAGATGTACTGAGTCGAGCAGCACAAGCTAGCATCACCATCTCAAGGAACGGTGAATACCAGAAAGATGAAATACCAGCCTCTCGGTGTGTATTAAACAGTTTTTCATCGATCACGCTGACCCAAAGGGTTTGATACCTGAAGAAGGACTGCAGGAGGCGACTTCTCAATTGAGCCGAGTTGATATCCATCGAAATCCCAACCTTAGAAAGCTCGTCCTGGGTTAATATCGGCTGATGCTCTAGAGGTGAGAGAATATGAGGCTGGGAAGTAGGTCCGAGAGCACAGGAACCTTCTTCACGGCTTCTGCTGCTCCTACGACTACCAGCTTCTTGTTCTCTGTCCCCGTCAGAAGGGCTTCCTGCTTGCCACACACTTGCCCCTATAGTGCGAAGTCCATTGTGGGGTGTGGTTTCGGGGTTTCCTGGATTCACAGAGAGAAGAGGTGAAATAGACAAGTCGCTCTCGAGCCATGTCATTCCCTGTCTAGGTCTGAATTAGCACAATATAGATGGAAACCTGGACATCCTCAAGAGACAATTTTGACTAATATGTTCACTTACGGGGATATACAGCCCTTTGAGGACGGCAACGGATCGGCCGTTACATTTTCATTCATAATCAACATGGGAGAATCGGTATCATCCACAGACAGCTGGCCATTTTCTTCGGTAGTTTCTTGGACTGGAGACATGTTATAGATTGAACGAGTATCGTCCTCGCCTGTGTATACACGTTGTCTGGATCCTTGATCGAGAAGAGCTTCAAGACTGTGAATTCGCTGCTCTAGAGTCTCGATATGCTTCCGTGATCCCGACCTATATTTTTCAATTAGGATGTCAATCTGGTGGAGAAAAAGTAAAGAAAGTCTATACACACTTTCGACGGTCCCCGTTGCGATTAAACAAACAGCGATTGTTCGTTCGCTGACACGGTGTACATCGCTGTCCAGGCTGGATACCTTGAGCATCACACTGCATGAGGGAGTCAACCGAAGTACTGATTTGCGAGCAACAAGATCTCAGCTTACCTTGACCTTTCGCTGACGGCAGTTTTGGCAGGCCAGCGAAGCGCGTCTCCGCGGCTCGCTCTTTGCGGGTATCAGAGCAGACAGGTCGGTGGTCATGATTACATCGCCACATATGGATAGGACTGTGTATAGGAGAAAACGGCATTGAGGTGGTTATTGTTATTTTTGCGGGGAGCGACCGCGTCCGTGAGAAGTGCGGGGGGGTTTCCGGGGGTTCGGGGCTCGGAGTTCGTTGCAGTACAGTAATCAATGATTCAGTGATTAATATAGAGGCATCAACTAATCGTGTATGAAATGAATTTGATACATATGTTCAATTCTGTAGATGAGTCAGAATTAGATCTGCCATTTTTTGAGAAAATTCTGCTGAGGAATGCCCATTACGACGATGTAGTCTATAAATATGCATACATTCTATAAAGTAAACGCTTCATTGAAACAGCACATGCATAAGCGGTCTACATTTTCTTGCAAGAGAAGTGCTCGATAGATACACAATAATGTAAAAGGGAACTAGCCAAATCCCCTGTGCTCAAGTCTCTCCGATCATCTGCGACATAAAGGTTGGAAAAAGCAATGAGGAAAGACAGGCAAACTGAGAAGCCGGGGCACTTACTTGGTACGTACACGTATACCATGTAATTTCAAGTAATTCGGCGTTCGCCGACGCTGCCTACAGTATCCGAGAGTGGGCTCGGTTCTGTAGGCATGCGGGGTACGGGGTAGTCCCCAACATACTCTGTACAGCGATCGCCACCTTTGGCTCCTTTCGCTAGATATCGATTGCAAATCGATAGAGCAGAGATAGGGAATAGCACCATCAACGATGATCTTCTTGATGATGATGTTGTTGTTGTGATGCTATTGCTGACAGATTCAGTTGACGGATATGCAGACACAGGCCTGTGATCGGTGTCACAGACGCAAAACAAAATGCGACAGGCGTGTTCCACGCTGCAGCTCCTGTGAAAGTTCGTGGTCCCTTGCCAGTAGTCTTGCAGGTGGGAGACTGATTGTGTTTTGCAGAAGCAAACACCCCCTGTGTCCATACGAACAAGCTCAATCTACTGCCTTATCCCCGGTCATATATTAATTCACTCGAGGCGACAATTAAGCAATTGGATACGGAAAACAAAAAGCTAAACAACGAACTCAAGACATTACGGTCGTCGCAAGCTCTGTCGCCGCACTCCACCCCGGCATCTCCCATCGCAGATGAAAATACATTCCACTGTGATGGTCGGCCACCGTCCAGCGATAGTAATGCGGCCACAACAGCGAGTGCGATATCCTCAGACGGCATACAATTGCCACCAAGCACCCCTGAAGAACGCCGTCAGCCCGGCTCCCGTGATGATGTCCAGTTATTCAGTATTGTCTATAGCCTTGTTGCGGCTAAGAATTTGCCATCTCCCCAAAAGGCCCAATTCCAACAGGATGAGGATTCGCTGATGGCCTGCTCGTCGCTACTGACTCTTCCCAGTCGAGAAGAAGCTGCTCGCGTCATTGAGGCATATTTCTACCATTGGCATCTGACATTCCCCCTCCTATGTAGATCTCAGTTTCTCAAAACCGTAGAACGAATATATTCAGAGGAGGAATATTACACCAAAAACCCATTCGAAGCTTTTGTCTTCGATATGGTACTAGGAATGGGGTCCGTCAATTTTAATAGGCCAGATTGGTCATCTAATTCCCCTGAAAGGCACTATATACGTGCGATATCGAAACTCGACAAGGTACTTTCTATGAAGGACCTACCGCCTCTTCAAGCTATCATATTCCTGTGTCAATATTCGATTTTTTGCTCTTTACAGGACACTAGTGCCAATATGTGGTACCTAGTAGGTATCGCTGTACGGCTCTGCATGGAAATGGGGTTGCATCGTCGATCGAGACAGGAGGAATCAGTAGCGCAGGGTCTTGAAGCTGGGAAAATATCCCTGGCGGTTGAGGTTAGGAAAAGAACATTTTGGTGTCTGTATAATTTGGATAGGTATGCAAACACTGGGGTCTATCAAACGGATTATCAGCTGACGAGCCATTCTAGAATCATCAGTGTCACATTAGGACGACCAGTCGCACTTCGTGACGAAGATATCGATATCACATTACCCACAGCTTTTGATATTGATAACCTCAGTCTGGAGGAATTAACTCAAGAAGTAGTAGTTACGGAAAATCTACAAAAGACTTCACCTTTTTTGCATTTGATTTCCATTCGCCGACTTGCAGGGAAGATTCTACAGAGCTTCCATTGCACGACAATGAACGTAAAATTGTCACGCGAAGAAAGATATGAAATTCAGCAAAGTTTATATCAAGATCTACAAGCCTGGAGAGCTGAAATTCCAAACATAGATATTTTATCACAAATGGACGAACGATCAACCTCCGGCTTCAGATCGATGTCATGGTACGAAATACCCTACCATAACGCCTTATTGCTTTTTTACCGGCCTTCTCCATCATTTCCACACACCAGACCACCATGCGACAACGTCACTGAGGATCCTCTCATTACCCTAAATAATATTCTCGCCTCGTCTACGTCAGCCATCTATCTATATTCTGAGCAGCATCGAACTCGCCGTCTCAACTACTCATGGATAACTCTTCATGCTGTTTTCATTGCAGGCCTGTCCTATGTTTATAGCATTAGCAGAATTATCAAGGAAACAAAACGTCGTGGCACAAGTTTCCCAGCCAATTTGGAGTATACCCAAATCATTGATGTTACTCGTACCTGTTCGAATGTCTTGGTCGCAATTAATGAGCGGTGGGCTACTGCCCGAGGCTCCGTCGAGATTTTTAGTCATCTGAGTAATGCAATCATCCAAGATGCGGTCAAGGCACAACTGAACGTCCATAAACCAGGGCCATCATCATCGCCTTCGAATTACAATGCTCAACGTTATCATACCCCGGTAAACGCTTCCGATCCTAGTTTTGGAAGTGAGCATATCCAGCCCGCGGCGCAGTCAGGGCAATCACATCCTCATCATCAACAGGACACCCTTATGGCCAATTTCCCGAATAGCTATCTAGGTATGAAATTGCCGATGGCTAACAACAATATAATCTATCCGTCAACTACGGAGTCCTTTCAATCGTCAATAGCTGAGAACGGCTTCCGCCAATTCTATAACAGTCTTCATGGTGAAGTTCCTGGAAATCTGCGTGATCCGGGTTTGATCCCAAGTGAAGTTGTAATGGGGTTTTCCCAGGATTGGTTTGCTGGTGAAAGTATGTCATCCGCTCAAAGTCCCGGTGCTAGGATGGATGCGACGGATTTATGGGAAATAATGGGCTTGGTTCCGTCAGCGAATCAATTTGAGTAAATGCTATGGTGACGCTCTTATTGCTGTATAAAAGAGATGATACCGGCTCTACAGCATTGAAGATACAAGATTGATATGTCATCCTAGGTGACATAACCCTAATCTTCACAGACCTGTATAAATCGATGAATCACTTCATCGTCAGTTGGCATCATCGAAATATCATTGAAGATCAATACATCATTAAATATCTCGTGAACTTGAGATAGGGGAACGGGAAATAAAAGCGTTATGAAATGCGTATACTACGTGAATGTTTACTCACAGAGGCAATGCCCACGCAACCGAACGAAAAGTGTAATTGCGGCTTTGTTAGTAGAAAGTATAGAATCGATCCTCAATACAAATTAAGCGCGGAGCTACCTCGATTCAGCAGTTAAGCTATAGGGTTCTGTAAGAATTTCTCTGGGATATCCACCACCCGGCTCCGTAAGTACTCGGCAACGCCTTTTCCCAAGCTGTCAATCCGGGTAGAACTTGCACCACCTCCTCCTAAGAAATCCAGCACACGAAAATGAACTGCCAGAATATGTGGGAACTCACATCGTTCAATCCTTGAGGAGTCATTCCAATCGTCCCCAAATAGGCGCTTAATCCTATACACGGTAAGGAACGTCTGTAGCCATGTATATTCCTCCGGTGAGCGCACAAAGAACCCCACGTTCACATTGTTTCCCTTATCTCCTGATCGTGCATGAACAATAGATCCCAATGGCTCTTTTCTGGTTGGCCCAAATGACTGTAATAGTTGAGGGTTCGCGGTTTCGTAAGAGGGACGTTGCAGTGGCGCAGGTGCTGTTATTTTATGAGGTTCGATATTTATAATTCGCTCCCCTAATACAACACGATGAGGTAGATTCTTCATCTCAATCAATCCAGGAAATATTTGCATAAACATTCTAGGATCCATCGTTCTAAAGTCAAGACCCATGTGATAGCCAGGGTATAGCTGCATCCGAAGAGCATATATCGGCTCCCGGAACTTCTTAAAGGAAATATCATCCAATGTTTCAGCTTTCGCCAAAACCCGCACACTTACAGTTCCAGCCGCTTGACTTCTTGGATTCTCTGTCGCGGATCCATAGCGTATAATACTCAAATCTGAAAAGTTAGAGTTTCGGAACGCGTATGTCAACTGTCGGCGGAGAAGTTGCTCTTTCGCATCGATATCAAGTCCGTTGATATAGAACACTGCTTCGGCTTGATAACCGCCAATAGAACATACAATAGCTTTTGTGGTAGATGGAGGTGGACTTCCTTTCGCCCCTAAAACCCGGACGCGGTTCTTGCTATGTGGTACATTCTCGATGCGAACGTTTTCAATATTCGCAGATACATCTGGGTTCAAGTAGATATGTCCTTGAATTTCATAGAGAAACTGGGCTCTTAGATTGAGCTCATCGACATGACCTCGGGCCTCATCGTGTTTTGTTATCACTGATGAACCGTCAACATCAATCTCTGCGATGGGGAAACCCAAGTCGTAAAAGTCGTCGAGATAGGCCTTAAACCCTGAAAAATTCGCTCCTGTAGCATAAGGGCCACACTCAATCAAATGCCCCGCAACAAGTGCATTAGCCAGAGCATCCCAGTCGTCGACCTTCCAGTTATGCCACCATGCTGCTAGCGCAATAACAGGGCTGGCATCAGTCACTCGTCCACATATCACGATGTCGGCACCTTGTCTCAGTGCCTCCACGATGCCGCCACAACCAAAATATGCTACCCCGCAGTATGGTTTATTCCAATCTTCAAGATTTTGGTCTAGATGATCTAAATGTCTGATCCCCCCTATACTTTTCAGTTTTTCTCGATCGGTAACAATGTCCGAGATATTGTCTCCTTCCACATATGCCACGACAAGGTTATCGTAGCCATGCTTCAAGCAAATCTCTTTCGTCTGTTTTGCACATTCTACGACATTCAAGACCCCGGCATTAGAGACAACCTTGATGCCTCGCGAAACAATGGTATCAATTGAAGCGTCAAGCTGATCGAGAAAACCTGGCTCGTATCCCTTGGTTGGATCCTGATATTTCCGGATTGCGTTCCAGGCAATATTTAACTCCGCCGCCCAATCGCCAGTTATCGCGTCGAGATGCTTTCTACCATTGACCATACGATACCTACAATATTTATTTTTAGATAAGAAGAAATCTTAAGCTGGCTGGCACTTACATCGCATCTGGAGCCTCCTCCATCGCACCTGCTACGTTCCCAATGACAATAGGCCGTAAATGGCCACTGCCATCTATAGGGTTCGTTTCGCCCATTTTCATAAATCAGCTTCAAAGCAAGGTTGCCTGCTTATGTCTCCGAAATTCAAGTGAGTTTTTTTTTTTGAAAAGTTGGGGTACAGCAACTACAAATGATGAACTCGCACACAGACGATAGGTAAAAAGAAGCCTATTTTGCTCATGTCCTTATCTGATTCTAACATTCTAAGCATCCCACTTGTAGATAGGTCCATGGCGGATACCCAGCGGTCTTCGCCGACATACAGGTAATATGAAACTGTGACTCTTCGGTTAGCAAAACCCGCTTGCGGGAGACAGTATTATTTGCCTTCCTTTGTCCGCCAATTATGGCCATTTCGGCAATCACCGAGATTAAATTATGCACAATGAGTTCAATTCCGGGTTCCGACTTCCTAAGGGTTGAAAGATAACGGTGTTGAAGATAGATGGATGACTTGTATGAAGTATCATATGGATTGATGAAGCACTATACGATGAGATCTCGTGATAGATCATGTCATTTTCTCTATCTATAAGACTATGAAACATAATATGTAATTAAATCAATTCTCTCGTTTAAAAAGACGCCAATTGAATTAACTTCTAGCTTTGTATTTCTATCACTAAACTTCAAAATCCGTAGGAAAAAACTCTATATAGACAAGTCCAAATAGGTCTACAATTTTAACTTTGCCTTTTCTCGCCGCGGAAGATGATAGTATTTTTCATACAACTTCAGGCTTTGTGGGTTTGCTACTGTCCCACTGACTTTGGTATTCATTCCACTCACGATCTGCTTGACATTAATCTCGCACTTCTTCCCATTTATCGTGTACGGAATGTCTGGTACTTCGAAAACGTAGGCGGGGACATGTCGGATCGAATACCGTTCCTTAATGGCATCCTTTAATGATGCAGTAAGTTCAGCAGTGAGCTTGTATGGCTGTTTCATCTTGACAAATAATAAAACAATCTCGTCATTGTCAAATGAGCGTCTCTGTCCGACACATATCGCGTCTGATATCTCCTTCAGAGTTTCAGTGACAGCATAGATCTCTGACGAACCGAACCGTACTCCAGATGGATTGAGGACACCATCACTAGACATACGTTAGCCAGTCGTGCTAGAGGCCACAATTTATCGGGTATGATGACATACGATCTTCCCAGTAACACAAGACCTTTAGTATTGAGAACCTCTTTTATAAAGTCTCCCTGACACCAAATATGATCGCCGAAACGCGAAAAATAGGACGACAGATATTTCTCCTGGCCCCCGGGGCCATAGAACTGGAGAGGCTGGCTTGGAAAGGGCTGTTTGCAAACCATCTCTCCTGGTTCACCCAAAGCTTCAATTGATACCGGATCCGTTTTAGAGGCGTCAAGGATATCAATGCTCATACCGAGACACTTTGTCTGGATCTCTCCGGCATAGATGGGAAGAATAGAACATCCTCCTACGACTAGAGCAACAAAAAACCGTAGAGGACATGTTAGCTTCCATCATTCCATTAGATTATCAAATCACATATGAAAGATGCCACCACATACAACACCCGGCGATATCAGTCCCTCCACTCATTGAGATGAGCTGAGTTGTTCGGGGAAATCCATGCCGATAAAACCATTCGTATTGGTCTTCTGAAAGTACAGATCCAGTTGAAGTCACTGTTCGTAAATTGGTAATTTTATATTTATCCCCTATGTGTTTATAAGTCCTCACAGTCTTCTTATTTCAAAAGGCAAATTTACATACGTGGGATGATGTTTCTTGATGCTAATTCGGATAGGTATCTTGGTGAGGTGCCAAAGATAGTAACTCTGAATGTTTTTCAGCGACTGCGTATCCGCTTACGCGTGTATTCTTACCCAAGTTCTTCTGCCAGTCTAAGTAGAGTATCTGGCTCTGGATGAAATGGAGATCCATCATAGAGAAGCATAGTTGCCCCAGTAGAGAGGTTCACAAAATTGAGAACCCACATAACCCAGGAAGTCTGAGGTATCATTAGCCTCTATATAATACTATTAATTGGTGCCACTTCAGCGACCACATACCGTTGTATACTGAAAGAACACATCATCAGGTCTCATGTCATGTTGAAGACGAGAATCAGTGTTGACTTTGAGGGCCACACCCTATGAAATTCATCAGTTCAAGACCCAGGATCACATCATGTCGACAGAGAATACGTACACCTGCGGAATGAACTATACATTTCGGTGTTCCAGTCTGTTATGGAAAATAATCAGTGTGGGCAATTCAAGTAGCAGCGAAAACTAGCTATTCAAAGCGTATATGCACTGAGACCAACACACCGTGCCAGATGAGAAGAGAATAAAGGCTGGATGACTAAACGGTAGCTCCAAAAATGACAGCCTCCTTCCACGGCCGCGTCGCCTAAATTCTTCCCAAGTTATGCCACGGCTAACTCTCGATATGTTCAGCGATACTCCACAATATGGGAGAACAACCACGTCTTGGAGTTGATCGTTCTGCTCCGTTAATGATCTCGACCACGACTCTATTCGGTCTTCTAAGGAAATTCTCTTTCCGGCGTATACGTAGGCATCGTCCGTGAAGATTATCTTGGGCTTTATCTGATCGTATCGGTCGATGATTGCTTTAGTACCAAGGTCGGGGGATGCAGATGACCAGATGGCCCCTATCGCTAGTGTTGCAAGTGATAAGAAAATTGCATTGACAGAATTTGACATGACGACAGCTACTTTGTCTCCAGCTTTGACGCCACTGCCGATCATTGCATCGTATGCCTCTGCTGTATGTTTTTTCAAGGAAGACCAAGTAATATTTTCGATACCTGGTTTACCTTCGCGAACAAAATAAATGGCAATTTGATCGTCTGTGTGATCTCTGAGGATGAATTCGGCGATATTGAACTTTTCCGATGGAAAAAATGTAGGAGGAGGGAACATAGGCGGTGGCTTTCCATGCTGCAACTATATCAGTCAATCAATATATTTCAAAATAGTGAGGAATATCTCACCACGTTTTCAAATGCTGGTCCAATTTGAGCCTCATTTCGTGACCGAGGCGGGATACCTAAAAATATGTACGCATCTCTCCAAAATTCTCTTATATTCTGTGGATGCACCGACCAGTTCCATAGGTCATCGTATGTCTCAAGTTGCAACCTATGCTTTTCGTTCACGTATTTGATGAATTTTGCCACGTTCGTCGACTCCGGGTGAGCCGGAATCCATAATGGGGACTTGGGTGGTAATTCTGCCATAGCTGTCACTTTCCCTCTTGTGTTGTGCTGCTTTTCGCCGACTAATTTTACCTAGAAGTATTTACCTGATAATATTAGCGTATATGACCCTAGTTGTGCTGTTCCGTATTAATTTGTCTCCACTAAGGTTCAACCGAAATCTAAGCTTGATGAAAAGGCATGGGATCTAATGCCGTTATGGTGGATCTCTTAAAATAATGCAGAGAATGGCGGCGACATAGGGTGTTCGCAGACAAATCCATAGCTGCAACATCTCAGGTGGGTACCAACCTCAGGGTATTACAACCGGACTCGGGTATCGCCGAGGATCTGCTAGGCTGTGGATCGGAATCAGGAGAGCCAAAGCAGTTATCCTTATTCTTGAGATTTTGTTTCCATGTTGATTTAGCTCTCAGGGTAAGGACAAATTAATTCTAAGGATTTGGCCTTTCTGAGTACCACCCCCATTAATGCCCAAGCATTCCTTGTACATACCATTGTTTGTCGAAATTTCTTCGCGTCAATTATACATATATGGAGGATCAATTCCATATACACCAGCTGACATTAATATATAACAAAAATATCTGGCAAAACAATAATTCAGGCTCCGTGCTCTAACAGATATATGTGTATGTAGTATCTATTATTTTCAAAAAGCTTCATCTAGGTATCGGTGTACATAAACTTGGTTATTTACACCCATTTTAGTCAACGTAATGTGGAGCAAGCAGCAAGTACTCTTAGAACGACCTACACTATATGTGTGTAGAAGGCCTATGACTGTCAGGTCTAGGGTGTTATGTCTCTGATATGGCTTGTTGTATACTAATAGAAGAGGTTCAATTCACTTTACTAGTATAAGTCGACCTGAAACCTTTCCCGCTCTTAACAAGTCCATTGCTTCATTCGCCGAATCCCAGGGCATTTCTTGGACTGGCAAGGGGCCGAGTTTTCCCTCCTTCGCTAGCTTCACGACATCTCGCAGCTCTTCCAGATTTCCGGTAATGTTGGAATATATGGTAAGACCTTTGAAAATGTTTGCCACAAGTGACAGCTCAATAGATCCTCCCATCACGCCGACTTGCACCCATTTAGCTCCCTTGGCAACTAGATTGTTGACTAAACTGGCGGTTGATGAGGAGTTTACGAAATCAATAACAGCAAGAACAGGGCCATTGGTGGCCGCAAGAATGTCCTCGTATGCGGACGGACCAGTGGTGTTCACCGTCTTCGTTGCTCCAGCTGCAGTAGCAACAGCCAATTTTTCGTCGTTTATGTCTGCTGTCACGATGAATTCGTGGCCAAATGATTTTAACACTGATATAGCAGCAAGCCCTAGGCCCCCAGCACCGATCAAGAGGACGGGTTCATCAGACGGCAGTGGCATGATCTTTCTAACTGCGCTAAGAGTGGTGATTCCAGAACAGCCAAATGTACATGCCACAGAGGGATTGAGGTTTCCTAGGTCCACTAGGTATTTGGGATGTGGTACAACCACGTATTCGGCGAATCCACCATTTTGTTTTGTTCCAAGGCCATTTTGCGCCGCGCACAGGTTGTCTTCTTCCTGGTGACAGCGAGTACACGATCCGCAACCAAGCCACGGATACACGATCTGGCGAGATCCTATGGCGATATGCACCGCGTCCTCTCCAGTTCCTGTGACAACTCCCAGTATCTCGTGCCCCAAAGCGACTGGTAATTTGATGCCACGGTCTTTAACATAGAATTTCTGTCCTTTGCCTGTGTCATAGAAACCTTCGGCGGTGTGAAGATCTGAATGACAAATCCCGGCGTGGGTGACTTTGATTAGGATCTCAGTACCCTTCACTTTCGGAATGGGCTGGATAATCTTTTCAAGGCCTTCGCCCCAGGCTGTCAGAGCCCAGACATCCATCGAGTTAGCCATGGCTACACAACTTGTATTAGAATCAATAGGTCTCTAAATTCAGAGATCTGCCGTCAATTTATCTCGTCAAAGAGAGACTCAATGGAATATACTTTAAATTCACTTACCTCTCTTACCCCTCTTTAGCAATTGATCTAATACCGAACTGATCTTTGGGAAGCTCGGCGTTGCCCACAGCCTCGGATTTGGATAGCCGACGCGTTGGTCAGATTCAATTTTATGAATAACAAACGTCTAGAAGTGCAAATAATAAAAGTATCTTATATATACAAACACATAACCAACGCAATTATCCACTGTCAACCCCTGTTTACCTGGTAAAGATCACATAACTCCTTACTAGTTCTCCGGCGTGTGTCCAACCTTCTCTACGGTTCGGTCGTACAAATTACACCGACGCCACAATGAATAGCAATATATTGGATCCGAAACTGTACACCAAGTTGTATTTAAATGGCCAATACGTTGAAGCGCAGAACAAGGAGACATACAGCCTCAAAAACCCCAAAAATAATACTATAGTCACCGAGAACGTCCCAATAGCCGGGCCCGAGGATATTGAAGCTGCTGTACGATACGCAGAAGCGGCTTTCCGGGGCCATGGAGTAACTTTACAGCCGTACAGCGAACCGAATGCCTTCTCAAACTGGCCTCACTACTTGATGAAGAGCTCATGCCGATCTTGACTTTAGACTCACTCGCTTCAGGAATCCCTGTTTCCCTGGCTCCAGTCCGCGAAAAAACTTATATCAGAAATTGTGTCTTGTACTACGCAGGTTGGACAGACAAACATAAAGGCGATTACTTTCCCGACGATGATGGTAAGGGGTAAAGAAATTTCCAAGTACGTTTTGATAATAAACTGACATAATCGTTCATCAGGATTTGTCAAGTTAGTTCGACATGAACCCCTCGGCGTTTGTGCGGCAATCAATCCATTTAATTCGCCTTTGGGATGTTTTTTTCTGAAGGCGGCGCCAGCTCTCGCAACTGGTAATGTTATGATTATCAAACCCAGTGAAAAGACTCCACTAGGATCTCTGGCTATCGCAGCTTTATTCGAAAAAGCCGGTTTTCCCCCTGGGGTTATTCAGGTGGTTACAGGACCAGGGTCTACTGGTGCTCTTCTTGCGGGGCATATGAGAATCCGTAAAATCAGTTTCACTGGCTCGGTGCCAACAGGAAAGAAGATTCAGCAGGCTGCAGCTCAAAGCAATTTGAAACGAGTTACGCTTGAGTTAGGAGGAAAGAGTCCCGCTGTTATTTTCGAGGACGCTAATCTTGAAAATGCGCTCACGTGGACAATCAACGCGATCTTGACACGAAGTGGGCAGCTCTGTGTTGCTGCGTCGAGGGTGTATGTCCATAAAAGCATCGCAGATAAATTCATCGAAGAATACGTAAAACGGATGAAGGCAGCTACGAATGAATTTGGAGATCCTCAGGACCCAGCAGTAAAACTGGGACCCATGGTCGACAAATCACAGCTTGAGCTGGTAAAACAGAGGGTAGAACAGGGAAAGTCTGAGGCGGAGCTACTTGTTGGTGGTGCTCAGCATGGAGAAACAGGATGTTATATGGAACCAACGGTCTTCTTGAATCCGAAACCAGATGCTGATATCTATCGAAATGAGGTTTTCGGTCCAGTCAGTGTCATAAAAACTTTCGATACTGAAGAGGAGGTTGTAAAGTTAGCAAATGACACTGAGTTTGGTTTGATGGCCGGAGTCTTCACAAAAGATGTCACACGAGCAATACGTGTGTCCTCGGCTCTGGATGCCGGTGTTGTTGGTGTCAATTGTGTTAGTCTACAAAGCCTACAAGCTCCTTTTGGAGGGAAAAAACAGAGCGGCGTCGGGCGAGAATTTGGAGAGTATGCGCTGAGGATATTCACTGAGCCAAAGACGGTCCTCATCAACATGGCAGCATAATTAGTTGATATAGGAAACTTCGCATCTTGATAGACTACTAGAGCACGTATATAACACATCAGCGATCTAGTATCTCTCAAACAGCGAACAATATTAAATTTTCCTTTTACATGTGATTGGGTCGACTTGCGCCTATTCTCTGACTGGGGGTTTCTCAATGTCTACGTTGGTGAAACTTGATTGAGTAGATTAAAATTTGCTCAACAATAGACACGCTGCAGTACATAAAAGAAGACCACATGTGATTTATCCTGTATCTAATTCAGATGTATAGAACATGTCGAAGCAAAGAGTTGTTGATATTATGTAGCGCTCTCTAGACTATTTATTGAAATTGGATTTAGATTAATCATCGGGGGCAAAGTTTGAGATCGCAAAACACAACGCTCATCTTTGCTCGTCAAACCCTAAATACTCTCTTTGAAAGTATAAGTCCTGAAACTTGCCTGACTGTAAATAGCGTTTAATGGGATAAGATCGTGTTACTTAGAAAATTTACAATGTGTAATGCGATTTCACCCGGCTTCTCCATCGGAGACCAGTGTGCAGACTCAATCACGACTTCTTTCAACATAGGTACAAGACCTTGTTCCTTAGCCGGTGTCATTATATCTGGCACACAAACAGCATCCTGGGTGCATATAATGAATAGCATTGGCACCCGAATCGCCAAGTTCTCGCTCGGAATGGTTGAGTCTGATTTTGATTGTACATTCCATGCAGTGGCTTTGTACATCTGCAAAGATGAGGCGAATCCATCGGTCTTGAATTGCCGTATGAATCGGTCTTTCCATTCTAGTTTTTTTGCGTATGCTTTCAATGACACTTCCTCGTCGCCGAGAATAAATTCGCGCATAGCGTCTGGAACACAGAACAACTTCTGCATCCAGTTTTCAACATCACCATGCAAGGCTTGCCACATCCTCTCCAAATTTCCATCTATAATCTCTGCGGCATCGTGTGACAAGAAAAACTCCCAGTACGCAAACTGGGGGTAGCCTAACACTTTTTCTGTGGTCCTATTGACCACAGCAAGATCAAAAGGCTGGGTTGATGGAACCATATAACCCGTATTGAGGAGAATAATGCCGCTGAACAGATGACTCTTGTGGAGATAGGTTCGCTGGGCGAGCACACTGCCCCAATCGTGTCCGATAATGACGTTTACCTTAGCGTTCTCATTCTGTAAAATATCTTCAAGGTCATCAGCTTGGCCGTCGTACGAGTATAAGCTGATGTCTTCTGGTTTGTCGGTGCCTGCGTACCCCAAACAGTCCGGAATTATAATCTTGTTTGGCAACCCTTCCATCATGGCTACGACCTCGGACCAGAGGTGCGCCGAATCGGGGAATCCATGTAAGAAAATCAAGGCAGGATTCTTCTCCGTTGAGTCACCAGAAGGAGAAACAAAATATGTATATTTGAGTGAACGCCGGGTGACAAGCTGCTTTTGCTGGAATCTGTCCATGACTGGTAATGAGTAACGTTAAAAATGTTGAGTGCTACACTTGTTGAGTCCATATTCCCGAGATAAAAAGAATTGATAAATCATAGCTTGGCCCTAAAAGTACTCGAGCCTCCTTAACCCCACGTCGCCCCATAACTTGTCCTTCCCCGGGCATAGAGACCACCCCGGTTAAGAGACCCGGGGGGACAATCAGAATCCGTAGGCGTCGACAGCAGTGGAACAAAATGTCTCATTGGTTTATCAGTCGCGCGTATGGGGCTATAGAAACTCATAACGCGTTGATTGTACTTTCATGAACTGTCTAAGTAGGCTCGGCTCCGCTTTTACCGATAATTTTCGCTGTTCGCCGAAACTATATCTCAGCTCCTAGTATGCTTTTAGGACAACCGGGGTGCTTAGGTACGATGCTCCGAAATGATACTGGAGGCTATACAAACTAGGTTTAGGTACAATTCCTGCGATGGCATTCTCAAACTCGAAGCTTTAACTCTATTGCCTAAGGTTGAAGATATAAGTTTCTCTTCCCTCTTCGGCTACTGCATGTTTTTACATAAGAATCTTGATTTACCTTAAGTGAGGTGTTCGTTGGCAGCAAAAGGGTTTTCGACAAAATGGGTTTCAAGGACGATTTCAGAGTCGTGATTGCAGGGGGTAGCATTGCTGGCCTCTCACTGGCCAACATGCTGCAGCTCTACAATATCGACTTTGTCGTTCTCGAGGCATATCCTGACATCGCACCTCAAGTGGGAGCAAGCATTGGAATATTACCACATGGAAATAGGATATTGGACCAGCTTGGCTTGCTTCAAAAAATTCTAGATCTGTGTCCTCCTCTGGACTCGTTTCACTTTCGTAAGGAGTCCGGCCATGTGATACGAGAATTCCGAGGAATGAATTCCTCTATGCATGAGAGGTGAGCTTGCGACGTGAGATTTCGATTACCTGAGTTAAATTTTATCTAGACATGGCTATCCAATTACCTTTTTAGACAGACAAATGGTGCTTCAAGTGTTGTATGACAATATCAAGGACAAGAAAAAGGTCCTCACCAAGAAACGCGTCAAAGAGGTTGAACTCTTCGATGATGGTGTTACTGTCCAGACTTCTGATGGGTCTTTCTATTCAGGTGATATTCTTATTGGTGCAGATGGGATTCATAGCACTGTTAGAGGAGAAATGTGGAGGATTGCAAATAAGGAGTCACCTGGGTGGATTCCGTCCACCGAGCCTTCTGGTAAATATTAGGAATCACTCTTTCATCAATTTCCGCTAAATCTAATTTATCGTGTTTTATTTAGCCGTGCCATGCGATTATGGATGCATTTTTGGGATTTCCAACCCTTGTGGGATTGAACCTGGTTCGTCGAACTCTGTGTTTAAGAAGCACCAGTCCTATATCGTGAATGGTGGTCCAGCCGGTCGTGTGTATTGGTTCTACTTCTTCAAACTACCAAAAAGAGTGTACGGAAGTGATATTCCAAAGTATACAAAGGAAGAAGAGAAGAAACTGCTCGCTCAAAGAGCGAATGATAACATCACGCCGACTATAACATTCAAGACTCTTTTAGATAAGAAGATATCGTCAAACATGCTTCCATTGCAGGAATACGTCTTCAAACAATGGTATTACAAGCGGATAATCACTATTGGCGATTCTGCACACAAGGTAAGCACCTCAGAGCCCGTTAAGCTCATAATGGCTTCTATATTAATTATCTCCAGTTCCACCCAATTGCAGGCCATGGTGGCAATGCGTGTATTGAATCAGCGGCTACCTTTGTCAATGCACTCCGTAGAGCACTTGCAGAGTCGCGAGGCAGAAAGCCTACACTTGAACAGATCGAGAATGTATCCGCCGAGACCCAAAGGATTCGCCAAGCAAGAACAACGTCGCTGAAGGAACACTCGCACGATCAACAGCGGACTGAGCTTCTGGATACACCTTTGCATGAGATACTAGCTCTGCATTTACTGCCGCGGACCGACACGGAAGATATAACCTTCAATTTCTCTCGCAACATGCCTCTCGCCGAGAAGCTAGACAGCCCTAAATTGTGCTCCGTTCCGCGACTAGTGCCTTACAAAGATGAGCTTCTTAGCAGCCCAGCGCCTCGAGGTATGACAAAATGGTACTTCACAGCATTCTACCTAGCGATTGCTGGCCTCGTCCATTACGGGATGTGGGTCTGGTCAGCTAACTATGACCTTGGAAACCATCTGTTGAAGGTTGTGACTACTGGTTCGTATTCTTACGATCCAGGATTTACCTTGAAACGGAAGTATATCGGAATCAAGCCCATTGATGACTATCTTGTGTTCCTAGCCGCTGCGTATATGCCCGGCTTGAAGAACTGGGACCCTAATTTCGGGACTTTGCAAATGTACTTTCTGGGAATGCTTGTTCAGCCTATTGCAGTGTGGTCTGTAGAGGCATTCCGAAAACGTAACATGCTAACGCCAGTGTCGGTGTGAGTTTTCGTGCAAATTCTATCGTTTTCCGAACATGATCACTAATTCATTACCTTTTCCAGAATAACAATATGGCTGACGCTTGTCCAATGGGCTGGCATTGGAATCTACATGCCGATTTACTATGCCATCTATACACTTATTTCTGAGCCAGAAACTTACTGGTGGCCACTGAATCGCGAGGTTCGCCCCGAATTCGCTACTTCGCTAACATGGGCTGTCAATATTGGCTATACGCTACCCACAGTTCTCATGTTCATCCCGTGGGGTGACCCAGATGTACTCCAGAATTTCGAAGCCCTTTGGCAGGTGTCTCCAATGTTGGTCCCTACTTTCTGTATCATTCTCGGGTATTACTACAAAAAAACGCATAGTATTCCCAAGACAGCGCGGACGGCGAAGCAGACATTCCCAGATCTCCCGCATCTCAAGAAACTTTACATTGTGACCGGCGTGCTTGGCTTGCTTCTCCATGTCTACAGTGTTGCTAAAATTGTATTGTCACCCAACCTAACTTTGGCATCTGTTTTTTGGCCCGACTTCAGAGGGCAGGCGAAGCCATTAGGCGAAGGTCTCAGGGCTCTTTTCTTAACCGACTTCTGGGGTTTCTATATCGCCACCTACGGCTGGCTCTGTATGGCAGTGTGGGACTTGAAACGAGTCGGCCGCACAACTGTCAACGTATGGAAGGCCTCGGCGCTCATTGCTTTGGGAAATTTCATCATTGGACCTGGTGCTACTATGTCTGCTGTCTGGTATTGGAGAGAGTCTGCTCTAGCTAAGACAAGTTTTTATCGTGAAGTGGCGTAACTCAAGCCTGTCCACGGGAGGTGTTATTGAGATTGTGTCTTTATGCATACTAGCTGTCTGCCTGTTTCGTCGATTTCAATCCAATTCCCATGGCATTTATGTTACAAATGCTTCAAAAACCGATGTACCGCTTTTTCCATTTGGCAATTATGTTTCCTCGTTTGGGATGCAAACGCAAGATATACAAACCCATCTTTCGTTCTTATTAGAGAGAGCCATCTAATAATCTAGTTTCTAACCCTATGCCTCTCTATGAGTCTATAACCTAAATTCATAATACGGCTGCTTCCAGAAAATGAACCTTTATATAGAACATGTGTTGACGCATATATATGCGGTAGCTTAGCTGCCAAAAAACGATGAATCTGTAGTGCAGTAGTCATTAACAAGTAAATTTAAAATTATGATGCCTATATGGCAGTATCCAGAAAGAGAGCGGTTTAGAGGACCTACACATTTCGTGCTTCGCGGGAGCGCATTGTTTTAGGGTTAATATAAGACCTGCCTCTCACCATCATTAAATAGTTAGTATGATTATAATGCTTCGTTGTAAAGTTGTCAGTCTCGTAACTGCTTTAAAAAAAAGTACATAGTCGCTTTTGATTGCCAACAATTCAATGCCCCCGCCCAGGTCTTTCCGCATGGATCGTAGCCCTTAGTCCGACTGCCAAAAAAGTCTATCGAACTTGGAATACACCGGCATAAATTAATAGAGTAATACTACGTAAGCCGGTATATGATGTGCTTTTCGGGAAATGCCACTCCCTTGTGCCTGGGTATCTAGAACCGAGAACGGCTTCGTCGGCGAAGGCCGATGAGACCGGGGCAGATTTAGGGTCAAGACATATCCGAATTCTCGTTTTTACGGACGAGACCGATTATATCCGCATCGGGAGCGATACACAGCTAAATAGCTAGATTCAAAGCGATTGGCTTTGTTATCGAGATAGACCTTCAATCACTATCGATTAGTTCAATTACCATAAATGATTCCTAGACCATATTACCTTGCCCAATGTGGGAACCTCATAATAGCTCCTGTCCCCGATCATACCAGTCCTGAAGTCCCGAATTCTATTTCAATTAACTGTCCTGATCGATAATTGCTTACGATGTCGAATAAAATTGCTGACTACGATGCCATTGTCGTCGGTGCTGGCTTCGGCGGTATTCGATCACTCTGGGAGCTTGGCCAGCTCAGTCTCAGTGTTAAATGTTTTGAGGCAGGGTCAGACGTCGGCGGCGCGTGGTATTGGAATTGTTATCCTGGGGCTCGCACCGATAGCGAAGCATGGGTATATGCCCTGAACTTTGCGCCGGGAGTAAAAGAAGAATGGAATTATAGTGAACGGTACCCTTCCCAAAAAGAGGTACAGCAGTATCTGGGCCGAATTGTAGGTCAGTTCTTTTCTTCTCCTAGTCAATATCTCATTATGTGATGTCTTTGTGCTCGCTTTGTTTTCCTTTTTTTTATTTCCTTTTTTCTCTTGCCAAACCCTTTTCCACTTCCACCAACACTGCAAAAACAGATAAGTTCGACCTACGCAAACACATTGACTTCGATACACGTATTAAATCTGCTCATTATGATGATGAAAGGAGAATTTGGACCGTCACAGCTGCAAATGGAACTTCCGTAACTAGCCGCTACTTTTTACCTGCTACCGGACCTTTGTCGGTTGCAAAGGCACCGCCTTTTCCGGGGCTCAAAAAGTACACTGGAAAATGGTACCAGGCATCTAGTTGGCCACAAAATGATGTTGATTTGCGCGGTAAGCGCATTGCTGTTATTGGTACTGGCGCCACAGGAGTCCAAATCATACCCAAGGTTGCTTCTGTTGCGAAGCAGTTAACGGTGTTTCAACGTTCACCACCCTACGTTCTTCCAGGACGCAACTACATCATTGATGAAAATCAGGCAGAGGAAATAAAAAGAGATTTTGATTCCACTTTGCAAGCTGCAAGCGATCATAAAGCCGGGTTAGCAATGAAACTGCCAGAAAGAACGGTGAAGGGGGTAGCAGACGCGGAAAAAATCAGACAAATATTTGACGCTGGCTGGGAGTGCGGAGGTTTCCACTATCAGTTTGAAACTTTTGATGATCTTTTCACAGACGCCGAGTCTAATGAGGTTGCGTCTGAGTATATTCGTCAAAAAATTCGTTCCATCGTTCATGACCCAGGCACAGCCGAACTCTTGTGTCCCAAATATCCCTTCCTTTCTAAGCGTCCGCCCTGTGGACACTTTTACTATGAGGCCTATAATCGCTCCAATGTCAAGTTGGTTGATATAAGCAAAGAGGAAATAGATCTATATGAAAAGGGCATCAGGACCATTTCCGGAGACGAATACGAGTTTGACATAATAATTTTCGCTATTGGATATGAGGCTGCCACCGGCGCGCTTACCGAGATAGATGTGCGAGGCAGTCAGGGCAGATCGTTGGGGGAGAATTGGGCCAAAAGAATAGACACATTCGCTGGTGTTCTTGTGCCCGGCTTTCCCAATTTGTTTTTGATTTGTGGCCCACACATACCGTTTGGAAATATGCCAGTTGTGGTTGAAATACAGGTCAACTGGATTGGTAAAACCATCAATTATATGGAAAAGAACAAACTTACCGGAATCGAAGTTAATACAGAAACTGTGGACGAATGGTCTGTTCAGCTCGAAAAAACATTCAATGCTACAGTGTTTGCAGAATCGTCCAAGGCATCTCGCTCTTGGTTTGTTGGTGCAAATATACCCGGAAAGCCTCAAAACGTCCTTTTTTATTTTGGCGGCGTCCCTGCTTGGGCTTCTAAGCTGGAGGAAGAGAGCACGTCGGAGTGGGCAAGCATGAGGTTTTTCCTCTGACCAACGGGTACGAAATAGATTAGGCTACATACCCAGATTTATAGCAAAATGTGAGGTAACACGAGCCATTTGAACATTATATACGTGTAATGCGCAGTACAGCAATATATAGCACGTAGGAGTGGTTTTGTTTTCATATCTTTCAGAATGTTGATAGCAAATAGGCCTATATTGGTAATAAAACACATCCATTTTTGGTCGGTCACAATATTGCCATTGTGTCCCCTCAAATATATTGGAATTATCAGCCAATGGTTTGAATACCCTTATGCTATAGTGAGAAAACTTCGTAAAGAATTAGAAAATAACTCGACTACCTATCTTTAATTGTATTCATCTACAATTATCAATTAATATAGACACTAGAACAATGTATTCACCTACATATAGATGTTCTAGTGATCCAGTATATGGTATATCTCAATAAATTTCAGCACTTAATTGTACCTAAGAGAATATTAGAACATAAGGACCTAGATAAACACTTCACAGGATAATTATATTATTATGTCCTTTTTGGTTGAGAAGACCTCAGAATAAAGTCATATGTAGGTTGTCAACAATAGAAGCTAGCTTTAGCACTGCGGCAAATTTCCAAGCCGGGAAAAGCTGACGGTTATCTCTAACCCTGGGTCGATTTCTGAGATTTAAACCGAAGCTGTCTGAATAACTTCAGTTTCCTTTTCCAATGACTCATTTCTTCCCTCTTCCCGAGCAGCAAGACCCAGATATATCGAGTCAACACAAACCTGCACAAGAAACGTGAAACCAACAAAATAGAATGTGATGACTCCATTCCATGAGAAGGGACCACTGTATACAGTATGCGCCCCGGTTGCAAGCGCGAATATTATTGGCATGAGAATGTTGACAATTGCTAGTTCCTTGGGGAATAATGGTTTTTTGCGTGTGTCGATGATGATGGCATAGGCGAAAGCGAAGTTCTGTACCATGAACGTTGGCCAAGGCATAAATGCAACGAGCCACTGGGGTTGATAGGGCGTCAGTGATTTAAAAACAGCACAAATGATTGCACATATTGACAACCAAGGGTTTACTCACAAAAAAGTCGTTCAAGGCGTGAGTGATCTCCACTGGGCGATCAGGACGATATGACGCGATGGCAAGAACTATTCCAGGTAACATAAACGTCCAGATCCCCGCCGCTGCTGAAGCCAGTTGAACTTGATGGATTATATAGGGTATATTGGGAATGCGGCGAATTTGGTAGGATATAGCAGCAGAGAAGGGTAAATAGAAGCCTCCGGCTATCATATTAATCGCAGCACCAGCATGAATGCGTTTAGTATGGTCCTGATAGAATTGCGCAACCTTCTCAGCACCCCAGGAGGGTTTAGGTGGGGGTATAAAATCGGCAATAGCAAACGAGACGACAAAGAAGATCACAGATGCTGCACCACAACAAGCGCTATAGTATTGAATGGCGGTATTGCTCAGAAACCAGGAGCGAGACAAAGCCTCCGTCTTGTCCTCTAACCAACGATTGAGTCGCATGTTGAGCTGATGCCGTATGAGGTTTTCAAAGACTACTTGAAGATTTGGTGACAAAGATATAAGTTACAGGGAGTAATGAGAGAAACACTGACAATCATAGATATGGTTGGATAGATCACGACTTCAACTCTTGACGATGACAAGTTATATAAGTGCTTTCCCCTGTGTACCAGGACCCGACGGCAGGATCCTCATACCGGAGAATCCCGTCCCCGGATTTTCGAAGCCGGTAATTTATTGCTCTCGGATCCGAATATTAATTAAACAGTTAAGATGTAGATCATTGATCACGGTATAATAATTATGGAGAGACTCCGGCTCGGAACTCGCAAGTCGGGACTCGGGTCTTGGATTTCCCCAACAAATTGGCTTGACATCGATCTCCCCGCATTATATAGTAGACCTATTAAGCAATTCATGAAGAATAGTTCGGTAACCGCCGAAATCATGTATCTTGTTCCTCTTCTCGGTCTCTGTTCTTCTTTGCCTGTAAATAGCCGGCCAAAAGGAGAAACAATACCCATCAGAATCGACACGTCATTATTGTGACATGATTCAGCTATACGACTGAGCTATGACTCCGGAACTCTAGTTGAGCGTAGCAGCGCCGCCGTAAGTGAATGTAGGAATTCAGTGATATTTTTACTTCTATAGATGCAAAACAAAAATGGCAAGGAATAACTCTTTGACGTTGAAATAACATCTGTTTATATTGTTCTTAGGCAGACTTCGGAGGTCTAAGCAAAGAGAATAATACCTAATAAGAAAGCATAATACGGAAATGACAACATCACATACATATACACACTATATGTATCCTCTTGGCTTGAAATTGGAAATTCTATCTAGGTGGACACCCTGTCCATAAGAGGAGGAAATCTCATTCTTCTCCATCTTATCATGCTCTCATTCTCTATCCTGCTGGGTCAGGTTGTAATTATAGACTTTGAGCCTCCCACCAGTCTCTTATCGACCTTCGACCACCCAAAGAACAGGTGGAATCTTCGGACCAATGAATCTATAAACGGGCTAATCAAAAGAACGTCGTTGTGTGATTAAACATCCCAACCAGCGCACTGCATTCATAGACAATGGTAAATCGCATTCTTATAGTATTCTCCCTCTTCATGTTCATCAAGCGCGAATGCCTTAATACATTATAACATATATTGGCAAATGAGTGAAGAATCACGAAGAAAATAGCGGCAGAATTATATCCAGAACAGCCGTAGGTTTAATCAACAAGTATCTAGTGGACCTGTTTAATCCGCTGGGTTTGTCTAACTGTACAATTTATAAATTGTTGAACCTCGATTCTGCTCAATTAGATTGTAAAGAAGATATAGGTTCATCAACGTGCACGCTACACTTTCTTTCCGGTTGATTCGTTCAGGGGGTGCCATCATATAGACCTAATATATGTGTCTTTGGCTAGCTTCCTATATCAAGTCTAAATATTTCAGCTTCTACTGGATTTTAGTCAATATCGCAGTTTCTGATCAGGCAAGGTGTATAGTGGTGGGTTAGTATTGTTGGCCTATATAGTCTATGTGAATATAATGCCTAGCTTTCTTGTTGTGTGGTTTCCAGGTGGTATAGCTAGAAAGCTTTGGATTTGACATGATGTTTATTCTAGTACAGATAGTAACAGCCGCTATGGGCAGCCCTTTATAAAGACCTTGCTGAGGCTAAGATTAGTAGGCCCTCAGAGGCTGAGGAGGACTTTAAGGTGCGTATATTACCATGCTCCACTGCTAGTTATGGAGGTTATTAAGGTTTTAAAGGGCTGGCAGGAGCCCTTAAGGGGCTTTAGGAAAGGGAGGGGGAGGTTGTTGAGAAGATGGTTTAGGGAAAGAGTGATAGCTCCAGGCACTAGGCAGTTTATAATTGACAGGCCCCTCAATAGCGCTGTGTAGGTAAGTAATATATGGTAAAGAGTGTATAAATACATTCATAAAGGCTCTTTTGATAAATAGACAGACTGAATACGTTAAGAAATTACTAGGAAAACTGATGATACCCTACCAAGAAAGTTTTAGCGCAGGTGTCGACATGAGATTCTGGGTGTGCGCATTAATCACCATTTAAATTTAGAATTGTTTTTCAATAATTCATTTCTTATTTTATATAGTAAAAAGGAAGGCATGGCTATATCCGCAGTAAACTGATCCTCAAACTTCCAGGATAGTACCATTCGTTACACAACGTTTCATAACAGTTACAAGCACGTTAGCACGTTTTCATGTAAATAATTTAAACAACTTCAATAATAATAAAACTGGCAAAGCTTTGGGAACGTACTGCAACTGATTGATGTGCTTGTAATCTTTAGCAAGCTCGCCACAACATTGTAGCAATGTTTATATATGTATATTATAGCAAAACGGACTATGTGCAGTTCTCTACATACATAGGGATTTGTATATAGAATCTGTTAATTAATCTTTGTAATCAGTGCTCAAATTATTACTATAATATCATTGATATGTATAGTTATATTATATATACATGATTTCATGTTCAATTGGTAGATTTCTCAATTGATACATTACAAGTATGCACAATGCAAAAATAAAAATCCGAGGCCACTGTACCAGGGGGGGTATATCTTCCGTTGCATATTACTAAATGAGTTCTCACTTTTTCCCTACGTTACCCAGACCATCCATTTCATAGACAATATGCCGTGCCGCTCCTGGCCTGCCTTCAAGCTCATTTAGGGCCGAGGAACCTAGTTCAGTTAGGGCTGATGAGCCTAGTTCATGCGACGCGTGAACCGACGCCGGTGCTGCCGATGCGGCTAACTCGGATTTCTTTTCTCCGTTCCAGGGACTCTGCGACTTGTCTTTGTTACGACGAGGGCGTATGTACAAGAAAAAGACAGCGACGAATATAATCAGAACGCCGGCGATGGCCACGCCGATTCCGACTCCTGCTTTTGCCCCCGTCGAAAGACCCTGGGAAGCGGGTGACGAATTGGATGCTGGAACGGATTGTTGTGTTTCAGTGGAACCCGGGGAGTCTACTGTAGTTGTGGGAGGTTTTGTGGAAGTTGTAAGGCCAGTTGTGGTGGAAATTGACAGGCTTGTTGTTGCGGTAGAAGTCGAAGGGGCTGTAGTTTCGGTGGCACTTGGAGGGCCTGTTGTTGCGGTGGCAGCTGAAGGACCAGTTTGCACTGGAAGGGGATCACTCGGTTGCCATCGAATCGAGACTCCTAGTGCCTCATAGTAATCGTTAACGCTCAGCGCTAGTGTTGCTGCAGGCGTCGTGTTCGTGTTGTACGTGACGATTGCCACGGTCGAGGTGGGTTGTCTGACAGTGCATGGATCGATCGTGGCCCATGGGTAGAGGGAAGTATCACTCGCCGCACGACATGCGTATCCACTAAAAACCGGTATTGATTAGTATTGTGTTTCAACGACTCCAAGGAATCAAATAGGAAAAAAGGAAACATTGAACTTGAAGATCACTAACCTAGGACAACACGTCGCTCTATATTCCGTACGAGTTCCGCTGAAAGTATGAGTGCTAGCATCGCATCCAAGCGTGTAGCTGGCGGGACAAATCCCTGGTGAATAGTGTACTAGCGGCGCCCATCCTGATGGAACACACGCTGCTGTGCTCGTTGTCGCCCCGAGATGAACCCACGAATAACCACCCGGGATATCCTCGGACGGGATAGAAGTGACCTCTAGATAAAGGTCCCGGAGACAAGAAGGAGCTGGAGTGAACGTTGTGGTTAATGCACCCACTGCCGTCGCAGTCATATCTCCAGTACTCGAAGTAGGCATGGCTAGTGATTCTTAGTTGAGAGTTTCTTCTTCCTCCTAGTTTTAGGTGTACTGAGGTTAATCAGACTCGATGTGAGTCTACTGTTGTCCATTCATTCTTCGGGGCCAGGAAAAAGACTGCAATGCAAATCCGTAAGTATCGATTGAAAAGTATGCGTACATGTTATTGATTGACTCCTGATCGAAGGTGAAGAAGCTACAAGCGCCAAAGACAAACATAATTTACTCGTGTTGTTATGAAATGAAAAGCCCCTGATCCTGCTGACTTTTTTCTAAACTAGCTGCAGTGAGTTGAACTGCATATGAACGAAAGGTTAGGGTATCATACGCTATAATATAGTCTTCCGAGACTGGCCAATCCGCCCTACCTCGGCCTTAACTATTACTTGGCATGTCGGATGGCAGTCTCCTACTAGTAATATGTATTTCTGATTAGTGCTAGTATTCATTACTAGCTACAGAAACTCTATACTCTATTTCAATTTTTTTGTTGGTTGTTTCTTATTTCGTAACCGTTGAATACAGAATCCATGGTTGATGTTATTACTTTATCCCCAGGGTAGGTTTCGATTTTGGCTGCAAATTATCTAATATACTCCAGACACTCCAACGTCGTATTATGTGATATTATGGGCGTAAGACTACCAAAATGGTAACGAGTCTGTCTATCACTAGCCCCAATAGGGAGGCTCACCCGTGGCGGATTTCAGATTCCTCTCAACTTAATAAACCGTCCCAGCTGACTATATCTAATGACTATATGGTAGTCTAAAACCGCTTAATATTTTGGTACTTAATCAAATTTCTATACCTCTTGTATCTGTTTAAAAGAAGAGCCTGACTCGCAGGCGACGACCGTACGTTTAGCCTTCCAGAAGGGTGGCCAGGGCCCCGCCAGCCGCCGTAAGGCCCCCCGAATCTCCCTGTGCGGAAATTAGGGACTGAGGCTAACTGTGGCCCACTGAGCAATGCCATGGGGGCGAGAGGCCAGCTAAGAAATGATAATGATATATATCCGTATGCATTAAGCATACTAATTACGCCTAAACGTCCGAAACGCAAAGCCCCAAGCTAGAGAGAAAAAGGAAATCAAGAAAACTCTAATATGTATCCTCGAGATGACATAGGATTCTAGGAATATAAATTTCGATTTATCTAAATGATACTCTCTTCAAAATCGTATTTTCCAATCGTAGCTTAACTTACACTTCAATTAAAGATTAGTGAGAGGCGATCGTTTATATCCACATATCTGCTATATACAGGTGCACATCTATACTACACATTAGACTCATTTTGATACCGCCTACTGAAAACCTTCCTCTTCGACTTCCTCAAACTCCCATCCACCCACACCAAACACGGCAGCGCGGTTACTCCCGCCAACAACCCCAACGTCCACGCCATCGTATTCCAGCCATAATTCTGTTTAATCAAGCCAGCCCAAATCGGGCCTACCAGCGTCCCCACGGCAAACGCGACATTGAACAACGCATACGCCTGCGCATACGCGCCTCCCTTTCCCATTGCGCCCGGTGGGCTGGATTCCTCCTTCGCGATAACCACGTGCGTGATCTCGGCCATTATGGGTGGGAAAAGCAGCGTCATTGCGCAGCCGATCAGCACGAGGAGCGCGATCAGGAGGACTTTCTGGGAGAGGGAGTTGTGTGTCACGAGCCGCAGGAGGACGAAGAGCGGGCAGGAAAGCAGGAACCCGACGAAACAGAACAGTCGGCCGCCATATTTGTCGGAGAAGTACCCGACGATCGGCGATGCGAGCGTGGGTATTACGATGGTCAGGTAGAGGATGCCAGACTGTAAGCTGCCCCAGCCGAATTTCTCATCGACGAAGATCGGGAGGATCGAGTCAAAGGAGGCGACCAGGGAGGCTTGTACGATGGAGGCGAAGAGGGCAGCCAGGAGGCGGCGGGAGGCGAGGAGGGTGATGACGGGTGGCAGATGGGAGCGTAGTTTTCGGAGTTTGGTGGTGGGTTTGGTTTGGGGGAGGGTCTCGGTGATGTCCTCGGCATCTGGTGCTTCTGCTTCTGCGTCCGCTTCCGCTTCATTTGAAGCAGTACGGTGTACATTCCCTGACGAGGCTGATGTGCTCTCCTGCGGCGGCATAGAGAGGGCCTCCTCCGTAGCCCATCTCCTCGCGTCCTTCTTCTCAATCAAAACAACACGACATACCAAATCCAAGCCGATGAAGGCATAGCACAATGCCCAAACACCGTTATACCCAGCCTTGGTAAACAGCACACCCCCCAGAAGCGGCCCGATCATGAACCCTGTCGTCATTCCCAGGCTGACATATCCAATGTACTGCGCCAGCATCTCTTTCGGCACTGTATCAGCCAGCAGAGCAAGCCCAACAACCCAGACCACCGCGGCCGAAATGCCCTGCAGAAGACGGCCAATCACATAGACCGGCACGCTCGTTGCGACATTCAACATGATCGTTGCACCTAGCAATGCGATCAGGCCCAGCAACAGCGGCCAGCGGCGGGCTGAGATTCGGTCTGAGAAGAAACCGCATATTGCTTGATACTGATTAGCACGGCTTAATAGGACGGAATATGATTGGCGTACGAGAAGATACTATCAGGCCAGCACCATACACAGCAAGCAGAACGGAGACCCAATACTGAACTGCCCCAATATCAGCATAGATTAAAGGTGAAAGATGGGGTATGTCGGTATCTACCTCTATCCTCATCAACATGAGCCCTTTCCCTCAACGCAAATGGAATGACGGGGACAATCACGCCGTATAAAAAGACCTATCCCAAATCAGCATTCATCCAACAAAACCACACAAAGTGGATGGAGTGAGTACAAACATCGGTAAAAACAGACAACGTGACCGTCGAAACAATAAACCAATTACTCGCTCTATACTTCAAGCCGATGGGTGGCTTATCACCGCCAAAAATGCGCGCGAGCATTACGATGCTACCAAAAGCAATACTGAATCCAGAATTCTGCAATGCAGCAGTCATCTACTGTCTATCGCTAGGTGGAGAGGGGAATGACGCTTTAGTAGACCAAAGGCCGAGGCGCATATTGTAGGTAAGTTCCTCGGAACCCACATACTAGACCTGATAAAGCTTTGTCGGCCCGGAAAATAATTATGTGCTGCTGCCTGGGTTGCATTTGGATCGCAATTGTTAGCTTCTCCATCCATTTACCAAATCAAGTTAAGCTGGGAGATGCGCACCGGATCCCCCGGGTTCCGAGCCGGCAGACAGAATTGCTTATTTAATACAAGTATTAGTATTAATGATGCATAATGCACCGCCACAGGAACATTAGAGTATTAAAGTATTGGACCCAATAATCGTGTATTGCGTATTGTGGATATAGGTACGTATATATTAGTATACACCAGCTAAATCAACCATGCTCGAAAAGAAACAAAACAAATATAGACACGAAGAATTGCAGATGACCGACGGCAGAAACAGAGAGTAAAAGCAGACTGCGGTCTGTGGGTGTATGCAAGAAAAGGATGGCTTTTACGACACGGAGCGGATATTCAGAATTGTCAAAGATGGGTGGATAACTCAGTCGTCGTCGAAGATTTGGAACGTGTTGAGTAGCACCGTTTCGATGACTCGGTTTTGCCAGCCAGAGTCGACGAGATTGGCCCCGGAAGCGCCCATGAGGGTTGGTCTGTATTCTGTTAGCATTGGATCATCCTGCTCAGATAGGAGACTTGCCCAAAGCAGATTGCGATGTTACCAGCACTCATACGGTTGCTGGAAGCATGCTCCTGGACTCGGTTGAGATGCTATCAAAGTTAATATAAAAATCACAAACGCGAAAACCAAAACTTACCAAGACCAAGGCGCGTAGCGTCGCGTAGTTGGGGTCCGGGAGACCATTGATAATAGCGTGAAGCGTATCGCGGCGTTGGTCTTGATTGTCGACCCCTGATATCACGCACGCATTAGCTTATTTCACTGGCAATCAATTGGTGCATTCTTACGAGCAGCATTTATGAAGTCGGCGTAATTTTGCCGGGTAAACAGAGGATCTGGTAGCTCGCGGAAAAACTGCTTCAGTAGACCCGCCACACTGTTGACATCATGGAAAAAGCTCTCGGGATTCGTGAAATCAACCTTGGAGGAATCTAAAAAGCTATCAGCACCGTCACTACCTGTGTATTGGTATAGTTCTCACCATTATCGAATAACGACTTCATATGGTTGATGTGGTTGGCACTCCCTGATTGTCGGTATATCCCTTCCATGTCAAGCCCAAACATTTCAACAGCTTGAATGCATTGGTAGACAATTACCGGGACTGCGGTTCCATCTCTGCGGAAAAGATCTTCTAAAGAAATCCCAAATACCGGGTTCACCGGAGGAAGATTATTCTGATATCCATTGGGTGGGTGCATCATCGGGGCAGTGGACTGTGTTGGCTTGTATACAGGACCAGTGGGATAAGGGGGCCCCGAAGGCGGTTGTTGTGGACGTGACGAGGTAGAACTTGGGAACGCTTGATATTGTGCGGCAGAGTGAAAGCTGTCTGGGCTCTGCTGGGACGATAGCGAGGGTAATTGTGTTTGCGGTCCTTGTCCACCTGGCGCGGATGACGGTGGCACAGATGGTTGCGAAGGAGCTGACAGAGGCGATGGCTGGCGTGCATTGGTACTGTTTGGCTGCGACGAAGGCGCTGACGTAGGAGCTGGCCCAGGTGCGGAAGTTGTTGGACCTGACCCAAGGGTCTACATAGACGAGTCAGCTGTATTCAGCAAATTTTAATACGTGTAGACTCACATGATGTCGAACATATTGTACCTGTGGAGCTGCGACTGAGCCGCTGTTCCCTTCAAAGCCCAGAATATGCCGGTTGAAATCCCCTTCGCTATCAATGTCGTGAACAACCTCTCGAAGGCTCTTGGGCCCACCACCTGTTTCGTTTTTCAACGGGCTGACGCTGAGACCTTTACCGAGGAGATGTTTTTCATTGAAAGAAGCTGTCTGCTGTTAGCCTCCGCAACCGGAGAACTGCGATACGCGTCTTCACGTAATTAACATACCATATTTCTGTAACTGAAGGGTGAGGCCAGAATCGCACTCGAAGATTAATTGTCGCATTTGGTGAACTGTCTGGGGGCGGTGGGTCGTGACCAATTCCTGGCGTGCCGACTGGGCAGCTTGTACTTTAGCCTTATAATCTGCGTCGGCAGCCTGGACCTTGCGATTGAGTTCCTCCTCTTGCTGAACCGCTGACTTATGTCCCTTCAAGCCAAACTTCCCTCCTTGCTTATCACCAGTCTTGACGCGATCGTACTGCTCGGCCAAGGTGTCATACTTTGCCTTTGCCTTCTCCACCAGCCCCTCAGCATCCTGGACTTTCTTCTCTGCTGCCAGACCAGACGCCTTCCACTGCTTGCGGCTCTTCTCGATATTCTCGGCCAACTCGTTCAGATCGGTAGACATTTGATACAGTGAGACGGCGAATTGAAGCCCGTGGTCGGCCATTTGCTCGTGTATTCTCGAGATTTCATCCTGTGCGTGGCCGTACGAACCCTGACGCGAATCCAACCGGTGCGCGGCTTCCTGGGCGCTGCGGGCGATTTTTTTCAGACCGTGAGCATGTTCCTCTTCCAGTCCTGATCTCTTCTTCAGAAAAAGGGCATAGTCCTGTAATTATATAAATCATAAGCACGGAGTTGCGAAAAGGGGTTTCGGGCTGACGAACCCGAGCGGCGGCAATGCTCTGCTTCAGTCTGTTGAGGAGGGTTGTGACACCAATCTGTACATCAATTGTCGGTCAGCTGATTGTATGTAGTGAAGAGAAGCTTTGCGTCGCACCTCCGACTGCAGGATCTTCTCAAGACGCTCTTTCGTCTGGGTGTCGACAGGGGCCGGGTCGCTCGCGCCGACATCAGACAGCGGCTGGGGGGCGTCGGTGTGGGGAGTGCTGGCTCCGTCGTCCTGCGAGGGACGGAGCGCAGACAGTGAAGTGGACGGAGAAGAGGCCTCTGCCATGGCTATAGCCCGTGAGTCTGTCGTGTCGGCGTGGACACTGAATGCGGAGTAGGAGTAAGAAGGGGGATTAGGATTATTACTGTGGCTACGTTGGCCACGTTGACGTAGGTGTGTCCTTTAGCGCCCGTCGGGCAGACGCACAGCCACACTTTCACCTCTTTATTCTTACCACTTATTATTATATTGACAAACATTCATTTTTTCATGGCATTATTTATTATTTATGCGACCTATATTCCTGCTTGCTCTGCTTGAACAATTGACTGTATGTGGCTCGTTCTTTGACTTAATTGATTGTGTGTGATTGCTGATGGTTATAAATAGGTTTAGTTGCAAGTAACTTTAGTGGCACAGTTCAATTTGGATATGGAAATAGCTTATTTTAAAACAGATATAGCTAGTAAGTGGAGCATATTAAATTCTTAACGCATTATTGCCTTCATATTACAGCGCCTTGTCACTTCGGCTTTACATGGTCCGCAACTCTTCGACTCACTCCCGCAATCTAATCCTTACTAGGTTTAGTCTGTTAATGTAGTAATTTACGAGTTGTATTAAATGTATGTATACATCGCCAGATGTTGCTTCTTGTATCGTAAATACGCAGGACTTACCATATCCCTTTTTATAGACAGAAAGCTTGGAGAGAGTAAGCCATCGGGTTCTAAATAAAAATACGTGCCAAAATTTTTGGTGGACTCCCAGGATGGGTTTCCGTTGCCTTCCGTTGATTATCCTGTAATTAGATGCCCGGGACTAGGCTACCATGCGAAAAGTTTCTTGTTTCAGTTGAGGCCATCAAGGCGAACCCCTTGGCGTGAAAGCCTCCACTGAGATAATGCTTCAGATTTTAATCCATACTGGCCTTTGTGGTGGCCACCACCCAGTCGATTCCGACTACATAATAGGAGAGGTAAGAATGATACATGTCCATGATCACTTGGTTTCATATGGAGCGCGAGCAATCTGATATACAGTGGACAGCATTACTTAGTAACTGATTAGACGTAATGGTTAGTAGAGCATAGTAAATACCTTAGGATAATTGAAATTCACACTCTCTGTCAATGTTGCACTTTTAAATAGTTTAAAAAACGTTATTATTTGATATTGCAGCATGAGAAATTCCCCTTCCTCTGTTACATAGCTTTTCTTTAAATTAGACTATGGAATTCTTAACCGTCACCCTCCTCATCCATGACGTGTAGATAGGCGGGGTTGAGTTGGTGGCTGGCTGGAGCCTTTCAATATCTGCATGTTGACTATGAGGCAGACAGGTCACTTTCAGCCAATTGACCCTGGTCTATTATGCTGTTACACCTAAGTGGTGGCGAACAAGCTCAACTTCCTGCGTTTCGCTGTTCACCAATGTGACCAGGGGGGTCCATCAACAAGAGTATTAGACTCTAGGAAAACATAATTTTCTTTGGTTTAATAGATGCTGGTTGTGCAATAATACGAATATGACTGACAGAATGCGACGGTATCGAAATGTTTTGGACGTTGAGATGTAAGTCTCAACCCATGGGAGATTTGGTTGCTACTCAATCGTAACCCGATCATTCTTCATGTTACGTACACTTCCTATAAGCTAAATCATAAACGGGCAAAGACGAAAAGGATCATAAGCTCCACCTTGCGAAAAAAAAACAGTTCTTTCATCAATGCGCATACTGAGACATGCTAGGGACTTGCTTTTAAAATTCCCGTTCGGACATATCATGGCGGCCCGTAGCCCATCATCTGTCGATCGTAGCTAGGACTGCTAGCCTATCACTAATTTCCAGGTAGCCGTGCTACTGCTCCACATGTAGTGGCTGCCTGAGTCAACTTAGCGGAGAGGCTTCGTACATCGCTTCACCTCCGCCAACTGGTTCACTATCTGTGTGATCGGCACCACCAATAGATCTGCAAACTGATGGCCGAAGATTAATTACGTCATTTCCTGTGGCCTATTTGTGAATTACAACACACCTCATAACCTGTGTACCCTATTATCCGCCCAACTGAACTGGTGGAGCTGAACACATCCGTGTTGAGATCGTGGTATTAATACCCCCTAACCCTCTTCCACCTCAATCATCCATCTGACTATCTTAAATCATCTCTCATTTCGCATTCTCTCTTCCCCAAAATGCTCGCCGCAACCGATGTCCCATTTGACGCGTCCCAGTACGCATTTCGGACAAATTTTGATGGCCTCACTGTTACCAACAACGCTTTTTCACCTCGTCTTGAGGATGCGAAAAAAAAATTACCAGGATGCCCTCTCAAAGTTCGAATCTGATGACAAAGAAGCACGGAAAAACTACAATGAGGAGAAGGACGAAGGCTTCACTTCTGATAAGTTTGAAACTTGGGTGACCCAGAATGTAAGTCCATGTAAATTGATTAAGTATTGCAAGTCATAAAGACCCATTATGTCCTAACTTTCTACTCATAGAGGCCCTCGTGGGGTGTGTCAAAGAAAACCCTGCAGGGCAGAAGTGACGAATTAACTCAGACTGCGATGGCTGCCTTTGGATTAGCTTACCAGGAAAAACTTGAAAAGGACAAGTCGGATTTCAGTAAAGCAGCATTCCAGGCAGGTCATTATCCCGAATTCATCTAGGAGATAGGTGGGAAACAAATACTAGCTAGGGCAATTAGATTTAAGCTTGCATAATGTCTACAGAGAAGGCCTTGATCAGCCACATCGGCAAACAGCTAGTCGTCTCAGCAATTACATCAAACCATTGGAAACAAAGCGAATTAGGAAAAGATAACCAATGATAGTATTAGTGATTGATATATGCTAATTGCATATCGAATGTCAAGAACTAAATATGAGAAGAATGAAGTCCTCTGGATCCTTTAACTAAGAACGTAGGTCATATATGTAGCGGCTACACAAGCAGCGCAGCTATTGTCGGAGCATAGGAATGAACAGAGCAGCAAGATGAGATTAAACGGACGATTTTTCGATACCTTCTGATGTTTCCGCTTGTTTTGGCTTAGTGGGTAAGATACCTATATTTCTCACAACATAGTATGTCGGACTTTATGTGTTAGAACGAATTGGGATTAGTAGCAAATTCGATTGGACTGAGATACAAGCCTGAGTTGTAAAGAACTCATCTATCTTGACGTATTTATACGCGAATATACACTAATATTCGCCATCAGGGATAAGTTATTAAAAATTAAGTAGTGTTTTCGCACTATCGAACGTAGATTTTGGATATTTCGAACCTATCCCTAAAACGCTTAGTCTCAAATATTCTGACACAAGTTGATATCGTGGTTCGTGATACCCTTGACTATCCTGCAATTAACTAGCTGCCCAGGACTAGGCGATCAGGCTTAACTAGTTGGTAGCCTTGCAGTTGTCTCATTCTCAGACGATGGGCCGCTAGCAGGGGCCCAACCCTTGACCGAAATTCTGCCACTTATTAAGCTAAGCTGAGTAAGTCAGATAATATCCCTTAATACAAAACTATATAAAAGATAAAAAACAATTTATTTTTTTTAAGAAGAAGCTATTTTCACTAATTTAAGGTTCATATTAATTAGTATATCTATTCCGTTTTTCGGGGGAAGATATTATGCTAATATAATCTAAATGGTAAATTATTTAGGTATTGAAATGTAGATATATGGAATTTATTATGTATCTATATTAGGCCTTTGGCAATAATTTCAATTTTATTTGTTAAGTTTTATAAGTTATTTTGTCTTCAAAATCAGTGTTCAATGGATTTTTATATTCTTCTGGGCTATTGCTATCCATCTGGTGAAGGGTGGGACACTTCGCCGGTCAAGGCCACATTTATGAAAGCAAGTGCTCATTCCCAATTATGTACTCAAGAGCTTGAAGAGCCCTGGCCACCCAAGACAGCTTTAATTTCATCAAGTTTATCCTCCCAGTTAGTCTCGGGCTTGGGCTTTGGGTTCTTAAACGGATCAGCCCGCAAATACTCAACATCCACAAACACATCACGACTTAGCTTCATCCGTCCTTGGGCAAGAGGGCTACCCAATTGGTCCAAGAGACCTGGCCCTTCGGCCCAGGGGTCCTGTTGCGGATCATAATAGACCTTAACATCATACGTCTGTCCACTCTGGAAGAAAATTTGCCCTGGGAGGTCCTTATTGTTCTCGGGGAAAGGATGCATGCATGCCTCACGAGCGTTAGTCAGAGCGAGTATTAGCCCACTGTCACGATTCCGTGCATCACTAAGATGTTGTTTAATGCTCTTCGCCAATTCCGACTCAAGCTCAATTTCTCCTGCAGAAAGTGATATGTTCGGACTTTTAAGAAGCATATGAGAGATATGATGCTCAGACTCAGTTCCGTACAGATAAAAAGGCATGAATTGCTGCGGATATTCAAGGTCACGATTGGCGCTGTTGAGTGGTCGGCTTATCACTATCTTTTTAATGCTCACACGAGCGTCGAATTCATCCGTGTCTTTGTAAACACTCTTTGAGCTATCTCTTTCTTTTTTTGTATCTTCCATTCGGATAGAAATCTTTCCATCGAAAGTTTCATAGTTCTCCACTACCTTTTGAAGATCAATTGATTTGGAAGACCGCAGTACAATATGAGCAGTTGGATGATGCTTTTCTTTCAGAGCGAGGTATTTGGCCCTTGTGGAGAGGTATTTTTCCTTTGTTTCTTCATCCAGAAGAGAAACCTCCAGGATGATCTGCTGTCTTCCAGTCGCACGATCGAAAGACGACAAATGCTCTAGGAACACCTTATCTGTGCCTCTCATGAGGAACTCTGCAGGATACTCTCCAGGGTGGTTCCTTTTCCGTACTCTAACAACCTCTTCCCTGACCACTTCCTGGAAGTAATCCATTAATTCGCCGATGAAATCGCGGTCCGTTGGGAACGGACTCATGACCACATTTCGTAGAACCATCAGGTCTTGGCTGCACTTATCGATACCCAGTCTCTCCATGAAATGCTGAGCACATTTGCCGTATAATTGAGGCTCGAACTTTGTGGATGTCAGGTAGAGCGGGATGGCTGCAGGCTTACCGTTTGTGTCGGTCACAGAGAGCCTGTCAACAACATTTTTCATGAAATAATTTGCTTCTTCAATATCACTGTTGGGCTTTCCGTCCTCACCAATCCAGTTCAATGCGAAGGCATTGATGTTGGTATCAGAGCCAAGCCCGCGAATGTATTGCATGACTTGGTCATTTTCGGCCATCTCCTTGTTCGTCATTGTGAGGATATTGTCATGAATCCACTTCCTTTCCTCATCAACCGTCTTGAAGACCAAACCTTGTCCTTCATTTTTGTCGTTACTCGTCTGCAAACCATGTCCTTCCAACTCAGATGAAAGCCGGTTGAAAGGAATGCAGATAAAGTAAGGTTTGTTATTGTTCTTGTCTAAGTTACGCGGGTCGACGTGCATGGCAGCGTAATGGGCCGACAGCTTGGATTGTCATTAGCGTGAGTTAAAAGGAGAATTTGGAAAATTGGAAGGGACAAAATAATAATCAGCTCCAATAAATGAATGTAGAAGGAATAAAAGAAGCGCGGACCACCTACTCTACTACTGGTGAATGCTGCTTCGCCGAGAAGCCTTCCGTAACCATTAGGGTCGAGACCAATGGTCTGATTCGATAGCCAAGTAGCCATTGCAGCAGCACCGGGTTTGCTGTGATATATTTCAGTCTGTATTTGCTTGTCACAACTTTTTATTTGCCTTACCTTCCCTCCACTCCATATATCCCAATATTCTCCGAGCTCCCCTGAGATAGGTACGGTGATGACCATGTCACCAAAAATCTCATCCTACCATCACGATAGCAAAGGGATCCGGCAGGATATGGGATATAGCCAGCCTTGTGTGGATCCACGGTGATAGAGTCGGCATGTTTCAGTGCCAATAGGTCCTGCTCCGTCTCTTGCTTCAATGTGAGAGAGGGCACGAACCCCTCTGTCTTTTTGCGTGGAGCTCCAATTTTTGGAATAACAGGCTCAAAAACCTTGGATCTGTCGATCATGGACATAAAGTATCCACCCCATGCCGCATCCGCGTGTACCAAAAAGCTCAGCCCCTTGTTTTGGAACTTTTTGCGTAATTCAATTATGTCTCGAAGACGATCGACTGCTCCCTCTTCAGTCGAGCCGATTATCGCCACGACAGCATAGACAGCTTGGCGCTCCTCCAAACACCTGTTCAGTTCCTGTTCGAGGTTTTCTAGGCTGACATGGCCGTCTAGATCGACCTCAATACCGTGCACGCAGCCCGATCCAAGTCCCGCGATAGCTAAACTGTTAGCAACAGTTCTGAAATCCCAAGATTTGATACGTACCTGCTCCCTTGGGCCAACTGTAATGTCGAGTCTTGGACGCAAAGTACTTTATAGGTTTATCTATGCCGAAATAGCGCTCCAATAAGTCCTTGCCGGCAGTCTGGATATTATACCTATCCAAAACACCTTCAAGATACTTCCCAGTGATGCCAAATTGCTTTCTCAACGCGTCTGGGAGCCCCAAGACCGTCTCGGGTTTGAGGTTGAGAAGTTCCCACACACTGAAATCTTTGAATGGTTTCTCATCGCCTAGGCAAGTAGTAACCTTAAAGCTGTCGGCGATAAACCACAGTGCGTCTTCCTTGATAGCCATATATAACGCAAGTGGGTAGAATTTGAGATTCCTTGCTTGATCCCTGTGAGTTTGGATCTCGAAAACAGAATACCAGGATACATACCAACCCAGATGGATTCCAAATTTGCAATCGTGCCATCTGCAGTGATATGGCCCCATGCTAGTGTATCCTGCTTCTTTGTTGTATTGTAACCAAACATTTTGCATAGCTGCTGTCCAGCTTTGAGCTCAGTCACAGTCGTGAAAGGCGAAGCTTCAAGTGCTACATTATTCGGGTTGTAGAGCATAGTCATGAAGTAACCGAGAATACCAGGGGCGGCAAGATCGGTACACATATGCCCCTGGTACCTTGGAGACCAGAAAGGAATACTGTGCTTGCCAAGTAGATGTGCTGCTTTTGCTACGGCTTTCTCGAAGTTTTTTGTAGCATTTTGGAAAGGGGCAGAGTTTTGGATTTCTTCTGTGATGAATTTCTATTCAACTTTAGCAGATCAATTCGCACAATCTTTGATTTAGGAGTGTTAGGCTTCAGTTGATCTGTTTCAGAGAAGTGCAAACAAGGATAGAAAGAGAAAGAGAGTACGGATGAACCTCATCAAGTGTGTGGTAACCAAGTCTGGTGTCTCGCAGCTCATCAAAGATCCGATTGACATTCCTTTTGAAAAACTCCAAGTTCTCTGCCTTTGGGCCGATGAAATAGCTCGAAATAATTTGGTGGAAGTTTTTATCAAACGACATGTTTTAGCTTGCTTTTTTTTTCCTTACAGCTTGTGTTTGTTATAGACTTATCTAGATAGTATGGTAGAAGATAAAAGATAGTAAATTTCACGAAACACTGTCGGTTGGTCATATTTATATTCGAAGGAGACTTTCACTTCAAGCCTGCTCCATTCGTCACACCACCAGCGGATCAGGATTTCTGCAGCAATTTCCATGCATCACGCATAGTGATTAAGCTGAAGATAAGTTGTCACGCATAATGCATTTTAGCTGAGCACTCCTCGTCAATCTGGTAGGAAAACTTATAATCCTTGCATCAATTTGTGGGGATCTTTCGACGTTCTGCAGCCAGCCACTGACACTATCTCGCCTTTGTGGCAGCCATTGATTTGACGAGTGATATAGACGTCAAAGAACGAGGGCTCGGAGCGCATTAAGCTCCACTATACAGCAACGAATGAGTATCATGTTTATTGTAGTCACTTTTCCATGTTGATATCAAAGCTATGTAGTCTAATTACAACAGAGATTACTATGACGGACTTTCTTGATCCAGAATGGATCGGTCTCGAATCTAACAGAATCTTGTAAAAGGGTCCGGCATAATTCCCTTCCGTGAGGTTGTATTCAAGACCCACGAGCTTTTTCTGTATCTATCTAATAGCTTGGTTCTGTTGAAAGTTAACCCTGCATTGGGGTAGTGAAGTGGTGAGCTGGGGTTGATGTAGCGCCTAGTAACGCAATCATGCATTTTTAGCGTATATCCTTCCCACCTCGGGTAGAATCAAGGGTATACATGCAGCTCAACCCCGCCATGCACATCCCGACCCGTCATTTTCATCGATCAAAGACTGGGAAAAGGCCGTCGGTGATAAAACATATGTCCGATCTATCGGACAGCTCATAATAGACAAGGTAACGCAAACTATCACGACTCATCAGCGGAGCTATCATATAGGACGCTTGCAGGCCCCAGTTGAGCTGTTACGCTGTTAGGTGAATGGGAAATAAATAAACTATTTTACAATCCACAACTCTTTGATAGAAAAAGTCGATTGTATCTTAGGCGAATATAATAGAGAAGCTGGCATTCATATTATACCAATTATAAAGCGACTTTTGCCAGCATCAATGACAAAGCATTGGAGCAATCAGCTAGCCACCGTCGTGAGCAGATTCGCGCGGACAGAAGCGGACTGCAAAAGGTATTCGATTGGTTCTGTATTTGCCGATCGCCCTAAAAATGAATCGAATTTGATGCAGGGCTCAGCTGTGAGAGAGAGTAAACGGAAACGGGCGGGGGAAAACCTCAGATGGAGATGTGATTTTACTGCAGTGGCGGTATGCAAGTTGTCATGAACCCGCAGTTCGATCCACAAGAAGATCCTAAAACAGGATTTTATAAGCTTAAGGACGCACTATTCGTGCCAGTAATGGAGAATTGCATTCTGGGGCTGGAATTCGGTCTGAACGTTTTATAACACTGAAAATAATAAATGATCGCAATGGTGATGACGTTGGTCATGAGCGTGTCATTGAAGAGCAAATTGGGCGACAAACCGTATCATACCGCGGCCGTGGCATTGTCCGAACCTGCCTCGAGAGCTTTGAGGTGACTGGACCTCTAGACTGCCATCTATGTTGGTCTATAAGCCTCTGCGAGAGCCGCTCTGGACTCTCTAAAAACGTTTTGTCGACCAAAGGAGAGAAAAATGGCTCGGTAGTTAATGCAACACCGAGTTCTTTACGGTGAATAACGAAACAGGTAAGAGAAGGTCAGAGTTGTACAGGACAACGATATGAAGAAGGACGAGGCATGGAAAACTATAACTTCACCATGCAGAATCATAGATTGAGATAACTTGATATGCTCCTGAGCAGTGGCGTCATTAGAATTATGAGAGCTCATGCGCATGCTCGCTATTTTGGGAATGACAGAAAATGGTAAACGTGATCTTAGGAATGAATCCATGAGAATATTGGGGCATACGAAGCAGACTAAGTGGAACCAGAGCTTCTGGATCGGTTATATACCTGGACAACGGGTCGCGGAACCCTAGATCCCAGAGGAAGTTCCAACACATAATCATCTATCTATATGTTCAGAGCGACATGTGCTCGCTAAAACAGTCTACTTAGGATTAACATATTATAGCATTTGTTATTTAGAATTGCATGTTTGTAGTAAAATAAGAAAAAGAGAAGTCAGAAATATCGATAAAGATAATGGATTTTGGTAATTTATATCATTGCTAATTTATTAAACTTAATTTTAACTCCATATACGGAAGTACTTTTGTTGACCTATTAGGATGCAGGGGCGTGTGGATTACAGCACTAGACTCTGGTACCTGCACCTGTCGCGTAACTAGTTAGCTTGTACTCCGCCTGCTCTGTGTACCTTCATTCCACTCTCTCCCTTTAAACCCTTTCGCTCGTTGTCTTTCTTTTCTGTTTTCTGTTCCCACGTTGCAAGTCTCCAAGGTTTAATGATGCCGTCGGTTGCATCTTGCCTCCTGGCTGCAGCCGCAGCTGCCTGGAGTTTGGCCTCCACGACCACTGCATCCAGTGACAACGATACCGATACTCTGGTCACCCAGCAAATCGACAACCACCCATATCCGTATGATTTCCCCCAGCTGGGTGCTAATGGCACCGATATCTTCCCTATGCGCCTTTGTAATGGCTTCAAATTAGAAGAGGCCAGTATCGATGAAATCCAGGTGGAGCTCAAGTCAGGCAAATTGACTGGCGTCCAACTGCTCGAGTGTTACTTTGAACGGATCTACCAGTTGCAGCCGTATTTGAAGTAAATCATAGATCTTCTCCCAGGCGGTCTTCGCTATTAACAAATATAGTGCTGTCCTACAATACAATCCCGATGCAATGGAGATCGCGAAAGTTTTGGACGAAGAACGCCAGCGGGGAATTGTCCGAGGGCCTCTGCACGGAATTCCCTTTCTGGTCAAAGACAATATTGCCAGCAAGGACAAGATGGAAACCACTGCCGGTAGTTGGGCTCTAGTCGGCTCCGTGGTCCCTCGTGATGCCCATGTTGTGTATCGTCTACGTCAGGCCGGTGCGGTGCTGCTAGGCAAGGCCGCTCTCAGTGAGTGGGCGGACATGCGCTCAAACGACTATTCTGAAGGATACTCCGGACGGGGTGGCCAGTGCCGGAATCCTTACAACTTTACTGTCAATCCTGGAGGGAGTAGCTCGGGTTCCGGCGTTGCAGTTACATCCAACCAGGTGCCTTTCGCACTTGGGACGGAAACTGATGGCAGTGGTGAGTCACACCGTTGAGCTGGTTTTACTGGCTGGGACTAATTTGTGCAGTGATCAACCCTGCTGAAAGAAGTGCCGTTGTCGGCATCAAACCTACTGTCGGTCTGACCTCTCGAGCTGGTGTCATTCCCGAGTCAACTCACCAGGATTCTGTCGGCTGCTTTGGAAAGACGGTCCGTGATGCAACCTACGTCTTAGATGCCATCTACGGCATCGACCCTCGCGATAATTATACCTTCGCTCAGGAGGGCAAACCCCCCCGGGGAGGCTATACCCAATTTATAACAAAAAAGTCTGTGCTCAAAGGCGCTGTATTCGGACTCCCGTGGTTGTCCTTTTGGCAGTACAACGACCCGACACAAAACGCTCAGCTCGTGGAGCTTTTGGATCTGATTCGTTCTGCTGGGGCGACCATCATCAACGGAACCGAGCTTCTATCCTACAAAGATATTGTCGATCCCCAGGGGTGGAACTGGGATTATGGAACACAGCGCGGATACCCCAACGAATCGGAATATACGTACGTCAAGGTCGACTTCTACAACAACATCAATAGTTATCTCGCCGAATTAAACAACACGAACATGCGCTCGCTCGAAGATTTGGTCCAGTACAATATCGACAACGTTGGAAGTGAGGGTGGTCTTCCTGGGGTGAACCCAGCTTTTGCGTCCGGTCAAGATGGATTCCTCGCCTCGCTGGCAACTAAAGGTATCATGAATGAGACATACTGGCAGGCGCTGAGCTACTGTCAACGCACGAGCCGGGAAGATGGTATTGACGCAGCTCTGCACTCTAACGGTCACAACTTGACTGCTTTGTTGGTGCCTCCCGACTTCGGCCCTACGTACCAGATTGCGGCCCAGGCAGGATACCCAGTCATTACGCTTCCTGCTGGAACCAACAAGGAGTCGAAGATGCCCTATGGTCTGGCACTCATGGGCACCGCATTCTCGGAAGCGACGCTCATAAAGTACGCCAGTGCAATTGAGGACCTGCAAGTTTCTTCCAATACCCCTTGGAAGCGGACCCTACCTACATGGAGTGGCTATCTAGATCGAAATATTCCTCTCATCAATGCTTAGCCTTGTATATACTCAGTAGATAGGATGCTTTATCATATTGTAATATGTACTCTGGGCCCTCACACCAGTTTCAATGCCCACGGTTCCTTTCTCAGCTTCAAGGATGGAAACTCCTTTGATATCTGAAATGGACCTAAGCCACTTTTGGATCTGTAAAGAGCTGGAGAGATATCTCAATCAGAAAAATAATTATATACTATAGATTAGGATATCTGAGAGCTAGTACTCGGATTTGATAACAAGAAATAGTGTAAAGAAGCTAAGTCGCTCTAGACACATACATGACCTGGAACGACCGAAGGAAGAGAAAGAGACTAGAGCCACCTCCGCGAGCCCTACCCACAAAGACCGGCTGTATTCTCTAACCTTGATTTTCTCGCACCAACCGTAGCACTCATTGCTGTCTCACCACTCAAGCAACGCTACGAGTGCTTTTTCCACCATTACTTCCTTCGGAGGCGCCATTGAACATCCCAATTGTGTTGAAGACCTAATGCTGGTATTCAAGTCCTCCATTCATGTTAAGTATCTTTATATTGATTATCAATGTGTTCCGGCCACCCTATATTATGCGCGACCTCGTTCACGGGAGCATTCACTCACTGAGCCGTTGCGCCAAAAAACGAGAACATTGAGAATGGTGATTCCTCTTTACGACTCCCCCATATAGAAAGGTTGCCAGGACTGACACATGCCATGCCATTATCCACAAACGAAAGGTCTGTTCCTATACAAGTTCCGGTGCGAAAGTCAGTCTACTCGTCCTAAACTTCAAGATGTCATATTATCTATATCTTTACCAGTCTATAATAAGGCTAATAAATATTCTGAGCTATACTAATTTCTGAAATTAAGTAACCACCTTAGAACTTCAACTCAAATACATTAATATGTACGTACATGTGGCTTATTTAGAACTATCCATGTTGTATCTTCAACATAAACCAACTATTTATGGCGAACAACCCTAACATCGATCCATTAGCCCTGTATCAACAGCTCTCTAGCCTTCTCCGATCTCGGCTTAATCACACACTGGAAAGTATCTGGAACACCGCTTAATCCATTGGTAAACGAGACGGTCTGTTTAATAATATTCCCATCTTTATCCACTGGGCGTTTCAAATCCATTGTCGCTAGCAGAGTCGCCAGCAAAATATAAACGCCAGCCAATGCTAGGTGCTGCCCAGGACACACTCGCCGTCCGAAACCAAATGGCCCCTCTGGGAAAGGCTCCCCTTTCCCACCCTCTGCGATAGGAATGTATCGATCAGGATTAAATTCATCTGGTGAAGAGTAGTACCGCTCATCATGTGTCATAGCCCATGCATTCGCAAACACCACCGAGCCTTTCGGGATATGGTATCCCTTGTAAGTATCATCTTCAACCGTCGCGTGTGGAACTCCCACAGGCGAGAGCGGTGCCCAGCGTGTTGTCTCTTGGATGGTATGCTCCAAATACTTCAATTCTGCGCGGTCTTCAAAGGTCGGTAATCGTAAGATATCCCCCTTCTCATCGATCCCAATCACACGGTCGAGTTCCGCTTGAGCCTTCGCCTGTATATCAGGGTTGAGCATCAGATTCAGGATGGCAACGATAATAGTCGACCAGGTAGTATTTCCACCCGCGATGGAAATCGCTCCGGCGGCACCCTTAAGATCGGCGACTGTCGCTTCATTAGGCATGTTTTTGCCCTCATTTTCGAGATAGCGACCGAAGTGAGTGCGCATGAAGGATGGGAAAGTGGCCTTTCCGGCACGGATCAAAGGTTCAGTGGCATCCCATGGTGCATCATGGAGTCTCTGGATAGAAGCCTTCGTTCGCCGAGCATGTGCAAGCGGTTTGAATATGTCCAAGACAGCACAAACGCTCGGAAGATACCGAAGTAAAGGAAACATATCGACAATCGAAAACCCCGGAACACCACCCTCGCCAGTTGCTTCCTCCACGTCAATCGCCATTTTCACATACGGGTCATTCTGTTCTTGGACATCAATACCAAACCCGATACGCAGCACCACTGCGGTTGAGAAATTTCGCAGAAGACCCTCCCATTTCTCTGGTTGATGAAGGATTGCCTTGATCGCGCGTCGAGCTTCTTCAATCTGGATCGGCCTGTATGTCTTGCAGGCTGATTGCGTGAAGGATTGCTGGAGCAATTTACGGTGTAGGCGAAACTGCGGGGACCATCGTAAGAAGGTCAGGGTAACACCCCAGCCCATCACTTCGAAAAGTACGAATCGCGGGCGGTCGGCATAGTTGGCTCCTCTCTTATCGAGCAGATCGTGGGCTACTTCAATGCTATTCACGACTACGATGGGCCGTCCCAAGACGTTGAAAGAGAGAATGTCGGATTTGTAGTCTTTGCCCCATTGCGTGTACTGGTGCTCGGGATGGTCTTGAGGAATAACTCGAAGATGTCCTATGATCGGCTCGCCTGGAGGTCCTGGTGGTAAGGGTAAATCTCGTTTCTTGAAGTGAGGATAGATGGCCCAGAGAACCACGGCGGTCGCTAGAAGAGGCAGCGCGGCATACATGGAAGCGGTGTGGAAGTCTTTACGTGTCACCCACGAGTCGTATTATACAGTCCTTGCCATCGGTCACACCAGGCAAGGATCAAAGAATGACGCAGTTGATTCTGCCATATATATCCATCAAATAAGGTGGTTGAAGTGGGAGAATTGACCCGGCAACTGCTGGTGACGTATCATATCCGCCTGCATAAAGCGGGGATCTTGTGCGACGTAGGATATAGGCAGTTCGGATTAAAATCAACGGTTAACTAAAACTGTTGACTTCAAATAAGGCACCATGCGGAACTCAGATGTGGTACCTTCATCTTCAAATCGACATACATCTCGATGTCTGCCCCCTCTATAGCCCCGTCTAGCGCTTTAGCTCGCGGCGCCTTTACGACAACTCCAACCCCCTCAGATCCCTACTGTTACCAGGTGGGGTTTGGGAACAGGTTCGCAACAGAGGCTATTCCAGGAACATTGCCTTTGGGCCAGAATACTCCCCAGCGTTGCAAATACGATCTTGTATCGGAACAACTCAATGGCACGCCCTTTGTCGCACCGCGTGCGTCACAGCTCCATGCATGGTTCTATCGCATCAAGCCTTCGGTCGTCCATAAACCTTTGAAGAGATGGCCCAAGAACCCGGACCTAGAAGCTGTCTTCTCTGCTCTAAACCCTAATACGATCTTCACTCCACAAGACATGGGATGGGACAAGTTTCCGTTACCGGAGCCTTCGCAGCCTGTAGACTTCATCGGCGGTCTGAAGACGATCGCTGGGCATGGAGAACCTTCATTGAAGGAGGGCCTGGCTGTTCACGTCTATATGGCGAACACATCGATGCAGAACAAGGCATTTTGCAACAATGATGGCGAGATGCTTATCCTCCCACAGGAAGGCCGGTTAGACATTCAGACAGAATTCGGACGGCTGATGGTTCAGCCTGGTGAATTGGTTGTAATTCCTGCCGGTGTGCGTATCAAGGTATCGTTGCCGGATGGCATTGGACGGGGTTATATTCAAGAAATCTACGGAAGTCATTACGTGCTCCCTGAATTGGGACCCATTGGGTCTAATGGAATGGCCATGCCTCGTGATTTCGAGATCCCCGTTGCCAGCTTCGATATTGATCACAGTAATACCTGGGAGATTGTGGTCAAGCTTGCTGGCGAATTGTTTGGGTATGAGCAGAATCATACCCCTTTTGACGTAGTCGCTTGGCATGGAAACTACACTCCGTACAAGTACGCGCTGGAGAAATTCATCAACTCAGCCACTGTCGATCGAGAACAAAGCGATCCATCCATATACTGCGTGCTGACGGCGCCATCTAAGGTCTCTAGTATTGCATTAACAGAGCTTCTTGTTTTCACACCCAAATGGAATGTCACTACAAATACCTTCCGCCCGCCTTACTACCACCGCAATGTCGCCACTGAGCTGATGGGTATGATATACGGAACATGGACCGGCTCAGCGACACATTTAGAGCCAGGCGGATTAACATATGAGCCAAGTTTTATGCCACATGGAGAGTCGTATAAACGATGGAAGGAGGCGACGAGTGCAGATTTGCCGCCTTTGAGGGTGAATGAGAGGGCTATAGCGTTTATGATGCATATTTCGGGCCATATATCACTGACTAAATATGCGTTGGAAAGGACTGGAAAATTGCAGGAGCAGAGAGAAGATTTGTGGGATGATTGGTCAGGGGGTTTCTTAGATCATTTGTCAGAGGTGAATCAGGATCTCATTAAGGCCGGGCTGCCTCCTCTTGACAAATTGAATAAATTTTAGGGAAGTATAATTTTTCAGTCTCTTCAGCCATTTGAGAAATGATAGGGAGCTTTCAAGCACCAAAAATGCATCTATTGTCTACTCCTATGAATGTCCGGTTCCTATACTCTATTCTGTATATGCGTATTCACCTCCATGAGTGTCAAATGTGAAATAGTTGACCTATTTCGCGTAGAAAGGCATCATTGGAGTTGAGATTAGCACAATTATTACGGATCTTAGTGCTGAAATGGAAATGCTGTAGGGGGTCACTTAGTACGAATATAATACGCGTTACCGACCAGCTAGGGTATATATAATAATGTACTAGTTGACATATAATTGATTGATAATCATATTAACCAACACTTTATACTGGCTCAACGGCAACGAACGCCGACTCACAAAATTTCTTGCTTTTTCATGTCATTCTCTGCACTAAAGCTGCCTGTATAGTGACCCTTTAACTCCGAATCTATTCCATTTTCATTCTGCAATACGAATAGTGGCACTGAAAGTTGTGGGCATTTTTGTTACCTTCATGGTAATTTAGGCTGAGTCATATGACGTATTTAACTAGTTAACTAGATTGAAGGCATTTGGTGGTGAGTAGGTACGACAGGCCATCTATCTGACCACGGCAGCCTTCGAGTGAGACCTGGAGGCTGTTCTTAAGGAAACGAATAGAAATAATTTCTTACGGTGGAAAGAAACTGCGCATGATCATGGTCCCTATCGTTGATCACATTACTAATCCTTGTTCTACGTTTTTCCCTTCAGGTGTCACTTTCCTTTTTTTTTTTGGTTTTTCCCCCCTCAAATTAATTTTCTTTCTCACTGTACTTCTTTTCTCTGATTTCGCACATATCTTTGATTTCTTTTTCACTCCCAAATAAAATACTGACGAAATCCGGTCCGTTGCAGAAGAGTCTGGTTCAGAGTGGACTGGAGAATCAGGCTGTCCCCAAGAAAACCGGATGATCTGGGTGGGCTTCAAGGGTACCGGGTCGAATTTTCGTAAACGCTCAATTAGAAAAGGTCTTTCCTTTTCTGAAAGCCTTATTTGGGACTGTATACCCTCTTTCCAACTCTTTTCAAGCAAATCTCTATTATCTTCCTGCCATACTCTTCTCGCAGTATCAAATGCTTCATCTAACTGGGCGCTGGGCGACAGAGCCAAGGTTGATGGGCCCAACAGAGTAAAAGCGTACTTGGAATGAGGTATCGTTCGCTCGAAGCATGTACAATCAAACATTCGCCCATCGCGATGCCATCTGGGCTGTTTGAACTCATATGTTGCAGAATAAGCTCGGATTGTTAACCAGCAAGATTGTATTATATCAGATCTATCGGCCGGACTAGCTGTTCTGTAGCAGTCTTGAGCAGCTACCGTAAGAAAACGGTTCAGTTCAGCAGAAATAGTTTTGCGGCTTGCATCCGATCGGGACACAATATATTCGCTAGCCGACACAGCCAGCTGAGTTTGGTCGAAGGGTCCATAAAATTCATATGTAGAGTTATGGGAGATTACCTTCGATGGTAACCCTTGAAGAGGGCGCCTAGCAACCAAAGGGAATATTGCAAGCGGATCAGGACGTTGGTAGGGCGCATCTTGGTTGCCTGTACTCATATCTGTCTTTGGTTGAGTGGTCGGTGAACAGGTGTGCCGTTTTCTCGGACTACAATTATGTGAGATGTTTTGATCACGAGAAGGCAGATATAATTGCTGGTTGGAGTGTGTGGTATAGTCGATAAGGCTTTCGGGATCAAGCAATGCAACTTAAGCGCTGCCCGCATGCCCTGAAACGAAGTGAGGGGGAAAACCGTACCGGGACGGAACAGTGTGCGTGCACCCAGCACACCTACGGAGAAGCAGATCCTGGAAATAATAATCCGAAGCGTCTTCAACCAATAGAGGATAGAGAATCAAGATTCGATGGCTCCGCTCTATATTTCCGGCATGGAAGGCGGTGTCAGGCGCCCCTGTAACTGCTTCTGGTAGGATGTCCTTGGATATCTCCAAGCTGTCCCACCAGGATGAATCAATTGGCGTTCGCGGCGGAACGATCCTCCGTCCTCGCTGGGCACTGAATCCTTTTAAGATAAAGCTGTACATATCCTACGGAATGTCATCTTTTACACGCATATGTTCAATCGCTTCGCAAAAGGAGGAGCGTTGTAGGGTTACTATGATCACCGGCCAATTTTTATATTTGGAAATAGAATGTGTGGCACTGTGATGTGATTGGCCAATTGTTGCAGCTGCCTGGTCTTGATCACGGATATGCCTACCGCTATTATCATATGATCCAAGCATATTCAGGTGAATCCCACTATTCCCGGCCACACCTGGTCAACAAACTTGGTGACGTCGGTCTTTAGCTCTCGAGGCTGTTCCAGCGCTGCAAAGTGTCCACCCTAACCAATATTCATTAGCATCTGCTCTAAATCTCTGGGAATACAAATTACCTTTTGGTGCTGCCTCCAGTACACCAAGTTGCCCGTCGTCTCCACCCATGAGCGGGGGACCGGTGCAAGCTCCATGGGGAAGGAGGAAAATCCAAGAGGCTTGTGGATATACCAGCGGGGATCATTGTTAATCGGGATGGGTGGCGGAGGATAGAGCTGGAGATATTAAAAGTGATTTAAACAAGTAGTTGATGGCCGATAAAGACAATAAACGTACCATACGATAGGTGTAGATTGCTCGAGGAAACGTCTCGGTCAACCAGTACAGAGTGATTGATTCCAGGATCACTTCAGGGGGGAGAGGATCGTCGACCCATTCCAGGAACTTCTCGCCAATCCTGTCAGGTGTTAGTATACTCAAACTGTTTCTCGCAGGGATAATTCATAGCATACCACGCAAGGAGAGCAACCGGGCTAGTGGAGAGCACATGGCCGATAGTACTCGGACGTGTGCCATGTTCCATAGCGTATGCAGATCCTGTAGTTACGAAATCTGACATTCTTTGAACACCGCGCTTTTCAAAAGCATCGAGGCGGTCATCAGTCATGCCGTCAGGCCGCCTCATGGCACAAACATTGACTTGCTTCTATTGGCATTGGTTCTAACTCGGTCATTGGGAAGGAAGTACTCACGGTGCGCCGCTGTCAGCTGTTAGATCCAGGTGCATCTCTCCTTCTGTTACAGAGCAGAATATATACCTTTGCAGCTATCATGGTCTACAGCCAAGTTCCTAGCTATCCGACTGCCAATGTCGCCACCCTGAGCAATATATCCACTCTCAAAACCGATATCTTTCATCAGCTGGTCCATAACCCTGGCGATGTCGGAGATCTCAAAGTTTCGATCCAAGGGAGGCCCAGACGAAAAGGTGAAGCCTGGCAATGAGGGCACGATCAAGTGGTACGGCAGAGTATCTGGGGTGAACTCCTCCCGAAACATCTGAAGCATGGGGAGAAACTCCAGAAAACTTCCTATTCAGATAGATCAATCCATGCGGGAGGTAGATCGGTGATAATAATAATCAGGCTTACCGGGCCATCCATGAAGAAATAAGATAGGCACCGCGTCTTTCTTCTCAGAAAAGAAGGCTACAAAATGGATCGTGAGACCTTCCACATCGGTTGTGAACTGCGGGAAGCTATTGATGTGATCTTCGGATGTTGTCCTAGGAATGAATGTTAGGGTCTTTCTCTGTTTTGAGTAGAGCTCATAGTACCAATGATAGGATCCCAGCCACTGGTCTCGAATAGTGGCGATCCAGTCCGTCGTTATGCCATAGCGACAGCCTGTCTGCGAGTTCTCGTACGTGTGCGGCGCAAGCTTTGCGAGCTCGATCAGCGTCTTGAGCTCGGAGAGCTTGGTCTTGGGGATGGCTGCCTTGAAGGGGGTAGCGGAGACCCTCGCGCTGGAGGGTAGAGTGCTGAATGGGAGAGACATGGTGTGTGAAGTGTGAAGTGTATGTCTTACAGTATGCTTAATCTGTCTTATGTTGAGCTGCCGAGTCACGGGCTGTGCGGGGGTCCTGTCTCACCGTTGACCAAACAAGTACTCGCCCCCGGAGCCCTCACCACTTAATACCAAGGATAGAATCTCTTAGTCTGGACAGCCACTCCGCACACTCTCTGGTATGCGGACGGTCTCGCTAGCATCTATCTTGAAACGATAAGCACACTTTATTGAGCTTCAAGTACAAGAAATTTATATGTTAATATACCAATAATACCAATGCACTTTATATAGTCATGAAGGAACTGCACCATGTCCTTGCCGAAGTTCTCATTACTCGCTGCATTCATGGCCACCTCTTCTGTGATCTTGCTCCTATCTACATCTTATTATAATATTACAGATGGTCAGCAAAATAACCCTATCTATAATGGTGTGTCTTGGTATGGCTCTATACAGGATCTTTCTGACTTGGTTGATTCAATTCCTTGTTGCCTGAAGACTTTTCTTGGTTACTTTGTTCAGTTACTCCTAGGAAACGTGTGTGAGACTCAGTTGTCCTTTTAAATTATACCTCGACATACCTCAGTATGACTTACAGTTCACTCTTGATGTAATATGCATACTTTCAAGAGTACTGGGAAATACTTAAATCATTTCTATAAGTAGGAGAAACGAAGGTGAAAAATAAACCGACAAAAAAAAGTAGAGTCCATCAAAGAAAAAGGAAGGGGGAGAGTATCCAGCGGATTTATTATTTTTATGCATAGTCCACCTCCGAAAATAAGCTCCGAAACTAGCGCGAGCATAAAACGAGATGGAACATCAGCCGGTTAACCAAGATACTGGAAGTCCAATTAAGCCCGGAAAAAGGTAGAGTGTATGGTTTGGCTTTGCTCCGTGTAATGCACCCTTGCCGACAATTGAGATGTGAAACTTTCCCGCTTTTGTTCTCTTGCAATGAAAATATTTACCTAAAACCCATGGGCTCCTGGATCATACTCTCTTCCATGTTCATTCTTTTATAAAATAATATTCTTCTACAGCCGGATATTTTGTACACTTCACTTGCTCCGCTATTGACTCAAGAATGGACCGAGAATCCGTTCAAGGAGAAAATGATGGTCAACTCTCACCTCGTGGAGGAGGACCTGGGAACTACTCATCTAAGAAGACACTCCGTATTAAGAAAAGGTAATTTCACACTCTATCTTGCTACTTAAAGTGTTTTCGCTACACATCGTTCAAACTACATCATGAACTGGCCTCAATGGATGTAAATTGTCTCGTATATTCAGAATGACCCGAAACACGACTTCGCATCTCGAACACTAACAAGTGAGCAAAAACAGAAAAGGCAGAGAAGGCAGAGGCGAGATAGACAGGAACAACCCCTTACATATTATGTATATAGACCCTCAGATTCATTATCAGAGGGTTTCGATCTCAGATAGTCATCGTGGTTTGGTGTATGAACACCGTTAAGCTGCCGTCGGTACATAGCGCCGATAATGGTATGCCATGAATAAGAATTACGTCCTGTGCGTGATAGATCGTGAGATCTGGGAGAACGCCTCCGTCAGCTTATTCGAAAAGTTCAGAAGTGCAAAGTTCTGGGATCATCCTTGAGATTCTACACTGATGGCACCGTCTATAAGCAGCAGGAGTACATGCAGTATGAAAGCTGTCGACTTAAATGCGTGCAGGATTTGGCGGGATGAAGAGATTGAAAAAATAGATAGTGAGAAGGCGATAGGGCGGACAAATATGCCCGATGAGGAAATCACAAAAAGCAAGAAGGCAATCGACAAAACTGTTGTTCTTCAAAGCTAACTCGAAATTTCTAGTCTATACGAATCTTCGACGAGACTGGATGTACATGCCTGTTTTCTGGAACTGCCACGACCTCGCAATCCGCCTCGCTCACATCATATTACCGCCATCCTTGGACGTGGTCAGATTTCTTCAGAATCTCATGAAATCACTTCGACGGGCTTTAATAGAGATAGACTGGTATTCTACTGCGGGAAAAAACGCTATGGGAGGATAGGGAGTAGGTTTATTAGGCGTCCTCGCCGCTGCGCCACCGCTGGTCGTAGTTGGTGCGTCTGTTTTTCATGGCTGGATTGTGTATAGGGTTCTTTAGCCCACTTGTTGAGCATTCTAAGGCGAATGCAAGAGCCAATACCATGCGAAAACTTGAGGAACGGTTTCCAAAGCTCAAGTCGCTTCACTATTGAACGAACCATTCGCATCAATTGATATCTTTGGTTACCTTTCTCCTGCTTTATATGGGCAAACTGAAATTGACGTGTCATATACATTGCCTGTTCATCTAAAGCTTGCCTTTCATTTTTCTGAGTCTGAAATTACTGTCGTAACATTGAAGATATTGGCCTCAGCTACTAGTAATCCAATAGAAGTCTTTGTGGCTCCAATCAAATATAGTGCCGAATTTAGTCTTTTTTTCTGTAATATCCACTCATGGTATCTTCTATTTTAATTCAATTTTCAATTCGATTTCTTTTAGACCTCTAGATTTTCAGTCAAGCGGGATTAAGGTAATCATGGGTTTCGGTTCTGCTTGCCTTAGCAATATCTGCGCGAACAAAAACCCCCAATTCCAGTTGTATAGGAATTCTCGCAAAGAGAAATCCAACACGTAAAAGACACCCCGCAGAAGCAAATACGTGTAAGTTTAGTCCACTAATATAGAGTATGCAAGGTTCCTCAAATGCGGGCTTCCTCTTGCACGAGACTCCTTGTGCGAGGTTGTTCATAGATAGCTGGATCTTTAGAATTGAATATGTAGTATAGAAGATTCTACCTAAATGTTTATGTCTAGATACAATATTTCACATAAGAATACTACATATTGCGCAGGCTCTAATAAACCGAGAGTTCACAAAATTGATATAGAATGATACATGCATACAATATTATAGTTCTTAGGATAAAAATAAGAGCCTATCTTTTCAAATGTTGTTAAATTACCTCTATATTGGTAAGACTAATTTGGAAAATGCAGCGAGTAGCTACGCCATCATGTGGTCTTAGCTCTCACTATCCCATTCACTTCTCTGTGAGCTTCTCGGCAACAAGTTTCTTCAGTTCTTCCGCGGTCAATTCCTTAATACCAAGTAGCTTATTATCCGTCACATCATACGCACCGCCATACGTATCGCCAGCGAGAGCTGTGGCTTTCAGTAGCTTCATAATAACTGGCATACTGTGATCTCCAACGCCAAATTGTTCTAGACTCTCCGTCAAAAGCACACTCGATTGTACCTTGCTAACCTCCCACTTAATTTCAGAATTAATCTCTTTTGCAAACTCCAACAACTGGTTTTGAGTCAGAATGGCCTCAGATGTATGCACAATTTTGTCTTTCGTTGCGTCAAAGTTTTTTAAGATCGCAGCTATAGCCGTCCCAACCTTTGGCAGGGAAGTCGTACTAATTCTGTTATCTCCCTCATCCATGAGAGTTACAGAATGGTTTGCAAAGTTCAGCAATATGGGAGTGTTTAATAAGAAGTCTAGGAAGGCACCGCATACAAGAACCGTCCAAGTCAACTCGCCAGCTGCCGCCTTCTGTTGAAGATGCTTTCGAATCTTGGCCATGGAGCTGTACAATGGAAAGCCTTCAAGTTTGGGATTTGTGCTAACGCTGCCAAATTCAGAAGGAATGAAACGTTTCACGCCCGCGGCAACAGCGGCGTCAATGAGGATAATTTGACTCTCGATCGCTTCACCACCCACAGTTGACACGACGGCATCAATTCCTTTGAGGGCGGCGGTCAAAGATTTCAAAGAAGTATAATCTACTTCAAGGACTTTGATGCTCGAATCATACGTCCCTGGCTTGCCACGAGTGAGAACTGTAACTTGGAAGCCTGCATCAACAAGTGCTTTGAGAACGTGAGGCCCAAGGGTGCCAGAGGCCTGTAGACAATGTTAGTCATTTCCTTTTGTGCATTTTTCAAAGTTCTCACTCCAGCTATCGCAACTGTACTAATCTCGCTCATCTTGATTGAAATCAGAAGAATCTTGAAACTGCTTCGGAGGATATAAGTTGGTCGGATGTTTTTGAGATATGATGAGATTCAGTTGATCTTATTCTTCATACCAGGAAACACGATATATTTATACCTTCTTGTCACTAAGTGCGAATATAGTTCGCAAAGAATTTCATTGGTAATCAACACATTTCTAAGCGTCTCATAATGCGGACCCAAACCCTGAAGGCCCGCAATTATTGCCGCTCCAGACTCCGCACAACCCGCAGTGCCCAGACCTTTAAAACTTCAAACCCCCGCCGGACTCCGCAGTCGGTGAGTTCTTTTTTTACAACCCACTATCCATCGATTAGAATAAGACAGTGGCTAGTCGATTTCAGTCAGAATGAGTGCTCGTCACCGGAAGGACATTTCTAAGAAAGCTTGTATGCGATGTCGCCACCAGAAAAGGCGATGCGACAGAGCTGTTCCTGAATGCGGACTCTGCCTAAGGTGAATATCTAATCAAACCCTGCCACCTACAGCAGTATTACTAACAATTAGATCTCAGACTTCATCAAACATGCGAATACGAAGGACTTGAATTGCCCCCCTTGGACCTGAGCCGCCTAACTCCGTCACCCTCCCCTAGGGTAGATCTCCTCAGCTCAGACACGTTGACCCCAAGCCAGGTCAAAGATACTATCATAGAAAAACTCGGATCAATCTCGCCTGAGGAAGTTTCCTCTGAATATACCCAATCAATCGATCCTTGGTTTCCCATCATCTCATACACATTACAGGGCCAGCTCCCATCATCCTGGAACGAAGCTTCGCTCGATTTCACAATTCTATGCCTCTGCATTATTATGCTTAGTACTAACCCACCTCCCTCTTCAGAATACAGAGATAATCCTTCCAGATTCAAGGCCTTGTACCTATGTACCAAAAGTTGGATTTCGTTGATCGAAGGTTTTGGTGCCAACTCTCTCGAGCTTGTCCAAGCAAGGAGTTTGGTGACTTTGTTCGAAGTTGCACATGGCCTCTACCCAGCAGCTTATATTTCCATTGCAGCTACAGTCAGAGCAGCCGATGCGCTTGGAATACATCCTAGTTCACAAACATCGCCTATTCACTCTTCAAGCGATGAGGCAAAGAAGCAAGAGGCAGTATTTCTCTGGTGCGGAATCCATGTTCTAGACAGGTATATGCCTCCTTTCATGTCATCGAACCATGATCATCTGTTATCCTTGGCTGACTTTTTCTAGATGCATAGCAATAGAATCCGGATCTCGGCTATCTCTTACTCGCTTGCTCACTCCCGACATCCATGACCTCCTCAAGGAAACATTCTGCCCTACCCTCCTCGAACGAGATTGCACAAGTCTTGTCTGCCGACTCTCACGTCTCTTCGAAGCCTCCACCCTACTCGATAAAATGCACACCACGCTACAAAATCCCACCGCGGAGCACATGTTCAACGTGGAAGAAGTATTGTTGTTGGTCAACACATCAATCAATCTTCAGACGATTCTAATGAAAGAGATTGGAGATGAGAATAAAATATATTCCGGTGGGCTGGAACTTTGCAATACGTGAGTTGACTCTCTCTCTCCTTTTCGCTATCTCTATGATTAGGAACAGGTGTTTGTGGCGCTGATGCACGTATAGTGGCTTGCTCCTAGCATACGAAAACGGCAGTAAAGTCCCTATTGTTGATGAAATAGCTGCGAATTGCAATGAAATAGCTGCAACATCTCTCACCTCTCTCCTGACCGCCGTAACTACCACAGTTGAACCTTTTGTCAGTGGCGCCGAAACCATAGATTTCAGCCGCCTTCCTCCGTTTATAATCTTTCTGGTGTATAAAACTGCAGCGCTAGTAACGGAAAGACTATTGATGGGAATTGATTCGAATGAGGGATTGAAAAGGTTACGAATTCTAAGGACCTTTTTGCGGATGGTGAGCGCAAGGTGGTTGTGTTGCGGTAGGTTGAGTAAGAGATTCTGAGAAGTGGTCTAGTTAACTGAGCCCTTATAGAGCGTTACCTCGAACTTCTCAATGATGATACAACACCGCGGATTCTGAAATCTATAGAGCAATAGTATATCTCTATTTCTCATATGTTGGTGTAGTAGGTGAAACCAGCACACGGTCGAGTCAACAGTATATCTTGCCTTGAAATTGTGAACCATCAATAGACAATTTGCAGCTGATACATGCAGGAGAATTGAAAGATGCTGAACAACGAATAGAATGAGGAAAATAACAGGTCGTGTATTGAGGGTATTTCATAAAGAGAATTAATTACATATATCCAGGTCGTCAAGGATACTTCTCCAAGAAGGTTAGAATATCTTTCAAGAAACGATGAAGAAAAGCAAAAAGTCCGTCTTTCTCAATCTGTCGGAAGAGTGAGCAAGTCAGCGATTGACTATTGACCACCTCACTATGCTCTAGAGCACAAATAGCAATAGCAGACCGCACAGTTGATGCATTAAAGGCTTGGAGGGAGGTGCGCGCCTACCTAAATTAGTTCCACACGGTCGCGAATACCCTTTTAATCACACTATACTCAACATAAAAAGGCGGAATAAATTTCTCCACCATGCGATCCCACGAGGCTCTCCAGGGTGAATTATGCATGGCACGGTAGAACTCCCAATACTCCGGCCAAAATCCAGCTAGGCCCCAGTCCAGCAGAACAATAGTGCCGTCAGTGCGAACAATGATATTCCCCGGATGTAGATCCGCGTGTGTAAACACGATCTTGTGATTTTTGAGACCTCGGACCGTTTGGTACAGCATGTATTCGCTGTTGAAAAAGTTTGATTCAATGTCATGTTCACGTTCAAGCACTTCCGAGGGCAGTCGATCTCGCAAAGCTTGAACGATTCCTTCGTCAAAGCTTTCCTCGGATGGGTACGGGCCATAGCAGTACCTAGTGTAGTCGCCGTAGCCGGCCTCGAAGATGCCGTCTCGACAGGGTGATCTGTCAAGTCCACCGATGAAATCCCCTTGAATATCCCGCATCTGGTTCACGTAGTCCCGTAAATTCTCCAGTATGCGATTTTGCTCAGCCTTCGAAACACGGTCCCAGTACTGTTGGAGCGGCTCGCCCGCCTCATATGACATTACAATGTATCCAAAACCGTCAAGAATATATGCACTAAGAAGCCTTGGTGTAGCTATGGTCGTACGGGTAGATGCCAAATGTAGCGCTTCGGCTTCGCCTAAACGAACACCATAGCCAAATTTCACGACCATATCCGAATCTGCGAAAACAATACGCGCCCCCATTTTGCCAGGACAAAGATCGTTTGCTCTCTGCAAGTCGCCAGGGTCGAGTATGATAGATGGAGGTCCAATGATTTCTGAGTAAATTAAGCGAGGTTTCTGCTCCTCTGTTTCCAAGCCTTCGGGACAGGCACAGCCGGTATTCAAAGTGGAAGCTGCAGTTTCCTTTTTCACCCCGGTCTTTTCGGTCTCAGTACTTGCTGCTGCACTGACCTCCGGCGTCTCGAGACTATTTCTCCCTTCTAGATGCCTCGCAAGGCAGTAACGATGGAGAAAGTCCGATTCCCCAAAAGATTCCCCAGTACCGCCATACCGAGGTGGAAGTTGTGAGCCAAGATATCGATGAAGGTCCACTGGATTCTTCAACAGTACCGTATCTCTCAAGAGAGCTTCATCGATATCAAGATATGCTAGGTATTCATCACGAAAATTGATGATGTACGCCTTTCCCAGAATAGTGGGATAGTGGCGCCGAATGATTACCACCAGTTCTTCGAGGGCATTGCAGAGCTTTTCCTGGAAAGACTGCTGTCCTTTCTTAGCATTTTGAATGGCACGTATTTTGAATTCAATCACACAGGAAGCCGAATAGTCTTGTCGATCAGAACTGGCGGCTGTATCCAGCAGAAGCGTGGAGAGTCTCTCCATTACAGCAAGACCTAACTGCACCAGCCCTTGAGATGTCGTCAGGCTTTGGTGTATTGCTGAGTATCCTTTAATAGTCATCTCATCAATGTTAACCCACAGCACATATTGCCCTTCATTCAAAGTAATGTGGCACAGATCCAAGTCTGGAAGAATGGACTCTGCTTCAGTAAGGAGAGCCCTCGGGTCAGAGAAGCGTCGCCATTCCAGAGTTTTCTCAAGTGAGGCAATTGCCCTGGGGACCTGAAGTGCAGGGATTGCGGAACGGCTTCTGAGGAACTATTGATAATTAGTGACGAATCTCGGTGCGTGCCCGTAGTTCGAGTACCTTTTCCAAGATTACCTCCAGTACCTGCCACTCCGCGTGCTTTATATCAACACCCCAAATCTCAGTATGGCGGGACTTTTTCAAAACAGAAGGAAGAGCATCCCGAAAACGACTGGCCAGAGAACTTGCTTTTTCGAATGAAACAGACATTATCAACAAGGCATGCCGAAAAGGAGGACGAAATGATGTCAGTTAAGCTGGTATCCGCAATTTTGATCATAGCTCTGTCAAAGCCTCAAATACCGTATAGGAACTCGAACCATTACTATATTCTTGCCTGTGACAGGGGAAGGAGAGGCAGCGATTCGTATCTCGACCTTGTCGGTTGGCCTTGCCTTGATGTTTTGAGCTGTGCGGGGGCTCTTGTCCTGTTTTCCGTTCGTTCCAAAATCATTTGGGAAGTTGTCTTCACGGTCTCCATTCTACGTGCTTCATTCGGACCAGAACACTATTACAGAGACATTCGAAACCTGCTCCATGGTTTTACACAATCTCTCTCTCTCTCCACCCCACTATCCAGGCCGCCCTTGTTTCACGCCAACCTTTATATAGTTAAGCCGTATTTTGGCTGTTATGTATTACTTACCGCTTTCTTAGAGCTCTTCAGAAATGATTGGTTTTAACTCGTATTATACCCTCACCTATTGCAGGAAGATGTCATTTTCTTTTCACAACTTTTATATAGGTTATCCTATAAGAACATGTAAAACACAGCTTAACTATGTAAAGGTTGGCGTGAAACAAGGCTAGTAGAGCGGAAGGCCAAGGAAGTTTCGAATCTTTCTGCATCAATTTTGGCCTGTATGTAGTGGAACAACAAAGTAGTTAGATAGGGATAGTCATAGTTATGGTAGCCTGCAGATCGCTTGCACGAGAGCTCGGGTATGAATTCACCACCACCACCGTCTGTATACATTTTGCTCTGTTGGAACTCTCTTCTTATATATTTCTTAAATTGCATAGTGGCCTACAGTCTATGAGAGCATAAACCATACTTTTTTTAGGAGTATTAACTGACAGAGCAGTTCTCATGTTATTCTTTTTGCCTTTTTGCCTTTTTGACTTTTTAAGACTTGTCTTTTATTATTATAATGCTTTGTAATGTCTGCTTATAAATAAAATCCAAAAATTCTGTTCTATTCCTGCGCCCCTGTTTTTGTATGATCCAACAAAGGTACCTATTCCTCCACATCTTAACAGAGTACCTTCAGATAAAACTCATTCTATATGACTTGCCGCTCGAAGAGCGAACAGACAGGCGATATCAATGGTTTCTTTGTCTGATTTGCAATGAGAACTAATCTTTTGCTGTGAGTAGAGTTGATTGAATGGTGGACTGAACAGAAATGACTGCCAAAATACATGCAGGTTATCACTGGAATGGTGGGAACATTATCATTTGGTCTCTGTCTTCCCGATGCATCTCTCACTAGACTATACTTCTCCCTTCTGTGTACCATACATGTGGCATACTTCAGCTTTTGGGTCTTGTACTAGATTGAGATAGATGTTGCACTCACTTTATGCACTCGAGTATGTTACAAGCCGGAATATTAGCAAATAAAACTAATTATATCACCAGCTACTACCTAATATCGCATCATTGCAATAGTCAATCTGTGCACGATCACTGGATTTGGCGTGATTGGCGCTGTACTCGGTAGCTCAACTCTATCAGCCGTGTCAAGTGGCCATATCGATGATACAGTAGGCATTTTCATCGTTAGTATCATCGGTCTGGCCATATCCTTTGGCGACTACAAGATTCTGCACCAATTCGAGCGATACTCTTGGATTTTTTCACTCGTCTCTATAACCATCGCCGGTGGGAAGCATTTGTCGATGAGTCCCAAGTATCCGCCGCAATGATAGTCTCTTCTGGTGGCTTTTTAAATCCGTAGGTGTAAGTATATTATTTAAATCTTCAATCTTACTTTCAGGATGAAAATAGCATTGGAACAATTGATTTGTTGACATGAGTCCATGTGCGATTTCTGATACTCACCAAGTTGTTGGCCAATGTTTCAAGTAAGTCTGGGTAATTAATTTTATTTATTTATTTTACTTTTCATAAGTTATAAATAATTGTCCTCTTGTTACATCATGATATAAATTCGTTCTATTGGAGAAAGCCAGCCAATCAAATATGATTCCCGGCTTAGTCAGCAGCCAATGGCAATCGCTAAAAGTGCCGACCTTCGTCAAAATTTTCTGCCGATTCGCGGAGATGCAACGACCTGTGTTGATGAATGCGACAACTCGACACGTAATATTTGGCGAACGAGTGATAGAAAAAGAAACATGTCCGGCTATGCGGGCCCGCAGTTAATCGAGCACATGAACCCAGAGTTCAGGCGCAATCTGGGTGTGAATGAGCTTGTGGCCGGCGCTCCTCTGATAACCCCGTCTCCCACCGACACCATGCGCACCACTGCTGCGAGACCGAACCGCCCGATCTTAGGACCCGGAGTGTCTGGGGAGCCGGCTGGAGACGAGAAGACCCAGCCGATCGTTCGGAAGCGAAGAGGGGGCAGTCGCAGAGCGTGTAACGAGTGCAAGCAGCAGAAGGTGCGTGACTTTGCATTTATTTCTATTCGGAGTCCACGCGTAAAAATCAAAATCTGGTGCTTCTACTGACAGCCAATCAGCTGCGATGTGATATCGTCCAAGCTCCCTCAGCAGCGTGCTCTCGCTGTAAGAGGCTTAATATAGAATGCAAGGTTGAGTCGTCGTTCAAGCGGATATCTAAACGACGGTATGCAATTAGCATCATTACCAATTAGTACTGGCCGTTACTAACAATTAATGTAGACGCAATGCCGAAATGGAAAAGGAGATTGCCGATCTTCGTCGTCGGCTGGCAACCGGTGAATACCCTAGGGAATCTCTTGACTCAAACACCAATGACGAAGAGAACGATTCGTCGGGTGAAGTGTACTATGCTCCCCATTCTCCGCCTGCCTCGTCGCGAGCTCAGTCCCTGTCAGTCTCTGTCGACCAACAGGCATCACCGATGAGACGGCCTACGGTACCTCATACTTCCAGCGAACCTGTTGTCTCCCAGGGCAACAACGTATGGAGTCTAGAGGATATCTCGCTGTCGAAACCGCGCATTACTCGACTTTTCGATCAGTAAGTTGGAAGTCATTCAAATATTTGAAAATTGCTAACATATAAAAGGTATTTCAAATTCTACCACCCATTCCTTCCGCTATTGGATCCTACAAAAGGTCCCGAAGAATATTTCAGTTGCTCTGAAATTCTTGCCTGGACTATCATCTGCGTATCTAGCCGTCGCTGCCCTTATGAGTCCGGCCTATTAGTATCTCTATCAGGCCCTTTTAGTCGACTGTTGTGGGCAAGTATCAGTAGCGTTCCACAGAACTACCACGTGGTTCAGGCGCTCTGTCTACTTTGTACATGGCCCTTACCGACTACCAGTCAAAAAAGCGATCAGACTTTTATGCTCAGCGGTTTAATGATGAATCTTGCGATGCAGCTTGGTTTACATCGCCCTGTTCAGCCGGAGGAGTTCACGACATTCCGAATGGAGGTTAGAGGCGAGGAATTGAAGGACCGACTGCAGACGTGGTTCCTTTGCAACATCGTGGCCCAAAAGTGAGACCTCTTGATCGTACGTCAATTGTAATTACATAGTAACTGATAATCTCCAGTGTTGCCACCGGGTATGGCCAGCCTCCCAGCACGATATACGATTGGGCATTGGAACCGGCTTCTCTCAGGGCTGCCGATTACCGTCTGCCAGAGGAGTTGAAGGTTCGGCTGCGCATTGAGAAGTTTTGTGATCGAGTAACCAGAAGTTTATACAATGGCCGACCAGAGCCATCAGAATTCATCAGCATGGAGAAATTGCTTCTGGTCGGTGTTCTAGAGGAGGAGTTGAAAGAGATGGAATTAGATTATGCAGACAACATTTCACGTGAGTTCCCATACTTTTATAACCAAAGATGATTGAACCTAACGCCCTTACAGAAATCAACTTGATCCATCTACGAGCTGCGAATCTACATTTACGATATTTTGTATTCCTTAGCTCCAATCCCCGCAGCGATGACCTCACGAACCTCTTTCTAGCAACGACATCATTTCTAGGACGCGTTTTAGAACTGGAAACATCACCTGGAAACCTACTCATCCACGCCACAAACTACATTCTACAGATGATAGTTTCCGCGGCTTTCGCTTTGATGAAACTTCTGAAAAGCCCCTTTGCGCGACAAATCGACATTGACCACGGCAAATTCCTCTTCAACGGGGCCATCTCATCAATCCGGAGAATCAGCGTCGTCGACAACGACCGCCCTGTGCGTCTCGCCAATGTCATTTCCCAAATGTGGAACTCAGGGAGCTCGGGCGACGATTCGCTTCATTTGGGGATTCGTAGTCGGATGAGCATGAGCCATGTATACGACACAGTCTGGCGCTGGCGCCGACGGTTCAAGCAGCACAAGGTGGCTGACGAGGGCCAGGGTAAGCCAGATATATCTCTGTGCCACCTCTCTCTTTCATTATACTAACTTGTATAAAACAGTCGCCTCATCCACCCAAAACAACAATTCAACCGGTGTAATCGGGTCACATCCCGAACAAGCCCTCAACGACCCGAGTCTGATGCTATCGACGAATTTCGACGATGCATTCATGAACGAGGCCAGCTTTTCAGACGTTTTTGACTCACTGAATTGGGTTTTTGATGGAATTCCAGAGTCGTTTATTGCGCCATCTGGGATGTAACTTCTCGGGGGCTGTATATAGATATAAATTTATATGGTATATGTATACGGTGATACTTGGTCAATGCATTGACTGTTCAAAAGTGAGATAGATACCCTATGCTTCAATGTTTCTTTTTGTATATATGAGATTAAGATGAGAATGAAGAATCCTGTTGAAAATTAACGAATCGGAACTGTGCATCAATAGATCTCTTTGCAATAATCTTCTTGATCTATCTTTAACGGTATTAAGCTGGACCTTATACATGCTTTCTTCTTTCCGCGACAGAAGCACGCCTTAAAAGATATTTTCAAAGCTGAAGCCGCAACTCCTCTGATAGTAGGTAGGAAAGAAACATTGATATAATTAATTAATTTCATTATACCATAATTATTCAATCTAAATCGGGGCGAGCCGTAAGTATAAGAAACTCATCGGCCTAATTTTATCCGCATCATATTTCTAGATTAGGATGCTGTTCTGAGAATGTATAATTTAGTGTCTATAGAGAGTAACTACGGAGCAACAATGCATATACGCACCTAACTGGTGCCTACAAATTGCAACCCCCATTCTCGTCTTAGCCACATAAAGGCTAGGCTTCAACATTACGTCCCCGCACATGCACGTACGAGTCAAGTTCACCGCAGTTACCCGGCTAACTGCCGGGGCAGTATATTAATGATTGACACGCACAGTATGAACTTTGCTTCTCGAGTTTCTTGAAGATATAAATACAGAGTGTTGTATATGTACCTACCTATTCACTCTTAAAAGGGGGTAACGCAGTAAATACTAGAGTCTGAGAATGGGTTCTACGGCAACAGACCTTGCGGATTGGGATGATTTGGTTCTGAAGGCGTTGGAGAAATGGAAGGTGCCTGGAATGTCTGTCGCGGTGGTTCATGAGGGGGAGTCGTGGGCCAAGGTATGCCATTGAAGATATACCTGCCGGTGTGAGTGTATGGGTCTGACGCATACAGGCCTACGGAGTCGCGGAACTACCCGACAAACCACTTTCCACAGACTCTCTCTTCCAAGGATGCAGCACCACCAAAGCATTCACCGCCGCTGCCACAGCGCTTGTCATCGACGACGAGAGCAGCAACCCCAGCGAGTCGCAGCTCAAATGGGACACGCCTATCTCGTCCGTCATCCCCGATGATTTCGTGCTTGCAGACCCCTACGCGACTGCAAACACCACGTTTGAAGACGCCCTGTCGCATAGGTCTGGTCAGCCAGCGCATTTCATGAGATTGCGATTTGCGCGCACTGATGAAAGCACTCAGTTCGCAGTACGCGCTCTTCGCCATATGCCGCTGGCGTATGCGCCGCGGACGACTTTCGAGTATAATAATTTCATGTATATTGCTGTGAGCCATGCGCTTGAGCAACGGACCAGGGAGGCACTCGGATCGTTTATGAAGAGGCGGATATGGGAGCCGCTCGGCATGCGAGATACGTATTTCGACGTCCGCGAGGTAGAAAAGACGCCGGGTTTAAAGGAGCGACTGGTGCAGGGTTACGACTGGTTCGAGGAAGTGGGCAATTACAAAGCGCAGCCGAACGTCAACTACGGGCCTACCAAAGGCGCAGGCTCGATGGTCAGTACCGTGCTCGACTATGAGAAATGGGTCAAGGCGTTGCTCGCCAAGTCGACGCCGCTGAGTAAAGATGCCCACGAGGCCCTGTTTCGCCCGCGATCGATCGTGTCGTCAGAGCAATTTGCTACGAGTAAGCCCGGCGCGTGGGCGCAATTGTACGCGCTCGGGTGGTTTGTTGATAGCTATCAAGGCATTCCATTCTTCTGGCACACGGGTGGATGGCCCGGTACCGCCATTCTCGTTGGATTGGTTCCCAGCAAGAATTTCGGTTTTGTGATGATGTCCAATTCCAGCAGTGCCTCTGACATGTACAAGACTCTGTACACGCATCTCTTCAAGAAATATCTCAACCTGCCGCTTTCACAAGACCCCGACAACAGCCAGACAAAGCCGACAGAAGAAAAACCACAGACATCTGCCGACGCCATCCAGCGGTTTTTCAAGTCTTTATCCCTCGACGAGGCTACTCCTCCGTCTGTGCCGCTCTCAGCGCTAACCGGCACATATTCACACCCAGCCTATGGGTCGATGACGATCACGTTGGAGGATGAAACGCTCCGCGCAGATTGCATGGATCGGGTACTAGGGGCGATCGTCGACCTGGAGCATGTCACAGTCAATCACTTCCTCGCCAAATCGTATCTACCAGGCTGGGGCAAAGCGACGGTAGATTATTTTGCGGCTGAATTTCATATTGCGTCGAGCGGGCGGCCGGATCGGCTGGGGATCAAGCTAGAGCCTGCATTGGAGGATATGATATGGTTCGATATATCGAGTGCTGTTAGTGCAGAGTAGGCCTACCATCCATGCATAGGAGTAGACGGTAGAAACATTGAATGAGGGGCAGAATGGTATCATGGGGGATGATGATGACGATGACAACATTGAACTATACGTAATGAGGAGCTCGGGAAGGGAGCGGGCCTGGGTCTCCTTCTTGGAGGTGGCCCCGCCACTAATGTCGCGATTGATGTACAACTTCATTGCATTTAACTTAGTAATTGTTCTCAACAGTTACTCTGATATACAGATCGATATAGACTAGTATGTATCCACAGTAGTGGCGAATTTGTAATCACTCATAGATCGACCCACTGCCTCGGCAATCGGCTGAAGGGTCTGTCTTGCTTTATAACCGGCCATCTATCCTCTATATATGTCTGATGGGATCCTGTTCTTGATTTAGTATATTTGCAACGAAGTCTCCCTCGATTCTACCGTGCAGAAACAGCCAAAATGTCAGACAAATACATCCACCTGGTGGCCACCCTCACCGTCAAGGAGGGCAAACTTGAAAAGGCACATCGACCCCTCTTGGCTGCTCCATAGCATAACAACTAATAGTTGATCTGTGTAGCTTCTAGAGGAAGTCAAGAAAGTCACCGAAGCGGTCCACAAGGCCGAGCCGGATGTCTTGCGGTACTACGCTATCCAGACCAAGAACGCACAGGGCCAGGACCAGCTTATTTTTGTCGAGAAGTACGGGTTTAGAAGCATCTGTGTTGAAGGGCAGGACGGCCAGCTAATAGATTTCTCGAATAGGTATGCGACTGCGGAATCCCAGAAGGCTCACCGCAGTACGGTTCACTTCCAGGCCTTCGCGAAACAGGCTCAGGAATTGCTGGCTGCGCCGTTGGATGTGAAGGCTGGGGCATTGGTTGCAGGATATGAGACGAGGGCGAGTCTGTAAACTAGATGGAAGGACCCAATGTCGACATCATTGGCACCTTGGTTAAGATCAATTGAATATCAAGCGCTGCAGTCAATAAGATAAGACATCAGTCATGCATTGACATGAGCTTAACAACCGTGATGTAGTGGCGGGGTGGATACTAAATAGAGCCTCAAACCCAAAATTGAGAACTGTTTCGAGAATGTCTCAGCAGCTGCATAACCCTCTTGGCATAGTGCTACTTAAGGCCGCTGATGGGTTCAAGGTTCCGATGTGATAGATCCTCAGCGGGCAGTTCGACACCTCACAAGATAATTGGCAGATAATGGTATTGACGAGGCGGGGAATGACATGTCGTACAACGTGGCGGGCTCGTTCTAGTCACCATGCGACGTGAGGATGATAACTAAGTAAGGGAGCGAGGCAAAGAAGCTGCAAGAATGAGGATGAAAGAAGCGATACTGAATATCAATATTCATAAATAGTCGCCAATAATCTCCGGGCCGCAACAAGCGACTTTGACCTGACTAGCTAGTTTGAGCTGGTCCATGGACAGCGAAGCTAACTAATTTAGTCAGCTGCTAGCACCAAGGCCTTTAGCACCGAATAATTGGTGGTTGTTATACTTATCGCGCCCAGAGACGAATGAGAGGGCCATCCCCACCAAGTCCATGCTCAGAGCTCCACTGGCGCCGGAACAGAAAGGGCAATGAAATCGATGAGCTCTGGTTCCCAAGACATTATTATTAATAGCAAAGACCATCGCAGCTGCAGCAGAGCTTGGGCGGCGTGCCTAGCAGCTAATCACCTGCTAGGCGTGCCTGCGTTCCGCCAGTCATAACTCGGTGTGCGTTCTTCTCGCGGTGGATGGTCGAGGCGATCAGGACAAGCAGTGCAGTTGGTCGCTGTGACAGGTTGGCGGACACGCCTGAGGGATTAGCATTTGGTGTAGATGGATGAATCAGCTAGCGGTTGTGTTTTGTAGATAGTCGTAGTGGAAGGAGTTGGGAGTTTGGGTCGCGCGGGAAGCCCCTGAAGACCAGACAGACAGGACTCGACCGTCGCATCAGGCAGTGGCTGGCGTTCCTATTTCTGCGTCCATCGGCAGACAAACAGTGCTCGAATTCCTCGTCTCTTCTGCAACTCCTTCTCTTCATCAGTCACGGCGGAGTCGGCTGTCTAAAGATCGCTTCTCCAATTTTCTCGACCTTGTGCATACCTGGTGGGTCGCTCGCCCGCCCTTTGGACCAGCAGCATCCCATCTCTGCTAGCAACCCCCCGCCTTTGCTAGCACGTACGCAAGAAAGACCCTTTGTCACTGTAAGAGACCTCGGTCTGACACCGCCGCTCTGCAGATTCGCCTTGCATTTGCTTTCGGCATCCAATTCAACAACCTTGCTTCGAGCCTGTGCTGCGTTGGTCGGTGCTGTTTTAGGTGAGGCCGCCTCTCCTGCCGCACACCGGCGTGGTGTGAGCCTGGCCTGAGACAGAGACTGAGACTGAGACTGATGCCGTACTAGATACCCATCACTGCATTCGCATTCATACGCCTCCTTTCTGTCTTTGTCTTCGTTCTAGTTCGCATCTTCCTTCGCATTTGGCAGCAACAGCCGGTTTTGTGCATACAACAATACAATGGCATCTGGACCTGCCACCCAATCACTCAAGGTACAAATACAAACACCAGCAAAATATACAAATACCAGCAAAGCAGGGCTAATTCGGACAGTGCGTCGTGACGGGTGACGGTGCCGTCGGCAAGGTATGCAATTGCCGTTTCGCTCTACCAAAATAAAAACAGCCTACTAAGCCACCACAGACATGCCTCCTCATCTCATACACCACCAATGCTTTTCCCGGAGAGTATATTCCCACAGTGTCAGTGCCTAACCCCCCCGCATGATATCTCTCGAGCCCCATATTAAATATACACCTATCCCTCCAGCTTCGACAATTACTCAGCAAGTGTCATGGTTGATGGTCGACCCATCAGCTTGGGACTATGGGATACCGCCGGACAGGAAGATTACGACCGTCTGCGACCGCTTTCATACCCTCAAACCGACGTGTTCTTGATCTGCTTCTCGATTGTCAGCCCCCCTTCATTCGACAACGTCAGGGCGAAATGGTATCCTGAAATCGAGCATCATGCCCCCGGCGTCCCGATTATCTTGGTCGGCACCAAACTCGACTTGCGGGAAGACAGGGCTACCATTGAGGCTCTGCGCTCGAAGAAGATGGAGCCCGTGTCGTATGAGCAGGCCCTCTCGGTTGCAAAGGAGATCAAGGCACACAAGTACCTCGAATGCTCAGCCCTGACGCAACGGAACCTGAAGAGCGTATTCGACGAAGCCATTAGGTGGGTTCAACCTGCCATAACTAAAAGTCATCTCCAAATGCTAATTGTCTATAATAGAGCCGTCCTCAATCCCCGTCCACAGCCCAAAAGCAAGTCCAAGAAATGTCTCATTATGTAAAACAGTATGAAGGCACAATTTCAGACATCCAACCCTCGCCACATCTAATATATCATCTGTCCATTCACTCATCCATGCTTCTGAGTCTTCATTCCTTTGTCGATACATATACCGATTTTGTTTCTTGTTTGGGAGGCGCCGAGGCATGACCGATAATTTTTTTAACATTTCATCTTTCATTTATATTGGGACTGTTATGGATCTTCACCTCTTGAAATTACCTCACGTACAGTCTATTTCCATACAAATTCTGTTTTTGAGCAAAAGCGAGTTATCCATTTTCCTCTCTTATTACGATTATCGTTATTGTGTTGTTTTGGCGCGTGTGCTGCCAGATGTATCAGGCACGTGCTTATCAGGTAGACATTGATATACATGTATCTTTTAAAATAAAGGAGCGATCCATGTTCTGATTACCACGATTCAAATCTATTGCATACATGTTATAGATTGATGCTGGTATTTACTGGTATCATTGTCAATGCACGCTACATATATATCTAGCAAATCATTTCATGAATATGGACCAAAAATAAACAAAAATAAAAGATATGACAACGAAAAAGAACTCCAACTTTTGACGAACAAGCCCCGTATCAAGCTATTGCATCCTATTCAACCGACTCGGATGCACACCCGCAAACTGTCCGGCAGTTTCAGTTTCGGCTTTCTGTTGCTTCTTCTCCTTGGCAGCTTTGGCACGCTCTTCGGCGAGTTTCTCGTTCTTTTCTTTGATTTTGGTCTTGCGATGGTCTGATTTTCCGCCACCGCCAGCACTTTTCAAACATCATTAGTTTTTTTCCACTTCACATCGATTCCAGTATATTGGAAGATTACTCACGTAAGTTCGACATTGATCTTCCTCGCCGGACTCTTCCCATCGTCAAAGGACGAATGATGATACAATTTCAGACATGTCTGCATCCGATCAAACTGCTCGAATTCGACGAATCCGAAGCCACGGCATTGATTTGTTTTATTCTTGTCGGTTGCAACGCGCACTGAAACAGGGGAGATTTTGGAAAAGTGTTCGGTTACACTTTCCAGATTGGCGGTGAAGGGGAGGTTTCCTGTTATCAGCATTATCAGAAATGTATTCAATATCGTGATGTGTGAGGTAGAAAACTGGACGTACCAACGAAGATAATAAAACGAGCATTTTTGCCCGTTTCGGTGGTCTTTTTCAGCTTTGATTCCTTTGCAGCTGGGGCATCTTCTTTGGCAGCCTCATTCGTCTTGGAAGGCTTCTCCTCTATCTCTGAATCCGAATCCGAGTCTGAATCCGACGACGACGAAGAAGAAGAATCGGCAGCTTCTTCTTCCTTCTTCCCCTTCTTCTCCTTCTGCACCTTCAGCTTCTTTTTCTCCTTCTTATCTACCTTTCGCGTCTCCTGCCTGGCCTTCTTGGTCTCTCGGCTTTCCTTCTTGCTCGGCGACTGCATGCTCGTCTTCTTGCCCACTTTCTTCCCACTCTGAACCACCGCTGTAGGTTTGTCCTCAGTCACACCTGCATCCTCCTTTCTAGCCGGCTCCCTCTCTCTCTTCTTATCCCCCTTTGTCTTCTTCATCTCCTCCAACTCTGCATCATCCATAGGCGTAGGATCAATAACGAAGTGCGCCTCCTCTTTCTTCTCCCCTTCACCATTCTCTTCTCCTGCAGACGAAAACCCCTCCCTAACTTTCACGGGAATTGCATTCGCGCCCTGCCCAATTCCACCATCTTTTCTATTAGCAGCCCGCTTTCGGGCCTTGTTCCCTTTACGCTCGTATTTGGCTTTGTTTTTGACTCGTTTCGATTTTTGCTCGTCGGCGCCGTCATCGCGTTTGCGTTTGCCCATTGTAAAGTATTACGCTGCTTGTTGGCGTAATTGATGTGTTGAAATGGAAGGGGAATGGTAGGATGAGAGGTTGTTTAGAGAAGTTCGATAGCGGTGAGGATATTTATTTTTCTGCCGTTTGGCGGAATTCTTCCCAATGGCTCTTGCGCGGTGTGTGTGAGCTTAGATGTTCCGGGTCAGTCCCGGATCTGCAAGACCCAACATTAAAACATTAATTTTAATGATTTTTAGATAATTGATCAACTTTGTCATATATATAGATTTTATTTTACGAAACATAGTAATCAATAATATCATTCATGAGGTCATCACGTGAACATAAACCTGGGAATATTGTACTATATACACCAGTGGTTTGGCAAAAAGAAACAAGAAAACACCTCCGTTTGACCAGATTTCCATGCAATGAATGGCAATTTCACGTCTTTGTAAATGTAAGAAATATGAAAAGAAAGGGCGAAGAAAGAAATATATAATGATGACAAGTATTCAAAGCTATAAACAGAAAGCCTCCACAATAATCCCAGGTATGTAATCGAAGGTGAAAAATTGGATGTGAAGCAATTAGCCTCTCGTATATAAAAAAAAAGAAAAGAAAATGAGGTAATGACCAGACGATGTAATCGCTAATTCTCGCTCTCCGGCTTCTGTCCGTATATGAAATGGAATCGAGAGTACATATGCACTTTAGGATTGCACAGATCCGCTTTCACCTTGTCGATCAGCTCGCGGGTTTCTTCTGGCGTCCATTTTAGAACGCGAGTGAAAACGGCGAGAGAGAATGGTTCGATGGCTTCGAGCATTTGGTACAGCTGGAATCTGCCGATTTCTTTCATTTTCTTGTCCTTGGGCCATGTGCCCATTGGAACCTATCATATGGTCGGTCAAGGTTATTAGGACTTAGGATAGAATGCATACCTTGTAAACATCATCAGTCACATTGACAAACCCAGCCTCTTCCAGCCGCCCCTTATGCTTTGAACAGTCCATAAAGGACTTGCCGAACATCTGGCTAGCCTCGTTAAGCTTCTCCTGCCATTGTTTGAAATTGGTGGCCAGATCAAAAGTACCGTCATCGGAGGTCGCCACAGTTTCATATTCCTGTATCTCCATCCATCCGCCCGGCCGCAAGCAGTGTAACGTCTGGCTGAACAATTTCCCCCAGTCGCGTATTGACCCGGACACACCGCGGGCATGCACATAGTCGATGCTTTGATGTCCATACAGCCAGTCGCTCTCCGCATCGTCGACTTCGAAGCGGCAGTTTGACGGAAACCAGGTGGGCTGGATCGGGCTGAGGTCTGTGCCGAGCACTTCTGCGCCGGGGAATTGCTCGGCGAAGTCGATCGCCCATAGCCCTGTTCCTGTGCAAATGTCGAGTGCGCTTTGCGGGTTGTCGATCGGCGAGCGGAAGAGGTCGCCGTTGAGGATTAGTTTGAAGATGTGGTGGCCTAGGTCGAGCCGGTCCTGCTCGCGGTCGTCGTTGGGGAGTAGGTATTCGCCGTCGCGGAATGAGTGGTACCGTCGGCCGTTTTCGTGTTTGTAGTTCCTTATGGATGATACAATTGTCGTGCGGTCGTCGATTGATGATGTGGCGTCGCCGTCATCACTTAGGTCGCTCTGTTATGAGGTTAGCAGGTGTAGAGGATATGGTGCGGGGGAAGGCAGTAAGTAATATGAACGTACATCGACTTGAAGCGGTTCGTCCGGTCGTGGTTGATTATCATAGCTCGGGCTTCCCTTCATTAATGGGCCATTCTCTTCATGCGTATATTGCCATGCAGTCTGCCCGTCGCCGCCAGACGAACTCCTCGCAGCCTCAAACATATCCTACATCAATTGCATCTACCGCGGACTCCAGCCAAATCGAGGGCAAGAGGGTCACTGATCCGATGAACGAACAGGGTGAAGGATCAGATAGTGAGTTGGGACGTATCCTGTCGCACGAAAGCGTGGGGGGAGGGATGCTAATAGTAGTACGAATCAAGATCGGAGAAAAAGCTGCTGTTGTTGCTCCTGCTGCTGACGGCGTTAGCATAAGCTGCAGGCTGGCGCCCCATCATTTGCAGTCCCTGCTCTGGATACGGTGCTGTGATTTGCACTAAGGCTGTATGCAGTGTGAGTGTGGGTGACGAAGATGTGGTTGGATGGAGACATTGGCTAGCTGCACTAGGCCGTCCCAGGAGAAAGGCTTTGACTCCACTTGCCGTCGCCTGACAGCCAATTGGCCACCCGCTACGCTTGGTAGCGGTCATCAGGCCAATCATGTTAGCAGCAGCAGTGGGTTCTCGGTTAGAGTGAAGAAAGTCAATCCGGGAAAAACCTACTTCCGGCGATTCCAGCCCGGCGGATCAGAGTCACGTGTAATTATAGTAATGGCAAATATGCATTTCTGGATTCTGAGCAATAAATAACTACTAACGTCCCCTGATTCAGTGAGTCAGTACGCTGATCCCAACATCCCGAATGATCGAACACTCTGACGGCATCTAGGAGTTGATAGAACCGTGCTAGCGTTGCATTCCAGCACCAACAAGTCCTGCGATTGGCAGCCACCACACTCCCGGCAGCTTTACCCACCTCAGTTACCCTATCTGCAGCCCCGCTCTTAGCTGCTCTAATGCAGCAATTTTGTGCAGATGCAACAACAGGTATTTATTATCAATGCTATCATTGTTACGCTTCCTTGGCTGTTAATATGATTGGAGCTTGTATGACGATCACGTTGTCAACTCGCCCTCAGCAAGAACGCCAGGCGCCTGCCTAGCTAGAAAATCACGACTTAGTAAATAACCACTTTCAAGTCCTTATCATACCGGTCCCGAAACTCTGCCCGGGTGAGGAGCTTCAGCAATGGAAAGAACATTTCCTTCATATCAAACACGCCGCGTTTCTTCTGGTCAATGTGCGAGCCGTCAATCACGATGCGTTTTAGCTCTTGCGTTTTCAGAGAGCCTGGCTTATAGTTAGACAATAATATACAGTAAAGAAGACAGGCGCGACATACCAGCCTCCAAAAGGTCAATGATACGCTGAGGGGTTCCGACACCAATGTTAACGCGTGCACGCTCGAGGAATTGCTTGGCTTCGTCGATTTTGATATGCTTTGCAAATAGCTTGGCAACGGTAGCCTCCTTGCTTTGTAAAGACCGTAGTGCCCTATAGAAGACCTTGAATCAGTACTTTCCTTCCATTACAATAACACGCGTTGTCAAACTCACCGCACCAGGTCGGCAGCTCGGAGACCAGCGGCAGCCACCACGAGGGTGTGTGGACTGCCTTTTTCTTCTGATGCCTCTCCTAGAGCGGCGCCTTTGTTGGGGTCGAATGCTTTAAGGAATTCCGGTAACTGTGCCAGAGTCCGCGAGTTGTGAAACGATGTCGTATCCAAAAATGCATGCACTAGCTCACTCTAAGCTTCTTACCCATAGAATACACATTGGAAACAAAACTTACCTGGAACACTCATATCACTGAGTTCCACTGCAGTCAGATCTTTATTGTGCCTTCGGGCTTTCTGCATGAAGTGGTCGGCTAGCAACTGCCCATCCATCTTACCAATGGACTCGTCAAAAGCTTCTTCACGTTCTTGTTTCTTTGGAGCTTCCGACGGTTGCTTAGCCTTGCCTTCTTCTTTGCGCTTCTTGTCGAACTTTTTGCCCTTGTTGTTCTTTCGGTCATCGAATGATCTTTGTTTCTTGTTCCCTGATGTCGCAGCCTGAGAGTGCTTGTCTGCATCGTCCCTTTTTCGCTTCTTGTCTAATTTTGTTGTGTCCGCCATATTTACAGAATCTTTTGACATTTTTTGCTATTCAGATGTTGTGTTGAATTTATCTTCGGACTCGAATGTCAAGAAATTTTATCCATATCGCACTATCTTATCGATAAAGCTAGCCGTTTTAGGAATAGGCCCGGAGCTCCACGCGACGCGTTAGTCCAAACATGTAACAACAGCTTCATCCTGTCCTTTTTAACCCATTCGCCAGTACTGCATAGTGTGCTTGTGTCTTTCTGTATATTCTCAGCTTGGACGCTGCCAATATCCCATGTTGCGTTCGTGACACGGAAGCTCAATGTCGACCCCCAGACCTCGCGGCCGACCCGCAAAGCGCAAATCGTCAAATGCAGATGATATCAGAGAAGGCAATGAAGATGTGACAATCCCAACTGTGAGTTGCCATTGCTGAATTATAAATACAGTGAGTGCTGAGATTGTATCTAGCAAATGCCGGCGCCTGATCGGGCTCCAGCAACTCCTCGCTTTACTACATTAGCAACTCCCTCTGCCCTTCGCTCGGTCAATCGACGAACCCCTCGCGGCGCTCCTCTGACCCCTTTCGGCCTTCGCGCAATCCAGCGTCGCAGTGCCAATACGCCTGGTCGTGATCGAAGACGAAGCACACGCGGTCCTCAAAGAGAAACTGCCTTTGATGTATTGAGAAATCTCGGTAGAGGTAATAGACAGCTTTTTTGTGCCTACTTACTATGACTGACTTTCATTCCAGCACTGGCTCCTGTATCAAAGCCAATCCAGTCTTCTCCCCAAGAGCGAACAGAAAGCTCTGAATCCGAAGTAGAAAATGAAGATGAAACGTTGGTTCTCGACAACGAGCCTCTACTGCCTCGGCCACGTTTATCATTGCCAATTGATGAAAGCGGAATAAGCGAGGATAGCAGTTTGGATATGGCGCCACCGCGTCCTTCCTTGCCATTTGATGACGATGACGGCGACATCACCTACACATCTGTGGAATACCCGCGGAGAGCTATAAGTGAAAAGGACCGAGCGCGAATGAGCTTCGGAAACGGGAGACTCAGCGAGAATTTTGAAGATCTTACGAGACTGGATGCATTTTCAGAACCAGGTGACTTGACAATGCTTCAGCCAGGCAATGATGAAGATGTTGATGCATCTCTGCAACAAGAAGCATTTGATGCAGGGTGAGTTGCTTGCTCTCGAATAAACCGTATACGTTACTAACAATTCATAGCGGTGAGACAGCGGATTTAGGCCGCTTCAATTTTGATTTTAGATTCCCCAGTCCTGTTCCAGAACCTGAGCCTCTGGAGAACGAAGGTGATTTCGCGCTAGAGCTCGATCAACCAGCTGTTGGATTCGCATCTTCAAGCGATAATGGCGACGCAGGCGACTTCGGAGACTTCCCAGTAGCCGATCCGGAACAAGTGTCTGAAGCTGGAACTCCTGGAATTGTTGGTGGTGGCCTTCGAGACGAACGTACGACGAGAGGCAAGAAGGAGAAGAAACTGTCACGGCATGGAATTCCCGTTCCTAATTTACCTTCTGCGGTTGTCAAAAAACTTGCCATGCGATTTGCACGCAGTGGGAATGCAAGAAAGGCCAAGATGAACAAGGAAACACTCGCCGCTGTCGAGCAGGCTTCTGAATGGTTCTTTGAACAAGCAAGTGAGGATCTGGCTACCTACGCTAAACATGCAAATCGAAGGACAATCGATGAAAGCGATGTTATGACTCTTATGCGACGGTATGACTATTCTTCTCTTTCTCTCCCTCCCCTCTTTTCTGTTCTTTTCTTCTTCTCTCTCTTTTCTTCTTTTTTAACCTTTCTCTCTTCCCATGGCATGATTTTAGGGTGAGCTAGTAACTAATCATCTCATAGACAACGTCATGTTAACAACACTACATCTATATTCTCCCTTGCTCAACGGCATCTGCCGAAAGAACTTTTGCAAGATATGCGTTTATCGTTACCGCGTTGATAGCTATTGCAAGAATCAGCATTTACCTCGTCTAAACCACCTCAACGTCATCCAGAACCGATGCCTCTCAAAGCCTATGTGGGAAATGGTCATAACACAAGAAGCTTCATTAGCAGCATACAGCTGACCCCAGCTGCTAGTCTATCTAACGAGGCGGTATATACAGTACAGTTCCAAAGGGCTATCATACATTGGGCTCACAACAGCAATATACTACATGGTCTTACTCTGACGGAATCTACGAGCAGCCTCGTTCGGGCGCTTCCGAATCACCATCCACAGCATGATTGCAGTGGATATGGAAAGACCAAACCTATGAACGTTAATGATGAGACTTTTTAAGGGCGAATTCTACTTACCAGGTGAATATATACTGTGCATGGTTGTTCCTCAGATTCACCTGAGCTGGACGTCCGATTGGTATACCTTTTGCCTCTCGGTCATAGGACTCCACCAAATCAGGGACTACAGCCCCATCAGCTCAGTCAAAATAATCAGAATAACAAAGAAAATACCATACCCATAGTCTGTTCAATGAGAATAGCCTGACTTCCCGTCAACTCAGCCATCTGGTCGACATCCGGAAAATAAAACTCCCCTTTATCCGGCCTATTGTCCGGTGTAAAATAATTCTTCTGGACCGGCTCCCTAAGCAACCCTTCCACAACAACATCCCCAGCCGGTACACCAAGTGGCCTATTCTTCTGATCCTTCAATTTCCGTGAAATCCAGCCCCGATTCACAAGAACCGTACTCATCCCCTCCCCGCGCTCCAACGGCGTGATCACAATATACCCATCCTCGCCCTCGTGCATTCGTGGCCCGACGAGCATTTCCTGATCATGCCGCAATTTCCCGCGCGCGACAATACGTCTGTAGTCGAAGTCAGGGATCGCACTGGGGTCTAAACGTGGTGGTAATGGGAGAGGGGGTTTGACGAGTCGGTCTTCGAATTTGGCGATCAGTTTGGTTTTCCAGTCCAGGCGCTGCACTTGCCAGGCTCCGAGGGCAAAGGCTGTGATGGGAATGAGGGCTTGGACAGCATTAGCATTAGTCGTTTTAGGTCATGTAATGGGGAGGTTTCTATCTATACCGAGCAGAATAATTCCAGGCCCGTGACGACGGCCAACACGGATTATTTTCGAGGGCTGGTCAATTGGGGACACCCATTGCGGATCATCGGCGAGTTGGCGATGATTGCTGGAGTTGAAGCGAAGCTGTTGCCATTGTTGTTGTTGGCGCCGACATCGTTGGCATATGGAGTCGAATATCGAGCGACCTTGCGATTTGTGTAGGGCTCGGGTTGAGAAATTGGCAGCCTGTGAAAGGCCGGCGATAGGTTTTTTCATTGCAAGTCTGGGCAATTCTCAATTCCAAGATGAGAACTGTAGCTAGAAATAATTATTTCTAGATGACCATGGAAATGTTCGGGAAGAGGTTCCTGTGGTTCGGACCGCAGGCAGAATAGCGCAGACTATTAGCTAGGCCGATCCACTACGGACACCAGCTTTACGATTAGCTATACCATCTCGATATTCTAGTTACCAACATCTCTTCTCATCAACAGATTTGAGCTAGGAATTATAACATGCGATAAAAATAATGTTTTACCAAGGCGATCTTCAAAGTGGGATTGCTCTCGCAGTTCGCGAGACCAAGTCTGTTGTCTGCTTTGTCCGTGGTTTGTCTAGACCTCGTTCCCCCGCATCAACATCGATTGATCTGGTCTATCTTCGAGATGGTGCTAATAAACACGGTGATTTACAGATGATCAGGACGAGAGTACGAAATGGGAAAATGAATATTTCGACGGCGATGTAGGAGACTAACCCCGAGTTTTGTTTGGATGAGACAAGTAGCTGACGTTCATCTAGCTAAACCAGATACTCGCTGAGAATACAGTTACACTTCGTCTCACAGCTGCCACCCAGGAAGCTAGCTTCTTAACCTCCATATTTCCTATCCAGAGTTTCCCTTCTGTTCTAGTTATACGGAATGGCCAGATCCAGGAATATATCGCTGCGGGGACAGCGAAAGAGGATTTCCAGTCGCGGTTGCGAAGGGTCATCGTTAATAATAATACGCCTGTTGCATCATCAGCTCCTACAGTGCAACACACTACCTCTCGGGAAACTGCTGCAAATGAACCGGTTCCAGCTACCAACGCACCTTCGCATACACCGAATATGCAGTCGCAAAGCAGTGCTCCTGTAGAGCCACCATCACAACCACAGCAACGAAGCATCGAAACAGCAGAACACAGAACTGTGGAACCCGTACACAACACACCTCCCCACTCTATACCGAAGATAACAGAGGAGAAGAAGTCCGAGAAGGATGAGAAAGATCGCCGAGCATTACAACAAAAGATACAGCGGGAAAAGATAGAGCAAAAAGAAGAGCGCGAGCGGATCCGCAATCAAATCAAAAAAGACCAGGAAGCTCGCAAGCAGCGCGCCGAAGAAGAAAGGAATCGAGCTGCTGCTGCTGCTGCCTCTGAAACACAAGATGCCACCGCAAGGACGAAGAGTAGTACAACTACAACCGTTGCTGCTGCAACAACCCGAAAACCCGTATCCGAATATCGACTCCAAATTCGTTTGTTCGATGGCAGCTCCGTTCGCAATAGTTTCCCGCTCTCTGCTACGATACGCAAAGATGTCCGTCCTTGGCTTGACAGCCAACGGTCCGATGGCTCACAGCCTTACAATCTCAAGCATATCTTGACTCCACTTCCTAACCACAACATTTCCGTCTCGGAAGAAGAGCGTACCCTGCAAGACCTAGACTTAGGACCAACGGCAAGTCTTGTCATGGTTCCTATTCCTTCTTATATCGAGGCATATACATCTCCTACAATATCGGATAGTCTTCCTGGCCGTGCGGTATCGTCGGCCTATGGCCTTGCTACAGGAATCGTTGGGGGTGCGGTTGGACTGGTTGGATCATTTCTTGGTTACGGAGGAACGTCTGCCAGCACAGCAGAAACCTCCTCGTCGGGCGACTCAAGTCAGCTGCGGACAGACAGTACAACAGCAAGAGTGGCGCCTTCGAGAAGTGGTGGTGGGATTAATATTCGTACATTACGAGATCAAAGAGACGAGGAGGGTAAGGATGAGTTTTATAATGGAAACGCTGTAAGATTCCCACACATTTCTTTTCTACTTCATGCCAGACTGACCTTTCTCAGCTGAACTTTGAGCCAAACAAAAATGACGATCATAAGAATAACTAATGATCAAAATAGTGCTTAACAGCTTGACAAGAATGTATAAATTACAACCCTTTCTACTACAGTGTATAAATTCTACTTCACATTCTTTATATTTGTATCTTTAACAGAAACACCATGGCAGCGGTACATTGCTTGCTTGACGTCGTACCATGTTTTCAGTTACGCCGGAGTCATGCCTGAGGCATCACCACCAATCTCATACAAATGGACATTTTTCCGCAACCGATATTCCCCTAACAAATGTGAAAAGTCACCTCGAGGTTTCTGCCGGTTTCTTGCTTTCCATTTCTGGTTAGGTGAGACTGTACCGTCTTTTATACCGCAGACCAAATGGGGATAGATAGCAATAGTGATCAATTGATGCTGAGATCTTTCATTTTATAGGGAAAGTAAATATGAGGGGAGAGTGTTCTTTTTTCTCTCCTTTTTGATCATCTTAAGATAAGAGACATGGCGTGACATGCATCATGTCAACATCGTACTATACAAAAACCCAGCACAATACATGAGGCCTATAGCAAATCGACCTATGACTATGCCTAGTGATGGTATCCATGCTATGCAAAGCAAATCAAACAAAATAAACATTACTCCCGGCCCTTTCAGACCTAGATGAGTCTAGTAAGGCTTAGCAGCAGCCTGGCAAGCCTTCAGCTGGTCCAGATACCATCCACAGATAGTCATATTTCCCTGGTTGTCGTCCATGCACTTGCGGAAGTTCTGCACATCGGTCGCGCAGGCGGGGGTATCCCAGGAGGAGGCAGAGTTCTGGCTGGCGTAGAGACCGTTGTCCATGGCCTCGGCGGGGGCTTGAGCTTGTTGGGGTTCAGCAGGGGCGCTGGATCCGCCAGAGAAGAAACCGCCGATGGCGTGGCCGATGGAAGAGCCGACTGCGACACCACTATACAATATTGTTAGTTCTTCTATGTTTCAAGGTCTAGGTAGGTTGAGAAGCCCCCCTGGCAGGGCCTCGTCAGGGCAGTCTTACGCAGCAGTAGAGGCCATCTGGCCAAAGAGACCCGGTCCCTGGCTTTGGGCAGGAGCCTGTTGCACGGGAGCAGGAGGGTGAGCAGCGGTGGAGTGAGGTTGGCTCTGCTGTGTATGAGGAGCAGCAGGCCTGGCTGGAGCAGCGGTAGGACGAGTAGGAGCGCTGCGCGCAGGGGCGGCAGGTGCACGACCACGGCTTTGACGAGGCATGTTGATTATTTCTGACGAGTTTGGGATATTTGGTAGGTAGGTAAGGCGAGGCTAGAGGCAGCGGTTGCGATTTATACAGGAGTGGTAGTCGTGAAGAGTCGGATTCTAAAGGCAAATTCTCCGAGTCTCCGTCTGGGGCCGAGGAGGTGTCAATAACCGCGCTCCTGATTCGTCACGGCCGCGAGCCGGGGTTAATGCCTTAATGCCTTGCCGCACCGCCATCACGAGAAGCTTCTGGATATCTTCTTCTGCTTGGAAAATAGGACTTTGAATAATAATGGAATGTTTGCATAGAAAGAGGATCAAATGTACAAGACTGCAAAGCACCAAACGCCCCCAACCCGAGTCGCTCTTTCCATCATACGACGCAAATGCATATCAATACAAATAAAGAACCATCATCCCACAGCTAATAGAATAGCATCACTCAGACTTCTCGCTCTTCGCCTTTTTCTCCTTGGCTCTTTTCTCCTTCTTTTTAAAATTCTTCTTCAAACGTCGTTCCTTGCGAATCTCGCGTTGCTTTTCTCCCTTAACAGCTTTGCCCGCTCTCCTCTCCCGCTGCTCGGCTTTTTTAGACTCTGCTTCCTCCCTTCTTTGCCTAGCTTTCATCTTTGCCGTAGTCGGTTCAGATGTTTCTTTTTCTGCGGTAAACCCAATGTACCCTGTCGAATCCCTGAATACATTTCCTGGGTCTTCATGCTGCACCTCCTCGACTTCGTCTGGAGACTCTGAGTCCGAACTCGAGTCGGAATTCGGGCTACTTGTAGTAGTATTCTTTGATTCATGAGAGACAGCTGGGGTCGATGATTCTGTCGCAGCCTGCTTCTTAGCTAATAATGCTGCTTTGAGCTGTGCGCGAGCTTTTTCTTTAGCTAACTTCTCTGCGCGCTCGATATCATATTTTTCGTTTCCAGACTGTAAAAAACCAATCAGCAGTGCTCATAATCCCTAGACAATAAGGCACCTACAAGGCCATGCGCAATGAACCGACGAGCTGCTTGTTGGTCCAGCGATGATTTCGGTTTTTCCGGCTTCGTTTCCAAATCCTTGATCTTCGCAAAGTACTGCTTTACTCGAATAATCTCTCTTTGGACTGCGTGGTCTTTGACATTAACACCATCGAGTTTCAAGTATGCTAAAAATTAAAATCCATTAGCGCATTCTCAATGCGTTTGAAAGTAGTGGACGTACAAAATAAAAGCGATTCCAGGGTATATGTCAGTAAAACATGCAGTTTTGCGCGGTCTAGCAATGGCAGGTTTTTGGATGTATCTTCTAGCGAACTGTCCAGAAGCGATTCTAGAGCTTCCTCCAAATCATCGATGTTGTATTCGAGCTGCTCAACAGCTGGAAGGAGATTCGCAACATCCATCTTGGCTGGGGAGAGTGAGTATGCAAGTCGCATGACTTTTTTTCGAGGTGGCAGGCGGTAGCAAAGGCGGTCTGCGGGACAGCGGAAACAGTCGAATCAATTGCGTTGCTTATCCATCTCTTATTTATTTTTCAAAAGGTCATGTCCAACAATCTATAGCAAGATAAGATACTTCCAAACACGAAACTGACACCCGCACTGTCTTTTGTTTCTCAGTTTGCGATCGAGAAGTTTAAAAATCACCTCCCAAACTGTCTGCAAAACGACTCCACCGTCCGCTTCTGCGGATTGGTCTGATCAGCAGCGAGCATGGATTCGCAAAATGTCAGTCAATATTCACAGTGCCATGTCACGGTTGGTTTATGGCGCGGACTTACTCGACGAAGCAGCATCGCCGCCAATCGACGCCTGAATCGACAGAGGAGATGCTGAATGGGCGCTTGTCGGGTCGCATACACATCACTGGCATGGGAAATGTCGGGTGCTTTGTGGCACATGCATTAGCATCACGAAAGACACGACCACCGATCACACTTCTTCTACATAATAAAGACATGTACGCGAAATGGATGCGGAGGAAACAGTCAATTTCGTTAATGACGAATGGCCTGGATGATATCAAGACCGGGTATGATGTGAATGTGCTGGATAATAACATCTGGTATTCGCTGCCGCATTCAACGGACCAGGATACATTGTCTGATACATACATGGAACTAGCACCAGGAAGTTCACTACATGGGTTGGAAGGGTATGAGGAATTAGCGCCAATTCCACCGGAGAAGGACGACGAGAAGATTGAATGTTTGATTGTTACTACGAAAGCTCCGCAGACAGTCCAGGCGTTGGCTTCTGTTAGCAATCGGTTGACTCCGGAGTCGACAGTGCTGTTTCTGCAGAATGGGATGGGAGTGGTTGAGGAAGTCAACGAGCAGGTCTTCCCAGACCCGAAGAATCGCCCTCATTATATACAGGGTATTATTTCGCATGGGCTCAAGGGCCATCAACACTATCATATTGAATACACTGGTGTGGGAACAGTTATTCTCGGAGCACTGCCCTCGCAAGCGTCCCCAAACCTGAAGGAAGAGGACTGGGCACCGTCTACCAAGTACCTCCTTCGCACACTGACATTGACACCTCCACTAGTAGCAGTCGCTGAAAGCCCCACCAATGTTCTTCAATACCAACTGGAGAAGCTAGCTATGAACTGTGTCATCAACTCATTCACAGTTCTCTTAGACGCTCAGAACGGAGAGCTTCTCTACAACTACCATATCACTCGTTCAATGCGACTCCTACTTGCCGAAATATCAACCGTCATATGCGCATTACCGGAGTTAGAAGGTGTCCCAGGCATCCAGTCCCGATTTGCAACTGAGAGGTTGAGAAAACTAGCCGCCAACCTGGCAAATAAAACGGCAGCGAATACGAGTTCGATGCTCCAGGACATGCAAAGCCTGCGGAGAACTGAAATTGAGTATATTAACGGCTACATTGTTCGTCGAGGTGATGAGTTGGGGATTAAGTGCGCCTTAAATTATATGCTTATGCAATTGGTTCTGGGCAAGAACTATATCCTGCGACAGAGAGAAGCAGGCGCCGTACCGTTTGATCTGTCCAATCTAGAGACGGAGGAAGAACAATAAATTTGTCTTGCAGAAGATAGGTTTCATTCTAGGTTGAGAGTTGTCTGATCACACAAATGCTTTATCTGGTTCCATCTACCAACCAGCGCTTGGATCTTTGATTTTGTCGAGTCCTCCGTTTCTGCTTTGAGAACGGCTTGCAGAATGTTAATTGCAAAGTTGGCCTCCTTGGTGTAGACTTCGATCCAGTCTCTAATCACATTGTTCACCTTGATAGTATTTGGAGCTGCGCCGCGCCCTTGAATGTAATTCCGCCATTCACGACGGGACATGCACTTCATACTGGCTGCAACTTCAGTGCGGAAACAAGGACCAGAGTCGATGGTAATTTGATAATCGCTTTTCATATGCATGTTAGCTGGTGTATACGGAGTTGGACAATAATAATTACATACCCATAATATTGTTGAAATAGCAGTTCTTCTTTCTCTGCTGTTGTGAAATCTCTGAAGATAATATCGTCTAGATACAATACATCGGAACCATTTTCTTCGGGGCAGAATCCATCTGTTTGTGTCAGTGTGATATGCCTTGAAGGGTTACCTAAGTCTTTCGTACATTCAACCAGGAGAAGATCATTAGAATGCGGTCCATAGCTCATGTAGATTTCCTCCCCTTTTTCTAAACAAGCATCAGCAGAAGCAACAGCCATCGACTTTCCTCTCTTACCATAACTCTTCGTGGCTTGAAAAGTATATTTCTGTCCGTCAAAACCTACCTCACATTGCTTTTCCAGTCCCCCAATTAGCCAAACACAACTTATATAAAATATCATATACAGGAAAAGCAGAACTCACTGCGTCATCCCGATGGTTGAAATAATCCGCAAACGGCACCAAAGCCATCGCATCATTTGTATCCTCTGGCACATCTTCTCCGGGCATCAAATAAAAGAAACTCCGCGTATTCACAATCAACCAATGGTACGAATAAACCTCCCAGTCAGTATCTGGAAACACGGCAACAACGTCCTTCCACGCGGACTGCAGTCGCTGCTCCTGCTGCGCAAGAATATTTTGATTCTTTGTTTTGTATTCCTCAACAAGCTTCTTTTTACGGAATGTATTCCAGAGGCCAGATGCTGATGGGGGTAGTGCAATAGAAGTAGTACTTGCAGGACTAACGTGATGCTTTGAATTCGATACACGCAGCTTTTCAGGCCAAAGGACGGGCATGCCGTCTTCGAAGTCTTGTCGTTTGGGCCATGTGGCTCGCCAGAGCGTGTACTTTTTGAGAGACTCTGTGTCGCCATGCGTGAGAAACGCGGCGAGAAGTCCGTGGTTAGAGATCCCGTTGAACAGGTTTATGAATGATGGCGGGATACAGTCCACAGTCAACATAGCTGATAACGGAACAGATACCATCACTTCGTTTGCCTTGAGGAGGTTAGAATAGATTGAATGAGACGTGAGGAGGGCAGACGTACTTCAATTTTCTTCGTTGCTACCATGCCTAGTCCTCGGCCAGGGAATCTTGCGGGCTCAACGCCGTTCATTTCAATGCCTTGTTCAACAGCCCATTGTGTAAAGGCAGCGTGTTCCTCGCCAGGAGGACTGTACGTTGTCATTTTGCTACAGTTTGATTTTGATGTAGGTGAGCGTATCAATCCGTATATTTATACCGGAAAATAAATAGCATCCTGCTCGATTGATCCAGACTAGTGGCGAATAATTAGCTGTACATCAGGTCCAGTACCATGTTTCTGTTGTTTCATAGAGATGAGCTTCCAATGGTACATTGTAGTGGTGAAGTGTTGACAAAACAAAAAGGTATTTGCAACTTCCTTCCTTGTTTGTCAGAGGCATCCAAGTGGGGCCAGCCCTAAGCCCGGCGGAAAGCTGCCGCTCCGATTGCCTGACACGACATCTCAACGTCTTCATTCTGCATGACTACTGCACCGTCGGTGTCATGTCCATGCTGCAAGTCAATTGCAGTACATGATCAATGTCTATGCCAGTTACACAATATACAAGACTGGCTCAGCGAGCCTTAACCCGCCATGCCGCCTCGCCAGCCCATGGCCTGAACATGCTACGAGCTTTCTCCATACTCAACCGTCCGCCTCCCCAGTATCCCGGCCATGCCCCTCTTACCAGGATCGAACGCGGTGCGCTGGCAATAGGATCGGCATTTGGATCACTAATTAATCCTCGGAGGGGAGGTACGTCTTCTTTATCTCAAGAGATGACGAAAAGCCCGTTTGCTGACTAGCATGTTCTGGGTGTATATAGATCTTATCGCTGCTCTGGGCGAAGCAACTGCAACACCATACTTCATTTACCGTCTCCGCGATGCAATGCTGTCGAACCCCACGGGCCGTCGCATACTGAGAGATCGACCCCGACTTTCATCCGAAACGCTTTCTATGCCATACCTTCGTACTCTCCCAGAAAACTCGGTTGGACGCACGTACGCGGTATGGCTTGATCGAGAAGGAGTATCGCCAGACACACGTGACAACGTCCAGTACATCGACGACGAGGAATGCGCGTACGTGATGCAGCGGTACCGAGAATGCCATGATTTCTACCACGCGGTGACGGGGCTGCCTACAATGGTAGAAGGGGAATTAGCGCTCAAGGCGTTTGAGTTTTTGAATACGGTGATACCAATGACAGGGCTCAGTCTGGCAGCGCTAGTTCGGCTGAAGCCGGCGGAAAGAGAGCGGTTTTTTACCCTGCATCTGCCCTGGGCAGTGAGGAGTGGGTTGGCTAGTGAAGAGCTGATTAATGTGTACTGGGAGGAACAGCTAGAGCGGAATGTGGATGAGTTGCGTGCGGAGTTGAATATCGAGGCACCGCCGGATTTGAGGCAGATTCGGAAGATGATTCGACAGCAGGAAAAGGCTGAGAGGGAGAAGAGGGCTAAGAATACCCAGTGATAACGCTGTGCAAAGCGCAGAGTATAAGACATGACCATAGACCGACCATATTTGGCTGTTATATATGTATATTAGAGACTTGATATGATACAAACTGCACCAGACAATTTCGAAATTGTGTCTTCACTTCACCACTGGGTATAACGACATTAGGGATGATTCCCGCTCAAACGAATAGCTTTTGACATAATCTCTTCTCTTCACGTCTTCATTTTATCTTTTCATTTACAAATCCAACAGATCATCATCATCATCATCCCATCCGCCTTTCCGTCGACTAAACACAACCTTTTGCTCTTCTTCTTCCTTGCGAGAGTTCTCGGCAACCGCGTTGAGGAGGTCCTTGAGCTGGTCTTCCGTGACCTTTTGGCGCAGCTGGCCGGTTTGGGCCAGCATAATCAGACGGTTCTCGATATCCGTGGCTCGAGACTCCTTGACGAGTCGTATCCGTCCTAGACGATCGGCGGCAGCGGGATCAAGGATTTGCGAGAGGATGGCCGAACGGCGCTCAGCTGGATAAGGTTAGTGAATAGAATCGAATGAGTGGTGATGTTGGGGTTGAATACCCTCTGCTTGTCTGTGTGGACCCCATTGCTGTTAGCATATGCGACATCAGAGCATGGTAAGCATGGTCCTGACCTTCGTTGGTCCTCCTGTCCTTCATCCCCGCCTCCCCCGCGACCACCTGGCTGCTGTTGCTGTAGCTGCGCGAGACGGGCTCTCCGGATCTGGAGGTGTTAGGGTTAGGTATTTGGCAGTGACTACAAGACTTGAAGCGGGGTAGGCGGTGATCCTCGGCCTTACCTCTTCCAACTCGGCATCGGCCATGTTTGTGTGTGGTGTACGGTGTTTGGTGTCTGCTTTGCTAGCCGGAGCACGGCGGGACTTGTGTTTCAGGAGCGTGAAGAGTGCGGGGTTGACCCTGTGCAGGAAGCCGAGTCGGAGTACAATTGATAGGAAGTGATCGTGTGTGAATAATAATAGAATACTAGCAGCATGTGCGTTGGAAGTTGGGGATTATTGTCACCCCACTTTGCGGCCTGAGGCGCTGAGCGGCGCGGGGAGCTGGATGATTGGCTGCCATTGCTTGATTTCGCTGCGTCCATTCATAACACTCAAGTTTACGTGACTACGGAGTAACTAGTTGGCTAAATACTCCGGATACTGGCCTGACTAGGAGGGTGGACCTATGCAAGGGGAAAATTCGCTGAGTGAAGCTCGGCATCTACTGTGTGATGTGACGATGGCATCTTAGCCTCCCGTTAGCTCAGGATCTGGCAATCACGCGCAGATCAATCTCAATTGTTGAGACATATTTCGTCATTTGTCTGAGAGCAGACCCAGCAGAGTAATGTGACACCGAGGATCACCATTGCTATTGGATTTGAGATCCATCACCTGTAACTCCATTCATGGTCGTACCTCAGTTGTGACGGGTCAGGAAGAGAGAGTGATGAGTAGAGTACTCGTGAACGCGACTCGCGACGGGCAATCGCAACTGGTTCGGGAACAATGATCACTGGTAGACACTAGACACTGGACAGGACACTAAGGCCGTAAGATGTGGGTGCTGTACGGCGCCAAAATCCTTGTAAGCACAGGCCAGAAGAGAAGCAGAGCTTGGAGTTTTCGGAGCTCTCACGCCAATGGCGACACACTTTAGCTGTCCGCAACGCCCCGTGTCACAAAAAGGGTCAAACACAAAACAGAACAGAAGAACTCGGAGATGCAGCATCCAAGTGACACATATTAATAATAACAATCATGGTAGATATAGAGGATTAAAGACGAAGTACGTACTACGCCCTCTGTCCGACTAGCACGGATAGGGACAAGGGCTTTCTAGTGATTGGCTGAGACGGCGTGATTCGGCGGTGCAGAGTGGGTCGCATGACTAAGCCAGGCGGCTCCACGGGCCAACGGGAAGCAGGCACGAGCCAGCCATCCTCTGCAAAAAGTTAGCAGCCCTTACTAAGTATGTTAGCGCCGGTTCAAGCCTCGCTGTGCCTGCCTCTCTCGCTGCCTGCACGTCAAGTCAGCCGAGACCGAGTACGACGACGACGCCCTCTGAAGAACTTCCCTTCTCTCTCTCCCGCCATCGCATCACGGTTCTATGCGTCCCGTCCCTGTCGACCCTAGCGTCTAGTTATCTCTTAGCTGGGTGGATCGGCTCGACCAGCCGCCAAGCCGACTTTGCCACTCCCAGTGCTCCTTCTCAGGCTCTTCGCTCTTCAGCCTTTTATCCTCCCACCGGGCACTTCTGCTCGATTCTCCGCAGACACAATCGATCTCGCGTGGTGTCTTTCCTTCTCTCGCCACATATACACCACTCATTCATATCACCGCCTGGCAATTGACTTTGTCCGGCCTCTCCAGAGACATTCACTTCGCGGGGTCTCCTTTCATCTACCCATCGAACCAACCCCCAGTTAACCTACCCATCGACGCGATCTCGAAATCCTCACCGTTCAGCCTCCTCTCCATGATACCCTAATTCACGCTCCTTATCACTTGATCGCAAACCCGTTCCGGATCAGTCTCTCGCCGACTATCTAACTGATTGCGAATCATTCGCCATGGCTGAGTAAGTTTGCATTCTCTTGGACGATAATATGGTGACAATACTAAATGGCCTGTGCAGCCTTATTTCCATTCACACGTACGGTCATTCGAATTTTCTGTCGACCTCTAGCATGATGTCTCGACCAAGCAACCACAAGCGGTCTCAATCCGCCGACAAACGGTCCTTGTCCCCTGCGCGCTTCATCACCAAGATGAAGTCAACAAATGCCCTCTCAGACATGAAGAACGCACGGAGACTATCGCCCGCCGGCTTGGAAGACGTATCAGAGAGTAATTTCAACACACTGAGGGATCCACGAATGGCTAGCACTTCGGATTTGTCCCTGACAGTCGACTCAACCCATCATCCTGATCTCAACAGTGAAGTGGCCACCCTCAGCGCAAAACTTGTTCAAGCCATCAACAACCAAACCCTTCTCGATGATTCTCTATCTGATGCTCGGCAGGAATTAGAGGCAGCTCAGGATCGGTTGTTAATTGTGGAGTCTGAAAACCAACAGTTCCGAACGGATTTATCGAGTGGGATTTTGGTTAGGCGAAGTGACGTCGAATCTGAAATTCTTGCTATGAAGAATTCTCTGGAAGAGGAGCGTGAGAGGCGCACTATTGCAGAGAAGGAAAAGAAGGAAATGGACCAAGAACTAGAAAATCTGACTGCAGCGCTCTTCGAAGAAGCCAACAAGGTGAGAAGCCTCTATCTAGTCTGAAGAAACGACGCTGACTTTTTACAGATGGTTGCGGCGGCGAAACAAGAACGAGAAGCTATAGAGAAAAAGAATGAGCAACTGCGCGCTCAAATCAAGGACACCGAAGCCTTGGTCGCCTCCCAGAAGGAGCAGCTTGCCGAGCTAAAGGAGGTAATGCAAGAGATGAATAGTGTTCGAGGTGACACCGACACTACACCCAACACTTCAACGGCTCCCTCCTCCCCAGCCGTGGCGATGCAAGCGAATCTCAGTCGGTTGCTAGATACCTCAAATATCTCCCCTGTGTCTGCCGCTGCTGTCGATATTTCTCCTGCGCCGTCTACCAGCTTCTGCCATTTGCTTAAGCCAATTTACCGCACAGATATGATAGCTTATGATGATTTTCGTGACCTCCTGCTCCTGGCTAAGGCATCGAAACCGCCTAGCCGAGTTGCAAGTGGCTCATATGGTGGATTGAATGTAATGGGTCTTGCTGGACTGACTGGAGGCGGTAACGCGAATATATCGACGGTAGCTTTGAATTCTGGAAACAACCGGGCTCAAACACCCAACGGGAGCCCTCAACCCAGTGTTTCTCATACACCACTGAAAGATACTCGTTTCTACAAACGAGTTCTCACCGAAGATCTCGAACCGTCCTTGCGTTTAGATGCCGCCCCTTCGATTTCGTGGCTCACTCGTCGATCGGTGTTTAGTAGTATATGTGATGGTGGTCTTATTGTGGAACCCATGCCTGCAAGCTCGAGAAAGTTCAAATTCTCGTGCTCGTTGTGTGGAGAGCGTCGGCAGAGTAATGAAAACGAACGAACGCACCGATTCCGCACTTCTGAAAGTGAAACCGCTCCCCGTTATGCCCTTTGCATACTTTGTCTTGAAAAGGTACGCGCTTGCTGTGAACTTACAGGCTACCTTCGCATGATTCTCGACGGGCACGTTCATGTTGCGGACGATGAGGAAGAAAAGGAAGCATGGGAAGAGACAATCCGTCTGCGTGAGCGACTCTTTTGGTCGCGCCTTGGGGGTGGTGTTGTACCGTCGTTCATTTCGACCGACGAGCCCGAGAAAGTACTGCCAGTTCCTGTTGCAGCATCAAACCCCACAGACTCAGAAACAGACACAATAGCTCAACCGTCTGTGTCTGTAGGTACCGCCACCGACCACGAAGTCCCCCGTTCTTTGCCACCAAAGGACGACGTAGTCGAAGAGGACCCCTTCAAGTCGGATGTCAAGCGAGTGTCGATTGGCGGAACCATCATTTCCACCGACGTGGAGAACCAAGACGCTGCCTTGAAGGAAGGAGACTCTTGCTGCGATGAGGTGGAAGATCTGTCGCGCGTTGCTTCGGACCCGCCACATTCCAATACAACTGCTGAGCACGAGACAATGACTCAACCAGACCAATCAAAACCCACAAGCGAGAAGTCCACCTCCATACCAGGAGCTTTTGATCAATGGTAGAAATTTCTATTCTTTACCCCATCATTAATCGTCAACTACCTTAGCGATACCCCTCCTTGATAAAAGGACTATTTTAGTTCCTGCGTCACCGACCCGTGGTTTTCGTGGGTTTTTCACCCACTATTGATATATCCGCCTTTTCTATTGTATTAATACTATTTTTGTACATTCGTCCCTCTCGCATACAGATGCCTGGTGCATCGTGCTTGAATTTCACGGATACCTCCATGGTCATGACGCCGCTGGACAGTCTCTCTTAACCTTACCCATTACTGACGAATTTTGCACTTGGATTGACCTGAGTCCAATACACGTTATCTATACACTTCCTTACCCCTCCATTTGTCATTCTCACATGGCCCGAAATCCTCGAGCATGTGAGCATGTGCAATGGAATATCGCCATTCTGATTGTTATTGAAAGCGTTGCATGGTAGTCACTGAGTCCCGAGGTATACTGCCTCTGGCTGGCGTTAGGTTGTTTTCCAGGAAGCAATGCATTCCATATTCCTTCACGTTTCTTGTTGGCTCTGAATTATACATAAGCCAACCCCTTCTCACAATTGTTTGTTGTTGCATGGACTGACTGAATGATTGATTATTACTATGTCTTATAAAATCTAATACCAATCTTACATATTCAAATTTCTATCTTGTTTCAATCTCAAATTATTCAATATTCTAGTCTCTGTAGAAGAATTTGAATTAAACTTAGGCATTGCTATCCACTGCCATTAGCCAGCTATATAGTAACATCGATATCAAAAACCACTCCCTAGACCGAAATGCTCCATGCATAAAACTCCGTTTGATACAACATACACGAGAGAATTGAATGAAAATACGGTATACACCTGCCCCTCCAATTTTTTACCCTTCTGTTGGACTATTCGATTATTCAACTCCCAGGAGGCTTTTGTCCATACTTCTCGTGGAGATTCCGAATCTGTTCTTGCAAATTCATCGTCTGCGGGTTCTGCGCTCGTCCCGCCGGGCCAGGACCGACGGTGGGCATCTGAGAGAATCCGCTCGGTGCGCCTTCGTAGCCCTGTCCGGGGGGGACACCGGCGGCACCGGGGGGTGCAAATGCCATACGTTTTCGACGGGCTTCTTCCTCGGGGTCTTCGGGGCCAAAACTACCAGTTGCAGCGGCAGAGGGGGTTGCGGATGGGTTGTTTGTCGAATCGAATACGTCGCTTCGCTGACTCGCCAGGCGTTTGAGGTTGTTGACCACGTCGACGGTGGACAGATTGGTGGTGGCAGCGCGGGAGTCGGCCTTTGCGCGCTGCTCTTTCCAGCGTGGGTCGAGCAGTTCGATGCGCATGTGGTGGTCGAGTTCGGCGACGGGGATTTGCTGTCCACAGTTCGGGCAGAGGGCTGTCGCTGCGGCGTTTTGGCGACGGGTTTGCGCGCGTGGGACGTAGTCGGATCGGATGCGCATGGAGGTCGGTTGGCCTTTTGCTGCGGCTTGGGCTGCGGAGGCTTGGTCGCGGGCTTCGGTGCGTTCGCGGATGCGCTGCTCTTCTTCTGTAGCAGTCGTGGAGACGGGTTGGTATTGGGGGAGTGCTTGGGGTGGGATGTGCTGGTCGAGGAAAGGGGGGGGAGGAGCGGTGGGCTGGTGTTCGAAGTCGGGGGGTTGGATTGGGCCGGCTTGTTCGACGGGATATGCGTTGTAATATACAGGCTCCATCTCGTCTGTGGGCATAGCCTCTTCGATGCGTAGCGGGTTAAGCGACATCATTGCTTTTTGCTCGAGAGAGGCAGATTGTAAATCACCCAGTGAAGCGGGAGGTGGCAGTTCTATTTGATCGTCGTCCTCGGTGAAAAGGACGGTTTCGACAACAGCAAAGTCGTGCCAGTCTATCTGCGCGTAGGCGATACGGTCTTCCTCCTCTTCCTCCTCTTTCCTTTGCTTCTGTTTTTCTTGGAATTTGACCCATTCGGCACGTTTTTTAGCACGGTCCAAGACGTGTCGCTTGTCCTTGACGTTACGGTCGAGTTCTGCCAGGCGCTTCTTCTCTGTGGTATTTGAGTCGACGCCTTCTTGACTCAGTAATATGGTGTACTGATCGACAAGTCGAGTAAAGAACTGGTATAAGCTGTGTTGTGGTCGTAAGAAATCGAATTGATAGTTTCTCGCCTCCCTTTGCGACAACGACGTCATGAACAATTTCCCTCGTTTCGCAACAAACAGTGCCGTCAGTTTGACAACTTCTAAATCTTGTGCGTTTATAATAGGCATTCGAGCCGAAAAGTGAAAATCTGGCGGCGCCGCAGGTCCTTGGGGTGTTTCTGGTGCGGGGGTTGCTGGAGCTTCGCCCGGTCGTCCAGCTGAGACGTCAGTGCCTCGTCCTTCTTTGATCTCATTGAGTCGCCATAGATAGAATGCTTCGTATGCATCGCCGGTGCTCAGAAACGAGAACTTTGGATTGCTCTTTTCCTTTTCGCGGATTCGTTCTGTGACGCATGAATGATTAGTCGGGTGTATGGATATTTCGAAGGGTTGGGATCATAGATAACTCACGTTCGAAGATAGGGCCGTTGCGAGCAACATAGCCAGCTGTTTTCTCAACAATAGCTATATAAAACAAGTATTATTAGCATTAGTGCTTTTAAACCAAGAAGCAACAGACATACCTCGAATGTCCTTGGGCGGCACGACCACACCCCCTGGTGGCTTGCTGCTCCCTTCGTCCTGGAGTGTGGGCGTGGACGTGGGCGTTGGGACCCCATTGCCGTTAGTTTCGACAGCAGCCATAGTGTTGTCTCACGGCCACTATCTTGTTGACTGCGTGGAGCGATGTTGTCGATATTTTATCAGCACTGGGTCGCATTTGACGGCAACATCAATCCGCGCTAGCCTCGAGCGTCAAGTTTTCCGCGCGCTTGGAGTCTTGGCGCTTATTGGATGGGACGATTCCGAATCCGGAACGGCTCTGTAAACAGCAAGTGCGACTGTCAGGGTCAGGCATATGTCCTCGTCGCTGTTTAAATTGAATTCGTTTCTCTACTAAATATGCTGTCAAGTTCTGCCTGTCCGACCTTTGGTATTGCAACAAAGTGCAAGAATACCGCCGCGGCACTATCGCTGCCTTTGTTAGGCTCGTGGAGCTCCCCCCTAAATCCTTCCTTAGCCGCGCCGCCCCCGAGATCTGGCCAGCTGTCGATGAATGACGGCCGTTGATGCCTCTACCAGGGATCCTCGACCAGCCTTTTGCCCATTTGACTTCGCCCATTCTACTTTTCTTTGTCATGGGACCGGTTGTTTTCTTTCCTTACTCTCGTTAACACCTTTTGTTTTCCTTTTCCTGCGATATTTACTCGTTGAATCTTTCCGTCGCTGCTGCCCGTCATATTCTGGTAGCCAGCGATCTGTGGCTTTCAGAATTGTTTTGCAGGCTTAACCACCACGTTCAACTGCTCTCACCATGGCGAGAACTAAGGACACACTAACCGTGACCCCGGCATCTCGCACCAGCCGCTCACGAAGTCGTTCTCCCAGACCAAAATCGAAGAATACTCCACAGAAGGTCGATTATACCTCGGATGGAGTGACGGATAATGACATCTTCAACCTTCCGCTATCAGACTACAGATGGCTTGCTGGGCTGACTCTAGTCGCTGCTGCAGTCAGGTTGTTCCGAATCTATCAGCCTACTAGTGTTGTGTTTGACGAGGTGCAGTACGTGAAAATAAAACCAATTGATTCTCAGGATGTTGGCTAATTTTCATTTCTGTTACAGCTTTGGCGGGTTTGCTACCAAATATATCAAGGGCAGGTTTTTTATGGATGTTCATCCACCATTGGCTAAGCTGCTCATTACGCTGGCTGGCTGGCTCGCTGGCTTCGATGGTGAATTCGAATTCAAGAATATTGGGGATGACTACATCGAACCAGGCGTCCCATACGTGGCTATGCGTCTTCTTCCCGCGATTCTGGGCGTCTTGACTGTACCTTTGATGTTCTTGACCCTGAAAGCGACGGGGTGCAGGACTTCGACCTCGGCCATGGGCGCACTGCTGGTCACCTTTGGTTAGTATTGGAAGAGTATGAGCGAATAATCCGCTAACTTGGATAGAAAATGCCTTGACTACCCAGTCGCGCTTCATCCTACTCGACTCGCCTCTTATTTTCTGCACTGCACTGACCGCCCTATGTTTCTCATGCTTCACCAACGAACAAGAACAAGGGCCATCGAAAGCCTTCAAAGCACCGTGGTGGTTTTGGTTGAGCACGACTGGTCTCTCACTCGGTGCCACCCTCAGCGTCAAATGGGTGGGACTTTTCACTATTGCTTGGGTGGGATCTCTCACCTTGGTTCAACTCTGGGTTCTTCTAGGCGACCCCAACACAGTGACACCGGTAAGAATATCCAGCCTGGAATTAGATAAGTCTGTAGCTTACTTTCACAGCGTCTTTGGTTCAAGCACTTTTTCGCCCGGTTCTTTTGCCTAATCGTTATCCCAACCGCCTTCTACGTTAGCATGTTCGCTATTCACTTCCTCTGCTTGGTGAACCCTGGAGAGGGAGATGGTTTCATGTCGTCCGAGTTTCAAGCCACTTTGAACTCTAAGGGAATGCAGGATGTTCCAGCCGATATTGCGTTTGGTTCTCGAGTTAGCATTCGCCATCTCAACACCCAGGGTGGCTACTTGCACTCTCATTCACACATGTATCCCACTGGAAGCAAGCAACAGCAAGTCACTCTATACCCCCACAAGGACGAGAACAACGTCTTCCTCTTGGAGAACCAAACACAACCTCTTGGCCCCTATGGAGAAATCGAAGGACCACTCGCATGGGATAATTTGACGGCTGATTGGATTTACGACGGTGCTACTATCAAATTGTATCACTTGCTCACTCATCGGCGTATTCATTCTCATGACGAGCGCGCTCCTATAACAGAAGTCGACTGGCAGAACGAGGTCTCCGCCTATGGCTATGAAGGGTTCCCTGGCGACGCCAATGATCTCTTCCGAGTGGAGATCGTCCAATCAATATCTGATGGAGAGGAAGCCAAGAAACGTTTACGCACTATCCAGACTAAATTTAGACTCGTACACATCATGACCGGCTGTACACTGTTCTCCCACAAGGTGAAACTGCCAGACTGGGCATTCGACCAACAAGAAGTTACCTGTGCGAAGGGAGGCACTCTACCTAATAGTATCTGGTATATTGAGTCAAATACCCATCCATCATTGCCTCCAGATGCAGAGAAAGTCAACTACCGAAACCCAGGGTTTTTGGGCAAATTCCTCGAACTTCAAAAAGTCATGTGGACCACTAATGCCGGATTGACCGAATCACATACCTGGGACTCGCGCCCCCCTTCATGGCCTACGTTACTGCGTGGTATCAACTTCTGGGGTAAGGATCATCGCCAAGTATACCTCCTTGGAAACCCTCTCATCTGGTGGTCTTCAACTGCTGCAATTGCGATATACGCTCTTTTCAAGGGAATCACTATTATCCGTTGGCAGCGTGGCTATAACGACTACAAGAACATTAACATCAAGCGTTTCGATTACGAACTAGGCACTACAATCCTTGGCTGGGCGTTCCACTACTTCCCATTTTACCTTATGGCACGTCAGTTGTTCTTGCATCATTATCTCCCAGCCCTCTATTTTTCGATCATGGGTCTATCGCAAATCTTTGATTTTGTTTTCAAGCGTGTCCAATTACCTGGTCTGGGAAAGAAATCTGTGCTTGGCAGCATCGTCATTACAGTATTCTTGGCTTTGAGCGTCGCTATCTTTGCTGTCTACTCTCCTCTCGTCTATGGAAACCCCTGGACAGAGAGTGCTTGCAACAGCGTCAGATTGCTCAGTTCCTGGGACTTTGCTTGTGACACATTCCATACTGACGTAAGTCCTCCAGCATGGCAACCTCCACCTCGTGGTGTACATTAAAGAGAACTTCAAATGATTAATGGACATTGAGATTTTTAGTTAAGTAAATATACATCACCTGTTCTATCAGTCAGTAATCCCACGCAATCTGGGGCTCCGGCTGCCGCTATTCCTCCGAATTATAAGCACGACAATAACCAACAGCAAATTCCAAACGGGCAAGAGAACCAGCAATCCGCCGTAACATCGAAACCCGCCAACTCGAGAATCGTTAGCCGCGAGGAACGTGTGGAGTATCGGGACGAAGCCGGCAATATCTTGGACCCGGAGAAAGTTGCTCAATTAAAAAAGGAGGGTAAGATATCAATGCAAACCAAGTACGAAACACAGACTCGCATCCTCGATGCGGATGCCAATGGAAATTTCCAAAAGGCTGAACACGCCCCTCCTCACCCTGACGTTGAAGGCCAAAACCCAGAGACGAATAGGAACGGCGCTGATAATGTTGCGCGAAATGAGCCTGCTTCGGCGGTCGGGATGGGAAAGTCGATTCGTGATGAAAAGGACCAGGATAGCCCTCGGCCGGCGAGTGAGGGGAATGAGGCTACTAGATAATTATTCGTAATGCTCGGATCAGTCAAAATCGTTTTTTTTCCTGTTCGGTGTGGGCGAGGTGGAAGTGATAACACTATTGGTTATGTATATTTCATAATGAGCTGTTTTTAATGCCACTCTCTTTCTCTCATCTACATATACTACATATAAGAGGTTGAATTATCCATCAAGTTTGAAATGAGTAACAAAGGAAATCTTTATTTCAGATGTGTAAGAGCTCAAACTATACAAATAACAACTGAGACCTCTACTTTCAAACAAATTTTCTGTTGTCAATGGTCGGTCGGTTTCATCTACCTAGAGTACAACGCCTAGCCCCAATCTATGGACGGTCGAGGGGGGTAGGTAGTAGCTTTAATTTCGTTTCGCAACCTCGGGATTGGCCCTTTAGTAGTCATATTCCTCCTTGCCGTACTTGTTGAATCGCTCATGAAGATCCTGATTATAACAATCAACATCTCATACCACCATTTATCGGGTGTCGTATAAACTCACCTCAGGCAGAGTCACGTTAGGAACAATGACAGTGTTGAGTGCGCTAGGAGCGTTGCGCAGAGGTTGGTTCTTATCGCCGTGAGGGTGGTACTGGTACTTGTAAACCTTGCCATCCTCCTCAGCGCGCTGCCAGGGCATCGCAGAGTCGCCGATGCGGACGTTGCTCTCGGAGGTCACCGAGGTGGGCTTGCGGCCGAAGTACCTATCAAATTGCAAGTTTTTATCAGCCGGGCGTTCCATATCCATATTCCCTGTGGTTTATTTGTGCGATTGGGCTGCAATTGACTTTGGGGGAAATCGTGACCGTGGGATTTTGTGTGACGATCAAGGGAAGAAATACCATCCAGCAAGCAAGAAAGCACCGGACATAACGCCGAGAAGGACCTGTAAACAATCCCCATACAATTAATATCCAGATCCGCAATCGGTTTTGTAGTTTGATCAAGCACATACGTAGAGCTCAGGATCGCGCTTGGGGCCCTTGTCCAGGCCAGCTTCCTCAGCCTTAGAGGCATAACGGCGGACGGGGGCGCGGGCAAAAACCTGGCGGGCAAAGGCCCGGCGAGCTGTGAATGCAGCAATTGAAGACATTTCTGTGGTGTAGTTCGAAGGGAGTTGCAGGAAGGTATCTGCTGCCGAATTGCGAACGAGCGTTTTTGCCGGGTGTGAGTGGAGTGAGGTCAGATACAACCACGATGATGTCCCGGCCCGTAGATCAGGTGATTCCGGTTCCGCATCGGGGCTGGTGCCTCAGGCTGCAATCGTATCGTATGTTGTTATTATTGTTGTGTTGATGAATTAATGTTAATTTTAGGATGTCAGTCTCGACTATGTCTTAAATTACCATTACCACATGCATCACAATTGTGGCATATTTGCAATACATGTACTCGAGGTTTGACGATGCTTTAGCCCGAAACACTGCTGAACATCATTTGTATCGTTATAGGTACATGTACCAGTACCTATATAAGTAATCAAAAAAATTGAAATTTCAGCTATTCCTCATGAAATAACTATTCGAGCACTCAACCATGTTCTTGAGCAAAACTGAACTGTTCTTCATACCTGTTGACATATGATGAGTCTAGTATTCGATATATATACAACAGCTGAGGCATAGATAGTTAAGCAACATTGAATACACCAATGCCCAGTATTATATGCAACGCTACTCAGCAACAACCAGTAAAAACCATCGAGGATAAAAAGGAACAGCCTCAGAGTGAGAAAAGTACTTCGAGAATACATGTAATTAACAAAAGAATAATAACATGATACTCTGTCAGTTGGTCAGTGATTTGAAAGCGGGACGGCCCACTCCCGATTGGTCCTGGCGCCACGCATTATTGATCCTTTTGCATTTCTCCAGGGGGAACCGAGAACCAGACTCGAGAATGAACTCAACTCGCAGGCTGAGGATCATCCTGCCTAGTCGTTCTTTAACACCACCGCCGACATTCTTTACTCTCATATCCCAGACTCACCTTAATATCAATAACCTAATACACCCGTCGATCTTTTGTCGTTTGCCTCTCGCGTCTTACCGTGTTGATCGCCTCCGCCGCTGAAGTCAGTCTCAATCATTCCATCATTCCACGCACAGTAACACATTTGCTTTGGAGAACATTGGTACCATCAAATCATGGTATTATAAGGATTGGCCCAACATAGTGACAAATAGCGACGCCTGTGGAATTAGTCATGGCCGACTCCAGCGTGCCTACTTCTCCGACTACCCCGATCACGCCTATTTCTCCCACAACGCCAGTATTGGATGTGCCTCGCCCCCCTTCTGTCGACGGCATCTCATCGCGCATGACTGATATTGCCTCCGAAGATGGCGATACACATGGAGGTGCCTCATCACAGGCGCCACCTTCAAGACGTGGCCCACCACCAGCGCGCTGGTCGGTAGGAAATGCGAGCATGGCTCGCCCAGGCAGCTCATCCAGTCGTCTGAGCCGAATCAGCAGGACCCACGTTCCTTCTTTGACGCCTCAAGCATTCTTTCGTCCGATGAGTTCCCAGCGACTCCAAGCACATCGTCGTCCAAGTCATGCACCTTCAACAGCGGGCACTATTACTTCGGAAACAACTGAAGACGAGGAAAACCTGAACCGTAGGAGTCTGGTTTCTAGCAGTACGCTACGCTTAGGTGCTCAGGCAGTTGATCTTGAAATTCCTCCTTCTCGTGGGACAGAGTTCACAGATCCGATCATTCCTGATAGAAACACGTCGAATGCGAGCCCTACCGGGAATACAACAGTGAGAAGCCTCGGCGAAAGCGTCAGACTACTGCACGAGCGCGAAAGAAAGCCTGCCCCCGAACATCTTAATCTCGCGACAACCATCAGGTCCCCTAATCTGCATGATCCTCCTCAAAAGTCACCATTGTCGTTTAGATCTGGATTCCTTTCTCTACATGGCAAGAACGACGATGGTTTGCGACTCGATAGCACAGGCCACGAAAGATTGTCATCAGCAGCATCCTCAATGAAGGCCCGCCCCCAGTACCTCCCGCCAACCTTGGCAAGAACTATGAGTATTTCACTGGTAACACCGTTTTCTGGGGTAATGGCAGGTTCCAGAACTCCCGCGATAAACCAGTGAATATCGCGACTGGAACTATGGTTGTTTTGCCTTCTGTCCTGTTCTTCGTTTTTTCGTAAGTGGTATTTTGAATTGGATGACAAAACGATGAACTGACCGCCAACAGGGCGTCGTGGTTATGGCATAATGTTTCGCCAGCATTGCCTATCATTTTTGCGTATATATTCTACATATGCATGTCATCTTTCATCCACGCCTCCGTTGTTGACCCCGGTGTAAGTGCTACCCAGTCTCCATCTTTGTGCTCTGCTCATTTTTTGTAAAGATATTTCCACGAAACCTGCACCCGATGCCTACATCGGACCCCTCAGCAGACCCCTTGACCCTCGGTCCGCCAACCAATGACTGGGTGATGATTAAATTGGCTACGTCGGATGTTGCTGCCATGGATGTACCGGTGAAATATTGCAAAACATGCAATATCTGGCGTCCTCCACGCTGCTACCACTGCCGAACATGTGACAATTGCGTTGAAACACTAGACCACCATTGTGTCTGGTTGAACAATTGTGTCGGTCGCCGTAATTATCGCTACTTTTTCACCTTTGTCAGCTTTGGGACGATTTTGGCACTTTACTTGCTAGGAGTGTCCCTAGCCCATATCCTCCTTTATAAAAACCAGCAGAACATCGATTTTTCGGAAGCGATTAACAAATTAAGGGTGCCATTTGCGATGGTGATTTATGGGGCACTAGCCGCGCCATACCCAGCATCCCTTTGGGCCTATCACCTCTTCCTTATGGGCCGAGGGGAGACTACTCGCGAGTATCTCAATTCTCAAAAGTTCAAAAAAGCAGATCGTCACCGTCCTTTCACGCAAGGCAATTCTTTGTGGAACTGGATTGCTGTTCTCGTGAGACCTCGGCCTCCTACGTATTTGCAATTCAAGAGGGCCTACTATGAAGGCGATCAACGGCTTGCGACGCAAAAACGCAAGTATCTGCCAAAAGATATCGAATCTCAGGCAGGAATGGAAATGCAGACTGTGGACCCTAATACTGCGACATATACCCCCAATGTGGAAAACAATTGATACTAATGGCCTGCCCACGAAAATCTTTCGGTTCTCTTCTGCTAGTGAGCGTTAAAACTTCATATTTCTCATTATCACTATATGATACTTTCACTATGCTTATTTTCTTCTTTTTCCGCTTTTATGATTTTAACTGTTGTCGTCTGATGGATGATTGCACTACATTGATTTCCTTTTATCATCAATTACGACTCCGGCCTGTCGCAGCGCGATTCCCCGGATGCTTCATTCTTTGTTTTTCTATAACGCCACGTAGATTAGGCTCTTCACGGATGGACCCTTTCTAATGAATATACTTATCTTATTCCCTCAATTCTTTCTGTAGGGGTTTGGCTTAGGGCTTCTCAACCTATGCTATTTAAGCCACAGCATAGCGTGAGCCAATGCCTAACCCCTTGTGCTGCAACAAAGACAACTTTACAGCTGTGACATTCAGCTTTTATTCATTGTCCAATCCATCAATTGATATCCTGACCCATATATAGCTAAGACCCTTTATCTGATAGACATGCAAACAGCAACGAGACTTAGATGCTACAATGGAAACAATTATATGTATAACGCATACTGGTCTATTCATTTAAACTCAATATTGAGGTGCAATCCATGGAATGCTGACGGGCGGGGTGAGAATGCAAGCTGGGATATGCAAGGCATGCCGCCTCGCCGCTGTTTATATGCTGTCGTCGGCTCTTTATCATATCCAATTATCCCTCAATAGACAAGGTTTCAGCCAGCTTCGAACATCTCTTACCTACAAAGCCTCATCTCCATTGCCTTTGTGTCCTGATCAGTGACATATCACGCAGGGTGTTGTTCTTATCTGTCCTGCTGTTTCTTGATGTTGTGATTACACGTTTCAGATCCAACCTTTGCAGCATCCTAGCACTAATTTTAGCCTCTGGACGCGTGTGACAAATTGACTAGCCGGTTGCCAGTGTTTGTGGCCCTGATTAATAACTGGAAAGTGTTTATCATCGCTGGCTGAGCAGGGACCACCTTCTGACTAGCCCGTTTACTCCACCTCATCGCCCGCTGAACCCCCGTAGCGTTCCGTTCTTGCAACCTCCATGTTTGGCTCAATTGTTGATTTCCTCTCCCCTACGGCACGGATCAATCGTTCTTCGCGCAAGCTGGCCACTCCGGCTTCCAAGATGCCACCACGCCGCACCCGCTCCTCCCTGGAATCAGCTGTCCAGATGGCCCCCGCTGCTACAAGCTCCGAGCAGCAGCAGCAGGATGCGCCGGATCATGCTGACGAGCCCATTATTGGCGTGGACTTCTCCGGTCCTCTGCTCACACCTGAGGCCAGCCGCTCTGAAACCTCCAGCAACAACGAGCTTAATGCCAGCGACGAGAAGCCCGTGACACGAAGGAAGTCGACACGCGTGTCAACGCGTACTTCCTTGCGGGGATTGGGGAAATTGCGCGAAAATGAGGAGGATCACGAACACGATGACTCTGAGGCTTCTGTTGAGCCTAAGATCCGCACTGTCTCGGGAGAAACGCTCGTTGACAGCATTGTTGAGAGCCGTGCCTCACGCTCGTCGTTGAGAAATAGTGTTGGTATTGTGAACAACTCTTGGAGCCAGACTACACTTCTGCGGGAGGGGGCTGAGAATGATGGAAACACACGGCCCGACACCCCGGTGTCAAAAGAATCCAAAGAATCACCAGATCCATCTCGCCGTCGATCTCTGCGTGCTCGATCAGCCATCGAACAAAAGGATGAATCGCAGGCTGAAAAGGACGAGGAAATGACTGAGGCGACACCCAAATCTGCCAACAAGGCAGAAAAAGCAGCACCTCCACGTCGTTCATCCCGACTTAGCTTGGTTACAAGGACGACAGAGGTTCTTGATAGGGCTGCTAGTGTTTTGGGTAAACGGTCTCGTGATGCTATGGAGAAGGTTATCATGAAGCGCCGTGCTAGCTTGCGTCCGCGCTATTCGCTGCCAGCCAATCCTGACAACATCACTTCAGGCGCATCGCAACTTCCAGACCCTAAGAAACGCCGGCTCTCCGATAGTGATTTGCAATTGAAGAAGAAAGAGTCTGATGAGAGCCCTGAAAAGGCTGCCCCTGGCCCTATTCGACCTAAACCCAAGCGATGGCTAGAGAAAGGTCTCTATACAGGCCAACACCGTGACTACGATCCTCGACTAAACGAAGCCAACAATAAGATCAAATTTGCGAAACGGAACGCCCCTCGCAAGGCCCAACCTAAGCTGCTTCCATTACCTATGTTTGCTGGCGAACGTCTTTTAAAAAACGGCCGGGATTTTAAGCTACCTTTCGATATTTTCTCTCCACTCCCCCCTGGTCAACCGAAACCGGATGAGTGGAAGAAGACCAATCGAAGTAAGTTGTTCGAGATTTGGATTGAAATTAATCTTACCAATGTGCAGATGTCTTTGTCGGAGATGCTGCCAGCTTCTGGCGCGAGAACAAGAAGATTGAATTGTCAACCTGCCTATGTGATGAGGATACTGGCTGTGATGAGAACTGCCAAAATAGGTTCATGTTTTATGAGTGTGATGCCAGCAATTGCCGTGTTGGTGCTAACTGCGGCAACCGAAACTTCGACGAATTGAAACACCGAACAAAGGCTGGAGGCAAATATAACATTGGTGTTGAGGTTATCAAGACCACAGATCGAGGATATGGTGTACGCAGCAACCGTACATTCGAACCGAACCAGATCATCGTTGAATACACAGGCGAGATCATCACACAAACAGAATGCGAGCGACGCATGAGGACAGTTTATAAGCACAACGAAGTAAGTTATTTTTCTACAGAACGTACACCTTCAAGTCTGACACATTTAGTGCTATTATTTGATGTATTTCGACCAAAACATGATTATTGACGCTACTCGTGGCTCTATTGCTCGATTTGTCAACCACTCATGCGAGCCAAACTGCAGAATGGAGAAATGGACAGTTGGTGGCAAACCACGCATGGCCCTTTTTGCCGGCGATAAAGGTATCATGACTGGAGAGGAGCTTACCTATGACTATAATTTTGAGTAAGTATCAAGATTCAAGCTTCCGAAGGAACTGACTAACGTAATAAAGCCCATTTTCACAAAAGAATGTGCAAGAATGCCGTTGTGGAACAGAGACCTGTCGTGGTGTTCTTGGTCCTCGGCCGAAGGATCGCGCGCCAAAGGAGTCCAAGGGTGATGACAAGAAGAAACCCGTCAAGAAAAGATCCAAGGCAACTTTGGCCGGCACAAAGCGCAAGCTTGGAAATATTCTTGACGAATCAACATCAGCCCTGAATAAGAAACGTAAGGTTCTAGCTACCAAGTCGGTTAAGAAGACTGTCACCAAGGCAGTATCCAAAGCCAAGGCTAGTCTCACTTCCAAGAAAGCGCCGGTACAGGTTAAAAAGAATGTCACCGTTACGAAGGTAAGCTCTAGAGATTCTAAAATTCGAGCAAAGACCATCAGCAAGGCAAAGGTCACCAAAGTTTCCACTGCAGGCAAATCGTCCCCCAAAGCAAAAGCGATCCAGGCGAAATCGCAAACCAAAAGAGCAGTTTCAGTCTCGTCTACGAGCGTGAAAGCCCCCAAAGCCAAGCCTATGTCTGCATCGGAAAAGGTGAAGGCCAAACTGAAAGCCACTGCACGTCGTTCCACCAGTTTCAAGAAAGGCACCCAGACCCTCAAATTGAAAAGCCCCGCAGTCAAAAAGCTATCTGGTTCCGCAAAGAAGACGCCTTCAAAGAGCACCCCTATCAAAACTCCTAGTCGAGTAGGGAGCGTCAAAAAAAACTAACTTCGGCGCCTGCATCAAAAACTTGAACTGATATTTTGACTTGAGGTGGTTTCGGCAGGTAGAAGCTCATTTGATTAGACCTGCAGCACACCATGGAATAACGTGGAGCAATGAGCCTGCTTTCTTCTATTATCCCTTCCCTTCTTCTCTTCAACATCCATGTTTTCTTTTTCTTTCTTCACCGGAGTCTAGGTCCTCTAACGGTCGTGTCATTATTGCGGTGCGAATTATGGTTGGGAATGTTTGATATGGCACGGTATCATTTTCAGATTTGAGCTGTTTCTTATTTTGTGGTTCTAATACTTTTCTTTCTTCCTTTATAACTCGATGCTTCAGTCACATGACAGCAGGAGAGAAGCTTGTACGAGCCGGGGAGTGAGGTATCATGCAATGAGTTGTTCTATGATTACTAGTAACAAGGATTCAATGTTCGCTTTCTGAAAGTTTCTAGAAATTCAGGCCATAGCACTGAGAGCGAGTTTGTTGGCGACATGTATGCTTTTTATCAACATGCTAGATAGAGTGGTGTAGTATTGCCTACTTGCCTACTCTCTATTTCTATGCTTTATTTGCTATTATTTTATATGCTATATTTCTGTGTGTCTTGGGAATTAACCAACAATGTCAATCAATACCTTTAAATCCAATCCATCAAGTGTTCACTTCAATCTAAGACTACATAGATAACAATAGGCGAGATCTGGGTGCCGCCCTAAGGAGAGGCATGTTGTGGCCAGAATAAATCCAGAGAGAGACAGGGCTGCAACACTCTCGTTGCCTTTTGTAATTGATCATTGAGCACACCCGAATGCAGATATAGTTAGAATTGCCAACGAAAAATAATTGAATTATTATGGCCTAAATAATGCCATTTGTATGTGTATTGGAAGCGGCCGCTCCCTCGGATGAACATCGGTCCGGACTACATGTCTTGAACAAATCCGGACTTCCCTTAACGCGTAACATGTCTAACCTTATTCGATGTCGATTTTCAACCACTTACTGCAGTTTGAAAATGTATATAGCTTTCAGAGTCTAATCAATTATCAAGTATGACTTGCATACCTTGCCGCACGAGGAAGAAAAAATGTGACAAGGAAATTCCACGCTGCGGGCGGTGTCTCAGGTAGTGTGGCTGCTTGAACTAAGTTCTGGTCTTATGCATATGGTCTAATCCATCATAGAATTGGCATCAATTGTCGGTACAACAAGCCATTGAATAGCATTGGATGGGAGAAACGTGTTGGAGATGGAGCACTTATATACACACCACAGGGTACTCCTATCAGCATCCTGCGCAATGATCCTCTACTGATTCTTCAAGATGGATATTTCTCATCCGATCTTCTGGGACTATCAAAGTGGACAGATTGTATTGACGTTCATCTGACGACTGTTACGCTGGCGACTTTAACGCTCAGAGGACGGGATTTACGTTCAGCATGCCTACCCTACCTAGAGACGCTGAATGAATGGCTTCCGGTGGTTCTGTCCAGCGAACTGGATGATTGTGCCTCAAGTATACTATCTTTCCCTGATAGTGAATCATCGCTATTGATATACTCCTGCTTTCTCCTTTCTCAAATATGTGGTAACGAAAGTAATATGGAGGCGGACGAATTCTACCTGAAATGCAAGGGCTTTTTTACTCTCCTTGTCTCTCAAAGAAGGAGAAGTGAAAAGTTAGTGCAAGTAGGGCTACTTCTATCGCTTTATGAGTATCTACAAGCCATGAATGACGTTGCCTTGACGACTATTGCCTCTTCCACCCTAATCGCCGATCATACGGGTCTATTCCTTCCTCTCGATCGAGATGGCGTTCGCTGTAGCACGACGTTGACACTCTCAAAACGAATATGGTGGAGTCTCTTCATTCTCGAGAGGTGAAGCCCTCAACTCGATCCGTCTTGACGTACTTGACTGATCTCTTGTTTCAGAGTTATCATGGCAGCGGCCGTTGACAGCCCAGTTATATCCGAAACTTTCATTTGTCCGATTCCCCCAATGCCGGAATTTCCAGTTGCAAAGGAGCAGGCAATTGAAATATTTCTCAGTCAGAGCCATTCAGGGGCTTCTCAAAATCCATATGTGCAATTCATTTACGAAGACCACAAGAGCGGGAATAGTTTGCAACTAGAATATTTCACTCGACTTGTTCAAGCGTGTTACCTGTTGCAACTAGCCCTCCTGGATCGATGGGCTCATTCTCATAGAGTTCCCAGTCGTCACAATTGCGTTGACCTTGATCGGAAGTTAACAACATTTGCATCAGCGGTACTTCAAGAAGGGGAGGCAGGACATGGGAAAAATTGTTCCACTCTTGCGATTTGCGTTAAGTAAGTCTCAAGAATTTGCAGCCTGAATAAAAGCAATTAATTAAAATCCTCGGCTCTGACTGTTGTTAAGTGCTATGATTATTCTTCATGGAGTGTCGGCGGCCGATATCGGATATTCGGCTTATCACGAAGAGAGACCGACTGACATCTGCCCTGCCCTGGTTGTGGCTATTCAGATGGTATTGGACCGCATTAAGCAGTTTCCAACTTGGCATTATCATTATGCGGCAATAATTCCAATCTGGACCCATCACTGCTTCTACCTTGGTGCCCTTTCTTATCTCCAGCAATGCGCTGAACGATCTGACCCCCTATTGAACTTCGATATTCTTGAATCAGTTCTTCATTATTTGAAAGTATATTCTAAGCGCTGGAAATTGTCTGGTAAGTTTTTTTCTTTCTGTTTTTGGTCGGATTTCTAAGCTGTCTCTTCCTGACTAACTACCATAAAGTTGAGTTTTATAATCAACTCTCTCAGCTGGCTTCAAGTGTAAGTCCATATATTCCTTGGTTAAACCATCATCCTTTCCCTTGATTGCTTCGCCGCTGGGAAGATCAGACTCTACACTACAGTGACAGATTCCAATATTTCCTTGAATGCCTGGACTACTTCCTCTCTTTTACCCTCCCAAAATCCCGTGGTCTCAACAGACAACTTGCCTTGCATCGCATCCATTAACGCCTGGCTGGCATTGTTCTTCGTGGGGTCTCGACCGGGGAATTCGAGCCTTGGAGAGAATGAAGACACTTTCAATCCGAATCCTCTCTCGAGAATCACACGGAGACTTTCATTGGCGGAGGAACCTCCCATGATGCCATAAGTCACAATCATCGCTGGCTTTCCGGCCCAGGCATGATACAGGAAGTCCAAGGCATTTTTAAGTGAGCCAGGAATGCCCTGGTGATATTCCGGAGAAACAACAATATATGCATCGTATTTCGCGATTTCATGATTCCAGAGCCGCGCAGATTGACTGGTGAATTTTGATAGGTCCTTGATCAACACGGGAGAGACAGGCTCGTTGAAACTAGGTAGACCAAACGTATCGATGTCGACCGTCGCTATGGAGAACTGGGGGCTCGAGGCCTCACTCGATTCAAGTATTGTTTTAACCCAGTTGCCCACATGAGGGCTAATACGATTAGGTCTACTAGAACCGAGAATAAGAGCAATTTGAAGAGGGCTCATTTTGTTTAAAAACGTGAAAAGATATCGGATGATATGAGGAGCACACAGACTACTAACCTGCCTAGTAAGACGGAGCTAATATGAGATGCAAAATAAAGCTTCACATCGTATGTTCTATTCATTCTATTTATGCGGTTGGCAACGAGACAAAACACCAGATTCTAAACCATAAGACTTTTGGGTCCTTTCTGGTAAATTAGCTGCAGGGTCGGCTGCATGGTCGGGGTGGCGCGATCAGCCGCAAGCCGGCTTCCAATGGAGAGAGGAGCGGGCGTGCCATTTGATCCTATTGGAGGACGGCGACCAGATGCAGGCGACCAGATGCAGATGAAAGTAATCATTTCCATACGAAAAATAGATATTTCGCAAGTTGTATGTATTCCGACGCAGCATAAATATCAGTCCAGAAAAAAGCCATTTGTTCCTTTAGCCCGATGCGTTAGAGCAATGAAGACTATGAATCATTTTTGGGTGGTTTAGGTCCCTGCGATTCGCAAAGCTCACCTATTTAAAGACCCAACTCTTTCCTTTTATGCAAGCTACTCTGTTTCTTCAAGCTTTTCGACTCCAGTTCAGGGTTCTCTCAATATTATCTTGGAACTTTCCCATATTCTCAAGTAAAGCAAGCTTCATCGAACAAACATGGTAGTTATATGTACCTCCACCACTGTTCCCATAAATACTTGCAATGACGTCGCCTCCGACGTCTTAACACCTGCTGAATTCTGGGAAGTCCTGGAGCACAAATGCCGCAACCCAGCCACTTTTGTCAAATCCATCACAAGTTCTCGGGTTGTCCAGGAGGATCACGACAAAACAGGACAAGTTACAAGTCTTACCAGGCTCGTCACGGTCAATGGAGGCGAACACGAGATTGAAGAAATTGCAATTCTTAAAAAGCCCGTCATGGTTAGTGTCCCATCACTATATATGCTTTACTTGTTTTGTATTTTGATTTTCTTGGGGATACATATATGCGATTCTCCACGGCCACAATTTGTAGTTTGTTTTTTTTGCTTAGGCTCACGAAGAGAACCTTGCAGATTGAATTCAGGATCCCCTCAACTGGAACTTCCATTAAAAATATTCTGTCACGAGGAGCCGAGCAGATGCATCATCCGACAGATATCTACATGGTGTCAACCTATGAGTGGCATCATCCGGAAGTGGAAGAGGGCAGTGAGGAACACAAGAAGCTTACTGAATATTACTGGCATATGAGTAACGAAACTGTGAAGCACACAGTGGCAGTAGCTAAGAAAATGAAGGCTGAAGGAAAACTGGCCGATTTGATGAAAGAATAGCTTTTAGTTAAAATTTCACATCGTCTAATACATCGGACGAATTTGGTGATAAATTATCCATCATAGTTCACTGACATTTTAACCTGTTAAGAATAGTCTACTCCGTGGAACCAAACAAACCTATAGCGCTGGAGTACATGGAGGAGAAAAGCCATGAGTGTCTGTGATGGAAGTACTAGATAGAGTGTCATCCTTAACATTATTTTAAATACTATTGACTTCATCACCAAAGCCACAGAGATATAGGACTGGTGTTGGATACAAGGTCAGTGTTATTAAATCCTATCCTTAAATAATTATTCTGAAATTGGAAGGTTTCCGATTTATTACTTATTTTGTCTGGTATATCCGCTTTATTAATGATCACTTATATAGATATCAAGATAAGTTAAAAAGATATGTTATATATTCCCTAAGGAATCGTATAGTAGTCAGAATGAAAATAACGAGGCCCCCTCAAGTTAGAAATCAGAACTACTGGACACACTCAGATCCCTCATGACACGTCCACTTCAGCCAATTCTTGGCAGAGGTGTCTGTCACCGGTTGGTTTCTCGACTGAGTCCGCCCAGTATGCAGCAGCCCGCCACGTTCAGCCACACGTTCAGCATACGAGCGAGTTATAGTTCGAAGGCTTCTGGTCGATGACAACCCCATTAAACGATATTATCAGAGAGAAGGTTCCGGACAGCGTGGTAGAAGTAGAGTAGGAGGAAGAGCGCAAGAGGACCTTGAGCCTGTATGAGCATGTTCATGGTGAGATGGAAGTGATGAGGGAAACTGAAAAGGTGTCACTCAATATTTTTTTAAGTTGGAAAGGAAAACTTGTTTGTTTGTGTCCTTTGAAGAACAGTTCCAGGGGAAGAAATAACTCTTTCCTCATGATAAATCATGGTGTAGGAGTGCGGTTGTAACGGAGAGTTCGTTTGGTCAGCTATGGAGGCCGGCGAGTGAGAGATGCTCTGCGGCGGAACTAATGTGAGGATTGGAGCCAGTCTTGATGCGGAATCGAAGTAGGCCTTGAGACAATCACTTCCAATGTGATCCATTTGTGATGTTTCCTGTTCTTTAATTGTACTAGTATCGGAGTCGGAGAGGGTATTATAGCAACCAAGCAAGGTAGACTCCACCTCCTCTACTGAACCTTCTCGTTGGGTTTCAGCGGCCTCCGAGATTCTAATACTTGGGCGATCAAGAGCGTGGGGTAGGAAGGAACTTTGACAACCAGGTTACAGGACTCCCACCCCGATGAAGAGACCTCGGAGTCTAGAGGAGAACTTGGAGAGAAGGTCGCTCGAGAGATCTAAGCTGCTAAGTCGAGAGAATTGGTTGTGTTCCGTATCTGCCCAGATGTGGTGATAAAGAAGGAGGGATACAACTAGAAGGGCATCTTGGTTCTTCTAGTAAGTGGGTGCGACAGGGCCTCGCGATACCCTGGGAGGATCTGGGATAGGTATAGGAGAGACCTGCAACGGTACTTCTCCTGGGTTATCTTTACACGAACGATTAAGATATGCTAGATGAGTGGCAAAGATAATTATAATGGCGTTCAGAAGGCAGTCGTACTAGATATGATTAGTATACAGGATGTCCATCGCTCCGTATTCATAGCAGACATATCTACATCTCCAGGATAGACGAACCTGAAACAACAAAGGCACCAGGTTCACCTGCCAGAGTTTAGGACTAAATACTAAAGTGCTTACGGTACAGGTAATAAGTGATGGAATAGCTGTATCTGCGTCAACTCGACTTGTTTTACAGAGCTCTTGACACGTCTAGCGTCTGGTTCACTCCGAGTGACCGTTGCCGCGAATTACTGCTCCTAGTTGGAGAATGGGGAGTTGAGGTTCCTGGTGGCGATATTCTTTGGGCCTTTCGAACGCAATTCTCCTGTCGTTTTTGACAGTTCGCACACGCGGGAGGTATTTTCATCACACTAGCTCGGTTGGCTGCGTATTTTAACGTCTGGCCATCGCTAGATCTCTAATACGGCAAACAAAAGTTCTGTATGTGGGACCCTTCTTACACGGAAAATATTTCCCATTTCCATACCTAGGCTTTTGGATGAGGCAGCATCAGCACTGGACTCGAAATCCAAGAAGGCAGTCCAAGTGGCTTTGGACCATGCTTCCCGTAGGCGAACAACCATCGCAATCGCGCATCGTATTAGCACAGTTCAACATGTCGATGTTATCGTTGTTATGGAGTCTGGCTGTGTAGGCGAACGAGGAAGGGATACAGAGTTAATGGGCCTACGAGGCCGGTACTGGCGACTCTCTTCGGTGAATAATAAGGCTTAGATTAGAGCGCCGAAATTCGCCTCATTGTAAAGGACACTGCGTGGACCACCCTGAAATATAACCCACCTAGTGCTGGTAAATAAAATACCAAAGGGACCAGGGAAATGTTTCACTTGAGATGTTATAAAATTTCAGAAGAAACTCATGGTCATTGTGATTGTCAACACATGATATCGAATTTTTAGTAACTACTAGAAATCAAATGCTTAAAGGATTTCGGTTAACTAAGCGATTCAATGATAATCTAATAGCAGGAATACTGTCCAGGTCTCCTTGCCAGCTAAACGATGTAAATCCAAATAGCAAGAAGAAGGAGAAGAATTATCGTTCAATCGATGTCGGTTCCCCAGTCTAGCAGGTCGTCGGCAGCTATCTTATAATATCAGGATTCCTATAAATGCGCCTAACGCCGATCTTAGTTCTATAGGATCAGTGACCTCTTTTGATATAAGAAAAACTAATATCCATCTAGAGCTTTCAGGAAGGAAAGATCTGGTTATGCAACGGTTGTACTCGCCGTATATATATCGCGTCTGCCTATGGGTGCAAGAAAAGCAGTTCAGCTACGAGGACAGATTTGAAGGAAAGCTCGGCTATATCTATGTATACTGCATAACTGAATAGCTGTGGCCTTAAGATTCAACTAAGTACATATTGTACCAAAGGAAAATTTAGGATTCGTAATTCGATACACGGATTCAAGCATGATAAAGTCCCCAGTTAACATTGTCGTTACCTGCATCTCCTTGGCATGCCATGTTGCCTGAAGCACCAACCAAACCATTCGACGCAAACATCTTAATTGATGAATTGATGAGGTCTACTATATCCTGAGCACCAACGTGAAAGTCAACGTCTCCAGTTCCAGTTGTTCCGGTCACCCCAAACGCACAAGTCCCATACTGGACCAGTTGATGTTGTTTGCCTACCGAAGATTCGACCTCCCACGAGCCTTGAGTGCCGGCAATATTGGTAACTATCTGCTGACAATCACTGACAAGAGGTGAGCCACCGCTGGTTGCGTCTGTGAATGTCGAGGTTCCGCAGTCATTCGGGCTGGGTGGAACGGCGCAGGGATAGTTGGGCTCTCCCGATGTAGTGCTGCTCGCGTCAACCGCAGTTGCGGCCATCTCTGGTGAGCACACTGGAATGTTGATGAAGCCAGGAACAGTATAGTCGCCGTCAATCAAGCCATTAACGACTAATTTGTCACCTAGGTCTGGTGCGATGCCACCATTGGCATTATTGTTCTTTTGATAACTGCGAACGGCTCTGTAAGTTTCGTTAGTTGTGTTCGATGGAAGCAATCAAAAGATGCAACCTACCCTTGAATAATCAACTGTCTAGTAACAGCCCCCCATACTTGCGTGTCCCCAGTCAGGGCCGAAAGTCCAGGCGGTGCTGTGAACGGTACCTCAGGACAACGTCCATCTGGCGGGTTACTGCCGCAGCTGGCCGGAAACTGACTAGAAACCGGCATAGCGAGGTAATAGAGTTCTCCGGTACTGGATGGATAGCAGCCCCATGAGGCCTCTTGATCCTCAGTAGTCATGTATTTAGTAATTGGATTGATTGTACCACAGGATGATCCGCTATCAATTACAAACACGTTATATCTCGCAGCTGACCAGATAGCAGGAATAGCGTAAGCATAGAGGGCGGAAGTAATTGAAGAAATGAGAGTTTCAGCGTCCGGAGGATATTGATCCGTCTCTGGTATGCCAGCAATAAGTTTACCACCTGTGACAAGGCTGTCAAGATTGGGAAGGGAACTTGAGGAGCCAGAAAACAAATCTTTGAGCGCCAGAGCAGTCAAATTTGCCCAAGCGCCGACAATTTGTCCCATATAGGTTGAAAATGCATTCTGGTCTTGTACTGACCAGGTCCCACTGTGATCTTTAGTTAGACATTAGAAGATGACAATTCCTGGAGAAGCTTACATTGTTGTGTTTTGGCCGCCGACAACGTCTTTGCCTACAGTTACTCCCGCCGCGATTGCAGCATAGGTAAGGTCCTTTGTTGTGGCGAGAGCTGCAGGATTGGCGAAAAAATATGGCAACTTAGTCAAGTCTAAATTTTTTACGGAGTAAGGATCCAATCAACATAAATTTTATAAGAAAAGACACTCACAAGAATTAAAAATCGGTGCAGCCAAAGCAGTAGCTCCAAGAGTAATAAAGTCCAGAAGAATTTGAAGCCATGAATCGTCTTTCTGTGGGGCTACTGGCGCAAAGATATTCTCAAACTGGGACAGACTGGGTTCGAAAATACTAGCAGCATGCCACAATGCATCCCATATGTCTTGGTACATCTAAAATCACGTTAATCACACCATCTAGAAGAAGGTAAGGCGTATTATGGTCCAGTGACCATAATTCACGATACATACATCGTGGACAACAATAAGAGAGTTATAGATCTCGTAAGAAGCTGCACCAGCTGGTGGTGAACCATCAGATGCCGGCGGATCAAACCAACACAGGTCAGTCGTTTGACAATTGTTGTCCGGGCCTACCGACTGGCATTTAGTAAGCTCACGGCCATGGAGTGAGTTCACAATAGATGAAATGAAGGTGATTTTGTTCTGTGGCCGATCCACATTTATCCACTGGTTTGTGACGTCTGCCCATGCATCGTCACCGTCCATTTCACTCCATCGTTGCTCTGAAGTCATGTTAAGCTGAACCCAATAATTAATTGCTGGGTCAGTGCATTGTACGCTAGTCCAGTTACCAGTTATATTCTCCTGTTCAGAAAGCGGGTTTATGGCGCTCTTGATATCTGAAATAAATTTGGTCCATGAAGTTGCAGGATATGGGACATTGTTGTAAGTTTCCAAGTCTGTAGCCCAATCTGTGGAGCCACCCATATTCAAACTTTTGTAGAGAGACGTTCTTAAAGCCTTGATGTTATTATCCATATAACCAACCCATTGGACATTGTCATAGACAAGGATATTTGTATTACTGGTGTCGTCGACAAAATTCTGGTTGACACGGCTGGGGTCATTGAGAATATCCTGAATCTCTGCGTTCGCAATATAGCCAGCTGTTGCTGTGCATGGGCCTTCTTCTGCGTTTGATTGCGTACTGGAGCCAGTGAAAGTACAATTCTCGGTCCAGCAAGACGCGTCGGACATTTCGAAGGACCGTCCGTAGCTGGTAACACCAACTACAACTTGGCTTGAAGGTACACCGGCTTTTGTGATCTGGAAGAAAGCATTAGATGTGGCTGGTCAAGAATGAAAAATGAGATTTATGACAAATGCGCTGTTGCCCTTCTTCATGGTCATCGCATGAAACTGGGCGAATTATTCAAATAAATAACATGATCTGAAATTTGGTACGAGTAATCATTTATCTTCAACTCAGTAAAGAAAGACAGCTTACCATGGACAGGGCGTTCAATGTCTCTGTCAAGTTGACATCGCTCCGAAGACAATTTCCTGTTGGGCAGCCGTCTTGAGAGTATGAATTGGATGCGTCCCACTAAACAATATTAATGCATTCATTACCATTGAAAAGAAAAGATAAGAAAAGAAACACGCATACCTGGCCATGCAAATCATAGGTCATGAAAATGATATAGTCAACCACCGCGGCAATCTTTTGAATGGGAAAATTTTTCAGGTACCAGTACGACGAAGGAGCCGCAATAGATACTGTTTTGTTGGGAAGCAAACTCTTGAGAATGGTGAGGAATGTCAAGTAGTTGGCACCGTCATCCGAAGATGCAGGAGGAATACCTGGAATATCTGGGGCCTAAAAACGCGTTAGAACAGAAGCAGCAAATGCAGAGTTACTTACTCCCGGGTACTCCCAATCAATATCAATACCATCGAGGTTATTCTGAATAATGAAATTGGCCATGTTTGTAGCCATAGATTTTGCGTTGGCGGAGGTGACGCCGTCACGGAATATCATGTAAGTGGATGGATCAGTCGAGAAAGCCCAACCACCAAATGACAGGATTTTTGCCGGTCCTGTGATTCTCAGAAATTGTGAAAACTCAAAGGCTGACAGTGAATCATCTCCAAAAGTGGTATCTACAGAGTAGTTAGGGTTCAGCACGCCGAACCCGAAATGCAAATTTGTATACCCTGTAGGGTCGATTTGCATTGCGTCTTGGTAAAGACAAGCACGGTCAAAACCAAATCCTTCAAAATATGCGACTGTCCGCCACACAGCAGGCGCGTCGCCTGATATAATGTCAGTGCCACAGTTAGAAATACATCCATTAGTTCCCAGTGCGGCCGTGCCGGGGGAGCCTGTGTTGGTATTTACACAGAATTCGACGGTCGTGCCACACTACAGGGACACTCGTTAGCTAGCCAGAAATCCGAAGGGATTACTCTGTTGGGGATGGACTTACTTGGCCCCAGACATCGCAACATGCATTCAGTAGGCAAGGATTGAGCATGGAAATATTTGTTCCGCCAGGTGGCGTTGGGGTGCCTGGTACGGTTGGTCCGCATAGAGCATTGGTGACTGCAGCTGGCATGGGTGGAGTGCCAGTGCTGAGACAAATAATAATACCAACGAACAAATCATCACAACCATTCCAAGACCATGTATCAGCATTATAATTGGTCAATTCATCAACCGTTATGCTGTTTGCTGCAGCAATAGCCGAGCAGTAGTCGTCGCTCTTAACGGTGTATGTCGCACAGGATCCATCAGAGTTGGGTTGTGGAGCAAAATTTGGCAGCGTTCCCTCTGAACAGCAGACATACTCGCCAGGTTGAAGATCGCTGCAGAACTTGGGGTCCGAAGGATTATACTCGGATAGTTGATCTTGAGTAATGCCGCACTTTTGAGACAAAGAGTAGCAACCATCGCCTGAGGCAACCTGAATATAAGAGCAGGTATTGCGACGCTGGGGGCGTCCGGTAGAGGATGATTTGTATGAAGAGCCTGGCATGGAGTTTCGCTTGGTCGTCGAATTGGGAGTTTGTGCTTGTGGCAGATTGAGTACCAAGGGAGTGGTGATGTAGGCTGGACCTGTTATGTTGGTGACACTCCTGAAAGACCAGCATTGTCCATTGGACCATGACTTAAGGGCCTCTTGAATAGGGTCAAAAGTCGAATTGCTAGTCGCCATAATACCAAATACGTGATCGCCATCATTTCCAGGCTGGCAAAGCTGCATAGCCACTGTACCGGTACCTACGGCGACAGATGCCACGGCACTCTCAAAGGATGTCAGAGCATAATTACCCGTAGCTTCAATTTGGAGGCCCCTGCCCATGTAAACGCCGACTGAAGTCTTGCCTGCTCGGGCAAACAAAATGACGGAACTATTCGTGCCTCCATATCCATTTGCCAGATACTCGCGTATCTGCCTCGAAAGCGACCGGACATAGGAAGGAGACATGCCCCCTTCGTTCCCCGTGCCAAATTGATATGTAGAATCGATTGGAGTGCCAAGAGCAACGTTCCCTGTTACATTGGGCAGATTGGACCAATCAGGACCATAAGAAGAGCAAGAATAGATGCGGTGTGAGGTCCTTGGATCATCGACCGGTCCGAGGAGAGAAAAGTAGTAAAACATTGTCTGATCACAGGACTCAATTTGATCCAAATTATGATACAAGGACCAATTGCCTGGGTTGGGACCCGCAGTGCTGCATCGTCCTGGACAAGGATTCTTTGGCAGATAGCCAGGACTGGCAGGTAGTCTACCTCCAAGCTGAGCATAGGCATGGGCAAAGTCGGAGAAGAGGGACACGACTCCAAAGCCGAGCTTGACCCACAAAGAGGGCATGCTTTCTGTCAGTCTGAAAGAAGGACCCGAACAGTTTAATCCAGACCCAGCAGGTGTATATGAAATTGTCAGTGATGGAACAGTCGAGTCTCTAGTAGCTCTCGATTTGTCCGTCTTGGAAAGATGGCCTGATAATTTCTCTGGTTTCATCGTGGGATTCCATGCTCTTATATCCCTGGAGGAGCCTCTATCTCGTCGAACCCACCCTGTGTGGCCCTGTCCTAACCTCTAGCAGCCAGCACAATGCAAATCACGATGTGTCATATAGTGACCGACGCTAGACCAAGCTTTCGTAAAATACCGTATGTTGTGAGGCTTTTTTCAAAGCACACTGCATGTCCATGTGAGGTCCTCTGGCTTAGCGGCCAAAGCGGGCAGGGATTATCATGCATTCGAAGCCCACCACACAGCCTACTAAATGCAATATAGTGACTCTAGCGGAAAATTATCAGACAAAGTCAGGCTGCTACTTCCTGGGAATTGGTAAGTGATTTTCTCGCAATAATAGACACCAATATCATACGCCTTTCTTAACCTCGGTCTTGGAGTAAGTATGTGCCTCTATCACCGTCTTTGGATTAGTGGTTGAGAGCAAAGGTGATAGCAAAAGTCGAGCAGTTTTGAAATGTTTTAACCAGCACATACATGTTCACAGAATCCAAGAACGAAGATAAGCCTACCCATAGCAGGTAATGGGGTTGTGTCTGCCCTCAGAGCAAATTAGTACATTGGTTCTTGTCAAATGAACCAGTAATGGAAAATTATAATTACACCTAAAAGAATAGATGCATGTCTTGATTCAGCTCACCATTCTAATGTGGGTATACCCTGCTTCGGAACTGTAGTGCGCTAAATTGAACTGATTACTGCCATGGAAAACTCACTAGCCCTGCAATCTCATCACTCATTCTAGTTACACGACTGGCCGCAAGGCTAGCATAAAGACTATAAGGAATAGTTTTAGGCAGTGATCCAGCCATAACACCTTGTGATTGTTCCCTTAGAACATCCGATTACGTTCCACCCAACGTTGTCCTCCCTACTTTATGTTGTCCCGTGTTCAGCTACAGATCTGCATTTTGCCAGTCTGTAGGATTTGCTGGCCGCCCCCTGCTTGGGCTCAAAGTGATAAGTAGTTGTATACAGCATTCGAAATGAAGATGAGGTAATTTTGGAACCTCTTAAATTTGCATTTTCTGAATTGCAGCGTTGGACTTCAGGCTTATCGGTGTTTTTTACGCAAACTTCTGTATCAACGTTTATGTAAGAGGAACGGTAGTATTATAGGAAAATTATTATAGGAGATATCAGTACATTGAATCATTCATCCGACGACCGTGTATAGAAGCCAGGAAAAAGTTGCTATTACCCACGTCGATCCTCTCAAGCGGCGCTGTATTACCCCTACACTCCTAGCCGGGCAGCTCACTAACGAAGAGGGTAGACCACAAGCCGAAGCTGTAAGTGATGCCGAAATGCTTGACGCGTCAGCTGCATTCAACTGCGCCGCACAAGGGTTTGGAGTAGGGGTAGTTATAGGCGATGTAGACGCAACAACTGCACAAGTAGTCATACCAGCCCCAGCCCCTAAAGATATCTTTTCGATGCCTGTAATATTAAAGGTGAAGCTTTCTGCACTAGCACAAACATCATTGGTTGTTGCAGCAAGAAGATCAGTTGCCGGAGCGCTATTATTGGTGTTGAATATAATGCTTTTTATTTGGGTGTACCCAACTGTGGAAGAGCCATTGGGCGGAAACATGGTGCAGTTGTCAGAAGAAAGTAACCAGATGAGCTCCCAGGCGCCTTCCAGTATGGTGAGGTTGTAAAGACTGCTGAACATGTAATATATATTGGAAGTGGTGGTTGGGGAATATGACTGGGTAATGACTCCATCGCTCACAACGGCTAGATGATTGGCACCTGCCGGATATCGGAGGGCCCATTCCAAAGCTAGATTTAGGGCGGCAGCGTCTGTAGGATTATGTATGGCGAATACCAGGGGCATAAGAGGCGTGGGCGCGTAAGTGTCATTTCTAGGGAAAAGAAGATCGACTTCCGCAATTGATGGGAACGGTTGCGCAACAGACCAGTGTGTGTATAGAGGCAGGAGCAGCCATGCTGCATTGTTGAAGCAAAACATGCGGACCAAAATTAAAGCGTCTGTATCCCAGGAGTGAAGACTAGTATGATGAGTTGCGATTGTAAAATTAAATGTAATAAGTAGCAGTCGAGGATGGTGATTAAGGTAAATCCTAACGAGGCGCCCTCTCCGGAAGTCACTCGGCACGAGCCTACGAGCCCCTGAATTGCTTTTAATGATTTGCTCCGCCTATCGTTTTCATGCCTGTGAGCTTCAGCCTTGTTGCTTCCGAAAAGAGCCGTCCGCAGTGAAATTCGCACCCAGTTATCGCAATGATTCGATGATGCATGATCATCTGAAATGACCCGGGCGCTTGGCGGATTTCAGTGAAGCCACGTCTTTATTCTATTCGTTTGCGAGGTTACGTGTGATGTAATGTCGACAAACTATCACAAAGGAAAGCGTCTGTGCCGCAATATATACCTGCATACAATGTGGCAATGTGTGTGGGTTGGACGGGTGACTCAGATAACGTACGGGGGTTAGTGTATGTAACTAATTCAGAATCGAACCCTGTTGGCTTAAAGCGTAACAATGTGGTTGCCACGACTGGAATGTGCAAGGATATACGAATCAATCGAGATCAGCTGACGCTTGAAAATTGACCAGTTAGTGAGTATCGATCGTTTCGTCAATATCACGGGTGAGACCTCACCCAACAATACTGAAATCCCTACATTGAAACTGAATATGGGCCAAGAAAAACAAGCTTTATTAAGGTGGTTACTCTTTCGCCTGGTAGGGAAAATAAGTTCGGGGATATGTTGGGGTACAGCCGGTCCCCGTATCGCTAATTCACAACCAATTGTCGGCCGTTATAACAAATCAGGAGAATACTCAATATTGGATTTTAGTATAAATTCATATAAAAATATATCTAAATAAATTAGTTATTTATAGCTCAGACTTATATTTTAATCTATTTAAGTTTGTACTATATTAGTCTTTCTTATTGAGTTTTCTTTAACATGGTGGTTCAGTCGGCCGGACGTGGACTTGAGTGTTCCGGTGCAGGAAAGAGAAGATGAAAAAAGTTGAGCAGGTGCTCATTTTTTGCGCGAGTTTTATTGGTCATTATTTTATAGTTACTCACTTTATATAGATTACTGCCACACACTCTGGTTAGGAAAGATTATGGGTAGAGTCACGGAGGATTAGAGGACTTGGAATGATAGGTTGGTTCGCCCCAGGAATCTAGCCTCCACCAGAGCACGCGGGGAAGCGGCTCAAAAATGTTTGGAAACGATTTACGGGGTCGTAGTTGAGCGGGGTTCTCGGGGGAGTAGGATTGTAGGGATGCAGTACTCTAGAATGAAAACAAAGATCAGGCCATTTTAAGCATATAGGCATTTAGCGCTAGCCATAACCTAACTGGAAACCAAAGTGGCCTGAATAACAAGTAGATCTTCTACATACTCCTAGTAACTCAACTTCTTAAAAACCCGTGTTTCTTCCACTTGGAAATTGAGGCGTTCTTTAGATGTCTGACTGTATGTAAGGTTTTGTGAGCTTCTGGTTTTTGTGAATAAAATTCGTGGATTGCCGCTGTGTAGGGTTATTGAACAAGAGTACTTAGCGCGTGTATGATAGAACAATGATATTCCTTATCTAGTTAATAAGATCTTAATATTCTTTTATATATTTTACAAAAGCATCAAATTAGCTGTTATAAATGATAATTACTTTTCGGTATAAAAAGCTGCCTATATTATTTAACAGTAATTTGTCTATTCGACCGAGCCCTCGGGGGAGCCTTCGGGGGAATAGATAACAAAGTTCGGCCATGTAATGTTGAGCCCCTTTCTTTTTCCCAATTGAACAAAAGTTTCTTTGTAGAATGTAACTAAAGAAAAAGAGAGCCGAGCAATTGGTTACTGAAGGATTTAATTATTAATACGATCATTTGCGAACGCGGACTTCGGTCGAACCCTTGTACCGTGGCTCGGTAGTAGTTTAGCTGAGTACAAAAACTCCATTGCTCTCTGCCAACGTGAAATACGTAACTCCCTCCAAATTTTATACGTAAATTCATTTATTTAGATCCATTTCATATTCGCCAAAACGAATGCAATCGGATCGAAAGAAGAACACCATGACGGCCGTTCAATCACCAAAACAAAGTCTAGAAAACCCGGACGTGGAGAACACCACAGCGATAGAAGAACCCAAAGAGACAGAATCAGCCCACTCGAAAATAGTAGAGGAAGAGTATCCAGGCACAATACAGTTGGTTTTCATTACTGTTGCCGTGATTTTTAGTATCTTCTTATCGGCTCTTGACCAGGTGAGCCTTTAATATCTTCCCCTGGAAGTGATCATAATGAGAAAGCAATTCGCAAACAACTATGAAATCTGACACAAGTCACACACAAATAGACAATTGTCGGTACCGCAATCCCCAAAATTACTGATGAGTTTCACAACGTCGACAAGGTGTCATGGTTCGGATCTGCTTATTTTATGACCTTTGGTGGCTTCCAGACATCATGGGGCAAGGCATTCTCATATTTCAACTTTAAATACACCTTTCTGTTATCCATGTTTATTTTCGAAGTGGGTAGCTTGATATGCGGTGTGGCTCCAAATACAATTGCGTTTATCTTTGGACGAGCCATCGCAGGATTGGGAGGTGCCGGTATGTCGTCTGGTGCCATGACCATGATTGCATTTTCCGTTGAACCGCGAAGACGACCTCTCTTTGTAGGCTTGGCGGGCTCGACGTATGGGATATCTTCGGTTGTTGGCCCTCTGCTAGGTGGTGTCTTCTCTGATCGCACCACTTGGCGGTGGTGTTTCTACATCAATCTGCCTCTTGGTGGAGTCGCAGCTGCCATTGTTCTCATTTTCTTTACCACACCGGCTCAGTCTAAGCCGATCCCTGCAAGTTGGAAGGAGAAATTTCTTCAGATGGACCCTGTCGGCGTGGCATTGTGCATGGCCTCGATCATCGTCTTTATAATGGCATTTGAGTATGGTGGACAGTCCAGGCCGTGGAACAGCAGTGTCGTGATCGGTCTCCTCGTCGGGTTTCCACTGATAACTGCTGTTTTCGTCATTTGGGAGTATTCTCAGGGAGAGCGCGCCATGATTGTACCCCGTCTTTTTAAGAGACGGTCAATCTGGGCTGGCTCACTGTACCAGTTCTTTCTAGCTGGTGCATACTTCCTGATTCTTTACTACCTACCGATCTACTTCCAGAGTATCCAGAATGTGAGTGCCATTGAGTCAGGTGTTCGAAATTTGGCTATGGTCATCACAATTAGTTTTGCAGTCGTTATAGGAGGCGCCGTCGTCGGCAAAACGGGCTACACAGTTCCCTTCATGATGTTCGGGGCGGCCATAGGCGCTATTGGCACTGGGCTGTTCCGTACCTTTGACTTTCATACGTCGTCCGGTAAATGGATTGGTTATCAGATCTTGACGGGTTTTGGCAGCGCTTTTCCTTTTCAAATAGCAATGAATATTGCTCAGGCCAATTCTAGCCCTGCTGACATGTCCAAGGTCACGGCCACCATGTTCTGTAAGTCTACTCAAAGTGCTGCCATGTTGTCCACGATTCTAACCAGGGCTGAATAGTTTTTCAAACCATTGGAGGCGCATTCTCTCTTGCTGCTGCACAAGCTGCATTCTTGAACACGATCATAAATACCGCCGTAGGTATTGATCGTACACTACTGATAGCCTCAGGCGCTACACAGCTCCGATCCATGTTCTCTCCTGAGCAGCTTCCAATTGTCCTTGACGCATATATGGCTGGTATCAGAGCGGCTTTTGCTATCGCTATTGGTATGATGGGATTTGCCTTCTTCGCAAGTCTTCTGAGTTCATGGAAGAACTTGCATGATCAGAGACCTGAAGGTGCTTCTTCTTCCTCTAAGGGAGACGTAGTTCTTGCTATAGCATAGATATTTGCAACCCTGCTCAGAAAATATAGGATGATAGACATTAGTAAACAATGATAGGTTCATTATTTCAAATGTTGGATTCGCTGGAATATGCCCTGCACAAACAGGTATCCCGGGACTTCATACACAGCCATTGATAGACTCGTGTACTGCATATTTTATTTATTTTCAAAAAGAACATCGCCAATTACAAGTAATCTTCTTGGGATTCAGCTCGTTAAATTTCAATTATATTAAAAAGAATATATACATCTAGCATCATACATAAGTACAGTGAACATTTAGGGTTGGTAAACTCAGCTGATTATTCCTCCGTCGGTGCCCAGCTGTTTTCACCTGCTATCAGACTATCAAAGAAGGCCAAGTCAAAATCCTGGAAAGAGAACCAATCCATCTGAGTGGTTGTAGTTGATTCGTTGTCCAAATTTTGAAGGGCATATGAACTGTACGAAATTCTCTCTGTCTCTTGAGCAAGGGCATGACGATCTGATCGGTTCAAAAGATGATTATTATTCGACGAATATACCGGCTGTAATAAGTTCGTCGTTTCTGGAGGGTTCGTAACCTGCCTGGTAATTTTGATTGCACCAAGGTATGGAAGGTTGATTGATACTGAGTCTTCGACATTACTGCTTTGAGGCTCGAAATACTCAGTTTCCCGCTGCTGTTGCTGACAACCATCAGGACTTGAGTCACCATGCCCCATATCAGTGGAAATCGTATAAACCTGCCCGGTCGCTGCATCTGCCTCAATACTGAGCAAGCACAACAGCAGATTTAACCCTTTCCCCAGAGATCGCTCAAAGCCTTCAGCAGAAGACTTCTGTAAAAGCCTGAGGACTTGTTTCATTATGGCGCGATCGCTGAGCCGTTGGTGCGGCGTGAGTATAGAAGATTTTAACTGAGATGTCTTGGACCCAGACTGAGATGAGTTATGATAGTCGAGATAAACAAGCATAAGAGTTGTAGCTGCTATCAACACAAAATAATCGACTCTCTTGCAATAAAATTTAACCCGCTCCAGGTTTAAAAGCAGAGTGAATCGTGTCAGAATTTCACGACTAGCATGAGTGCAAGCAATTTTAGAGTACTCGTAACTCGTATTGCGAGGATTTGAGCATAATATGTATGGTAAATGGAGCTGGTTGAGTAAGGTATAGTGATGTAAGACATCCACCAGACCCATTACTTCTTTAAATTCAATATCAGCCGCCTGCTTATCTTCTAAGCCAGCAGATGGAGAGAACGGTAGCCAAGATGTGGTTGGCAGGTCCAGAGCCCCTTGAAGCAGCTGATTGTCGATATCGCGAGTTATTTCAAATTCTTCCGCAAAAGAAAACCTCTTGTCTCGTTCAATGATGCGAGCCGCAACTTCTACATGAAGTCGCTCAAGTTGACTTATCCCCGCCAGATGAGTGAATGAATAAGCCGACCTTGTAGTCAGATCTATACTGCCCTGAGACACCCCAAGCATCATGGAGTAGAAGGTATCAAAGTAAACTAATCGAAACCAAAGGTAACGTGATTTTGAACTTTGTTCCGAATCGTCACTGTCTCCCAACCTAGGAAGACCAGGTCGATCAATGCCGAGCAATTGACTTAGATTCAGAGCCCGGCGAAATCGCAGCCAGGCAAGCCGGGTATTACCGTTGTTCGCGTGATACATTCCCTCGAGAAGGATGCATCGAATTCCTTCCATAGTTCCAACCAGGCTCTCGTTCGACATCAAAACACTATTTACGGCGTCCAGTATCCGGTTTTGAATTGTCTGAATTGGCTCAGACATCTGGGAATCCTCACTAGTATCATGAATTTCCTGTAGAACGATAGCTAACAGTAGCAGGTATCTTCCTATGATGGTTGGATGTGCATTATTTGCAGGCACTTCAGCGAATTCTCTTCTTAAGTGCTGGTCATCAGTGATGAGCTCATTGCGCGGCCGTGTATCCAATTGGGAGAGAATCAATGGCCACAATGACACCGCTTGCCTGATGATCTTCATATCGTGTGAAGAAGGTAGAGCATCGTGCAACTTTCTAGAGATTTCGGCATATCTATGTCCATTTGGGGATGGATGAGGCTGGTCAATGACTGAACTACGAGAAGATAATGGTGTTAAAAGAGCAGACGATTCCGTATTGCTGACATTGTGCACGGTAGGAATTACCTAGAGAAAGTTAACAATGAGTTGCTTAACAAGTCCTTGGGATAGCTAAAGCAACCCAGTGTCGCACTTACCAGTGGTAAAGACTCACCCACCGTCGTTATCACTCGGGGAGATGAGGAGGGAGCATAGTCTTCTGAAAATTCTTGACTGACACAGGGAGTTTGACGTCGTCGACAAGCGACGCATGTCGTAGCATGGTCGCCTTTTGAGGACAACGAGCATCTGACCTTTCTGCGCTTGCATTCCCAGCAGCTCCGGGTTCCTTTACGAACTTTCCGAGTCTTCGGAGTAGACTCCAGAATCCGATGAAGAGAATCATCCATGACGTCAACCAGTAGTAATCATGATATCTGTGTTTGTTGTCGAAACAGCGCGAGTTCACAATTTCATTACAGCAAAAGTGGTGCTCTGCCTGTTCTATGTGATTAGCGTTGTAAGCAGAGTTCGCCCGAGATATCGCCTTCGACCGAGGTCACTTCGGCGGAAACTTGGATTCGGCCGAAGCGACATTTGAAACTTAAGTTTATACACTATAGGAACAAATACACAGATATTGTTCTAGATCGTGGGATGGTTAGTCAAATTTTATTTATGAGAACGCAGCTATGGAATTAGAGTTTCGCCATTGCTTTGTAACATAACAAAGCACATGATAAGCTAAAGAATTCTTTATGTCAAGGCCAACCTTCACCAACATCCATTACATTCTCATACCCAACCCAATCATAGAAAGTAGAGATATCCCACAACGAGTAACTCCAAATCCCAATTTCTGTCCTAAATAAACTCACTCCATATACTTCAATTCGTTTTATTTCATAAGCTGCTATATCTAAATGTAGCTATCACGTGACAACGTCCAGGGGCGCAAATCCGCGGCTCGGGATGAATTGACAACTGACTATTTTATTTGTTTTCATCTATCCATGATCGCTGAGAATAGGCGATTTTTAAGAGGAAGTTTAATTTCGATTTAAGTTCCGATTATTTATTCAATCGGCTTTTAAATAACGCTTCAAACGACTTGAAGAGGACTTTTGTTTTCATGCACGCGACAGTGTTGTTTTGTGGGGCGGGTAACAGGCAGACATAAGAGACATGGATGGAACACATGACAAGTATGTTCATCCACTGACTTGCTCAAGCCTTGATGGGTAGCGTTGACTGGGGCAATGTAGATTTACTGGCATGGCTTTGGCCATGTTGTCGTCAGTCGCAATTGGTAAGATAGTATCACCGAAATACCTCGAATCAACGACGCTAATGTGCACTTAGGCTCGAGTTATGTGATTACCAAAAAAGTATTCCTACTGAAATATCATAATCCGCCTATGCCTTTTATTATGCGCGTAACGGACATTGTGTTGATATACTAACATGCTGTCTAATATAGAGCTTAATGCAATCATCTGATCGCCATGGATTCGATGGCTCTGGATTTTCATACGTCAAAAACCCGCTCTGGTGGTGTGGCACGATTACTCGTGAGTTATATTCGAACAATATTTTTTTTGAGATCTAACACTCTCAATGTAGTTGTTTCTGGCGAACTGATGAATACTGTTGCATATGCATTTGCTCCGGCCGTGCTGGTCACGCCATTGGGAGCACTGAGTGTTTTGATAGGGTAAAATCTGAACCCCCTGCAAAACATTAAGTAAAGAGCGTTATTAACAGAAAAAAGGGCCGTCCTCGGCGCATACTTTCTTCAAGAGCGTTTAAACACCGTCGGACGTATCGGCTGTGCAACTTGCCTTCTGGGATCAATACTTCTCGTGCTGCATGCCCCTGCTGATCCAGAGATTGAGACAATTACCGAGATCTTCAAACTTGCCACGAAACCATGTATGCTGCCCACACTTCTCCTCTGCTTCTTTGAGTTGAAGAAGTCTTCTAACAAGTTTGATAAAAGTTTTCCTATTATACCTCTTTTTTGTTGTTGTGTACACCCTCTACGCAGCCATCCGTCTCGCTCCTAGCCACGGGAAATCAAACCCTCTGGTTTACATCAGCATCTGTTCCCTGATGGGATCAATCTCTGTGATGTCTGTCAAGGCATTCGGGATTGCAGTCCGACTTACTGTCGAAGGATCGAACCAATTCGCAAATGCGTCGACATATGTGTTTCTAATTGCCCTTGTGGTTACGACTGTTTCTCAAACGCATTATCTGAATAAAGCAATGAGCCATTTCCCCGCATCCTTGTACGTAACTTCCCATATTACTTAGCCTCATGATTTTCCAGCCATCCGCTTACACCGCTATGTTCTCAGAGTGAACGCAATTTTTTACGTTGGTTTCACAACATGCACACTCTCTGCCTCATTTATCTTCTACCAAGGAATAAACACTGACGACCCTACGAACATTCTCTCCCTGATTTGCGGGTTTCTGTTGGATTTTATGGGGGTGGCTATCTTGACCTTGTCGAAGAATGCAGATTCACTGAAACTTGCTAAGTCAGGCTACAGGGCCGTCGGTCAAGCCGATGATGATGTAGAGTTGGAGCGGACAGATTGATTGTAGATAGATTATGTTATGTTCGTATTTTGTATATTACTACGACTTTTGACATGGTGGTGTTTGAGTCTTGTTTCTGAGAGGAAAGAGGATCTGGAATCCGTGTTTGGATATACGTTTTTTCAATGCTGTATGATTAGACAAGAGGGAGAATGTATGTATGTCTATAGATATCAATATTGGGGATAAATGGGGTAGGGCTTGAGGTAACCTGAAATTACCATGTTAATAGTCAGTGCTCACTAATGTGATATTATCTAGCCTCAATTTATTGTTCATACGAAGTCTTTGATACATCAAATTGTCTATTTACCATTGAAATGTATTGATATGATATACATGAGACGAGAAAACGGCAGTATGGCTACCCGTATGCACCAATTTACGGGTTTGTTCGTTTACTCAAATTCAACGACCATACCGGAACTGGGACTTGGTCATAGCCTAGAGCTGGGTATGGTCGTTAAATTTGACAAATATTCCAATCTGATCACTTAAAAAGACACCCCTGATCTAACGCCTTTACCGGCCCAACGCAAAAAGAGAGCAAAAGCCAAACGCTAACCACCAAAAGTATATCATGTATGACGATAGAAAAATATCAATTGTATTTCATCGATTCTCAATCTGATATACGAATTCATAAATCATCTCAATGTATCCCTTTATTCGGCTGGAGGTTTCTCGGAAGAGCCATCTGATGTTTCAGGAACTGGCTCGGCTGGCTGGGCGGGTTCAGGTTCGGCTTCTGCTGAGATTTCAGGGATTTTGTTTTCAGCTGGAACTGGCGGTGGTATTGATGCCGGCTCAGGTTCAGGCGCAAGCCCAGCCACGACCACAGGATCAGGGTTCGCAGTTGGCGGCATAGGCTCCTTTGAAATGGTAGCTTCGACTGGTGGTGCAAGTTCAGCTACTGCCGTGGGTTCAATTGGCGCTGTTGCGGCCACGGGCAGCGCACTCTCGACAGGTGGTGCAGCTACTATCGGTGATAAAGCTTCTTCTATCGGTGGTGCAGTCTCAACGGGTGCCGCAATAGGTTCTGACGGTGGCGGCCCGACTACTGGCTCTGAGATCGGTTCGACGGTGATGTTTGATTGTCCAGGCGTCTCCTGTGCTTCTGGGGGCGTTATAGGACTTCTCACCGGTTGAGCATCTTCAATTTCCTCGGGTTTATTCTCTAGGCTCATTGCGAGGCTACTCAATAAGTCGACACCTTGTTGTTGTGGAGCTTTTGTCGGTTGGGTGGTCGGCTCCGATGTCACTTGTTCAGACGGCACCTCTTCCACAATGTTTGTTGATTGTTGGACCTGCTCGGTTTCTGTTTTTGCCTGGACTGGTTCAGGCTCCGCTGCTGCCGCCTGCACAATCTCGACAGTCTCTGATTTCTCAACAGCAAGGGCTGCTGGCTCGTATGAATCCGAAGTGAGAGGGGAAGGTGCCTGTTCCTGAGGCACCGAATCATCGGTGGTTGGAGGAATAGGAGAATTGGAGACCTCCGCCTTTTGCTCTTTTTTTTCTACATTTTTAACTTGTTCAGTTGTTGTATGCCTTTCTTCTTCAATGGCTGTGATTTGAATAGCTGCCGAAGATAGATGAGGTGGGGTCAGTTGTTCGGATTCAGGTCGTACTGGAGATTGTGGTGGTTCTAGTAATGAATGCTCTGGCACTGGTGACTCGGCTTTCGCGGCCTGTTTTACTTCAGGAGATTCTGAAACGTGCGGTACTGATTGATCATCAAGAGGTGGGTTTTGTGACGATAGCGCATTGGTCGTAGGTTGCTCGGGCTCTTGAGTTGACGATAACATATCAACATCTATGGATGGTTGAAGGGTTGGAGTGGTATCTTGGTCGAGGACCATTGGTGTAGGTTCTGACGATAAGTCACCTGGTTGAGTTTGTGGAGTCTGTTCTTGTGATGTTATCCCCACAGCTGCAGCACCTGCCTCACCTGCCTCACCTCCCTCACCCTCTTCGTCTTTCATATCCTCGTCTTGTTTGTCACCAATAGCCATTGCGTCTTCTTCTCCGACCTCGACCCCTTCGCCAGGTGCAAACATAACCCGCTTCCGACCTTTCTCGCCTTCATCATTGCTCTTTCGTTTCGGTGGCGATGGCCCATTTTTTTCGCTAGTGGATTCTGGGGCAGTTGGCGCGGCTGGGGCAGCAACCACAACTCCCTCGGTATTTGAAATTCCTACACCTTCTACGACAGTACCTGGTGGTGGTACCACCCTAGTAACCGTTGCATCTGGCTGAGCAGGAGCCACTTGAGACTCGTCCTTGATCTCACCCTCTACCTTCTGGCCCTCAGGAACCCACGCGTCATAAATTGTGACATTTCCAGTATTAGGGTCAGTCTTTTTAACCTTGACCTTTCGCATAGATTGCGTAGCACCAGATGCCCCGGTCGTAAGCGTCCCTGCGACGCCATATAGAGAAGGCAGGCCAGCTCTTCTCTTCGCCAAGAATTCGGCTTCTGGTAGCTCCAGATGTTTGGGTAATTGCGACCATTTCCGTGTTGTATAGCTTCTCTCCATTTTTGTAGCGGGAGTTGTCGCATCTACTTCAACCGTTTCCTTCTCCTCTGTTGCTTGTGAATCTTTTATCGGCGGGCTTAGATAAATATAGCCGGCGCGAGCAGCACGAAGTAAAGCACGGCTGTGTGCCGCCAACAGATGGCTGTCCTTTGGCATTGGCAACTCGGGAAAGGGAAGGTCTGGCTGGGCGTCGCGGCTAGTGCTGCTGGGAATGTCGATCTGGGCATCTTGAGAGACTGTGTGGTTTTGCCGAGTCCAGCGGCGAACAGGCAAGCCTTCGAAGATGTCATTGTCTGCTGCACGACTACGGCTCGCATTATCTGTAAACTGTCGACCAGACCGAGAAGATCTGAACTGCGTAGAGGTTAGTTTGAAATGAGCAGCGCCAAGCTGGATGATCAATTTCACAGCAGAATGATCGCGAACAGAGATAAATGTGACATTCGCAAAATACATATAAATGCAAACAAATTGAAAAATTGCAAAAACATCGCAGAGTGGACCATCAAGATTAACTGGCAAGTGAGCGAGCACGGGTACTTACAGTAGGTGCCATGATGGATCAACGGCGGAGAACACGCTCACGCTGCCTTCAATTAACGTCGCAAAACCGGGAGTTATGTTGTTTCTGAATCGTTGGAGATAGACTAAAGCAATGCGCCAATGGAGCCAATGTCTGATGTCCCCCAAGGTCGATGGGACACGCGTAGGTAGCCGCCAGATCTGCGTGACTTTACTAGAGCGCGGAGCCTTTGCGGAGAGTTTGCGAAATGCGACGAGGAGAGGCGATCATGTGACTACCTTTTCCGGCGTAGCGTGTTTTTTGCAATAAGCCCTAGCTCATCTCAAGATGTTATGTTAATCCATTCCTAATTGAAATTTAATTTCATAGTTCGGAAGTAATAGTAAAGAATGTCTTATCTTTATGGAGCCTGAAAATACAACGGAAAAACCTGGATGTGGCGATAAATATGAACGTATTTCGAAAATATTATGCCGGAGAACATTCTTCAGGCTGACTGTAGACTGAGAACATGATCGCCTTTCACATGTCTCATGACTACCTGATTATTTATATCATTTTGAGTGGAGATGTATGACTAGATAATATCCAAGAGGATATGAAACGCCAAATAGATGGAAATACAGAGTTCTATGTATACAGACGACGTGTTTTCCTACTGAACAGAGCGAGATTGGTTGCAATGGTGCTTTAATATCAACAGCACTCTTTCAGATAGAAACAACCAGTCAATCCCAGCTGTAAAGAGCAGGTTAGTTATGTGAAGAAAACACAATTTGGCTATGTACTCACCCAGTGTCTTTCTGACGTACGATATCACCCTTATCCCCTGTTTGCTTGCCCTGCAATAATTTTATTAGATGTGTTTTTAGAATTGTTGAATGTGATAAATTTCTCACCGTCTTTTGCCCCTCAACGACGAGTCGATCAAGCTGATAGAATTGACTAATAGTAGTTTGCCTCTTTAATTCTCGGCGTCAGTAACTAATCCAAAAAAGGGCACTGCATCCCAATCGTAATTCAAAACTTACCTTCATCATCCTCAAATTCTTTATACCATCCTGAACGAACTCCTGAATCTTCCGCGCGTCAACCTCCTTCTCATGTCCCCGAAACGCATCCCTCGTCCTCCGGCGGGCGTACTCCCGGAAATTGTAATTTGAGAATTGCGATGATTGACGCAGCAAAGAGCGGAACTGAAGCAGACCCCAAACGTTAATTGCGACTGTTCTCAACTTGACTATATTCTGACTATTTACATACCAAAGATCGCACCTGATAAGCGGTGTCGCGAGGTAGCTGAGTGACGGACATGGTGATGAGCGATGATTATAGGATAAATTTTTGACGTTGAGGTAAGGAATCGTGAGACGAAGATGAAATGTGGCTCCGTCGCGCCGGCAATATCGGATAGACGATATTTCACTCCTCGAACCACGACAGTCGTAATCACCGGATATTCAAGGCTGTGATTTATTTTTGGTATCCGAATAAAGTGTATTCCTCTGATAACCAGTGTATGAATTCTCACTGCGTTGTATACCTATAGTAACAGCAAAAAGCGAGATGGCACATGGGGGATGTGTATGTTTTTTTCTTCCTCACACTGTAGTGCGATCGCAGTACCTATAGAGGGAGATTTGATTAGTATTTTGAATTAGAAACATTATAATGGGGTGAACAGAGCACATACCAGATCTCAAGCTGTGCGACGAAGGTCAGCAAAATAACAGCGAGTTGAGGAGCACTTTTTGGCTCTCTCCGCTCCGCACTCGCCGGGTCTCCGCGCGCCGCATCGGACTTATGTGGTTCCGGCGGTATTTGCCATGAAAGGAAACGTCATAAACTGTCTTGGGAGATAAATCCCGACTAACAAAACACATTACGTTGACCCGCCTTGTAGTAAACAAACTACTCTGAATTAAACAGGTATATTTACATGGCACCGAATAAATGAGAACCAGAAATGGCGCAAATCCCTACCCCACCATTATCTCGTGAATCCTCTGTCCAACCTGTAAAGGTGGCCGGCTATGTTTCGGATGACAAGGTCCAACAGCTGGACAAGCTTTTGGAGCACTATCTTCAATTGATAGATCGTCATCAGAAGTTGCAAGAACAATTAGGAAAGAATTTGTCCTCGGTATGTAACCACATTTGCTATATAATGCGGCTCAATCTGACTGAGAATCGAAGGGGGTCTTTTCGCTTACATATGCAAACTACTGCTCACCAACACGAAGATTTGGCGAAGACTACTATGATGAGCGTATGAAAGCTACGCGGAGATTGTAAGAAAGATGGATGTTTATTTTTGGAACTGCGTAGCTAATTGTAATCAAGAGAAATTACTTCACATTCTCTAGCAGGCTTACAAGCTGGCTCGAAGTGGGAGGTGCCTGAATATAAGGTGGAATATGAATCGGTTCTACCCCCAAAGGACAAACAGGGTACTTCCCGATCAAAACAAGAGACCGAAAAGGCGCCGCCTGGTAGTGAAAAGAGCAATAATCACGATGACCAACAGAGCGCTTCGAGTGGGACCGAGGCCGATGGGCAAGAACCAGAAATATTAACACCTTCAACATCATCAGAAAGCCAGGACATCGTCGATAACGACGGCCCTGAAACTAAATCTCAAACAGGCGCAAGGAAACCATTCCGGTCTGACGATCCTATATCCTGGTATGGCATTTTAGTGCCTCCATCTCTGAGGAGCGCTCAAAAGTCTTTCACGGAAGCTATTGATAGCGATATACCCCAACTCGCGTCGGTGCTGGGGGAGATGCGATGTGTTGAGAATCTTGTTCGTGAACTGCGGAAGGAGATAGAGGCTACGTGAAAGTTACATAATTCGAGAGCTAGTCAATTGCGCATAGTCGTTGCATGTAAATGGATTGTACCAATGCTTGTGAAAGCTTGAATACTTTGATGTATCATTAGAATACTACATGTAAGCATCCTTGAGGATGCGTATTTAAACATGTATAATAAGTCTCTGTGACAACAAACAAAGTGGTGATAAAAATACATATTTGAGAACCATAACGGGGGAATACCAGAAGTCCTGATCAAGGAATAATATCAGAGTCGTTGTAGCTAGGGCATCTTTGCCTCTTCGGGCACCTTCCCTTCCGGTGTTGAGTAACGTGAGGACTTAAAATAACAGTATCGTCGTCTAGTATAACGCCCCGAACACTTGATCTTTCACTTTTACTTTGTGATGATGCCGCTTGAGGTGTGTTTCGGTTATTATTTGCTTTGGTTGGGGTTTCGTCATTGTCAATAGGAACCCTAGGCACGCTAGGAACTATAAGTAAGCCTTCCTCACTAAGCCAGCATGGAGGATATATTAGAGACAGAAGCTGTGGTAGTTGTGTTCCGTCACTCGAAAAGTTTTCGAGAGGGGGCATTGAACTGAGAGCTAATTGGCTTTCAGCATTCAAACTGCTATATGCAGGTAGTCCCTGAGCCTCGTAGGGTGGTATAGATGGCGATGAGAAAGGCGAATCCAAATTGTAAACCGGAATATGATCGTGAACACGTGAACTGTGCCCGCTCGTGAAAGAACGTTCCGAACAAAGAGAGGAAATATTGGCATTGAAGCGAGGCGGGCTCACAGCCTGAGAGGCAGATAATATGGGAGGAACCAAGAACCACCGGCTTGCTCTAGTGTCGTTGTCAGAATCCCGTGGGTACGTCTGATTGTGCAAGAAAACCCATCCTTCATGAGATAAAGGCGTAGGTATATCTGGACCAGGTAGGCGTGAATTTCCAGCGGGCTCATAGATGGGGATATCAGGAAGACCAATAATGTCATATTGAACTTCAGGCGATTGGCATCCTAGTTGGCATGTGGATGATGCGTGAACTTCAAGTGAGCTGGATCGACTCGGTGGGAATACACCAGATGCATCAGATAGCAAGGTGTGTTCTGCCTGTCTATAATCGAAGTTCCGATCAAAAGCAGAGCCCCGGAACTCGTGCAGATATTGAGGTCTCGTTTTTGGAGCTATAAGACGTGAGTTCAACTGATGATTGTGATTTTTCTGACGTCGAGATAAATATACAGTCTAATATACGTAGGTATTTCACTCGCACCTCTTTGCCTGGGCATCATTTCGGTAGAACTGCAACCGAACAACTACGTAGTGCAAGATGGTAAGTCTAGAAGATGAGATGAATTCGCCAAACTTATGCAGGTATGATTCACAGAATACTGCTATGTAAATGATGCAGAGGATGACTAGTCCGCGCAGGAGAGCCCGAGGTCACTGCTAGAAGGAGCTCATGTCACGCAAAGCAAGAGCGGCGTCGCAGAGGGAAAGAGCGGCCCTAATGCGGACAGCTTCCTTTTTCCCTTTTACCAGCTGAGAGTATCCTTTCTATTTTTTGATCATCGAATATCACCCGGTCCATGAAAGGAAACCTTCGGCCATCAATTGATCTTATGTTAAGAGTGTGCAGGTCGGCAATAATCATTCTTTTTCCATTTTCACCGACGCACGCCCCCAATGAAACCCTATTTCACAAGCTCGCCGAAATATAGGCCGTTCTCGAAGATTGCGGACATCGACCTTCTTCTTCTGTGCAGACTCGCCAGGCAATACTTTGGTAATGGCGCATCCCGTGACTCTCAGATAGTTTATATTAAAGTGTTGACGGCGCATAGTATTTACACTGTATGCGACTCGCTACGATGTACTTAATCTCGCTTGCTGTCTGATTGGGTGGGGCTGGCGGGCACCGGGTTGTTATTATGCGCGAATATGCGATATGACGGCCCGTCGATGGGAGAAAAGGTGGAGGCTTTCGGCTCAGTTTGAAACGGCGCCGTCGCTCCCCATGGACGCCATGGCCAGTTTTCATTAGCTACGGACGTCTCGAACACGAGAGAGAGCTGACGCTGAAGATGCGATACTGTCGCCTGATTCGACCACAACAGAGCCTGGACCAGCCACCAGTTGTCGAGGTCTATTGTGAAACTCTTAGACTCTCCTCTAAACACTTTTTACTCGCCACAATGTCTACCAGTGATATGCCACAATAGCCCTTTCACCAGAACCAGAACAATGTGTGGCCTTGGGAAAAAACCACCAAGGGACGAATGAATTTCGACATCGGCTCTCGTTGTCGTCGTATCTTCTGCATTGCCCTATCTGACAGGCTGGCCCCATGAATGCATATTAATGCAGGGAAGAATGTGTAGCAACAACCCTGCTAGCTTGTTACACCCAGGGTCAAATTGTCGCGGTTGGAGACTAGCACCGACGCCTCAAGCCTCCCACAACGGCACAACCCCAAGTATGGCTAGACTTTACATTAATCATAAATTATTATGGGACAGCCACTTTTAGCGTTTTGACTCGATTCAACCCGCCGATGTCTCTCTTGCCAGGAGGGGCTAATACGCTGCGACGCCTCGCCGCATAGAATAGTCCCCGGATGGCTCAGTTGACTTCTTCAAAACTTCTGCAGTCTTTCTTTCCCCTGTTTTGAGCTAGACGCTCTCTTCTTTCTCTCACACAGCTGGCCGTGGAATCGTCGTAGCTTGTGTGTCATGTTTAGCTGGTACCTGGGATTTCTAAGACTCTTCCAATGATCCTTCTGTTGTGAATTTAGGTAAGAGACGCCGACAACTGTCAAGCACCATGGATAGTCAAGCTGACCATGACCTATAGGCATTGACTGCCAATCATTCTCTCATTTACCTTCCATTCATTATTGTCATTCGTTTGCAGCTGGGACCTGCCTCTTAGAAACCTGCCACTGGATTTTCCATCATTTTCATGCAGAATTTGCTCTTGAAACCTGATTTCGCTCTTCAAAACACTAACAGGAAGGTCGATCGTCATTTGTGGATCATCTGATTCAGCCAAAAGAATCAAAAATTTATATCCCTGCTCAATTCGTCATCAAACACAAGGACTTCAAACCACCTTGATGGTTGGATTTTGTTCTCACGTACCAATACTCGACTTCTATCACATGAGTGGCTAGAAAATCTGTTCATCGACGTCGTCTTTTTGGGTCGAATTATCATTTCCTTTTAACTCTGATCAATGAGTTCGAAGTCGCGAGCTCCCGGGTTGGAGAGGGGGGGTTCGGTGAAACGGGCAAGGGAGATGCTAAAGGCTGGAATGCGTCCCCAATATAATGATGAATCGAATAAGCCCCCGAGTGCTTCACAGTACATACCGCCTGTACCTTCATATGTTCCCAAGGCACCTCCTCCACCGCGACCAAAGCGACCATCTTACTACGAGAATTCAAGCTCTGAGGATGTGAGTGAAGGAGAAATCAACATCGGTTATCAAGTCGACAGTGATCATAGAGATCCCGTGCCGGCTATGCCAATCCAAGGATTACATGTGGTCAAACACACGGGCCCTCCGCCAACTTCAAGAAGAGGACCATCGTCATTATATTCTCGCCATCCATTTGTGTCCCCAATTCCTGAAGAGTCACCACAGTGGGGAAGAAGTAAGAAGAAAGGATCTTTTGCTTCGAGTGCTGCCATTCCGTCTAGCTGGGGATCTGATGGACCTGTATCCGATGGACCTGTTTCCGATATCCTAAATTTTTATGACTCGGGCAATGATTCGGATGGAGATCGCGATCCATCGACTCTCGTACGCCATGCGAGCTTAGGGAAACGTGGAAAGCCAGCACTGCGTACCATCAGCAAACCACAATCTGGAGTAGCTGCAGGAGAGAAAAGCATGCCAAGTGGTCCTGTGCGTGACGAGCAAGACCAATCTAGTGGACATACTAATCCAGGAAATTTAAAAACCCGACCATCATTTGAGTCTGCCTCAACCGACACAGATTCGATTGATCTGGAGAAAAGAAGAATTGCTATCGAAGCGGAACAGGATGCAATGAATGGCGGACTGGCGGCAGTCGGTCCAGGAATGAGCAGCAAGAAGCGCAACCGACCCCCTAAATTGGACCTCGGCGCCGTCAGGGATGCTGAAGCTCGGGGAAGTCTTACAAGTTTACCTGACCTTATTCGGCGTGCGACAAGGGTTGCATCGAACCTGGAACATGGGCGAACGGCCAGTAAGATGGGGTTGTTGGATTTTTTTGATGGTGGAAAGGAACCTAAACGTCCAAAACCTGCTCACGCTCGCTCATCAGCGTCTCTTTCCGATATCTTAGCTTCTTTTCCACCACCTCGCACTGGCACACCGGATGACGGTGTACGAAGCTCATGGCCATTTCCACCAGTGGGTGTTTCTCGACTACGAAACATGGCGTCTAATGGCGACGATTCTTCAAAGAAGTCAAAGGGTAGACGTATTTGTGGGTTGTCTCTACCACTTTTCGTCACTTTAAGTATTATCGCATTTTTTATCATTGCAGCCGCTGTGATCATTCCTATCGTTCTTGTCGTTCTTCCCAGATCGACAGATAATACGGTATCTACCGCTAGTCCTGCCAATATAACGAACAATTCTACGACCATAGATTGCGGGCAAATATTACCATGTAAGAACAGTGGTGTCAGCGTCTTATCAAACAATAGCTGTTCTTGTGTCTGTGTCGATGGGTTCTCAGGTTCCCAATGCGGAAATGCTACAGATGGAAGTTGTACCACGACACAAATCTCCCAGACTGTCAATGCCACCGTTGGGACCTCTCTTCCTCATATCTTTGCCGACTCACAGTCTAATTTTAGCATACCTCTGAACAGCACTGAGATCCTCAGTCTATTCAACGCCCAAAATGTGTCTTGTACAGTGCAGAATGCCTTGGTGTTTTTCAATACCAAAGGCTCGAAAAGTCAACGCAGTTCTGCAACAGAAAACCAAGAGCCGCAGATAACCAAAGCTTCCAGATCGGACCAAGTGCGGCGGGATAATGGAGACAGCTCTTCTCTTGATGCGCCACCTCCTATTCTCAGTGTTCCATCAACTACAACGAGTACTACTAAAATAGGAGGTCCAATGAGCGCATGGACATCAACATCAACATCTCAACCGACAGCTACAACGTCTACGTCAACATCAACAGCCTCTGGGTCGACATCAACGGGATTGAGTCAGCATATCTTTGACTTTGCTCGGGTTGCCGTTTTGTTTATTTTGGAACAAACACAAAATGTGGATACAGCATCGACTGCACGAAGCGATATTGCTTTGTCGCTACTTTCTAAGTCAGATGCTCCTGCCGGGAGCATGAAAGTGGTTGCAAACAAACAAGAGAGCTTTGTTCTGAATTTTGCCAACTTCACCATCACATTGCCGAACGGCACCGTGGTGGGTGGCGGAAACGGAACGGCAAGTTGAGCGGAATGTCTCGCATTGTATGATTATTTTGGCCTTTTTTGAACATACTAGCACCTGCTGGCCTTCCTTTCTCTCATTCATGTGATTGGTGGACAAACACGCAATCCATTTAGCTATTTCATTTCAGTATCTCTTTTTCCGAATGGATTTTACCATGTACTGTACAGTTGTTTTCTGTCTATATGAGCTTGACCGATCAACCATGGTTGATGTTAATAAAAACGGTTTCAGATATGCCCTCAAGAACAACTTTCTAATCATCCCCCATTGATTGCTATTTCCTTGCAGCGAAGCACCAGCCCCCCGTATTACCCTCGACGCGTAATTACTCCGCACACATCCACGTTTTTAGCCGTGCAACACGGTCCTGCATCGCAACTCAGAAAATTGTGAAGAGAGACTCAGCCACTGACGGCAGTAGGGCCAATACGTCATCAAACCTTGGCTCAGCCAATCGGATTCCCGGGATCAGACGGTCCGCACTGAATCCGGCAAGTCCGGGAGACGTCCCCACACGTTCGGGATGGACGGGTGCATTAATCTTTTCAATCATCATGAAAATGAAAATAGTCTGCAGTATCCGTATACACTTCAAACAGATGCTGATACGTACGAGGCATCTGGAGACACTAGGGATGCTTTCCCCCTACGTGCATGATCCATACGCCGTGGACAGACCCGATACAATGGATGTACCTGAAGCCACGACGAAGTGATTGGTTTTTATGGTTCCTAAAGATCGACATAATTAATTACCAAAAACCTAACACCACAGCACGGATACCACAGTTGCATCTTCTAGAAAATAATGTGCATTGCTTATGATTATACTTCTGCTTCTGCTCAGCTGAGCGTCCTGATGATGCCGGGAAATCTTCGGCTCGGCGTCCGGCAGTCCATCTCTCGGCATCTTCGGGGTGGTGGCAAGGATTGATTCCATGAATCGCGACCGCCAGACTCTTCGAGAACCATTCTACGCGGTCTGTATCCGCGCGGATAGCATTGAACTCTCGGACCATGCCGCGGCGAAGTGTGGCTACGTAATTTCAATGTTCAATGTTCAATGTTCACTGTTGAATTTGATTGTGCAGTCTTCTCCAGATATCAATCTCCAGACGGGTCCGATGTCATCATAAGGCGGAGATGGCGGGATAAACAGCAATAAATAATCAAATAATCAAATATGAAATATTAATACAGAATTCTCACACCGGTATTAAGATAGGAAGGTGGACGACGACGAAGAACTAAAGCCCGACACGCCATTTGCTGAGGGTAGTCTTCGTCTCCACGTCATTTGGAGCCAAGGTTGAGGCCGGATCCACACACCCGGATTGGGGTTGCCCTCTTTCCTCAGTGGCCCATGGGGTTGACTGCGGTGCCACCCCAGCCTGCAATCGTGCGGTTCTTGCACATTATAAATGCCATGAAGCCGCCTGCAGATCGTTGTCTTCTTTTGCCTTTTCCCTTTCACAGTCATGTATATAGGTTTTCGATCCTGACTCCCATACATATTCGCTAGGCACTCTGCCGTCGATCATTGAATATCAATTACCCAATACCAGCCCATTGGCATTGGTCACATAATGTCATCCTCGGCGCCTCTGTCGTCGACCGCTGAGAACAGCAATGACGTCGACAACGTCCATGAAGAACACACCAATCAAAACAATGTCAACGATATTGTTCCCAGTCTCCCCAACCATCTCGCCGAGGAGAAAGGCGCTGATCTCGTGGACAGCCCTATTCCCCTGTTGACATGGCGTTCCTTCGTTATGGGTATTCTGGTCTCTATGGGCGGTTTTGTTTTCGGTTATGACACTGGCCAGATTTCTGGTTTCCTTGAGACACCGGATTTCTTGGAGAGATTTGGACAATGGAACGGCACCAAATTTTACTTTAGTAATGTGCGAAGTGGTCTGATTGTCGGCCTGGTAGGTTCCCACACAATATTTGATTGGTTAGGGTTAGATACTAATTGAAGGATAGTTGTCAATCGGAACATTGATAGGTGCCTTGACTGCCGCTCCCATCGCAGATCGCTTTGGCCGCAAATGGAGTATCTCTGGGTGGTGCGTGATACTATGCGTGGGGGTCACAGTGCAGATTTCATCACCTTCAGGAAAATGGTATCAAGTGGCTGTTGGTCGCTTAATTGCTGGTCTTGGTGTCGGTGCCCTGTCTCTCTTGGTACCCATGTATCAAGGTGAGAGCGGTCCTCGACATATCCGTGGTTCCTTGATTAGCACCTACCAGCTCTTCGTCACCCTGGGCATTTTCGTTGCATACTGCATTGACTTTGGTACCGAGGCCAGATCTGACACTGGCTCATGGCGTATCCCCATGGGCATCACCTATCTCTGGGCCATCATTCTCGGCGTAGGCATGTCCTTCTTCCCCGAATCCCCGCGATATGACTACCGAAATGGGAAGGTCGAGCAAGCAGTCAGCAACCTGGCCAAAATCTACGGCCTTCCCGAAAACCACCGTGCTTTGGCTCAGGAATTCCAGGAGATCAAGCAGAAATACGAAGAAGAAGTCTTGCGCGGTAAGGTAACATGGTTTATGATGCTGAAGGGAGACCGCATGAAATACCGCATCATGGTGGGCATGGCCTTGCAAGCTCTGCAGCAGCTTACTGGCGCCAACTACTTCTTCTACTACGGCACAACCATCTTCCAAGGTGCTGGTATCCAGAACTCGTTCGTCACGCAGATGATTCTCGGAGGCGTCAATTTCGGAAGTACATTCCTCGGTCTGTACAACATCCAGAACTTCGGTCGTCGTAAGTCCCTGATTGCAGGCGCTCTGTGGATGTTTATATGCTTTATGGTATTTGCTTCTGTTGGCCACTTCAAACTCGACCGTGAACATCCCGAAAGCACAAAGTCTGCTGGTATTGTGATGGTCTGTTTCGCCTGCTTCTTCATTGTCGGATTTGCCTCTACCTGGGGCCCCATGGTTTGGACTATTATTGCTGAGCTGTACCCATCCGAATACCGAGCCCGTGCAATGTCACTTGCAACAGCCTCGAACTGGCTTTGGAATTTCTTGCTTGCCTTTTTCACCCCGTTCATTACCGGTGCCATTGACTTTAGGTTTGGGTACGTGTTTGCGGGTTGTCTGTTCCTCGCGGCTGGGTTGGTTTACTTTGCTGTTATCGAGGGTAAGGATAGAACCTTGGAAGAGATTGATACGATGTATGTGAGAAGAGTTAAGCCTTGGGAGAGCTCCAAGTATGTCTTCCCTCCGGACGGAGCGCTGGCTGTAGGACGCGATTCGGAGCATACTGGGAAGAATGAGGGTCCACAGTCAACAAGACAGGAGAATGTTGCTTGAACGATCAATTGATCAATACATATGTATATGTACACTTATGATAAACGTTTGAATTACAGTATTCAGATTTTCTGCCTCTCGTCCGCGAAATATATTGATGCTTGTACCCCTCGTAAATAATACAAACAGTTCAAATACGATCAATATTGATATGGGGAAGGACCACCTTTGTGAATATCACTTGATTCAATATTAGAGTGATGTAAAAATATTATCTTTCTTCTTTAGAGTTTTAAAAGTACATGTAGTTGGGTTAAGTTATACAAACAATAAGAGTCAAGAGTATCAGTTCAACTTTCCTCAGTTTGGAAGCCTCCAAGTCATAATCCGTACCATACCCTGCCCTCCATCGTTTCCTTCCCTCATATCTGTAAAATCGATTGTGCCAACTTCCGTGAACCCAGCGTTCAGATACAGAGCCCTACCAGCTTCCGTGCTCCAAACACACATCTGCACACCTTCCTCCACCGCTCTGTCTATTACCCACCGAAGTAACGTAGTTCCAAACCCTCTTCGCTGATGGTGTGGAAGGACATATATTGCTTCAATGTCCCATCGCTCATCAGGAATCCCTAGGGCCGCGCGAGGAGGTGCAGTGTAGAGTCGCTGTATGTACTGTGCCAGGCGTGAGATGCTTATGCTGGAGTCCCAGCTACGTGACACTTCAAGACTACTATGAACCACGAATGACCTGACACCTGTTTTCAATATTAGTAAAAGCCAAGCTCTTTCTGGTCGATAACAAGGTGAAGCGTACGTGTAGGCAACCTGCGCCCTTCGGCCTGCCAGCCCAGAGCTCGAGACGATACTCCACATCGCTTGAATATTGCAAAACCGACCACATCTCGAGTATTAATAACTCTCGGATCAGTGATTTTCGGATTAGTAGTTCTCGGATCAGTAACACCGTCCTGCAAGGTTGCTGTATCGTGGTCCTCTGGATCGAGTACAATGACCTGGCAAATACATCCAGGCTGCAGGACTTTCAGTTCGATTGACCGTTTGGTCGATTTGACATGGTCTGTCCATATTCTGGCGGCTCTTTTAGGGTCGTAAACGTTAGTGTTGTTGGTACTGGTATTGGTATTGTTAGTATTATTAAGGCTGCTTCGTCGATATATCATCGCCAATGGATCCCTCAAATCACAGGCCGCCATGATGATGGCCATGGGGTATAGGTCATCAGAGCGATGATGTCGGATATACATTGTGCTAGGTGTTTGAGAGAATGGACGGTCGCATAAATCGCTGAATGGTAAGTAGTGCTAGTTAATGTTGGTTGTTGTTTAGAGAATGCTGAGTGATGGACGGGTGTTTGGAGAAGGGAAAGGCAACTGTTGTGTGGTGACGAAGATATAGAAAGAGCAATAGCGGCGTGCAAGGAAGGAGCATGCGTAGTCCTGGTAGATCGACGGACCCACATGGACATGCACATTCTCTAGACATGTGCTGATACCTCCTTTTTATTACTTTTACAACTAGAGCCCTTGTGAGATAGTGGATTCTTAGAACGAATGGTACACACGCGCTGGACGATGTTTAGTGTAAGTTCCGCACCGGAGATGAATTATTACAAGAACCTCGACATACTCGAAGATATTAAATACTGTACAGTTTCTGCCTTTGACTATAACTCCAACGAATAACTCCAATACAATGCGACGCAACGGACATAGATCGCATGAACAAATCATCAAAACAGCGATGTCCCAGAACTAGACGGTTTATACATAGTGTAATCACTCGTCAACCGCAACATCCTATCAGCACGGTCTTCAAGAATCATTCCCTCTGACTCCCATCTCTTGCGCTCTGATGTTTTCTGTTCAGCATTTCGTGACCCGCCAAACCAGGCCTTGCCAGAGTTTGCGATAGCTTCTCTTTCTGCTGTGGTAGCCCTGTCGACAAGGTGGTTGACCATAGTTTGCCAATTCTTCAGACCGACTTTGAGGCACTGAGAACATCGGTCGCGGGCGTCGGCTTTCTCATGGTCAACGCCCATTTCGAGTAACCGGGACTCGGCTAAGTCAACGGCGTCGCGCGTCCAGGCTAGGCCGTTTTCTTTGGATGATGTTGCATAGATTATTTCGCCGATGTATGTCATAAGGCCGGCTTCCTCACAGGAGGATCCAGCGTGTCGGACTGGGGCTTCGTTGCCGTCCGATGGTGCCGCAGGATAGACTGGCGGAACGAACATATTAGTGATCTTCTGAAGAAAGTTATCAAAGGGTAACTGTGGTTTCCCCGATTTTGATTGCTCGGTCTGAGTGGCTTCTTCTTGTGGTAAATTCCGACGAGCCTTCAAAACTGACGTGAAAATGGCCAACGCCTTTGATAGATCCCCTGTTTTTGCGTTGTGTACCGCTAGAGCAGTGGATACCCTCAGAATGTTATCAGAAGCGACATCCTTGCCGTTATTCTTTAAAACGCCGGTCGTCGTATCAACCACCCTCGAGGCATCATACGAGAGCCCTGAGGATGCAATGTCCATAGCCCAGCTATACATATCCCTCGCCGTGGAGGTTAGGCCTTTGAAGTCCAAATAGTCTGCATAAGCAAGAGCCGCTTCAACTTTTTGCTTTGTGGTAAATCCAGTTGTCGTCAGGATTTTTATATAGAATGTCTCCGGAGGCGGCGAGGCAGGAGTACAGTCCTCCTCGTGCATAACAGTAGTCTCTTTACCAGGCAGAGTCTTCGCATTTGGATTCGACGGCCCATGCACATACTCCGCTTTGGCAGTCATGCGTTGTTTCCAGTCGGTCATAAACCCTTCCAGATTCTCAGCCGCTTTGGCCGCACTCATCAGGCATTGAAAATATCCTCTTCTCCAAGGCTCGCTTTTCATTGACACATCGTATCCGGCCTTTCCAACCCCATCAATGAAAATTCCTCCGTCGCCTTGCTCCTGAATTCCCTGCCCTTCAATGTTCGGGTCTTCTAGTCGCTCAAGCAAGTCTTTGGTATATCCATAAACATTCTGCCACTGCGTAAGCACCTGACCGATTTCATGCGGATGTTGCAGGGCAATCGCAGAGCGCAAGGCCCATCGACTCTTCCATCCCCATTCAGTCGGCGTTGGCCATTTGTGTTCAATCTCTTCTTGATAAATACCAGTGCTAATCAAATGCAACATAAAGAGGATCGCATAGGCACTGAGGGCGATCTTGAGGCCCCGGTATACACCGCGCTTGTATTTCGCCCGCCGCTCCGTGTTGATAAGTCTGACGAAGTGTTGTCGGAGATGTATTGACAAGGGTAGCCGCCCTTGGGTTGGCGAGAGGAATGGCAGTTGGGGACGAAATGGCGACGGCGAGACGAAGGCCCGCGAGGATTTGTTGGTGAAAGGTCGTGGTCGTGAGAATGGTCTGTGAGGTATACTAGGCGGTATTCGCTTTGGTCGTAAGATGCCAGGCATGTGCCGAACTTTTATCTGAGGAGGAATCATTGTGGAATTGTCCACCGATTCCTCCGTTGGTTGATCGTCTGGTGATGGGCGAGTTTGAAGTGCTGCAATGGTTGCGACGGGCAAGTTTCGTGGAGAAAATGTTTGCACTGTTTGCATACTACAGGACCAGCTGCCACAATGTCTGATTTCGCCTCCTCCAAACGATGAAGAATCTCGTTAATTCGATGCTAACTTCTAAATTCTATTGATCTATACTGCCTTGGCCCAGGCATACTGTGTCTTTCCATGAACAGCCACGTCGCCAGCCTCATTTCTTGGAACATCCTCTCCGCTCAAGGCATCGTCAAATCGCTCTTTCAACTTCTGCTCAAACATTAACCAACAACCCCTTCCTAGCAGGCGCATCGCCATAATTATTCGCAGTATAGAAACTTACCTTGAAATCTTCTTCACCCAGATTAGCGAATTGACTGAAAGTCTGCAATCTCGACCACAATGCCTCTAGGGTCATGTAGTAGGTAAACGGGTCCGATTTCTCTTCGATCGGCGATTTAAAATACACCTGGTTCTGCTCGTCAAACACGGCTTTCCATAGGCCGTGCCGGTAGCGAGGGAGACTGTCATCATGGTGCCAGATCTCTTCTTTGATTACGATTTCCCATTTGGTGGTTGGTATGTTAGATTTATATGCATTCCCTTGTTTTCCAGTTAGCGGGCTTGAGAGAGTGGCATATCAATTGATCCAAGTCGGTGGGAGAGCGCCTTACAATCATCAACATGCCAGATGAGTCCTAGTACACCATTTGGCTTTAAAACACGACGTATCTCTTTGAGAGATTCAACATTCGCGAACCTATTCCAATGAGTCAAACCACATCTCCAGAAGTATCACATCAACCAACCAATGGAATGCCTATCGAAGCCATCAGCAGACGAGTCATCTGGAATAGAGTTGAAAAGAATAACAAACCTGCGCCGCAAATACAGCATCGACACTCCCATCCTCCAGCGGAATATCGTTCGCCCGTCCTTTCTTAACCGTAACTCTTTGTAGATCTTTTTTCTCTAACTCTTCCCGCATGTCATCATGGGGCTCGATGGCGGTGATCACAAAGTCCTCATGCCGAGCCGCAAGCGCTTCTGTAAATAGTCCAGTCCCTGCCGCTAGATCCAGTAGCTTGGCCCCTTTGTGATCCTTCAGGCCAATAGATGAAAGCAGGGTCTCGGTTTCTTGTGTGGTATAGGTCGGCCGGTGTTTGTCGTATGCAGAGGCGTTGGAAAAGCCAGTCTGAGCCGCGTTTGGAAGGGCTTGGGTAGTCATGATTTCCTTCTAGACTTCTACTTTTCGGAAACTACAAATAAGAATGATTGGATGGTGATTGGATCAATATTGCATGAGATGAAAATGCCAAAATATTGACGCTTAAATACAGATGATTAGATATGATGAATTTAAGGTGGATTGCGACATCGGTCTCGGGGACTTCTCCGATACACGCCATCGCTCTTCGTACCGTTCAACGGTGGCCTTTGGTGTCTTTCAATAATTACCATCGCCTACAAACCAGGGTCCGAAATTGATCGCCCCGAAGGAAGAACCTCGTATTAAATCAGCTTCTGGTTTGCCAAGGTCCCTAGCCGCGGTGGGGGCCCTCCCCTCATCTCCATTCAAGTCTGCGTGCTTACTGTCGTCTCAGCTGTGTATGCATCTACATATGTAGCATGACATAATCGTGATAGGGCTGTACCAATTCAGCATTATCTATAATATCACGACCTATCTTCTCCTTGTACACGGTGCAATTGATAGTCCCAAGTTACTCAATTATGGTTGATTAAGACCGCTGCCTAGATGAGTGGCATACAGAGATTCTATTGCAACCATCACGGGTGTGACAAGAGCTTTCAGAGGCGAGAGCACTTGAAGAGACATTCTCTGAATCGTACGGCAGGCCCTATGCTTCGGAAAAACAGACATGTTTCGTTGACCTGTTAACTAGACACCAACCAGACAATTCTGTGTCCCCGCTGCCAAAAGGTATTCTACCGAAACGACCTTTTGCAGCGGCATTTGATTCTCAAACACGGCATTCGCAAGAGCTCCCCCAACCATGGAACTGCATCAGATAAATCTCCTGGTCAGTCAGACGCTGGTTCTAATTCTACAGCGGAGCACATTTCATCCGAGAGACAGGACCCCGACCACAACATGAGTGTGCAGGAAATGAATGATAGCATGGATCATCATATTCAGCCTAACCAACAACAAAATCTTGCTTTAGTTCCAGATCAGGGACAAAGTAGTCATCATTCTGGAGGATGTTCTTATCAGACACCACCCAGCTATGAAAGAGCTCCTATATTGTCGGTGCCTAGTATTGGCCGTACGACAGCATTACCTTCAGCGCCGCCGGAATGCCCGGATGGGTTTGATATTGGAAACTTTTCGATTCAGTCAGCCAACGCTACCCCTCACATGGACTGGCTATTTCAACTCCAGCCGGAATTCCCTTCTGGAGTTGTCCCGGGTCAGCCAAATGCGCATACGGTTCAGCCCCTACAGCCAGTATGTACCAATGCGACTACATAATAAGCTCTCCAGCATCAATTGGCTGACAATAGACTAGGCTATACCCACCTTTGGACCGTCTACGATCAATAACCCCACGCAGCTAGACTTTGAAATGTATACGAATCTCCTTTCTCATGTCCCGGTATTTGAGCCCAATTTTCATAGACTAAAAATCAACAGCTAATGGGAAGTTGTAGACTAGAGCTGAATTCTCGTTTCTAATTGCGACCCCAGAATTGGCCTCTCGTCTCATAGAAAATGCCATTGCACATTTAAACTTATTCGCGCCATTTTTCCACAGCCACACACGGAATATCAACTTTCTCCCGACAGATATGTGTGCTTCTTTGTTAGCCATTGGCCTATTGATATCTCATTATAAGGGTGCACATGAGTTGGGTTGCATATTGCTACCGCAGCTGCGAGCGTCAATCCTTAAAGTAAGCTAGGCACTTGAATATTATTGAGCTCTTCACATGCTAACTGCCAGCGTCTTGTAGTTGATTAACAAACCAATAGGATACCCACAAATGTGGATTCTCGAGACGATGTCAGTATAGCTTTTGGACGATAGCCTGAAATCACTTCTCTCGCTAATAAAAGTGATAGGTTCCTTGTCGAGTATGCAGGCATGTTTTTCGGGGACCGCGCAGACGTTGAAGCGAGTGATATTATACACGGAGCTGTTGTAGCCATTGGACGACGACTTCGGATCGCTCAGTCCGTGAAGCTCTCATCTGCTGTCTCACCAGATCCTTCCCTTCAGCAGACATGGTACGATTGGGCCAAAAAAGAGTCGCTTAACAGGTAGGTGATGATCGAGTATCTTGTTATACCTGCTAATAGTTGTAGACTCGCATACTGCATATTCATGAGCGATGTTCAACATGCTGTATTTTTCGGGCATGTCCGACCAGTGTAAGAATGCCTCTCAGGTTATAAAATATTTGATAAACTGATACCCCCGATCATAGGTCTTCTCCACTTGGGATCACTCTCGAACTCCCATGTGATGATGCATTGTGGAATGCCCCAAGTGCTGAAGAATGGGAAATCCGGTTGAGAGAGTCAAATTCGTCTTCAATCAAATTCAACGAGATCTATCATTCTCTAACGCTGAACGAGACTCACAATCTAAAAGCACTTTCCTCAAAAATCTACTCCAACTTTCTGCTTCTGACTGCATTTTCATCTCTCGCTTTATCCGCTAAAAAGCAAACAAAGGACCCATTTTGGAATGCTAGTCAAGCGGAAAATTGTGTGAAATTCGCTCAAGATACTTTGTACGGCATTATCACCCTCCATCCTTCCTGCACACTTCGGACTAGCTCTCACATGACTTATCACCTAACCGCAATTTCTCTCTGTACCACCCTTGACCACCTTGAAACTGCTACGAATGTCGGCTACTCCAGAGCTGGCACAACTCCTGCAGAAGAGACTCGTCTTGCAACCATGAGACTGCTCACCCGCGAAAAAGTCACCACTGAAGCTGCCAACCACGCTGTCGAGCTATTACGCCTTTACGTTGGACAGCGATCTTCCTCTCCGAACCAAAACCCCAACCCCTTCGATGGAGTGCTTGAGTCCTCGCCATTTGAGACAACCGCGCTGTACTTTGGGGTGCTGACGCTATGGGCCTATTTGTATTCCCAGGGCTTTGATTCGGAAACTTCAACCTACTCTTTCTCTCAACCGGAACAAAGAGGAATGGTGCCAATTTTGGACGATCTTTCAACTGCAATTAATGCTGGAGATATGCACGGCTGCGTGAAATTCTGGAGAGAGATTGTTCCGCCGGTTACATTACGTTTGACGGAGAAAAAGGGTGCCAATGCTAGGGAATACGCTACGGTGTTGAAGAATTTGGCGGCTTCTTTAGTTTGATCTGTATTTTGATATCGGTAGGAATGGTTCGATTATGTATATGATTTATATTACTCCGATCTAAATTCAATCAAGATGGTTCGGGGACACTTCTATGTCAATTGATGACTGGATAGTTGACGTTATTCATCATGCTAAGTTTTCTGTTAGCATCCTTGGAGAAGACCAAGTCAAAGATGGCTACTTACAAACACTGTTATTTTCCAAGGTGGATTGCAGGTCCTCAGGCCCTTATCTAGGGTCTTGATGCAACTCATATCTTCTGGGTCAAGGTTGATATCTTGAAAATTGGCATGTATCCTAGTAGGCGTCACCGACTATATTGGCAAATTAGTCAATGTCAGCAACATTAGGCTCTGTAGTCTCGAAAGTCACAGGAGGTACTAACTTTCGTGAGCACTGCATACTCTCTCTGTATGCCCCAATTAAGCAAAACTTGAGCAGGCTGGCAGTTATGCTTTTCGGCGATTTCAGTAATAATCTTTTCTTCCTTGAGCGGAGTATCATTTGACCCTAGTCTTTTAATCACAAGATTAGACTTCTGAAATCTAATAACAGCGAAATAAAATGGGTCAACTAACGGTGAATAAGCTGTCAAAAGAATCCCCCTCTGCTTACAATACTCCCAAAGTCGATCTTGTTGCAAATACGGGTGTAACTCGACTTGATTCACAGCCGGAACGACCTTGCTGGACTGACGCAAGACTTCGAGGTTATGGACATCAAAGTTGGAAACTCCAATAGCTCTCACTTTCCCTGTTGCTAGGAGCCTCTCCATACTTTGCCATGTTCTCGTGAAGGGATGATCGAAAATCACATCTCGTGTGCCATCTGGGAGGAGAGGGAAGGTTGGAGGATTGCCATTAGGGTTTAATGTGACGGGCCTTTGAAGTCAAATCATCTCAGTAAATATACCAACTGCTGACAAGATCAGGAATGGTTTTACCAGTGCAGAAGATAAAGGTCGACATATTCCACACCCAGCTGTTTCAAAGACAGATCGAGATTTTCCTCGACGCGCTCGTGGTATGTGCTCCACCTGAAAGTTTTCAACTTTAGAAATAATTCGATAACTCTCGCTTGTAACAGGAACTCGCAACGCACAGTTTCGTCGTTAGAAAATATTCTTCTCTATTCAACCCACTATCCTTTAGGGCACTACCGACTTCGGATTCGTTTCCGTATATCTATTTCTCTTCGTCAACACCCGATAGCAAGGTAGCTAAAAGTTTCACTCACCCACGCGCAGTCTATGTGCCTATATCCGGTTTTGAGAGCTTCTAGCACCGAGGAGTAGGCGTCATTCGGGGCTGATTTCCAGGTCCCAAATCCTAGTGCGGGAATGGGGTGACCGTTATTAAGATGGAATTTGTGACCTGAAGCCATTGTCTACCGTGCGAAAGACAAACACGAAAAGTATAGATCCTAACCTCTAATGTTGAAATGAAGGTATTATTTGCGGCGTGTTCTTACGGTAGTATCTGATATACTTCATCTAGGAATGAAAATATGGCCAATGTATCTCGGAAACATGTCCGGTTTGGTGCGGGATAAGTCGATGTTCATCCCGCAGCAACCAACCCGCAGCAAACAAAGGTGGCTTTTGCTCCCAAGTAACATCGTAAGAAAAGGCTTAATTATGATCTCATAGCATTTCATGCAATGTTGGTAGACTCTTGGCTCTTTAGATGCTAGGTGAAATTGTTTAAAACTGTTAAGAAAGCGACACATAGGGTTCGAACGCTTCAATTATCATCAATATAACAGTGGTTTGCACTGATAGAGACAATTCAATAAATGAACCAACTGAAACAAGCAAGATGAATGGGTTTACAGGAGAAAATCGGTTATATGACCTTATCATCCTCGGTGCGACGCCAGGGGGCATAAGCGCTGCTATCTCGGCCGCCAGATTGGGAAAGAATTCTTTGATACTGGAACGCACCCGATTTATAGGTGGTTTGCCTGCCAATGGCTTAGGCGCCACTGATATAGCTACTCGTGGAGCGACTGGGGGCATTTTTTTCGAATTCATCCAGCGCATTAAGCAGAAATATGTTGACAGATTCGGCTCCGAGTCCAAAGAAGTTGAAGACTGTAGTGATGGGTATCGATTTGAGCCCAGTGTCGCCGAAGTGGTCTTCACTGAAATGCTGGAAGGTTACAAAACCAAAGTCGATGTCTTGAAGGAGCGTCAATTTGATTTCCAACCGTGGGATTTGAGGATGGCGAAAGATGGAACAAAGATACAAGCCATCCATGTGACTAATCTGAAGTCTGGTGTCCGCGAGACTTATCGTGCATTGTTTTTCGTGGATGCTACGTATGAAGGTGACCTCATTGCAGCTGCCGGTGTTCCTTGCTATATTGGCCGTGAAAGTCGAAGTGAATACGGCGAGCTCGGCGCTGGAAAGGTCTACAAGCTTTGGCGTGGCCCCGAGTGTGTTGGAACTGATTACACCGGGGACAACGCAGTACAAGCTTATAACTATCGACTCTGTCTCACCGACAACCCTTACAATCGAGTCAGCATCCAAAAGCCAGCCCACTACAACCGAGATGAATACGTCTCTCTTATCCAAGACGTTAAAACCGGTGCACATACCAGTATGGACAGCCTTGAAATTTCGCAAAAGCAACTAGAAGAAAACGCCAGAAGAGCAGAAAAGAATCTGCCTCCGGAACCTGATTACATTCCAGGAATTCAACGTCTGTCGAGTATTTGTAAATTACCACTCGACAAGTGGGATGGAAATAATATGCATTTTGCATTTATCTCGACGGACTTGCCAGAGGAGAACTGGCCATACCCGACAGCGAGCTGGGAATGGCGCGATAAGTTTGCTATCCGGTTACGTGAGTACACCGAGGGGCTTTTCTACTTTGCTCAGAACGATCCGGAACTTCCTCTTTATTTCAGAGAGAAATGCAAGGAGTGGGGTTGGGCAAAGGATGAATATGTCGAGAATGGTCACTTTCCGAGGCAGATTTACGTCAGAGAAGGGAGAAGAATGAAAGGAAAGTACCTTTTTACAGCACACGATTCTTTACCAACAACATACAATGGCCGTCCTCCTGTTCACTACGATAGTATAACGGCGAGTCATTATCAGTTGGATTCACATGCAGTACGCAAACGAGAAGCCGGTAGGGTTCATTTGGATGGGTTTCTGGGATATCCTTGTGCTCCATACACAGTGCCATATCGGGTAATGATACCAGATTCACCGGTTGGAAATCTCATCGCACCTGTTCCTGTGTCTGCAACACATATTGGATTTTCGACATTGAGGATGGAGCCGTGTTGGATGGCGCTGGGACAGGCTGCGGGCATTGCGGCGTCGCTGTGTATTGATGAAAAGATAGTTGCGGGGGATGTGTCTATCGGACAATTACAAGATGCACTACTAAATGAGGGAGCCATATTGGTTTATCAGGCAGGATTATTAGAGAGTTGGAAAGAGGGGAATCGACAGGAGTTTGCCCAGACACAGAAAAAGGAATTGCAGATGAATGGGATCAATGTGAGAGCTTTTGGGTATAGACAGAAGTAGGTAAGATATAGGCTGACTACATGTAGAATGCCTGGTTTATTCATTCGGAAATTTAATATTATAAACAATCGGAAATAATCTCGGTATGGAATCGTTTGAATAGCTGAAAAGAGTACAAAGGACCTAACCAACCAATAGGTTTTTGAATTCTAACGGCCCTGTAGCTTAGTTGATTTAGAGCGCCAGTTGACCTACATACCTAATAATAATAACTACTATCTAATAATTTTCCCAGGTGGTGCTAAGATCTTAATGCTAAGGCTAGTATTCATATGCTAATATTAATTTTCCCTTGCCAGTTCTTCAACCGTGTCGATTAGGTCAGTTTAGAGCGTGAGTTGATCCATATATAAAAATAATTATCAGAACAATATGGCAAAATGCTGGGTCTTAGAAACCTAGAAACCACCCTAGAACTTTTATACATCATTATATCTTATTTCTAGTTTAAAATACTTTTTAAAATATATATATATATATATATTTTATTTTAGTATATTGATTAATTAATATTTCTATATTTTATCTGTTTTCTTTATTTAAGAGTGTCCCTAAGGACATTAAGAGGTTAGTAATATATTAAGTAAAGTGATTAGTAGAAATGCACCTAAACTGTCTCACCTACTTGAGCGCCTTCCTTAGGGTGTTCCTTAGTGTTTGGGGGCTCGCCTAGGATCTACATTGGATGGTATTTCAACGCTAACATTTATTGGCTTATTCGTAAATATGATTAATTAAGACTCATGCTGTACGCGATCGGCCTAGCACCATATAAAGTTGCTTCTTTGCAGCGTAAATGCTATAACAAATTTATGCTGCATTGTTCATAGTCCTTTGATTATTTGAAGTACCTACTTTTTAATCGCTTCATTAATCGCTCCTCAACACCATGGCCGACACCGTCAGCAACACCACTCCAAGCAGAAACTCAAAACTCACATTCCGCGAGGTCACCGAAGACAACTGGCGTGCGGTCGCGAACCTAACCGTTAAAGAAGGTCAGATAGGGAATCTTGCCTCAAACGTATGGTCTCTCTGCGAAGCTGCTTACTCCGAAGACGCATGGGTACGAGCCATCTACGCCGACGAGACGCTTGTCGGCATGCTCATGATGGCAATATGGGATCCCGATGAGGCGTACTACATCTGGCGATTCATGATTGATGGGCGGTATCAAAGTCTCGGGTACGGTCGACGTATTGTAGAGTTCGCGATTGCGCATGTACGACAGCACAATCCTAAAGCAAAGCAGCTGGGTGTCATGTCAACGCCACCAGAAGGTAAGACGGCGGTAAATCCGCTCAAGACTGTTAAGCCCGCGGACTCGCCATTCAAGTTCTATCAGAAACTTGGATTTAGACAAACAGCGCCGCCAGACGAAGATGGTGAGATTATGATGATGATAGATTTGTAATTAGAGACAGTCAAACAGCATATAATACGCGCCCGAATGAGGTATAAAAAGACAAACTTAATAAATTGTCAGATAATCAAAAGTTCAGTGAATTATTTTCCAGAAAGCGTTCATGGACATCTACCAAATGCCTCTTAAAAGACATCTTCCCCTCCAAGACAATGCCCACACGTATTTGAAAGTCAGAACACGGAGTTAATTCGTCCAGCTTATATTGTTCAAGGCGAGATCGATGGACGTTTTTTTTAAGCGCGTATTTTCTCTTGTAGATGTGATGTCTTTCTTCTGAAAGAAGTGCGTCGCTCACCAAAGAGAAGAGACACTGGAAGCTCTGGCACTCTGACGGAGAAGTGCGAAGGTTAATCGATTCCATATGGGACAAGGGAGGCAATTCCTGAACAGGAGGCGTTGTCGGAGTAGCAAGTGCGGGATTGGACAAACACCGATGACGATCCCTCTTTTTACACGAAGTAATTATGTGGGTGAAGCAGTCGATATGTGGCTGAAACCATTTTGACCAACATAAACTGTCGGATCACTCAAGGCGTATTCTGCGATACGGCGTCATTTCACAATGCGAATCGGAGCCACTTTGACATGGAGATTGTCCTTTTATGATCGTCGTCATCATCTGACAGCTCATCTTTAAATTGCTCCTCAATCGCAAGCACAGGCGCCATTTGATCATAGGATCGCTTGAACTGTTCCAACAAAGCTCGGTCCTCGATTCAGATAGAACGAGTCAGCAATTGGTCAGGTGAAGGGTTTACTGTAGCAACTGCAATTGTAAAATAGCAAAGGAAGACAACCACAATAGCATGTCAACCATGCTTTCATCAGAAATCTTTGCCCTTAGCGAGATGCTTAATTCTGCTACACAATGGTCCGATCTGCAGGATATATCTTTCAAAGGATGTGACTCTATGACAGGAATAGGGGGCTGAATCATGATTACACAATTTTAGGAGTGAAGGATTTTGCAATGCTTTAAGGAGATATGCATTCTGAGATAATAGAGAGATGATGCTTCTCTAGGTATATCGTCATGATCTACGTGATTCTATCAATATTAAAAGATATGGGAAAGAAATTCGAGAAGCATATTTTATATTTTTTTAAGCCGATTTTGGGGAGTTATATGAAAAACAATATAGGTTTTACAACTTTTTATAATACTTAAGATATTTATATTTTTTGATTAGAAATAGATACTAAATACTTTTTTTAATTTTAGCTGATTTTGAAAAATCTTTCTTATGAATTGGTGGTATAGTAGTGTGTTCTTAGGTTGAAGCGGCTTATATGGGCTGGTGGTTTACCGATTACGTTAATAACATTAGGTCGTATGAAGACTGAGTTACGTTCAATACAGTATTGCTTTTCCGTCCTCGAATTCACAGCCGTCTTCTGGTACAATCCACGCATAGGCAGCACAGTCTAGATCTTAAGCCCCAAGTTTTTTGTAGACTTATATTTTCCGTCTGCGACTTGATCACACCTACCGAAAAAGACCACATCGTCGAATAACAAGTGTTCTGAAATACATGCGATTTCCCTCAAAATGCGAGTATATAATAGCCTTCAGGTGCCAGACTCAAAGCATCATTAGCACAGAAAACCAGAGAAGTGGCGAATATCAGGCCAATAGCCACCACTGCGGCAACATGAAACAATCTCTTTAATCTCACATATACACACAACGTATGTATTTTCTTGCTAGCTGGTTTTCCCGTCGTGTTTTCTATCTCTCCATCTGAGAGGAAATACGAAACAAACCTCACATGCGAATAGGAGGCATGATGCCCCCCTATTTCTTACATCTACCTATATCTAGTGGTTTGTATGTCAGTAATCCTATGGTATATGGAAATGGAAGAATTGAAGGGAATAAGTTTAGCCTGTCGACCAAAAAAGAAAGAAAGAAAAGAACACAATACAACCGAGGAGGGTGGACCTTGACGCTAGGTCTATTGGATGATATAGCTAAGAATTCATGATAGGACCCTTATTCCGTCCCCCAATATTTTCTTTTCTCGCCCAGCCTTCCCAATACAGGTGGCGCATCAATACAAGCTGTTACAGTACGGATGACTATCCTAGCAAGGATAGAACGCCGATATGATGCATTCATGAATACTTTTCCCCCGCGAGGCACTATCTAAGAATTTATTATAGACCCGTTATTTTATCGCCAGAGCTATTTTATTTTTTGACTCAGCCTTCCCAATACGGGTGGCGCATCAATACAGGCTATTACAATGCCGATCACCTTATCACCTTCCTTCTAAAGATCAAACCCGATACGATGTTTCTATGGTTTCTTTTTTCCGCCACTCTTTGTAATGAGCACAGACAAACAATTCAAATGTTGCGGTGTTGACTAAAATGAAGGTTTAAGGAAGATTTTGACCCTAGTTGATAGGCAGTGAAACTTTCTAAAATTGCACTCATTGTCCGCTCTATTCACTGCATGAATACCCTAGTCACAGACATACATATTGAGACTATAATGCTCAAATATGTAAATTAACCCGCATATATACGTAATCGCGTCGCTCTCGTCACATTATATCCATCATGATGGTATAATAGCATCTGAGATACCATGTACGGAACTATACAGTTAGTCCCTTTGATATTTTTACCTACGTCCACGTTTTGATTACATTGTCACCCTCGATCCGTAATTTCCGCCGTCGAGAACCTCGCAGCTAACGATACCAACTCCATTCAATCAAGGCTGAATCTTATCAAGTTTTTTCTATGCAAGTTGAAACTTCGCAGTTAATCCACACTTGAAAATATGAGTAACGACAAGCCTAAAACCGAATATATCAATTATGCCCCTGTGCAAGAGCATCGAGAATCAGATGCGATTAATACTTCAACATCACCGATTCTGGTGTTAAAGAGAGCGTCGCCAACATCTCCTGATTGGAGGAGGCGCTCGCAAAGTTCGCGGATGCCGAACAACATTGGAAAGACAGGACGAGGCAGGAGATTGGCTAGATCAAAAGATAGCTAGACCACGTCATAAGCGTGTTAGAGGGGGAAGAAGACGATCGGAAAGGATTACAGAAGATTGCAGGAAGTTCAGGAAGGGAAGTTATGGTTAGGTGAGTTTCTTATTCAGATCTTCTAATAGTCCAATCAAAAGCCACAACCTCCGCAACCTGCACTGGCTCTCCATTTTCCGTATGGAAAAATGGACTCCTCTCCACCGTAAGTTCCTTGCCCCTTCTGCTCCCTAACTTAGGCACAATGCTGACGAAGATACCCCAGTATAGCACACCAGTAACCAGCAACAGCACCCCGAGGGTCGGGACCAAGAACCACGGATAAGCAGTCATAAATGCCGTCGTTGGCGGCACCCAGAGAGCTATCAGTGGAAATAAGTTTGCCACGACGAAGAGTGTTGCAGAGGCAATGGATATAATACCGTTTGAAGGGGATTTTAAGTACCAGTGCGTCCTATTTGGCAAGAAGCGCAGACACAATAATCCGGATCCAATGATGACGGCTGTAACGGCGTCGACGATGTAGCTGTATATCCCATACACCACGGTGTATGCTGAGGCTGGAGATGAAACGCCCCAGGTACAAATGATAATGAGAAGAGTGAAAAATAAGTGCAGGAGTAATGCTCCTAAAGGCGTCTTCTCATAGAGGCCTTCCCATCCCTTCGTAGCCCGTGACTTTTGCGATTGGCGGTGTCGGAAGCAGCTTGAAACACGAGACAGGGCATCATAGTTCCTTGCGATCAGTTTCGAGAACGGTAGTATTCCTTCCTTGGCGATCTCTTGCTTCACCCTCGCAGCGGTGTACGTAGATACAATGACATTGCCCAACGAAGAGAAAGCCATGAAAGCGTGGAGGATTTCGGCGGCGTGTCTGTCGCCGTAAGTTGAGACGCGTCCTAGAGTGAGGCGAATGAAAGCCTCTGCTACATTACCAGAGACTTGGGTGGAAACCGGGACGACGATCATGTAGGCAATGTTGACGAGCATGTAGCTCACACATACTGTCCCAACAGCAAAGAGGACTGCAGAGCGAAAGACCTTACGGGGCTGGCGTATCTCACCGAGGACGTAGTTGGCTTGACTGAAGCCACCAAACGCGAATATGACGGCAAGATAGGCTTCAGCATATCCATAAGCTTCCTTTTGTGGGTTCTTGAACGAGTTGGTGGGAGACAGGTTCTCCGAATCAGGAGGTGGTGTTTTAAATACATTTCCCCCAATACTCATGAACCCAAGGAGGATGATCAGCAGCAGCATGAGGAGCTTGATCAGTGCGAAAACATTGTTCACAGCTATTCCAAGACGACGCCATATCCCATGCATTAAGCACACTAGTATCATAGTTCCTATCGCAATGCCCCTAACCCAATTCCCCAAATACCTCGGCGGACTCGTATCATAGACCTCCGTATAGCCACTCGCACTCAAGACATGGCTCGCGAACGACAGAGAATTCGCACTTGCGTGGCCGATGATAATAAAAGTGATGCCGTAAACACAAGAAGCGAAGAACTTTGGCTTCTTGACCAGATAGGTCAGATAGTTGAACTCGCCGCCCGAGCGTGGAGTGAATATCTTGGCGCCGTTGAACTCCCAGCGCGGGATAGAGAGACCATATTCGATGAAGACAAGGGCCCCGGCTATCGTAGCGATGCTACCGAGCAGCCAGAAGATGAGAGTAAAGCCAACGGATTGGGTGCCGTGCATTATTGCCGTGGGGGTATCGAAGATACCGGTTCCTAGAAGAAATAAGCCTAGCCGCGGTAGGGGAGAGAAGGGGGACTTACCTATCATTTTGTTTATGATGATACAGAAAACGGAGATATAGCCTAGTCGATATGGCTGTACTGGGGGCTTGGTAACGACTTTATTAGAGTCCTTTTGTGCGTTTTCGATAACTGCTAAGTCAGCTTCGTCGAGGCCAAGTTCGCTGTCATGGTCTCGGGAATGCACATCGATAGCGAGGTCATCTCCAGCCATTTTGTTGTTATTGCTAGATATAATACTTATGTAACTGAGTCCTGGTGCGTCTTTGAGACTATCGAGAGATCGAGGCGCTTGTCCGTTCGCTTTCTACACCTAACTCTGATTGATATTCGATCAACGTTGTCCTGTATTTGGTGTGGCTCCCACTGACAGTTCGAAGGTTCCAGGGCAGTGTTTCGACCAAGGTCGCTAGGTCATCATCGTACACCAAGATGGGAGAGTAGTAGGGGATAAGGCTTATGCTAGATTTCTTGTATAGCCTTGTGTGGCTAAGACGGGGTTTTCGTAATGCCCGAAGCACGCACATCACCTACCCCTCAGTGGTCTGAAAGCAACTGGATGGCTTGGCCTCAAAAGAAGGTAGATAAAGCCGTATTTGGACTGATTTTACCCCAGCCTCGCCGTTAATTGGACGGGAGAAGTGATATGTCATTTAATATGTCATTTACTTTATCTTTGCGGCCCCCAGCCTTGGAGTGCTCAGCCTCGTATTCTCGCCACGCCGTTGCCACCCCATCCCCGAGGTGCCTGCCCCTCACATGAGAGGGCAGATGCGCGTGGCCAAAAGTGTCAGCCTGGTGCTTCAGCGCCTTACATCGACACTGCCAGGAAACCCCGACTCGACACTCTTGTTCCTGTTCCAGCATTCAAGAGGAGAATGCCTATCTAGTCGAAAGCCTTCCTCGCTTTAAAGGCAATACATATGACGCAGATACCACAGGCATGAGCTTTGGATTCGGATTCGGTGATCTGGTGAGGTTTATCGAGATAGCGACGACGACGTACAGGTATGGCTTCAGCAAAGTGAATCGTGCTCGTAAGTGCAAGCCCTCCAGTCATATATTGCGCTGTTACAATCCGATACTATTATGCTGACACATCCTATAGCTTCTCTATACAGTGAGTTCGGGGATAATGTCAAAGGACTAGCCGCCAACCTCAAAGATCTCCACAAAGTCATTGAATCTCTTAGCCAAAATGGACAGCCAAGAGATTCTTCATACACAGACTCCTCATATGGGGTCACCCTCGTCGATATCATCGGGGACTATGGGCGTACACTGCAAGATTGCGAGAAATTCCTGAAGGACAAGGAATGTTTTAAGTGGAAAGACGGCTTCATCACGAACATTTTCTGGAACTTCAATATTGCCGGCAAAGTACAGGGCTTGAAAGATCGAGTCACTTTCTTGAATATCAAACTCATGACGGTCTTGAAAACCCTGGATGTGCGCATGGCGAATGAACTGCACATCAATATCTTCAGGATTCACCATGATCTTGCAATGAGGATTGACGGTGCACAGGATAGGATTATTGAAACGATTCAGCGGAGCTTAGCGGAGATTACGGAGCAGATTAGGACTGGAACTACGTCCACGACATCTAATTTGAGGCATTATCCAAGCGTCCTCGATATTCCCACTTCGCTAGAAAGTCTGTTCGAACAAAAACTTCAAAGATCCGGCTTTGGTTCTGATCCTGATCAGTTTCCGCTAGTGCGAGGTCTCGATGCAGTTGTTTATCACATGAGTGCTGCAAATACCATTGAGGTAGATAGCAAGGACTCTAAGATGGAGCGGCAGTGGCTCGCGATAGCAAAGGCACTTTGGACTATCGCGAGAGTGAAAGCTGGCCAGGAGTACAGGGATGCATGCTCATTTCGGCCATCTAGCAATTTCGAGATACAGATGAGGGATTGGGGAATCACTGTCGCAAGCTATGTGAAGGGCCTCGAGATCGAGCTAGTAGAAACCATCAGGACTTCCAGTATCCACTATCTTGAGCTCAGCCCACAAGCTCTCGTCCAGACCTTTGAAGCAAACCCAGAAATGTGGTTCGAAGTCGAAGACACTGTCGAAGCTACACCAACTTGGGAGCTCTCGTATAGCGAGAAAATAATGGATGCCTCGCTCAGGGGCCCATTTCCTGCTTACGACCAGACGATTCATATCTTCCGCCTCACGTCTGTTGACCTCAAGCTTGTTATCACTGACTCACCCCGCCCAGGTACTGTTGGAGAGAAGACCAATACAATCATCCCCGTCGACATGCGTCGCTCCCGCCTCATCCCTTTATATGCCACTTCCAAATCCACAGCCGGAGGTGATACCTGGAACGTATCTTTCCAAGGCGACCGTCTCGCGCCAGTTATCTCCGCACTTGGCTTCAACAAGCGCACCGAGCTCTTCAAGTTTCAGCACGTAATTACCGGGTACCAAGTTGTTCTCGAATCGGTCGGAATAGAAGCCATCACATTTAACGCTAACAAGATATTAGGCGGCAAGAAGAGCAAATACGTCGGTCGTTTGCAGCTATGGCGGGCGAAAACACCTCGAAATAGCCTCCCAAAAGATTCTCCTACCGTAACAGGTGGCTTATTAAGCTCCACTGTGTCTGGGACGGACCAATCTAGGATTATGGAGCCTGCTTCGCCATCCTCAATCTCGAGTGGAAGTCCATCGGACTCAGGCCCGCAATTCTCTAGCTCTGGGAGAAGGAGGGACTCATCACAGACGGCCGCTACCACCACCACATCCAGTGCTTCTTCCATCCCTGTATCCATATTTGGGACAAGTATTCACCGCAAGTCGACATTTACAGGCAGCAGCAGTGAGCTATTCCTCTCTCCGAACTTTTACACCACTTCCATAGTCTCCAATAATGGAACTGTTGGCGTCGTGCTCGAAAAGCCGGAACCGAGTCTACTTGTGCTACTTTTGCAGCGCCCCTCTAGGTCCGAGTCCGGGAAAGCTTCCAATCCTACCCCCTTTTCTTCTTTAGCGATTGAAATTGACGAGAATACAACTATCAATTCGTCATCCTGTGAATGTAGTAAGGATCCGAGTAGTTGCAAACGGGTTGTTCTAGAGAAGGATGGTAAGGCATTACGTAGTTTTCGCCAAGATGCCGCCAGTTTAGAAGAATGGAATTTGGCCGAGTTGGGCAAGGATCGGAAGAAGGAGTTAGTGGACGATAATGAGAGGCTATTATGGGTGGGGATTGATTTCGGAACAACGAGCGATAAAATCGGCTTTGAGAAGATGTTCAACAATCTGCGGATACTCTGGGGGCAGAGAAAGAAGAATATGGATTGGTGCTGAAGAGACTGAGGGATCAGGCTATATGAAGACTTGGCCTTTGATGGCGGCATGATTGAACCGTAAAGGGGTATATGAGGTTTCGTATTAGGGTATACTCGGCATTGCGGGTTGGAGGAGGATGTACCTAGCATTTTGGGCCTTTGGTGGACGATATTTTGCTGAAGTAGTGGGCGTGGTTAGCAGGAGGTTTAGGCTTACGCTGTAAGCTAGGATATCAATGTACTACTTCTATACTGTGTTGAACTTGAACCCTATAGGATTTTAGGATTTAAAGAGTTATTATTTTTCATACCAAACCAGCTATTTAAGTGTTGACTATCTATTCGGGTTGGTAGTCAAAGTTCTAGAGAGCTCACTCCAGCCTGGATGTGCCTTTTCTGGGAAGATGGGGTGAATGAGGTAACGCGCGGGATGGAGGACGGAAGACGACGTACGATTCTCGTGCTAGCCCGCATAAGTCGTACCAGCCTTATTCGCTCTTTATAATAAGTTACTTAAATTATACTGAATCTCTTAAGATAAGAATAAAATGGCACTGTACGTGGACTTTAACTATCAAGGAAAAGTGCGGGGTCTAAGATAGTGGAGGACGCCGTGTGGATCTTTCACATTTGACTTGTTATGGTAAGGCTCGTTTTCTGGCCAAGATGACTCAAGCCTCGTGCAGTGTGAGCGGTTGACTCATTTTCATCCCAACTCTAAAACCTTGGAATAAATAGCTATCGCTTGTTTGCGAAATAACTGACTGCGAAGATAGGCTCCAGGTAAAAAGAGAAAAATTTCTTCTTTTACAAAGGATATCTGCTCATTCTGATAGACCTATGGAATCCTTTAGCACCGTTCAAGGCGTTTTCACATCAACTATTTTTCTTCGTTCTCGGATGGGTGACTACACATATCTTCGTTTCGTACAAGGGGCCAGTATCCTTAGCTCGGACTTTGATAAAAATCAACAGTTGGCAATACTCATTCATCTCGTTTATTCTGTTTCTATCGATCCTACTCACTCGTGACACTCCTTATTCATCCTGGTCTCGTCAAGCGTATCACCTGTCGAAATTCTATGAATATATTGACATTATCCTGGTGCGAGCCTCAGGTGGTGCAATCGACGTCCACTTCGGTTTCCATCATTTGACAACACCGTATCTCACGTACTCGAGAGTTATTCAACACCACTTAGGCTGGGAAGTATTCGCTGCTCTTAACATCATTCACCACACACTGATGTATACATTTTTCGGTGGGGCCGAATTGTTTCGATCTATCTTGCCCTGGACTGAGATTGTGCCGTTGGTAGCTGGACTATCGACTTAGTTAGCAATTTTATGGATGAGATGGGATCCCTGGACGATAGGGGACGCTCCAGACTCGATATTAGCAAACTTCACAGCGACATGTCTCTTAAGCATTTATCTAGTTCTATTTACAAGAGATCTTTCCATCAGAAAGAAAGAATCGAAACAACGCCGAAGTTCCAATGAGAAACCAGAGAAACAGGCCTAATTAATTGACAACTTTCTCTTTCTAGCTTATAACTTCGTCAGTTGTAATGCAAATATCCACGTCTACCAACCGCAGTCTTATAAGGTAATATGTAAAATAGCCGTTAGATCCATTTTAGACACCAGCATGCTGGAGCCAATTGCGCTCAGTGTAAGGATAGTTCTGGGTACAATACAGAGTTTATATTTTGTCTTTGATATGCAGTAGTGTATATTGAAAATGGTTTTACTATTTATTATTTTCAATGTTAAATCCATAGATACTCACACGATAGTTGTAAATCTGTAGAAGAGATATAGGCTTGTGGAGGCAAAAACATACCATGTTTGTATGTTTATAATGATTTTGAGCCGCACCAGGGAAAGCAATGCTCCCTGTAGAAAACTCTGCTCGTAATCTACGATACAATCCACCACAAAGAAGCAACCCGCATCCAAAGGAAACAAAGCATAGATAATACAAAGGCATATCACCCCCACTCGATAGCCAAAGCGCATAGGGATCTAATCTGACGAAAGAGACCGTAGCCCAGGCATAAATTGCAGGGAAAAGGAAGAATTGCTCTCCAGAGCCGGGAGCGAAGAAAGCTCACAGAGAATTGTAAACGGACCTCTAGTTGATTTACATGGTATGTAAACCTCTACTGAGAATGAGGAAAGAAAAGAAAAAGGAGAGGCCTACGATAGATTGGGTTAGTACGTCTAGAGTTGATTAGGAGATAAGGGCTAGACTAGATAAGGTTAATTTGGTACAGTGAGTTTGATATTGTCTTTTCCTATTTGAGGGAAGCTACTCATAACCCCAACTATAACCCTAATCACCAACTGTGGCTCATGATAGTGAGTGAATTTATCATGTATTCTACTTAATTTAATCATTGACTAAAATAGGTTACTTAACCAAGCATTAGATATTCAAAATCTACAATCGATGCTGAACCGTCATCACCTGTTTACCCCCAGCGGCAGCTAGTGGAGCCGGAACATCAATACCTAACCCCAACGCAGCAACAATCTTCCTCCAACTCTCCATCCCCCTCTCCGCATGCAATCTCGGCGTACTCGGATCTGGATCCGCACAAGTCCTCGAAAACAACTCCAGAGACACCCACCCTTCAAACCCAATCTCAAAGAGAACCTCAGCAATCTTCAAAACAGGCAAATACCCACCCCTCTCCACCTCACAAGGGAATAACCTCGCATTTCGGGACCAGTTCATGCGCGTAGGTTGGCCCGCAACATAAAACGGATGTGACTGGTCTAGAGGCGCAGAAAGCCGCTCGCCGTCAACGAGCTGAATGTAGAAAATCTTCTTGATATCTAGATCCCCCGACTTAGCCGAGTCCCGCAGGAGCTTGAGCGAGGTTTCCAGGTCAGTTTCTGCCGTTGCCGTCTTCCCGGAGGGATGGGCTGGGTCCGCATAGATCCGACCGGCAAGGTTAAATGAGTCCAAGCAGAGTCCGAAATTGGATCGGTCGACAGCCTTGACGACGGCCCAGGCTGCTTCCCAGGTGTCGATATGTGTGGACCAGCAGAGGGCCTCGTAGACGAAGCGGAAACCTTGCTCAGCGCCGAGGTCTGCGAGGGCCTTGAGGTCTGAGACGATGAGGTTGAGGTCGCCGGATGTGCGGGGAGCTCCTGTTTCTGGGTCCGTGGGGAGGAAGTTCGCGGGGATTTGGATGAGGTCTGTCTCTAGGATGCGGGCGAGCTCGAACCAGAGCGGAAGCTTTTGGGTGAGGAGGGTGGATGTCTGTGTGCGGTCTAGGAGGCCCTCGTAGAAGGAGAAAGGTTGGAGGCAGATGACGGTGAGGTTAAGGGATTTGCAGACGGCTGAGGTGTGCTGGGCCGCTTTGAGGAGGGAGTTATTGAAGCGGGTTTGGACGAGGTCGTCGATGAAGAGCTCAATTCCTTGGAAGCCGTGCTGGGCGGCAACGTGCAGCTTGTCGTCGAGCGAGTGGAGGCCAGGGCGACCGAGGGACATTGTGGGGATACCAATTTTCAGGGCCATTGTTTCTTTCCCTAACTGTATTGTGGTATAGTGATGGAGAGGGAGGGGTTATATCCCGTGGTGTTTGCTCGACTCCAGCTGAGGGTCGAAGGAAATAAGGTTGGATATTAGGTGGTTTGGTTGGCAATAGCCAGTTATTAATTTGTCACAATTATACAATCAGAATGAAGTAAATTCAGAATCAAGATTGTAATACTGGATATCAGCAAAGAGTATACCGGGTAAACGCTTAATGTGCTGGCGGGAGAACGTTTTGCCCTGCTACTCCAATCCTAAGAAGGAAAATACTCCACCACGTCAAAGTCGAAAGGAATAATATATCTTTTATAAATGCAAGGGCTCAATCTACCCACAGACTCCAGAATCTAGTCAGTAAAATGATCCGCATTGTAATCATCGGCGCTGGCCTCATCGGCCCACGCCACGCACAGTCCGTGCAAGTGCATCCCTTAACCCAATTGACGGCCTTCATCGATCCCTCCCCAACTGCCATCCCCATCGCCCAATCATTCAATGTCCCCCATTTTCCCTCGATAACTTCTATGCTCGACGCCCTCCCAAGGCATCAACACCCGCACGCGGCGATCGTCTGCACCCCAAACCACACCCATGTCGCCGTCGCAAAGGAACTCATAAGCCACGGAATCCACATCCTCCTCGAAAAGCCCGTGAGCGACTCAATCGAATCCGCACAGGACCTTCTATCCACAATAAACGAGAGGCCAGATGTGAAAATCCTAGTCGGCCACCATAGACGCTTCAACCCCTACGTCCAAACAACCAAGACCCAGATCACCACAAACTCCCTGGGAACCCTAATCGCCGTGAACGGTCTCTGGACCCTCCAAAAGTCAGACGACTACTTCGCTCCACCCCTGGGCGCCTGGCGCGCTGATAAATCCAAGGGCGGCGTCTTCGGCATCAACCTCATCCACGACATCGATCTGCTGCATTTCTTCTTCGGACCCATCACGCGCGTCCATGCCGAGTCTATCCGTCCACAGCGGCACCGTGCTAACACCAGCCATACAGCCGAGGAAGGTGCGGCGTTAACACTACGCTTTGCATCCGGTGTCGTGGGGACGTTTCTAGTCTGCGATGCGACTCCGTCGCCGCTGAACTTTGAGACGGGCACCGGTGAAAACCCGCTTATCCCGCGTGTTGACCCAACGAAGAGTGCGAGCGACTGTTATCGGATCTTTGGGAGTGAGGGATCACTATCTGTGCCGGATATGACGCGGTGGAGCTACGGTGGGCAGGCTTTGAAGGGGTGGAATGGGGATTTGACGATTGAGAAGGTCAGTGTTGAGGGGGTGGATGTGAAACCGTTTGATAAGCAGCTTGGGCATTTTGTGGATGTTCTGCAGGGGAGAGTGCGGGAGGTGAGTTGTTCGGTGGAGGATGGGGTGAGGGCGCTTATGGTTGTGAGGGCTGCTAAAGAGTCGCTTGAGAAGGGGATGCCGGTGGAGATATAGCTGATATATTGGGTTGTGGTGTAAATTTATCTCGATTCCCGGTATACATTGGAATCGCTTTAGATGAGTAGTATGAATTGCAACATCCTCAGGTCAATTAGAGTAACGCTAAATCTGACTCATATCCAGAATACTAGTTATATACATGTTATTTATACCTTCGCCTCCTCAATATGCTCCCCATGCAACCCAGCCTGCTTGATCTGCGTCTCCTCGATCTCGTGCCTAAACCGTTCCTCGTCAGCACGCAGCTCCTTGAGGAGCTCTCCATGAGCTCGCCACACAGGCTGCTTCTCGAAGAGTGTCTCCATGCTCTCCAACGGGACACCCTTGGTCTCGGGGATGAGGAAGAACACGAAGAAGATAGAGAGAATCATCAAAGACGCAAAGAAGAAATACACGCCGTAGCCCATGGCTGAGAACATTTGCGGCGTGAAGCGAGAAATAAGGAAGTTCCACAGCCAGTTGGAGGCTGCCGCGCAGGCTTGTGCGAGCGACCGGACGGTAGGATCGAACATTTCCTGTCAATTGTTAGCTAACTTGTACGATGAATTCTGGGACCAAGACGCGTACAGAGTTGATGACCCATGGGGTCCCGTTCCAGGAAGGTGTGTAGAAGGCCGTCCATAGGTAGAAGAAGAACATGGCTGCGATGCCACCTCCACCAAGTTGAGTGCCAGCAGGGTTGTTCGCGGGCTGCGCGACCTTAATGTACGCACCAACCACCCATAGGCAGATTGAACCACCGGCAGCACCAACCAGGAGAAGGAGGCGACGACCCACGCGGTCAATCAGATACAGCAACCAGACAAAGGTGACAACGGCTTTGACGACACCGAAAATACCCGTGGTGAGGAGGCTGGTGTTGCCACCAGTGACACCAATACTGCGGAAGACCGTCGGGCTGTAGTAGTTGATAGCATTAATACCTGAGCCGTTCTGCCACAGGAAGAGCATGCTACCCAAGAAAAGCCGGTAGAGGATACGCTTGTTGGTCCAGGCAGCCTTGAAAGGCTTCCAGAAACCAAGACCAACTTTTGCCCGCTGCTGCTCGAGGGACTGCTCGATCATGCTCACTTCTTCCATCATGTAGATGTGATCGGCGGGGAGGTTGCGGATCCAACCAAGGGTTGCGATTCCCTGCTCACGGCGCCCGCGTAGGAAGAGCCAACGGGGAGATTCCTTGATGAAAAGAGCACCGATAATAAGTAGGCCGGCGGGAATAAGCTGCACGGCGAAGGGAATGAGCCACTGCTTGTGGCTAGGAGGAAGGGTCTCATCGACACCGTACTGGTCTCATTAGTATAAGGCGGAATGGAAGAAATGAAAAGGGGAAAAGAAAAAAAGGGGTATTCATACATTGATCCAGAAACCAACAACACCTCCAATTTGCCATCCCAGCTCATAGACACCGACAAGACGACCACGGATAGCAGGAGGAGCCATCTCAGAGATATAAATCGGGCAAAGATTGGAACCCGCTCCGACACCGATACCGGCGAGCACACGTCCACCATAAATCAGGCCGAGGCCGCGATCACCATTGGCACCAAGCATCAGACCAGCACCAAGGAAGAACACCAGAGCAGAAGCCATAAGGCCCCATTTGCGACCCCAGAAATGACCAGCAGGGTAGGCGAACAAAGCGCCGAAGAAAGCGCCAGCTTGGTAGAGGGAGACAATGTTGGCGCTGACTAGGCTCTGCTCGCTAGCGCTCATGTCCTCCCATCTGAACTCGTTCTTGAAGGAAGTGAGACTGAGAGTGGTACCGATGAATGCGCTATCATAGCCGATCATGCATGAAGTGCAGGAGGCAACGGCGGCGAGGATATAGATTCGCCAGTTGTAGACCTCTCGAGGGGTTGGTCGATCCTCGACCAGCGAGAGGATGGACATTGTGACCTGAGAAAAGGAAAAGATAGAAGGTAAAACGACTCATGGAGGATGCAGAGGAGAGGAGGTGGATATAAATACAGTCAAAACCGGGATAAATTTCAAATTAAGATCCCCACGGGGATTCTCGATTAAGCGGAGGTAGGGGTTCTCGTTTAAGCGGAGGCAGATGTGGATTGGGGGGCAAAGCGTTCACCCGCCCGGGTGCTCCACTCCGGCTAAACGCTCCTCTATTATAAATAATTAAATATCCTCATCTATCTCTCCTGCAATAATCGACCTAAGGAAATCTTCCAAGGCGTCCGCCATGGAGCAAATCACAATCCCTTCCGACCGAGACGGCGTCGCCTACCTCTATGGCCACCCACTGCGCAACTCCCTCTCACCACCCCTCCACCAAACAGTCTACAACGCCCTCGGCCTCAACTGGACGCAAATCGCCCTCTCCAGCGCAAATGGCCCCTCCTACACCCAATCCCCGGACATCACCACCTTCCTCTCCTCCATCCGCTCTAACCCCAAGTTTGTGGGATCCTCCGTTACCATGCCTTGGAAGGTCGCCATCATGTCGCACCTCGACGACCTAACCGAAGACGCCCAGCAAGCCGGTGCTTGCAACACCATCTTCCTCCGCAAGGACTCTCAAAGCGAGACATCCTACGTCGGAACAAACACAGACTGCATCGGGATCCGCGAGGCCCTACTGCAGAATTCACCGACGGGACCGGACCACTTTCGCGGGAAACCGGCGCTCATTGTCGGTGGTGGCGGCACGGCCCGGACGGCCATTTATGTTCTGCGACGCTGGCTTGGCTCTAGTAAGATCTATATTGTTAATCGGGATGCCGCCGAGATAGAGACTATTCTTGCCGAAGATAAGCAGCGGAATGCCGGTGGGTCGGGCGTTGCGCCTCTTGTCCCCATCTCCGACCCGGCTGTTGCGGCTACAGTTGAAGCACCTGTTGCGATTGTCTCGGGCATTCCGAACTATCCGCCCAAAACCGAGGAAGAGAGCCGCGCGAGAGAGACACTAAAGGTGCTGTTAGGGCGTCAACCGCATGGTGTTATCCTGGAGATGTGCTACCACCCCGTGCCGTGGACGGATATTGCGCAGATGGCCTCGGATGCCGGATGGAAGGTGATTCTCGGGTCGGAGGCGCTGATCTGGCAGGGCCTCGAGCAAGCGAGGCTCTGGACGGGGACGGACGTGGTTGCGGTGCCTGGGTTGGTAGAGCAGGTCAAGGAATTTGTCGCAAAGGCTGTTGCTGAGAGGGCTAAGTCGAACTTATAGATTCATACATCGATAGAATAGAAATTCATTGTATATATGTTTATACCCCTGGTCTATTATAATCTAGCTGTCGAACTCGGCGCCAGACCTCTCGCACTGTTCTTTCCTGCGTCTCCCGCCCTGTTTCTGTCGCTGTGGAACCAGCAGGTCTACACGATCAGTATGATTTCGAAATGTAAGGGCTAGGGCACCCACCGAATAGCCAAGTATAACCGGCTCCCTAGCTTGACTGGTTCAATGGGCGCGTGTAAGTCGTCAGGCGGATTCGCCGTCGTTACCAACCCTCCAGCTTCAAGTAGGATCGCAATACCAGCAGCCACATCCCTACAAGGCTTAGCCATTACCCAAAAAAGGAATATACTGGATGAAAAACAAAGAACTCACCACTCCCAACAACCTCCCTCCCACCAAATATCTACTGACCCCATCGCCGTATACGCCAAATCCATCGTCGCACTCCCTAGGCTCCTCACGCCATGCACCATCCCACCTTTACCACCACGCCCACCGCGCTCCGCAGCCAGATTAAGAAAGCTTTCAATCTTTCGATGGAGATTCCCGTCTGAGATATCGCGACGGTCCTTGCCCCATTCACAGGCAAATATGCATTTCGACGGTGCGTTGCTAGGCATTGGAGGGATAGAGGGCTTCCGAATAAGCGGGAGCTGGCGCTTCTCATTCAACCACGCGCCGCGGTTAAGGCACGATGAAAACAGTTGGTCTAGGAGGGGTGCGTAGATAACCCCTATAACGGGGTAGTGGTTGACAATGAATCCGATGGAGACACAGAACATGGGGAAGGCGTGTGTGAAGTTGACAGTCCCGTCTAAGGGATCAACACACCATGTTGGCTGTTCGTCGATGAGGTATTCCCGAGACTGGCCTTTTGCGTACGTTTCTTCGCCAAGGAACATGTGCGTGGGGTACTTGGTTTGGATGGCGGTTTTGATTAAGGATTCGACATCTAGATCACTCAGCTTGGGGGATTACCACGGGATTTGAAAGGGGGGACTACCTTCGTCTGTCTGAGTCACCAAGTCTACCGCGTTTTCCTTCTCGGTGTAGATCTGGTCGACGTTGCGCTCGCCGATGCGTTCGAGCAGGAGTTTGCCTGCTTTGCGGGCGAGATCGATAGCAAAGGCGTAGATCTCGTCGAGCTGGTCTTGGGGGATGGGGCAGTTCATGATGAGAGCGATTTTGTATGCTTTCTGCCGCGTGTTGTGGGAGGCTGAGAGGAGAAAAGAAGAGGGGAAAGAGAGTTGGAGGAGTTGGAGTGGAGACGTTGAGGAGTCTAGCTGCATGGACTGCATTGAAGTCACCACCACACAAAAGCTTGATTAATAGACCACTACTTTGACAAAATGAGTCTAGTTAAAACTGGTTCCATATTCTGATCCTAACGGGCCGGTCAACAGCCCGGCAGAGTCTTTTGCCGCGGCTTTCCGCAAGACTGGACCATAGTATAATAACTCCCCTCTTAGCTGTACCCCGTATCTTACATACATCCTACCAGCAAAATAAAATGGCTAAATCAATCCTCCTCATCAACGGCCCTAACCTCAACCTCCTGGGCACCCGCGAACCCCACATCTACGGTTCAACCACCCTCAAGGACGTCGAAGAATCATCCAAAGCCCAAGCCACCTCCCTCGGCGCCACTCTCCAAACATTCCAGTCAAACCATGAAGGTGCCATCGTGGACCGCATCCAGGATGCTCGTGGCAATACCGACGCCATCATCATCAACCCCGGCGCCTACACACACACATCCGTCGCCATCAGGGACGCGCTGCTGGGTGTGGAGATCCCCTTCATCGAGCTTCATGTGAGTAACGTCCATGCGCGTGAACCCTGGAGGCATCACAGTTACTTCAGTGACAAAGCTGCCGGAATAATCATTGGGCTGGGTGCGTATGGCTATAAGGTCGCCGTGGAGCATGTTGTTTTGAATTTTAAGCCTCTGGAGAAGAAGGCGGCATTGTAAATAGTGTCTCGAATTGACAATACCTGTTCACATGTGTAATGCTGTAGATATCCTATGTGACTACTTTCGCCCTCATGTCGAAACACTCATCTCTTGAAATTTAGCGTTGAGTCGCTCATTATTTGTGACTCCCGCCTGAGGGTGTTTGTCTCTGGAGATGCCAATGGCTGCTGGGCTGGGTTTAAGAGGAATGGATCTGTCTGGCTGGTGTATGGATACAATTCAGGAATGCCTGCCTCTGGGACAAATCCTAAGTTTTGCATAAACTCAGGTTGGTTATCCATCCTATAATTTTGGAGTTTAGGTCAGTGTTCCGCTAGTCTTGCAGTTGGCATAAATAGGACCCCACCTCTCTGTGCCGTCAAGCGACGCCAATTCGTCAAAAAGGGCATCGAGATCAGGAGCAATTCTTGGCGGGCGTAGTGATCCATGTCCCTCTAAGTCGACAAGTGAGTTGAACTGTAGGCTTGCGTCATTGTATGTTTGTTGATATTGAGGCCCTGTTGTTGAAAATGGTGTTGGTAGATCGGATAACATCGGCGCCCCATTAGGTCTTCCGGAGACTGAAGAACGGTGTTGATGTTGGAGATCTCGCTGAGATGTGGAGTTTGATGCTTCTATTCCTAGCCCAATATTCAAAGACGCGGCCGGTGTTGGGAGAGATAAAGCGGCATTTTCGTCGTTTGAGGATGTCCGCATCCAAGTGGGTGAGCGGAATGACTCCCGGGTTGAAAGATTTCCAGAACGAGACTCACTAATTAGGTTCGCTACGCGCAGGTTGTTTCTAGACACATTCTGAGCTGAAGGACTCCTGTATGGATTACCCTGCAGCAAGGCTGCCGGTGCTGTGGAGGTAGTTGATTCGGATATTGTTTGAGGTAGCTGGCTATCATGGGTCCATACTCTTGCGAGATGGGCCGAGAATGACTGGAGTTTGTGCTTGATGCCAGGATCAGCTTCGAAGACCCAAGGTGCATGTCTTCTCGCGCCAGTTGGCGGAAGACCTAACGTTAAGACAATTCCAAAGGTTGGACAAGTCGCCGAAAGACTATAGGTCTCGGTGTAGGCCTGGATTAATGAAATGAGGCGCTTATAACCTTCCGCAGCACGTTGTAGCCCGCTTCTCTCATTTCTCTGCAACGAGATCTGTAAGCTTATGGCTGTTGCGACAGCTTCGTAGATCATCTCAAGAGCAAATATGTGCGGCGAGGCGGGTTTTGTTGAGACTGTTTGCCAATCGATCCGGTAGCTTCTGGGGAGCACTGAAACCCAGGTCTGCAGCTGCTGTTCAAGCGCCTCTAAATGAGAAGGAGAGTTCGTTGAGGCTTGCCCCCAACAGCACAAGTCATTCAAAATGAACATCAAAGATCGAAGCCGATTAAATGTACTAAGTGCGTGAAGAGGCCCGCGATGAAAAGAACCTCGAGACGACTCAACCGGACGAAGACCGGTCTGATCTTCCCAAGGATGCCATTCTTCCAAACCATCCTCATTAATTGGACCAATCATCGTCAAGTCGCCTTTGCGCAGCGAAGGCACCTGGCCCGTTTGCGCAGCAATCAAAGTTTCCAGGACAAAGCACCCCAGGAACACATGCCTGGACCGCCCTACAGTCTTGCTCTCATCAGTGGCGCTTGAGGATGAGTTAGGGGAATAATTTAACCCTAGACTCTGGGCAATCCTAACGGCCAACCCTACAAGGATCCAGGATGCCGCCCAGTCCTGCTGGCCTAGCTTGATCAGTGACAAAATCAGGAGTGCCTGGACATGGCCAATTTCATGACTTCCATTTTCTCCTGGAATAAGACTCCTAGCTTTCGCGTATAGCTGGCTGGGGTCAAGTCGGTCCTCCCTTAGCTGGCGTGTGGTCGAGATTGAGCTCTGCTGTATGGAGGCAAGAGCAAAAACCGCCCACAAAGCCGCCTTGTCTCCCGAGCCTGGTGATGTAGGAGAATCATATCGATCGTCGTCGGCATTGCGGAAAGCTGTTCGAAGAATGTCGTGTTTCTCAAGTATCGGAAACCAACACTGCGTATAAGAGAAATAAATATCAAGTAATGGCCAGGGATTGGAAGGAAGCTGCTGGAAACGGTTTGGAGGAACAGAGTCGGGAATATCAGCTTGATGCTGCAAAGGCTGGCGTTCGAATTGGTCGTCTATAGGAGCAGTCTGGGCTCCGGTGTTCCTGGTGATGCGGTTTGATGTTTGCATAACCGGCGCTGCTCTCACTGGGGACGACCCAATCGCTAAGGAAGTTTCCCTTCCACCCCCCAGTGGATCGGGAAGATGCCACTCAAGCGTCTCAGACGAAAGCACACTCGCTGCTTCGACATCTGCTGGGGAATCGATCTCTCCAAGCTCTTGTTCGTCCTCTGGCTGCTCAAGAGATGTCAAAACTCGCTCGATTTCCTTCAAGACGATGCTGTTTCTCCATGACGACAGCAGAGTATCCGATCCTTCCGCCTCCTTTCCCATAGATTCCAGATGGCCAGGAATATTAGCACCCCTCAGCAAAGTTCGAACAACCTCCTCGCTACCTTGTATTTTCCTGAACACGAGTCCCCATAGCAGCTCGAGAGTGCGAATGTATCCGGTCGGAATGCCGCGCTTCTTCGGATTGGCTCTGTAGGTACATGGTCGCGAGAGTGAAGCGCAGGTTGAGCATACCGGTTGAGCCCCGTCGCATTTGTCCTTTTTGGATCTGCAGCTGTCGCAAGCACGAGAAACTCTCTGCCTTTTGGGATTCGAGGCGGGGTCGTCCGCCCTGTTATCATCGGTTAATCGCCTTTTGGACCTGACGCTGCCCCTCGTAGTCTGGCGGGTATCGCTGCTCATAATCGATATAACAGTGCCCACAAGCTCATCTTCGACATGAATGCTTTGCCGGCGGCTGGTTACCAGAATCTCCGCAGGTATCGGTGATAGTAACCCCGGACCTGCCAGGACAAAAGCGGCCTAAACAATTCTGATTTAAAAAATCGTAGGCGATGGAATAATGTGTGGAGGGCCGGGGGCGGAGAAAGGGGAAGTTGGGGAAGGCTCAGTATCGCTTACCCGCGCGGTACTTGTTCCGACTTTGCTTGAGTGGAGGATGGCTTTGCCGGCAGCTGAGTGCGTCTCGGTTGAGCGCTTAGCCGGACCAGGCTCCAAGGCAGCGGCGCCGTGATTTCCACCAAATTCCCAAGAAACTACGGATAATGTCATTATTACTTCTCTCCACTTCCATCATCACCTCCCCCCAGGCCTTCACTGGCTGATGATTGCTTATGCGGTGACTTGCTTCTTAGATTTACTCACTAATTTGCCTTCATCGACTTGCCCTTTCCCGGCGAGCCTCTTTTTATCCTGCAAACACTCTTCGGGTCATGTCGGGCTGAATATGCTGTCCACACTAATTCTTGGACAATTTTAACCCTTTCCATCTTCCCTTAGTGATGTCAATCCTTGTGCGGCCTCCTAAACGCCGGCTAGACGACATTGAGGCTCTTACAGACCAGAACCACCGCCGATTTTCACGAGGCTTCAGTCAGGGATCAGGCAATTCTTTAGGGATTAATGGGTATTCGGAGGCTGACTATGGACTCCTTGAAGACCGCTTGGAGGTATCTAGGGATGGATCTAGGTTTGCGCCCCGATTCAGGGACTTGACATCACCCTCTCGCTTCGAAGAGTCGCTTCAGACCCAGAGGAAGTTTTCTCAGAATGCGTCGATCGTCCTAATCGGTATACGTGGTACGGGCAAGTCAAGTCTTGCGGTGATGCTCGCTGCAACCTATGGGAGACGTTTGATTGAAGCAGACCGATACTTTCAGCAGGTGACAGGGCGCTCTCGTGCCGCCTATAAAAAGGAATACACCCCTCCACAATACCGTCGACAAGAGGCTATTGTGATGGAATCTATGCTCATGGACCATCAACACGATTGCGTTATTGTCTGTGGATCGGGCGACGTGGAGCGCAATGGACAGATCCTGCTCAGAGAATATGCGAAAACCCACCCCGTTATCCATATACTTCGGGATTTAGGAAGCATCAAGTCTTATCTGAGAACATGGGATACTGAGAAGGTCCGTCGATTACTTAAGTTGTCCGGTCCGATCTACCGAGCATGTTCAAATTTTGAATTCTTCAATGTCTCCGAGAAAGGCATTGGAGATCAAACACTCGGCAAGGATAGCCAACACTATACTCAGTGGGATGCGGAGGTGGACCAGCGAGCTCAAACCTCAGCTCCGTTCCTGATGCTCAAGCGGCTGCAGCGCGATTTTCTCCGCTTCGTGGCGTTTGCTACTGGTAATATCTCCGAGTTGAGGAACCAACTTTCACCATTCCCTCTACATATGCAGCCGATTGAGTCCCGCAAATTCACATATGCCGCTACCGTGCCAATATCCTCCCTTCTCGAACGCGATTTAGATATCGAAGAGCTGGAATCAACCGCGGATGCTTTTGAGCTTAAGATTGATGTGTCCGCAACGCCGTCTGCTCAACTAGGGACTGAGTCGAATCTCATGGACGGTATTAGTCAAATTGTGGCCACAGTGCGACGCAACATAATTGTCCCTTTGATATATCACGTTGATCGCAGGGTCGTTTCGGCTAATCAGCATACCGAACCCTCGCGGCGTTCAGGAGCATCTTACCTAGAACTAGTGCAGCAAGGTCTACGCTTGGGACCAGAATTTGTGACAGTCGATCTATCATTCGAGGATAGCCTTTTGTCTCAAATCATCGCCTCAAAGGGCTCAACCAAGGTCATCGGGCATTATTCAGCCGACCAGTCCCTTCCTAAAGGTTGGGATGATCCTGAGTACTTCTCAATATATGAGCGGGCGAAGCGGCTTGGATGTGATATGGTTCGCTTAACGCAACCCGCAGCGTCAATTGATGACAACTTCGCCGTTGAACGCTTCCGCCACCAGGTTAAAACTCTTCCTGGGTCACAGTTGCCTGTCATCGCCTATAATTCTGGCCCCCTAGGCCGAAAATCATGCTGTTTCAACCCAATATTGACACCTGTGATCTCTCGGCCCCTAACCTCTGAAGCTGTAACGAAAGAGTTGCCGTCTATCACTATAAAAGAAGCGCAAGATGCGCTCTACTCCTCATTTGTGCTAGATCCTATGCAATTCTTCGTCTTCGGTGCCAACACTACTTATAGTTTGTCTCCGGCAATGCACAACGCAGCCTTTGAGATGCGCGGCATGCCCCATACCTATCGAATTCATCAGTCGGCGACGTTGCGAGGACTCAACGAGCTAGTTGAGAATCCAAACTTCGGTGGGAGTAGTGTCAGCCTGCCATATAAAACAGAAGTAATTCCTCTCCTCCATTCGATGTCTCCTCATGCCCGTGCTATCGGGGCTGTCAACACCTTGATCCCTATTCGTGACCTCGAGACCAGTACGGATAATTCTTTGGACATGGAAAAAAGTCGATCAGGACCGATCAAGGGTTTGCATGGAGATAACACAGACTGGATTGGTATCTGCAATTGCATACGGCGAGGACTGTCTCCGGCCAACGCCATCCGGCCCTCCACAACGGGGCTGGTCATTGGAGCCGGTGGAATGGCCCGTGCCGCGATATATTCTATGATTCATTTAGGAGTCCAGAATATCTTCATCTGGAACCGTACGTTTGTTAATTCCGAAAAGCTAGCCCAGCATTATATGCGACTGAACCTTCACACCCTTGGTAGAAGCGGACCATCCTCCAACTATCACATACACGTCTTGGAGTCTTTGCAGAACAGCTGGCCGGCCAACTACAAGCAACCAACCATAATCTGCTCAGGTATTCCGGCGCACCGGATAGGTGACCAACCTGCACCAAACTTTCGGCTTCCTTCGCAGTGGATCGAGAGCCCTACGGGTGGAGTAGTCGTAGATGTAAGTCCCTGAATAGAAATAACGATGGACAATGACCTAAATTGCTGACAAATTATAAAGCTCGCCTACAAACCGCTCAACACTCCCCTCATGCGCCAGATCCGTTCTCTATCCCATCGTGGCTGGGTCGCTCTCGACGGTCTGGATGTCCTCCCTGAGCAAGGATTTGCCCAATTCGAGCTCTTCACCGGATGTCGCGCTCCCCGACGACTAATGCGCACTATCGTATTGCAAGAGTACAAAGAAGAGGAGCAGGACGCGGATTATGATCTGCAAACTCGGCTTGAGAATCTCGATGGGCAACCTATGTGAAGTTTTATGCAAAATGCTATTAGCATGCCTCTTCCCAAGCCAAGGCCGGCTCGGAAATTAATAATCCTTTCCCGTCCCTGCAGTACCTACGACATCAGAGCCATGACCTGGAGCTAAAGGTCCAAGATATGGTCAACCCGTCAAATGCACTCGTGTGTAAGCGGGGCTCCTCTTGCCGGGGATTTGAATGCGGAACGTACTTCCAAATGTCACGGACAGAAAAGTCAATAGTACGATATCCCGACAGGCGTGCGGAGCAGACAACAGCGGATCATCTGTGGCTAAAACCAGATCCAGCGGAACCGTCGTCCAGAAGGTTCTGCAACCACTAATGATACGGACGACTTGATTAATGATACCCTCGTGATTCCCTATCCATTCGACTTCATTCCAGGCATTCCAATTAGTTCTAACACTAGAAATCTAAAACGAAACTTGACCATACGAGTGTAGTCTCACAGATCGAGTATAATTCACCAAAACCGTGCATAATCATGCCTCCACTCCTGCCAGTCATAACCAAACTCCTCGAAGTTACCACAGTCTCTTGCCTCCAGACCCATGGACCACCCACGATATTTCTTTTAAGTTTCAGATAGTTGAAAAAGATATAATAATAAAATTATATATATCTTTTTTCTTTATATTTTAATTCAATATTCTATATATCTTAGAAAAATAGCTGCGCAGCTTCAAAATTACTATTAGTATAGTTCATACCATGGTGCAGTATGTTTTTTACATATAGATTGTGGGTACCTGTGAATTGGACGCCGAAAATGACGACTAGTGAAGCTATTTTCAACGTCATTTCCACCCGCCACCTTTCCCTCCGAGAGCGTCTATTAATTGAATTTGGATAATCCAACACGTTAGTAATAGTCATAAATTTCCAATATACATGTTATGTTTAAGAATTCTGCTAAACTTTGAAAGAGGTTGACGACAATTTCTATCATTTAACTGACCAGCTACGTGAAAGGGAGTTGAGCTGGCTAATTTACGGAGAATTTTACTGCATATTGCCGAGCTAGTCCTTCTGATCGGCAGTCATGTTTAGCTTGGCACCTTTTCTGATTGGGGCAACCTTCTACTTCTTCACAGTTTTGATTTGACTTATGTCTCTGGTTGTTACGGATATATTTCCGCTGATATATACTGCCTTTTCCCCCCGCATAGCTGGCGGATTTGCCCTCGAACAAACAAAATGAGAAAAAGGTTAAACCACATATGCTGGAATATGGAATGAGGCTCAAGTTACTTTCTGATGGTTTCTTCGGTTGCATCTTGCTGTTGATGATTTGATCAGCTTGTAGCAAACCTTCTAGTAAAGACATTACACATAGCTTTCAGAGCCTGCGGTAACTGGCCGTTTATGACAATTCTTAAAATACGAGGTTAATTATCTAAACCAATTACGGACTAGTATTCTCGGGGGGCGCCGAGAAAGAGTCGGAGCGTGAAAGCCGAACCTGCAAGGCACTATAGTCAAACAGTATTGCTCTCTACAAGGAATATGGCAGGCTTGGCAGCTGAGTACAGTAATATCTGTAGGTTGAGGATACTGTACCATAGAATTCCTAGTACTGGGAGAAGAGGGGCCTGTTAAATCTTACTGGCGGCACAGCGAAGGGGATGTGCGCCGTTCAGCTGTACCCGGTATCTGGTCAACCACAGCGATCTGCAGGAAAGTTACGTTCATTTTGACTAGTGGCACACGAAGGGGATAAGATCACTCTCACATAACAGAGTAGATCTCTCGGTTTAGGCCAGTAACAAGAGAATATTTGAAGCACATAAACAAAGACTTGCTAATAACCTTCCGTATTAGTAATCTTTGTGAAGCATTAAATGCCGCCAACCCAATAGTGTCTTGATAAGCTAAAAGTTAGGGTACAATGCATATATCCCCTTCACTGTAAAACTAGTCAATTTTAGTGTCGTATTAGCTTACACTTCTGTGATTGGTCAGGAGGCCCAGGAATACAATAGAAAGATTAGTTCCCACAAGTGGAAAGAGCAGGTCGACCAATGATAGTGACTCCTGAAAGTTTCCCACATAGCAAAGCGATCATGTCTCGTGGTGGTCTTATTGCTATGAGTACGAAGGACGTTGAAGCTCACAAGACTACGGTGGAAGAGTATTTTGGGTATTGGGGCACAACTGGCCAGTACAACGAAACTGAGAGATCAGCACGGAGGGAGAATTATGCTGCATTGTCGAAAGGGTAAGTCTTTTTCTGGCCTATGAGACCTATTGCATCAAGAAGTAACGTCTCTAACAGTCATTCACTTAGTTATTATGACACGGTCACTGATATACTCGAACATCTATGGCAACCTCTCTTCATTTCTTTAGCCTCAAAAAGGCGAAGTGATGAACGCAGCCATTCGTCACCATGAACATGACTTAGCACAATGTGCTGGAATCAATGAGGATGACTATGTCCTGGACGTTGGTAGTGGAGTAGGTGGTCCGGCGAGAGAGATCGCTCGACGCACTGGTGCCCGGGTACTAGGAATCAATTTCAATGAGTATCAGATTGGCCGTGCCATTGGATACACTAATCAAGAAAACCTTAGTCACAGAGTGAGCTTCATCGAAGGTGATTTTATGAAAATGCCATTACAATCTGAATAATTTGTTTAACATATCACCACTTGGATGAATTCTCGGCCAAGCTAGCAACAAATTTGGTGGAATATTGCATTCATCCTGAAACAACCGTTGCACTTCGCTTTAAAAAGCCAATATGGAGCGTGGTGGATATGATTGGTGTCTTAAAAGCAGGAGCTGCCTTTGTCTTACTTGATCCGAGTCAGCCCGTATCACGACTCCGTTATCTCTCTAACCAACTTAGCTCTAATTGTATCGTGGCATCAAGAGCCTGTAGTCTGTTGGCCCTGACTCTTTGTGAAAATGTCCTCACGGTCGACAGGGACAAGATGGAGTCACTTACGACAAGCGATATTTCGCGCTCCCTTGTACCTTGTTCAGCAGCATATGTTGTATTTACCTCGGGCAGTACTGGTATGCCAAAGGGTGTTGTGATAGAACATGATCAGCTAGCTGCAGCAGCAAAGCAAGTTGGCCAGGCCCTAGGCTTTAGTGAAAGGCCGCATATACTACAATTTGCCTCGTATAGTTTTGATGTGTGTATCCTTGAAACATTATTTGGCCTAGCTCATGGCTGCTGCATATGCGTTCCTACAGAATTACAGTCGAGAAACGATATAATTGGATTTATCAATGCGACGAATATGTCTTATGCCGTTTTCACCCCATCCGCACTTTCAGCCATTCCCCTTCGACAAACCAGGAGTCTACAAAGTCACCTCATAGGAGGTGAAGAGCCTCCTCTTGATCTCTTAAAATTTTACAGCAAATACTTCGGGATAATGATCGCCTATGGTCCTGCTGAGTGCACTGTTGTCACGAGTCTCTTGACCTTCAGCCCTCATACGTCTATCCAAGAGATCTTGGAACTAGCATCTGCAATAGGATGTGGATTAGGGATCCACAGAATCCTGAGCAAAGCGCATCAGTCGATACGATAGGGGAACTTATCATTGAAGGCCCAACTGTAGGGCGTGGCTATCTCAATGACCATGCAAGGACAGCCGAGCAGTTCGATGCCAAGTATTTAGGTTTCAAACCATCACAAATGATTCGTCGATACAGGACAGGGGATATGGCTCGTTATGACGCGAATGGCTCAATCATCTTTTCAGGAACAAAAGACGAGCAAATAAAGTTGAATGGACGTCGAATTGAACTTGGCGAGATCGAATACTGGTTACAGACGCTGCTTCCCACAGGGGAGCGTGGGAAAGTTGAGCTTGTTCGATACAACCAGAGCCAAGCCGAGAGGCTCGTTGCCTTCATATGTCTTAACGCAAGCAGAAGCCATCAAGAACCCCGGGCCGAGTGTATTTCTCAATACTCCAAAGACACTTGCGATCAACGAGCAAGATCTATTCAACAATATCTTCGAGAGCTGCTTCCAGAATACATGATTCCAACACCGTACATGCCAGTGTCACGATCTCCTCTGACACTATCATCCAAGCTAGATCGACATAAACTTCGAGAACTGGCATTGAATCTGTCACCTGATGACCCGAAAGACAATATGTCGGTCTTGAAGTCATAAATTCAGCTCTTACAGAAGAGCAAGAACTTCTAATTCATCACAGCGCGAATGTTCTTGGTTTGGATCCCGGAGCAATTGGTCTGAGCTCAAACTTCATTAGGTCCGGCGGAGATTCCATTGCAGCCATGAGACTATCCAGCAATCTAAGAAGATTCAACATTCATTTGGCTGTTGCAGAAATTTTGGGTTGCCAGGATTTTGCTCGCATGTCTAAGAAGATCCTTACCACAACGAAAAAAGAGGATCCTGCCGTAGAGCCTTTTGAGATGCTATTCTCCAAGAGAGAGGAATATCTCTTGCAGGCCGTTCGACAATGCAGAATTGCTGATTACTTGATCGAAGATATCTACCCTTGTTCACCTTCGCAAGTGCTATACACCGACATAGCGGCAGTTTATGGGAATCGGTCAAGTGCCAAGTGCATTTCGGAGCAATTCTTATTTTCCGTCACGGATGAATGTGATTTTGAAAGGTTGAAAATGGCCTGGGATCGGGTCATTGTAGAGAACCAGGCTTTGCGGATACGAATCGTGAAGGTATCTGATCAGTACCTGCAAGTGGTTGTCCGTGAAGCGGTTGAATGGCAACAAGTCTTGAACATGAACGAACATGTGCAAACTGGCAAGAATAACCCATTCAAGCTTGGCAAGCAGCTTTCTCGGTTCGCCGTGACTAGCAGTCCGGATCAATTCGGTGCATACCAGGTACTGGGGCTCTCGTGATGTTGTCTTGCAAATGCTACGCACTGGCCGGGATCTTCCTATTGACAACATCGAGTGTATGATTGCCCCGACCCTGGCAACCATGCCGGTCAGAATTCCCCTAGATTGGGATATTGAATGCGCGTCTTTCTTACGCTCTTTGCAGCAACGGCTGCTACTGCTCATGGACTATCAATATGTCGACTGGGTAACCATTGCCAACCTCTCCGCCGAAGGAAATGCCGGCTGTCAAGCTGCCATTCCATTCGCAGTTCACCAACATCGAGTAGACATCATTGAAGAATGTTCCAAAATAGGATTGAAATTAAAGAGTCTCGAGGTGAGCAGTTGGAATATGCCTATTCTAGTGGACTTCTTGATTTCGTCCAGCCATATCACTGGAAACATTTGCTTTGACCCTAACACTTTCCGCCCAGAGTATATCGATTCTCTTTTGAAGAGGACAGAAGCGATATATCTGCAACTTTGCCAGTTTGAAGCAGGTATATGTCTAAAGGATCTGCAAATATCTTTCTGAGAATCGGTTTGACGGACTGGGCCATTGATTTTCATTACTTGAATAGGACAAGAACTTTTTAGAGCATATAAGTATTATTATACAGTGTGGCGCACCCTCAGCATATGAGTGACTTAGGGCCTTCTGGCCTTAACCATGGTTTTTGCTAGTGTCGAGGAGCCACGCGCTGAGAACTAGTTCTTTTGCCGGAATCGTCCTACAAAACCCTAACATTTAGTGCCCACTAAAATAAGACCTTCATAGCTTATAGCTGGGTAAGGTCGTTAAACATAACTAAATAAATAAATAAATACATAACGATTATGTAAGAGATTTAATAGATTGCATTTTTGAATTATAGGTTTGTTTTTTTAAAAATAGTATAGAATTAAGTTAAACATATTAATCTTCTTTTAGAATAATATTGATCTAGTCTAAATATTCCAGGTCTATTTCAGGAATAATATGGATATATTCTATATACCATAGGTTTATCTTGATAGTATATTAATAAACCATTTATAACTTATGAAATAATCTAGCAATCAGAGGTTTTAAACCCTGTGGAGACCTTACGGGGATAGAGCAAGCTAGGGACGGACTTTTCAAATACTGTGGGGTGGGGGTCTTGTAAGGATTAATGCAGGCTAATAATGGACTTATTAAACACTGTAGAGGCGCTATTATTATGATTCGCACGCCATTCGGAGTAAAACCATGTAGCTCACAGGAGAAAATTGGTCTTGAGATTGAAAATAATTTTCGGGAGATCACGTGAATTGGACCAAGCCAATGGCTGAAGATCAGTCTGATTTCTTCCTTGCCTCGACTCGACCTCTTTACTTCAAAACCGGGTTGAGCAGGCGGTTCATTTCTTCAGATCTACCACTTCGCTTTCCCTGCCATTTTTTAATTGCCTGTTTATGCCATGAATAGAACAGAACAGCCTGATTTATAACACAATTATGGAGCGTAAGCTGCATGACAGTGACCAGCACGCATGAATTGATTTTTGTTTATACAACTCATTTGCATTCGTACTCAACTCACACAATAGCAAACTTTGATCTCGCTCTTAACTTCGCGCCGAATTTCCAGAGGCCAAACATCCCAAAAATCCCAATCACACTTAGGCCACCTAAGACACTGACACCCTTAGCTACACCAAGATTGATGAACAGTGGTCTCGCGAATAAGATACTCCCACAAGCTAGGGCGCTCCTCAAGAAGTCATTCGCAGCGAACAAGGACGCAGCGTATTGAGGATACGAGAGAGGAACGTAGACAAAGATACACTGCATGACGATGAAGACGCTGGCAGCATAGACAGTGATGCCGATGGTTGGCACGATCCAGTGAATGCTGGCGCGAGCGGTCCAGCCAAAGATGAAGAGCCCAATCGTAGGGCCAAAACAGGCGAAGAGAGCAGGTACCAGGCGGGACTCTTGTGCGCGCAGACCGTGTGTAATGGTATCGGGGATGAGTATAAACTGGAGGTACAGGCAGTAGATAGCAATGCCAATTAGGCAGGCAACGAGTACGCAGGTGAAGACGACACCAATCATGCCGAGCGAGAACCCATAGTAGACGGGATAAACTAGAGGAAACACCTCGAAGAAACTGTAGTAAATGCCGTAAACCAGAGCCATATACAGGTTCACGAATGCGACGGCTGGATCCTTAATGGTGATCTCCATCGGCTTGATGATGGCATCTAAGAGGATAGTAGAAGGCCGGAGATTTTTCTGGTCTATTTCACACTGTGCTTGGAGTCGCTTGTCGCCCGTGACTTTGCGCAGTCGACGGGCGCGGCACAGGAGGATGTTAGGGGTGGAGGTTTCAGGAAGGAGCATAAACATGGTGAGGAAGATGGGACCGGATACCAAGAGGATTTCCCACAGTGACCAGCGCCATCCCATGGCGGGCATTGCAAATCCAGAGAGGAGAGGCCCAAGAGACGGCCCACAGTATGCTGCTGAGACCCAAGCAGTACTAGGTATTCGTAAGCTAAGATGCTTTACATGACGAGAATGGATACTCACAGTGCAAATGGTAGGTAGAGAAGAGAGTACATATCTTGCATCGTGGCCGGCCCGATTGCCAGGCAAGGACTCCCGAAGAATCCTTGGAGGAAACGCAGAACCAGAAGGCCAGCGAAGTTATCAACAAGCGCAGTGGGAAGGGAGAGTATAGTAAATAGCGTCATTGTTACGGCGTAGACTGGAGATCTCCCGATGACTGGAATCTCTGATAGGGGAGCCCAGACCAGTGGCCCAATACCGTAGGCTAGGACGTAGAGTGAAAGCGGGAGCGATGCGGCTGTCGGTCCAACATTGAACTTTTCCATCACGCCCTGCTCGCTCGAGGTGTAGATCGCGGAGCCAGTGTAAACGACGAAGGTGTACAAGCAAATAATCAAAGAGACAACAAATCGTTTTGCGTTGGACCAGTTCTGAGGATTTGCTGCATCATCAGTGGTATACCAACCCACAAGGATGTTGCCGTCTGCTGTCTTTTGTGGGACAATTGGCCTCGTCTGCGTTCGTTCAAGGGCAAGCTCCGCTTCGATTTCCAATCGTTCTTCAGAGTAGGGGGTAGTTTCTAGTCGACTCTTCGTCCGGCTGAGATGAAGACCTTCTAGATTATGATCGTGTAGGTGTTTTTGCTCAATATCTCCCTCCTCGAGTTCAAGGGTCTCCAGAGGTGCAAATGTTCTTTCGCCACTTGCTCGGTTCGATATTCGTGTTTGTTTATTGGTGGCTTTCGCGGTAGCCGCAGCCTCCTGCTCTTTTTCTGGCAATTTGAGGGCAGCATTGTATGTCTCTGGCATTTTGAAATCAGGAAACTCCTCAGGATAAAGAAGAACTGTATTGCGAGTGACCAATCGGATGGTCTGACCCAAAGGGGCATCTCTCAAGATATCCATCATGGCTATCAGATATCTTTCTCTGTGTGGTGGAAGATGACAGGGAGAGGTTAATAAAGGGAGAGAATGATGAAGGGTTGCTTTTGACCCAGAAAAGTCGAATTTGAAGGAGAAAAACTGTTGAACTGAATTTGTAATGGGATTTAGGATGTTTTATAAAGAGAGGACCTCCTTCACCTCCCCGAGCTTACAAATACGATGTGCTCTACAAGCAGAAATGTGAAATTGCAATTGTGGGCTCATTGGAAGTCCACTGCTAAGCAAAGTCTACTAAAATTATTCTTCATTTTAAAATCTAAAGCAAGGCATCGGCTCACACGGCATTCATATTAGTCGGGTGCGGTTAGTAGTTACTTCATTTGGACTGATACTATAGTGGTCGTTCGTCGGATTTAAGGGCATAGGCCGTGAGCAGAAGATAAAGTTTCCTACGTCCAATGATCGTTTGCGGCTTTATAAGCTTAAGTTGCAAGTTCTATTGACTGTATTGCTGCCGATCTGGGAATACACGATATTATGCTAGTTGTAGTAGATGTGATAATATGCTAACTAAAATACATGAATGCATTGAACAAAGCCCCAAAATTAATCCTCCATATATAGTTCTTGAAGAGCTACCTAGATAGCTTCTTTCTGGATGAATATCACATATAACATTGCATTATAATCTGATACCTGCTTATTTCATGCGTATTTCATGCATTTGACGCAGTGATAATCTTGTTTGTCACATGAAATACGGAAATAGTGCGGACATAGCGCGGAGACCGCGAATGGAATGACTAATTTCAATACCATTGACTTGAGGATAGCTCTGTGTCTCCATATGGAGTACGAAAATAGTTCGGAGATAGCGACCGGAATGATTCTTTTAATTCTACTGAGTTAGCGAAGATAGACATGTGTGTCCAAATGGAACACTGTGATATCGTGCGATATCGCGTCCTGTTCAGCTGAATAAACCTTCCTCGCCGGCGTGGCAACGTTCGAGAAGGGCCAATCATCAGATTGAACCACACTTTCCATATGTTCTCCTCCCGGGGTGACATTGACTGTCATTACCGGAATTTACCGGAGTTTAGAGTCAAAGCGGACATACATATATCCATGTATAATGGAACTTGCCTGATTTTTAAAATATCTTGGAGCCCTAGAGTCGACCTTTCTCAATTACCTGACGCACACCGGAAGCAAACATCTTACACCTCTGTTCTCCAACGAATATGTCTGATTTTATCTCGACCGACCTTATCCTCGTCACCGGCGGGAATGGCCACGTTGCGCAACATGTGGTAGACCAGTTGCTACGCCAACAAGGACAACCTCGCGTTCGCGCAACCGTGCGTTCTGAAGCATCGGCGAAACAGATCAAAGACTATTTTGCTCCAGATCTATCCTCGGGGCATCTCTCCGTGGTGTTAGTACCAGACATTGTGGCGGAGGGCGCCTTTGACGAGGCTTTGAAAGGCGTTACCCATGTGGCTCATGTGGCCTCCCCTTTGGCTCTCGGTATTGACAATGTCGAGGCCGATCTGCTGAAGCCAGCCATAGAAGGAACAGTCGGGATTATCCGGGCAGCCGTGAAATTCCCATCTATTCGATCAATGGTAATCACAGGCTCGTTTCTATCAGCCTTTGACCCGGCCCATAGCCTCCGGCCCGGCTACACGTACACGCCGGATGATTGGAATCCGATCTCCTACAGTGAAGCAAGCTCCCAAGAGCTGGACTTGACGCGGTGGGAGCCAATATGGCGGCCGTTGATTACCTATATGGCATCAAAGAAACTTGCGGAGGAGGCGGTTTGGAAAGCGCGAGACACCATCAAGCCTCGGTTTGACATTAGCGTCGTCCTACCGGCTTATATTGGAGGCCCATCTGTTCTACCGTTACAACGAGGGACTCAGTCCGGTAGTCTCAGCGTGCAAGTCCTTTGGCAGGCCGTCACCGAAGAGCGCCTACCACCGGTTGATTATCCCTATTGGGTTGACGTGCGAGATGTCGCGAAGGTCCATATTCAGGCGCTGCTCCATCCGGAGGCTGACGGGAAACGATTCATCCTTGCTACTCGGGGAGTAACATACTCTGACGTAAGTGAAAATCCATATTCGACCCTCTGATGGTATAAAGCGGATCCTGAATATAGGTTTTGGTATTGCAGATTGCGGAGATCGCTCGAAAGCATTTCCCTCAGCTCCATTCGTCGACGGAGCAGCAGAGCAATGTAAGTGTAGAATGTATCGGTCGAATTTATCTTGCTAATTAGCCTTATTTAGGTGGAATTCTATAAGGTGGACTCCTCGAAAAGTCTCAGGATCCTGAATCTTGGTCCCTGGATCCCACTTGAAAAAATGATAGTTGACACAATAAGTCAGCTCTTGGATACCAAGGTCACAAATTGATATACGGGCAGAGAAGTGCCATTTTCTTGGTGGGCGTGGAATTTATTGTCAACTAAATCTCTTCAATTCAACTGTTCTGAACACATGGAATACTATTACGCCCAAGGTGAATAGTAAGAATCCTATCATTACCTCGAATGGATAACTAGCGCAGTTTATAGCCGAGTATTCATCCGCCAAGGATTACAAATCAAATGCCAATACTTGAAAGTCAAATTCAATTTAGGCAATTCCAAGCGCAAAGGAGAGCCTTTCAAATACGCTACTACATAAAAACCTCATTACTTGCCACATTAATATATTCCACAGGTAGTTATAAAGAGACCATAACTACCCAAAGCACATGACTGTACAAGCAGCGTAGCCAACAGAGCATTTGACTTTGCTCGCTATGTTCCAGAATAACTATATAAGGACACTCATTTATCATCATATATTTAGTCTATCATGTTTTATTCTCTATTACAACAGTGATATATACTTTATCATACTTATTAGTTACTCTATACTGTCATATTTCTTGCAATATACAGCCCAATACCCTAGTATACCTCAATCTAGATTACTCAGCAGAACACTGCCCTCAAACTCCCGCGGTAAAGAACGGTTGAGAACGATTTGACAATGGCCCCACTCGTTGGGTTTCCCATTCTGTGATCAGCTAGCTCACGGCTACCAAAACCGGAAGTGCCCACCCTCGACCCGAACCTCTATACCGTAGCGTGGGTCGCCCCACTTGAGATTGAAGTACAGGCTGCCAGACATATGTTGGATAAGGTGTATTCGGGACGATTTCCTGTCGGGCCTGGCGATGACTATTTGTTCCATGCCAGTGAGATACACGGGCATAATGTCGTGATCGCCACTTTCACTGTTGGCCAGCGGCATGGCACAAGCTCTGCAACATCTCTCGCAATCCATGTTACAAGGTTTTCTCCAAACCTATACTTTGGGCTTCTCATGGGGGTTGCGGGCCTCTGAAACCTTTCATGCTCGCCTACGCGCGATATTCGATTGCGCGACGTCATTATAGCTTATTCTCCTCCCGGCGGAGATCATCCAGCAATAATACCTTATGGGCTGGGGAAGCAGAAAGGAGGCAGTGGCTTTGAATTGCTGTGCAACAGACATTCCCTCCATCAAACAGAACGCATCGTGGGGTCCGCTATCGGTAAGACCAAGGCGGAAAGGCGAGAGGCGCAAATGATATTGGGCTACTACAGGGATAAACCAGAGACAGCCACGAAGCTTCCAGACCCCGGGCAAGAAAACGACTTTCTTTACTTATCCGGTGACAATCTACCAATTCCACGACAACGCCGACCGGACGCTGACCGCACGCGTGTATGGTACGGATCAATCGGCTCCAGCGAGCAGCTCTTGAAAAGTAGCTGAGATCCAGATGAATTGAGAGACCGATACAATGTGATGGCCTAGAAATGGAGGCACCGGCACCATGAACAAGATTCCGGTGGGGAGTATTCGAGGGGTTTGCGATTATGGCGACGAGCGGAAGAATAGAGACTGGCAGCCTTATGCAGCGGTGATGGCAGCGGCGTTTGTGAACAATAAAATTGGGCCCAGATTTTCTGTGCGCAAAGATTCTGTATGCAGATGTAGGTGCTATAACTAGACTTATTCAATGAAGCTATGCTCAGCTTTTCTGTGAATAGAAATTATATATGTTATTATAGATATTATAATATATATTCCTTATATCTCTTTATAGTTTTTAAGCTATTGCTATCTTTTTTGCTTTTTAATGGAGTTAGTTGTCAGGGTGTTTTATGAGAAGCACACGAACTAGCAGGTGCGAGGCCGAATATAGGGATCAATTGGCATACAAACTGAGCACTTGATATTCAAAAGAACACTCAACATTGAGACTATTTAAATAAAGAATACTTATTAAGCCAAACTAATATATGTATATAAAAGAAAAGATTGATATAATAGCAGCTCAACAGTCTTTTTATATCTTTCTTTTTTTAAAGAAAGGATTAACTATCAGAATAGATAGTATATTTGTAATAGCAAAAATAATAATCAATCTAATAGATTGTAAGGCTCCTTGACACTGCCAACCTCTAAATGCCAAAAAGTAATAGTGAGGTAATTGGACCATTGCCCAATTCCAGGGTTGGCACGCTTATAAGCCTCTGTGAGCCTGCAGCGCTCTCACTGTTGCCAGGCCTCACAATAATTCTATCATAAAACGTTTATATAATAATAAACTATAAATAACCTATACTATTAAGCTTATAATAATGAATAAATAGATGCCCAAGGCTTCCAATAATGAGGCATAAAAGTGGGCCTTAATATGCTTAACGTAATCCACATCCAGTGACATAGCTTCCAGAGCCTCTGGTAACTTTCCGTTTATGACAATTAGTGTGGCTCCGCACGTGTGGCTGAGTTGCGGCAAGATGCTTTCCACCCAGCGTTGGAATTTGGGTAATCCATACGTCTGCACAGTGCACCTCACAAACTAGTACTATATTTCAAAACTTGGAAACAGGTGAATTTTTACAGAACTATGCAGCTACAAAGGGCTGTGCGAATCTGATAGGAGTCAATTAGGCGAGCAAAATCTTTTATATGGGAGATCAGCATCGGTGGAACACGTAATCACTCACTGGACTTTACTTGGCAACTGTGTCCGGTTAGTTAAGATCAAATGGAAATCGAAAATTTGATCCATTCTTTAGAGCTGTTCCAAGAATAGTTATTGTTATGCAAGGTATACATACCTCCAGAATACTCGTCATGCCGAGAAACCGTATACGCCTGGTGCTTGCCCCATTTGAGTACTTTCCTAACAGGCTATACACAGCCTGCAATGTCCGTGATTTTCAACTGGTAGTTCAATTGATTTATAAAATGCAGGTGCCAAAACAGCTGCTATTAATGACAATACACATTTATATACTGCATGCTGCATATTGAAATCTGTCGCGTGATCACGATGATGTGATTCAGAATACCTCTAGATTTAATCAAAATTGTGGACAAGGTCTCTGGCATTATCCATATCAATTCCACGAAGGAAAGATGTCATAACGCTCCTACTCGACCGACGAGGAGACCAAAGTCCGATCACAGAAGAGGTGGTCAAGGCTGCGGTAAGCTATTAGAACTGCGGCATAAACGTTGTGCAGGCCCTTCATGATACCATTAAGTTTGACGTTACTGCTAGCATAATTGAAGCAGCCACTACTGGTGGTAAGGAGGATGTACCTAGTGTTAGCACAGATGTTGTCAATATTTCTCTCACTGAAAGCAAGACCACGAATTTGGCCTGATGGTTGGTATTGGAGGCGGAGTACCCGGAAAAGCCGACGTTCGACTTGGAGACGTGGTGATTAGTAAGCTTACTGCGAGTGGGAAGTGGGTGATACAGAATGATTGCAGGAAAACTATGCATGATGGGTGCGTTTAGTGCCCTGGGTTTCCAAATAAGCCCCCTCAGCGTCATAATTACTCCACGCCGCTAGAGACTCACTGTGTGTTATTACCTTCACATGTATGATCTGAATTTACATGACTTCTAAAGTAGTTTTCTGAGAAGATGGAATCGGTCATGTCGACAAAACAATCAAATAAAGCTGTACATAGAAGGAAGTTGTACCTAATCTAATGCGTTGAAACCTTCAATATTTCGATTATAGTCTGCGCTGCCTTGAATAGGTATCAGACCCAAAAAAAATGAAATATCAACATATTCAGCCAGCCACAACAATATGTTCGATGTTGTCGAACGCAAGGTGTAATGCAAGTATCTCCTAGTTCAAAAATATCAGGCGCAAGACAATTTCTTTATTTTTTCCTCGTCCTGGTCAGCTACATATGAGACATGAGACAGTGGCTGCTTGTTGATTAGCCCTGAGTATGCAGGTATTGCATGAAATCCTCATGATTGCTGATGTGACAGGGTATGAAATGATCATTGCTTTCAAATTTTTTAAAGAATATTAATGACTGCCACTTCTGCGGAAGGTGAGAAAGTCCGAGATTTAGGCAACCAATCTTTTGCCGGATTCATGACCTAAAAGTGTCGGACAATCATCTTAATATCAATCACCTTGGCCCGTAGCGGACTTTCAAACAACGTCAGTCCAAGAAAAAAAATGTGCGCACTGTTGAGAACAGTTGCAGATGGATATATATGTATTATTGGTGGCTGGTTGGTCAGCTCTCGGGCAGCAATGCAAGGGTTGTGAGAAGAACCGAGAATAATGGCCATTGGCTTATACACAGCAGTTCAATGCTGTTTATGAAGATAAAATTGATTCTCATACTGGTGGTTGTCCGCACCAACTATTTATAAATACTATGTAGTCAACCCAGTTCGAGGGCCAGGTCTAGGAAGAGACAAATATCCAGCTCCTAACAATATCAAGACTCAAGATAGCAACCCAATAGTCCACAGAGCAACATCGAAATATTGAAGATGCTTTTCAATATTGTATGCACTATTGCTTTCTGTCACTTTTTACTGATTGGCAGAGTTCTTGCGCAGACGCCAACAACAACTGTTCCAGCTGTAAGTCACAACAATTAAACAAATAGTTTAATTCGACTGATTATTCTCCTTCGGCAGTTCTCTAGATGTACTTCTCCATGTCCCACCGAAACTCCAGTTGGGCAGCCAGACCCAAGGTTTGTCTGCGGCGACAATAGACTAGGTCCAGTCGATTTGCCTTCAGAACCACCCATCGCGGAGATGCTAGGTGGCTATGAACAATTTGGAGGGCTATGCCCTCGAGATTATTTTTATCACTGGTTCAGTGACATAAACCAGCACTATATAAACCCACCTGGAAATGGATTTCTACTAGACGCATACAACAGGTCGATGTATACAGAAGTCACGATTCCAGTCGGCACTCTCCTTGATCGTTTTGGCGGGCTCAATGCGAGTTATCTATCAATCTTGGGAACTGATTATGTTCGACGCTCTATTTCACCCGGAAACCTGAGTCGCAGAAATAGCACAACTGCTGCTATCTATTACGTCTTCAACGTCACACAGCCCATCCCGGCTCAATACGGTCGAAGTGCTCCTTGGTATGGCCAGCCAGGAGGAGAATTGCAGTACTACCTACCGAATTCCTCTACTCAAATCCTCATTGACCAGGGCTCATTGGAACTTATAGAGTCACTTTAATGTGTGAGAAACTGACACTGGGGCAAGGTTCTCATTATTTTGAACAAACTAAAGCATCGGCATTCAACATGACGATAGCAGTCCTAGGAAAGAAAAGGGAAGATTGATTAGTCTAGTATATTTTAGAAGCTATACGTATGAAGATTAATGATACAAGATTGCACAAGCTTCACAGGTGCCCATGTGTTATAATTTAAATAATAATTCTCAGAGACACTTCTATAATGCAGACTATATAGAGAGATACTTCTCAAGATGTAAAAAAATATCTAATAATTGTGATTCACGGTCTGCAAATCTTTGAACACACAATATAGCTAAATCTACTAAGGAGCATAGTGATTTATCGAGTGTCTATTCAAATGCAGCTCATATCGTTGCTGACCGGCAGAAGCATCGTCATTAGATTAGTTAAATTGATTAGATCGTTTTAAAACACTTTTAATATTCTATTACCCAGCCTTTATCTATATGAAAGCTATTCTATCCTCCTTTTAATTCTTTAATTTTATAAGATAATATATCTGAATAATATTAGATATTCTTCTTTCTATTTACTTACTGTTATTTGTCTGAGCAGTCTTATGTAGTGTCCGTTGTTCGCATATATATGTTCTATATAGCATGTGTATGTAATGTAACCGAACAGCCACCTGCCTACAACAGCCACCCGCCTACTTCTGCCCAAAAACGTATTCTATATTGATTTTAAATATTATTTTCTAATCTAAAATAATAATTCTATTTAAAAAATTACTTACTAATATGATTAGAGCATTAAGGTCTTTTATATTTGAGAATACTGTATTTACTACATTGAAATTGATGGTGTAATATTTTTAGATATAGAAGATTTTAATACTCTAATCATATTAGTAAGTAATTTTTTGTATATAATTATTATTTTGGATTAGAAATTAAGATTTGAAATCACTATAGATTATGTTTTTGGGTGGAAGTGGCGTGTCACGCACCGGGACCCACTCTAGTTGTCACTGGCTGTGTCAAGGAGCGATACGATGTGTTGAACCACACAGAGATTTCTTAAGGATAACTAATAACAAAGTATAAAGATTACTAAAAATAAAATAAAGATAAAATATAATTAAAATAAAAATAATACCTTAAAATATTATAGTATTTTAAATAGAATTATTTTATTAATCTTTATAGTATAACTAATAATAATAATTATAATAATTTATATTAAAGAACTATACTAAGATAAACTAGATATATAAAAATAAATATATTTATATAAATATTATTTTTATAATATCTTTATAATCTATCTATATATAGATTATATATTTAATTATTTTTTTATCTTTTTTATATTTCTTCTATACTCTCATTATATACTTAAATATAGATACTTATATAATATATAATTTTATATAAATAATAAATAGATTATATATAATTATAATAATTAATTAGCTATAGTATTAATTATTTTAATAAATATTTATTTTAAAATAATTTAAATTATTTTAATCTATTCTTAGTTTTATATATATTGATTTTATAATATCATTCTTTTTTCTTAAAGTTCTTTATCTTTAAAGATATAAATAAAAATATATTTTATTCTTAATATAATCCTACTTTCTTTAATAAATGTTTAAAATATATCAATATAACTCTTAAAAAAGATTATTTAGCTTATTATATATCCCAATCCAATTATATTTATTAAAATAATTTTTCTATTAATAATCCATATAAATATTGTAAAAATAAAAATAAGATTTATATAATAGATTCTAAAAGTCAAAATTATATATTATATACATATTATAATTATAAATATAAAAAACAATTTCATAATAAGTAAGAATAGTCAAATCTTTAAAAATTAAAATTATATTAATCAAAAGCTTCATAATACTCTTATTAAATAGATAAATTTATTTATAAAAATAAATTATTTATTCAAATAATAACAATTTCTTAAAGAGTAAAGTTTAAAAATATTAGATCATAATTCTAATATAATAAAGATTTTAAATAAAGAAAATCTTAATAATATCTTTCTTTCTTTTTCTATAAGAAAGATACAATTAAATATTATCTCTAATATAGAATTTAAAGCTTTATTCATTAATCTATTAATATCTTTATCTAGTAAATTAAATTTCTTTATTAATAATTCTTTAATATCTTTAAAATATCTATAAAATTCTTAATAGATTCTTAAATATTTTCTAAAATATCATATCTTTTCTATTTAATTAAATAAATAAATTTCTTATTAATTTATTTTTCTTCTAATATATCTTCAACTTTATATATCTCTTATTTAATAATAATATTTATTTAGAATTTTATATTTAGTAGTACTAATTCTAATGATAAAATATAGAATACTGAATATATTTTTATAACTTTTAATAATTTTAATTTATAATTAACTTCTCTAATTTTTTCTTCAATTTTAAATAATCTAATTCATAAATAATTCAATTTATCTTCTTTTCTTTTAGTATCTAAATTTTATAAAAGATAGATCTTCTTTCTCTTCTTAAAATTAGGTCTCTTCTAATATTTTTAATTATATCTTCTTAAAGATTATTATTCTTAATTTTTAATTTTATTATATAAATATTAATATAGCACTCTTATTATATTAATTATTTTTTCTGTTTTTATATAATTGATTGCTTATATTTAGATTCTTCTAGTATTTTATTTCTTTTCCTATATATACCTTAAAAAATATCATTTTATAATAGCTTATTTATTTATATTATAAGCTATTTATACTATAGATAATAACTTTATCTAATTATTCTAATTATAATTAACGTAATGATATAGTACTATTCTAATATTTAATTTATTCATTCAGTTTATTCATTCATCTATAGATGATAAGCAATTAACAGTCACTATTCTTTTCCATAAAGTCCATCATAGATTTTCATAATTTTAATATAAAGATTTGTTCTCTATCTAGACTATAATCTCAAATATACTATAATATTAAAAGACTTTATCAATTAATAATATTATTAATTATTTTATTATTAATTATTTTATAATTATAATAAAGTATATATATTTAGTTATTCTATTTATTATTATAAATATTAAATCATTTCCTTATAATTTTAGTAATTTGATGATAAAATCTATTATTACTTATTGTTATAGATATTCTAATATTTTTAATGATTATATTAGTCTATATAATTTATATCTATTAATTTTATTCTTATAATATTGATTATATTCCTTAATATGGTTCTTAATATTTAAATCATTTTAACCAGTAGTAATTCCTTATAATTCATTCTAAAATATTTAATATTCTTAGATATTCTATCAATATATTATCATAATAAATTAGATAATTTCTATTCTAAGTATTTTTAATACATAGATTAAACTATACTAAAATATTAATCCTTCTTCTATCATTATAATTCAATCATTTTATTATTTACTATATTAAATATCAATCCATTTTATTCAATTTTTTTATAATTCTATCTTATAGTTCTAATCTATTATCTTTTCTAATATTATTATAAATATTATTATTTAAAGATTATATATAAATATTTCTTTTTTATTTCTTTAAAAAGCTAATTTAATAATTTAATTCCTTTTCATGATTTAATCTTCTACTTAAACATTTATTCATTTATTATCTTTTCCTTACATATTCTATTTCATATTAATAATTTATTAATAATTCTATTATCTTACTTATCTCAATTAAAAATCTTAATTATAAAGAAGTAAATAAATTCTTATAATCTATAATAACTCATATTAGAAACTTATTTCTTTTAAATAAATCTTTAATATCAAAATACTATCATTATAATAATAATTCTTTATTATAAATCTCATAATTAATTCTACATCAAATATTTTTCTTAAATAATATATTACTAATTATAATTTTTTATTTAATCCTTTCTATATCATTATTACTTCTATTATAAATCTAAAATATCATTTCTAATATTATTAATTTCTCTAGATTATATTATATCAATATAGATATAATAATAAATTAAAACTTTATTTCTTTAAATACTTTCTAATATTCTATTATCTATTTAAATTTAAAATCCTTTTATAATAATTTAAATATAAGATTTATTATCTTTATATATCTTTTTATATATTATTAATAGTAATTAATTAATTTAAAAAAGAATTATACTTCTTTAATATTCTTTAATATAAACTAATCTTATATTATCTATATCTTTTCTTTATCTATTTAAATCCTTTTTAAGTAATTCTATATTTTAAAAAGTCTATTTCTTATATATAAAATCATATTTCTTAACTTTAACTATAGTTTTGCTTTTTATAGATAATATAGAATTATTTTATATATTATATATAATCATTATATATTTAAAAATATTAAAATATTATCAAAATATACAATAATAAAGTTATATAGATATCCTAATTATATAATTAATATACCATTAGAATGTTACTAATATATTAATTAATTAAAAATATAATCAGATATTCATAATATTAAACTTAATTTTGAATACAATTTTCTATTCTTTTCTTTCTTAATTTCAGTTATTATATATATCTATAATATAAATTTTATAAATTATTTCTTTCTTATATTTTATCTTATATTCTAAAATTAAGATAATAAATGACTGTCTTATATAGTAATTTTATTAGTTATATAGTTATATATAATCATAAATATATCCTTTTCTTTCTATAAAAGTATAGAATATCTATTAATAAGTTTAAAATCTAATATATCTTTTTTTAAGCTTTTATTTAATATTTCTTAATATTGATCTTATTTTCTAATATAGAATAATTCATTAAATCTTAATTCTTTATTTCTTTTAATAGAATAGTATATCTATTCATTATATTTAAATAATTTCTTATATATTCTATTAAATAATTCTTTAAATTATTTATATTCTTTAAATAATTTAAATTCTATAATTACTATAATTTAACATTTCTTTTTAGATATTTAATAATAATCTTCTCTTTAGTTCTACTCTATATAAAAATCTATAAAAAAATTAAGTCATCTACTTCTTTCATTATATTAAGTTTTCTATCTATTTAGTAATTTTATCTTTCTAAAATATCTATTATAATTATAATAATTTATTTTAATTTTATTAATTTCTTAATTTATCTCTAA